AGCTACCTTTTTGCAAGACTTGTTCAAGAGATATGTGAAGAAGTCGCAGGCTGTTCTAGTAAAGGTTGTCAAGGGCTAAACCTCTATAACCTAATAACTAGGGTGGATACAAAAGGAATCGTCGAAGAGGAAAGAGAAGAGGAAACAGCGATGAGACGATTGCGAAGTAAGGGGGGAAGTCACATGATAGAGTGTACTAATCAATATACTAATCATGTGGCAGGCGAGGAGAAAGGAAACACGAGGGCTGAGGGCCCGAGTAGGCTGAGGGGCTCTAGCCCTTACACTACCCCCTTCCTATATAAGGCCTCCGAAGGAGGCCTAATAGCGAGGCGGGTTGCTGGCGCGGGCTGTAAGCTTTTTCGGAGGTTTCTCGGAAGTATCAGACAAAGTAGAGCGGGCATCGCAGTCTGCGATCCAATGATCATTAGAACCGCAGTAAAGGCATAAATTATTCGCAAGTCGGAAACGGCGGCGGTCAGAGGTGGTGGATTCATGAGAAGAATCAGATAAAACAGGCGAAGCAGCTCGGGCTACTCTCACAGAGCCAACATGAACAGGATTGGGGTTTATTTTAACTGAGTTGACTCGGACCGGATCAGTATCCATTGGGTCTGTATTCGGGGTCAAAGCTGGTTTCGGGGCTGATTTTGGACTAGGACGGGTACGCCGATCGGTACTCTGGACAAGTTCAATATATTCATTATAGGGAAGATCAAAGAGAGAATTATTCGAGTCTTCTAGTATTCGACGGAGATTAGGCCGTAGCCCCGGTGTAGCGTGGTAACACGTGATATATCTGGCCATGAGTTTACATTGGCTTCATATGAAAGTCGTTCAAAACGAGCAAGGTAGGCGATAAGCGATTCGTCATCCCTCTGTTGTATAGAAGTAAAGCGCTGAATAGCCTCCTGCTGTTCCCGTGGGTTATGGCATAGACGCTGAAAAAGAGAAAATAACTTCAGGATCCCATAGCTGGTTTTCTTCGGCAGATTGGCGGAGGTGCAGGACAGAAGCTTGCTGAGACTGTTCTAGTCGATCCCATACATAGTCAAAAGCATCAGCTCCTACGAGCTGGTCTGATCGAAGTTTTGCTTTAATTGACGGGAGCCATGTGCGAAGCGTGTATGGTTTACCGTTAAAGCGAGGCGGATCTGGCAGGCGGGATCTGGGTGTCTGGACGGAAAGAAGCTGCGTACGAAGCTGGTGGACATCTGTTCGGGAAGCATCAAGGTCCGCACGTAGTTGCTGTATTTCATTACGCTGGTTTTGAATATCAAGGCGCTGGTTTTGGAGCTCTTGCTGGAGCTGCTGCACAAGCAGGAGGAGTGGATTCGGGTCGGACATCGTAAAGATATTCCCATAGACTGGCGGACAGGCAGGCAAGCGGGCGGGCGAGCAGGCAGGCAGGCGAGCGGGCGGACAAGCGGGCAGGCGAGCGGGCAGACAGGCAGACAAGGACGATTCCTAATGTCAAGGGCTAAACCTCTATAACCTAATAACTAGGGTGGATACAAAAGGAATCGTCGAAGAGGAAAGAGAAGAGGAAACAGCGATGAGACGATTGCGAAAGGGGGAAGTCACATGATAGAGTGTACTAATCAATATACTAATCATGTGGCAGGCGAGGAGAAAGGAAACACGAGGGCTGAGGGCCCGAGTAGGCTGAGGGGCTCTAGCCCCTTACAAAGGTAGAGAATATTAATAGCAGTAATTAGTAATTAAGGCACTTTAAAAAGCATCCGAGGTAATACTTGCCACTAAATTTACTAGTATGTATACTTTTATAATATACTAATTAATATACTAATTACAAGCATCTAGTGGCCAATTTAGCGGTAATTTATGCCAAGCGCGTGACTATTATGCAGAAGGATATGCACTTGGTACAGAATTTAAGAGAGATTATAATAGGGAGCAAGATGCCTGGTAATCATACCTAGTTTTGTACTTAATATTATAATTAATTTGGTAATTATTTTTCCTCACTTGATACTAGTTTATTAAAATGTATAATTTTAATGAAGTAAGTAAATTGCACGGATAAATTTAATTACGCGTTGCTCAATGAAATTTTACAAAATTACGAATTTTGTCCACATGCTCGATTCAGTCCGCCGTACAGGACCCATCTAAAACTCGGTAAAACCAAAACTCCGATCATGTGTCTGTCAACCAGCCAACAGCCTCCACCCCTTGGATATCTCTCTGGTCGCGCGCACTGATAGTGTTATCTCCATGTAGCGTGCTAACAGTAATAACAGCAAGCAGACCACCGCATCAGTCTCTCCGACATCTATCCGCACACCGATATTTCTTCTCAGTCTGGATGGATCGGAGGCGTTCGCGTGCAGAGAAGCTGCTTAACGTTTACGAGATTGCCGAATTTTGCAGTATAATGTTATGCTATAGTGAGCAAGTAATGAGAAACTGCTTGCTTAAGTTTGTATGCTAAAAACCAAGTACTTGTTTATTCCCGCAAGAGGAAGCTAATAATAAAGTATCTAATGTAACGGGCTAGAGCCCCTCAGCCTACTCGGGCCCTCAGCCCTCGTGTTTCCTTTCTCCTCGCCTGCCACATGATTAGTATATTGATTAGTATGTTGGAAATCAGGATGCCTAAGGCACCTTCGGACATCCTAGTCCCGGAGCTTTCTGATATATCACATTCAGGGGCTACGGACACGTAGACAAGAAGGAGGTGAAAGCCTCTCGTCCTGTACTTACACACAACTCACCATGCGATACTAGATCGCACGATAGATTCAATATACTATCCAGTCACCGCTATCCTAGCACCTCACAACGTACTCCTTCCCCTAGAGGTTTCAACATAGTACACTCTATTATGTGACTTCTTCCCCCCCTTATTTCGCAATCGTCTTATTACTGTTTTCTCTTCTCTTTCCTCTTCGACGATTCCTTTTGTATCCACCCTAGTTATTAGGTTATAGAGGTTTAGCCCTTGGCAGGCTAAGTGGGTTAATAGTTTTAATAATTAATACCTATCCTTAATTTTCTAGTCCTTAAATAAGAGTATACTTTTTTCCACTCTCTACCATTACTATAAAGTTTATACAGATCCTAAGACCAATTCCATGCTCATCCATATTCCACATGTTCTCTGGTGATATGCTGAATTTGGTGGTAATCTTTTAAAAAAGCTAATAAAACCTGCATATCTGCTCTAGCCTTGTTCCCTGAATACGGCTTGATAGTATCCTTTTTCCTATACAGCTTTAAACGCGTGGATTTTGTTTTTTAAAGCCTGAGAGCCAATCTTTGCCAAGTGGTGCGGGGTTATTATTTATTCAAAGGATTCGGAGGGCGATTTCTCTAGTTCTTGTAATAGTAGGAGGGAATCCCTGCTTGTCTTGATTTATAATCTAGTTAGCTAAAAAAGTCTCTTGGGAAGGAGTTAATCGCTGTGAAAATTAATGAGCTATGCTCTTTTCTTTGGCACCACTAATACGACCGCGAAGAGTGGATATAGGCAATCCATATAGCCTTGCTGCAGCTCTTACAGAGCTAATTCTATTGGTTTCAAGGGCTTCAAGAGCAGCTTTAATGGTTCTCTCACGTGTATCCATTTTGAATAAGAATTGGTTGGTTGGTGGTGGGTGGATGAGAAAAGATAATAATTTACGCGGTGGGCGGAAAGGGGGGGGGGTGGGCGACATGTAGGTGTCATCTTACCCAGTTTTTACCTACCCGCGTTGATTCCGCGTCGGTCGCATTTTGCTTTAAAATCTGGTTCGCACAGTCTGTGATCATACTCGCGGTGGGTGAAATAAATATTTAATCAAGCCGCTGGACCCACTAAATAACTGCAAGCTCTTATGCCTCGTTAAGTCTTCTGGTTGCTTGATGGCGAGTCGAACGAGATTGACAACTATTAAAGCGAGCTCGTAGTCGACGTACTGGCGCGTCAAAATCACGGGCTAAACACGCGAAATTCGTCTTTTTTTTGCCTTTAATAGAATCGCAGGCCTCAGTAATGCGATTTTCGACTTCTTGATATGTCTCTGCCATGGTAGTGCTCTTGTAGAGTAGAAAAGTAGAGAAAAAAGGACTGTTAAGACCGGGAGCACCAACACCCGGAAGGGCCAAAAGGCCCTCAACAAGCGAAAGAACATGATAAGAACAATCATCAAAATCATAAATATATCAAGAAGAGCCCAGCCAGCTCAAAATCATCCATTTAAGACCTTTCCAAAAAACCGTATTTTCTTTCCTATTTAGTACTAGCCGAATATCTGACAACTACCTACTGCAAAAAGTATGGCGGGGTATTTGGCGGGGAACAGGAAAGTTCTCTTTCAACTGGGGTTCATAGTTCTTTTGTTTCACCCAAAACTGCAGCCAGGTTAATCATTATAACCAGTATTCGCACATCATCCGCAACAGGGAGTTAGCATTTAGAGCGGAACGTGTAATCTATGTACAGCGAATGGCTTTAGCAACCAGTTTCCTCTGTTCATTTTTCAGCATTGAACAGAGTGTACAGACGGCTACTGGATCTCGACTAGTCACTGCAATAAAGATTACGACCGTCTTCGACAAGTTTCTAAACAGTGACCTCTTTCTGCTGAATCAATCTTTGCTCGGCCCGGTCTCCCATTTGAGGCAGCCAGAAAGGCTACAAAAGCAAGAGTAGACGAGGGCAGAGTGAGAAAGTATATGGCGTTACTTGATTGACTGCGCTACTGGTACCCGCATGTTAGAAATTTCACATGGAGTTCCTATTTTGTGGAATGCACAGTCCACGATTTATGTATCCCACGCTTCCTTTTTTTAATTGCCGGTATGGTCTGATTAATAAAATTAATCTGTGGTAATTACTTAAACTAAAAGAGAGGAAAGAAAGAGGAGATAAGAAAAGATTACATCTTAACCACAAAATCGCATTTATCTAAGCATAGTACCAGAGGGTTTGGACCAGCCCTTTAGACAGAGTACACAGGCGATCCTGGGATTAATATCGCCAGCATAAAAAATTGCTATGGATAGGGTTCTCGCTCATACCCATAGATATTCATACCCCGTTTCCGCCAATGGATAACCATATCCTTAGGCTCGCCCCTCGCGCTTCTTCCATCGGTATACAAAACCCATTCTGGACTGTTGAGATACCAATACTGATCACAAAGCGGGTAGTCCTCGCAGTTACAAGCAAAACAAAAAAGAGCATCAAGCTCCAGCCGCATACACCCATTATAAAATGGTCCCTCGTCGTATTCTGGGTCCTCGGGATCGTGGTCCACAACATCCAAGATATTAATATATCCGTGCGGTCCTGTCCACGGATCACAGCCGCTCGGCTCCGCAGTTCCGGGCTCTTTAGATGCCAAGATAGATCGAAGACATTGCTCATCAATCATCAAGCAGTGACCGAATCGGGGACTGGCGTAAGTATCTAATCCGTGCCTTGTTACCCACTCTCGGTGCTTTTTAAGGATAATATCAGCACCGACACCGTCTAGCTCAGGATCCTCAATAATAACATTCCGGTACCCCTCATAGATAAGCTTGTATGCATCCAACTGCCCTGGCAGTAATTCCCGGTTAGGCGGTTTGACTTCGTGGTAAAAATAGCGATTAAGCTTGGCCAGGGCTGCTGTCCAATCTTCCTCAGATGCATAGGTGGTCCGGTAAATAAAATAGCCCCAGGGCCATGCCTGATCGCGGAATCTGAATGTATATTGCTTGAGGAATTGTGGCATAGACGTATACCCTACCCACTCCTTTTGTTTAAATCGTTTTTCTCGATCCCTGCGCGACTCATCAGGTGGGAATTCAGGGTGCGTCCAGGGCTCGAGCCATGACTTGTGGTGGAATAAAGAGCCATTACTGTCTGGAGAGGAAGGTCTAGTGGACGTAGGAGTGTCTTCCGACATGATGAGATTTTTATTGACTTATATCAATCATAGCATAGGGAAGGGGGACGAGGGTTTAAATATTTGCGGTAGGCGGACGCCAAGCATAAGCCCGCTAACAGTGACGTAAATCGTCTGGACACTCCTAAAATGGCTTCAAATAAGCACTTCAAACTGACTCAATTTTGCGACCCGATTAACTAGCTAAAAATGATTAAGCTACAGGACTAGAATGTTAAGATTCGGAGTCGGAGTAGTCACGTGATGGCTTTCTGCTACCCCTTACCGCCTGTATATGGTATTGTGACGGAAATACTATGATCCGCCCGACTTGGCGGTGCGGAAGTGTATCTGACGATCCATTCTACCCTTCAATTCTTTAATTAGTTGGTCGAGCACCCAAGATCTAGAGGTAGAGTACCATAGATAGGAATGCAAGAGACTCAGTTGGTAGAGATACTGTGATTCCTGGTGTTTCCACGAACGACATCTATTTCCTACTTAGGCTAGGTTGGCCTGTAGCTGATCTATAGCTCTCTGCGCATCACTTCCCCTGAATTCCACAAGTATAGACGCGATCTCGCGTTGCTTTGTTTTCTACACAGTAGTTCTTCAAGCGATGTCTTCGTCAAAATGTGTTGAAGATATGGCGTACAGTATAGCTAGCGCCTTGGCAAGCGTGCGGGGGTTTTAACCCCTGAGACATCTCCTTTTCCTGTAACTATTCAGGCAAGATACTGCTCAATCTACGTCTTGTCTCCTTTTAAATGCTATCTTTCCCTGAATCCACAACAAAATACAATTCAATTGTTCATCTGATCTCACGCCGTGACATAGAAGAGGTCTGTCTGTAAAAGTCATGTAGCTAGCTAGATGTGAACCATAAAATTACGCGTATTCGCAAGTATCGATCCTTTATTGAATTAGGTCTCTGATTTAACTAAACTATCAAAACATCTCGCATTTATAAAGGCGAGGTAAACAAATGAAGAATGCAAACTAACTAATATAGGAAATAAATGCGATCCAATGATGTTGGATTATTAACAATATTTAACCGAGAAAGGTGCTAAATAATTAATATTACCATAATTGTTAACACACCCCCTCAGCAGCTTGCAAGGTCATGGATAGTTAAATATCGCATAAAAACCAAAATATTGCCTAACTAGGCAAGGATAAGGCTTTTCACATCGGCTAAACCAAGCATCTTGATAAATTCTTGGTGTCTTTAAGCTAATAAAGCCTTTATTATCCCATTAGCAGGCATCTCGGCAGTTGGAATCTATTCGATTTTGATGCCTTTATTTTAAACCTCCTAACACAGCCATATTCTATAAATATTAACATGGCGCAATTTTGTACGTAGCTGAGGCTCTTCCTTGGTTAACAACTTAATTATCTGGCGATTGTTGCATTTAATTAAGATATTATACTTAGGATTAAACTTAATTATATTAAACATGCGCTTCCACCAGTATAATATTTTTATAGCTGCTAAAATAGCAAGAAGCTTAGCTTTAGTAGTAGAAGTGGTCACCGTACGCTGTTTTAATGCCTTTTAATTAATTAGTCCGCCGTAGAGTATACAAAGGAATCCCTTGGTGCTTTTATAGTTATAATAATTAGCAAATAAAGCATCGCTTGCATAGATAAAGATATTATCCTATTTAATTAAACTCTCCTAATTGGCGGAATACTCAATGGCGTAAAAACACGTAGAATAAAGATATGCAATTATTTAATTAATAGTTTTAAAATACGCATTTAACGGATTTGTTATAAATTTAGCAAGTTTATTAACAGGACGCTTAACATCTGGCCTGGTGATAGTTACTGGGTAGAGCGTGGATCCTATTTTTTGTTAATAATAATAAATTTAACCATTTGTAGCCTGTTCCTAATTAGGCGAGTACTAACAGCTTAACTCCATGGGCATCTTGGGATACCAACTTAAATTATTTAAATAATATTAAGCAGCTATTTAGTTAATATATGCGTCTTAGCATAGCCATAACTTTTTTTTTGTATAATCTTGAATAACGCGAATTCCTAAAAACTATTTAATTTAGCCTATATCTCGCAGTTCGTAGTGTTTTTCAAGAGCTCTTTTTATATAGTTTACTTGTTCTCTTGCTTGCGAATTTAGCAAGTTGACGATAATAATATTATTAACATAAAATATTATAAATAAATGCTGATTCGAGAAGAGATATTAATCCTTATTAATTGGTTAAAGCCCAAAGCCTTTTAGTGTTGTAGATAGATCCTTGAACTATAAACATGGTGATCTTTATAGTCTATATAACACTTAATTAAGCTTTTATATCTTACCTAGAATTTAATATCCCTGTAGCATCTTTATATACACTTTTTTATCCAACAATGCGTTTAAAAACATGTTAATAGTATTATACTATATAATATTAAAATTAAATGCTGCAACCAACGCTATAATTATTTAGAATATTTTCACGGCCAACATGGCAGATCTTTTCTTTTTATTTAAGATTGCTTAAAAATCTCCTCGGACATAGATTTGTGCCTTGCACTTAATAAGATATTTATTTTTATTAAATTTATAGGCAAAAACCTATTTTAATAGAATAATCTCCTTTGCTCGTGCCTCTAACTATTCTACTACTATTACAGTACCCCTTTTATTAAGCTTATAAATTTTTTTTACTATAGCTATTATAAAACTATTTTTTAACACATGTTTTAGCATCTCTGTCCATAATTTTGGATAAAAGAGTAGATTATCCCTATAAATTCGGTGTTGTGGAGTGTGTTGTGTTATTCTAATAGTAAATATACTTAGTATACTATTATACAGTGCAAATATTATATAATTAGGATTATTTCTCTTTTTCCGTGCTCGTTTTCCTTTAATAATATTATCCGAATTAACCTTCTTTTTAGGTTAATATATTTACCTGTCTTTAACATTTTTAGGCATATCCCCACCCCCTGAGGTTGATAAGGAATTTAATAAGTTAAGAAGTAATTAACTAGGTAAATCTGGCTCTGTTTTAACATCTTCTTGCTTGCTATAATATTTAAAGTGACCTGGCATTTAACGTTTATCTGGATCAGGTGTTAGATCAGGTGTTAGATTAGGCATGGGCTGTTAAATTATTTTATTCCCACTTAGCTTTTCTCGCAATTTTTCTTTTTGCGTGAGATTCGGACTGTCCTAAATATTATCCAGAATATTAAAAGATACTTGTTTTAAAACTAATTCTAATAATTTCAGCACATCAAGCACTTAAGCAGGTGGTTCGGGTGCAGTTTCTTGAATTAGATTATTAAAAAGCAGCTTGGTGGGATTATAAAAACAAGATTTATTAAAGTTAATATCCCTAGCTTTAATAACCTTTTACTACTTTGGTTGCCAAATATACTATATATTAGATGCCTTGTATTCTATAAGATAGCCGATAAACACGCGTGGAGCCATTTTTTTTGTTTTTACAAGATCCTAATCTTGTATATACACGCGACAACTGAATAAATACATGTTTAAAAAATCTAGAGGAGTACTATAAAGCAGTTTGTATAGTATTTTCTAGTTAAGGATTTGTGTTAGTAAGTAATTAATAATATAAACAGTACTTTGCATTGCTACTAGCTATAATTTTTGAGGTAATTTCACCTTAATAATAAGGGCTTGTAATCTAAAAATAATAATTGCTCTGGCATGTTTAGAAGGACTATTTTACTTAGATTGTCCTTGTACCAATGTCTTATGGCTAATCCTATTTAAATACCTGAAATTAGTAATCTTGTTGCCTAATATTTGTTCGTTGTCTAAGCGATAAATTTGGACTGTTATATTCCAGCAATTCTTAACAAAGTTTATAAAATAAATAATTGCATTTCTAACACTGCTTTTACAAGGGCATGTATATATAAAGTGTATTTAGGTATATTTATTATAAAAATAGCAAGCCCAATAATCGCTATTATACGCAGGAGTTATCTATATTAGGTTAAAATAGACCTGTTTAAATAGCTTACTCGCGCATATAAACAAGCGTCGTGAGATTTAACAAGATGCAGATAATAAATAACATGTCTTGCACTTAGTATTTAAATTAGAGATATTAATTTTTACTCTGTTAACTGTGTCCAGTAAGTGCTAAATTTCTTTATTACTAAAATAACCTATTTATTAATACTATATTTCCGTATCTCTATATAAACTTAACGGCTTGGCTGACCTCTTAATCGTGTAAACAGTGTGATCATGATTTGGTGGATTATCTTTAACAACAAGAAGGTTTTTAATAACCTGTAATTAACAAATAACGTGTTTATCACTTTGCCGAATAATCTAATTAAGCTTATTATCCTATTAATAACCTGCTTTCTTTATTCGTGCGTATAATAAAATATTAGTGTGGAAACCCGGTATATATATAATATTATTAAGTCGAATACTATTATTCTTATTTAAATAAAAAATAACAGTTCCCGTGCCTTTTATATCTATTATATTTTGTCCGGCGTGCAAGATACCACGATCTTTGTATTAAAAGTTAGTAAATTGGGATAGCTTATTACAAATATAAATTATTACACCTGTGTCGAGAATAACGCTATTTTATAGGCAATAAGGTACTTTTTTAGTAAAGGTAGCATGCTAAATTAATATCACAATTTACTTTAATAATATGTTTTCCTTGTGTTTTAATATAAATTTTATTATTATTTTTAATATATATTATAATTTTGAATATAGACTATTAAGAATTTTATTAAACTTAGCCTAAATTTCAACATCAGGTGACTATCCTGGTGGTTGTTTTAACTTAATAATATAAGGGCAATCCTTAAATTAATACTTTTCTTTGCAAAAACATGTGTTCTTCTTTTATTATTTTTTTAGTTGTTAAATTATCCCTTTAATGTTGCGAATAACACCTCTAATTTTAATTATTAAATCGCCGCTGTATCTGCAATATATCCTTAGTATAGCGCTAATATCTTCGGTAATATAATTAACTTATCTTCTTGCAATAAATTAAATTGTTGATCGGCCCATGAATGCGAGTATTATAAAATTACTGTTAAAAAGTGGTATACAGTATATTAACCTATTACCTTAGGTAAATTAGCAGATAAGTAGTTATAATATACTAATTTAAACATAGCTAACCATTGGTCTAAACTACCGCTTTTAATAGGAGAATTTCGTGCTTTCTTATATTATGCATATATTATTCGGGCCTCTTGCTCTGATATTAGTGCTAATTGTTGCTTTAATAACTTTAAAATGTGGAATGTTAATTCCTTCCTATATAAATAATACACAAGTAATGGACCAACTAATCCCAGTACAGTTTTGTAAATAACTAAAGTCCTTGTTTTACCTTATTATATTTATTCTTTTTAAGGGTGTATAGCTGCATTTCCATTTTCTATTTATTATCTAGCTTCTTTGGCTTCGTCGGAATCTTTGGTTTCTCTGGAATTGCCGGTAATTCCTCTTCTGGCGTATTAGGATTAATATAATCCCAAATATCGCGTGATTTCGCCGTGGATTAAATAAGGCTATACCAGGCGCGCTATTTATCTCTTGTTTTTAAAATAATAAAAACCTTCGTGGCAGCGCTGTTTGTCCCTATTTTAATTTAATATAAATTCTCGGATTAGTGAGTAGCTTTAACGCAACATGGTTATAAAGCTTAGTAAGAAGTTTTAAATAGCTTTTCCTTAAATCAGGTAATTAGACTTGATTAAGCAATTTAGTAATAAGCCGGGCTACCGGGCTTATAACTGTGAACCATAAAATTACGCGTATTCGCAAGTATCGATCCTTTATTAAATTAGGTCTCTGATTTAACTAAACTATCAAAACATCTCGCATTTATAAAGGCGAGGTAAACAAATAAAGAATGCAAACTAACTAATATAGGAAATAAATGCAATCTGATGATGTTAGATTATTAACAATATTTGACCGAGAAAGGTGCTGAATAATCAATATTACCATAATTGTCGACACTAGATAATCAAGCACTCTATCGACTGGGAGAATATCCCTCTACTTAAACCCCTCCATAAAGATATACCTAAGCGAATCCATCTGCAACGAATTCAAAAGCTCGATCAGCTGGACACAGAGATTCACCCAGTTCTCATCATTAGGATTCCTCGACGGAAGCCACCTCTGCCTCATCTCATGAATACCCGCTCTCACGAAATCCCGGGCATTTCTCACAGTCTGATCAATGCGTTCCTGAAAGAACCTACGCCAGCAATCCTCCAAATTAACGTCCTTTCCGGTAGCTGCCTTATACGCTTCGGAAGTCCGGCGGAGCTCAGTTGTAATGCCATTAAAGACCATCTGGAAGCGTCTTCGGACAGCGGGATTGTTCTGGTAGCGGAACACCGCGATAGTCTGCATATGATATTATCAGTAAAGACCTAAAGGCAGATAGATAGTGAAAGACACTGTACATTTCGCAACATCTGTAATGTACTGCGGTAATCTCCTCTCGATATCATGTTATCCCAGGAGTCATGATACTTCGAGTCTGGGCCGGGGGGGTTTTTAAGGCCCCAGAGCTATACGAGGATCTTATTAGTCTCCGTGGATCGGGGTAGAGGGTTGGTTTATGCCCTTACATCACCTTTCACCCTGTTAACACTCTCCCTTAAAAGGCGGAAGACATCTCTGTTGTTCATGCTACCAAGCTCTTCCATAATGCGGTTCAGCGGCATCTTGGGATTCGTTCCTCCCGGCACAGAAGGCGCGTTTATGATCACCTCCTTATTAAGGAAGTTAACAATGAGGTCACAATCCACATCGCATTTGGGGTCATTCTGCGCCCATTCCAGGAATTCATTAATTAACTTGATTTCGATAACATGTTCCGCTGGTTAAGACAAGACATGTAAGACACTGCAGCCATGTAAAATAGAAGTCAGCTAACTTACTGTTCAACTGTACATTGTGAGGAACATTCTCGCCTTCTCGTAACGGTCTCTCGCGAACACGCGTGTTTACACACATCTCTCTTTGGTCAAGATCAACAGCCTGCCTAGCCGCGGCGGTCGTCAGGGCCCATTCACTACCCCCAGGGTATGCCGAGCGGGTGTATGTGACCTTATGTACCGTACCATCTTTATCCTTACATTCGAATGTCAGCTTTTTCGCTTTGGCGCGCTTCTCAAGACGAACGAGGACATCTCGCTGTTTTTGCATAAAGAGTCAGTGGGACGAGGATACAGTCAGTAAAGGGCTAAGGGCTTGGGCTCACCTGCTCGTTCCATTGGACCTCGCGCTGGGTCAAGGCGGGATCGTGCTCTTCAGCGTCGCTATTACAGAACTCTCCCTGGTCACAGAGATCTTCTAGACACCAGATAGTTCTGTCAGTTTCACCTACCATTTCATTCCACATGGCTGGGAACTCAACGATGTATTTGGCAGTTTTCCTCGGGCCATTGGATTTATATTCTGGATAGGTTTTATTCGAGTGAATCCAGGGCAACAGGTCGTCCGCACCGAGATGCGGGAAATATTTCTTCACAACATCCCATGCATCGGCATACGCCTTGTAGTGCTTAGTCTTGCCTATTGAATATACTCCAGCAACTCTGTAAGGTAGTCAATCAGTATGTACAATCCGTCGAACAAACAGCCTGCTGCCCGCTTCTCGAGTGAGCCCTCGAGCGTGGGTTCTTCTGTACACGATGGGGTCGACAGCCAATTATTAATCGCCTTGGAGAAAGCCTGTAGGTGTTCTGATGGGGTTTTAACCTCGGTATATGATACAGGGTCACAGCAGTACGCCCGGGCACCACTTTTGTAGCAGCCCCAATTATAACTGTCCATGGCCACGCGCATCTTACCCGGAGGGCAACCTGAGGCACATCGCTGACCCCCAGATACCAGTCCCCAGCCTTTGAACCACTCACAGTTCTCAAACCTGCTTGTCTTGTCCTCCGTGTTACAGCAGTACTTGCGCTCAGTCAGATGTCGTCTGGGCCATTCAGGGCCCATGAAGTCACCAGGGTAGCAATATACATCTCCACTACCCGTTCCCGAGGCTCCCAGCACAGTGCTTTTGGAACCACTGCACACGCCTTTATCGCATTGAGGGTACGAAGCCCACTCGCACGTATCATACAGGTTCATGCTGGCAAGTGCCTTGCTAGAACTATCCTTAACCGTGCAGCAGGCTGTCTGGTGCTCTTCGTGCTTGCATCCGGCTTGAGTCGAGCCGATCTCAATCATGCCACTAGGGCAACCGCTTTTACAGTTACCATTGTTATGTGAGTACCAGCCACATTCAGGGATGCTCTCGGGCGGACAGCAGAAAGAGCGAGTTCCTGCGCCATGGCAGGCAGTGCTATCCATCATGTACTCATCCTTGCGGCTCCACTTGTCGATGCGCTTGATCATCTTCCAGTTCGCAGGACAGGGCGCGCCACAGTTGCTCCAATAGCATTGGTTGATAGTCATTTTCTCCGTAATATAATCTTCTTCGTCCTTCTCCTGACGCTGCAGCGTCACCTGGCGGTTGGTTACCTTAGCCAGATCGTGCGAAAAGTCTGCAGTATCGGTGTCGTGGCTGATGGCCCACACCATCACTCCGCTGAGACACTGGGTGCGAGCAAACTCAGCTTTTATGCCTAGGGTCTCTCGATCGTCATAGGACACCCATTGGTCATCCCAGTGAACCACCTTGACTGCGGCATCCTTATAAAGCTTTGGCTTTAGATCTTTCTCCCGAATAATCTCAACGATTTCGTTGTTAAGGAGGACTCCGGCTTCGTGACTACAAACCCCGGCAGTTCCTCCGGAAGCGTACACACATCCGGGATCCATGCAGCCCTTGACAGTGTAGGCCCGGCCGTAGAACGCAAGGCCCATGACCACTTGTCCGCCGTCGACATCATTTCGCCACAGTAGATCTAAAGAGTTTTTGATCTCGGTAAGATTAGTGTGCGCGTTTAAGTATGAACCAGTCCACTTATTTCCCTGATCCCATGTTCCATGCATGTCATAGGACATGATATTGAAGAACGTGATATGTTTGGACAGGGCCTTAAGGTCAAAATGTTGCAAATACCAGTAAGAGGCGGGAAGTGTAATAGAAAGCTCATTGCGACCAGGAGTCTGATTTAGAGTCTTCTTAAGGTTGGCCATAAACTTAGGGAAGTTCTTATAGTCCTGGGGCCGTCCGTTCCGATCAATATCCTCGGGATATTCCCAGTCTAGATCCACGCCGTCAAAGCCATATGTTGACATGAAGGAAACCAATGATTTAAAGAACTTCTTCTGCTTCTCTTCTGAGGCTGCTAGATCGGAGAAAATAGTCGCTGTCGGTCCTGGATCATTAAACGTCCAACCTCCCAAAGCAATAAATATCTTCATATCCTTATCATACTTTTTTAAGGCCACCAACCGCTCATAGAGTTTCACATCCCGATTGTCCGATGGGAGGACCTCATAGGTATCCGGCTTAATCGTGGCAAAGGCAAAGTTAATGTGGCTATAAACACCGAGAGGGATCTGCTCGGGCCAGAAATCATTACAGGGGCGCCGACTGGCCCAGCCTTCAAAGTAGCCCACGACGCGTGTGAGGTAGCGGTCCTTGGAACATGTCTCGTGTTTAACTGTGGTATTGCCGCACTATCCCAAACATCCAGTGTCAGTACTATTGCTTATCTAGGAGGAGGTAGGCCATACGAATTCTTTGGTGGTGCCACAGAAGCCCTAGAAGAAGATGTGCGGTTAGCATATTGTGTGTATTCCAGGCAGCTATCTAGAACACTTACAAAGTCCGAACAACACACATTCAGCGGGCACCGTGACTTCTCCGACCACTTTAATCCCCAACCGTGATCACATTCACCTTTCCTGCCACATCCAGAGACACAGATATCCTTCGCACAGAATTCAGGTCCCAGGCCACAGAACCCGAACTTAGAACTAGGAGAGAATAAACAAAGTTAGAGCCCAGGGCTAAAAAAAGAAAAGAGGTGATGCCATACCAGCATCCAATCTCACAAGGGTTATTCGCATCGCAGGCCAGCTTGAAGTCGCAGTTCGCAACACATCCTTCCCCACAGTGGTCTGGCGTCGTTCCACAGAAGCCATCCTTCGAACTAAATGCACAATTCACATGAGTGTAAGCGACAATCTCTGTCAGCATATTAAAGCACATACCAACATCCAGTTGCACAGGGCTTGTCCTTGCTGCATTCTTGCGCCAGCACAGACAATGCCAGGCAACAAAGCAGTACAAACACCGCCAGTAGCCGGTGATATTCCGACATTTTCAGCCAACTTGGTTAAGTTGGATGTAAACTAGACTCCCCTCATCCTTCTTATACCGCTTCCAGAATCCCTCTTTGGGGTTTCCACCGGAAATTGGCCTAAGAAAGACTTCAGGGGGTAGCACTTTGTCATTGTGATCTCCACCTGTAGACAAATTCTCAACTTCTAGGTGATTGACCGGGGGCGCTCCGGAGGATTCTAACCTCTCCCGGATAACGCTCGGTGCCCTGTAGATAAAGCCAAGGCACTAGCGGACCGAACCGGCTTTTGAAGGATTCTGTCAATACAGAAATACCACAAATATGGCTCTCCTAGAGCCTATGGGGCTTAGGAACCTGAATAGTAATTTTCTGATTCCACGGATTCTTAGTTCAGGAACCGTTCAAGAACCCCCCCCTTGCTTAGTGCAATGGCCCCGGTTGTTGACGGCCGGGAACGCAATTTCCATTAAGTGCCCTTTCTCCTGGACACTTTAGGATGGTGGCAAGCATGAAGTATCGAGACAAAGCTATTCGACTAACTAAAAACTTCTAATGAAGCTAATATAGTCAGTCATGTATAGGGAGTTTCAATATGAAGGAAAGGGGATTAGGATAGGTATTATGTTTCTCGTATTCCTACTTTAAGTAATGTGTAATTACTGTGACTAGAAAGATACTATGAATGGTAGATGTCACTTCCACAAATCACTGCTTTTTTGAATTACCTATAGAAGATAACAGGATTCAGCCAAAAAGCCCTTACGGACTTCCAAGCGTTACAGTAGTAGCACTAATAAAAAGAACCAACAATCAAGGCACACTAAACCGAACCGCCTTAATTAATCCGCTGGATATGTGAGCCGCTCTAGTAGCCTGTGGAGAATAAGCTCAATGCCATTGTGGCCACAGGGTCTTGGGCTCCGTCTTCGAGGGCTTGTAAGTTGTAAGATCACAGACCGCTCGGCGGTATGCCAAATGTTCCAGAAAGATTCTTCATACCTAGCCAGATGATCTTTGAGGCTGTTAACTAAACCCCATCTGTGTCTTATCGATTGTATAGACCTCCGCAAGACCTATTCAATCATTTGTTCCAGGCCAACAGACTCATCATGATGTCTCATCTATCCATGGAACTTTTATGTTCATGTTCATTGCATCTACGGTAGCCCGGTTGAAATACACTAGTCGATGCCTGTGTACGCTATTATGTACTAAAAAAACGAACCAACTATAGGTTTACGAACGTTCCTCGGTCACACAGTCACTTAAATAAAGCTAGGTGGAAAGCGTTCAACCGGTCCTCATAGTAGTTTCTCGATAGAGCGGATACCTGGCTGAGGTCTATTTAATGGTACCGGCATAACTCCCGCTCTAATCAAGCACGAGTTGGAGGCATGAGGGATGGTGGGCAGGTGCCAGAATTATATGGGTAATTCTATGAGAGAATAAATATTCTCTCTGTAATCATGATGCCCTGAAACGAACGAAGTGAGAGTAAGGGGGCTACTTTCGGCCGTGACGCCAGCGTGAGCTGCCCGCAAAACTCGCCGTGAATCCTGACTGCCAAATTCGCGCCAAGCCTCGCTATTATGCACCTGTTAAGGGGTTTTTCTGATTGGCTGCTCTCCTTTTCTTCTAATTAGTTTAGCTTACTTGCTTTTTTGGTTTAGTATGTAGTATATATAATTTACCTCCAATATGTTGATGTGCCGTCATTGGACCAAGCTCTGGTTTACTGTTTCTTACTTTGGCGAAATGACAGTTATATATTACGGTGTCCAACAGGCCCTGTTGGGCCAATGGGATTAACGGGCTTAATGGGCTTTATAGGCTTGATTAATAGGCTTAATAGGCCTCATGGGCTTCGTGGGTGTAATAGAATTCCTTACCTCTCAACTATCTTGTTGGCCTGCCTTACTCCGCCCTATCCTCGAGGATCTGCAATGGGGTAATGTGGCTTATAACTCACTTATATTGTTTATGACTCATACTGCTTTTCCTATCTCTGTTGTGCCCGGCACATGAATGAGCGTTTCCCAAGCTTGAGAAAGGAACTTAAGCTTCAGTTTCTGTATCTACCTGATCCTAAGTTGAAGTATCGCCAAATACTATTCTTATTGCTCTACTGATTGATTCCTCCTGTTCCACCCGATACTCCTTCTATTACAGTGGGCGTAATGGGCGTAATGGGTGGGCTCGAAACTGAACTGAACTGACTGAACTGAAAGAAACGAAACTTACTAAACTAAACTGAACTGACTAAATAAAACTAACTGAACTAAACTAACTGAACTAAACTAGCTTATTGTTCCAGGGGAAACAAAGGCTCAAATAGACTTGTTAACCCGCGGGGCCATGGTTGTAGATCATTTTCTAATAAGGCAGTGATTTACATTCTTAATAGAATACAGTCCCTTAATACAGTAATTTATTTATATTACCATGGGTAAGTAATATATTTACTGTATTTTATCTCTTGGCAACCCATGGGGCTAACCCGTCGTGTCAACCATAAAATACGCGTATCCGCAAGTATCGATCCTCGATAGAATTAGGTCTCTGATTCAACTAAACTACCAAAACATCTCGCGTTTTATAAAGGGCGAGGTAAACAAATGAAGAATGTAAACTAACTAATATAGGAAATATAAGCGATCCCTTGATGTTGTATCATCAACAACATGTGACCGAGAAAGGTGCTGAATAATCAATATTACCATACTTGGCGACAGGAAGTAACCCGGCCCATACCGGGTTATTACATCGGACAACCCAGCCCATTTCTTGGCGGGTTGGGCCGAGTTTCCTGGGCTGAGCCTAACAAGTCTAGGCTCAAATTCACGCCTCATTCCCATCACATTTCAAATTTCCTTTATTTTCCACTACTGTCCCGTTTCGGTTTTCATTTCAGGGCCAGAGCGTGCGACAGCGCGTCACCAGTGTTATATTAAATCCTCATCTTCTGGAGCAACCACTTTATGAGTATTTGTCAAAATAAGCAGATTGAAACAGCGCTACTTGCCCTAAAACAAACGAACTGTTAGAATTACACAGTAATTTAAACATACAGAGTATTTCACATGGTGTCCCAATATGGACTAGCTTTATTCTAACAGCAAGACCAAAGCTCGCCAAGACGTAACTATTTGCTTGGCACCGGAGCGGCGGAAGGGTCCGGTCCAGCCCGAAGGCAAATCTATGGAGTTGTACCTGAGACATCTCATTTCCCCGCTGCTAAACAATGTTACCTAATTTGAAAACGAACATGGGTCTGTCCGGGAGAGCACCCCGATCTGGGTAATGGGCTCTGGGATCCGTGATATCCATAGTACTCAGGGGAGAGCGAATTTCGCAGCGGGGCCAGGGAGGTTGAAAGGGCCATAGAAGACGGACAATTTGCTCGGGCGAACGGTTGGTTATATGTGGCCAGCACACCCCATCCTTAGACACAAACATTTGTCCGCGGGCATGATGCGAGGTAAAGCCTTTGTTTTCTCGTACCTGCTGCTGGTGTGCCAGGCGGTTGCCATTTTAGCAGCTGGCCATGGACATTCGCATCGCAATCATCTCCATCATCACCTAAGGCGTGAGGGTGCTTCCGCATCTTCGAGTGCAGCTGTTTCTGTTGCATCACCCAAATCTAATGCGGGAGTCTCCGAGGCTATGTTGAAAGTTTCGAAGGCTCTGGAGGCTTTGGCTGTTGTGAACAAGCTCCGACTGGAGAATGTCAAGTACAACAACTACACACTCGCAGATCCTGATCAGATCACCGGAGAGCGCATCAACGCTCCTCCGCTGGACTACTCGAACGAAAGCGTGAGCAAGCTGTCCTCCACCGCTCAGCTTCGCAGCAGAGACGCTTTATATTCCTTAACCGGCGACAGCCGGAAGAGCTTCGCTTACACGATCCCTGCGGATCTGGCCGAAGCTGCGCGCATCTTGGCCGAGTCCGCACCGCCAACACCATCAACTGGAGAAGAGGCGGCTCTCGCAGTCGAAGTCCACGCCAAATATCGGTCAAAAACAAACGATACAAATCGGCCGCCACAGAAGCTAAAAGAGCCCAACGGGCTATTTGAATATGTGGCGGACCAGAGCGTTCTTGGTTTTCACTCGAACGATTCCCCATCGGACACAGCAACGTTAAGCAAGCGAGCTGTATCTAGGTCCAACTTCTGGATGGCCAACATGCAGCAGCGGGGTATCAGTCCTTTTGCTCCGGACGGTTACCCCATATGGAGAAACGTCAAGGATTACGGAGCAAAAGGTGATGGAGTCACGGACGATACTGCTGCCATTAACAAAGCCATTTCTCATGGAAACCGCTGCGGAGCGGACTGTGGCTCGAGCACAGTGTATCCTGCGGTGGTTTTCTTCCCTCCCGGAACCTATCTCGTCAGCAGCTCCATCATCCAGTACTATAATACTCAATTCCTTGGTGATCCCACTGACTACCCAACCATCTTGGCCGCAGCGAGTTTTGTCGGATTAGGTGTTATCACGTCCGATGTGTATGTTGGGGACCAGGAAGAATGGTATATTAACCAGAACAACTTTCTTCGTCATATTCGGAATTTCAAAATAGATATCACCCGCACTGATCCCAGCGCCTATGTGTGCGCTATCCACTGGCAAGTTGCGCAGGGAACCACCCTCGAGAATATAGACTTTTATATGTCGCAGGCGGATGGCAATACTCAGCAGGGTATATACATGGAGAATGGCAGTGGAGGTTTCATGAGCAATCTGACCTTTGTTGGTGGTAACTTTGGTGCCTATCTCGGCAATCAGCAATTCACCACTAGTCAGCTAGTCTTCGTAAATTGCAAAACAGCGCTCCAAGTTCATTGGGACTGGGCCTGGACCATGCAGGACGTGGTGATTGAGTCGTGTGGGACTGGAATCACCATTGTTGGTGGAGCTGGAGGCCCATTGGGCACCTATCAAGGCGTCGGCTCATACATCCTGGTCGATGCTCTTATTGCGAATACGGCAACAGGAATTCTTACATCCTTGTATAGTGAGAACTCTACCGCTCTCCTACTGCAAAACGTCGGGTTTTTTAATGTGAAGGACGCAATCCGAGCGGATAAACGGACAGACCCTCTGTTAGCTGGCGGAAACGAGGTGATGGTCGATTCATGGGGTTTCGGAATGTACGCGGATGACACCGGAATTCATTTCGCCCAACAGACTAAACTGCCTGTTATTCCACGCCAGGAGGCGCTGATGGGAAGTACATCGTACGTGCCGGGAACAAACAACTATTTCACCCGACGACGTCCTCAGTATGCTAGTCTTGATGGATCCGAGGTCTTTGACGTCAGGGCCTACGGCGCGAAAGGAGATGGCAAAACCGATGATACCGCGGTGTTAAACAGCATCCTTTCTGCCGCTGCCAACATGTCTGCGATTGTGTATTTCCCGTATGGAGTCTACGTGATTAAAGATACACTGCATGTGCCCCTGGGGTCACGAATTGTAGGCCAGGTTTGGCCGCAGATTATGGCTACTGGAAGCAAGTTCCAGGATATGGAGAATCCCCGTGTTGCTGTTGAGGTGGGTAAGAAAGGGGACGTGGGCATTATCGAAATTCAGAATATGATGTTCACGGTTTCTGGGCCTACGGCTGGTGCTATATTAATGCAGTGGAATATTCACGAATCGACGAAAGGTTCTGCGGCACTCTGGGGTAAGGATTTGTGCAAGCCAACCTGATAAAATAGAACAAAAACAACGCTAACGCTCGATTAGACTGTCATTTCCGTGTAGGAGGTGCGACGGGATCCAGTCTCCAGGCAAAGGACTGTCCCAAGCAAGCCTCGTCCGTGAAAGAGAGCTGCATTGCGGCCTCCGCACTCCTCTACATCCCGAAGTCAGCGTCTGCGTATATGGAAAACGTATGGGCTTGGACAGCAGACCACGATCTTGATATCAAGTCCCAAGATCAACTCGATGTCTTCGTTGCGCGGGGCTTTCTAATCGAGAGCCATGGCCCAACATGGCTCTATGGTACCGCCTCAGAGCATAATGTTCTTTACCAGTATCAGCTCTCAGGGGCACAAAATGTGGTCATGGGAATGATTCAAACAGAGTCCCCTTACTTTCAGCCTAGTCCTCCTGCGCCACAGCCGTTTGGCCGTAGCCTGGGGAAGTTTGCGAACGATCCCGACTTCTCTAATTGCAAGGCCGGCGACAAGACATGCGCGAGCTCGTGGGCTGTGAGGATAATTGATTCGAAGTCTATCCACATATTGGGTGCCGGTGAGTTTGTTACAACACTCCGTCTTTAGTATTCACAACTTAGTTCAACTGATACTCTTGTTCAGGCCTGTACAGCTTTTTCAATTCGTATTCCCAGGACTGCCTGGACACGGAAAACTGCCAACAACGAGCATTCCAAGTTGAACAAAGCAGCGACATATGGTTGGTCAATCTGGTCACAAAGGCGATTGTCGAGTCCATTAGCCCGGTTGGTGAGATCGCACTATGGGCGAAGGACACGAGGAATGGATTCACGTCGTCTCTTCTTGGATGGTTCCGAGAGGCCAAGGTCATCGGACAGCGTAACTTCACTGGCTTCTACATGTACGAGGACGAGCATGACGCCGACTTTTTAAATCTGTTCGGCCAGACCTGCCAAACATCCCTCACACAACGAATTGACTGTCACGACGACACATACCTCCTGCGGGACTCGTGGAGGGGTGGCTTGGACAATAACACCCTCACTGACCTCATCTGTGATACAGGGTGTGAGACGTCTATTGCCTCGTGGTTTCACGGGGTCACTAACAACTGTGCGGAGGCTGAAGAAAAGGAGCAGGCGCCTTCCCTTCGTGGCGGTAGGCTGTGGGCAGCTTGGAATGAGACGTGCCAGAAGGACCCGACAACCGATACGTACTGCGGCGGTAGGCACCCCTTTTATCCTTTCATCCTGCGCATTCCTAACAAGTGGTAAACCCAGACGTCATCGACAAATTCACACCGGTATCCAGCATCGAGGAAATGCCCTCTAACGAGATCTGTTCGTTCTGTTACGTGAAGCGCTACGAGATGATGCAATCCACCCCGTACTCTATCTATGATGAACTTTACGAGGCTGATCTAAAATACATCAACAAGGCCTGTGGGCTGTCCGTTCCCACAGATATCCCAGACCCCCTGCTGCCCTTTAAAGATCCCTATAAGGAGACAAACGACTTCTGCGCCTCAGACGTGACCTATACTACCGTCGCCGGCGACACCTGCGACTCCATTGCAACAAAGCATAAGGTTGCCTCCGCGTCCTTGTTTATGGGCAACGTCAATTTGAAAGACTGCACCTCGATTCCCGAAGGTACAGAGCTATGTATCCCGTTCTCCTGTGATATCTACACCCTCCAGAAAGACGACACCTGCGTCTCAATTGAGAAAGGGCTTGGTCTTGAATACGCATCCGGGGAAAGCATCCGCAAGTACAACCCCTGGTTGGACCTGGATTGCTCGAACCTGCAAGTGGTCAGCGATTCCGCCTATGGACATGTGCTATGCGTATTTCCACAAGCAGGCAACTCCACCACTACAGCGCCGGATACAAATCCCACCGTACCCGATTACTCGGATGGGTATGCCATTCCTGAGATCCCGCCGCCCACCAACGCCTCGGTAGCGGAGGGCACCACGATGCGGTGCGGTAAGTGGCATGTGGTGACGAGTACGGAGATTGAGAAGAAAGATATGTGTACTATTGTCTGTGTAAAGGAATCGATTCCCTGGGATCTCTTCCTGGAGGTTAATCCGTCCTTGAAGGCGGACGACTGCGTGCTAACAGAGGGGAAGACGTACTGTGTTGGGCCTACCTATGAATGGAACACTGTGTTTGCAGATGAAGATTAAGGATTAGAGAAATAATTTCTTGGGAAATCTTGCAACTGATATAGCTGGCATAAAACAGGTTAGATATCAACATCGGTATAGATTAGAGGATCCTTTGTGATAATGTCATGGCTAGAGCATCCAATCGCACACCGGTCCCCGATAACATCCAAAGTTAACATCTATTATGAGACTAACGGACAATGTTAACCAAACTTAGTATATAATAATGGACCGAATAATACATACAACAGACACATGCCCTTTTATTTCATCTAGATTATTGTAGAGGTAGGACTGGTTTCCAGTACAGCTGCATATCATACAGGTAAATACTCGGCCATTTTATTTCTGGCCTCCTCGGCATAGATGGTCTAATATCGACTCAGGCACCTACTAGGAATCGAACCCAGTACCTCTATATTACTAATGCTAATATATTAACGTACTCCACGGCCTATAACTCTGCTACTAATATATTCAGATGGTTTCCCCCATTGTGCAGCTTAATAGGGCCCTGATGTCACGGTCCTAAACCTAAATTGAATGAAACAAGATCTATTCAGAACATAGGGCGACTCATATTCAAAACAACTAACTTGAGGAGCTATCTGTAGAGGTGTTGCTGGGAAGGAGGGTGTAGGATGTGTGGTCACGTGATTGAATAGGGCTAGGGCTGGAAATCAGGTGATCTGGGATCTCTTCGAGGTCGTGGGCCTTGACCTTGACCTTGCCGTGACACCTGATGGCATTAGCTTAAAGCAGTACTACCCAAGTCTTGAGGACTTTCAGTCAACTTCTTCCTAAAAAGCCGTATAACATCGTAATGTTTGTATCTCTGAGCCACGCTATATGGGGTATCACCATCGATGGCAGCGATATTTGGGTCGGCGTGTGCCTCCAGGAGAAGGCGCATAACATCGGTATGGCCATAAAGAGATGCCCAGAGTATAGGGGTTTCCCCAGCTATGCATATAGCATTAACATTAACTTAATTGGTTTTAAGAAGCGTTTTAACAATTTTCCTGTACCCCTTTGAAGCAGCTATTCGAAGCGGTGTAATATCTTGGATATTCCGTGTATCGGGCGCAGTACCTCGGCAGAGAAGCTGTTTGAGATTTGCGAGATTGCCAAACTTTGCTGCATTGTAACGTTGAGCTATTGTAGGCAAGTGAACAGGAATTGCTTGCTTAAGTTTGTGTGCTAAGAGGCCAAGTCGCGACACTCGTAGTCCGGGACCAGATCGTAGAACAGAGCTTGTACATCCAGAGACTTCAGCGCTGCCTGGTACTTAAGATAAGTATCATGGTTTTGGTGGTCAAGCGCCTGACCTCGTGTAGCCTCTGATGCCTTGGCTGGACACAGAAGTTGGCATTAGGAAAAACTATTTCTTGATTGGATTATACGGTCAATCTTGTTTGCGACATTGCCCCTAATACTATGGACTCGTAGCACATCTCTGAATCCGTCTCGTTTAGCCAGCTTCGTGTAGTTATGGTGTAGGGACGAAAACGTCAACGCTTTGTCTGCCTTAGGCTCTTTGGGAGATACCATGCGGAAGAATGGAAGAGATCTCTTGCTGATTCAGTCCATTGGAGAGTCCACGACTCTCTTCCCACAGACGGTCGCTTTTCCAAGAGATCGTTAAGTAAGAAGATTTAAATGCGCCATCTGCAATACCATAAATAATTACCCAGAATACAAAATTCATCCCCAGTACAGGATGTTCCCGGAACCAATTTTTAGGCCTATGTTCGACCAAGTAAGCTATCTAGAAAAACAATAGGACCCTCCTATAACTTACAACGTGGTATCGTCTCGGTTACGCCATCCTTTTAAGAATTCGGGATTAATAGTTACCCAGCGTTTAATAAGCCCGTTCTTGCTCCATTTTAAATTAAAAGTCAGGTGCTAAATTATAGGGTTAGCCACGCTTTTCACATGTCGCTGGATAGAAACTCACCCTGTAATAGAGGCACTTATTTGAGTTTCGATATGAACTTGACTTAATGATAGTACCTGCTCGGGCTCCCAAGCTGGCAAAGAGGGAGAGCGAAGATCCTGTCTGCACTCTAGCTCGTTCGTGTATATAGTTATAATTGTCTTTCTTAAATAGGTAGCGAAGTAGATACTCAATGTCCTGGGCTGTTACTAAGGCTCGCTCCCTCGGTTTAGTAGGGAGCCCATATTTCGCTGTAAGTACGCTCTGGATATACTAAAATTAAGTCAGCGCTAGGCCTAAGTCCAAGAGGTATGGGGTAATACATTCAAGATGTCCTTTTTATGTTAAGAGGCAAGGTTCGCGATGTTTCGCGTTTCCAACGTGACGTGAAGCTGATCAGATTGTGGCATGCTAATTTCGGGGACGGAAGTTTTCCGCAAGTAATAATATAATCTTTAGCAAATAATTTTAGGATTTGAGGCGAAGGGTCTGGCTCGTCCTTGGAAAAGTTCTTTTCCTTTAACTTATTCTATAAAAGTCTCCAGCTATAATTAGTAAGACAGGGGAATTAACAGCTCTCTTAGTGTACTTACAGTGCCCAGTTTTCCACAGCCCGGTTATATTTCTCATGGGTAGTGGGTGTAAGCTCTTTGTGACAAATAATATTTTTCTGGCTTTCTTGCACGTGCTGGTAATCGATAGTGAAACCACGAGAAGTAGCAAGGCGACGTCGTTCCTTGACAGGTTGGCGGCGGCGTTCGTCGGCTATTATAGTGTCAAATAAGTCGGTGGTAATAGTGACGTAAACAAGGTCATAAAAAGAGGGGTAAAAACGAACTCCCCTACACCTAGCAGAAGAAGCAACCTAATGATCCATAATAATAATCACAAGAATGATCATATGTTGATCAATATAATCAAGAAACCATCTAAGACAATCATTTTAAGCACCTTTTCAAGAATAGTGTCTACCTTCCTATTCGGTATTAGCCGAATATCGGATATATAGTTATATAATATCACGTGCTGGTCGAGGGGAAGAGTAACTTTAATTCCAGAAGCAGGCTGTCTGGATAGACCGATAAATTTAGAAATACAACCACAGACCGAACGGACTCAAGGCTCTCAACCTATTTATTATTATTTACGACAATCAGCTTAACTTCGAATCTCTACTTTCCTACGTGTCACACAACACCATTGGTGCTCCTCACTTTCCTTTCTGGTGTTAGTAGCAGCACCACCTGGTGCTCCTGGTGCTACTGGTGCTACTTGTTATAGAGGGAGCACCCATATCACCAGCACCCAGCCCAAGATCCGTTTCACAATTATATTGGGGCCTAGGGCTCTTCGAGGATTGACTGTGCGGATTCATGTGGCTTGAGTACGGCTGAGCGGACGGGAAGCCCTATTTTCCACACCCTATGGTCGTATGTGTTATGTCCAGTCATGGAATAGGACTAAAATGGACAAAAGTTTCGACCACCTTGGGTTGAACATTGGTCACGGTGTTGTCGAGTGCGTACAGGGAAAGGGACAGGAGCAGCGCAACAACCACCAGCGCCCACTGTGCATGCACAGTTAGCCAAGTATTAATAAAAATAAGTCGTGGGATGTCTCACATTAACGCCATGCAAATCTCTCGGAGACTGCGGCTTTGCGGTGGGGACCTCTGAAGGGGTTTCGGGTGACCAGGAGCGCAAAGAATCACAGGAAGTTTCCACAGTCATTGTGGCAAGTATTGAAGAAATATTAGTTTACAATGTGCGAAGCAGAAGTTATAGAGTTTTGTGCTGTTGGATTGTTTTCTAATCTTGTACAGTTGATTGCGCTCTTGTTGAGTGTGATTATGAATCCTATTCCCAGAGACAGCAGTTGCTATTTATAAGCATCATGCCCCTGTCGATTTGTCTTTCAATAATATCCATTGTCGAAGGCTCAAAATTTCGTTTAGGAAACAGAATTGCTCAATCATGGTAGTCGTGTCGGCAGGCAAACAAATTTAACCCGAATACTGGCTTTCCTTCTCAATGGTCGCCGCATTGTACTTCCGAAGCACGTCCTCCAATCCCGGAATCGAAGTCAATCTCGTACCTCTTTATGATGAGGGCGAAGATGCGTAGATCCCGGTATAACTCCCTCCAAAGCATGTTACCTACCTTACTATTTTCTAAGCATCGTCTCCGTGCGTGGTCACCTGCCAAAGTTTATATGCATATTAATACAAGCACTCGGCTATGTATACTATTAATCTCCTAATCTTAAGGGGAGACATCCATGCCACCGCCTAATATACTATATCTAGACAACTTTAAGTATAGTATATCACCACACAATCTAGTATATTGCACATTAAATTCGGGTCTAATTCCACCCACTGATATCCAAGATGTCACTAACATTCCGACTAAGAAGCGCAACTTTCTGGGAGATGCCCAGGAGATAATCTATTATTACCAAGTGTATAAAGTTCGGATGGTAGCTTGGAAAAGTTTTTCAGGCTACAAGACATGCGGAACAACATTCCTATTAATCTAGTAATCCTTGCTAATAATAGATCTTAGGAGGCTCAAGATCTACACCAACCTGCCCAGAAAGATAATAACCTTATTATCCCAGGGATACTGTGTCCATCCTGAATCTTTACCCACTGGGCCACTCTTAGCAATGCACCTGACCACCACCAAGGTTCTTCTAAAGGATCAAGCGGCCAGGGTGGTAATATGCAAAAATTTAATTGCTCTTATAAGCAGGGTAAGCGGAAATATTACTTTTCTTACGGCAACGAAAATAACTTATTATTTTTTTAATATTCAGAGCGGGAGTTTTCACTGCGGCAAACAGCCAGAGCCGTGCAAGCGAAGAAGAGAATAATCAGCCCTGCGGCCTTTAAAAGGCCCACGAGCCCCATCTGCATCACCGTTGAGTGAAAAAAATGCCTTGGCTACCATTATTCTTAGTACTTTATATTAGTACTACTTAATAAGCGTTTTTAGTTTTTTTTAGCTGTTTAAAAGTGCATTACCACATTGTATATCTAACCCTGTTGTAAAGGGCTGGAGCCCATTTGATCTCTCGGGCCAATGTCCCTACTGTCCCTATTGTCCCTGTTGGCCCCTTTGGCCCATCGGCCCTTGATCCATGTCACGTGACTCATCACGTTGTTTGTTTACCGCTCATTTTCCTCTTCGTTTCTTCCCTTCTTCAACGATTCCTTTTTCTACATAACCTATCTCATAGGTTCTACGGGTTCAGCCCCTGACACCTGTCTCTACAACCTGTAATAGTAGAGATGTGTGGTTAATCACTTAATAAAAATATATTAGACCTTATAAACTTAGTATAATTGCAGCAAGGCCTGTAAAGGGGCGAAATGCCTTGCTATCTAATAACTAGATATACACAAAGAGGAATCGCTGAGAGGAAGAAAGTAAAGGGGAAGAAGTGTGCGTTCTCATACTACGAGGGGTCATGTGACTGCGATAAGCGGACCAATCATGTGTGCCGATTGCAGCGAAGGCGAAGCCGAGCAACATACATACAGGCGTAGCCCGTGACAGGGCCCAAGGAAACTCCAGGAAGGGCATGCTATGGTTATTTAAAGAGACAGACCTTTTACTAAAGTTAAAGCAAAAGGCGACCTTGGTTAGAAATCGCAAAACTATTCTCAGATTAATATCCAGGAAGAAGCTCTTGTTTAATTTAAGTATACTGGAGTACAACCCTTAAAAAAGCAGGACAGAATAGCATTACACGTAAGGAGGGCTAAAAGGAATAACATGCTCATGAGAGCAGGAAGTTGATGTTGGTTTTAATAAGAATATACAGGGAATTACTAGTGGTTTCTGTTAAGCCCAAGATAGTAGTTAGAAGTTATTTTTATCAGCTAGCAGAAGTTGATTATAAATAATTATAATAGCAATGTTTAACACATACGACCATAGGGTGTGGAAAGCAGGGCTTCCCGTCCGCTCAGCCGTACTTAAACCACACGCCGGTCAGTTAGTAGTTGGGTGGGTGACCACCAGCGAATCCTGACTGTTGTATGTCTGTTTTCATATATTTTTTTTTCAGCTTTTCTTCAGTTTTTCGCTGATTTGTTATTCTAACGCCCGTGCCGTCCTGTCATTCGATGAACCTTGAATGCTGGCCAGTACCTGAGAAAATGAATTATGGTACGTAACTTGTCCTGGGAAATTGTAAATACTATGGTGCAGTCAATCAATCCACTTGCTCGCAATAATACATGTGCAGCTTGGTCATCTGTCTCCTAGATTCGACTTCCTTTAGGAGGAGTGAAATATATTGACATTATTTAACTGCTCTTATCACTAAAACCTCGACAATAACATATCAAATACTTCAGCCGTATTGTTGAAGCCGTATTTATGCGACCGACCCTACCTGCCATTGTGCCCCTTGCGATTATATAATTAGCATACTGCCGCCGAACATACCTAACTCATATCCACCGTGTCTTGGATATCTCATCGTACTGCGCAGAACGAAGTCCTTGCCTGCAAAAGCCGCCGTGGCACCAACCGAGCATGTGTAAGAATTCGTCAAACGTTCAAGGCCACTTCTTGGAGACTCGAGAGTGCCCATGCCTTTGGTGTTTCCATTTCCATAGAGTGCACCAAGTCCAGCACTTCCACCTCGTCGTCTATGCAATTTCTCTCTTCATCCTGCCGGAAATATTGTGCTACAGCCTTCTTCAATGAGATCTTTGTAGACAATGCCCGGGGGACCGCATTTTGCTCTTCCAAAACACGGAGCAATGTCGGTAATTGGTATATAGGCAAATAGGCGGACATATGTTCCCTGAGTGTATGCAGATTTACACGGTCGTAGCCATGGCGAAAACGCACAAGTGCGGCTACGCGGTAGGTACACTCAAGGTCCGGGACTGGCATGATATATCCTTCTTCGATGTAGGGAAGGCTGACTAAACAAGATTCGACGGCCAACCTAGGAACTTTGTCGGAAAAAAACTTGAAAACTGGGTTGAGTCCATTGGTTAGAGTCACTGTGAAGTGTGCAAGATGGACTGAAATAGTCCAAGCAAAAGACCTACAGTCGCTATTTGCTCTGCCCCGGAAAATATAGTTTTTGCCCTGGCGATAGACTAAATCTCCAGTCCTAAAAAATCCTTCTGTATCGAAGCAGTCTGTTGAAGGCCTTGGAGAGTTAAGATACCTAATAAGACAGACACCAATCAGTTAATACTACCTTTTTCTAGCACAGAAGCGGTTGACCGCACGTCATACCTTAAGAATAGAGTCGGCGACTTTACAAGCAGCTCCCCTTCGTCTTCGTTCGACAGCTTTGTAACAACGCTCTGAATAGGCGCCCCTATATTAGACTGTATGCAATTTCCATATAAGCAACTGTACAGATAGAAGCAACAATGGAAGTATAACAAACCTCGGCACTGCTTGAAGCCTCAAGATCAGCTTCGGTTATAAGCCCTGCTTCTGTGCTACCGTATCTCACTCGTATCGGCTGCCCGCCACGCAAATTCCGCCAAAAGTCTTTTACGAGATTTGAAGGCATTCCACCAGCTACAGATGGATAACGAATATACTGGGCTCCGCGGATATATTCTTTGGCTGATTCCACCGGCAGCTTTGAGATCCGCTGCTGGAAAAACCTCATCAGGTTGTACCATGTCTCAGGTGGTAACTGAAGGTGGGTGATATCACATTGCCGCAATCTCTCCCAAATTAAATCATGACGGTTCTCTAGGTCCTGAATCTCAAGGCGTATGCCTTTTAGAAGACACGAAAATAGACATGAAAATGGACTTGCCCAAAAAACTGACATAAACAGTAAGCAAGTACATTCTGACTCTGATCGTGCGGCTTGCGCTAAAGCGTTTAAGAATCGGCGGGCATGTAGGACGCCCTTAGAAGCACCAGTAGTCCCAGAAGTGAAGAATAGAATAGCTGGCCGATTCTCAGATAAAGAGGGAGCTGGTTCTAGTTCATAAAAGCCCACCGGAAGCGGATCATTATCTGGGGCTGAGGCAGTATTTATAATAGGAATAACAGTTGTAGCAACACGTTCTGCGACCTGCGTGGCTAGTTTACCTTGCTCGGAGCTAACAAGTATGCAAGCTGCAGAGCATTGTTGGACCATATAAGATATTTCTTCGACGGGTGCACCTGTTGCTATTTATAAAAAAAACATGCTTTATCAGCGGACAAGGACTGCGATAAACATGGCGGAACTTACGGATAGGCATAAGGACTGCACCAAGCGCCAGAACTGATAAAGAAGCCACTATAAACTCATAACCTGTCGGAGCCAGAACACCAACGTAGAAGTGATCATGGTTGATTATTCCACACTGATCAAGGATGTCTCTAACGAGGCTTTCCCGGATTTTTTGCTGAAGCTGGGCGGCATCCTGGAACAATTTGCCGTAACTCGCCTGTATGCCACGTTCCTTATCATTCACAATAACCTTGCCGTTGCTGTAACTAGCAACGTCTAGGAGGCGAGAAAAGAAAGAATCTCTAGGAAATGCGCGCCTTTGCGAGAATAGCATTTTCCGTTCAATAGTGTTGTGCTAGCTGAATCTCGGTAGAAAAAATCACTGGTAGAAAGACGCTGTGAAGCTTATATTGTGACTTTGGTGCTCTTTGATTATATAGCTCAGTTACATCGATTTCGCTAACACTGATTGTTGAAATGGGTCGACTTTGGTCAGCAAGTCCCGCATATATCTGTAGTGACAATTATTAGCCTCCACGATGATAAGACTGGATCAACCTATTAATTTAATGCATTGTAAGTATTAGAGGCTCTTGCAGCTTGCGCAAAAACTCATTTAAGAGTCACTGTATGATAGAAAACGATATCAGAGAGAGATAAGGTGCGGAAGACCCGTATTTTGGTAAACTCTAAACCTATTCTAGACAATCAAGTGTCAGCCAAGAAGAGTGAAGTATAGTCTTCCCCTCACCCTTTTCTCTGATGTAATTGCACCGTCAGGATGTTACAGAGCAAATACGTCTATTCCGGCACTACATATTCCGCGGGAGCTGAAGCTTATGTAACCTTATGTAACACAAGGTGATCGAATAACTGGTGAATAACTGAGGGGGAATAAATTTTCAAATACTGGAAGGTCTGTCCCGCTCCAGGGAATTTGGCTTTGCCATTGTTTCAACATCTATATGCGTATGTGTGTGTCAATTCTGTAATGTTGCCTATTGGGATAAAAAAATGGTGTATTTGGACCGGAAGTAGTTAAGCTCTTCCCGCCACAGTACGAGTAAGCGACTGGGCCATTCGTACCGAGCGGCCACCTCCGAGTCCTCTACGCGTCATATATTTGAAGCAATTCAACCACCCAACTGGCCACTAAAAGCACTTATAAATTCAAATAATTTAGTTGAGAAGGATATTTGCAATAACCTCTTCAAAAAAGTTATAAAAATATCCAATTCTTAAGGCATCACATGTTTCAAATGGCCCCCGTACAACACTTCGACGACGGCTAAATGGGTCCAAGTTTCGAGCTGAGCAACGCGCAAATGGGCCATAAGTTAACTCCAAATGAAGAGGATTACCTGTACAATTGATATTACCATCAACGGCAGCCGGTCGGTTAGTAGTTGAGCGGGTGACCAACCAGCGAATCCATGCTATTGTATGTCCGTTTGCGCCCATTTTATTTCAGTTTCTTGGCTATTTTGTTGTTCTAGTGCCCGTGCCGTCCTCTCATTAGACGAACCTTGAGCGCTAGCCTAGCAACAACCCGAGAAAAGCTACGGAATGAACTATGGTACTTAAAATTGTGCCGTAGATTAACGGATTACCTAGAACGGAAATGATGAGGTCATGAGGAAGGTAAGATTAAATCAGGTTCCACCTAACGCAGAACGGCCGAGGCGAACCAAGGCCTGCAGTCAAGTACGTCTCTTTATAGTCTTCCAGGTAATTCGATTTACAGTCGTTTAAAACTCATCTGATCACGTGATCTCGTTCTCCCGCACGTTTACCTGTTCGGCCGCCGTGTCCCTAGCTAGAAGCCCCTCAGCGAGTTCTTTGAGTCCAAATCTATCATAGGTTTAGCTACCGGCCCGTGACAACACTCCCTTGTTGGAAGTGTTTGTTCTATTAAATGGGTGGCCGGGTGACAGCTACTAATTAAGAAAGAATTAACTAGCTTATATAAATAATGACTAAGTGAACTCGAACCGGGGCAGGCGCAATGTATGGCGGTATGCTCCAACATCCATGTCTTTGAGTGCGTGTTCAGGCAGCCCTGTAAATGGTATATTGATTCATATTCCATAGAGGTACTGAATCATCGTCGAATCCGAGTCCTGTATCCCATTCCCAGTATTGGTCCAGTAAGCCACTTAGGTGGAACTGATATGATATGGGTTTAATGTGTGATGGCCCATCCTGACTGGCCTGGAACATCGGCTTGGAGATTTTGACTAGCCGGAAGTAGTAGGCGGTATAAGGGGCATATTGATGGGGATATGAAGCTCTCCATCGATTTTCATCTCCTTCTGTCCCTCACGCTTAGAATTTTGTTAAAATAGGTACCTGATATTTGTATTCTAATCAATATTTTCCATGGCCGTCACATAATGAAGGTGAATTTTCTTAGTTTTGAATATTTTTTGAGCTATTCAATCCAGTATTGGTGTCCAATATGAAGACGCTATAGTATTCAACAACCAGAAGGCACATAAAGTGTATACAAAATGCAGGTGGTTTGTAGTGTAGTAGTCAAAAAATTATTATTAGCTGCTGTGACGCCAAACATCTTCGTGACCGTATACTGAGCTTGTTGATAAGGTGAGACAACTCAGAGATAAAGTAGATCAGTATAGCGATAAGAAACTTGGTCAGCAACTCGATGCCTATAATTATCATTGATAATACTCCATTTTTCTACAGTCGGTAGCTAGATAAGAACAAGGCCTCATCCAAGCCTTCCAGGCAACTGCCGAATTATTGATTGGACAATCGCGCAATAGTCTTTCTCTTCTGGGAAAGTCCAAGAGATACAGATCTCACCAACCATCATTGGCTAGATGGTACCAAGCCTTCTGGGAGTATCAAGCTAGCTACACCACAGGACATAGGCTAAAAACCAGTCCCGACATCCCGGTTGGGACTGCACCTGACGTAACCCTAATATCGGGAGTTTCCAGTATGATCAATCAACCTTAACCCACGGTCGAATGTATCAACCCCGCTGGACTGTTCGCGATCGACCCGTTTAGCACGTTTCCCCGCATTTCCCATTCGACGACGGAAAGTCAATATAGTCATGCTGCATCGAAGTTGGGCATCTAGACGAACGCCATGTGCGACTGGCAGATGCCCATTCGCCATCATGCCTTGGCGGTATCAAGTCTGAACTAGGGGAGATTTCTTAGAGATCGACAATCAATACGGCAGTTATCAGCCCGCATGCACCTGCCAGATTGGGAGTGGCGATGTTCGGTACTCCGTATTCTCTGGAGAGATACGTACTGGACATGATTTCTGGCATCGTTGGCTTTGTTGAGGAGATTAAATAATGCATACCTTAAGATAATCTCGGGTATGCGTGCGCTCTCTGGTATGCATATTTAATTTCCAAATCACCAGCCATTTTAGTCTATTGCCGTCAGGCGTTTTAATTAGTACTGTCTATATATTAGTACAATCTCTGTAGTAGTCTTTTTAATATGATATAAAAATAAGTACTTTGATATTTAAAATAGAATTTTATTATTCACAGTGTAATACTAATACCGAAAATAATCCATCCCCACTTAGGAAGTCCTACCGAGTCAACACAAACCCCGCAAAAAGAAAATCCAAATAAATCACGCTTATCAGCCAAACGCCACTGAGACTCGAGTGACTTGATATCAACCACTCATCCATCTGGCTTTCGTGAGGGGAACCGACTACCCCCGTTCCCTCGCTGCTCTCTGCAGATATAAATCAATCCCGTGGCCATCCCGTTTCTTCCCAGTCACCGCGGAAAATGGACAGCTGGGTTCGCTCTTTGTCCACCGATTTCACCTCTCTCCCCGTTGGCTGATCCCCATATTCCCTTCCTGCATGGACTTGGAAACAAACGCCCCCCTAAAACCGGTCCAATCGGTCGATCAAAGCGTTCAAGATGCGCGGGATCTCGCGGCCATGGGCCATGACCAGGCCCTGACTCGGAAGTTCGACCTCTGGAGCATGCTAGCTCTGGCGTTCTGTGTTCTAGGTATGTCTCCACCCTCGTAATACTGCTGAGTACTGATGGAATAGGTACCTATTCGACGTTTGCGCAGGATCTCAGCAGCGGTCTGACCAACGGAGGATCGATCACCATCCTTTGGGGCCTGTGTCTCGTGACCGTATGCAATCTCTGCGTGGCCGTGTCGTTAGGCGAACTGGCCAGTAGCATGCCGACCGCTCTCGGCCAAGCCTACTGGGTGTTTCGACTGTGGGATACGCCCATGGGTCGATTCGCCTCGTACATGTGCGCCTGGATCAACACGTTTGGATGGTGGACTCTCACCGCGTCGCAGGTCGCGTTCATGACCCAGTTTCTCCTGGGGATGAAAGTCATGTTCGACCCGACGTGGGAGGACGCCGACACCGGATGGCTGCAATTCGTCGTGTATATTGGCTGCGTCCTGCTACTGACAGTCATCAACCTGGTGGGATGTCGCAAGGAGCAGATTCTGCCGTGGCTAAACAACTTTGTCGGCGTGTGGTTCACCGCGTTATTCGTCATCCTGTCTCTGGCGCTGCTCATTTCCGTGGGCGTGAAGCACGATCTCTCGTTCCAACCGGCCTCGTTCGTGTTCGGCAAGTGGATGAACCAGACGGGATGGAGCGATGGCGTTGTCTGGTTCACGGGTCTCGTGCAGGCAGCGTATGGACTGACGGCCTTTGACGCCGTCATACACATGGTCGAGGAGATCCCGGCCCCGCGACGCAACGCACCCAAGGTCATCTGGCTGGCTGTGTTGTTGGGCGCCATCACCGGGTTTATCTTTATGGTGGTGTGTCTTTTCTGCATCCAGAATGTCGGTCGTGTGGTCGACTCGCCTAGTGGACTACCCTTTATCGAACTGATGCTGGAAACGGTGGGACTCAAAGGCGGCGCTACCCTCATTGCCCTCTTCATCTTCAACGGTCTCGGTCAAGGCATCAGTATCCTCACCACCGCGTCGCGACTCACCTGGGGATTTGCGCGTGACGGTGGCCTCCCCTGGAGTCGGTACCTCACGCATGTCGATCACGTATGGAAAGTCCCCGTGCGAGCCCTGTGGTTTCAAGGGGTCCTGATTGCACTCGTGGGAGTGTTGTATCTATTCGCAAATACGGTCCTCGACGCAATTCTCAGCGTTAGTACCATCGCCCTGACGATCTCGTACGGTCTACCCATCGCCGCGCTTACCGTCGCCGGTCGCGATAAGCTTCCCCCGGGCCAATTTCATCTAGGACGGTGGGGACCGCTATTGAACGGCATCAGTCTGGTGTATTGCGTGATCACGACGGTGTTTTTCTTCTTCCCGTCGTCGCCGAACCCGCCGGCCAGCGATATGAACTACGCGATTGCGGTGTTCGGAGTGATGTTGGTGGTGTCAATTGGGTTTTGGTTTGTTCAGGGGAGTCGCACGTATTTGAAGACGGAAGATGCGATTGCGGAAATGATTTATGCGCAGAGATTGGAGAATGAGGTTGTGGGTGAGTCGAAGAAGGAGTGATGTATATCATGTATATACTTCGATATTTATACGATTAGACAAATTGAACATATTCATGTGAAATAGAGCTACGACCCACTGTATACGAACCCATGTTGAAGGCTCTATCCTATCCACAACAGCCGACCCATTCTCCACTTTCCAAGTGTAGGCTCGCAACACGAGAACGACCTCGCTAAACCCACCCGACATCCTAAACGAGCATAGCATGGACTATTTCATGTAATTGTTTCGGCGCATAGGGTTGACCTCGCTAAGACGAAATACGAGAGTAGTGACCCATTAGCTATTATAAGTATCATGTCGAATGATTCATTCCATTTGCTTTTGCTTTTTTTTCCCCTTCTAACTCCAAACTGGATATTAAATCCAATTCAATTAAAAACCAAAGAATTAGCAAAATGATTCTCACTCGAGCCCTATCCCTCCTCGTGGCCAGCTGCTCTATCCACCACTGTCTCGCAGACGCAGATGTAAACGCAGACGTGGGAACCAACCAGCTCCCTACCCTATCAGAGCGGGAGTTCACTCCTCTCGAAGAAGCCTCGCTCGTTAAGCGCAACAACCCGACGTGTCCTGACGGCGGGACGTGCCTTCTCGGAAACTGCTGTGGTAGTGGATGTGCGGCGAACTGTTGCGGGCATGATGACGGTGGAGGTATTTCTCTATCCTCTATTCCTATCTATTTTCAAGATTAAGACTGATGTAATTTCTACTAGTTGGGTGTGGGATCACTGAACAGTGTAAATTCGATGGAAATGTGTTCATCGGATGTTGTGCGAATGTTTTCGGGTTAGCACTTCCTTCTGCCTGGTCATACTTGAATAAGAGTATTAGTGTATATCTAACGGACGATGAAGCTGTACGGGTACTGCTACAAGGATCACAATTCATACGCCGTATAGCACGGTGACATTCCGGTCGGATTCACCTGCTACAGCAGTGACGGCTGTTACAACCGATGCAGGGGAGAGTCTGCGTTTGACTTCGACTTCGACTTCGACTTCGACGTCTCTGTCTGCAGAGGCAACGCCCACATCTACGACGGACACTTCAACATCCTCTAAGACTACCCGAGAGTCAGAGATTGAATCCAGTACTGCTACTACGACTAGTTCGGGAGTCACCTCAGAAAGAACCCATTCTCATGAGGAGCAGACTCCTACGCGTCAGGACTCGAGCTCCAGCTCCAGCTCCACCTCGGGGTCGGATTCTGAGGCTACACCGAATGCGGCGGTGGGAATGACCTACGGTGTTGAGATGGGTTTGTTTGCGCTGGGGGCTTGGGTTTTGGGGAGTACTTAGATCTGTGTTACGTTACGTGTAATGATTGAGAGCAGTTGGTGGATATACCCGGTTTGATAGGTTTTAGACTGCTTGATTTAGTTTGGCTCTGTAGCCACTGGTTTAGCATTTATACTATCTATATAAGACGCAGACTTGAGATTTCAGGTCCATCTTCATAGAGATTAGTTATAGTTATTTCGGCTGCCTTTTTGCTTCCCAACCCTCACGGATGACAATTGTATACTCTTTCAGATATCCACCCGGAAAACTTTCACTATGGCAATGCCTTTACTGTGCTTCATCTGGGGCCAAGAGAAGTTAGTACAGATGCTACTAAAGAAAGGACTAGAACCAACGCGCAATGCGGCTATTGTGACAATGCTCTTGTTGTTGCTTCCTATAGAGGCCATAAGAGTGTGGTACAGATTCTAATAGAAACGGAGCAGACGTCAATGCACAGAATCCACTACCAAGGTTTCGCGAGCCCTTGTATGTTGAAAGGTACAGGAACGGCCTGGCTTTTGTTCGAGCTTCGCTTCGAGCCCATCTATTTATCTTGGCAAGCACTGAGGGTCCCTTGACGAAGTGGGAAAATGGGCCTCATACAAATGCTACTGGATAAAGGAGCCACAAGTGATGACGAGGATGATGTTATACCATTCAGTGACATTGACTATGAGGATAATACGGACTATGACGACGACGACGACTACGACGACGACAATCTGAATGATGATGATGATGATGATATCACTAGTAGCAGATGCAATCGCTTCTAAGCCAGAATATGGTATCCACGGTAAGAGCTAGAGGATCTTCGGATGAATCATACGGATGCAGGGCATGATATTTTCTCCATCTAGCCTGCTCCAGTTTTCATTTCTGCTACCTTTATGAATCTAGCACTCTCTTTTCTGTTTCATAGTTTTACTGTAGCGCTGCGCCAAATAGGCCGGTCTCTTCCGATCTCTTCCATTTTTTTTTTTTTTTTTTGATTTTCTTGCCTGTATCAGAGAGACCAATCAGTCGCAAGCGAAAAGGATATCGCACAAACCAGGCAGATACCAGATATGGCATAAAGGATTCGGAGTAGTTTTCAGAGATGTAGATTAATATATAGTGTGGTAATTATGCTCGAATAGCTCCATTTTTATCCTCAGATTTCATATATACCAAAGAAACAATAGATTTACTAAGCTGTATAATGGCTCGCTGATTTGTTTCGCGAGATACACTAGTTTTGTCTGGTATATAAGTTAGAAAGCTTCGATGTATATAATTCCTGCCGACTCCACTGAAGCGTTTTCTTTTATTGACAAGCCTAGATGCATTAAATCTTTACATCTCTTGGAATTACTCTTTCAAGGGAAATTCACTACTTATACGTATCTTACAAAAACTGAAATTCGAAAGACCAGAAATGGCCCTGCCGTCCTGCTGCTAGTATACATTGATCACTTAACAAATGCAGTTCATTATATATTTTCTCATGTATAACGGTTCTGCAACAGCACAGGTGCAAAACCCCCTATTTACATCTTGTAAACTTATTAAACACAAGTCAATGCAACCGATCAATAAAATTAATCACTTTCCCGCCAGTAGAACTCCGCTCAAACCCACTCAAATCCTTCACAAATACAATGCGAAAGAAATGTTCATTCTCCGGTAACACAAGAAAGAACGTCCTCAGGGTTTTGATTACTTCCTCTTCGGAGAGAATCTCCGCGCAAGGAGGTGCACGAAGCATACGAACTTCCAGAGTCGGCTGCAACGACGACTCCAGCTGGTCCAGAATCACCTGCCATTGCAGGATCCCGGAATCCTCCGCCTGCATGATGGTTTTCATATTGTCGAATTCAAAATAGGCCCCGTACCATTTGAAGCTAAAGCGACGGTCACGGCCCCGCATGCGCAATACCCGCAGGAACTCCCGTTCACTCTTGGGGATCAGGACGCTGGCAGACTCCGGGAGAGGATGCAGGGATCCGATATCGCCGGTGATATAGCGAACTAATGGATTGCGCAGACGCTGGAGAGAAGTCTGTACAATAATCCCGGTCTCGCCGAGCGGAAGTGGCTCCGGGGAGGAGTCTTGGTCGTCCAGGGCCGTGGGTGAAAGAATCTCAATCATGATACTGCGAGTATCAAAGATGAAATCCATCGTGCTACCTGAAAGATTCTCCTCGCTGACTAGATCAGGGGTGCTTAATGCCCAAGGCCCTGCCTCTGCGCTCCCCATGATAGAGCAGATCTTGACATCGCCTAGAGTTGCACGGATGAGTGCGCGTTGGGTGCCTGTCAATGGCTCTGACGTATAGATTATTTTGGTGAGATTTATCTGATTGCGCTTTTCCGGCAACAGCGTCGAGATGTAGTTCACCATCTGGATGATCTGGCTGGCGTCTCCGGTCAATGCGTTAACGTGATAATGAGCCAGAGAGTCGACGACCTCTTCAAGAGCCATGTAATTTCCTCCACTGAGGACCGTAGCTCCTGCATTCTCCATGACTTCTGTCGTGAGATCTAACGACCTATAGCATAGTCAATCCGTGTACTTTAGTACAGTATCCTACAATATCTCATACCTATAAAATCCCCCGGATATGTGGAGAGATAGCACCCAATCCGTAGGATTGATAAGTCCACACGTCCGAAGAAGCTCTCCCATTTGAAGTCTCTGTCGACGGTTCTCATGCACATCCACCGCAAACATCATGGGTAGTCCACCGGACCCGCCACCAGTGATGCTCATGTAGGAGCTTTGACGGTAGACATTCTCCGGGCTCATATCATGCATCATTCGCTCGACTGCCTTGTATCTGATTGAATCAGCTCGGAACAAGTAATGGACTGGAATCTCTTACATGTCATTCTTTTGCAACAATGGCTGGGCACGAATATCAGCCTCTGGCGCATTTCCAACGATCCATTCACGCGCCGCGCGAATTGCATTGGCATCTGGGGGATATTGAATCTCTGGATTGTAGAAGGGATGCATCTTTGCGACAGCAAGCACTTCGGCCAGGCAGAAGCGTTCTCCAGCCATGTTGGGAGTAAAGCAGCAACGTAGTTGATGGGGCGGCAATGAACACATGCGACTTCAGCAGAATAGTTTATAGGGTTCGATGTAATTACTCCGTAGTTAGCTCGTGCGTATTATAAATCTTTTATGTATGCAAATTCCAGCTGAATGTGAGCTGGAGTTACTCCGCACAGCAAACAATCCTACCATATATTTTCTCTGACAGTGCAGAAAAAGTGCGCCTTGTCATCGGGTAACTTTTTTGCCTCTTCATTTTCTTTTCCATGACCAATTGATTTCTGCTGATCGAGGCAGCAGGGAGCTATACGAGACTAGCGTATGGAGTACGGCCCGTCTAGGTTCGGCGGCTGAGACAAGGTCACACAAAGAGCCAATTAATAATCGTTATTGTGGCATGAACTACTGATGATCGTCTAGATGGTCATATTGGGTCGTATTTGGCTGTATTTTGCATGTAACTTCAGCTGTAAAACAGACATATATGACGGTAATTCTCACTTCCCTATATTATGCACCCACAGATCTAAAGGAAGATATCAACACAGCATACAGAATATGCAAAAGGCAGTAAAACACATGCAACTACTGGCTCAAGGTGGGTATAGATACCTGAATACTACGCCATCCAGAGCTGAAAATCCCAGGTCTACAGTAGATCGACTACGCAAATATTATATATAATAGATTAAGCCTTGTACATACCATTGTGCAAATATCAAAGCTACTGCATTATACAATGGGAAGTGCAGGCCTCTCCTCCGACGAGGTCATCGACCACCTTATCCGCAAACACATCTCTACACTAGCCCAAGCTCCTTACATATCTCAAAGCGATCTCCCATTCTTTGTAGCCGATACCAACCGAATCGTCGAGCAACACCGAAGATGGACGCACACGATGCCGGATATCCAGCCTTTCTACGGTCAGTGTGTCCATTTCCTCTGATACAAAATATTGATAACCGACGGATGACTGAGTCAATCCAACAGCTGTAAAAGCAAACTCAGACACGAAACTACTCCAATGTCTAGATAGGCTTGGTGTCAATTTTGACTGTGCTTCTCTGGATGAAATCCAACAAATACTGAGTCTGGGCATTGATCCTTCCCGGATCATATTTGCTCATCCGTGCAAAGCGGCCTCGGCGCTCCATTTTGCCTCCAAGCGGGGCGTCCGCTGGACCACGTTTGATAATATCGATGAACTGGAGAAAATTAGAGAACATGGTGCACAGATGGAGCTTCTACTTCGGATATTTGCTCAAGATGACGGAGCGAAAGTTTGTCTGGGTGATAAATTTGGGGCTGCGTGGGATGATACCTGGTCTTTGCTGGAGAGGGCAAGACAGCTGGATTTGAAAATTGTCGGTGTCAGCTTTCATATCGGTATATCCTCCTACGTTCTATTGTACTGTCTGTTGTTAATTACATGCTGATAATACCAGGCTCCGGAGCATCTGACCCCCAAGCATTTGCCACCGCCATTCAACAAGCAAAACAAGTGATCGAACAAGGCGAACGTCTAGGATTTCAAATGACCGTCCTGGACGTAGGGGGTGGCTTCCAAGACGCGAATTTTGAGATAATGGCATCAGGACTCCGTCCAGCTCTCGCACAGGAATTTCGCGATCGAAAACTGACGGTGATCGCGGAACCTGGCCGATTCTATGCGACCCCTTTCTACACAATGGCGTGTAGGGTGATTGCGCGTCGGACGCAGATTAGATCGGCCTCCAAAGTCGCGGATATGCTGTATCAGAATGACGGACTCTACGGCTGCTTCAGCTGCGGCTGGAGCGAAAATGAAGTGTATACGCCTGTTCTTGTCAGCGGAGGGGCGGTGGAGCGAGACTGGGGAGAGCATCGGTATTCCGTCTGGGGGCCGACTTGCGACAGTATTGATCGGGTCGCGGAAGAGGTTGCCATGGATTGTGAGGTTAAGATTGGCGATTGGTTGATTTATCGGAATATGGGAGGTGAGTTTGTCTTCCTTTGTGAAAGTGGCAATGAAGCTAATCAGTGCAGCGTATACGGTCTCCGCGGCGTCCCGTTTTAATGGATTTCCCAATACTTACGATGTAATTTACCTAGAGTAGTATGTTGGATATTGGTATCGTGTACTCCGTATACTTTAATGTAACCTATTTTTCTTCCATCCTGTCTTTAGGTTTGGTTTACTGCAATAGTGTGTCAAAAATAAATATTCCGCAATAAGTGGGTGGATAGCTATACCTCTAGGTCAGGGTCTAGCTCGTTAGTTTCATTTGGAGTCAGCCCAATTGTAGGCATTGATCAAAGATGAACTGTGGGGATCTGTCTTTCAGCAGCGCCATGAAATTTTATATGATTCTGATCCGCAGTGGCGGTTCTGGCAACAGTGGGTCGATTAATTATATTTCCACAATATATACGGACTAACTCAGACCTTAGCTTCATGCAGTTCAGAGATTGACCCCTCTACGCTGAAATCAGAACAAGCTAATATGATTTACAATAAATTCGATGTTTCTTCAAAGCTGATTGTGGGCGCTTTGACGACGGCCCACATCCCGGTTCCCCGCTAGTTAGTTAGATTTCAACTCATAGGTGGACTATTTTTCTCGTGCATGCTGCCCAACATGAGAGTTGACTCTGTGCATCTGGTCTACATGCAGGGGGTTGCGGTAGAGGGATTAATGTCATCCCGGCTCTGGGTCGGAGGACTAATAACTCTGCACCAGGAGGTGATCGGTTTAGCTGATTGTCTTTGATTTGTTGATTTGCATGGTCTGTTGGCTACTACCAACGACTGTATATTATAAATCCTGATCACTGTAGGAGTCTCAAATAGTGTGCCATCAGATGGTAGTGAAATTACATCTTATGCAAATATTACAGTTGTATTTCCTGTTACTGATAAATGATAATAACCATCCACACTCCATAAGAATTGGAACTGGCCACGACATACGTGCTTTGTAAACTTATAAAAATATAGTAGGGGTAGTATTTGTTTACTAATAGATATCCATCTTATTCGGTAAAATTAGGGCACGCCACCGTGGGTCAATAAACTATGCAAGCATGAACACACTAAACCTAGACATGCAGCTAAAATTCAGCTATCTGCTTTTATTATCCACGGAGATACTATCTAAGACGGAATCAACATGCCACGCTAACAACCAGTTACCCAAGCATCTAACTACCGACTGTGTACTCTGTGTTTTTGTACATACTATACTCTGGTTGGAAATGGAATCGCATTCCACCGCACCCTCCGCAGATGCCGCAGCGGATCCTTGATGCCATTCCGCGCATGCAGCCACCGATGATTATCCAGGAGCACAATGGACCGCTCCGGCAGCTCAGCCGCAGTGAGATGGATAGTTGACCGTGCCGACGCCTCGAGGGTACGCAGGGCATCCTTCAGCTCATTCAGCGCCATCGTGGCGCGATTACTCAGGGGCGTGACAATCTCCTCTCGGAATCGGACCTTAACGGATTGATCCTGCGCATCGACGGCAAGTAAACTACCGACAATGTGGCGCCGATCAGTCAGCTTGACGAACTCCGGCGGGATGGTGATGCGGAACTCCGGTTCCAGGAGGGTGGCTTTGGTCGCGGGGGAGAGGAAGTCGCTGAGCTGTTCGACCTTCATGACGGAGAGAGTGCCGCCGCCGTACCGATCTGGGTGGAGAACGTGAAGGGCGAAGAACTGTGGTGGGGCGTGTTCGTAGCTGCAGTCGGTATGCCAGGGGAACTCCTGCATGGTTTCTGATCGGGCTTGGTGGTTTTCCGTCTGGAAGGTCGTATCACTGGGGCGGACATCCCAGAACCAGCCACGGGATGCGCTGTGGGTGATGGGCAGGCCGTGGTCATGGTATTTGTGTAGACTGACGATCAGATGCTCGAGGTACTGGCTCTTGTCGTCTGGGAAACCCAGGCTGATCTTGAGGATCCCGTGGCGGGTGAGACGGTCATGCACGTCACGAACATGGCTGGGTTGTTGGGAGTCTTTGAGATTTTGGGCGGTTAGATGAGGCACGATCGGAGCAATGGCTGATGTGGTTGTTGTTGTTGTTGCCAACTGGCGAGCTGGAGGAATTCTTGGATATTTTAGAGGGCCTGGCGAAAGAGGATTTCGAGAATGGTTGCACAATAGGCGCGTTGTCTGGAAATGCCGCCCAATATGATGCATGGCGTTTATATTGGAACTGAGGACTGTGATGAACAAGAAAATGTCCGGATTCTAGAGAAGTGAGCCCCGTAATATAGTCGGTTGTGCTTGGGAAGCCATGACAGCTGAGCGGATATCCAGGGATGCAATTCAGCATGGGGCAAATAATTGCCTGGGCGTGCACGAGCAGGTCAACACGGTCTGGTATACTGGCAGCTGAGAAAATCAATTAAAATTACATAAATCAAACGGACCGATGCGAAGAAAATTCAGATACTCCGATCAGCTACTCTGTGGCTTCTACTATACTACCGTAGATCAAGTCGATCATGCGTATCAATGTAATATTGTCGTATTCAGGGTTGTTTATAGTATTATTATTGTATTTTACATTTTATTTTTCAGTTTAATTTTCATTTCATTTTTATTGTATTGCATAGAGGGGCAGACCGCGCTAAATACAGCAGAATACAATAGTGCCTACCAATTGCAGAAGATTCAATACATCGCGGCAATAATATATTCCATATATATTGATCTACAACTATTCGTAGTTATGTACACGGCATAAGATCGGCAATATCAACGTCATACTCGTATTCAAGAAAAGGACATTCCACCTAAGATAATTCACGCAAAACAGAGCAAATCCATGCCCCTCCATGACTGACAGCGCAAATCCGGTCCGGACTACTCCGCCAGGTTCCCAATCCCAGCAGCTGACCATGGACCGTGTGATAAGTCCCAATCAGCGGGTACCGACCTTGTTCCCCAGAGGATTTCAAGACGACATCATACAAACGCGGCCAGATGCGACGCTGGATCACGAAGCTGGGGGTCCCAGGAACCAATTGTGGATTTCGAAGATCCTCGAGAATTGATAGCCACTTCGACGGGCTTATTTCGTCGCCAAAGACGATCCCCGCCCCTTTGCCTCCCCGAATTGGCTTGAGTAGATACTCATTCTTTCTCTCGGGATAATCCTTGGACATCTGAACCAGCTCATTCAGCTCCGAAGATCCAGGAATAATAGTATGTGCGATCCCTCTCTTCAGGGCCTCGCCCTGCTCAGGGCTCAACACATCCCGTGCCACCAGCGTCGGGATTTCCTGCTGGATGATGCCGAGCATCCGCTTGTCGTGAACGAGAAGCACAGTGCGCATGTCGTTGAAGCAGCGGAGACTGATTTGGCGGCGCATCTCAGTCGATAGGGCAAATAGTTCGCGCTGGTGAAGTTCTAAGCCTACCTGGTGGATTTCTTCCACTGCTTCGCCTTCGCTAGTGACTAGTACAGAAGACTCGTCAATAGCGGGGGTATTCTGGGGGTGGTCTACCAGGCAGCAGAGCTTGTATTTTCCTGGGATTTCAGCATCCGGTACCAGTCTCAGATCGTCGGGAGTGATGAGTCGCGGTTTGATTCCTACATGACGATGCACAAATTCCACGAACATGTGGATGTCGATTCCCGGTTCATCGCCCTTGAGTAAATGTAATGGACGGTCGGGCTGGAATAGACTGAGCAACCCGCCGAGGATCTATACAGGAATTGATTAGAAAATCGCAAATTGATAGCGAACAGGCCAGCGTAATCTCACCTTAGAAGAATCCGTCGCATGGATGATCCCATTCCGCCCCACGCCGAGATCCGATAACGCTTCCTGTCCGTATGCCTGGTGCATGAACCCATTGAAGCAGAACCGCGCATTGATCTCAGTTAGACGAAATGCTTCCACCGACCTACCAAATTCATTTTTAGGTCTATCCTCGACCATAAAGTCCGGTCTCCATGAACCCAGGCGATCCCTGTAAGGAACCCCGTTGTGGGAACGTTGGCTCTGAAGCCACTATCATACAAGTTAAATAATACAGTCGGACCGCCAGAGGTGGTGTACATACCCGTAGAAGATCTTCTTCCTCTCTCTCCAGAGGCATGCGCTCGGGGAACCGAGCGTCTACATCTGTCCACCACCGTTCTACAATATCACTGATAGCCGCAGTCAGAGCACCATGGAACCGCTCAAGCTGTTGCAGATGTTGGATCGTGACGAGTATAGGCCGGGGGCAGGAAGCCTCATTCGATCCTTTATAATAAATATGTGCCGGACAGAAGCGCAGGAGGGTGGCCTGAACCGTCTCGTGTTCTTTGCTGTAGATGGATGCGTCGCCCTCATATGAAGTCACTGGTTCGTACCCATGCGGGGAGACCCCAAGATGGATCTGTTGAAGCTGACTGGTCGGAAACTTCATTCTGGTGGTTAATCTGCAATCGTGTAGGAAGTGACTTGCTAGGGTGGAACCTTTGGCCAGGCGTGATATTTATGCGACAGCATGGTCTGGGCCTATTCATGGGTCTGAGTATCAGTCGTCTCATAGGGCATAGAGTACATTCAGCTGGAGAATTTTCATATAATTGAGTGTTCAGAACAGAAATATTACCGTAATAGTTCTGATCTTAGAGCCAGTCTGGTGGATACTGTTCGTCCTGCTGGCATAGCTGAAGAGATTTTCTTGCCCCCACCTTTTTGTGTCCCTGCAGCTGGAAAATCCATTAGCTGCATGAGCTGAGAGTGACAGCAGAGTCGACTTCCCGCATGGCACCTTGCGTGGTATCCATTGGCCAATCGAAAATGTGTTTTTTATTTCAGACTATTTCAATGTATTTGAAAAATTGACTGTATTTTATGTACATACGCTGAGTATGGAGTACAAACTCTCTGTTACAGCTCCAGTCTTCTAAAATAGATCCACATCCACATGCCAATAAGACATTGGAAGTCCCAAGCCGGTACATGTTTTTGGAAAGTTATGACAATACAGGTCATCTCTAGCAGATCAGAGATTTATTCATCTCAAACATTGAGCTGAGCTCCAAGGGAAATCTCCGAGCTGAAATGGGTTCCACTTCCTTATGTGCCACTAACAGCCCATAGCCCGGGGCCAGTGCTGTAGGATATTCACGGGGAACTGTTAATTCAAGATGCATGGAGGAGCGCAATGGATCCTCTGTACAGCTATGTTGCAGTGCAATTTCCTCCCTCTTCACATCCCACTCTTTTCCTGAAGTGTGGCGCCAAACAACGATGGCTGCAACGCAACAGGTGATCAAGGCGTACCAATGGCCCTCATACTTCGTTCAGGAACTGAATTCTCAAGGGGAGTCCAGTGAGGCGTTGTTTCGTCATGCATTTCTGGGAATCGAGGCGCACTCTCAGAATTACAAAGCCAGCGCAGAATATATATCGTTCATTGTATCCTGTACGGGTTCTCTAATCGTCGTACTTCTCAGTATATATGCTCTGCGACATCTGGTGTCATGGACAGTCCGATGGGTATCAACAGGGCACTGGCCAATCTCCCATTTCTACGAAGACCGTGATGGGGCGGCTACCGAGAAGTCCATCGAGCAGGGTTCAAAGAGGGCGCTTCGGCTAGTCATTCTAGGTATTGCGACCGCCGGGATGGCTATTTCAGCATTGCGGACAGCTTTGGCAACATATCATTTGAAGCACCCGGCGAATGTGGCTCATTGGATGGAGGTTGGCATCTGGGTACGTGCATGCTCTCTAACTAGATACTAGGTCTGTAGCGCTAGAATGGTCTAAACAGAAGCTAACAAGTCTGCTATAGTTCTGGCTTCTGCTCCAGTGTATCATGTTTCGTGTTCTATCTTTGCCCACGACATGTTTTGCAGTCAGTTGGAGAGTCGGAGTGAGCAGTGGCATTGCGCTTCTCGTCTGCTGTATCCGAGGCTATGTCGACTTCCGGTCCGGTGATTTTGGCAAAGTATACATGGCACTTTACGGACTCCAGATTTCTATTGGCATAATGATTAGCACCTTTAGCTTCATGATCCCCCGGCGTCCGGATGTTTTCCACAATGGCATTGTTGTGGATCGACAATTCACAACCAGTCTTCTAGGCTGGGTCAGCTTTTCGTGGATTGAACCGGTGTTGCGTGAGTGCGTGCACTCCAGAAACCTTACAATTGATGGTTTGCCGGAGCTGGACCATAGCACTCGGGCAGAAACTGTATACAATTCCTGGAAGGCAGTATTGCCAAAGCGCAGCGCACTGGGCACATGGGATTTATGGTGGTCGATATTCCGCTCTCATTTTCCAGCCTTGCTCTGCCAGATGATAATTACGGTCACGCTGTCGTTTCTCAGCTTCGCACCCCAGATAGCATTGCTGCGCATTCTAAACCTCCTCGAGGCTCAGCAGCGTGGTGAACACCTAGGGCCGCTCTGGGTCCCCGTCGTTGGCCTTGGGTTGTCCGTTATGAGCTCGGCCACACTGGAAACACTGAAGTATTGGATTTCATTTAATAAACTGGCGATTCGTGTGCAACAACAACTGTCTCTCGCCATCTTCAGAAAAGCAACCTGCTTGAGCCCAGCCTTCAGCTCCGACGAGTCAGGGGATTGCGATGCGGATCTCAGTCCAGTCAATATAGTTGCTGCCGATATCAAGAATATAGCAGACTTCCTCAGCTATCTCTTCCTATCATATGAGTCGCCCATTAAACTGAGTATCGCCTCCGTGTTCCTGACTCGGCTACTGGGTTGGCGTAGCCTTCTCGCTGGAGCGGCCGTACTGGGTCTGCTTACTGCGTTCAATGCCTGGGCAGTCTGGAAATACTCGGGCAAGCAAACCTCTTTGATGGAGCATCGCGACAGCAGGCTCCGAGCATTGGCGGAGATGCTGGGAGGGATTCGCCAAGTTAAATTTTCCGCCCTGGAGAATCGGTGGGAAGAGAAGATCAATCAATTGCGAGACATGGAAATGCAAGCTCAGTGGACCGTCAACCTCTGGCAGATCGCCTTTATGTCTATGTATTTCATAAGCCCGATTCTCCTCTCCGCGGCCTGCATTTCCGTGTATGTAGTATTTTATGGGGATCTGTCTGCCGCCACAGCGTTCACTGCCCTCTCTGTGATGAGCTCTATGGAGGTGTCAATGGCCGTCCTTCCGGATATCATTTCGTTTTTACTAAATGCCAGAGTGAGTATGGAGCGCATCAAGTCTTATCTAGAACAGTCAGAACATGTTAGCAAGATCGTACCCCTCAAGGATATCGAGTTCCAAGACGCAACGATTGCCTGGCCCGGATGCTGCGATGCATCCGGCAGTTTGAGAGGCCTCAGCTTGAAATTCCCTAGAGACTCATTGAGTATTATTACTGGCCCTACGGGCTCCGGGAAGAGTCTTCTTCTGGCATCCATATTAGGTGAAACGGACATCCTGAGTGGCTCAATATCTGCGCCGGTCCCGGCCCCCTTTGAGGAGATCTCCTGCTTCGATGCCTCTGAATCCTGGGTGACAGATTCTGCCATTGCCTTCGTTTCCCAATCAACCTGGCTACAGAATGCGACCGTGAGAGACAACATTCTGCTTGGATTACCTCTGGACCGCGAGAGATATGACAAGGTAGTCTTCGCCAGTGCATTAGAGAAGGACTTCGAGCTTCTTCCCGGAAAAGACCGGACAGAAATTCGCTCCAAAGGAGCGAACCTGAGTGGCGGGCAACGATGGCGCATTTGTCTCGCCCGTGCCCTCTACTCACGAGCGCATACGCTGCTCTTAGACGATATTTTCAGCGCCCTAGATGTTCACACAAGAGAGCACATCTATCAGTACGCCTTCCATGGGGAGCTTTTACGCAGGCGAACCTGCATCCTGGTCACCCATCATCTCGAATTGTGCTTGCCACTTGCAAAATACTTGGTTCGGCTCGAAAATGGAGTCATGAAATCAGCAGAAGCACTGCCTGATACGCAGCCAGTCCCTGGGAAGTGGCGTGAACCGCTGGTCCATCCAACGGAGTCACCGCCAGCACCTAGGGACGCACAAAACTCCGATCAAGGCTCCATGGAAAGCACCAATTCCTCGTCGGAGCGCAAAGTCTCTGCTATCATCCTTCGAGAGGGGGGCGGCATACTTCAGTGGTCGATTCTAGCAGTTGCAGCCCTTGGATTTGGGGGCTTTATGCTAGCTCGGGTAAGGGCTTGTTCATTGCGTTTCATTCTCGTATATTGATCCTTTGACTGACCAATCTGACAAAGTCCTGGTGGATCCATATTTGGACGGATAATCATCGAGAATCAGCCCAAGCCACCGTCTCCCAACATTCTGCACTTTTCTACCTTGGAGGCTATCTTGCACTATCAGCTCTGGCGTGTGTTTTTGGGACATGCCGGACGTATTTCTCGCTGTCTGCTGCATTCCGTGCATCGCAAAGTTTGTTCCGTCAGATGCTCTTCGCGGTGCTCCGAGCGCCCATTCAGTGGTATGACACCGTCCCCATGGGACACATACTCAGTCGATTTTCTGCAGATTTCAACGCACTCGATTCTCGGGTAGGGGTCGAACTTCGAGCCACCCTTGAGTATTCCATGGATGTTGCCATGGCTATGATTGCCGGTACCATCGTGAATCCCATGCTCCTCCTCGTCTCTGCAGTTCTTTTAACGGTCTACTTTTGGTGTGCTCGCTGGTTCATCACTGCCTCCCGACACTTGAAAGGCCTGGAAAACGCCGCCAAAGGTCCCCTTCTCGAAGATCTTGACACCACTATTGGTAGCCTGTCCTCCGTCCGGGCTTTCGGACAAGTTAACCTCGCCATTGAGAGATTCCAAGAAAAAGTCGGTCGCCACGCACGAGCGTTCTGGCATCTCTGGTTGCTGAATCGATGGCTGGGCTTCAGAATCAATATCATCGGTGCCGCTTTCTCCGCTCTTTCAGCAGCTATGGTTGCCTATGTGCCCGGTATTAACCCGTCCATGGCTGGATTCGCCATCGGCTTCACTATCGAGGTCTCCCTGACCATGGCGCTCAGTGTCCGCTGCTACGCCAATCTAGAGCAAGGCATGAATAGCGTTAAGCGTATCCACTCATTTTCAACAATTCCAACAGAGAAAAACGAGCCGTTGATCACGGACATTCCAGAAGCGTGGCCCGAGAAGGGAAAGCTCGAAGTTTCCCAGCTTGTCGTCCGTCCAACTCCATATTTACCCCCAGTATTGAAGGGGATCGATTTTACTGTGACTCCAAACACGAGAGTTGGAGTTGTTGGTCGTACGGGAGCGGGAAAATCTTCGCTGGTTCTAGCTCTCTTTCGCTTCCTTGAGGCCTCAGAAGGCAAAATCATGGTCGATGGCATAGATATCTCACGCGTGCCACTAGACCGTTTACGCAGCAGATTAGCCATTATCCCCCAGCATCCCATGCTTTTCCGCGGCACTGTTCGGTCCAACCTTGATCCTGTCGGAGAGTACGACGATTCGCTCCTTATCAGTGCATTGCAAGCTGTGGGGTGGGAGCAAGAGGGGGAATCCTATAAATCCACGTATACCGCTCAAGAAATGGAGTCTAGTTGCACATATTCATCTTCTGGGACTGTGTGTACATCTCCAATGTCAGCCCTCGGGGCCGAGGAATCCACGGATACCGAGCAAGATAGCCTCTTTCCACATAAGGGCCCGTGGGGACCTCTCGATCAGCCTATTACTGACTGTGGAGGGAATATTTCTCACGGACAGCAACAGCTCCTCTGCCTTGCTCGGGCAATTATTCGCCAGCCGAAAATTATGATCATGGACGAGGCCACATCGGCGGTGGATAAATCCACCGAGGACTTGATTCAGCGGAGCCTACGGTCCGCACTTAGTCAGTGCGAAACTACTCTCCTGGTTATCGCACACCGACTGAAGACTATCGCTGATTCTGACATGGTCCTTGTCATGGATTGCGGGATGATTGTGGAGTCGGGAAGCCCACAGAAGTTGCTCCGGCGCCCAGGGGGTGTTTTTCGGGGCATGGTGGAGCAGGATCCAGAACGGGATACTCTGGAAAATATCATATTGCGAAGAGTTCCAGAATGATCGCGCTGGAAATTGAGATCCAGGCTTGAAAGATGAGCATGTCACGAAATCAGCCGAACACGAATGTTGTAATAATACTGATAATATTGAAATATGTATAGCATTGATCACTATCACAGCAGAAGATACCTACTATACGTCCTAAAATATCGATAAGCCTTAAATACTGAGACGGTTCCTGGCATATTTGGCCGCTGTAGCGGCAACATAGTACTGCCACTCATGCTTGTGAGAATCTGCGTAGTCTGATATCCCTCGGATGACAAGGCATGGAAAGCTACTGTTCATCAAGCCGGTAGCTTCCATCTCAAAACAAAGGATGTTCTTGTTGTATCTTTAATGATCGCATTTCCAGGTGCGATCGTGCCATAAAAAAAAGAGCGGTCATTGCATTGAGAGCCGCCAAGAGCATCTCTGGCGGAGGACCCAGGTATCTCATGGGCTCGAATCCGTCTATTGTGAATTTTCCCATGTCGTATTGGATAACAACTGGGTGGCTCTTCTCTGGTTTGCTGATTCGAATCGGTACCCCCGGGGGATAGCAACCGTTAGACAAATTTGCTGTTGCTAACATACGATCCTACCCGGGAATCTAGGCATATTGTATGAGTCAAAGGCCATGTCTGGTGCATGTACTGGGCACGGGACAGGGCCTGTTCATTATTTAGGGGGCTGGTTATTGTTATGGCTGACTCGAGAATCTCATCGGTCGCTTCGCTGTAACCTTGCTCTCGGACAAAGTTCAAAGGATTCCAATCTATCTCGAACGCCACCGTATCGCTTTGCGATTGTCGATGTATGCTGACTCGGTAAGACGACAATAAGCAACTAATAATGCTAGATCTGACATGATTCATCAAACTCGACTCTGTGGCATTAGCACGGTTTCCCTGCCCAAACTTGCGAGAAGCCATGTATATGTTGGGGTCCTTAATACAGACTCTCGATATTCCACCATCTGTGACGAGTCCGTCTCCTCGACATCTTCTTTGCTTCCTCTAGGACAGGCTTTCTGTATCAGAAGGCACAAAGTAATCATGATCATATATGTCTTACAACCAGTTTCCAACGTACGCTTTTCGAAACATTATATCTCCATCATTGTGTACGTGTCCCAGGAACTTGTCATCAAGGAAATGTCGTATTCGTGGGCCTTTCAGCCACGGCTGCAATGTAGGTCGCTGATGAACTCAAGAAGGGCCCACTCCAAGTGCAGTCGCATAGATCATATCGGGGTAGCTTGGTATTGTGCGCTGTGAATATCTAGGAACATTGCGCTCTTTCCGGATCGTGTCCACTCCACTATAGTTAGCAATTGGCCTAGGAGAGGAGTAAAAAAGACCTACGAGGTTTCTGTGTCCTAAAGCCCGAAGCATGGTTGGACAGGGGCAATCTGTACGTATTCCACTGGCTTTCTCGAACTCCCTATCCGTAACAATGTGTCCAAATTCTTTCTGACCAGACGCTATGCGTCATTTAAAGTAGCTTATGACTTGGGCATCGTTAGCCATGAGCACGGTAATAGCTAACTGGGGAAGTGGAATGGGCCAGACTTACTAGGTGTCTTTGTTTTTATGAAGCCAGGGGTTTATAAACCTATCATATTTGAACTATGTAATAATAATATGAGAGCAGATATTTGAAGTCAACCCTGTGCTATACAGCTTTAAATAGGACCACCTATTCCTCCACAATCCTAGCACCGATCCACTGTAAATATTCACACCAATGCGGAAAGTATTGCCATTGCGACTGAAATAATCCTCCCACTGCATATTTTTCACCAATACTGAGAGCTGTCTTCTACATATTAAATGCAAGCTCCTTCATATTGGGCCACCAGTCAAACTGACCACGACTCACAAGACTATCGACAACTTCAGGACACGGCTCTGAAGATCGTGATCTAGGCATTCAAAGCAGCCGTGGACATCGGCCAAATAATGGAATAAACGCTCGTTTTGTGCTTGATAGCATTACTTCTTGATGCTCCCGTGCCTTGGAGATGAAGATGTGGGCATTTTAACTGGTTCGTGTCTAAGAGATCACTTAAAGTAGATGAACAACGCACAGTACCATGAACGCGAATTTTATTCGACAGATCACAGAGCAAGTTCGCCATCAAATTACTTCACAAATTCGGGATGATCTCGCTCAGCAACACCGTGATGAAATCATACAAGAAGTACGTCGGGAAATGCGGCAACTGGCAGTACAAGATCTTGCTTACCGTGAAGAGGAGCGCATGCAGTGCTTAGCAAAGAAGAATTTCGCCAATCATGACCCAGTAATCCTTCAAGGCCGCGAGAATTTTACAACTTGGTGCTATTCTATTCTAATTATACACGCACCTAATCAAGGCAGTATGAGTCCTTGAAGACCCAATTCAACCCGTTACAGACGACATAGCACTAGGCCGTTGGCAAAAACAGAACGAGGTTCTACACACTAGAATCGTCCACTCTTTATCGCCTAGTATTAGAGAGACACTTACTTGGTAGGAATCAACATCTGTATACAACCTCTGGAGTAGTATCACCTCCACATACGGTCCATCTGCAGCAGAGGAACGCCTCATAACTATAAAGGCGCTTCTAGACATTCTCTACAAGGAAATTACCCGCGATGATCCGCGATTTTCAACGGATTACATTAAAATTAAAGCAATTTGATATGTCTGCTGAAAATATCATCCACGATATACTTCTTTGCTCATTGGGCAATTGGCAACATTCATTTGTATGCACACAATTGGATACTTTTTTCTCTATGGGTTCGTGAACCAATCAAGAATCTTACACAGTAATATTTCAACACTTGTAGATCAATTAATCGCCCGAACGCCCACCAGCAAACATCCCGAGCTATGTGCCGCAGAATCCCCAGGAATTTCGACAGAAATCAAGACATCACACCAAACAGACAGATGTAAAGGACTCCAAAGACTCCAAGGACTCAAGACGGTCACGTGGCATTTGTCCCCTACGTGTGTCCGCCCGAAATTCTGCAGCGCGGGGAGGCCAAATTTTGCTAGCTCTAAGTACTGTTTCTTGCCTCGGAATCCTCGTACTTGCTATTCAAGCGACAGTAACAAGTCTTTAAAAGTTCGCAACCAGAATTGTTTTCTATTTCCCTAATGCTATCGATAGCATTGTCAAATGACTGTATAGTATATTCCCAGTATTGCAAATCTTGATGCAACTAGAGCATAAAACACTCCAGTTCATTTATATGGTCCCTATTCTATCCTCTTCTCAACAATACGAAAAGAAAAGAATATGCCAGCTCCTACAATCACAAAGCAGCAACTCAAAAGGAAGTGCAATTGACATGCATTGTTAGACAGCTAATTTATCAGAAAAGGTCTCTCCGTTTTACATGTTGCCTCCATTCAATATTGGTAGCCACTATTCGCAATGGTTGCCTAATGGGGTAAAACAAGAAATTCATGTGACTGGCAAATGCTCCCTATATATCAGTCTTTCGTTCAATCACCTCCATGAGACTGAATCTCTTGACTCAATCCACTCTTTATCATGTCCTCTTCAAAGTTCTTCCCGCTCCTTCAACAATGGTCTCAAGCTACCCTCCAACAACTCCCATCCCAGTTCTCAAATGATGCTCTTTCAATTCCTCTAGTTACACCAAGTTTCTGGCTGCTCTAGCTCTCCTGGTTTTCCTGGGCAAGACGAACTCCATTCTTAGCCGTTGGGTGGCCAACAATTGGACAAGTAGCGATGCGTGGCAGCCAGAGCGCGAGATAGCCATCGTAACGGGTGGGAGCAATGGTATCGGCAAACAAATCGCAACTGATCTCGCTGTCGCCGGAGTGCGGGTAATTATTCTCGACATCCATAAGCCCTCATCCCTACCTAAGAATGATCACTTCTACCACGCCGATGTTACCTCCTCCGACGGTATTCGCGGTATCGGCAAGAGGATCCGCGCAGAGTATGGGGGCCCCACCGTGCTGATCAACAACGCGGGTGTAGGGTACCCCGGTAGCATTCTTGAGAAACCAGAGATCAAAATCCGTCGGACCTTTGAGATTAATACCATTTCGCATTTCCTTCTGGTTCGGGAGTTCTTGCCAGCGATGGTCCGACAGAACCATGGACACGTTGTTACTATCGCGAGTATGGCCAGCTTCGTAGTGGCTGGCAACATGGTAGAGTATGCCTGCTCCAAGGCCAGTGCGTTGGCGTTTCATGAGGGACTGAGTCAGGAACTGAAATTTTATTATAATGCTCCCAAGGTCCGAACAATGTAGGTCAACTAGGTTGGTGCATCGTATGAGCCAGACTGACCTATGGTAGTGTTATTCATCCGATCTGGGTGCGTACAGAGATGATCAAGCCCCTTGACCTGGAAAACAGCTTTCAGCAGACAGTTCTGGCCCCCGAAATGGTTTCACAGGCAGTGGTGCGGCAGGTCATCACACAGAAGAGCGGTCAGGTTATTCTCCCCCAGTCTCATATTTCTTTCAGTGCAGTGCGTGCTCTCCCTTCTTGGCTTCAAGAGAAAGTTCGGAATATTGCGTCCCAGACCTTAAAAACCGTGCGAGAATAAATTATGTAAATATGATTATTATATTCTGGCTTTCCGTCACTTGTTTCTTGTTTCGAACAGCATCAACGTCCTTCCAGTTCAATTCATGAGGGTTGAGGCTGTATGCAATCTATCATGTATTCTAACTGGAAGGTCATAGACATACTACACCTAAAGTGAGTCCAGTACCGAGGTATATATTCTTGAAAGACCAGTGGTGTTATAATATTTACCACATATTTACGGATGTCACTATACGGCCGGCGGAGTCTTGGAGATCAACACTTCGAACTCCATATAGTTAACTAGAGGAAGATGTAGACGTCACACTATTAGACAAACAAGCCGAGGAAATGTAAATAGGGACAAGTCTTGTTTGATCGTCCTTAGCCATTCTTATATCCACGTACCCGACCGACCGGTGATGCATTCTCATTAGTACAAACCCCAACTCTGCCGGGAGAGCCCCCGCAAGCTATCCCGATACGGTAGACGGAATGAAGATCCTCTGCGCGGCGATCGTCTGCCCGTTTTAGCAGGCCTCGCTTAGGCATCGGCTTCAATCGGCCCAAATTTCGTCAAGCCCCGAACCGACCGCTTATCCCGAAGGTACGAAGGGTCGTGATTTTCGGCTGTACTTGGCATTCGAGAGCTTAAATACTGGTTGCACAAACCATGCTGATCATTAATTCCTCTAAAGTGTTCCAATGCCCATGTAGAAAGCCTCTGCGAGACAAAAGAAAGTGGGTCTAGCTTTGTCCAATGAAGACGCGAGGAGTCCGCTGTGGAGGGTTAGATAAGCTGTTGCATACAACTGACGACAAACCACAATGATTTGGAGGGTCAGCTGCCCCCGGAGTAACGCACGTCATATCAGAGGCAGAATATTAGTGAATTGCCAGCAAAGCAGGAATGGATCCCTTTCCAGGTCATCCAACAAGTGATGGCTTTTCCTCTGATTTCTCATATCTGTTGGCTTTGCATATTATAGCCAAGACTATCCCACACTGAAAGCTATTAGTCCTTGCTGAGCGACTTCAAGCTCGTAATTGCTTCCCCTTGCACGATCCTATTGAACATTTATTTCATCAGATATCCTTACAATGTCTTTCGAGTACGACTGTATTATTGTCGGCGCTGGCTACGCAGGACTCTCAGCAGCTAAGACTCTATCTGAGCGTGGCAAGTCTGTCCTCGTACTCGAGGCACGCGATCGTGTTGGCGGACGAGCCTGGACCAAATACCACGAGGATGGTGTCTACGAAGACTACGGTGGGATGTTCCTCGGCGTGCAACAACCCAACATGTACCGGCTCGCGTCGGAATATGATATCCGCACCTACAACGTCGGACTGAAAGGCAAAAGTGTGCTTCACTATCGGGGGCAGTGCAAGCTCTATTCATCTGCGTTTCTACCTCCGTTGTCACTTCTCCCCCTTTTTGATGCGTGGAGAGCAGTTCGGGCTCTTGAGAATCTCTCCAAAACCGTGAACCTAGACGAGCCTTGGAAGACTCCCGGTGCCAAGGAGCTTGACGGCCGCACGGTGGCGGAATGGATTCGATCGATCTGTTGGTCCAAGGCTGGTAGGGACGTCGTAAGCTTGCCGTTCAAACTTCTCTGGGGTCTTGACCTGGCCCAAGTGAGCCTGCTGCACGCTGCGTGGTACTGCAAATCTGGCGTCAGTCTGACTGTGCTATCCACCATTGAGCAGGGGGCGCAGATGCAACTCATGGTTGGTGGCGGCCAGTCGATTGCCAATGGAATTCACAAGCAACTTGGAGGTGCAGTTCGTCTCAACGAGCCTGTTATTCAGCTCGATCGACGCAACACTAATCAAGTCCAAGTCAAGACCACGAAGCACACTTATTCCTGCAAGAGAGTCATTTTCGCCATCCCGCAGCAACATATTTTACAAGTGGACTTCTTTCCTGCATTACCACCACAGAAAATCAAACTACTCCAGAACATGCCAATGGGACAGTATTGGAAAATAATTGCGATGTATCCCACGCCTTTCTGGCGGGAACAGGGGCTCCGTGGAGAAGTTGTTAGCCCCGACGGATTTATGGGTCTCATTAGCGATGTGTCTCCCGTCGATGGGCGTTGCGGCATGCTCGTGGCATTTGTAGCGGCTTCCAAGGCCATGGCTCTTCTCGACATGGAGAAAGAGGACAGGGAGCGCCACATCCTGAAAGAGTTGGAGACGTGCTACGGGAAAGAGGCCAGCAATCCTACCAAACTCACCTTGCACACGATGATGGAAGAGAAGTGGTCGGCTGGATGTCCTGTTGCGGCGCCTGCTCCGGGGTGCTGGGTGACCATGGGACACTGGATGCGAAAGCCGATTGATCGAGTTTATTGGGCGGGAACCGAAACAGCGACGAACTGGAGCGGATATATGGAGGGTGCTGTGAACTCTGGGATTCGGGCAGCAAACGAGGTCTTGGAAGCTTTGGAAACAGAAAATTCACCCGGAAGCCCTTCAAGCAATATTTGGTATGGAGAATTAGGGATAATGGAAAGCTAGCAAAGGACTAGTTTTGTTATGATAAGCGAAATAAGTGAGAAATTGCTGCTATATTTCGCTACAAGCACATGGAGGCTGGCTGTAGTTGGGTTGCAACTAGCGACTATTGGTTTAGTTGTTATATATGACTGCATATTATAGAGGCCAAACTAACGACGATTCGTAGCCTAAGACTAAAATTACCTATCATCCTACCAGATGATCCCAACCGAATCACATGAGAGGGACGAGCCTGGTAGGCCATAAGCTACAGGAGACATTGTTCCAGACCTCATCTGGACTATTTGCAGTGATATTTTTGATGGCCACGCGCGGCCGGTTGGTAGTTGGGAGATAGCAAGCGAACACTAGCCGTGGTATAAGTTTTCTACATTTTACATCTTTGCTATTTGTCTCTTTGTTTCTGATTTAATGTTTTCTGCCATATATATATATGTACAATACTGAATTATATAATCTCCAATACCAGGCACAAATCCGAGGGAAAAAACAGGGCAAGTGCGTGGGCGCGCTTTCCTCTTTTGGCCCCTTCTATACTGGGCAATCACTGCCTTAGGTAGAGTTTCTTTAATCTGCTAATTTCAGTATCACAATCATACTTCCTTAATTTCGATATAGTTGTGAACAGAACAGTGGAAGTGATGTCCAGTCCTACGCAGTACCACGACTCGAAAACCCCATTTCAAGCAAGGGGAAACACAACGACTATCATAATTTCACGTTCTATTATTTAGCACGTGATAATAAATACATAACTCATGTCTCATGCGGCGAGCGCTACTTCTAGGAGCTTTCCAAAATCGGGGGTTCCCAGTCCAGTAACTGGATCCCACCCCTCGGTGGCATTCCAGCTGGCGAACGGCACAACAGGGCTGCCGTTAGGAGTACCACCGAAGCGGTTGCGACCGTCACAGCCCTTGCTACCACCGTGGACAATATCGTTGAGACTCTTCCGAGCATCGCTGTATAGCCACGGGTTCAGGAAGCCCAGGACTTTCTTGCCGTTGCGCAGACGCGCGTCATTGAGGAGTGCCACGAGGGCAGCAAACCCAGGGGACGAACATGAGGTGCCGCTAACACCGTGAGCACTCCCCTTGTCGTAGATGGTGAAGGCCTGGCCTTGGAAGGCCACGTCGGGGAAGGCACGGCCTGCTGGATCGTACAGGCCGTGGAACCTGTCGCCGAGGGTATCAAGGTAGTCGGAGACGGCCTTCTCCTGGTACGACGGCCGCTTCCATACATCGGAGAAGCCACCCGACGAGAAGTAGACGGCTTGTTCGGGGTTCGTCTTGGTGGTGCCGCCGACGGAAGTGACAAAGGGGCATGCGGCTGGGAACTGCGGCGGGAAATGGGTACGGTTGGTGCCGTCATTTGTCTGGCAGGCGGCACCAACACCCGAGTCACCAGATGAGAACAGGACAGACACGCCACGGCTACCAAGCTGTGCGTAGAGGTTGCAGACGCTGCGGGCGTACTTCACGGGAATGGTCTGCTCATCCTCACCATAGGAGGTCGAGATGACCTGGGGTAGGTCTTTGTTGTCCAGCTTGAGCACGTTCTGCAAGAACTCCAGATACGGCTCGTTATTGTTGTCATTTGGATCAGGCGAGCTAAGGTCAGGGATGAGAGGACCACGACCACCAGTGGTGTACTCGGTGACGGGCAAATGTGAGGCGAGACCGACGATGTATTGGAGGTCCAGGTTGGCCTCGCCGCTGTCGCCTGCCCAGTTCTGGTCGTTACCACCACCATTGAACGAGACCACGCTAACGTTCTGGCCCTTGGCCCAGGGAGCCAGATTCTCTTCAAATTTGGCCAAGTCAGCATATCGCGCGTACTCTTCCAGATAACTGGCGAAGGCGATCTTGCTGCCGGACTTCGGATCAGCCTTGTAGTCACCCAGGTTGTACAGGTCCTTTAGACACTGCGGGGTAATGACCGTGTCGCAGTGAGAGCTGTTCCCGGACGCCAGCAGCGCAGATAGGTAGTTCTCGTCGATGCGCTGGGGATGAGTGCGCAGCGTCGTGTGTTCAGGGCGGATCTGGCCGAACCGAGTTGTGGGCTGGATCATGTTGACATGGGCGGCAACAGACTTAGGAATGGAGTACTTGAGGGTGCGCAGACGGCGGACATCCTTGACCTTGTTGACGTACCACTGGAACTGGGTGTCCAACAGAGCATTGGCTTTCTCTACAGTTGTCTGGAAGTTGATCCAGTCGGCATCTTGTTGGTAGTCGGTGATGCCAGCCGATTCCAGCCAGCTCTGCACGGAGCTGGCTGCTCCGTCGCGGGGAAGTAGCATACGCTTCATCTCCTCATGGCTCTGGAAATGTTTGCCATAGTCGGGGTGGCTGGGAGTGGACATGTCGATGACGGCCCGTTCGAAGCCCTCAGTGTCGCCCTGTTGCAGGGCGATCTTCAAACGAATGGGCTGGTCACCCTTGGGGGTACCGGAGTATACCCAGCCTGGGGAGGGTCAGCATTCTTGGTGAGAAGAATTGGAATTCTGCACGCAGACGTCAGTGTCTTATACGTACCATTGGGCACGGCAGACAGCCTCTCGAAGATTTCCGCGGCAACGGAGGAAGAGAACAAAGAGAGAACTGCGAGCGACAAGGCTCCACGCTGGAAGAGTGAGGACCGCATAGTGAAAATGGTCCGTCCAGGGGAGGTAGAGATGTGGACGGTGAAGAGAGAAAAGCGGTAGGGAAATGGGGAGGGGGAAGGGCATTTTAATAGTGGCTACGCCAGCCATCGCGTGATCGAGATAGAGAGGTGGTGAATTAGTCCGTAATTCATTAATTACTTAACTTAATTAATGCAGTAAGTCTCAGATCCCTTGATCATCGGAGAACCGACGGGTTCCTACTGCCCGCAGCTAGGATGATTGGGTTGGTATCATTCGACATTGGGCTTATCATCGGCGGATCGTCAGGGGAAGATGCTCCACTTGGACAGCAAAGACCGCTATGGCGGGATATGGTTCTTGGAGCCGTTGGGATGCATGGAAGTACCTAGCTAATATCTCATGTGTCCCCCAGAGAAAATAGAGCATACAGAAATGCGTTCCACTCTCCAGAGACCACCTGCAGACTCAGTCAGCCAGGTTTGTTTGTTGATCTTCAAATTGGGATGCCAAGCGTGATCGACATTCCAGGTTTCGAATTGGCGGGATTTTCTTTCTTTCAGTATTTACTGCGAGGCAAGGCATGGTATTCTGGGACTATTTCCCTCCATCTTCGCCCCCTCCAATATTCAATTTCCCTCCGAATAGGCAACCTCCAGGTCGGACAATACGAACTGTTCTCTCCCTCCGATGTAACCTCAACCAGCACGCTCGTCTGCTGTGGGGTCCTTTCCCCACCAATCAACGCCCCTCCACCCCCGCGAGATAAGCCCGATCTCAAGCCTAAGCTTGTTCTCTACAAGCATGACCGCCCCAAGGCTTCGCTTCCGCCAAGGTCTTATCATCAATTTCTCCCAGTTCCCCCTCTTCACTGATAGTGGCGTCCGGATTGAGGTTGCCATTAGGTAATAGGCAATCCAGGACACTCCACTTGTCCAGAATTGAGGGATAGTGCACATCCGTACATTAACCCCCGCCAGGATGAAATGTGAGGAGTTCCCATCGATGCGGGGATACAAACGCTCTGAGGGATTTCTGATTAATCCATGTCACTGCGGGGATATCGATGACCATGCTTGACGTGGTGCAACGTTGGGGTAGAGAGCAAGTCTGAGACCCGCGGGCTGCCGGTGAGGATTTTTATCTTGATCGATTTGGCAGGTGGTAAGGAGCGGGTAAAGTAGGTAATTCTCGCTAAGCAGTTTGTAACCGTAGTTGGATCCATCGCCTATCGAGAATTCGAGAACTCAAGTAACGGGCGCCGAGGGACGGGGATTGGTTCCCTTGCAGGCAATTGGGTAAGGGACGGTAACTGTTAGGTTAAATTCATTTTGAAAAATTGCCAGCTACCTTAGTTGAATGGAGCTTTAATTACAGAGTACTTTGATTAATTTTTCCAGTGCTACCTTTAGATAGTTAGTGGTCGGAATTACTTAATTCGGTTTCTGTTCCGGAGTAATCTGAATTGCGCAATCGCTGTAGCTGTTATTGCGATGGCCTAATCAGAGACAAATATTACGTGCAGGTCATCAGTTGCTCGGTTCTTCTCCAAATCCACTACATTTGGATTGCACCAAAATAGAAGCTACTGCAGTTTTGAGAATGCTCTGATAATACTTCAATTAATCAATTAGCTGAAAAGAAAGAAGGAAAGAAAAGGCAAGAAACAAAACACGAAATCGAGTGCCAGAACTAAAGTGTCCTGACGGTCGCGTATTAAGTCCCGTCAACTTTAGGAGCGACAAGCTCTACTTATGTACCACCACCGTCTTTCAATTAATTCTCCTCTCTTTATCTTCTTTCAATCCTATCATATACCACTCGAGAAAACGGCCACTGGCGGTTGGCATGTTTTTGTCATAATCCAGGGTCTGATAGCTCAATGGATTGTGTCTTAATCAGAACCGGACCATATACATTGCACTAATGGCTGCTGTTTGAAAGCATCCAAATAGCAGAATGTTGCCAGGCCACAAGTGGGATGTGCTAACTTAAGAAAAGAGAGCGACGAATGCCGTTTGATACATGACATATAGCCGACTAAGACGGACACAGATTCTATAGGTCCGGTCTTAACCTCCTATCGTACAGCCATTTCGCAACCACAAATTTACATATATAGTATCCAACGCGAATACCCGTGATTTATCCAGACTCGACAAAGTCCATATCATACCCCCGCAACACCTCTTCGACTCCCCGAATCGCCTCGCCAAGTCTCCTCTCCCGTGCGCCTTGGTCTTCCACGCCCGTCTTAAGACAATACGGTTCTGTCCATGTCGGCGACTCACAGTACCGACGAATGTTATCCGTGTTTCGAGGCTTCGGCGGATTGGTATATTCGGAATGTACGGTTTGAATAGTTCTAACAAGATTGCATCAGCATTGTCAACAAGCAGGATGAGATGAAAGTGAAGTCCACGTACGAATATGAGGCGGCTGTAGCAGGCATTTCGCTGAGTCTGAGGATTCGAGAGACTTACATGACTGACTGAATGGAATTATGGGGTTTAAGTGTTCGGCGCAGCAGCTAGCTAGGCACCGACGAAGGACACGGGAGAAGACAAGACGAGGAGATAGAAAAAGAAACGACGATGGGAGCATCGGGCGTCAACTCGGGGTGTGATTGTAGATGCCGCATCGTCTAGGAGCTGATCTTGTCCAGTGAGGTGACGTCCAGCGAATCTTTGTTGGCGACAGAGGCATATCATCTGGTCCAGACTGGTCGTTGATGGTGATATGAGCCTCCGTGCCAGTTCTAGGCCCCAGGTCGGGGGTTCTAGACTTGACAAGGCTGGCGAGGGTGTTGATCACATGCGGTTATATCATGCTTGGGAATCGCGACATTTAGTGAGGATGACGGGAGATGGTTCGTTGTGATGGTCAATATCGATGATCTCTTTGGTTGATATTCTGTGATTGATCCAAGTGTTGTTTGTGATGGATGACATGGCTTCAATGGTGTCAAGCGGCTACCCGGACACTCCTCGTAGTTTGATCGAGAACGGTGGCGCAGACTCATCAATGATAAATTAAGAGGCTGTGAGATGCAAAGCCACTGTCGCCAGTCATGTCCATCTTTATTTTACACCTAAGCCTTCACGCTGTGGATAAAATAAACCAAGATAAAAGACGCGTTGGGCAGCATGTCCGGAACCTGTCTCCCACATATCTCAAATTGAGAAATGATCGGCAGGCTGCTAATGGGTGTATGCCTAAGGCCATAAACACCATGAAGCCGTTCACACATCTTAATGAGGAAGGCAATAGGCGCTGACGGTCGATCTTATGTCCGAATAAGGCACTGAATCCCTGGTAAGGCATAGCCGGCTAATGGAAGCGCCCGTCTGGTCGACTAAACTTCATATAGCAAATGCGGGGGATCGAACCACAGAAGCAAACCTCGGTGAAGCTGCCGACTGCCGACGGAGCGACCCAACCTCGGGGAGTGGCTGCCAACGGGGGGTTTAAAAGTAGTCAAAAGCATGACGCTCGTCCTGAATTCATCAAATATCGAACACCCGGACGAGTGAATTGGATCTAGTATAACCATGGCTGCAAACCAACAGGGTAACGCCTACGTCCTAGGCGTCGGCATGGCGGCTTTCATCAAGCCCCGTGGCACGCGCATGTATACGGAGATGGCTTTCGAAGCAGGCGTCAAGGCCATGTTGGACGCTCATCTGACGTACGACGACATCGAGGCCGGCATTGCCTGCTACACCTCTGGGCCTACCTGCACCGGCCAACGGGTCTTCTACCAGTTCGGTATGACAGATATCCCGATCTACAACACGAACAATGCCTGCGCGACCGGCTCAACGGGTCTGCATCTTGCTCGCACGTTCGTGAAATCCGGCTCTCACGACTGTGTTATGGTCGTTGGATTCGAGCAGATGAATGCTGGGCCCTTGGTTAGCAACGTTACCGATAGACCGACACCGTTCGACCTGAGCATGAATCTACTAGAGAAGACAAAAGGGAAGAGCAAATCGCCTAAGAATCCCTATATGTTCGGCAATGCCGGCTTAGAGTACATGGAGAAGTACGTACCATCCACACATCGCATCTTATACTAAACCCATTGATTTTAATATCGATCAGATATGGCGCTACGGCCTGTGACTTCGCCGAGATCGCTCGCATCTCGCACGAACACTCGTCACGCAACCCCTACGCCCAGTTCCGCACCGTCTACACATTAGAGGAAATCAAACAATCCCCGATGATCCACTACCCGCTCACCAAGCTCCAATGCTCGCCTACATCCGACGGCGCCGCGGCTGCCATCATCGTGTCGCAGAAATTCCTGGACGCACGACCAGAGCTGAAAAGCCACGCCATCCTGATCGCCGGCCAGTCTTTAAAGACAGACAGTCCGGCCCTATACTCTGGCAGCGCTATCGACCTCGTCGGATACGACATGACAGTGCGAGCGACGAAAGCCGCACTAGCCGAGGCCGGCACCTCGCCTACGGAGATCAAGGTCTGCGAGCTCCATGACTGCTTTTCAGCGAATGAGCTGATATCACTTGAAGCGATGGGATTCTGCCAGAAGGGTAAGGCTCACCACCTCGTTCGGAATGGAGACATCACGTACGGTGGAAAGGGTCCCATCGTCAATCCGTCCGGCGGGCTGATTTCCAAAGGTCATCCGCTAGGCGCAACGGGTCTGGCGCAGTGTGCGGAGTTGACCTGGCAGCTGCGCGGATGGGCGAACAACGGTCGTCTCGTCAAGAATATCGATGTTGCTCTGCAGCATAACCTTGGCTTGGGGGGTGCTATTGTTGTGACTGTGTATAAACGCGCCGATGGCAAGAAGAACCCTGACGTGGTGGTCGATGAAGATGTTGCGAAGTTCAGTGGGTTGGGGTATAACCCTGCCGTGGAGGCGAGATATATTACACCGCAACAGGCGCACTCAGTACGCAGTAAAAAGGCGCCGTGTGATTATGCTTTATCGAATACTGTGGATTTGATTGCGGCGAGATTGTAGTTAGGTTCTGTATGCTTATGCATAGGCAATTACGATAATTACACAAGCCAATGGAAATTATAGTTGAGACTATATTCTTCATCAGAAATAAACATGGCTAAATTTCATCAAGGACAGGGAGTTAGACTAGAATACACGAATACACTTCTTTTTTTCCGTACAAAATTGAAGAATGGCCTCTCCGTGAGTGACCTTTCCCAGGTGATATAGCCTGGTTCGACAATATTTATTGTACTAGATTGATCAGCCAGGTGTTATCGCAAGAGGAAATCCGTGAAGTGTCACCCATTGCTCGCAAGAAAGCAGCACAGGTTATTATTCCTAGAGAGTGTTTCTATATGGATACTGACTCCTCGCAGCAACTGCTGTCACTCTGGCAACAACATTGACATACTACGAATCCCGAGCCAGTATAGGGCGATGAGGTATTAGTAGCTGAGCCGTTGACGGCTATACATCTCACAATGCATCTTAGATTGTATACTGTCTCGTTCAGCTCGGCTGCGAGATATGTCGAGCATTTGTACTAGGAAGATGTCGTAGAATGGAGAGCTTACCTACAATTTTACTAAAGGTAAGCAACAGTGTAGAGCATCATGATGAATCATCAACTAAGGTCTGATCTGGTCTGATCAGTTCAGATGGTGTTCTCCAGCCGGAGGATATGAGGTTCACAGTGAGAACATACCCGGAACACCTTACAGCGGGGATCTTGTTCACCTGCTGTAGGCGTACCTAAGCGATGGTTGGCATTTAATACTTTCTTTTATTCGAGTATATCGTCGACCGTGCGTTCTAGATGAGCTCTTATTCGCAAATTTCTATCACTCCGTAACAATAATACACTTTCCCGAACTGGGAGTGCCACGGCCGGAGCCATCACAGATGCAGATTCTCCTACTGTGCTATCTAGCAGACCCGATTTTACAATGTTGTCTTTTCTTTTATTTTCGCGTTTATATAACCGTCAACACGGACAACTAGAGACGTTTCCCCCTGTATACCAGGACAGATTCACATGCCCATTCTATAATACCCCTGACACTGGACTACCAGCAAGAATACGCACCATGGATCTACATGCTGCGGGCTGTCTAGATTGGATGATCGGTTTTTCCTGCTGTTGTCTGCAGCGTACATCCTAAGCTTAAAATGAAGCAGAAGCCCATTGGCTGCATGACCTCTTCATTGCATTTGGCCCCATCATGCTGGCTCTGACTGCAGCAACACCACATACATACAAAAGATATCTAGTTAATACATATTTGTGATTGACTCATTTATTATATCGCTCTGTCAATGCTTTTCGGGAAGATGTGAACAGAATAACGTTGGTATAAGGGTCAATCTAACAACAGTTTTGCATGTCTTACCATACTCTACGCAGCCACCCCCTGTTCGTGGAACCATATCTACAAAACTGCCTGTCTGACGATACTGTCCTTTTTGACAAACTGCATCTGCAGATTTGGCTATACGTCCGTTTAAAGCTCTAAGGCTCCCTGGCATGTGAAATTCTGTCCGGAAGTGCAACCGACTGATTTTGATAACGCCCCTTTGCAATCTTCACGTATCTTATGTCGAGGGCTATTATGACTTTCCATCTATACTTTTATATACAGATGGAGAAACTGGGCAAGTCGATAGAGGTACAACAGCGGAGTGCTGTGGTCAATGGCCGAGTCAAGACTGTCATCTACCCTGTATAATTCTGTCACAATGCGATTATGAGAGTGCCATACATCACCGTACTCCAGTGGAATAGTGCACTCTGGTGACGATTGCTATGCCTAAGGTCATTGAGCGAGACCAACAGAGAACCTCATTCCCTGGCCTTCTCCAATTGTCAAACATACGTAAACCACGGTCTGCCCTGCGGACTAGCCCAGGTCGCCTCTTATCTGGATCTAGCCGTTAAACGAGCCAGCGGTGGCGTCCGAATGGATGTGCAACTTTATCGTCCAGTATCCAAAGGTTAGCATCCACATGGCAGTCTCGTTCGGGGAGAGGACATGCCATGACATGATGGGGGATACTGCGCGCGGGAATGAAGGTGACTAACTGATTCTTGCTCTAGACTTGAATCTAAGGGAAATAAACGCGACGTCGCTTAATCCCTGCGTGTCGTGAATCATTCTCAAGTAATAAAAAGTGGATGTACGCTTTCACAAACTCTATTCTATAGATAATATAAATCTGGCATTTGGTTTCTGCTCTATGACGCCACTCCAGCTAACGGTTTGTTTCCATAATCAGTGTGGGAATTGTGGCTTGTTTTGATGAGGCATTTCAAGTCCTTTTCAACCAAGGTCCTAGGGACATTTGCGGTGACACGGCATGATAAAAGATAAACCGTTTTCTGTCAGTTGAAAACATTCTAACTTCTTGGGGAAGGTTCTTATTTAAAGCTTGCTATACTAAACATAATCTGCATGATTTTTTAAACTTAGAGTTAATTCAGGAATCAGGAATCCTGCAGGGATCGGGAATCGGGAATCGGGAATCAGGAATCAGGAATCTCTGTAAGCAGGTAAATAGACTCCGTAGAGCTATAGTAGTTAAAATATGTAAATCTAGAATAATTATTCAGTATACAAGCAGCATGTAGTTATTTATATGCATTAATATTGATCCTAACTTGTTTCTTTCGGAAATATATTTGGTAGCTTATTCACATGACCCAACCGCGTGTAACTGCTACTTTAGGAATGGTCGAGTGTCACATTTAGTCCCGGCCGAACCGTTGCCAAGACCGAAAAATCTCCATGCTTAGCTCTGCACTAATGAATAATTGGAAGGGAATGTACTGTGTTTGAATACATAGTATTCTCTAATGAAGAGAGATGATCATTCCAAACTTTTATCTGGGTATATCAAAATCCGAGACACCGTTCGCCGATCCAACACCGCTTCGACAGGAGAGTCTCGAACTCAGCCCATTAGGAAAAAGTTAAAGTATTATACAAACATAATGTCATGACAAGAAAAAAAAAAACCGGGATGTAATTCAGTAACAGGATTCAGTATTCCATTACTTTGTAGGTCTCCACATCCCGTTTGGGGGTAGGTTTTGCTTTAACATGGCCAATTCCTTGTGAAGAATCTTGTTCTCCTCCTGCAGCTCATGCATATAGGCGATGGCGTTGGTCAAGATTTCCGACTTCTTTAACGAGGCTGATCCGCCCTTCGTCTGCTTCTGGATTCCGCCGGACATGGCCTTCTCCAGGGCCACAAACTTGGCATTCATGTTGGTTCGGTACCGCTTCTCGATGATGTTGTGCGCGGCACGCTTGGCGGCGTTGCGTCCCGATGTGGCGCTCCCGCTCGTGCTGGCATGCGAATCCCCGGATAGACTTCGGGCCATCTTGCGGTTGGATGTGGGCGGAGACGAGGGGGCAGGTTGCGGTGAGGTGATGACTGGGGCGGAGTATTCTTGGGGGGTGATTTCCGGACTGGATGACCACCTTGTTGCTGTTATTGTCGTTGCAGACTCGCGGGGGCTTGGTTGGGGGTTGGTCCTGCGACGAGCGGAGGACCTCGTGTTGGGCTGGGGCAAGTCTGCGGGAGTAACGTAGGTGGGAGACCAGGACTGGTCGTCGCTTTCGAGGTCCTATCGCATGGTATTAGTTCTGTAATCGCGGCTGTAGCGATGGAATCGGCGGACATACCGAAGACATGGAGGCACAGTCTTCACCGGAATGGTTTGAGATGGTGAAGCCACTGATGTCCGGCGGGGGAGCGAAGAAATCGGCAGGGAATCCCTTGGGATCCATCATATCATTGGGGATCTCCAGAGGGAAGGTCTCCGGCAACATTGTGTTGAGGGAGAAGAGATCGATGGCGCTGTCGTAGTTCCAGTTGCTTGACAGGGGGTCGGGACCCTTGGGAGCGGGAAACGGCTCACTAGGACGCTGTATCGGACTATGATGGCTCATGTAGATCCGATCGTCATCGTCCAGGGTGAAAGACGTGGAGTATGCTTAGGGTATGCCATGGTCGTTGTGTTCTAGACTAGGCAAGCAGGGATGGAGTGATGATGGTGGTGTGCAAGAGTAGAAGGATTCCAGAGGCAAGAGGCCAGGAAATATATAATGATGATAGTGAAATGGAAGTATGATCTTGAAATAGAACGGATCTGAAGATTCTTAATCGAGCATGCTCGAGGGGTCTTATAAAGACCGTGCAGCTGCCAGAGGAACCAGAACCCAGCCGAGGTGCATGATGTAATGAGCTAAAAAAATAAGTAAATAAAAATACTAATAATAATAAGAAGAAACTGACTACCATTGATCCGATTCATTAGGTAGTCGGGCTATTTCGCCTGCACCGCTCCAGGCCAGCTGGGTTCAATCCACGTCACGACAAAAGGTATCCAGAGAAAGAGGATCTTTGCCCGGTGAAGCGCAAAACTGAGATCACCCCAGCCGGATGGCAGACATCCAGACTCGGCCGGCTCCGACGAGAGTGTCATGTGTCCAGTCAGGAGTCAGTAGCAGGAATAACGGGCAGAAGCGCAGGAGAGACGGGACCGGTGGATCTAGATGATCGATGCACAACCGTTGCAGGGAAGAATCGGAAGTGTTGGGCGCCAAGCCTCGCCGGCCGACTCTCGGCTCCGATTTCTCCCTTCCCTTGCCTTTTTGGGCCCTGAAACACGGCGGAAATGATTTTATCCCTGGGTTTGGTTTGGTTTCTCTTCTTTTCTTCTCTTTATTTTTTTTTTTGGCTTCAGTGGCGGCCGTTGTTGGGAATTACTGTTGCCTCTTAGGGAAGGGTCTCTCAATACTAGTCATAATGGACAAGTTGAATGCTAATGGAGCTGAATAGACTATGACATGTGACATGGAGACATCTTCGTACCTGTTGGACCAATTGGTGATGTGTTACTGTATTCAGACCCCAGTTCCTTGTCCATATTGCGCCTCTAAAATCAGACGGAATAATCCAGATGTTCCATGCCCCCATTCCGTGCCTGCAGTTAGGGGACGTAACACTGAAAAGGCCCTTCATCTCACAAAGTACTGTGCAGCACCGTAGTGACCTCATCCTCCAATCATATCCACCGTATTAGCGATTACCATAGCACTCCCTACCCTGTTTGCAAATTCTTCATTTTTCTACTGGTCCTCTGGCACTGCTTAGTTTGACACAAACAAATTGTGGATTAGACATTGGTTAGTGGAGACATAGGATCAATTCGGAGAATATCGAGCATCTGAGCATAGGGGTAGGTCTCTATGTATCAAAAAGCATCCCATAATGACTCGTGACCGATCTGGTGATATCGGGAATGCCATCGCCTTTCCTGCTCGAGAGGTGAAACTTGATATTCTCCTTAACTAGATGGCTTAGCTTGCCCGATTCGTCTACTAGAGCGAGATACGATGGCTAGTACTGAGGACTAGCCGTTACTAGAAAACAGACTATTAACCCACCGATTCTGACTGGCCGGACAGATAGCCTCGTCGACTAAGGTTCTGTTGTCCCAACGGCCTTCCAAGCCGGGCCGGATGCCGGAGTCCAGAGTCTCTTACAATGCCACCAGTGGTGTGATCCGGTAAGGCAGGATGCCAAAATCTATGTCCACCTGAACTCTGAGAGTGTTATTGATGTGCGACTCACCCGAGATATCGACCGAGAGATGCATGACCATCCATCCGAGATGAGGGCTGTGTATGTCCAGCTGACAAATTTTACTTGAAGTGTAGTGGTCAACTTGGAGGATTTGCTGAATGTGAACATTATTGTGAGCAGTTAGTAGTTTGCAATGCATGTATTTTCCAGGCGCGGGTCAGCCCTAAAGTACGGAGTACTATAGGGGTACGTATTCCAACTCCGTGTCCATGTTTGCTAACGGCATGTTAGGGCACTTTACTAATTGATCTAGCCGCTTTTTGAGACGTGACTAGTCTTGATGTGCATTCCTTCGTACATAAACCTGGAAAACGGTGCACAGTCGTGTCTGCAGCCCCGCTGCCCAGACCGCGGCAACTCCCTTCCACGACGAGCAGTCTGCCACCTCATTCCGTCCGATCGATTGTTTCCCCTGTAGCAGGGTGAGTATCCGGCTGCGCAACCCTGGACACCTAACTGCGCGAAAATTTGCCAGGTTGAGTATGCAGAACTATGACAGGATATCAATGTCCTAAACCTGATGAGGCCACTGTCCTCATAATTCCCGGTTTGAAAGTCTTCAGTAGATCCAGACAAGCTCTGACCACTGCAAATCAGACAGCGGGACGGCACTTCCCCAGATCGAAGCGTGAGATCAGATCAGACCAGACTTCGGCAGGCTACCGTCGGATGTACTATGCCAAAGGATGCTAGAGCCGTGGATACCGTCGCTGAGCAACGGGATGAAATGATTGCGCAGTGACGCGGCCGAGCGGGAGGAGCTAGGGTTGCCTGACTCGCACGAGCACGCAGATCTCTATTCAGGTTCGTCTATGTACTCCGTACAGTAGTCGATTGCTATTCATCTGCAACCCCTCTCTTACCCCGCCATCCCACCTCACCGAAAAAGCTCCCTCACTGTTATCTCGAAGCTCTCTGGTATTCGACCCAATATCTCCCCTAGAAGCGGCGACACGACGGCAGCCTCACTGTGGCGAATCACCTCCCAGGTCGTCGCCCACTCCCTCGCCAGATCAACCATATGATACGTATGCTTGGAACCTTACTGCGGCAAACGTACATACTCACCGACCAAAATCTGACAGATACCCACGGGACGACCCACCACACGGGCTAGAACCTCTGCGGTTTCATTCAAGGACAAGACGCGTGCCCCGGAGAGCAGAATCCGCTGATTTAGGTACGCGAAGCGCGCGGGATCCCGCACGTACGAAACGGCCAAAGTTGCCGTGGCCTCGCCCAGCTCGTCGCGCTTCACCCAGGCGATACTGGGAGCGGAGTCGCCGTGCGGGATGGCAATGTCCTCGAGCGGGTTTTCCAGGTCAATCGGAGTAGAGTCCCTCGCGGATGGAAGTAATGTGAATGCGATTTAGTCCCGTCGGTCGGCGAGATACTTCTCGCTGGCGAGGTGGGCCCCACGTGCGCTACACTGGAGACTTCCAGCTCGCCGCCGAAGCCCAGGGATGCGTAGAAGATGTGTTTAACGTCACTGCTTAGGGCGATGTCGATGGCATTTCGATGGGCTTGACATCGTCAGTGATGGATGGATAAAGTGGAATGCGGGAGTGTCTAACTTGACTCGATAGTTAATTTCAAAGGACGCGTAGGAGATCCGCATCAACACGTCGACTCCATGGAAGACAGCCTCCAGGTATGAGGGGTCCTCATAGTCAGCCCGTCGACGGTCGCCGCAGCTTGTTTCAGAGGATCCAGGGTCTCGGGTCTGCGGGCAATGAGGATCAAGTCGGAGGCGGGAACTAATTTGATCAGATGGTGGATGATGCTGGTTCCTAGACCGCCAGTGGCGGGGAAGACTCCGATTTTAGCCATGTATGAGTTTATTTGAATGTTATCGTCAGATAGAGCATGGTCTGGGTTTATATACTGGGGTCAGAGTTGGGTGCATTATATTTTCCTGCGCTGGCAAATTATAACTGTACTTGAATCTTACAAATAGAGTCTTGAAGTAAAGTATGTTAGATATTGTCGAATCCCCGGTGCCAAACTGAGGAATTCTCAATCTCCGTGGACAGACAGGATGTCTCCATTGGAGGTGCTGTAGAGTTCCTGTTCGAGGAAAGTTGCTCGAAGTTCTTTAGAAATTTTCCTTTTCGGGAATACGTACTCCATATTTCAGTGATAAGGCGACTGCCAATTCCACAACATTGTTCGCTATTTTCACAGTATCTCCTACTTAGTCCGCTACGGAGTAATAACAGCTTGTGTTCTAATGCAAGAGGGCAAAGAGATTGGATCCAAATGCCTTGGCAACATTTTAGATGAATTGATCAAAATGAGGTGAAATAGTTGAAGTTCGTGTGTGCAAGTTGCGCGAAATTTGTGCTGGAGCGAAACACGAGTGCAAGAAATAATAAATACGGCAGATATGCCACCTGCGGGGTAACCCAAGGCGGGTTCTTTGCCTTTCCTTGATGTGCTGGCTATATTTCCTTTACCTAGCTCTGTTCGGTTCCGTACAGGAAGTCTGAACAAGGGAATTTATTTTTAAAAGACAGTGTGGTATTTTAGTTGCCATCTTTAATACAGGTCTTTTACTGTGAATCTTGGAAAATGCTGCTATGTAGCTTACCAAACGAATTAATTCTTTTAATTGCGAACCACTTGGAATCAGAGGGAGATATTGATGCTTTTGTCCAAACAAACCAGCACATTCACACTCTCCTCGATGACTATCTTTATCAACATAATGTCCAACAACTTGGAAGCTCTGCATTACTATGGGCAGCGGAATACGGGCGAGAAACAACGACAGAAAAACTGCTAAGAGCGGGCGCTGATGTTCAAACACAAACAGACCTCGGTGACACACCATTGTGCATGGCTGCTAAAAATGGATGTCTGGCAGTGACCAAGCTACTGCTTGAGAATGGTGCCACTCCATATTCAAAGAACAGGCATGGTGAAACACCATTGTTGCTAGCAGCAGCGTATGGGCACAGGACAATATTCAAGCTACTACTCTCCAATAATTACCACGATCTTGATGTGAAGGACAGGCGCGGCCAGACGGCTTTATCGCGGCTCTCAGAACTGGGGTGTGAGGTGGGGGTTGAGTTATTTCTCGGTATCGAGGGGGTCGACCCAGATTCCAGGAACAATTTTGACGCGACGCCGCTGTCATATGCTGCATTCAAGGGCCATGTGGGAGTAGCGAAACTTCTGCTTTCTAAAACTAAGTACCCCGACATGAAAGACTCTAAGGGTCGAACACCCCTGTTTTGGGCAGCACGTCAAGGTCATGCGGCATTAGTAAGACAATTGCTTGCAGCAGGTGTTGACCCGGACCCCAAGGATAACAATGACCAAACACCACTATCGGCGGCTGCCGAATGGGGACATGTGCTGGTAATCCGAGAACTACTCAAATCCGATGGTGTTAACCTGAACACTGAAAACTCTATCGGCCAAACCCCACTGTTTGTCGCGGCTGAGAGTGGTCGGTATGAGGTAGTTAAGGTTTTACTTGAGACGGGTGACATAAATCTAAACTCCAAGGATAGTTCAGGCGCAACACCACTCTCTATAGCTGCATTTCGGGGACATGAAACTGTAGTAAAACTACTCCTTGCGAAGAGTGGTGTGGACCAGGACTCCAAGACCATTAATGGTCAAACAGCTCTGTCGAGGGCCGCATACAGAGGAAATCATGCAATAGTGAAACTACTGCTTGAAAAAGGAGGAGTCGACTTAGATTGCAAGGATGACTTTGGCCAAACACCACTTAGCATAGCCGCATCTCAAGGACACCAAGCTGTGGTGAAGCTGCTTCTCCAGAAGGGCTGTATGGGGCCAGACCCCACAGATAACAAATATTGCTCGATACCATTATTAAATGCTGCTGCAGCCGGACATGAAGCGGTAACTAAGCTACTGCTTGCCACTGCCAAAGTCGATGTGAACTTAAGGGATAAAAACGGTTGGACGCCTCTGCTAATGGCTGCAATTAACGGAGACCTAGAGATTACCAAGCTCCTAGTTGTAACAAGGGGCATACTCTTAGATCCTAAAGATGATTTCGGTCGAACGCCGCTCTCATGGGCTGCTGGAGAGGGGTATGACTTAATAGTAAAAGAGCTACTAGCAGCATGCAGCTTTGAATAAAAGCACAGGCCCGAAACAGCGATAAGTGGTGTCAAATTTGACGGTATTTATATGAAAAGAGTCACCAATGTGGTTTCCCCTGACGACAAAGGGCAGCAAAGCCACGTTGATGGCAGCCACCAGTCCCGCAAGCGTCCACTGTGGTCAGATATCCAAATCGTTTAGTGCTACCGTCGTTATCACCTGATGTTTAACACCAACACAGCGAAATATAAGAATAAGAAATAAGAAATAAGAAACGCTTGTAAATCATTCGACCCCACGTGGTTTCTGCGTTCACGTGAGGATGTGTGTGCGTCGTGTCTGCGTCGGGTGCTTACCGCCATTCGCATCCTGGTGCTGCTACATGGCTAACCATGCAGACTAGCGCGAAACAGGGATATTACTATTTAAATAATGTGACCTGTATATAAAGGTAATTAAAAATAATGCCTACTCTCTCGCCACTCCTCCTGGCGTCTCTCCACAGACTTGGCAAGAGACGACGCTTCACCAGTTCAACCATCGCCCTTGGCGTCCGCTGCGCCAGGACATTAGCTACTTCACTCTAGGTGTATATACCCCTGGCAGGACACTTGGTATTGGATATGTGATCGATGTTGTGAGCAAGCCTGTGGTAGGTGGATTAGGTCTCTGTAATCAGAGGGTGGTATTGTTTTTTATTTACAAGAACTAATAGTTATTTCTACTTGCCTGGCTAGACTAGCTGTGGAACGCTAGTCGCGACATCGTGTTTTTTATTCTTAGTGTGCACGGTCATGGCTGCCCACTTAATACAGGACTGGTAATAGTTACTGTGAAAAGACATACCTGTAAGATTGTAACAGTAAAATATAACTTTGCTATCTACTTTAACAGAGATGTATTAATACTTTCCCTATATCCGCCCGTTGCGAGTGACTGTATTAAATATACTGTGGTGGAAATACTTTCCCTAGGCAGGAGTGCTACCCTTTTACCAGCGCTACTTAAAAAGCTATTCTTACTGTAGCATCTTGCTAATACCGTTTTTAATAGCTACCAGGGGCTTACTTTGGCCTGTGCAGTACTGGACCTGGCTCTGCTAGTCTTTATCCATGGCCAGCTTGGACGTTGGATGTCATGCGGGCCAGGCCATATATTCCTTTTCTTTGGTGTAGTGAACTATCTTTCCATAAGTATATGCTTACCAGTGCCTCCAGCCCTCACAGTTCAGGGCCACATTCATGTTCTCGATTTCACCCGTTTTGCCTGGCACTAGCAGTGTCTGGGTGTACAGGGCGCGTTTGTGGAACTGGAGTTTTCTCACATCGTGGAATTTTAGGTTGCCTCTCGCCACCTGAAGCATCATTCCAGTGACAATTTGATAGTATGGTTCCTTTCCCAGAGTGCTCGCTTCCACTAGTTGCTGTATCCAGGTTTTATCCAGTGATACTTCAATGTATGCTTTTGCCGTAGCTTTGAAGTCTACCGCCATGCTTTTATAGTTCAAGTCGAGTGACATTCCTGTGGAAAGAGAGGCCTCTCTATAAAGCTTTTTCTATTGAATGGATGTTATGGTTGCTTTGATATCAACGGAAAGAGCGTCTTTCGGAATCAGCCGGGTTTGATGAACGTAGGGTACCAACTGAATGGGCTTATACACCACAACTTCGCCGTTTACCCAGGAAGTCATGGGAAGTGTTAGTGGATACCTTGGGACCTGGGGCATGGCAGCCTCAACGACTCCGATGTCTTTCAGGTGTTTTGTGATAATGGGAACTCCCTCCTGGGATCCATTATACAGTCTCAGCCAGCCACACACTCAGACTAGCCGTATCAAGAAAGACATGATTCCGTTTCTCTTTCACACCTACTTCCTTCCCATATTGTGCTTTTACTTGGCGGAGTCCAGACCACGCATACGAGAGTTATTCTCTGGTGATACAATAAGAGACCCGCTGAGTATGTGTGTGGAGGGTTGTGATATCAACACTTGAATACGGTATTCTTTCATAGCCTTCTCCAATTCAGTACTCACACATAAGTCTAGCCTGGGTAGACCGTCATCTCAGACTTGGAAGCGCTGGAATGGAGAACCCCAGCCCAGCTGAGTCGAAATTCAATACGACTCCTTTGTCGACCTTGGTGAGTCACTACAGTATTATCAAGGCTAGATAGATGACACTCTTCCTCCACGAGACTTGTGGCAGTACTTGGAAACAATCAAAAAAGATAAATATATGAAGTTACTATACATATTTTTTAACATGCATGGAGTCCTGCGGAAGACTCGGACTACAGTCGGAAATATCCAATTAATTCATTTTTTTTTTTTTTTTTTTTTGGAATATTTAAGGATCAAGATATAAGTCCAAACCACACTAACACTGAAATTGACAACGTTGAGGTATTTACAATGAGATCTTCTGATATTGCTCCGATGGATTGTTGCCTGACGCCTTCACTCACATAGTGACATCAGTGAGCGACATCCCCGAGAGGATCGGCGAAATTATTAGACGCAAGTGTCCAAAGTACTCTGGAATACTCCAAAGTTAGGGATGTTAACAAAAGTTACGTCATCTACTAGGTACTCTGTCCGCGTTCCACATCTTCCGGCATAACCGTTATGCCGAGAAATAGTCTATAGAGAGGATAAATTTCTCATGTTTACCCTCGTATTCTAACTAACTAACAATTCATTTACTCGAGATGAAAGATCAAATTATAGCTCAAACTCGGCCACTTCTGGGGCGTGCAGTGTCACTACTCCACCAGCCAAGTCCAGTTCTGTAAGAATAGTTCATTCATCTGGACAGAAAAACGATCACGACTAACACAGATAGATCCGGAATCGGAGCAACAGCATGTGCAATTATCCTCTTTCACTTCGTCCGACAATCCTACCGTCAAATATGGGGCCATGGTCCTATCGGATCTGCCAAACGACTATTCAAATGCATCAAGAGCTATCTATACGGGTTATCTCTAGCCCTGCCATCCATCCAGAAAAAAGTCGACTCCGAAGTAACCGACGCAGTCACCAAAATGACAGCCAAGTTCATGCCGGAGGACTCCAAGATACATCGATTCACGACGCTTCCCGCCAACGGATGGGACAACGAAGAAGTCGTAGCCGAACTGGAGAAACTCTCCAGCATGGAACACGTCCGCTGGGAAGACGGACGAGTTAGCGGAGCAGTCTACCATGGCGGACGCGAAATGATTGAGCTTCAAAATAAAGCTTACGGGGCATTCACCATTGCGAATCCTATCCATCCGGATGTCTTTCCCGGTGTGCGTAAGATGGAGGCCGAGATTATCTCAATGGTAGGTCCAATCCATGTATAGAAGAGAGAAGGTAAATAATGGATAGGCTCTTGCGCTGTTTCACGCACCGAATGATGCCGCGGGTGCCACTACGAGTGGAGGCACCGAATCGATCCTCGCGGCCTGTTTGGCTGCTCGTGAGCGAGGTCGCATTGAAAAAGGTATTCGGAAGCCAGAGATGTACGCACTTACTCTAAAAGCCTGGCGTTTACAGGCTAACAAGTTAGGATCATTCCCACTACCGCGCATCCGGCGTTCCGGAAAGCCGGCCATTATTTCAACATCCAAATCCACGAAGTCGACTGTCCTGCGCCGTCGTACCAGGCCGACGTGCGAAAGGTCTCACGGCTTGTGAACAGCAATACGATCCTCTTAGTTGGTTCGGCACCCAATTACCCCCATGGAATCATCGACGATATCACTACACTCTCCCGCATTGCTGAGTCACGAAAGGTTCTCCTGCATGTCGACTGCTGCTTGGGGTCGTTCATGGTGTCAATTCTAGAGAAAGCCGGGTTTGACAGCGTGCCGTTTGATTTTCGGCTGCCCGGGGTGACGTCCATCAGCTGCGATACGCACAAGTACGGGTTCGCTCCGAAGGGCACCAGCGTGATCATGTACCGGACGAAGCAGTTACGGTCATACCAATACTACATCGCCCCAGACTGGTCCGGAGGAGTGTATGCATCGCAGGGGATGATGGGATCGCGCGCGGGGGCTCTCCTGGCGGGCTGTTGGGCGAGTATGGTGAAGCAGGGGGAAGCGGGATACATCGAGGCCTGTCGACGGATTGTCGGCTGTACGAAGCGAATTGAGAGGACACTCCGCGAGGCACCCCTGGGTGATCATCTCCAGGTGATCGGAATGCCGATGGTCAGCGTGGTCGCCTTTACAAGTGCTACTGTGAATATCTGGCACATTGCTGACGAGATGAGTGCGCGGGGGTGGCATCTTAACGCCCTTCAGGATCCTCCGGCTATCCATATCGCCGTGACGCTACCCATTGTGCAAGCAGCCGACCAGCTGCTAGCTGATCTACAGGAGGTGGTAGAGGCAGAAGTTTCGAGGATTGATAGAGGGGAAACAGGCCAAGGAACGCCGGGCAATTCTTTTGCATTATATGGGGTGGCTGGCAGCATGCCCAACAAGGGGGTTGTGGTCAAGTTGATCAGGGGATACTTGGATTCTCTGTACTCTGCATAGCACTAGATTAATTCCAGACGTCTATAAATCTACGTATGTTCTCAATAGCGCCGATAATCTACATTCTCGGCCCGGACCCGCCAGCGAACCTCGGCTCAACGCGGTCGAACCAATTCGCCGAAGAATTCTGCGGATGACTCCGGACATCATTCTTGACGTCTCATAGAATAGTATCCCCCATGCCCAGAAAGACTGCGTGTCTATCATGTCGATCGAAAAAACTTCGCTGCGATGGACAGACACCGTGCAGCACCTGCAGTCGTCTCTCGCTTGACTGCCACTATGCCACCCGACGGAAGACCGGGCCCCCGAAGGGGTATTTGAAGGGTCTACAATCGCGACTATGTATGTATCCACAAAATAAGCTAATAAACTGGTATGACGTACTGATCTGGATAGTCCGAGCTGAGCAGATACTCGAACGTCACGGTGGTGAACTCGGCCGGACGAGTGATATCCCATCAGATCATGTATGCGGTTCTCCGTCTCCCCGTCAAGAGAATACATCAACGGCGACAGACGAAAACCGCGTAGTGTCTGGTGCTTCTGAATGTGATGTAAATTCTGGAGGTCGGCCAGATCAGCGTGAAGGCGTGTCTGTACCACGCGGGAATGATTCCCAGGCCAGTTTTCCTTCCTTGGAGATCACGGATGAACTGTAGGAATCCCCAAGCCAGTATTCAGTATCAATGCCTCCATATGTATGGCTTCTGACAAGTCAGGCATCGCATCTACTTCCAAAAAGTCCACCCTACCATCCCGATTCTTCATGCTGCAAGGTATTTGAATAGTGTATCCGTCTCCACTGGTTGGAATCCCCCCTGCTGTCTGCGATACATGATGTGGAGTCTCGCCGCCGCAGCATCAGAGCAATACTCCCAGCGAGCTGAGGAATTCTATCAGACCGCTAGACGTCACGCCCATGAAGATGAGATGCACGGGTACGGAGAATCAGTGGTATCGGTTGCGCAATGTCAATCATGGATCTTGATCAGTTCCTACGAGATCAAACACGCTTTGTTCCCTCGTGCTTGGTTGAGCGTGAGCAAAGCCGTGCGAGTTGCTCAAATGCTGCAACTTCATCGGCTTGATTCCTCCGGGGTGAACTTGGTGGCAACCCTGATCCAACCTCCCAGGGACTGGACGGACGTGGAGGAACGTCGTCGTGTGTTTTGGTTGACATTCTGTCTGGACAGATTTGTCAGTATGAGTACTGGCTGGCCTATGATACTTGGTGAGAGCGAGGTAAGTTTACTATTCCATGCAAACCCACCTGTGTTTAACTGACCTCGTCCGGCAGATATCAACAAGGTTGCCATCCTCCGAGGACTCCTTCGAGACCGGCAAGTCCGCCAGCACTTGCACTCTGCAGGAGGCGCTTTATCCGGATAAAATCGGATCGCTATCGGCACTGGGAACCGTTATCGTGGTGTCGTTACTTGCCGGACGAAATCTAGCCCACCTACAACAACACATTACCGACGACGCACACAGTCAGAGCGAATTCTGGGCCACCCATCGAAGTCTGGACAGTCTACTCCTCAATCTTGGTCTATATCTCCCCGAACGGCTTCGCATCCCGCACTGCATCGAGCAGCCCAACGCCGTCTTCTCTCATATGATGATCCACGCCCTGACGATATGTCTGCATCAAGCAGCCGCGGACCGCACGCGCAGAAACCCACAGCATGATCAACAAGCCACGACCGAGAATGAAACGAGGTGTTTATCGTCTGCTCTGGCGATTACGAATATCATGAGACTTGCTAGTCATACCGACCTGGCAGCTGTGAGTTCCCGTTTTCCTATTTCTAATGGCGATTCTGATGCTGATCTTGTAGATGCACGTTTTAACACCGTTCTGTATATTTGTAGCTGCCAGAGTGCTCCTCGAGCCTGCGCAGAGTAATTCTCCAGAATATGAATCCCATCGGGACTTCCTGCGCCACGCTTTGCAGGCGATACGGCCACGAAATCTACTCACGGCTGTGTTTCTGATCGGATTCCAGCAGAAGGAACTGGCGCGCAGTGGGATTCATCTTTCTACTGAAGCATTGTTGAACACGCCAGGGTATGACAGGGATCGACCGTCGACGAGATTGCGTTTTGTTAAGGATTTCCAGTAAGTTTATAAGTTTGTCTTAGTACGTGTGGTTGTTCTAACTTATCTAGTCCTATCTATGAAGTCCGCAATGGTGCTACCGGGAGCTCTGCGTCTACCAATCCTGGATATGGTATCGACAGAGGTAGAGATTCTGTTGGACCCGGTCTGACTGGTGAAAATATTTGTGGAGAGGGCCTGATACCGACAGATACGGCAGGGGATTCTAACCCGGATGCCGCGGCATATGTCAACCCGTTTGAGTTGAATCTGCCTGGATTGGGGTTCTTTCCATTTATGGCGTGTTCTTCTGCAATGTTGCCTCTGGAGGACGGTACTTGTTCAGAGTTACTAGGGTCAGGCGATAGTTGATTATTAAATATTGTATAGCTGGATGTATGTCTTTTAAGGATAATTAATTACACCGAATGGCGTAGAATCTAATACACAATTTAAGGGAATTAAAATTAAAATTGAATTGGTTGACGATACCCAAGCTCATTGAGATTGACATCATATTTGAGACATCTCCCGCTTAATTGACAGTTGCAATTTTTATATCACAACTCAGACACTCAAGAACGTCTGCATGATAGAACTATGTCCTATTTGTATGGAAGAATATATCATGCTGCTTCTTAAACACATTATTCGGATCATATTGCATTTTCTCCTTCTGGAGCCGAGGAAGGTTTTCACCAAAAAGCTCCCTGGCGTCCACCTCATGCATGTCCTACACAATTATTCAGTGATTTATCGGAGGGTGTAATAGGGCATAAGGGTAATAAAATATGGGAAGAGGGTGCTGGAATGCGAATGGACAGCATAATACACGGAACATACCTGCATAATTTGCGTAGACTCCCACGCTCTGGTTCAGTTCCATGCTCCTGGAAACGCCGGCACCCTGTGCAATTTTATGCATCAGGTCCTGCTGAATAGATTGCATCTTATGATCCAGTTCAACATCATGCCAGCAAAAAATCGAGCCCGCATTATGATACTTTCCCCGGTTGGCAAACGCAGTGGCGTTGTTGGGCACTTTGATGAGTTCAGTATACGGCACCAACTCAAATACCACTACGTTCTCGCCAGCACCAGGGTAAGTCTTCAGAATCTTGTCGAAATCTTTGTACAGCTCCCGCAAAAACTTCACATCTAATGGAAGAGTCACATTGGTTCCTTTAATCCTTTTGCGTCCTCCGAATTCAGCGGCCCTATATCATCATCGTATTAATTTTCGGGCATGGCATCATTTCTGTTTGATTAAGAACCGGTTCCAGGGATAGAATCGGGGCAAAGAACTGTTCCGCCTCCAAGCGAGGGCCACTATAAAAGAGCACGGCAAAGATCACGGTGCCCTGCATGAGTGGCGGGGCGCAAAAAACCAAAGAAAAAGCTCTCGTTCCCTGTAGCACGCTCCTCAAGCCCATTTGCAAATTCAATAATTTGGGGCAGATGGTCAGGAGTGAAGTATAGCAATCCCCCAAACACCGGATCTACTTGGGGATATACCTTAAAAACAAGCTCTGTGGCCACGCCAAAACTCTGCCCGGCACCTCGAACGGCCCAGAAGAGATCGGGGTTTTCCATGATAGACGCCTGAACAATACTCCCATCAGCTAATACCATTCTCACATGAAGCAGGTTGTCTATAATCAAGCTGTAGTGCCCAGTGAGCCAGCCGTAAACCCCTCCCAAGGTCGTGCCGCCAACGCTAGTATGATTCACTGTGCACCCAACAACCGCAAGCCCAGAGTCAGCCGCAACCTTGTCCACATCTCCCCACTTTGCGCCACCTTCGGCAGCAACGGTTCTTGAAGCCGGATCAACTGTAATCTTAGACATCTGGGACAAGCTGATGACGATCCCACCATGAGTGGAGGACGATCCGCTTGTACTGTAACCTCCACCCTGGACCACAAAGGGAATGTAGCGCTTGGTGGCGAAGCTAACAACTTTGGACGCCTCCTCTGTAGAGGTGACTTAAATTATGGCACCCTGATATATTGTCAGAATTAAATGGAACAAAGGCAGAGGTGCTATACGTACAGCATCTCTCTCACATGGATCACTAAAGCGGCTGATACCCTCGGCATAATTTTCATTCTCGGGAGTAATCACCTCTGCATGCGTCTCTTGTAACTCTTTTTTGAGCTCGAGAGCTTGTCGATACGATAGAAATGGCATGTTCTCTATGATAATCCTTGATTTGGATTCGTATATACATAGACCTATGGATTTTTAATATCGCGACAACAAAGTAGTAACCTTTTATAATAAAAATTGGTAGTTGCCATATGCTGGGAGTTTATTTAACATTCACCGGAGAGTTGTGGCTCCAGTCTCGGAGCCAGGCGCTCTGTTGACCGATTCCACGGCCGTTATATTGTTTCGTCACAGTCTTTGTACTCGGGATGGAACACTTGGAACGTACCACGGGTTCGTGTCAGCCCACTTGGTTCCAGAGCCATCCAATTTCCTTCACCCTCGCACAAGTCGTCCCCCAGCCCCGAGGATACCATGTCCCATATAATAGCCCAGAGGATGAAAGAGAATTAGACATCTTTGCTTCGTTCAATGGACAAAATAAATTGGTTCTTGGAAATAGCAGCTAGGCCGTTTTCTACCATAACTTTCTCTATTCCTTTTGTCTTGTTGGCTTCCAAGTCAAAAGTCCTCAGTAGGGGTGCAGAGGACATCAATACTCAACCGTGGTTCACCAGCTTCGTGTCATTTGCCTAGTTCCCCAAGCCATTCACTCGAGCCGTATCAGCTGACTGAGCATCCTTAAATCTAATAACATATTCTGGTTAGGTTGTTCCAATCCTGGCAACCTGCACATCCGTGGTTTCCAAATTTAGTAGGACCACCCTAATGTGTTGGTGCTCTCTGTTGGCAGGTATCGTGTGAACCGGTTTTCATCGTTGTCATTAGTGTCCGGCGCGCTTCAGCTGTGTCTCTCGGAATTATACACGGTATTGGGGGCGGAGCGGTCTTGACCTTGCTGATCATATCCCATAGTAATCCCACGGAGGACGCTCCGCCAGCAAAGCGACAGTCCAATCCCCAGTAATAGATGGGACAGCAATAAGTGGCATCATCCTGATCCAGACCGAAAGGGCGGAGGCAGTCCACAGCATGGGTACTTCCTGGAGCAAGACATCAGCCACTTTGATGCTCCCTTTTTCTCAGTAACAGCCAAAGAGGCTGCTTCTATGGACCTGATAAAGAGGATGCTGCTCCAAGTATGTTACGAAAGCTTTGAGAATGGTAGGTAATATAACCCTCCAAGTCTGTCAACCAGAAAGCGGTGCTGATTATCTTGTAGCTGGCATCCCCGCCGAGGATTTGATGAACAGCCGTACAGGTTGCTACGTCGGCTGCATGACAAACGACTACGAAATGGTCTTCTTGCACGACATCTATGACATCGGACATCCGGCAGCAACGGGTCTAAGCGAAGCCATGACTGCTAACCGTGTGTCCCAGTTCTTTGGCCATAAGGGTCCAAGTTTGACACTTGACACCGCTTGCAGCTCCTTACTTTACGCTCTTCACCTTGCATGTCAGTCACTTAGGCTGACGAAAACTAATATAGTAGGTTGAGACAGGACACATGTTTAGGCGCGGAATCGATAGCTTACTTGATTTTTATAGTCTCTCGTCACCGGTGTTAACCTTATAATTAATCCTAATACCTTACACTAATTAACTGCAATGCACATGCTCAGCCCTGGGGGTATTTCACACACATTCGATAACCGTGCCAATGGCTATGGCCGTGGTGACAGCATTGGCGCCATGGTGGTTAAACGTCTGTCGGATGCTATGCGCGACGGCGACATTATCCGTGCCGTGATCCGTGGTTCTAGTGTCAACGCCGATGGCAAAACACCCAGTGTTACGCAACCAAGCTCCACAGCACAAGCCGAACTAATCAACCAGACCTACAAGGATGCAGGTCTGGATCTGTCAAAAACAGGGTACTTTAAATGCCACGGCACAGGGACGCCGATCGGCGACCCTCTTGAGCTTACCGCCATTGCTCGCGCAGCGCCACACACATCTAGAGCACAAAACTTTTGCAATTGCAAATTCACTGTCTGAGCTCACAGAAAGGCTCACGAAAGGTCTGCTGGCAGCAACTCGATTACAACGTTATGACAACAACCTCGTTATAGTATTTACCGGTCAGGGTGCTCAGTGGCCGGCAATGGGTCACGAACTTTTCGTGAACCCCATCTTCCGCGCAAGCATTAATGTTTCACAGTCTTATCTCGAGGCCTTCGGCTGCAAGTGGAATGCAATCGAAGAGTTGACCAAGATAACCAACCCGAACGTCAACCGCCCAGAGTACAGCCAGCCCCTCTGTGCGGTGATCCATGTCACACTGGTCGACCTTCTTCGCTTCTGGAAGGTTTTGCCCAGAGCCACAATTGGACACTCGAGCGGCGAGATTGCCGCTGCATATGCCGCATCGCTTCTCACACACCACAATACCATAAAGCTTGCCTATGTCCGAGGTGTCAGCTCCGCCGCTGTCTCCAAGCAAGGTGCAATGATGGCTGCTGGGCTTTCCGAGGATAATGCCTAGACGTACCTTGAGAAGGTTCCAGCCGGGTCTGCAGTCGTTGCCTGCATTAACAGTCCATCCAGCGTGACGCTCTCTGGCGATGTGGATGCCACTGACCAGCTAGAAGCCCTAATTTCTAGCAACAGTAAATTCGCCCGCAAACTCAAGGTCACCACTGCGTACCACTCTCCTCACATGCGTGAGGTCTCGCCGAACTATCTTAAGATCACTGGTGAAATAACACCCAAGGAGGCAGATGAGACAGAAAACAGCCCTGTCATGTACTTGTCGCTTACCGGGTCTATCATCTCTTCTGCCAAGGAGCTGAACGCCCAGTATTGGGTCAACAATATGCAGAATACCGTGAAGTTCTCACAGGGCTTCTTGGCATTGCTGAAGCACAAAAAAGTTGCCCCAGGCGGCACCCGCCCCGTGGCCGTACAGTGGGGAGGCTTCCTCGAGGTTAGCCCTCACGCAGCTCTCCAGGGACCCGTGCGACAGATTATTGACGCAAGCAACAGTAAGTTTGCCAAGTCCGGCCCTTACACCTCTATGCTTGTCCGCGGCAAAGACGCAACGGAAACAGCCTTAAACGCTGCCGGTGTGCTCTGGGCTGCTGGCTGCAAGGTTGACATGGCTGCAGTCAACCAGCAGGCCTCAACGGGGAGCAATACCCCTTAGATGCTTTGTAACTTGCCCAGTTATCCCTGGAACCACACAAGGAGCTTCTGGCACGAATCATACTCGTCACGCTCGTACCGCTTCCCTCCCCACGCGCGCAACGACTACCTGGGCATGGCGGAAGATTCCCATAACAGCCATGAGCCGCGATGGAGAAACTACCTGCGCATCTCTAAAAACCCATGGATTAAGGACCACATAATCACCGGAACTGTGCTATACCCAGGCGCAGGCATGCTGGTCATGGCGTTGGAAGGCGCACTGCGTACCGCCGACTTGTCCAAGACCATTGAGGGTTTCCGCATGAACGATGTCATGTTTAAGCGTGGACTGGTTATCTCCGTGGATAAGGAGGCGCCCGTGGAGACGCGCATTAGCTTCCACCCCCACAGCACGAAGCCCGACTCATGGATCTTTACTATCTATTCAATGACCAAGGGCTCGCCGTGGGTGAAGCACTGCGTTGGCACCGTTGCTGTCGTGTACGAGAAGGAAGCGAGTGATATTAAAGAGGACAGCGTGGATGCCTTGTGGTAGATGCAATTGGGCTTGCGCAAGACCCTGCTATCCGAAGCCGATTCCACAGATGTCAACGTGAATACGTTCTACAAGAATCTGGACACCATTGGCATGCAGTATGGCCCATCATTCCGTAATGTCCAGTCCCTCACGGCAGTGCCATCCAAGAAGGCCACGTACGGATCTGTGACTGTTCCAGACACCAAGTCAACGATGCCCAAGAAGTACAAGATCCCCCATGTCATTCACCCGGCAACCATGGACTCTATCTTCCTAAAGACGGCTTGGAGGCTTCTGGTGCTGTATCTTCTGGTCGTCCTGTTAAAAGGTGCGCTGGCATCACCTGGATTCCTGATCTCTCCTTCTTGACTAGTAACGAGCATCTTACGCAGCTCGTTTCTCCCGGCAAGGCGGCCGCGGTGGTCACCAGCTGGCTTCACCTAGTGTTTCTAAAGACGTCAAACACCACCGCCCTCGTTGTCTTGTTCGATAAGTCCGAACCTAGTATTAATATTTTCCGTCGCCTCAAGAGCCAAATATATGGCCCCAAGAATATTATTTCCCTTGCTGCATCTGAGTCGGCATCGCAGTTGATGCGAGATACCCTTGGCGAAGGTACTGAGAACACCACCATCACTTATAAGTGGCTGCCGGAGAGCCAGCTTCTGGAGACGCTGGCACCAGAAGGTAATAATGTTGTTATCTGCTTGGGCGTTCCTGACATCGCCAAGCATGCTGCCACGCTTGCGACGCTGGCTCCTCTAGCGGGCCTCACTTACGCTGGTCAGCCAGGTGAAGTTAAAGTTATTGTGCCAGATAGCAAGTGCATTGGCCGCCTAGCAGAGGATAAGATCTACGTCCTGTGCATACCAAGCACCAGTTCTATCTCAGCTGAGTTGCCCCACTCTGTGGTGCTTCTCTTACCTGAATCGTCATCTACCGCCCTCGGTACATTTGCTGCCGCAATTCAGGCCAAGCTTGAAAGCTCCGGTGGCTTAGTCTCACAAACAAACCTCACTCCAAGCGGCGTGGCTTCACTCGCTGGCAAGTCTGTTATTTCTCTCCTCGAGATTAACAGCCCATTGGTGTATGCCTGGGGCGAAGACCAATTCAACACATTTAAGACGCTCGTCTCCACGGTTAGACACCTTTTCTGGATTATTCACGGCAGTGTGCTTGAGAGTTGGTCGAACAGCGTGGAATTCGCTACAACTCAGGGTCTGTTCCGCGTGATGCGCAACGAATACCTAATCGCCATCTTGCCGTTTATGGATCTGTCCGCAGTCGCTGACATTTCCAATTTCCAATACGCAGATCTAGTACTCGACGTTTGGCGAACGTCTCTGTCCGAGGACGCGGAAATGGAATACGCCGAAGGCAACGGCTTGATTTACATACCTCGTCCCACTGAAGATGCTGGCTTCGACTACGAACTGCAGCTAGCCAGCAACACCGCGAAGCCACTCGTGTCGGCACTGGGCGCTGCTAAAAAGCCACTGAAGGCAAGCGAGTCGGCAAACACTCAAGGTTACATCTGGATCGCGGATGAGCAAGCCGAATTACCACTTGAAGCAGGCCAAGTCGAAATCAAGGTCGAGTATGCAGGAGTCGGAACAGGCCAGACATTGAACTCTGTCCGCCACGCTGTTGGCATCGTTACTCGTCAAGACGACTCGGTCAAGACATTGCAGCTTGGTCAACGCGCCATTGTTTTCTCCGACGATGCTGCAAAGACTCATGTCCGCCAAACCCAGAACGTAGTTGCACCGCTGACCGACGGGCTTTTGCCGCAAGAGGCTGTTGCGCTTGTCAAGCCACTGATTACTGCGCAGTATGCGCTTATCGAGATCGCTCGTCTCAGTTACGGCCAGGCATTACTGCTTGATGACGCTACAAGCACCGTCGGACAAGCCCTGGTACAGGTTGCCAAGGCTGTTGGGGCTGACATCTAGCTAAAGGAGATATCCTAGTGTTCTTTTATGTAGATGACATGGAGCTCGCCTACAGAAAGAACCGCACAGAAATAGTGCAGGATATAGTCCAAAAGCTGAAGAACCAGTATAAAATAAATGGCGGCGGAGAACTGCAGTGGTTTCTGGGAATAGAGGTTATCTAAGATAGAACAAAGCATTTAATATGGCTAAGTCAGTCCTCTTATATAGATAAAATTACTAACCTTTCAGAATCAGAGCCATCCAATACTATTCCCATTTCTCCAAAGGGAATGTATTTATATGCAGAGATAGCAAGCTATAAAAGTATCCACCGATATCAACAAAAGATTGGATCCTTAATGTATACTGCAGTTGTGACTTGTCCAGATATAGCCTTTGCCACCACCAATCTATCCCAATTCCTTACCAATCCAAGCCCGGAACACCACAAAGCAGCAGATCAGGTTTTTTAGCATCTAAAAAGGACTCGGAATCTAGCTCTGCAGCTAGGGGGTGGAGATAATTATATCCTATATAGTATACATCCTTCGCAGACAACAAGGATAGAAAAAGTTCGCAAGGATATATTATTCAGCTATTTGGAGGCACCGTGGGATGGAGAGCAAATAAGCAAGCAACTATAACAACATCTACAACCAAAGCAGAGCTATTAGCATTGTCTCAAGCAGCTAGGGAAGGCATGTTTATTGAAAGACTTCTAAAGGATCTGCAACTACACCTGGACGGCAACCAACGTGTGCACATTCTATGTGACAATATGCAGATAATTCGACTGGTTAATAAGGATATTAATCGATTGCAGACACGGCTTCGTCATGTGGACATTCACAATCATTGGCTAAGGTAAGAGGCAGAGTCAGGAAGGATTCAAGTTGAATATTGCCCCACCAACAAGATGTTGGCAGATGGCCTCACCAAGGCGCTTCCTGGTGTTTGTGAAGCAACTTGGACTAGTTGATATCTCTGGGTACAAAAACGACTTAGGAGATCAAGATAATGATGGGAAACACCATGGATTTGATGAAATGGATAAAATTGATGATTCGGAATAGTTTCATGTTTCCAGGTTCAAGAGATGTTTTGAACCTGAGGGGGTGTGTCAGAATAAAGCTAGTCTATATTAGGACATCATGTGAATATATATATACTCCTCATAGAGGGGTTGGGCTGACAATCCTTCTAAATACAATCACTTCAGACCCCTCCAAATAAATCAAACAGTTTTGCACATATGGATCTGTTTTCAAACCCTAATCACGGAGTCCTAGTGAATCTGTAAGGGGTTAGCCTATATTACCGGCCCGTTTCTATCGCGAAAGGTATGACATCGAACGGAAATTTATCTAATCTGTACCTGTCGCACCGCCTCCCCCACTTTTTGCAGTAGGGGGTCGGCTACACTTCAACGCAAAACACACTTCAACGCAAAAATCAAATTTTTACTACTTTTGAAGCTATTCCCACCACCACAATCATGGAATCAACATATAAAATAGAGGATAATATTATTCAGAAGGCCGTATATGAATGTAAAAAAAAAAAAAGGCGAAAATTCGCGCGTTAATATGTTAGAAATTGCGCGTTAATATAGTGTATTCTATTATCACCTTCGTGCTCGAATCGGTGGTAGAGCGAGCAAATCAACGCGGAAACCGACTCAGCATGTGATGGTTTGGTTGTCTCTGCGCTAGTAGAGATAAAACCACTTGACCATATAAAAAGGTACAAGACGACTGATCGAAGATCAGTCGCATCTAGCGCCCTATATAGTATGTTACAGGTTCAGCCTGTGACACAGCAGCCTCTTAATCCTGCTCAGTTTGATGCTTTATATAATCATATTAATCGGTTTGATGACCTAGGCGCTCTGTTAAGTATTAGTGATATTTAAAAGGCTGCTAATATAATTTTTAAACAAGGCTATACTGATCCTTTAAAACCACCATCAAGAGTCTCCAAAAATTGGGGATATCGCTTCCTACGACGGAATCCACAGTATACCAAAGGGAAGCGGCGCGTAATTAAGATGGATCGGCGCGAGGCAGAGAATATTAAAGATATTCTGTAGCAGGCTTGGCAAGGATAAACTCCCGCTCGGATCATTCGATGGACAATCCTTATCCGTCCCATGGATAATCCATCGAATAATCTGGGATAATTGGCAGAAACTCACCGCTTATACTACCCACACTGCCCACAATAGTTATTCAACTTCTACCCCGCTGTCCTATCTTATTTCACAATATTGTTGTACAAAACATGGATTCTGAAGCAGATTTATCTAGTTTCTTACCTTTGCCTACTGATTTAGCAGACACTAAGCCAAAAAAAGGAAGAACACCAACTGCTCAGATGACATGGTCCCACACTCGTCCAGCTAATAACGGAGAGGCTTAATTTTATAAAGACTCCTACGGTGCAAGCCTGCCGCTTTTGTGGTTGTCCTGCCTGTTTGGGTCCATGGACCCGCCGCATCCTGCCCCATCGGAGTTACCGTGGTTCTGAGAGTGGGTAAATTACTGAATACAGTTAGTCTACCTTCTTTAACAGGAAGACCGCGTGATAGCGTTTGCTGCTTTGAGGGAACTTCTCCTCGCTGCTTTATCGTGAGTCTTTCGCTTTCTCCGACTGCGTTGGTCTTTGGAGTCCTGTGGGCAAAACATTCATTCCCCGAATTTACAGCACCGCCTTCCAGAAATATTCCAACAATGCAAACAATCGGTGGTGCGTCCGTCACATACTAGGCGTCCTACTACCGCGCGGCTTACAATATACCAGATCCTTGGAATGTTAGGGCAGTGGAGGCATTCCATGGGTATGATATTACTCGCAGATTTATAACTCCCCCGTGAGCTCGATTATGTGTCATAGAATTTGTAGAATCTCCGGTTCAGGAAGATCATTGCATTGGACTCTAAAATTTGCGTAAGCCATTTATTACAGGTGTTCGCAAAACCGGAGGCGGTGCTCTGCGTATGCATAGGCAGGCCAACCTGACATGACCTCTTAAGCGAGGCACGTGACTTAGCATGACCTTTACTAATAAAGTGTCTACAGGTCGCGACCAGGTGGGTCGGACTTGGCGTCAGGTGCCTAGGCCCAATTAGGCGATATCACATGATTTCACTAGCTGACGGGAGTTTTTCTCCAGCTGACGCCACCTCTCTCTTTCAATACATTACAGCTCTCTGGAACCCTCTCCCCTCCCCTCATTTTCGACGTTTTTACGGTGCTGCGAGATGGCTGGTTATGATACTGTGAGAAGAATCTTTAACTAGTTGGTAACTAGTTAGGAGCTAATTAGTTACTGGCTAGCCCGAATACCATGCATATCAGACAGATGTGAAGGATGGACGTGTTCGCTTGCCGCTCTGGGATCACGTAAGTTAAGGACTAGTTGTGCACTGGTTACCGACTGGTTGCTAACTAGTTCACTACTAATTAGAATGCACAAGTTACGATCCTCCCTGGGGAGATTTATTGCCGTGTGGCCTTTTGCGGCCATACCAATGTACTATTCTAACTAGTCAACTACTAGTATCTGTCTTGTCGCTAACTAGTTAGAGCCCCTCCTCCTCTACCAACAACCTGCGTAAGCATGTTATGCGCGCCCACCCTCACCTAAATGTTACTCCGGGCAAGAATGGCAAAGTCCCTAATGCCGACATCATGGCTGCAAACCGTACTAGTTCCTGACCGGTTATCTACTTGTTTCCTACTTGCTTCGGACTAGTGGCTGACTTGCTACAGGCTTTTATTCGTCTTTATACCCCAATGGGGTCAACAATCGCAATGCCGATGATAAGAATTCTAGGTATATGACTAGTTTCCTACTGGTATATAACTGGTCACTAACTAGTCTACTATCAGTACAAATGTAAAACAAAAGCCCACCACTCAGGCTCGAACTCTGTATGTGACTAGCTGCCTACTAGTACTTACTGTTGCTAACCAGCTGTAATTAGTATGATTATCCAAGTTATCGACCCCCCCTCCAGCCAGCCCTCTTGACCCCGAGGGGCTCCTGCCCTTGCCGATGAAGAATGGCGAGGTATATAAATAGTCGCCCACTGGTTGATAACTGGTTTCTAACTAGTTACAGGTTGATTTTGCTGCTGTGCGCAAGGTTGGTATTAAAAAGAGTGGTAAGAGAGCACCTTGCAACATGTGCCGTAAGAATAAGACTAGTAAGTATAATGGTAATTCTAGATTAGTATCTAGGTAGTTGCTAACTAGTTGCCAGCCTGTGGCAGCACGGATGTTTGTGAGTTCTGGGACTATTTTGAGTTGCCTGAGGAGGAGGAGGAGGAAGAAGAAGAAGAAGAAGAGAATGAGGAGGAGGATGAGGAAGATAAAGGGGAGGGGGAAGGTGCTAACTAGTTTACAACTAGTTCCTGATTACTTTGTAACTAGTATGTTATTTACCTTGGGGTGTAACTAGTTTATATCTGGCACTCCTTTAGTTAATTGGCATTTCATAAAAAAAAAATAAATTAAGATTTAAATATACTGCCTTATATACAATTCTATACATGTATAGTTTCTATATAGTCTATATATCTTTATACTGAAATATATATATCTACATACAATAGAATATCGAGGTTATTAAAAATATGTTTATATTATACAACCTATATCCTATTCTAAGCTATCTAGGAGATGGAAAAGGAGAGGGGAGGAAGAAAAAGAGTTAGATGCAGGTAAGAAAACGGAAGGTTGTGGAGATTGAAAGGGTAACGGGTTCGGAACTAGTTGGGGACCAGTCCCAAACTGGTTTTGGGGTTGTATTATACCCTGATTCATTATCCTTGTTGATGCTTCAAGATAACGAGCTTGAGCCTCCATTAATTGAAGCCGCGCCTCTCTCTCTCGTTGATCTAAGCTCTGATCAACCCTATTCTGAGTTGCAGCTTGACTAAGAGGTGAGCTAGAGCTAGTTAGTAACTAGTTATGAACTAGTCAGGGACTGGTATACCTTGAAAGAGTTTGTCGGTTACTTCCTCTTCGAGATCGACCCCTCCCTCTTGATTGTGATCGACGTGGTTGTGGTGAGCCAGATGATGATACTCTTACTGGGACTTCAGTTGATTCAACAGTATATCTTAAAGACTGAGTATTTGGTTGATCATCTGGTGTATTTGAACCTGAGGTATTTCGCCGGCGTTTGCGTTCTAGGACTAGTTAGTAACCAGTTACAAACCAGTAGTCTAGTCTTTATTTAGACCCACCTTCTCTTAAACTATTTCTTGCATGACGTGATGCAACAGAATCAGACCGATAGCTATGTTGAATAGCAAAATCCTGCCTTGCAGAATATTGATCTAAATCTCTTATATCACACATCCGGCCACTAGATATAACTAGTAGAACTGTTTAGTAACTAGTTAGATACTAGTACTATACCGATCTGCAGCCTTTAAAATTGATAATTTAATACCACCAAAGATATATATCTTATTATAGATTGCTCGCCTGATTTGTATGATTCTAGCATTTTAAAAAATTTGATCATTATAGCAGCTTTTATTTAAACCTGCAGCAATTAATGTATCTGCTTTATGGCCTGCCAACTTTGGATATTTGGATTATATGTCCTTATACTAGTTAGCAACTAGTAGTAGCTAGTGATACTAGTACTAAACTACTTACCTTGAGAAGTTGTATTAGATCATAATATCTCTCACGGGTTTACAGTAATCAAGCTAGCCATCGTTTGCCAGTATTTGTATAGTTTATACCTACAAGAATATTATAATCCCTCGAAAGAAGTGCACACGGCAGGCAATTATAATATGTGGAATATGCCATCTTTTATCACGATGTTGAGGGTCAATACTGGCTAGATACTGGCCAAGACCTATGTGGATACTGGTTAGCAACTGGTTATTAACTGGTTAGTATTATTAATCTTACCTAATATCTGTGCCTCATCCATATCTAATGTAACACTTTCAAATCCAGTTCCATGTAGATAATGAAAGCAAACAGACTGGTTTGTATTTTGCTCGATAACCTCAAAAACCTTTTGGAATAGGTTATAATACCCTTAGTATCTTGACGATTGGTGAAGACTCGACAAAGAGTAATAACTAGTTAGTAACTGGTTAGGAACTAGTCTGTGGCCAATTGTAAGTACTCACTTACCTTTTCCATGCTCTTTTAAAAATACTGCAAAAATAACTTCATTTAAATCACGACCCTTTAATCGCTTGAAATTCATATCCACCTCAAATAACTTCAGAGATTGGAATAACTTTAATTGTGCTTTGTAGGCACAAATAATAAGTATATTCTCATCATCCTGAAAGGTGTATTGGACATAGGCCTAAAATATACTAGTTAGCGACTAGTTTCAAAGTAGTAATATACTAGTTAGGAACTAGTATACTTACCTTTAATTCTGGCCGTCTCAAACATTCAAACCTTAGACCATTTAACTCTTGGCCTTCAGGAAATAGGCTTATCTTTACTTTTTGAATTATAGCAGAAACACGATCTTGATTAGCAAAGCTTGTATGAATACCTGATAGGCTATCCTTATTAAATTCCTTGCAGAAGTCAAGGAGTCGTGGATTGCGGAGGAAAGAGCCTAGCTAGTTAATAACTAGTATACTATTAATAGTGGACTAGTAACATACCAGTAGTCATATCCGGATCCCTTATGTCATAAAGTATCTGCTTTATTCTTTCCAGAATAATAAGAGGAGCTGTCGTAGGAGGTGGTGGAGGGTGTGTATGTATCCCATGTGAAGTAAATAAAATATATGGACAATTCTTAATATCAACTGGAATAATAATATTAAATGCAACATCACACTTTTCATGTACAAGAGTTCCAGTTTGACAAGTATCTAACTAGTTAGTAAATAGTTATAAACTAGTATAGTATTAGTTTACTTACTGCAAGATGTTTTCCGACTTGCTACACTCTCTATAGCTCCACAATATGTAATATCTGGATGGACTGATTGATTAAAGAATTGCTCAAGTAGTAAAAGATCAGTATTAGTCCGAAAGCTAAGAGGAGAGAGATAATGCTCGGGTTGGATATTTGGTTGTGGTGGCTTTCGATGAATACAACAAATAAATGGATGGCGAATCCCTGCAACATTCTATATACTAGTTAAGAACTAGTCGAGTACTAGTCAGGTATTAATAGGAAAATAATATAACTTACTGGGTATGTTGCCCATCGAAAAACTGGTTTGCATGTAGGTAGTGGTACTCTACAGGCTTTCTTTGTTTCAAAAAGCCTACGTTCTGCAATATAGATACTAATAGATTTGTTAGTTACTAGTAGATAACTAGTAGGGAACTAGTCTATAACTAGTAAAGACTTACCCTAAGGCATTTCTCCCCTTATCATCATCTCCTGCCATCTCAATAAGACATCGTATTTTCCTAATCCGATCCCATACTTCCTCTGTAACCTTTGTATGATGTAGGTCCTTTAGATCAGGATGGAGACTTGAGCATCTTTTAATTCCTGAACATCTATAACGCATGCGTGTAACATCCACGCCTAAATACGGACATGTTGCATGGTTCTCAGTCCTTTTCTTCCGCGCATATTGGATCTGGAACTAGTTAGCGACTAGTTAATAACTAGTAATAGAGTAGCTCCTTACTTCATGTATTATTTCAGTATCTTTCAAGGGTTTTGTTGGATTAACAGGTAGGATATACGTAAATCCACCTTCCCTAGTCTCTGGATACTCTGGTAATGCCATACAAACTTCAATTGTTTCTGTTTGCAGAGGCCTCAGCCCATTTGACAGGAATATAGGGTATGGAGTCTAAGATTAGTTAGTAACTAGTCTGTGACTAGTTTACAACTAATATAAAATCACCTACCTCATCAACATGGAATATCTCTTGATCGCTTCCATCATCAGAAAATTCATGCTCGGAGAATTGGACTTGGTTGATAAGGGCTGTCATTGTAACTAGTTAGAAACTAATTGAATACTAGTTAGGAAGTGATAGGCTTCCTTTGAGGATAATAAAAGAGATAAAAGATAATTTCATTGTAAAGAGGTGACGTGCGTGTATTTAAGGCCCCATCTGACGCGACCTCCCTGTCTTGCACGTGACATCCCAAATAGGCCTAGGCACCTGACGCCAAGTCCGACCCACCTGGTCGCGACCTGGAACCTCCCTAATTAAGACTAGCGACCTGACATGACTTTTGCCCCACCTCAAGGTGACCTGATTGAGTTAACCAAAAAAAAAAATACAAGTGCTTCCTTGGGGTTTAAATAAGCCCCACCGTGGATACTATTACAGTATGGAGCATTTAGAACTGGTTGTGCTGGCTCAGGGGTGACGTGGGTTGCGTGGGGGACCACCGCGGACGTGAGATAAATAAACTAAGCAAGCACCCCTGCACCACCACTCTGTGTCGGCGCATCTTGTCCAGTCCTCCTTGAAACGGCAGGGGAAAAAAAAAAAAAAAAAAAAATTAAATGGCGTCCCCTATTCTCAGCACCCCTCCAGAGATCTTGCGTATGGTATTTGCATCCCTATCGCCCAGTGATCTTTGCGCAGTATGTCTTACGCATAGGGACTTGCGCTCTCTTGCCGAGCTATTACTCTACGCCCATATTCAATGGACATGGACAAGCTCTCAGAACCCCCCGATTGCTCAGTTTTTGCAAAGCATTGTGCACAGGCCTGAGCTCGCCAGTTTTGTCCATGTTGTGGTACTCAGTGGGGACAGTTTCGATAGCGGCCTGTACGAATATAGACAGAAAAGTCCCAAACTCCCAGTCACTGAAGTTGTCTTGGATAGGCTAGTAAAATGCATTGAAAGGATCCATATTCCATATGCTGAACAATGGATCCAAGAGTTACGCGCTGGAACAATGGATGCATTTATCACACTGTTATTATCACAGCTCTCCAGTCTGAGATACCTCTACCTGGGCAAGAATTTCACCCGAGAGAGCCACTTTATGGGCATGATGCTCCGTTCGGCCCTCTGCAAGGAGTCCCAAGATAGCCATCTCCCTTCCTTTACACATCTCCAAGATGTGTCAATTGTGTATCCCAGCGTTGGTCTCAATATTCGCAAATATACAAATGTCAGGAACACAGCAGATGTCCTCCCCCTTTTTTACTTGCCGTCAGTTAAACAAATAAGGACCTTAGTCGATAACCCCACTACTTTTATATGGCCCGGGGAATATCCACCAAATCCACTGAGACTCGCATCACTTGACTTGACGATGTTGCGTGAAGGGCATCTCGGTCAAATATTATCTGTCACCCGAGGGCTTCAGAAGCTTCAATGGGATTGGTACTACCGCCTGGATCTTGAAGATTATTTTGTCACGGATATTATTGATTTGGACCAAATCGCCGCGGATTTATCTCACGTTCAAGAAACTTTGACAGACTTGACTATTACGGCAGGATCAGACGTCTCACAAGCAGACCCTGAACGCCCGGAGCTCACATTTAGGGGGTCCTTTAAAACTTTTAGCGGACTCCATATGCTGAAAAAATTGGAAGTTCCAATTCCATTTCTGCTTGGATTTTCTCCGTGGGCGCCAAATGTGGTTTGCCTAGAGGAAGCACTTCCAAAAAACATCCAATGGCTAACTATCACTGATGACCTATGTCTCCAGCAAGAATGGGAATGGCAATGGGAGACTGAATACCTATTGAGGGCTGTTCGATTATGGCTACACGACTGGAAGAAATCCACACCTCGCCTCCGAGGATTTTGTCTGTTAACAAAGGTGATGAAAGTGCAGGATTGGGACCCTGTGATGATACAGGGGCTCAGAGATATAGGTGCCCAGACAGGAATTCAGGTTCAAATAATTGAAGAACCACCCAAGTGGGCAGGTCAAATGTAATTATAGCTCTAGTTATAATACTGGTGTTTCTGCCACCGATATCTCTTCGGACTACTATTTAATATTAAATTATCTCCGATGGCCAGTCCTTTTCTAGCCAACAAACACTCTGGGTTGACCCCCGCATAACTGAATCTGCTCCTGAATGGTCGGGCCTCCTGCAAGGTTTGCCAGCGTGTAGGGCGCCGACAGCGTGGTCGTACTTAAGGCCCTGAGCCCCTGATCTTGTGCGAAAAGATTGCAACCCCAAAAGTCCTGCACATTTGTTAGTTGGTCTTTAGGAAAGACATATTTATAAGGATATCGGTTACTTACTTCGCTGCCAGTTCCACATGGATCTGTCTTTGCCCATACACCTTGCCGTATAACCCATGTGCCAACCCTCGCTTTTTGATCTTTCAGGTTCTTTCCGTTATTTTTATAGTATAGATGAGCCGCCATAGGCTCTGCGCAATTACCCTTGTTCTTGTGGATTTTCGTCTTATCTTTGTCAGGTAAGCTGTTATCTCTCCAGACTATCTGGCATTTCTGAAGACTTTTGCCGACCGTCGTGTCGCCGCCAAGAAAGTCATAGGAGAAAGAGCCCGCTCCCTTCATAGAGGAAGCAAGGATAATTTCATTGCCCCAGGCCAGAATTCCCATGGCCGTGGGCTCTGCCCGATCAACGATGCCATACTGCTTTCGGTCGCGAATCATTTCATCGACCGCATCTCGCGCGATTTGCCAGAGCTGCCCGTCTGAGACTGGAGGGTTCTCCTCATCAGAATCCCCGACGCGACTCGCGAACACGATGTGGCTGCTAAATTGCCAATTACGCTTGGCATTGGTAAGGTAGAGGTCCTGCGGCTGCGGCCAAGTTGTTGCAAGGCCATAGTCGAGGGCGACTTTGAGCGGGCCAAGCGGGTCCAAGGGTACCGAAACATCGTGAGCACCACTGAGTATAGGGTTGACCGCGATCAAGGCCCCAAGGACTAAAAGACCGACATTTCGGACAGATGGGAAGAGCATCGTTGAAGGCGAGCGCTCAAGTTGACTGTGACTGACGCAGAGCTGGAAATACATAAGCCACTAAATAAGTTGCTGGTTAGCAGAGGGGATTCACTTACGCAAGGACAATGGCCAAGGGATTGAAATAAGTCTTCCTTTTCTTAAAAGCTGGGCTTTTTTTTATATACCCATGACACTCTGGTAGGTATTTGTTATTCCCTCGCAGAGCCTATTGAGCGGCAGATGCTTTTTCGTAAAAGGAGTAGCTTTGCTAATAAAAGCTCAGCCTAATTTTTATTATAAATAAGTCGTACTAGCGAGGAAGGGTTTCAATTTGGCGCTCAGAATATGGTAACATTTTCCTTTGGGGCCAGCCCAGGCTCGGAATGGAAAATGCGGTGCACTACAGTAAAACCTCGCTATACTCCGTAATGAGCCTTGATATTACGAGAACCTCAATATTACGAGAGTTTTTCCTTGTCTGAATTAATTTCCCGTTTAATTAACAAAGATCCCGCGTTACAACGAGTCTCGCCAGTTTGGTCTTGGGTCCCATATAGATCTCGTAGTATCGACAGGGTCTTAGGTGGGTGGATACTAATTGGAGTAGGCCATAGTCAAGCTATACCTATCCTAAATAGGTTCTCTAAATCACGTGTATCTACTTGCTCGCGTATATACGGAGTACTAGTCCTTGAAGAAAATTTACTCCGTCTGAATTATCTCGCTATAACGAGGTTTTACTGTAGCTGTTCGGAGATTCTCGCGATCTCCGCCAATGCCGCTACCGAGGGCCAAGAAGGCTTTTATTAGCTTGCCACGGAGTTATTACTTTGTACAGCCCAGGATTATAGCCCAGGCCATCTAGAATAAGGCTAAAGGATCATTAAAAAGAAAATTCTGAACACTAAAGTACTGGATTCACCGCTAAAGAAACTATATGAAACTAGTGCTAATCTAGCGCCCAATTCTAGCCAACGCGTTGGATGGCCCCAAAGGGCCCAAACAGCGTTTTTTTTCCCAGCAGGTGATACCAACTGAGTTTGGAAGGAGTCAACCTGTGAGCGGAAAGTAGTCTAGTCTAGTCTAAGTGACAGCCCAGTTCCTGAGCCAGAGCCACACTAGCCCCATCCATCGGTGCATTAACGCACAACTATCGCGAGCTACTCGGGCTGGAAGGATGGATCTTACATCTATGATCTAAGACATGTACAGTGGGTTGGGTATGTTCGGAGATGAAGCATTTCCTGTATTAGTCTAGGGTTCAGAATTTCTTGACCCTCGGTGACGGAGATCTTGTCGACCCACCTTTTCCAGCGAATAGTAACATTGATAGCAGATATTGGTTTGAAATCATGGAGGAGTCTACGCCACGCTACTGGCTCTATCGTTTACTGATCATTATTGTGTCTCAGTCCAGCAAGTACCGCAATCATGAGCCAATATCAATATCTGCTGTCAAAAAAGCGCCTCATGGAACTACTACTACAACGGGTGGATCTCTGGTCCCTTCTAGATGCGAGGGTAGCAGCGAGGAATGGAGTAGTATCGTCCTCAAGGATAGGAGACGTGAGGCTTCGCCTCACGGATGCACTATACAACCCTACTATTAGTCCACGAACATGGTTATATATAAGAGGTTTCTTGTGTCGTTTGAAGTTTTGGGTAGTATAGAATCTCTGCAAGGTCCTGTTTCCTCCTCCTCCCTCTCCTCGCCTCCTCGCCTCCTCTGTTCGCTATGCTCGGGCAACCATTGCATGGCCTGGCGGTCATTGCTACCCTTGGGAATTGCGCCCTTGCGAATCCTCTTGCGCATTGGAATGTGCCAGGAAATGCAAGCTTGAACTCCGAGCGCTTGATGTCGAGAGATACAACTGAATTCGACCAGACAGATCTTTCCTTTATCAAAAGAATGGCCGCCATCGGCGACTCCTACTCGGCCGGAATTGGTGCTGGTGACCGGCTTGGAACTATTGTCGAAGCACTTGACCCGAAGAGTGGTAAGTTAATCTCTCCCTGGCTCGAGGCTGTAGCACGTTGACTAATAGATATTTTCCCCGCTGAAAGATTGGGCGTGCAGTCGCTATGATCACGCGTACCCTTATCTTATCCATACCGATGAACGGCTGGGCGACCAAGATGCACGCACGTTTCAGTTTAAGTCATGTTCTGGTGCAGTCATAGACAACGTTATCAACGACCAGATCCCCAACATCAGCGGGAACCAGCAGGTTATATTGCTATCAGCCGGTATATATACCTAAAGTCTTTTTCATAGACTAAACTGACATGAGTGAGGTCTTAGGTGGCAATGATGCTGAGCTCTCAAACATCCTGAACCAGTGTATCTTCCAATGGGCCGTATTTAACCCTAACCAAGTAAATGCAGCAAAGACAGCCGCTCTTGCAGATCCGAAATATGCATGGGCGAAGACGTTTGACTGGGACTCACTAGGTCTTGGCTGCGATGGGCAGTTGGCTCGCACAAAAAAACTCATTGCTGGAGATGCCTTCAGCAAGAGCCTGGATTCTGTTATCTCGGCGGCAAAGGCAAAGCTAGGATCAGAGTTAGTAACAATCTTTCATCGTTCAGGTCTGAATGCTAACAGAAGATAGTGGGATGATCTACTACACTGGGTATATGCCATGCCGTTTCTTCCTTTTGGCATCGTTGACAGTGGTTGTACAGTTATGCCAAATTCTTTGCTGAAGATCTATCATCTGCGTGTGATAAAGTTAGCTGGTCAACTTGGATTTATGTAAGTGGCATAAAAATAATGTCTAGCATGGCACTAACTGTCGGTCAGAAATTATACAACCTATTTCAGGACACGGAGAAGCTTACGAAAGGTCATCGGAAAACAATGAATGATCTTGTCGATGCTGTTAACTCGCAAATCGTTGGTTTTGATTCTTCTCCTTTCTTCCGGTAGAACTGTTACTAACGTAAATTGCTCTGCAGTCAGCTGCAGTAAAGAGAGCCGGTGACAAAGTCAAGTTTGTAGACTATGATTCTTACGTAGGCCATTTCAATGGCCGCTTTTGTGAAGACGGTGTCGATGAATCAACGGTTGAAAGCAATACAAGGTGAGTGCTCGAATCTCACCCATCTAGTATACTAACATCTATAAAAGAACCGGTCTCATGTTCTATGAGCTCAATACTTGGGACCCCCTCGGCCGCAATCCCTGGAAACGAAGCGTGGACAACCCCTTGGAAGGAACCTTTGAGGGCTCCGTAAACCAATTGGCGCAGATTACACTTCTGATGGATCCAGGCGCCCAGCTCTCAGACCAGGCTTTGATCTCCGACGCTTCTACTGCTTCTATTACTGTCTCTGATGTGGTACTACTTAGCAGTGCCGCAGTTCCTGATATAGAAATTCCAAATATCCTGCCGGACGGGTAAGAAAAGTGTTCAGCCTGTCGCGACGGACGATGACGTTTCGCTAACAAATGAGTGATGAATAGATACGGGCGTGTGTTTCATCCCCAGATCTTGCTTCATCAGCTCATTGCCGAGCTGGTTATCTATGAAATTGTCAATAAGAACGAGCAGGATAATAGGCTTCCAGCAATCCCAGAGAAGTTGTCCTTCGACTCGTGCCCTCACTATCCTTCATCAGGCTCAAATGCTTCAGACGGTCGTACGTATCACCTTGGTAATTACGTCAAATAAGGCAAGACTAATGTGATATACCTGCGTTTAGAACAAATCGCGGTGGCGTCGTATATCAATCCTCTCGCAGACCCAGCGGCCTGGGATCGGCTGATCGCGTATCCTGTGAAGAAGATGCCCATATTAGTTGCTAATGTCGTGAATGGTCCGGATTCTGCCGTCGACAAGACTTGGGCCGACGTGATCAATCGAGCTTCAGCTTCTGGTAAAACGGTCCTCGGCTACGTGCGGACCGGATACCTTGGCGTGAGTGAACAGAAATTCACCACCCGGCTAGGCTTAGGCGACTTGGCGGATTGGACCGCGCAGATTGAGGAAGATATTGATATGTGGTACACGCTTTATGGTAGCAGTATTGGCGGCATCTTTTTCGACGAGGGTTGGCCCGAATGTGGCGACAACAATAAATACGTGGACCTATACAAGTATATCAACGATTATACCAAGCGTGCCCATCCCGGCGCTTATACAATCCTGAATCCTGGGTCGCCCATAGCGTCTTGCTTCGAGGATACCATGGACACACTGCTAACTTTCGAGCTGTCTTACGAGGCGTACACTAGTTCCTACACACCTAACGATTGGACACCGAAAGACCCGCGGAAACTCTGGCACATCGTATACAACGTGCCGGAATCCGCGGTTAGTAAGGTAACCAAGTTAGCTAAGAAGCGTGGAGCTGGCTTCCTTCAACTCACAGATGATACTTTGCCTAATCCATACGACACTCTGCCTGGCGATTCCTACATCCAGGGCATGATGGGTGCAATCGAGGGTGGTTCTCTGCTGAATACTGATGCGTCATCCTGGATGTCTGGAAACGCAGCAGCAGCGGTGTCTGGACTGTCAGCCTCGACCTCAGACTATACTTCTGCTAAATTATCCTGGAATGCGGCCTTGAATGCTCTTGGATATTATGTGTATTCGGGCGATAGTGTTATTGCAAGTGTTCCTAGCTCAATGACTACGATCACTATTGGCGGTCTCCAACCAGGAGCTAGCCACGCATTCCAAATAAGCGCAGTGGGAGGAGGTGGCCAGATAGGGTCCTCTTCCAATACAGCTACGGTCAACACCAAATCTTTGCCCAACGGGAAAACCATCGTCAACTACCACTCCTCTCCTGGGGCAGATTCAACCACTGTCCAGGCTGACATTCTTGTTCCTTACGCTTTTATCCGCCTCTATATCTGGAACTCAGTGGGATGTGAGTTCGACACCGATCCAGGATGGAGTGTTAACTTTAAAGTCGACGAGTATGTCTGCACCCACTACATGGTCGAGGGCACCATGCTATACAAATACAGTGGCACACTTCCCGAAGGCTCCACAGCCCCACCGTGGGCTTGGTCGGTGGTCGGGCCCATCACTCTTGATATCAAGGACTACACTTACAAGTGGACATTACCCCTGGGAACTTCTACTATCGACACAAGCAAATTCGTGGTTCAGGCGCAAGGCTACAACCCCTTGACCAACGTCTTCGAGCCGGATCCCAGCGCCTATGACTGCAAGGGCTCATCCATGTGCACGACCCCAGATTTTGTGAAGTGGTGCGACCACGCTGTCAATACCCTGCAGCGATACGACGACCCCTTCTACTTTGCTACGTCTGCGTGAGTACCCCCCTCCTCTTCGTTTGTCTTTAGTCATTGCTCCATTGGCGTGCAAAGATCTTACTATGCCTTTTATGCTCAATGCCATTACTAATTTTACCCCTTTAGTAACGAAACCGGAATTAACCAATCCGGGAACTGCTGGGGCGATCAGACTCGGAGCTGCGGTGTGTTTATCCAGGGTGATGCTAGCTGCAGTATTAGTGGTAACGACCTGTGGAATGACTACCAGAACATCCGCAAAATTGGCGGCTGTTCCAAGTGTGGTTCGTTCCACAGGGAAGACGGCTGTCTGATTACTATAAACTATGTCTATCAATGTGACAACCACGGCTAGACTGTCCGTTCCAGTTTAGCGCCTGAACGGCATCCCCACGAAATGGGCTGACCACCACTTTTTCACTCTCCCGTTGCCTTGTGGTCTAGAACTTTCCATGGGATCACCATGTACCGCGTAGCCAGTGGTTGTTGCTGTTTGTCTGCTACTACTGACTAGTATTATTCTTATGGCTGGGATTGCAGAAGGGCTAGAACTCAGCCATCTCCCAATCGCCCTAGTGTCTCCCGATCCTGTTACTGTCTTGTTTGGGAACTTTGTAACAATGGTGTTATATCCAAACATAGTCGACCCAGCACGGTTTTTATCTAATCACTATCTTGCCACAGGTTTTTGGTATTGGATGGGGTGTAGACCCGCAAGTTCGGCGGCTATACCACTTCCTATTGAAACTATGACATCACTTTCTGCCCATGACGTATGACAGGTTTCTTACTTCTTCGGGCTCTTCGAGACCTTTTTGTGGTGTTGCACAGGTCCTCCGTGTTCCAGTAATGCCAATCAAAGACCTTCTGGCCTTATTTCTGACCTTACTTCTGACCTCCGCTATTTCAACCAGCAACGTACTCCCTTCTTCTCGCCTTTCCTTCAAATAGTGAGATTCCGACATGGCGACTGACATAGCAACAAGGGAGCTTCGCAAGCCCGTCGATATTGCCGAATACCTCTTCCTTCGACTCCATGAAGTTGGAATTCGTGCAGTTCATGGTGTTCCAGGTGAGTGACTCCCAGAAAAGTGCTCGTGTCTAGTTTACTAACAGCTACTTACTTCACACCAGGTGACTACAATCTTGCTGCACTAGACTATTTGCCAAAATGTGGTCTTCATTGGGTAGGAAACTGCAATGAGCTTAATGCCGGTATGTTCAACATGTCGTTTGATATTATGGAAAGAAATATGAATGTTTAGCTTCAATATGCTACAGGATATGCCGCCGACGGCTACGCTCGGGTTACTGGCATTAGTGCCCTTATAACTACATTCGGAGTGGGAGAGCTCTCGGCACTCAATGCTCTCGCAGGCGCTTATTCTGAGTTTGTGTCTATTATCCACATTGTTGGTCAACCACATACGGCATCGCAAAGAGACGGGATGCTACTGCACCATACGCTGGGTAACGGGGATTTTAATGTATTTGCAAGAATAAGCACAGACATCTCCTGTGCCACCGCACATTTGACCCATACCCATGAAGTAGCAACTCTCATAGATCATGCTATCCGAGAGTGCTGGATTCGCAGCCGACCAGTTTATATAACCCTTCCCACTGATATGATTGGAAAAAAAATCGAGGGTGAAAGACTTGACACTCCAATTGATCTTTCGCTACCTCCAAATGATCCCGAGAAAGAGGACTATGTGGTTAATGTTGTTCTGAAATATCTGCACGCTGCGAAGAACCCAGTTATTCTCGCGGATGCGTGCGCCATCCGCCATCGTGTCCTTGATGAACTTCATGACTTGATGGAAGTCTCTGGCCTGCCTACTTTTGTAGCGCCTATGGGGAAAGGTGCAGTAGATGAGACTCGTAAAAACTACGGTGGTGTATATGCTGGAACAGGGTCAAACCCCGGTGTCCGTGAGCAAGTCGAATCTTCAGATCTAATTCTGAGTATTGGAGGAGTAAAGTCCGACTTTAATACTTCGGGGTTTTCTTACCGAATCGGACAGCTGAATACCATCGATTTCCACTCTACATTTGTACGTGTTCGATATTCTGAATACCCAGACGTCAACATGAAAGGAGTTCTGCGGAAAGTAACTCAAAAATTGGGTGCTGTCAACGCTCAACAAGTACGACCTATTGCAAACATCGTGCCTAATAGTGAAAAAAATTCAGCTACTCAAGCAATCACGCACGCATGGCTCTGGCCAACCATCGGAGAGTGGTTGAAAGAAAATGACATTGTTATTACGGAAACAGGGACTGCAAATTTTGGTATTTGGGATACTCGCTTCCCTCACGGCGTCACTTCTATTAGCCAAGTCTTGTGGGGTAGCATTGGCTATTCACTCGGTGCCTGCCAAGGCGCTGCACTGGCTGCAAAGGAAAAGAATCGGCGTACTGTGCTGTTTATCGGTGATGGGAGCCTGCAGCTTACTGCACAGGAACTCAGCACTATAATCAGAAACGATCTCAACCCTGTTATGTAAGAAAACTGCTGCCCATATTTATCCCCCAAGTTATCACTAATTGGTTCTAGCTTCGTCATCTGCAATAAAGGATATACCATCGAGCGGTACATCCATGGATGGGACCAAGGCTACAACGACATTCAACCTTGGGATTTCAAGACTCTCCCTACAGTGTTTGGGGCCATGAACAAGTACAAAGGGTATAGGGTGAAGACTCGAGATGAGTTAATCAATCTTTTCGCGAACAAGGAGTTTTCCTCGGCGCCCTATTTACAAGTATGTCGAGGATTCCACTATTTAGATTACCTACCGATGCTAACCAGGAACCAGCTGGTGGAACTCCACATGCCTCGTGACGATGCTCCAGCGAGCTTGAAGATAACAGCCGAAGCAGCAGCATCGAGAAATGAATGTGATCCATATATCATTGGCCAGTAGGGAGCCTGTTATCTTTTTTTTTTTTTTTTTTTTTTCCCTCTCTCTCCCTCCCTTACCCCCTCAGTACTACTTATCCTGCGGAAAGGAGAGGAATGAAAGACATCATGAAGAGCAGTATGAAACTAACAAATTTACTTGAATGAACTACTTATGGTGTATCAATAAGCCATTTTACGCTCGTAAATCCAAGGACGATTTATAGAGTTCCCCCTGCATACAGAATTTAGAGTCTTAGTCCGGTGACTGAGGGTATACTCGTTGGTAGTGCGTGGATGCCAGTGCCTGAGTGTGTAGCGGGCAGGACCCGCAAAGTGCTCGAGCCTGTATACTGGGCACTCGCGTAGTCTCTAGTCGATCATTGCAAGTGCAGTATAAGTGCTAGCACAGCGATCTTGAGGGGGAATTTTGTGAATTAAGGCTTGATCGGGTAAACTATAGAGCTTCATATACGGAATATATTCCGTATAGAATCAGATTGATTTCCAATTAATCCGATGTTCATCTTGTATATAAACCCTCAAGTTTAAAGAAGTGAATTAGAACAACTTTAATCTTCGTCTGTACTACAACAGTCGGTGCCGGGTTTTATTTGGAACGCATAATACTTTGTTATATAGCCAAAACTTTTAGTTTATTTACAATGGAATTACACCCACGGGTCTGTTTTGTTAAAAACGAACGACCCGGGAGTGCAAAGTTGTAGCATTGATCCTCTGGTAGTAATACGGATTATCTTGAGATCGCTGTCCTACCTGGATGGGTACTGTATTGTCCACCAACACAATAGGGTGATAATTAATGTCAATCCAGTGACCGCATTTTTTCCTCAAACGAATGTAATAAATACACCAATATGGTGAGCTTACGAGGTCGAACCAGTATAGTTAATCGAGAGAAGACTGAGAATAGATGTCAATAGTAAACATTATCAGCATCCGTAAGGACTGCTCGAAGTTGATTCAGCTTTGGTATGACTCTCCTGGTGATGGCACAGCAAAAAATAGACCTAAAGCCAGAAAAGCGTTTTGTTTTCTCTGTATGGGACATCCAATTGCTTCAAAAAATCCAGTGAGGCATCGATCATGGACGGGGAACCAGACAACAATGCGACCTTGGACACGTTATCTCCTTTAAAGTCGTGTTGTCTGAGAAAATTCAAATCTACTCGCCCCTCTTTGCGAAAGAGCACGAATTCATCCGGATGACTTTTCGCCAGGCTATCCAATTCCTCGCAGAGAGGGACAACGCTGCCCTCGTGGTTGGCATACACAAGGTGAATCATTGGCATCTTAACTGAGGGCCCATCTTTGAATTCATATTTTAGAATGTGTATAAGGAGCTGATAAGCAGGAGTGATGGCTACTCCACCGACCACGAGATATATGTGGTCGAACTTATAACCCTTATGGTCGATCTGAAACCTGCAATCGCCCATATAACGGATATCACTGACAGGGCGTTTGACCTAAACCCTTTGACCCGGTTTGAGGCAGTCAAGAATGTTTGTCATTGTTCCACCAGGCCATGGCTGTTCCGATTCCCACTCTGGAGGCACTGTCTTCACAACCAGGTCAAAAGTACCGTTTTATTTATCTTCAAATATTGGCCGCGTTGGTGTGTAGTAGCGGACAGCGAGAGCGTCTTGGAAATGGTACCCGAGTTGAAGATTATGGCAGGCATCCAGCCCAAGCGGCTTGTCGGAAAGCAGCTTAAATGTGTACCGGTGAAAGAGACTGTCTTGGGACAAGGGCTCCTTTTTGTGGAATGCCACCTCGGTCCATCTGTACCATGTCAGCGGCATCTCGAGAAAACGATGCAAGAATACTTACCGATGCTGTCTTGTTGCAAATTTATCGTCGTGTGGCCTATCGTTCTTTTTTGCTTGCTCATCCCGATATTTCTTGACATTGTCGTCGAGGACACCGACGATATATTCTGGAAAGGACTGGTAAGAAATATTGTGCGTACTAGAGGGACAACCCTATCACTAACCACTTGCCCAGCTCCTCACATCATCTCTGTTCTCAGCGTGGAAAATGTCAAACTCCTCCGTTGTAGATGGATTTAACCTCCCTGCGTGTGCTAGAATTGTGCTCTTGCCAGCTGGATGCTTGTAGTCTCCTGTGCTTTTAAGGTACTTGGTGAAGTCATACCAAAATCATTCAGTACAACATAACATTTATCTTCTGTGCTGCCTTCTTGAATTTCCTGTACAGTGAACTCCCGGGGTAGACACGGAGGCGGATCTTGTATATCCTGAAGTTGTCGTTCACCGGAAGGTTTCATCCAGCCAGAGGTCCCGTTCCCTTGCTCACAGGGGTGGAGGAAACAGACAATAGTCTCGTCACTCTGAGAGTCTTCTAAGGTTTCACGTTTCAGGGTGCACCAACAGTTGTTTAGCAAACTAGGAATTATTAGTGATATTGTGGCCCTCGCATGTAACATATGGTTACCTACCCCAAAAGGTTCCAGATTGGATGCTCCGGCTGAGTATGTTTGGAGGAATCGTAACAGCGGACTGCAATGCTGGGTGCCTCGCAAAGTTCAGCTCTTTTGATATCGATATACCAGTGGATCCAGGCCCAGAACTTGTTAACATGTCGGAGCGCGTTTTGGGGAAGCTAATAGCATGTCAGTAGAGTAATCCAGTCTTAAGGAATCAGCAGCCCCACGAGCTACAAATATAAATTACCGTTCTGACACACGGACGCCAATTCTTGCCTTTATCTAGACTGACTTCAACGTTCTTGACCTCCTGGCCTCCTCCACTATATGCAAATCCTTGCACGCGGTATCCCTCTTCTGGGTCAATGCCTTCTACTTTAACCAGCTCCTTGTGTGCAAGCTTTACAACGACCAAATTTGGGACCTGTTCGTTGCAGGCCGTGCTCGCGTGCTTAAACATAATCTTCGCGAGGTCCGATTCCCCATCCTTGATAGAACTTGGCAGGACGTGAATGTTGTTCTTGTGGTAATAGTTGTCGCTCCCGTCCGACCCCCAAATTTTCGTTAGCCATTTGACCCATTGGTCACCAACATAACCAGGTATCACCAATGCCAACGGAAATCCATGGTCTGGGGGCAGGAGAGCATCATTCATCTTGTAAGCCAAGAGAACGTCGTTTGTCTGATCTAGGGCGTAGTCAAGCGGGATACTTGTAGAGAAATTCCGTGCTCATCAAGCTTTTCAGCACCCTCAAAATAAACACATCGCCGGGGCCCCGTCGGCTGGAGATCGGGTTCATCTCCTTGGATAGATCGGAGAATATCGCTGAGAAGCGCTCCTTTCCAGTATGCGCAGCTGACGGCCGCGGGACCCCAGTCAAAGCCTGATGTTTTGCGGATCATGTTCAGCTCTTTCCGCCTATTTGCAGCGCTCACTACCGCAATAGGAAGATTAATTGGTTGAAAACGAGTGAGATCGTCCATTGTGAACTCTTTCGTTTCTCCCCACTTTACCTCTACGTTGTGTTTGGCCCACAGTAGACAAGGCACTGCCCCTCGATTACTCACATAGTGCAGATGATTCGGAGTGGTAACCCAGCTTTAAAAAGTTTGTCTATCTGAGGCTCTGCATTCATCGGATAGTTTCCGTTATTCCGAATTCGTTCCGATGACCGAGTGACCCAGTTATCAACGGTGAACTGGTCAGCCTCATCGATGGTGATGGGATACTCAACCTCAGCCATGGGTGAACGGCCTTGACCATCGTAGCTGCGGATAGACGCCACAAAATCTATTTCACGGCTGAGAGCCTTGACCAGCCCTTCATTTGTGGAAGTGTCGATTAGTTCATTGCCCTTATTGTGTCCGTTGATGCCGCTGTCTTGATTTATTCGATCGAGATGGTTTTCGTCCAGATTTGTGACATTCTCAGGGTCTATGTTGTTACCATCGCTTTTGTGTTTAGCTCGAGAATATTTGTCGGTTTTCGGATCCCTGTTATTTTGCTTTATGTCCTTCGGCTCCCTTGCGTCTATCTCATGTTTCTTCTCGACGACTGGCGGCTGGCAACCGCCAGTGAACTGGTCTTCCTTGAGCCACTTCTCAGTAGTGGGCAATGTCGGTCGCCAACCGATGGGGTAAAGGTCAGAATGCCTTAAATAGTCATCCTAAAAAGAGTTTATCAGCTCCAGTGACTCACTACAACCAGTTACCACTAGTGCGCGCTACAATACGGTTCAAACTAGCATGGGGGTGGAGGAATGAACAAAGTTTCCTTACATCCTGAGCCTCCACGAAGTCTTTCACTGTCTTGCATGTATGACAATATGGTTCCTTTCTCACTGGTGGCACGACCACCCAGTTCGTTTGGCTGTAGTTAGTCTCCAGATCACCCATCTCTTTCACTGGCAAATTCTCTTCTGATGGTCGGTCGCCTTCATTTACGACAGCCGAATTGCCTTGTTTATGACCACGGAAGCGTAAATTGTCCCTAGGGGCCTCACCCCCGTCCAGCCCAAACCGAATATTCGGGGATGAGGACCCTATATCATTGTCTTCCCAAATGACTGTAACGGGCATCTGGACAGAGGGCAAAAGAAGCAAGCAATTGAATGAGTGAGTGAACCAAAAAAATAACTAGGTGCTGAATCTCATACTTTAGAGTATCAAAAGAGACTTCGTCAAGGAATAAATATACCGCCAATTTATAGCAGTTTTTTCTACATCAGCCCAATACGCCACCTATGAAGTCCTAAGGGAAATGTGTGCCCTGCTTCTTGGTTGTTGTAGGATCCGACCCACCCGGTCCGTCGCGTAATAAACTGACATTTTTGCCAGTGTCGTATCTCAAAAGGTAGCTCATTCCTATTGCGTACATTCCAGATGCCAACTGGATAGTCTGAGTGCGGTTGGAAGCAAAGGTGCCTAAGGGAGTAGAGAGCTCCACATATCTGCTTTGTCTCTCTTTTTTTCGGTTTTATTTTACGTATCTTTGTTTATTTCGCCAGTTGGGGCAGCCCGCACTTCGGCTGGCTCGCGGTAATGGTGGGATCATCAGTTGAAGAAAGCTAATTGCCCGGTCACAAAATAGTAGATTCAGCCCCTGTCCTGCATATTGGTAACTTTCGAAATTCAATGTGCCGCAGCCAATTTCAATAGGTTTTCATATCTGCTGTATTTTGTAACTTTTACAGCATTCAAAGATATTTTTATGTGGGCACTATTCTATATGTGTAAGGAGTACTAAGGACAGGTGCATTGAAAGGCGTGTGGTACTCTGTAAAAATGCATCAGTCAAACTACGCATATCCATGTATTCAGCAATGTTCAATTAAATATAATATAATTTGTGTTCGAGTATAAAGTAGCATTATTCTGAATCCGGTTATGGTGGTATAAATCTAGAAATTGCATCTTTCTTTCTCTTTGATGAATTTGTATTAATCACGTCACTTCAGGTTCATTAAGTCTGTATGATAGTCCGGACTCTCAGTGTAAGTCTGGCTGGGTATGTGGGATAGGGTCTTCATAGTGTTGTTTGTGAGCGGTGTAATCCCTGGAGCCACACTTTGTGACAATTGTAGTAAGTTATCTACGGAAGAAGACATTTGATCAATTGATTTAACTAGGCTAAGAAACGGCCACAAATAACAGATCACTGTATGACTGTCAAAGGTGCGTGTCAAGCGTGAAGGTAAGGAAAACAAGCGTGACAGTGGCTGCGCCTTATTGATCTCCTTCTGTTCTGGGCCATTACAGCCTAAGGCTGCAGCAACGTGTCCCACCGGGCATGTAGCTGGTTACCCTATGTAATTTACCTTGGACAAGGTCCTGCACATTGTAACCTAAGAAAGTCCCCAATTTTGATTTCAAACCTTGTCTGCAGTTTACAGTATCCCTCGTCCGGAGGGTGTGGGGAGATCTATTCCTACCAGAAATTAGAATTCAAACGAGTGGGCCTATAAGGACTATATATAGCATTGAGAATGTGAACATCCTAGTTGCGAAATTGCCCATTCACTACAGTAGCCCCCTCGACGAGTCACATGTAGTATAGACCTAGTGATCCACGCAGGTATGAGGTGGATATCCTGTAATTCTCTCTTATCTTCTGTGATTTCATACTACTTGTAAACTATTCCAATGACATTTACTTGGTGGGCTCGGAATCAGCAGCCTCTAGGCTTGTGGGAGACATGTGATGTAAGTGCAAACAGTTATGTGTTTACTACACTGATCTTCTGGTATTAACGGTAGCCTACGTTGTACTATTCCCATCAATCCATATTTTTGGGGAATAGCTCACCCTCCACTCGTCACCACTTGGCGCGAAGATCAATATTATATACTTGGTATGGTTGCCATATTGACTGTTTCCGAATGGCAGGTTAACTGTCTCCTGGTACAAAATACCATCGACCTCAGATTCGGCTACGGGGTGTATGCTACTTGTTAATGTGTTTCTAATCATAACGTTCGTTTTATTCAATTTGTTGCCATTAATGGATGTACTGTAGCTGCTGATGTTCTGAAATAATACAGACCCTGCTTATGCCTGGACTCAATTGAATTATGATCGAACGTGAACTGGCATTATTGTAGGATATAAAGGGCCCACAAATTTTGCAAAGACAGGCGCAGATAGGCACAAACGACACTATTTTGCAGGTGGCGGCGCGTTTCTCTCTGTGATGGAAGAATAAGTAGGAAAGGCGCCATTAGACCTTGGTTTTGGACGAAACAAAAGGCCGCTTTGCCTCCACTTCTGCTTCAGCCTTATTGTCTTTGTTTCTTTGTTCAAAAAGCCTTAATAAGTGACAGGGGAGGTTTTTGTCGGTTTTCCCCGGAATCATAGAACCGTATGTCTCCCACATCGGAATCGCCCCCTCCCAATACTCTTTGCCAGTGCCCGTTTCCCAGTCTGCTTCATAGCCAAAAACATCTTGGCGCTTATGCGTGTGAGATTCCTTAGTATCAATGTCGACTCGGACAACATAAACCCGTGCAACTTCTTCATTCTTAAAAGGATGCCGAGTGTTCTCCCATTCTCCTGGGAGCATTCCCTCGACAATGTTATACAGCGCGTATACTTTTTCATTCTTTTTAATGTCCTCCTCCGTGACCTCCTCCTTACAATGGGAAGTACCGTCATAGGGGAGCAGAGTGGCAGTTCCATTGATTACTGCGGACTTGAAAGTAAACCCGTGAGCAAATGGTGTATAGCCGCAGTAGTAGCTGAATGCTTTACTGGCTGTAATCGTTACCGGAAGCCCACCTCCACTATGACTTGGAATACGACTGGCGACACACTCTGGAATGTAGCCGTGAGCATACAAGACATCTTTATCCTTTTCCGGAGTAGGTATGATTCCGCCGACCAAGTGGATCACATCTGGGAACTTTTTCCCAGACTCGGGAGGAAATGTGAAATCCAATATATGGGAAGTATTTATAACTTTTGTGGCTATTACAGGGTCATAGCAGTCTGTCGAATCAAAGGATGTTAGCAGAGGTTTTTTTTTTTTTGAAAATTTTTTTTTTTGGAATTAGAAGCATAAGAGTGTAAATTATTGCCTTTGTGCAGTTCAAGGTCTGGATTATAGCCCGGACAGTCTTCTGCTGCCATTTTGTTCAGTCGTTTGGTTAGTGTCACGTTTTATTGAGAAATCCTATTGACTGAAGAGAGTTGTATTCTATCTGTAGGAGAGGAAAGGAACAATAATGTGCGAACAGCCCCATATTTATAGTCTCGACTGATTAGATTGGAATTTTTTTAAAAAATACTTTGATTATTAATGTGTAGTATCCTCCCTCATGATGTTCTTATCCAGGGTGCCTAACAGTGTTAGCCTACTGCTTTTCCCCCCAAACACAGCTTGTTACACTGCCTGACTATGATAACGTATCATAAACAACCAGCAAAATGCATATATTATGCAAAAGGGAAAGCATTCACAACGTTGCAATATGATTTCTTCCACGCTTCAATAAAAACAATCTAGCCAACGCTAATCATTTACTAAACTATTCTCTACTAAAGAGCATATCCAGATCTATAGTATCAGGACAGATTATCAGGTAAAATAAAGGTCGATATTTTATTATATTTTACAACCTTGTTATTGTGTTACGAAAAGGTACCTCGTTGCAGAATTCGCTGGAAGGTGTAGTAGAGTGTAGCGTGCTACCACTTGCTTTAGAGCCAGCATTCCTTTCCTAAGCAGCAGCAGAATCAGTCGATACAAAACTGGTACTTTAAGTAAGTCCGTCTATTGGCCTACCATGTTGGCAGCATTTATCAAAGAACGGCATGTATCCCATGATCAGTCCCACTCGGCCGGTTGAAGGCCATTTCCCGCAGATCCTAGCGACGCGGCAGTTGTGGAGTATTCGAGGAAAGTTTGGGGCGAGTCCAATCCAACGACTTCTAGACTATTATTACAGAGACATACAAGAAGGGCTGTACTGTTATTTTACTCTGTCATTCCCGCCTGGAGTAGGGGCGATCCCATTGCGTCTACAAGCCTCGAGCTATAAAAGATTCAATGAATGCGGAACGGAAGTAGCCGATCGGTAAAATGAGGTTATTTTGTAATTGGCGCTTCGGAGATAGGTATTAGAGGCATATTCAGCAAAAGACATCCGGCAGGAAAACATGCACCCGCGAAATGGGACGAAAGGAGGGGTGAAGGCTGCCTGGATGCACCTTCGTTTCAGGCAATGTTGAAAGATACGAGGAATGCGCCTAGTACACTGGTAATGCAAAATGAGAATAGCTCACTTCTTTCATCTGATCTGGTAGATGAGGGATGATTCGATGAACACTACTGGAGGTTTCATGCTTGCTGACGTGGTTCAGCTCCGCATCTCTCTCAGGTGCATGCAACTCTCACCACTACGCCTACCCCGCCGTGGACCTGTGGAATAAAGGATTTGGAAATACAGTGGCGAGCCAAGGTGTAGTGAGCTGCAGGCAGCGGCGACTTTTAAAGTCATTTCCATCCTACCGCAGATGGCGTTCCGATCATCTCCCCCGCCCCAATGGTGCGTCTGATCCTTCCAGGACATGGTCTCATTGACCATTCAACAAAACGCAATTCGCATGCAAGCTGCACAATTGTGATTCGCTTTCACTGTAAAGGGCTGGGTGCACCTGCATTCCTGCCCCGAGCGGAACAGCGGCAGCTCCCGCAGAGGGTAGACGATGAACACAGGATGGTGCCTAAAGGGGAGAACAAAGTACTATCCAGGCCACGCAGCATCCTCTTTCCCTGTAGCCTTTACTAAGAAAATGAGGAACAGCATAACATAACACTTACATATCTCTGATCCAGAGAAAGATGTATTCGCCGCTATTCGTGCTCCAATATTCATCTTATCCGATGGCTGATACCTCAGACGTTTTGTCTACGCGTGAATATCTTCCCTAGGTTCTCCCATCAGATGGAAATGTTGATACATAGCGCTCAACGTGGAAATGACTGGTGGTTTTGTCCCTGTTCTGTGGGACGCCACCTGTGAAGGATTGGGCCAGTCCATTCCTCAGAGCCAGGTGTCAGAGAAAGCCATTGTAGATTAAAAGCGCAGTGGCTGGCTGCGCGGAAGCTATTGATATGCCCGTTAGCCTTTTGTCCATATCCGTATGGTTAATTCCGTTCTAGGTCTGCCGTATGATGTGTCCCCGAAGATGAATATACTTGGATAGCGTGCATTTGCTGATCGAGAACCCGGTTACGCTCATGCAAAAAACGAGCTTGGTCACTGGGGCTGTATTATATCAGTATGTCCGGTTGATTCATACCTAATACCAACCAAGCCAATCAGTCACTATGGCCGACTCTCAGTTCACCACATACTAGGTTAGTCAGAGGCGGGCGTTAGCTAGCTGAATGATACCTATGCATCCGACTGACATTCAGCTGCATATCAATCCCCAATCACATAGTTGTCATGCACGAGGTTCGTTGTGCCTCCAGTGTATTCAGCTAGGTAGCGTAGTACTTTGTTCGGTGCATCCAGAATATAGAAAAGCCCTCTGTCCAGTGAAAACGACTCCCTATCATTCCGATGCGAGTGTTGGCAACCTACGTTAGGCTGGCGGCCGACTTCTGTAGGGAGTTTGTTGAACTTCAAGCCAATGGGATGGTTTTCACTTTGCACCGCAGTTCAACGATGGCTTCGAGGACTAGGCTTGTCCTGGGCTAGACCTAGCCTTCTGATAACGCTCACTTACGTCTAGTATTCGAATTGGACTGTATCTGCAAATACACCTCAATCTGTGGGTTTTGATGGTCGATGGCACCCTACTCGCTCTATACGACAGTTACATTCCACTGTTGTTTAACGTTCCTGGGGTTCCGTTTCACTACACAGTTGTGTGGTGACTTGGATGAGGTCTTAACTTATATATACCTGAGACAACCGCAAGACCTATCTCATTTTACTTTTTGAACAACCTTCCCCTTCTAGCTGCCCATCATGTCTACCCTCGTCCTCAATGAGCCTATCGCTTGTGACCTTCGTGGCTATGTCTTTCGCAGGGTACATAGGTTTGAAGCCTTTGAAAAGCAATCACTTCAGCCATTGATCCAGCTGGTGGCGGTGCTGAAGATATGGCTGCCGAGAAGATCGGAACATTGGAAGACTATCTCCGGTTCGTCGATAGCCTTCTCAGATGGGTCCCGAAAGTGTCATCTGAACAAGATGAGCTCTTGAGGAAGATCCTCGTCTTCAATTGGGTATTCGAGCAGCCAAGTCTCAGGGATCTGCAAACCCCCATCAAACCCGAGAACTCCAATGACGATTTAACATGGCTATCGTACTGGCTTGTCACATTTGCGCGGGAACAGGGAAATTTCATGAATCGACCTGAATCTATGGGATCTGTGTACTCCTTCCATATTAATAGCAAATACGACAAAGAGAAGAGTCTCTGGGCGGAGCCAGAGTCTGGATGGCTATCCTTCAATCACTGGTTTGCCAGAGAGTGGAAGGATATTAACCAGGCTCGCCCGCTTGACAGAGAACGGGACTCAAATATCATTGTCCATGCCGCAGATTCTTTGTATGATGGTAATTGGGATATTGTTGATGGTATTGTCAATATACCAGAACCCTCCATTCGTACTAAGGGAATCAGGTACCCTATCCAAAAATTGCTTCAAACCGTCGACAGCGACGTGTACAAGAACGGCAGCTTCATGCATGCATTTCTAGCGCCCAATGACTACCACTGTCAACACGCTCCTGTTAGTGGAAAAGTGATCAAAATAAAAAATATCCAAGATCAAGCTTATCTTCAAGTCCGGAAGAAAAAGGGTCAAAATGGCCTTACATTGGACAGAGGGCTGATCCGTGATCCCGATGAGATTAAAAGACGCCAAGACCAAAGGAAACGTCAAAACCTAGGAGATATCGATGCGCGGATTATGCGGGGTATCAATGGTGTCAAATTCGCGGGCTCATCGAGATCGAGACACCAGAACATGGGAGAGTCGCAGTCCTGCCTATTGGAATGGCTCAAGTTTCCTCCGTGGTTATCACGGTAAGGGAGGGCCAGGCAGTTGAAAAGGGACAGAACATAGCCTACTTCCAATTTGGTGGCTCGGACGTTGTTATCGTCTTTCAAAAGAGAGTGAAATATCGTCCCGGTCTTGAGCCAAATAAAACTAAGCTCAATGTGAGGGAGAAATTGGCAACATTTGCATAACTCGCAATCGGGACGTCCACCTCACACGCTCTAAACATGATCAGTTTATATGAATTTGGGGTGTCCCCATCAGATTGTTATGCTGTTATTGCGCGTGGTATTTTCTGGTTTAACAGGCTCCTAGTACAAAGAGTCCAATTCAGCAAGATGTTGATCCTAATAAGTCTTAATGTAGAACTGTAACCATCTACAAACTTTGATGTAAAACTAATGATGCATTTTAATTCCACAATATGGATGTGTACCCCGACCTCTCGTTTTGGCGATTTGCACGATATATCATATCACTCTCGCGATCATCTGTCTATGTCTGTATAAGGAACCGACGGTCAAGCCCACGCTCTCCACTTCCAAGGGCAAGACAAAAAAAAGAACCCTAAGGAACCTAAGTTCATACCAATACACGTCACATTGATCTAGAACCATGCAACAGCATAAAAGACACACGGACTTAGAAGATGGGACTTGAGAAACATACTATAAGTTTCAAAGGTTATGTCACATCAACTCAAGACAACGGAAGGAGACATTGTAACGTAATCGGTAAGCCAGTCGGCCACCTCCGTATTCCATATAAAATGGCACTTTTTAAAACCTTAATATCTCAACTAATATTGTGTCTACAGAACCAGCATTAGATTAGATATATCCTGTGCATACAGTAGAATGCAATTCTTTGTTAGCTCTAATTTTTATAGATTTCTCTATCTCAATCAGATGCATAAGCGGTGTTTGCTCTTAACCTGTCTCCACAACGCATCTCGTGGTCGACTGGTTTATTGCATCAGTTGGAGTGACGGTCATCCAGATGCACGATTCGAGAGTATGGTAACAGATAGTTGTGACGCAAATACTGCGGAATACGCCGAACTGGACTTCGTAGCTAAGTAGCAAGTCCGGTGCGATAATAAACACCCTCACACAACCATCATTTGGATTGCAATCTCTTCGACCGACGCAGCGAAGCTTTCTTGATGGGAACAGTATGGCGTTCCAATAAGCGTGGGTCGATATTTGCCATCTCAGAGCTAACGGAAGAAGCAGGAGTCTCGGTGCCTGAATTACCATCTGATTTTAGGGAATCGTCCGAGCCATTAATAGATGAAGTGCTGCTACACGATAGCCGAGGTCTTTTTGGGAGGTGCTGCAGTTTAATATTAATATTATAAGCGTGCACCTTAACAGCATGGGCCAAGAAACCAGTGATTTCGGTGAACTTGGGAATGTTATGGCAGGCTGTCTAGGTACAGCTTATCCCGTCGTGCGCATGGGCGAGATAAGAGTCAATAAAATAGCGACGGAGAGAATCTTTTCGCTTGGAAGGAAATTTATGGGGAGGAGGTTAGATGCTGAACGTTGTGATAGGCCGTAACAGATAATACAAACGTCCGTTGGACATTCCAGGGGTTTATTTTTAGGAGGTAACAGTTCTTCCGACTTCTTAATTTTATTATCATCTTTATCCCAGTTAACTCGATTGCCCCGCCAATTCGGCTCGCAGAGCTGTGAAAGCGCGACCATATCCTTGGTAACTTGGATACGTCTTTCAAGCAGCATATCCTCATCAAAGTTCTCCGCTTCGGGCCCATAGAAATTTTCCACCAGACGCGCCCGCTTAGGGAAGATATATTCCGGGATAGGAAGTTCACAATCTTTATCCTCAGAGCTATCAGCATCACCATGTGTATTATTAGACTGGCCGAGAAGTTGCTTAATCTGTCTATCGACCTTAAGAACAGGAGCATTGTGAAAATATTCCTTTCTGGCTGTCTTCCAGGTGCCATTTGCCAGGGTCTTCCTTAACTTAGAGAGTTCTTGCTTGACTTCCTCGTGCCTTTGATAAAGGTGAGGGAAAGCCCCCTGGGCATTTTAGATAGTACCTGCCAGGGATCGCATCTCCTCCTTTAGCTCCCTCTTCTCCCGTCTAATAAGAACTAGGATTTCGGGGTTTTGGCAAATGGCAAGTCGCTGGGTGTTGGTAAGATCGGATGGGGCTAAGAGATCCCTTTTCCTAAGCATACTTCCTGCGAGTCGGAGGAGGCCTTCCTGGGCTGGTCGGAGAAGAACAACATGCTGAAGGTCGCGGCAGATAAACTCTAATTAATAGTATCTTTTAAAAACCGCGTTACTAGACTAGCCGAGCACCCGTTTCCGTTCCTGGCTAGTAAAGTTCCCTGTTGACCACAAGTTAGATAGAGTGTGTGAAGGGTTCTTTATCCAAAGTAGTTATATTTTCCGCCGAGCTCTGTTTAAATAGGGGTGACATACAATTAACTTTATTTGTAGTCCAGCGCCGGTAGTTATAATAGCCAATATTATCCTTAAATCTCGCATCTCGACCCAACTCTTGGAGCGCCTGTCGGCTCGAGTCGTACGTCATCGGCAAAGATTTATGAAGTTCGTAGCCGTATGTAGTGCGTTCAAGGCGCCGAAGAAAGGGGGTATCTAACATCTCCGGCTTCCACCGGAGGTCAATAGAATGGCTGCGCTTGGGGACTTGAAGTCGCTATATTAGCTCTGGTGTTAACAAGGTATTAAGAAAAGCCCCATCGCGGAAGGCTAGTGAAATAATTTGGTTGATCAGACAGTATGCCAGTTGGTAATCACTGTGTATAAAGAATTTAGTTCTAAGATTAATAATTAGAGTCGGAGCATATAGGCGTTTAAGAGGTGCATAAAAATTTGCCCTTATCTATCAGCATCTTCTAGCCGACCTTTAAGATTGCAAAACTTGATAATGGCACAAAGAACATCGCGTTTGCTATCTGGGTCTTTAAGGTAAAAGAGCTCGATATCGCGGTAGCAGACCGAGTCCGGAAGACCGTCCACCGAAACGTGTTTGGGAAGGTCGCTCTGGAAAGTCTGGCCAAGTTTGCGTTTGGCCAGAGATGACCTGTTAGTTAGGGAGGATTTCTGTGGAAGTAGGACGCCTGGCCGAGTCCCGGTGATGGCGGACCAGAGTTAGATTGTGGCAAACTAAATATTCATACTCAACGGAAAAATCTCGAATGTACCTAGTAATAGTGGTAGGTGACACAAAAGACATCCACATCTAGCATGTTCTTTTTCTTCGTGCGCCTGGAGATTGTGCGCTCGGCAGGGAAAACATGCTTAAGAAACTGTTGTTATATTAGCCTTGCACCTAAAGGTCTAAGAAGGTCAGCGTACTCGTCGCATCTGTTCATGGACTTCGCCATTCACGCGACGCCGGGCGAACAGGCCATTAACAAAGGCGTCGCTAGTACTTATTATATAACTAAAGCGCCTTCTCTCGCGAGGTCTTGTACATCCAATCGAAAAAGTTCATGTAAATTGCTTGGTCCACCGAGAGTAGATATTCTACATAGTCCTTTTTTAACTGGATGCAGTATCTGTTGGTCGTGGGTTATTTCTAAACCAGCTCTAGAGTGTTATAAGTAAACTATACTTACTTTCTCCAGTATCTTTCGACCACAGCAAGACCTTTAAGCGTCCTGGGCTTGTAGTTTGGAGGAAGTCATCTAACGCTTTAGAAATATTCCAGTCTGGCTCTTGTTTCTTCGCAGAGAATTGGGTCGGTCCAGTATTGATACTTATCAGGATTCGCTGGGGGAAGGGGAGGGGGTGCCATAGAGATGACAAGATCCAAATATTATAGAGATGGGACTGTATTCTGGAAGTGATTCACGGCACGATCGACTTGGGGGCTTGGAGACTAAGGTGTTGAGGCGAGAGAAGGATGGGAGGATAAAAAGAGGAAACCAAGGGAGAGAGGAGAAAAGGTATCATTTTGTACGGCGCCCGACGAGGCCGGGGGAAATTAGAGGGGAGCTGGATTTGGCGGCAGAGGAGGCCATTTTCGGCGTCGCTTTGGTCATGAGTCGAAACGGAGAGAAGGCTTGCTGAGGTTGAGCGCTAACATCATCACCTCAGGATGGTGGCTAAACATGCTTGGCGGGTACAGAATAATGGTGTGAGGAATGTGGTGGGATGTTAAAGCAGCGGCTCGCCGCTGGATTTACGGGTGGAAATGCGGCCGTTTATGGCCTCAGTAGCGGTCATTTTCGGCGTCAATTTCACAGGTCCTCACATTCTAGTTGTAATTATTTTATAAATAGTTACATCGGAACGATCGAGATCGACGAGCACGTGTGGAATGCGCTGGCGCGGGATTATCCGCGACCACGTGTCTACAGGTGTTTGGAACCTCTGCTAGAGATAGGCTATGCTCGTAGGCGGATATGGCAGATCGGACGATGAGGATGACGTATTGTTGGGTTTGCGGGATTTTGCAAGTAGAATAGCAGTTTCATTTGTCTTAGATATTCCATACTTGTCGATTCATACGATCAACAAACCGAACCAATGGCCCTCAGGGATATTACTAATAGTTAGCCCTCATCATCTCCTGATGCTGAGTCAGCCTCCTGAATTTCCCGATATGGGCTGATCGTGAAAATTTCGTAAATGTGGCGCTGCATAGTAGTAGTTATATGACACCAGAATATGCAGCTCCATGTTCAGTCACTCTCAGATACTTGTATATAGAATATATAACGTACATAGAATAAATACATAGCTTATACAGTGATATCCATCCCATTGGCCTTTTCTCTCCATCAAAGTGATGGACATGCATAATCACGCAGATGGCGTCAGGTCCAGACCAGGAGATACATCTCCGCGGAGAAGTCAGCGGGGATGCTCGCGGGCTCAGCAGTTCGGTGGAAATATTCTCGGATTCATTGCCTCATCCAAGCCTGGTATACGAGGGGAAAAAAAGTATATAAACATGCCTACCTAGCCCATGTAATGTATTCCAACAGGTATTCAATTGCATTCAACAAACATGTCTCTCACTTCTGAGCAGATTCAAACCATCAAGGCCACTGTGCCGGTCCTCCAGGTCCATGGCAAAGCCATCACCACAGTGTTCTACAAGAACATGCTGGCCGCTCATCCCGATCTGTATTCCGTATTCAACAAGGCCAACCAAGACAACGGCCACCAGCAGCGTGCTCTAGCCGACGCGCTCTTCGCCTACGCTTCATACATCGACAACTTGGGTGTCCTTACCCCGGCCGTCGAACTGATGTGCCACAAACACGCCTCACTCTGCATCCAGCCCGACCAGTACCAGATAGTGGGCAAATATCTTTTAGAAGCCATGGCCATCGTGCTAGGCGACGCCCTCACCCCAATCATCCACGACGCCTGGGCCGCAGCTTACTGGCAACTCGCCAATCTGATGATTGGCCGCGAGGCCCAGCTCTACCAAGCCGCTAACGGCTGGACCCAATTCCGCGATTTCCGCGTCATCCGCAAGATCCCCGATTCTGCAGAAATCACTTCTTTCCACCTGGCCCCGGTGGACAACCAGCCCCTTCCGGTCTTCCGCCCTGGCCAGTTTATCTCCGTGCAGGTCGACGTGCCAGAGCTGAATCACCCACAGGCAAGGCAGTACTCGCTCAGTGACCAGCCACTCTCCGATCACTACCGCATCAGTGTGAAGCGCGAAGTCGGTCAGGAGAACGGCCATGCGGGCTACGTGTCCAACATTCTGCATGATCAGGTCCAGGAAGGCGACGTGGTTAAAGTGTCGCATCCCTACGGTGACTTCTTCCTTGACGTGGACGCCGCTAGCTCGCGTCCCATTGTGCTTCTCGCCGCGGGAGTCGGACTCACCCCGTTGACTTCCATGCTGAACACAATCTCATCTCAGTCCGGGACGAAGTCTGCGTCACGACGCATCCACTTCGTGCATGGCGCGCGCACCACGGATGTACGTGCATTTCGAGCAGAAATCCAGTCCCTAGTGGAGAAATTGCCGAATCTGCACGCGACGTTCTTCACGAGCTATCCCGCGGAGGGGGATAAGCCCGGCGTGGACTACGATCACGAGGGACGCGTGGATCTGGGCAAGATGGACGGGGTAAAGGATTTGTTCCTGGATGATGCGATGACGGAGTATTATATCTGTGGACCGACGGGGTTCATGGTTTCAATGAAAGAGGGGCTGTTAAAACGGGGGGTTAGTGGCGATCGGATTAAGATGGAGTTGTTTGGGACGGGGGGAGTTAATTAGAGTGTGATGGATACAGATTAGATATAGATCTCCTCTCATGAGTTATGATTTACATTATTTCCTGTGACACTTATGCAGCTTACATACTCTTGTTTTTAATTTGAAGATACACCTGTTCTGGTTACAACAGTGAGCCTGTTTAACCTCTTAGGCTAATTGTCCTTATTATCCCTACTCTTCCTATTGCCCCTATTGGTTATAGCTCCTTTAATGTTTTATAGACGTGCACCCAGGTAATATGCTCCGGGCAGTGTATAATAATAAGCTGTTACAAAACTTAAAGACAAGGAATACATGTCCCCCGTACCCTGCAAGCAGGTCTTATCCAGGTGGAATATCTATCTCTCACGACTCATGCGTCCCAAGGAAGCAATATTACTTTTTAACTTTGGTAAGGCTAGGATGGGGCCAGGACCTCACGGCAGTGATATAATGCCATTGGAATACCGACTCCTGAATTATTACTATATGTGGACTGGAATCTAATAATAAGGTAGAAAAAGAGTTATCTACCACGCAGCCTGTAGCATAAACTAAGCAGGTACGACGGAAGCGGTGCCGAAGTAAGACCTTAAGGCTATAGATAATACTGATAATGGTCTCCCACTTCTAGATATACCAATTGAGGAGAAGACGCAGGTGCGGTCAGGAGGGTTTGGAAGAAGCCTAAGCTACCTAAGGGATTTGCTAAAAATCATATCAACCTGGCATCCGAAGTGCAGTTCCTAATATCAACAGGATAGCACTGGAGTTATCAGGCTGCTTTGAAAACGGAAGATGCCATGATACTCACCAGAGTCTAAACAATCCTGAGGTCAATTGCAGTATTTCGTAACGAAGCTCAAAAACATACCAAAACCCATCTAATTTTGCAGAGCAGGTGTATAGTACAGTTTAAGGCAGGTCAATGTGCAAAGTGACTGCGTTATGCCAAGTCCAGTTTGGTCTAGGGTTGAAGGTGGGATTAATAACGCTCAAGGTCATGTATTGCACGAGCTACGCAACTCATACAATGTTTTTAGGTTCAAGTATCTGTTTTGCTCTTATACTAACGGCTACATCAGCATTTGCATTTTGAAGATTGCTGTTTTACATACCAGTATCTCATGCTTAGAAAAGTGCAGAGGCATGGAATAGCTCTAAGGACCTCTTTGATAGTTGAGATAAGTCGTACCCAATCCCTAAAACATTTATTAAGCTTTATGTCTCCACAATGGAGATCTTCGAAGGACTGCTCAAGCTACTCTTACCAGCATTCCTGTGGAGAGTCATCCTTGTCCTCCTTGGTAAATATGCCGTCTCCAGCCGCCAAGGGATCTAGTTTGAGCTTCTTTTCGTTTCCTGATCATTAAATATTCTTTCGTAAGCACTTGGTCCATCTGAAGTGGTGTCATATATCCTTAGCTTTTGAATATTCGGAATGCCTTGGGCAGAGCCGCTTGCCGTTGTTGCCTCTCGTCCTCTTTATGTATTATTAATTGCTTCCACGACCTTCTTCCGCAAATCTTGGCATAGTTCCTTCAACCTCAGAACGTGGACCATTGTCTCCCCGGCGGCGCATTCGCACTTGACTTCTTCCCAGAAGCGATAGAGCATGCCATATGACACCAGCCATGCATGACCATTCCAGAATAGTGTGGGCAAGTAGGTTGGGTTCTGTGGTAGCGAGCAGTACATCTGTCGGCTAAGGATGGAAGGCAGCACAGTATCAGGCGTAACTTGGATGCCGGCATATGCATGTTCGCAAAATCTGGTAAACGTTGTCACCATAATATCTGGAGATTCGCAACACCAGAATATGTCCCCTTTATATGGCCATTAACAATTACTTATATTACATAACGGATCCGAAATATATCGCACGATAGCAGTACGAATTATCAAAGGAGCATTATCCTCACTGGCGAGGAAGATAACTTGCGGGACCGAATAATTCTGAGAAGTGGCTCAATACGCAATGACTGTGATACGTAGGGTCAGCCGTACGTATGAGCTGTCAAGCTGCCCTACAGCCTATGAAACCCATCTAGAAACATGAGAGGGGCGTGCGCAAGTAAACTAATTACCAAATTCCCTAATCCAAGAAATAGCTATGCTAACGGGATAGGATCGGATAGCCTTTGATTTTCGTATGGTTTTGAAACTTCAGAGCTCTGATAAAAAAAACAATCTCTCAGTAGGGACTATTTTGATTTAAAGACTAGACGCATTCGCAGATCAACCACCAAAGGCTACGTGGAGAGCCAAGAGGTGCAGTTTCGCATTATTGGTTGACCCTCACTTATAGCGATGCACCCTATCAGATATAGGTCCTGTCATTCTTTTGCAGGATATTGGATATGACACATAAGTCTAAAAGCATGCTGACAATCAAGAATATCATAATGTTCCCGAAATAATAATACTCTGTCTTGTTGTAGTATTTCGTACTGAAGGAGTCGTTTTATATTCTCCAAATCATTAATTCTGGCCCTTGATGCTTGCCTAATTCGCATATGTAGATTCACAATACGTCCTCTCTATAGATCATTCAATCCGAAAATAACCATCGAAGTTGTCAAGTCGCAAGGTTCGCCAAGTACCTACACCACATGGAATCGCATTGGAGGAGCGGTCACTATCACTGTCAACAATGAGACCAGATTCACTGATATTGATATCACACTAGAAGGTACCTTCCCCAATAGGATCCTAGTTCGAGGCCCGAGCTAATCATAGGACATCGCAGGTTGCGCTCCCACGAATAGTAACATTTCACAAGAAATCATTTCTTTGCATAAATTCCTTAAGCTTCATCAACATATCGATGAAAAGACCGGCCTCTAAACACGTGTCGCGTGTCTTCAAGCCACGGAGATGCTACATCTATCCTTACACTTTCGTCGTTCCTGAACGTCTACTACAAGACTTTTGTGCCCATAAGACAAGCCACTTCTCACAAACTCAACTTCAGCCAGTTTTCGATTTAAAAACGCGCGCCGCAGGAACTATGCAGTATCTCCTATTGTACTCGTGTAGCCATCTCACGGCAAGGACAGGACAATTCTCGAAAGGAGACCTTAGCTACATCCATTCCGACAGTTTGGACATGTTGCCTATACCATCACCGAGTATCCTGATGCCCATCGTTGTCATGCTGAGAAGGAAGTAAAGACCGGATAGAAGAGACAGGCCATCGGACGCCTAGTAGTTAAGACTTCTTCGCCCCAGCCGATCTAGCTTCCCCTGCCATGCAACTCTACCAATTCCGTGAACATTTCCGTGGCGGTAGACCTCATGTTCATTCCCGGGGTGATACCAAACTTCCCCATCTACGAACAGTCTACTCTACCCAAAAAAAGTCAATCTTTATAGCACAATTCCATGGGAGACCCACCCCTCATTTAATGACGTGGTTCGAACAAAAATGTGCCGGGACGCACATGTGGAGACAAAAACGCTTCCTTCCATCAACATTCGACATGCTGAGTGGAATACACCTGTGCTGCAGAGTGACACATTGCGCCGAGTCTTTCTTCAGCCCCTACAGTCCACGCCACATTTTTCCTCAACCTTGTCGGTAGGATATTACCACGTCACCTCGGCCATTTCTCCGATTCCTCTCGTTAATGCAAGAGAATTGATGCGACCTTCCATTCCTATTTTTTAGCATATACATACCCTCAAGCTCAGCCTGTCGTATCACATATCTGATGCGAGTGTATTATTCTCCCAGACAACTAAGCTGGAGATACCAATCACTCTGATTTTACATAGCAGCCAAGACCGAGCGTGGCCTCCCATTTCTATATGTTTCCGAGACTAAAAACCCACATTCTCATTACAGACTCCAACATCCGCCCGCTATGTGGCTCAGTGCAGAACTACAGGCACGGATGCGGCAGTGTACCGGTCGTTATCATTGCCTTTTGAAGGAAATGAACTATTGGCACCACCAAGTTACTCTGATTTGTTGTGGTGATTGGTATGCAGAGCCGAAAACTTGGCGTAGACCTAGTGCGTCCGAAACAATGGTTCCTGGTCGGGGAGATTGCAATAACCATTAATATAAGTCGTTGGAGTGGCGAACTTATAATGTTATACATGTTCGGTTCTTTTTTCCACTTCTCCAATTGAAAGTTTATCGTATCTGTAGCAGGAAGTTTTCATGCATGTTACACCAGATATAACTTGAACATTACCTTTCCAGAAAAGTTCTGTAGGTCCTTCGGCATTTTAATTTTGTTATATGTATTTTCGCGTATATTCTGGGACATATTACAAACTCAGCTGAAGAGTTATTTCTGCATGTAGTGAATATTCCCACTAATTTTAAATCTACTACACGGTTGGATTCCTACGAATCAACTTCTACAGAATTACATGTGATATTGGCTTCAGAGTATGGACTGTCGTAATTCTATACTCTACCACTCTGCAAATCGACACACAATATTAACTACTTGATCTTAGAGAACTATAATAATTATTTTATATTATATAATCATATACATATCTGTTTGTGCAAAAGCTCAGATTCAAAGCACAGATTAGCCACCATGTGGCTGGTGATCGTCGCAAGGCATGCACCGCCACAGTGGGCCAAATTAACGTCTGAAGAAAATCGTCTGACATATGATAGGAGATCGTCTCTATACCCGCTGGCTAACTAAAGAACGAAACTAACTACCTGAGGGCTGGACCGCTGGAGCCCGTTTGACCCCTCGAGCCAATTTTCCCGTTGGCTCCATTGGCCTCGATGATGTTAGGGACCTACCATATTCGGTATGCTCACGTGGCCTCACTTAGTCACCCATCTAGATAACTAGTCAGCTCGCCCGAGCCCCTGAAATGAAGAGAATTGTGCCTCGCGAACAGATGTGTCAAGGTGCTACATCCAAGATCCCCACTCAGGCACGGAACATAGTTGTTCCAGAGCCGGGGGGGTCAACATGACTCCTGAAGGTAGACTAGCGTACAATACACAACCCATCACCTCAACAAGATTACCCACATCACGTGACATTCACCTTACTTGTTTACCCGCTCTTTCGTATGTCTTTCCTTCAGCGGTTCCTTTTAGTACATAGCCTATTTTATAAGTTCAACGGGTTCAGCCCCCTGACACTACTCTAATTAAACTAATTCTTAAACTATTCCGATACGGGCTCCATCTTGTCCTTCTCTACTCACACGCCAGGAGCTTCATCATCCACATCATCACTATCGATCGAACGGGTCTCGCCCGCACCAACCATGGAATCTGGTAGCCACCCAAGTCTGCACGTCATGACTCTCCACATTATATAGAGTCCATCCACAGCCAACACCTCGATATACCACGCATTGCAGTTGCATTTACTTCAGCCTGCACCATCCGGACTATTAACATGCCTTCTTTCCTCAAGCGCTTGTCCCAGGACGGCGGCGGCAGCAGCAACGGCATCAATGGAGGGACGTCGCGGCAGCTTCCCATGCTGCATCTCAGGGACACGGTGCGAAACAATACCGTCACCGTGCTGGGCGAGTTCGTCGGCACTTTTTTGTTCCTTTTCTTCTCCTTCGCGGGTACCCAGGTCTCCAATACACCGATGCCTGTGGAAGGCGCGCCCCCGAATACTCCCAACTTGCTGTACTCGTCTCTGTCGTTCGGGTTCTCGCTTATGGTGAACGTGTGGGCATTTTATCGAGTGACGGGCGGGCTGTTTAACCCTGCTGTATGTCCTTATCTTGTAATTGTTAGATATAAAGGTAGAGCTGACAAACATGGAAGGTAACGCTTGCGCTATGTCTTGTCGGGGGCATGCCTCCCCTGCGCGGCGTTCTGGCCTTCGCGGCGCAGATCGTGGCGGGAATCGCGTCTGCGGGCGTGGTCAGCGCGTTATTCCCCGGGGATTTGAACGTAGGGACACGACTGGGCGGCGGGGCATCTATCTCGCAGGGCCTGTTCATCGAGATGTTCCTGACGGCGCAGCTTGTGTTCGTGGTGATCATGTTGGCAGTGGAGAAGCATAAAGCGACCTACTTGGCCCCGGTAGGGATTGGAATGGTGTTTTTCGTGACGGAGATGATCGGTATGTCCCCGTCCCTCTCTCCTCTCTCTTATACTTTATAGATGTAGTATAGTGCTAAGATATGAAGGTGACTATTATACCGGAGGCTCACTCAATCCCGCCCGATCTCTCGGCCCCGACGTGATCAACCGCAGTTTCCCCGGATATCACTGGATCTACTGGGTGGGACCGCTGTTGGGATCATTGCTGGCGAGCGGATTCTTCGGACTATTGACACTGTTCGAGTATACGACCGTCAACCCGGGCCAGGACTTCAACGACTGGGAGGCCAAGATGGGTACGGGATCGTGGGATTCAATGGCGAATCGGCGGTCAATGGTTTCGGATTCGACGACCGTAGGACGAGGACAGTCGCCACAGGCGCAGCGACCGACTCGGTTGAATCAGGTAGATAATGCAGAGCAGCAGGTGTAATGTTTACTCTGTACTAGTACTAGTAGTACGGAGTACTAATTAATGTTGTAATGGCATACGGAGTAAGGGTTGGATAGATGGTTGAATAGCTGATGTCTGTTGTCTGGTCTCAGTACGGAAGCAAAAATAACTGGGATGTATTCGGTCTAGCCAGAAGCACCGTTTCCGTTAGCCCATGGAGACTAATAAGAAATAAGACTAATGACCCAGATTTAACAGGCTCAAATTTGGGTGCCAAGACATCTGCGGTGGAGCTTCAGGAATAGAATTCTCACGTTGATTTTGAATTGGAATTGGATTTAATTGGGATTATTTTGAGTGTTATCTATGATCAGACCCTGTGTCAATCTAGGTACTTTAGCAGGGCCTATCGTATGTATGATCTATATTTATATTCGAAATACTTGTACTGTTCGTAGAACCGGATATCCGTAGTAGCATTGATCCGCGGTAAACTTCTCCATAAAAGTTCGATCCACTCCCTTGGCATTCCTTAAAACCCCCGCCCCTTGCTATCTTGACAACTGATTCTTCTGACATCCTCCTGACATCTGTCACTGACACCCATCATGAACCGTCATGTTGACCCCGAGTCGGCTCAGTCGACCTCGACTTCTATTATGGCCGACGATGCCCAACTCCTAGGTATTTTACTACATGTTACTTTGGACAATGGACAGACTAGGTACTGACTGAATAGCCAAAATGGGGTACAAGCAGGAACTCCGCCGACAATATTCCACCCTACAGATCTTCGCAGTCGCCTTCAGTATCATGGGGTTGGTACCTTCGATTGCGTCGACGATAGCCTTTTCGTTGCCTGCCGGGCCGGTCGGGATGGTTTGGGTATTCCCCCTTTCTCTTTTTACGCACGGCTGTGGCTGACTGGATAGGGATGGTTTACTGCGAGTATTTTCATTTTCTTTGTGGGATTAGCCATGGTATGCACCCCAATCTTATTATCTTACAGTCCGATATTGATAAATCAGGCGGATATGGCCTCCGCCATGCCTACAGCCGGCGGCCTATACTGGTGGACACACTATTTCGCCGGCGAGAAATTCAAAAACCCACTAAGCTTCCTAGTCGGATACAGCAACACCCTGGGTCTAATCGGCGGGATGTGTTCAGTGGACTATACCCTCTCCCTAATGCTGCTAGCATGCATCTCCATCAGCCGAGATGGGGAGTGGTCCGCCTCGAACGGGACAATTTACGGAGTCTACGCTGGTATGATCCTCCTACACGCATTATGCGCCATATTCGCAGGGAAAATCATGCCGCGCATCCAGACCTTCTGCATCTTCATCAACATGGCGTTGATAGTCGCCACGGTGATCGCTCTCCCCGTGGGAAAACTCGCTCGCGGCGGGTCGCTCAACTCGGGATCGTATGTTTTCGGGAAAGTTGAGAATCTAACGACCTGGCCGACCGGATGGACGTTCATTCTGGCGTTCATGGCGCCGATCTGGTCGATTGGGTTTTTCGACTCGTGTGTGCATATGAGTGAGGAGGCGTTGCATGCTGCGCAGGCGGTGCCCCGTGGGATTATCTTCTCCGCGGGGTGTGCATGTTTTCTTGGGTTCTTGGTGTTGGCGATTATTGCGGCGACGATGAATCCGGATGTTGGGGCGACGTTGAGTTCGGTTTATGGGCAGCCGATGGCGCAGGTATTTATCTTCTCTCACTGAGTCTATGGGTGTATGCTAATTGGTAGATTTACCATGATGCCCTTGGGAAGAAAGGCGCTCTTGGATTCATGAGCGTTATCATCGTGATTCAATTCCTCATCGGACTGAGTCTGGTACATTCCCTATCCCCAACGAAATAAATACATGGTCCTAATATAATATAGATTGTAGCAGCCTCCCGACAAGCCTGGGCCTTCTCCCGAGACGGCGCCCTCCCCTTCTCTCGTTTCTTCCGGCACATAAGCACACGCATCCAATACCAGCCCGTGCGTGCCATTGCCGGTCTCGTCGCCGTATGCATTGTTTTCGGCCTCCTATGTCTGATCAACTCGGTCGCTGCGAACGCTCTATTCTCACTATTCGTGGCCAGTAACTACGTCGCGTGGGGCACACCCATCCTGTGTCGACTCGTGTGGAACCAGCGGTTCACTCCGGGGGAGTTCTACACTGGACGATTCAGTCGTGTCATTGCCAGTGTCGCTGTCGTCTGGTTGGTGTTCGGACTGGTCTTGTCTATGTTTCCAAGTATGGGACCGAATCCGACGGCGTCGACGATGAATTATACGATTGTGATTAATGGGTTTGTGTGGATCGCCAGTATGGGGTATTATTTCCTGTCTGCGAGGAAGTGGTATACGGGGCCGAAGATGACGGTCGATTCGGATGAGTCTGGGAAGTAGATCTTGATTTATATCATATCTTCTTCTTGTCTTATAAAAGTTCGTTAAATAGATAAAATGTGTAAAATACAAATATATCTTTACAGAATGGCCATCGCTCCCAAAACACCCGCCACACCTGCAACTCCCACACCCAACCCCACAGTCGCCTGGGCGGCACCACCCGGGGAGGCCGTGCTAGTCGAACTAGAGCTGGAACTGGTTCTGGAACTAGTACTGCTAGTTGTAGTCGACCCGGATGTAGACCCCCCAGACGTAGATGAAGAGCTGGTAGAGGTAGTATGTGAATTCGTCCCCGTCAAGGTGGTCATCCCATCCAAACTGGACCTCGCGTCAGAAGCTCTACTCTCCACGTCCGACGCAGCGCCCGAGGCCCAGGTCTTCGCGTCTGAGGCAATGGCACCGGCTTCAGAGGTGATGTGGCTGGCCGCGGCGCCGCCGGCAGTCTTGGCGGCGTTGTAGACGGAGGTAGCTTCGTTGACGACGTTGGAGGCGATGCTTTGGCCGTTGTCTGCGATGTTGGTTGCGACGCCTTCGGCGGCGGAAATGACGTTGTTGAGGCCGTCGAATTGAGGTTCAGGATTGGGTTGGGGGGTGGCGAGGGCGAGGGTGGAGAGGAGGAGGATATAAGTTGTCTTCATTTTGGATTTAATTGTATATTGTTAACAGTGTTTTGTATTGATATAAAAAATGTGACAGTGAAGCGGCAGAAAGATGCAAGAGGGAGTAAGGGGTATTTATATTGGAATCTATGTATAGCTAGACTCAAATTTAGTAACAATCTAAAATTAAGACTGCGCCCGACCCACAGCTCAAATGGGAAATACTCTCGGCGTGGCAATGCACACAGCCACAGCTAGGCACCACCATTTTCTACTTTGTAAACTGACGATAAACCTGAACTATCGCTTCCCATCCTCCGGGATGATTCATCTCGCGCGGATTCGTCTCCCCATCCAGAATCATGACGTCGGTTTTCCTCGTGTTGATCGAATACCATCCGAAGTTCTGCGGTGCATTCGTCACCCGCATCATATGCGTCTGACACGTTCCTTCGCACTGCTGACCGTAATCCCCATGCCACTCGCCGTGGAAAAACGCCCACGCCGCCGAGTTGTACAGCATCACATCCATACCCCCGTCGACATTCGTCGCCAGCGCACTGCGACACGCTCCGTCGTTCTCGTCGCACCACGAGAAATCCGGATCGCCGTAGCTATCCAGCGCCGTCCAGGGAGCCGGAGCCAGTCTCGTCGCCCCGTCACCCTGCATATAAGGACTCTCCGACTGTAGTAACCCCGCGTAGACATTTCTTGCCCTGTGGAAATTATAGTTATACAGCCAGTGATGCTCTGAGCCCGTCCCAGTCAGCCACGTCCCCTTGGTAGCTTCCACCAGAATACCTCGTCCAGTCGAGATGATCGTCGTCGGTGAACCCCCGTCGAGGTTATGATCCCCTGTCCAACCCCAGAAATTCTCCACGTAGACCGACGAGCTCTCCGTCAGATGCAGAACCATGAACGCCGCCATGCATTTCTGCGTATCCTGCTCGGTACACTCGTTCGATATGCGCGTCTCCGCCGTCCCGCCCACAGTCACCATCGTATTCCAGAGACCCACATCCCCCGGTGACTTTCCCGCCGCGTTGATCTCGAGGATCTTCGCTCCCGGTAGGATCTCCGACACGGAGAATCGCAGATTCTGTATCTCAATTGTCCCGGTATCCCCCGGCTTGCCGACCTGCACTACCGTCTTGGGGTTCTTCGCGTCGCGGAAGAGGTCGCCCGCCGCTGCGATCACGGCCCAAGCTTCTCCGACCATGCGCGATCCGGTCGGAATGGTCAGCGTGTCGTGCACGATGTACACTCCGTACGGGAAGTAGGTGATTTTTCCGTGGACGGCATTATCAGCTAAAATAGCATTCAAGGAGGCGGTATCATCAGTAGACCCGTCGCCCTTGACAGGGTGGTCGTTGACGTCCTTAACGTTGACGATCTGATCATCAGTGTACTCGGAATAGGTAGGCTGCATCTTGGTAAAATACTTCCCACGATCGAGCAACCGATCCGGTCGCGAGGCGTGGAAGTTCTCGCCGGATTGATACTCCCCTGGGACGGCGTTACCCCAGACCCAGGCGTCGACGTGGTCCGTGGCGTTGAGTCTTGTCTGCCCGGTACTGTCGACGACGATGTCATTGTCATTATCGTGCGACAGATTCTGGATTAGCAGCTGGCTGTTCCGATTTCCGTTGTCGTGCGACGAGTCGTGGAATTTCACCACGGGACCGGAGTTGATCGAGTCCGAGTCCAAGAGAACCAGACTCCCCAGTCCGTTACTGGTCATGTCAATGCCGACGCCACAGGTATCGAATCGGGCTCCTTGCAGAAGTGCTGTATGGCCCCCGGCGGCTTCAAAGGCCGTCGTACAGGATTTGAAGCTGATGTTCTTGAAGTTGACTTGCTGGTTGGAGTTTTTGATCCCGATCTCTCCGCCGGTGATTTTCTACCTTCATCAGCTTCCTCTCTATATTTGATCCGAGAGAGATAGACTTACGACATCAGTCACCGCGATAGTCGATCCCGCATTGAGATTAATTCCCGTATGTCCGGTCGACTGCTCTGGCATATCAATCATCACGTTCGTCAGTCCAGCCCCCTGAGCCACTCCCCACTGCAACGCCGTGATCTTAGTATCAGCCTTCAACGCCGTCGTATCTAGCTTCACATTCCTCAGAAGAGTCATGAAACTTGTCTCGGGATTCCCATTTCCCTCATCATAACCCTTAACCAGGACATCCCCACTGAATCCCTCGGCGGCCTTGAGAACAGGCAGGTTGAGTGGATCACCCGTGATGATAGTACCCACGCGCAGCTCCAACGTGCTACCGAGCTGATAGATACCACCGGGGAGATACACTTCAGCAGGGTATCGTGTGACGCCGTGACCCTTGCGACTGCCACCGTGGCCGTCGTCGTTGAGGGCGTGTTGTAGAGGAGCGGTCTGATCGCCGGTTCCGTCGCCACGGGCACCGTAGTCTTGGACGTTGCGCCAGACGGGGTAGTCGGCGTTGTTGGCATAGGGAGCATAGCCGCGGGCTTTGCCTTTGTGGTCTTGTGAGGCGAGCCAGTAGGTGGACGGGCTGGATTATCAGCTTTGTATAGGGCTACAATAGGTAACTTACGATGTAGATACTGCGGAAGAAGGTGATGAAGATGACGAAGGAACGGCAGTAGATGCCGCTGCTATGGCCAGAACTATCCAGAGCGACCGCATAATGCTGACTATAAGAATGAGTGACTGATGAGAATAAGGGATCTGAGAGTATTCAAGTTTTGTACAGTTGAGGACCACAGTATATCTGTACTGGAGGATTTCCCTAAACGGGTATCGAACAACCGGATCAGGGAAATGGTCAGAAAAGTCATCTTCAGGATCTGTTCTACGTCAGATAAATTAATCGGGGCGGTTTTCAGCCTCGCGATAATTAGGGGGATTGAATCCTTCATCAGCACTAACGGATGAGTGGGATCCCCTGTCGATCAGCCTTGTTGTTTGAAGAGTTATATATCGGGTCTGAATTTAGTAATGTATTTACTATAGTATCAATATTAAAAAATACCTGAAATATCACAACTATAGCTCACGTAGAGCCCATGGGTTTTTAGGTGCTCGAATGGTAATTTTCTGAATCAATGCACCCTCCCCTTCACCAAACTAACACTAGAACAAATTGTATCACCACACTACTAACTCCACATGTAAGCAGAGAGTAGCTAGAAGATGTAACTAGACTTGGTCCACTACTAATTAATAGCTGTCTCAACTACAGACGTGGCCGTTAGGGTTTAGGTGCCACAGCACCTGCTTGATTAGCTGTGTGAATAAATAATTAAATTAACATCTGGATGTACAGAATATATGGTCTTATTTAATTAGATAGCATTGTTGTATGCTTTCATATATAGTAATACAGGGGATGGAGGCATGACAGGGAATAGTATCTTCTAATGTTTAACATAGAGATGGTTCATGCATATATCTACGTCAAATATTGGATGCAAATACCTCACCTACTTACATTCAGTGTACCATTCTAATAGTTAATAAATTCTCTCACTGCACTATATAATGCATTTACCTCCATAAAATCTCAACATACTCCCAAGCCCAGCCAGCCGGAGAAAATACTAAAACATGTTCTTATCAGCCTGTTGAGGATAAGATAGAGGACGCGTTGTACAGATGACGCAGACAATATTAAGATTACAGTTTGATAGCTTCTCTACCAGACAGACAGATAGATAAGTAAAGATAGATCCATCTAGACCAAATACTCAAACTAGAGCAGTTATAATAAAGTCAATGACAATGAAAGTTCAAGACCCACAACCACGCACGTCATCGACTCAATCCAGAACCCTAACAATGAACTCAACTCTAGTTATATGAGGGTTTTTCGATGATGGATTGACTATTCGATCATCCATTTATCTAAATACCCGTAAATATCCTCTATATATATGTAATGTATGTCCTTTAATAGTCATGGATGAATCAATCATGTCCCACCGAACAAGCCAATCGTCTCTACTCAGCTACCGCAGCGTAGCCCAAACTCCTAATGCTTCCCAACCGGAGTCGAGGATTCCATCCCCGCCAATTCACAGAGTACATTTCGATACGAGAATCGAAGACGCAGACACCGAGGATGATATCTCACGATCTCCACCTCCATCTCCCTCCATCTCCCCCTCAGGATACGTTCCGCAGGACCGCCCTCATCGCCGACGTAGCCATAACACGTCTATAGATATTACTGAAGTAAATTCCCCGTCTAGTCAGACGCTTAACTGGAATGCGGAGCTACGTCGACGATTGACCGATCTTTCCGAAGATGCAACGATAAGAACAAGAACAAGAACCGGAGAAACAGGACCAAGTCCCGGGACAGGGACTGCTCCCGGAAGAAGCTCAGTAATATTCGCCCGAGTCAATGGCTTCCGACGCTCTATGATCCAAAAAACAAGGCAGATAGCGAAACGCTGGGGGCCCCTAGCGACCGATGGGATGAAGGATCCGCCGCTTCCGCCGTCAGATCCGAACCAGGCTCATGCTGAGGAACATACCCATAGCCATTCCATCGAGGGAGAGGGAGAAGCCCAAGAGGATGAGAAACGAACGGATCATGGAAGTTCCAGTGCGGAAGCACATCGTCTTGTTCGTGTCTTCTCCCACGATCGACATCATCAGACTGCTCCGTGGGAGTCATCATCATTTTCGCCTGATGGTGACACTGGGACCGCTCGTAATAACAATGATCCGATAAGATATCACGGTGGGATTCTCTCGCATTTACTACGGTTGAATGCTGGAAATCGGATCCCGACTGATCCATCAGGGACTGCCACGCCCCGACGGGAGAAACCAAAATGGTACCGAAAGCCAGGGAATACATCCACGTCAACGTTACTCGCCAGTGGCACAATCAGCGGCACCGTCAGTGGCGCGAGCACGCCTGTGTCCAGCGAAGTGTTAACAGCCGCGTCTCGACGACGCTACAGACACTCCCCTGCGACAGGGACGATGCGTCTGGAGGAGGAAATCCAAGTAACGCTGCAGATCGCACAGATCATTGCGCGCCAGCGATACATCATGCAGCTATGCAAGGCGTTGATGCGATTCGGAGCGCCGACGCACCGACTAGAAGAATATATGTATATGACTGCGAAGGTACTCGAGGTCGATAGCCAGTATCTATACGTCCCAGGATGCATGATCATATCCTTCGACGACGCGGCGACACGCACAGCGGAGGTGAAACTCGTTCGAGTGGCGCAGGGGATCGATCTAGGCCGACTTTCAGACACGCACAACGTGTATAAAAATGTGGTCCATGATGTCTACGGAATCGAGGAAGCGATCCACGAACTCGACAGCATCATGGATAAGAAACCGCGCTTCAATAAATGGGTGATTGTATTAGTGTATGGCCTGGCCACAGCCATGGTTGGGCCGTTTGCGTTCAACGCACGGCCGATTGACCTCCCGGTGATTTACTTCAACGGATGTCTACTGGGAATCATGCAGCATGTTATTGCACCGCGCTCGGTGTTGTATAGTAACGTTTTCGAGGTGACTGCTACCGTGTTGACTTCGTTTATTGCGCGCGCGCTGGGAAGCATCGTTGTTGTCTACGACGGGGGTAGGACTCGCGATAGACTATTTTGTTTCTCTGCTATCGCGCAGTCTTCTATCGCGTTGATTCTACCCGGGTATACAGTGCTCTGTGGCAGTTTGGAACTGCAGTCGCATCAGATTGTGGCTGGGTCGATTCGAATGGTGTATGCGATTATATATTCGTTGTTTCTGGGGTTCGGCATTACTGTCGGCACGACAATCTACGGACTGATGGATGGTAATGCCACATCGGATACTAGCTGTCCGGCACCGGGGGAGTTCCGGAGTCCCTACGTGCAGCGGTTTCCCTTCGTCGCGGCGTTCTCACTGTGTCTGATGGTTGTGAACCAGGGGAAGTGGAAGCAGACTCCCGTTATGGTGGTCATCGCGCTATCGGGTTACGTGACTAATTATTTCGTGACGAGAAGACTTGGTACCAGGAGTCTGGTCGGGAATACCGTCGGGGCATTCACGATCGGCGTCATTGGGAATCTGTATAGTCGGCTGTGGCATGGCCATGCGGCGGCTGCTATCCTGCCTGCCATATTTGTCTTGGTTCCCTCGGGGCTGGCGGCCTCGGGGTCGTTGGTCCTCGGCGTGGAGAATGCAGACGAAACGCGGTCGGATGTCACGAGCAGTCATGGCTCTGCGAAGGAGAAAATGGACGGTACGTCGCACGAGCTATCCATGCCGGTGTTGGGATACGGGATGGTGCAGGTCGCTATTGGCATCACGGTGGGATTGTTCATGGCTGCGTTGGTGGTCTATCCGTTGGGGAAACGGAGGTCAGGTCTGTTCAGCTTCTAACATGCAATTCATTCATGCATTCTACTAGAGGTTTGGAGACATGGCCTAGCCTACAATATGTATTGAGTATATACACCGCTCTATCGACATTAAACTACGCATTAATGAGACGTCTATTTCTGTGCCCGCACAGTTCCCATCCAATATAATTATATCAACCGGGAGAGTCCCACTGCAAGCTATACCCTACCAGCTCGAGGAGATATCTCTCCCGAGACAGCAAGACCTTCCGTCCCTCAGTCTCCAGGAACCCACGACACAGGTCGTGCAGCGTCGTCTGCTCCGAGCCCGGGAGATGGAGGAGATGGCGTGGGGTGATCGAGATTTCCGTGTGTTCCGGCAAAGGGCAAAAGATGGCCTTGTGGAGGCGCGGAGACACCGACTGGTCGTGTGCAAGCCAGGCACACAGGGAATCGAAGAGGTCGTTGCTGACGACAAACTGGAGGAGCGCATCAAGCGAGGTGCAGTTGAGATCGTTACTAGGCAGCGGCTCGAGCGCGTCGTAGAGAGCGACCGTGCTGGACAGGCTGTCGAAGAGACTATGTTTCTCATCATCCCTGATATCCCCACTCTCTTTATTGAAGTTCGGCGGCGCAAAGTGATGATCGTTGGTAGGTGACACCAAGGGTCGATCGTACCCCAGTCGACGTCGCCAGAATCGATTGCAGCCTATCTGGACCACCATGCACGGAATCAGGACCACATACCCCCACCACATTCGCGCGGTGACCATCGACGCGGCGCCGACCACCAGTCCGGTGATGGCGGAGATGATCGAGTGCCATTGAAAGCGACGAAAGCGCAGCCGCAGACGGTCGCGAAAAGAGTCCACGGTCGGACAGCGGGTGACACCAGAGACGTGACGCTGAAACCGCCAGACCAGGTAGACCGACCAGACAGCATTGACCACGCCATACGCGGCGGCGAAGCTGTTACCCACGAAACCGGACAGTAGGTTACTGGCATTGAACACGCGCGGGTTCGCCCCCCAGATGGCCATCAAGGTGCCGATGCCGACCACCAGAGCGCCCACCCCGAGAAAGATATCCATGGCAATGCGGTCGATCAGCTCCGTGCCAAGTTCCCGGAATCCGACGCCAAGTCGGCTATCGATGAGGCTAACGAGATCGACATCAACAGTTGAATCAGAGGTGAGGTAATGGTGTCGGAGGGTCTTGAGGTACTTTCGTTCGGCGCGCAGAACGCGTACGTTCTGCCAGCTGAGCAGGCCATCGCGCACGGCAACCATGCTCATCATCAGGGCGAGGGGACCCCCAATGGCCATTAGGATCTTCGCATGGAGCGGCACAGGGATATCGTTCCACACATTGGCAGCGAAATCGCCCGCATTCGCGAACTCCAGGTAACCGGTACTGGCTAGGAGACTGTTGCGATACCACGGGGGATGCATGAGACGAAGGCAGTGGCTTCGGAAGAACCGCCGGTGCTGTACAAAGCTGGCAACAGGGAAGAAATCAGTCTCTTCAGTCTCCTCATGCTGGATCACTTTGGAGGTCAGAATGGACTTGGAGGGGAACTGCGAGGGGGCCATGAGGGAGGGAAAAAGAGACACGGCTCATCCCGAGGAAGAGAGGGAAAGACTGGGGGATAAGGGACCGAGGAAGACGGGAAGAGGGAAGGAAAGAAGGGAGGAAAAGAGCCGATTTAAGTGACAACGAGGAATGTCGGTCTAGTACCTGCGTGATTGGCCCACTGGGGAACAAGAAGCTTGGTCCGCCCTGTAGGGCTGAGGTGGATTCTGCACGGATTGATGGAGATGACGACGAGAATGGGTCAATACGAGGTGTCAGATGTGTCAGATGGATAAGCCAGAGAAGATGGAAGGGAGAAAATCAATCATTCCCATAGAAAATGAATGCTGCCTAAGGTGGAGTTCATTCCTTCTGTTCGGCATTTCCCGCCAACGCATTCCCTTGTCGATGGGATTAGGTGGCTTCTATTTAACTGATTAACATCATCAAAAAAAAAAAAAAATTTATTAACTAATACCATCTTCTTGATAAAGAGCGGATTGATATTAGAACAGCTAATCATAGCTGTCTTCTTTCTGGCACTAAATATTTCATAACCAATCTTATTCCTTCTCTTAATAGCCTTCATGGGAGCATACAAAGCATTCTGAACTATTAGAATCTATTTAATATTTAGTATCTCTCTTCAAAGTCCAACATGCATAGAGTGTCATGGACCGCCTAGACTCCCCCACACTATTAGTAAATAACTAGTACATAGGCCCATATCTCTAACTGGTTGCGTACACAAAGTTGTCGGGTAGGTCCGGTAGTTATGCTTGCCGTGGCATAGAGTACTCTAGAACAATTCATACAGAAGTCAAATTATTGAGCCGGCAGATAGGATAATAAGCTGATAGGCAAGATGCAGTCCAATTTAAAAGATAATTATGCTCTATTTCCGGTATATGTATAGTATTAATTGAGATGGAACGAATATGTAGCTAACAGCTAAGCAGGGCCTCGGCGCACTGTCAGAAGAAGTAGGGAAGAAATCAGCCATTTGTCTCTCTTTTCATCTCTAATCCCTGTACGAGAAACCTTTTTAAAAATAAAAAACGGTAAACAAATAGCTGATTCGTAAAAATAAAATGACCGACCCAGGGATCGAACCTGGGATCCTTCGCGCTCGAACGTTCGTTCTGATTATGTAAAGCGAATGCCTTAACCACTGGGCCAGTCGGCCAATAGATACTCAAAGAACTGGTACATATCACATGTTATTCCTAAAAAGAGTTAAAACCTTTCCTAGTATGCGCTTTGTTTAGCATAAAGACCCTATCCGTTTCTCAAATACAACATTGTACGGCCTCTTTCTATGCTTTCCCTACGTTCCTGGGACAAACGGCTGTGCAAATATTCTTTAGCTAACGCGATAGAATCAAAAAAGGAAGAGATGGCTTAAAAAGGGACTCGGAATCGTAGGCTAAAGTTCTTGCTTGCATGGTTGCCCGGGTTTCTGTTGGGATCCGAAATGCGCAGGCTTCCCAGTATCTGGAATACGCGTCTGAGTGTTGCAAAGGGGGCCCTGGCCACGCCTTTGGTAAGAACTCCATCAGTTCCTTAAATAGACTCTCTTATAGGTCCCCTCTGGGTCATGAGAAATTCGCCCCTGTTGAAGCTGGTAAGCATTATACTCTAGATTCAAGGGCACACTTCCAGTAGGGAAGTAGGCCAGTGTCTGGGCACGCCTCTGGTATTTAATTTCCTTCTTAACAAGGAAGGATATATCGCTAGGGAAAAAAACAAATCCGGAATCAATGTCCTCATCAAAAGTCCAGTGGCGGACAGGGCAGAGCCCCGCCCCAGTTTCGAGAAACAGGAAGTCTATAGAAATGGATACTATACTTGTGAGCACTTACTGCTGGGTTAAAGAATCTTTAAGCATGACGAAGAAGACCCAGCTTGTGGCCCGCTGAAAATGGGAGTATATGGCATATCTGCACAGGCCCATCCACCTGGGTTGATGTCTCGAAGTGCTCAGCAGATCATCAAACATGACTGTTTATTTGCAATATGAGGAGACTCCTAGTCAAGGTACGTACCATATACGTTGAAAACATGTATATAATCATTGGGGAGATCCTGTGCACGGCCGTCATGGCCGATTCTGCCCTGGTGACCAAATAGATCAGGAATCTGGCAGCACACACCGGAGCCCTTTCAAGTCCTAGTGGCAACCATAAAAAATATGCACAAAATATGCAGTACTTACCTAGCAACAGGTAGGAAACAATTTAGTCACTGATAGTGTCGGACTTCTTTGATACATTGTAAAGTTTTACTGCCCTTATACCCCTTGTTGCATAATAACCTCCACCATGTTCCATAGTACAGTACATAATAGGTATTTTCTTTATAATTTTGTACTCCGAGTCTCTGTGATTTGCCCTATCTCTGATATATCGAAGAACAGGAGAGAGTGTATCTCCAGGGTTTAGCCCGGTGTCTTGATGAGGCTAGCCAGGTAATGCTTCTGAATTATTGGCAGGGAGAATTGGTTGATTCTGCCTTTGAAAAGGCTGACAAGCAGCGCGGTAGGGGTTCATAATCTATGATAAGTGTACCTAAAGTTAACTGAGTTCCAGAACATAAATAACCCGTGGCAAGCTGCTGAACTACGTGTCTACCGACACGATCGTAGATAGAATGAAGTTCCCTAGAATAAGCACCTGTTTATGGATTAATTCCTGGTATTCTTTCGTATCAGTTCCTTGGCTTCGTTAGTGCGGCCAACAACAATTTCTCTGTTATAAATATTGATCTGTTTGACCTTGTGCCTTATCTTTGAACTGAAACGAAGTAGGTTCGTCTGACTCAGGTCTAGGAACTAGGTTTTCCAGTGAGGTTTGACTAACTGAGGCCTCCCTAAGATATGCGATGGGTGATGCGTGAGAAATAAAGAATAAGGAAGGATACCAGTCATGTGGCAGTCGCCGATTCTGGAGAAAAGCCCGTCTCGGGCGCAGGATAATACGGAACGGTGCAATAAGACATGAGAAGAACACAAAGGACACTAAACATAGTACAATGCGAAAAGAGAGGTAGAGGATACGGTATGCGGGGCATCAGGCGTGGTTTGCATAATCAGAATTGGTTTGGGTAAGTTGTTCGACCAACTGGCAAACCTTGGCATCGCGGCATTTGTGTGCATGAGAGTACTTACTGCATGTATGGTGTCCCGTAATGGTGACTAATTTGTAAGGAGACATAAAGTGGCCTGGGGAGCTATTTCGAGTCGAATGGCAGTGTGTAAGAAGTTTGCAACCGTGTCAGCTAAGTAAGATTGGAGGTATGACCGTGGTGAGCTTCGGCTAAAGCAGATGCTGCAGATGCCACTGTACGCCAAGAAGACCGAATCAGACTACTCCAGGGCAAAGAAATCACCAGTTATTAATAAACACTGGTCACCGTTACTAGTCCTTGAAGTTCCAGCCGCAATTCAGGCAAAATTATCTCGCGAGTACTGGAGGGGATCTTGTTGGAGATCAATTCATCAGCAGGAGTAGACCTGTTTCCATGCTCTCAAATAGTTGAAGTAGCTCTATATCTGTAGAGCACACAGTTACATCCTCCGTCAAGTTGTGTTCTCCATCTTGAGAAAGATGGTTGAAATAAGCCTCTAGGAATCAGATACTATAAAAATAGATGCAGCACAGGGACGAGGACTGACAACTAGACTGGGCAACAAGTCACACAATAAGACTAGGACCTAACCACACCGTTAAATAATTATTAGCTATTGCTGCAGCGTTCAACCTCTCTCGGTGCCGCTGTTCCAGATTGTCAGAGGAAAAGACTTTGGAATCTGGAATTAAGTCTATTTCACATACCTTTTGCCCTCTTGATACTCGAGGTTATCAACCAAATTATTATATAATCCTTAATAGTGTTCTCGGTTTATATGGATACAAGCTGAAATTTTTTTCTAACGATACCCGTAGCGGCTAAATTATTTGTACTGTACAGGCGACAATGTGAGCCTCCTATACCACGGGTTCAGAAAAGTATTATACTTATCGAATTCCCCCTGTTTGGAAACCCAGCTTTCCATCTTCTCGAAAGATTCTGTGTTCAGCTTTGGGCTTGGAACTTTTGGCTGCCTTAGATATTCCTAGACGAGGTAGGCGTTCCGCAAATGATATTTCCTGTGGTAAAGTTCCTCTTCGGTTTCCAGCATTTCAGTCTCCCTTTCGGAGCGCCTTTTGCCAATTTAGTGATGCCTTCCTACCCAGCAACGAGTGTGTTGCGTAAATGAAGCAACACAGAAAACTTGTAGAAGCGTACGCTGCGTTCCTGGCCAATGTTCCAATCGAATAACCTACGACAGGTTTTGACAGTGCTGCGCTGAACAGTAAACATTTCGACACAGGTACTCAGATTTAATTCAGTCGATTTTAGCAAGCAATCTCAAACAGACCATGCTACTATTTGGCTCACATGTGAACGTATGAATAAGTGTAGATCTGTCACTTAGTCAGAAGAATATTTGCCTGGCTAACTAGGGGTCCAGTGGGTTTCATTGACAATTTATCATAGACACGCTGTATAAAAATTGTAAAGTGGACCACTATGTAGAACTATTAGGTAAAGGGAGTATAATAAACAGAGTCAAGATATCTGGAACAGGCCTAGCGTAATGATAATATCAGTTAAAAAGAGAGCTTGAGATGCAGGTAGAAGAAAACAAGATAAGAGGGGGAGATTAGATGTAAGTGCCTTAAACATGTGATGTAGGTTGATAAACAACACCAGAGGGAGGAAATTAGTAAGAGGAATAACTGCATGCAGTTAATATGTCCTTCTTGGTGTATATTAACTAAAGATACATATTCACTAGTATATTCTAGGTCAAGTCCCTACCCACCTAGGTAGCTAGAGAGCACTTACAGAGATGTAATAAAACTATGAATGCTATGTATACTTTATAAAATTAGTGAATGAATACATGGCCTGAAGATAAGGACATGTGGTCCATTTATTCAAGTTTTTCTGAAAAATGATTAAGATATAAATGTCTCTATACCTAGAAATGAGATCAATATTTATCAAAAGCTCTGGCTTAGAGACATTTCTTCTTGACCGATATGGTAGTACTGTCCTGCCACACCTGAGAGGCAACTCGGTCGATCCCAGATGCGATATAAAAAATTATTATTACTCTTTCACTTTTGTATAGGATCTGCCTGTGTCTGATTGTGGTCTCCAGCATGAGTTAATTCCCTTTTCGGCGGTGGTTAATATTAGTAGTCTAAATAAACAGTTTTGATATTAACCTTTCTACCCATCATTTAATGCACGTACATACTGCCTATCTACCTAGAAAGGTACTCGGAAACATTATGATGCTTTATCTTGGCCGCATACCATGTCCGTATATAGAATAGAAGAGGAAGCTACGTATCCAAAAATCCGTACATAGGCACTTACATACATCTAAAACAAACTAAAATACAACAGATAAATGGGTAAATTTCGTAATCTATGCTCCCTTGCCAACTTTCACTGTCTTCGTCTCCTCCATACTCAGGGCCTTGATCAGCCGAACGCCTGCGTCCGCCGTCTCCTCCAGTTTAGGCCAGGACCAGAATGCCTGGGCCACCGGGCTCCCACTCTTGTCATCTTGGAGTTCCTCTTCCCGCCCCGTCTGCAAATCTGTCGCCGTGCTGTACACGCTCACTCGGTCCAGGAACCGCACCCGAGTCTTAGCCCGGGGGGATGACGCCATCGAGAAGGTATCCAAGTACGCCTTGCGTACTGCGTACCGCTTAGCCGATTCCCGCCGCTGCATTCCAATCGACAGCTTCTTCAGACCCATGCGCACCGCGAATCGTACTACGAGGTAGGCCCATTCCGCCACCAGGAGAGACAACAAAAGGCAAGTGGTGTTCACCACTTCTAGTCCGTCTCGGTACAGGTACACAATGGCGGCAGTGGACAAAGTCCCCAGCCAGGTGAGGAGCTCCATCCCTTGCAACGAGGGCCCGATCGAATCTGCGCGGATGGGTGGCGGTCGCTGACACTCGAGACTCAGCTTGAAGAAATCACCGCGCAGCTCTAGCCAGTTATTTGCTAGGAATCCTAGCGGAACCAACGGCCAAGACACCCCAAACAGTGCCAGATATCCGTATTGTATGCACATCTCAAGAATGTCTTCCTGGACATCGTACTCATCCGCCTCGGCCTCATTCCGGACCCGCGCGAGGAAGGTGGCCTCGGTAGGAGAATCAGCAAGAAGTCGGTCGGTCTGGCGCGAATAGCGCCGCGTGTGGTTCGCCGTCTCTCGCTTTTCCCGGTAGTCGCGCCATTTCTGCCACAAGACACGTTTCACATAAGGGAAAACCACCTCCTCTCCGAAGTTGACGACCTGTGCCGTGATGGAGAGGTAGATCACCTCTTGTTGCAGGCGGGCGGGATCAATATGCACCTTGGCGGTGTTAATGGTATTGGAGTCGTCGCGGACATGGAAGACATCCAGATAAGGCAGGATGCAGGCCCCAAACGGGACATATACAAAGGCTGTGAGGATAGTGGGCAGGAAGGCCGTGATAAAGTGCATCACGAAAGTCTTGGACGTTTGCGCTATGTCATATTGGTCCTGGGTGCGGTAGTTCTCGTACTTGGTGAGCCGGGTAGCCATACGAGTAAGGATGTTGGTGATCGAGGGCAGGGACAAGGAGAAAAGCACGGTAGGGAGGAATTCTAGATAGCTCTTGAAGGGACCGTTGTAAACCTCGGAGATGAAGACCTCCATGCCGAACGTGGCTACTATCAACGTGCCGAGAGCCAGAGAGGCGATCGTGGCAAATGGGATTAACAACATCTGACGAAGAAGCTGCTTTTGTGCCGAGAACGTGCGGACGGTCTCCCCGGTGATGGGATCATGGATCTCACGATCCCAAACGTATTGAGCGCGGGTGACTTTCAGAGCACCAACACCCTTGACATTCCATCGCAAACTAAGCTCAGTCTCCCGAATCTTCCAGTACTCGACAAATACAATGCACCAGAAGCAATTAACTATGGCACAGGTGACGGAATAGGGACCTAGATAAAGCCAACAAAAGACGCCCCAAACAGCGGGGAAAACCAAGAAGGAGGAATAGCAATGGATAAAGGCATAATAAAATGCGACCTGTAAATTGTCAATACTTTTTAGCCACGCCCCCGAGCCCATCTTTGCAAGTGTCGGCCAAACCAACCTTTTCTCCAAATAACGCTCGAATGGCGTCTAGGTCTTCTGCTGTTAATAGTATAGACCGACTCCATTTCCGGAGGAGTTCTGCATTGGCGGCCGGATCATGCAACGGAAACGCTGAACTAACGTGTTTCCATGGACCATGTTGCGCGGTGATTCCAGCACCTCCTAAGGACTTTTGCCAAGTAACGGCGTGGTAGACCGATCGGAGCTCTTCGGCGGGGGTCTCGGCGTCCGCAACTGTATGGTCGTCACCGACGGGAAGCTCGTGGGCGATGCCGTATAACCAATCTTTGACGCTGCACAGGATGCCAGATGTTAGCATATTTAACATTGGATAGGCCACTCCGGGAGGAAAGCGCGTACCGAGATTGGTGGATCATTTTCCCTAAGTGGTCGCGGGGTACACGAATGCAGACCAGAAGCGAGGACCCATGGCCATGACGGACCTGTGTCTGAAGATGGGCTTCTTCAAGATCGTTGATGAGAGCTCGGAATTCTTCGACAGCTTGGTAGATTTCTACCCTAATCAGTAGGGAACCGCATGCTCAGATCGAAGCGACATACCAAGATCCTCAAAATTGTAGTGGATAACCCAATCCACCCCCAAGTTGTCATTTTCCATTTGGTCGGGAGGACCGTAGGCAGAAAAGAACGCCATAGCGCGGGAAGCGTACAGGATTGAGGAACCAGGAAGTCAGGGAGAGCGTGAGAGAGAATGTATAGGCATCATCTCAGCGGATGATTTTAATGTCACACAGAAAGTGATGCTGGTGAGAGAGAAAGAAAAGAGAGAGAAAGAATTGACGTGTAAGGGATATTTTCCCCCACAAACAAAGGGCATCGGATACGTCGATCTGTTTGCCCGGGGTGGATCCTAGGCACCTACCTAAAGGGAAACGCATAATACGACCAGAATTAAGATCCATTCCAAGATTACCTGTAATAATGAGAGCTGCGAGCAATGAAAATACTACACAGTAAATAACCGTTCAGTCGTCCATAGAATCGCCGGGAGAGCCGTGCCAAGAGTCAGCCCTACAGGGCATGGTCGCGTAATTGGCTCCTCCCGTCGGTGTATAACTCGGTAATTTGCGGTACGCCGTAATCCTGAGATTTCCATTTCCATGGGTGTTGATAGGTACTGAAGCCTGAGACCTTGCGAATGCAAGCAGTATTAGTTAACTATCCACGCAATCTGATCGCTTTAATTAGTAGCATGCCTACAAACAATACAACTGCCTATCTACCTAGCCATCATCGAATAATTGGGTAAAAATACCCTGAGTGAATTCCTGAGAGGAACGAGTATTCTGTCCCGGCATTTAACGAACCAGACTATATGTCTGTAGCTGGGGGGTATCATGTCCTGCGATGCAATACGTCCTGCAGAGTATTCCCCTAGCAAGGTACTTAACTTTCGAAATTTAAGGAAGATATTACCATACCAAACGGGTTCGGTGTATTTCGAGAGTGAGCGGTGCATCCATTGGACCTTGCCGAGAATCCAGTCGGAGAGGCAGGAGAATGCTGCTGCCTGCCTAGCGGCTTTCCTTGCTTCTGGCGTCATTTTACCCCAAATTAGAAACCAGAATTCAAGTGGGGCGCTCCCCATCCAGGGTAAGGCCATCCAATCGGTTGCGCCCTTGCCACCATCATTCAACGGCGTATTAATGATTACCTTCGTCTCTCTACCGGCGGTACAGAGTAGCTTCCGAGGTATTCATCGCTACGGATCCACTGCCTGTTGCGTTCTCAAGATTCGTTTGACGCGCTGATAACGAACAAGAGAAGAATTCAGATGCCTACCGTAGTTTCCGAATATTCGAAGTACCTTCGTCACTCCACATCGCCGTCTAGCCGAGTACTGAGCACTCTAGAGAATCCTTATCAATCCCATCCCTTCATCAATTGATATGTAGGCCTGTATGATTGTATGCAGCAGCGCCAATTAATATCGGACCGTCTACCAATTCCTGAAACATCCTACATCCTGCATAATCCAATTTTACTGCTCATACAAAGCCTCCAGCTGCCCCTATTTAGTCCAGAGTCACATTTTCTATCCTTCACATCCAATCCTACTATTCTTAGCCACCAATGCTATCGTTTACTCTGGAATCCGTGGCCGGTCGATTCTTTCCAGGTCAAAATGCAGCCTTCGGGCTGAGCCTATTTCTCTTCACATTCATGTTCCTGCCCACATTAATTGTGCTGTTAGCTGTCGTCGTCTTTTTCTTAATCTACTATCCACGACTGAGGAAACCAACGACGAATGAAAATTGAACTTGTTGTTATTATTAGAAACCGAAAGCCACAAGGTTCGATATAATGTTTGTATCCACTCGTGTCTGACGGAGAACTAATGATCAATAGGTAGCTTGTACAATATGGAGTGTACAGTGCATGATGCCATGATTGATACGATTAGGAATTACGATTAAGAGATAATCACTCCTTTCTTTGTTGTACATATATATCCTGTATTCTACGTCATCATCTATTTTTTTATGCTTCCTTTTCCTTCTCTTTATATGGGTCAGCGAAATATAGAATTCTTAAATAAATAGTGGCCAGAATAACAACGCTAAATGGCTATTTAAATACCAACCAGACATATCATAGACCTTCAACATCAGCATCTGATTGGTCAAGATTCCCCGACAATGCTTGCCTGAACGGAGATCAGCAGACAACCAAAACTGGCACCGTTTCCTTTCATTTCCTTTGGGTTTCTTTTGGCCCACGCCTCACTTCCATTACTGCTGCGATCCGAATCTTGAAGATAGCGCATGCAGCGAGGGTAAATGATGGATGTGTTGTGGATCATTGGGCTTTGTTTCTTTCCAACCATTATCTTTATTTTTATTCTATTTTTGTCTTTATTTTAACCTTTGTCCAGAGATATGCTATTTGGTCGAATGGTATTATTGTGTTGCTGCCTATACATTGACAAACGCCGCAGGAATCTGAAAATTTTATGCTCTGAATGCTTTAATTAGAGCTTTTATTCCCTTGTCTTATTAGAGATATATCTAAGGAGACACTATAAAATACCTACAGCATTAAAGTACAGATTTTCAGCGTGAATAATAGCTAAATAGTAAAGAGATTAAAATTCAATAAATGGGTAATAAGTGGATACTTGTTGATCTCCCCGTTTGTCTGTATTTAGCGTTGTCACTCATGCTTGGTCTATTTGGTAAATAGGTGATTGCATCCTGGTGAATTGCCACTGAGATGTTTGATGTGGGATTTGCTACCTTTTACTTTGATTTTCATCCCAGACTGTTTAGTCACTTGACACCCACGAGATAAATACTCCCTCCCAATCTTTCCATTCCTCTCCCTCCTTTCTCCTTATCACCGTTCGCTCAAATACATATATACTCTAACATACCCTCTACCTCTATACTACACTCGCCTCATACCTCACCTCTGTCTGACATGAACATAACGATCACCCGCGACATTGGGCTCTAATCGCCTACCTGTGAGATGGGTATTTACACTATGAAGGCAGTCAGCTTCCATATCTTCCCGGTTTGATTGTAATCCTCAACAAGAGAAGATATCATTTCCAAGTCTGGTCTTGCCATCGGAGACTGGCATTTCCGGACCAAGTGAATAGGTGAGTGAAATATCTAGTCCACACTGCCTACAGAGAAGAAATCCATACCTCGTAATTAGACTCTGCATGATGACACCGATGTGCTAATACAGTATCTGGGATGGATAGTCGAAAGAGCCTCGCATGTCTGAACGACACAGACTCCTCTTGAATATATCCTTGGGACAAATATATATAAGATTACAATACTATATCAACACGTCGGCTTCTCTGAATAAATTCGCCTCGAGTCTGAAGCAGAACGAAACTATACCTGAATCCGTGAAGATACACTTTTTTTGCAAATTAATTTAAGTTTGGGAGACTTTCCATACCGCATACATGAACTCTTGTTTCGGTAAAGAAACTATAACATTCGACGAATGTATCTCGAATATTGATACACTCAGTACTGCTAATTATCAAGATGAAGGTTCTACGAACACTCCATTACCTCCCATTCCTCCGCCGAATCCTACATAGGATGCTTTAGCCCTTATTCTCCAGCCACCTGGACTATTTGGCTGGAACGCATTCGCAGAAAGATATTACAATTTCTCGTCTGTCTTCATCCATTATTTATGAGAACTTTTTGTGGCCTTTATTCAGGACGAGAACACCGCGTAAAAAACTTTACATTTATTCCTCTTCTCCTCTGGGATTTTCTTCCTTCCAGATACAAGGCATCCAATGGAATATCCTGCATATAAGTGTGAAGCGAGATATCTAGATCGCCCTGTCCCTTTGTCGCTTGATGACACTTTCACTTTATGTATGTACTATCAAGGAGTGACCATACCCCCTTCTAGGGCGAGGTATAACAAATTGGCTCACTATACTGAGGCAGAAGAGTGTCTTAGACAAGTTCCAAGATCGCCAATGATACAGAGCCTACTATCTTCACGGGTTCACTCCTCAGAGGGAGTCAAAATGCCTCCTGGTGTCTCATACCGGTCCATCCTGCTCTTCCCCAATGATGACGGCCGGCATCCACCAGCTTCCGCCTGACTGGGACGGCGAGGAGATGGGGATTAAATTTCGCACCATCCCTAATCTGCATACACACGTTCCATATTGCCGTTCAATGTGGCCATGGCACTCGATTCTGGTTGATCACTGCTGCTTCTTCAAAATTATTTTTGCTCAGTCCCATTTTATCCTCTTGACTCGCCTTCTACCTTGTTTATCTATCCCAATCTATTGCGTATCCTCCGGTTCAATGGTCCTGCCCTCCAATTTATCTATTATCAGGATTACCGCTTTCTCATACAATACTTATTTCTCTGAACATCAACCGTCAAGCTTGGATGCTATCGTATCGATTTCTGGCCAATTCAGAGGTTTGTAGCCATATCTCCTGATTCTCAACAATTTGCTGATCTATTATTTCTTGCACAGTTTACAGCTGACACCAACCCTGGCCTTCTACCGAGAACAGGCCGTTACATGGCACCACCAGGGGGACTCCTACTGAATCGTTCGAGTGGACGAATTATTGTTACGGATCCTACTGTCGAAGATGATGTTGTGGAGGAAGTGACCGACTGGCAGGTTGATACCGTCCCCCGGTCCCCGACACACTCAATATCTTCAATGTGGAAGCCTCCTTTCCCCCCGCTCTCCGCAAGGTTCGTTACCGCCGTCCTCTCGTCCTGCCCAGGAGGGTCGTTTTGCCTTGACTGGCCACATGAGAGCTCTCCAATACTTTGCTTCTGAAATACGAATCCATCGTCCCACTCATCCTCCCTGTCTCAAACAACCAGGCACTGTTCCCAATTGTTCCAGCTGTTCCAGCAATTTCATAAAGCTTCGGGTGGTGGAACCCACTAGGGCATGGCGACGTTATTATCGAGTTGGTGAATCCAGACGCCCTCGACAATAACAATATTGGGTCCCTAAACTCCCAAATACCCGGCCGGCACTTGGTTTTGAGAATTAGCACCGAAATTGTCACAGGTTTGAAGAAAGAAGGAGATACACTGGAGGATTTTAAAACAATCGCCACATTCTAGGACCTCTCTTCGCTGCGTCTGGAGTTCAAGAGATGCCCTCCCAGGATAACCTGAAAGCTCTGTCAATTCGGGACTCGCCAATGATTTCGTCTCCATCAAACAACTTGCCAAGTTTGGAATTTCCACCGTCTTCAATGGCTACGGCTACGGTCGACTTCTTGAGAAAGACACTATACGTGTGTATATGGTTCCTTTTTAAGGACACTGCTTTCTGTCCACAACCGGAGTCTCTGTGCGCTCAATGTGACCCACCAATCATCCTGGGTACTGGGCATGTTAGGGCCGCCAGCGTGAACATGGTATCCGTGGCTAGCAGCTTTGTTGACAATATGATGGAGGACCCTAGGGAGGAAGCATACACATAACTCCTGCCAAAGTTGTTAGCGGGAGCGCCACCTCTAAGCCGTCATGACTGCCAACTTTGCTCACCCGCGCTCTTCCTTCCATCGAGCTTGAGGCCCAACTCAAAAGGAATCTGCTTGAAAGCAGCAGTCGCCAGAAGCCAAGAAAGGAGGAGAACTGTATACATTCGGACCTGCGAATATACACTTCTTTCAGTATATGACGAAAGGTATCCTTTTTATCTAGGCTTGGCTCTCATTATTTAGATCACGAACAAACTCTACGAAGCCTGACTACTTGCGATATTCCTCTGCCCAAGCACCACCATATTCTAATAGCAACGTCCGCCATACTTTCGGTGCTACGGTGAACTGCATGCACCTATACAGGGTCCTGCCGCAATGCCGGTTCTTATTCGAGGGCTATATTAAACAAGCTTTACAATTTTAAGAGGACAAAAACTACGACTTAGGGTAGTGGTGCTAAATGCCTTCATTGAATCTCAGAAGGCAGAGCGTTCTGCATTATTAAACACAGAAGCGGATATTGATAGGAATGAACAAATTCGCGACCGGGGTTTTGCCTCCATGGCTCAACCTCGCGGTCTCATTGCTAGGTTGGCAGAAGAAAAGTTGACCTAAGGCTATAACATGTCAAATTGACAGGGGGCGGTTTAGAGGAGACGAAAAGCACTATTCTCCGGTCGTATTATATATCATCAGGTCCAAGCAAAGCGTGAAATAATAGCGCCCTCCCACCAGCCAATGTTCGCCTCTGTGTTGCATGGGTCTTTCGTGTCCTCTACTGTCAAAAAGGACGACCAGTTTCAGAATTGGCCTTGGGACTAGATCGACAGTCGTTCTTCCTAACATATACTTCGCGACGCCAATACGACTCATCCTGATGGGGCATATGCTGAGCTGGGCCACTCCATTAAAAACAATATCTTCTTTATAACCTTCTATTTGCGATTAAGCTATACAGAATGTGAAAGAGAAAGAGGCCCAATTCCGAGAAGCCCATTGGGCGAGAGCCGATGCCCAAGCCACGGGCATAGAAAGACCTCATTATGAGTGTTGATTGCCGAATTGACCGCATCAATTCCTTAATGAACTTTGCATATGGGATCCTACCTCATGAGTCCACCAACATGTCCCCATTTATGATCGAGCGTGGCTACGAACCGCGCATGTCGTTTGACTGGGATACCCCTACAGCACCTCGAGACCATCCCATTAAACGAGGGGAAGCGCGTGCTCTGGTTCAGCGAAAAGAGGAAGTTTGGAACTTTGCTCAAGAAGAGATCGAAGCGGCACAGCGATGTATGAAGGTCCAGACAGATAAACACCCACCGGCCTGTTGATTTGATGTTGACGATCAGGTTATGGTAACAACAATGAAAGACTGGAATCTTGGTCAACCTAGTCGAAAATTGAGTGATCAATGGGCTGATCCATACAGAATCCTAGCGAGGATTGGACATGCCTACCGGTTGGAGCTACCATCTAGTATTAAGGTTCATCATATTTTTCCACCAGATAAACTCCGTCATGCGCCCACAGTTCCGCCGCTCCCTGGACAGATCACTGACCCTTCTCTACTGATTGAAGTTGATGGCCACCAGGAATGGGAGGTTGAAACAATACTTGCATCCTGATTATATCGCAAGGAGCTTCACTATCGGGTTAACTGGGTTGGTCACAATGTTGGTACTCAGTGGTATTCTGCCCGTAACTTCCCGTATTCGCCACAGCAGAAACTACGTGACTTCCATGAACTCCTCTAGGCTGCATTTGGTCCTCCCAAACGCCTGCAGGAATGGTTACGCGCTGTAGAAAACGACAACTTTCTTCTAGACCACATCGACGATAATTCAGCACTCCCTGCCAATGGCTGAGGACAGCCATTTTTCGAAGGGGTGCTTACTGTGAGGGTCGACGCGGAGTCGTTTTGCATTATTTATTTATTTGCTCTGCTCGGTTGCAGAGACAGCACACCAGAATGTGACGATATCTACTACACCGTCTATGCTCCTCTTCCTCCCTTTCCCTATACTTAATATTTTCGTTACAAGCACCAAATAGAATCGATTTGGCAACATTTCCATCTCTGCTTCGTAGGTCATAACATCCTAAATAGGAATAGTATAGCGTTTATGCAGGAGTAGCTGGAGTATCAGCACGTGACCATATGATGGACAGGATATACAACTATACGGCGTATTCAAATAGTTTTGCAGAGGAGACGGTAGCGTAAGTATACTTCCCCTATTATCGTTTGGGCTGAAATCCTGTCGATGCCTCTGATGTGTCTATTGAGCGCAGTCCGGATGAAGTCTTTGCCGCTCTAAGTTCAAAAACTAGCAGTATTCGAACCCCAAGGATTTAGAGAGTTTGTGGCATCTGGAAGTAGGGGAAATGCACATTCTGTGAATTCCAAATCATGACCGTAGTACGACACCATAACTGGCGATCTTTGCGACCAACTTGGTGATAGGCAACCCCGATTATGGCATCAGCCAATCTCGATCGACATCCATCAAACATGCCGCAGAAAGGGAGAAGTAGTGGCGCAAGCTCAGGAATGATGGAATCTTCAGACGGTTGTGTTACCTCATCATGAGTAAGGGTCTCAACCCTTTATAAGGATTGACTTCTCATGAGTCGAATCAGGCACTTCCTTGAGTATGACTAAGGCTCACCCCTCCGCTGACAGCGTAACCGCTAGTGCGGCGATCCGACCTGACTGCTCCGTACTGAGGGCGTCTGGTCCAGATCGATTGCCATGACACGAAGACAACGAGAGGAACTGATCAGCAGTGGATATATCAGAGTACTGGAACCTTCCATCTGATGTGAGATCATAGATTAACATATTTGCTCCGCTGGCAGGAATTTCGACGAGGACCGCCAGTTCGGAGATGGGATATCGGAGCCGAGCAGGAGCAACCACTACACAGCCCCTGACATAGGATCGACGGTGCAAAAGTGAGGCGTCATTGGTCCACATCTGCCTTATTTTTAGGTTGATAAGAACGAGAAAATATGTACACAACTCCATAGCGCTGTGTCTCCGTCCAACCAATAATAGACGCCTCCTTACTTGGAAGAATGGATGAACCATCTTGCAAAATGTGTAGTGTTTAGTATGCGTCGTACCCTGTACAGTTTTGGTGGTATTTAATAGGAATAGATCTACCGGTAACATCTAAAAGGGGCGCTACAGGGGAAATACTAGGGGTAGGAGGAGAGCTGGGGACTTTGGGTCAATAAAGCATCGATGGTTGTAAAGATATGATCATATGACCATACAGGAGGCATAGAAAGTGATTGATAATAAAAGACGTGGCGCAGATTGTAGGAGTCATAACCGGTCCACTGCAGAAAGCTAAGCGGAGTTCAGACAATGCTGACCATGGATCCAGCCCTTTGAAGGCGGGATGATCGACGGCGTCTTGGCAACATCACGGGTATAAGGTCTTGCCAAGGGCCGTTATATATCGCCTAAGTCGCTACCATATCCAGCCTCAGTCTATCTCCGAAGCTTGACCTGCTTCTTCGTCCGTAACGTATACATTTCATTGTCCGGGGTCGACTTATCTCCCGTCCCATAGATACCCTCCGTTTTTGGTTCTGAAATACATGCGTATGTACTTGATCCTCTGCCTGCCTTCCCTTCATGGACTCCCTCCCCACACTATCTATCCCCATGCCCGTCCTCTCCCTCTTCTCCCAGCAAGGTGAAACATAAAGCTACGCGGCTGCATCTAAATATCCTGTTGGCTAACTGATACCTTTCCTTTCTTTCCATTTAGACCGGATCCGTTCGTGGGCGAAAGCTCACGCGTCTAATGGCAGTACAGCAACCTCTACCCCTTCTGGCGAGCACGATGATAAACCCCCAGACAAGGAGGCCACGAGGTCTCCATCACAAAATGGTGAAGTGAACGGGGATAATCAGGGGCCGGCATGTCCGCAGGCCAACACTGAAAAAGGAGAAACCTCCAGTCCGGAATTATTGATCCAGATAAAAAAGGGCAGCATCCTTTTTTGCAGGCATACCAAAACGGCCCTTTGTCACAGCTGGGTCAACACCTTGCTGGTGTTTGTGCCAGTGGGTATTGCGGTCAAGTCTGCAGGTCTGAACCCTGACCTGATCTTTGCCATGAATGCGATCGCCATTATCCCCCTGGCGGGACTGTTGAGCCATGCCACCGAATGTGTCGCTAACCGGCTAGGCGATACGGTTGGGGCATTGATTAATGTTACTTTTGGAAACGCAGTGGAGTTGATCATTTTGTGAGTCTGCCTTGTTTGTCTAATAGAATGGTCATATCAAGTTAACCTGTTCAAATAGTATGTAAGTGTCGTTTGATCGATATTCTTATATACTGGGCTAACTTTTCTGGTTGAACCCAGCATCGCCCTTGTCAAGGTGAGCATTATATTGTACTATCTTGCTCATTATTCAGTATCTAATATACGCAGAATCAAATTCGAATTGTTCAGGCATCCCTGCTCGGGTCCATCCTGGCAAATCTACTTCTCATTTTGGGAATGGCATTTCTCTTGGGTGGCCTACGCTTCCAGGAACAGGTACAGGCTTTTAGGGTATAATAGCGCCCTTTCCGTCTTTCTAACCTTGTATAGATCTATAACAGCACTGTCACTCAAATGAGTGCCTGTCTCCTCAGTTTGAGCGTTATGAGCTTGCTCCTCCCGGTTAGTGCCAAAGTATCCGTCATCAACTGCTGTGTCTAACCGTGCGTATAGACGGCCTTCCACGCCTCCTGGTCAGACAACTCTTCCGCCGATAAATACACCCTTAAAGTCAGTCGTGGAACAAGTGTGGTAAGCATTTATTCGGACACTGTCGATAAACAACCTCCCTCATTCTCTTATAATAGGTTTTGCTTCTTGTGTACATCCTGTACATCGTGTTCCAGCTGAAGTCCCATTCGTATCTATACGCCAGCATTCCACAGCAAATTATTGACGAAGAATCCCACCCGGGTGTACTGGCTGAGTTTATGAACCCTTCGTCGGACTCGTCTAGTAGTTCATCCGACAATGAATCAGTCGATACTACCACGTCATGGTCGACAGCCAAACGCATCAAGAGAGCAATGAAATCCCGAAGATATCGGAAATCGAGCACCAGCTCCAAGGATTCTGGATCATTGCGCAAGAAGTCCGTTTCTGAAGCGCCCAGCGCCGGCGTAAGCGACACAGTCGGGTCTATCGTTGAGTCGATACCCAGTCACCCCGAGGACCAGTGGTATCATGCCACAAGCCCGCCAGATGACAGCCGATATGACGCAGATAACGACACACATCGATTCAATGTGCCACAGTCGAGAGACTTCGGTCGAGATGTTGGTCGCAAAAAGGTCTCCAGGCGAGACTCCAAGGCGAAGAAGCGCCGAAGTAAAGCAAACAAGAAGCCCAAGATGACCCAGGAGCAGGAAAAGGAAGCCGCTATAGTTGCCACTACTCCAGTTTCTACGCGACCAAAGTTGAATGCTTTATCGGCACCGCCTGATTGTTGTGAATCCCATGTTGTCTTTCAGGATGCATCTGAAATTCCCAAGAGACGATCACCATTTCGCCCGATTATGCCATCCTTACTCTCGAACACGGTTTTCTCTACCACAGTGACTACCAACAATACTGCACCGGTCGGCTCCTCAGGCAACTTCAACGGACTTCGGCGCTCTAATTCTCTCCCAAGCAAGATGAATCAAATGAACAGGCCCCCTCCTGTTGGAAATGCCGTTCAATTTGCCCGAGGTGCAGCCCGTATGCCCACTGCGGTCCATCCCACAACCGCTGAAGTCCCCCCTCCGTCCCATGAGCCGGACATGTCGCGTACTGCTGCCGTGGTCATGCTTCTCTTGTCAACGGGGCTTGTGGCAGTATGTGCGGAATTCCTGGTGGATGCTATTCCATCAATGATTAAGAGTTCGAACGTCAGCGAGGCTTTCATCGGTCTGATCATCCTGCCCATAGTGGGCAATGCTGCGGAGCATGTGACCGCTGTCACTGTGGCTACCAAGAATAAGATGGATCTAGCTATTGGAGTGTCGGTTGGAAGCAGTATCCAAATTGGTGAGTATTGAGGTCGATCTTTATTGACAAAAAGTACTAACGAGAGGCAGCAATTTTTGTCACGCCCCTAGTGGTGATTCTGGGATGGTGCATGGATAAGGAAATGACGTTGTACTTCACTCTCTTCGAGACTGTCTGCCTGTTTGTCACCGCCTTCGTGGTTAATTTCCTGGTGTTGGACGGGCGTAGTAATTACCTAGAAGGGGCTCTATTAATTGCTGCATATGTGATTATTGGGTGAGTCTCTCCCTCTCCGTGTGGGTTCGGTGTCAGTGCTCATTGTTTTTTGCAGAGTTGGTGCCTTCTTCTACCCTGCCACAGATAAGTCCAGCGACGTTGGTAGTGTCGGTAGTTTTGGTAATGGTTACTGAGAGGAGCCGAGACCAGGTGTCATTGTTCACCTCCTATTCCCTGTAATATTGATCTTTGATGTACGGAATATAAGCAAACAGGGCAGATCAAGTGGCTGAAGATTGGGGCTAATTGCAGTGGGCCAGCTGGGACGAGAAAGTGTGGATTACCCCTGTGTTGCCTAGGATCCTCTTTTTATAGAATGATACAGATTGGATGGTCTCTCATGAGTCGCATCATCCTGCCAATATGAGACATTTACCCAGAGTTGTGTTTTCTGTGCGGGGACTTCTTCCGGGATAGTGGAGGCCTTCATTACGCCCATACAATACCTGTACTCCGTAGTGCTAGGAATGTTCCGGAATCGTCATGTGGCTAAGCTCGGAGGGACATTTCGGCCACCACGGACACCGCCACAGCCATTGGCCGCGACACACGTGGCTGCCCCAACTAGGGCCTGTTATGGAAACACCTCAGGCCGCCAGACATCGTGTGACGCCTTCTGTCTTTGAGTATCGATCAATGGAGGCAAGCCGGTCTTTCAGCCTGTTTCTTGGCATTTGTGGCTTGTTATTTTCCGAATGAGGCTTGATGGTCCTCAGCAACCAATGGTAGCACAATGACACACCGGTGTGGCTCAACTATGCACCCTGGTTTCCCGATTGGTTCACACGTGTAAAGTCACCCCACTCACCAGCCCTTTTGTGGCGCCAAGCGGAACAATGGATACCGAACACACTTCTTCATATGTAGTAATACTGACTTTACTATACTTAGTCTAGGCGGGCGCAATCACCTCCCTATGCCCACAAGTACAACGGAGCAGCAGGACCGACGGGTAAGGAGGTGGGGGGAGGACAAGTCATCGGAAGGGTCGATTCCGGTTATGCCGTCCGTGATACAGAAGCACTGACAGGATGATAAGGCTATAAGCGATATCAGAATGAGGAACTGATCTGTCACAGTCTGATCGGGTTGTTCGATCAATGGCTTTTGAAACCACCTACAAACCGTTTAAAGGAGCTGTATAATGTATCTGCCTAAATTTTCGCATATCCATATGCCTTCTGGATCTGCAGTTTCCGCCAAACCACCCGACTATTGACAGTTCTCCATCCAACTAATAACGCAGTGGGGAATCCAGTAGCGTCAGGTCTTCCAAGGCCGACGAATGGCTTTTTGGGCTCAGCAACTTCGTGGACGGACTGTCAGTCCGTAGGAAATTGATTATTATTATTTTGTATTGTATCTGTATGGAGTCCCAGGGGGTTGGTGTCGAATACACTAGGTATCCATAGTCATACTCACACGCTGTCCTGACCCTCCCTTCCCCTCCTCCGTTTGATAATGAATAATATTTAAAGGTCCATTTCCCTGATCCTTCGCTTTCGCTCCTTATTCTCTTTTTCCTCCTCCCTATTTCCCTCATCTCGTTCATCCAACTGTCTATCTGTTTATTCTACTCTCCAACCATGGCTTACTACGGAGAGCAACAACAGCCTCCCTACTACGGCGGCGGCCCGCCACAGCAGCACCCTCCATACGAACGACCTCCGTACGATCGTCCTCCATACGATCGTCCTCCCTACGAAGGCGACCGTCCCCCTTATGAGCAGCGCCCACCCTACGACCGTCCCCCCTACGACAGACCCCCATCCGATCGTCCTCCATACGAACGGCCCCCATACGAGGGTGATCGACCCTCCTACGATCGACCGCCCTATGATTCTCAACGCTCCTACGACTCTCGTCCTCCCTACAGCTCTCCTCCACCATCGGCCCGTCCTCCCCCGGTGCCCCCTCCACCTCTCCCGCAGGGCTGGACTGAGGAATGGGAGCCTAACGTCCGTCGGGGTTTCTTCGTGGAGACCGCCACCGGCCGCTCGCAGTGGGAAGTGCCCCTCGAAGACTCGACCGGCACGCGCGACATGCCTCCTGGTGGTCCTCCTGGTCCCCCTATCCCTGCCGGTCCTCCGGGCGGATACTACGGTGGTCCTCCTCCGCCGCAGCAGGAGGGAGGATACTACGGTGGTCCCCCTCCACCTCAGGAGGGGTACTACGATGAGGAGGCCCGGAAGAAGTCCGAGAAGAAGAAGATGATGCTTGGTGCTGCGGCGGGCGCGGCTCTCGGTATTGCAGGTGGTGCTCTTTTGGGGCACGAACTCAGTAAGTTTTTTTTCTCTTCCTTGAGATGTTTATCCATACACGTAAGTGGGTACTGACTGTTTGCAGCGAAAGATTCGAGTTCCAGCTCGGACGAAGAGGAGGAGGAGGAACAGCACCAATGTCACTCCCCTCCTGCCGAGGACTGGTGAAGAGCATAGCGGTTGTGTCTACATGAAGAATATCTTTGGTTTAGGGTTGTCTATTTAGCATGCTATTGTGGTTTCGGCATACAATGAATATCCCAGCTTTTTCTTGTGCGTAGATTCGGTCGTATTTGGTAATGAGTAAACAAGTTCTGAATTGGTACTATGATGTAATCTCCCGAGAACAAATACCCCGCCATTCCCAGATGCAACTCTCTACTACTTTCTTTTGGTCAATGATAGATGCCCAAGATGCCCAAATATGTTAGTACGGCTTCTCTGTCTGTTGATACTGGCTAATGTATGGATTTCACGCTAGATACTAGTCATTCAATATGACGGTCTTGATGCCTACGAACAGCATGGCAGCAATATAGAAAAGATGTACGTCTAACGTACGGGACATTTATCAGTTTATTCTAATGTTGCTAGAACCAAGGATATACTTGCAGAGAGAAGAGCTACTGATCAGACTCTGTTTATTTCAACTCGGAGTTTACCACCTACACATACGACTTCGTATGTGTATTGCCCTGGCATGTCTGTTTATTGGTTCTAACAGCCGCCTAGGTTTTTTGTTCCGGATGCTCTTTCGTTGGAGCAGTTGAAGGAGGAATTTCCTGAGGGAGTGATTGTTGATGTCCATCAAGAAGCTTAGAGACCTGCATTCTACTTACGATTCTCTAGCAAACATATATCAAAAATAAACATGCTATATCTACTTCCAACATAAAATCTCTCCATGTAGCAACCCAAACCACCCACTTTCCTCTTCAATAAACTCTCTCCAACCACCGGCAATATTTTCCAGCTCCTGCCTCGTCGTAAACCCCTCATCCATCGCAATCACCGCAAACCCAGAAGAAGTCACCCTCTCCTCCATAGACCCGCCCCAATATCTCCGTTCCTCAGGACTACTAAAACACCAAGCTCCCGCGCTCTTCTTGATTCTATTCCTCTCAAACCCCGCCTGCTCCGCCCAGACATGAATCCTCCGCCCAGGATGCGGATTACCCCCTTTCAATCCTGCCACCTTCTGCGTGAGATCCAACCATTTCGAGATCCCATCGTTGGCGGGATACCACGACATGGAAGCCGATTCTCGCGCCGCGACGATCCCCCCATTTGGTTTCACGACGCGACGCATCTCACGCAATGCTTGTACCGGGTCCGCAATATGCTGCAACACCTGGTGCACGTGGACAATGTCGAAGGTGTTGTCTGGGAATTCCAGAGAATGGATATCCCCGACTTGGAAGTCCACGTTGGTCAGGCACTGGGAGGATGCTAGTTTGTGGGCCTCGTCTAACGGGTCAGAAACATATTCGATCCCAGTTACGTGGCCGTTGGGTACGAGACGAGCGAAATCAATCGTGATGCTGCCGGGTCCGCACCCGATGTCGAGGATCTTCATGTGCGGTTGGATGTGTGGGAGGAGATAGGCGGCGGAGTTGGTGGCGGTGCGCCAGCTGTGGGTTTGGAGGACGGAGGAGGAATGGTCTGTTGAGTAGACTGCCATTTTTATAATATTATTGTTTCTTCCTTCGAATAGATTGTGTGGTTGTAATACATGTTACTCGGACAAAAGGTGGCGCGGAGGGTTTATATTGTCCAGAGAGTGTCGGAGTTCCTGCCGGAATTCCGAACATGACACTATCAGTCCTCGGGAATAATTAACACCCATGGATATGTGCACAAACAGCAAACATCATCATCCCGAATTCATCCACTGTCTGCACCCATCGCTCAATCCGTTTCCTGCGCTCCACTGATCCCGTCTGTTCCGACCGCCACAGCTCGGAGATCTCCAGTTGCCCGTCCTCCCAGTCCAGCAGGTATCGATCGTACTCTCTTCCCCACGATTCGCGATCTCCCGCCTCCCATAATGCTTTGTTACCCGGGGCATACACGCCTCTCAATTCATCGGCTACAAAGTTCGGTAATAGTCGATCGGCGTTGTATACACTGCTGAACATGTACATGGTGAAGATGGAACGGCGTTTGGCAGCCACCTGTATCCAGGCTTCCCAGGTTGGTCGTGTGCGGGCGAGTTCCGAGGCGCAGAAGAGTCCGCTTCGCGCGGTGCGGAAGGCCAGTTCCATCAGAGTGATCATGGTTTTGTCGGTTATGGTGGAGGTGCTGCTTAATGGGGAGAAGTAGATCATGATCGAGTAGATGAGGTATGCCTGGAAAGCGGCGAGACAATCGTAGTCGTTCTGGCTAGGAGGCTGGTCTATATTAGCTGGAGCATGATTAAACGCGTAGAGAGAGAAAAGAAAGAAGAACGAAATGTCCATACCTCCTCCGCCAACCTCTCCATCTCCTGCTCCACCGTATTCATAACCATCATCTCACTCCCAGGAACAGCCTGCTCCCACATCCTCACCAGACTGTAACAATTTGCCAGCGAACGAGGCATCTCCGTCCCATGTCTCTGCGCACTGTGTATAATCGGCGGAACCCCACCTTCCTTCAGCATATACCGAGGATACGTACTCAACACGCGCGATATATACTGTACTGTAAACGGATGATAAACCTTCGGAACTTCATCCCTTCCCAAAGGCGGCAAGATATACGGACGTAACCATCGATCCCGAATATCCTCTGCATTAACACTGGGAACGAGGACCACATCCGTAAAATCCAGCCCCGTCCCCTGATTCTGATTCCGCCCGCTCGACACCTGTCTCTGTCTCCGCGACTGGCCAGAAGACCTAGACCACGAGCTGGGAGTGCTATACGGCAGAAGTGGCATATCCACCCCTGCTGCATCTAGTGGTGAAGCATCAAATACCGATGTATTGGGATAATAACCTGATGTATTACTACCTCCCGGTGCAGCATAGTTGATCCCCGCCGGGGAGAAAGGGTCTGGCTCAGACGCTGGCGCTTCCGGCAGAGGAACTGTGTATTCGCAGGGTCGTGCCAGCGACCTACACCGGGAACAGGCGGGTCGCTCAAGATTGCAACGGACTTTGGATTTTGTACAGCTTTTGCAGGCTTTTTTGCGTGGTGGACGCTGTTGGTCTTTGGCAGGGGTGGGTCTTGGGTAGGGAGCTGAGCGCATTGTGCTGTGATGACAGATTTGGTGTTGGGTCGGAATTCCGACGCTCTCGGGCTTATAATATACGGGTGCCAGCTCGCCGTGGTCTAAAAAAACCTCGGCGTGGGCTAAAATTCTGCCACCTCCGCCACCGCCTTTTTAGACCACGGTGAGCCTTTTCTTGGCATGGGCTCAGCGTGGTCTAAAATTAAATTTTCCGTACCTTTTAGACCATGTTGAATCCCTTCAGCGTAGCTTGACCACGCTGACCTTTTTGGCCTAGCGTCAGTCCCCGGTCGGTGCATATGCTGAGCATATGCTCAAAACATTAAACTGCGTGAGATTATTCATTGCATCATCAATATATATAATCAACATATTCACTATATCAAACAATAGAGGCAGATTTTGCAACACACTGTGAATGATCCTACACCCAAATTGGGTAATAAAAATGTTGGCCGCGTTTGCATTTATTTTGGAACTAGAAGACCTAATTTTTTTCTCTCATTCATTCTTTCTCTCTTCTTCTCTCTTTAAACTCCCCTTCTTGAGTAAGTATCGCATGTCCCTTCTTGGCATATACCGCGTATATACCTTGACCGGAAGACTTGAAACCTCTCCTTCTCCCCTTTCCTTTCTGTATGCCCAGAGTATATAATTACAACCATTTGTGTGACCCTTTCTTTTCTGCATACCCAGTGCATATACTACCAATCTGTGACCCAATTTCTCTTTTTTTGCATGTCAGAATACACTGATGATTTTAGTTCTTTAGGGGCCTTGTTCTCAGCATATACCATCAATATGCAGAGAATGCAGCTTTCGCGTGAAGACTTTGACAATCCAGAGGTCGCTGGGGCGGTGAACCCCCACCCCGACTACGGTTACTTCCACGGTGAGTATCTACTTAATATATTCACAACATGTGCTTAACATATGCAGGTCCCATCCCGAACCCAAACCCCACTTGGCGCCCACACCCGGACCCCCGCAGCACACCTGTGACCACCGCGGACAACGAGAGTATGGCCCCCAGAGTGCAGCATATGCTAATTATTTACAGATGCCCCAACTCCTGGTTCAAGACTGTCAGGTATTAATAGCATGGTGTAAGTAATTAACATGCCTGGCACATGCTAAGCATGGGCTGACAACCTCGCAGATGCGACATCGCAGTCAATGGCAACCAAATGTGTGGCCAGCCCGTCCGTTCTTAGATTGCTGTAGGTCGCGTTTTTTTAGCACATCGTTGGTATATGCTACCTATTCCATAGCTTCGCCGCCACATCCGGAACGCCCATCCCGGTGCCAGTGAGTTGTCTATTCCTTGTATAGGTCTAGCAGATGCTAAGGATTCATAGCTCTTAATCCCTTCCGCACCAACATTCCCCAGGCTGAGCGCATTGCGGGTGAAAAGTTAGTGGATACGTAGCTTCTCTTGGCATATGCTAATAATTGACAGCGCTTTAAAGCGATGGATCCTTAGCAGAGGATGGAGAACTGCCCGTTACGTGAAGGAGCCTGGGTATGTGCTCCCCTCCGCATATATATATGTGTACGTTGGGCGTAGGGCTAACGTATGCTAGTGAGGGTCCTATGTACGGTATTATTCAGGATTACTGTAACTTCCTTGAGCAGCTGGCGTGAGTAGAGCATATCTGTATTATATGCATAGTATATAACTAAGAACCACTAGCCAGGAAGATGACGACTTTGCTTAGCAGTTTGGGACTGAGTTCCATCGTCCTGTATGTGATCCGGGTATTTACTCTACGTATTCCCTGCGTATGCTAATATTTCCTAGAGGCTGGGTAAGGTCTCTGGTCACAAGGCATGTGCCCTGGAAACTAAGCTCTTTATAATATACTGAGTATATGCAGCGCAAATCTCCCCACTACCCTCTCTGAGCCACCTACCCCACCGTCTGCCCCAAGCGCAAGCGTGCTCCACCGAAGAAGGGTCACAAGGGTAAGTATAGCACATCCCCCTTATACTAAGCATCTGCTGAGAACTTGTAGCCACCGGTAGCCGGAAGCAGCCGGCGCGCGCCAAGAAGGATGCTGCCGAGTCGGTGCCGGAGACTGCGTAGGGCATATGCACGGTTGGTTTTAGAGATAAATTATGGAGTCTAGGAATAAGTAGAGCAAATACTAGTCTAGCCATTGTTTAGGGAATTGAAATGGCTTTTTAACATACTATACATCTACTAGGTGTATGCTCTGCACTTGCAGGGGTTTCCCTTTTTCTTTTTCTTTCCCCCCCTCTACCTCTTCCTCAAGCTCCTCAATTCGCTCAACCATATCTCTTCGTCGCTTAAGTCCCTCAAGCTCCTTTAAACGCTCTTCTAAAGGGTCTATGTTTGGCATATACACAGCGGGTGATCTAACAGGGGTCTCGATAACCTATCTACCAACACTCTGTACAGTGTAAGTGGGTGTGTTCGTTGACTTGCAGGTACATCCGGCATAAGACGGATGTGTTAAGGCTAGATACTATAGGAAAGTGTCTGCATGGCCACTCCGTCTGTATTTTGAAGAGGTGTATCATATGGATTCCCTGGATTCCATGGCAAGTGTGGCTTCTTCTGCCGGCGGTTCGCTGCCTTTTTTGCTGTTAATCTATGCATAGTATTAGCCTGGTATGTAAACAGCATATACACTGTTCATGTTGAACCATAGGGGCAATAGGGACAATAGGGCAATAGGGCAATAGGGACAATAGGGACAATAGGGACAATAGGGACAATAGGGACAATAGGGACAATAGGGACAATAGGGACAATAGGGACAATAGGGACAATAGGGACAATAGGGACAATAGGGACAATAGGGACAGTAGGGACAATAAGGGCAATAGGGATAATATAGTAATTAGCTAGAGAAATTAAACAGGCTCCAGCCCTTTAGTTTAACATACTTTGCTTTCGAATAATCTTAGTGCGCCTTTGAACGTTCGTTTGGATTTTCCATGAAGGTGGAATACCCTCCTTAATCTGTATCTTATTCTGAGTAAAGGCCTCAAATGTAAACCTTCGCAATCTAAGTATATAGTTAGTATATTATTAACTATGCTCCGCATCTACCTTGGATATACTTTACTTTAAAACAGCTGCCAGGAGTGACTGTTTCCGGCCAACACCTTGATTATCTTGAAAATGACTACTTTCACTAATTCCGGTATGTTTCCGAGCATATGTCCAGTGTTCAATCTGTATCTTTGATTGTTCCGGGGTCAGTGCACTTAAGATCCACGGCCGTTTCTTTTCCCTCTAGCCAGGATTTAGTCTCAGGATATGTATTGCATATGTAGTCCATACGCTCAAGCAAATCAGGTTTGGACGGTGCTTCTAAAAGGCTGTTAAGTAGGTGCTCTGCAGGGTGGTCCTTATACTTTAAGCGAAAATTACGCTTTAAGTGAGTTTGGCAGAATATGATTACATAGGGAAGGTGCTCAGACCACTCTCGGGATGTGTCTAGCGTATGCAAATAATCTCCAAGACCTAATATACTTAACAGGGTGCAAATACCGGGCATATATTCTGTTTATTACATACCTGGTGCTTGCTTCTTACACATATCGATAGTTATAGTCCAGATCTCATTCTCACCATGTTGAATATGGGGAAACCGTATAGGTGAGCGAGCCACATTTCCAAGTATCTTAAATAGCTTTGAGAACATTACAGCATATGCATCGCGTGTTTCGAGATTAAGAAAAGCATATGCAAAGGTATTGATTCCTAGTAACTTGCAAGTTAGTGAGCAATATTAAAAAAATATACTAGATACATACTTCGCACATATGGATTCCACCCAGAAATTGAGAAGACATTTGTCTTGCCATTAACTATTTTGAATGAGAGGTCCATCTCAATATACTTGATATTAATAAACGCCTTCGCCTGAGCATATGTACAGCATATAATAAGAAAATGCCGTGGATCAAAGAAATGGACATCATATATCCATTGCTGGTCGTCCTCTTTTAATTGGTCGAAGGCGTATTCACGTAATACCCCTAGTATCAGCTGAGCATATACCTAAAAGCAGTAGCTATTGTCATACCAGCAATATCAGTTCCTTCAGGATAAGTTAAGAGTCTCTGTTTTCGGATCAAAGCTTGAACTCTATCTTGAATATTAAGACTTTGATGTAATACACGTAGTGTTGAGGGACCAAATCGATCATATATATCAGTGAACTGTGGAGAGATCATGAACCGTCCTAAATAGAGTAGATACTTAGTATATGCTGTATATATAGAGTAAATATACTTACTTGCAGTTAGGTCAAGGATATTATGCTGGGAGATCATTTGGACCACCTCATCTGCAATATCTTTAGGTAATCGTGTTGGAGGTGGTGGAAAATGAATATGATTTAATCGACAAATCAAAATTAAGAAAGGAAACCGTTGCCAGGATGTTGGAATGTACAAGTCAAATTTAACCTTACACTTTGGAATGTAAAGCCTGCCGGTATGGTGAGTATGTGCTCGAGCTAGATTAATCCTATACTTAGCATATAGATATATAAAACTAGAAATATACTTACTACACCATCTTCTTCGGGATGTTGGCTGAGCAATAAAATCACATTCTTCTATTTTTGGGCCTGTTCCATGTTCCATAAGAACTTGAAGATAAGTCTTATCAATCTGAGCAAATCGTCGAACTGGATGAGCATAATGCCAAGGTTCAATATCTGAATTCTTGGGGCAACCAAGAAAATGATTCTGGGTTAATTAGTATATACTAAATATATGTAGTAGATGTACCTAAAGCATACCTGATTTTGATAAAACATTACCGGTGGTGTTTCACCACATGTCTTGATACCTTGATATTCACAAGGACCTCCATCCTGCCACCAACATTTCATAAAAGCATAGAAGACATCTTCAGTTTTTTTTTGATTAGTTGATCAATTGCTTGAGGATAAAAGGGTTCGGCGTAACGTAAGCGCTGTTTATTAAGTAAATCAAGATTAACCTGGTTATATGCCCGTGATATACTTAGCATATGATCATAGACCCGCTCACAGGCCTTTACCGAACCATATATATAAGATCTATGCCAAGCCTTGTGTTGTCCGTTATCATCAAGCTTGTTTAGAAGATCCATTTTGACGAGCTTTGCAGCCCCTGTATGGTTTTTGCAAACTGAATCTATTTAAAGTATTAGTATAGTATAGAACAGATATATACTCTACATACCTTTGACATAAGCCGTGTAAAAATATTATTTATTTCTTCCTCAGAGAAATCATTTGGATTCCTTGAGGATGGAAATGGATTGCAGTCATGAATAAAATGAAGAATACCTTCTGCTGCTGTTGCTGGATATTCAGGTATTAAAAGATGTTCTTGAATCTCTTTAACCTTAATCTTATGACTGGCATTTCGCGCAACGACAACACCATCTGAAGTAGCTGCTTCCTAACATAGACTTAGTATATATTATGCATATATTAGATATACACTAACCCGCTGTAGGCCCATTACTATTGGTGTAAAAGATTCTTGTTCCTGTATATCATCTCCTGGATCTGACGGAGTAGACCTAGTACTGATTATACTACTAGAATCATCTCTATGAGATTCCTGCACCTCGTTCTGATAATTGGGTATATTAGTATAGGGTTTGTATATACCCAGTATATAATAAACATATATACACATACCTGGATTGGGATATTGTTGATCCATTCTACCACTCTTTCCCGAACTTCGGTACCAGCCATTGTTGTGGTTTGGTCAACCTATACAGAGTATATGCAGAGTGGATACTCTGTATTGTGTAGTACAAAATATCCTTAGGGCTACACCTTACCAATTATAGTAATTAAGCCCTAGTGCATATGCTCAGCGTGGTCTAAAAATCTTTTGAAAATCTCATCGTGGCCTAAGAATACTGACTAATCATTTAGGCCATGATGAGTTTACCTAGTGCGTAAGCTCAGCGTGGTCTAAAAAGAGCGGTGAGTCTCGGGGCAGAATTTTAGCCCACGCCGAGGTTTTTTTAGACCACGCCGAGCTACAAGCCCTATAATATATTAGGCTGGTGGGGTTTGGAGGATTAGTCATTCTATAGTTATGTAGCGGCATAACAGTTTCAAAAAAGAAAAGAAAAGAAATATACACATGTGTCTATTCCTACCAGCCAGCCCAGTACGGATGACTGTAGTAAGTAGAAGTCAATGCCATGGACTGGGCAAGTCATGTTGAGCTTCTGTTTGCTCTATACCCTATGGCTTTATAAACAAATACTTGTATTTAAGCAACTTCTCTGTTATCGCCTTCAACATTAGCTCCTGAGCCAGCATATTTAAGACATAGGTAGTACCATATCCTCTACTCTCCGTTTGTTCAATAGTTGATGTCTTCCGAAATCTCTTCCACGCCGTCCCTGCATACTTGGCGGCGAATACGCTCAGCAACAACGCAATAAAACACAAGATAACAGAGCTATAGTACGCGCTCTGGTAGCCGACCCGACCGTACGCATCTTTTGGAAGAGATGGATCACCGTATCGCTGCTGGATTAATGGCAGTAATAACAGCCAGACCGAGGATTGAGCCGCCCACCTGTAATGCGACGTTGAACACATCTGCAACTGCACCTTGATCGGCTTTCGAAGCAGAGGAAATAACCACAAAATTGGCAGTGATGTACACGGCGCCTATACCGGCAATATAGAGGATCATGCCGGCGAAGGCGTACCGCCAGTAGGATGTATCATGTTCGATGAAGGAGAGCAGGAGCACACCGGGAATGGAGAAGCACCAGCAGAGGATAAACTGTCCAATTTTTTTGGTTAGTGAGAAGTTCCTTCTTTAGATTCTGTAGCTTTGCTCTTAAGAGTGGAAGGGGAGGGCATCTGGTTTTTAACTTACCATAAGACGCGCTCCAAGAATGGCACTAGTCGGCCAGACAACGTATTGAATATGAGGGCGCTAATCCCCAGAGCGATAAAGAGGACAGAGGTGTGAATCGGGCTATTTCCGTAGGACTGAGCTACAGGGTCAGGAAATAAGTGCAAGCCCGGCGAACCGCGTAGGTGCATACAGCAAGCACAAGGATGAAATTAAAGGAGGTGGAGGAGAAAAGATGGTGCGCAACAATGCCATTGAAAGTCCGATACCCGTGGACGAATAAACCAGGCAGAACCTCGGAGATCGCGAGAGGGGCGACAATGCCGGTACTGCTCCAGCCAGACGTATTCGCGGACGTGACCGCGTATGGAAGGACCAGGATTCCTGCAACACTTAATAAAATACCTAGGGGGTCGCATCGGGTGATCATTCTATGGAAGACTGCGGTCATGTTGCCAGTACGGGGTTCCTCCTGCCCAGCCTGCTCTATATCCAGGGCTAGCACTGCGGCCGTCCTTTTAGTTCTCCATGCCATCATTGTACCGCGCACTCAATGACATCGAAGAGAAACTCGACATCATCTCCGTCATCAAAACATTCGATGTGCAGCAGATCGACACTGCCGTTACTACGGAACCAGCGAGGTATATGGAACGAAGGTCTGATAACTTCAAGACTTCCATCCGCCCATCTACTGACCTCTCAGAGAGACTTGATCTCAACTCCGCCGTGAAACCTCTTGACGTCCGGAGGCTCGATCCGCCATCACCACGAAACCAGGTACGAACAATAGTGCCGAAGTCAAAAAACCAACTCTCTCGTACATTCAGCCCTTTCGGTAGATGTCTTCGTCCCGGACATCAGCCAATGACTACTGACTGTAAGGCCTCTGCCAAAATGTCGATCATATCCAGGGGCCCGTTCTTATCGAGCCCTTACATTTCTGGCATTTCGAGTAAGGCAATTGCCTTTTTGGTGTTGTGAATACATATGAACGGCTCGATATCAACCCTATAGGCACCTTGCAACCATACTGCATCTCTGTATCATGATTGTACCCGCAATGGATTTAATGGTTTCCTTGAGGGAAATAGCCTAAAAATGGGTATGGAACTAACGGGTGCGGCGCCGGCGCCTCCATATACCAATGAGGGTTGTTAATTCAAGCTAACTACCATATTCATATACCTGCCATCTTTTTGCCATATTTCACAGTCAGGCCACACTATGCAGCTAGTTGTAGAATCTTGCTCCACAGGGTTCTTTTTCCTTTTCATGTTTCGTTTTCTCAGTTCAATCCATTTAATCGGCATTTACATTGTCCCTTGCACAAACGGCACGGGGCCTAGGCATTGGCACTTAACTCGGCCCTGCGCAAACTCCTCTCCCCTCTGCTCAGATACATGGTGAACAACTAAATACAAATCCTTCCCTGCATTCCATTCCCCATCAGTTATAGCATCTTGAATATCCTTTTCCCAAAGCCACTCTTCCGGTCATAGATGCTTTCCGGTTTAGCACACTTCCACACCAGTACGTCCCGGCTAGTGGGTCGTAGGGTTTCAGTATTGCCGTACACTGGAATAGCGAACAGCTGAACATTAATAACTCTTTGGGGTGGACAAGAAAGTATCGTGTGCAAGCGATCCAGCAGTCTGGATTTAATACTTAATGAAATTCCCGGGGTTTGATGGCCGCTGCAATTACTAAGAACGGACGTGAGGTAGTCATGTATGCCTCGAGTATTATTATACAGATCGATAGATGATGGGAGCTGGTGAACCCCAAAATCCTGAAAGCGTCGAATTAATGGTAGGGTATCGGAGTGGATTGTTGTGGGAATGACAAAGGAATTTTCTGATAAGTCATCTTTTTTTGTGTCCCGGAGATCCCAGTGATGCACCATCGTGGTTGATTGCTGATCATGAATGTCGGTGATGCTTATAATTATTTCATGTTGGTGAGTATAGACTTCGAACTCTGAGTCCTGAAAAGCTGGAAGCTGTTTGATACTTAATATTAATTACAGCGGAGGTCCAAAAGCTCGGGGGAGCATACTTTAATAACCCGTACTCTTTGTCTTGTTCTGGGTGTTCTGAATATGGCGGCGGCTCTTCCATTGTAGGGAGCATATTGGAATCCAAGTAAAGATGCCTAGGAAGAGAGCTAAGCTAAGGAATATTAAATGCAGCATATTTCCCCGCAAAAATATGGTAGACCATAGACTCCTCGGTGTGCAGTTTTCTGTAAGACTTTTGCTTTCAACTCTTCACCCGCACCGCATTAATCCTTTTTTTTTTTTTTTACCTCTTATTTTCCTAACATTTCCGCATCTTTCCATCTATTTTTTATTACGCTGGCCCCAATATAGCGCCTGTTATATAGCGTTTTGTATTTCTAGTTAAAGTTTTGGGGAGGCTTGCTAAGATAGACTTTTCCTATAAATTCTACAGCACATTTCTATTCTACATGCCAAGAACAATTATTTACTTATAGCCTTAGTTATTACAGCTTCTAAAAGTTCCAGCCCTGTGTCCTTTATTAATTTCTTGAGAAGAAACTAATATCCAACTTTCGGGCCTAGTATCTTAGTATTATATTAGGACGCCAAGTTCTATTTCTATTACCAACACCGGAAAGTCCAAGTATAATACTTAGCTTTAGGCTTATTTTACTCTAGCAATTATGGATAGAACCTATATAAAGAAGAGTATAAAGGTTTAGCAAGAATACTTGTCAAGGGTTGAACCCAGTTATTGCTCAGACTAAGGCCTTCGCAACTATGTACGGCTCTAGATGCGACTGATCGAAAGATCAGTCGTCTTGTACCTTTTATGGTCAAATGGTTTTATCTCTAGACCAGTATCTAGAGAAAACCAAACCGTTATAATAATTAATCCAATATCAACACTATAGCTTCAAAACAACAAACAGCTCCCGGCATAATTCAACAGGAATTTTCGGCACCTAAGAAATCAGCAACGGATCTCCCAAGATAAACCAGAGCCCGTGTCTCAAGGTCGGCTACAAACCTGGATTGAAAGAACTTTACTATCAAACGCCCGAGGGCCTCAGATAGCAGTGGAGCAAAGACTTATCCGTGGGTCGTGGTCACCATGGAGCCATTCACAGTGGCTAAAAATCCCGGAGCTGGACGTGGCCGCACGTAGTGATGCTGACAACTGGTATATCCCTTGTGCTACCAACATCCTGCTATTAATAGTTACACCTAGGTAACCCTTAGACTTCTTAATATTAGTACGCACTGCTGTCCAATTGAATTAATCCCTGTGTTCAAACTGGTGAATGGCCTTGACTGTAATCAAAAACTAATGCAAATGCGTTGCGGATTTGGAATGTGAATAAACATAGGTTGCTGAAGGAACAACATACGAACTACACAGTAAATGATAGGATTACCTTTACTTGAGTAGATATTCGGCGCGCTCTTGGAATTTTAAGAACTCAGAAACCGGATATCTAAGAGGGATCTCTCCCAGGGACAAATTTAGAGCTGGGTCATAATGACATATTTCTGGAAAGAATATGAACCCTTTTGATATGCGCCTGCAGTCGAGCAATTGACCAGAGATGATATTCTCTGACATTTGATATTTCTCACCTTTACATAGGGGAAGTGCTTTGCTGGAAATGGCTATGATCATAGGACGGCATATTGCCCACGTACTATGTCATGGATTCTTGACAATAAATAAAATCTAGTACATTTACCTGGGCACTCCTCGAAAATAGAACGTGAAATGTGACTATCAACTGACTGACAATGCCCATACCCACTTGTTACCGTCTATAATGTCGGCATAGTGCAAGCATAGTGCATCGTAATATACCCTGTTTAAAAGGAAAGATAAGGTGGTATAGCCAGTAATTTTGCAAGTAGATTTATAGCGTACCTTATGCTCATATCCTATGTTGCTCTCGAAGTCACATATTGCTATAATTCACGAGTACCTAGTCAACTGTTCTAGCTACTCTCGTGGCTTGACCTTGCGCCAGCACGGCCTCTTGTGTTATCCGCATCAAATAGGGTTTAATTATAGAGCCATGGTCAGCGTGTCTTACATTCGTGCTTTTGGATTGGATTGATCGCTTTAGCTTGACTAGTAGCTGGTGGGGTGCAGCTCCTCCTCAGATGTCATATTGCTGATGTATAAGAATAGAAAACGTTTTACCACAAGCAGCTACATAGTGGATCAGCACTATAGGGATGTGTGATTCCAATAGGGTGTTTCGCTAGATCAGCATAGCCCTACTCCGCAGTCAGTCTTGGCCAGTTCACCGCCAGCGAATTGTGGCCCAATGCTGAGAAATAGCAGGTCTTTGGAACTCAAAAAGAAGGCCTTACATTAGCCGCTCTTGGCTTTCCCAACATAGCCCGGAAGGGGATTGAGATCTGCGCCTTGCGTTCTACTAGCACTTACTTGCCTTACTAGCTTTAGGTTAGGCCGGACCTTTCCTTTTTTTCCCTTTCTAGTTTCTCGATTTTTAGGAGATGGTCCCTGAGCTGCATGAGGGGAAGTATGGCTTGGAAAGATATAAATATGGCCGCGATCTACACTGTAAACTCGCTTCTACCATCACCATTTTAATATCTACTATCTACGTCTAGCGATTCAATTAATCTCTCTCATAATATTCTCGTACACAAAAATCTTTTAATCCCACTGTATCAAATTAATCACCACACCACACCATGTTGTTCCGCGCATCTGTTCTCTGCATGGCAGCTAGCATCGTCAGCGTCCCTCTCGCTGCTGCCCTTCCCACCACTACCACCACCACCGACCGAGTCCACTCGGGCCCGACCCTGATCTCCCGCGACGATACACAATGCAATGCAAACACGGCCTTTTACGTCTGCAAACTCAATAACTTCCGAGGCTGCTGCTCCGTCGATCCCTGCGACCTGAAGGACGGCTGCCCAGACGATAATGATAATGACAACGACAACAACGACTCTTCCCGTCCCACAACCTGCACCGAAAAAGGAAAGAAAACCAAGCTCTTCCAGCCACAGATGCAGACCCTGATCCTCCCCAACACGGACCACCCGATTTCCACCCCGGACTTCAACCTCAGCAAATCCGACACGGGCGAATGGCAGCAGATTATCTCGTGGAGTCTTCCCTCTGAAGCAAAAGACTGTTCCATCGGATGGAGTATCCCCGAGAAGCGGAACTTCTCCGCGGGACACTCGGCGCTCGTCGGAGTATATGATGTCGACGATAATGATGAGAAGAAGAGCCTGGGGCATGCGGATTTCTCGTTCTGGCCTGAGACCAAGGGGCCTCGCACGAGCTTGGTGGCGTCTATCCAGTGTAAGAAGGTTCTGACCCTGCGGTTGGCACTAGTCCATAAGGATAGGGTGTTTTTGGAGCAAAATGGTGAGACTGGTTGGTGGGTGGAGTATAGCTGCTAAGGTAGTTGGGGTTATTTCCGTGGGAGTGTATATGCGGATGGATCTGCACTTAATGATTGATGTTATATGATTGTTTCTTGGAGGGTATAATGGCGGGTTGCATATAGCTCATTAGTATTAATACATGCTTATATACATAGAATTGTGTTGTTGCTCAACAGACCATAATTTCTTACGCGGGACCGAGCTTAGCCATGAGCGTAATGATCCAACTGGGGCCAACTGCGGACATGAAACAGCATGATCACCTAATTTTGACAGTAGTCGCAGGCGTTTTCGTAAGGGGTCCCATCCATGATCCGCCGAGCTCTACAGATACTCACTGCAGAACGAAGCCTTAATACTCTAAAAAGGAGTTGAGTAGTATATTCTTCTTCAATCCTAATAAAACCAGTGTCTATAGTAGCCATTCCACTAGGTCTGCTATTTATTATTTATATAATAAAATAAATTAGAGAAAGAAATAGCATTATACTCTCCAAATTCCTGCTCAAATGAGGCCCGGAGTTCCTGGTACTGTCCATGCTTCAGATAAGCATTCATGTTATCGTAGAATATCAGAATGTGTGGAGTGAAGTGCTTCCGCGAGAGTCATCGAACAGTATTCTTGTGCCCCAGATCTTAATCCTGCCACTGGGTTTACAACGATGGAGAAGCCGAATAGTTTTGGTGTAGCCTGTCCATGACCTAATGCAGTTTTAGGTACATCGATGGCTGCTCTTAATGATTTAGGGAATTTGCTACCTTTCACTTTAAACATTAGCAGGCGAGCGAATTTTTACACGTGCATGCATTGCCAATAATCTTGTGGCCTTTGGGAGTGTTCAATTAGAAGCTCTACTCAGCACACCAGACCGACAGCTGCATCATCAAGAACGGCGTTCCAATTACCACCCTGACTGTGAAACGGACCTATGCTGACTTGGATACCAAACCCAATACGTCAACTCCACTGAATCTGAACAGCGGGGTGGTCAATTGCACTGAATGAGCTTTATCATGGATGACATTATTTGGTTTAGGGGGAGGATCTTCCTAGAGAGTGATGTGGTACCGATTCAAGGGATGCGGGTTATATATACGGTAGTCACCTTGGTGTTTTGTATTTAACGTCGCTGTCGAACGAAAGCCCGTTTGATTCTAATCTTTAGTCCGTAGCCCGTATTGCTTATCGTAGGGGCGATGATATACAGGAGGTATCAAAGACACGAGAACCATTCAGACCCAGTTCCCGCCAATGCTGCCAGAAGTAATGATCTTTCCAGTTGTGCGTTACAGGACAGGTAAGCGATCATGGAAGTCCCGGGATCCTGATGCCTCTATATAAACACGGGTAGAGATTCCCCTCTACAACGCAGGTGTAGGTCCTTCGCGATAGGGGTAGAGATTTGGTACAGGTATTCAGCGAAGTAATGATGTTCTCTTCCGATTAGTCTATAGAGCACGTATATTTCTGAATCAGCGTCATGATTCCCTCCACATCCCGCCAAATGCGCTGTCGATTCTGCAAACCCTTCAGCTGGCCCCAGTGGCGCTTGATTTGGGTATAGACTTGATACCAATTAGTCTGTTCCCTGGGCAATCGGAGTTGACGCGGTGCTGTCATTGGCATCGGTAGCAGGGAATCGACGGCGTCTTCAACATTGATCTCTTTACACATATCACTTAGTGCACTGGCGTATCGCTGCCTTCGGGTGAAGAACATTTGGACGTCTGTCCCGGTCACTGAGGTCCAGATGGAAGGGACGTGGATACATTCGGTCTCATCCCACGCCTCCCAAAGCCAGGGCATCTCATCGCGAACTAGACGGTACCAAAGACTGACGGGGAGCTGTTCAAAGGCGCGGGAAGCAAGCCTGAGGTTTGCAATATCCCGCGAGCCGAGAAAGCCGACAATGAGGAGTCGTAGTTCCAGGGGGAGGGATGCCAGTGGATCGGCCGGACGTGCTTGAGAGGGAGTCTCCGTTGGCCAAATGCGGCGGGACAGATCGAATGCACCGGTGTCTGGAGTGAAGTCGCCGTCCTCTAGGTTGACAGCGGCGAAAAGAAGACGCTCCAAATTGGGCACATACAGCGGGTTTGCTGCCAGATACTCGTGACCGTGGTTGTGACGCCACCACTGTTCCCGCCCATCGAGAACGTCCCGGGTGCGGGGGAACCCATGAAAGTCCTCGTAGGAGAATTCTGCATTGCGCCATGTCATCAGGCCGGAGATGTTGACGTGGTTGAAGAGGACCTTTGACTGACGGCAGAAAATGTCAAAGCACCATGGATGGAAGGGCATACCGATGGAATCGGAGTCCGTATACTCTGGCTGCCGCGAGTTAGCATCTCCACCCGAATGACGCGAATTATGTGGGTTGGGGTTGAACTTCGGGATCAGTACTCACCTCAAAATTCATATTATCAGCTTCGAGCTGGTCCAGCCCGCCCCGAGGAGGATACACTGTTTGATAGTCGATGTCGCGCGACGTTGTTCCATCACAGAGACCCGAGAGAAACCAGTCTCCGGAGAGCTCCCAATCTTCATCCAGACCGTCTGGCTGCCAGTCTGCCTCAGAGGCTTGCTTATGAACCAGAAACTGGGCAGTTCGACAGCCTCTCATTGCCTCCATCGAAATTGCATGCCCGGAATATGCATTGGATCCTGTACAGGTCGGACCGGCAATATGTTCCAGTTGTTCTGGGCCGTATCCCTCTGGAAGCTGACCCGACGTCAGCGGGAAAACGACTTCGTTAGGGCGATCTCTATGAAGGGGAGGAGTCCAGGCTGGCTCCCCGGGCACTAAGTCCTGCGGGACTGCGCTCGACAAGAGCCAGTCGCGATACCATTGGCTCTCGATGTCTTCCTCGCCATCTCCGTCATTCCATCCGTCGTCTTCCCCGACGTTCATGGCGTCATCGGCGGATTCATAATCAGAGTCATATTCGTACGGTTCATGGTCTTCTTCATCCTCTCTGGGAATGTAGTCAGCATCCTGGGCCTCATTGTCCTCCTCCTTGGGATAGCGGACGCCGACGCCGCAGCCGTTTCGAGAACACTCGTCCAAATCCAGATCATCGAATTCCAGCTCCGGGTCCGGGTGGCTCCCTGTGTAATCCCACTTCGCCCAGTCTGGCTCCCCCGGTGCACGACTGCGGCAAATGTTAAAGCTCACGCCGCAGAAGTGGCAGTGAATCTGGCAGGGGTCAGCTCATTCATATGAGTGGCATGGACCAAACAGCGGTTGTACTGCACCTCGGAGTATCCTGCCGGTAAATGCTGGTCAGTTGCACCGTATTGTGGATGATTCAATTGCTGGTGAAGACATACCCATTGTAGCACCGTCTTAGCTGCGTTGGCAAACCTGAACTGGTCCCTGTCTCGAAGGCAGGACGGTAGACTACTTAAATACCTTGTAGCTTCGTAGCGATAGCCTCATGGATCCATGGTTGCTTCCAGGAATCGTTGTTCCTGGACCCCCAGTGGATCAGGTCTATGCTCCTCTGATTGGCCGTATTAAGCGGGCTGGCGGAAAGCACACACCAGACAATCACGGTGGAAGCCTGCCGTAGTAAATTTTGCAGTGACTGGCTTTGGTATTGTCATTCTGGTCGAGAGAGTAGCGCCGATTACGGATAAATCCTAAAAACTGACTGCCGAAACTTTGTATACTTTGGAGAGTTGTGGGATTGGGGCTGTCGACTACTGGAGGCTACATATCCACTCTATATTGTCAGGGAATAGCGCAGAAATTAGTGTCATTTTAATATTCTTACATCTAGATAAGGTAAAGAATAACTAGCGCAAATAACCACTACTGACAGTCTCTATCTACAGTCGGGCCCGTGGCTAATCACTGAACCCCTCCACGCCTTTTGCTTGCCGGACTAAAAAAGTAGCCGCAAAATGCAGGTCGTTCTGGTTATCAATGTAGTCCTGGGCCAGGTCCAGTACTTTGTCGACTCCACTCATACATTCAGCATATCGCATTGCTTCGGCTTTTAGGGGATGTTTCCAACTGTTGGCCACCCTCATAGCACAATTTTGACTGCCTCCACAGCGATTCATTTGCAAAATCGTCTGCTGGGTGGCTCCTCATATTCTCCAATGAAGTCGCAGGCACTGTAATTTCAGAAGACAATGTGAGGCTCTCCATCCCCTACCGAGCCCATGGTGATAACTGAATGAAAAGCAAGTCTTGTAGCATGGGTAGAGGATCTAGAGATGCCCTAAGTATGCGAGACGGTTGCGAGGATCAGATGTTTAATCAAATTATCCATAGACAACACACAACAAACGAAGCAGTGGACGACGCATATTAGACTCCAAGCAGTACTTTGCTATTCAGTCAAAAGGCATTCAGAAACTTACACACAACCTTGACCTGTTTCAGAGGAGAGGCCTCACTGGTGGAATAGGGAACTTGATGACGTTCTTCGCAGAGGCCTAATTCATCCCAACAATATCAAGAAACGGTGTTCAGCCATAGAGACTCACTTCAAAGCATCACCGAGCCAAGCACGAACGTCTTTAGAAAACATGTTTTACATCCTAACTGATGTTTTCGGCTGCAGATATGGCTTTTTGAACAATCCATGACCCAAGACAAATATATTCATGAATGTTTTGGTCCTCCAGCTGAAGTCCATGGTTACCATTGGAGATACTTCAGTGGCTTCTTGATAAATCCGAAAGGGCAAGGATTGACTTTTCGAACGACTAATTTCAAAAATGAGCACAAACTTCTCAAAAGTGCCTTGGAAAACGCTAACAAGGGAGATCCCCGTAAAGCTAGCCGCATGATTTATGGCGTACCTACATATAAGATGCAAGTAGTTGAAAATTGAAAGTTGCGAAAATTGGTATGAAATTTGATTATGCTATACCCTGTGGCCCTGTGTCGACCGTTGTCCGTCTTTCTGCTGTTCCCGCTCTGCCATCTGCTCTGCTTCCCACTCTTCTACCGGCATTATTTCCAACTTAACAATTATGTCGTCGTTAGACCGCCGGTCAAGGCCAAGGATGGCTATAAAGCAAATCAGTTATCAAGCGCAGGAAACGGATAGGGATCTAAATACATTCAGATGGATCTACTTCCCGGATCCTTGTTGAATATTCAAGTGTATGGTCAGACCAGACTTCCCGTACCACCTCTCGGAGCTTTTCTCTTCTCTTGGCAAGTTCTTCGGGGAAGAGATTATCGATATAAGCATGGGCAGTCTGAGTCTGAGATGTCGAGACGGCGGGCGGGTGATCATTGGTATGTGTCGTCTGTGTCTCCTTGGCTGGACTCGATATGCTACCGCAAGGCGCTTCCTTGGGGGGGTTACCTTCGCCTGCCATACCGGGAAAACGCACGGAAGAACACACGTAGCTAAGGAGGGTATTCGAAATTCTGACTTAACAGGGGAGTGTGAGCTTGAAATGGGAGACCTTCTCCAAGAACTTTCCTCTTGGGGTGATGCAACGATATGGCTATGTAGTAATTGTCTTAGATCCTTCTTTCAGAAGCAGGCGTTTGATATAATTATCCCATCTACTCTGTACTCCGTAACTGTGACGATATTCATTTCGTCACTATGCCCAAAGTAGGCACGCTATACCGCATGCCCCCGGGCCAAAGAGGAGTAACTGGTATTGCGGGAAATGCTGCCTAAGGCAATAAAGAGCCAAATACAGAAGGCTGAAATCACTTTGCTGCCTCAGGTGTCCTCGACGAATAAACATGCCAAGCCCTCTCGGTTGGATATGCGCTAACCTAAAGTAGTTAGCTCCACACACTTACCTGCCCTTTAAAAACCTTCCTGTTCGTTTTTCCTCTTCTCCATTTCTTATGTTTTCATCCCACCAGCCAGATCAATCTGATCACTCTGCTTTAATGCAAGCAGAGTCAGATTCATCCCTGGACCACATTATGAATGTATGGAATGATGTTTATAGTAGTTAGGGAGCCTTCTGTTCCGCATCTCTGTCTTTTTTGTTTCCCACAGGGTATTATAACCCCAGCCACGACAAGTTCCTCATACTAATCATATGAGTGAGTGTCGATTGCTGTATGCCTCTTAATACCCAAAACAACGGGCGTCTATAAGCATGCTGGCGCTTTCTCACAGGCCTGTATTATTGCCGTGTGTCTGCATGAAAGTCGATGTCCTACATCTTAGTTTAGATGATTAGTATTGAATTAATCAGTCAATGAAATTAATGAGTACTGCATAGACGAGTAAGCAAACAAAATTTGTGTAGTGTCAACTATTTGTATGCCTCATCATTCCAGTACAAAGTATCATGCTGGACCTTCGGCCTGGTCGCCCTTAACCCGCATCCCATCTTGATCTTGATCCACTGCATCAAGTCGCCTGGGATCCTAATATGGCCCACGTCGGTGCGATGGCCCAGCGGCGCGATATCAGTGTGCTTGTTCTATTCTATTCTACTGGTAAACCCCAAATGTTGAGTCATAGAGAAAAATTGAGGCATATACATCGCAATTGCGTTACTGTGGGGCTGTCAACCGCTGGGCTTTCACACGCATTATTATCTGGAACATGAAAGTATTATAGATTGGACTACAAAATTTGGCCATCCCCACCCAAATTAGGTTAGTGCCGCCCCTAGACTAATACTGAGTCCTGTGAAAGACGGCTCTCGGTTCAATGCTTGTCTGATAATGTGGTAGGCGGCGATCAGTGACCGCGGTAATTAAGGTAAAGTTCTCATTAAGAACTTGGAAACTTCATCAGGGGCCAAGAATGCCCTGACATGTATATTCCATGAAGCTCAGGGCCAGCTAGGATCAATTAGCTTATTCGCGCCTGGACTCTATATCAGTACATGCTTTATTTCCAGCAAACCCGAATTTCAGACCTAGTGCTCTATGCTTGTTACATGAATATGGAAAAAGAAAAAAAAAGGTTCGACATACGACCACGCCGGATGGATCCCGTTAACATCGTCATTGACCATACTCAGATGGTATATCCATGATATGAATCGGCCATCCAATCATCCTTTATAAACTATTTCAGATGCGTCTGGTTCTTAGCTCTTCCCAGCTCTTGAGAGAGAGATTCACTACTTGTCCAAGATAGGGATTTAATCTTCTCAAGAACGGTAGTCGCAGCCTGTAATGCAAAGGCTAAGAAGAAGGCTGTCGAGAGAAGCTACATCCTGGTAGGTAAAAATAGTACTCTATATCTCAGAAGTAGTTGATAGCAACATACAGCTGCTGGATTCCAGGGACGGAAATTCTATGACAGCATGGTAAACAAGGGAATTTGCTGTATTCGGGAAGTGTTGCATTAACTATTGGATTTTAGCGCAGCTTAGAAGCAATAGTACAGAGCCATGCATGAGAAGGTTCGATTTAGCAGTAATCTGTCTAGATGTGTGTACTATTTCAGAGATGATTTTGTTTTGGACCGTTGGGTTGAAGATGAATTTACGTCATGGCGGACACTTCAATAGGAGAAAGTTCTACCTAGATAGCATTTCTATATTCTAAGCTTGGGTTGTATAAAGAAAGTTGATTTTATAAATTCTAGTATAATTATGACTCAGTTCGCTAAATGGCCATGGTGGTGGAAAGGGATTCGGCTAGAACCCTGTGCCATGCGTGGAAGAGACAGGGATTAAGCTGTCGCATAGTTCCAAATGTATCCTACCTAGAAGTTAATAACACAAACGCGGAAGGCAAGATTAGGAGGAATCTCACTCTACACCGCCCTTCATATATGAAGGATGGTACATGATATAACTAGTTGTGAGTCCGTCAATCGGCTAATAACTGACAGATGCGGACTATAATATGAATATCTATCTATCTGTCTATCTATAATTATGCCTCATGGGAAATTCACCCTGGCTGGTATAATACATGGATATAAAAATTAGTCTATCGGTAAGATCAGAAAGTCAAGAGAAATCATCCACGTCACGTCTCTCACATAATGACGGGAAGGTTGCGGGTCAAGTAGCCGCGCCACTCAGGCAGAGAACGCTGCCACTTGGTCTTCGTGCTCTTCTGCAGGTCCTCGATGGCACTGGCATACGTGATCAACTTCGGCTCGGAGAAGGCAGTGTTCATAATAGCCAGTCCATAAGGCATGCCCGACTCCCTGCCCACACCAGCCGGAACAGTAATTACAGGGTATCCAGCCTGAGCTGCGATCTGGATGCTCTGCGCAACATCGGGAGGCACCAGTAGTCCGTCAAGAGTCTGGTTCTTATACTTCAAAGCGGCGTCGATTCCCTCCTCGCGAGTCGTGCGACGGCAGAATTCCAAGGCCTGGAAGTACGTCTCGTCCATTATTCCCTTGCTTTCCAAGGATGCAACCAAGCCATCCTGTCCGGAGCCAAAGGCGGGATGGATACCAGGGTATCCGCCCTCAGAGCCATAATTATCAATGTTATACTGGACGAGATCTTCAACAGACTTGATATTTGTGTTTTGCACCTCAGCCAGATAGTCTTTCAGGTTGTTGTAGAAATCGACCTTGATGTAGGTGTATTCTGACTCGTTGGGGAACCCGCGGGTCGTGCCATAGTCCCAGTTGAATCCGTCCGGAGAGACAATCGTCTTGTAATGGGGGATCTCGGTTCCGTTAATCACCGTGGCACCGGCCGCCTTGATCAGATCCACCAGCTCCAGCAATTGGCTGATCTGTTCGGGATCACCGAGGCTCCAGAAGGACTCCCAGGGGAGGCCAAATACCGCGCCCTTGAGAGCGGACATGTCGGAGAGGTACGGCGCATAGCCGCCCTTCGGAGTCAGCCCACACTGGGCACTGGTGTAATTATCATGACGATCGACACCGTAGATGGCATCCAGGGCATAGACCGCGTCACGGACTGTCTTTCCAAAGGTGCCTACTGTATCCTGGTGCGTGGACTCGGGAACAACACCCGCGCGGGAGGTCAGACCAACTGTCGGCTTGATGCCAACAATAGAGTTTCGCTGTGCCGGGTTGATCACTACGCACTTGTTAGTAAAAGATGTGATCGGCATAGCTATCCTACTGAATCAAGACATACCACTACCGTCCGTCTCAGTTCCCAGCGCAAATGGAACCAAGTTCGCGCCGACGGCGACGCCAGAACCGGAGCTGCTTCCGCCAGGGTTCACAGTCAGATTGTAGGCGCTACGGCATTGGCCGCCCCGAGGGGTGAAGCCCTCCGAGTAGTTGTTGGAGCGCATGTCGGCCCACTCACTCAGAGCAGCCTTGCCCATGAGCAGAGCGCCAGCGGTGCGCAGTTTATGGACAACGTGAGAGTCACGGGGGACGACGGATCCCAGGAGCGCCCAGCTACCGGCCGTGGTCTCCATGCGATCCTTGCTGGCAATGTTGTCCTTCACAATAAATGGGATTCCATGAAGCGGGCCACGAACTCTACCCGCCGCGCGTTCGGCATCGAGGGCCTCGGCAATGCGGAAAGCATCTGGGTTGATTTGCAAAATAGCTCTGCATGAGGGATTCTCGTTAATAACAAACTCGTAGAAAGCGTGCAGATGATCGGGGAGCATACCTGAGGTACGGGTCGGTCTGGTAAACCCGCTCCAGATAGCACTGTAGCAGCTGGACACTGGTCAAATGACCCCCTGCAAGCTGCTCTTGGATGGCATCAATGCTGGCTTCCTCGAGCTTGAAGCCATTACACAGACGCATCGGGAAGAAACCAGCTCCATCGGAGCCCAGACGAGGAAAGTCATAGGCGTAGGGGTCATTCACGATCTGAGAAGCAACCAGGCTATCATTTATGTCCTGGGGAGTAGAACTGGCTACAGCCAGACTACTCGCCAAGGCCAGGAACAACAACTTAGAAGCCATTCCTGGGAGTGCCTGGAGGAAGGGAAAGGATGCGAATGAAGATCCCTGGAAATAGAAACGATCGCCCGGTTTCAAGGGATGAGCAGAAAACCCGAATGCTGGGAATGAATGGCACACTATTCATATAGTTGCCTCGTATCGGGGAATCTAGATGGGTGCTGGACGATCCACTCGCCCAGCCACTAATATGAAACATGTGGATTGGTAAATCAATGGTCATTTGTGGTCATTTGAAGGGCCTCGCTTAGCACACAGTGATGCGCACATTAATGTAATCATCCGCTGATACCTATCGGGTAACTTTTCAGCCACATTGCGAGCTTTTTCATGTCAAATTTCCGTGCAGAAAATAAACCGTCATCGAGATGGACATTTGCGAGCGAGATTCATTTCCAGTCCCCTAGTCCCTGATATGGCTCCATACCTGTAGGACGAAATTTGTCATATCTCCATGTTCTATATAGGGCAAGTCTTCATAACCGTGGACTAAATCTTGGCATAATCCAGATCAGATTTTAGACTTTTCCTGAACCGCGGTTGCCTCAGTCCTCTCATCGGGTATCTCGGCGCTCGTGTAGAGCTCTGTAGACGGGAATGCAGGGCGTGATCTCGTCTCCACCAATCGCCAAATCTCAGTCATCCTGGAGCACGGTCGAGCTTATGGGGTGTACCTTGCTTGCGTACCAGATTCCTTCTTTTGCGGCGCAATTGGAATGGAGAGGAAAGCTATCGTTGTCAATCCTACTTTCGTCTGATTAGCGAGCCAACTTTTTCTAGCGTGGTTCTATGCAGAAGCGCTATTGTTTAAATCTCTGTGCGCCGTGGTTTCAGGCCCTGCAGTTTGGCTATGGGATCTGGTAGGTCGCGATGGAGGTTAAACTCTGATGTCGACTCCACTCACTGAGCGATGCAACGTCAAAGACATCCGGAAACATTCGCCGAAGGTTATTAGACTTGGGACACAAGTGAGACAACTATCGTTACCGATGTAATAAGGCCAAGACCCGGAAGTTTTTGGTTTATATGGTTCGAAGAGAAAAAAATCTATCAACTATTGCCTTATGTCCAGGAGAGATTGCTCTCATTCGAGCAGCTCCATGGCGAGAACAGCCCAGTTAACTCCATAACTGTCTGTGGTTTGTTTTAAGAGTAACAGAAATCAGATATATTTTGTTAAATCCCCTTCTCCCTCCGTTCCATCGGGCCTCCCTCGTCCCATCAGATTGAGCACACAGACATGCTCTGAATCCGTGCCCATGCGCTTGATCCTTAATGGCAATCCCTAATGATATCCTCGTCGCGGACGCCGAGGGGAGAATCCCCGCCGGCGTCTCACTCGAGTATCTCGCTGAATCGCGTGATCCCCCGGCAAAGGTGGCCATTATCTTCTTGATATGCCTGGCGGGGTTGGTGATGATCGTTCGCCTTTATGCACGGGCATTTCTGGTGAAAAAGATCGGCATGGATGATATCCTGGCCGTGTTGACTATGGTATGCATGTCGTTCCATACAGCTCCGCTAGAAAGCCACAAATTTACAATGTCACATATCAACAGCTGATCTACATCTCCTTCGTCGTACTCTCCATCATCCTAATCGACCTGGGAAGTGGCCGTCACTTTGGATACATTCAATATGTCCTGTCTATGCCCACCGTTCGTGAAACCGAAGTTCTAGATTTCGTCGCCCACGTCTTGTACACCACTGCGCTGTTCCTCTGCCGTCTATCCGGTTTAGCCTTCTACCACCGACTGGCCGCACGCTCAGGGCGACTCCATCTAGCCATCAAAATCGCCGCGGTGTTCTTGTTCGCTGCTTTTCTCCCCCAGTTTTTCCTGTTAATCTTCCACTGTCGACCGGTGACCGGGTTATGGCCGTACCCGTGGCAGGAGGAGCCCGTGGCATATAATTGCCTGACATGGGGACTGGTGTACTCTGTGAACTCTGCGGTGTCTCTAACATGTGACATACTCATGTTCATCATCCCTGCGATTCTGATCAAGAATTTGCATGTGTCGTTGAAAAAGAAGATGAAGCTCTCCCTCGTGATGTTCCCTGGTGTTCTGTAAGTATCTTCCATTTCATACAACCGCGGTATCATATCTAACAGAGACCGACAGAGTCATCGTGATCTCCACAATCAGAGTCTACCTCGTCGCCATCGGCCAGTGGTCCGACGACGGAAGCTGGGCGTATAATCCCATGATGGGGATTGAAAATGCCGAGATCGCAGGTACTCTGATCGCTCTATCGGTGCCGGCCTTGAAGCCGGTTTTCGGAAACCTCTTCGCCCATTTGACCGAGTATACGACCTCGAGTCGTCATCGGACGCTATCAGGCCGTTTAAAAAGCCAATCGAACCCGGGAACAGGCATAGCGTCGGCAGTACGGGATAATAAGCGTCTGCTGTCGTCGTGGTCGAAACATGGAAATGACGATTATGAGATGATGCAGTCGGAAACGAATGTATCGAGTACTAGTCCGGCACCAAGGGTGGATAGTGGGGTGACAAAGGGGAGGAGGATTAAGGTTACTGAGGAGATATCGATTATTAGGGGGGACCAATAACCTAGATGTAATAGTTAACTGTAGAATAATATTATGCTGTACAATCAAATTCCACCTTGGATCCTATCCTATCTTACTCCATAAAGTCCTCACTAGAGTGACCTAAGCATTTCTATCAACTCTATCAACATACTGATACACACCAAACACCAGTCACTAGAACTGACAAGGTGCCCACTCCTGCATGACTCAAAAATGAGGCTTCGACGGGACGGGACGAAACAACCATTGTAACCTTCTCCACAAACCCGCGGAACCGCCTCAGCATGAATCCTTATCTGGGGAGGCAATCAAATCGACTGTGGCATCCCTTTTGGCTTCCAACCCAATTTCGATGAATGCCACCAGATGTAACGATTATCTTGCGTAATTCAAATGGTGGTTGAATGAGCAATCTTCTTTCATCTAACTGAGCTAAACGAAGCCATAAAACGGTTGGATACAGTACGAAGGAAGATATGTTTCAGGATCGGGAACCGTCAAGATGGCCGTTGGGGACTTTTGCACCAGAGCCTCCCAGAATATCACAGTGATGTTGTAGTGCCGGAATACGTGGTTAAAAGTCCTTAGGCTTGAGGGCGAGGCTTGGAGGTGAACAAACTTCCTTTCAAGTTCCTCTTGCTCGGTTTCTTTATAAGAGGCTCATATTGTCCCCTCTGTACTTCATCGTTAGTAGATGTTACTGAGAACTGACATAAATACTGTCAGTTTCAATCTTCCATGTAAAGCACCATTAAAGCGGAGTTCATCGTTTTCTATTATTCTGTACAATGAGAAAATATTGTTGGCTCTTTCTTCCTATAATCTCTAGGAGGCAGCGAGCAACAAGGAGGTAACGTACTTGTAGCTCTTAAACTCCTGCAGTTCCTCTATTCCTGAGTATTGATTAGCTCTAACCCGAGCAACATTTTCTAAAGCGTACCTTCAGAGCACCGGATAGCATCATTAGTTCCAATATTCCTTATCCCATTTTATGCCTGGAGCTACTAGATATTCCAGGCAGCGCAATATCCATTTTTTGCAAAATTAATATTCGTTAACCCTTCGAGTGCTTCGGTTACTGAGGTTGGCCAACCGGTGCAAACTGCCGTATAGTTGCCCATGCATACGGCGCGTTACTTTATTCGCGTTTTCCATGGCAATTTAAGAAGTTTCTGCCCATTTTTAAATTTGGTCGTTCAAAAACTCAGCCATGTCCTTCTGATCTATCAAGCCATCTCCAATGGCGTGCATGCGGACATAGTCCACGCAATGCCAATTCCGGTCTGTGATGCTTCAGTGGCTAGATGAAACTGCAGCTCGTAGTCCGCTCCCGAACAAGCATTGTCAGCGATCGCTTCTTTATGTAGTCAAACTGTTGCTGCATTTCAGAGGCCCACAACCATGGCTTTCAACCCATTTTCTCCGCGCGGTTGGCTTCGACAATGTTTTATTCGTTTGCCGAGGGTTTTCCGTTTGACTAGCCCTTCATCGCATGGCTCGACATCATCCGGTTTGACCTTTTTGTGAGCCTGACATCCTGAATTTGTTCTATGTACGCTCTCTTCAGCATCATGACCCGTTCAAATCGTCCCGTATAAATCTCTGTAAGAAAGGCGTTGGAAATTTTTTTTATAACTACCATGCCTGTATATGAACGACACACTTGAAAGAGTACAGGCTGTAAACCAATGGAGTCTGCAATAAAATATGAAGTTCTTTCATGTACCTGAATAGAAAGGCGATGAAGTAGGAAGAGGAACGGAAAGAAGTCGAAGCATTATACTTAAGCTATTGTGCATTTATCTAACACATGCACTGATTTGCTTCCCTATGGTTCTCTAAAAGTAACCAGGTTCATTCACATCCACGTGCACGACTGTTCGCAGGATCTGGGCTGTCCTCTCTTAGGATTCTTATATTTTGAGGAATTAAGAATATCGAATCATCGCATTTGGGAAGTTCTGTTAATCGGAACAGCTCTTCACAATGATAATCTGTCATCCCAGGGTGTAGCTGGGCATATGTACAGTGAAAGCTGAGAACCGACGGGTTTGTTTTGTTGAGGATATCTTCGTCAATATAAAGGTAGGAGTATGACTATTTAGTTAGGTATCTTAGGTTTAGGACATGGTTGGCAGGTAGTTTTGCACGAGAATAGATTATCCATTACTACATTGATGTGATGATAATATCTGAACGTTGGACAAAAGTTAGTCCTCCCTGTTATCTACTGAGGCTGAGTATGCCACATGTAAATGATTTTCAGTGCTAGGGAGACTATCTCCCTTGCATAGGTATGTTTAAGGGAGGTGTAGCAGTAGCAATGCAACGGTGTCATGGAACGTTTCATTCCATGTAGTAATAACTGTGCTTATGATATTAGATAGATCATGTGGCGGATGACGAATATCCCTTACATACATGTTGAACTTAATCTATTGTTAGATTTTATGGGATTCTGGTTAGGAGGTCTGAATTAATTGTATTCAGAAAGATGTTATGCCCAACTCCTGTATGAGGGGTATTGGGTATACATATTTCACATGATGTCCCAATATGGACTAGCTTTATTCTCACATCTATTCGTTTATATTTGTTAGGTAGTTTGTATAAGAATAAGACATACGCTGAGCAAGTCAGGATATAACCAGTAAAGATGAACATTGAGGTTTGCTTATCAGCAACGTTTCTAAAAATCCAGATGCAGACAGCATTCAAATCCATATGCTCAAATTTTTAAGCTTCACTATCAATAGATACATTAACATCAATTACATACAAACACCACCAATAGGCATTGCTTCACTTGATTAATAATAAAACTATAAGAACAACGCGTATATATAGACCTCAGTCTGATACAGGAGACGGGGGAATAGAATATACAGAGCAAGCCCATTCCTAAATCTTAATCACATCAAATCCAGCGGTCATGGCGCTTGTCCTCATCAATATCGTCATCTGTCGTACGATATGGTTAATCCATTCCAGTCCATCAGGGATCACCCGCTTAGAAGGCAACAGCGACAGCAGCAGCGGCAACAGCACCACCAAGGGTGTAGCTGAAGCGGTTGATGTTGGCAGCGCCGGTGTGAAGAGGAGGCTGAGAGCCGGAGCCAGAGCCACCGCTGCCAGAGCCGCCGGTGGGAGAGGGAGTAGCAGAAGAGCTACCAGGACCAGAGGAGGTAGGCTTGGGGATGGTGGGAGTGGAAGTAGTCTTGCCAGCACCACCGGTGGGCTCGGAGTCGCCGGTCTTGGTGGCAGTTGCAGTCTCCTTACCGGGGTTGGAGTCCTTGGCATCCTTGTAGGCATCAATACCCTTCTGGATGGCCTTGGTAATACCGGCGGAGAGCTCCTTGGCGAGGTCGGAAAGGGCCTCGGGGACCTTCTTGGAGATGGCGGAGGAGAGGCTGTCGGCGGCCTTGTACTGGGCGTTGAGGGACTCCTTGACCTTGGTGGCGGCACCGGCGGCCTCGAACTTGGACTTCTTGGCGATGATCTTGTCAACGGTGTCCTGGACCTTGGAGGTCAGGTCCTTGACGGGGCTGGTAAGGGCGAGAGCATCGCTGGAGGTGAGGTCGCCACCGCCCTCGACGGTGGAGACACCCTTCTTGATGGTGGCGATCAGGTCCTCGGAGGCAGACTCGACCTTGGAGGGGTCACCGCCGTTGTAGCCGTCGGCGGCGGACCCAAGAGCATCGACACCCTTGCCGACTTCGGAGAGGACATTTGTGACGCCGGTGGAATCGCGCTGGACGACAGCAGGGGTGGCCAGAGCGCTGGTGGCCAGACCCAGAGTGAACAAGGCAGTGAACCTCATGGTGACGATGAAGGAAGATTAGAAGAAATATTAAAGATGTTTTTCTATGAGTACAAAAACAAGAGGTCAGGGGTTAAACGAGTGCCCGCGGTAGATCCGACAAGAAAACAGCCAAAAGAATGGATCGGTTCTGTGATTCTCAACGGCGAGAAAGTAAGGCCATCTTGGAATGAGAAGACCCTTTATATAGACCCTGGGCCACGTACAAACTCACATGTCCGTGGCACGATGGGACCGAGGCCAGTCTCCATCAGGGGTATGAAAGCTGGGGCTATTATTAGCAGGAATGAATGGCAAGGTGATTAGTGCTGTTTTGGAGATGCGATTGCATCTTCTGACCATCAGATTGGACAACCAGGTCTATTGGCGTGGACCGGGGAGGGGAGGTGACTAATTAGCGTCCGGAAAACCAGGACGAGGATCGTCGCGAAAGTGCTTGTCCAATGTCCAGGACTGGGCTGGTTGGTGTAGGGTCCGATTTTTGCGGTAATTTTACTGACCATGGAACGCCTGCGAATCACGTCCGATTGATGGGGACGGACGGGCTCACGGGGGGGAGGGTGTGATGCCTCCAGGAAGAATGCACCAAGTGGACGGCTCGAAAGTCCCAGAAAGTGGGAATCCCAATCTTCCCTGCCCTCAATCAAATTGAATTCAATGGTGAAGGAGCCAACTTTTAGCGGTGCAACATTGTCGCCCTACCCCGGCCCGACCCCGGATCCTCATTTGTTCTTCTCTGGGGGATTCGCTTACAGTCTAAGCGATGTTGGGCCCACCTCCTAGTTTGGCTGGTCGGTCCAGGGTCCAGCTGAGACACTGGAAGCATTTCCCATCCCATACCCCGCACTAGGGGTGCCTGGGCTCATTTTACAGTCTACAGCTGGGGCGAATAATCACCAATCATTCCTCGCTGATCTCTAACTTGTGCGGCGAGCTATCGACCAAGAAGGTAGGGGTCGACTCGAGTGGAGGATCCTGACCACATTGGGTAATGACTCCGACGATTCCCCCGCTTGGGTTAGAGGAGGATGCAAACGGACAGTGTTGTATTTGCCTCCGGCAGTAGACTCTGCAGTGTCGAATATCGATGACTCCCATCGGTTACTCATCCCAAGATAATCCCCCGGATTCCCAGCATCCTTTGGATCCATCATCGCCGGGAATACGGAATAACCATCTCTCCAACCTCCCCATTTTACGCCTTATTTCTTGATTGAACAGATACGACGTACCTGCCTTAGCTGTATGGTCCCAGTTTACTATTCTCGCTCGTGGCCAACGACTTTTTCATCCTGCATGAGCAATTTCCACCGTCAAGGGCTCGAGCAGTGGGGTGGCTGTCTTGCTCAATCGCGTCAGGAGATGACGTGGGCCGACCCTGTAACTGTGCCTCGCGGGTTAGAGAAGTGAGGTGATCTTTACTATTTTGCTTGCGAAGCAAATTTCCGTTGGTTCTATTTCATGCAGTGTGTCGGAAAATATCCATCATGTGCAACTCACACAAGCACTGGCGCTGACTTACGCCATCCAGATCAGATGGAGTGGCAGCAGCCACGGAAGAGCCGGAATGCTGGAATGGAACCTTCGGATTCCTCCGCTATTTCGGGGCTATACGATATCTATTTGTTTCTATAGATGACAAAGAACTGGATACTGGAGTTAAACACGGAGTGGCTTGCCACTCCGTACATAGCAACTCCGACTGGTCCCCCCTGAACCCCATCAGGTACGGAGTACAATGGAACCTGCATCTCAGTACTTTGCTTGCGCTAGCAGGTATAGCTCTTATGCATCCTAGTAGCTATGGCTCCTGTCGTCCTGTCCACTATCCAACCCACTCAGGTCTGGCCCAAGTGGCCCTGTTTTCCTAGTCCAGTATTAACTGACGCTACGAACGGCGCGTAAACAATTACACTTTCTTAGTCGTCGACCAAGTCAGCCACCGGCGCGTCCCTACCCTGGAACCAGAGCATGGTTACAGTTACAAAGCTCTCGGGATGCAGGTGGTAGCATGGTACATAGCCTATTGGCTTGCCAGTTGGGATAATCCCAGTCGCAGGTGAATGAGGTGCTCTGGCAGGTGAATGAGCAAATCAAGTAGAGGGACTGCCGGGGCAAATGACGAGAGAAATCCTCATCCAGGACAAAAGCGTCGCAATCCAACATTGGCATTTGGTTCTAGCCTTTTAGTTTTAATTAATTCCCATGTGCATTCTTCGAATCGGGGAGGGGGGAGCTCGCCAAGTCGTCTTCTGTTCTTGGCACATCTCAATTTTTTGGAGTTAAGCCGACCATCGGCATGATCTCCGTTTGCAATTCAGGAACAGAACAATGATATGGTGTAAATATTGTTTCTAATGGCTCCATCATTCGGCTCGGCTGCGAAGTTCAAAATTTTCCCATGTCGCATTCCTTTGTGCAATATGGAGTACATCAGTTCGAATACTCATTAATGGCCCTCGGTTGGATATTTCGAATCCTCTCGAGTTTCCTCTTATGATTCATCACATTAAGATTATGTCCGTCACCTGTCGTTTCTCTTAGCATTCCTGAAATTCCAGACAATATCATAATGTCTGGGGAAGGGCTCAATACGAAACAATTTAAAGAGTCTTTGGGTTTCAGAACATCCTACGGAGTATATTAATGAAGATCGCATCCCTTAGATCCTGATTCAAAATCAGGACCAAGCCAATCGGTAATTACACTGCACATGCAAATTCCATGGCTTCATTCCGTCCCAACTCTATCGCAAAACTGATAGATGTTCCGCATTACGAGACTTGGTTTGTTCGAAGCTCAGAAGAGCCCATTTCCATTCTGATTCCATACCTTCTACGGCAGTCACTTTCGGGGCTGAATACTAACCGAGCCTTAATATAGCAACAAGGCAGTTTTCTCCGTTTCCCCAACCCATCGCTTGTTTCTACCGCGGCTCTTGAACAGAATCTTCAGACCGATCCATCACGATCTGTGTTCTCCTTTCCCCTCTTCAGTAAACCATAGTTGTCGCGCATCCCTTTGCTGTTGTGCACCCGTCCCTGCCACCAGTCATAACGCGAGCTGCCAAGTGATCCACAAGTTCCATCCAGTGTTCGACGGTTTGAACCCCTAAAGCGGCCGGCATCCAATAACGCCTGTTCCAAGGGGTGGATGCAAGGGTCCATGTATCAGAGGGAAACGACAGGGGTTTACGGGGTAAGAATAAAACTTTGAGGCAACAAGGATGGTTGATGTGTTGGAATATCGCCATGACGTGGCAGATGGTAGAAACGATCAAAGTCAGTGAGAAACTTTTGACTTCAGAGAGTATCACAAGTTCTCTTTCTCTTACCGAAGTCAGATCAGCACGACGCTGTGGGTAGGGACTCAAGAACGCTTCAGTCATCAGACACTTCATACCCTCCGTAGTAGGATGGCAATCCTTTTTGTATAATTTTTCAGGGCGGCTCATCTATTCTTAGGTGATTGGAGCATATTGTTCCAGCTAGAGGGCTGTGATCAGCTCAACTGATTCGGAAGGTTACAGAGTTATTTTCATCGCTCTCGTCTCTGTGGCGAGGCATTTGTGTTTCCATTGAGCCCATCAGGAAAAACTATTCCAGTATTCGAGGATTAGAGCCTTCTAGTATTGTTGTCCTTGTGTCCGCGAGTCCTAGAGAATCTAGGGTTTTACACTCGTGTAGCTCCTTTGTGTCTCTGATGGTGACAACCTTTAGTTTTCTTGCCGACCACATTGTTGAATACGCAAGGCCAAGTTCGTGCACAATATCATAACCTTGAATATGATCACCAACAACTTGGGATGATATTGCCCAGGACAATAATGCTCAGGATTCACCACATCTATAAAACTTCTAACTCCAATATATCATAGTATACATCCTTCCCCAAAGTTTCAAATCCTACTCCTATGCCATAGCTCCCATATCACATAAGCCCAACCACAAAGCATCAAATCCCCTCCTCCCTCCGAAACGCAACATTCGAAACAATCCATCCTTCACCTGCGATACCCTCACCTGTCAACTGCCTCCCATCCCCGCTCGCCAATTTCGTCAAAAACCTTCCAAGATCTTTCGTAGGCGAGGCTCCATTCGCCCATAGACACCGTACTGCCGGCGCAAGCGTCCCCCGAAGCAGCCGCTTGCCAATCGTCTGCTGATCGGGGCGCTGGAGAATAGCCTTCAGTACTATCGGGTCATTGCCTGCGTCTACAAAGGCCGGTCGCACAGAGTAGGGTTTCAAGCTGGGGTATTTCTTTGACAGTTCGATGAGAGAGGCTTCGCATTCGCCTTTTATGCGGCCGAATATAGGGGTGAATCGGGTCGGGGTTTGGGTTGCCTATTGTATATTATTTAGTTAATGTCTCCACGATATTTACGATGAATGGGTCCATACCCCCTCTCCAGAGACGTAAACGAAATTAAATGAATCAGATAACCTTGAAAATGCCTTTGCAGCGGCGAGGGGGTAATCAAGAGTGATTTTTATATATTCGCTTTTTGTTTGTTTCCATTGGTTAGCAATATAAACTGAACTCAAAAATGTACATTATAAGACTCACTCTTTCGGCACCTGAGTCTGAGAAATTCCCTGTGCCCAAATACATCCGTCCGCTCCTTTGAGCTTCTCTAGTAGTTCGGGACTGTATTCGTTGAAATCCTTGTGTTCGATCACGGTGACATGGGGATGGTTATCTGCCATTGGCACGGGACTTCTACTGAGAATATATAATCGCGATATCTGTCCCTGGGGTAGTGTTAGAATATGGTTAAGAGCGGCGGAGCCGACGAGGCCCGTGGCTCCTGTTAGGATTAGACGCATTTTTTTTTTGTTTTGTTCTGATTATATCGCATTGGAATTGAAGGAGACTTGTTGATTGAGTTTGTAGGGTTTTATAGGGCTTGGTGGATGACTCGGATGTAAGCTTATTTCCGATACGCTCATGATGACATGGAGATAACTTGGTCAGACTTGTTATGGTTATACTGTGGTGGCTTTCTAGTTCTTTATATTGTATATTTTTTGGGTAGATAGTATGATTCTGTGCTAAATGTGTTATCTAATTTATGGACTCAAGGGTATATTCACCTGGACATCGGGTATTCCTACTGGTCGTCTATCTAGGACCTAAGCTGTAGATCTATTCTATGCTACAGTAGAAGCCCTATACCAGAGGAATATTGATAACCTTTTAATACTACTCTGTAGCATCCCCTAAGATCAAATATACCCTGCACATTGCGGGGCCCACGAGCTTAATCAAACCTCTCTCGCTATCTGTCAACAGTCTATTTTCACGTGCTATTCCATTCTGGGATAGCCATCTCCAGGTGCAGTCAACGCGCACCTATAATATACTAAAGATATGACAACATATCTGCAAGACGTAGCCTACAATAAAGGAAAATGGCCAAGGCAATGCTACCTAGTAAATTGAATGGAATAAGTCACAACCATCCAATCAAGCACATTCCCAAGGTAGATATCTCGTAATTAAGACTTGCACTGCACGAAGTTATTCCCACTCGCCCCAGTATGCGTAATCAAACCCGCCAACTCATTCTTCGTGTTGAAAACTACCCGGTCCGCGCCCGGTGATCCCCCATTGTAGACATCCCCGGAGCTCAGGATCGGCCATTCCTGATACGTGCCCGAAACAGGGAAATCAAAGCCCTCGTAGTTGTTGTACTTGTGCGGGTAGTTGTTACTGCCGACCGTCTTGCCGTCCTCGTACAGCTTGTATCCGGCATCTTGAGCGCTCGAGACTGCGCTGGACGAGTAGCAGTTACTGCCGCAGGTGTAGTCACAGGCACGGGGGTGGGGGGCGGCAAGTGCCCCTGCGAGGAGGGAGGTAAAAGCAATGATCTACTTATTCATTAGCATCTAAATATCTGTATCATGTAGGAAGTAATATGGGTTGTGAACTCACTTTCGTGTACAACATTCTGATCTGGATTCGATCTGGCTGATCTGATAACCCAGCGGATAACTACTTATATAGCCATCATTGTACTCCATATATGTAGATCCAACTCCTTACACGGAAAAATGTCTGTCAACAAGACTGGGGTTACATCGGAGCTCCCCGTGAAGACTCACGATAAGCAGATTGGAAGAGACACGACGCAGGTCCCGGTACCAATGCCGATCACCAGGAAGTGCCGATCCCGTTGGTCGTAGAGCAGCCCTTATTCGATGGAAGGACACGGCTAGAAAGTGACGCTCGGCGCGTGAAGGCTCATCACCCAATGAGGACAGAGAGATTCGATCACGATGTCTAGATGGAATCGGCGGTTGCACGGGGGTACGTATCGCATTGTACTACCCGTGGCGTGCGCTATTGATTCGATCAGGACGGAACACAGTCCAAGAGCCTACTAGAGCATCAAGACAAATCATATGTCCACGGTGCTTTCTGCCGCAAAAAGAAATGCTTCAATAATGTCCAATTATTGGTGAGTCGATGACGACGGCTCTTTAAATCAAACAATCTACACCAAACCCCGCCACTCGGGCTCTCCGTCGGAATCCGCATACGGCCCGTTCCTCCATCGAATATCACAGGTGACTTGCTCGCTTTGGGACCTTATATCTGGTAACTCAGCGGAGGGTGCCTTTGCATCGTCTCAAGAGCCCGTATCGCGCTCCCGTCCCAATGTGTCATCCCGTCCTGTCATGTGCGTGCGATGTGTAATTATTGGTCGCGAGATGTGGATTTCCTTGGTCATTGTTCTTATCGCTGCACCGGCAACCTTGAAGGGAACATATTTGCCTATCATCTGTCAGCCGACATATTACGATTCTGAAGATTTAGCGAGCAGACACGTTAAGCAGGAAACAGAACCGGCTTCAGTGAAAGAAGAATTGTGTCGATTCTGAGATTAAAGATATAGACTGCCTAATAAAGATGAACAAAGCAGCTCGCTATATCTCTGGTCTAGTCCTTTGAACAAACTCACTGATATGGAGCTTGATGTAGACGTTCATTTGGAGTAGAAACAAGATGCATGTGCTCGGACTTTGTCCCGTGACTATCTATCCCACAATCACGTTCTTCACTCGAGACCTCCAAGTCTTCGGCTTTGTCCCCTCCCCATAATCCACCACTTCTCGCCTGCCCGTCCAGATATCCATCTCCTCCAACTTAACGATCTTAGTCTTATTCCAAATCTTATACCCCACCACGAACAGAACAAACACCGGAAGTAGGATGTAATTAATCACAAAGTCGTCCACGCTGAACGGGTTCAAGAATGCCGTATACCCCTGAAAAAAGATGAGGAAGATATTTGCCGCCAGTGCAAAGTACGTTCCATAAGGATAGAGTGTTGCCCGGAACGGAAGTTTCGCGGGATCATCCCCTTGAGCGGCTATTGCCTGTCGGAATCGGATATGAGCGAGACTAATGAAGGCCCAGACGATGAATGTCGCCACTGCCCACGAGAGTCAGTCGAGCATGGTATGCTGGATGAGAGAACTTACCTCCTGACAGAGTGATCAGGGCAGAGTAAATCTTGCCCGCACTCGACGAAAGAGTTAGGAATACGATGCAAGTGAACATATTCGAAAAGATGAGAGCCACCCAGGGTACGCCAGCAGAATTGGTGCGCCCGATAATCCGAGGGGCCTTGCGGTTACGCGCCATGAATAGAAGCGTTCGGGATGCAACATATAAAGAACTGTTCCCGGCGGATATGACGCTGATTACGATCAGAGCGTTGATCAAATGAGCCGCCGGGAGGATACCGGCATCTTGGAGCGCGATTGTCAACGGAGAGTTGGCTGCATTTGAGCTCGCACCGAGAAGCCGCTTATCGTTGTACGGGAGGAGTATCCCAATAAAGAACATCGTTCCTACTCATCCATAAATATATGAACAAAAAGTATGGCTCCTGGTTACTCACCGATGTAGAAGATTAGGATTCGCCAGAACACTTGACGGATGGCGGTAGGGACAGCTTTTTGGGGATCCGACGATTCTCCAGCAGTAATGCCGACCCTGTCACACGTCAGTATCTTCTCGGCAATGGGTGTTGGTTGCCTACATCTCTGTTCCCGCATACAGTGTGCCTGCAACAACGAAGGTTTTTGCAACACCGTTGATAGAATCTGCGAAGGCTCCCGGATCATGCCAGTACTTGAAACCAATTGCATGTGGTCCTACACCACCCGTGCTGATGCAGATAGCTAAAATAAAGAATGCGATGAGCGCTAAAACCTTGATTCTACGCAAGTCAGCGTCCCGAAGCCAAGTCCAGGCAATAGATATACTCACAATGACAACCAAAACTCCATTTCACCGTATGCCAAGACACCCAGGTTGGAAAGACCAAGGAACAGAAACCAGAAAATAATAATCCAGGCCCATTGAGGTACGGCGTCAGTCCAGAATCCAATCACCAGGGAAATCGCATTGTATTCGTTCGCAAGGATCTGCCTAGTCAGCATGCAATCGAGATGAGCTGACGTTGAGGTCCATACCGTCACCCATAGATACCAATATGCCCATCCGAGGCCAAAAGCAAGCGAGTCATCCACAAAGCGCTCTGCATACTCGGTAAACGATCCCGATACGGGGATGGCCGTGGCCATTTCACCCAGCGATTGCCTGTTCGGTCAACAGAGCTCATCGATGCTGATCGGGCTGTCTACATAACAAAAAAAACGATGATACCGACCAATCCAAAGCTGATCAAACAGCCTGCTGGACCACCTTTGCTAAGTGCATTTCCGGAACCCACCAGCAATCCCGGTCCAATAATCCCTGCCCTGGATTTAGCGACCGGTAGGATTGTTGATATCGTCGGAACACTCACCCCCAATTGCAATCATCTGCAGATGCCGCGACTGCAGCTTTCTCTTCAACGGGGCTACCAAAGCATTGTTTGATTCTGCCGATTCCGTCTGGAGTGTATTCTCCTCGTCGGTAGCGGACTGAGTCCGAAATGTGAGGCCATCTTTACCGAGTGAGGCCGTCATTGACTCTTGTCAACACCAAGATTGTGATAAGGTATCGAGGTCACAAAAAACTGTGAAATAAAATTCCGGGATCGCATGTTCTGCAGGAGCGGAGTATTTTGACTGCAGGCGTCCATGATGATGCAAGAGCGCGTGGGAGGAGGTTCTCCAGAATTCCACATATGCGGAGCGTTCATTTGCTGCGGATGTCGTGATAATGGCTGCAGGTGGCGGGATGGCCGCGCCCGATCGTCGTTTTACTCACCATTCTACATCTGTCAGAGTAGCTTGATAAACTGATTGCTTGGCAATTTCCAGCAATAGCTACCTCCTACACTCTAATTAGCTGGGTCTCTACTTATCTGCAGGGGTCACCAGAGTCCAGAGGATTGCTCACAAACTGATGTAATCGAAGCAGGCATTGTTGCCGAAAATACAACCCTGCTTATATCAAGAATGTGATTGGTCCACCCACTCTTCGAATTTCACAAGTGCCCTCCCTATTTATCTTCCTCCTGGACTTTCTGAGATGTCTTCAGTAACTCAGAAACATTGCAATACATGGTAGATGGTACTTGGCTGAGGCAGAAAAATTGCATTCCATCACTTCAGGCATGTCTGAGACGACAAGATGCATCGCATCGACCTTCACTGATCATTTGAAGGGGCTGATGAAATTGTCTTATCTTAACCTAGAGACAGATACCAGAATTTTCGATCAGCTTAGGCAGCGTTACGGAGAAACATAGTAGGAGCACTAATCCAACAAGTATAAGCAGAGAGCCCCATATTACCTGAGACATGTCGTCTCGATGTCATAGTTAGGTTTCACTTTTTTCCTCTGGCTTCCAAACGCATTACAGAGATGACGCGGATGAAAATACACTGTACATGGATCATCAAACATTCACCATTCTTTTCATGAACTGGTGTCCACGGCTTGACCTCGAGTACGGGCTATCGGTGCGATATGATTTAGACGGGTAGGTTAATTCGAGTTAAGTTGACGATTGCTAGGTCAAGCATCATCCACCCCTTGAATATACAATTTTCTTCCCTCTTGTACCTCCCCTTCTAAGTTCATCCAAGCCCTCGGGTATTCCGTCCAACCCCCCCCCCCCTGGCGAATGTCAACAGGATGAGGTCTGATGTACTGACTCAAAACCAGCTTCTCGATAACAACAGCCCATTTCTTCGCAAATGCTTCTTCATCCTTGTCAGCTGGAAACACAATCCCGCCAGGGAGCTCAAATGTTTCACCAAGCAATGTATACGCTATTGCGGTCATCGCAATCGCAGCCTCCTCTGGCCTAAGCGCTTTAAACGACTCTGGTAAAGGCGCCTTCAGGTTGTGACCACCAGCAGGTGACAAGACTTTACCGCAAAAGTTGCTTGACTCCTGGCTTCCAACGCAATCAACGAAGTAGGTAATTGAAGAGCCCGCCACACTTTGGATCTGTTCAACACATTCCGGCACATTGCAATCAAACCAATGATCCGCACCACGAGATTTGACAAGATCAAAGTTACTGGGTGAGCAGACCGCATAAACACGACACCCCGATCTATCTATCATGAGCATGATTCGCAACGAACAAAGAGTTTAACGTACAACTTTGCAGCCTGGATCGCAGTGTGCCCGTCGACGCACTCGCTGCGTAAACAAACATCGTCGGCCCTGAGTTAGCGACTGTATGCACCGAAGGCAATGGCAATTTCATCGTCCATTATAGCAACTGTCCAACCGTCACCAGCGCAGCAACAAGTGAAGCCGCCTCTTCAAAGCTCAAATCTTTAGGTTTATGGAACTCAGCATGTTCCTTACAGGCAATGATATCCGCGTAGGCGCCATCTTCAAGCTCCACTGTATTCCCTATATCTGAACCCCGTTAACAATAAGTCTCAGTTCATAGTAAAGTAGATAGATAGATAGCTAATATAACAAACCTCCATGACAAATCCCATACACCTCATCTCCCTTTTTAGATCGTGTAACATCCCTATCCACCTCCTTCACCACGCCGGACCAGTCGCATCCGACAATTGTCCCTGGACCACCTAGTCCATCAACATGGTGACAATCTGTCGGGTTCAGGGCAAACGCTCGTGTCTCTGCAATGATATAGCCGTCACGGATGCCAGGAGCAGGGATGATTCGGATTCCAACTACCCCGGAGCTGATGATTTGGACAGCGGTTCGCGATGGCATCGTGAAGTGGATATTGCGTTGTATGGAGCATAGACGGGACACTTATACCTAGTCGTGGATTGGAATCCTTCCAGTGATGCTTTGCCGTTGTGCGATTTATAATCTTGCCGATTGATTTCTAATTCCAGAGGGGAGGTTACTGAGCATACAGCTGGAGAGTTGGAATATCGTGCTGATTTGGTCGAATTCAGCAATTTAGCGTCTAATATAATGATTCAATTATATGTCAGTATACTAATAGAGAACCTTCTGATACACGATATATCCTGCATATGCATCCACTCATCTTATTTTTACTGGTATCGACCATATCAGTATGTGTAGATATCGTTCTTTTCATTACCAACTATGTCTATATCGAGGCAGCGATTGAGAGATTGGATCTATATGTGAGTATTATAGAAGTTTCATTGTAAAGCAAACATAACAGGTATGATTAGGAAACGTGCAACGGCTTAAATATCGTGTATCTAGCCACACCTCTAATTAAGTAAATAAATATCATCAACTTTTGTTACAGAAATTATCAATTTATATCATATTCCATCATTTCCGCCCTGAACTCCTCTCCCTATATCATTCAACTTATATGTGAGGGGAAAGGAGAGGAAATAACAGGCATTAACAAGCAACATTAACCAAATATTTACTATATTCATTATAAACGACCAAATCCTCTCATCCCGTATACTTAAGCGAGTAAACCCCTCTCTCGATACTGTTCAACAGAATATACCTGCTACGGAAATACGGATACACGCTCCAACTCCCGACAAACTCCACTCTACCACCCTCCTCATCATCCTCGGGATGGCAGTCGAAGAATCCCACTTGCTTAAGACCCTTGCCCGAGGGGTCCTCGGGAATGGACGAAATGTCCACGATGCGCAGCCCACTGCCGTAATTGGCCTGATACGTCAGACCGTTCAGCACGTACTGATTATGATCGATCGATCGTACAGGTGACTGGTAGGTTCCTGTGTGTCTGGGCGCGGAGAGGTCGTTCACGTCAAAGACGTATGTCGTGGTGTGGCCGTTGGCTGCCTCGCCGGTGCCGTCCATCTCGTCAAGTTCATCATCTAGGAGGAGATACGCCATGTCTTCTGTAGCGATCCATCCTTGATGAGTGTAGCTGGATCCGACGTAGGGAGTCTTGGAAATCTGGATGGGTGTTTTCTTGTCAGTGACATCGACGATGGTGAGCGTGTCCTCGTTGTAGTTGAAACAGATCTCCCGCCCTGTGTATTTCTTGTCAGGGCCCTTGTAGATCACACATTGTGCTGCTGTGCGTCAGCGAAGACTGGATTTGACTAGACTATCAGAGCTTACCATCGTGCACATAGCCATCTTCATTGACACAGCCCGGAGAAACCGGGTTCGCGGGATCAGAAACATCCACCATCCATAGCCCTCCGGCGCAGTTGAGTTTTCGAGCCGTACCAACCGCATAGATCATGTTCTCTTCCTCGTGAGCAACGATGTTGTGGGAGCTGCCGAAGTCGTTGTACCATGCCGTCAGGTCGTTCTTGATCGAAAACTTTGTCGGCGAGCTACTGTTGGTTTTGAGCAGCTGGTTCCACCATGTTAATACTTGCATGTTTCTATAGCACATCTGGAGATAGTAGGTACCTTTTTCAGATCAAAGATTTGCAGACCATGTCCCGGAGCCTCCGATCCAATATAGACATGCTCCCCAATTACCTTCATGTCCCGCCACACACTGGATTTCGTCTGGGTGGGTAGTCGGCCAACATACTCAAGGCTACCATCATCCAGAATCTCGACAAAGGCAGTGCCATCAGTCTGTCCGACGATACCGAACTCGCGACCATCTGCGGAGGTCCATCCTATCAAAGCACACACGTCAGTATAAGGACCAGGAATTGCACAACCCAAGGGATAAAATAGCACACATGCCCCAAATATCGTTGCCTTCACGGGTGGTGCTTCCCAGTGCCTGGTGGCTCAGGAAACCCTGAAGATCAACGTTCTCGCAAGAATACTCCCCCGCCTTGCCATCCACACACTTGGTGCTCCCCTTGTCAGTGTACTTATTGACTCTGAAAAGACCCTGGCTACGGGCCCGCTCGCGATGCTCCAACTTCAGAGACATAAGGTGAGCCATCCTTGACTCCCCCTCGCGGGACGCCACCACGGCGCACGCCAGAATCAACGAGAAAACAATAGACAGTCTCATTGTACCTGTTACTGAATCTGGAAAGAAGGAGAAAACATAAAGGGATTGTATCCAACGAATCTAGCAAGCCAGGCAAAGTCACCTCCACCACAGGCCTTTTATACTAGGCCCCCCTCCCCTCCTTATCCCAGAAGACGTCGCCAAGATAGCAACATTATCCACTAAGTGATTTACTAAATTGAATAGGAAGGTTACTTTTGGGAAATACCTACCATTAGACTCACTACTAGGTCATGTACTCAGGCATGAGTGTAACGGATGTGGGGGATTGCTAATACCCAGAACCTAATTGATTCCTATCTCCCTGCAACAGTGCGGACGAGATTCTCAGCCAGCGTAAGTGATTCGTTCCTGGTTTTCCTGCACGATGAGAAGCATGAGATATGGCTCTTAGGTTGCAACACTAAAAGGTCCTGAAAGTTGGGGGAATGTGTTGGTTGGACCGAACGGGTCTTTAGCATTATCAACAATGGGATCGGCAATCTTGGCTGCCGGGGATGTAACCCATCGCCATCGGTCACTTTGCTTGCTTGCTTGATATGATAGCCTCGGCGGCATCTCTCAAGGAGTAGTTATTCTGTACCAGTAACATGTGTAACCGCCTCCATCCCAGGATGCGTGTGATACACGGTAGAATTAAGCTTCAGCTTGAAAAATACCGCTGTCTATAAAAATACCCATACGCTCTCTATGAGCACTGCTTTCTTCTTTATCATGCATGCATGTTTCTCCGGCATATATGCGATCGTCAAATTAGCCGTATTTAATGTAAATTAGGGTTCAGTGGTAGTAATGGTGCTACGTTCATTGGATGAATTTCTGGGATGTTGACACAACGCTGTTCGAGACATACTGTCAAGGCCGACGGAAGATGTTCAGATATCCTTTCCATGCATGATTACCCCATTTTGCACTGCAATGGTTAGCGCGGATGGAATAAAGTAGTCTGCTACGAGACAGGGCCTACCTAGTATTGGTTACATTAAAGTTTCTGAACCCTCTGTACCGCTTCTCCTGTTCTTCATCGCTCATGAGAACAGCTGCCTGAATGGCATCTAACATATGAGAGATATTCGCGAGGTGGAAAGAGATGCTACCTCCTTCAAGAAAGAGGCGGCTCCAACAATGCACAGAGAGTGAGAATGCCGTATTAGACTTGACATGCGTCAGAAATGGAATACAATACTGTCAGTTCCGTGAAGGATGAGAACAGTGCATATGGAGCGGAGTTCCGTCGGGAGTGCCTGAGACTGCTATCAGCTCAACGTTGGCAAGAAGAATGACGAATAGGGGGAGGAAAGGTAAGCACAGGATCGTTGATACACCATACTTTCTATGGATTCTCCCCACTGTCATACTTCTTGGTGCTCTTTGACATCCTCCCAACTCGTTACGGCAACGGAGGTTTAATACCACTTCTTACTCAGCTCGCAGTGAAGCTCTAGAAGAGTTTCTCCGTCAATCCCTTGATGTAGTCTAGTCTATCTACACTGAGGATGACATTGACATTATATCTGCCTTGCAATTCTTTGATCCTGCTCATGACGTCGGGATTCTGCAATGCATGAGCTCAGATAAGGTTCATATCATCACTGCCTAATAGCCACATGTCAGTATGAATAATAAGCCATACATATAGAACCAGCAAAGCAAAATATGTCGGCAAAATTTCAGCCTAGCAATGAGACAAATGATCATCTAATTAGTGGTATTTGGGAACCCTCCTGAGTCTTGTTGTGGTGGTTCTCATGTCACATCAAAAGTCTGCAGAAATAAACTCCAACGTCCATGAAAGTGCTCCTGCGAAGAAATAACTTATGTAGAAAGTATATACATATAAAAATCCGGAGTCCAGAAAACTTCCCCCACTTTCTTCCATTATGCAACCCACAGAACACCCAGGCTGTATCCCATGGACCAGTCCCAATAACCCAAAAAGATAATAGTAGTGATAAAATACAACACCGTAATAGAGCCACCGCTGATGCAATTAAATTTGATGTGCTGGTTGAAGCCATGCATGGCATTATAGTAAATTTCTATCCCTTTTAACGGGGCTTGGTGTGCGCATGTTCTTTTGCCGATCCCGAGTTCGGTCGTTCATGAAATTCATTGTTTGAGACTGCTCCAGCAATAACGGTGCTTCCTGCTTCTGGTCGTAGCCAGATGTATTTTCCTGATACCCAAGTCCCGAATTGTGTTGGAAATGCGCCTGCGATGAAGGAAGAGACGGAAGATGCTGGCCCGACGGCTGTCGTGAAAACGTAGGAGCTGGAGGGGCATATTCGTGTTGATTAAGACGGTTCCTAAACGAACGGAAAGACCAGTTGCTGACAATGGTGACGGTCGAGATGGTAGCAAGGAAGAACAACTGTGGAAGCATTAGCCTTGTTACTGGTAAGGGTGACAGAGGGAAATACAATTGCTTTCCAGCTGATGGGATCAATGAAGCTATTGATGATGATCGCCATCGTATGAGCCGACACTTTCGCCCGCCCAACTTTCGCTGGATCTCGGTTCATGCAGCGTTCCCAGTTTTCGCACACTGTCTCCAGCGCTGGTAGTCGATCCCCACCGGCACACCTGTTATCAACGTAGCTCTTGGCACAACTCGCCATCTCAGCCAGTATACCATCAGACACCTCCTCCGCGGCCTGATCGAACTCGGCACGGATTGCCGACACAAATCCAAAAACGACGTAGACAGCGAGCGAAAATAGGGATAGGTTTACCACCAACTGAGCCCACCAAGACAGGATGCTAGGGACATTGGGATGCGCCTCCAACAAGGCAAAAAAATCTGAAAACGAAGACATCCGCGATGTCGACGGGCTCTCTGCTGGGATCTGGCTTTGTTCGTGCTTTGACTGCTTCTTGTTGACTCGCTTCCCCTCGCTACAACTGGGCCGGTCGCTCTCCTCATCATCACTATCCCTTCGCAGCCGCAAATCCAACACTTTGTCCCTCCTTCGCCTCTTCTGTACCCTTCGGGCCAATGCATTAGAATAGAGGTTGGCTCTAGGTATTTCGCCCCGTCCAGGACTTGGTGCGAATCTCCCATACATGTTAAACAACGAATTTCGATGTGCCGATTTCGCGGCCGGCTCGGGAGTGTCCTCATTATCGGCACATTCAGGGGATGATATGTTCTCAGCACCAGAGGAGAAATCAACATCGAACTTGCGTGGTGTCATGAAAGCTGCCTGGTTGAAGACCGACTTGGGAGTTCCGGGTGGCAGTTGGGACTGGGGCTGGTTGAAAAGGTACGGTTGCGAGTTGGGTTCACGCAGTGCGGGTAGTTTCATTTCGGGGGAATTGAACATGTTATGCGGACCTATAGCCAGTATAATAATTAGATTTGGGTGATTCAGTCGCTGGTAACGCGGAGGAGATGCTGCGTACGTTTCTTTTGCTTGTCATGCTGGACGCTGAGTTGGTAGAAGGGTGAAGTGACATCCCCGGGTGCCCGGGTCTGCCACTCAAAGTCCATAGGACTTTCAGCAGACCGTTTATCCATCTTTGCAGATGGAAGAGAATAATAGGAGCGGAAATGATGGCGGGGTGGAAGAGAGCAATGGTGATGGAGCAAGGAGAGAGTCGAAGTGGAATCAATCTATCGGCGGTCGGAGAGACTTTTCTGGCCATTCCCGATTCGTGGTTTGGTAAACAATCAGCCCTATCGCCACTGCTGCAGCAACGCCGTAGATTAGCACTATTCTCTTTGACAGTCAATCGTTAACTTGAACAACAAACTTATCTAGTGAGCTTAAAACTTTGATAATGGTTTCTTCCCTCCTGTGGGTGTCTGAGGCACACGCTGCTGCGAAAGAGCGAGACGAACCCTAGGATGCATAAGCCATAGTGCATCCAGCTCAACAGCAAACAACCGTCAACTATTGCTTATAATGGCTAATCAACATGCTTCGCATTAGCCGATCATGACGTAAACTACAAGAAACTCTACCTATACAGTATTATATTGTTCTACAATTTCTAGAGCTAGAACGAAGTTGATAATAAGTATATCCTGTTGATAATAATAACACAACTTGTACAGATGATATAATGGGTATGAAACAGCCAGTCTAAAAAAGCATGTCATTCTCGGGTCGTGATCAAAAACAATGACGTAGCGTTAGAACATCGCAGAAACCGCAGAAACTCTGTTCAACTCCATCCCAGAAACAGAAACAGACACCAAAGGTGTAATCAGACGGTAGTACGGAGATCATAAGGAATCATAGTCGAACATGATCAACCAACTCGTAATCGTCATCGGCCAAATAGCCTGGGGCAGGCTCATGCTCGTGTGACACCATCTCGTATTCCTTGACGAGTTTCTCTGTCTCCTGCGTCTCGAACCTCTCGACGGCCTTCTTAACGGCATCAGAGAGGATCATTTGTCCGGCTACATCATATGGTTCAACTGCACCGCCCGTATCGCCTTCACGCTCCTCCGTGACATTCGGCGCCGATGTGGGTTCATCGACATCTTCGCCGGCGGAAGAGTCCGATGCGCTGTCGAGTGCCTCCCGGATGTCGTTCCGTAGGGAGATCTTGGCATCAGTGACAAGCTGCTTCGTCTTCGCCTTCCGACTGAGTTGAAGGGAGCGATGAAAGCTGCAGTATAGTCAGTACTGCATATGGTTTTCTCCTTAAGATCGGGATAGAATGGAGACATACTTCATGTAATGAGTAGAGGGTACTGCAGGACGGGTTACCGGGAAGTATTCAGACACCTCGCGATGAGGCAAGGCAGCTCGACCACCGTACGCCCATTTCGCCTTCTGGTTATAGACTCGTTTGGCACCAGTGCCAGGTCCCCGCAGGTCACTGCCAACAATAGATCCAGACATGGTCAAGATGGTTCAAGATAAGTTGCTCCAGATGATGGTGGACTGTGGAGATTGATAAGCTCGGCGGTAGCTCTTGCCTATACCAGCCAGGGTAGCCTGTAGAGGACGTTATAAGAGACGAAGGCTGGAACGTGCTGGAAACCGGTAAATAAGAGTAAAGACAAAGGCAGATCCAGGGGAATCCGACAGATTAGAATGCAAGTTGGTCTTTGTCTGAGTCACCGGGGCCTCGGCCTTGTTCCAGTCATCGGAGCAAAATAGGTCTTCCTATTGTTGCTCCGCACAGTCATCAACAAATACTAGCGCTGAAGAATGGGGGGTTAATCCTTAACAGGGCCTCCAAAAGGGGGAAGAGGAAGGAGAAGAAGAGAGAAAAGAAATCCCTCAGAGAAAAGGAAATGAGAAGGCAAGAGCCCCATACTCGACCTCTCTATATCCGAATAGACTCCGCATGTGCAACAGGCAGCACGGGGTCGGGGCCTCCCAGACGAGGCGATGCTGATTGCGGCAGGTCACGCTGGACGTGTTCCTGCGATAACCACGAGTTGATAGGAGAGAATCCATTGGCTTGTCTCAATTATTGGATGGATCGCTCTCTCACCCCTGGATCCCAAGGTCCTTCTGTTGCCGCCACTACTGACCCATGGATGCTCATTCCCTCACTCAGACCCCAAGGTTGATTCAGAGACTCCTCACCCTGGCAGATAAGAGGCGATCAATCGGATCCACAGGGTCAGACACGTTGTGCCTGATTGGATTGGGAGGTTGATACATCCTGGACGTGGCGGTATTTGTCAGCCAGCCAAAGCCGCCTCTTACGTCTGGTCTTGCGTGGCAATAAGTGCACATTTCTATGGTGGCAATATCCTGAGTCATCTTGTGCCTCCCCGCGATGACGACAAACTGCGTGCTTATCACCTGGCGTGCTTGGTGAACCCCACTCATGCGCCCGATGACTCGATCCTGCTGCACCATATGCTGCGGACAGACCAAGACCAAAATGCATCATGGCATCAGAGTGTCCCTTTTTGGCTTCTCTGATTGAAATGCCCGTGATAAAATGATCAGCCGCATTCCAGCCTACTCGAGGTTAGACAGTGATGCCTTCTCTTATCAGGTTTACCTGAATGAGATGAAAAGGTCACTCTTTTCTGTCACATGTTGATCTCAGTACTCCCTACAGGCATATAGTCATTCCTTGTAGCTAACCCAAGATGGAGTATACTAACCCCTTCCTTTTCTGCTGTGATCTCACCTACTTTATTAGCATGATAATACAATCTCTAGTACTGAACACCTCAAGAATCCCCTATATAGACACTGCAGACCACATTCATTAGCTAGCTAGTAATAGATGCATCAGTTTTGTATACCATCCAGTGTCCAGCACCAGAGCTTCATGCATATCACCCTGCATACCAGTAGCACTCCATGCTCACCCATCGCACAATCACTCATCCATCTGCCACTGGTAATCCAATGCCTCGAGTCTTCCCTTGCGATTCCTGGCTCCAAACCAGTCCTTCTCAAACCCAGTGCTGCGGTCCACCCCATCCCATCGATGACCCGGTCTGATCCCATACCGGTTTGGTTGAAACGCCCCCTGGTATAACGGACGACCCGTGACACTCTTCCCAGGGCCTTTCGTCTTGGTCATGAATTGAGCTGCAGGATCGTTCCACCGCTGCTGCTCCTTGAGCTCCTCGTTCAGAGCATCATCCTCGATCGTGCGCGCCACGGGCATTGCCCGTACCTCTTGTAACTGCTGCTTTCGATTCGCTCGCTCCTGTCTCTGCACATCGCCCATGAGCTCCTCGCGCGCCTGTTCTTCCTTCTCCCGCTTCTCCTCCTCCGCTCGTCGCGCTTCCGCCCGTTTCATCGCCACGTTAATGATCCGTCCGGACGCATCACGGTAGATCGTCTCCTGTGTCTGTCCCTCCTGCGGACTGTCCTTATATTTCGCCGCCTCTATTTTTCGTTGTCGCTCCTGCGCTGCCACCATGGCTGCTGTCTGTTCTGCCGTTTGAAGACCCGCCCGGGCCCCAGACTCCATGCGCGTCCCGTCGTTGTCATCATCGACCTCTTCCTCCGCCACAGCAGGTGCATCTTCATCTGCGTTCCGACGAGCGGCATTCTCAGCCGCTGCAGAGGCCAGGATCGCATCCGCTGCTTCCTTCTCGCTGTCTGCAGATCCCCCGATAACCTTCCAATTGGATTTCTTCGCGCGACGGAATTCCGCGCTTCGGCCAGATGTCACGACCGACGGGCGATCCTCATCATCATTGTCAAATGCAGAGGCTGAGGTGCGAAGATCGGGTGGATCGTCATCGGCGATGATGAGGCCGGCGCCTTCGGAGGGTTTGGTCTTCTTGCGTTTTTTCTTGGGGCGTTCTGACCCGGTATCAGCGGTGAGGTAGTTTTTGGCGAGGTAATCGGCCAGCGAGGAGGGCATCTTGAACAGCGCGTGAAAGAAAATGTTTGTTTTTTTTTTTTCTTGCCGCGGAAGTAAAGGCTGTGGAAGTTGGTCTCACTCTGATTATCTTGATAGCCGGATTTTAGTTGGTCCGGGATTGGCTGATCATGTACCGGAAGTGGAATGGTGCTTATTCTTCAGTGCCATCATCACCAAGATTATGTGCAGAATGACAAAACAAGAGCTGAATAATGAGACTTTCTGTTTACTAAACAATATTACTCTTGTATTAGCAGAACATTCTTGCCCTCAGCAGACATTCTACTAAATTCCGCTGTAAAGTCAGCTGTATTAGTAACTCTTGATGTGATAGAGCACACTAAATTTCTACAAATCATGCTAACAAGCCCTGTTCCTTAGCAGAACCAGACAATATACAGGGTATATCCTACCCAATAAGCATCTCTTACAATTTCTAGGATGCCGTAGCTGCTATGGCTCTATCCGATGCTAAACTTGGATTATTATAAAGCCCGGAATCTGCTCCGCTCCGGACCCACAGCGGGTTGCACGTATCTGATATCAGCTGTCAAAATCCAACTGATCCTGGAGAGCTTTTACTTCAATTATGCCAAGTGTATGTCCTGTAGTTTAATACTAAATATAGGTTTGTATCTCTTGTTACGCCTAACCATACTGAGCGCAAGTGATCTGAATTTTGGTGGCTTCCTAGAATCTAGGCCTTGACTATATACAGGTAAGCACCATGATTCAGAGGAGTCATACTGTTGGTTCCTTTCTGTTCGCTTGCCTGACCACACAATAGGGTGAAAATACAAGTCCTATCTTTTCCCAATCTCTCTCGGTATCACTGCAAGTCTTCTACTTCGCTGTCAATTGCTTCCTGGAGAGATGGCGTCCACAATGAGTGTAACTGTACAGGATCCCGGCACATCGGCCATCGACCTGGTTGCCCATCCAGCAACCCAGGCACCGCCTGCTCGTCCAAAGTCATTTAAAAGTCACCATTCTGCAAATTGCGAACATCGAGTCCTGGGTTCTTCTATCTCTAATGGGTCCTCTGAAGGCCAAGCCGCATCAATAGAAAGAGAGACGTCAGAACATCCCCCAAAAATATCCAAAGCCAAGGGCATCACAGTGATCATCACCTTGGCTGGAGTTAGCTTCCTGAACACCACGGGATCCGGTATTCTCATTGCCGCCCTTCCCCGTATCGCACATGATGTAGGGATCCCCGAAGGCCTGATTCTTTGGCCTGCGGCTGTCTACTCTCTTGCAGCAGGATGTTTACTACTGATCTTCGGTGCGGTTGCCGATGTTATAGGCCCAAAAATGATGTGGGTTATTGGCAGTTTCCTCTATGTGGTTTTTACAGTGGCCATCGGGCTATCCAGAACCAGTCTCCAGCTCATTCTGTTTCGGACATTTCTGGGTATTGCGATCTCGATGTGTCTCCCAACAGCAGTCAGCCTCATAACCAACACCTTTCCAAGAGGTCCATGGCGCAACACTGCTTTTGCAATGAATGGCATGGGACAGCCCCTCGGCTATGCCCTAGGACTGGTCCTTGGTGGCATTTTCACCGACACCATTGGATGGAGATGGGCTTACTTCATGATGGCGATTATCAATTTCTGTCTCTCAGTGGCGTCCATCTGGTCTCTGCCCTCCGTTTACTACCACTCGGAGAAGAGATGGCAGCGTCGATTAATTGAAGACATTGACTGGGTCGGGGCCATCCTAATGAGTGCATCCCTCGGTCTACTGATGTATGTTCTGGCCATGACGAGCTCCTCTTACCGGCATATGCGCGATGTCCAGAATATCGTGTGCCTCACTATATCCGGAATCCTCTTGTTAGCATTTCCATTCTGGATGCGTCGCCAGTCGCAAAAGGAAAAACCGGCCCTTATTCCCAACCGTCTTTGGCGCAATGCTCGATTTACTTCAGTCTGTGTCTCGGTGTTTTTCTGTTGGGCAGCTATGAATGGTATTGAATACTTCACCACGCTCTAGTATGTGCAGCCGAATATTTCCCGCTCTTCTTTTGCCCCGAGTATACTATTAACACGTACTTCTACACAGTTTTCAACAGGTGCAAAAGCTCTCTGCTTTTGACAGCTCCATCCGCTTCCTTCCCCATGTAGTCATGGGAGTCTCCGTAAACATTGCAACTGCTTTCCTCATATCCCGAGTCAGAGTCCGAGCGCTTGCTGTTGTCTCAGCGCTTATTACTGTAATCGCACCAGTTCTTATGGCAACCGTCAAAGTCAACGAGAATTATTGGTTTGCGCCTTTCTGGGCACTGTTTCTCTCTCCGGTCAATGCTGATGGTAATATTCCTTCCTCCTTATCCTTAATTAGTGCTAAGATTGTACTCCAGTTCTCTTCACCGTCTCAAACTTAGTTATATCCGATGCCTTCCCGGCTGAGATCCAGTCGCTAGCTGGAGGCGTCTTCAACGAGGTTTCGCAGTTCGGTAACTCAGTCGGTCTAGCCGTCACAGCAGCCATTGCGGCGTCTGTTACCGAGCATACGGCTAACGTGGACCATGGAGAGGCACTCATGAAGGGGTATCGGGCTGCTTTCTGGACTGTATTCGCGGGTGCAGCTATTGTTGTTTTCATTCTGTTCTTCGGGTTGCGGAACGGTGGGACTGTGGGGAAGAAGCAAGATTGAGACGATTCATTCAGATATAGGAAGGTCGGGAAGATATTACATACAACTAGACAAATAGACATAGATCGGCTATACGGAGGGATAGAGCAAGCAATTGAAGTGTCTAACCATAAGTCTCATGTCAAAATCAGAAGAATGTAACTAATATTTCTTGTGATTTAGATTGAAAAAAAAAAAGCCTTCATCGTATTATTGACTCTAAAGTATTTGGAAAGCAGCTGCGCGAGTAGCAATGAGCTGCTATAGTTCTAATATAAAAGCACTTCACTGCATTCTATAATCTACTTAACTATGACATGTTCAGCATTGTGGCAAACAATCGCCTCCAAAGGCTCTATACATTAAACCATCCTAAGCGCTTTTCCCGTTGACCCAATTGAAGGTTTTCAATGCGACTGTCAATGCAAACAACCGATAATTATCCGCTTTTGTGGCAGTCTTAGTCTGATACTTGCTCTGTTGTGCCATATAGAAGAGTTAGCATACCTATACACAACAGCATGCTCCCAGTACGGTCCACAACTTCATCAATAACTATTATCCAATGTATAAACATAGTTAAATATTTAGTTATGTAAAGCTTAATAATAAACAAGTATGACTATATATTAGCAAAAATACAGATACCAAGATTACAGAAACCAGAACTAAAGACTCAATGTTCCACAATTAAAATAGGCACCTGAACGTCCTTACATCCCTTGCCTGAACCTGCAGCATATTATAATTAGCTATGTTATACGACACACATACCAAGGCCAAGTGAAATTGCATCTCCGCTCGATATACAAACTCATCCATAACCCCCTACATTATAATTCATAGAGATCCACATATCAAAAACAATTCTTCTCCCCCCACCCATCATCATCCCCATCCCCATCAAAATTCGGCCTAATATCCTTACCAAGATTCATCAGTTGCTACGTAACCGTAACAACCCGCCCACCAGCCCTCCGACTTCTTCTCAACTTTTCCGCGCATTCAGTCGGGGAAACTATCCAGAACCTGTGCAATCTCTTCAGGGCTTAGAGTTCGAGAGCCTACAACATTGCCTTTTCCATATACTACTAATATCCATACTTCACGGATGTAGGTAATAAGTGCCTAGTAGTGTATTAGACAGTCCATACAGAAATCTTACAAATATCCTCAGCTCTGATTGGTTCAGTATTCCGTATCCTGTACCCCCCACCTCCGGCATCAAATAATCAACCAATTCATCCATCCCAGATTCCTTCATCCAGAACCTGGGTATCTACCTATCTAACAGTTATGCCCCGTACCGACGAAGCCGAGTTCTGGTTCAACGCGGTCTACTCCGCCGTCCAGGAGATCCCGGCCGGAAAGGTGACATCCTACGGACACATAGCGCGACTACTGGGGGAACGTAAGCTACCACCTATCTACCTATCTGCCTGTCTATCTATCTAGCAGTTTTCCTACTGCCTACTATTTTACTACTTTCCTTCTATATCCAATATCTACTAACTGGAAAAAGCTCGACGGCCTCGCCAAGTCGGAATATGTTTAAAACATCTCCCTTCTGACCCGGGACATTACTATCATTCGGGGAATGTTCCCTGGCAGAGGGTGATCAACTCCAAAGGAATGATTTCGCATAGGTTGGTTTTGAGCGCGTTCTGAATAGTTGTCGGTGGGTGTCTGATAGTTTAGGGAACCTGGGAGTGCGGAACGTCAGGCGGAGGCTCTGCGGCAGGAAGGGGTTGAGGTGGATATGGATAGTATGGGTGATTTCTATGTTGATTTGGCGCGGTATGGATGGTTTCCGGAGGAGTTGCCAAGTGAGGAGGGGTTAAGTGAAAATGGAAGCGAAGTTGGGTGATAAAATGGATGAGATGTAGACATAGTAGAATGTGGTCCACATCTACATTATAGAAGACTACTGTCACATAATGCATGTGCATTCAATCGTATTTACAGATTCTCTAACGAGAACTCTGTCATTGTATCACCATGACACCAACCCAAATCCCATAAACTGCAGTGCCCTCGTAATCATAGTCGCAATAGCTTAACACTTCGTAAGCAGAAGACAATGGAGAAGATAAGAGCATAAATGAGCCGAGAAAAAACGTCAGATGTTCAAGCAAGGGTCTTTCGAATGTCTAAGCGCCAGCCTCAAGATAGACAAGTGTTGATATATGATGAGAATGTGGTAGAAGCAGAATAAGGTATGTCTCTATAGAGGTAATAAAGAACGAGACGGAGAGTGAGTGGCATCAACAATAAAAGAATAGATGGTAAGGTTGCACAAACATAGGGCATGCACATCATGTCAAAGAATTCATAAGCATCCAGGAATCAACCAATAAAAACCAAAATCAAGGATAAGCATAGGGGAAAAATAGGTCTCATTCATATCAACTCGGTGGGTGGTCAATGTCACTCACTTTTTGGATGCATTGTTATCTTGTCAAGCTTCATCTCCTCTTAACCTCCGTCGCCCAGCCTTCAATCCCTTCTCCTCTGCTACCCGGCGGTATAGCTAAATCAACTCCATCCATCCCCAACGCGTCTTTCATCCATTCGTGCGACGACATACCGCCGGCATTGGCTCGTCGTTCAGGGGACACTTCTAGCATAGGCAAAAGGAACTCGCTGATCCGCATGCTCTCCTCGACTGAAAATTGATACTTCTCGCGCAGCACGTCAGGCAATGCCCAGTGACGTAGTCGGTGGATGTTTCGCAGCTCTCCTTTGCGATTGAAAATCTCTTGTGACCACTTTCCTGAAAGACAAAGAGATTTAGGGAACGGCCCCAGGAGCTCAATTATCTGCGCAATATGGTCGTCGTCTTTGCCATACTTCGTGCCCGATTGCGGATCGAAAAGGTAGTCACCCGTAATGAGTTCAAATACCTACAGGGTTGGTTAGAATAAACTGGTTATCATCATGGCACATTTGCTAATCATACCATGCAAGCCATACTCCAAACATCGGTACTAGCCCCCCATTTGGAACCCAAGATTACTTCAGGCGACCGGTATTGCCGCGTTTGGATGTCGTTGGTAAAATGGTGTCCTACCCAGCAGGCATTGCCCAAATCGGCAATTTTCACGGAGATAATGTCGCAGTCCGGCTCGTCATTCGACGTCTTATCCAGCGAGATACCCGACACTTCACGTTCCAGAATATCCCTGTCTACCGGTAAGCAAGGGCGGAAAATGAAGAATTACACACTGGAATTAACATACGTGGTCTTCTCCCTTTGCTTTTGTTTCTCATCCTCGTCTCTGATGCCTAGCAAATCTTTCATCGATGAGCCCTCATTCGAAGAAGGACCTACAGCAGGTGAGCCATCAACCACCGACAGAGATCCTGAATCGCATCGGGAAATACATACCTGGCGACTCGCTCACCATCTGACTGAGACTACTGTGGGAAGGATGAGAGCTGTGCCTGAGATCGAAGCTGGTGTTGAGAGGGCTGGGTAACGGTTGGCTCCCCGTGATCAACGTCCTACGCCGTCTCCGCCCGTTGCGGTTATCTTCCTTGTGATCCTTCTTCGATTCCTCTTTAACGTAGGCCTTCACGATCTGCTCCACATCACCAATCTCGATCAAGACGTTTTCCGGTTTTAGATCCGTATGAATGATTCCACACTCCCGATGAAGATAGTCCAGTCCCAGAAGCACCTGCTTTGTAATCTGTTTGACTAAGGCCATAGGGATACCGCGATGGTTCCAGCGCTTGATTAAGCCGAGAAGGTTCTCGCCCAGGACTTCAAAGACCATACACACATGAACCCCATTAGGACCCTTGTGCTCGAACGAGTCCAACAAACTCACGACATGCTTGCGACCGGGGTGGGAAGGCTTGGCTTGCACGATGCGATTTAACAGCTTGATTTCATCGATGGCAGTTTCGGTGTAGTGGGCGGCCGAGCGCACGACCTTGAGAGCGACGTGTCTGCCGTTGGTTGTATCGCGGGATAACCAGACAGTTGAGAAGTGACCCCAACCTAGCTTGCGCACGACAACATAACGACCATTGTTATACGTTTCGCCAACTGTGACCGGGTGATAACCACCCTTGCAGTAGTCTTCTGAATCCTCCTCCTCAGCGGTCGTCTCGAGTTCTTCGACGGAAGATGTGGAGGGGGATCGCGATGGTGGGACACCGTATGCGGGAACTCTGCCACCCATATCGGTTAGAAGAATGGACAACGGACTGGGCAGTAACGAGGGGAGGGATAAGAAAGGAATCAAAGAGAAGATAAAGGGAGGGGGTTGAGAAATTAGACAAAAAGGATCTGGTCGTACCCCTCAGCTGTGACAGTCTGTTCAACAGTGGGTGAAGCGGCTTCGTTGGTGACGATCGGCTTCAAGTCGGTCCCTTTTCTTCTCTTCTTACCGCCGTTGCCATTGGCAGCAGACGCAGCGACGCTAGCCATTTGCTTCCCTTTATTCAGCACGGCTTTGGTGATATCATCCCCATCCATGGCAAACAGGAAGAGACAAGTTCACAAAGAGAAATTTAACAAAGAAAAAGGGGGGATGTCGAAAAGATAGAAGGAAGGGGCAAAAAAAGTTAGGATGGCGCAAGTAGAGAAAGAGAGGGTCCTGTGTGTGGGCGGAGAAGCGGCGGCGGGTTTTGCGAGGGGTTGTCTGGTCTCTCGTCGCAGCGGCCGTAATTGAGGAGGCTTAGGCTCGAGGGAGATGGATCGGAGACACACGGTCGGACTCTACAACGGAAATTGAAACTCCAAAAGAAATGAGAAGAGAGAGAAAAAGAGAAGGCCTGCTGGTACTTCAGGGTAATGGGAACAGTAGAATGCCCGGGATCAATGCAATAGTGTATGACGCAAACGATAGAACGGGATTGAAACAATATTGACCAACACCTGCGCGAGTCCACTCAGATCTCGCTTGAAGGAATATGCTTCCCCACGGGCGAAAAATATATAGTATATATAAGGGTCAATTAGAAAACCAGATCAAAATGAAAATCATGAAAAAAAAAAAAAAAAAAAAAGTATATGCAGTAAAAAGAGTATCGACGGAGAATGTCTTCAACCGGTCCTGTCTCAATGTAGAACAAGATGGATGAACACTCCCTAGTTAAGGCGAGATGTTGACCTGCACGAACACAACTATCCTGTACCGATGTGGCAAATCATGAATGGATTGGTGGTTGAGATTGTGGTTGGGCGGTTGGTACAGGATGGAGAAAATCGGACACCTAGCAGGAAGAGGTTGGAACATGGACGACCAAACAAGCTCAGCTGGAATGCTGCTACCGTTGCCCATCTAGTTTCCTAGAAAATAATGTTGAAAAATAGATAGAACAAATATTATCTAGGTTGACCAAGGGAATCTATGCAACAGAGCGGCGGGATCTAGGGATCACGATACCAAGGACTATTAATCTCATCATTGTTTTCCATCCATCTCTTAAGGGGCGTGGGATCGGCGCTAAGGTCTCTCCTTTCTACAAGATCCCCCATGCAAAATCCTAATTTCTTACAGTTTGTCTTGATGAATGTACTTCCCCCGTTCTAGACTTCAAAGTGCTCCGCAAGAAGCGATGCGAATCTAGACTAGGTGCAAAACGTGGGTGAGCATGGAGATATCCTGGAAAGTCCGAGTTTCTCCTTCCCTACTACTACCACTCTGGATCCCCTAGCATAATTCCCCATTCGGTCTCATCGAGACCAACATCATCCGAAAGACGTCATGCGAAGATCAGTTCGCTGTGGAGTATCTCCAAACACTACTAAAAGGTGATCATTACTCCGTAGTTCCTTCGACTAACGGTCGTCCACTTTTCTGCAGAAGCTTTGGCTCTTACTCCTTCCATTTTCGACCTGGTAGGACGGTTTTCCCACATTTCCTGTACGATAGAATTCTTTCTTTCTTCCTTCCTTCTCTATGTTTGATGTTTCGTTAGATCGCCACCTTGGATAATATCGATCCGTTTTATCAAGGTGTACAGGATGATCACATATTCCTCACAGCATTAATAGGGTTGAACTTCCATATTTACCCACAACTGGCTGTAACATATATGGCATTACTGGTTCAAGAAACGCCGTAAGACTTTTATTATAGTTTTCTGTGCATACAGTCCCCACTTAGCGCAACTTATCATTCATCCAGATTGTCAACAGACATAGGCAGAAAGAATCAATTCTCAGTACCCGAAAGGACGCTTCCGCGATACGGTGCTTTGAACCGTGTTTCGAACATTCTGGTTAGTAAGTTCACCTAGTGAGGGTGATACATTATTGGGAATTTGCAGATTTTTGTGCTCAACGATAGAGTTGTAATTATCTCCAAGAATCTCTTTCAATGGGGCCGTTTCGGATAACCGCTTCAGCTCAGATTGCGCAGCTTGTGCTCGTTTGATCCACCCTATAAAGTTGGAAACAAGTCTAGCTTTCGTTTTTTCAACTCGGAGTATGTACGGTGAGCGCAGTTTGATTGTGCTTGTGGTGAAATAAGACTTATCGATTTGTTGGTCCAAGTGCTTCCTGCGCTTTTCTGCCATCGGAAAATCCTTGGTCTTCGCATGTAGGTCATTGATAAATGTGCGCAGAGAGTCACAGTCAGCGCAACTACAGTGGATAGTAGTCCTGACTTTCCAGTCTGGTGGTGGTGATGGGGCATTTTTGACGTAGTCAGTCACATATGATGTCAACAAAACCGTTATAAAACGCTGTTCACTGGTGGTAAAGGGACGCTTTGTTGTTCCTATGTGTTTGGAAATGCCATTCGCCACCGGAAATAGGAATTTATGGAAAGTACTCTCTATTTCGCTTCCCTTGACATTTGCCGCATACTCAACAAGGGTGTCCATTACTCCCGTTACGTTCGCGTTGGTGGCATCGGCTAGCTGAATTAACTTGATAACTGTATTTGAAGAAATCCGGGAAGTGGTCTTCGGGTAAGCGCAATAAGAGCTCAAGGCAAACGGTGTTTCAGCGGGACGTAAACTTGTTGTATTCTCAATCTTGAAAGACTGAACAATTATTGGGAGTAGCCTTTCAAGCACTGCACCTACCTCACTCTTATCGAGGTTCCCCGTAAGTGAGTAGTCATGTGCTGCTGTAATAAATGACAGAACGAAAGCAGTATTCGACAAATTGGTCTCCAGGAAGGCCGCGGTTCTAATACAGTTAGAGGTATAAAATTTACGCCGAAGAAGCATGTCTTACCTTGAGAACGACCCCATTACAGGGTAGTTACTCAGTGCTTTTGCCAGATCATGCCCATCTGATTCCGATCCTCTAAGTTCAGTAGAGAGTATATTATTAAAAGTGTTGTCCTGCCACTCTATTACCTCAGCTGACGGCTTCTGGCTCTGTTCCTCGCAAAGCAAATGATATTCTTTGGCTAATTGGGATAATAAATTCATTCGTCGAAAAAACGATTCATTGTTGTAGCTATAATGTCCTTTCCTCGCGAATACTTTGTTCAGGCTGCAAAAGAAAGTCAGTGCATAAACGCTACACGATGACATGGCTTTGACTTACGACGGGCGAATAACGTGAAGGCCAATTTGAAAAATAGTCTTGGCGATTTGAGTGATCTGAGAGGACGAAAATTCACCACCAAGTAACACCATACTCCGGCCAAACAATTCCATGTCAGCGAGTTCAAAAGCAATCTGCATAACCGAGTCGGCGCATTCTGTCGCTACATATAAACGTCCCTCCAAAGTAAGCATTCTGCAGATTTGTAATAGTCTTTGCCTGGCCCCTTTGTCATTTGGTTGTTCTCTTACAACACGACGACTATCTTCCAGAAATTGCTCAGCATTACCCTGGCCATGTTTCAACTTCTCAAGTACAAACAAGAAGTGAAATCTCTTTGGCATGATTAATGCACCCTAGGAAGCCATAGTGAGCAGCGAGGATATAGAGGAGAATAGCAATGTATGGTTATTAGCACAAAAACTTACAGTCTCTCGATAAAAGTGAGTCGCTGAAGCACCCTCATTTCCTGTAAAACCTTCAAAATCTTCGTCATCCGGGTCGCGGTCGAAAACATCCTCTGGAATTAGCATGTTTTCCGGGAAGGATATGTCTTTTCCGACAATATCGCCTTTTGCATTCACCACATGTGACAACTCAAGGGTAGATTCAACTAGGTCTACAATGCTGTGAGGGCCATCGCTATGATAACATCCATGGCCATAGTAGCCACCGTAGTACCCATCCTCATTAACTCCACCCGTCTTCATTTTCTCAATGTTGGCCAGGAAGATATCGAACCCAGTCCTTTCACATGCATTCTGTAGTTCTGCAAAACGAGGCTGATCAACACCTTTTAGTCGAGCAAAATTGAGCTCCGCCTGGGTATACTGATGTTCGAGTATATAGACGAGCGCTGGTGGGCAGGCGCTGTTGAAATCATCATCCCAACCATCTAGATATTGGCCGGGTTCTTCAGCGGCACGGGCCCAAGATTTAAGCAGATGAGTAAGTCTTTCTGTTTTGTTACCGCGAAATTGTAGGAGCGCAGCTGACGGGCGATGGATCAAGTTGTAAACCAGGACAATCCTATATCCGGATGTAACAGGCTTTACCTCATGCGTGACATCAGCATACCAAGCAGCCCATGAAAAACCAAATTCGGAGTTTGGCGCCGTTTCAAACGTGAGACGTTCGTCCTTATGAGAAGCAATCACATCCCCTCCTTCATGTTTCGACGGGAGGGATATAACGAGCGTACCGAACATTCCGTCGACCTTTTCAGAATCTTGATGTGGCAAGAAAAATGCGCCCTCCTCATAGATAAGCAATTTGTAAGCTCTGCCTTGACCTCTAGGGGATTTGCCTGAAGGCCAAGACCAGTGACAGCCTTGTCCACGGACACGCGAACCAGAGTGTGCCATTTGGGATTCTGGAGAGAAAATTGATTGGCGTCAAGTTGCCAACTTTTCCGCACTGATTCATTTACCAAAGTTTCGGTTCCCTTTCCATAGGGGCTCATATGGCAAGACTGAATCATTTCCCTTGCGTCTTCGGCTGATATAGGAAGCCGAATGCTCCCCACATTTGAAATGTGAAGGCCGGGAATGATTGCGGTGTCATGATTACCACTTGTCATAAAAGTTCCTGTTGCCTTAATCTCCTCCAGAGTGGATTGTATGCCTTCTTTGACACTAGTTTCTCCATCTCCTCTGTGAAGATCAGCTACTAAATCCGACGGAGACAGTTTCTGACGCACGCTCTCCTCTCTTGCTAAGGGCGAATAACCGTTCCATTCTTCCACAACGTCTTCCAAGCAATAGGGAACCACTGCTGGGCCAAAATGGCGTTTACCGTGGAAAGCACATCTGCCAGCGCTACTGGCGTTGCCATTACCCGCCATAAACTGGAAAAAGCCCTCCAGTGTAGACTCCCTTGGGTTTATGCGGATCTCCCCCTTCATGATATCCTCGTTACACAGAAGGTAGTCCGGCGCCGCTTTGCGAATTCCACGCCAAACGAATGGTAATACCTGACCATCGTCGTCACACTCTGACATCCTTGGGCCTGGATCAATCAGGAACAACCCCTTTGTATATCCAAGATCAAAAATGCCCCAAATCCGATCATAGTCCCAGAGTAACCAGATCCGGAACCCATATCCTACGTCGGGGAAGTCATCCAACTGAACTTTATAGGTATTCTGAATATTGCGCATATCACTGAGCTCGTCATCGCAGAGGTCGAGGCTTTTGAGCCAAGCATTTTCTTCACGGCTTTTAATCGATCGGTCTATCAAGGCACGGGATGAATCGTTCATCGGAACCCTGTGAACGTCAACTCTTTGTATTTTTTTTTTTTTATTTTTTTTGTTTTCTTTCATCGATGATTTGACAGTCTTTGTCTTCATACCTCTTTGCTCTTGCTTGAGCAGTTTCAGCTTGCGTCATGTTAGTTTGTCTCTTCTTTTCCTCCAACGGATTATTGATCGCGTTTTTTTGAGCTGAAGTTAATAACTTGGCCGTTTCAAGACTTAGTTTATAACAGACATTCGTGTAGAACTTTTGGTCTCATGTGTCAATGGGTTGACAAGGGGTTGACAAGGATTAGAATGTGATGAATCTACTGCGGCTGAGTAGATCAGCCTTTCAGCTAAATAGAAAGTAGGCGCTACTGATATCACTATTAAATGGTAGATAACGGAGAGAACTTACCAATAAATACGGCTATGATTACATATTAATATAATCATAAATCATCAGGAAAACAAACAAATCCCGAGGCGGTAGACGCTTCTATCCTTCTGGCCCTTTCTGCCTCACCGCCTGTCTACTCTTCCTGCATTATGGACTACCGTAGGTCACCACGTGACGACCGTCCCCATCTGGCAACCGATTTCTAGGTACACCGACTTTGAGTCGTCGATTTAACCTGTTTTGATACTTAGACGCTCAGCTTGACCACACTACTGCTGCATTAGGGCTGTATTGTATATAACCAGGTCTTTCCGGCTCCGGTGACCCACGCCATCTCAATTACATCTAGAGGACAGTCTATCTGTTGGAGTGACTTTCACATAGGACATGAAGAATAACAGAACACCAATGTTATTTTCCTGTCAGGTTTCCTCCCTGTGCCCCCATTTCCTTATGTCCTATGATTTTCCATTGAGTGCTTAGGGCTTTTACTACCCCACAGTGTCTCTACATGATCGGGAATTCTTGTATGCACTCAATACATAAATAATTCCGCCAATGCTCTCAGAATTGGGTCTTGCCTGCAAGTTCGGTTTTGGAGTAGATCAGGGGCTATAGATCTTTCAACCCCAACGCAAGGGATGTGTCATATTTCACCCCAACCCGCTGCAATCCATCACTACTCGTCTACGTAAAGCGCTCACTTGTGAGATACGTTACACATTCCAATGAATTAACTACCAATAGCTGTGCATTTCCTCAAATCCCTCTACCCTTGGGACTATCAAAAGCATCGACATGAAGAATTTAGGCTACACCACCGAGGCAACAGCCAGGCCAATGTACAAATAAATAAGGTCTGAATTCCTAAACTATCCGCAAAAGATGAGCTTCCTAAATACACGAGACAATCTGAAAGGCGCTGTATTTGTCACATTGAGTGCTCCATCATGGATACCACGAAATACCGCATGATCGACGATCGCTGAATCATCCGAAACTTCCTCGCTCCCAATATCGATCATATTGGTTGACAAAGGTTTCATGGCATGCACAGGATTCTCCCCCATGGTCGCTGGTATCCTGGGAACCTCTTGCATCTGTGCCTTGAACGCTGTGTCGGACTTGCCGGGCGCTATCGTCGAACATGTACGGAAACAGTCTTGCCAAGCTGGGTGCGAGCCCAGGTTTGACCATTGGGATAAGTATGCCATGGAATCCATTGTCAAGCCACTGGCGGAAGCTGGTGCGGAGCATGTTGGAGCTCCAGACGCAAAAGATGTCGTCGCCACCTTTGGTGATCGAGTCTATCAGAGAGTAGTTGCAGACTGCAACAGCAAGCTCAGGGAAGATGCCCACTTCTGCAGCCATCCTGAGCTTTTGCAGCCATTTCTTGACTGTGCAAAGGCGAAAGCACAGAGTCATGCTTTTAACAATGTTCACCTCTCCTTTCCTGGGCAAAGGAGAACAATTGCAAGAAGGTGACACAGTATCTCAAAAGCTCTACCCTGTGGGATGAGGATTTCCCGCAACATATGAAAGGGTACGTGAAGAGGTGTCGCGAGCTTTGATTGCGCTCTTTTTTGTATGTCAAAAAGTCAGTCCTAACTAACCATGACGGATATAAAACGTAACTAATGATGTAGTAGATATATCCAGAGATCAAAGTTAAACGACGGTTACCGAAGGAGTACTTGGTTTGCCACAACAAGGAATGCAACAGCCAGGGTCTGTGTATATCTCATAGTCGATATTGTGGGCAAGGGTTGATGTGGTGTAAGGAGTGAAGGGATTGTGGTTGAATAGCAAGATAAGGCTAACGAGAAGTGGCAGGATGAAACATTGTACGAAAAGTGTTCACGATAAGGAGGAGGTAATATATAGTCAGCTCCGGACAAAGCTTGTTGTCAAGAAGGGGCTGGGCCACGTTTATGTAAGGGGTGAGATCAACGAGATATTTTCCGATGAATTAGAGATATTAGGTCTTGTTCTACTGCTGGATAGGCGTTCGACCAAAAGGGCCACTAGGCCACAAAAAGCGTAGACACACTAATTGGCCTTTATACAGACCATTTTAGTATCTTTCTGGTTAACAAGATATACAATTTTGACCATCGTCTTTCTCTGAAGAGCACGCAAATATCTTAATTTAAAAAATCCACGAAATAGCCCTACAAGGTGGCAGAAGCAGTGTGAGCTTTAGTTCCCAGAGCGTGACAACTCATAATCTTGACTGACAATTCGCCTGAGAGCCACGCGATGTGCTGTCTTGCTTGGCTGCCGCAACAACTAGCATGACTCGTTCCCTGCGACATCCCTCACAATGCCTCCCTAGTGCCTCCAGGTCAAAATCACGTAGCACAACCCATTATTGGGGTTTCCAGGGACGGCAAGACTATCCCAAAGCCGCTTAAAATAGCCAAGTTCTATCCGGTAACATGGGATCTACGTGCATCATTGTCCTATATGACAGCTCAATGTGACCTATTCGGCAAGAGCTATATGCAGTTTGGTAAGAGGGTTGCTTGCGGGACTTTAGTATTGTTGCCCACATTATTAATTACATCACATTGCATCGGCCTGCAACATCAACTGCACATCATTAATTATAAGAATCTCACTGCTCAAAAGGACTAATATAAGAACGCTACCAATAAATGCCTCGCCTACGGTAAACTATAAGCTAGTATTTTATCATATAACTATAGATATTGCCCCCTTTTGCAAATGGTTGGGTTCGGCTAGCCAATGGTTCAATTCTTTGCAGGACACTGATCAGTTCCGTGCCATGAAATAGTCAATGAGCAACTTGTTTAGAGAGAAGCGGTGTGATAGAAGAGTCTGAGGCGCTCCCAGACTGCGCCAATGCAGTCAAGTGATGGGTCCAATAAACATGTCCATATCTCATCGACCTTTAGTTCTGTGACCTGTGTCATGATACATCCAGCTGCATGAGATTGTAACCGTAGAATGCCAGGACGGGTTTTTGAGGCCAGGCATAAATAGGCACACCAATACGCAAAGAAGTATATATTACCTTCAGCTCCCAAAACTAATTTTCGTGTGTTTCTTGCTGTTTTCACTTCGCTACCATCATCATGGGCTCGGTTGTTGTGGAAGCTCGTGAATATTGTGAAACACACGGCAATGCCTTTGGAATTTCGAAGCCCGACGTCAATGTATCCATATTCTCTGCGCCGATGAGTTCAACGAGAGCCCTCGAGAACGGGGTGACCAGGATAAGCCACACATCCAGTATGATACCTCCAAGCAAGTCCCGATCGCGATCGTTGGCATGGCGGTTCGACTGCCTGGCGGGGTGAGGTCAACCGACAGCTTTTGGGATCTCCTGCTTAGCCAGCGGGATGTGAGCCGTGAAGTCCCCCAGGACCGGTACAATATCGACGCGTTCTATAGTGACTCCCAGTCGCGTGCGGTGAAAGTAAGACGTGGGTTTTTTCTAGACGATGATCTTGCTGAAATCTATTTCTCCGCGAGCAAAGTAGGGCCCATTGAGGCGGGATATCAGGACCCCCAGCAACGCCTTCTGATGGAGGTTGTCTGGGAATGCATGGATAATGCAGGCCAGACTGGTTGGCGCGGGAAGGATATTGAGAGGACTGGCTGAAAATATCATTAAGAGATCCGCTGTCCATGAGCCGGTCTTATGCCTTCAGTGCATCTGACCTCGGCTTGTCCAACTATGTGTCCTATCAGTACGACCTCAGAGGTCCCAGATTAGTCCTGCACCCAATCATGGGCATAATACCTCAATGACTGTATAACTTGTGAGAGCAGTATGACCATCAGGACAGCCTGCTCGGCCTCCATGTCAGCACTTCATGTGGCCTGTCAGTCTGTGGCCTCCAAGGAGTGCTCCTCTGCGATTGTCGCCGGGTCAAGCATTGTGTTGACCCCAACAATGACCAAATGCATGTCAGAAAATCTGGCATTGGCACCTGATGAAGCATGTAAGACCTTTGACAGGGAAGCTGATGGTTTTGCTCGTGGTGAGGCGGTGAACGCCCTCTATATTAAACGGCTGGATGACGCGGTGCGAGACGGAGACCCAATTCGGCCTGTGATCCGCTCGACCATGAACAGCTACGACGGGCAGACGAGTCAAATGGCTATACCCAGTGCAGCAGCTCAGGAGTCCTTGATCCGGAATGCTTACACAAGAGCTGGTCACACCTCAAAGTCTATCGTGGTATCCTGCATTGTTATCGTCCCTTCTAACAGTAAGTGCAACAGGCGGACTTTGTTTATCAAGGAGTGAAAATTTCAGAACAAGGTCTGTGGAGAATCATAGAATAGTAACCAACAGTTGCCAGAACCGATGGAAAAAATGTTGGTTCATTTAGAAAGAGGTCGGTGAAGACCGGGGGCCATCTTCCTTAAATCTTTTTAGCTCAAGAGCCAAAACGTATAACCCACACGGGCAACATGTGAAGTTCAGAAACAGCGAATCGACCCGATTGCGATGAAAACGTGCCTTGAGCTTAGGGCCAAGCTGCTATTCTCGGCCAACACCTAAGGTAAGGCCGGAGCTCCGCCTTCACAGAGAGTCCTACATCGTCCGGCAGATCTGCCGTTAATTTTACGCTAAAATATCCGAGGCAAGAAGATACGCTTCTACTTAATAATCGGCTCATTCGACTCTAGTTAACTATTAGTTAACTAAGTCCGGACTTTGCTGAGTCATCTCGACCAGTGTCGTTAACTCTCATGGGCGAAGATTTTGAGATCTTTATAGAAGCAATATCCCCAGTTATGTATTGCACAATTAGCAGAGGATATTCGTGTATGCTTGGAAATTGGCTCTAGTGGTGGGTTCTTTTTATTTTGTACATAGCCTTGATGTATGTATGCTGATGTGTAGGCATATAAACTCTTATGTATTTACTGTATATCCTTGCCCTATACCGTAATCCGAATATGGACAGATCTATCGTCTGAATGTCACATTCCGATAGAGTCGTAAGTAGTATAAATACCAAGAAATAATATTGTGTTCTTTTTTGTATTTATACCCTACTATTTAATTCACTATTACTATCTTGTCTCTTGGCGAGCCTTGTCCTTTCTGTGGAATGGCAGATTGCTAAACCGCTGGAATGCTCGATAGGATAGACTCAGAAAGAATACCTAAGTAGACTCACGTATACAATCTTACGTATCCCTATTACCTATCCTTCAACCTCCGTGCCGAACTAATTCCACTGCTTCAAAGTTTCCAAATGGACATGAGGGGAAGACCCCACTTGATTGGCGTGACTGCCGCCATGGCACCGCATCCCCACCTCCGCATAATTCGAGATGATCAAATTAGCAGCTAAGAGTAGCCCAGCAAGTTTCTTCTCTTTTCACTTCCTCTGTTTAACCCTTTCTCTCTCTTCCCCTCCCCCCCTCCCTCCCTTCTCACACTCCAACTCTTAACTCCACACCATGACCTCTCCCTACCATCGTCGTCCACTCTCCGACTACTTTCTCTCCTCCCCTCTGACCGCACTCCTCTATCCCCTCCACAATCTTCTCCTTCGACTCCGCGGTACTCCTCACCTCCCTGCACCAGGCGCTCGTCCAATCCGCGTCGTCTGCATCTCCGACACCCACACTCTCGAATATACCGACATTCCAGATGGCGACCTTCTCATCCACGCCGGAGACCTTAGCAATGACGGCAGTGTGCGCGAGATCCAAGCCGCTGTCAACTGGCTTCGCCAACTCCCCCATCCACACAAGGTCGTCATCTGTGGCAACCACGACAGCTACTTCGATGTCCGCTCCCGACTCTCCGAAGACCGAGATCAATCATTCACAGCCGTCTCTTCATCTACAGCCTCCCTGCGCTCCTTAGACGAACTCGATTCAGCCAGCCGCATCGACTGGGGCGACATCCACTACTTGCAACATTCCTCCGTCACGCTCTCTTTCCCTCAGACGTCATCTAGCTCCTCTCGCCCTCGCTCTCTCACTCTCTACGGCGCTCCTCACGTCCCTGCCCTGATGCCCTTCGGCCCCGAACACGCCTTCACCTACCCTCCCTACTACGACGCCTGGTCGGGCACCGTTCCCCCGTCTACCGACATCCTCATCACGCACACCCCGCCTCACGCACATCTCGACCTCTCCCCCGTCTACTCCACCGGATGTCCATTCCTCCTCGCAGAATCCTGGCGTGTGCGACCCACCCTACACGTCTTTGGCCACATCCACGCCGCCTACGGTATGGAGCCCGTGTACTGGGACGAGGCGCAAAAGGCCTGGGAACGACTCTGCGCGACGCGTAAGCGTCGTGCAAGGAGTACTCGGTTGGACTCTCTTCTTGGTTTCCTGCGGGATCTATTTGATATCTCCGGATGGGTAGATACCGCCAGGGTGCTCGGATATGGTGTTATGGGGGTGGTATGGGCGAGGATCTGGGGTGGGGAGCATCTCGGCTGTGGATGGATGGTTAATGCGGCTTGCATGTATCGCGATTCGGGGCGGTTGGCAAATAAACCACAGGTAGTGGTTTTGTAAGCATTGGGGGAAGGGAATGGATTCATTGTCTGTACATAGTATGCGGTCCGACCATTGACGCGATATGGATGTATATATATTTCTTGCCTGTTTGTGCGGGCTGCATTGTTTCTAAGCATGGTTTTGCGGGCGTTTTGGCTAATTCAACATTAGGTGCCCCAATAACCAGGGAGCATGGACTTAGATGTTTTTTTTTGTTTAAAAAAAAAAAAAAAAGAATTGTTGTAAATCTATCTCCTGTAAATTTATAATTAAAGTACAATGTTTGTAATATAATCTAATCGCCAAAAAAGGGGTATATGCGATCTAATAAGATCATGTACCTAGTCGTTATGTGCTAGACACATCGAAATCAATTAGAGGATCTGTTTTGTGGGGAACAAGAACAAGGAGCCACACAAGTTACAGCTTAGACTTCTCATTGAACCGAGGTGCCTGAAGAGGATCATAAACACGAAGGCTCAGTGTATCCGATGGTACGGGGGCACTATGACCACCCACCAGGCCGCGCACATCGAGCATACTGGTGTTCAAATCTTTAATCGTGCTGGCTCCAATAAGTCGCATGTTCATCTCCATTTCATCCTTAAGAAGCTGAAGTGCCCTGTTGACACCGGGCTGACCATACGCCGACATGGCGTACAGGAAAGGTCGTCCGATACCAACGCCCTTTGCACCCAGACACAGCGCCTTCAGAATATCAGTGGCACGACGGACACCACCGTCCACGAAAATCTCAATCTTGCTTTCCCAGCCGCGTTCCCGGAGGACCGGCATGACTTCCGCGAGGATCTCAATGGCAGACCGCGAGAAGTCCAGTTGACGACCTCCGTGGTTGGAGAGGACCACACCCTGTACGCCCATTTCGATAGCACGGAGGACGTCCTCTACGCGCTGGACGCCTTTTAAGATTATGGGCATATTCGTGATGGACTGGAACCATGGGATGTCTTTCCAGGAGAGCGAGGGGTCAATGAATGACGAGATGGCACGTGCTGCTCCCTGGGAGCGGTCAATTTTTTCGCCTCCAGTGGCTTGGACGTTAGACCCGACATCGGAAAACTTCGACCGCATGTCCTTCTCCCGACGACCGAGCTGAGGTGCGTCCACGGTGATGAAGAGACCTTTGCAGCCACGGGCTTCTGCGTGTTCGACAATGCCTTTGGTGATATTGCGGTCCTTATTGACGTAGAGTTGCAACCATTGCACCTGGTCGCCCCGCCTGGCATCGACGATCTCGTCGAAAGAGCAAGACGCCAAGGTCGGAATCATCTGAACAACATTGTGATCGCGCGCGGCCCGAGTTAGCACCACCTCGCCCTCCGGGTCGCCTAATTTCCCTAGTGCAGTCGCAGTTATGTAGATGGGTATCGACACGTTCGACCCGAGCATTGTAGTGGAGAAATCGACATTCTCGACGTCGATGAGGATGCGAGGACGGAACCAGATCTTGTGAAAAGCGGAGTGGTTTTCACGCATAGTCTAGATAGAGTCCCAAGTTAGTGATACTTCGATAACAAGTAATAATACCCATGAAAGACCACTTACAATCTCATCATCTGCACCACTGGAATAGTACGCCCAGGCTTTCTTCTTCATAACGCTGCGTGCGACCGTCTCAAAGTCCAGGAGATTGTAGCAAGCTTCCAGCGGAGGCATGCGCTTGACTCGCTCTTGACGTTCTATCTCTTCGGGATCGACGGCCTTCTCCTCTTGTTTGACGGTTGCCATGTCGACTTCACCCAAATGTTTGGAGGAGTCCAAGTACTTGTCCAGTGTATCTGGGGGGTGAATCGGGTCAAACTCCTCTGTCGCATCTTTGCCAGCGTACTTCAGTATGATCTTTTGGCCGCCGGGATGCTCTGCAACAGTCGTTAATACGGTTTATATAGAATGGAGCTCGTATTATAAGTATATACCTGGTAAGAATTCGGTCACGTCGTAGGCTTTTCCGTGGACAACAACCCAGCAAGACTCACGAGAGTTGTGCTGGGCGACCTCAGCGCCGGTAAGATTTCCTTTACTCATGGCTGATAGTACGGAGGTGAAAGGAAAGGAAGAGGAAATCAGAGACGCAAGGGAGAGAGGGGGGGCAGTGAAGGGAAAATAGAATCCTTGTCACAAGAATCCCCCTCGGTAGAAAGGGCTTTAACCACTACTTTTATTTCCAAGATCCAGAAGCCCACCGACTAGAGCTGACCTCGGGATAATTAGGAGCGAGCGAATGGGAGATGGGTGGGCGAAATTGGGTGGCACTCGTTGGCTGAGGATGATGAGGGCCTGGGGAATTGCGGGGGATTCGGGCGATGTTGGCTATCTCGGCCGACTGGCTTGGTGATCATCTTTCCTGTGTCGACTTAAGTGCCAAGGCAAGCGCTCCCTCCGATATTCGGATGTCCAGGAGATTGACAATCTCAGTTTACTCTATAATATGGACTTTTAGATACGAAGCCGACTATTCTTACGTGCACTTATACCCGTTTAGGAACGTGAGAATGCAAACCTAACGTTGTAAAATAGTGATACTACTTGTCAAAATACTTGACCTCTTGTTTTGCTTGCAGTACGGAGTACTCCTGTGATATCATTTCATCTAATTAGGACTTTGATGATACCTTCATTCAATGTGAAATTGCAATCAAGGGGGTCAGATATTCTGATAGGCTGGTCTGGACCCAATTTTAGGCGAAAATATATCTAATAATCTTAAATCCTTCAACCCCAAGTCAGGCAATGAGCTTATACATTGTTTTCTTCCTCCTCTATGGGGTATTCCCCCTGATTCTATTCTTTCCTCATCTAAAAGCAATACTGATCTAGATTGACAAAAAGAAAAATATAAACCTGCATGCAGCTATTTAAATAAATGAATGCATTGGAATGCAGTAATCGAGGTGACGGTTAGCAGGGCGCCGGAAACGGCCCTCACTGAACCCTCTGTCTGTGTCACAGGCTGAACCTGTAACATACTATATAGGGCGCTAGATGCGACTGATCTTCGATCAGTCGTCTTGTACCTTTTTATATGGTCAAGTGGTTTTATCTCTACTAGCGCAGAGACAACCAAACCATCACAGTCTGCAGCCCGCCACGGCCTGCCGCTGATAGGTATTGCCAATATAAATGACCGCTAGGAGTCATATCCGTGTATTATTCAACTACTTCAGCTCATCTGATCGGACCAATATCGGCCCGTTTTACCCATATTCTCGATGTCATATAATTATAGCATATTTGGCATAGTTAGAAGAGCAGACCTTTTCAATACGTTCAATTTCAGTCAATATCGGAAATCGCAATTACTGCTTAGTAATACTTATATTAGTCCTACTACCCCTTTCAGTATAGTCTCCACCTCTTCGGGGATAGAGCCTACTCACTGTGTTATAGAATCACTACGTAGCCTATTTCGGCAGCCCTGTCACATCGTTAAATGAAGGTGAGAACAATAGAGTAACAATGCAAAGTGCGTTGCGTAATGATACACTTTCTATACTGGCTTTGCAGTGAGGTTCAAAAATATTTGAACCTCCTTGATCTGCGTTCATACTCCGCCTACCTAAACAGTTATATTCTGCCGGCCAAGCTCTCTAATTAAGAAGCTTTAAAGTGATAAACATGATAGGCGCCGTAGGTAGGTGGGGCGGGCGGTCAGGTAAAGGGGGTTCAAACATTTTATGTCCCAATGTACCTCTAGCAAAAATATATATCTTCCCCATAAATATATTTTTGCGACATAGTACGACATACATAAAATTTTATTAAAAAAATAGAGATATAGTACTAATAAGGCTATCAAATTAATATATATTTTTTCCAAAAAAATTATAAAAGGATGGCTGAGGAAAGTCAAAATTTCACTTTAAGCAAACACCCGGTATACGCAAATTTTGAGCTATTCTGCTTTCTTTGCTTATATCCCTAGGCTATTACTGTGGTCTCCCAGCCTAGTGCCTGTTTTGAGATCTCCTGATCATCATACTTGTTGTTCCATCTGCGCTATTTCTGGCTGTTATGAAGCATCTAGAACACAGTCTCGGTCAATGATTGGGCCACTATTTAGGCTACTATCTCTGAGACCCCCTTGATTCTGATATTTTAAGGTACTCGTGATCAGGATGGCCCGGGACCTCCGTCCGGCATGATAGTCCCGAATCTCCTGGACTATCGGTGCCGCCGTGCCGACTGTTGTTCTCTGTATATTTAACTCGTCGACCACCCAGTCTCTGTCCAGCCAGTCTCTGACAGTCAGTCTGACTGCGTACAACACTGTCTGCAAGCCACACTTTGTCGGCCTATCAACCAGTCATACCTGGCAATCAACACTCGCACCTAGTCGATGTCGATGACTAACACTCATTGTCTATTCGTCAATTTTTGTTCCACATTTGGCGAGAAAACCGCTTGGTGTGGCCACACAATTTTTTTTTTCTTATTCTCCAAATGCCTTGTTCCGAAACAAACCGCACCTTGACAGTTAGCTGATCAGATTACTTATACAAAAGTATTGATTCAGGCACCTAAAAACCCATTGGCTCTTGGCGAGCCATATTGGTGGAATTTCTGTGGTATTTCTGTGTTGACTGAAACACTTTGCTGGAGCCTTGTCTCCAGAGCCAAGACACTTACCCGACTCGGCATACTACATAAGCGGCATCTGTCCGAGCCGACCGCAAACAATCGGTTTCACATTTTCACGACCATCGGGCCGTATCTGGCAGATCCTCGAGTCAGGATGTACACACCAATGCTTGCCAGGCCGAACGCAACTTCTGGGTCCATTCCAATGGCGTAGAATGAAATCCATGCAACAATGCTTACGCTGATGTACAGGAAGTGGAAAAGTCCCATATCGTCAAGCTCACCTGAAGAAATTGAGGCAGACAGCTGGACTATTACTATGAGGAACGATGACCATTCTACGAGGTTTATGGCTTCTTATGGCGAAGTAGACAGTTATGACGATACCCTTTATCGCAGGACTAATAGGATATGCGACTTTCGACATCATCTTGGACGGATTAACGGAAAACTCTAGATAACAATAACTAATAATTCACGTTGACAGGTATAATATCGAACAGGCACCATCTGACATTGCTGGTGGAAGTTTTTATTTTGTTTTGTTCAGCAGTCCGAGACATCAGGCAATTATCATTGCCTTAGTGCTTCCTGAATCGTTTGTCTCTCCTAGCGGATGTCGCGGATCTGATTTCTCTTGGAAGTCCAGATAGATGTGTTCGTGTTCCGTTGGCATCCGCAGAGTTCCGGAAACCACGCTACCTCTGATATGGGGAAGATCAAGAGGTTAGTAGTAATTGGATGACAATGGGACCTATAAAATTGCCAGGGCTACTTGAGGGGCAATGAAAACGTTTTACGGCCGCGCTTTACTGCCACACTCGTCAGCGGATCCGGTGAGGTAGGGTTAATGCGATGATGTTCATTGGCAATCCCGGATGACGATTGTCGGTTGGAGTGTATAGTTTTAGGCTTGGCGATCCACTGGGATCTTCGTCGAAGGCTCGAAGAAGACTTGTTCTCCACTTCCATCGCCCCACCCCCCTCCTTCGCCGAGAGTCTTGTCGGACTCTTGTTCTCATCAAGACACCTAATCCTGAGCTTGGAGGAGCATTCCTGTTCCCTGACGTACTTGGCACTTGGCGTTTTGAGACGTTGACACAGTTTTGACAACCTGTCGGTGTCGGAGGTGTTAGAGTACGGGTGAAACGTGTCGAGATGTCTGATCGGAACATACGTGAGTTGGTCGACTTAATTGACTACCTTTGTCTGTGTAGGCACAGGAAGCACATGGTAGGTGATCACTGCTAGGCGAGGTCCTGCCAACTACGAAGTACAATGCGCGCGGCTGATCAAGGCATGCATGAAACTGACGTCCGATGAGTGTCGCTAATAAAATTTCATTCCTACTTAATGGCGACCGGGGTGTTTTAGATGGGTCCGTGGAGCTCGATGGAGGAACTATGTCGTGGTGGTTGCATACAAAATGATGGTTGCCTGAGACGTTGGACGTGGAGAAAAAGAGCCGAGGGACCAGAATCGAAAAGTTCTGACAGTGCAAGGGGTAAGCGAATTATATTAACAGTTGTTGTGATTATATAATAGTAATCTCCATAATTGAACTAAATGGCAAAGGGAGAGCGAAAATTGGAGAATCTGAATCAACACCGAGTCAGAGCAGATGAAATGGTGGAGGACACCCATGTATCCAGAAACTCTGGTGTCGAATCACCGATCGATGTCGGGCACCATTCCACACCCTTGCATCCTCTCTACCAACTGAATTTTGTGGTTACAGGCAAATTTTTCGGAGAGTGAGATCTTATTGGTATGAGGCCTGGGAGGCGCTAGGCTCGGTCGGGACATCCACGGAAACGGCTTCCCGAAGAACACTTGCACCCATCGGGATAGGAGAAAAATTGCACCACAAGCCGTCGCACGGAGAACGGAGTGGATATACCCCACGTATGGAAGGGGGAAAGCGGATGTACTCCGTAGTATGGTGGAAAGAAGAACGTACCAGGGAATGGACAAAAGGGACACCACAAACACTCTTCCCCATGGGATCAGAGGGGTTCATCGCTTGACCTTCCCTAACGGTATCATAGCCAGAAAGGACAGGTCAGCCCAGCACATCGATTAGCTAGTCAAGATTCTAAGGCATGCTCCATCGAACACCCGCATGCACGCCGTACGTGTATGTAGGTACCTATTTCTCTATGCGTCGATACGTAGAATAAGACATGTGGATAAGAGATGTGGATAAGTGTAGTGGTGGGCCGATTGGATCTCGGTGGAGGCAGCACCAGTCAGGTGTGGTGAATTTTGAGAGGATGAGGGAATTGTTCGCCAGTGATGTGGCGTGGGCCGGACCATCCGGTGAATAATCTTATTTTTTTTTTTTTTTTTTTAATTTTTAATTTATTATCATTTTTGGAGCCTTCGGCTTTTCATAAAAATTCTTTCCCCTTTTCTCCATCTTTTTTCCTTCGGCTCCATAACAAGGCACAAGTGATGTCATTGCTTATTGAATCTCCAGCGTATCCACCTGTGGGCCCTCGAACCGCCCCAAAGTAATGCTTAAACCAGCATTATTGATGCATTCAGTCCCCTGCTCCACAAAACAAACAATGGTACAATTAACTATGAGTGTTGGTACGAATGGAGGAGTGTAACTTTGGGGGATAAGGGATTGTCGGCTAGCACGCATGGTTGCCACAACCGCCTGTATGGAGAAGTAGAAATGACCCCCTTCCCCCCCCCCGTCTTCTCCGCGTTTTTTCGTTCCATCTTTTTTTTTTTTTTTTTCAACACTCCTTTCTTTTCAATCTCTTATCTCACGCCAATTTGAAGGAACTACCGGGGACTCCTAGTCATTACTGCCTGGTGCATTGATCTTTCTGGAGGCTTGTCTCGGGCACTCACACCTCTTCCCGATCAACTCCTTCAATCCTTATCCAACATGGCGCCTTCATACGCTGGCATGTCGGGCCGGCCGCTGTCTCTGGCCGTGTCTACCATTGCCACAATGGGTTTCTTACTTTTTGGATATGACCGTAAGTACTGGACCATGTTGAACAGATGACGCTTCGAATAATCTAACCTCGGCCTCAAGAGGGTGTCATGTCCGGTATTATCAGCGACAAGGCCTTTAACGATGTGTTCACTGCAACCAGGAATGATTCAGTCATGCAGGCCCTTGTAACAGCCGTCTACGAACTTGGTTCGTTCCCATATTCTATTTCAATCAATATCATAGACGACCCGCGCTGACCACCGTTCCAACAGGATGTTTGGCGGGTGCCGTCTTTGCCCTGGTTTTTGGTGACAGAACTGGTCGTCGTTGGATGATTTTCTCCGGAGCCGCTATTATGATTGTTGGAGTTATCATTCAGGTGACATCCTTCACTGGCCACATTCCTCTGCTCCAGTTCTTTATTGGTAGAGTGATCACTGGTATTGGCAACGGAATGAATACTTCTACTATCCCGACCTACCAGGCTGAATGCTCCAAGACCAGCAATCGTGGCTTGCTGATCTGTATTGAAGGTGGCGTGATTGCTATTGGTACTGCAATTGCCTACTGGATTGACTTTGGGGCTCACTACGGCCCTGCTGACCTCGTGTGGAGATTCCCCATTGCTTTCCAGATTATCTTTGGTATTATTATTATGGTGGGAATGTTCTACCTGCCCGATTCTCCCCGTTACCTGATCTCCAAGGACCGCATCCAGGAGGGTGAATACGTGCTTGCTGCGCTTGGTGGTTGGGAAGTTCATGACCCGGAGACCCAGATGCAGAGGAACCTGGTTATGGAATCAATCAGAGCGTAAGTTCTCAGAATAACTTCTTGGTTTCTCCCCAGTGTATAACTAACACGATACTTAGTTCCGGTGCTGGTCAGAAGACCCGCTTCAGTGATTTGCTCACTGGTGGCCGCACGCAACACTTCCGTCGTATGGTTGTCGGTTCCTCTTCCCAGATCTTCCAACAGCTTGGGGGTTGCAATGCTGTTATCTACTATCTCCCTGTGCTCCTTAAGGATCTTGGTCAGGACGATGATATGGCTCTATTAATTGGTGGTGTGAATATGATTGTTTATGCTATCTTCGCCACTTTCTCCTGGTTCTTTATCGAGAAAGTTGGTCGCCGCAACCTCTTCCTTGGTGGTACATTTGTGCAGACAATCTCCATGGTTATTACATTCGCCTGTTTAATCCCTGGTGATAACCAGACTGCCAAAGGTGCTGTGTTTGGTCTCTTCTTATATATGGCTGCTTTCGGTGCTGCTATGTTGCCTCTGCCGTGGCTGTATCCAGCTGAGCTGTCTCCTATCAAGACCCGTGCTAAGGCCAACGCTGTTTCGACCTGCAGTAATTGGCTATTTAACTTCGCCGTTGTTATGTGGACTCCCCCCATGATTTCTTCTATTAAATGGGGTACCTATCTCTTCTTCGCTTGCTTGAACGCTATCTTCCTCCCCATCGTCTACTTCTTCTACCCTGAGACAGCCAACCGAAGCTTGGAAGAGATAGATATTATTTTCGCCAAGGGTTACACCGAAAACATCAGCTATGTTACCGCCGCCAAACAGCTGCCCAAGCTCTCTGATGAGGAAATCGAGGCTAAGGCTATCGAATATGGCTTCGGTGGTACTAGCGAGGATTCCGAGAAGGCCGTTGCTGAATACTCTCCTTCGGTGTAAGCCGGTTCATCGCGAAGGAGATTAATGCTGGGGCAGATGGTTGAAAGAAAACTTCGAAAATTCACATGTTGATCCCACTGATACCCTGCGGTTATTATGTATCGCATTTCCTCGTGCGTCATATTTTGTCTAGATTGTTAGTCTTTTTTTAGTCATATATGCCGATGGACTTGACATTGCGTGAGTTTGACACCGCTGTCATCGGTCAATTGTGTGTATCTGGTGATCGCGAGATTCCCCTGATGTTTTGATTTTGATTTTCTTTTCGCGACTAACCCTTGAGTCTAATCCGTGGAACGGATATTTGCGGTTGCATTTTTTCGCGGGACATGAACTGTGTATATTTATTATGACTGTTGAAGGATAACAGTCGATAACAATAGACCATTACTAGACGTGATGAAACTAGACATGAATGTTTTCTACATTCCTATTTCCACTATATATATTCATTGTCCTGTGTGACAGCTTCGGACGTATTAACCTGTTGCACCATTGCAGTAGGGGATGATGTCACTATGGTGTCCGAAGACGTTGGGATCCAGTTTGCTGAATCCATGGATGCATATGTAGATTATTTTATAGTAGAATATAAACATGGCACTAGTCAACATCAATATAGCTCATTCGAGTAAACAAGTGCCTCGTATTTATGAGCCTTTATTTTCTGACCACTAAGCCACCACCAAGCCAAGAATGCAAGGGTGTGTCATTCCCTGCTTACAACTCTAAATGTGACTCGATTTTTTTTTTCTTACTCTCAGCTCCTTGACTCTTCAATCATTCCCCATCTCTTATGCTCTCACGCTTTTGACAAGAAGCCGAGTGAATGTGACAAAAAGGTCCATTAACAGGTCATCACGACAAAGGACAGCAGCACCTGATCTCGTTCCGCAGTGATCGGCTGATCCGACTCCGCCCCATCCTGCTGCCTTGATAGGTGATTGATCGAGCCTAGTAGTGGTGGTGGTTGTTGACTGACCTCAATCGAGCCTCCTTCCGCCGTCACGGCCCTTCAAACAAATCGCGCTCCGCCGTCTCATGGGGCTCTCGAGAAAACGAATTCCTTTGTTTTCTCGGTTCTCTTCTTTCTTCCCCACTACCATTCATTATTTTTAACTAGATGACTTTGATTTAATCGCCCCTGCTTGCATTTATTTTTGATCAGCGATTTAAGTCATTGCTGGATCATGCAAATCCAGCTCTCCTCGGGCCCCGCCATCGCGTCTACCCCGCCATGAGTTCCTCTCTCGAGGCTAAGATCGTTGTTCTGGGTGCGCAAGGTATGTTCTCATGTTCTTTTTCCCTTGTCGCAGAGTTGCAGAGCTTAGGCGATCGTACCTGTTGCTAATTTATTCAGGTGTTGGCAAGACATCCCTGGTTCAACGCTATGTAAAGAACGCCTTCAACCCTTCAGGCACCGCATCTACTGTCGGCGCCTCGTTTGTCACCAAACGCGTCCTCGACAGCGCGTCCGATACCATCGTCCGTCTTCAAATATGGGACACTGCAGGTCAGGAACGATTTCGCAGTATTTCCCGACTTTACTACCGCGGCGCGAACGCCTGTTTACTCTGCTACGATATCACGGATGAGCAAAGTTTCCAGGAAATGACAGGATGGCTCCTAGAGTTGAAGAATAACTTGACTGAGGACGACCCAATTGTTATCCACGTTGTTGGGACAAAGTCAGATATCGTTGCGCTAGATCCGTCGTGTCGTCGCGTCCCCTTTGAACGTACAATCGCCTACGTCGCAGAACAGCTTTATCCTTCCCAGGCATCAACCCCTCCTCCAACTGCTGGTGTGGGACATTCCTCCAGCACCACTCTCCAGGGCCCGGATAGCAAGCGCAGCAGTGGGTTTTGGGGACAAGACATTGGATGGGACTGCTGCCACGAGATCAGCGCCAAGGATGGTGAGGGTATCGAGGAGGTTTTCCGTGTCATCACGCGAAAACTAGTGGAAGAGCGCAACAAGAAGGAGGCTAGCGTCGTTCTGTCGCAGGGGTCTGGTTCCGGAATCGACGGCGTCCCTTCACCTGTAGTGAGAAATATCGAAGGCAATGGCAGTTTTCGCTTGGGACATGGTGACAAGCGCAGGAGTTGGCTGGGCTTCCCGCCAAGTAGTGTTGATGACGACGGTATTGAGGCCGTGGAGATCGGCAAGAAGAAGGGAGGACGATGCTGTTGATGAATATCTTTGGTTCGTATCTATCTACATATCTTTTTCCTTTCTTTCCCTTTCCTTTTCCCCCCCTTTTTTTCCACTGTTCTTTTTGTGTTGATTGCATGAAAGCACTGGATTGGCGCTTTTTTTTTTTTTTTTTTTTTTTTTTTTTTTTGGTGAATCCACTTAAATTGTACGTTTACTTTTTTCTAGTTTCTTTCTATACTGTTTTCACTTGGGTTTGCTCATGATTTGCATTGTCTTGTATTCATAATTTCTGGGGGCAAGCGTTCCATTTTGACAAGGATGGACGAAGATGAACAAGGTGCAGGCACCTTGAATAGGTTTAAGCTTATGATGGGGTGTTCATATATTACTAGTTTAGATAGATAGGAATATCATATATGTTCACTACAGTTATATCATTTACATTGACACTGTGTATAGAGATACACACACCTATTTCAAAAGGCCTGCGAAACCTCGCACCTTGTCAAACCCCGCATTTCCTATCAGACCAATGGAGGCACATGTCGATCAGCTATTTGATAGTGTATCGGAGGAAATTCAATGGAATGTGGCAATTGCGTAACCCCTCGTACAGTGTGACAGTTACTGCACGCCTAGCAGATCATGATGATATAATCCGCATCCATTGATTGGCCATGAAGCAATAGTTCCCGACTCTGCTGCAAGGTTGTTGATAACTATTTGGATGAACTGGAAACTCTGAACGGATGAATGCCGATCTCCGGATTGTAGGTGTACACTGTTCACGCTCACTGCAGAGTGAACCGGCCTTCCCGACTGGGTAGCACCAAGAGATCAGCATTGATCGTATGATAGGTAGATGGGTGCATCAACGGTGTTACTGTACAAGTCCATGGTGATCTTCCGAAAGTTACCGAAAGATTGATATAAACGTCTCGAAGTCGGGTAGGTATACGATTGTTTGCTTCCTGGTTAGATGTGTTGTCACTTTCCCCTGGTGCTATCGGGCATGATATTTATACAGGAGATCAAATGCCCTTCGAGTTCAGAGAACTAGCTAGCTGCATGGTTGATAACATCCCAAAACGACCAGGTACTAGGGACGGATCTGGCGTGTCTGACAGGGCACTGAGCCAGTAGGATAGGGTTGATGTGTGGAGCGTTTGAGATAGACTTTATGAATGTGGATCGTAACTCTGTTAGAAACGGGATCATCACGGTAATCTTCCACTGACAGGTTGGAAAGTTTTACTGGTAGATGCAGGGCATGACACCGGAGCGCCGTCGGGCTGGGCAGATGGGATGACTAAGACCTGTTTGCCACGTCCTGGATGGAAATGGTCTTGGTAGGGGCACGGAGTCGGAAATACAAATGGGTTCCATGGAAGAACTAAATGAGCATGGAAGTAATTACATACAATTAGAACGAATGGACTCTGGGAAGGCGACGGTAAGACCCTCACCCTGCTCCACTCGGGAGATTTGATGATAGAAGTTTCTTTGTTAACTCTTCTTACCTAATAATACTAAGGTAATTAATTTCAACCATACCTTCGCACACTGTGCTGTCGCCCCTGCAGATCTTCTTTGCTATCCCACCAATCCGCGTCCAGAGTATCCTCAAATGATATGGTCTTTGCCCGGTACATGCCACATCGTGTACATTTCTTTGGTTCGTGATCTTGCTGGTCTCTTGTCTCATTTTGTCCCTTCGCTCGCTTATTTCTTGTCTTTGATTTTTCCTTCCCTCTCCTTTTAGTGGCCTAGCACCTGGTAGTAGGGATCTATAATAAGGTCTTAATTACCGCTAGAAATCCCTGCGTATTATTATCCAAGCAAGGTTATTTTTCCCGTTTAATATTCTTGTTTCTCCGTTCATGTAGGCAAAACAAAAAAAAAAAAAAGAAAAAAAAAAGAGGGAAAAAAAGGTATCCTATCCACTCTTCCACCAGTTTCTTCCTACCCCATCACCTACGTTTCCCAGCTTCTTACCATCCTTCTCTCCTTTTCTCTCTCCCTACGTTCTCCCAAATCGGTTCAGCGCATCAAATGTTATGAGATGAGACTATCTTACCGTGTTGGTCTGGCCGCACTCTTTATCTTCGCCATCTTCCTGATTAAGCGACACCTCGACTTCCTTCAGGATGATACGCGGGCCCAGTCTTTTTGGCCGCTCAATATAAATGGGAATCCCGGGACTCACGAGACACCAAATGGACGGGCCTCACAAGGGAAGGAACCCCTCATCGTCACCCAACCGACTTACGAAACGACCCCGATTATCGTGCCCAATGATCGAGTGATTGTAATGGCCAAACTGGCAGCGGAGGATACATCGTGGGTCAGCATTGAACTCGCAGAGTACGTTGCGTAGTCCAGCTTGAGAGACGTATCCGACTAACTCGTGTAGATGGCGTAACTTCATTTATACCGTCGACGATCCGAACGCACCCCGCCATACCCCCGTGAACAAGGGTCGCGAAAGTCTCGCATACCTTCAATATATCGTTGACCATTACCACGACCTCCCCGCAACACTGATCTTCCTTCACAGCCACAAGGACGGCTTCCCTGGGGCCTGGCACACGGATTCGACGGATTATAGTAACGTGCAGGCGATGCGTACCCTTAAGATCGACTACGTACAACAAAACGGCTACGTCAATCTTCGGTGCCAGGAAGACCCGGGTTGTCCCAGTGAGATCAGACCGAGCTTGGAAAATAGCCCTACCGGAAAACCAGCCGATAAGATTTATGCGCAGGCGTGGAGGGAACTTTTCAACAACACCGATGTGCCCAACGAGGTTGGTGTGCCGTGTTGCTCTCAATTCGCTGTTTCGCGGGACCAAGTCTTGAAGCGTCCTCTTAGTGACTATGAGTGGTTCTACTCTTGGGTGCTGAACAACAATTTGAAGGACGACGAAACGGCGCATGTGATGGAGTATACATGGCATATCATTTTCGGAAAAGATCCAGTCTAGTGAGTTTACACTCCTCAATCCCAAGGTTATCATTGCTGACGTATTGTTCCTTTCACAGTTGTCCCGACACTTTCGAGTGTTACCGGGAAGTTTTTGGAAATCCGTTTTTCTGGTAATGTTGTATATAATACCCTGTTCTCTTGTTCTGATATATCACACCTTGCACAAACTGTGCGTTACCTTTCTATATCATGTTCGACGGTGCTTGCTGTATAGGGACCCGGAGCTTTTCAAAATTTTTCATACTGGTCGACGATATTGTTCAATATTGCATTGGAACTTATTCATCTAAGAGCGTGAAATTTCATTCTTATCACGTATCTAGTTTTCACCGGTGTACTTCGTAATTTGGCATTTATGAGCTGTTGGAACTATTTCGTCCCGGTAATGGTAGTAGAAAATACACCATTAACTTGAACTGATTGTTTAGCATATTATTTACTATATAGGAAATATCTTAGAGGATAGTGCTCGATACTACGGAGTACCTTTGAGCAATTTATACGATGCAAAAGCCATTCCTTTTTTTTTTTTTTTTTTTTTTTTTGGCTCCTACGCCTCAATGCAATATGTTATTATGCACTATGGCCCAAGAAGTAATCGCATATCCCTTATCACTTCCCAGTAATCATGAATGATGTAAGCCATGCAAGAAAATATTTATTTCCGGACATACAAAAGCCGCTCGTCTACTGCTTGTCCGTCCATGTAGATGCTATAGTATGTCTCGCAGTAAAAAATGTTCCAAACTCGAATACTAACTACTCCATATAAGTGTAAATCCCTCTGATTCTACATCCTACTCAATGCACTGACCATTGCATTTAGGTAGTATATGGAGAGTACTCTGTACAGCTAGCCACAAATATGAAACAATGTAGCAGCGCCATCAGCCCGGCAGCTGAAGTACATACGTAAGAGGCGCAGAAATTTTCAACTGACTCTCCAGCCTATTGGTCCACTGAAAACGAGACAAATACAGCCACATCAACCACACAGCCCTAAAACGAATGGGCTCCAAGTACGTACAACGGTAGTTGGAGAGATGCATCTTTGTACTCCGTAGGATTTCGATCAATTTGGCCCCATTTGTCAAAGGCCACATACCAAGCTTTCTAAACTCTTCCAACATGTGGAGGATTCACAATCTGTTCTGCGCAGCTGTACCTGATACGTAGTAGTACAGTCTCGATGGTGGGGAACTAACTCATACCCCGTGGGACTAAAGGGTTTGTTTCCCCCCCGTTATTTACTCTACTGTACAAATCAACATAAACCAGTAAGGCTGCCCACGTCTTGTTGGTGGGGCGCAGAATTTGACCAGCTTTCGTTAGTGGAAAAAAAAAATTTCGTTGCCTATATGGAGTAGTCTAAGGGGGAATATCGAATAATACCACTATAGTGAGTCCAACTAAAGATCTATGTGGGTTGGACTATGCTTCTGTAAGTCTAGGCTACTCAAAACTGCGGATCTCTATGAGCTTGGTATCATGCTATCGAGGGAATTGATTAATTATGTTGGTGCTGATGATAATATTGGTGGGATACGCGAAATAAATTCCGTATATAACTGGATGATGGTAGATAGGTACTAAAGAGCCCCGAACGCTTCTACATGTATTATCTGTAATCGGCCTACAGCCGACAGTGCGACTAAGCCTGCTTCGTTGGTAATGGCGCCGTTCCTGTCTAAAAGTCCCCTACTATAATAACTAGAATGTAAGACATGGTTTTGCTAAGACACACGAAAACTTGGCTAGCCATCAACATAGGGCAGGTTGAGAGCTTAGTCCAAAAATTTATGACCTTAAAGAAGCATTTAGGTTGAATTCGGATAGCACGTGGTTAATGTGGAGATTTGTTGTCATTCATACGGAGTAGATATGTTTCATACTCTTGAGACATGTTTCGATCATAGCTTAATGTTTTATGAAATGGATAGATTCAACGATTCACCTTTCGACCAATAGTAGCTGAACTGTGTATAGATTATCTGATGTTATCTAGCAATTATTATATTTTCTGGGCTTAGAATGCGAGATTTAAACGAGCCTTAGCAGCTTTCCAGACGTTAATTTTTTATACCCCTAGGCCACCTCCAGAGTCATGATATTTGGTTTACATAATATGTGATGTACTCCCAGACATTTGAAAGAAATAAAAATGTCTATAAAAGTGTAGCCACTGCGCCTTCTAACTCCGTATATTTTTTTTGGTGTAGGGTTTTCTGTTAATATATGAATGGGTTATTGGTAATAATTTATGTCTTGCGTGGCGGTACCTGGTTGGAACAACATGATTGTTAGAGGGGCATGTCTAAGACGGGGCTGAGCTCATTAGATGACAATAGTTCCAGATAATTAAAAAGATCCACCCTAATGTCATGGCATTGAATACCTAATGGATACGGAGCAACTATTCAGTTTACAAAACAGATACATTAAGCATAGCAGTACTGAGCAATCCAACTGAAACTGAATTGCAAATATAGCACGTTGCTCTATTAATATTGAAATAGTACATGTTATGACGTTTCTTCCTTCTCCTGTCAAGATATATTTAACAGATTATTAACAAGTGCCTCCTAGCACAGAGAGATGGGCCAATCTTCCATTGTGGGTGCGTGGGAGATATCGATCTGTTGTCAATATTGTTATATTGTCATGGTGATTCTTTGTAAAGCTACCAGTAAGTACTAGTCGACTTCCATCCTGCTACTACTTAGAGCTGCATATAACCGGCCAACCTGGAATTGATCAAATGGCTTTACAATACAAATATTCTTTCTTATATCCTAGATAGAAAGCTCCCAAGAAATAATAGTTGTATCACAAAAATATTCCAATTAAATACAGGAGCGAAACACATGATGTTGATAGGTCGAAAATGCAGTCAATTGGAAATAGTGTCCTTACCGCCCCTCGGTGGTAAATGTATATTGGATAGGCGGTAGCCAATTCTGCCACCTAAACACCGCGCGATTCCGTATTGAGTTCCCGACTCCCTCTGCTTCCTTCAGCCATTTGCCAGACCACAACTTCAGGTCCTTTCTTTGGCTTGACGATAGCTGTTAACCCTTTATTGAAGATACAGGGCTATTTAAAATCCACTTACCATGGATAATTCCAGCTCCGCCGAGTCACAATGGTTAACTCAACTAGCAGCCATGCGCCAGGCCATTGCTGACTTGAAACTCCCGAAAGACACCACCCAAGTCCACCTTGGTTATGGCAGTGACTTGGAACTTGACCTGGACGAAGAGTATTCTTCTCCTGCGATGGTTGATGATATCTGGGATGTCATCAGCTCCGACGACGAATCTAGTGAAAACCTCGACGAGATCAACGGTTTACCCTCTTCGAAAACGCCCTACAATCAAACCTGGCTGGAGCAGAGATGCCAGAATACTGCGATTCAGAAACCTGGTATAGGTGCAATGGAATTGTCTCAGAAGATTACAGCAGCTCTAGCTACAGACAGTGGCGATGACGAGCTACAGATGTCACTTGCTGAAATCGTGGGATTCGACGACTTGGAATTCGTGATTGAGCTGATCGCGCACCGGGCAGATATTCTGTCGAGTATGAGGAACTCTGTAGAGGATCAAACAGATGGGCTTATGTCGGTAAGGTTGCAGACAAGGGCAGAGCGGGAACATGCTCTACGGCAGCAGGATTTTGAACATAAGCATGCCTCACTGTTACCGGCGCAAACAAAGAGTGAACCCCATTATCCTCATGTCTTTAAGTCCCATGATTCGAGAAATGTTCTTGCTCTGGGTGGGAAGAAATATGGCCTGCCATTTGGCAGTAAGCAAATCGAGGAGCAGCGGTACACTGAATGTGAGATTCCAGCATCAAAAGTAGGCTCACTGGCAGGTACCCAGAAGCTTGTAAAAATATCTTCTCTGGACGGACTCTGTCAGGGAACCTTCAAGGGCTACAAAACTTTGAATCGCATGCAGAGCTTACTGTATGAAGTGGCTTATAAGACTAATGAGAATATGTTGATCTGTGCTCCTACTGGTGCTGGTAAAACAGATGCTGCCATGTTGACAATCCTAAATGCCGTTGGAAAGAACACTATTCCAAACCCAATTGAGCAACCACAGGCGACCGAGTTTGCAGTGCAAGTGGAAAATTTCAAGATTGTTTATGTGGCACCCATGAAGGCCTTAGCTGCTGAAGTCACTGAGAAGCTGGGAAAACGCCTTGCATGGCTGGGAATCCAGGTTCGCGAATTGACTGGTGACATGCAACTGACAAAGCGGGAAATCGTCGAAACTCAGATTATTGTCACCACTCCTGAGAAATGGGATGTTGTGACCAGGAAAAGCACTGGAGATACCGAGCTCGTCCAAAAAGTGCGCCTGCTAATTATTGACGAGGTCCATATGCTCCATGATGAGCGTGGTGCGGTCATCGAATCTTTGGTGGCCCGAACCCAGCGTCAGGTCGAAAGCACACAGTCACTCATCCGTATAGTTGGTCTTTCTGCGACTTTGCCAAATTATACTGATGTCGCGGACTTCCTCAAGGTCAACAAGATGGCTGGGTTGTTTTATTTCGACAGCTCTTTCAGACCGGTTCCTCTCGAACAACATTTCGTCGGAGTCAAGGGGAAACCCGGTAGCAAGCAATCTCGCGAAAACCTTGATATTGTATCCTATGAGAAAGTACGTGATATGCTTGAACAAGGGCATCAAGTCATGGTATTTGTACACTCGCGGAAAGACACTGTCCTTACAGCCCGGATGCTCAAGCAGATGGCTGGTGAGGAGGGATGTGAGAACTTGTTCAGCTGCAGGACCATGAGAACTATTCGAACGCACTGAAGGACATGAAACATGCTCGTGCCCGCGAGTTAAGGGACTTATTTGCCAGCGGCTTTGGAACCCATCATGCTGGAATGAGTCGAAGCGACCGTAATCTAATGGAACGTATGTTTTCTGAAGGGCTAATAAAGGTGCTATGTTGCACAGCTACACTAGCTTGGGGAGTTAACCTTCCTGCTGCCGCTGTAGTCATCAAGGGCACCCAGCTTTATAATCCCCAGGAGGGTAAGTTTGTCGACCTCGGTATACTCGACGTACTGCAGATATTCGGTCGTGCTGGTCGCCCGCAATTCCAAGATACGGGTATCGGTTTTATATGCACCACGCACGATAAGTTTCACCACTACCTTTCTGCGGTGACGTCACAACAACCAATTGAATCTCGGTTTTCGAGCAGACTTGTGGACAATTTAAATGCGGAGATTTCTCTTGGTACTGTTACATCGGTGGCGGAAGCAGTGCAATGGCTAGGTTATTCGTATCTTTTTGTGCGCATGAAACGCGAACCACGAAATTATGGCATCGAGTATGCTGAGATACGTGATGACCCTATGCTGGTCCAACGACGCCGTCAGTTGATCATTCAAGCTGCCTTAGTTCTACAAAAGTGTCAGATGATCATATACAACGAAAGGACAGAGGAGCTTCGTGCAAAAGATGTTGGACGTATTGCGAGCCAGTACTATGTTTTGCAGACAAGTGTTGAGATTTTCAATGAGATGATGCGTCCGCGATCTGGAGACGCAGATGTACTCAAAATGATAAGCATGAGTGGCGAGTTTGATAATATCCAGTCACGAGACAGTGAGTCGAAGGAGCTGGACAGGCTACGTGAGGAAGCAGTACAGACAGAAGTAGAAGGGGGCAATGATTCTCCTCAAGCCAAAACCAATATTTTACTTCAGTCGTACATCTCGCGTGCTAAGATTGAGGATTTCGCACTGGTTTCCGATACAGGCTATGTGGCGCAGAACGCAGCTCGCATCTGTCGTGCTCTATTCATGATTGCCCTGAATCGTCGTTGGGGCTACCAGTGTGAGGTGCTCTTGTCACTTTGCAAGTCTATCGAAAAACAAATCTGGCCCTTCGACCACCCTTTTCACCAGTTCGATTTGCCTCAACCTATTCTTAAGAACCTGGATGAAAAATTGCCATCTTCATCTATTGAGTCTATGAGAGACATGGAAACTGCAGAGATTGGACAGCTGGTTCATAATAATCGGATGGGAAAGACGTTGGCAAAACTACTGGACAACTTCCCTACTCTCAGCGTGGAAGCAGAAATAGCACCACTGAACCGCGATGTCATGCGTATTCGCCTATGCATCTACCCTGAATTCACCTGGAACGACAGGCATCACGGGGCTTCGGAATCATACTGGATCTGGGTAGAAAATTCGGAAACTTCTGAAATCTATCACCATGAATATTTCATCCTCAGCCGGAAGAAGCTTCATGATGATCATGAGCTGACCTTTACCATCCCACTCTCAGATCCATTGCCGAGTCAGATCTATGTTCGTGCGATCTCTGACCGGTGGCTTGGTGCAGAGACTGTAACTCCGGTATCATTTCAGCATCTGATCCGCCCTGATACAGAAAGTACATACACAGACCTGCTTAATCTCCAACCTCTGCCTGTGTCTGCCCTCAACAATCCGATTCTTGAAGAGCTGTATACGCAACGCTTCCAGTTTTTTAATCCGATGCAAACCCAGATCTTCCACTTACTCTATCACACGCCAGCAAATATTTTGCTAGGGTCGCCAACAGGAAGTGGAAAGACAGTAGCTGCAGAATTAGCTATGTGGTGGGCTTTCAGAGAGAAACCTGGATCGAAAGTTGTCTATATCGCACCCATGAAAGCACTTGTTCGTGAACGGGTTCAGGACTGGAAGAAACGCCTTACTGGGCCAATGGGTCTTAGGTTGGTTGAGTTGACTGGTGATAACACTCCTGACACGAGGACAATCCGAGATGCTGATATTATCGTCACAACTCCTGAAAAATGGGATGGTATTTCCCGTAGCTGGCAGACCAGAGACTATGTGCGCAAAGTGAGCTTGGTCATCATTGACGAAATCCATTTGTTAGGCGGTGATCGAGGCCCCATTCTCGAAATAATTGTTTCCCGGATGAATTACATTGCCTCACAATCCAAGGGTGCTGTCCGGCTAATGGGCATGTCTACTGCTTGTGCAAATGCTTCTGATCTCGCCAATTGGCTGGGTGTTAAGGAGGGATTGTTCAACTTCCGACACTCAGTTCGCCCCGTGCCTCTTGAGATTTACATTGATGGTTTCCCTGAACAACGTGGATTTTGCCCTCTCATGCAATCGATGAACCGACCAACTTTCCTTGCGATCAAAAACCACTCCCCAGAGAAACCTGTGATTGTATTCGTCGCCTCTCGCAGGCAAACACGCTTAACTGCCAAAGATCTAATTAATTATTGCGGAATGGAAGACAACCCTCGTCGATTCGTTCGCATGTCTGAAGAAGACCTGCAGTTGAACCTCACACGAGTAAAGGACGAGGCTTTGAGAGAAGCACTTAGTTTCGGCATTGGCTTGCATCACGCCGGTTTGGTGGAGTCTGACCGACAGCTAGCTGAAGAACTGTTCGCAAACAACAAGATACAAATTCTTGTGGCGACAAGCACGCTCGCATGGGGTGTCAACCTTCCGGCACACCTTGTTGTGGTTAAAGGAACACAGTTTTTCGACGCTAAGATTGAAGGGTATCGAGATATGGATCTAACCGATGTCTTGCAGATGTTAGGTCGTGCAGGTCGTCCACAGTTCGACACCTCCGGTATAGCACGTATCTTTACCCAGGATTCAAAGAAAGCGTTTTACAAGCACTTCTTGCACACAGGATTTCCGGTGGAATCTACCCTACACAAGGTTCTCGATAACCACTTGGGTGCTGAGGTATCAGCGGGTACTATCACAGCAAAACAGGATGCTCTGGACTATTTGACATGGACATTTTTCTTTCGCCGACTGCATAAAAACCCTTCATACTATGGTCTAGAGATATCAGCAGAAGAGCACAACACTATTGCTGCTCAAACAATAGCCCAAGATTTTATGATCGAACTAGTGGACAAATCACTTGGTGAATTGGCGGAGTCATCCTGCATTTTATTTGATTCTGCAACGGGCGAAGTCGACCCAACTCCATTCGGCAAGATTATGAGTTACTACTACCTATCACACAAAACAATCCGATACCTGATGATAAATGCGAAGCCAAATCCGTCCTTCCAAGATACACTGAGCTGGATGTGTTCTGCTACTGAATTCGACGAGTTACCCGTTCGACACAACGAAGATCTCATCAATGGAGAACTGGCCCGCAACTTGCCATTATCGGTAGAATCAATGGGTAACCTTCCACTGTGGGATCCTCATGTAAAAGCCTTCCTCCTCCTTCAAGCTTACATGTCAAGAATCGATCTTCCGATATCCGATTATGTGGGTGATCAAACCTCTGTTTTGGACCAGGGTATCCGTATATTGCAAGCTTCTATCGATGTTATGGCCGAGATGGGATATCTCAACGCCTGCCAGACGCTCATGTCCCTTCTTCAATGCATCAAATCAGCCAGATGGCCTGATGATCTTCCTTTGTCGATTCTCCCCGGCGTCAGTCTCGAAGACAAGCCATCAGTGTTACCAGATTCGCTTGTCGACCTTTCATCCCAGTCCGCAGCATCTGTGTCGTCTCTCACCAGGAAATTACAACTTCCTTCGTCTGCGGCTGCTCAATTCACCAAAGCTACGTCTTATCTTCCACATCTCTCTGTGTCTATCTCCACTGTCTCCTCTACCGGTATTACTGTGTCTTTGACCCGGCGCAACGACCCAACAAACCCTGACTACAGAATCTATGCTCCTCGATTCCCCAAACCTCAGACGGAAGGCTTCTTCCTGATTGTCTGCACTGCTACCCCCGAAGGCAAAGATGGTGAACTACTTGCCCTGAAGCGTGTTTCATGGCCGTCGCCTTCTAGGCAAAACGGTTATAACCGCGCCATCGCCGGTTCAAGCAAACATCCTACCGACAAGAAGAATCAAGCACGTGGTCCTCTAACAGTTCGCTCATCGGTGAAGTTTCCGGACAGTTTGCTTGCGCAGTATGCTTCCGGAATGGGTGGAAAGGCAGTCAATATTAGGGTTATTAGTGATTCATATCCTGGGATGGAATGGGCTTTATCCAATGTGGATGTGGACTTGGGGCCTGAGAAGCAGACTGTGGTGGAGTCATCAAGTTTTCCTGCGAAGGATTGATTACGTTGTGCTTGATCTATCGCTTTCTTTCTGTAGTTATAAAGGTCTCTCTGCAATGCTTTGCATAGGGTGGAAAGAAGATGATGTAAATAAAGTTGGCTGTTTTATTGCATATACAAAAATTCAAATATATTGGAACCAGCCATTGAATAATATCTACACCTGCTTGTAATCGTTCACCGAACGAATCAAATGATAAGAAAAGCAAGCCACCGTCACATGGTCTCGCACCAGACACCACCAAGATGAATATGTGGAATCATGAAAGCGCGAAATAAATAAAATACGAGGAGTCAGGGTAGTCGTCAACGACAACTGAACAATACAGAATGAGAAAACTATGAGGCCGTTTCCTGTCCCTTTGGAATAATGTATACCGACATATGAAGAGGAAGAAAAGAATAAACAAAACTGTTCACGTAGCTCATACAGTCTCAATCTTCACATCGTGAGAGTTGCCAGGACGGTGACCGTAATGAGCATCCATGACCTGAGGGGTTTTGGCTTTCCTGCTCAAAGTTCGGTCATCAGGATTCAACCGATCCACTCGGGGCTTAATCGGCACGATGACCTGCTTTCTGCCTTTGGACGCAGAAACAGATCTCGCTATGGAAACTTCAACGGTCGGGATGGGGTCCACTGACTCTGCATCGATTGGTGGAATGGAATCAAGATTCTTGTGGTCGACACTGAAGGGCATTCGTGCGGAATCTGCTGGAGATATTGCTGACTTGTTTCCTGAAGGAGAGATAACTCGACAGCCCGGTTCACGTATAGTAGTAAGAGGTGTACGTATTGATGAAGATGATGCTGAGTCGTTGTCGACGGGTTCAGGAGGTAGCGCCTTTGTGTTAATAGTAAGAGCTTGGGCTAATTTCTGCTTAGTTTCACTTGCTGGAGATTTCTTGTTGATAATCTCCCATTCCGGTTCCCCTTTCGGATCGACATAGCTTCTGGCTGGTTTGACTCTTTGTAAAATGAATGTTTCGTCATCCGAGGCAAATGAAGAAGATGACATGAGCGATGACACTGAGTGCTGTGGACCATGTGAGGAGGGTGGCCTTATGGACGGACTATGCACCATGAGCAGGACATGGTCATGTTCATTCACCGAGCTTCCTCGACGCGATTCCGCCAAGGAGCTTTGACTCTTGTGTAAAGGGCTCGGCCTATGTGGAAGATTCTGAGACCCCAGAACTTTGGAAGCCTTAGTTATTGGAGTATCTGGGAACAAAGTGAAGCTAGGAGACTTAGAGCGTGTTGATGACAGGTCTCGTGGATTAGGTGGAGGAAGCTCCGATGTAGCAGTAATTTCCTAGTAGAAGACTTAGTGTCATAAGCATAGTTTAAAGCGGAAAAGAAGATATGGTACCTTGGACTTTGGTTCACCTACTCCGTCCATAGCTTTGCTCTGTCTTGTCGACGATGTAGGCTGAAGATGTTTACCTAGCAACCCTCCAAACATAACACTATATCTTTCTAGCTGGATATCAGGGATTTCAACTTGCAACAGGGGCATCGCATCAAACTTCTTTGAGTCAAAAACTCGACTACTGGTCTGAGAGTTCCCTTGAGGGTTATCACGGTCACTGTTCGTCTTAGCCATAGCCTCGGGCTCTACCAGGCATGGCCAGACCTCCGTACATGAAACAGGGCTAATCAGATGCTCTGGTTTTGATTGCGACTGGTAGTCAATCGAATGGGAAGAAGCTTGTGATGGCCATTCGCTGTCGGAGCGGACCTTATAGAATGGCTGATTTGTGCTATATTTCATAGTGCTTTTTGACCTGAACAAACCTCCAATCTTTTTCCACTTGCTTGGCTTCCGTTGAAGTTGCGGGAGCTTTGAAGTATCGGATATAGTGTCTAGTCCCTTCTCTTGCACCTGTGATATCGCATTCTGCGACCCCACCAACCTAGGGCTACCTAAAGCAATGCCAATCATGTTGTCACCCAATCCATTTTCAGGCTCTACCGGAGATGGCACGGCCTCGGCAGGAGGCACAGTTATGCGAAAATCGAAACCAGTATCCAAAGGTAGTTCTTCTCTTGCTCGCTGACGTCCTTCAGTAGTTCTAGGACGCTGAAAGTCCCTGTGCGTCTGGTGTATCGAATATCCTTTAATTGCGCCATTGGAGAGATCTCGGAGATCAGACTGTGATTTCGTATCTGAACGTTTCAAAATGGGGGCCGGCTCAGTCTCTGAGTGTTGTGGTGTGCGTGATTTGGCCGACAAGATTCTTCTAGCCATAGTTCAAGAATTTTGTATCAGTCGGTCTGAATGCCACGACCGCCTGTACCAAAAAAGGGGAAAAAAAAAAAAAAAAAAAAGATAGAGAGAGAGAGCCAAGGAATGTAAAATTAAAGGGAGCACAGATGAGAGTCTATCTCATGAAACGAGTGGACAGCCTTCCAGAAGGCCAGGTGGTAGAGAATCAGGAAAGAAAAGAATCAACCATGTAATGAAGGAAAAGGAGATAATCACAACAAAAGAAGATCGGGAATACGACAGATATTGTGGAGCATCAGACACAGAGAGCAGACGCCCTATCTAGTACTTAAGACGGATACTACGTAGTAGGGAGGGGTTAGTGTTGAAATTTAGATTAATGAAGATTAGGTGAAGTGTCAACGGCAGAACAGCCAACAATATCCTCCGACATAAATTATCAGCATGTTCCGAGGAGTCTTGCACGAATCCTTTACGACACTAAGCGTGGGAGCAATGCTATCCAGTCAGTAGTTGCAGGGGGGGCTGTTAGACATGACAATAATCAGCGCTATTAGGAATCGCGCAAGATGCTTATTTTGGTGGCTGCAAATGAGCATCAATGGTGGGAAATAATTAATTTGCGGCGTGGGCAAGGAGCACATCTTTGTTTTCGTTTCATCCGGGCCCAGTTGACCAATAAACCCGTGCATTTCGAGTTGCCTTTGGATCGTCAAGAACCTGATACTATCACCACCGCATATTTTGTAACAGATTTTCCGCCCTGGCGTTAGCGATACATGGATTGCATTCGACCCTGTGCCCGTCTAGCAATATGGAGATATATATGGTGAACGACAAGACTCTTGTTAGCTTCCACTTCAGTCGAATCCCCTAGTATCATTTTCATTAGTACCCTAATTTTTTTTTTTTTTTTAACTAGCCCAAACCAGCGGGTGCCTCGCCCGAACCGATGTGACGTACAAACGAGATCAAGAGGTATTGGCACATGAGGATGGACTGGAAATCTTAGTAGAGGCCCACCACACAGTCGAACCGGAATCTGTCGTTTCAACCGGTGGGTTTCTTATGAATCTAGGAGGGATGAGAATAGTAGACATATTGAATAGTTTTAACATATTTTCAGACGTGGTATTTCTAGCCATAACTAATCCATATAGACAAGGGAGATGATGCAGATAATAAGGAGATTCTTAAGCGTAATTATATATTATCCAGTGAGGCAGATGATGGGGCGGTTTCCCGAAGGGGACAGGCGCAGCCCATGATAACACATGACCAGCCATCATGACAGGAGAACAGCCAAAGATGGAGACAGCGAAAAAAAAAAAGAAGCGGTAAGAGATCACCAATGGTCGAATGTCTACTTAGTCTATTTTGTAGGAGTGTCTAGCTTTCTGCCTATATGGACTTATCCTATTTGAGTCTGTGTCTATTCAAGTTACTAAAGGGCTAAATTGTACTTGCCCATATTCCATTTATTGTAGTAAGACTCCAAATGGTTAAAAAAAATCCAGCGCCACCTGCTGCAGAGTGATGATATATTAATGGTAGCCTTATAGGGAGTAGGCCAGTCAATAGTAGGTATTATTCAATGACATTCCGTGTTCAGGAGTTGTCTATATTTTTGGTACCTAACCCAACCTACTAACTAATAACTAGTTAGCTATCTGGACCTTACATAATCCGTGGCGGGGCAAGCAACTCACCTTTCTTTCCAGTGCCAGCACAGCCCACCCCACTTTCCTCTGCGCGCCCACCACTGAATGACTCTAAATCATAATAATAATTAATATTGCTCCAGTGCTTACTGCTATATTTCTCTAACCTCTTCTCAACTCACAGCCTTGAATCTGCAGCCTTGAACACCCTTTCTTTCTTGTAAGTCCCTGCCACATTCCTGCCACTATTCGCCAAAATTAACCCGTCTTTACCATCCCGGGAATAGAGCTTCTACCGTTGTTTCCTTCCTTTTCCGACCTTTCCCGTTCGATTGTTTATACAACCACCACCATGGGTGCTCATTCAGCTATATGGCAAGGTACGTCTATAATTTGACATATCTCGTGGTATAATATATCTGTTCATGCTAGGGCATCGTTACTCACACCTGTCTTCTAGGATATGTCGACTCCAGGTACCGTACATCCCCTATCGAGAACCTGCCCCGCACTGTACCTTTTCTTGCCTTCCACTCCAGGATCCGCATCATTATCCTGACAGAAACAATCATGCAGCTTGATGGGATCTGGTCAATTTGATAAGGCCGCAATTTTGAGCCACGATCTTTCTGGTGTCGAGGCCCAGTCTTCTGGCTTCACAGTATGAGGAACTCGGATCCGGTACCCGATTAGGTGCAAGTTGCATTAATACCCGTAATAGATCTCGCCAGAAGAGCTCAGTGGCCTCATTTCTGCCTACAGCAGCTCCGACACCGCAAGAGCTAACGGTATTGTCGTCGGAGGAGAGAAGTTTGTCGTTATCCGCGCAGACGATCGCAGTCTATATGGCAAGAAGGTATTGACCTATACTCCGCTTGTTGCAAATAGCGTAAATATGGGGACTCTCCGCGTATACTAATGAGGCGTCGGGCTTATAGGGCAAGGAGGGTATTGTTATCGTTAGAGCCAAATCCTGTGTCATGGTCACCCATCACCCTGACAACGTGCAAACGACCAATGCCGCGACAATCGTCGAGAAACTTGTCGACTACATTAATGCCAGCTAGGCGAAACTCGAAGGGAAATGAATGTGTTTTATAGTCGACTTTACCGAAAGTGTGGCAAATTCGAATGTGTATCACGATAATCTTTGTTCTGTTCATTTGCTCGCCTGCTTCATTTTCACATTTAAGCCCTAACACGTAGACATGTGCAATAAGTACTTATTTAGTACTCACCAAAATTTCTTTTCAGAGTGGCAATGCCCCGGGATTGTGACGCAGTGAAGCAGAACCATTTGATAGCGATTGCATAATAACCATTTCAAACTCTGTACCTGCTCGGTATTGGCAACTCGATAGTGAGATTGTATTTATTTGTTCCCTACCTGATAACTGTTAATATTCTTTGTGACTGAGCTGGCTATCTATATATATCCGGTCTATATATTACAGGCCCTATTCCTGGAATATAGCCACAAGTAACAAGAAAGCCAGGAACTGGCACTGGCAGTGTATATTTATTAGTAATTACATGTTCTCAAAGATTATATCACATCCTCCCATGTTATGGTTGTCCCGCCGAACTCAATGATAGAAATAAATGGGAAGAGACATATCCCCATGCCATGGCGTGCAATTAGTAGCCGTCAAATCATGCATGATATTTTCTAAAGTTGTCGCGTGATCATACTCATTATTCATTTGTCGAGGGTTTCTTCCCCTGTACAGCAGAGAATACCCTATACAGAGCGCAGATTTCATCTCGCTGAACAAAGCAAGACTAGTTATACCGGCAACTCAGCGTTGCTGCGACCACCAGCCAATATCTCGAGAGCTCGCTTGATATACGGGCCGACAATAGGGACATTGCCGACGAATTGTCCGATCGTGATAAGGAAGTCGCCGAAGAGAATAAATAGACCATACAACTCAATCAAAAATCCAGTAAGGGGCCATCGTATAAGGATAAGGAGGATGCCCGAGGCGAAAGCAGCAGTGCCTTTGAGCTTTTGACGTCGAGAGAAGAATGCGAATGTTTTTCGGAGACCAATGATCAGCGTCAACCCAATCAGGAACAGAATCTACTTCGGCATTAGCAATTGAGGTTGGGATGAGATTGCGATTCAAAGGGGATGCGAACGTTTCCCATAGCAAGTCTATTGGAAATTGAATATGTCAGCAATAATCCAAGTCTCCTAAAGGCGAATGAAAGGCGCATTACAGTGAACGATCAAAGAACATCAACACCCCTCCGAATAAAAACAATCCTCCTGCATGGCCATAGTCGTCAGTGACTTATCCGGAGGTATTCTCGAATGCGTAAAGAACTAGAAACGCTTCTAGTACAAGTGTGAATATTTGCGTCACTTACCACCAGAGCAAAAAATAACACCGATCTCTGAAACAAGGGTTCTTATTAGTCAATAGCCCTTTTCATGTATAGTATTGAGAATCTTGGTCCTTACTTTGATTATCGGAGAGCCACATGCTAGGCATATTCAACAATTTTCTTGTCCAAAACCAATAAAGGGACCTGAAGATAGGACAGAAAAGAGGTAAATTTCCTTGAAATATCTCCGAATTCTTTGGCGGAAACCGAAGTCGGAAACGAACGTGCAGTGTGTTTGTATAGTGGTTTTGGGAAACCTTCCTAGTGCTGGCCAATATGCTAACGACAATGTTAGGTATAAAAAGTAACTGAAATTAACACTAGCGCTCTGAACTCAAAGGGAAAAGCCTATGATAATATTTAATACCAGATCTTAGAAACCTCAACCAATTCTGAATTGTTTCTGCCACGTTCGTTATTTGTACTGTGATGGCCCGATTCCACTTGGGGAAGGCGGTCGTCAGACAGAGAGAAAATGGAAATTCACTAAAATATCGACATTTTCCTTTTCAAAACAGCACTTAACCAGAACCTTTCGTGATTTCGGAAGAACACACGAACTGCCACAGTACAATTTCTCTGTCTAATTACAGGCGTGTTTAAAGGATTCCTCCCCCCCCCTTTTTTTTTAATTTCAATTTCATTTTTTTTTTTTTTTTTTGGGTAATGTGCAATGGGGAGGCTAAGCATTCTAGATGTCGAATACGCTCAGGATACATGAATTATGGCAACATACAACCTGCAACGAGCACTAAGGAGAGCCAGATGATTGAGAGATTGCATATAGACCTGTTGAACTGATCATCTCAATATGTACCACTTTTATTTATACCGCCAGCTTTCTTATAGCTGTCTTCAATTTTACGCCGCGGCGACAGCATCCCCGGATGCTGTAACTGACGTTCCCGTTGGTGGAGCGTCGGTATTAGTCGAGTGCAGTGCAACTAGCACGAGGCGAAGATAGACTCTTATATGGTCACAATTAAGCCGGAGCGTTTTCTTGAACCTGTCTCGAGAGGGGCATGGTGGGTGGAAAGGGCTTGACTTGGCTGGCCGTACATTTATATCGCGTATCAGACAGATAGTAATACCTATAATCAATACAAATGAGCATCCTGAATATTATTCACCCAGGAGGTCGTAACCAACCTTTCTCTTTAAACACAATCGCGTAGGATAAGATTGGATGATCGAACTCATTTCATTATTTGAGCACAACATGGGCAGCCCTGAGTTCAAGATAGCTCTCTGGCACACCTTGTACCAATGTCCTAACAACCCCAAAGACCTCCTTATCGTGGTATCTAAGTCTTGTCTTTGGGTCCGTGTACGAGGCTGGCAACCCTGTAATATCGCAATAGCGAGTTTGCTGCGACGGGTGTAGCGAAGGTGCTGACTCAATGTTGGTGTATGTTACAGTAGGTCCAGTTGGAAACATAGCTCGTGCGTTCTTCTCTAACACAAGGGAGGAGAGATTTTGCGCAGCTTGGGCAATGTTGGAGGTGCGTGGGGTGCCTTCCGCAGGGGTCTGGGTTCCATCGGTGCCGACGGACGAGACAACTGGAAGAGGGGTTGTTGCACCAGAGTTTGCCTGAGTTGCCATCTGCGATGCTTCCTTTCGCGAGCTTTCCGACAGAAGTTGCTTGACGTTCTTGTTGCGGCGCTGCGAAGGCTTCCAATGTGGATTGCGGAAGGGGCGCGGAACATGCGCAATGTCCAGACTGTCGAGAAGTCGCTGGTGAGACTCGTTATCGGCCGGAGTCTGGGGAGGCATGGTGATATAATTGAGACTCTGAGCACGTAGGGAGAGAGGTGGATGAGTCTTGTGTATCTGAATGGTTCGTGTGGCGGAAATGAAATGAAGGGTCTGGAAGTGCCGGGCTGCCGGTTGCTGCTGGGTATGAAATTGAATTGAGTGTAAAAGTATCAAGGAGAAGAGTAAGGTACACTGTCAACAATACTATCAGAAGGGTTTGTTAATTATATAAGAACAATTTTCTTTTAGTTAAGTTCTTGTTTTACATTCGTTTGCTAGTACCTATCTTGGCAGCCAGACCAATCCCGCCACGTGATTTACTCTATCGGGTAGCCTCCAACAGACAGAAATACACAAACATCGGCCTTGAAATCGACAACTCCTTAGTAGTCATTACAGAAAACAATGGTAAGTTTATATTGATCCAATTACTATAAGTATATATGCAAGACTTACAGGATATGTATAGGAAAGCCCGCACGAACACCAGCAGGCTTTGCTCCTTTCACGTATCATTGGCAATATTGTATGTTATCAAATGCGGACATTCCTGAATGTTGATATGGCTGACAAATTTCTAGGAGAAACTCAATGAGTCGGTAATGTTAATGAATAAGAACCTTCAAGTATGGATCCTTTGCAGAGATAGGCTTTCTTCATACGGCAGATACTTATACATGCCTTAGGAGGTCAATATACAGAACATGAATGTCGAGCTTGTGGCGCAGATGTTCAAGAACTACCAGTCGAACGTGCTATTCCATCTGGAGGGTATAATACAACCATACATTGCATTTGACCTGAGGCTAATGAATATCTAGCTACGGAGAACTTCAAGGAGCCGTCCTAGGCGACTGCTCTGGGCTATATGAGACTGGGTTTTCAAATATGACGACATGAGATAGTCACGAGTAAATTATTCTTATGAGAACTTTGGCATTTAAGTCTATAATTATATTCCCATGCTCCCTTTATTATATCAGTAATTGTGATGAATTTAACTGTTGTACTATCCTATACTATAATGATAAATACCAGTGACTCCCCCTAAATGGGTATCGGTGGATGACGGTCTTGGCAGCCTACAAACGCTGGCGGTGACCGGAATCTCATTCTATAGCACCGAACAAAGCTGGGGTTGAAGCTTAATCTTCTTCCGTTCCAGTGTTACTGAAAATCTCTGCTTTCAGTCCTTAGCACTCTAGCTTAAGTCTACCATCAATTCTTGAATTTCTTTGATTTGCCAACACAGCTTACGCCCGACTGCAATGCGGTGAACCACTGTCGCGCCCGAAAGCTCCTGAATTGATCGCAACGTCTTCGTGTCGCCATGACGATTACATCGGTGGAAGCCCTTCTGCCCGGTCGCTTTTCGATTAACTCTTCGACAAAGAGTGCTGCGAAGGCCCCGCCAACGCCCTACAATGTCCAAGAACCCCCTTTCAAAGGTTATCATCCGCCACAGCCTGAGGGGTATGAGAAGAGCAGAGCCAAAGCAGATACGAGCGCTATAGTGATTGACAATGGTAGGAATAGCCAGTGTTTTTATAAACCATTTACTAATAAATCGTGTTTTTTCTAATAGGTTCTAGTTTGGTCAAAGCTGGATGGTCGTTTGACAAAAACCCACGATTTATTATCCCCCCTGTGATGAGTCGGTATCGGGACCGAAAACTCAACAAAGCTTGCCAGTTTATTGGTTATGATGCATATGTGGATGCTACAACTCGAGGCCAACTGCGCTATGCTTTTGACCCTGGTACTAGTGTGGTCGGCAATTGGGATGCTATGGAGGGAGTACTAGACTACTTGTTTATAAAATTGGGGGTGGATGGAGCCAACGGTGGCGTCGACAGACCCATCGTAATGACGGAGCCTATTGCGAATCTCAACTACCCCAGGCGTAGTAAGTAGTAGTGCCATGCATTGGTATGATTCCCTTTTGACTGACTTCGCTGCAGTGATGAATGAGATATTGTTCGAGTGCTACTCCGCCCCGTCTGTGGCTTACGGCATTGACTCCCTCTTCTCATACCGATATAACCGTGGGACCGATGGCTTGATTGTTTCTTCATCTCATACATCAACTCACGTTATCCCCGTTTTGAATTCCAAAGCGTTGCTCTCGAACTGCTCACGCATAAACTGGGGTGGAATGCATGCTTCAGAATACCTACTCAAGCTCATGAAGTTGAAGTATCCAACATTTCCTGCTAGGATGACTGAGAGCCAAATGGAGGATCTGGTTCACAAGCATTGCTATGTTTCTAAGGACTATGACCGCGAGCTTGGAGGTTATTTGGACTGGACGGGCCTTGAAGACAGAGATCACGTTGTGCAGTATCCGTTCACAGAGCATGTTATACCGGAGAAATCCGAGGAAGAATTGGCGCGGATTGCAGAGAGAAAAAAAGAGAGTGGACGCAGGTTGCAAGAACAGGCAGCTAAAATGCGCCTGGAGAAGTTGATGAAGAAAGAGCAGGAGTTAGAGTATTACAAGGATCTACAACGAGGTCTTGCATCGGAAACTAAGAAGGAAGTAAGGCGTATCCTCGAAGCGGAAGACATGAAAGACGAAGCACATCTAGAGAGAGTGATTCGAGATCTCGAACGGTCTATCAAGCGATCTAGGAACCGCGATCTTGGGGTTGAAGAGAATGAGGAAGCTAGCGAGGAAGTGTCTTTTCCTTTGCTGGACGTCCCAGATGAGGAGCTAGATGAGGCGGGTTTAAAAGAAAAACGCCACCAGCGGCTTATGAAATCTAACATCGAAGCTCGGCAGCGGGCAAAGGCAGAAAAGGAACGGGAGAAAGCTCGTCAGGAGGAGGAGGAGCGACTTGACCGGGAGAAGCGAGAAAACGATTTCGAGAATTGGCTGGCCGAAAGAAGAGCCGCTCGTCAGGTGTGTTTACCCGGTTTCTCACATTCTCCTAAGAAAGCGAGCTTGCTAACAGCATAATAGAATGTCCTGCAAAAAATCAAGGAACGTGATAGGCTGAAGGCAGATCTCGGCAATCGCAAGTCGCTTGCCAGCCAAATGCGTATGAAGACTCTCGCGAATCTCGCCGCGGACGGTCCCAAAAAGAGAAGAAGAGGTGGTGATGATGACAACTTTGGAGCCAACGATGAAGACTGGGGTGTCTACCGCACTGTGGCTACTGGGGAGCAGAGCGACGAAGAGGAAGAAGAGGACTTTGGAGGGATGCTCGAGACAGTCGAGAAGGAACTCCTCCAATACGACCCGGAATTCACCGAGAACCATACGCTTGCAGCGCAGTCCGACTGGACAAAGAGTTTAGTGCACATGTTCTTACGCGGGCCCTGGCCGTTTGATCCTGAAAGCCAGCGTGAGGCTCATCAGCTGCATTTGAATGTCGAGCGCATCCGAGTCCCCGAAGTTGTCTTCAAGCCGTCCATCGCTGGAATTGACCAGGCGGGTCTGATTGAGGTGGCAGCGGATGTAGTGAACCAACGGTTCTCTAACCCCGAGGAGCAGGACAAATTGTTGCGTGACGTATTCTTCACTGGAGGCAATACCCTATTCCAAAACTTTGATGAGAGATTCCGCAACGATTTCAGGGCCTTCCTGCCCGTAGATGCGGAGCTCAATGTGCGTCGTGCATCTGACCCCGTGCTTGATGCCTGGAAAGGGGCTGCGCAGTGGGCATCAGGGGGCGAACTGGGCAAGTCATCGATTACCCGACAAGAGTATCTAGAGAAGGGCAGCGAGTATCTCAAGGTATGTCATGTGAATCTTCTGAAGGTGGCTACAAGCGCGTTGGCTAACAGACAGCAGGAACATGATCTGGGGAACATTACCATGTGGTAGACGCGTGATGAACTAAGTCATCCCAGTTTTAGTTTTCTATACTTATCTATGTATAACATGACTGGACTATATTAACGGATGACCGGGTGTTCAGAATCATGTATGGAGACGAGTCCGCAGTCCTATCGTGATCACCATCCTTCAAGCGCGCTACACTCATGGAGGATATCTGCGCCTAGACACGCGATCTTATGGACAGGCCGAGATACGAAGATGGTGCTCAGGGAGTTTGGCGTATGGAAACTAGGATCGATAACAATGTACGAGGCACGATGGATGGTAGTAGGTTGCATTGCGGAGTTGCATATTCTGTTATGATTCTAGATTGGACTGCTGCAAGGGCTGTACAATAATCTTGTCTATAGCTAGCAAGATAAGAGCCATTCAATTACTATATTTCACTTTGCGTATCCCGGTCCAGATTTGGGGTAATTACATCTCGTAGGACCTCAACAGCAGTCAATGAATGCCAAGGGCGAAATATCTTTGCTACTGTTTGATTAGCATGTCATATCCGAAGGACAGGATCAAGCATTTATTCTACTGTCGGAATGAACCTCATAAAAAATAAGCAATCGCCTAGTTCACCTCTAATCATACCACCAATCATCCTTACATTAACTGCCGCGAAAGTCAGAACCCCAGTCCTTGTACCTAGATTTAGATTCTAATCTCGCTTCAGTAGCGCGGCAGCCATGCCTTAAACTGGTTCGTCTGCGTATGGTTGAAATAAGTTCCTGTGCTGCAAGGGGTCGACCAAACACACGTTCTAACACGCCGGAGAGAAGGGGTGTGGACTGGGTTACTAACATCCCTTCTCTGGACAGGGTTTGGAGTTATTGGATTTTGCCTTTTTTGGGCAGACATCCTTAAGATTTTCACGTCGTCAAGGGATGCATCATCCATGGATGGACACTAGGCTCTCCGTACTCCGTACAAGACGGGAACCAATTTCCAAACAGTCGAGGATCACATTTTTCGGAATCCAAACCTCATAGGGTTATACCTAACATTATGACATGATGATTCGACGTCTTCGGATACACTCGGATAGGACATCACATTTCAGCCTTGTGGGTCTCCAAGGACCTTCTATACTCTAGCCCAGTTTTTTCGGTGGGCTTGTCAGCATGATCTTATTTTCATTTTATTTTTTTTCTCTTTAGCTCTTCCCATCCGACGTGGGGAGTCATCGGAATAAGGAGGGGAAAGTGCCGAGAGTTCCGATTGCCATTGTTGTTGTTGTTGTTGTTGTTGTTGTTGTTGTTGTTGTTGTTGTTGTTGTTTTTTTACCAGGAGGATGTACTCCATACGTAAGGTACAACAGGGAGAAGCTAAGCTAAAGCTAGGTCGTTCTACAATAGACCTATGTGCAAAGCCCACTGTGCATCATTCGCTGATCTTGGGCCGTTAGTTCCAGCTGGAAGCTTTTGGATCGACGAAGGGAGCAGCACATGACGCAGCGAGTGGCGTGGTTGGCACCGTCCCATTTGCGGCCATGTCGACTAGCATTACTGACCCAAAACATGGCTGGGAGGTCCCTCACCGAAAGCCCAATTGAAATTCTCAAAAAAGTCGGGAACGCTGCCATTCCGTAGCTCTCTGCGGATCCTGGTGGTAGGACCTTCACTGACCTTGTCTCGTCCACTGCTGGATGGATCGGTGCATGCGGGGTGCATCATATAACACGAAGGATCAAGTAGGAACTGAACTTGGCTAACTGTTTGCCTGAGAGCAAAACAATCGAGCTTATTGCCAAGTCCACCGCCAGCGGAACTCCTTGCTGAAATGTCTAGAGCTGTAGAGTAACTAAGTCGAGTAACAAAAACAATGGGTTGTAAACACCATGGCCGCTTCCGTAGGATGCCAACTGATTCGATCGAACATCAGGTGAGACCACTCAGGACGGACGAAAGAGTCACGTAACAAACCTCGTAGAATTTTGCTCTTCCCATTGTTGAACTGGTAGAGCTGCCTACCGTGATTGTCTTCAGCCTGCCGATCCCTTGTCCTCCATTTGGATTTGGCCTAGACTTGCAGACTGCCAGGATGCATAGTTCCCCTCTCGGTCGTCGATCATCCATTGGGTCTGCTTGTGGGAGGATATTGGATGCTGTCTCCCGTGCAAAAATTGGAGCTGCATCGTATTCAGTATAGGCTCGTGTCTGTCGGTGGAGAACCGTTGGCTTATTGGTGGGTGGGCACATCACTGAGTTGTACTATCAAGGACGAACCTAGGTACGGTTGAGTTACTTCATGCAGATGAAATCATGACGCATCTACGGGAAACGCCAACTCCTTACAAAATAAATATAAAAAATTTAAAAAAAAAAAAAAAATAATAAAAAAATAATATCTGTGGCCAAGGTTCAAAGTATCTCTGACGCAAATCCCATGCAGCCCATCGGTTGGGTGATATCGCCGGTCATCAGTTCCCAGCTATAAATTCTGGCCCTCGTCCTGCAATCCATTCTCGTTCTGCGTATGAATTTCACTTTCTCTTCCAGAGCAAAAGCACACACAAACACAGGGCGGTGTATATAGGATAGGAGCAGTACAGTAGTACTTCCACTCACACATCCACCATCCATCGACCAAGCCAAGCAAGACCACATCCAAGTCAAAAGAAACACGAACAACTATGTTGTCCAGTGCAGTAGCACGTCCCATACAGCTCGCTTCACGCGTACTGCAATGGACCAGCGCGGTCATCGTCATGGGGATAACCTCGTATTTTATCAATAAGGGTCCTCGTGGTCAACATCTCATCTACCAGGAAGTCATCGTAAGTTATTTTCCAATCCAGGGTCCAAATCCTCACTAATGGACTGGCTACCTAACTTGCTCTCTAGTCGACCATGTCCGTCGTATTCTTCCTACCTGCATTTATCTCACCATTTATGCCCACCGCGTTGGGAAAGTTCGTGCTTCTTATCGATGTGGTCTTTTCGTATCTGTATGTCTCCCATTTATCTTTTGATACTCCCAATATATATACTAACAATCCCAGATGGCTCACGGCATTTATCTTCTCCGCCCAAGACTACAACGAGAACAGCTGCTTCTGGAACTCTCCCCCGGGTCAATCATGCTCTAAGAAGAAGGCCAATGAGGCATTCATATTCCTTGCTTTGTAAGACGTCCAAGTCTTCCCTTCCATTCCTCCTGCTTTTCCTTTATTATTATTCTACCTGATTATAATACTAACGGTGGTCTAGTATCTTCACTTTCTTCGGCATGTTCCTCGAGGTTCTTGGTCTTTGGGCGTACCGTCGAGAGAACGCCGCACCCGCCCGTGAGAAGACCGGTGGTGCTCATGGTGGTCCTGCCGATGCTCCTGTTGATGCCCCTGCTGAGTCTGCTTAAGACTTGGTCTCCTCAGTCCATGGTCCCTGGGGTTTAATATGACCCGACCAGGCAGATATATGGTTCTGTCTTGTTGCCTTGGGTCTAGCAGATCGAACCGGAGACCGGCAGTCAGTGTCAGTAATACACCATTATTTTCTATGAGGATGGTATGGTACCGGTATGATCCAGCCAGCTTAATTTATAAATTCGATGACGGTAAATGAATGACCGATATGACAAATTGATGCCTGTTTCTGTCCAGAGCGAGTGTTGGGGTGACGGATGACGGTGGTGGTGTGTATAAATGGTGCGGCTCGTGATTCTATTTCTATCCTTAATCATAATCTGATCTATCCTATATAATACTGTTCTATATGCTATTTTATACTTAACGTTATACTTCACTGTGTCGGATAATCGGAATTTGTGTGTCTTGTACTCAGGTGCCAGTTTTGGGGCATTTTATTTTATCCATACCTACGATGAAAACATGGTGAACAGTATCATTAATACTCTGCGGGCTTAGAAGAATATCAGTGATCAAATTCGCTTCGTTATGTTTGAAAAAAAAGGCCAACTGAAATACACAGGTGCTAGTTGTTGAAACCATCATGATGCAAGGCAGTAGATGTCAGATATAGATGCTCGGGATATCGTAAGTTCCTGCTGATGAAATCGGAATCTCTATGTACACACGGAGTATTTAAAACTGAAGCATCTGGAGAATTCTGACCAGCAAAAACCCTATCAGATATGTAAAATAGACTTGCTTCTCGTATAGTGCAAAGGACGCCGCGAAAAGGGGTGGGGAAACGAAATGCTCTATAACCCTATTTCTGCCTACCACATTCTCCTAAAATATTCATGAGTGTTCAGGCGATACGCTCAGACTAACATAGATCATATACTCGCTCGTCGCGGTGCCATAGTCCGCTGAAGCTTTTTCTTCTCTTCGGTCTCCTCAGGTAGGGGTAGAGAACCCTCGCTCTTGAGCTTCTCAAGGAACTCCTTTCCATAGGCATATCCAACCAGGTAGATCTCGTCAAACTTGCTAAAATCGAGAGTCCCGTACCGATCTACCGGGGGTCGCATGTATAAACAGCCAACAGTGTTTTTGGCTCGTTCGAGGTTGTCAATCGATGACACGTACGCTAGTCGTGCTTGGATCTCAGACAAAGTAGGCGGGTTGGGGCTTGACGAGAACGGGTTCCAACGGTTTATCACAGCCCAGAAGCCGGAGAGAGAGTCTCCATACCCTTGAGGCGTGTTATCATCTAGAGACCCAACGTCAACCGCGAAAATAATGTCGGCGCCCAATCCCTTCATTCGCGCCACAGTGAGGTTATCAATATATCCGCCATCAAGTAGCATGCTGCCTTCGTCGCAAATTGGGGGCATCAACCCAGCTAGCGACATTGATGCGCGTACATATCGCCAAGTATATCCAGAAGAGTGATATTCGGGTCTTGATTTACTGATGTTGGTGGTGTTGCAGTAAAATTCCAGCCAGAAGTCCTCGATCTGGCTGTCCCCAAAGGTCTTGAAGATCCCGCGATTGAACTCATGGCCGGTAGTATATGAGACTGAAGGGTATGTCAAATCCAGTGCGAAACGCCACATGCTACCCATACGTCCAGCAAACTTTTTGGCACGGCCGTACATTGGAACAACGTCGGCGTCCCGTGCATAGAGAGCCCCAATGAACGACCCGATCGAGGTGCCACCGATGATGTCGATCGGGATCCCAGCTTCTTCTATCGCTTTGATTACGCCAACATGAGCGATACCCCGGGCCCCTCCTCCTCCAAGAACAAGTCCAACTGATCTGCCACAAAGCCTACGTGCCAGGCGGTGGAAGTCACCTTTGAACGGTGCGTCTACAGAGTACAGAGGGGTTTGGCGGATTCGCCGCGAAGTGTATTTTTGGATCTCAGCCTGGAGGACTTGGACTCTTTCCTTCAGCACTGTTCCGAAGCGTTTCGTCTGATGTGACGGTTCGGCGGTCAGCCGGAAGCCCATTTGGATATGGTGATGTCCACCATTGATCCAGACACGGTTCTTCAGCCATCGTCGTGTCAGCCCAGGAGAGCAGTACCGCTCTGAATGCAACAAGACTAGCTCTTTTCTAGCAGTTGTCTTCATTCCAAGCAGGAATCTCTCGTATTCTCCAATGCTGGACGAGGAATCAGCAAGGCCAACAAGCAAGATGCAATCTGCTTGCGTAATACATGTTTGCGTCCATGGTGCATTGACGGTCGTATCTGCGATATACAGAACCATCCCATACTTCTCCTCGAGATCGGCTAAATACTGTGACAGCTTTAGCTTTCCCATTTTGCTAAAAGCGTGCCGCCCCAGGTGATTCAAAATAGCTGCTTGATTGAGGGATGTGACACCGTTCGTCACACTGATTTGATGAAGGGCATTCAGCAGTCGGTGACCAAATTCAACAACCGGCACCCCGGTTGTAATTGGGAGGATGCATACGGTGCGGAGGTTGACAGTTGAAGTCGCAGTTTTAATACTGCCGGCATTGCTACGTTCATTTCCTTTCTCAGACGGCGGATGCTCCACCAGATCGCGCATTCTTTCAGCGATGAGCTTGGAGACTTGGATAGTAATCCCAGGGTGCTCCTGTGCAAGGCTGTTAAATAAACTTCTAGGAAACTTCGCCAATTCAGTGTCCCGGATGGCATGGAGGGTGCCCGGGCGAGTCGACTCAGTCATAACTTCCAGTTCACCCACGCTTTCCCCTTGGCCATATTCGCCAACAACAGTGATCTTGCCTCCAGCACCTTCAAGAACCGACCGCAGACGGCCATTAAGAACAAGATATATAGCGTCACTCTCGTCACCTTGATGGTATATGACCTGACCCGCTCCTACTTGTACCCACTCGAGGGCGAAGTCGATGTGGAGAAGCAATCGTGGCAGGAGACTTATCAACCGCTTCGCCAGCGTTAAGAGGGCGATGGGATACCTCTCCGCTATTCTCTCCAGAGATGCTCGCGGGAGGAATCCCACGTATACGTCTGTTTTGGCAACAACATCGGTATGAGACCTGTAGGATGCAACCGCTCCTACATATCCTTGAATACCACCAGGTTTGATCAAATAGAGCGAGTTTCGAGATTGTCTCTTTCGTTTAGGGTCACTGGCTGGAGCCGTCCCGCCCGAGACGCGAGATGAACCAGTTGTGGTCCGCCTAAGCGTTGGAAAGAACTCCTCACGGGATTGTAAATGTGTCGGTCTGGAGGCTCCGACGAGGTCCTCCCCTTTGTCGCATATAGGTACTCCCACATCCAAAAATCCATCAATCACATAATACAATCCTGGGTGACGCTCCCCCTGTTCTACTAACACTGATCCCTGTGGGAAGTAGACAATTTCAATGTCATTGCGAAGCTCCTCTCTCAAGCCAATGATAGGTGACGTCCCACCGGCGCTGGTAACCGACATTGACATCATGGATTCTGTCTCACCATCCGCAGATCCGTCGTATGGGTCAATAAACCCGAAAGCGTTATTTGAGAACACGGCTTTCTGGCGCCTAGAATCGTAGGAGAGAAGCTTAGGCGATACATCCCCGGAATGACTGCTCTTGCGCAAGAAGTCACGGGTGCTTCCACTGAGGCCGATGCCCTTCATAATACAATCCAAGATGGATTCCCGGAACAGAGCGTCTTCATCAACAGACTCCTTTCGGTGGAAGGGAGAAGCACGTATCGGCATGATAGGGGATCGGAAAGGGGAGGGCTCGCTTTCTGCAAAAGGGCTGTACAACCTAGGAGCTAGATGTTCATATCTAGGGCCAAATCTAGAAAGGTGGATTGTAGACAGGAGGTCTCCAGGGCTTACTCCAGCCATCTCACGCTCATTGGCGGTGCTGTCATTGGGAAGGACAGAGGTAGCACGTTTTGGAGCTGCTGTCATCTTTGCGTGAAGAGCGGCTTCTTTTCTTAGGAAACTATTCGACCTGTTTCTTCCTCCGCTTGAAGGATTATGCAACGCTATTCCTTTGGTGACTTCCTCGGGCCCCAAGCGGTCTCGTTCCTTTATGAATTTATCCTTAAGCCGGTCCAAAGCCGCTCCGCGCATATCATTTGGTAAGTCATGGGTCGTGAATTTTGTCATTTGCTTTTCAATACCCAGTACCTCGTTTGTAAGACCCAGATAGGAATGGGCCGTTGCAAATGTTACCCTTTGGAGCCGCGTAAGGATGACCTGTACAATGTGTGCAGTCGCTTTTGGATAGACCCGTGTCAAGCGCCGAAATGCACTGGCTGGGATGATCGCGATGGTTGTGTCTACCATTGCTCGCGCAACAATATCTGGGTGCACTGACTTTCTGCGCCTCGTTTTCCGCTGCTTCCCTGCATCAGGCAAAGAGTCATGGTTCGGTGCTGCATGACTTTCTTCAAGATTCAAAGGGGGCACCGAAGGTAGGAAATCCTCATTACCTTTAAGTTGTGAATCAGATTCGTGACGATCTCTATTGGTGCTAGGAGAAGGGCTGTCGCTCAAACCCCGAGGACTGGTGGGAAGAGACCCAGTTCGCCGGGCAGTAGTCTGGCCTACGCTGGAGGTACTGGAGGCTAAGCTGTCGGAGTTTCGCAACTGGATATCTTCCGTAAACAGCGACAGGATGGAGAACAAGGAAGACATCGAAGCTCCGTTTTTGACTTCGGTGAGAAGCTGGTATCCTTGCTTCCCATCGATATCATGATCATCCTCCCCGGAAGATTCATGCCCCATGCGATTTGCGTCATCTTCTGCGATAGGTTTCCCATCTCGAATGGATTTCACGAAGATCTGAACCAGCCCATCCACGACTAGACAAAAACCCTTCTCTTCCTCCAGTAAGAGTGTTTCGCCTGCGATCAATTTCCGAGTCTGCATTGTCCGGGTCAATTCGTGGAACACGGGTCGTTCCAAATATCCAAAGACCTTAATGGCACTCAGGAACTCATCCAAGTAATTGGCCAGGCCTGGTTTCGAATCACCCTCTTGGACGTCGGGAAAGAGATCAAGTTGAGGTTCCTTGCGCTGGGGCTCGGGAGGCAAGCGACTGTACATGTTCAGGAACCGATATCTGATGAACCAGCTGATAGTTGACATAACAGCCAATAGGATTAACAAGCTACGAGTCCATTGATCTACTAGTCAGCGCAATTGTCACGATTGGCCGAGTCACAAATAAAACTATGGCCGCAGGAAACATACAGAGTCGTGAAGTTCATGGTGAAGGTCAAACTCATGGAAAAGAGCGTAAACAGCCATGTGGGCAAAGTAATCGTCGAAAATGTGATAACCCAATATAAAACACTTGGGATGACTTGGAAAGCGAAAGAAAACACCCAACCGATCCACCCCACCATGGTTGACGGAGTTGGAGGGGGCACTAGTGGGGGTGGAAGATGAGAATTAGGAAAGGGTGAGGGTACAATGAAGTTGGCGGTTATGGCAGGAGCAGGTGAAGAGGCAGACAGAGAGGAAGCTGAGGGGAACAAGGAAGACTCGAGCAAACCGACGAAGCCACTGGCGGCCATGACGCCGGAGCCTGGATGAGCGCCCAAGCCGCGACGCTAAACAGCTGCAGCAGTCAAATGAGGGGTCAAACTCCGCCCAGAGGCCTCGCGTTCAAGAAAGCGGCGGCGATAACGGTTTCGGAGGTGGTGAGGTCACTGCAATCAGCATATCCAAATGAGCCGAAACGTGCACGCGAGTGCTCTTTTGGCTGGCTGTTCAACCCAACTGACTTTGGACGGAGAGCGGAGGACAGCAGAACTCAGGCACCTTGCCTAATCCAGCAGGTATGTAACGCCGCCTTGCGTGGCCCCTGGAGAATTCCATTACATCATCGTCCTGAAGAGCTATTGTATTAACTAACCATCGGATACTACATTCCATACGTCAAGACACTGGGCAACAATGAACAACAGTCATTGCCTTGTAATAAAAGCGAATATATTAGTTGTCTGACTAGCATTATTCTATAAGTTTTATATAAAGCAGGATATTGCTCAGAATTTGCCACCAAATGCTATTCAAGATACTTACGGGGGATATGGAATTTTAGTCGTTTATTTACTAAAAGGAGCATAAGCACAAAGACCTAGGCTATAATACTCCTACGTCTTATTTCTAAGCGTGTAGAGAGAATATTTAACGACACTGAATGGAATACGTAGGGGTGTGTTTAGTATACGTCTCGCCCCTATCAGGAGAAATACTGCCAGTGCATCTCCACGATCATTTTTCTACCCGCTCCGACTTCTTGGCCGCCTAATAAGTCCTTCATTAGCCTCTCTTACGCTTCCTTCCGTCTCCCTTTACCACCTGCTTCTTCTACTAATCTTCGCTTATCGCCTTTTTACTTTCTGTCTTTCATTTATCTATATAGTTGTGGCCTTGGCTCACAGGCCCGCCACGGTCATGTTTCAGGTACTGTATTTGCTATTGATACTTCCAACGGAGCACTGCTAGTTACTCCTACATTGGAGTTGGAGCCGCGGTGCTAATATTTGTTCCTGTCTCACAGCGCCTCCGCGAGGCGATCGATTCTCGAATTGCAGAGGAACAGGCTCGTCAAAAGTCTGCCCAGGATTCTTTATCCCGCTCCAACTCCGCCCGTCATCCGAGCAGTCGCAATCTGTCCCCTAGCAGACGAACTAGCCGTCCGAGACGAAACACCGGGACCCCCGTCCGTAGCCCTGATCCGAACGAGTTTGAGCCCGAGTTCGCCATTGGAGATGATGAAGGATCCAGCAGATCTGCTACTCCACAACAAGAATCCGCAAATAGTCCCCATAGCACGCCGGAGGAAAGTGCCGGGATAGACAAGTCCTCCGTGGAGGAATCACCCAATGGAAAGGATGCGGCAGCTACCTCGGAGACCAAGCAGTTCCCTTCGGAACTACCCCCGGAAATTAAGGTGAAATTGCGGAAGTTGAGCAAGTTGGAAACGCGGTATCAGGGTATCGGACATTGTTGCAAATTATATATGTGCTACGATACTGACATCTTCTGTCGCAGAACTTCTAAAGGCATACCGAATGGCACATTCGCGCGTGCAAACCATCGAACCATTTGAGGCCGCGCTTCGGGAAAACACTCCCTTAACCTCGATCGGCGATCCTAAAGCTCTGACCGAATACTTGAATCAAATTTCATTGAAGGGCGACATGGTACTAGAGGAGCTGAAACGAGTCACAACTGAGCGGGATAACTATAAGAAAAAGTTGGAGGATGCACACGAATCTGCGAAAGCCGCCTGGGATGAGGTTACCAATTTGAAAAAAGACGGCAAACAAGGCGAAGAGGATTCCGCTCCGCAAACTGACGATGGCTTGGCTGTTGACACCTCCGCCACAGTTACACCCTCTCCTGATTCTGCCGTGCAGTCGCCGACACCCACCTCTGCTTCTCACGCGAAGGGTATCGCTCAACTTTTCTCTCCGAAGCAAGATTCGGCTAAATCATCCGAACCACGACAAGAAAGCGAGGAGTTCTTTTCGTTCGACACTGAGCTCCCACGATTGGAGTCTGAATTGAAAGAGAAGCAGGAGGAGATCGAAAGGCTGAAGGCTCAAACTGAGACACTCAAGCGCGACCTCTCGGTGGCACGCGAGTCGACAGAAGGAATGGTTAATAATCTCGAAACCGCAACTCGGGAGCTTGGTGAATTGCGCGATAGCAAGGATAGACAAGACTCCGAAATAGAGACGCTGAAGTCTTCCAAACAAGAAGAGATTTATGGGCTTAACGCTAAGCTCGCAACGTTGGAACAGGCCTTGGGGAACGCAGACACTGAAGCCAAGAAACTGAAGGATGAGTTGAAGCAGAAAACTGATGAAATAAACCAGCTTCAAGCCCAGTCTACGCAATCTGAAAAAGCCGATGAACAGCCGGAACTTCTGTCACAACTCGAAGAAGTAAAACAGAAGAAAGAGGCTAATGAAAAGAAGCTAGGAGTATTGCAGGGCTTAGTAGACAGTCTTCGGTCCCAGCTCAAGACCACTGAAGAATCAATGTCAACTGTAAAGGCCGATATGGATCAGAAAACCAAGGACCTTAATAAGCTACAGAGTGTCGTTGATTTCTTAGATGATAATTTGAAAGACAACGACAAATGGAAGCAAGCGAAGGAACAGGCCCTGAGTGGGCAAGAACCTAATTTTGGCGAGCTTCGAGAGAGTTTTGCGCCTTCACCAAAAGGCGTCACAGTGAATAATCAGACCTCTCGGCCACATAATCAGTCAAATGGCACTGCAGGAGGTGCTATCGCTGGCAAAAAGAAGAAGAACAAGAAGAAGAAAGGTGGCAAAGGTGGCGACGATGCAGGCAAGGCAGAACCTGTTGCAGGAATCGAGGATATGCAAACACCATCGGCAGATCTTGATCAGAATACTGCGAAGTTGGATGAACTCCAATGTAAAATTGAGTCATTAATGAGCCAGTTAGAAGAGAAAGAAGCAGCTATTGGCCGCCTTAGCTCAAAACTAAAAGGCGAAGAGGATTTGAAGGAAGAAATAGAGTCTCTTCGTGATGACTTGCTTAATATTGGTCAAGAGCATGTTGAAGCAAAGGACAAGATCAAGGAGCTTTCTGCGGAAAAGAGCGCTTTGGAGACTACCATCTCCAAATTAGAGAAAGAGCTAACCGAACTGCGCACAAATCATGCATCCAAGAATGCGGACTCTGAAATAGCGCACAATAGCTTGAAAGATGAGTATGAAAACCTCAAGGCCAAATATACCTCGATTGAAACGGAGCTCGCTGTTGCTCAGCAGCTGGCCACAACCCGGTTCAAAGACCTTACAGACCTGCGTGAAACTGTTCAGAAGCTGCAACCGGAGCTGAAAACACTGCGAGCTGAATCTTCAGAACTCAAATCTACCAAAGAAGCCTTGGCGAGTAAAACAGCAGAATTGAGAACCCTGGAGAGTAAGCAAGAGGATTTGCGAGCAGAGCTAAAAGTGCTCAAGTCTACCATATCGGAGAGAGACACTGAGGTGAAGACGCTTAACCAGAAGATTAGGCAGGAAATGGACAATCGCTTGAAGGCTGAGGAAAGGCTAACCCTAGCCCAATCCGACTTGCGGTACTCGGAGAGCAAAAAGCAAGAAGCCGTGGAAGCAAAGGAGAGGGTTGCTGGCGACCTTTCTAAAGCACAGGAGGACCTGAAAGCCGCTCGAACCCGACTCCGGGAAGTTGAAAATCAAGTAACCAACTTGAATAAAGAACTAGAAGGTCTACGGGAAGAAATTCAGCTCAAGACTGCTCAGCATGCCAGCGCACAGAGTTTGATGAATAGCATGCGTGATCAAAGCGCTGAAATTGGGATGCAGATGAAAGAAGCGAAGGAACGTTGTGAGAGCTTGGAGGAAGAATTGGCAGATGCTCACCGCTTGCTAAGCGAACGGACCAGAGAGGGAGAAACGATGCGGCGTCTATTGAATGATATTGAAGGTCGTTCAGAATCTAAAGTGCGTGATTTCAAGGAACGGATGGAGGCCGCTATCGAAGAGCGTGACCGGGCCGAGGATGAGGCAAGTACCCAGGGCCGACGCCGAGCAAGAGAGTTAGAGGAGCTGAAGGGTAAAGTTCGAGAAGCAGAGAGAGCTCTACGGAGCGCGGAGGAAGACAGAGAAGAACTGGAGCGTTCTCAAAAGGAGTGGAAACGCAGACGTGATCAGCTCGAAGCCCAGTCCGAAAGCTCTGTGCAGGAACTCAATGATATCAGGCACGCAATGGCACAACTACGCGACACACTGGACGAAACCGAAAAGCAAGTTCGTGAGTTGGAAAAAGAAAGGACAGAGTTACGCCGGTCTGTAGAGGAGGCCAATGCTCGCTTAGAGAAAATGCGCAAGTCTAATAGGATTCTATCCGACGAAGCTCGCCTGGGCCAAAATCCTCAGTCATCACGGTCCTCGATCGATTCCGGCTCAAGAAAAGCGCTTACTTCCCCAGTACCCAAGGATCGAAGCCTAACAGCCCGAACAAGTGAAACAGGTAGTAGCGGTAACATCGATTACGTTTATCTAAAGAACGTGCTCCTTCAGTTCTTGGAACAGAAGGACAAGAACTACCAGAAACAGCTCATCCCTGTGTTGGGGATGCTACTGCATTTTGATAGGTAAGCCTTTGCTTCCATATTACAACATGCGGCCATACAATGGCTAATGATAATTGAAGAACGGATGAGCAAAAATGGATGTCGGCTATAATGTCCAAATAGTTTCCACATGGTTTCACATTGAGCCATCCTAGCATATATTTGTAATAATATTTGGGTACATACTCACATGGCTTTAATCTTTATTACCTCCAGAAATACCCCACATTAAGAATGACAGTTTCGGTGCGCATGTCACCGGCAGGGCGTCATGGTGGTACTGCAGCCCCAGTCACTTTTATAAAGTGGGGTGGTCTTCCGTAGATTCCCATTGCTTCATTTTTCCCTGCAATAAGGCCCTCGATACTCATTCGACACACAAGAATCCTTCTACTTGGTGATACAGTTCAATCACAATGTCAGATCAATCTACCATCCGACTTGCATCTCCGGAAGGCAAGTTGTTCCCCCTTCTCTCCCGTCTTTCTCTCTCCCGGCATTAAGCCCCCCACATCGCGTACCCAGCTGTTCGTAACTAACCGACCGTTAGATGTCCCTTATATCCTCCAATTCATCCGAGAACTTGCCGATTATGAAAACGCCATCCACGAAGTCGAAGCCACGCATGAATCCCTCTTAGAAACTCTATCATTCCCCGATACACCTCCGAAACGAGGTGCAGCGTATACTGCACTCGTCATCCCACCTGCCAGCTCGGACAACCCAAGTCCGAAGCCAGTAGGAATGGCCATATTTTTCTATAACTATTCGACGTGGCGCTCCCGGCCGGGAATCTATCTCGAGGACCTATATGTTCAGCCCAGTGCGCGCGGAAATGGATACGGATTTAAGCTGCTTAAATACCTAGCCGCCAAAGTGTTGGAAGTCGATGGGCGACGATTGGAATGGATCGTTCTGAAATGGAATGAGCCCAGTATTAAATTCTACAAACAAGTTGGGGCTAAACCTATGGATGAATGGATGAAGATGATGGTTGAGGGCCCAGCATTGCGTACCTTGGCGGAAGATCTATGACCGGTTTTCTTCGGGTAGTTCATTTTTTTTAGTTTTTTTTTTTTTTTTTTTTTTTTTTTTTTTTTTTTTTTTTTAATTGATTCCACGCTTTTAGACAACTTCGATATATTTTCTACTTGGGATCTTCAGGGTAGAACTGCAATGCTGCGTTAGATATGATAATAGCATGGATTAGTATTTGGGGAACATCGCAATGAAAGTCCGTTTAGTCAAATTGGTAATAAAGTCAATAAATCCGGGTAAAAATAAACCACGCGTATTTTAGAACTAAAGGCTACACCTGCAGCTGATATGGCACCCGTGATTTTCCTACTTACGTACAGAGTAGGCGGGCAGTATGGAGTATGCTGGATAATGACTAGACTATTTTGAGGCTAAACCACCAACAGGGTTAACCCTACAAACAAGCTTCATCGTGACGTCGTCATTTTGGAGCTGTCACTCCGACCGCATCTTACAGCTATACCCCTTTTCTATCCCAGTTAGTTTCCCACAGATGCGACAACTTCTAGGTCGTTAATAGTTGGGAATTATTTGAACCTATGGATAAATAAAATACACTAATCTCTCTCTGGTTTCTGACATGTCTTCTACATATCCTAAGGATGCTGGGAATCCCAAAAACAACGATGTCGACTACGTCATTCAATTCAGCTTCGGTGATATCAGTGGGTTCTTGCTGCACTTCTAATTTGACAAAATCTGATTATACTAGATTCCGATCAAGCAATTTCGAAACTAGAATTACTTCTTCGAAGACTGTCTGAAGTAGGACTGCAGACGGAATTGAGAGAGGGGGATGAGTTTTCTCTACTTGTCTTCGTCCGCTTATCAAGTAAAAGACGTCTTAAGCATGCGGTTTACCAATCACGGTGAGCATTCCAACAATCACGGACAAACTCAACCCCCTACCAAAATATTCCACCTACTGACACGACTTTGGCCAGCATACGCGACTGGCTTTACGGAGTCAGCAACACCGAACCCGAATCGGAGAGCTCTGCCGAACCCAAAAGCGAGTCCGAACGTCTACGCGTCATTTACCATATGATCACGGTGCCAAGGGAGGCAGGCGGCGCCGGCATTAGTCCGAAACATGGCGAGTGGGAGAATGTGCTTTCTGTCTTTCCCCTACACGATGTCGAGACAAATAGACGGTGTATGAGAGACTGGAGCAGGAAAACATTCTTGTCCCCGGAGGACTTGGATCAGATACGGAACACATTCGGAGAAAGTGTAAGTGAAACGGCTCAGGAGATAGAGCGTGAAACGCTCACAATTTCGCTATGCAGGTTGGGTTCTATTTTGCATTCTTACAGTCATACTTTAAATTTCTGCTATTCCCTGCAGTGTTTGGATTCTCTTGCTGGCTACTACTAGGTTCCTACTCTATTATATACACTGTGATTAACTCCCTGTGGTGTATCATCTTTATCGAATACTGGAAACGTCAAGAGGAGGAACTCAGTTGTCAGTGGCAGACGAAGGGCGTTTCGGCCGTCCGAGCGAAGAGAAAGCAATTCCTACCAGAAAATGAGGTCCGAGACGAAAGCACTGGAGAAATTCGAGGTGTGTTCCCTGCAACACGACGAATGTACCGCCAGCTACTCCAGGTTCCATTCGCGCTAGTCGCCGCAATTGCTTTAGGTATAATTATTGCAACATGCTTTGCCATTGAAATATTTATTTCTGAGATTTACAATGGACCTCTCAAAACATACCTTGTTAGTTCAGAAACGCCCACATGGATACTAATTGTGTATCGGCTAATAGGTCAGGTTTTTATTCCCACCATCTTGCTTTCCGCTCTCATCCCAACCATGAGCACGGTCCTGATATCTGTCGCGACTAAGCTCAATGACTATGAAAACTACGAGACCCAGCCGGCATATGACGTGGCATTAACACAAAAGATTTTCGTGATTAATTTTATTACGTCATACCTTCCAATCTTTCTCACAGCCTTCGTGTACGTTCCATTTGCCAGTCGTATAGTTCCCTATCTCGACATTTTCCAGATGACTGTTCGGCCATTTGTATCCAGGGAGAATGCTGCAGCATTGCGCACAGAATTCAGTATCGACCCCGATCGTCTACGGAAGCAGGTCATCTATTTCACGGTTACTGCTCAAGTTGTCAACTTCGCTCAGGAAGCTATTCTTCCTATCGTGAAACAGCGTCTCCTTCGTGAATACAAGGAATATATGAAAAAGCGTTCTGCGAAGCCTGATACAGACAGTGATTCCGAAGCGAAGAAGACGCCAGCAGCTTCAGTTGACGATGCCCCGGAGGAAGCTGAGTTTCTGAAGCGTGTTCGCAATGAGACAGAACTTGAAGAATATAACGTCACTGAAGATTTACGAGAAATGTGCATCCAGTTTGGGTACCTTGCACTCTTCTCGCCCATCTGGCCGCTTGTTCCCGTCTCGTTCTTAATTAACAACTGGGTGGAGCTTCGGTCGGACTTTTTCAAAATCTGCGTCGAATGCAAAAGACCTTGGCCTCAACGTGCAGATACCATTGGACCCTGGCTTGAGAGCTTGGGCTTTTTATCCTGGGTGGGAAGCATAACCAGCGCTGCTTTGCTGTACATGTTCAGCACCGGCCATGAAGGCCCAAACGGAGAACCAACAACGATTCAGGGTTGGGCCCTACTATTGACGATATTTTTCTCTGAGCATCTATACCTCATAGTGCGTTATGCGGTGCGAGCTGCCATGTCCAAGCTTGAGCCACCAAACGTGCGTAGGGAACGGTCAGAGCGCTACATGTTGCGAAAGCGTTATCTTGATTCGACAATAAGCACTAGGATCAGTGACGATGAAGAAGACGATGATGTGACATGCGCAGACCAGTCTCCGAAAGTTTCGCAGATTAGTCGGGAAACTCTTGAAGATGATGTTAGAGAATGGTCTCGTCGTGGAACGGATAAGGAACGGTTCTGGATGCGACAAAAAGGATGGAGAGAATCGGCCCAGGTTGGTTCATGCATCATTCAGGCAATGTCAAACATAAAGGAGGATACGAAAAAGCAACAGTGAGGCAGCAATAGTTTAAGAGTCGGAACATCCCATTGAGAGGCCGAGTTGGCCTGCATATTTCACATATTAGTGTGTCCAATTAGGGGGGAATTGAAGTTAAGCTTTTGTTTTTACATTTTCAGGTCCTTCATAGAGCCTCACCGTATTGCCGCTGTTGAAGGTTCTACCAGTAGCTTGGGTAGATACGCAACATACTAAATATATATTCGCTTAATTACTAAAATAAACATAAGATGTGCCAAAATAATGACTACTTTAGATGAGATTATAAGTAATTCTGAGCAACTACGCTGGTAAAAAGGCAGATTAACTAGAATCCACCTGGGCATTAAAGCTACTATAGAGATTCCAGCAGAGTAGTTGAAACCGTTATTTAATTGCCTTGATTAATCAATCATACCAACTCAGGGTGGAAGCATAATTCATCTACCGGAAAAAGTAATGCATTGTTTCTTATAGGCAAAAGGTTGTTTAATGTCTTAATATGGAATTTCCGAATCTGAAAGTAGCACTATCCCGGGTAGGAAATAAATAACGACTGGATAAGCCTGCTACAGGAATATTCCCTCCGTACGGAGAAGTGGTACAGTTAAAACTGCGGAGTAACTACGGATAGTTACTCCGATAGTTATACGCTGTTAACTAGTTAGTTAAAAGTAAAGTGTCGCTTACAAATCACAACTAATGAGCTCGGAGATAAAGAAGTAGTCCCCTTACTTCCGAAGTACGATTTACGGTATGAGATACGGTCATGCTAAGGGTGGTCAAGAATATGTAGGTACCTTGAAGTGCAAGAGTTTGAGCCTGGGACATTTTTCTTCTATTCGCCCTGCTTCTTCTGTATTTAATGGTAGAGGTATATATATATATACTGTCAATGGTGAAGTAGTTTGGGGAGTACTTCGTACGGAATAAGTGGTGGGGAGCATTCAAGTGGGGATCAGAAGACAACTGTTATGAAAGCAAATACCCAATAAGAGTATAGTCGTGGAGTACATCAGCTGATGTATTAAGAGGTTATGTATTAATGAATTCTTGCTATTAGACATATTGGGTTTAATCCTAGTTACCTCTCATCACCCCTTTATCATAACGTGACCAGTCAGCTAGTTAGCACATGCCAGCTCAGTCAGCAGCGGTTGGGGGCGGAGGCTGCGGGGCTGAACTAAGTTCAGTCATTAGATTACTCCGAAAATACCGCACAGTATTAATACAGAAGACGGACTATGTGCTAGGTGAGAGCAAACAGAAGTCTTTCATAATTCTGAGATATTTTTGCTTGTATATATTCAGCTATAGATAGATACTTTTTAAATAGTTTTCTGAATCTATTTCTGTCTATATAACAAAGATAGGCAAACCAATACGGCCTTCTATTCTTTACCAAGAACCTCGGCGAAAGAGTGGCGTTATCTAGTACTGCTCTGTGACGGGAACTACTAAATCCAGTCACCGCCCATATCCGGTATGGGAATTTTCCTCCGGGTGCCGAATCAGTTCCAATGAATTCCAGCCACCCGCCCAACCCACATTTCCTTCTCACGTCACGTCTGACTGATCTTTTAACTAATCTTTCCCTCCCCATCTCCCTCTTCCTGCTTACGAGATCATCCCCAGTTATCCATCACCAACAGTACGTACTAGTCAGCATCATAAACCCCCTCGTTAAGTACTAAGCTGCCCGAGTATCATCTGCTTACCTCATCTTCTCCCTCGCTCGACATCCTCATCTACTACACATTCTCCGCCTCTCTCTGGGAAATACTGTAGCTAGCCTAGCTACATTTGACATCCCCTTGTTCGCCTTGAATTGATTTGTATCGCGTCGTTCCTCGGGCGCGTATTTGTTGCCTCTTAGGATTTCATACTCTCGATGCAGCCTACACTAGCCCCAGCACCGCATCCAAGCATGCAAACTTCTGCTCAGGTAAGCAGCCTATACTTCTCGCGGTTTGTCATCAGATCGCCTTTTCTTTAGTCCTTCCATCGTCTACGCGATTGGAGCTCAGGTTCTTCTCCGGCCTGTTGCTCTTCGCTTAGAAAGCATGATTCGGAGACCCTGGTTTCCATGATGGATGACGAGAGCTGCCTTGCGGGTCGCGCGTCAATAGGATCGGCTTGTATTTATTCGGAAGCAAACACTAATGTCAATTTTCCTATAGGACCATGCTGATCAGGGTGAGTTACCTGCCTGCGCGATCATACCTGTTGAAGAGGAAACGCGTTTTTATATTTTTTTTTTTTTTTTTTGGTCAATTGCGCGTGCGCAGACTGCCACCGATGGCATGGAGTTTTTGATATATTACATTTATCAGTGGGTTGAAGCTAATAGTACAAACAGTGCTCCATGATCAGCTATTAGCTGCTCATCAGCATCTGTCGCATTCACAGCAAGCTCGTCCGCAAGCCCCTGCCGCACAACCTCCCCACATGCAACCCAACACGACAAGTCCTCGCGACCAAAACAATATTGATCCAGCGATTTCCGGGGCAGCCATGCTTAGTGCTCCACCCCAGACTCCTCCCCAACCAGAGCCTACAGGGCAAGAGTCTCCTAAGACGTACGGCAAGCGACCATTGTCTACCTCCAAGCGTGCCGCCCAAAACCGTGCGGCGCAGGTACGTGTACTATAGATATGACAGTGTAAAGGCCTCACTAATTTGAGTAGAGGGCATTCCGACAGCGCAAAGAGAGCTACATTCGCAAGTTGGAGGAGCAAGTGAAGGAGTTCGACCGTATGTCGGATGGCTACAAAGCCCTGCAGACTGAGAACTATCAGCTCCGAGAGTACATTATAAACCTGCAGTCTCGGCTATTGGACTCTCAGGGCGAGGTCCCAGAACTGCCAGGAAATATCGATCTAAGCCAGCCGCGGGCGGACTTAAATGTCGCGCCCCATGGCACTGGCGCTGCATCGGCCGCTTCTGGACCTGCGTCCTCGTCGACAGGCCCTCAACAATCTCAGCCTAACCAGAATCAGGCTGCCGCTTCTAATGACGACATGAATTCTCTGAACCGTATCGCGGTTGCTGGTCTCGGAATGCGCAAGCATCCCAACGAAGAGGCGAATTACTTGGGGAACAACTTTGCAGCCCGCCGCACTCGCGCGGACGAGCATCAACATGATGGTTCAGAGACGACCAAGACGGAGCCTACACATGGGCTTCCTATCGTATCATGAGTGAACAGCATATCTTTACCTTATTGTCGGAATATGGCTTTGCTCTTTAGTTTTCTTCTTTGATATCATTAGGACTTGTTACTTATTTGATTTATTATGGGCGCCTTTCTCGCTCCTTTCTATACTCTTGTGCTTTAGTTTTTCTGGTGTATGGCGTGATATTAATAGGTTCTAATTTCTGGCCTTGGAGAGGCGGTATTCTGCGTTCTTGTGCTTGTGGTTGAAATTGCCACTTCACTTTATAGTCTCGATACTGATGAGGATAAGGCAATGGTTTCTAATGCCGGAAGTGATTTCTTAGCGAATCCTTCGTAAACACACGGTTGGCACCCGCAGAACGCTTGCCATGGCCCAATTATTGCCCGTCGTTTCCACAGACGGTCTGGGACGTTGTTGAGGCATGTATCGAGATTTACCTCTTTAGTTCGCATTTACTATGATTCGCAGGGTTTGATATAGCAACGTGAACACCCATACAATTTAAAGCACAGGAAACTTGGGAATCCTTTTAAATATTCGTTAATGCATATTATCTATCCTGCTAGGAGTTCCGCAGATTCAGACACTGGGCTATCGGCAATCATAAACCAAAATTCAAGCACTTTAAAAAGAGGATATCAAACGTCTTGATCAAACAGATCCAACATAATGGGGCGAGACAAGGAGAATTTGAGGAGATCGAAAGAAAGAAAGAAAAAAGCCGGGAATTTATGGTTGCCAAATTGACCGACAAATCGGACATGTTGCCAAAGTATCATATCTTGTTCTGCAAGATTGGATCCAGTTGTCCATACAGTTTTTGTGGAAGTTCGATCCACATTGTGCTTTGCACCATACCAGCTCTTTGTTGTGCTCGTCATCATCTGGTATGTCATCTTGCTGTTCCGACTCTGAGGACGCTTCGCTGTCTGGATCTGGGGTATCAGAGTTCGTTTCGTACCAGACTTCCCGGTCTTCTTCTTCGTCTTCTTCATTTCCGGTGGACGGTTGGTTGATATGAGATTGGCCTTGTTCCTGCATTGATTGCATACAGATACTACAATTCCCTTCCACGCATCGTCGGGTAGTCAGGGTCTGGACGGGAGTGACGGATCTCGTGGCATGCGTGGTTGTTGAGGCAGTTGAGGTGTTTCGAGTGCTGCCAGACTCTGTTTCTATGGCTGATGTGGTCTCACTGAACCTTTGTCGGCTGCTGACAGTCGAAGTCGATTCTTCCTGGTCAGTCGAGATCCGCGCCGTCCTGTCTGTGTCGATGCTTGCTCCCGTGCGGGGCCTGATGCTTGGAGATTCTCTCCGTCGCTGGGTCTGTGATGGAGACGAGCTAGATTGGCTTTGACGGCTCTGTTGGTCACTGGAAGTTTCTCGCGAGCGAGTCATTCTTGGAGTCTCTGGCCGCATATGCCTTTGGGCCATCCGGTCCTCGACAGGGGCAGAGCGCCGTGCTGGGGAAGCAGCAGCAGCAACCCTGATTTGGGTGGCTTGAAATTTGCAGATTTGTAACCGCCAATTCGAAGATAGATCCGAAGCTTGATATTGGTGGAACCTCTTGCAAAGGACCAGGGGTGCCAGTTCGTCGAGCAAATTATCTATGCGCTGTCCCGCACAAAACCGCCTAGTGCATCGTTCAAGGAGACCACAGGCGTAGTTACGGTTTTCCTTATTTATTACATTTCTGCATTGACGTCCCTTCGTATGGGCATAGCCAACACAATGATTATCCTCTTTTGGATAGAGATTGAGAATCTCGGAAAGAAGGCACGGCGAAGAGTAAGCCATTTAGAAGTGGAAATGTGAAAAAAGATAGGTGGAAGTTGAGTAGACACTGGGATTATGAATTGGCTGATTGGCTTAGGAAAGTAAAAGGCTGATCCGGAGCTGATGCTTTCTTTCGCCCACCTCACCTGAGGATTAAGGCCTTTAAATAATCTAATGTTCCTTCAACAGAAGAACAGAAGAGACCATACTGATCTAATTATGGCGCAATTGTGGCTGATACCATGGAATGACTCTACCCTTCCCCTCTCCGAGCAGATTTGATGTTCGAGGCTTAGCACCAGGAATGCAGGGGGGGGAAGGGGGGGCCGCACTTCTCATAGGTCTACATGACCTTTCAACTAAACGATTCGTTCAGAGATACTACGAAAAGACGGCTTGAGACACCACATCAGGAACGGAGCGAACCGTCCTCCGTAAGGCGCAGCCATTAATTAATCTAGCAGGGTCAGGGTTCGAATGGAGCTCCCCTCGATTCTCAGTGGTGCAGTCATACAGGGGGAAGATCGCATGGAGACCATTGGTCTTGCTAAGACTCCGGTGGAATGCTAATGCACTTGCGGCAACTGAAAATAGCTGCGTAGCAGCGTTACATCGCATTGACAGATGCTCTGTTAAGCGCTCTTCTCTAGGCTACTTCTTTATCATATCTGCCACGAGGCTGTGCTTTTTTTGGAGCATGTGGCTAAATGATTGTACACTGCGTCAGTCAACTACGGGTGGAAAGGCCAAAAAATAATAATGGAGCCTTAGAAGTTGTAGTCTTGCAACTGCGATACAGTATAGACTTCAGTGATTAGCTTAAACAAATCAAGCCCTTTGGAATACCCACCTAGACGCTGTATTAAAGAGTCCCTTTCACTAATGGTAGCAGTCATGTATGCATAGGACAACCTGATTATCAGCTAAATGGAGGAATGCGTTGTTTTTAGACACTTGGGGCCTAAGAATTTAAATTGTGTGTATAAGTATCAATCTTCTTTAATTCTCCTGGTTGATTTTTGCTTGCAGCGTGATGGGCTAGCCCTACGGTCGCACTTTAGTGGGATTTTCCATTGTTGTTTTTGAATTCATGATTATTTCTTTGTTTACCCCACTCCTTTCTTTAGACCACGTTCTTTATTTCTGGCCTCACTAACTTGCCCCCATCACCTACGCCTTATATCCTTAGCCATGGCCCTGTAATGATAATTGGTGGGATTCGTCGACTGAGGTCATCTTTAGTTTACCAGACGTCCTTTGCTTTTTCTTTTGGTAGGATGACTTCCACCAGCCCGCTTAGCAAGGATGTCCTCGCCTACCAGCCACGAAGCTATCAACTAGAGATGTTTGAGGCGAGCATGAAGGAGAACATTATAGTTGCAGTATGTTGATGAGGTTTTCTTTCGTTCGTTCTTTCTTTTTCAATGTATATAGCCACTATGTATGCTGATAAAATTAGATGGATACAGGTAGTGGGAAAACAAACATGTACTGATTCCCTCCTTGCTGAGACATAAAAATCTCTTGTTCTCATAAATCTCAATCCAGAGCTCTGCTACGAATTGTTGGTGAGCTGGAAAGCTGCAATCCACGGAAGGTACAGTATTATCCTCTCTATCCCATCTGTATATAATACCAACTGGTAACTTATATATTTAGCTTATATGGTTTCTGGCACCGACAGTGGCTTTGTGTATTCAACAGCACAAAGTTATCACTAAGAACATCCCATCTGTGCAGGCACGAACACTCACTGGATTAGATAAAGTCGAACTCTGGACAGAGCAGCCCATATGGGATGCAGTATTAAAAAACATACAGGTTGTTGTTTCAACTCACGCGGTCCTTGCTGATGCATTGACCCATGGGTTTGTAGAAATCTCTCAGCTAGGACTTATCATATTTGACGAAGGTTGTACATAACACATACATCTATAATAATTACAAGATGCTAATTGTTTCTTACACTGCAGCACATCACTGTATGCGCCGCCACCCAGCGAACAAAATAATGCAGGATTTCTATCATCCCGCCTTGGCTAAACATGGCCCAGGAGCTGTTCCGCACATAATGGGCCTCACAGCAAGTCCAGTGGTGAGATCGAGTCTTCTTGAATTACTGTGAGTTGTGCGATAATGCCTAATGGTCTTGTGTGTCTGGCTGAGTTTTATTGCTTAGTACTGTCGAGTCGAATCTTGCTTCAGTGTGCAAGACACCCCGTGTTCATCGCCAAGAGCTATTGAAGCATACTCACCGACCTCATCTGCAGCAAATTTTGTTTACCCCACTGGAACCCGAAGAGCTGTTGGGAAATGACACTTTGAGGGCTCTTCAATTTGCTTGGGAGACCTTGGACATTAATGAAGATCCATACGTGAAGAGTCTCAGAGGAAGCCCGGACAACGACGCTCAACTACAAAAAACTCTCTTGACCCGAAAGACATACTGCAACGAGCAAATAAAAAAGTTGGTTGACCGAAGCTGTCACATCTTCGAAGAGCTGGGGGACTGGGCTGTCGAATATTTCATACGTGCATGTAGCGAACAATTGAGGTCCAAACTTGACGACTCTTCCGTGATGGTTGGCTGGGAAGACGAGGAAAAAGCCTACATCATGGAGTTTATGGACCGTCTCCCCATCTCAGATGTTCCTTGCACAAAAATAGAGGATTTTTGTATATCGCCTAAGTTAGAAGCTCTCATGGCCTTTTTGGATGGCATATATGATCCAGAATTTTCGGGCATTATTTTTGTACAGCAAAGGGCTACAGTCAGTGTGATGGCCAAATTATTATCAGTCCACCCTTTGACAAAGGATCGCTTTCGATGTGCCGCTTACGTTGGCTGGTCTAACGGTGGTGGCATGCGCAAAGACATGATAAGCGGGCTTCTTACTATGGAAATGCAGCGAAACACTCTGGACGAGTTCCGTGATGGGCATAAGAACCTCATTATAGCGACCGACGTCTTGGAAGAAGGAATCGACATCAGTTCGTGCAAAGTGGTTGCTTGCTATGATAAGCCCCCGAATCTGAAATCGTTCGTACAACGACGGGGCCGTGCTCGGCAGAGAGAGTCAGTATTCGCGATTCTGCTCTCAACATTCGATGAATCTTCCAATTTAAGCAAGTGGCAGGCCCTGGAGAAAGCTATGATGGAGGCCTATCAGAATGATGAAAGACTTCTCCAAGAGGCACGGAATCTGGAGAGCTTCAATGAAGATATAAAGGAAAGGTTTACTGTCGAGTCTACCAGGTACGATATACTCGTGTGCCCTAACTCTCCCAACTTTGTTGGTTGTTTTAATTCTGTTTGTACTTTTCTTTTCTCATTGACATCGACTAGCGCTGTTTTGACCCCAGGCGAAGCTGTCGCACATCTACATCACTTCTGTTCGGTGCTTCCTCGAGATCCCTATGCAAGTAACAGACCAGAATTTTCTTTTGAAATTAATGATGTCGGGCTTTTGAGGGGAATGGTAACCTTGCCCAGTAGCGTGCATCCTGCAGTTCGTCGCACTACGGGGAAAACGTGGTGGACAACAGAGCGAGCGGCTGTTAAAGAAGCAGCATTCCAGTCATACAAGTCTCTCTATAGGTTTGGCCTCGTGAATGACCATCTCCTTCCACTAACAAGGAAGCAAGAGTTTGGATTGAATGACTACGATACTTTGCCGTCAATAGTGGAAATATCAGAACAGCATGACCCGTGGAGAGACTGGGCATCGTCATGGTCAACACCAGACTTCCATCAAACCCGCATAGCGGTGCGGCTGGAAGGAAATGCGGATTATGAGTTTTTTATGAAATTGAACACCCCAGTTTCCTTGCCCCTGTTAAATCCAATGACTCTATTTTGGGACAGTGAGAATACATTTAACTTATCATTCGCTCCTGCTGAGCGGGTATCTTGTTTGACCACAGACGCGATCCAGCATATGAGAGAGATCACTGCATTGTATCTTCAGGTTGTTCGCTCTGGAGTATTGCGGCCGGAGCGAGATTTTGTGGCTTTGTTTGGGCCCGATGTATGCCACGATGACTTGGAAGACTGCCTCCGCGAAAGCCAAGGATACGAGGCTGCCCTTGATGTCTTTAACCAAGGGAGAGAAGCGGGAATTATGGGTATAGTTCGGGATCTCTCGCAGCCGTACAGCGAACCACTCTTGTTCAAGAGGTGGCTCGTATCTACACAAGATCCCTCTATTGTTGAATTGGAATGCGAGAGATTTCCGCGACGGAGAAACCTTATGCACCGCCAAACCCTTACAGCTCCTAAGCAGCCAGACACTGTTAATAATGACAGTCCTGATCTACGCTCAAGGGTATGCGTTCTGTCTGCTGAGACATGCATTGTGCATAAGTTCCCACTCTCTGACTCTATCTTTGGGCTTTTCATTCCTGCCATACTTGATCGACTGGAGGCGACATTAATTGCATCCAGACTATGCGAGACTACTCTGCAAAATATTGGTTTCACAGGCACCGAACATGTCATTACGGCTATCACTACACCATCAGCCCAGGCGGTGACAAACTACCAGAGGTACGAATTTCTCGGAGATTCCGTTCTGAAATTTACTGTTTCCTGCCAACTATTCTTCCAACATCCCAACTGGCATGAAGGCTATCTTTCTCAAGGACGAGATGATATTGTTCAAAACCCTCGACTCGCACGAGCAGCTCTTGACCTTGGTCTTGATTCATTTATCATCAGCAAGCAGTTTAGCCCGCGGAAGTGGTCTGCTCCACTAATATCAGAGAAGATAACGCAAGTCGCTTCTCGACGGACGATGTCAACCAAAGTACTCGCCGACATTGTTGAATCATTGATCGGAGCAGCATACCTAGACGGTGGTCATGAAAAAGCACAGGCATGCATTCATTTTTTCCTACCTGAAGTTAACATGACCGCGCCAGCCAACGTGTCCTTGACTTCATGTGCAGTCTCCAAAAACGACCGCCACATGATAAATGATCTCTTGGAAGAGCAAGTTGGCTATTCATTCCGCAACCGTTCTCTACTCCTGGAAGCTCTCACCCATCCCTCATGCCAGCATGATGCGTCCACACAGTCGTACCAGAGGCTAGAGTTTCTTGGCGATGCAGTTCTCGACATGGTCATTGTTTCTACCATTTTCAAACACGCGATCGAGATCCCTCAAGGCGAAATGACTATGATAAAGCATGCAATGGTTAATGCGAATCTTCTAGCTTTTCTATGCATGGAGTTCGCCATGGAGCAGGAATCTATAAACGTCGAGCAAACCCCGAGCGGTGGTTTCGCAATAAAATCTGACAAGGAGTATGTCGAGCTCTGGCGTTTCATGAGATGTGAGGGTATAAACTTGAGAACCGCTCAAGAAAGAGCCATTTCGCGATATCACCTCTTACGAGAGGAGATATCCCTTTATCTACACCAGGGCAATCATTATCCCTGGCAAGCTCTCTCTCAGCTAAACGCCGACAAACTCTTTTCCGACATTATCGAGAGCGTTATCGGAGCTATTTTCGTCGACTCGCTCGGGAATCTGGTCGAGTGTGAGATGTTTGCGGAACGCATCGGGCTACTACCATATCTCCGGCGGATTCTGGCAGGTGGCATCAATGTCGCGCATCCTATGAATATTGCCCAGCAAATGTCTAAAGGGAACGTTCAATTCAGTGTGAAACGGATCCAAGTTGAGAATGGCGATGCCAGCTATCAATGCGCGGTTACGCTGGATGGTCATGAGGCCGTAGTTGTAGAAGGTTGCTTGTCCAGGGAAGAGGCAGAGGTCAAGGCTGCTAATGGCGCGATCGAAATTCTCATGCAGTTGGCTGCAACTACCACTAGTGAGCAGTGATGTAATGGGGCTTTTTTTTTTTTTTTTTTTTTTGAATGGAACGAGTTTATGTTGAATATCTTAGACATCACGTCTGCGCTGTGTAGATGATAGTTTGGTTCACTGCTTGCGGCTTCATAATATTCAACTGTAGCTTGGATACCCTTTTCTGGCGATTAATGTATGCCCACATACTAGATGTGATGAACGATAAGGAATGAGAAATGATAATATTATTTTTGTGTTGAAGTTGGCATATTTGATGAGTCTTGTTTTAATTTTGGCACTGAAAATTGCCAGGAAAGGAACTATAATATACCTGTCTAAGAAACAGGGCAAAAATAATACATCAAAATGATCGCTAAATATACCTACAAGTAGCCTACTTCTTCTTCCTACCACCTTTGGGTCGTCCACGAGTCGCTTTTCCCTTACGCTCTGCTTCAGGTTGCGGTTCTTCTACCTCCTTCGTTTGCGGCTCCTCTTCGTCTCGACTATCGGCATCTGAGCTCCGTGGTTCCTTCTGGGCATATTCACTAGCTGCAACCATAACACCATCATCGGTCACGTCATCAGCAGACGAATGATTCTCGGAGTCAGTCCCAGAGACAGGCTCCCATCCCTCGGCTGACTGCCGCGGCGTGCTCCGAATGCCAGCTAGGACTTTCTTTGTCTCACTCTCCTCTCCATTCCAGGCCCCGCAGCTACCACACCGCCAGCGACCAAGTTCTTCCAGAGTCTTGATGCCTGGCGGCGCCTGGCCATTCACAAGTCGACAGGAGGTGCAGATTAATGCCATCCTGTTTTTTGGCTGGGTCTCATCTTCTCCCAAGAGAACGTCTAACAGGCGATCATACCAGTGGGAATGTTCGACATATTGGGGTGCACTGGGGAAAGCGTTGGGGGCGAACCCAGGCTCGTCAACCGCAGGAGGAGGCGATAGAGTATCTGAGGCTCTTTGCGGGGAGGCATACGGGGACGAAGGTGGATATAGGTCTGGCAAGGGAGCGGTTGGAGGCGGCTGAACGGGGCATGGCGTTTGAATATTTGCAGTTGGTGGAGGAGCGAGGCCGGTTCGTTGGATAGGGGGCTGAGGATTCGAAGGTTTGCGTTTGGACTCGGACTTGCGTTTTTCATCGCCAGATCTGGTACGTGGTTGTTGCTTGGGCGACTCCCCCGCATATTTTTCCAACAGCTGTTGAGTCGAATTATATTTTGTGGCAACCTTGAGCTTCTCAATGGTTTCATCGCGCTGCCTGTGGAGGTCGTCCAGATACCGTTGCGATTTGCCAATGCGGTAGTCGAAATACTTGCCGGCTGCTGCCCGAACGACGTAGATCCTACAACATCAGTAGTGCGCATGGGAGACAACGGATGGGGTCTTACAGGATGGGACCGCCAACTACCGCAAAGTATTCCTTCGCGCCCCAATTCTCCCATCCTAAGACGAGGGCCAAGATGATCGAGTACAGCAGGTATGCGAAGGTGGTGTACAGGGTCCAGAGAGCTTTGAAGCGACGGGCATGTTGACGGTGGGCCTCTAACCGAGAGGTCGTCTGGACGATCTTGGTTGAAAGGGTGGAAAGAGCCTTCTCAAAAGACGCCGGAGAGTTGTCCTCTCCCTGTGTGTGTGAAGTGAGTTGGTTAGTGTGGGCTGTGGCTGCTGGAATGGGTAACCTACCTTAAAGGGCCAGAGGGATACCATGACCGACAGGGTTTGTAGGCGAGTTAATCTGGAATTAGTGAAATGAGCTAAAGAGGCTTAGTACAGGAGCATTCTCAAGTCAGCGAACACGGGGATCCTGCAACCCCCGAGGATGTTACGGTGAGGGGGAAAAGAAGAGCTGGAGGCAATTTGGCAACGCTCAACGTCAGCAGCTCCGGCACGGACCACCCGCCTAGCTGCCCGTCAAAAACGCCGATCGTCAATTCATCTCCATCAGACGCAATGCCATTGCAGTGAGCTAGGAGCACCAACAGTACAGAGAAGAGTTTAGTGTCAAGGACCAATATTGATCGTATGGATCTATTTTAGTTTAGCAGTAGCGGCCTCCAATTAGAACTCCAATCCTCTTCTCAGAAAACATAGCTGTGTGCTTGAAGCTGGATACCAGGTTATGACGGAGTATTTGATCCAAGGCAAATCATGATGAAATTCTCGTGCATGTTACCAAGGGCTTACTTATTTTTTATTTTGAATGCACACATTCATCCTATATGGCGGATCTGTCTGGTTAATAACGTACTCTCTAGGTTCCAACCCTGTCCAAGAGTATTCGGAAGCAATACAAACAGCTACTAGGTAAACGCATCCCAATTCGTTGACGTGAACTTAGATGACAGCTTTACCAGTGTAACCGTCGAGGATGAACAGGGCAAGAGTCCGGAAATATAACCGAGGAGATCTTGCTCGAGCCTCTGTTGTCGCCTCGGGCGCCAATCCGCCACCTGCATACGGGTGGGACCATATGAAGCGATCCGCTCGCTCTATGAACAATGAACCAAGTCTATATACACAACAGATCTATACCCATGGTCATGCAATAAATAAACCATAACTTCTGGATTTGTGTGTGATGAAAAAAATCCTCCCCTATGCATGAAGATTATTCAAAGTGGAACAATGCATTGCAATTCCATACAGAATATATCCCGCATATCCTATAATGTGAATTGATTAGGTGATATCGAAGAGCAGACAAATTGGCACTAAATCAACAGTCTCATCTGATGGCAAGAATTTCTTTTGTGACAACCAGGTTGCTATTTTGACTAGACCTATTCCAGAGTCTAAGCAATCCATGCTCGATTGCTGCGCTCGGGCCCCAGTTGGGATTGGCCCTAGAGCTACAGAAGATTGCAGAAAGACAACCTCGCATTCTGGAGCCCAAGAGTGCCAGAATTTAATAGCTCATAATGAGAATAATCGTAGGCGGTATTCAGGCTAAATCATGTTCCCCGACTATACAAATGTAGGCTCAATGCTACGCTGTTCCCACTTAACTGATTATTACTAGGTTGAGTTATGTCATCTCCACAGCAATTTCTACTTATGTATGTATGTAAAAATCTCTTTATCTATATTCTTATACTGTTTACCTTGTATAGCCTCTATGGTGTCAATTTCTTGAATATTTATTCCTAGTAAGGGCTCTACGCCTTCTATTTTCACTTGAATGGTCAATCAAGTCTTTGATGCAATATGGCCGGATCGGCACCCCTACAAGATGTTTCTCCAAACCTCACTTTGGTTTTTGTAGCGTTGACGTCTGTCGCTGGCTACAACTGCCTGGAGCTATTTTCTGGATCCTCGACTCCTTCAAGCACCGAAGTGGGTGCTATTTTTGGAGCATGATTGCAAGCGCTACGGTATTGTCCTCTTCTGTGTTAGCAATATTCTGCTATATTTTGATTTGACCCCAAAGCCTGTCACCATCGTTGGTCTCGCAATCGGATACTTCTGCATGGTCACGAGCCTGTCGATGGTCCTCGACTCGTGAATCCACCTGATCACCAGCGAACAAGTCACTTGACTGGTTCTGTACCTGACCATCGTCACTACTCTCCTGCTCCAGGCCCCCTGGAAGTTTTATTCATCTCCGCATCCTTTATAACCAACAAGCGCTTGGGACAAGCCACCCCTCGCCTTCGAGCGAATCGCCCCAGCCGGCTCCATCTTATGCGAGTACATCATTCTGGGCATATTACGAAGCTATCCGCAGCCTCAAACCCATCATGGAAGTCAAGGGGCGTGAAGGCCGCAAAGTGTTGAACATTGTAACCATCATAAATGTCATTTTCACCCTACTTGATGGCGGTGCGATCGCAACTCAAATCGACAATCATTAAAATGACGTACACTGGCCTGGTCAATAGCGTCTAATTGAAAATGGAGTTTGCCGTCATCATAGGGTCGTCAAGCTTACCCAGAGCCCTATTCGTTGTCCCTATCCCTGTTCTCCTCGATTCTCATCTCTTCCGAACTCTTTAAACGATATTAATACGCTTTCACCTGAAGATGGTTCTAGTTCTCGTGTCCGCAGCAAACGTCTGCAATTCAGTGAGCAGAGACGCAGTAGTGAGATACAGATACGTGACACCTTGAGAGTGTTATACTTCAATGAGTGACCATCTAGATCGCCATACAACTATGATTGAAGTGGAAACGGTTGTCCCGCCTCGTTCTAGAGCCTTTTTATGGGACGATTTGGTCCATCCTGGTGCCGAACTAGTTCATACAAGGCCTAATGCGGGCATCATAGGATCACAGAGCTTGGCTGCATAATTGGTTGAGTGATATAGTTAATCATTTCTCTCTTCGTGTATATAATATTCACTAGGGTCTATGTAATTCTGGGCTGAGATTGGTATCCAGCATATGGTGCTGTCTCTCCTATATTTTCATGTTTTTCATAAGTAGCCCCTCTATGTTATTAATAAAAATCTCGAGCCATCCGACATGTCTAGAAAATTACTAAGATGCAGTAATCTCTCTGTGTGTCGAATACGGATGGAGTGTGTATTCTTAATGACACTTTCCAATTCACAATAATCTCCATGACATCTCGATGATGGGCTTCCAAAATATAATATGCCAATTAGAATGAAATAAACCAAAGAGTCACCAATGCATGTACATATTGCTCAGTAGCTAAAGCTGACTTATTGCTTGTCTCGTCCAGTACACCCATCCACCGTTTCCCCAGCAGCCGGGTCGATAAGTAGCGTCGTTTCGGGCATTGTCATATTCAAGGTCGCCAAAATGAACTTTTAATCGACTGAAGTTGATTGGTTTTAGAATCCAACCGTCAAAGCCGTTGTCAATATATAGCTGTACATATTTTTCTAGTAGAGAAGCTGAAACAGCGAAGATAGGAATCCGCCCATTCAGCTTTGCAACTCTTGACAATTGATCTGTCAAACACTCGTTTTCGATCTGCCGAATGATTTGGGTGGATTTAATGCTGTCGACGATGGGCATCGATAATTGTAGGCTTGCATGTTGTTTGGGTTAGGTAAGTGGGTAACTGAACATCCACGTCCTTTCGTTTTGTCTCGGCCTCAAATACCTCAGTTGCTTCTCTAAAAGTCAAAGAGAGATCGAAATAGTCATCTTTGATAAGTTTCTGAACTTCCTCGGCATTGGTTAGATCAAGAAGCTGATTAATGACATCGATGAGTGATTTAGAGGCGGAATAGGACTTGGTAAGGTTCTAACGAGCCTCATTATCCAAGGATCCCTCTAGAGAAATTTCTAGATAATTGATAATAGCATTCAATGGTGTTCGGACTTCGTGAGTGGAGTTTCGCAGAAGGGGCTTTGTCGATTGTGAGTTCTGCAAGGTAGCCTTATTTGGTTGCTATACTTTGATGAATTTGCCGTAAACCAATCACATAACGGCAGCCCTCTCAACTTCGGACTCTGCATTCTCGAGACTGATCAAGAATCATTTCTTTCTAGATCTGGATGCTCTTGCGGCGGCTCCAGACTACCATGGTCGAATTCTTCTCATATGGATTGCCGCCCCATTGGATTTCCGTCAGCTGCCCTCAATGGAAAAAGACCCCATGCTGTCAGTTGATAGTGGAATATATAGCATACCTGAAATCGTTTTAAAGCCAAGAAGAAAGTGTAAGTCAGGAAAATCCTTATCACCCTGTGGGAAGCGAGTGCAAAACTGAACTTACGCAGCTTGAGATATTCATCAAAGCAGGAACTTCCTGCGAATGTGATGGGCCTCCCAGAGTTTTAATTTCTCCTCGGATTGAGAACCCAGCATAATAAGCATCAAATAGCTTCAGTAAATTATCAGATATTTCTAGAATATATCCTGAAGGATTCGCGTCTGTTCGAACAGCGTTGATGCGCTTACGAGCTTGTAATCGAGATGCGTAAGAAAGGCGCTCGATATTTCGCGAAAGTCCATCCCTATTAAGCGACACATTTTTCAAATTGGGAAAGCAAATCGCATAACGAATTGTTCATGAGTTTGGCACGGTATCAATCCCCAAAGTGACTTGTGGTCACCAAAGCTAATGGACATGAATGCAGGCAAACCCATATTTGCTAGATACTTGACATGAATAAGGGACATGGCGTGAAGGTAGGAATGTATCATATATAACGGATTCTCTAAGTCCTCTTTTGTTCGGCAAACCAGTCCAGAGATGGACTGGTCACGGTCGTAGAGTATGCGAACCTTGTTAATCCGATAGAGATCCTAAGCTTGCTTTAGAATGTCTGCCGCTTGAAAATGGAAGACACTTTTACAAATCTTTCCTGATACTTGGATCAATCAATCAACTACTACTATGCCGTTTTAGTCGATGTCAATCATGTAGATCATAACACGATGAAATCTAGTGAGTTGTTTGACTATCCCAATGTTGTGTTGAGCAACTTATCCAGTGTCTCCGTACGACACATCTGGTCTTGAGCCTGACTTATAATGCCAAAAACCTCCATGGCAGCTGCTTCAACTTGCCTGCTGCGCTTTGTACAGCACTCGCAACCGCTGGCTAATGTTCATGGTCCTGGAAAACAATTGCTCAGGTGTGAGCTCCACACCCAAGGTATTTGAAGGAGATGATAGCAATGACTGGTCGGACGGATTCGGAGGATGGAATCGGTCGCCTCCAACCAAAACTAATATATTATGAGATTTCAACTGAGGGATTCTTGTGGATGGGCGCACCATAGCCGCACAGGTCGGTCAGCAGCCCAAATATCGACAAAAAACCTCCGGGCCATCTGCGACGGGGTTATATGCATCTTCCCGGATGAAATCAATGTGGTCAAGAAGAATATCGGCCTGATCTTCAAGCATAATATCACAAAAGCTCTCTAATCCAAAAAGGTTCGAAGGCGAGTAACCGAGTATAGGCTTGGTATTTTACTGGCTATGCGGACAGCACCAAGCTGCCATTGGGCACCTCGCGCAACACAACAATAGCGCCGAAGCTCTGAACTGCACCTGGAATTGGAGAGAGCACGAAAGAGGGTTAGTCAGAGGGAGTATAACTAATTGCCAGTTCGTTAGTTATGTAAGTTGTACAACATGGAGGGCCTAAAAAGGAGAGAAGTATATGCCATTTTGTGTCCACATGCCTACTCATGTGTTATATATAGAAAGGTCTCGCATACCCAGCTTTCCAAATAGCTGAGTAGGCTAGTTTTGGCTTAGGAACTGAGGCCCGGAGTACCAGGCACAATGGAGTAGTAAAGCACAACTACCTACTTAATGTACTGATACGTATTTGCCAGTGCCGGCATTCGCTCCCGCCAGTAATATTAGAGGAAGAGTTAGCTAGATCTAGCTCCGAAATAAAAGTGAGAGAAATGAAAAAGAAGAGGCCAGATTCAATAAGCGACATTGTGCCCCACGACCTAGCTTCCACCTGCTCTGATATTTATGGACTACTCTGTCAGATGGTCCTTGTAAGACCCACAAAACTCCAGGAGTACGGTGCGGAGTACTGTATTGAGTCTTGACGTATTGACCCAAGAGTAACATCAGTGGAAAGTGTATATATATATACTTAAAAGACATGATGAACATTGATTTGTATATACTTTTATATCATAGCCCACACTTATGATACTCACCAGAGACTTTGATTCCACGACATATAGTCCACTCTACATTGCAGTACAAACATGTACAGGATATATTGCTATACAACGCTGTTAAAAAAAAAAAAAAAAATCTGAAGAGAAAGTATGTGCAAAACATTAGAGTCCAGCTAATCGATTGTCTGGTATTCCCAAATGTCATGCTTGATCGTCCGGGTTTGGTCCCGCTAAATCTTTCACAATAGTAGCGCAAATAAACCATTGCTGTTGATGTTCCCATGCCTTTTGGTTATGAGGCTATGAAGCTGGATCGTGGAACTTCAGATGCAGGAGCCACTGAGCCCTAGACGCCGAACTAAGGTAATATGTACGCTGCAGACTGCAGTATGGAATAAGGTAAAGCACGACGTGTTTAGCACCTGTCGTAAATATATAGCTATATCACGGGATCAAGGAGCCTGAGATCCGGAAAGAGACCGGGGCCGCCTTTGGTCAGACGAAGCAAGACTGTCCACGGAAATTGCACCCCATGGATATCGGGGATGGCTTCTCACGGGAGCAGGGGCTGCATGTGTAACATCCCCAGTTAATTGCTCCGGGTTGACGAAATTTGGGAAATCCTCATTCTCAGTAGAGGTGGAATCCGCAGGATGGGTGTTAACAAGAGAGACAAGCTTCCTCAGAACGCCAAATTCTAGCTTCAACTTGACACTGTACACTGCGGCCTTGAGAGTAGTCTGCAAAGAATAGAGACCAACATACTCTAACACCAGAAGTGCCACGTCCAAGAGTATGATTATGACATTGATAGTTATTAGCTCATACATTGTCTTGTTGCGTTCAAGAGCTTTTTCGGGTCTGAGCCGCAGGAGTTTGGCGGTCTCCCAAATGTAAATCCCAGATATCAACATCTCCTGTGCACAAAACCAAGCTACCTGCATTCTTTCCATAACGTTGTAGCCTCGAGTTACGGGATCGGTCCGAACATAGACAGTAGAGTAGGTAAGTACAGTTGTCGGAATAAGCAGAACGATGGTATCGAAGATAATAAGGTAGAGGACGCGGTGCAACAGTCGTGAATTCTGAGTAATCAGGTGAAGTCGAGAGTATAAGACGATGGACTGACCAGGAACCATGAAATAGAAACCAATCGTGGATAAGGTGATGCCTAACCAAGCAGGCCCTATGGCGAAAAATTCTAGCAGGTAGCCGACAGAGTGAGGGATGACTCCAAGGATACTGGAGAGTAACATGGACCAGAAATAGAGGCCTCTATAGCGGCTGAAGGTGAGGAAAATAAGAATAACAAGCTCAATCGCATTGTATAACGCAATAGAGCAGAAAACCACAATCAAGATTTTGATAACAATACTATCACCTTGGTATCCTCCAATCAGACCCTGCGGAGGAGTCGAAAGAGAAGCCCCCATGGCCAAAAAGAGGGGGCGCCAAAGAGAGGGGGCGGAGGGAATAACACCACGACCCGAAATCGTTTCAAATAGCGATCCTTTCTAATGGACCAAATTTAGTTTGCCATATGTAATGGTACAAATGTAAGAGCGAATTGACAAGGCCTCGAGCAAGGATCGGGAATCAACGAAGGCCATGGTCGGTCAAGCCGGGAGATGACGGAAGCCAGTCTTATTATAAATTCTGTTCCATTGACAAAAGAAGCACTGCAAGATAATTTTCGAAGCATATAATGTCTCGACTGGGACAATTTTGCGAATTTGCTTGCCCATGGATATCTGTGCCAGTATCTTCACAAGTTGTATGAGTATTGTCACTAGACAATGTGTAACCTCCCTTCAACACGACTACCCTCTTGTGCTGTTCTGATGAGCGGAGGGGATTTGCGGTGGTACGAAATCAGGCTAAACTTCTTAAGGGAAAAGTTCTTGCAAATTGTAGAACAGAGAGGATATCAAATAGCATTTAAAACAATCTGAAGAGGATCAAGGGATGGGATTCGATGGAGTGAGACCCCCACCCGAATTAGCGATGATAGAGGGAGAGCGTGAACAGGTTTTAAAGGAAGAATAAAGTAAGAAGGGCCACGGGTCTTGGGCAAGTCTGGGGCCGATGCACTAATCCTGCTCAGGATTAGAGTAGGAAAGCCCATTTATCACGTGACTGTTTCTTTTATCCGAAAGGACCGAAACCTTCCATAATAGAGTTTGTCACATGCTCCTAGAGAATTGCTACAGAAAACCGAATTCAGATCAATGTATGCAGCCGCCAAACATTACTAAGAGTCTTATATTAAGTTAGTTAATCTAACGAACTAAGAGTAGTTAGTTAATAGAACTTCCGCCGACAGACAAACAGACACAATTTTACAGTCCCCACAGTCCCCACAGTCCCCACAGTCAAGCTATAGGGTCCTTCGCTTTGAAGTACAAGTAACGACTCCACTGTGCAGTCGTCATGCAAAAGGAGCTTGTTTGTGATAGCTCTGGGTCTTCCGCTCTATTCGGAATACCGGTATTCCAGTCCGATTCCAGCTCCTATGTTCTATGTGGATAACACTAATGGCCCTTAATAATCTGTCGGCCTTGGTTCGTCTCGATGACATCGTTATTGGCATTCGTTACATGACAAATAAAAAACTTCCGGTATTGTATTTAATTTTAGACTTATCATCTTCGGTCCTCCTGGGCATGGACGAGTAGTTCCATGTTTAACACAATGACTCGGTGGACTATCAGTCTGAATCCAGGCAGCCGGTTACAAGACAGGAAGTAATTCTTGAAATAAATGGCCCATTCTAGAGGACATGCAGTAAGGCAAAAAGATGTGTGGGTATTATATAGCAAACCGACTAGGAGGTTATATAAGACATCATTTGATCAACCACAAGTCTACACCCTCGCTAAGATCCATTGCGCAATATCATCAGCAAACAACTGCCTGTTCTCCGGCAGGTCCGCATGTAGAAGATGACTCCAGCCTTCGTAGGATTTGAAATTCCGGTCGGCGACCTTACCAGTCTGAGAATCGTACCAACGCTTGCTAGTATTATAGCTGGTGACCTTGTCATTCGTGCCGTGGACCACATAGACAGAACGAATTCCGTCGTTAAGTTTCAGCTTTCCGGATGTCAAATCGGCTGCTCGGTCGAGCATATTTGCGAACATCTCGAGAGTGCCAATGCCATGGTTCAGCGGGTCGTTCTTCAGGATTTGCTGGACAGCGGGATCGCGCACGACCGCCTCGGCCTTTACCGGCTGGCTGATCTGAAATTGCGGCAGTATCTTGCAAGCTAGCCGGCCCATGTAAATTGTTATAATACTTGGCTCGGTCTCCGGATCCAGGCCAATAAACGGCGCTTCGAGTATGATACCTCCTAGACGGGACACAAGGTCCTGATACTTGGGCGTAGAAGCTAAAGTGGCGACCAATGCACCGCCCATAGAATGGCCCATCACAAAAACGGGAACTGAAGGTTCGGCTTGAAGTTGGGCCTCGATAAAAGCCGCATAGTCGGCTAGTATGTTAGCTGTTGGACCTGTATTGCCGCGGTTTGTCTTGTCCTTTGCCGACTGACCCCAACCACGTTGATCTACTCCTGTGCATAAGATACCGCGGCCGGCAAGCGAAGGAAACAGATCAAAGGTGTTATTGATATGATCGCTGAACCCATGGAAGTGGACTAGTCGAGCTACAGGCGCAGTGTTACTGGACTGCAACTCAAAAATCAATCAGATTAGTATTGCGCCAAAAAGGCTGCTGATGCAGATAGAACTCACAGCCCATGATTTCTGGTAGAGGGCAACTCCATCGGAAAGCCGGAACTGGCTTTCAGTGGTCTGGATATCGGTCATTGAAGGTTATATGGGTCAGGATACTGTGTTGGGATTGTTAGAGGGGAAGGAAGGAGGTTCAGGTTGGGTTGGAATTGCCATGCACCGAGATTCATGTGATTACTGATTAATATACTGTATGGCCCGAGCGTCAACTGATCCAAAATAGGTATAGTGTGACGAGATAGTGGTCTAGTCCCTTCTCGGATCCCGACACATCGAAACCATGTCGTGTTGCATATATTTAAGTAGAGCCAACACCGAATATCAGTAGGGTAGTGGCATGGCATAAAGAAAATAGAGGCCGATTTAGATCCTTTCAAAATGCAATTACGGCCGGCGAAGCTGCAAGACTTGTCCTTTATTGCGGAAGTAGCTGCACAGGCAATGCTAGACGACGAGTTGTTCATCTTCCTGTGTCCTTTGCGGAAGGAATTTTATTCGGATTATCGCTCGGGATTTTTACGACGGCTACGAACTAAGCTAACCTCTCCGGGATGGGTGATTATTGTTGCAGAAGACACCCCCACGGCCACATCTGGGGAAATGTCGATTGTTGGATATGCAGCATGGGAACGAATCAGAGAATCCGGCGGAGATCCTACTAGCCCGTGGAAAGAAAGTGGCTGGTGGGCTGGTAATAAGCTGTTTACTCTAGAGGTTCAATACGTCCCGGTTTCTAACTAGATATTTTACTCCGTCTAGATCTTCAAGTCGCATTTTCGAAACTCAGCGACAATTGCGTCGCCCATTTTTATCCGGATCGAAGTGTTGATGAATCTCACCTAGCCGAATACAATGCACGTATTAAAACCGAGTGTTTTCCCTTTGATCGCTTTCCGGATATTTGGTATTTATCCGCCTTAGCAGTTCATCCAACTCGTCAGCGCCATGGGATAGGACAGATGCTTGTTGAATGGGGCATGCAGCAGGCTCACAAGGAGAAAGTTCCTGTTGGATTGGAGGCCAGTATCAAAGGAACCAAGCTCTATGAAAAACTGGGTTTCCATACAGTGAACACCTTGCAACTGGTGGATGACATCATCATAAGAGCGATGCTCTGGCAACCACCAGATGGAACCTTCATAGACTACTAGTAGTTATTGGAGATTTGGACTATGTTGAGTAAACTCCATCAGGTGCTAACTATTTACCAGATAAGGTTATATTATATGACAGACATAAATATGGAGCAGCTGAACACTCCTTGAAAGTTGACGTAAAACATATATCATAGGTTCACACCGCTGATGTGCACTATTCTACCCCACACTCTCTATTTTTGTGTCCCCATCTTCCCGCCCCCCTTAATCTAGTGTTGTATATTGTTCTACATATTATAAAACAGAAGAATACTGCAGGTGATTGTTAGGCCAAATTATAGCAGAGCATATACTTCTCGAGCTGAATTACCTTATGGGCTCAGCTAGTATTCAGCCCTGGGACTTCATAGTCGTTGGGGGTCAGTGAGATGCAGTGTCCATCATTTTAATGAGTCTAATAGTTCGAATAACCCATACTAACGTTCCTTTTAGGTGGTCCGGCAGGATGTGCGCTTGCCACAAAGCTCTCTCGGTCTTCAGTGCGACCCAAGGTCCTATTGATGGAGGCCGGGTGCCACAATGAGGACAAGGAATTGCGGGTTGATGGCCAAAGATGGACCACGTTTCTGAATAGTACCTTGAACTGGGGATACAAAACTACCCCCCAAGAATACTGTAACGGACGTCAGATAGATTATTCAAGGGGCAAGGCATTAGGGGGCAGTAGTGCGATCAATTTTGGAGTCTACACTGTGGGTGCTAGAGACGACTACAACCAATGGGCAGCCACAGTTGGAGATGACTTTTTCAGGTGGGACCACATGCATCCCCGGTTTAAGAGCCTGGAAAATTTCAATGGTGTCATTACCGACGAGAACAATGCCAAATACGCCGCTCCTAGATCGATCGATCATGGATTTGAAGGGGATCTGAGGGTGGGCTACGCTGCAGAATGGGAACAGGACCTGCCTTTGGTGCTGGATGCGTTCGAACAGGCAGGCCTTGCTCGAAATCTAGATCAGAATTCTGGAAACCCTCTTGGAATGGGTCTAGTTATCAATTCGTCTCATAAAGGGCAGAGAGTCACAGCAAGTGACCTTCTACGCGGCGCACCTGACAACTTAACCATTGTTACCGAGACGCCAGTGCAACGTGTTCTCCTCCAGGCAAGAAAAGCTGTCGGTGTGGAATCAAGAGGGAAGAAGTGTATGTTCTGTATCAAAGGAACTGAAAGCGGTTACGTACCAAAGCACAACTAATTATAATTTTTAGACTTGGCATCTAAAGAAGTTATCCTAACCGCCGGCTCTCTGGACACACCTAAAATTCTAATGCATTCAGGCATCGGACCTGCAGAACAGCTCCAGAAGTTTCAAATTCCAGTAGTCAAAGCTCTTCCTGCTGTCGGTCAGGGGCTGCGGGACCATTTATTTGCCCCATTATGTTTCCAACGTAAACCGGAGACAAATGATCGGAACGCCTTTTTCGGAAATCAGGCTGCCATGGATGCTGCTATGGAGCAATGGAAGAAGGATGGCACCGGGCCATGGGCGCGTTATTCATGCCAACTCGCAGCTGGATGGTTCAAGTCTGACCGCGTCACAGCTTCAGCCGAGTTTCAAGTCCTCCCACTACAGGTGCAGGAATTTCTGAATTGTGAGACTGTGCCTCATTATGAGCTCTTGACGCACTTTCCTCTTCATCTTATTTCTCCGGAATTTACGAAGGATTATAGCTATCTTTGCACAACGGTGTTCTTAATGAATGAACAATCCAGCGGTGAAGTTCAGCTGCAGTCATCAAATCCAGACGACCCACTGCTTTTTAACCCCAAGTTCCTCTCTCACCCGTTTGATCGGCGCGCATGCATTGATATATACCGCCATGCGCTCGAGGTGTACAAACATGAATCATTCACGAAGGACACTATTTCGATACTGATTGGTCCTGCATCCGAGTCAGACGACGATATTTTGGAACACTGGAAGAACACTCTAGGCTCTAGTTGGCACATGACAGGTACAGTTAAGATGGGCAAACCCGACGCGGTCGATGCTGCAGTAGACTCTAAATTCCGGGTCTTCGGCGTCAGTAATCTTCGAATAGGCGACATGAGTGTGGTGCCAGTCTTGACAAATAACCACACCCAAGCAACAGCCTATGTGACTGGTATTACATGCGCAGATGCCTTGATTGCGGAATATGAGCTTGATATCCCATCGAGGATATGAAGTACTCTGGTACTTGGAGCGATTCCATCTATGTCTTGCTTATTTAGCCTTTATTACGCACTCTTGCTACATTGTTTGGGCACATCCATCTGCTTCAGTCACAATCTTGTGATACCATTTCATTCTTGATAATATCTTCCCTGGCTGCTTGGCAGGAATAAGGTCTAGAAAGTGTAAAATTTTTCGGTATAGTGATCTACATAAATATACAAACTATTTTAGTAATACGGCCGGTAATAAGTTAAGTATATATTTTTGGTTAACCATAACTTAGAAGCTTAGTAAAATTAAGACTAGAGAGAGACCATTTCTGGCAACGTTGGGCTAGCTGAATGCTGCTAACCTCTTCATCAGACTGTATTCAAAATGTTCTTCAGTTCTTGGCAACTTGCCGTGTTCAAAAACACGCGTTTTCTACATAGCATTGTGAACACCCTCTATTGCAGCCATTGAATGTAATGTCTGACATAGGATAGTACTTTCGTCCTCGGTGTTCCTAACGGCGTGAATGTTTGCACTCGAGACGGGGACCTGCAATATTAGGCTTACTTGGCTTTAGCCAAATTGGCCAATGGCAGTGATCAAGATCCTTTCGGTCTCCTAACCTTTCTTCAATCATACGATATCAATTCTACTATGGTAACGTAATACAACTGTTCGTTAATAGATTACTAGCACTTGTAGGCAAGTTACCGGTCACGTAGGCGCGTTCTGATGCCAAGATGGACTGAAACTAGTCATGTGATGGGTTAAGCAAACCAACCGGCTCGTACCTTACATGTTTTAATTACCATCCCATTTGACCCTCCAATTCTCTAAACTAGCCAGCTTGAATAAATATAGTATAATTCCTAGAGTTCCATCATTTATTTATCGTAGTTTCGTCCGTCTTTCCATAAACTCCATCTCTTTCTCTTCTTTTTTAAGCTGACCTGTGTACTCCCGAAATTATTCCGTCATTTATCTGTTGTTGGTGACTGAGTCATCAAATTTTCACTATTCCCGATTTGGACAGATGCATTCAACGTCATTCTTCGTCTTTCCTCATCTTTTTACTCTCTTCACTACTTTTCTGCGGCTTTCTCCGCCCTTTGGACACTTTGGGCAAATATAGCCATCATCCTCAACAGCCCTAGCAGGATGAGCCTACCTCCGTATCCATTGTTTTGTCCTTGATTATTACAGCCATGGAGAACCATATCACAATCAGCTCCTCGTTACCAAGCGGCCACAGCTCCGAGGCACGAGAAGCGGACATTCTATCCCATCATCTGGATCCACAGTTCACTGCCTCAATAGACGGCCAGTTCCCTACTTCACCCGAAAATGACAGTCATACAGACACGACCAGCCCCGCCGCCACGTCCGAGCCTCAGTCCTCTCTGAAGCTACAGGGCGGTGATGTGCACCGGGATTTGTACCGCATCGAAGCCAAGTCCAAACAGACTAAAAGATCTGCCAGTTTCTCACACTCTCAGCGAGAAGCCGAAGATGCTATCGAGGAGGGCGTTGCTGCACTAGAACCCGGCAGCTTTCGGCGCCATTTTATTCAACGCCACAGACACGCCCGTTTTGATCATCCGCGCGTGACTACATCGTTTGTGGACTTTTTGGATCTATACGGCAACTTCGCTGGCGAAGACTTAGCTGACACGGAGGATGAAGAGTCAACGACAAGTGAGGAACAACGGCAACGGCTTGAGGGTCGAAGGCCAATTTCGGAACGAACAGCGCTGCTGGGGCACCGAAAACGCGCGCGGACTAGCCAACCAGGGGATGCTTCAGACGCGAAGGCGTTTCTAACACTGCTCAAAGCATTTATTGGTACCGGCATTATATTCCTTCCAAAGGCATTTCGAAATGGAGGCATTCTCTTCTCGTCAATCACACTGGTGACGGTGGCAGCCATCTCGACCGTTTGCTTTAATCTGCTCCTGCAATGTCGCCGACAGTATGGAGGTGGGTATGGTGACATTGGAGAACGCATCGCAGGTCCACAACTGCGGTCCCTTATTCTGAGTTCCATTGCAATCTCCCAAATCGGATTTGTCTGCGCTTGTATCATCTTTACGGCAGAGAATCTTCAAGCATTCCTCCAGGCTGTGGCCGTCCGTCCTGGTATTAAATTATCCACTGGCTACCTGATAGTTCTGCAGTTGCTTATCCTCATTCCCTTGGGCTGGATCCGCAACATTTCCAAGCTGGGCCCTACCGCACTACTTGCAGATGCATTCATACTTTTGGGACTGTCATACATCTATTGCTTTGACATTGCAACGCTGGTGTCTCGTGGCATGGAGCCAACTGTGAGGCTGTTCAATCCAAAGTCATTTACCTTGACTATTGGCTCCTCAATTTTCACATTCGAGGGTATTGGTTTAATCCTTCCTATTCAATCATCTATGAAGCGCCCAGAACACTTCAATCGGCTTCTTTATCTCATCATGACTATCATCACCATCCTTTTTACAGCTGTTGGTGCTCTCTCGTATGCCACCTTCGGCGAGCAGACACAAACAGAAATCTTCAGTAATTTCCCACAGACTGACCATTTTGTGAACACGATCCAATTTCTATATGCCCTCGCGATCTTAGTTGGAACCCCCATCCAGATTTTTCCCGCCGTCCGCATTGTTGAGGGTAAACTATTTGGCCCAAACTCCGGAAAACACGATCCATCGGTCAAATGGAAGAAAAATATCTTCCGCACAGCAATGGCTATAGGCTGCGGGATCATTTCTGCCGCAGGGGCTGGGAACCTGGACAAGTTTGTGTCTTTGATTGGGTCGTTTGCCTGCGTGCCACTGGTGTATATCTACCCTGCATATTTGCACTGGAAGGGCGTGGCCCAATCCCCTTGGGCCAAGCGAGGCGATATTATCCTGATGTTCCTAGGCTTCGTCTTCATGATCTATACCACCTCGGCTACGGTCTCCGTCTGGGTTCATGGTCACTCTTAGCCCTTTGCGCCCGGGATCTCTTGTAGGCCTACATGCCCTTGCATCATTTCATGTGGATGCTGATCTTACTTGCGTTTGATGGACGACAAGTTGCCCTTTAAAATCGAATTACTTGGAGCTACAATAATTCCACAGCTACGCACCCCGGGATTTACAACTAAGTTGGACCTATCTACTTGGCTGAGTTGTAGACTTGCGATAACCATGGAATATCGATAAAACCATAGAACTAATGGCTTCGTAAAGTGTGGCGCTATGAAACAATATTCACCTCTTCTTTGTGGGTGTCCTTGTTCCCTTTCGTTTTAATCAGGTACATCTAAACTTTTGCGAGGAGGGACTTCATCAAGATGGAGGCTGGGGAGTACTGATCCATTGAAAAGCTAGGGGATGAGGTGTATACTGACAGAAGATACAATCTCGAATGATTATCAATGGATTGATCAGATAATTAGCATGAATAGGAAGGGAACATTGGCTTCCATAAATTGCAGTGCTAAAGCGTAGTATGTAGATGGTAGTTGATCTTCTGATGGAATTTGGAGTGGAATTTTCCGGCAAATGACCATTTTCATTCCTATCCTCTTGATTAACGTGATCTGTGTTTTAATTCTATGTAGGATATCCTTGCACCACTACCTTACTACAATTCATTCTCACTCGACCGGCCATCTTGCACGCACTTTGTCTGTTAACCCTGCGCGGGCCACCACCTCCTGACTCCTTTGCTGAGCTTCACACACAACCTCCTCCTCGTTCATCGACAGCAGCTCTCCACCGCGCACCAGTATCTGTCCATCAACAACCACGATGTCGACATCTCGCCCCGTGGCCGTATACACAACCGCACTGACAGGATTGAACCAGGGCTGTAGATGGATGCGCCGAGTATCAATAGCAACAAAATCTGCCTTCTTACCGACCTCGAGGCTGCCGATACGTTCATCCAACCCCAATGCACGGGCTCCATTAATCGTTGCCATCTCAAGCACCGATTCAGCTGGCACCGCTGTTGGATCGTACGACATGCTCTTGTGAATGATTCCGGCAAGCTTCATCTCCTGCAGCAGATCACAAGTGTTATTGCAGGGCGCCCCATCAGTCCCCAGGCCAATGTTAACACCCGCATGCTGCAGGTCAGGCACAAGACAGATCCCTGAGGCGAGTTTGGCGTTTGACGTCGGACAGTGTGCAACATGCGTACCTGACCTTGCGAGCCGTGCGATGTCCGTATCGTCCAAATGTACCATATGCACCAACACTGTGGACGGCGAGAGTAATCCCACCGAGTCGCAATACGACATGGGTGTATGATTAACAGATGCAAAAAAATCGCGGTCTGCCTTGACTTCAGCGCAGTGCATGGTAATCGGAATTCCTTTTTCACAAGACAGCTGGGTCATCTCTCTGTACAATGCATCGGATACCCTACCGATTCATCAGCAATGTGATATCTGTGAAACAAAGAGGTTATTCTACACTCACCCTCCGGGGGTACGAGCTCCAAACCATACTCGGATACGGTCATTGGCTTGGCCATTCCATTTCTCCCACATTCTCATAGTCCCAAGAAGCGAAGTCTCACGATCTTCCACCAGACCCGGATGCATGGCCCAGGCATCTTCTTGTGCATACCGCGCAATATCCATGACGATCTTCCCCAGACAGCCACGGATACCGCTCTCTTCGACGGCCCGACAGAGTCCATCGAAACCGTACCGATCAGCAAACTTATTCTATAATCAGACTAGCTACTCATTTGAATTAGCTGAGTTATAAAACTCATCACATACCATGCTCTCTAAGAAACAGGTGGTCCCTGACTTCAACATCTCCCCGATACTAAGCCTAGCAGCTGCATAGCCATCAGCAGCAGTGAAATGGCCCTGCAGTACCCAGATACGTTCACAGAGCCATGATACCAGCTCTAGGTCGTCCGCGGTGCCGCGCAGCAGAGTCTGGGCAGTGTGCACGTGCGTGGAGATGAGACCCGGGATGACGACCCGTCCACTGAGGTCATATTCATCTTCCCGAGGGTACTTAGCACGAAGTATGTCTGTCTTTCCGATGTCTGCGATTATATCATTCTGGACACGGATGGCACCGTCGTTGATAATGCGCCGGGTGGAGTCGACGGTGATGATCGTTGCGTGTGTATAGAGCATTTGGTCAGTTTTTGTGAAAATTTTAATCTCTTTGAGATGAGGGCCATAATTTCGATATAAAAAAGGCCATATTTACAGGCGGTATCTAGTGCCATTGCTAAGACTGTCTTCGGCGACCTCCGAAAGTGGGGGAAGATGTCAAATTATTAGATTGTAGGTCTCGGCAGTATCCTGCTTAATCACTATAACTGGTTTGCAGTGTGTTTTCGAGTTTTATATCCGGTATGAGAGTGTCGTGTTCGCCCCGTCCGTCCATCCTATAACAGTGGTTCAGGTCCCGCTCAGTTTATGATCCCGCCTTAATACTACTCGCTACCGCATATATAAACCGATCATGATGAATCTCAAGACAAATCCTGCCACTTGTTTTACTGCTTCAAGATTACTTGTGAACTTCGGTAAGAGATACCGAGATATTTTTACGTATTATTTATTTATTTTATTTTTTGGGAAAAGAAAAACATCTAGCCAATCATGAGACCTTTAAAATCGTTGTGTTAATTTTGCTTTATATATTACAAAGCGGAATCGCTCCGCATACAAGTTCCTCGATGGTCTAACGGTCATGATTTCCGCTTGTCACTCAATTGAGAACGAGCGCGGGAGACCTGGGTTCGACTCCCAGTCGGGGAGATCTTTTCAACTAATTTTTGCCCCTCTTAACATCTTCATCAAACTGTTTGTATATATATTTTATATTGAAAATAAACAACCATATACTATTATCTATCATCGAATATTTATTTTCAATCACTGTACTAAAATGACGAGTAGTTTGGTAGCTTCTGAAATATGTCAAGGGCCAAACACTGGCCTTAACTGATTTGGCTATATGCACTCACTGTGGAACCCTGGAAAGTAATAAATAGTAATAAAGTGCATGCCCATCGCTTGTCGACATGTCATTAGATTCAATCCATTGAAACTAACTCCGCATATGCAATCCATACATACCATACCGGATAAGTATAACTCCAACATTACGCATAATTCTGATGCCAAGTAAAGTCCGGGTTCTCTGTCAACAGATTCCGAATAGCATCACTCGCCTTAACAGGCTCTCTCCCCAAAATCTCCTTCATCAGTGGATGAGTCGTCTGCAATTCACCCTTAGTAATACCATCCCACCATGACTTGGTCATCTCAAAGAATGCTCGCGGCTTGCCGCCTAGATCATTTTCTCCATTCAGCCGGACGTACTCGTCCGGTGAGACCAGCTCGAATTTGACCTGTCGACCTGTCGTCTTGTTAATCACGTCCACGATTTCCGAGGGTCGGATGGCTTCCGGGGCTGTTAAGAGGACAATTTCGTTCTCGTGGCCGCCGGCGATCATTAGACGAGCTGTTGCTTCGCCGAGCTCGGTGCGCAATGTAAAGGAGATAGGGGCGTCTGATGGGAGGGAAATCGTGCTGGTTGTTGGAAACCAGTTGATGAATACGGGGAATGCTTCGGTGTAGACTCCTTCGCGGACGGAGGTAAATGTGACTCCCGATCTGTGTGGGTTAGTCTCTAGACAGACATATACGTATATGTATATTGTTATTCAAAAGAAAGAGAAAACAATATATTGGCTTAAAAGAGCTAGTTCACTCACTCTTTAAGTAGATCCTCGGTTTCAAGATGAACTTTCTGAACTGCTGCTTTTGAGGTAGATTCTAAACCACCGAAGGAAAGTGAAGTATACCAGACCTGTTAAACTCCAGTCAGTATGTAGATTATCATCGATATTCCATACACAACAAATATAAGAATTGAAAAAAAAAAAAGAGCCATACATGCTTAACGCCCGCTTTCTTAGCCGCAGCAACGAAATTCTCGTGCTGTCTTTTGCGCTTCACGTTATCGAACACATTGGTGCTAACAAAGAGCAGATTCTCTACGTCTTGAAACGCCGCCTCCAGCGTCTCTGGATCGTCGTAGTTTGCATGCCTAAAAGCAATACCTCGATCCTCGAATTGCTTGCGATTCGACTCCCTCGAAGACGCGGCGGCGTATTCGGTGGCTGGGCAATTGGCAACGAAGTATGCAAGGGTTTGCTCACCCAGTCCGCCGGTCGCACCAGTAATGAGGTACTTAAGAGCCATTATGTTTATGGGAGGGAGAGTTAGTGTCCATAGTAACTGTTAATTCCGCAAGCGTGGACGGGCTTTATATGTATCTTTACTACAGTCGAAACCTTTGGCACTCAATAGAACCCAAACATAGGATGTATTGGTAATCATAATACGACCATGTTGAGCTTCTGCTGTGGAGTATGATCTTGGAGAATGTACGTAATTAATGGGTTTCTTTGGTTGAATGAATAGTGGGGAGTTGTATTTGTCAGGATGAATTACTAATAAAGACTAGTCACATATAACTAGCTATCCATACGTGGTTAAAAAGGGACAATAACCCTGTTAATGATGGCTCCTTCTAACTTATTTTGTTGTAGATCTGATCTCCTGCATTATTAGTTCGTGGATGAGTTTCGTATCCCATCAATTAGAAATGTACCCACCCAATAGTGAAAAGCTGACAACCAAACAGTGAGGTCATGTCCCCAAGGTAGTTACATCCAGCTTTTCTATTAATAAGTGGAGACTAAGTGCGTCTAGTGCTTATTACTTGAAGCCATTTCTTGAGTATTCTCACTGGGGGCCGTTTTTGCAACGTTGCTGGAGCAGTTGCATTTTTGACTGAGACGACTTGCTCATTATGATGGTGCATTTTGTCAAGAACGACAACAACGTTCCTCCTGTGCTCTTTCAATGCTGACTGACATGCTGGAATTCTTTTTATGGTGAGCATTTTGTTCCGATATTTGGCTTTGTGACTACGATGCTCTTTTATTACCGCATCGAACGAATTAATACAATTTCCTAAAGTGCAATTATCTATATTCAAATTATTTCTTTCATTATAAACATCCTCGGAGATATTCTCCCAGTGCCATTATTGCCATCGCCTGACCGTACGGCATCGCCGTTAAGGGAATCTGTTTGTAAAATTCGAGGCTGTCACCCATTCCCGTTCCGAAGCTGGTGCTTTGCAACTCGCCTTGGGCATCTACATAGCCCAGAACAGCGGCAATTGCTTTTTCAGCTACTGCCCGATACTCTGGTCCCAGTTACCGCTTCCGAACCCTTTTTAGGATCCCGTATGCAAACCCTGCCGTTGCTGAGGCCTCGGTATAGGAGTCTGGATGGTCAAGGAGGGTATGCCAGGAGCCGGACGAGTTCTGAAGGGATTTAAGGCCTTCACACTGTGCTTCGAGGGTGTCGATAAGATGCATGCGGATAGGGTCGTTGGGCTGCAGGTCTAGCAACTCGATGATCTCCGGGATGACAATAGTGATTCAACTATTCCCACGCGCCCAGTGGACCTGGGCGAAGTTGTGGCCGCATCCTTCGAAAGTCCATCCGTGGTAGAATAAGCCAGTGCGGGTATCGAAGAGATACTTGATGTGCACGAGGAATTGACGCTTTGCTTCTTCAATGTACGCTGTGAGCAGCTTGCCGATCTTGGCTAGCGGTAAGACAGTCATCATCAAAGTATCATCCCAGAGCTGTTGGTGGTTCTCTGTCAGGTAAGTGGCATGTTGCATGCCTCCGTATCGAGTGCGCGGCAGGTCATACATGGCCCATTCCGCCCAGGTGTCTAGCCAGGGAAGATATGCGACATTGCCGGTCTTCTCGTAAACATATGCAAGGGTCAAAAACACGGCCATTGTGTTGATGTTTTTGGTGGTGCCACCCTCCGCAAAACGGGCGGCAAACCATTCTTCTATGATGCGTAGGAGGTCGGGATTGCCTGTCATTTCGTAGTATTTCCAGATCCCGTAGAGGCCGATCCCATGTGTCCATTCCCAGCCGTGCCAGGATTTCGTATCGATAACTCGACCATCTTGTAGGTGCAGTAGAAACTGACCAGTAGGATCTTTAATGTTGACCATATTGATGATGAGCAAGTCTATGGCTTCACGAACTTGAGGAGAGGAGGGTTTGGTGGTCATGATGGCGCCGACGAAGATTCAATCAAAAAAAAAAAAAAAAAAGATTGTGAAAGCTGCGATCTGAAATCTTGTCTTGTGTACTTTGTCTGTGAGGAGTATGCACTAATAACCTCTCCAATGCGGAGTCGCTGCCGATACGCGGAAGAACTGACAAGGTTCCTCCGGGCGGGATACAGTTGCTTCGGGGCATCAGGAACCGAGAGAAGATGCGCCAAGTAAGTGCCAATCCATTTGAAGATTACTTTTATTGGTCGTAGCTTTGGCGAGTCATGGAATGCGTCCATTAGTTCCAATGGGCTCATAGTGTACCCCGGTATTTCGTTTTCAAATCCAGTGTTCTATTCTCTCGAAGTCCGGAAGACTAATATCCCATGCTTCGTTCACTACCAGGCCAGCGGGTTATAAATATCCAGGTCCGCCCTGAGTGGAACAGCATCACAAAGAGCACAATCGATCTCTACAGAAAAAGAAAATACTATCCTCTCCTCGTTTAATCTGCTTCCCCCTCATCTCATGTCTTTCAGTATGAATCGCCAGACTTCCTACAACGGACCTCTAGTAATGTCTTTATCTCTTGTCCCAAAGCCACAATATGGCACGGCCCCGTTTCCTCGCTCTTCCCTGCCCTCCAGTTTCTCTTCTTCAATTCCCTCCGGTCCCATGAACCATCCCCTGCCCCCTAAACCTCCAACCCCCAGGTATTTTTTTCATGAATACACTCCACGCGCCGGTAATGTTGGAACCACTCCGCCGGTTCGTGACGTTGGTGAAAGTCATTTAGCGGATAACAGTTTTAAATTAACTTTCTCGGATTATGAAGCATCGGCGTCTAAAATTAGGACGCTTGATAGCCTGAAGACCGAGGACGTTAGCCTACCATCCGGCGAAGGTTCGTACAGATCTGCCACCCCTTATCAGCCAGGGGCCTTGCTTAACTGTGATTTTTTTTTTTTTTTTTTTAGATACTTCCCAAGAGTATGAAAGTGACTGCAACGAGACGAGCAGCGTTAATATCGATATTGACGATCTGCCCCATCCAGATACCTTGTTCTCTTGGGCGCAGAGTCACGATACGTGGAGTTGTAAATCGTCGGCGCCCACGGGTAGCCTGGATGATGGGATAGGTCGCACCAACCAAGTCACCTCTGAAACTCCCAGGACTGGTCCATCCTCCCGCGAAAGCCCCGGTCACGCCAACGATAGTTACAAGGATGACGATAACCAATAGATCGTTGTCTGCTGTACGAGATCGAGACACTCCCTCCACTATTCGGCCATGGAGCCATTGACAATGTGACCTCGAGTATCATGTGCATCGAGACGGAAAGCACTCTGACAAAGCCTACCAGTCGAAAGAGGCCGGCGAACGCTGCTTTGGACTCATGTATTGAGACAACAAGCGGTCCCCGGACAAGAGGCGATACTTGAACTGGGCAGTTGTCGCACGAGGGTACTACAGGTGCAAGTTAGTCAACTACATAATTGGAGCTATAGTAAGTAGAGCTTACTTTCGCTCTGAGGCTTGGGACTGCAACATTGATCCCACTTCTCCATCCTGGCCCACTTTTTGCGACAACATCATCCACGCTGATTTTACCGGTGATCTCGAAAAGTCGTGCTGGGGACCTCTGCATATTGTGATGCTTCCAGATAATTTCAGGCTAAGAGGGAAATTGTGAAGTACAAGATGACGAGGAAATAAGAGAGGCAGTTCTTGATCAGTGATGTGTTGAAGATACCAGAAGGTTTATGCTACTTATATACTTTTACAGGCCATACGTGAGAGAAATGCTGTCTTGTAGAGAAGCGAAATAGCTGCCTATTCGCTCACTCTTGTACATTGATCTTCAAAGTAATCTCCCAATAGGTTCTGGGCGCTAGTTGTTGCATATTAGGATTTTGTATATAAATGGAATCTGGAAATGATTGGCACTGATAGATTCGTGTAGATGCAGTCATGTAAGCCATACAGGTTACAAATCATGTCTACCATCACATACCTTTACTTATGATTGGATATAATTGTCTGGGATGTTCTTCGCACAGCGGTTAGTTGGATGAAAACTAGGTAAGATGGAGGTAAGATGGAGGTAAGATGAGGTAGGATGATAGATTCCTGTTTGTACTGTACTGGCGTGAAATCATTCTTTGTACTTATGCTCGACTTTCACGCTAGTAGTTCCTGTCAAGGAGCTGGTAATATCACCTCTAGAAGCACCTTCGTCTGTCTTTAGAGATGGCTCCTTATATTTCGAAGTCACAGGCGATTTTTATTGCATTTCTAAACCTTACCCTTGTGTCAAATGACATATCTTAAGAAATAAATAACGACGACAAGTTATAAGCAAGCGGGTGCAGACAAAACATCTGAATCAACAAAACCAGGGCTGGCTTCGCAAATCAAGCTATCATGGGACGTCTTTCGCATAACACATTCATCCGTGCTAGAAGTTATTTAACTCTGTCCTCACGACGTATAACCTGCCCACAACTCAGTTCCTTATTCCTTTCCCAACCCAGGAGGATGGCCTCTACTCAAACGTCTCAACCACGCGTTTTTCCAACTTCAGGATTCGATATTTTAGATCCTTCTGAAATATTCGAAGAAGAAACTCTTCCTGATTATTTAAAGGAGCGCTACTATCCAGTTCACATTGGTGAAGTTTTCAAATCCCAATATCAGGTTGTAACTAAACTCGGCTTCGGCTCATCTTCAGCAGTATGGCTATGTCGGGACCTACGGTAAGTGTGCATAGAAATTTATCTTAAATCTAAGCTAATATAGCAGAAGTAATAAGCGCTATTTAGTTTTAAAAATCCATGTTCGAAGTAGGCGACAGCTCCCAGAGGTGGAAATCTCGAAGCACTTAAAAGCTATTCATGATTATCATGGCGGTGAAAAGTACGTCCGGCTTATACTTGACTCGTTTGAGATTTCTGGACCACATGGAGTGCATCCATGCCTCGTCTATCAACCTGCTGGTATCGACATCCGCGACTATATACACTGTCTTGAGGGTGATGCCTTGCCAGAAAACCTCCTTCGACCTGCCCTCCGGTTTGTGCTTATTGCGCTAGATTACCTCCACCAAGCCAACGTCATCCATACTGGTAAGGAATAACCCGAGTATCGAAGCCTATGGCTCTCACTAATTTATTCTAGATATTCAGCCGAACAATATCCTTCTTGGCATTGATGATGAGTCAATCCTTGCTGAAATGGAAGAGGATGAGATTTCCAACCCCGCTCCTCGAAAACAGCTTTGTGATCGCACCATTTACGCCACTCGTGCGATGCCTTTAACAAGCGGCGAACCAATACTCGCCGATCTTGGAGAGGCGTGACTAGCTGAAGGGAACCAAACCGGCCTCATCATGCCAAGTATATATAGGGCGCCAGAAGTAATGCTGGGCATGCATTGGGATAATAAGGTTGATATATGGGCTTTGGGTCAGATGGTAAGACCATATATTAGGCGTTATAATATCTACTAATCTTGTACTTCGTAGGCATGGACATTGTTCGAGCAGGGACATCTTTTTAGGAATCGAACTCTTGAAAATGACACTCAACACGCCCAGCGCTTTGCGGAAATGATTTCTCTTCTGGGACCACCCCCAGTTGAGTTCCTTAGACGAAGTGAAGAAGGCCTCAAGTTTTGGGACGAGAATGGTAAGTGAACTTTAATTTGCTCTGGGAAATTTATTAGACAGCCCTTAATATATTGCAGGTAATTGGAGGGGCTCCATAGAAATCCCAGAGCAATCTCTAGAGAGCCGTGAATCTCGACTTGAGGCCGATAGAGCGATGCCTTTCCTCCGATTTTTACGGAAGACTCTGTGTTGGTTGCCTGAGGAAAGACCGACTGCGAAGGAGCTCTTGTTAGACGAGTGGTTGAGAGGAGACGATTATTAAATTACGATACATTTCATTATTCTAATTATTTATTCACTACGATGTACTGTTTTCCACCGGGGTCGAGGTAAAAAGGAAATCTAAGAATACATGGGGGCTTAGTCGGTGAAACAGGAAGACAAGACTGCACGAGCTACTACGGTATCCTCATGACTGTGACTAATGCCCAACCATTGACAATAATGAGTAACAAGGTTAGTTATAGTTATATCCAATGTTTGTTACTATACATTTATGATGGGAAAGAGACAAGATTGAAGCATGTCTGCCCAAAGCGGGGGGTGCCGCCATTACTTCATATTACCGAAATAATCACGTGATGATGAAACTCCCCCACAATGTTATTCGTGACGAACCTGGTCATCTTCGCTTCACCATCAACTTGACTCAAAGCCCCGTGAAACGACCATGACTTACCCATCTGTACCCACAACGACCAAAAACTCGGTTTATTCGACCACACTATAAAGGGTGAGTAACATTATTACCAACTTCCTTTCATGGCTAAAAAATTTGAAGATCTAAGACAAGTCGTGGGTGCCTTAACTTACCTCTCTAGTCCTCCTCTTGTGTTCTATATAGACGATAGACGGTATAGACTGAATTTGATTAGTGGAAAAGGATTATCTATTTTGTGGAAATTTATAGCACAGGTTGGGCTCCGCCAGGCGCAGTATTCTCCATTAGAAATCGAATGTATCCTCGGTTTTCATCTCTTAGTTCCAGTATACCACACTTGATGGATTAAATCCGTGGCATCAGTTATTAGAAGTCAATCGGACTATAGATATACGGAAGAATATCCCTTGAGATTTTCATTAACGCCATAGACCTTTGAAGTTCTGATCACAACCAGGAAGAGTAGCTATCAACAGCCACATTGGTTGAGCCATGTCTCCATCAACTTTCTGTTGACAGGCTCCAGGGTGGCAAGACGAGGAATTTGTTCTGCAGTAACCCTCGTATCAAGCCGAACACCTCTACTAGACGACCGTGCAAGCCCCTTAAAAAAGCTTAACAGCTGTGTACCCGGCACTGGTTTATGGTCCTTCTGTTGTGTTATGATATGGCGTTCCAATAATATCACCCAGTCTTCTAGAGAAGTTTTCTCACATGAATCTCCAAGTCTCTCTCTAATCTCTGGTAAAAACTCCTCCCACCTAACTCCTCTCGGATTGACGATATTGAAATATGAAGTTGTTTCACGGTCCCCACCTGGTACTATATCCCTGGCCTGGACAACATCGACTAGAATCTCTGCCAGTAAATCAACAGGGACCCAGTCGACTATGTTTGCTGGACCAAGTTGATCAGGGACAGATTGGATAGCCTTCGCGCTCTGTAATAATGTTGGGAACCAATCGCGCGCAGGCCACGTACCATCACGGAGCACAGGCCCGGCCACCTGGCCAATTCGACAGACTGAAGACCTTATTCTATTCTTTTGTCCTGCATTCTGAAGAAGTAAGCTGGCGACAAGCTTGCTTTGACCATAACCTCCCTGAGCGTAATAAAGAGAAGCAAGATGGCTTTCCGGAATAGGCGTGGCATGATCCCACCGTTGAACAGAAGCAATTGACGAAATAAAAATGATATGAGCATGCAGTTTCGAAGTGTGAGCAAATTGTATCAAATTCTGGACACCTTGGATGCTGGACTGAAAAAAGGATAGTGGTTGGTGGAAGTTAACTGGCCACTGGCAGTGGACAACGCAATTTGTGGTCTCGGTAAGCTCAGAGTACACCGAACCGGGCAATCCTAGTGCCGGTTGGGATAGATCGCCTTTAAGGTACTGTACAAAGGGGCAGTTATCGTTTGCAACACGACGGTAGTTAGTGTAATCCTTAGCGATGACATCTTCACTTTGCGCTAAGCGGTCTATGCAAGTTATCCTTTTTATACCCTGTCGCAGGGAGAGAGCATTTAAAAGATATCTTCCCACAAAACTAGTGCTTCCGGTTAAGATAACATGCTCTGTTGAAAAGCCTTCATCTCTTGAGCTAGAAGGATTTGCTCTAGGAGAGTGGACTTCGTAACTTTCCTGAATATCAGCAGGCTAGTCGCCGAATACAGAAATTACAGAGACTAACCGCTCTAGGAGATTACGCATTTCCTGAATAGCATTATCGTGCTCTCTTCCCAAACCACTCTCGAGTGGGCCAGGGCAGAAATAGGATGCCAATCTAGCCGCAGTTGGATGTGCGTAAATCAGATCGGTAGTCGAATCTCTTATTTCAGAAGCATTGGTCATAACAGCTTTCCAACTGCTTTCCAAGTAAGCTGCTAGGATTTGTACCCTTCTTGAGTCTAGACCGGCAGCAAAAAAGTCGTCCTCAGCGCTCAGCCTTGAAGTGGAAGTGAGCTCACCTACGAGCTCGCACAGGCCCGCTGACAGTGCATCTCTGCTGGAGAAATCAAACGTGGGTGTATCGAAACTATAAGGTTGAGTTAAATAAAATTTCTCGATTTCCGGAGCATATAGCTCTAATGATCTCTTTCGATCCACAGTCCCTTTCGCTGAACGGACGAATGGCTTGCTAGCTTTCGCGTTAAGGATATCCCGAGCCATAATAAGGGTTTCCTTTGAGCTATATTTCTGGGAATTATTTAAAGTTGTTAAAATCTCGCTATGAATACGATCCATTGCTGAACTCTCTGCGGGTGCCTCCAATTCTACCAGAAGCCCTGGATGTGGCCGATTATTACCGAAGACGAGGGCCGTGCGGACGCCCGAACAGGTGGAGACACTTGATTCTATGTCTATAGGGTTCAACTTTTTTCCTGTCGAGAAAACAATAAGCTGATCAGTCCGTCCCCGGTACTCCCAGAGATCTTTAATAGTTGGATGTGGTGCAAAAATATCCTTTGTGCACCACTCGCTCAGCTCCGGGAAATTGTGAAAAACAGTTTGATATTGTGCCACATCATCATCTTTGACAATAACCATCTCAAACTCTCCTGAGCCTTCAGAAGTCTCACGCCATTCGATTCCATTCAAGCGAGGCCAAAAGCGGAAGTAGTTCCAATATCTTGAGTCCATTGGAAATTGGATAATGCTGCCGCATTCTGTACTTCCAATTCCATTCAGCAATTGCGTTCTATTGGATAAAATGTCCCCTGCGTTTCGATTAAGACAACCTATACATGGTTAGTATCATGGAGCCGTCAACAAATGTTTTATGCTAACCTCCACCGTACAGAATATATCGCAAAGTGTTTACACGATCCAGAATTGTCGAATCGCAAGTTATATCCTCAAGCACTGATGGGGGTAGGAGCAGTGCATCCACATCTGCGACCCGAAGAATTTCCTGTACAACTTCTCTACTTGCTGGCTTACCGGGAGGTCCAAATACCAGCTTACACCGTGAAAGGAGTAGGAAGCAACTTAGAGCGAGCCCGGCAACATGGAATAGTGGAAATCCAATGAACGGCTTTTCTGCCTCAGCAAGAACGCACAAATAAGGTTTCTGCTCCTCTTCGTGGGGAATGCGATGCTGTACATCCATAGCTGCAATGCATGATTGGGAAATAGTTACAACCTTGGGCAAGCCTGTAGTGCCTGAAGTGTGAAGCATCTCCATAGTGGCTCGATGTCAACAGCAATTTCCAACGCGGCTAGATTAGACTTACCACGAATGGATGATTTCGTCCTGTTTTCCAGGTATGAAAATATGGGTACTGTTCAACTTTGTCATCCCTTGCATCTACTAGTTCTTCTATGCTTGCCATTGGTACTAATTTCGCGTGCTGGTGTTGAGATAGACTCAATGCAATAGAATTAAATGACTGGTCGAATATTATATAATCACAACCACCTTCTTTAAGCAAACATATGTTGGTGGCTGTGCTGTTGCCAGTCGATAAGAGCAGAGCCTGAATACAGTTGGCAAATGCATTTCCAAAGGGTGAGAAAACAAAATACCTTAGTGCCACATTTAACAGCGGCTACCGATATAAGTAACTGCCGGAGGTCACTGGGACCGAGATAACTGTTCGGAATTAGGCAATGGTAGAGAGAACTAGGGACATATGCAGACCAAACGGAGGAAGGCCTAGGCAAGCCACCCCAGGAAGAATCAAGCAACCAGCTAATCCGATTAATGGTATTTGAAATATGCATATAATTAAAGGGAATTACTCTGACCCCCCAACGGCCCGAAACTGCCTGAAAAACAGCTGCTTCATCAGGAGACTGAACTGCTGCTTCATCAACAAAGTTGACAAGGAGTCTCTTCCCAGCTTCAGGCACCTCCTTTACCGGCATTTTTATGGGTTATGAAAAAGTGATATAATGACTTTAACAAGTAGAGAGACGATTTGACTTGGGGACAGAATTGGGGTCAAGGGCCACCATATATTGAGCGTAGATGTTAGCCTGGGATTTGGCGTGGCTTTCATGTACTGATTGGTAGAAACTAACTGCGACTAAGAAACCTGGCAGAAAGATGGCAACCGTTCTTTGGGGCCCTACCAATGAGCAGATCACCACGGCCAAACTCTCTGTGATGTCATAGAATGCACCTGCCCATGGTTTACTAGCACCTCAGCTCCTAGGCCCATCTCGCTCAGTGATTTGATGATAGGTGTTGTTAGTCTCACGCGAAGATAAAAGTGCACCCTCAGTTTCTACACTAGATTCATAACAGATAATTGTTAAAGCTCAGTAATGACAAAAGAACAAGGTGTAGTCTGTAGGTGGCTCGGCTATCGCTAATCCAGCATATAACCTATATGCGTTCATTGTTGTGCTTGTGGCTGCATTGGTAGTATCTACTGAAGTTCTTCAGATAATGACAAAAATTCTTAAAGATATTTACGCACTATCATTTCCTTTCTGTCTGCAAACGTCAATTCCTCGATGTGTATACATTAATTAAATAGTTCATACGGGCATCTGGATTCCGACAATGTAAATTTTGTACTCTTTAGCATCCTTCTGCAGCTATGGACAAAGCATAGTTTCACAAGCTGGATCGTAGCATTCACCACATCTGATCACTGTATACATCATTTTCTCTGATTTAATAGCAGGATGTTTAACTACTGAGTCGAGGCATCTTAATTTTTGTGCCCATGTCTAGCTCAACATTAGAAACCGCCTAATGTATAGAGAGAGTAACCAAAAAAAGATGACGATAATATTCAGGCAACTGCACAATCTGGTGCATTCCGAATTCACTCAGGTAGAATCGCTGCACTTTGGCTTCTGCAGCAGTATCTTGAAGGGTTGCTTGTTGCGCAAGGAGACTCCCTCCTAAGCACTCACGACCACTTCTACTCCTTTCAAAGCGCTAGTCAATTCGTCGAAAGTGGCTGTGGCCAGGTCAATATCTTTGATAATTATCCTCCGTGTATCCCCGTAGTACTTCAATTCCGGCCTTGGAGGTACAAATGCAATTATGCTAAAAACTTGTTCTTTACAATTCATCAAAGCATAAAGAATTACATTCCCAATCTGGCTGTTGGTACCGACAGGGGCAATTGTATGAAAGACATAACGGTCGCCTCATGAAGCTGCAATTCACATTTGAGACTCTGGAAAACGGAACAGCCAGATTAGTGGGAATATTGATCAGGTTATCGGCGATGAAGACACGATAATCATGAATTTAATAGCAATTTATTAAGCTTTAAATTGTTCCAGATTTCTTGTCGAGGTAACATGGTGACGTCGGGCTAGTGCAATTGAAGGATCCGGTGTATACAGTGTGCCTTCCAGTGCCCTAAATGCCCCACCACTTTTACTTGGGTGGGTGCTCCACACTGTCGGTTATCACCTGACGACTGGTAACACCTTACGACCGATTTTCGTGCCCACCACCCCAAACAAAATAAAGCCATAACACCACATGTAATTGATAAAATATACAGAGATTTTGGAGCGGTAAAATATGCATTATAAGGAAGCTATATAACTATTTTAATTATCCTGAAAGCGTTGTGAGAGCCGTATTTTCCGCCCTCGACCATTTACCCGCCGGGGGGGCCTCTTCAACATTCTTATTAATTTGGCCACCAGTATCTTGCCTCTTTTATACCGGAGAAGGTGTAGTAGTCTTCTTCTTGCCTTTCTTCGCTTGCTTAAGGTTATTTTGAAGCTGTATATATACTTGTTTGGCTAGTCTTTCCTCCTCTTTTAACGCCATTTTTGCTCTACATCCTGCTTCCATAACTCCTTATTAAAAGCCTTTATTCTCTTCCTTTAATCAAATGCTTCTTCTCTTTCTCATGCTGCCGACGAAGCCTATTGTCTTCTTTGGCTGCCTTAGCAAGCTGTATTGCTTCGTCCTTTTCTGCTTGGAGATCCCGAGCATGCCGAATCCTTTTAGGAGAATAAAAGACAGCATTGCCATTTTCTGGAGCACATAATTTAAATAAAAGAGGATTCCGACGCTTGTACTTCTTTTGCTCATTCAGTAAAGCATTTCTAGGCCCTTACAGCGTAATTTAGGAGAATATTCTTTTTAGAGAAATAATACATTGTATCATTCAATTTTTTCGGCTTTTTGGTTGTATAATAAGCAACAAGCTCATTATTACGTCTCCTCAAATTTCCTTTGCAAAATTCCGTAGCATTCATAGGTACGTGGAAGACCTCGATCAGTAATGAATCCATTTAATAAGCACTTTTAACTGCTGGTTGTTGAGAAGTTACTTTTTATACTGAGTACTTCGGGACTGCTGTGTGCCTCGGTGGCAACTTGATAGGGTTATTTGATTAATTCCGTGCTTTTCGGCGATTTTTGTATAATTCACCTTTTTGCCTACTATCAGGCTTTCTACAACTTTAAGAGCCGCTTCAATTGAGCCCATTTTGGTGGAGTTGCAGAGATTTGAATTTTATGTACGTGGGTGTACAGCCAATATCGGTCGTTATGTGATACTGATCGCCAGGTAATAACCAACAGTATTCCCACACGATCCCCGAGAGGTTAGGCTTTTTCTTCACTACGGGCGGTTTTGCAGGCCTCGATTACATGAGATTTATTAATTTTTGACTGCTTCGGCAAGCTAGGTGGATGGGATTAACATCAAGAAATTAGATAAAATTTTAGGTTTCCGGTGCGAATTGGGTTTCTGGTGCACCCACCAAGAGAAAGGAGTGAGGCACTGGAAGGCACGGTAGTAGAAAAGTAAGCTCAGTGTTCTACCATGGTAGAAACTAAAAACATGATCTCAAGATCTCAAATAACTGCGATGAAATGGACTCGCCATGCGAGTTCTGGCTGGTGCTAATAGACAGTATACTTAGCAAACTGGCCCTTCCAGTCGTTAAATTGACGCTTAATAAAGTAGACTAAACTTCATATACGGAACTTATATTCCTGTCTATGAAGGCCAAGTTTTCAGTTCAGAACAATGACAAGGGCCTAATTTGTCCCGCGCTAATAAGTACCTGAATACAAATACCACTTCTCTTGTGTTACCCTAGGCCGGTGCGCTATTTTTCAATGGTGCTGTATGGTAATCCTAATATCTCATGCATTAACCTTTCCCATTGCTCGATCACGCCTTACAGGACTTAGGGTACAGCCATCGCAGCACCCTGACCCCCAGGCATAAAATCTTCCATGCCTGCCTTTCTCCCATTCATAACATTATAGCAACATGAAAGTCTTCAGAAACGAATCTAGAGAAATAAATTCATCCAAACCTCCAATGAAGGAAACATGCTGATCTGGTCGCACTAGGACCAGACATCCCTCCGGACCGACACCATAAGCTTTATAAGCATTACCAGATTCCGTATGGAGTAGCTTGTTATCCGCATACACTCGTCTAAAGTCCATACCCGCAGGGTTGACGACAGGGCGGAACAGTTCGGGTAATCTCCAAACATCGACATCATCTCGTGGAGCGGAATGAACTAAATAGATGTTAAATAGCCCAACACTGTGCTCTGCTGCTGTGATATTAGCCCGATGAATGGTTGAACTATCTGAAGATAGAGCCGCAGCTAAGGTTGTGATTCGCGTGGCTTGCACATGGTCAAGAATGTTTCCTCCAAAAACAATCAGGTTCCAGTTCCCTGTACTAGCGAGTAGTTTATGAAGATGAATAGGCTCGGAATCGCATTGTCGGAGAATAACTTCACTGGAGAGTCTAGAGCCAACCCGAATATTTTTTGCAAGTTCGTACGTATCCTTAGAGAGACAAATCCCTGAGTCCCGACGGTTCCGAGTTATTCTATGAGTATTTGACGAGGACGTAATAATCAAATTAGGCTGATATGCCACAGCAAGCCCAGAGGCTGAGGTATTCTCCTCTTCTAGGGCGAGTTTATAATCCAAATCAAATGCATCCTGACCTTTGCTACAGCTGCACAGCCCGTGGCACACCCGTTTATCAAAGTAAAGCAGTCGTTCAGATACTGGCAGGCGCTCTTCTTGATAAGTTCGGAGTATTTTCGGGTTTATAGTCTCTTTGAGCACACATGCTAGCTTCCAGCCAAGGTTGTAAGTATCCTGCATGCTCACATTCATTCCTTGACCAGCCTTGGGTGAATGAGTGTGAACCGCATCTCCCGCGAGGAATATTCTGTTGTAATGAGACATAGTTCTACATATCTGTTGACCAACCTAATCACTTCCAGTTACTACTATAGGAGATTCGGGAAAATTCCACTGCATGTTGCATGTGGCTCACCGTGTAAATAGTCGACCAGTGCACATGGCGCTCCTGTAAGACATATGGACTAATAATGTCCCGGGCTATATTAGTTAGTATCTCTGGATCATTTGTTGCTCTGAATTGAGATGCTTTATCATGTTGCAGCTGAATATACATGCGAACGAGATTTCCCTCCCGTGGTATAACCATGAGGTTACCAGCCCTGGACTTGATGATACATCGTCTCCGCAAATCAGCTGTAATTTTATTAGCCAGTGTTCTATGAAATCAATGTTTAACGAACGGAAGTTTGATATAAAAATAGCATCAATAACTCCCCACTGTTTTTGAGTCCGGCCACCTTCAAAGTAAAGGCCCAGTTGCTTTCGAATCCAACTATGAGCACCATCACAGCCGATGAGATATTTTGCTCTAATAACTTTCGCGTCACAATGAACTTCTACTGGGTGGGACCTAAGATCGCTCAGCGAAGTTGTTTGTATATGTAATTCAGCTGGTGTAACCCCCCATTGGAACCTAACACTATGACGGTCTTTAATAAAATTTATCAAGTGCTCTTCAACTCGACCCTGGCTTAGAGTGCAGGATCGATATCTGGACCAGCCTGGCTGCATATTGTTTATCATGTTCAGCCTTTGGAGGACGCCTCCGTTGTTTACTCCCTATCGTTCTCGTCAACAACAACGTCAAATAGCAATTTTAATAAAACTAGAAGTGTTCCCTTACCCAAAGGCATAAATCATTGGTATGGTTGGATTCCTTCCAAATCTGTTCACCGAGTCCAAAACTGTCCAAAATCTCCATGGTACGACTTTCGAGGCCATCTGCACGACCAAAGTGTGTGTGAGAGAGCTTCTTATCAATAACCAATGTGTCTATGTCTGCTTGTGCCATCCATGCAGCAGCCATTAGGCTATGGTTATCCCTTTAGCATGACTCCCTGCTTTCTAAATGGTGCATGACATACCCTGCCGGCCCTGCTCCCACAATGAGCACATCTACCTTGGACATATCTTTCATCGATTGATACAATGGCTCATGCAATGATTTCTGTAAGAATAGAGCTTAATTTATTTAAGCCTTCGAAGAGCAACAAACTTATCAAGCGTTGAATCTTGTCACGGGTAGCAAATCTTGGTGTTAGGTCCGTCACCTATTTTCTCGTACATATCCAATTAGACTTTTGCCCTAATAGTACGGAACAGCCGGCCCACAGTTCCACGGTGAGATTATGCTTTACAGCCCTTAGACTGATTTGCTAGGTTCTATAATGCGCCTGGAGTACGGATTACACTTCTGTTCCGTAGCACTCATTTCTAAAACGAAAGCTCAAACTTTTTAACCCCCTATTACGTCAAAACGTATCATTGGAACAAGAAATCTACGGGAATAGAAAAGCCACATAAAAGCTTTTTTACTTGAATCCGCACAACTCCGAGTTTCCATACCTGGAGAATAAGAACTTGGGGTACCAGGTATATAGATGTCTAGTTAAATAGTAACGCCCAGATTGAAATAACAATCTTTTTAAAACTCAACATAGTAAGCACTACAGGGAGAAATAGCGTTGTGTGAACCAGCTCTATAGCAAACAGAAATGGCCCTATCTACTCATGTTTCTTTGATGAAGCAACTCTGGAGTCGTCTCAGCTCTCTTGAAAACGATGGGTCTTGTGTACTTCTCGATGGGTACTCCCTAACTAGCGCAGATGTTATAGCCTGTTCTAGGTGAGTGTCTGATGTTTCCGCACAATTAGGGCTTAAAGATAATAACGTTGTACCGTGAGATACAATACCCAATCTGCAATCTCGACAACAGAATGTGTGGTCTCAAGAATAGAGCGTAGCGTTCATGCGCTCAATGACCATCTGCTCAATGGCGAAAATGTTTACGGTATTTAACTTAATATTCCGGTCCTTATTTTCATCATGGGCTGAACTCGCCACAGGAGTCAATACGGGTTGTGGGGGGAATGGAGACGCTCGTACTAGATATCTGGAGGACCTGCAGCATTCTTTTTTCCAGCATCATCAATGTGGTATACTGCCAGAACTAAACAAGAACGGCCACTTTCATGCTCAATCTCTTGAAAAGGACATCATCAAGGCAACCGTATTGATCCGTTGCAACTCACTACTTCGAGGGCACTCTGCGGTGCGACTGGAAATCCCTCAATATTTGATTAAACTTTTAAATGAAAATATACTTCCCCTAATTCCTAAACGTGGAAGTATCTCTGCCTCCGGGGATCTCGCTCCATTGTCTTACGTTGGAGGGCTTCTTGAAGGGAGCCCGGAGATTTATGTCTGGGTCGACGACGGTGATAGGGCAAAGTGTCGGGTCAAATCAGCTAAAGACGCCCTAGAGCAGATTGGCCTGGCACCACTGCGAATGAGGGCGAAAGAAGGGCTCAGCATTGTGAATGGAACATCTGTTAGCACAGCTGCAGCAGTTCTGGTGATACACGATAGCCACAATTTGGCTCTTCTCTCACAGTTACTTACTGCAATGGGAACAGAAGCACTCCTGGGAACTGTGGACAACTTTGATTCCTTTATATCACGGTGTCGACCGCACCCAGGTCAGGCAGAAGTTGCAGAAAATATCTGGTCGTTCCTTCAAGGATCAAAATTAAGCTACCGAAGAGACTCGAAGACTGTAGGACTTGTTCAAGATCGCTATGCCGTCCGTACCGCTCCGCAGTGGATAGGGCCACATATAGAGGATCTCCTTCTAGCGGAACGGCAAGTTAACGTTGAGCTTAATTCATCAACCGATAACCCCTTAATTGATGAGGCACAGAGCCGCATCCATTATGGGGGGGGAACTTTCAAGCAACACCCATTACTTCAGCTATGGAAAAGACACGGACGGCTCTAGCTATGTTCGGTCGACTACTTATGTCACTGTCTGCAGAATTAATAAACCCATCCCTTAACAAAGGGCTGCCTCCAAATCTCTGTGCGGACAATCCGAGTTTATCATTCACCATGAAAGGTGTGGATGTGAATATTACAGCTTACTACTCAGAGCTTGCATTCCTTAGTCACTCCATAACAGGACACATACAAACTGCTGAGATGGACAACCAACCTGTGAACTCTTTAGCTCTAATATCTGCCAGATACTCTGCACAGGCAGTGGAGATCCTGTCTATGATGTCAGCTGCCTATCTTTATCTTGTTTGCCAGGCTTTAGATCTCCGAGCTTTGCATGAGGAGTTCATCCTTGAAGAGAAGGAAAAGTGTCTTAAAATGTTTCTCCAGCTCTTTTCATCCTTCTACCACTGTTCACAAGATGCTATGCAAGATGCTGAGAAAATCTGGCACAGTCTGGAGGCTAGGTGGCGGCAAAAAAATTGTATGGATTTATCTGATAAGTGTGAATGTGTGGCCAGGGAATCTCTCAGTGATATTGTGAGCACTGTTCAAGTTCCCCAGGAAGCTGACATGGGACTCATATGGACATTGACTCAAACGTGGGAGAATAAAATTGCCTATGAAATGATGGAAACGTACAGCAGCGTCAGAAAAAGTTTTTTTGAGAATCAGTCTACACCAAAATTCCTTGCCGGAGCTACAAGTCGAATGTACTACCATATTAGGTCTGAGTTGCAAATACCATTTCATCGGGGGCTGATTGACCATCCCACATTCTGTTACCCTGCTCGTGATCGGGCGAATGGAACTATTGGAGGACACATTGCCAAAATCTACGGTTCTGTTCGTGATGGCACTATTATGACTCCTCTGAAGGAGTTTCTGAACAATCGGGGGCATCCCCAAGCTTGAAGTGCCCCAGATTAGATCATTTTGTTTGACCTTGTTTTGCTCTCATGTTCTGAGAATTCAATCCGTATTCCATAGCTGGTTCTACAACATAGCATACATTCAAATAACCAAAATCCAATCAACCAACCTCTAGGCCATAGGCTCAAAAGCCGATATGCCAACTTGAAGCCTTTCTCATATAATAGATTAAAACAGGAGCTGCGCCTCTTTTTTACTTCAGCTCGCCATCCACACATCTAGATATTTCAATGGCATCCTTTGTCTTGTAAGCCTTGACATCTCTCTAGGGTAAACAGTTTTAGAGAGGCTACTCACAGCCGGACCTGACGGTTGAATTCCTTCAGTTATGACCGTGTCATATACCAGTGTAGGGTTTCCTAATGGAGGATCGTCTGCAATACCTCCGTCTCGATATAAATTATATATCACACGTTTGGCCTTGGGAGGAGACCTGACGTATTCTGAGTACTGTGGATTTCCAGGTTGTTTCATATCATCTGCAATAACTGTGGTACCTGGAGCGATAAGCTTTAGAGCTTCACAGAGCTTCAAATCTGGAAGATAATCTGCTTTCGCATGATCCAAAAAGATAATATCCCAGGGCTTGTCCTGAAGCTTCTTAAGTGACTGCCTGCAGGGACCTTCCAGGAATTCCACAAATCCATCTAATCCAGCAACAGCAACAAGTTCTCTCGCCACGGAGGCAAACTTTGGACTCATTTCCAGACTAACATACTTTTGACCTCCGGCGCGACGAAGGGCGTCACCAAAGAGTATGGCAGAATACCCCACATAACCACCAATTTCGAGCATGGTATTTGGCTTGTTACGCGAAATTATCTCGGTAATGATGGCCCCTTTATACTGGCCGACGTTCATAAGAAAGTTTCTTTTTCGACCGTACTCATCTATTGCATCCAAAACTGCGGATGGAGAGTCTCGCAGCTCCGAGAGCTTCGGGTGCGATAGGATGAACTGAAGAAGATCTTCCTCTCTCCCATCATTACACTTGAAAAAAAAATTGTTACTCAAAACCTATTGTATGTTTTGCTTTGTGGGGTAAATGCAGCATTGAAATAGACTGAGAGTAGGAAAGGGTGAAGTCAACACCTACAAAAATTTCCTGCTCTGGCAGGTAGAATGACTCCGTTGAAGCCATATTTCTCGTCGGAATTAGTGACAGAATAAAATAACACAAATCATATAAAATATCCAATACTCTAAGGAGCAAGATTTATATGAAACTATTGATGATGTCCAAGGAGGGCTGCTGTGTTAAAGTCATTATGATGAGCTTGAGTTTGATGTAGTCATTTGCTGTGCATGGAGAAGGTTCGAATAGCATTCAGGATGATTCGGTTGAAGTTTATCTGGTAAGGTTCATTAAATCCAAGGCACAGTGCAACAACTTCCTAGAGTAAAGCGCTTGCCGCCTCTTAAAACATGGATGGCCAATGTATGCTCAGCGCCTTCCGTAGCTACACATCTGTCTAGGGTGAATGTTGACATTGACATTGAAGTAGGGTGACGCCGTAGTGACGGCCTCGACTGTCGAAAGTGGACCACCCGGAACTATAAGGTAGGACGCGTTTGCCACCAACAGTTCGTGCTGTGTACTATGACCACGAGGCCAATGCATTGCTTGCGCGCTCTACATTTATGGAAGATTCTGTAAATCATTAACAGTAACTAATGTCTAGAATTCAAATGTATTCGACTAGTAATCTGCTCCCACATGGTTACATGCATACCCTCTCCTGCCATTCTGACATTGCCCATGAAAGGCTCCATTGAGTATTTTAATTCCAAATGTCTCCTACACTGGACATGTTGAGCAATGCACGCATCTATGGACATTCTAACGACAATGCTGACAGACCGTCTCTGAGCGATGGTTGTATTGCCCTCCAGCTCAACGATCCCAATGCCGTGCCAACGTTGCTTAAACAGATAGAAAAGAATGGTTCTACGTTCAGACTTAATGATGGCGCAGCGTCTTCAGTGCGTTTGGATCTGCTCAATGCTGCTCGATTTTTAGTTTATGCCCTCGAAACTCCCAGAGAGGCTATGGTTAGACACTGTTGGTCTCAAGTACTCCTCATTGCAGCTGTTGAGCTAGCAAAATAGGATCCAATCTGATTGGAACACGCAGTCAACGACATTTGCAGCAATTGAGATTAGCGTCAATCTAGGTCTCTTCAAATTTCTTGCCGTCGATGATAGACCAAAGTCAGCGACCGAGCTCGCGAACGCTACCGGAGCTGAGCTGGTCTTTCTGGGTAAGCTGTTGCCTATTAATGAGAAATGCCTCTGCATCCTACTGATTTGTTAATGAGCACGGATTCTGAGACATCTGGCCGCAATGGGTGTTATTAAGGAAAGCGGTCCTGATATGTATTGTAGGACTGGCTTCTCCAAAGCCATGACCACGCCGCGGTTTGGTGATTCGTATCCATGCATGTAAGTCTTACCTTCCCTCTTTTCTGTCTTGGCTCTGTTGGGGCTAACTCTACAGATATCCAATATACAAGACCGGATGTATTACCGCAGGGTGTCTTGCCCTTCCGGAATATTTTAAAAATAGAGGGTACCGGAGCCCAGACGACAGTAGAAACTGTCCGTTTCAATTTGCCTTTCAAACAAGCCTTCATTTCTTCGAGTTCCTGCAGGCCAACCCAGCCATTTCCAGTCTTTTCCATAATCACATGTCCACCTACCACCTGGGCCGCCCTAGCTGGATTGATGACGGCTTCTACCCCATTGAAGAGCGACTAATTAGAATAGCATCCAGCAGCCCAGAAGACGTCTTGATCGTCGATGTCGGTGGAAGCTTAGGTCATGATCTGTCAGAATTCCGCCGAAAGTTTCTTCAAGCTCCCGGCCGGTTGGTGCTTCAAGACCTCCCTACTATGTTGAGTCAAGTGGAGAACCTGGACACAGACATTGAACTAATGGCGCATGATTTCTTCAAAGTGCAGCCGGTTAAAAGTGCGTCAGACATTTTTAGCCCTAGATTATGGGAAGAAATGACGTTATAATTATCTTTCCCAGGTGCTCGTGCATACTACTTGCACTCAATTCTGCATGACTGGAACGACGATAAGTGCCGCAACATTCTAACAAACCTTAAGGACGCCATGAATCCTGGTTATAGTAAGATTCTGATCAACGAAAACGTTGTTCCTGAGACGAATGCGAACTGGGAAACTACCAGCTTAGACATTATTTTGATGGCAGAATCGGCATCTCAAGAACATACATTATGCCAATGGCACGCTTTGATTGGATCGGTGGGGATGAATATTGTTAAAATCTATTCAACGGAACATGATGCTGAGAGCCTAATTGAGTGTGAACTTGCATAATAAGGCCAAAGGGACAGGACACGGACTTGCTTCCTACGCAGTGGATTTATCTGAAGCTTTTCAGTTTGTTGTCTTGTGGACAATAGGTAATTCATCCCCATACATTAGAAAGCACCACGGAAGACAATCGGTACCCTTGCCAGTTCTAGGCTACAGCCTATTTCTTAGGTTTTATCGTGACTCCTTTAAGGATTCATTCTGGTTGTATTTATGTTTTAAGGTATAAGATAGTGTGACTCTAACTGGGTGGGCTGCGTCTATGGCTTGACCATGTTGTAGATTTTTATACAAGAGAAACATGAGTTGTGAAGCCTTGGCTACACTTCATGAGTTCATTCTAAATGCTAGATCAATGGTTTACTACGCACCAGAAATTTGTGGTATAGCCTGGGGAAACAAGGGGAACAATTCAATAGTAGTGACAAAGGTTTATTGCATAGACGTACAATTTGAAAAAAAATATCAGGTGGCGGGTTATCGCCCACTGTTTTCTTTGGGAGAGGGTGCTTAGTCGTCGCCTCCAGTTCCTGTGGAGGGAGCTCAACCTTGTGCTTTTGTCTTGTATCCTTGGACTCCTGGCCGTCAGCTAATATACTGATATCAAGGTCTGTAGGATTTAATTCCAGCGTCTTTCCCACACACTCAAATATGAATGATGCGAATAGCCTGTACGACCTGCAAACTGTGAACATACTGAATGACACTTCCGAGTTTTTGAACACAAGTGGTCCAAACATCTGATTCAATCAACCCAGCCGGATAAAGGCATGCCACTAGAGGTTTTAGATAGGGCCTAGATACGCTTACCAACTTCACCGGTTATGGCACCCAATATTGAGGACGGGTATGTTATTCGCATTCAATGAAACAGAGCTAATTCAGTGAGTTGTGCAGTAGAAGTTATATTTAATGATCCATTGGCTTGCTGACCACACGATGGCTTTATCTCCAACGCCTACCAGGCCATCCAACTTACTCAAAGAGGATAGTGGATGAAGTAGTCCAAAAAAGACCTGATCAAGACTTTTATGATCTGTATATAAAATTATCCAATGTACCAGTTCGTGCCTGATGCATTCGAACATATTTTCACATTAATGGTCCCTTGACATGATATTCATTCCTTTAGGCTATGCTTTTCATATAAAGTGTTACCGGGAACAAAACTATAGGGACTGACCTGGCTTCTCCCAACTGAATATAGATAGATCTGGGTCCGCCAGAACTGAAAGAAATATGTCCTATCTAATTAAAGCGAATGAATATTTACTATTATCTGGAACTCATCAATGCCTAGATCTTTACGGACGGTACTAAGCCAGTTAAGCCGCTGATAACTACCTACATAAACTATTGAAACTTGACTCACTATATTGGCTTCACTAGAGGCATGGAGTTTTAAGTTGGTTGTATGGTTTTTCTTGACAAAACCCTTTAACAATCCAATGTAATTTGAGAACTTGTCACACCCCGAAAGCGAAATCTCCTGGCCCCTGTCACTTTGCCGATGTGAGCCAGAAAGTCCTGGATATGGGTGAAATTACCAGCCGCTCGAAGGACTTGCTTGTCAATGCATATTCCCACAACTTCGCACACGTTGTTGAATACTACCTCTTGGTTGGATAAGCCAAAAGATTAGAACCACTCTTCCTCATTGAGCAGTTGTTCCGTGCTCTTCCAGAAACAAAGCCTATCTGCGTCGTTGCTTTGTGGGCTATCAGAATTTGATATTTATCTGCCTTGCTCGTACGTAAGCCTACCATGTACTCCGTTTTAATGATATTATATGGGATCATCGACGTGGCTATAGAGGATGTCTGGGAAGCTTCAGATGTAACAAAGGACACACCGTAACGCTTGATAATGGCAGATTATAGAAGACAGCGCTTCATGTCAAGCAACGTGCTTGGATAACAAGCTGGTGGGACAGAAGTTGACAAAGAAGTATAGATAAAATTCTACTACACTGGAAGAGTATTATAATGGGTGAAAGGTTAGGGAGGAGGAAGGAAGGAGGCAGCACCCTTAGGGAGTAGGGCCAAAGGCAGAAGTAATTTCCATTAGAGGTTTTATGTTATGGAATATAAATCATGTAAGTGAATGGCCTTAACAAATATATACTAAATTTAACATCACTATGATAATCTTTCCAAAGACACTGGTATGAATAAAGAAGGATTTATGTTGATAATTCGCTCCCCTGGTCTTGTATATTGAGTGAATATGCTTACTCTAATCACTCTAACTTGCCCAGAATTGTGGAACTAATACTGTAGCCTGGTTCTCACAAGTACTAGGGAATATATGGCTTTGGAGCCTATGAATTCTAAAGTTTTGCAGTGAATGGCTGACTCTTTTGCCCAGCAGTCACATTTATTATTCTTACCAAAGTGAAGTTTGTTATGGGTAGCCAACAATGCGAAGCTTATAGTTGATCACCTCTTTCATAGTTGCACATGTATCTCTTGATGGATACCTGGCTCACTAAATCATGAGATAGTCCAAGTCGTTTCCCAAGAACATAAAATGAAGCCCTTACGCTATCCTTCCTGTTCTTGTGTCACTATTTTGCCAAAAGTACTATGCATTGTGGAAGAACTCCACGAGATGAGACAAAAGGGAGGCTCAAATTCTCAGATCCAGAAGTTATCGCCCCTAGTAGTCACTCCACATACAGGCTGACAGTTCAATTCGAGGTAATAGTCCACGGCTTCTATCGTGAGCTCAATTTGCTCCAGCACTATTTCAGAACGTACTACACTGGGGGCGACGCTTGAGTCTCATTATCCACCCCAGATATGGCACTTTACCGAAGACTTATTGTAGAAGGTTCTGAAATTTTTAGATTAGAATTTGGTGTAGTATCTAGCAAGTTTATATTTATAAGGCTCTTAGATGCTCTACCCAAGCTCCCATCTGTTGAACTGTATAGATCTGTTTTAGCCTCCGTGCCAATTCTTTATTTTACATCTAATATATTCCTCAACTGAAAATTGTACCAACACTCGATATTATTGAGTGATTATTTAAGCTATCAAAAACTCGGAGAAAAAAACATTGAAAATTGATTGAAATAGTAATAAAACTAGCCATTTCCTGAAGGTATGAAAATGCCACGGTGGATTTATTATATGAAAGAAACAGCAAGCCCACAAAGCCCACCTCTATAGCGGGATGAGTCTTACCTTGGTCCAATATCCCATGCTAATTAGCTCCTGGGTTGGATTTGCCATGTCATTCTGATTCATCTACTTTCTTAAACATCTTAAGCTTTACACAACCATCAACAAATATAGCCGAAGTCTCGGAGAATACACCACTCCTCAGCGAATCTGTGCTCCAATCTGGCCCACGGATATGAATCCGAGAATATATCAAACCAAGTCACTGAAGAGCCCTTCTTGAGAGTCGTCACCCTTCTGGCATGGCTCTCGGTGGTTCTTTGTACTTGTTGCTATCTTCGATATTATAACCAATTCCTACGATAGCATGCGATGGACTCTTTATAAGTCATCAATGGGCATGGGCATCATGGTATGTACAGTGAGCCTTGTTTCTATTCCTCCTTTCCAGCATATTAACAATTATGTAGAGCTTTCTCACTGCATTCACCTCATTCCTGAACCTCGTTCGTCTACGTCTTAGTCGTCGAGAATTATGACTCTTTCTAAACCTCATCTTCGACGTTTTGATTGCATTCTTCTCGGTCAATATCAAGGTGTATTTAATACTACAATATACGCACTTCATAAATGTCGACCCATTAACCCTTCTTGCGAATCGGCTCGGAAAGTTGGTATCCTCATGTATGTTACTTTCGGGCTTGGTTTGTGACTGGGGTGAGTCGACCGTTATTTCATTTTCTCTTCTAACTACCTATGTCCGGGTGGGTTTAATAGTCAAATATAGAGTTACTCATTTAGTTTTGTTCTTGCTGCGTTGTGTCGCGGCTTTTCAGTATCGGTTTTGGTACGGATACCGAAACTGGAGTATCCCAACTGGGATGAAGAGTTAGACCAATGAATAAACATGATTATTCATATGATTTATCTAGATAAAGCATAGGTGCGTTGATATTTGGGTACAAAATGTAAGTGAGAATGGCTTTTTTGGTGACTTTCCGGCTATGCCAACTTGATAACACCTAGAAAAGTACTGTAGATGTCTGAAGGTTCACATAGGCCCTTAATAGTTTTCAATGGGTCTAGTCAAGCAATCCGACACACTAGGCCTGATAATTGCTTATTTCTGATTGGCAAAATAATACATTAGATAGATGAATAGGTATTATACATCTTTCTTAACATTCCATTCAACAAATCATAGCCAATCTATAACTTGAATCACCTATGCTTGTACGCTATCTGTTTCCGGTAATTGTATAGCCAAGTCAATTTAAACAAAGCCCAAAGACATGACTAGACACGGTACTCAAAGGGAGTGTTGAATCAAACACTTTAAGCTCTGGAAGCTTTCACAGCTCAGCCAACATGCCTAGGTATGTTTCCATCGTTTGACAGATAGTGGTCTAAAGCAATATATTGGAGAAGACCAAGGAAGGAAATATCCGGGCTACCTAGGACCTCAGAAACTGACGGGATGCATGATACTGGTCCCTTTTTGGGTGACGCGCACGTCACCAGGGTTCGTCGATACGCCTAGGGTCAGATCTCGCCATGAAGAGATCTAATAATCGCAATGGATTGAAACTCGTTGGCATTTGACTTCACGTTCAATCACTGTCGTCCTCTCCTTCGACATTCGTGCCATGGATCTGCGAGCTGGAGCCGCCACCACTTTGTCGTTGACTGTTGTTGCCCCGTCTTCTGCCCTGTATATACTGATCTGTCGTGGTAATCGCCCTCTCTCCAACAAACTTATCGCCGGGCCACGAATTCTTGCACACAGGGCAATTCTCAGCCTGCTGCATGCGGAAGAAATTCCGAATACAATGATCATGAAGTCTGCCCGGGCAGTCACGGTTCACGCAGCGTTGACCCTAGACCAGTCAGCACCTCATTCAAGACGCTATTATTAGTCAATACGCAACATACCACAGTAATAATATCCCTGCAGGCGGCACAGAATTTGATTTTATCAAATCTGCAGTCATCTTCATTCTCGTCATTATACGATGCAACCAACCACCCTCGTAGTTCCATCAACCCTCGTGGGCTCAGACTATAGAATCCTTTCCTGCTCTTCTCAAGCCACCCATCTTCCACGAGCTGTCTCAATACCGTTTCAGCTTGTGAAATACCCAACGACTGTGCTGCCCCGCCTTGACTCTGCTCGGTCGCCATATTCGACTCGCGGCGACTAGAATCTCCAGAGGACGTTTTGGCCAATTGAATTGCTTGCATCCCGCTGACCACCATCGCCTCAGACCTTCTCGTGTTGTTTGTATCGAATATGGCGTCGAGAACACGCTTGACGAACGCGATTTCATCGGCTGAGTACGTGGTCGCCAATTGCGTCAAAGGATCACTGGTCGTATTAACGAGAGCGTATACTCGTTCCGGCGCTGGGACCTCGGTAGCTTCAGGGTCGATCGGTAACTGACGGAGAGTACTTCTGATCTCGAGATCGAGAGGGGAAATAGCCGTATTGGCCATAGAAATGTACGAGGAGAATTCCTCTTCTGTTACATCTTCTGGAGAAACTGATCCGCCATCTAGTGCCAGGACACAGTCAGCAAATCGACAAAAGTCAGTGCGGGAGAAGGCTGCGACAAAGTACCAGCAACGCAAGAGATAGCTGCCATGATGGGCCTTGCCTCGTCAAAGGTCATGGTCGAACGTGCCATAAAGGCTTGAAGAAACGCACGATGCGCATCACTGTAGCCAGTTTCGTGGCCATTGTTAGCCATGTTGATTGTACGTTTTCTAGTCACTAAAGCTAGAGGCAGTCGGAGGAATGACAATGATGGAATCGGGAAATGGGAACGCGGTCGACGCGCCCCGCGTCCCAAATGCCAAGACTTCTGCCGGTGCTAATTAAACTCGCTACGGTAAGGCAAGACAATATCGCTATCAAGGCTTGATATCATAACATTTAAATAACATAGTACAGACAATAGAGGCCATTATCCCCAACGCCACATATGGAAGCAACAGCAGATCAAACCCATCGACAGTATCAGAATCTCCGCCTCGTCGGTTCCGGGCTAGGACTGCGACTGACACTGCGTGCATCCCTGCCCCGGTCTTTCAGCCATTTCTTCGTGCTTAGGCGGATGTCCCGATCGAGCTCATTGCTGGGGTCTTTCCGATGGATGAAATTGCAGAATCCTCCTCGTACACATCCTTCGCCACTATTTAACCGACAACATGCTTCTCGAAAGTCCGTGACCGGCGATAATTCACAATATATGGGCCGAGCCGCGTACCAACGTGAGTTCAGCGCATCGCAGGCTCCTTGCGCATCTTCTTCGTATTTGAATCGAGCGTAGACATTCCCAATAAGATCTACAGAGACTCGAAGTGTTAGCAAAAGTTGAGTAGTCACGACGAATAGGTAAACCAGGATCAGACTTACGGTCGTTGTTGTTGTCGCAGACCACCAATTCTTCCAGCTCACCATACTTGCACATCTCGCACCATACATCCTCGTAAAACGCATCGAAATGGTTCTGCAGTTGACTGGGATTCATCTTGTTCTTTGGGTCGTAGGCGGGGTTTTGGTACATGTTTGGCATCAAGATGGTCTGGGAATAGGACGGCTTAACGTGCTTTCGAGAACAGCGGTCTCCGTGTCTGCAGGCGCCGATCTTGTAGTAGAAAGAACAGTTAACCTTGTCCTGCTCCGTACCGAAAATCGAGGCGAGATAGTTGGCCATGATGATTATGTGAACGCGCTCGAGTCAAAATGTGCTAAACGTGAGGAGCTGAAAGAGCTATTAGAGAACAAAAGAATCTGAAGATATGATAAAGGATAAATGATAAAGAGGATTGGGCGAGGATGGAAAAGCAAGGTTCCCGTGCGGAGACTTTCTGAGCAGAGACATTGAAGATTCTGGAGAGCTCGATCTCGGACAATGCTGACTAAGGACGACAGAACGCCATCTGATGCCTAAGGCCAGAATGAATACCTGATTTATACCTGATTTACAAGGCTCAAATATGCGTCAAATAAATTTCACCCACCGATTCCACCACGGTTCACATCGTCTGATTCACCTGACGTTTAATTACATGCCATAGACACATAGATTTATTATGGACCTATCAAGCTAAATGTCACCGCAATTTTGGTATGGTTTTTAAAAGGAAAGCATAGTTAGACAAATTTCGAAGGTTACTCCTGCAGAATGGCATCAACATGGTTAATCAAGACAGATCGACACACGCAGTGCGTCAGATAATGACAATAAGGTATTTGGCTTGTGGCTTATTTTTGGCCAATTATCAGTGTACTGTTCTTTATGTTGAATTTATTCACAGAACTAAGAAAACTATACAATAAAATAACACACTGAGAGATGCCGCTGCTTGAAACCTCAGATAAGGGAGAAAATCGCCCCTCTATATTTATATACAATTTACCTCCATGAGGTCCAAGACGGCGGAATTTCGAAATCGAATTGGAGTTTCTGCTTAAGATGCGCGAGTAATGATGCTGCAGGGTGTGGATTATCCCCCGGTCTGGAATTATTGGAGGCGCAAAATCTTCGATCAAAATCGTCGAGTAAGGAGCTCATCTTAGCCATCTCAATTTTCACTAGATTCGTCTGTAAGAGTCTCTCTTCGGGCTGATCCAACTGATAAGAGCCGAAGGTGAATCGTACAGACTGGAAAGAGGGATCGCTGAGGTATTGGAAAGCACGATCCCAAACGGCTATCATGTGTCCTAGCAGAGCGGCCAGCTCAACTTGCAGTAATAGGTCATTGTTATGTTGTAGGTCACAGCACTCCATGACAGACCGGCAGACGGCCATCGAGGCCTTGTTTTCTGTTAATATGTCGTCGAGAAGCATGCCATCTTGCAAATTGCGAGCGTTGAATTCGGCGAGTTTCCTCACGATATCGCGCTGGCAGGCACACGGCCGGGGAGAATAAGAAGAAGGCGAAGAGGAAACAGTGGTTGTCGATGATCTTGGGGTCGTCGTTGTTGTTGTAGACTCCGTGGAGACCGAAGTAGCAGGTGTGGCGGTAGTCCACGAATTGGCATATACCGGAACTTGGTTACTCGAGGGTACAGAGGCGGGGTGATGAAATGTGCTAGGTAGTTGAACCTCGCGGGAAAATATACCCAATACATCATTATCATGGCTGTTCCCCTCCCGAAAAAAGCCCGCACTATATCCAAAGTCCCACTCGTCCAACTGTGTCCCCCCAAACGGTAGTGGGCTTTGTCGAGGCGACATCTCTGAAGGGCCTATAGCTTGCGACGGACTGGCAATACTGTGGCTATTTGGATCAACATTTCGGTGTCGTTTTGCCGATCGTAGGCTGATGCTGTAGACACAGCGCACACCACGGATGTCGCATCGTCTACATGATGGTTGGTCTTTTGAACATTTAACCTTGGCCAGATTGCAGGCGTCACACGATTTCCTCAAAGGTGCCAAATCGGGAGCGGTTGTTGAGGACATAGCCGGTCTTCCCTCTGTCGTTGTGATAGTGCTTGGGGTCGAGGGTAATGTCTGCATGGAGGGCTGAAGCCAAATTTTTGGACTCATTGTGTATTCAAGGGTTCACGGCGTGGGGTGTGAAAAGATGTAGCGATTGCATCCCTTAGAGGCTTTATCGAAGGCCTAGTGGATTCTCGAACCACCAAGGCTTTCATTGTTCCTTCTAATCACGGAGCACAATAACCGGCACTTTCTTCAGACTGAGTCTCAGCGAATCCTACGCTTTACCAAGAGGCCTAGTCAATTGAGGTTTGTCCAATAACTAACTCGGATGGATGGAACTCATGAAGTTATACGAGACCTGGCCCGCTTTTTCCTGCCTCGATCGCTCGCCAGATCTACTCGGAATATTAAGATATCCGCGTGGAGCCCATTAACACGTGTAAATTTAGCACGAGTTGACAGATCGGTCGCAAATCATCAACGGTTGGCTGGATGGTACCTAGAGACTAAGAGAATACGCGAAATGCAGATCTGGAAGGCTCTACTAAGCACCAACGCATGCTATTTTCTCACCATTTTTACATAACCGATGATCCAGAACATTTCTTATCTCGTGTACGGCTTACTCCTTTGGTATCATTCATCATACTTATCATACCCATCATGGAAATGTGGCTACAAACAGGCTGCGCCGAGGATGCTTGGCTTTGATGGCGCATAAATCTGGCAGCCTATCGCAAAGATTGACTAATTGGTTTACGCAGAGATCTCCTTTTTATTTCTCGTATAATTCAGATGCTTGTGTTGTCAAGCTATGTTGGTGAGGAAAATCACTCAACTGCATTTCTAACGAAGACCCCGCTCATTTAGCGCCATTCTGCCTAGTAGTATTCCATGCGGAATATATTCAAAGTATATATCACTCGGAAAGTAATGTTCGTATCTGCTGCTAGTGCAATGTAACCAAAATCCCAGTGTCTATATATAAACTTCAGTGGCGCTAAAGCTGGCAGTTCATACTATCCCACTTAAGTAAAACAGCGGAAAAGGATCCGACGGGAGGATTGTGGAGTTCGTCAGATAAGCCAGGACTTCTGCATATTCGAAAGAGCCAGCCAGTCGAAAGACGTGGTATTTGGTCCCCAAATTAAGACTGAGGTCATCCTGGACTGGCGTTTACACTTTCTCTATTTGCTTAGTATATTCCAAGGAGAAAGCGCGCACATACCATGCTATGTTGAGTAACAAACTTAGTTGTAGTTGAAGTTGCAGGCTCGTCAGAGACTAAATAATGGTAACCTCTTCCCTGGAGCAATTCTCGCAGGATGATACTGCATGTGGAATCATTTAAGCGAAGCTCTTGTTGCCATTGCAGGGGTAGGATAGGGTTGCATTTGATAAGTGACATGGGTCTGCGTGATGCAGGTTGTCTGAACCTGGGAACATATTTGCCCTTTAAATTACTTCCAGAACACTTTGAAAGTCGACTATATGCTACAGAGACCAGACATACAATTCTTGGTACTCTCTATTCTCGCCTATTTATCACTGAGGAGGTTTGAATTTGAGATATAGGAATCAACAAAATTCCACAGGACTACAAACGGGAGTAAAAAGGGTGCCAAGGCCCTAGTTAACAAGACAAATCTTCGGAATTATTGACAACAGGTCCTGGGATTGGTGTTCCATTTGCCCGATTAAAACCAAGTTTCTTAACTTGAACCTGTCCAGTGGTCAAGAAAAATCACTTCTCTTTCTCGGCCGAAATATAGACGGTATAGTCATGCAATAAAGTAAATATAGTCCGAAATCCAACGGCTAGTTAACTATGATAATAGCACCACTGAGATTAGAGCGAGCATTGACTGTGAGTGGTAATTCCGAAACACTCAATTGTTCCATGGTTTTTGAAGATTATGGCACGGACCAGATCATGCAGGCTTCTCGTGTTGCGACAGGGATGTTCGGGAATCAGAGATTGGGCTCCTCCTTTTGGCTGTCTCCGAAGGCCGAGGTTTTCCACATTTCAGTGGCTTAGGCCGTCATTAAGCGCATACAATGGATTATTGCAAAAGTTGTGCATGAGCTACGCCATCTGCCATGACAAATAGTTCTGTGGGGAAGGAGGACTTTTTATAGGTCTTTGAAAAATTTGCGGTGTCTGAGAAACACACTGAACAGAGCAGAGAAAAGTGGGAAGGGCGATTTTAGTAACTGCACAGAGCCAAAATGGGGTTGTAATTTATTCGCACTAGAGTACTACTTGTCATGGAGTGGCTGTATGAAAACGTTTTACAGCATTTAATTAACTGCAAAATACAAAAGATCCCTGTCATGCAGTCTATAATGTCCAGCATCCAGCTAGGAGGCTAGCTATACTGCAACTAAGCAGCGAGCAAGGAGTAGGACTTGTCGTCGAACATATTCTCCGCGTCATATTTCTTCTTCATTCTAACAAGTCGGCCGAGATTGTTCCCAAAGACGTCACAGGGACTTGCTACAAGATGATCGTAATTGCTATACTCAGTGATAAATCCTCATTTGACTTAGAGCGCTCTGGCTCTGCTTGGGGCTAAATTCGCAATTGCTCGCGACCAGATCGAGCCTCGAGACCATTAACTGCCTCTTCCGAGAATGGCCCGATTATCAGATTCTAGTGCGCACCACGGTGGGCAAAAGAGGTGGCATCGGGTTTCGAGTGCGGCCTTTGGCTCCAGAAGATCGGCTATAGATGGGTTGTGTATAGGGGAGGCGTTTATATATAGTGACGGTTACGAACTATTCTCCTCTTTTCCCTGCTGACCCAGCGACGTATCCTAGTCCAAGAGGTGGATCTACAAGAATATGAAAAGGACTCGATTGAGGCGGGGCTTACATCAAGAGTTAGTGGGGAGAGAGACTGGGACCAGTGCTTTTCAAGACTTGGAAGGAAGAGCATTTGGACGCAGAGCAGGCACTGCAGCATGTAAGGGATTTATTAGTAAGGTTGAGAGTTACAGTGGTGGGGGACGATGAGGTTGATATCGGCAAGTACTGGGAGAAGGTCGTGACAGTGCACCGTTTGGAGGGCTCATATCTCAAGGATATTCAGATGCTTGGGTAGCAGGTGGTTCTTGAATTATTTCATATTCTCACAGGGATAAGGGAGAAAAGTGCTCTTATCCTTCTACCACTGATGACAACCCTCTCGATCTTGAATGGAATCGACTGCAGCCAGTGTTCTGATGCAATGGCTGCAGCACCTGCGTGGCAGATAACTTCATACAGGCGCCGTGCTGTGGATATGTCTGCCTGGCGTGCAAGTATGGCCTCCCTCCGGATGAGCGCTTGGGTCATGGTCTAAGATTGCAAGTTATCACCCCTGGCAGAATAGTTGAGCTTGGAGGATTGGAATGACACAAGTCAGAAGAGCGTTTCGATCTGTGGGCAGAAGAGCGATAAGAGTACCACTGTCTTGGTCTATTGCAATAGATAGGGCTCTAGTGGGGTGGTGAAGTTTAACACCGCGAGAGATTGCCGGTGTGCTGCATCCATGAGAAATGTCGATAATCTTACAATGGATCTCTGGTCATAGATTAGAATCGATATTCCGGTGGAGAGCCTGACACCACTAACACTTGAACAACAGTATCGTTTTTGCTGGTTTTCCCCACCGCTGTTCCTCTCCGTTATGTCAACCAATTTGGAATTTCAACTGTTATCCATTCGTTCAACCCAGCGGCCGCTTCGGGCAGTTGGTTGTCGCTGACAGCACCGGCTTTATCTGAATAGGCTACAGACTTAGGGCAACATATTTTCGGTAACACCACTCTCGACAACCAGAGAATTATGTAGGTTAAACCATAACTCTCCTAGAGGGGCATGGGAAGGAGCAAACCAATCCTTAGCCTAGAAAAATGCAGCATAACCCGATGCACCACTAAACAATTAAGACAAAGATGCAACAATACGAATATCTCTACTTAGCTAGACTCATAATAGTACGCAATTGAGGAGCCAATGGTACCTCCCCCAAGGATCATAATTAGCATATTGGTGCCTTTATGCGCAGGTCAAATGGGCGAAACTGTAAGGTCTTATTTAGATGTATGAAGCGCCAATATGATGCAAGATCCGACTTCGTTATGCTGCTAAGTGCAATACAAGGTAAGTAAAGCTCTAGTAGCAATGCATAAAAGAAGGATATACTCCTGTCCTCCAACTTTTGATAGTTGCAGGGGGGACCTACATAATATAGATGGGATCCCCGGATAGAGAGGTGTTGCTATCTCCATCCTGACCGTACGGAGAATACTACCCAGTTATACACCTTCTAGCACTCGGAAGTTACGGATCCATGATGAGCAACGCGGACATTGTTATTTGGTTCCTTGCAACCTAAAAGTTTCTCATGTAGGACTCACGTACAATACCTGCGACATTAATTTGAGCCTTAGAAAGTTTCATAATGTTGCTAACACTTCAATTTCACATGCCCTCGGCCCAGAAGTAAATATAAAAAATATTTTTTTGTCAGCTGCATAGATGTAAAATATATATATATATATTAAACACTAAATAGACAAACCTCAATAGGAGATGGATACTCCGGAGCACAGGCATACTCCGTAAATGCTGTACTATGAATTGCTTGGTTGGAGACGATGCCTGTCTGCCCCACTTCGTACAGGAGTTACATCACCCCAAGCGTCGATATCTACCTTCTTCCTTCTTCCAAGGAACCTATTCTTCCACTCTCCTTCGAGTTTGCCTCTGTTCCAATTTATTAGTCTAGTTCAGGAATCACATTCTTTAGGTCAAGTTCTTTCTATCTCTCTACCTAAGATTCAAGCACAATGTCAGCCAAGACCTTCATTGTCACCGGTGCCTCAAGAGGTAACAACACTCAACAATTACCGTGTTCATTGACCAAAGACAAAAGACTAATATCTTATTCACTCATGGTACAGGAATTGGTCTTGCAGTAACAAAGTTCCTTCTGGCCGCGCCTCAATCCCACAATGTTGTGGTAATCGCGCGCAGCTTGGAACCCCTCCAGAAACTCAAAGAACAATTCACGAAACAAGTCGAAGTCCTCAATGGCGACATCACAGATTTCTCTCTTGCACAAAAAGCAGTCGACCTAGCCCTTAAGTCTTTCGGACGCTTAGATGGAATGGTTCTCAACCACGGAGTGTTAGGACAGGTAGGGAAAATTGCCGAAGCGGATCCACAGCAATGGAAAGAAGGGTTTGAAATCAATTTCTTCAGCTTGGTAGCCTTTGTAAGTGGAATGGCGAATTTCCCGTGCGCCTTTGAGAATGAATTTGGTTTCGCTGGGTTCAATGGGCACTCATTTTGCGATAGGTTAAAGCCGGTCTGCCCGCGCTTCGCGAAGCGAAGGGCAGAATTATTTTCACCTCATCCGGAGCTGCCGTTTCTGCCTACAGGGGCTGGGGATTGTACGGTTCAACCAAGGCGGCAATGAACCATCTTGCCATGAGCCTAGGGGAAGAAGAGCCCGAGGTAACGACTGTGTCTATTCGGCCCGGTATGGTTGATACCGATATGCAACGAGAATTGCGGGAAGACTACGCCACAGCTCTCGAGCCACAGGTCCATGCCAAATTCATTACGGTTCACAAAGATGGAAAACTACTTCAACCAGAACAACCAGGCCATGTGATGGCCAAACTGGTAATTGATGCTCCAAATTCATTGTCCGGAAAATTTCTATCGTAAGTTCAATTTCTATTCTCCTAATTTCCCTATCATAGTGCACATCTGATGAATGCAGATGGAATGATCAAGCCCTGCAGGACTTCCAGTAAATTACTGCTCGATACCTGTTCAACGGTCAGTTGATACCGCCATGGAAAGAATCTATGATATATAGAAAAGTAACATATGGTAATAATCAGTCGAAAGATGAAAAGCATTACATTTTAGAAGCATTAGACGCAGAGCATCTTCATACTTAGCATGGAATGTAGGTTGTTCATCACATTACAAAAGACATAGTATACAGGAATATAAACTCATACCTTTTTACGTTGTAACTCCAATAAATCTCACAGCTCTTTACCCTCAACCAACAGCCGACTTGCAGTCCATGTGCGAGGGATCGCTTCCATATGGCACTATATAACACCTAGATCTTCTAGAAGTCAGTAAAGACCAACAAAATAGTGCGAGTAACATCATAAATGTAAGAATACTATCAGTGAGTCCGTTTGGCTAGGACAGTGTAGGTCACCATGAAGGGTATGATAGGGGCGACAAGCAATGATCATCATAGTAATAGGAGTTATAATAAAAGAAGAATGAACATACCATTAGTGAAACAGCAATCTCAATATCTGCATATTAGTATTTTAGTATTCCTCAACATTAGAGGACACTTTTGTTGTGCGAAATTTTTAGCATGAAGAAAACGAAACGGGAAAAAGAAAAAGTTGCACAGCGAAGATAAAGAGCCAGAAGCGGTGTGTTTCTGCCGACAAAAGGCATTCGCCTATGGTTTTTCCGGCCCGACCAGTACCTGAGGTCCTAAATTCAAGCCGCGCGGAGATCATTCTTGATAAACCCAAGCGCCAGACTCACACGAAAGCCTCCAAGGAACTCCGCTCTGACGACAAGCTTGGTGCATGTTGATCTGACCCTCCATTAAATTCTTACACTTTGATCCATAATGTCAGATCGCGAATTCAGTTGTAAGTACGATCTGCGCGGGTCTTGGCATGGTCTGGATTATGCGCTGATTCTCGATATATTACAGCAAATGATGACCTGTCGCTTCCTAAAGGTGTGTACCAAGTGTGTTTCTTCAAGTGACACTTCGCACAGCCGGGTTAATTAGTATTGATGCTATTTTATTTCTCACACTTTCTTGAAAATATATCCCACCTGCCTACTGATCACCAGTACTAACTGCGATTTCTCTAGCCACGGTCCAAAAGATAATCACCGAAATCCTACCACCGTCGTCCGGCCAAACCTTCTCCAAAGATGCTCGAGACCTACTTATGGAATGCTGCGTTGAATTTATCACGTTAATCTCCTCCGAAGCGAACGATATTAGCGAGAAGGAGGCAAAGAAAACAATCGCCTGTGAACATGTAGAGCGGGCTCTGCGAGACCTCGGCTTCGGTGACTATATTCAGGATGTTCTTGCAGTCGCAGAGGAGCACAAAGAGCAATTAAAAGTATGTCGTGAAATGGTAGTGACTTGTCAATAAATTCCCTTGCTAACATGCCTTGCGAATTTAGTCACGAGAAAAGAAACAGAGCAAGATGGAGCAGAGCGGACTATCCGAAGAAGAGCTTCTACGACAGCAGCAGGAACTGTTTCGCTCCGCAACCGAAAAGTACCATGCTGCTCCCGAATGAATGTCTTTAGTTTTGCACGTGGCGGTTTAATGCGGTCTGTTCGTGCTGGTCATGGAGAGATTTAATCCCGGAGTTAATTATTTAGCCTGGTTGTGTTCTTTAGTTTTTGTTTAGTATATGGAGAGAAAATCCCTCGGAGTTCAGGTGGCTATGTGTGATACATTCCATAGCTTTTCAAGAAGGTCGGCGGATTCACACTACCTTTTTTTTATCTTGATTCTTGACACATCTGTTAAATCGATATCTGTTTACTACATGACATCCAATTAAATATGGCATGGTGCTTGCTACAAATCATTCAGATGACAGTGAGCAGACTTTTTTAGCTCGAGAGAAGTAGTATCCTGCAATTACATTAGTACATCACATCAGGCAAGACGGCACTCATAGACTGTACTAGCGTAGGCCTAAAAAGCAAATTGCACCGATCAATTATATGTATTAACCAGCTATATAAACTCAATTAGAATCCAATCAAAGACCCAAATACTGCATTCTAGGTACGACTTGCATATTTCATTTGGAGTAGTTACTTCCATAATGTCTCTTAAGCTAAGATGGGTGGATGCGCTTAACCTAATTTGGCGACCGCCCAACCTCGCCGCGCGCAAAGTCGCCCGCTGCAAATACCGCGGGACAGGCTGAGAAGGTACTGTGCTAGATTCCCCAAACCTCATCATACTGGATTGCCCAGGATGCCACCATTCAAGGATGAGCACATTTTGGTAGGTCCACCCGCCTTTTTTCCACTTGCTCCGTTGCTTTAACACTAGTCACGGGGAAACACCCTACTAACCCCGACCCTCCAGATAATTGCGCCAGGTTCGCAAGTGACCCTGGCGCAGCTGGGTCTTCCTGAGTCGTTTACACCTGCACGTTTTCGCTTCCCGACACGCATGTTTCCGGCCGAGAAAAAGGGCGAATTCGAACCGTACAAGATCCGCGAAAGGCGACAGGAGGTCAAAGTCAGCAATGGCCTTGACGCGCCTAAGGAGGATGTGGAGATGAAAGACGCGGAGCCAGCCACACCAGATACCACGGCCAAAACGGAAGCGCCTGAAAATCCCGGAAACACAGATCAGGGGGAGAAAAACGATCAGGCAGAAGGGCAGGATGCTGATGGAGAAACTAAACAAGAAGCTACGGAGGAAGTCTTCTACGAGGAGGATATCATGTCAGATGAAGGAGCCGTCTATCCGATCAAAAACGGAAGTATTGTTGACTGGCCTTGCTTCTTCGCTCTTCTAACGCATATTCACAACACACTGAGTCCACCATTTCATACCCCTATTATGCTCATTGCCGAACCGATCTGGACAGCTCGCGATCGCGAGGTGATTACCCAATTCGTCTTTGAGAAGTTCAAAGCACCCGCTTTCTGCCTCATGGATTCTGCTCTTGCCGTTTGCTATGGCTATGGCGCCTCAACGGCTACTGTCGTCGACATTGGGAAGGACAAAGTTGACGTTACGGCTGTCACCGATTTCCTCGTTAATGAGCACGGGAGAGGAATTGCCTTAGAAGGCTGTGGTGGAGATTACATGACCGATAGGCTGCTAGAGCTGTTGGGATCAAAGGGTTTCACAAGGGAAATGTGCGAGCAGCTCAAGAGGAGCAATATTACGGAAATTTTACCCGCTGGTGTACCTCTCCCAGGCGCCGCCGCAACAGCACGACAGGGCACTAATTCAACAGGAGCACAAGGCGGAAATGACTATGCTTCTCGGGACCCGGGCAGCGGCGTTCAAACGGGCCAAGAAAGTGGCAATGGAGAAGACGAAGATGAGGGGTTGTTGGACGTTGCAGCGATTGTTAGTGGTAACACCAGCGAGTTCTTGGCAAAGAGAGAGAAGGAGCAGGGAGAAAAGTCCTCTTTTAAGAAGGGGGCGGCAGATCAAAGCGCGAAACCAGTTCGCCTTCCAAACTCCAAGAAAGAGAAGGCTACGTTCCAATTCGAGGAGTTCGTGCGATTAGAGCCAGAAAAGGACCCCGGCAGCGGCCCAGTAAAGTTTATTCGTCAAACACGAGATATTGAAGTTGGTGTGGAGCGCTTCTTAGCGACGACCTTAAAACAACAGAACGGAGATCGTCTATCAAGTGGCATTCTTTCAGATATCGCCACTCAAATCCATCATACTATACTTGCGGTGCCTGATGCAAGCAAGCGAAGTGAGCTTTGGGATTCATTGATCATCGTTGGCAATGGCAGCAAAATAAAGGGTTAGTGCCTATACCCTAAAAGCTTAATATTTCAGGCTAACAATCTTCAAAGGATTCACGCAAGCATTGCTTAACACTATCTCGCAAAAGTTCATTCTCTCACCATCTGGCACCATCTTTACTTCCGAGATTCCGTCCAATTTTTCCACCCCACTTCCTACAGGAGGAACGAACACGCCAGCACCCAGTGGTCAACCTGGCCCAATGCATCATCCTGCTGGTCACGGTGTCAATCCTCTGCTTGTTGCAGCGACCCATTCAAATAACCCTGCGGCTGTCAATATGCCTCCGGGCACTCCTTCGATGGACCCTTCTATGGCTCCCTATCACCGCTCTACTGGCCATTCCCAGACCCCAACTTCGGTCAAAACATTGAAGCCCCCTGAGTATTTCCCAGAGTGGAAAGAGCAAGGCAACACAAACGCCCCTGGGGCCAGTGGTGCTGGGAATATGAACAACGCTTCCGGTATTGCTGGTGGGCCGGGCAACCCATCCTCAACAAGCAGCAGCCATGGTATGGAAGAAGCAGTATTCTTGGGTGCCCAGGTTGCTTCCAAGGTTGTATTCGTCCTCGATCAAGGTCTTACCAAAGGCTTCATGAGTCGGGTGGAGTACAACGAGAATGGGCCATCTGCAATCCATGAATACGTTATGTGATTGCTCAGTTTAATAATAGGAAATGTTATATGACGGTACGCTGTTTTGGCAGAATACAAAAGATGGATTTGAAATTCATAAATCTTGTTGACTCTTTATCTTTTCTTTTCTTTTCTTTTCTTTTCTTTTCTTTTGTTTCTTTTTTTCTTCTTTTTCTTTGAAAATATCTGTATTCTATGTGGTGGCGTTTTTTTAAAAAACATTTTCCCCTAGGATGCGGTAGGCGGGGGTCTGGACTAATACACTACTTGGTTATAGTATCCAACCAAAAGAAATTTCATGACGCTTGGGAGTCAGTGGCATTGCAGTGCCTAGGTATCCATTATTTGTGTGTGCTTCCAAATATCAGACAAGTACGGAGTACTCTCAGTCGGTATTCCTTGTATAAGTAGGCATTGGCATTTTAGGCATGGTAGTTATTGTTTTCACGTGATTGGCTTATATAATCAGTGACTGGTCCGCCACATCTTCTGTTCCGTCAATCACTATTGAGCTCATAGATACAACTTTCCTCGTTCACTTCGCTAATTGTATCGTTTTCAATATAATACAAATTATTGTTTAAAAACATGCCAAAAGCAGAAGCTGGGAGCACTAAAGCGCTCAGCAACAAGCTCAAAGCTGTATGTATCTGAGCGTCCATGGGCCTCGATAGCCAGTGGCAGTGCTAACATCTAACAGAAAGGCTTGGGCAGGTTAAGATGGTACTGCCAGCTATGCGAAAGACAAATGCGCGATGAAAATGGCTTTAAATGGTGCGTACTGCATGAGACTCGCTAGCGCTAGGAGAGCAATACTGACAGCCTGTGATCATAAGCCACGTCCAGAGCGAAAGCCATGTACGCCAGGCATTACTGGTTGGCGAGGACCCGAAAAAGCACATCGAAGATTACAGCAAGCAGTTCATGCAAAACTTCCTCAACATCCTACGGACAACACACGGCGAGAAGAAAGTGCATGTCAATCAATTTTACCAGCAGGTCATTGCCGATAAAGAGGTGAGTTTGTGAGAAAGTTCCCGTCTGTTTACTTCGTTACTGACTTTCGGATAGCACATCCATATGAATGCCACGAAATGGACGAGCCTTACTCAATTTGCGGCGTATCTCGGGCGAGAGGGTTTATGTCGTGTGGAGGAAACGGAGAAAGGCCTCTTTGTTTCCTACATTGATCGAAGCCCGGAGACTATGAGGCGTCGCGAGGCCATCCTTAAAAAGGAGCGCCAGGATCGAGGAGATGAGGAACGGGAACAGCGACAAATCCAAGAACAAATTGAAAGGGCCAGGAAAAATACAGAGCAGGAGGATATTGATCCTGAGGCGAGGAATCTACAGCGCGCAGAGGGAGAAAAGGTTAAACTGAATATCGGCTTTGGCCCGAAGCCAATTGAGCAGTTGAAGCCTAAATCAGGTACAGACACCTCCGTGGAAAAGGAAAGTGGTACTTCTTCAGAAGCCGAAGCCAATGATACCCCAAAACCAGCACCAAAACTGTCTTTATCATTTGGTGATAAGAAGCCAAAAAATGTGTTTGCTTCTGCGGTCAAGAAAAACCCTCTTGCCGGAAAGAAGGGTCCAGTGATGGAGGCGCCTAAGAAGATGTCGGAGCAGGAGAGAATAATGAAAGAGGAGATGGAGGCAATGGAGCGGAAACGCATGCGTGGATCATCAGGATTCCAGAACGCTAAGCGCCCAAGGGTTTCATAAGATCGAATGCCTCATTTTACTTTAAATCTCTCGTGACAGATGTGATCCTTCACAAGTACCATGAATATTGACACTTTCTGTCGTGTTTTCAAGGGACGCACACCTACCCTGAAAGTCTGACACGATTGTGGTCCATGGGCAATCTCATCCTAGTTAAATGGCCGGTATTGGTCATTGAGAGCTTTTCGCCCCAACCTTTGAGGGCCGGTACATATGCGGTCCTAGCCTGCAGGATAGGCTATGTGGTTTAGAGATTCGATATCTACTACGAGCATGCCCCGTGTATATGGGTTTGCTATCCTTGAGGTAGGGTGTCCATTATCAGGATTAGGACGTCATTTTCCCTTAACTTGACGCATGCCAGGAGCAAGATACCCATGTTACGATTATTTAACCTTGTGTATAGTATTGCTATGTTGTTCATAATTCAGTCTTTAAATAGAATATTCGGTTTTTTTTGAGGCGAGCAAGTATAATTTCATAGCCAATGGCAGGTTTCAGTAGAATCGTTGGATGTCTAAAAGACGGAAGTGAGTCTCATGCAAAAATATATACAGTTACTTCATTCGGAGAGGCGATTGTCACCACATCTAATAGTCGATTGTTGGATTGATAATACTACGACAAATTGACAAGAAAACTAGATCACATAAGAGTTTAAATGTAAAAATTACTGGTCGCAATGGCATTTCAGTCATATGATGTGGGACTTTTGCTTTCCCTGGTATATTCATTTTCAGAGGCAAAGAAAATATCCAGCCCGGGTGGTCTAGTGGTATGATTCTCGCTTAGGGATAACCCAAGCATATCTGCGAGAGGTCCCGCGTTCGATCCGCGGCTCGGGCCTGGTCATTCTTTTTTTCTCTCATCTTTTTTACCGTCCACTTGAAGAAGCCCCGAACCAAACAGAGAGAGAAATAAATAGTACGATTAACGTTTTTTTTTTTTTTTTTTTGCCTCCCAGCAGCCTTAGTATCGGACCTCCGTACAGCAAAATAATGAATCAGTTAAGAACAAAGAGGTAGCACTCAAGCAGCACCTAGCTCAAGACACTTGGAACGATTAAAAAAATCCACACGCTTGCTCATCAATTACATGAATCGAAGATAAACACATGGCTACATAGTTTGTTTGATGAATTTAGTGCTGTAGACATGTTTTTTCATCTTAAATCCACCCACTAAGCCCGTGCCTGCAGGTGGTTATGTTCGCTTTCGGAACCGCTTCCCGAGGTCCCATCACCTTGAACCCAGCTTTCACACACCATGAACTGTTCTCTATCCATTCCATATATACTTGACATCAATAATACAACAAATATGACGTCGGGGTTGACACTCTCTTTCATCGGATGCGGTATGTCTGCGAGTTTTTCCCAGTAGAGGCCCATTATCATATCGACTGACCTACTGCTAAGGAAACATGGGATCCGCCATCCTGAAAGGCCTCTTGGACGCAACCCGTCCGGAGCAAGAATCAGGCATCACGCCAAAGATTTCCCACTTCCTAGTCAGCACAAAGACTGCAGCATCTGCAGAGAATCTCCGAAATACATTCGGCGAGGATGAGCCCCGGGTTATGTTCGGACATGGCCAAAACGTGCAAGCCATACGAGAGGCTGACGTTGTCCTCCTTGCGTGCAAGCCGTTTCTGGCCGAGGCGATTCTCAGTGAAGAAGGTATACGAGAGGCCCTGGAGGGCAAGTTCGTGATCAGTATTATGGCAGGGAAGTCGCCGGAGGAGATCGAGAATTTTATCTACTCAGATCATCATCCTCCACCGGGCATTGAGACCGGTATTAGGCCAGTTATTGTTCAGGCCATGCCTAATGTCGCGGCTCGGATCCGCCAGTCTTTGACTATCATTGAGTGTAATCGTGATTTGCCGGACAATCTCCATGAGACTCTAGACTGGATCTTCTCGCAGATAGGGACTGTTAAATACCTACCTTCGGAGCTGTTTAATGTGGGCGGCCTGCTGGCGGGGTCCTCGATGGCGTTGCTTACCGTCCCATTGGATGGGATCCTGGATGGATGTGTGGTGGAAGGGCTCCGTCGGGGGGAGGCGCTGCAGATGGCAGCCCAGGTGTTATCGGGGATGGCGGGATTGTTAAAGGAGGGTGAGCACCCCGCGATGTTAAGGGAAAGTATTTCGTCGCCGAAGGGGTGTACGATCCAGACTTTGTTAACGGTGGAGAGGGAGGGGACGAGGGGGACATTTGCGGACGCAATTGTGAATGGGACGAAGCATTTGACGGGCAGAAAATAGACATACTAGAGTGATAATTAATTTAGACTATAGTAGATGCCCGATAGATATGTTCATAGACAGGACTACTTGATGGATATGTAGGTAGATACTGATATGTTCATGTTCCTACTGCGGAAACAGTCCCCGAGCGCTGCGGGGAAGGTATCCGAAGTTGTCTGGAGGCCTGTTCGAACCAAGTCATCAAATGATCAAACCAAACTGAACTTAGTGGGACTTTTAAACTTCAGTCACACAAAAAGACCAATCGGTTTTCGAGCCGGTCTACAATTATCTCCCCTTATGTGGCATATGCTGGCCGTCACATTTGATGACCCCTCACATAGTGCCTGGCTTCTACGTAAATAGATAAGGCCTCGGTGGCACCAACAGGATGGATAGGTAACCCTCAGACCTACGAGTCTTGTTAGCATGAAGCCAAGGATCTCCTGGCCCAAGCGACCAGGGCTTTTCTTTCCAGCAACAAAGCCCTTGGGATATGCATCAACATCATCATCAACATCGTCACCATCAACCCACCATGCTGTCCATATTCAACCACCTTTACCACTGTCCAAAAGGGCACCGCTCTCTGTCCTGCCTACGAAGACATTTCTTCGATGTCTGTTGTTTACATCGGTCATGGCCTCACCCCTTCTGAAACCATGCATATCCATCTTGAAATACGTCGTCGAATCTAAGTCTTTCCTGCTTAGCCCTTCCAGAAATCCCGTGATGAACTATATCCTTCGCACAACAATCTACAACCAGTTCTGTGCGGGGTCCAGTGAGACTGGAGTTCGCAAGACAGTCAAGGATATGAAGAGTCTGGGCTTCAAAGGGGTGATCCTAGGATATGCTCGGGAGTCCGTAGCGAGGATGGAGGGCACCGAGTCTCGAGTGGAAGCCATTAACCAACGATCCATTGAGGATCGTGCCGTGGAGGAATGGAAACAAGGGAACCTACGGACTTTGAAAATGATTGGCGAGGGGGACTATCTTGCTATCAAGTGAGAATACCCACCACCGAGATGATCCCTTCATACTCTAACAGTGACAGGTTCACTGGAGCCGGACCAGCAGCAGTCGAAGCCCTATCGCGTGGTGATACGGTTCCTCCCCCGCTCGTCAAACAGGCCATTACGGAGCTTTGTGAGGCAACGGCGGCGCAGCACTCCCGACTCTGGATCGATGCTGAACAGCAGGTATTTCAGCCCACGATCGATGCCTGGGCGATTGACCTCATGAGGCAGTTCAACCGGGGTGGAGCCATTGTGGTACTCAACACCATCCAGGCATATTTGAAATCCTCAGCCGAAAATGTCCACCGGCATCTGTGTCTGGCAGGCAGGGAAGGCTGGTCGTTGGGAATCAAACTAGTCCGTGGCGCATACATCGCGCATGATATTCGATCTCGAATCCATGATACCAAAGCCGATACTGATCGCAATTACAACCATATCGTGGAAAGCCTACTAACACGCCGATTCCCGCTGACCGACTCGCACGACACACCTGCATTCCCCGACACACGACTATTCGTGGCAACGCACAATGCAGAGAGCGTACGAAGGGCGTCCAACTTGCTCCGATATCGAGTGTTGAACGGACTGCCCACGATACCGGTGGAAGTGGGCCAATTGCAAGGCATGGCAGATGAGGTGAGCTGTGGCCTGGTGGCACAGAATCAGACTGAAGGGGTTCTTCCAGCAGAAGGGAAGTCTGCAGCTAGTGATCCAGTACCGGGGGTGTTCAAGTGTCTGGCGTGGGGAACCACCGAGGAATGTCTCCACTTCCTCTTGCGCAGGGCGGTTGAGAATCAGTCGGCCATGGAGCGAACACGGGATACAGCTGCTGCATTGAGGGAGGAAGCATGGAGGCGAATTGGATGGTGAATTTTCTTTCTTGTTAATTTTCGGAGCCTCGGATTTCGTCAAGCGTGGATGGATATTCTTTTCTTTTTCTACCCCCCACATTCCATGGAGTTTGTCTGACAGGCGATGTCGATCCTTCATTTCCAGATGGACTAATCACATCGTGCCAGCTCATGACAAGCCACTGTCATGCAGGGTGATGAGATGTGGTACAGCCCCAGGCTTGCATATTGGTAAATTTCCGAAATTAACACTCCGTTTGCAGCAATTCACCACCACCTAGTTCTACAGCTGCCAGTCAGTATTTGAACCACCATTTCTTATACGGCTAGCCTGTATGAATATATTGTTAAATACCGTAAACATTACAAAATACAGTCGATGTCAAAATTCATTGAAATAGCTGTGGCACATCTGCATATCGTACGGTGGCCAAATATGCACAGGGACGGGAAAGTTTATTAATGATGGAGAAAGTGTGGGGAAGTTAACTAACATTTGCATTTGTATTAGGTAATAAGGACTTCCCAATTCGTTATTCTCTCCCAGAGTCGATATTGGCTGTCGAACCCGATGTCGGGAGGGGGTTCCGCACTTTCCCCTGTCCAGTCCGTGTTTGGCCTCAGGAGCAACAACTCGCAGAGTCAAATAGGTGACGGGTAGATAAGCACGGGGATTTTATTATGGGAAATACTATGATAGATGAATCCCCAGTAAGTCAGTGGTCCTCGTTTCCGTTTTAATATCTCCTTCGCCTCTTTGTATTCTTCATCCGCTTCATCCAACACTGCCTCTTTCTCATATCCGTCCAAGATCTCCAAGGTGTACTCCGGACAGTCCCATTCTAGAGTTTTGTTGTCCACACGGACCGCATCGATGGCCGCTTTGATAGTGGGAACGTCGACTTCCCCGACTTCACTAACAGGTAAGGAATCGATGAAGGCATTCGAGTCGCGATGGGTTCCCTTCACTTGTGACCTTTCGGAAGCCAGGATGCTCGCCGTCAACTTCGAAGATGAGATCCTGGGCTGAGGTATGCAGATGAATTGCCCAGTGCTGGAAGTTGCCGTGGCGGGGGTGGTAGAATGGCACCGAGAGATGGGGACGCATGGTACGATGCTGAATAATTCGGGAGAATAACGGAGGGAGGCCGATAGGATTGTGGGGTGAGCCGAGCCGTTGCTCTGCTACAGTAGCACATTCCCTAGTGGGCCGTGATGTATGTGAATGGTTGGGAATGGATTGCCCTCACTTTATTCATCATGTTGAACTCATTGTCGTCGATTCCGCTCTTGCCTCTTTTGACATCCCTCCTTTACTTTCAACTTGAACTGGGTCTACTCTCACTTTCAACTCAACAGCCAAGACCCGGTGAGTTTTAGATTTCCTACTGGCCAAGGAATCTGCCGTGACAGACTTATCCACTCTAACTTCTTTTAACTTCAGGCTTACTCCGTACTTTCCCCACAAGGATGGAACCGGCTATCTCCACGACCCAATATTGACTCCATCTACCTATCACCAGCCAAGCAGATTCGGGTCCCAGTTTCTGGATTTTTCCAACCACTCAAAGTATCCATTCTTGATTCCTTTCCTGAATCAACCTTGGAATGGTGGCTTGTAATTACCCCGCATGCTGATACACTGCCCTATTGCACAATATAACCTGCGGCATATCTTCCGGGCAGCTTGACCGGAACCGGGATCGGTGACGTCGACAAGCCGGTCCGTTTCCGATTTAAGTTGTTGAGGGACTAAACCTTGGGTACCCGGTTGGATCAGCATCTACTTTTCCTGGCATCGGATACGAAGTGTGGGGACAAGACGAGCCGTAAACTCAACCAACTCTATTTATTATCCGCCGGCTCTGCACATTGTTCCAGAATCGAAAGACGGACTGAGCGAGCTCATTGTAACTGTTCCCGAGAGGCATATCAAGATGAAGCTCAAGGTACGTGCTTATTTGCTTCCTGATCACAGTTCGTTTAACTCACAGTACGGGAACGAAAGAGACTAATAGTGAACAGGTTACGGCCGCATTGGGGCTGCTGTCTTCACTACCAGGCGCTGTCTGTAGTAGCTCTTCTGGAAAGAATGATCGTATTACCAATGCATTGAACAGACATCAAAGCGGTCATGGTCCACGAAAGGCCGCAGCTAGCTCGACTAGTCTGTACGAGACCAGATTTGATGGACTGACTTGGGATGATAACAATTGGATACTCCAAACTACTACTCTGGACCAGGGTCGTTACCAATCGCGTGGCTCTGTTGCAAATGGTTACCTTGGTATTAGCGTGGCTAGCGTTGGCCCTTTCTTTGAAGTCGACATCGAAGATAATGGCAATGAGATTGATGGCTGGCCTCTATTTGCTCGTCGTCAGACTTTCGCTACCATAGCTGGGTTTTTTGACTCACAGTCTACCACCAATTCCACCAATTTCGGCTGGCTGTACCAATATGGATGGGACAGCGTTATCAGTGGTGTCCCACACTGGGGCGGGCTGATTCTGGACCTGGGAGATGATACCTATCTGGATGCCAGTGTGGACAACAGCACGATCAAGAACTTCCATTCTATGTACGACTTCAAGGCCGGAGTTTTGTCCTGGTCGTACGACTGGGTTCCCAAAGGTGATAAAGGATCTTTTGCGATCACATATCGCCTCTTTGCGAACAAGCTCAACGTCACCCAAGCTGTGGTGGATATGGAAATCACTCCTTCTCAAGACTCTGACGCAACAGTGGTCAACATCATCGATGGGAAGTCAGCTGCACGCACTGATTTCGCTGAATCGGGACAAGACGACAGTGCTATCTTCACGGCCGTTCGACCCTGGGGAATCTCCAATGTCACAGCGTACGTCTATGCGAATTTGACAGCCTCAAATGGGGTTGACTTGTCTTCGCGTGCCCTGATTACCGGTAAGCCCTACATGAGCGACAACAAGTCCACTATCGCGGAGGCCGTTCCAGTCAAGTTTGCAGCCAATGAGGCGGTTCGCGTCACCAAGTTCGTTGGGGCTGCTTCTTCGGACGCTTTTCAGAACCCACGGCAAATTGCGAAGAACGCGGCATCGGCAGCGTTGGTGGCTGGGTATCAAAAGTCCCTGACATCTCACGTATCAGAATGGGCAAGTGTTATGCCTGATGATTCTGTTGAACACTTTGTCGACCCTGCAACTGGAAAGCTGCCAGATGACGATCATATCATCGATTCGGCCATTATTGCCGTCGCGAATACGTACTACCTTCTGCAGACTACTGTAGGACCACGCGCCATTGCGGCCGTCTCTGGGGCGCCGGTGAATAGGGATAGTATTGCGGTTGGTGGACTTACTTCCGATGCATATGCAGGCCAGATTTTCTGGGATGCCGATGTTTGGATGCAGCCTGGCCTTGTTGCATCCCACCCAGAGTCTGCTCAGCGTGTAACCAACTACCGAGTCGCCAAATTCGAACAAGCGCAGGCGAACATCGAAACAGCCTTTGCTGGCTCGAAGAACCGCACCAAGTTCGAGCCATCGGCAGCAATTTATCCCTGGACGAGTGGTCGATTTGGTAATTGCACGGCAACTGGTCCATGCTGGGACTACCAGTACCATTTGAACGGCGATATTGGTCTCTCCATGATTTATGAGTGGGTTGCAAGCGGTGATACGCCTCATTTCCGTGACAACCATTTCCCAGTTTACGATTCAGTGGCAACACTCTATTCGAACTTAGTGGAGCGAAATGGATCGACTTGGACTTTGACTAATATGACTGATCCGGTAAGTTGCGAGATATTATCTTGTCTGTTCTTTATTAACGACAATTTCAGGATGAATATGCCAATCATGTTGATGCAGGTGCTTTCACGATGGCCATGATTTCTGAAACGCTGGAAAATGCCAACATTTTCCGCGAGAAGTTCGATCAAGAGACGAACGAAACCTGGTCCGAAATATCAGACAACGTGCTTATGATCCAAGAGAACGACGTGACATTGGAATACACCACGATGAACGGGACTGCTGTGGTCAAACAAGCCGACATAGTGCTTATGACCTATCCTCTGGCCTACGACAGCTACAGCCATGAAACCGCACTGAACGACCTGGACTACGTAAGTATTCATCACCATCTACGCATGTCATATCAACTAACATTACGTAGTACGCCATCAAGCAATCGGCTGACGGCCCAGCTATGACCTGGGCAATCTTTTCTATTGTTGCCAGTGACATCGCCCAATCTGGCTGTTCGGCGTACACCTACCACCAGTATTCATACAGCCCGTATGCACGAGCACCATTCTACCAGCTGTCCGAGCAGATGATCGACGACCCCAACGTCAACGGCGGCACTCATCCTGCCTTTCCCTTCCTGACCGGACACGGCGGTGCCAACCAAGTAGCCCTCTTTGGCTACCTGGGTCTCCGCCTGGTCCCAGACGACATCCTCCACATCGACCCCAACCTCCCGCCCCAAATCCCCTACGTGAGGTACCGCACATTCTACTGGCATGGATGGCCCATCTCCGCACACTCCAACTACACACATACGACCATCCAGCGCGCAAAGGACGTCCCAGCCATGAAAACCGCAGACCGACGATTCGCCAACTCCACCATATCCGTCCACGTCGGCGAAGCTCAAAACTCAACGGTCTACACCCTCCCCTTAACTTCTTCTCTAACCATCCCCAACCGTCAAACCGGCACCATCCCAACCATAGACGGGAACCTGGTCCAATGCAGACCCGTTTACTCCCCTGATGACTTCGAACCGGGCCAGTTCCCGATCTCCGCCGTGGACGGCGCCAATTCCACGAAATGGCAACCTTCTACTTCGAACCTGACCTCTCTCACTGTGACGCTCTCCGACGCGGAGATCAAATCTAACTCTCTCGTCTCGGGATTCCATTTCGATTGGTCCGGTTCGCCGCCTGTCAACGCGACGGTGATTTTCCATGATGAGTTCATCGAGAACCCGGCGACGGCAGTCCTCGAGAACTCGAACTCGCCTCGGCATAACCTTGTGTCTCAGTTGACGAATATTAAGCTATCCGAGCCGTATTCCGCTTTGAAGAATTATAATGAAGTTACTACCCCGGTCGGGAATGAAACCACGTTCCAGCTTGAAAATCCCGTGCCGGTATCTCGCTATGCGACGTTGTTGATCTCAGGAAATCAGGCCCAGGACGATGAAGAGAAGGGCGCTACGGTTGCGGAGTGGGTGATTCTGGGACAAGACCAGGGGTCGTCAGACAAGAAAGATGGGGTGAGAAAGTTGAGTGTGAAAAATGCGGTTGCGTTGGAGAGAGGGTTGGGAAGACGCAGATATTAAGACGGTGGATGAGGATGACAAAGTCGATTCTTTACTTATTAGTGGGAAATGAATAGTGTAGTCATAGTCATAGATCAGTTTCTTTACTTGATAGTGGGACATAAATTATTTTACTTTCCTCCTTCCCTCTCTTCTAATAAGAATGACAGTAATTAAAGAATGCACTAGTTGGCTACCGCGCTAGTTGAAAATAAATACACGAATGCCAAGAAATTCCAGAGATCATAACCCTAGAACAGATCACATTCCCCTAGCTTACACAGATACGAAATTCTAGTTATCCAGGGCGAAGCGATCCAAAAACTTGAATGTGCGTAGACCGTTCTTGACATCAGTGACGAAATCATCAGTCACTGATTGCGCGACATAGACACCCTCACGAGACGAGGAGATACCCGAAGAGCGGAAAGCCGAAGAAGCACTACCCAGGGCAGCGACGGGCTTACCAAACCGGAACCCATCGATGAGGATCTGCAGCGGACGACCAGCAGGGAACAGGGTAGATGAAGCAGAGGAGTTGGAAGGGGCGGTGAACGACAACGGGGCGAAGAGACCTTCAGCCCTGTTGGCGACCACAACGGCATCGAACTGGATGGCGTCCGAAGCGGAGTAGGTTTGATCGACGCCGTCGGCCAAACGCTCCGCGACGACGACGACGTCCACGCCAGCGTCCTTGAGCTGCGAGCGCAGGGTCGAAGCGGCCTCGATGGAGTCGGGAGTCTGCACGGACGCCAAGAAGCCGACCTTTAGACCGTCGAGTTTCTTCAACGGCTGACCGAACGCGCCGACGTCGGCGGTCTTGTTGTTATGGTAGAAGGTCGGGTCAGGCGAGGGCTCTTTTTCGCCGATGGCGCGGGCGACGCGACGTGCGAGGTCGTTGTCGACGCGGTTCAACTGGACGATGACATTGTTGCGGACAACAGGGCTCTTGAGGTTGGAGGTCTCGAAGCGGATGGCGTCGATCAGGAACTGTTGCTCGGTGGGCACGAGAGAGTTGTAGAAGAGACGCGGCTGGGACCAGACGTCCTGGAAGGACGGGCTGACAGATCGCGTCAGGGGGCCGCTGGGCGCGCGGTTGGGGGCTGTGAAGAATCCTCGGCCGGCGGTCTGGTTGGCTTGCTTGGGAGAGCCCTTGTTGGAGGTGTTGGGGGTGTATGCGTTGGGGTTGAGCGGGATAAACATTTGGCCTGGAGGTGCTTGTCAGAAAAAAGGAGACATTTTATTTCGAATGCTCGGACTCACCAGCGCCGTCGCGGTTGTTGTTGTGGATGGGAACGCGAGGCTGGTTGATTGGCAGCTGCTCAAAATTGGGACCGCCATGTCGGTTCAGCTGAGTGTCAAGGTACGAGAAGAGACGACCCTGAAGCAGAGGGTCTTCGGTGAAGTCGACGCCACGGACGATATGGCCTGGTTGGAACTATTGTTTTTATGAATATTAGCAAACGCGCTGGAGGTAGACCATGGGAAAGAATTGAACGCACCATCACCTGTTCGGTCTCGGCGAAGTAGTTGCGCGGGTTGCGGTTCAGGGTCATCTTGCCCAGTTTGGTGATGGGCACGTATTCCTCTGGCACGATCTTGGTAGGATCAAACACGTCGAAGCCAAAACGCAGCTGGTCCTTTTCGTCCATGATTTGGACACCGAGCTATTTCAATATCTTGTTAGCCATGTACGGAAGAACAGGACGGAAGGTCTGGCCACATACCTCCCATTCGGGAAAACGACCCGCCTCGATCGAATCGAACAGATCCTGGCGCATGAAGTCTGCATTCTTGCCCGACACCTGTTGTGCTTCTTCCCAGACCAAGCTGGCTTTACCCTGCAGCGACTTCCAGTGGAACTTGACCAGCTTGGTGGACCCGTCGTCGGTCACGAAACGGAAGGTGTGCACACCAAACCCGTCAACATGGCGGAATGAACGGGGAATTCCGTGGCCGGCCATAGCCCAGAAGAGCGTGTGCAGCGCACTAGGCTGTTGGCTGAAGAAATCCCAGGCTGAGTCATGGGCAGTAGCTGCCTGGGGGATTTCATTGTCACCCCGGGGCTTGACCGAATGGATCAGATCCGGGAATAGGATAGCATCCTGGATGAAGAAAACGGGGATGTTGTTGCCGACAATATCTATGGCCTATGTAAGTATCCGGGTGTGTATCAAACACGAAAAGGAGAGAGAGCTTACCGAAGTTACCCTCGTCGGTATAGAAGCGAGTCGCAAATCCGTGAACATCCCGAGCCAGGTCCGAGCTACCCCGGCTGCCAGCCACTGTCGAGAATCGCACAAAAACAGGTGTCTCCTTGTTTTTCTCCGACAGGAACGAAGCCGCCGTGATGTTGGAGTAGTCACCGTACGAGGTGAAGACGCCGTGGGCACCGGCCCCACGAGCATGCACCGCGCGTTCAGGGACCTACATCGCCGGGTTAGAGCTTTAGATACCGTGCATCGATGGGAACCGAAGAGAGTAGAAAGGAGGGATCATACACGCTCATGGTCAAACCGCTGGATTTTCTGCCGGAAGATAAAATCCTCCAGTAGGGTTGGACCCCGATCTCCTACTTGGAGACTGTTTTGATCGGCAATGGGACCTCCCACATCGCTGGTGAGGAACGCGTCATTGTCGTCCAGATAGTACTGAGACAGGAATTCCTCGGTGGACGAAGCGGCATCGGACGAGTCTCGGCGTTCAAGCCCGCCGGACATGTATGGACAGACCGCATTGGCGACGCCAATGAGGCCGATCAGGGGGGAGGCACGCATGGTCGCTAGCAATCTGCAAGTATCAGTATGGAGAGAGAAGGCAGAAGAGACAGGACGAGAGATGGAAAATGGGGAGAAAGGCGGTCGGTATGGACGAAAGAGGGATTGAGATCAGGAAACAAACCAATTGGGATTATCCGGGCGTGCAACTGCAAACAGGAAAACAGCAGCTCGTTTGCAGATCCAGGTACGTACCGGGAGTGCTTATATAGAAATGTAGGTCGGAGTCTATTGGCGGCCTAAGGCCATAGAAACAGGAGGTGAATAAGCCATAACACTGACCGATCCCTATTAGTTGAACATTGCAGGTCTAGAAACTGAGGAGAAACAGGACCAGAGAGGCGATGCGATGCTGCGGAAACTACCATCTCCGAAAATCAAACCGCATGGAACAATGGCGCAGAACTCATTCGTTCAACGCTGTAGATCGCTTCTTGGCAGTGCAGCCTCAAATGGACAAATCACTTCGGTAGGTAATAATTCTGTGGCTCTCACTGGGGGGATCATTGGCGCTTGGTAATACCGATGGTCTGGAGCTCGCACGCCACTAGCGATTATTAAGTACCTGGGTGGAGTGGAGTATTGCCGCATTCAACGGTTCCGGTACGATCCCATCTTCCAAGATATCGCCAGCTCAGATTGACTTCGTCTGATGCGAACGATGTTTCGCCCAGACGGCAACTTATCTTCCAGTGCGCTCCATGTCTCATCTGCCTGGGACGTCGGAAATTTACACCAGACTGCATCAGTGATGAAGCCGCCGAGCAGGCAATTGAATTACGGCAATTCAAATAAGAAGGATATGATTGGTATTGCCAGTCTGACTAAGAACTAAGGCCGCATACGCATGGTGTGCCGTGCGTATGCGGCCGCGATTTGGACTATTGGAAACGGTCCAGATGTCTCCTGCAAGAAGACTTGCATTGTCACACCATCCGTGGTCATCATTGGTTCTGGGGACAGGCACTGGAATCCTGGAATACGCTGGGGATTGTTAAAACTTATTCTAATAACTAATTTGTCGGATCCGACGGACGCTCCCGATGAATACCACATACCGAAGAACGCCGTACATATTTTGGCTTAGTTGATGGCATGATTAAACCCGAGACTCGTCGTCTCAGTCGACACCCGACCTAATAAACTTCTCTTTTCCATCCCTTTGTTGTATGCTTCTTCCCCCATGCTTCGTCCCCCGTGCTTCTGCCCCCTTGCTTGTTCCCAGCTCTTTCGCCATATAATACCGCCAAGACGAGTCCCCGCACCGCAGAGCCCTTGGTCATGCAGTCTGTCGAACTAGTCGTAAACATCACATCACCAATCAAATACTTCCCCGCGCTTGGTAACGCCAGTGATAGACCTGCTAGGCGTGCATATACGGCTAGGATTCCGACACCGGACCTTTGAAAGCCCTCATATTGCTTCCTATCGGAGTGCATCGTGTTGCCAAGACTCCCACTCATTCCCAATTAGGGCTTCTTGGCTATAAGCTTTGGGACAGCTGTGCATATACGGCGGAGTAGACGGGTCAGAATGCTCCAATGCGACGGTATATGCTCAATCTCCCCCCTACATTCTTAAGTCATATCTAAAAATATACACAGCATCTCCATCGGGTGACTTTCAATCACATTGGCACTATTTCAAGCCTGTCCCCCCGTCCGGCCAATCGTTCAGCGCACAGCAACACCGGTGAAGGCTGGGATATCACCAAACCCTGCCCTCTCTGCCACTAGACTACTTAGGTAGGTACTCATATACAGGATTTCACACATGCGCCCGTATTCTAGTACCGATAAGAGACATTACCAGGGATGGAAGCTATATTCCCCGTCTCTAACCGGGTGTACCGGATATTCTCCAATCCGGATGGTCATGGTCCCCTAGCACCTTCAAGGCGACTATGCGGACCGACCTTCATGTTGGGATCTGCGCCATCGCTCGTTGATGGCTTAGTTTTAGTATAGACCTGGCAAAGCTGATATACTGCGACCGAGAGCTGGTGACTCAATGACTACAGAATCTGGTGCGCCCCTTGCTGCGAATTAAGGTATTTATTGTTCCACAGATGCTCCAACGAAGTACGACTCCACCTGGGCAAGAGAATTGGCTTCACTATGCGAGCCCTCATCCGGAGACGCGGAGCTATTGATAAATCAACGACGGAACTGGAAGTTAGGCTTGTTGTAGACAATGACATTAAAAGGGCTTTCACCCCAGAATGCTGCCGGATGAGGTCGGGTCGGGTCGTTCCCGGCCTGAGGAATGTAGGGTGTATTGGTAGTTGAGGAGAAGTTTGTCCGACCGTGTAGAAACGACGCCGGAAAGATGAAGATTAGCCTAGCCTTCTGAATTCCGGGAGATTGTCATGCGGGAATGGCCGATCAGATCAGATGTGCTTACTCAAGCCCACCAAGAAAGAGTTATAACCTTTGCTGACTTAGTGTGGTCTGGGATCTGGAAGGAGTGTGTGCTGTTCACCGGCACGGATTTGTGATCGCCCTGCGTCAGGAGAAGCGCATGATCCTCGCTATCTTCATGCTACCTACAGCTGGAATTAACGCCTAAGTTGAAGATCTTCTAGTGTGCCAGGTATGTGCTAGTATACTGAAAATAACGCTGGGTTAATATTGATGCTTCTTGTAGCGAACGCATAATCAGACGAGGACATTATCACTGCAGAGCGATGAAGTTGGCTTTTAATGGACGGCATCGTTTGATCCAGTTTTGTTGTATTGAATTTATCTTACTTTTCTACTGGACACGACCAGGCCGGAATTCAATCAATTTCTATTATTCTTTGCAGTGTAACTATGACGCATTGAGCTATGCGGGCGATCTCCCAATGAAGAAGAACCTAAACTCCGTATATTAAAACACTGAGAGGCAGATAGTGTAGTAATCTCAAAGAAAAATCCAGCGTCTCACTGTATGTAAGCACGACTACATCAACAGTAAAAGCGTTATCTCTCTGTCTGCATCCTGCTGTGTGGCCTACTGGCCTGCCTCACTGTACCGGTAGAATCATTACAACCTACCTACATAATTCGAGCCGAGAATTCTAGATTCTCATTTCCATTCGGTATCGGGCGTCACCATGAAGTAGGTAGTTCCCATGATCGTCAAAATCCCGCATAAGTGAACCAGCTCCGCATGTTCCTGCCACTCGGAGCATCGTGCAGATATCCTGTTTTCGCAATTCTGTTAGGCAGACCGTTGTAGACTGACGTGTGTTAGTGGTGGAATCGTACGTACAGATAATGATCAGGTCATCAATTGGTCCCATGACAAGGGACAAAAAGTTTCTTCGAGCAAACATAAGCTCATTTGCAGCAAACTCCGCTGGTAGATATGAAGCACCTCACCCCGTGGGGAGCGCAATGTCGATCATCACCGTTAGAGCAAACTTGGCTCGAAGCCCTGGCAGATGAGGACAGCCACTTGAATGCGTTCCGTCCAAACTCAAATCCACCGACGAGGATCAACGCCTTTTTTACGTGGGAATGACTCAGACTCAGCGGCCAGTAGGAACTGGAGGAAGGCGTGCCATTAGATTCATTGGCGGTTCGACAGAAGTTTAAAAGTAAACTACAACGGCTGTTCCTGCCTGTACCTGTACTTTGCATGCATACCCGTATGGGTTTCGGGAGATTGACTGCAGCTAGTGTATGTGTGACTGTAGATCATTGTTTAACCCTGAGATATCTATAAGAAACTTATCAAATCACGTGTCTATTATCTAAATTTCTTAACACGCAGATGGTTAAAAAGAGATAGCGGTGCATGTTTTTCCTCGAGGAAGGATTTCCCAATTGTTTGATTCTGGTTGATTCCATTATCATGTATGACACTCTTACGTTGATTTGAAGGTCATGCACTATGAATAGGATTCCCACATGAGGAGCACTTGATGCATTATTTTTCTCTTCTACATTTCTCGCTCTCAGGATGACAGAAAAAGAATATGGGCTGCCTTAACATTATTGTTCATTAGTGACTCAATTCGGAACAACCATGCAGCCTATCAATGTGTGAATACTCCCCAGATTATGTTGGTTATGTCTATATTTCGACAACTTCACAATGATAACAGGATCCATAGATAATGTAGTCACCATGAATATAAAACCCCCTCTTCCCCCCAGGAAGCTCCCACATTTTTCTTCCTCCTACAACTCTCTTTTCTTCTCTTCTGTTTCCTCAGTCTGCGTCATGTTGCACAACAATACCATGCACCAACACAATGCACACCACACTATGGGCCTTCTTCTGAGCATATATATGCTTTACTGCCTTGATAGTGATTTCTTCTTATGAATTATTTACCTCAGTGTCTTTTTCCTGATTCTGTTGTGGATGGTGACTAAATTCTTTAGCAGATCCCTTTGGCCAGCAGAGAATGAATGAAAGAAACCTCTTTTCTGCCACTCTGCGTAGGTTGGCCTTTACCTGTTTGCTGTGTTTGATATTTACTGGTCTTGATTGCAGACTGCCATCGTGCCAGATGCATTAGGTGAAGCTGTGCGATATCTTGTCTTCGGGCAGATGTGTTGGCTTGAATTTTCAAGTCCATTGGCTTCTGCCTTGACTTGGTTAAGGAAATATACACAGCATTGCGGTATTTTTCTTGCCCATCTGGTGGTATCTCTCTGACTCTTGCTGACATCATGCCAGCAACAGTGTTCTCACTTGCGCGATGCAATCGACACCTCGTGGAAGAGAGACTTACCATCTACTCCCTATGACATACTAGGTATGTGGGTAGCCGTTGTGCACCTCGGGCATCCACACAACAGCAATGTTGCATTGATACATATATTACCTCCCTTGAGGTAACATTTCTTATGTCATGCCGGTGAGTGGTTGGGCGGTCTGCTATGTTTATGAGCAAGTTCATCATCAGTTGCACTACTGTATGAGTTGATGGTCTTATCCTACAGTGGGCGCCTTTTTTGCACGCCCTTTGGCCAAACTGGGTGGGCGGGGTGGTGCTTGGCTGGCCGTCACTCCTGCCATTAGGGTGACATGGGGGTGCAATTTTTGGATTGTCACTGACGCTTGATGTGACGAGTATGTGGGTGGGGAATGTCAAGATACAATTCAGTTGTGCTTGACATGAAAGGTACGTGGATGGGCATTTACTCGGCAAGATGATATATTGTAGAGCAGTAGAGACTGTCATCCATATACGGCTTGAATAGATGTGCTAACATAAAAAGCTAGTTTCCTTGTCTACTTGGCAAGATGATTCCGATGCGTGGTTTATATATATAGACTTTTCCATCTGATCCAATCAAATGGCAGGAGATCAGACATGTGGTAATGGCCTATCTAAGAGAATGCACCGGTGAATAGGTGGAAGAGGACTGGTAAGTAGAGAAGCTCCGTGAGGTGTTACTAATGCAACCACACTATGTGCAGGCGACTGAAGGGGAACGGTGTCCTCTGTGGTTGATTGGCCAGACAAAGTTTGTCCAGTGGCTTCCTTGACTGCTCAGGCATCGCTGTACACGGGGCGGGTGGTGGCAGCAATCTGGGAGTGATAGAAGTGGATGCAAGTTTGCAACGGTGGAGGTATTCGCGTCTCATCAACAAAGTGGCGACTGGTTGGTGGGAGATTAATTCACTTGCAGCATTCGATGAGGGGGAGGAGGATATGGTGGTGGTGGTGGATATTTACAACTGATCAGTGACAGTTTTTATTGTGGGACAAGGTTGAGGTATAAATACCTCCTCGAGCTTCTGGCCTTCTTTTCTTCTTACTTTAACCATATTTCGCCATGAGGATCTTCAAGAGCTTGGTTGCTAGGAGGTGACTCCCTTCCAAAATATTCCTGACTTGGATGATATTTTGTGTACACTGACATGTCACTAGGTACTAACATAGCATATTTCGATGCTAGCTTCGGTTAGGCAATAAGGATAGGCCAGAGACATCGACAAAGACATGGAGAATGGAATTCGGATTGAGGATGGGAGAAAGGACGCAGCTTTTCAATATCAACAATTCGATTGGCCCCGGAGGGGGGTCCGGACGGGCTGGGTCGACTACAAACGACTCGACGGGCTAACTAGTGAACCAAGCAGAGTGAACGAACTGCAGGAATGGACCGAGGAAACGGACCGAGCGAGTATACCGAACCTGGCCTTGGAGGGTGGTTGGGACGGGCCTGGGTCGACTATGAATGATTTGACGGACGAGTGAACCGAGCCAAGAGAACAAACTGAAGAACAACCGAAGGAACTGACCAAAGGAACTGACTGAGGGAACTAACTGAAGGAGTCAACAGAAGGAATGACACCAAACCCGGCCTTGGAGGGCGGTTGGGATGGGCCTGGGACTGCGCCCGCCGAACGAGAGAATTGGACCGGATCGGACCGAACCGAACCGAACGAACCAAGAGAGAACCGATGGATGAGCCGAATGAACAGGCCGATTGAACGAACCGAACCGAACGAACCAACCGAACGAACCAACCGAACGAACCAACCGAACGAACCAACCGAACGAACCAACCGAACGAACCAACCGAACGAACCAACCGAACGAAAGAACGAACCGAAGGGGCGAACTGAAAGAACAACAGAGCAAAGGAGATATCAAGCCCGGCCTTGGAGGGTGGTAGGGATGGGCCTGGGAGAATTTTTGATTAATCCTCGTTGCTAGTGATTTCCACGAGTGACACTTTATTTTTCTTTTTCATCAACTGGGTTGACTTCGGCGGATTGGAGAAGAAAAACAGCTTGGAAGTGATGGCCATTATGAAACATGTAACTAGTCCAAGTCAAATCAAACATCCTCATCTACCATCTCGCTGTCCATATATGAACATCAAAGTTGCATATACCAAGACAGGATGTAGAACTATGCCCCATCCGCGGTCTAGAACCCAACTGCAACATCATACCCACCGTTATCTCCCGCACGTTGAAATTTACCTTACCCAGACTTTGATCATGTTCATTCCGATAACCTTCAAACGTTTGCCCAGTTTTCTATAGACCCCCTTAGCAGTAGAGGTAGGGCTCCCAAAAGCAACACTAGTTCAAGGCAATGAGCGGCAAGAATCAGACTGTAGATTCCAGAGGTAGTACTCGACAAATCCAATATGTCTATCCTTGATTCCACGGGTGCCGGCAGGCAACGCACATGTCCCGATGTGATACGACCGTTTCGTAGAAGCGTCCGCAAGCGTCCCGGCCCAGGTGGTATCACATACATTTTAATAACGATGTCATATGCATGACCTTGGGGCGCAGGGATCTCGATCCTGCAGCTAACACCTGGTCCAGAGTCAGCACCGTCATGGCAGCCGAGGTCATATCTGCTGGACCCGTCTATAAAAGCTGAGAATACAGCATGGATGATGCTGAAGCCACTGGAGTCGGGGCGTGGTACGAAAACCGAGTCTTGACAGCGTGAGAGATGATGAGCTACTTGCAGAGGCGAGCAATTGACTCCCGTGAGACAGTTGCAAAGGGAAGAACCCTTAATAAGCTCTCCGAGACCAGGAAGTCTATTCCATAGTGTGGTTGTTACGTGAGGCAACCCCAATCAAACTACCCCTTTAGATATTTTAACCATTTAATATTCGTCCAGTGTGGGAATTAACTTATGTGGTTTGGAAACAACTTATTTCTTTCACTCCACCGTGACACGCCAAACCGCGCCGGTTGAAACTATGGTATAAGAGTAATTTTGTCCGGAACTTCCGTTTATTCTACTGTAGTGAGTTTCTCAAAAGCCTCCTTGCTATAATACCTGAGATAGCCCCCTAGCTAATTTTCATGTAAACCAACAGCCACTAAACACGATAGCATTAGTCTGATAACTAGATTTGGTAACCGCAAGCAGCCAGAATCCTCCATTTACCAAATTGCAGAGTCTTCCAGCTCCAGATCTCCAATCCCCCAGAGAAGCGAAGGTACTGTTCATAACAATACCACTGCTTACTTTGTGTCTTTTGCACGCCATTCCATAGTCGCCTATTAGTTCAAAGGCCAGTTGCTTGATAAAGGGCTGCATAACGTACTGTGGACTATTGTAAGGAAGCCACGGGTTCCCAGATACTAGAAAGCAATAGGTTCCACTTCCCATAATCCAGGTCCTCTCCAAATATTACACCCTCACTCCTGCCTTAGCGTATTGGTTTTAGCATGTAATTATCTTTTGTCGTGACTGACTCGAGGCTTTCCCTGGTCAACCGCTCCATTTTGGGAGATCCCGAAAGAATGGTAGATTGCTTGTCGGAGTATTCCGCCTGTGCAGGAGTAAGAACACAGTGATCCAACACAAGACTGTCCAGTTCCTGGAGGACAACCCCCAACATTCTCTTATCATGAATAAATAACGTGCTTCGGAAATTATTCACACAGCATAAAGACAAGTGACGAGTAATTTCCCATGAAAGTGTACAGAGTTTATGCTGGTTATTGCCAGTGCATTGCCAGCATCAAGTATACAATACAGAGAATACCTTGTTTTTAATGCTGGATCTGTACCAGGCGAAGATTCGTAGGAGCAGTTACTCTCTGTTAAATGCCTGTGTACCGTTTAACATGTGCAATAAGTATCAATAAGGCCATTTTTATATCTGCTAATAAGCAAGTAAATCGGCAATAAATAATTAAATATATCAAGGTGACTGCTGAGAACCTAAATATAAATAAAAACTGAATTTGTATATCAGAACAAATCCACTAATTTTGGTGGGAGAATGGCAAATAGTCAGGTACTTTGTCAGCTTCTGCCGCTGTAGAAACCACCCTGCTTCCCCATTCATATCTTCCAGGTTTTATAACCGTAAGCCACTCTTAACTGTGCATTGATTAAGAACCAGGAGTTTGTTTCGTAGATCCGAATATTTTGAAGCTTATACTAACATTTTATTCACATAATTGTTTTATAGTACTCTGAGACAAGAGGGCGGTTAAAACAGCTCCCATTGACCGCCGTCCCCAGCGATGGGCAGACACCTCTTCGAGATGTTGGGGACGAGTAACTAAGTAGTATTTGTATGTGGTACTTCTTGAAGAAAACAAGAATTGCTCAAAGTGGGAAATGGTGGCTTTGTAGTTTCTGTTTGTCTGCATATATGAAAATGCTTGGAGTTGAGAGCCTTAGTTCGGTAGCTGTACAGATTCGAGATTGGGCAGATCAGGTTGAGCGCGTGTTCACTGCGGAAACGTCAGCTTGATAATCTGCAAAACTGCCGGGAGATGGCTAGGGACGTCGCTAATTACTGTGTGAGCGGTGGGGGAATGTCAGGGTACCCTCTTTCACGGAAATTCCTGCAACCAGTAACGCAAGTCAACAACAAGCTTTCAGAGATAATCCATCACCTCCGAAGAGAAGCAGGAGACTGTTCTTAACAATAACCAAAGAACATCAAGATGGGCTAGTATTTTCTCAAACGCCAACTCTGCCAGTGCTATACGACTCCTTTCGCTCAGTGTCTTCCACTTTGCTCTCGGAGAGTAGTTGTCAAAATCCCTGCCACCAAGGCAGCACATCCGCCAAGTCTCATTACCCATGCTACACTATTATCCCAAGGTTCTCCTCTCGGTTTCTGCAGTGCTTTAAATATAATACTGCCAAAAACACTCGAAACAAATTGTGGAACGGAGACAAAGACGTTGTGCAAGCCAAGAACAGCACCAGCCTGCCCTGTCGCTTTGCCTTCATCCTCATGGCTCATATCATTAGTCATATAGGCTCCTGGACAGGAGTTGCCAACGATTTCCCCTGACTCGTCCCTGAGGTGTGCATCCCATCTGCCAGCTTCATGCTGCGCTATTTCAGTAGCGAGAAGCGCAAATGGAACCCATATTGTAACAGCCCAAGAAATACCAACAATTCCCGTCATCACGGAAGCCCGTTGAGGTGAGGAAATGCAAAATGTGCTTATCATGCAGAGTGCAAAAAGAAAGTGTGAGAACAACCATATGCGCCGTAGAGTTAGGCGAGGGACCCAAATCCTTTGGCGGAATGATGATAGGGAACTAGCGCATGTACTGAGCATCCCCCGCTGTGGCAACTCAGAATTAAAGGGCTCTGTTGTATACTCGGGAGGCGGAACCATTTTGTCTGATGGGGAAAGCAGAAATGGTATGACAATACTGGCTGCGAATGCAATAATCGCATTAACAAATAGTGCAAACGTACTGACCCGTGTGGCTTCTTCCCACACTTTGTTAATCTCATCCTCGGATAGGCCACGATGTTCTGCGAAATACGGATTCACATACAACTGGCCTATATAGGTCGTGGCATAGAATAGAAAGGAAAACCATCCAAACCAGGATGCAAACTGGATTGCAAAGATCTTCCATATTTGTGGTGAAAGCTGCCGGATAGTCGTCATAAGCAATCGGACAAATAATCCAAATGCAGGGTTACCAGCTTCAGGGAGTTTCTCGGAAGTATTTTCCTCCTTGATACAAGCGCAGCTTATGGATAATGTAGATAGCAGAGAAATACTCGCGATCACACACAGGACTTTAAACTGTGTGTCCCCAAAGATTGGGAATGTTTTTGGCAAGTCCATGAAGCCCAGACAGTAGCCTAGGATATTTCCTGCGCCATTCACGCGGCTTGCCCAGGCGTTTGCGGACTTTTGCTGATGCCAAGGGGCATTGTCAACAATAAAAGCCCGAATTCCGGCTTGAACTGGTAAAACTCAGATACATCGTCAACAAGCAAGCGGCTGGAGATGACACAAAATACCTGTGTTGATAGCAAAATCCAGACAATACATCAAGATCGCTGCAGCGACAATTGATGCTGTTTTAGCCCCACCGGAGGTAGATTCTAAGCTCAAGATGTCGAAAATGGCTCTAATTATTTCTTGTACCCAAGCCAGAGCCAATAGACATACTACAGTGGCGATTCCGCCAAGTACCATGAACGGCTTCCTCTTACCCCAACGGCTGCGGCAATTGTCACTGCAAATGCCAATATAGGGTTGTACGAGCGTGCCTGTAAGAGGCCCGGCCATCCAGACAGCTGCCATCACGGATTTACTCATCCCTAGGGATAGAAGATACGGCTTCGTTGGTAAGAGAAAGACCAAATCAGACATAGCACTTGGGTATTGTAGAATGGCTTACAGATCCTGCGGAGTGCTGAACAGACCAAATCACCTGTAGACTGACTAATAGGTTAGGGGGCATATTGACATAATTTGTGTAGCGGATCACTCACCCTCCTATACCGAGAGTCAATATAAAAAGATACCAACCGCTTTTGGGCTCGTCGTCTTGATCTGTAGAGCTAGGATCCGCCTCGGTGTTTGACCTAACGCCGACCAGAGGTTCGGCCTCGTTCCTTGGCTCCATCGTCGAGTCAAATGATGGCGGTCTATAGCGCACGTCGATTGTCATCGGAATATACAGTCTGCTATCACCTTTTTATGATGAACAGTGGCTTATGCATTGTAGAGCTCAATCTAAAATGCTAGGTTCTTCCAAGGGGCTTGGGGAGAGATTCGCGCTGAAAAAGCGCTAAGATGAGGTGACCGCCTCGTCCCAAAACAATAAAGTGGATACCTAGTGCAATAGCGGTCTCGGATTGGCTACAAGGATCCAGCCCTCTATTCCATTCCATTGCCTTACTAAGCTTATGCATTGGTGTTCATAAAATATATGCAAGTTGATACCAAGCCTATGTATGTTATTTTTCATGTACAGACTTGCCTCCATCTCTGTCGGACCCTTTTTCGCTTCTCTATTTTACACCTCTGCGCTATTAATAAAATTTCCTACTATGATCACACAAATGTGCTTGGAAAAACAGAGAAGAGAAGATATCGATTTTCTCATCCCGCTTCACTTCTGGTCAACCAGGATGACTAGATGACGTATTAGCTAGGGATCTTACTGCCTTTTTGTCTGCTCACTCACCTTGTGAGTTGTCAAGAATGCGTACACGATAACGGCTATCTGCATATGCTCCCATATTGCTAGAATTGGAAGCTGCTTCACATATTTTGGATACCTCTTTAAATGCCAACAGTTGAAAAGTATCTCAAGGCACGCGCTCATCCCAAAGTGCTACCATGCCAGGTGTGAATTACCGGGGATTTCAGCTGTAAATAAATTCCCTCTGGAAACGAGCCGACAGATCACAATGCTACCGGTTATGACAAAGTCTAGAAGCAAGAGATGATCTTCAATCATTACAGGAAACACAGTGACTTAAACCATGGCCTCTTCTGACGTGACTGGTTCTGGGGTAGGATAAGACGCAGGTCCCGTAATACCTGCCTAACCTCACTGCGAGACCATCGCGGAAGCTCTAAAGGTAATCACAGCTTCTCTTCGGCCGTGAAATAATCCCGCATTCATCATCTGATAGAACCCCAGTTCTCCATCCATTAAGGTAGAGCCATCTTGTGACGGCTCTGTCATCCCCACTGGTAAGGAGGTACTTCTTTTTACTTTTGTACAGGTCCTATTCGCCTATTTCGTCATTTTCTTGGTTACAAATTCGTTATCGCAATGCACGAATACAGGCAATTGAAAGCCTTGGTATTTCATATCGCTTAGCATTGCTCAAGATGTTGGTGAACGAGCTTTCTATCTTTAAGAAAACAGAATCCACCGATATCGTGTTGCGTGGTCTGTTATCAGCATATAGTAGTGAGAACCTGTACGAGAAGCAGGGTCATTAAGCTGCCTATAGCGTTCAGACAGAGTATTTCTTCCACCCGCAATATCAATAAAAATGCGTTGAAGAGGTTTCGTAGCGCGTTTTGCCAAGGTATGAGATTGGCTGCGCTTCTGGTTCGCCGCGTGGCAGACATCGCAAAAAGGCCGAGATTGAGGACCGGAAACCTTAATCTGACTGCCAGGTGTACGAGACAATCGCAAAATATCAGGGTAATTCAAGTGAGCTAATCGTCGATGCTACTGAGTCATGGTAGCCACCTGAGGACTAGGTGCTTTAGGCTAGAGCCGCGAGGGCCAGTTCCTCTGGATAAGATGTCTTGCATATCACACTGTTAATCTTATACAGTTTGTAGTTGAAGGAACTCAATGAATCCCATCTCATGGTCGAAGGCGTATTCCGTGAACTTTTTAGGTATGAGCCTTGAGATCAGTCACACTGGGAGGGACAAAATCAATGTTTCTTGTGTCACATAATCCACAGCGAGTGCCCATAGAAAATGCTGTACGTTCTTCTCTATGCAGGTTCTCCACGTGATCCCAGAGCTTATTTGTTTTCTTTGCCTTCTTTCTGCGATGAGTGGGAGGGAGTCTCGGATCTGCCAGGCAAAACAGGCATTTTAACACGTCATATTTCTGTGGAATCCTGCTGTCTGGTGGGGATATTAGGGGCAGTGGGGGAGGGGTGCAGCTGCCATTGCCGCTTGCGTCCCCCTTTGTGGAGCTTCCTTTCAGTCCTGCCAGCGGATCATAAGGCGGATATAACTTAATCGGGGCTGAAACACCTCATCCTCTGTCTTCACAGGCGGGGAGTAAAATAATAAATCCGCCAACTCCGCACGTTCTGGGATATGATAGTACCGGGGCTGCAGGGACCAGATTGGCGAGCAAAAAAGGCGAGCAAAAAAGGCGAGCAAAAAATGCAAGCAGTTGCAGACCTCAACAGAAAGCTCACTGAACTACGAGAAAAGGCAAAGGAAAAGAACCGATTAAGACATTTTTGATAAGGACATGGATCTTTTTAACCATCAGTATGAAAATGGCCCTAAGCGCCAAGAAAGTGAGGCCCAGAACCGTCCTTCACTGTTCGATATCCCTTTTGGCGAATCTCTTCAGTAAGGCTCTGGCAACGTTTTCGCAGGCGTCTGACCTCAGGTTCACCAAAAGGAGACAGAGCTACCCGAACATATCGTTCAAGCAAAGAGGGCCATATCCGCACCCCAAAGCCAGAAGTTAATAAGCCAATTAGAGGAGCAAATTAAAAAAGGCAAGGAGACTAAAAACTCAGATACTTGCGATCCCAGGTTACAAAAGTAATAAGGAAGCAAAAGATTTCTGGATATCCTAACTATATTACAAAAAAAGAAAACTGATGGTGTTGCTGCCGCGCTAAAAGTAAGTTTTACTATTATATTCTAGTTTCACATGCATTGTACTCAGAACTGCCTAGAGGTCGAGTCGGCAACTATAACTGGTAGACAAATGCCACCAGTCGAGCAGCCACAAATTACCAAACTTCGTCGCTACAGCTGTACGGCACGGAGAGCACAGGGAGGAGAATCTATAGAAGAACTTGAAGAGATAAATGCTTCATGGACGGTGGGAAATCTTCACGACTGCCCATGGCCAACCTATCCGTTGCCAAATGGTGGTGCAATCATGGTTGAGAAAATTACAGCTAGGAAGGATTGGAACATCCAATATATTAGCTATTATTTAATAGAGATCCCTGTGATGGAAGGAGAAGAAGAGGAGAAGAAAGGTATAGTACTTTATCAACTTAAGTAAGGAAGGTATAGCAACTAACCAACGAAGATTAATGCCTGGAAAATATAGCAGGCGATGTAACGTGCACATTTGCAGCAACCAATAAATGAAATAAAAGAAAATGAGACGGCAAGGCTTACGAATATAAAAGTCTGGATTTTACTGCGTCCCCAGCACCAGGAAATAAGGACAAAGACAATTTGGCAACACAATCCCAGAAACTGAGTGCATTGTTGCTGTAAGAGGACATACTAAACCAATCTCTTGGCTATGGTACAATTCAAACGACTGCTCGGAGAGAGAAAAGCAGAGTCTCTAATTGGTCGAGTTTGTCATAGAGACGGAATGCCTTTACCAGGTAATATTAAGCCAAGAATATTTACCTACATGACTGCAGCATATCTGGATAATGCGACAAGTCTGGAGTACCTTCAGAAGAGTATAGTGCCACCCACGCTGTCTGTCTAACAACCCCAAGACCAGCATGCTCTGGAGGATAGTCTCATGGGCTACATTGATACGAAGATTGGAAACCTTAGTCAAAGTATCGGCAATGTAATAGCTTCAAGCATTGCTCGTGGGGTGGAAAGTGTGGTTAAAACACTGGTCCTCCATCCAGTCTCGGTTGGATGAAACTTTAAAGATCGCCTCGGGCAGTGGAGGAAATTCTGACTACTGATATGCGTATTTTCCCCACCTATAATAGGATTTTGAGATAGGAACTACCTAGACAGCTACTAATTATTGATTTTTTGAAGCTAGCTGACTTGGGCTTAACTTCTTAGTTGACGGGCAGCGGCTATTGAGACGACTTTTAATCAACTTCCTGTAAATCGTGACATGGGGACACATGCGAAGCCCTTATGAGGTTGATAAGAAGGGGGTGATTTGTAAGACACGGTTTGGTAGTAGCAGATACTTTTAGTCTTTGAGGTGGGTCGGCGTTGTGTTCTTCACTGAGCTGCCTAGGGTTAGGCTCTTCCAAAACCTTCTGAGATAGTTGATCATTATCAGCTGCAGCAATTGCTTCTGGGTGTCTAGTCGGTAATGCATTGAGCACGTTTTTCCAATCGCTGAGAGAACATGAGGAGGATATAGTATGTGGATGATTAGGGCCCAGAATGTTATTGCGGAATTCAAGGCATTGTTCCATTAAAGCAAAGGCATCTTGCATCTTGCCAAGAAATTTCCAGCAACAGGCAAGGTTGTTCATACTAGACAGAGTGTCAGGATGCTGTAGCCCCAGCACTTGCTTGCTCGTCCTCATTACCTGCACCTCCAACTCTTCCGCTTCCTTCCATCGTCCCTGGTGCATGTATATCGACGCTAAGTTACCCATGCTGGTCAGAGTGTAGGGATTCTCAGGCCCTAGCACCTGTTGGCGGTTTCTTATTACCTGTATTCCTAGCTCTTCTGCCTTCTTCCATTGTCCCTGGTTACTGTATATTGATGCTAGGTTGGCTATGCTGGTTAGAGTATTGGGGTGCCGTGGTCCCAGGGACTTTAAACAAAGCTTTAGTTCCTTAGTCTGCAGCTCTTCTGCTTGCACCCATTGTCCCTGATTTGAGTATGTCAATGCCAGGTTGGCCATGCTAGTTAGAGTATCGGGATGCTCTGGGCCTAACACTAGTTTACAGGCCTTTATTACCTGTACTCCCAGCTCTTCTGCTTCCTTCCATTGTTCCTGATTCCTGTATATAAATGCCAGATTGTGCATGCTGAGTAGAGTGTTTGGGTGCTCCAGCCCCAGCACTTGTTTGCGGATCTTTAGTACCTGCATCTCTAATTCTTGTGCTTCTTTCCATCGCCCCTGGTCCATGTATGTCGATGCTAAGTTACACATAATAGTTAAAGTGTCGGGGCTCTCGGGCCCTAGAACCTGATTACAGGTTTCTATTATCTGTACCCCTAGCATTTCTGCTTTCTTCCATTGCCCCTGGTTACTGTATATTAACGCAAGGTTGGCTCTGCTGGTTAGAGTATTGGGATGCAGTGGCCCCAGGGACTTTAAACAAAGCTTTAGTTCCTTAGTCTGCAGCTCTTCTGCTTGCGCCCATTGTCCCTGATTTGAGTATGTCAATGCCAGGTTGGCCATGCTAGTTAGAGTGTCGGGATGCTCTGGTCCCAGTACCAGTTCACAGATCTTTATTAGCTGTACTCCCAGCTCTTCTGCTTCCTTCCATCTTCCCTGGTTTCTGTATGTGGATGCCAAGCTGGCCATGCTGACCAGAGTGTCGGGGTGCTCCGACTCGAACACCTGTTTGCGAACCTCTAATACCTGCACTCCTAGTTCTTCTGCCTCCTTCCATCGTCTCTGGTCTTTATATATTAATACCAGGTTGTCGATGCTAGCTAGAGTGTCAGGATGCTCAGGACCCAGCACCTTTTTGCAGACCTTTATTATGTGCGCTCCCAGCTCTTCTGCTTCTTTCCATCGTCCCTGATTCGAATATATGAATACCAGGTTGTCCATGCTGGTTAGAGTGTTGGGGTGTTCCGGTCCCAGCACTTGTTTATAGATCTTCGTTACCTGTACTCCAAGCTCTCCTGCTTCTTTCCATCGTCCCTGATTCCTGTATATCGACGCTAGGTTGTGCACGCTAATTAAAGTGTTGGGGTGCTTTGGTCCCTGTACCTGGTTTTGAATCTTTATTACCTGCACCTCCAGCTCTTCTGCTTCTTTCCATCGTCCTTGGCTTATGTATGTCGAAGCCAGGTTACCCATGCTGTTTAGTGTGTAGGGATGGTCTGGCCCTAGTATCTGTTTGCGGATCTTTATTACCTGTATACCTAGCTCTTCTGCTTCCTTCCATCGTCCCTGGCTTCTGTATGTTGATACCAGGTTGTCCATGCTGGTTAGAGTGTCGGGATGGTCTGGTCCCAGCACTAGTTCACATATCTTTATTACCTGCACTCCCAGCTCTTCTGCTTTCTTCCATTGCCCCTGATTCCTGTATGTTGATGCTAGGTAATGCATGCTAATCAGTGTATTGGGGTGTTCTGGCCCAAGCACCTGTTTTTGAATCTCTATTACCTGCACCTCCAGCTCTTCTGCTTCCTTCCATCGTCCTTGGTCCATGTATATCGATGCCAAGTTTCCTAGGCTAATCAGTGTGTTGGGGTGTTTTGGTCCAAGCACCTGTTTTTGAATCTCTATTACCTGCACCTCCAACTCTTCTGCTTCTTTCCATCGTCCCTGGTTTCTGTATGTGGATGCTAGGCAGGCCATGCTGGCCAGAGTGTCGGGATGCTCTGGCCCGAACACCCATTTGCGAACCTCTAATACCTGCATTCCTAGCTCTTCAGCTTCCTTCCAACGTCCCAGGTTCCTATATGCTGATGCAACCCAGGCTATGCTAGTTAGAGTCGAGGCGCTGGTGTCACGGTGTTTCTCTTTTTGCACGCGTATGATGTTGCTAAATAACTCAACTGCTTCATTGTATCTCCCATCACTATATAGGCACTTTCCGACCTTCTGAGTCAGACTGATGTATTTCTCTTGCGCTTTCTGAAAGTCGACTTCTCCTATTATTGCTAGGGCATGAGGTAGATATGCTCGCCATATTTTTCGATTCGCATGGTCATCATCCGGAAAATGTTCTTTTAATCGGTCAGCGGTTTTTTAATATTTGCAGGCTAAACTATTGGTTCTGTCTTATCCAGTTCTGGGTCGCAAGATGGACAAGTCGATGAAGACTTAATAAGTTGTCTTCTCTCTGCTCACTTATAAAAGAATATGCCTTAAGGAGGCCAATCGCATCAGTTCTTTTTTTCTTGGAGGCAGCCTGGGGAAGAAAAGACAGAGGAATATCTCGTGGATTAATGCAAGCCATAAATGATAGATAGTCAGCTGCCAGACGGTTCAAGCGCTGGATCTGTTGGAATGATATCAGCCAAGTAGTGGCCACGGGATTTTGGATATCAGGATATCGCCCTTCATCTTCAAAATCCTCACTCAAGAGCTCCACAATATCTGGCTCCTGCTCTTGTAGAAGCTCTATATAGTCAGAGGCTCTAATATCATTCTCATTAATATAAGCTGCAGCCTGGGTGATTGCCAGCGGGAGATAGGAAAGTTGTTCAACAAGCGTTGTAGCAGTATTCTGGTTAACTGGATGGTGATTTTCTATTAGTGATGTTTCAAGCATCCTCACACTAGTTTTTTTTTATTTAACTGTGAGATTGGTATTATACTGGAAGATGCCAGTCTCACAGCTAACTTCTGATTGCGAGTGGTAAATAGAATATGACCTTGGTCACTTTGAGGAAGAAAGTTGCTCAGTGCTAAGGCAGTGGAGCTGCCTTTGACCCACATCTCCATATCATCAGCATTGTCAAAAATAAGAAGCCATTTCCCAGCACTCTTTTGACAAAAATAAGCCTTGATTTGGTCCTTCACCTCAGCTGGCTTTATACCTTGGAATCCTACTACATCAGCGATATCCATATATGCTTGTTCAACACTCTCATGGCTGGTACAAGGGATCCAGAAAATCGAGTATTGGGGATATCTGTCTCGCATGCGGTAAGCCACTTCAAGCGCTATCTGAGTCTTTCCAATCCCACCAAGTCCACAAATAGCGATTCTGGAAGGCCCGCCATTTTGCAGGATTAATCGTTCAATTGCAGTAACTTCATCTTCACGGCCCACGAATCGTAAGTTCTTCCCAAAGGGGACCTTCCAGTGGCTTGCTTGAGGCCTTTGTTTTTTCAGATCAGCCCGCCTCTCAAGTATAGGAATAACTGTGAGGAGAGTCCTTGTATAAGCAGCGGCAACAAGGGCTGCGTATCCTTGCCATTGTTTATGTTTGTGTGTGTCACAATAGTCACAAATTCCTCGGATAACAAGGCATGGAAGTTGGTCCATGAGCCCAGCAGCCTCCATCTCAAAGCAGAGAATGCCCATCTCTTGGGCGATGGAGTCTCGTGTATCGGCATCTTTCATAACCTGGTTCCCCGATGCAATTAATCCATAATGAATATGGGGTTCTGTGGTTGTTCGAGGCGCACGGATTATCAACTGGGTCAGATCACATGATGAACAATCGGAGTTTGTGCTCTGATGATTGTAGGTTGAGTTAAAAAGCAAATCTTGATAAGGCCGTGAAAATTGTTCTCGCATTTTTTGGTGTTTCTGCAGTTTATTTGAAATAATACCTTCAATAGGAGAGCCTTTAATTATATAATCACTGCGTATTTGAGAGACTGCGGTCAGCAGAAACTGAGGAGGCTTGTTAAGTGACCCAGTGCGCTCGAAGCGTCTATCACGTAGCGTCTTTCCATAGTCATACTGGATTATGCCTCCAGAAGTCGCAGTTGGCATGCTGACTACAACATCGCCGAGACGGATATCAGCTTTTGGGCTAGGTACGCCGCCTCCAATCCCCACCATTAGCCCAAATCGAAGAGACGAAAATGTCAGTAGCATATAAGCAAGCACCGTTGCGGCAGATGTGGTCCCGTAAACACCGGACGGTAGGCAGGCCACTACTACATTATGGCCATTAATACTCCCAAGTGTGTAGACGCTGTGATCTGCTTTTGGCTGGCGCAGGAAAGGGTGGACTTCATCCAGCATGGCCTTTGCTGCAGCCATTTCCAGCGGCAAGGCGCATATCCATGCGACCGTGTAGTCATCGAGTGCGGATACCATTTTTGCATGGCATGAATAACATAATAAACAGCAGTGAACTTTGCTGGCCAGGCCGCACTAAACACCTGAGAAGGAAAGTCATAAACGTAATTTGGAGTAGTGTACCGTAAACGTAGGGTAGATTTTCCATTGGTATGCCCACGCAGAGGTTAGAGACCTACCGTATTCGGTATGGTCACATGGCCTCTCTTAGTCCCCTATCTAGATAGTCAGCTCGTCCAAGCCCCATTCAATTGAAGAGAATCGTGCCTCGTGGGCAAGATGGATGGGGGAAAAAAAGAGGAGTAACCGGGGTACCTTCAGCCAATCATTATTATTTGTAGATCAAGTAATAGTGCAGGAGGTATAAAATATAAAACGGCTAACTATGAGATTCTCGCATACAATACAATACAGGATTCCGGAACAGGGGATGCCTTAATTAGCATCATACATGTCAACTACGATGGGGCGCTGAAGTACAACGTATATCGAATCATTAAGCCGACCAAAAAGGCTCTATTTATATGGCTGAATAGGCCAAGTATTCGAATTAGTAATCTGTTGAAGAATCCTTTTTAAGCTGTCGACAATTAACTAAATAACTGTCAAATAATATGGCCGCTGGTGGACCAGAATCATGTGACCAGATCGGGGTAAAACCCCCGCGGAGCACACAACAAAATAATCAATCAAGAATAACCAAGAAGGATAATCAAGAAGAGCCCAACCAGCTCAATTTATTCAAATAAGACCTTTTTACCAATCATACTCTATTTTCTCTTCGGGACTAGCCGTATATCTAACAATAACTAGTTATGGTAATATTGATTATTCAGCACCTTTCTCGGTCAAATGTTGTTGATGATACAACATCATCGGATTGCGTATACTTTCCTATATTAGTTAGTTTACATTCTTCGTTTGTTTACCTCGCCTTTATAACGCGAGATGGTTTGGTAGTTTAGTTGAATCAGAGACATAATTCTTCGAGGATCGATTCTTGTGAATACGCGTGTTTTTATGGTCGACAAAGCGTATCACTGGCCTGTCGGCCGTAAACGCGATGTGGTCTTTTTCCGGTTGATAATATTAATGTAGTAGTACAGCCCGTCTTGGCATTACAGCTTGAAATAAATCAGAGAGTATGAGATGCATGTACACCATATTGCAAAACGGAGCCCAGGTCTTACACTCTTTCACTCTTCTTCAAACCTTAATGCCCAAGACAATCTAAACTACTGTTGGAATTGTTCTTAACAACCTGGTTCTTGGCTTTGTACGGTACTGTAACGATACTATGATATATTTTACGGAAGTATCTATGACTAAATAACTTACAGTAGTTACCATGTTTCATGTATACAACTGCAGCCTAATGCCCCTCCCTCAATAATAGTTCCCCATCTCACTAAAAATACTCCCAGTCGATCATCCAAGTGCAGTGGTAAGATGGCACACAATCTTGCTGCCTCAACCTTGGCATTAACCCATGATATAATCGTTAGTAATGAACTCACTGTCCCCCAGATGGCTAAGGCTGTTGGCTGCAATATGCGTACAATCAGACGGCTTCGCTCCAGTATGCGCCAATTTGGCAATGTGAAGGCACCTCCCAATGTAAAAGGGCGGCCACAAGGTTTACTCCTGTTGTTATTTAAGCTCTTTGTGATCATCTACTAGAAAGGCCTTATTTGTACCTTGATGAGATGGTGCTTTTTGTATGGGATGAGTTGCAAGAAATGGTGACAACGTGCTGTATTAGTCGTGCTTTCAAGCGTGAAGGCTGGTCAAAGAAAACCGCAAAGCAGAAAGCAAGAGAATAAAATGCAGATCTGCGAGACATATACTCTTATTTTGTTTCTGATTTTTGCTCATATCATCTCGTTTACGTGGATGAATCTGGATGCGATAAAAGGATAGGCTTTAGAAGAACCGGCTGGTCTTCTCTCGGCAGCAGACCCTCCCAAGTGATCAAATTCCATCGTGATCAACGGTATCAGATTCTTCCAGCCTATGCTTAAGATAGAGTTGTCTTGTCCCATGTCTTCCAAGGCTCAACTGACGCCTCTATCTTTGAAGATTTTATTAAACAACTTCAACACTGTGGAAAATGGCCAAAGCCAAAATCTGTTCTTGTCATGGATGACGCCTCCTTTCACCATTCTGAGAGAATAGAACGAATGCAAGCAGGGGTCAAGCTTGTATATTTGCCCCCGTACTCACCGGATTTGAATCCAATCGAGGACGGCCAGGGCGTTGATTCTTTCCTTGAGTGGCGTGTTGAGACTGTGTCTACGAGTAAACAAAGTGCAGAAGGGCATTTCCGTAATGCCGGTCTGACAATCGAGGTGTTATAATGCAGTACAGTATTCTGTATTTTAGTCTTTCTCCCAGCCATATACCTGAATTACCGCAGCATCAACATCTATCAAGTTAATTAGGCTTCAAGACAATCAAAGAAGTAGAAGAGTAAATGAAGAAGTTTGTCCCACAACGTCGGCTGCAAGGTGGCCACAATGGTAGGCTCACCCTTGGGTTATTACACTAACAGTTCTTAATACTGCTACAACTGTTCAAGTCCAAAGTTACATCTCTATTTGGCAAGTTAAATTCGATTTGTATAGCTTTACTTCCTAATGTACAAGTGGGAGAAGTGAAAGCAAAGGTAAAGTATGGCATGAGATTAACGTACAGCCAATGTGTCCAACCAGCCCCCTAGTGGAAGTTTTATAATGTCTCAAATTCATTGAACGGTCTTCTTTCACGTCTACTTCCTCCAAATCTCGAATAATATTCTCTATATACCCCACTGCGCCTCTGAGTATTATAATACGCGCAAAGGCGCAGTGGACGCCGAGAAGTCAAAGAGATGGTGGGTCGATGGTACAGCATCCTGCAGGTTCGGCTTATATGGTTTGGAACTCTTTGACTCTTTCTCGGCGCCACTCCTGAAGCCCAATTTATACTGGGCTTAGATCAGTACTAGAGTAATTCACAACGTGTATGGTATATAAGAGTACAGTCTTTTGGTAATTAATATATGGTTTTGCACTTAAGTTACCTATAACCGAAGAAGCTGTCTTTCAAGGCAACTAGTTGCCTTGTTATCATAGAACTATGTAGGTAGTATGACTTGAAAGAGCCCAACTCCATTTCATAAACTTATTTAAATGGTGAGAACTAGAGATTTACCACTGGAGATTTTACTATTGCGCCTGGATGATTCTCCTACTTTACTTTCTCTGTCCATGCCAGGAAATAGAGAATACATACTTACTATACGTGTGTTGAAAAATTGAGAATAGAACTTCTACAACTCAGCTCGTCTAATATCCAACTGGATGGTGCAAGAATATGGTAGTCCTAAATTAATCCACTTCTTGTAAGTCTCGGCCTTGCGGCGCGGGTGACGGTGTTCTAGAAGCTATGATAAGAGGATGAGTTCCAGGAAATAATTGAGTAGCTGGTCGTCCTTGGGTATAAGGTAGATTGATACGCTTCACCACAGTTGCTGGAGACTCTGCTGAAACTTGTGGCAGATGCTGCGGACATCCTTCTTTAGTGAAAGGTCTTCGATCAAGTAATGAATTGTACTCATCTATCCATTCACCAAGAGCACGAGAGGAGGATCTGGAACGCGGGTGATTAGGCCCTAATACTCTGCTGCGCAGATCAGAGCATTTTTTTATTAGAGCCAAGGCATCCTGAAGCTTTCCCTGAGATTTCCAAGTATAGGCAAGATTATTCATGCTGGTTAGAGTATCGGGATGCTCAGCTCCCAGCACAGTCTTCCTTGTCTCCATTACTTGTACCTCCAGCTTCTCAGCTTCATTCCATCGTCCCTGATTCCAGTAGGTTGATGCCAGATTCGCCATGCTGGTTAGAGTATCGGGATGCTCAGCTCCTAGCACAGCCTTTCTTGTCTCCATTACTTGCACCTCCAGCTTCTCAGCTTCATTCCATCGTCCTTGGCTTCGGTAGGTTAATGCCAGATTCGCCATGCTGGTTAGAGTATCGGGATGCTTAGCTCCCAGCACAGTCTTCCTTGTCTCCATTACTTGCACCTCCAGCTTCTCAGCTTCATTCCATCGTCCCTGATTCCAGTAGGTTGATGCCAGATTCGCCATGCTGGTTAGAGTATCGGGATGCTCAGCTCCTAGCACAGCCTTTCTTGTCTCCATTACTTGTACCTCCAGCTTCTCAGCTTCATTCCATCTTCCTTGGCTTCGGTAGGTTGATGCCAGATTCGTCATGCTGGTTAGAGTATCAGGATGCTCAGCTCCTAGCATAGTCGTTCCTGTCTCCATTACATGCACAAACAGCTTCTCAGCTTTATTCCATTGTCCTTGGCTTCGGTAGGTTAATGCCAGATTCGCCATGCTGGTTAGAGTATCGGGATGCTTAGCTCCCAGCACAGTCTTCCTTGTCTCCATTACTTGCACCTCCAGCTTCTCAGCTTCATTCCATCGTCCCTGATTCCAGTAGGTTGATGCCAAGCTCTCGATGCTGGTCAGAGTATCAGGATGCTCTGGGCCAATCTTGTTCTGGTTGATCCTCATCAGCTTGTTATAAAATAACTCTGCTTCATAGTATCTCCCATCACTAGCAAGGCAATCTGCGATCTTCTTAGTTAAGTCAATATATTGCTCCTCTTGTATAATAAATTCATTTTCATGTACAAGCGCCAAAGCATGAGGAAGGTATTCTTGCCAACGTCCTCGATTAGTACACTGATTATCTGGGAAAACCTTCTGTATATGATCAGCCACCCTCTGGATCCAGTGATTGAATAGTCCATTTTTTCTAAGCCAGTTACGGGTCGCAATATGCACAAGCCTGTGCATATTTATATATATGTCTTGGCCGTTTGTAAATGAGTATGCATTCAGAAGCCCCAAAGCATCAATTACTTGTTTTCTGGATGTTGAGAGAGGAAGAAGAGACTGCGGGATATTTCGTGGATTAATACAAGCCATGAAAGATAGATAATCAGCTGCCAATTTGTCTTGATGCTGAATCTGTTTAAAAGATATTAACCAGGTACTGATCACGGGGTTCTGGATATCCTTGTAGCGTCCTGGATCCCTAAAATCTTCGCTAAGGAGTTCCACAGTATCTTGTTCCTGCTCTTGGAGAAGTGCAAGGTAAGTAGATAAATTAATACCGTTTTCAATAATATATGCTGATGCCTGCGCAATTGCCAAAGGAAGAAAAGCCAGTTGCTCTAGAAGAGTAGCTGTTATCATGCTATCTTTAAGCAAGCCCTTATTTGTCAATGTACTTTCCAGAATCTTTAATGCGGTTTCTTTATTCACGTCTGGAATTGGAACAGCGTTGAATGGTGCCAGTTTCATGGCGAGTTTTCGGTTTCGGGTAGTAAACAGAATACGATTCTGTCCACCCTCAGGGAGAAGATCCTCAAGGGCCGGAAATTTGTCATTAGCTGTTAACCACATCTCGGCATCATCCGCATTATCAAAAATTAATAGCCACTTTCCTGCACGCTCGGAACTGAGGTATATTTTGATCTGTTCTTTAACCTCTGCTGGCTTCACGTTGTGAAGCCCAAGTGTCTCGGCAAATCTCAGGAATGTCTGTTCAATCATGGCGTGGCTTGTACAGGGGATCCAGAACACCGAGCGCTCTTTATCCTGGTCCCATATGCGGTGTGCTAGCTCAAGGGCCACTTGAGTTTTCCCGACCCCTCCTAAACCGGTGATTGCAATCCTCCTGGGGCCATCCGGCATTGTTATCAAATTTTCTAGCTTTGTGATTTCATCATGACGACCGACAAACTTTGGATTTTTTGCTAGTGAGACCACCCAGTGCCGCACTCGATTGCACTTTATCAAGTCTCGGTCTGTGCGGCAGATAGGCATGACTGATAACAGTATTTTCGTATAGGCAGCCGCTGTCAAAGCTGCATATCCTTGCCACTCCTTTTGTTTATGGGAGTCGCAATAATCGCATATCCCTCGGATCACAAGTGTTGGAAGCTCGTCCATAAGGCCTGCTGCCTCCATCTCAAAGCAGAGTATTCCATGCCGTTGTGCAAGACGATCTCGCGTTTCCGAGTCCTTCATCACCTGATCTCCGGATGCAATCAATCCATAATGAATAGAAGGTGTCCTGGTATCACGTGGTTGCCGTTTAATTAGATATCGTGTATCGCACTTTTTACAGCTATCTTCCTTGTCGGCATGGTGATAGGAGAAGTGAAAAAGAGTGTCTGTGTGCTGTTCCGGGGGTGAAAATCTCTCCTGCATGTTAGGGTTTCGCTCTAGTACTTCCAACACTATCTTTAAAACATCATCTTCGCCCCCAGTCATTTGTTTTGCTTCAAGTTGACTCATATGTGTTAAAAGAGCTTGCGGTGGTTTATTTAATGTGCCTGTTGGCTCGAAATGTCCACCTTGAACTGCCTTTCCATAATCATACTGTATCACCCCACTGTACTTTCCAACCGGTTTGCTGACCACCACATCACCTAGACGAATGTCGTTGTTTTTGCCCGGGACGCCGCCTCCAATTCCCACCATCAGTCCATATTGAAGTCGAGGAAATGCTACACACATGCGAGACACAACAGTCGCGGCTGACACTGTGCCGTATACGCCAGCTGGTAGGCAGGCAATGACGATATAGTGGCCGTTCAATTCGCCAAGTTCGTAGGCATTGGGATCGCTGAGGGTCCTAGGTAAACAACAGTGAATTTTGTTCAGCATGGCTCGGGCCGCCGCCACCTCCAGCGGCAAGGCACATATCCACGCGATTGTGTAGTCATTGTGCGTTAAAGAGGTCATGGTGGTGTAAGAAGAGAGCAGGCTAAAACAAGTCAAATGGGATGTCCCGATAATGCCAAGTTTAAACGTGAAAAAATTTTTGATTATGGGCAAGAGAATGCAAAGTACGGTTTATCAGGCTGGAAAAAGAGGGGTAATAGCTATGTGTTCCTGCAAGGCTGCCCACTCAATGGACAGTCGCCTAGCCATGGGCAAATACGTTAGAATTAACTGAAGGCAATAGAAATCTATACCGAGAGTGCACCTAAATATTTTGACAGATATCTTTATTCAGAATCCTATGCTTGTTCCTATGGACCCTTTCTGGGGACAAGAATGTTACAAATCCATATTAGAGTCAACTCAGGTTCACATGTCAGATCGGAAATCGCTATTCTCTGACTGTTGCCCGTTGCTGCCAAGTTGGGCTAACTAGTTTGAGACACACTATTAATGGTTTGCAGAGGGAGCTTCTATGTATTCAAGATACAATAAGCAGCACCTAGTTTCGTATGCTTACGTTCAATACCTCTGTATTACTTGAATAACAGACTAAGCTTAGTATAGTATGGATTAGGTTGTGGAAGTGGTGCTGAGAAAGAGTCAAAAAGTTGCTAATTGTAAGGGCTGGAGCCCGTTTGACCTATTGGGCCAATGCCCCTATTGCCCCTATTGTCCCTATTGTCCCCGTTGTCCCCGTTGTCCCCGTTGTCCCCGTTGTCCCTGTTGTCCCTGTTGTCCCTATTGCCCCTATTGTCCCTATTGTCCCTATTGTCCCTACTGTCCCTACTGGCCCTGTTGGCCCTGTTGGTCCCTTTGGCCCATCGCCCCGTTGGCCCTCGATCTATGTCACGTGATTCCTACCTTATTTGTTTACCGCTTATTTTCCTCTTCCTTTCTTCCTTCTTCAACGATTCCTTTTTATACATAACCTATCCCATAGGTTCTACGGGTTCAGCCCCTGACAGCAACCTCAGTAACTAGCTCCGCGTGCTCAGCGGCGGCCTTGCGGCCGCCGCCACCGCAACTCGTATTGCTCGGCTTCGCCTTCGCTGCAATCGGCGCACATGATTGGTCCGCTTATTTGCAGTCACATGACCCATCGGAGTATGAGAACGCACACTCCCCTTTACTTTACTCCTCTCAGCGATTCCTCTTTGTGTATATTTAGTCATTAGATAGCAAGGCATTTTGCACCTTTATAGCTTTATTTGATACTCTTGCTTGATGGTCTAATTCCCAGTATTTATTGCGTAGTCATTCCCTTGGTCGTGGTGCCGCACTGTTGGTCCTAACCCCTTCACGACTTTCTACAAATAGAACTTACCTTCCTATTCTAGCCGAATATCTGACAGTTACATATCATGAAACAATACTCCTGAGATGACTGCCTTAAAAGTCAGTCTCTAGACCACAGCCCTGGTTCGATTGGTTCACCTTGGCTTCCCAAGCCAATTACTTGCCAAAAATGGCGCCGTCGATCCATCGATCTGTTATGACATACGAAATAGAGATGGAAAATTAAACCAAATCGACTCTATTCTATAAAATAGAATATATTTTATATACTACATAAGACTGCGTCTTCGTCTTTATTAGAATAATTAAATCAGGCTTGTGCATTTCCTGCCCTAGGAATGAATAATGCATACGCAGACTATATGCTTATAGGAAACTAACCCATATGCAGGAATATATGCGTATGCACACTTTATGCGTACGTAGACTATATACTTATGGGAATCCAATCCATACGCAGAAATACGTGCGTGTGTAGACTGTATGCCTGTGGAATACCAATCCATGCGCAGAAATAAATGCATTTGTAGATATTATGCATATGGAATATCAATCCATGTGGAAAATCATGCGTATGTAGACTTTATGCCTATGGAATACTAATCCATGTGGAAAAATACATGCGTATGCAGACTTTATGCATATGGAATACCAATCCATGCGCAGTTGTGATTCCATATGCATAAAGTCTACAAGTGGATTAGTATTCCGTAGGTAAGTAGTCTGCACACGCATGTTTTTCCGCATGGATTGGTATTCCATAGGCATGTAGTCCGCGTATGCATTATTCATTCTCCTAAGAGACCTGCGATTGGCGACGGACTGTGGACGTTCAGCCGGCACCAAAATGTGTCGTTGGACGGCCAGCCGGCCCCAAAATGTGTCGCATCCTATTAGGCTATATGTAGGTGCCCAAAGGCTGATCACCCCAGATCACTTGGAGATAAACGCCATAACTGCCCCTTTTCCAACCAAGGTATGGACTCTATTTAAGCGCACCTTGTGTTGTAGGATAGTCTTTCGCCTTTACTTTCACGGCCTTCGGTCACGCAGGGAGGGTGAGCATAAGAATATATAAAGGTGAATTTTCCAAGGACTTGGACTTGAGTACGATTTTCTAAATTTTTTTTTTATGTTATTATCCAGAGATATACTTAGAATGGCAAAGCCAAGGAAAATCCATGGCCGCCGGTCCAACAACTCTAAGGCAAGACGTCAACAGCATTTTCGACGAGGAACTTTGTTCCGGAAGGCGTTTGAATTCTGCCAGGAGTGCAACGCGGATGTCTCGATGCTGGTCCGGCTGAAGGATACCAGCCAGATATACGTGTTTAATTCAAATGACCGATGGACCCCTTCCCAAGAAGAATTAGTAAGGTCAAGGTAAGGTTTTCTAAACTAGACTAATTAAATTTTAGTCACTTTACTACCCCACGCCCCTGTGGATAACATGGCAAGAGCTGGCGGCGAAGTATGACTTATAAACCAAAAGCAGGTGGGATTGTCAGGGGCTGGGCCCGTAGAACCTATATGATAGGCTATGTACAAAAAGGAATACTTGAAGGGAAGAAAGAGGAAAAGGACAGGTAAACAAATAAAAACAAGTCACGTGGTGCCCATCGAGGGCCAATGTGGATAATAGGAACAGTAGGGACAGTAGGAATAACGGGGACAATAGGGACCATAGGGACCATAGGGACAATAGGGACAATTGGAACATAGGGACCATAGGCCCGAGAAGTCAAACGGGCTCCTGCCCTTTCTTCTTCTAGTTCTCTAGCTTCTTAATCCCATTAACAGGCTGCGGAAGATGACGCGTGCAATATTCTGGATATGTGTCTAGTTGTGTCAACCGACCGCTGTTCCAATGCTGTACAGTTCTGTGTGCGATGAGAGTCGAGACCGAGATTAATACCTCCCCGGACCTCCCGCGATTGCATGAATCATGTTGTTGATGTAGTTCCCCAAACGGCTAAATATAACCTCTCTCAACGCCGCAACATGCAATATGTTATCAAGTCCATCACTACACTGTTCTTCTCCACCGCGCTTCTGCTTCTGCTTTCAAAATGATAGCCCGCCTTCTGCAGAACTCCGGCACTTGCCTCGTTACCCTCGAACACAGTCGCTTGTAACCTGATCACATGGGGGAATTTTTCGAAGGCCCATCGGGAGAGGGCCGTAACAACTTCAGTGGCAATGCCACAGCGCCAGTGGCTTTCACCCAACCAATATCCCATAGTCATCGTCCGATATTGCACATCTCCTTCAGCTTCCAACCCAATTCCGCCAATCACTCGGTTGTCATCTTTTCGGCAAATAGCGAAGGCATTCAGTTCAGGTTGTGTCATTGAAGTCGCTATCCACTTCTTGGCATCGTCGATAAGATATGGATGGGGAAACCGATTAGTCATCCATTTTGCTATCCGTGGGTTGTCCGCTTCTCGGGAAACATCTTCGGCGTCGCTCTGACAGTAGGGCCGGATGAGGCATTTTTCTAGATGTAAGATCGCCTCCGGAGTCTGGGCCATTGAGAGGTCGTGGGCAGGTAAACCAGTCGTTAGAGATGACCAAGAATGTGCATATCATCGAAGTGAGATGGCGCCGTTCACGCTTTTAGACTGTGCTGGGGATATGACTCATTCCGTCACTTAAAACCGCTATGGGTCCGTCAGCAGTAATAATAGGATAGGGGCCGGGGCCTAGACCCCCAGGTATATTTTCAGGACGGGCTTCAGACCTTACTGGCCGTGTGATTTGCGACGCATGACCAACTATATAAACTCGGTTCTTGTCAACCATAAAATTACGCGTATTCGCAAGTATCGATCCTTCATTGAATTAGGTCTCTGATTCAACTAAACTACCAAAACATCTCGCATTTATAAAGGCGAGGTAAACAAATGAAGAATGCAAACTAACTAATGTAGGAAATATACGCGATCCGATGATGTTGGATCATCAACAACATTTGACTAAGAAAGGTGCTGAATAATTAATATTACCATAATTGTCGACACTTCCCTTCAACGATTCCTTTTTCTACATAGCCTATCCTATAAGTTCTACGGGTTCAGCCCCTGATAATGCCAGTACAAATCCAGTACGGTGTCATTGTTCGTACAGTTTTCTTCGAGCTCCCTCTGCAGCATATGACAGAACAGCGCAGCTTACAGTAGCTCTAACAGTATTGTCTGGTAATTATGCCATAAAAATCGTGTCCAGAGATACAAGTCCGTTAGCGAATGATCAAGTAGTGAGCTTATGCAATTTTTACCTGGCAGCGTTCGTATTTGCACCATAGAAATTGAACGTAAAATTGGCCCTGTTACTGTATAGTGGTGGTGGTGAATTTATTTACCCCGACCCCTCGCTGTAAGCGATATGCAGGACCCTACTATTGCTATCTATCCTTATATGTCTATGTACCGTGGTCCATTACTTGACGACAAATTTGGACCCTCGCCGGGACCTGTAGCGGCCTAAGTGCCTGGTGCTCTGTTCTACAGCCCTTGTTGCACGCGTCTCGAAAACTCTGAGATGCCTCTGCAAATTCAGCACTGCACCTAAGGTGTTATGCACCAGCGATAACGTAACGGGTAAGCGAGCCAGACACCACTTTGTGCCAGACTAAATCGTGTTTTTTAGGACACCCTAGTATCTCAGCCATCATTAGAAATATAGTCTAAAGCTAGTTAAGATTGGCCGGCAGTTAAAATTGTAACTATCTAAGACGCGCCGTTCAAAGAATTCTCAATCAAATAATCAACAATCTCCAAACATGCAAAAGAAGCAGGATAAGGACTAATCAAACTCTACCTCTTCTCGCACGATATCTGCGAAATCGTCTTGCAAATACTACGGACGACATCCTGACTCGCAAGTGTGCTGGTGTCAGAAACCCTAGGCGATCCCCTCTGATAGAGTAAAGCCGACATTTCTCAAGCGAATCAATGAGTATAGGGCTACGAAAAGTGATCCTACATATGCATCACCTGAATTGCTGAAGTGCTCGGCATCTGCAAATTATATTGTGTTATCAAGCACGCAACCACCTGAATGGTATGTGGATACATGCGCTTCGTACTACATGACCCCCCAACAAGATGCCTTTTTAACTTACGAAATCCTACCAACTGGTACGCCTAATGTGGGTGGATCCTTAGGTGGACAGAAGCCTCCCCTTGCTGAGGGAGCGGCTCGAATAACGTTTAATAATATTACCCTTGATGTACCAGAGGTGCGCCACGTACCTGGTTTATCAGCTAATTTGTTAAGTTATGCGCAGCTCCTAAAGGCAGGTTTTAAACCATCAATCCCAGAGGACGCGTGTAGCAATATTGTTTTTACCAATGAGAATGGCTTGAGTATTACCAGCAGTCCTCGATGAAGTGTTTCTCGAATCCAGGGTATTTTAAGGTCTTAGTGCGATATGCTGCCGTTCTGCCTGACAATGCCAAAATTTGGTATCGCAAAAGTAGGCCATGAATGCAGTGGTCAGAGCGCGTCTATCAAGCCTGGAAGTGCCAATGGCCTCAAAAACAGGGCATTGAGGATCAGGCTTTGCCGATCGCACCATTGGGGGTTCATTTTAGTTCCGGGGAAGACACCACCGACACCTGGATTTGCAGATAGCTCGTACAACATACCTCGGAGAGTTGCTGGGAGCCAAGTCACATCATCATTTAAAAGTACAAAAATTGGTATAGTTGTGCGCCGAATATCTTCCATGAGGCCATGCCGTTTGCCTTTCTTCTCAATCGCTTGGACTGAGATGCGTGGATTATTGACACCCGGAGGATTCTTTTCACGCGGTCCAGCCAGGGAAATTTTGTGACCACTAGGACCAATAGGGATCCGCACGTAACCAAGACGTCATGGCAGGGATGAAGTCGACATCCGGGTCAACGACTGGGCAGACGATTACAACATCTGAGGATGAATGTGAATCATTTGACGGTATTCGTTTAGTTGCCTGAGAGACGGACCGATGTTGATAGAACCCATACTAAATCAGAACAATCCAAATCAGCCGGAGAAAGCGGCCAGGCTATTGGCGCAGAAATATCAGCAGAGGTAAGCAATAGATATTAGGGGCATGCTTTGTACATGTTTGATTTATATGCAAGCCTCAATATTGCACCCAGGATGAACACCATTGTTGCCTCGTTTGAGGTGGACAGAATAAACCGGACATAAGACACAGGCAAGACTCAGCGGCTAAATCGACGGCAAATTCACAGATCCATCCAATAAGAGGTAGGATCAGCATGCCAATGTAGTGTACAGCGGCCCCATTCTTCTCATGCCTTGACGCAAGAAATGAGGAGCTTCATGTCTTAGGGTTAATGAATGTATCCAAGTGCGTCGAATACCCCTCATTGGACTTCTGCTCAGTGCTAATAATATCCATCAACGGTTGCAGCTAAGTCGGCTATATTTGCCTTTGAGTCTGGCAATTAAAAGTATATAAATTTTAAGGTTGAATCTGTACTGTAGGGTGACAACCAGTCTCCCTTCTATGCTATATTCACGCTAAGGGGATTAAGGCCAATCCAGAAAGACGTACGGTGTCATGAACACAATGGATGCAGCTACATAATTCTGATTCTGATCGGCACTGCACCTAACTCTACACCCCATGGCCAGTCAATTCAAAGATTCCATGGAAAGATAGAGAGGGATAGGTAGTGAGCGTAATGCAATCGCCTGCGAACCCCCGCGTCGCTGTCTAAAGATAAATTCATTCCTGGTTACAGCCAATCCAAAGTGCTGTTTCTTGCTGGAATCTTTTTCTAACTATGTTATCATCTGAATAGTTTGACTCCATTGACTACCTACTCACTATCATGTTCTGGATAATCTATCTGTTGCGTTTGCTGGGGCAGGGGTTTGTCTTGTCTGGCAGCGATATTATCATATTCTTCGCCAGCACCTGAATGTGGCGGTCATGGGTAAGGCTCACTTGAAAGCAGATAGGAGTAATACTACTCATCCCAAGTAGAGGTAGAAAGGCGGGATGTTCGAGAGGTTTCCATTATCGGTTCGGGATACTTCGGTAGGTTCTCTGTTATTTCTGGCCCAGAGAATTGCACTGATGAATGGCAACTAGGCGCATTGACATCCATTGTGCTTGCCTCTAAAAACCCGGGCATAGACTTCTGTGTAGTTGACAAAAATAAAACTTACTGCGGCCTGGAATTCGGGCCAGATCCCACTTTTCAAACCAGGTCTAGAGAATATACTATTGAATAGATCAGTTCAGTTAGAACGGCAGAGCAACAAGACACCGCGAAGAAGATTGCAGAATATCACTTTTTCGACAAAAACAACACAACACACCATGAGGGCAGATATGGTTTTTATATGTGTCAATACACCATTGTAGGTAAGTATCTCAATTGCCATTTCGAGTCCTGAGGTGGGTCAGGTTGGTAACAAGACTTTATTCCAGCAGCCGTCTGGATCCTGTAGCGAACTGATGAGTTTGAACCTTACAAATATTAAGGAAGTAACTTGAATAATTGCAGAATCCTCTCGCGCGACCAAATTATAGTGCTCAAAAGTACAGTACCCTTCGGCAGGACGGATCCTCCAGTTTTTGAATATTACTCTTGTGTCACTAAGTTTTGACATACCCAAATGATAGCTTTGGATAGAGGCTACCCACCGGCAAATTTCATCGTGATCTCTTGTCCAGAATTTCTGGCTCAAGGCTCTGCCATTCGAGACCTCCTTTTCCCCGAATTGTGTTGTGGTCGGCGAAAGCCTGAAGGCGACGCAAGCTGTGGAAGCCTCAAGAGTTCATACCGATGGGTGCCCGAAGAACGCATCCTGACCATAAATAGCTTGTCCTCCGAGTTAGCACAAATCAAGAGCAATGCGTTCATTGGACAGCAGATTAGCAGCATCAACTCATTGAGTGCTCTGTGTGAGCATGTCAGGGCAAATGTTAATGATGTCTCCAAAGCCCCCGTCTCTATAAGCCTAACTTGCCATTGAATCAGATTGAGAGTCGTATCGGTTCTGTAGCGTCGAGGACGATTGTTGTCTCGAGTATCATGGCCGCTTGCCCGATGTCATGCACTGCTAATCCACACAAGCTGGGATGACTTTAAGGACCGCAGGATCTAATGGGATTGTATTTCCCATGCCATGAAGTCACCCAAGTTATTGCTCGATCCCTGGGTAATTACAGACTACGACAAAATGAAGCTGCGTGAATTTTATATCATGGAGATTGGAGCTAGTCACGAGTGGGAGAAGAATTGGTCATACAGCCATCTCAACTAGCACCATGGAGGCTTTGCTGAAAGGTGTGTAGGGGGTTGAAAAAGAATTGGGTCTAATACGTAGATTACTTGTCTTTTTTGTGCGGCAAAAGGTGTATAGGATGATAGCTGGGGTGGTAAGCTGGGAGTTGCTAGCACTATAATTTTATATCGGGTATTGCACACCGCTAGCCAGCGTAGGAACATTGTACCTTTCGCTGCAAATACCATTCCTACTAATGTAGTGGAGTTAGTAAATTGAGTGAATTGTTTATAAAACGGGGCTTTCATCCCTGCAATCTCGGTATATTATAGAGCGGGGAAGAATGATGAAAATTTCAGACTTTCCAGGAACTTGATATTTTCAAATGTTAACTGACTAGCCATCACTAATGCGCTTATGAAATATGAAGATATTTATGTTAGCCCCACTGGGTGTTTTCCCATTTCAAACAGATTCGTGGTATGCAGTCCTGCAGTCGAGTCCGTCACGAACGACAAGGCTTGATCAAGCTAATCAATTATGCAATAGTTCTGCGACCCCATCTCTATGGCTCTGTTTATTTATGCAGATCTGGGGAACAAAACCTCGTGCCATGTGCTCTCCACTCAGCAAGCAGTCCTAGTAAATAGATCTGAAAATATTTGTTTAAATTCTGCAGGGATCGAAGGGTGATCATGCTGACAGCCTGTAGGCCCTAAATTTGAAAGTAACATTCCAAGTACGAATAAAGGGGCGGCTTGAGGGATTCGTGGAAGGCCGATGCAAGGGATAGTATATTGGTAATCTCCTAGGTAGGGATGACTGATTTCCTGCTTAAGAATGAACTTAGTGTTCCAGATATCGCTAATCTATTTTAGAGAATTGCTGTAGGCTACTCGTGGGTTCGAGACGGAATTTTTTTGTCCTTTTTGACAGGGGTATTATTTATCCCTAGATGCGAATAGCAGAGGGCCACTGCTATATTTGAACCAACCCACCCAACTCAGATATGCCTACAGGGCACTCGAGTGCTGCAGAAAGCACCATGTGGTCGTTGTACATACTGACATATTTTGCCGGCCATCTATCAGTTGCCGCATCGGAGGGTGCTATTCGTCCATCCCAAGATAGCTGGTATGTCCAGCCAGCCAATATCAGCAATTATATGCCGGGCGAGATGGTCCGCTCTCGTCAGGTCTCAAACCGCCTTCAATCATTGCTTACAGTTCCGGTCGAAGTTTCTGTTGAATCAGTGCATCAATATATGTTCCGGACGACAGACAGTCTCGGCAATCCTGTAGCAGCCATAACCACTCTTCTTGTGCCCTATGATTCGGACCCCTCAAAGTTGCTTGTATACCAAACGGCCTATGATACTTCCAATCCGGATTGCAGTCCGTCCTACGCGCTGCGATATCGATCCACTGTGGACACTGTAACCAACTTATTTAATAACATGATTCCGGCCGAGACCCCACTTGTAAGCACATTCAAACACACTGCTCCATTGTTAATCAAACCGGGCTAATGTTTTTTATTGTCGAACAGCTAGCGGCAGCCTTAAATAAAGGGTGGTGGGTCGTAACCGCTGACTATGAAGGTCTGGATGGACATTTTACGGCTGGTCTGCAATCTGGCCGTGCCACGCTAGACTCCTTACGTGTTGTCCTCAAGGAAGGACCCAAGATTGGATTGGCACCAGATGCGCGATATGCCATGTGGGGATACTCCGGAGGTTCACTGGCATGTGGGTGGGCAGCCGAGCTACAGCCTTCGTATGCCCCTGAACTTCACTTCGCGGGCGCCGCATTGGGTGGCACAGTTCCAAGTGTGAGGTCAGGCCTAAGCAGAATCAATGGGGGCCCATTTACTGGGCTAGCATACCATGGAATCAACGGACTGGCCAAGGCATATCCGAACTTTACCGAGTGGTTGGACCAAAACCTCGTCTCGGAGAAGAAGGCGGAGTTTTATGCTAGAGCTGGTGCATGCACTGTTTCCGAAATAGGTCCCCAGGGAGCATTCCAAGATATCTACTCGTATTTTGTGAATGGGGAGTCGTCTATATCTGAGCCCATCCCAGCTTCGGTTTTCCAGTGGGGTACGCAGATGGGCGTCCATGGAACTCCCAAAATGCCACTATTTGTTTATAAAGCCGTCAATGATGAAGTTTCTCCCGGAAAAGATACAGATGATCTGATTGACCACTACTGTCGCAATGGCGCTACAATTGAGTACCACAGGGACCTGCTTGGAGAGCATACCTCTGAGGTAATAACTGGCTCGGCGAATGCAATAAATTGGCTTTCTGAGAGGCTAGCTGGGAAACACTTGAATCACATGGGATCATGCATTAAAAAGGATGTAGTTGTCACGGAGCTCGGCCAAGACACACTTCCTATTTTTGGTGATGAGATACGAGGACTGCTGAATATTGCCCTGGGAAGTATGCTGGGACCACATTCAACTTGATACATACCTTGTACTATATCTGGACATATCCTTGGCCAAGTTAAATTCTGTATTCTATCGGGACCTATAATTCTTTCAGAACAAAATTCCCGATAATAATAAGTATCCTAGGGCAGTATATCCCAATTTACATGCCAATAGCCACATCTGCACAAGAAAATGTGTGGAATGAATTCCACTTGAAAGAAATCAAAGTGTGGTTCGAAACATAGTCCGGAAGCTTGATCTTCTCGGTAACCGTATATCCACCTGCAATTGAGGTGTAGCACGAGTTCAACTGGGCGTTATCAACTCCCTGACATTTAGCCATGCCCGAAGCCTGGAATCCATTACAAGTGAACCAGTCATTACGCCAACAGGTTTCGTCCTTGGAGCAATCCAGACTATAGCCGCAATCCTGACCATTAACATCGATGCACTTGAACACTCCCTTATTGAAGCAATCCTCGGCTTCCTGCTTCTCTTTCTCCGTGGACAGATAGCCAGCCTTGAGTAGTTTATCGACGATGGTCTGGTCTTGGCAGATCCGGTAGGTTAACATGCCTCCGTGGTCGCCCTTTGGTCAACGCACCACCGCACCTCAACCTCATCGCCGACTTTGTAAGTTGTGACTTGTTTAGTGCCCAGTCGCTGGTGGGTTGGTTCTAATCGATGCTGTCGCGTGCATTGTACCCGCAGGGTCCGCTACGGCTTACCGGCGCAGCATTGAGGCCAGGCCAGGCTTTAACTGGCTCCAGGATGGTACATTCAGGACAAGAGTCTTTCCCAGCCTGTTGATTGTTAGCGGTGGATATGTTATGTTTGTTGGGTTGTATACCTTGTTGCCTAGCTTGGCGCGGCTATCTGGGCTGTAGAGATAGCATGGCCTGCAACGGTGGTGGCTAGGACGAGGGCAATAAAAGTGCTGACTGGCTTCATTGTGAATAGGAATTAGAGCTTGAGTTGTAGGATTCAAAATCTAATTTCAAATATTTGTTGATCGGTTTAATTAGGGTATAAAGTCAAGATAGTTGACGAGTTATATACAGGACTAGATTAAGATCAACGTCAAGCGTACAATTTGAACACTTACGATTCATAAAAAGTAAGTAGGGAGCGGAGAATTTCTGACCCTAAAGAGCTTCCTGTAACAAAGAGAAGTCGGCCTTGCAGATCGCCAGGCTGCTGACCAACAGTGATGGAGATGAGAATATTTTAGTTACATTGGCCGGCACTACAATAGTAACGCCGAGGTTAATATACCCTGCACAGCTAAAGTAGTAGATCTCGGGAATTCGCCATTGGTATTGACCTGGCTTAGAAGGAGATTGGATGAGAGTGTCCGGTAAATGCCCGGCGCCTTTAGAGACCACGATTAGGTTGGATATTAGCAGGCGACCAACGAGCTAGCATAGGGCAGTTGGTCTACATCATCAATGAGAGGGGAAGAGCTCCTTGTTTATTCGAAGGGATGTGCCGCTGGCCACCGTGGCTATTTCTTCATGTGTCATTGAAATGCCCGAACGTCACAGATATCATAGATCAAATCGACCCAGTTACCGGGGTCCATCATTTCTCCCTACACGAGCATCCCATTCCACATAAATCCTGCCCCCCAGACCCAATAGTCCCGGCCTTTTATTGCCCACACTGCTGAGCTGGGGAGCTGGTATCCCATGAGTGCACCGACACCTTTGCTCCGCCCAATTGGCACTAGTTGGGTTTCCCTAGTATCTTCTTTGAATTCTCGATCCTCACCGACCTCGGTCTCATTATTTCCAGACGCGAGGAGGAGGTCTCTCTTGAGATTTGCGGTCAGAACTGGAACCGCGTCGAGAATATTGTGAACGGCTGCGTGACCATAAGTACTGGCGTCGCCGATAGCGTATACGCGAGGTCCGGCTTTATCAACCCGCAAGGTAGATGTGTTGGTCTCGACCCTGCCATCAGATGCCAGGAGGGTTTCTGGGATAAACGTCGTGTTGAATGATACACCCATGGCTGGAATATAAATGTCAGCATCTAGTGTTTGCCCATCGTCAAGAGACAACGTCGTCTTAGTTGCTACTGCAGATTCCGTGCCTGCGTTAGGGGGAGTCACAGCTTCTACCCGAGTGTTCTTGATAATAGTCACTCCAACCCCGGCAAGGAAATCCTCAGCTTTAGCCGCTATGCTAGGTCGGAGAGCAGGAAGGACTTGGGAAGCGGAGGTGACGACTGTGATAGGAACCTTGGGGTTCTCGAGTTTGTAACTAAACCATCCCGCACGACCGTTCAGAAATTCTCCTAACTCTCCTGCTGTCTCGATACCGCTTGGTCCCCCTCCTGCGATGACGATATTCTTGGCAGAGGGTAATGCCTCTCGGAATGCGTTCCAGTTTTGGCGCAGGAACTTTTCGTCTCGATTTAGTCGTAGCAGAGGAGACTGTGTCGACGAGCCTGTAGCAATGACAAGAGAGTGATAGTCAATTGTCTGTGTGTTTCCATCTGCGAGGTTGATTAAAACTGCCCGATTACTGTGATCAAGGTGCGTGGCCGTCCCTTGAACAAAGCGAAAGATGGTAGCCGGATAGTGCTCAAAAGACTTCGTGATGCTGGTAAAGAGCTTGTTTTGGTTAAACATATCATCCGAAATCATAGCACGAGGACAGGCAGGTTGACACAGAGCATACGATGAAGGGCTGATTAAGACGACTTGGTGCGACTCCCTGTCCGGTAGCGAGGGGATGACATGTTTGAGGATAGAATGGGCAGTACAAATCCCTCCGAATGAGCCGCCCAGGATCAGGATGTTTTTCTGTGGTGTGGTCATTTCCGCAGCAAAAATGTAGATACTGGGGATAAAAACTGTCAAGGTGGGGATATCAAGTGGCTTCCTCAGATACTGGACACCTTTTGTGCAGTCGAGTACGTTGCTCAGTCGGAAATGCTGGGATTGAGCGGGGGATTTTCTGTGTTATTTGGTGTTGATGGCGATAATCTTCGGTCAGGTTCTATGTTCCAGGGGCTAGCAATTAACATGTCAGCTGAACATTCACCTTTAGGTATGTCGCCCCCAAATTTGCTACTGCAGTTATTCCAGAACAATACTGTCTATCCTATGTGTAGCTATCTTAGTGCAAAGATATAGCGTGCTCAAGACTGTACAAAAAGCGTTCAAAATGATGAACTGTTTGGGCCTCGATGTGGGATACTACATAAACCGAGTAGACAACTGCATATAAAACGACAAACAAAACCATTGTGGTCCTGTTGACCTCGGAAAGACAGATGGTTACCGTAATCCACTGAAGCTACGTATTTACGTGCATGGGAACCCCGAGATCCAAACAAGGTGGATCGATGGCTTAGCTTTCCATTAGTGATTGTTTCAAGGGACGACGAGCCTTGTTGGACAGCACTGTCCGCGAAGGAGAAGAGTCTTCTCGGACGGTCTTGCAGTGCTGCAGAGTTGCTTGTGCATCAGCTGATAGTGTTATATGCTGGTTGTGCGACTATACATATACCTCCTCCACCTTTTCTTTTCTCAGCATTTACGGAGAAGATATTAACCTTTTACCTATGTAGCCTTGCTGTTATTGTATTGCCTACTGTATGCATTGCTACTTAGTATTGATTGACTACTTTATCTACGTCCGATACCATACCTTTGCCCAATTGGAGTACTATTTCGTAGACGGAGAGTCACACAAGACGATGAAGGTACTTTGGAAAGCCTCAACATCTAAAACGCACTATTTTACGACTTCGTATGAACGAATTCGACGATTGTGCCAACAGAATTTGACGTGCTATTATGGCATACATTGCTTCTGCAGGGTGCCCTGTCGACGAACTGAACCAAAGAATCCACAATTCTCATATTGAACCTCTTCAGCCTTCATAAATGAAGCAATAGCCGTTCATATTGTTCTTGATACTGAAAAGGAAATGCTCAGTGACCCGGACCTTGAGAAGGTAGGGCACGAAGTTCACTGCGTCCTCCGTGCTAAGGATGACACATTGTATGGGTATTGCACTTAAGAGCTCTACTAAATTTAAATAATTCAGTCAATCGGATTCGGAACCCGGCCGAAGAGCAGAACCTCGTACAGAAATGAGACTCTCCACCGACAACTTCTACCCATGGGCAAAATAGCCATGTTCATCTCGATCTGATAGCTCGCACTAGAGCTCATAAAACGCGTCTGCTTAAATACGTTATGCTATGCGATTCCCTCGAAGCCGGTGCTGCCAGCTCTATATTGTGGTAATATTGCGGGGGTCAGCTTTTGCTGGTTCTAAGACATACTATAATTAAGCGAATATGGTAATTGTTAAAGTGCTAATAAATCCAATGTTGTTTCCTTTATAGCAGGTGTGGGAATGTTATAATATACTAGCATTTTCTCTACTTGTTCCTACTCATTTTTTAGTCTTCGTGTTTACTACTGATACTTCGTTATATTCTACTCACTAGTAAAGGGTAGCGAAGTATTGCCCATAGATCATGGCGGGGTGCGTCACCTCTACCAATTCAGCCCAGTTGTTCTCCTTTCCAGTCACGATATCCTTTAGCCACTCCCGCAGCAATAAAATATGTGGAATGCGATCAACCTCAAAGTTGACATCGCAACCCTCAAAATGAATACTAGCGACAGATGCGACAAAGTATGCGGTCCCAACTACAAGGCAGCGCACAGTCTGTATTTCCTCGCCGGAGAAACGATGTCCTTCATTGTGGACTTCTCTTCAAGAACTTCCAATGCTTCTACTGGACAGTGAGCACCAGAAATCCTATCCTTTGCCAATTCAAGGATACTCCATCTGGCTACACCCGGCAGGATAAGATCATCTTCCGGAACTGTGATGGGCTGCAGCCTTCCCTGGGCTGACCTGCAGATGAAAAAAAAATTCAAAGCTCCTGCTTCCGTAATCTGGCTATCAGGATAAAAAAACCACAATACCAGATCATATATCTATTTTTGCGCCAGAGTCTGGGCAACAAGGGATGAGCTGTAGTTACGGCTAGCTTTGCTGACCCATTCTTATTATAACCTGCGAAGCAGTCATCATATGGATATTATTACTTATACAGCTTGATAGATATATGTTGTTTAGGCTACTACTTACTAAATCGGCCTAGGAACCTGGTAGGCGACCTCCCACACAAAAAGCACTACCATGTAAAGTAGTCAAGATGGTCAGTCAATTTGATCAAGAATTCATGAAGCTGAATATCACCCATTTCTATGAGCTGCGACATGTATTTTCCTAAAGTTATGTTCATATTATTATTTACAAAGAAGGTACAGCCCATTCCTCTTTACTCTGATCCAAATGAAAACCTAAACATATCCTTACTCTCAGGCAACACGGGTCATTCGTGCTGCAGCCCCCTTTCAACTACCGGTCATCAACGTCATCTTTAAGTTTGTCCGGTCAGAGCTAGGCCAACGATCACCTGGTGGATTTAGCCCCTGAGATGACTATACTGTCTTAGCAGTTACATGAAATCGCTGAAGAAGCTGCACAAGCTGATGAGATGTGTCTTGCAGAACGGGCCGCGAAGGCTATTGATATTATGTTAAGTAGGAACTTTCAGATTCTCAGGGTGTTTGAGGCTGCGAGCGATTTGCACCAGGATAGAGATTTCTTGGGTCTGAAGAATTGTAATGCAAGTATAACCAAACTTAAATGGTGCAAATAACTGCCAAGATATTATGGACCATGGCCTGACCGTGGTAGAATTGCAATTATATGGGGGCCTGAGGTCCAGATGGGGCCAAAAAACTGAGTTATCTACGGGGCAGCACGGCATGTCGCGAGATGTCATGCTCTTTGATACCTATTTATGCAAAACAAAACATGAAGATTGGATTATATTACCACCATATCCTCCAAAGGTGTGGTACGACAGAGGGATCTGTATCGTATCATTCTTTCCTATCCAGGAAAGAGCTTCCATTCAATCACAAATCTATAAAAACCCTCAAGCATGGCAGAGAGGTCATTATTAATGCATTACAGATGCTGCTGACACCTTCAGAAGATATAGCATATCGTTGTTGGACCGAACTCAGGGCAGCATCAATGGAATAGTCCATCTTTAATAATTATTATTTTAAGTAGCCCTATTGCATCCAAACATAGTATGGTGCAATATACAGCTAAAAGTTTGATGTTTCTACAAGTTTTAATTATTTGCTACGACTAAAAATATTATTATTAACATTGAATATACTATTCTACAATAATGTCTATTTACAAAGCACCGGACGCTACTGCGCCAGGATGTCGTTCCCCCAATTCAATGCTTTCTCGAGTCACATCTATCTGCACACTCTTCATAATAGCGCCCCTATCGTTTGTATTTTCTTGCCCCGTTGACGACGATGGCAGAATCGGTTCCTCGTCCCAGCCAGCAGTTATCAGAGTGGGATCTGTGACGGGCCGCGATGCTCTCCAAGTTCTTGACCTCGATGTGCGACCAGACTGACTATGGGATTTCGAAGCATCTTCGGTATATGCGAGACCTTGTTCGTCTTCATAAACTGCCACGAACATCTTAAGGGACGAAATTGTGAGAAGGACAACACTGAGACCTAGATGGAGTTCGCCGACTGTGGTAGCATAGGCCCCATCAAGGGACGGATTCGACGACTTAATTTGCGTATGGACATAGTACAGGTGGACGGCAGAAAGAGGGATAAGGCTATTCCGGAGTGAGCACCGCTGAATACACACCAGAAAGGTGGGCGAAGACATAAGACGTACATGACACGACAGCTGAGAATGCCGATGACTTTTATTTTCTTTGCGAAGGCCAGTTGCACGGGATATAAGATTTTCACAGGGTAGGCTAGGATCACAGCTTCGATGGTTATATCGAGGGCGCTGATAGCTTGCCAACGTGGGAGCTAGATTGCCATTAGCTATCCACGACTGTGGTTTTCTAACATCCAAGTAGAGAAAATCACGGTAGGCATTGCTTACAAGACCAGCACAGCGATTGTTGATGTCTTCCCAGGGACGACTGCTGCATCGAACTCCTAGTAATGCCATTCCAAGTATAATCCAGGCTGCACAGCCCCCGAGTATGGTGTTCAGCAGCTTGGTACCACGCAGGGACAGGTTCCGGTAGAACATCATCGTGCAAATCTTCGACAGACCTAGAACGAGAATGTAAAGGAGGTCGACCGCAAGTCCAATCTACCAGAAGACGCATAAGTCAAATATTAACCAAGAAGGACAATAGGTGCTGATCTGGACATACTTTAGTCATCTGCGCATACTCGTCGCTAGAGATCATATCCTGCGATTTTCCCCACCCATAGTGTACCTGAATCAGTGTGACCAAGACCTGGGCGCACGCAACGATCTAGTAGAGCCGTCTGTGAGCCATCTGATACTTGGTGGTGTGAGGCGAAATAATACTCTGCTGGCTATACGTACCACCACAAGAATCAGGATGTAGTCATCAGTCAGGGTGACCCCTCTATGCAGGCAAGCGTACGATCGGATCGCAAAGGATGAAAGTACGAGGAACAAAGAAAGCGACGTGATGATAACAATTAAAGCATTATGATTGTAGTCATTGTTCTCTGTTAAGGGGGGAGCAATTCCCGGCGGAAGGACAGAGGGTCCAGGCATCGCAACCGGAAGACAAGCACGCCAGCAGGGGAATGGTGCGAATAGCGACTATAATAATCGTCTCGAGATCCTAGCCGGGATCATCCGGGTGAAATAATAGACCAAGGCTGGATAGAACACGATCGATCGTCTTCTGGGCGTCCCCTGGCATAATGATAGTATTTTCATTTTGCTTCCACCATGCCAGGGGATTTTTGGCAAGGTAAGTAGCACACGGTAGGACGAATCCAACAGCTTCCCACCATAATGACCCTGACCCTCGGCTGTCAGTTTCATACCAATACGGATTCGAATGCCTGCCTCAGCCATAACAGGCTACAGCACATAAGCTGCATTTATTCCCTGGCAAGCTTTCGGCTGACGGTCCAGCGAATCTCATAGCGATTGTCAGCAACGGACCGTAATTTTAGCAGCTGGCCAGACGGCCCGAAATGCCACCAAGTGGGGTTCCCAAACTTTCGATCCACAAAGGATTGCAATGCCCGAAGATTGACAGACAATCCATGCTCTTCCTGTCAGCCACCTGGGTCTAAGAACGGGCCCGCAAAGTAAGAGGCCTCAGAGAGGCATGGACTGATGAAACTACGGAGCCTTTCAATAATCTAAAAATGGAGTAAGACACCAGGATCAAACTCTGTAAACGGTTCACGGTCAACCGTGGCAATTATCTTTGATCGGGTTTCTGTTTTGGCAGCGCGATGGTCGTACATCTTGCATTTTGTCCCGAGTTTACTGCCTTGGATCGTGGACTTTTCTGGCTCAAAGCCTCGTGAGGTTGCATGGTTGCCAAGAATGCTGACCACAGGTGTGCCAGCCTATGATGATTATTTTCCCCTCACAATCTTTCCGGGGAATATTCAGACGATTTGTCGATATCAATAGATTTACCTTTTAGCCCATCTCAATTGGAACGTAACCCCGCCACAGCTACATCACTCTTAGCGAAGGGTGGTGCATGAGTTATTTTGACAGGATGGCCACAGTGTAAATAGCATTAATCTGGCAATTCTCCCCCGAGCCGTTTCCTCCTTAAGGGCTCGGGTCGTCAGCACACTCAACGTAAATTAAATGAAACGGCATCTAAAAAAACTTTACACAGTAAGGATCGGACTCCCTGTTATCATTGCTACTTTATTCTCCACTAAAGCTGGATCTACGCCATGATCGTGTTAACTTCCCCTAGCGGATGCAAACAGCGAGAGTGGTTCGCACGCCAGTTAAATGACCCGAAATGACCCCCTGTCATGCAAGAACAAAGGAAATCGATTTGGATTTCTGACACTGCGACCGCGGACAAATTCTTTTTCTTACCTATCCGATCGTCCCGCTTTGTGAGCTACATCACTCATTTGCAGTTTTTGCTTTTGTTCCCTTCTCTGGAGTGGTGTAGCCTTGTTGTCGTTTATTCCACCATTCGCGTCCGATTCCCTCAGGCCGCTAGAAATGGCAGAAAATCCTCCGAAGGCTCCCCATGTGCAAAATGAAGAGCAGCTCGTCTACAAGACAGGGTTCCAGCCGCTGGAGTTAGGATCTAGTAAGAAGAATAGCACGGAATATGGTACCGGATATGATCATAATGACATGAGCCGCATGGGAAAGGCTCAGGAATTCAAGGTGAGTAGCGGCATGAATTGGCCATCGAGAAAGAAACAGGCACCTAACCGTAAATATTGTTGCAGAGAAACTTCCGACCTTTGGCTGCATTGAGTTTTGCCTCCGTCCTCCAAGCTACTTGGGAATTTCTTCTAATGTTCGAGCCCCTTTGCCGTGCATACCGAACCCAGAAACACCGAACTAACGCCGTGGACCGTGGGGCAGATCCAACACTGAAGGCCTGGAAAATGGTGGCCTGGCAGGCTTGCTTTGGACATATGTCTGGACACTTGTTGGGTTTGGTCTTATCATTGTCTCGCTGTCTGAAATGGCGTCCATGTGAGTTTCCTAGGGGCAATAATTCGATAGCTGGACAGTCAACTGATGATGAGATTCAGGGCTCCTACTTCTGGTGGACAGTACCACTGGGTGTCGGAGTTTGCTTCCGAACGGTATCAGAAGTTTTTAAGCTATATGACTGGTTTGCGATTCTCCAGGATATCTCAAAATATCCGTTATCTGACACTCGAGATAGGTTGGATGTCCGTCCTTGCATGGCAGGCAGGGGCCGCCTCAGGCTCATTTCTGACAGGTACCATTATCCAGGGTCTAATCAGTGTGCGAAATCCCGACTATAGCCCTCAAAGATGGCATGGCACATTATTTGTCTTTGCCATGATTGCTGTAATTTACTTTTTCAATGTCTACGCGGCAGGCTGGATGCCTCGCATCCAGAATGTACTACTGGCATTACATATCCTCTGCTGGGTTGTAGTCATAGTTGTTCTCTGGGCAATGGCACCCCGGCAGCCCGCGAAGGCAGTTTTTACAGAATTCAGCACCCTCGCTGGATGGGACAATGTTGGCGTTGCCTTGATGATAGGGCAGATCTCTGCCATTTACGGCTCTCTCAGCTCGGACGCGACCGCGCATATGTCCGAAGAAGTTCGCGATGCCGGCCGAAACGTGCCTATTGCCATCGCTTGGGGATATTTCAGCAACGGAATCCTAGCTTTGGTTCTGATCATCACTTTAGCCTTTGCTATGCCATCTGTGCAGGATGCACTTGACGATCCGACGGGATTTCCCTTCATTTATGTCTTCAAGCAAGCTTTACCAGAGGCTGGTGTCAATGGCCTCACGGCCATCATCCTCATCCCTGTGATCTTCAGCAACATCCTATTTAACGCGTCTACGGCGCGTCAGACTTATGCGTTTGCCCGTGACAAAGGTCTCCCGTTTTCGAAATGGATTTGCACAGTCAACAAAAGGCGCAAACTCCCAGTCAATGCTATCGGTCTATCCTGTATTATCAGTGGTCTGTTGTCGCTAATCAATATCGGCTCCGAGACAGCTTTCAACGCCATTATATCGCTTAACGTCGCTGCGTTAATGTGGACATACGCCGTATCGATTAGCTGTGTGATGTGGCGCAAGATCTACTATCCGGAAACACTACCGGTCCGACGCTGGAGTCTTGGCGAATACGGTATATATATTAATATGATGGCCCTGTTATACGTGCTTTTTGCCCTTTTTTGGTCCTTCTGGCCCACTGAAAGACCGGTTACTCTCGATAACTTTAACTGGAGTGTGGTTCTGTTCGTGGGTGTCTTTATAATCAGTTTGGGGATGTACGTCGTCAAAGGGCAAAAAGAGTACAAGGGGCCCGTTGTGGACGTGAAACGAGACCACTAAACAGGTCTAGGAAGACAGAGGACGTACAATACAATTAGTAATTATATCTAGATTCTGGTATAATACGTGGTCTTTTGGATGTCGCTCGTTAAGTTAATGTGGAATAGCCCTAAATCTTGTGCGTTGGGTTACAGTAAATAGGTTTTGCATTTCATATACTTCAGTTTTTTGTGTATATTATTATGTCAATAATAAAGATATTTGCAGCTCCGTGCCTTTGATCAAAGTGACAGATTGTATGGGTGATATTGCCTAGTTCTACAGTTTAAAATGTACATATGTTTCAGTACACGCCAAGTTGTATATAATAATAATAACACCTTTACCTGCCAAGCTCATATATAAGTGTGTGAATAATAACTCTATGCTAATCTAAAGACACCTGAAGGTTAGTAATCGGTTTTATATTTAGATTCTAGTTACCGTTCGGCAGAGACATGACGGTCTTGCTGTTGAGCACCAAACCACCCAGATGCTAAGCAATTTGTGCAAACTATATATGTGCAGCCTATATAATATGGCTAGGTGGGCGAGGGTGACGTCGGACAAGGGATGATGAAGGTGGTTTGCTATTGGTTGAGTCTTGCAAGGAGAGCCAAAACCAACAAGCATCCGTCCAGTATGTTACTGTCATATAAGGCTGGATGGGCCTTGTGCGACGCTGCTAGTTCTCGCTTCTCGCGTGGTCTTCATTGATCTGGAGGGTAGGAGTGGGACCGTCGGCTCGACTTTTACAATTCCTCAACTGTGACCAGACGTTACGAAGCTTAGTTAACACCATCAAGCTGCCTCCCATACAGGCCACACTGCTCCACTACTCCGCCTTAGGGTGCTTGCTTGCTTCGGTCTGTCAGCATATGCATGCCTTTGTATTTAGTCCTAAAAAAATCCTGTATTTCTCCCATTGCAACCTGAGTCCAGCTCATCAGCATATATTATATTGCCGGCATGGTCGGAATGCAAAGATTAAATGCAGAAAAGTTATTGCAAAATATGGATTGTGCTTCAGGTAAGCAATAAATACCATCTCTGATAATTGGATGGTTACGAGGCGATTATTACTGTTTCAGGTAGAAAAGTCATCTGACGAAGTAAATGAGGTAGCTAGAAGCGTCTGGAAGACTAAATATATCTAGATACTAAAAGTATCAATTACTCTCTAATACTATCTGCATTACGCCCTTCGTTTCATCTAAACCCGCCTGCTTAGTTGCCCGTAGGCTTTCTTTTCTTGGGCTTTTTCTTGGAGCTAGACGGAGTATCTCCCTGAGTCTGAGCTGTCTTGGGGTTGGATGAATTCTGAGACTTGCCCCTGGAGACCCCAGCCCTCGCCACAGCCGTCCTCGTTCTTGTTGAATTATATGGGATTCTGGTTAGGAGGTGTGAATTTATTGTATTCGGAAGAAGTTCTGCCCTCCCTCGTTTTAGGAGGGGTATAGCTGTATAGGATATGGTATTTCACATAATATCTTAAACTAGGACTAGCTTACTCTGACAGTTCTTAATGTTCAGATCACCGCAGGGAGGCTTGATTTGTCCCTTGCCACTCTTTTTATTTCTCTCCCATGCGGTAATAGTGGGCTGAGGATTGGTACCTTTCCGTGTCCCACTGGGGTGGACCAAGTAGTATGCAAGGGAGGCCATGACTTCTCCACAGTTGGCACTATTCTTATGCTAGAAGATATTCGGGTTCTTATTATTCTGGCCTTTCTCGATATTCTGGGTACCTTGGGACTTAGTTTGTCGTCAGACTCGTCAGTCTGATCCTTGTTGGTGTTGGGCTTGCCAGTCTGACTGGAGCGGCTTTTTTCTTGCCGGAACCCCTCTTGGTGTTCTGCTTACAGTGGCCGGTGTTATTTGCGGTTGTATTTTCTTCTGTCTTGCTGTTCTCGTTGCTCTTCTTCCGTTCCTGGCTTGTATCACAGCATTTATTCAGTGCCTCCATAATTCGTTTGGTAATCTCCTCGACGACGTTAGTCATGGCTCCGTAGCCATGGGCTGGGAGGTCGTCGGGTTTGGTCACAAACAATAGTGTGCAGCATTGGACTAAAAAGCGGGCCACACGTTCTTGAATTTCCAGGCCAGGAGACCCTCTCCAGGATGCATTTCACGCTGCGTAAACATCCAATCAAAAAGTCACCGAGATAGAATTCCTCTGGGCCTAGGTTCTCAGGGATCTCAACGGGATGAACAAGCTCACCCTGCTTCCAGAGATCGCCAAAATGGTATAATTTGCTTTAGTGGGCGACCGAGTGCCTCGTATTTAGCACTCCTGTTGAGACTGGAGAGGAACCATCGCCCACATACAGTTCCTCTCATTCGAATCTGTCGAATATCCATTAGAATGACAAAAAGGAAAGAGAGTAGGAAGCAGAGTTCACTCACCGCGGTGTAAAATTCCGGCTTGTGTAAATTTCCCAAGGCCTCTAGCAATTCCTGAGCAGCACATGTGAGTGGCCATGGACATCTTTCTCAAGATAACAGGGTAAAGGCATGGGCCCATTAAGGGAAACACTAAAACCCTATGATTATACTTGTTTCCGGGGAGTAGAAAGGTTGCCAATTAGGTCAAAAGTTGAGAGATATTCTGTATATTCCGGAAGATTTTGTCTTGCATGCGGATTTCGTTTTCTCCCCATTCTCCCGAAGGCATAACTTTGAGGGCTACATCCATCTTGTCCTGAAGGCCATGGACCATCCAGACAGTGGAGAAGCCACCAGAGCCGATTTTATGCTCTACCAGGTATCTCTCATTGAGCGCTTCTCCGACAGCAATAGGATAGATGACATGTGGAGTTTCCTTTATATTGTACTTATGCCAGGGCTCGACAACTGGAAGGACACGTACCTTTTACCACGCGGCTCAGAAGCCACTGTTCAGTCCAGATAATTCACTTATTATAAGAGCAGAAATTATCTATCATCCACACGGGGTTTGGACCAACAGCCCTTTATACAGAGTACCCGGCGATCCTGCGATTAATTTCGCCAGCCTAAAAAGTTGCTATCGATAGGGTTTTCGTTTATGCCCATGAATATTCATATGTCCTGTCCACGGAGAATTGCCGGACTTCCCGGTTACAGGCTCCGCGGTTCCAGGCTCTTTGGAAGCGAAGATAGATTGAAGACATTGTTCATCAGTCATCAAGCTGTGGTCGAATTGCGGACTGGCATAAGTACTTAGTCCGTGGGCTCGTTACTCACTCTCGGTGCTTTTAAGGATAACATCTGCACCGGCTCGGTCTGGCTTGGGATCCTCAATAATAACATTCCGGTACCCTTCATAGACAAGCTTATAAGCTTATAAGCATCTAACTGTAGAAAGGAGGACAGGCTTAAGAAGATAGACAAACAAAATGTGCAGGACGGTTCGTTCCAAACTGCAATTAAAACCCATCTACTGTTCGACCTTCAGGGCATGCCATCACACCGGCATTCTCAATCAAGATGTTCAGAGTCTTAGACTTGATTTGAAATCCCCTGCATATGCACGAACAGACGCCAGAGAGTTCAAGTTAAGATACAGGAGATGCGGGGGCTATTAACAATGTCCCCAAGCGCAGTTCTAGCCTTCGCCAGATCGCGAGCTGTAAGGTATAGGGTCGCTCCAGTGTGAGAGTGCACGGGCAGTTTCAATACCCAGGTCCGATGAACAGCCCGTGATAAGAATGACTTCATTTAAGTCATTTCTCACGGCCCTCATCTTTCACAATTTAGAGCGCAGTGGGACGGGCATCACCAGAGCCCTTTATTGATTCTGGGCTCCAGCGTACTTTGACAACATATTCAAGGCTGGTGGAAATCAATATCCAATTGAAAGAATATTGCACAATTGAATGCATCTGTTTGAATGGGAGGTTATGAGTAGATATGACTTATTCCAAAACTTTTCTCTATATGCAGAAAGGGACTTTAAGTACGTTTTACGACAGTTCTGGAGATACGATAAGTGGAGAGGCGATTGTGTTTCTTAAGTCCTACTACCGAGTAATTGAGTGCTTACTTCATATATGCTTATTCGCCTACCAGAGCCTTTTAGAAATATGCAGACATCATTAGTCAAGGTTAAATTCTGGGACTATTTCCATCGGCCGAAATTATGTTGAGTCACTGAGTTCCTAAGCATTATTTGTCGGTGATTACTCCATTTGCCGGATATTTCGGGGCTTTCAGGCCCACATACACACTAGCATCTAGAATGCTGACACGAGCCAGTTGTCTAATTAGAAATAGGATACTTTCCCCGAGTGATTGCTCTATACCATTGAGATATACTTCCCACCCTGGGAATGGCATATATACCGAAAGCCCGCTTTAAGCTCCTCCGTCATGATTCTACTATCCGTTTAGTAATTTACCCTTTTGTCTGGCATAAAGTATACAACACTTGATTTAGTCTGTAGTAGGATCTGCTGAGGCTCCAGCTTCCATGATACTGCCAAGTTACGGCTCATTAAGAGCCGATGTTTCTTAGTAGTGATAGTAGTTTTGCCTTAAAAGGCCATTCGTGTTCTCCCAGAGCAATTTATATTAGAGATAGTGCAATAGTGTGATATCTGAACTTTATTTTTCGTGTTAGCGTTCCTTCGGAATTTGTACATTTCTACTATTTCTCAGCCTTAGGATCTCCCCAGCCTCTACAAGATTGCGCGTGCACTGTCACTGAAACTATGTAGATTCTTGATACAATGGATTCAGTAAAAGACTGTCAAAAGGCAATATTGGCGAGTCAGAAACCCACTTAACTCAGTGGAATTGTATTGTATACCTCGGTAGCAACTTATCTACTTCTGTTTATCACTACCTAATGGACGTTTATCTTTCAAGATAGGCCTGTGGAGAGAGTGGAACGAGTGCTATGACGAGGCATGTGCTACGTGGAGTATTCCTTGAAATAAAGTATAATCAACAGAATATCTCACAAAAACATTGTTTATTGAAAGCCTTGCCCTCTAATGATATCACGCCTGGATTTCGGCTACCGAACAAATAGGTCGACCTGTATTAAAATGCCCCAGAAGGCGGAATGATCCCATCGAATACTGCCATATTTTGGCAAATATATACGCCCCATCCAAGGATATATCTCTATCGTGTTGCGATTGGACTGAAGGCGGGCCAGTTTTGTATTGAGGTTCGTGGCGATTTGGCGATTTGTTTCATATGCAGGGTCGACTTCAAGAATTTATTAGCAGGATCTGATGCACTGAAAGTTTCGGCATGTTTTGATGTGGTATGGTAATTTTGTTCCTGCGTTAAAATGACAACACGTGATTGGCCCATGATAATTATGCTGTAGTGGAGCTTATAATGATCTTTCTCTTGACATCGCCATCAACACACGCATCTCCATAAAATATAAAATGGCTGCGCAAAAGGCATCAAACGCACCCAGAGATGCTCTCAGTTTTCCAGGATCCGATCGAATATTCTTAGATCCCCACCTACCATTTCACGATGAAGACTCCACAAAGCCCCATCTTCCTTTTACGACACTTACATTCGCTACCTCGCTCGATTCATCTTTAGCCCTGTCTCCTGGAGTTCGCACTGTACTTTCTGGTCCCCAGTCCAAAGCGATGACACACTATTTGCGCTCTCGCCATGACGCAATATTAATTGGCGTGGGGACTGCGGTTGCTGATAACCCGGGATTGAATTGTCGTATCGCCGGAGTAGGTGGATACGGCGGTGAGGGGCTTACCGGTCAACCGAGACCGATTGTAATCGATCCGACTGCTCGGTGGGATTTCACAGAGGAATCCAAGATCCTAGTATTAGCAAGGGAGGGCCAGGGACGTGCACCGTACATTATCACCTGCGTTGACTCGCCTCCTTCGGCTAAGAGGGCATTGCTGGAAAGGCACGGTGGGAAGTACATCACTTTGGATGTCTTGACTACAGATGATGGAAGTCATCGTATTGATTGGACTGTTATTCTTCAATGTCTAAAAAATGAGGGTCTCAGTAGCGTCATGGTTGAGGGAGGCGGGTCGATAATTAATTCTTTGCTAGAACCGACTTCTCAGCAACTTATTGACTCTGTCATTGTTACAATTGCTCCGACATGGTTGGGTCAGGGTGGTGTTGTGGTCTCGCCGAAGCGCAGAGTTGATGATGAAGGCGCTGCTATTCCGGCTTCAAGGTTAACGGGTGTTAAATGGTATCCGTTTGGCGAGGATGTAGTCCTTTGCGGAAAGATCAAGACCTGAGCGAGGTCATCCAGGTATTTGATATGTCGGATACTGATTGACACGTTCTGGGTCTCTCATATACGGAGAGTTTAATGGGTATGCGCTGTTTACTTTACATCTCCATTGGACAGGGAAACTTTGTATGGTGTACGAAATTATGGTATGTTAACGTAACGAAGAGAAGCAAGAGAAAGTATATGCACGACTTTCTTCCCTTGCAACAGTCAGTATACGACATTATTATATAAAAATATTTAAGGGTATCTTTCCTTACCCATAATGTAATGAATCCGTAACAGGCACTTAGGCATTTGAAGCCAATTCCTCAGAGTGTGAGTTCGAAGGGCCCTGGGGAGTCACCTTATCTGATGGCAAAGGTTTCTCAGGGATTGAAGGGGCTATTTCTTCAGATGTATTTTTAGATGGTTTCTCGGGAGATTCCTGGCCCGGTATCTCAGAAGGCTCTCCAGATGCATTTTCAGATGACCTTCCAGATTCTTGATCTTCTTTCCCGGAAGGCTCTCTAGAGGGCCCAGGGGTAGAAGGCTGCACGGAAAGCTGCAGTGTCTCTGCAGGTTGCGGACTGGATGGTGTTCCCTCAAGTTCATGTATGGCTTGATTACCATCCAGTCCTGCCTGGATAACAGATGGGATGTGTTGTTGTGCATCCAGTTCTCCTGACAGTTCTGCTGCTTCACTCCCCGAAGGGTTGCGCGACAGCTCGGAGGTGGATGGAGAGAAGATCTTGTCAGCTAAAACACGCATCAAAGATTCTGCCTCTGACGGAGGTGCAATCTCTCCCTTCAGCAACTGATTCACCGTTACCTTACGCTGATAGAACTTCTTATTTGCTGATCTACGCTCTAGCACCATACCGCCCTCAATAGTCAAGCCGCCATATATCCCCTTTGTCTTGGAATAGCTGAACATAGATGCGACACCTTTGCTGCTCGCGCCTCCCGAATATTCAGCACTTCGACCAAATGGTCCAAATGCTATAGAAATGTTCCCACTTAGCGTTAAACTACCAAGACGAGAGAATGTATGCAACGCCTGATCATCCAACATGAAGACAAAATCGGTCAATTCAAGACCAAATTGGCCCCCGGCACCGATACCGGCTATTGCAATAGCTGAGGGGGCTGACCAGCTGCCGTCATCAAGGCGGGCAATAAGGATACCAGATCCAAATCGAACGGATCCGAGAAACCCAGCCCTAGAGGCTGTGAAAATAGCGAAGCCCTGGAAATCCATTAGGCCATGCTTCTTTTATTTGGCTGACAATTGTGTCGCACAAACCTTGGCACTAGCGAGAACCCGCGCCGGCAGTTCTTTGCCCGGGCTTCCACGAAAGGAGCCATTAATGAAGGACTCCAGGATTTGACTGGCTTTAATGCATTCGCCTACACCACAGGGTTAATCTCACTGAAAGGTGTGATAGATTGATCGACTACTTACTGCGTAGCGATGCAGGCAATGGACTGTGCATTCCTCGTGGCATCTTGGCGGCCTCCTTCTAGTGAAGGATAATTTCACTGCTGAGCAACAAATACCAGTGTAGAATGCGCCTGGTCGATGTTATATTGAGACGATGTTGCGTTGAAAAGCGGCAGTGCTAGGTGCCCCGCACTAGTCCACGCCAGCCCCCAATGGCGCAAAGCCGGCCATTCTAGTGGCTACTGATCCTGATATCGTCTGCAGCTGTATGCCTTGTGAGGCAGTTGGTTGGTCGGTCTGAGTAGGATGCGGTCATTCCATCTCAAAAAAACACCAAAGTAGGGTGTTGAAATATTAGGTTATTCGGTATTTTGGTTCAGAGAGTGTGAGGCAAAATTCCAAGCATCGTGTTCAAAATTCAAATTTCATGCTAACGATAGGATAGACAAGGTCGCCTTTTCTCAAGGCTGAGAACCATCAGCAATATCTATATCTATATATAATTTTCACCCTTTAATAACATCGGATATACATAATTTATAAACGGAACGTGGTCTAATTCTGTCGTTGTCGGACTTCCTCCGTTGTCTCGACGAGAATATCGAACGCTCGACGGATATGCTTTTCGTCGGCTGCTTCATTCGAACTCACCACGCGGATGGAGTAAATACCCGCAATCACTGTTGAAGTGATGAATATTTCACCACGGGAGTTGATGAGTTCATACACTTCCTTTGTAAGTGCATTGGATTTCTCATCTGGTTGAACTATTGTACCATTCATTACTGCAGCATTCGGGGTCTTCACTCGCAGGACAGTCAAACAAAACGCAGGCTTCGTGACTATTTCAAACAGATCGGGTCGACTGCGCACCAAATCTGCGAATATTTCACCAAGCCCAATGGTTCTTCGAATGAATGCTTTCATTCCATTAACACCATAACTGCGCACAACAAACCAGATTTTCAAGGCGCGGAATCGGCGACCTAGCGAAATCGACCAGTTCCGGTAGTCAATAACTGTTCCAGCGTCGGAATAAGGGTTACGTAGGTAGGCTGGGGTGATGTCAAGGGCATCGGTAAGGTCATTCCGATTCCGAACAAACAGAAGACTAGATATGATGTAAGAAAAATTCAGCTATCTTGGAGAATAGTTGCCTACCTCGCATCAAAATTGACCAGAAGCCATTTATGCATGTTCATGTTGAAACTGTCCACCCCTTCGGCAAACTCTTTGGCAATGAACTGCCATTCGTCAGCCACCAGAGCTGCGCCAGCGTAGGCAGCATCAATGTGGACCCAGATCCGCTGCCATGAGGGCTTTTCGCGAAGGACAGCCTTGATCTCGGCAAATCTATCAAGAGCGCAGGAGTTGGTCGTGCCCATTCCGAGAGTGATGTAGTACGGTGTTAACCCGTCATTGTCACACTGTTCCAACACTGACCGCAAACCATCCCCGGTCATCTCCATATTGTCCTCCAGCTTTGCGGTGACGCTACGATAGCGTGTGCCGGCAATAAGGGCGCCTTTGGCAGTGCTGCTATGCGCCTGATTGCTTCCGAGCGCAACCAATCGTGGTCTCAGTTCCATCAATCGGTCCTCAAACTCTATCGTGCCCTCCTTCAGTCCTTCTGCCCGTGCCTGTTCAAACACACGTCGCTCGCGGGCTGCAACCATAACTGTCGCGATAACATCACTGGCGGAAACCTGAATAACACCTCCTCCACGGTTCTCTGACGTACTCAGGAAACAGCCTGGAAGTCCCAATGCCTGCGCCATCCAGTCCATTACAATTGTCTCTAGTTCGGTACAAGCTGGTGAGCAAAGCCAATTGAATGCGGGAGCATTGAAGGCAGCGGAGTACATCTCTCCCAGAATGCTGGGATAAGTGACAATGGCAGGGAAGAAAGCCATGAAATTAGGCGACTGCCAATGAGTCAACCCGGGCTTAATTTTAGAATCGATGTCTGCTTGAATTTTCGACCATTCTTCCGGCTCATCTGGTGGCTGTGCGGGGATTTGCGGGCGCAGGTAGCCGGGTTCAATTGTCGGGACGACGCGTTGAGTTGGCTGACTGTCGAAGTGATTTATAACTGTCGCACAGTTAACATCATCAGTTAATAACTCCGATAAGTTCTGATTGACTGACTGTCATCTACCGCAGCATAGGCAGCCTTTCTGAACTGTTCGCGGTCCATCTGGGGTGTCTATTCCGAACTACGCGGGAAGGTTCCGAGGACCCGCTGGTAATAATAAATTGGCGGAGCAGTGTTGGCTCGAGGTAGCAAGTGACTGAAATTTTGACGAAAGCCCAATTAATAATGATAAGAGAAGGAACGGATGCCAGGAAGCGTGTTATAGAGTGGTAGCTGGGAATAATGAGAGAAGAGAGCAGGGATGATGGTGGGGAAGAGTTGGGTTTTATCGATAAAGCACCCGAAGTTGTCATGCGAAAGGCGTGTTAATTCCGAGATTCCGTGATTTCCGCATTCCTGGAATTGAGCTGTACCGTTGTATTGCTCCACTGTTTCCACTGAAAATTATTAACGCCTCGAATTGGAAATTATTCCGAATACGAATTGAAATATGGATTGGATTTGATAGAGTACTAGATGTTAAGTTTTAGATTATTTCACTCTACACCATCGTATATAGAACTCTCTTTGACTAGCTCGATTTGACATGGTCTAGTATTGATCTCCGAATACACAGATATGAGAATATTTCGCCCTTAAACAGTATAGGTAGCCAAAACAAAAGTTCTTTATACTTTCAGACGAACTGAACGCATTGCTATTAACCCAATTTTTTTATAATTGTAAAAATCCCTTGGAAGCCAGCAAGCTCCCCCAAAGCTTCTATTTAAGCAACTGGGATTGGCGCAGGTTGGGGTTGTGGATGAATCCACGCGGTATATATATTTTTATAAATAGTATTTTATCACCCCTCTTGGCAGCTATGTATGGACTAATCTTGATTTGTGACACGACAGAACCACCACATCCATGGATCTTTTCCATTTTTTAGGATGAATTATAATACAAGAGTGCAATTTTTAAATTTCTATGCCAATATAATATGTCCTGAGAGTGATGTATACACCGTCACGATACTAGGGGCAACCGTTTGAGGTTAACCTTCCCGCGTGCACCTGACCTCTTCCCCTCTCATGAGTTATCGTCTTGCTCTCGTACTCGGAGGTTGATTACGAACAATCAAACTCTTCTAAAAATGCCTACCGCCAGAGCCACTTTGAACGGAACCCTTCTCGCTGAATCGTCCACCTGGGAAACAGTGGAAGGAAATATCTATGTACAAATATCCGCACCGATTATCATGCTCAAACAACATGGCATTTCTGACACAATGTGAGACAGTTCCCCGCCTTAGCGTTGAAGAATATGTCCTACTTCGTGGAATCAAATACGACGACATATTGTGGGTGGAAGGGAGCTGCTTCGTATTACTCAATTGTTCTTGGAGGTATGTATATTTTGAGACCCAGTCGGTTGGAGAAATTAAGTAGGAAATGAGTGGAATATACTAAATTTATGTTTCAACTACCTAGATCAAACAGTTACGGACGCGGCATGGTATTATCCAAAGCCACTTGACTCTGCTACGAATATCAAGGATCATGTTGCCTTTTGTGGGTTTCTTTCATATTTCGTGGATAACAGGATATATCTTAGCTGACCGGGTAGTCAAAGATACAAGCAAAGTGAATGTTACAGTAGAATGAAGGTATTGGGGAATATTATTGAGGGGTTTTCTTCGTGAAAGGACGACACTTTAAGGATTATCAAATTGTTTTCAATAGGACTGGGGCACATATTGCTTGCCATTTAATAGATGGATTATTTAGGTCTATCTAAAACAAGTAGCATTAAAATATTGAGCGCAAATTGCCGCTTTTCATCTCGTGTTATTAAGTTTTTGACCAATCTTATGACTGCACAATATCTCACCTTGTTTCCTAGGATCGTGATTAAACGCCTTGCGAAAAGTCATGCGATTCTGAGCCTAAGCAGAGATAGCCTCTCCTCCCCTATTAGATCGTAATTGAAATATGACTAGTTAAATATTCCGTATAATTATAGGCTATCGACGCAGTATGCCGGGTGGTTGTGTGTTCCCTTGACTGCACCTTTCAGTTGAACGTTGATCAAGTCACTTAAGTCGTTCAGTTCACTATGAAATGAAGTATACCATGCATGTACTAACTATTGGTTGATGTAAAGTTATCCACAAGGAAAAGTAGAATTAGTCAATTCAGTAAACAACTCATTCCAGTCGGTATCCTCAAATGTATAGTTACAACCGGTCTCGAGTATCTCCGACCATATGTCTTCCAGTTGCCGCCCATCACCCTCGCTCACAGGATCGGCGTAGGGTAAATTGAGTACCTGTTCCCCGGTTTGAGCAGCAGCCGTTGATAAGTATTTCGGATCTGAAGAAAAGAAAGTTGGCTGTGTTTCGCTATCAATTGTAGGGCCTAGCACTGGCGATGAGGAAGTGTTCGACTGCGATCCGCCCGGCACCAATAATTTGCCGTTCTTCCAGTGCTTCTGTAGCACATTCATCATGGCGCGGATCCCCTCTTTCACTAAACATGACGACTGTTGCGCTTTACTCAAAATACGGCAAGCATCCAAGACCTCCTCTTTCCGTTTCTCAGCCAGGACATCATCCCAATTATAGCAAACGTCGAGCAAAAGAATAACAGCAGCTATAAACATATGGTGCATCACAGACCAGACAACCGCGCTATTTGGAATGAATTTCGGCTCCTCCTCATCCATGATTCTTTTTATTTCAAGTACTTTGCGAGCCGACTGTAGACAAACCACATGAGAGTAGGAATATGTCGGATCCCGAGCACCGCGAATAAAGAAATGACGGTGTAGGCGACATATGCGTGAAAAGTATCCCTGTTGGAGAATACATCTCTGCCACGCAAGTGCTGGTCGTTCTCGATAAAGCGCAGCGAACCGACGCCTGGAGGCTGGGTCAAGCCGAAAGAATTCGGGAAGTTCTGAATGAGCCTGGTGCATCTTTCGATCCAGCTCGAGAATCTTTGGGTAACTGATTTCTAGGCCATTTAGCTGTTCATAGGCGATGTCGTCCACAATATCGCGGCACCCAATAGACAGTTTGAGGCGCTGAAGAAAGAAAGACATATCTGTAGGTACAGAGCTCGGTAATGATGATACATTATGACCTTCTTGAATGACGCTATCGTCGATATTCAAAGGCTGTTGCACATTCATTTGCTTAGGGCTAATCTGGTAGGTCCACTCCTGCGGACCGCTAAGAAACCCCAAGTACCTGTACCATCTATAATAAGCATATAAACAAAGAGATTGGAGAATCTAGTCTCACCAGTCATAAGTAGCAATGTCCCACCAAAGTCTCCTTTTCAATTCTACTTCAGCTAGGTCATAGCCATTCACCTCCCTTTCCTCACGACTTCGAGGAGAGTCAATGCAATGCAACATAAGGCTTTTTGCTTGGGAAACGACGGCGCCATGTACGAAAAGCGCGCTGACTGATGGATGAGAACCCATATTGCACACATTATGTGCTATGATCATCGTTGCTTGAAGACCCTCAACAGTGGGAGATGCGGCATGGTTATTCTGTATTAATGAAGCGCCAGCCAAGAATGTGAATTCTTCGCTACAGGTTTCGGCATATGAGGAGGATTCAGCTGATAGTTGTAGATATAGTGAACTGGCAGCGATACTGAATAAGAGGGCCACGTGGCCTAGGATGACTGGCAAGCCTTTCTCTAAGCATTCGTAGATGTCATTGATCTGAGTCTCGGTCCGTTGCAGGATTAATATGTGATATAGGTAGTCAATATAGCTAGAATAGTATGCGAAAAGGGCAACTGCTTCGTCCCGGGTAGGGAGAAATTGGATGAGGTTAATTGTTGCTGGGTTTTCGTGCGAGGCTGTCCAATTCCGACTTGAGAGTGAAAGAAGAGCACTTGGAGACTTATAGCTTTCAACTGGTAAGCTTGCCCTTTTCCGAGTTTCGTAAAAGTCATTCCTTAACCATCTTGGGGCTGCAGTGGGTACTCGGGAACCCATGTGTATATTCTCCAGCAGATCCGCCGTGATCAAAGATTCCCTGCTGTAGCGGCGGGGCTGTAGACTAGCAACTGGCTGCACAGTAGCGACATGCGGAGCGTGGTCTTTGCTTGTATCATTCCTTTGAATTGAACCAAATTCTGTTCTATTCTCATCTTCGCCCCCGGGCTTGCGGACATGGGAGGCAGGAGAGCCAAGGCCGTAGTTGCATCTTAGCCTGCGAGTCGCACAGCTACTGCATGGCTGTTGACGATTACATTTAAGCTTCTTGCGTCTACATGACTCGCAGGACACCGGGTCCTGTCTTGGGGGACGTTTTGCTGTCGGATCACCGAGGAGCGTTGCGGCCTTGCGTTTCATGATGGGAGTTGTTGCGACCAGAGCGGAATCTTCGTCAATGTTCCCGTATATCGGAGCCGGTCACGTGAAGGTTTTGAATGACGCTCCGCGATATGGTTGCATGTCGGTCTATTTCCAAAAAAAAAAAAAAAAATAAAAAAAAAAAATAAATAAAGTAGGAGAGGACAATGTTTCATTCAGAAAAGAAGAAGTGGACATGTAGAATCAGAAATTTGCGCTTATTGTTTTCCGCAGGTTAGAGAACGTCATTTAAGGCCCTCTGAGCGTTTCGGAGTATCCGCGGACACTCCGGTCTACTTGCACCACATACACACATATAGAGAATTCTGTATCTTTGCGCATTCTCCTAGGATTTTGGATTTTTTATTGCACCGGACTTTCCGAAACAATATTTACAATTCTAGCCGAAATTCTTAAATTTGTGGCCTATTTAGCCACTCGTTCCTCCTCCCAAAGAAAATGCTCAGCACCGAAATAGAACATCTAAAGTGTCTCCAAGAACCTTAAAAAAAAAAAAGTTTTAAAAATTCTAACTCTGCGATTTAAAGCACCTGGTTGCGAATCAAAATGTCAGATAATCGAACGATAACGTCTTCGAAGCCAAGTAGCGAATATACGTCCGTTGAATATTTATTTCCCCAGTTCCAATGAAGAAGACGAAAATAACTAATATTCATTTCACAGGCCTCGAGCATGCCTTGCTATTCTAGGATCTTGCACAGGTGTATTCTGCTCGGTGGGGTTTGTGAACTCATTCGCAGTGTTTGAAGAACACTATGCAAAGAACCAACTCGCCGACAAATCCAAATCAACCATTGCATGGCTCGGTGCAATCAGTATTTTCTTCATTTTCTCCGTGTCAGTTATTTCTGGTCCACTACTGGATACATTTGGCCCTAGAGTCAGTTCTGTGAGTTTACATCTATGCGTCCCATCAGCTAACAGCTCATCTAGTTGATCCTCTTTATTGGCTCTGTGGGAACAGTCTTCGCCGTCATGATGACCTCCCTGTGCAAGGAGTTCTATCAATTCATACTTGCACAAGGTATACTTCTTGGAATATCCATGGCATTATTAGTGTGTCCGATGCTCGCCCTTGTAGGTCAATATATCAAGGTGAAGCGGGGCCTTGCAATGGGCATTGTTATATCAGGCTCTTCTATCGGAGGTGTGATTTGGCCTATAGCTATCAATGAGCTCCTCAAAAAACCTAATGTCGGCTTTGGGTGGACTATGCGAATTGTTGCGTTTATCATGATTCCTCTTCTTATAATCTCCTGTCTATGCTGCCGCCCCCCGGCACCCTCGTCCGTTGCTCCAGCACTGCAGTCCAAATCTGACGATGGCGAGGCTGCAGGCCAAAAAGAACAGGATACTTCCAAAACAGATTACTCTATTCTCAAAAAGCCGTCTCTGCAGCTGTCTTGTCTCGCCTTCTTCATCATCTACTTTGGGATGTTTTCGCCTTTCTTCTTTACAACTTCGTATGCAATTGATATGGGGTTCAACAGTAGCCTTGCCTTTTACACAACCTCTATCATTAATGGCGCTTCGTTCTTTGGTCGCATTCTCCCTGGAATCATTGCCGACAAATACGGCAGATATAACTGCTGCATCATGGCTACATTCTTGTCTGGGATCATCGCTTTGTGCTGGACAAAGGCTACGTCTGTGGCTGGTTTGGTGATATTCTCTGCTGCATATGGATTTGCGTCTGGAGTAAGTGCGGTGTATATTTCTAGTATTGTGAGTACAATGGACTGAAGCTAATATAAATAGGCCATTTTATCTCTGCAGCAAGCATGCGCGGTACAAATCTCGACCCCACGCACAATTGGGCTGACAATTGGCATTGTCATGGCCTCAACGTCTCTATCGTATGTTGGTCTATGAGTCTCATTTATATTTTGAGCTAATAACCGTGAGCAGTGCTATGGCAGGAGTCCCTATTAGTGGTGAACTTGCTGGCAAATATGGTTATCTTCCACTGTCCATTTACTCTGGGATCAGTTTACTAGTTGGGGCTCTTCTCCTAACGGCGGCACGATTGGCCCAAAGTTGGAAGCTACTTGCTGTAGTCTAGAGTGTATTCATGAGAGGAACCACGAAAGTCTCCAGGGCAAAGCCAAGTATGAAGATTAGGAATGCTACATGCAGAATGCCCTGAACCATTTCCATTTACAGTTCCGCCCGAAAGTCTGAATAATCCAGTAGCCGCGCAACCCAACCATGGGTTTTACCCATACATGTAAAATATATATATCTCGCAACATATGACGGTCGGAATTAAATTTACTATATTATAAGCAATATAAGCGGTAAAATTTTATAAAAATATATAAAAAAAGCAGAAAAATTGCGTTGTATTTTATATACCACTTATGTAATTTTATACTCAGTTTTTAGCTTATAATACAACATAGTACTATTGGTACCTACAATAAATAATATAAAAAAAATAGTAAGAAAAAAATTAAATATATATAAAAATTATACTAGATTTATCTATAATTTATATAAAAATACATAACTATACTATTATAATATAAAGATTGCTTGAAATACATGCTGCAAAATCTTGTAATAGGAAGATTTATATGGCCCGAACATATATATATATATATATATCTATAGTATTTATTGAAATATAACACAACAAAATTATATACAAGTATAGTATTTTTTACATATAGTATTAAAATAACTATCTAGTATTAAATATATATACTGTTGAGAATCTCGGGGAAGAAGCTATGTCGTGAGGTGCTAGGATAGCGGTGACTGGATAGTATATTGAAACTATCGGTGCGATCTAGTATCGCATGGTGAGTATATTCTTCTACCTTCAAGAGAGAGCGTAGACAACCGCTTCCTTATGTCTACGTGTCCCTTAGCCCCTGAATATGATATATCACATCGCTGCGGGACTAGGATATACGAAGGTGCCTTAGGCATCCTGATTTCCAACAGTATTCTTAATTAAACTCGGGAGAAGAGGAAGGGCAAAAAATGACGAGAAAGCTCCTAAGCTAGCTATCTATAATAGATACACGTTACGCCATGTATTAGATACGCTGCCTATTATCCTGACTTGGTATGGCCTGGCTTGTTGCTAAATTTTGAGCAAGATCTTGTTCCCCTAGAACAGTTTTTCCTATTCCCAGGGATCTATAACTATCTTCTGACCGCTAACTCCCTGTAGGAGAATATCAAGCGCATCATTCAGTCCCTCCAGTCCACCGCTGGCCTTCTTGCTAGGAAGCGGAATAGCCTTGCCGTTGGCAGTTACCTGCGGAAGGTAGGTTTTAAATGCCCAAGTGAGCAGCCCTGCATTCTTCTCCTCCACTAGTGCTACGGACCATGAAGCAAATTGACGAGTCACACCTTGTGGGAGGCTCTCAGGGCCAATAGCGGGCAGTAGCGTATGTAAATTTCCACCACCTTGTGCAGCAACAACTGCAGCAGTAGTTTGAATAGTGTTCGGTAGCGAGATTGAATCGACAACTAGATCATAGGGACCCTCTTTAACCAGCGCTTTGACAAGCGCTTCATGGACTTGCGTGTGATCGATGACTTGAACAGCACCAAGCTTTGAGACAAGATCTTTGTGCTTCGGCGAAGTGGTAGTAATAACATTGTATCCCGCCTGGGCAACGTATTGTACTGACAAACTGCCAAAGCTCGACGTACCCCCATAAATCAAGACCTTTTTGCCTCTGGCGGGTGCCTGGCCGTTGGGATCGGGCCTCTCCAAACCCACACTTGCGTTGAACAAACCGACAGCAGTACTGAGGTTACCGATCAAGGTAACAGGAACAGTGAGATCAACGCTTTCCGAAATCTTGCTTGTCGTGATATCTCGTGCTATCACGTATCTCTGGAAGGCACCGAACTTATTCCCGGCGGCGCCGGCTGTCTTCGCTGCGGCTACGATGTCGCCAACTTTAAAATTGGTAACCTCGCTGCCGACTGCCGCGACCCTCCCGCCATACGACATGCCCAGAATCGCTGGATATTCCACGGGGAATATTGCGAGTTTGGCAAACTTGGCATCAATAGGTTGGAGAGAAATAAGCTCGTTCTTGATGAGAAGTTCATGAGGACCAGGATGGGGAGTCTCAACCTCCTGTACCCGGAGCGGAGCCTTAGCATCCGGAATAATGGCAGCTAGGTGAGACATGAAGTGCTTAAGTTGATGAGGTTTTCTGACTCAGAGTAAACAATCTAGTGCTGATGGCCATGAGATGGGTTCGATACTTGGAGCATTTTGAGGCCCTTTTGTAGTCGGCAATGGTTTATATAGCTGCTAAGTGGAGATGTTTCGCCCACATACCGCGGAGATAGACGGAGGGACGCAGGGTGGTTGGACAATGTAGTTAAAGTGATTGATTAATAAGCGGAAGCTAACGTAATCGGCACCCAGCTGCGCAGCCTCCGAGCAGCGCGGTCCCCACCAAACTGCGCACCCATACAAAGAAACAAGCCCTTTAAATTAATTAATATCTCGACAAAATTACTATGATCATTCGCTCAGGGGAAGGAATGGGTAGCAGAAGAACACTATACCAGCTACAGCCGGTAGCCTACTAGGGATCTGGAGGATAATAATATGTCAACAATTAGTTAAGTAGTTACCATATGTAATATTAACTATATATAGTAAAGCTGCGGATTGGACAATCCGAAGCGGTTACTCTCCCGCCGCCCGAATCCGCACCAAATGCAACTCTACTAGTGTAAAGAGACCAACACAAACGACCTAAATGCATTCCTAAATTAGGACTAGCGCATAACCTAATTAGGAATAGCTTTATTTACCGGTAGTTTACGGATTTTCTTAATTTTCGGTTCGCAAGACCTATTTTACAGATGTTTTTATTATTACAGTATATGGCCATCCCTAGGCCCATATCTTGCATCAATGGCAGTGCTTGTCCCAGAAGCAGCACGCATTGGACCGATCGGTATTGTTCGGCCAGGGGGCGGTCTTCTATCGGAAGTAGCAAAGGAGACCTTAGTAGCCATGTGGCAGCCAACGCGGACTTTGTTTGGGCCAATGGACCTATCAGTTTTAGTATCAGACTTATGGGAAGAGAACAAATGTACCACATTTAATCCAGTTAATTTGTCTATAATCCAACACTGGCTGGACTACCCTGCTTAGCGCACGCACTGGATTCCGCCCTCAACAGCTGTGGTGGTGCTACACGTTGGGAGTCAGAATTTAGTTCAAAAGCTAAGCCAGCATTGGGGGGCCAGATATATAAATAAAGGTCCCGGCTGTATCGCAGTGGCAGGAATTCTTGCTTGATTAAATCATTTGTTTAATCAGGCTCTTACCATGGACTCCAATTCTCACGATTATATCATCATCGGCGCTGGATTAGCCGGCTGTGCCCTGGCCGTCCGACTCGCCCAGAGCCAAAAGAATATTAAAATCCTCCTCATTGAGGCCGGCTCCAATGTGGTTGATCATCCCCTGACCGGTGCCCCTCTCGCTTGCTTCGGTGCCCATTTTTCTCCGCTGGACTGGGCCTACACAACTGTGCCGCAGACCCATCTCGACGGGCGCCAGTGTTACAATAGTGCTGGGAAAGCTGTTGGCGGCGGGACAGCCACGAACTATGGGACTTGGACTCGAGGCAATGCAGTCGATTTTGACCTTTGGGCACGCGTCGTAGGCGATCCCTCTTGGAGCTATGAAGGTCTTCTGCCGTACTTTAAGAGGACCGAGACGAAGACTCATTTTGACCCGGCGGTGGATTCCGCCGTCCATGGTGTTGACGGCCCTATCCATAATGTGTCTGTGTCGACCAGTAGCCCGGACCGAAAGTATCCACTAAAAGAGCCATTAAGGGCCGCATGGGAGAGATTGGGGGTAAAGGTTGTGCAGAATCCGAATGGGGGCTCGCCATTGGGGCTGGGCGAACTGGTGGAGAACTGGAAAGAGGGCAAAAGGCAGTTGTCAAGTGAGGCGTATGGGACTGCGCAGGACGGAATCCAGGTGATGACAGAGACGTTGGTGCAGAAAGTTCTAATTGAGGAGCGAGATGGGAGGAAGGTTACGACAGGCGTGGAGATAGTCGGGGGGCAGCAGTTCTTCGCGAGGAAAGAGGTGGTGGTCTCGGCGGGGGCATATCGCACGCCGCAAGTGTTGATGCTCTCTGGTATTGGGCCAAGACAGGAATTGGAAAAGCATAATATCCTACAGGTTGTGGATTCCCCTGATGTTGGACGGAATTTCCATGACCACTACTCCTTCAACCAGTGGTGGAAGCTGCGCCATCCAGAGGCTGGCTTGTCAATCGGGACACCATTGTGGAACAATCCGGCATATGCTCTGGGCCTACCCTGTGACTGGAATGCCACGGTGCAGGCGCCGAAAGAGGAGCTAGTGCGCGCATTGCAAGCTGACGGCGAGACAGTGGAGGGACATCCATATCTCTCGCCCAATTTCTGCCATGTGGAGACTCTTGTCGTATATGCGCCGGCAGGAGCAGCCATTGCCGGGGTAGACGTCCCTATGGATGGCACGCACATTGCTTCAGCAGTGCTGGGGATGGTACCTACCTCGCGAGGAAAGATTTCCCTTGCATCCGCCGATGCCAACACTGCACCGCTGATCGATCCTAACTACTATGCCACGGAAGTGGATCGGGCGGCGCTCCGGGCTGGGATCCGGCAGGTAACGAAGCTGCTGACGGAGACGCCAGAAGGAAAAGAGACGGTGGAGTGTGAAGTTACGCGCCCGGGATTTGAACCTCTCCGTGGAGACTCTACGGACGAGGAGATCGATGCACAGGTAAAGTGTGGAGGCAATACCTTCTACCACCCTGCCGGGTCGGCAGCGATGGGGAAGGTCGTAGATACACAGCTGCGTGTCAGAGGTGTGGAGGGACTGCGGGTGGTGGATGCAAGTGTGTTGCCCTTGCCAATTTGCGGTCACTACCAGGCAACTGTATATGCGATTGCTGAGAAGGCGGCGGATCTTATCTCTTCATCGACTTAGGGAATAGGGTGGATGTCAAATCCATAACTTTGAAATAAATGGATAGCTCGCTAGTTCTGCAGTATAATATGTGTTATGGCCTTCCCGGAATTTTGGAACACTTCCATGGCTTTTCTCCATAATGTTTGCAATTCAGTCAACAGTCCGCTATTGTGGGAATTACAGCTGAGACTGGAAAGAGCTCGACAAACAATGGCCAGAGAGAGCCTCATCGGAATTCCATCCTAGCCAGTATATAAACTTCTAGTTAAGCATTATCCTACTCTCACTATATTAGCCTGGCCGGATGCTTTGATATTACAATGAGCTTTCTATAAGTAGATCAAGTGTTAAATTTTATATGCGATTGTGTGGTGGCCTTTGGGCTTGTAGCCCTTCTCCGAAACTACAGTCTCGCCCGAGCTTCCGGTTGTCTTTCCAAATCTACGGGATTTCTAGTAACTATGATCCAAGAGTTTACTAAGTTATATTTGTGCCACTAAGGTTTACTAGACTACTAGTAAAGGGCCAAGAATGTCTCGGCCTCAGGCTTGCAGTCTATGTCCCGACTTCGTATTTGCATATCATATTTACCTGAAAACATAGTGAAGTAGGAGACCTGACAAATATCAAAATCATTTTGGTGCACAGGTATACTGCACTAAATTCGGTTGGTTACATAGTCTGAGCAGAGTAGCACTACTATAGTCTTTATTCACGCTTTTTAAAGTCACGCAGTAGAAAAGCTGGAAAAATGAGTAAAAAAGGAGTGCAAAATCTGTCCAGAGTGGAATGGGGGTTTACTTGTATGGCATTCGTTGTATTTGGTACAAAAAGCCCAATCAACATAAATCCTGCGGTTTCTTCGCAGCCACCACGAACCGTGGAATAGACAGTGATGCACCACAACCATGTTCTTCAGTAATTAGCATGGATAGAGCTAAAGACCTAGACTGCCGTCCCCGGCTCCCTCATGCGAATAATTGCCAAAACAAACACATCTACAGTCAGCAAGTACAGATCATGAAACGACCGCAGCAGCTCAGCCTTGTCGTCAATATATTCAACCAAGGGATCCCGACATCCCTCCTCATTTACAACTGCGGTATGTCTTAATCCAGTTATGGCACCCGTCCGAATACCACAGTTTTACAAGCTTTGTGAGAGCCGGGACCGCCACTCTGGACACGTCTTTTTAATCTGATTAATCCACTGCACGTACCCATCAGGTCTGAGAAGCTGGTACCACTTCTGAATAACGGGCTTGGGGTCCTTACCCGTCAATACTAGCACCAACTCACGCGCATAGACCATGTCGTACTTTCTCTCTCCAGAAAAATATTGAAGATTGTGACGATTGGCTTCACGCACCCAGATGCCCTGGCATAGGCCTGACTCTTTAGAGGCTGGTAGCTCTCTGCAGCAGCGGCTGAAGTTAATGGTTGTTCATTTGTCCCTTTTTTTTTACCTTCTTCGAGTCAGCCTAATGGCGACGTTTGGCGTACCTGAACTTTAAAACAGTACACTGGTTTTTATTAATGACCAGTTCTGTGGCTAGGATTACTCCTGTAAATTCCCTGAAGGCGCAACACCCAACTAGTAGATTGCTAGTGAGTCAGATATTCCTTTCGAATAGATTTGGGTTATATCGTTTCCATACGGCAGAGGCTGCCGAACCAACCACTGCAATGACCCAATGAAATCTGGCGCTCTTGCTGGCGCTTAAAGGGATTCCTGCGGTTCTGGATGGATTACACGTGCCTTTATGAGCTTGGCATGGCCTGACAGGAACCCATTGAACAAAGGAAGACTGCCTATCTGGAGTTCCACCTAGGAGCTTAAGGCAATGATCCAGTACCCCGCATGCTCTCTCCAACGATGATCATGGGAACAGCAAGAGCTTTCCCGTTACCTGATCACCTGTATATATACAGAAGTTAAGAAACGTAAATAAACCATGAGCTCTAGGAAGAGGAAATTCAATGTCCTGGAGAGTCTGATGTGGCAGGCTGGAGTAGCATGGACAGCGATGGCTGACAATCTACTCACGGCCGCAGATGTCGCTGAGACAAGGCCCCTGCTATTCAGTCGACCTGCCTGTCTGATGTAGTATTATTAAAATGTTTATAATAGTATTTGTTGGGCTAATATAATACTAGATGTCAAGACAAAACCATTCGACCAACTTAAAAGCCCAGGCTTCCTAGTGAAGCCAATAGAGGGAGTCAAGCCATATGTTTCAATACTAGATAGACTAACTCGTGTAATTGTTTTTAAAATGTATCTAAGGATTAGAAGGCCTGCTCTTTGAATTTTTAGTACCCCAATTATAGAGAAGGCACAATTACGGAGTATATTATGTTATAGAATCCAACTAACTTATTCTATTAAAAGGGTTACGGAGGACCGGAAGCGGTTGATCTGCCTTCTTGGCTGGATATATAGTAGGGTTCACGGACCTGCCCTGAAGAGATCTGTGCATCGTCAATCTTGTCAATCTTGTGTTGATAACCAATGAGGTGATTTTGGCACTGGTAGATCTTTCTAAGACTAGTAGTAGAACTTTGCAGCACCACGTCAAAGCTCATGCATGTACTTTAACTACTTACATGTGTGGCATGAGGTACTGCTATTGACGTGGCTTTTGTTTCAGCTTTACCCCGCCTCCCTTCCAAGCGCTTGGTATGTCGTTTATAACGTTGACAACCAGTATCGACGATATCCAGTATTTGACTTCTTTCAAATATCTCTAATCCTGCAGTTTAGGGGTATAAAGTTTCTTCTCATACCAGATTTCAATCATTGATCATTGAAAGGCTCCTAGCCTGGCGCAAATTAACAGCTATATCATCACTATGAATAATTACATCGAACCAGGACAATATATACTCACAAATAAAGCAACAGGGACTGTCCTTGATCTAAGTGGCAGTGATAGTAAGAGTATTATTGGCTGGTATGTATTGCTAGCTTTATATACTCTTTCTCAATAAACCGGCTGGTCTTTTGTTACTCACAAACTTGAAGGCAGCATAATGGTGGATCTAACCAGAACTGGGATATTCTACCTGTTCAGGATGATACGTACATGATCGCCTCTGCTGCAGGGGGTAAAAGAATTACTGCTCCTGGTTTGTGGATATAACACTATGTTGTATACAATATGTCAGGCTGATACGTGCTCTAGATGGGGGTGACAGGCCAATCGCAGCGTTAGCCGACCCAAACGATCCACGTTCATTGTGGAGAGCTTTTACCAACGATGGTTTCGGATACATGTGTGTATAATTTTCTACCGCTGTTTTGCTGCTTTCTCATGCTTATGTGCCTTGCAGCTTCCACAATATGGCTGATCCGGGAAAAGTTCTGGATCTTGCTGCTTCAAGCCCTGATAATGGCACGCCCATTGTTCTTTGGGAGCCGAACGGTGGTGCCAACCAGGAATGGATCATTAGGCGCATTTGGTGATGGAGGGTTTGCACTCTTGGTGCCGCAATAGCCACTGCTGTCCATAAGAATTTGTTAGCCATCTACAGGCCAACAGGGCCAGATGCTCTGATTTGTATTGTTGATAAGTCCGCATACTCACTCTGTAACTTGGTCCCAAATCCGTGGCACTCCCCTTAGGAGATTGGCCTTGTCGAGATTGAAAAAATGGGGAATAGTTTTGTAATAGCAGATACGACGATCATCTTATATTATTACGCGCAGCACCTAGGATTTTCAAGCCACCGATGCGCTACTAGAATGGTGAAATATATCTCCTGATGCGAACTAGCTAGCTCTTAGAATATCCCGGTGTACGGAGTATTCCCTCATGTGCTGAGGTCATATCTAGCAGACAGCTTCTGCTTAAAACTTAGTAATGATTATAGCAAGAACCTTTCTTTCTAGGACCTTCTTAGGGGGTCTATTTACTATGCTATCAGTGTATTGGAATCAGCCCGAAGTTATGTACGGAATAAAGGAGCTATTATACCTCTGCAAACTAATATAAAGTGTGCAGCTGGAAGAGTATCTAAAACAAGATTTGTGTTGGAAATCAGGATGCCTAAGGCACCTTCGTGTATCCTAGTCCCGTAGCGATCTGATATATCACACGCAAGGGGCTAAGGGATACGTAGACATAAGAAAGCGTTTGTCTACGCCCTCCCTCGTAGATAGAGGAACATACTCACCAAGCGATACTAGATCGCACGATAGTTTCAATATACTATCTAGTCACCGCTATCCTAGCACCTCACGACATAGCTTCTTCCCCCGAGGTTTTCGACAATTTGAAGTATTGTGTTTCATGCATGTGAACAACAACTATTGAAAATGAGAACTTTATTTTTTGTAAAATACCAAGGAAACAGGCAGAATTGCTGCAGAATATGTTACTCAACAGCTGGAACTTGCTTTTTGTATGTCATATGCAATGTCATCTATGCTTTGTGGCTCCGTCCTTGTACTACATTGATTTATTAGATACGGTAGGCGACAGTCAGATTAAAAAATGCAAAAAATCTAAAAATAGAAAAAAAAAAAAAAAAAAAAAAAAAAAAAAAAAAAAAAAAAACCTATAGTGAGTCCTATCAAAGGACAAACCATTTGCTTTAAATTATGGTAATATAGTCTTCTCCTCCCAGCATCAACAATACTGACAGATTTTGCAAATGGCAGGACGGGTATATCAGGTATTGCTGACAACCACTAACTGCAATATATGTCATCAGGTTGGTCACAGCGCATCTACACAAGAAAGGAATTTAGGAACATGATATCCTCTTAGCTTAAGTTTTAGCTCTCCAGTTAGCCATATCCCAGAAGTATGCGCCTTTGTATAGCTGAACTATGACGTGTAATGTTTCTCACCCAAACGATGACTCAAACCAAGGAACTTATCAGCTACATGCCAGATATCCGTGTTCACGCCCTGTCTTTAACAAGGGATGACATACACCCCGTATTTAGTTAATTAATCATTGGTGGGAATGATGATAAAGCAACACGCTACTAGTGGCTAGGATGCATGCCAAGAGTACTGTCCGCGGCTTCCAGAACCGAAGGCTTGTACTGTATGCTCTCTGGAACTGATAAGGCAGATTTCTCGGGAATGTTAATCCCTACCCTAGCTGGTAATGCCATGCGATGCGGTATCAATGGTTCATGTAGACAGTGCTGACTGGATCCTAGGATGTGCATAACAACGATAGAGAAGGACAACGGATAAAGAAAAGTAGCATACACAGAGGAAACTATCGTTGATAACCAGCCCGGCGGGTTCAAGATAAGCGTAGCAAAGATAGTAGCTCTTCTTGGTGTCAGTATGGCTTTCTTCTCGACAATACTGTGCGCATTAGAGTAGTTGTAGTATAGTCTCCGGCCTGCAGTTTCTAAATTTCCCGAATGCAATGTGTCAAAGCCATTTCCAATATATTTTAATATGGACCGTTTGCTATTTACATAGTATCAAACGATAAACCTATACGGAGTATGGGCCTGTAATAATCCTCTAGGTAATCGTAATTTAAATACACCATGGTGGCAATAACATTATTTGATGGTTGCATACTGGTCAGGAAATTTAAAAACCCGTAATCCAGAGACTGTACTGGGTGCCTAGCTGGTTATACAATCTAAGTAAGACCTTGAGCATTTACGTAACGCTGTAATGACTTCTCAGATACGAGGTCGGAGGTTCGTATTTGATGCTCTCAATGACCGGTGATTGGAAATCAAGCTATTATACCGGCAAAGCGCGGAGAGATTGTCAAGTGAGCACGAACCCAGAAATCTATATAAGACTGCGAAACGCAAGGGGTGCTGTATACTCGGTAGATATCATCAATAAGTTCTGATTCATAACATCGATAATGAGGCAGATGCGCCGGCTTTTGTTAACCTTAAGCCTTTCGACTATCAGCTCAGCCGCTGCTTTTCAAACACAACCCGATTTGCTTCGATTTCATGTACCATCTGGTATAACAGCGGACTCGTTGCATAACGTTTATCTTGAGTTCCTGGATGAGAGGTTTGAGGGTGAAATTCAGCTTGTGTATGGAGAATGTGACATTGCTGGTACATCTCAAGGTCACCATGATATTGGGAGAGTGATTGTCAAACGAGGGTCACACCCCGAACGGTTTGTTTGGTCAACACCGCCAGATGCACCGCATTTCCACTGCCTTCATGCGTTCTCCGGACCTGCATTGGTAGGGAGGTCGGATCCTATCTCCGTGGCTGCTCCAATTGGCCGCCGAGAGAGCATTGCAGACGTGGCTGACACCATGGGTCCTTGGTTTGACGGAGTTGCATATATGAAAGGAAAGGAATCCGGTGATGCGGCTGTGGCCAAGGCAAAAGACTCGTCTGTTGCGATTGTTGGAGGAGGTATGGCCGGTCTAATGACAAGCTTGCTTCTTGACTCTGTTGGCATCCATAACTGGCATATCATCGAATCATCAAATCGAATCGGAGGTCGGATTCGCACCAAGTATCTTAACAACACCCGTCCCGACCAGTACCAGTACCAAGAGATGGGTCCCATGCGTTTCCCTGTCCATATTACATACGCGGGTACGAATGAGACCTTTGACATCCAAGACCATAAGATGGTATTCCAGCTAGCAGATACCCTCAACAAGATGAATGCGAACGACCACCCGGAGCTGAACGTTGATTTTATCCCGTTTATTCAAAACGCATCAAATGTTCCCACTTCGACCGGAGGAAATCGTCTTCCCAATGGTCGCATTCCGACCGCAGCCCAGGTAGCAGAGGACCCTTCTCTGGTGTACACGGCCACACCCCCTAATGAAATGGCTGTAACGGACGCAAGGGCTGATCTCGGGAAATTTACCGAGAAAGACAAAGTCAACATGCTGAAGGAGGCGGCCTCCAACATGTTTCGTGCACATAAAGCCGCGGTTGAACATGGGCTTCTTCACTGGTCTGAGGAAGCGTATCTGCGCTACGCACTGGGTTATGACCCAAATGTCACGGATTATGTGGCCGGAATTAGCACCAAATCAATCTGGGAAATCATCTATGAGGATGTTTATTTCGCAGCTACTGAGTTTCTCACGATTGACAAAGGTCTGGAATCTCTTCCACGTGCATTCTGGCCCCATGTAGCGAACAAGACTACACTGGGGCGCAAAATCGAAGGTCTCTCATATAACGAGAAAACAAAAAAGATCTCTGTCAATTGGCGAAATGATCCCTTGCAGATGGTCCCTGAAAGCGAGGAGTATGACTACGCTGTTGTCTCGGCTCCGTTTAGCAAGGTCCGACTTTGGGACTTGCCCCGCTACTCTTCCCTGTTGAGTCGTGCGATCTCGGGGCTGAACTATGAAACATCCTGCAAGATGGCCCTGCATTATGAGACTAGATTTTGGGAGCATCAAGAGAATCCTATCCACGGAGGTTGTGGCACTGTGGACGTACCAGGAGTCGGCTCGGTTTGCTACCCGTCGTTCAATATTAACGGCACAGGACCTGGTGTCATTCTTGCGTCGTATATTAGCGGTACTCCGGCTCGCTCGACGGCTGCTTTGAGCACCGAGGATCATATTGCTCTTATCCAGCGGGCGATGGTAGAATTCCATGGCCCTATCGCTGCTGAACAGTTCACAGGTACGCCACCCCCCCTCTGTGTGATTAAGGTGACTTATCTATGCCAGGTATATATGATCGACAATGCTGGGAAGTAGACGAGCACCAGGCGGGGGCTTGGGCGTCGCCTTGGGTCGGCCAGCAAGAATTATATCTTCCAGCATATTATCAAACAGAGATGAAGACCATATTTATTGGCGAACATACTAGCTACGTCCATGCTTGGATCTTCTCAGCGTTGGATTCCGCCGTCCGAGGTACAACCCAGCTCCTCCTTGACCTTGGATTAGTTGATGAAGCCAAAAGTGTTGTGAAAACTTGGATGGGGCGATGGATTAAACTATGACAGCTGAAGATTATGCGAATCAATCGCGTTGATGGTATCCCTGTAAGTCAGAATCTGTGAAGAAGACTTTAGTGTTCAACAGAGAGGGGTTAGCCCCAACAGTTCGTCACAAGTTTTATACCCGATTTGTCGAGGTCGTCATAACCCTGTGCCGTCTAAGGTTGATATTCGTTTGGGGTAACCATCTTGATGTTGCATCACCATCCAATTTGCAACGGTCCACTGCGATGGAACATGAAACAGGTACAAGATTAGGATAACACGAGATCAGCAGATAAACAATGATAGAGGCTCCTTTTGTCTGTTAGGTGCAAACAATATGCTTTACAGCACTCGAGTCAATCTCATCTTTCAATTTCACTCGATCTAACGCGGAAAACCGCACATCCAGTGATGGTATTTCAGGAGGAGGAGGAAGTTATAGTGGAGGATATACGATTGCGTCATAGGCTCATAGCAGTTGATAATTGACGATGTCCGATGATATATTGTCAGGGGTATGCCGCAGCCACTGTGGTGCTCGGTGTTGGGTTTCCTCTGTGGACCGCCCTTTCCATTTTCAGTGGACTCCTGTCGGTACTAGTAGAACGTGGAGTTCTCATTGCATCATGTTCATATGAGAGCAGGGTCCAAACTGCGGAGTAACTGCGGGCAATTGTAGACATGACAAGCCCTGCCCCCAATCAAAAACAACCGATAGATCGATCACTGGGAGACTCAGGGGTTGCACTATCTTGCTTAGTCACAGCCAGGCAGCCCAATCAGTGGGAAGATCCCCTGTCGATGCCCGAATGGGGTGGATCTAAACTATTACATGCACATGTCAACACGAACATCTCCCACCATCTTGATTAAATCCCGTCAATGAGGTATACTTGGTGTTGTGCAGTATTCTAGCCAGTCCTCTTCTATCCCTGAATCTTACCAGAAGACAACATGTGTTCGCATTTCCACCCTTTCCAGCAAAGATGCACTACTCGTGGGAATTCAAAATTGAGGCTGGCTTGGCGTGGCCCGGATGCCTCATGTAACCCAAGACATTGCCAAGATGCTTGTTAATTCAGGCCGACGGACAACGAAGAACCACTTACTTTTATTGGACTGGGTGACAATGCACTCCGGCAGTTATTACTCGCAGTCCATGTACCCTGGCCTGTTTAAGTGAACACCAATATAAAAATGTCTTGGTGATAATCCCCTTGAGGCATACTATGTGGATTCTACTAAAGTCAACCCGGAGACCCGACGGCCAAAGTGGTTCACCTTAATCTTACTTTTGGTCCGACCCAACCCTGGGTTGTGCTATCTGCAGAAATACCCCCGGTCAATGGCATACTCAGCTGATCCCCCATTCGGATATGCATGGGGATTGGGGGAGTGTGATCAAGAGTAATGTAACTGTCTCGGAGGAGGACGGAGGGAGACTTTCTTATCGCCTTTTGCAACCCACCAACAGCTCGCATGCCATCCATAGATGAAGATGGGTTTTGTAGAGCTATCCCAATGTGGCAGCTGGATAATTCTCCTACCAGTTGATCATCCCATATAAATAGGTAGTGAGGGATGCCTCATTCTCCAGTTTTTCTATCGTCAAGCTCGTCCTTCCCTCTTTGTTTGTCTCCTCTTTTGCTTTCTTCCCATATACCCTTCTTGAGTCTTGATTCGCATCCCAAGTTGTACATATTGACGCGTCAGGATGCGGAACTTGCTTCTCGGGGCCATTGCCCTACCTCTCGCCGTCCTTTCCCATCCCACCATCCACCAGTCGAGCGGCCTCTCTCGTCGTGCGGTTGACGTGAATGCATTCCGCTTGGTTTCTCAGGCGAAGTACGTCAATTCGATCGACACTGCGAGCGACGCTACTACATCGGCTGCTCCATTCAAGGAGCAGACCTACGTCGAGGCTGCGACTCAGCTCATTAAGACCATTTCTCCCGACACTACTTTCCGTCTTGTTAATGATCACTACGTCGGCAACAATGGCATTGCTCATGTCCATTTCCGTCAAACCGCGCATGATATTGATATTGACAATGCGGACTTCAACGTCAATGTATGTTGCACTTCATCTTCTGGAATCATGGTTAACAGTTTTGTAGGTCGGAAAAGATGGAAAGATCTTCTCCTATGGAAACTCCTTCTACACTGGCAAAGTCCCCGAGGCCAATCCCCTGGCTAAACGTGATTTCTCTGATCCCATCGCTGCCCTCCAAGGTGTTAAGAATACCTTGAAGCTGTCGATTTCCGTAGACAGCGCCTCGACTGAGGCTTCCCATGAGAAGGAATCGTATACTTTCAAGGGAACCAAGGGCACCGTGTCCGACCCCAAGGCGAAGCTTGTCTACTTCGTGAAGCCCGATGGAAGCCTGTCGCTCACCTGGAGAGTGGAGACAGATGTTGAAGAAAACTGGCTTCTGTCGTACGTTGATGCGAAGGACAAGGATAAAGTCCACGGCGTGGTTGACTACGTCGCTGAAGCGGACTATCAGGTCTTGTAAGTGCCAAATCACTAAATACCCTGCACTCTAAGCATAATCTAACATTTCACCTATAGTAAATGGGGCACCAACGATCCGACCGAGGGAGAGCGAGCCATCGTCAGCGACCCCTGGGATTTGACTGCATCTCCATTCAGCTGGATCAGCGACGGCAAGACCAACTACACCACCACACGTGGCAACAACGGTATTGCGCAGTCCAATCCTACCGGCGGTTCACAATATCTCAACAATTTCCGGCCCAATAGCCCCCAGCTGAAGTTCACCTACCCCTACAGCTCAACCATGTCTCCCCCAACGTCCTACATCAACGCATCGATCACTCAGCTTTTCTACACTGCCAACACCTACCACGACCTGCTGTATGTCCTCGGCTTCGACGAAAAAGCCGGTAACTTCCAGTACAACAACGCCAACAAGGGCGGCCAAGGAAGCGACTATGTGATCCTCAATGCCCAGGACGGCTCTGGTACAAACAACGCCAACTTTGCCACACCTCCCGATGGACAACCCGGACGTATGCGCATGTATACCTGGACTGCATCCCAGCCCAATCGAGACGGTAGTTTCGAAGCGGGTATTGTGATCCACGAATACACCCACGGCCGTAAGGACCTTTCCCCCATTATCGCAAGACTCTCAACAACTCACACAGATAATCTTAGTGTCCAACCGTCTCACCGGCGGACCCGCTAATGCCGGCTGCTTGAATGCCCTGGAATCCGGCGGCATGGGCGAAGGCTGGGGTGACTTCATGGCAACTGCCATCCGTCTCAAGTCCGCTGATACCCACTCCACCGACTACAGTATGGGAGAATGGGCTGCGAATCAACAAGGTGGTATCCGCAAATACCCCTACTCGACCTCCTTGAACACCAATCCGTACACATACGAGAGCGTGAATGAGCTGAACGAAGTGCACTCCATTGGCACCGTCTGGGCCACGATGCTGTACGAAGTATTGTGGGCTCTTATCGATAAACACGGAAAGAATGATGAGCCCAAGCCCAAATTCAAGGATGGAGTCCCAACTGATGGAAAGTACTTGTCGATGAAGTTAGTCATGGACGGAATGGCCTTGTAAGTTTCTTTCTCTTCTTCTTTCCTCTCCCCCCCCCCCTTTTTTTTTTTTTTTTTTTCCCTAAAAAAAAGAAAAGAAAAATTAAAAATTTATTGAATACACATACTCACAATAAAATAGACAACCCTGCAACCCGAACTTCATTCAGGCCCGCGATGCCATCATCGATGCCGATAAGGCTCTGACCAACAGTGCCAACAAATGTGAGCTCTGGAAGGCCTTTGCGAAACGTGGTCTAGGCGAAGGCGCTAAGTACAGCCCATGGGGTCGTACTGGTAGCACTACGGTTCCTTCTGATGCATGCTAAATCATATGTTTGTATTTTGGTGTGAGGGACGAAGATGTTTTTTATGAATATTAAATAAATTTCTCGAGCATTCTGTACGCCTCTTGTACTACGTTGTAGAACTGAAGATTTGCAGCATGTGATTGTATTTTTGCCATCGATGACAAGACCTCGGTCTGCTGCAGCGGGTGTTACGTCTATCTGTCTGCATTTCATGTAGCTTAGGATCTTATGGTACTCTTTTTTTTTTTTTTTTTTCCTAGTGGTTAAAATCAGATTAAGAAACGATATTAAAAAAGTAACTAATAAAACAAATAAACAAATAAGTAGGACCCACTAGAAGTTCTAAACAAGTCTACTGCATTACTTGTTAAATGAAATACCGAGTAGAAAGAATAAATAAAAAAAAATTTCAAATTATATACTAGAGTTGCGATTCAATTTCATCTAATGTACACAAGATCATCTTCCATACCATCTAGAAGCTTCAAGCCTCTACTCGTCGGCATCAGCAGCAGGCTTTGCGTCCAAAGGCTCGCCAAGTCCGACACGGTCCACAGTCCGAGTATACTTCACCCCTCCGTTGATACGGTCCTCTTCTACAACCAGATTCTTGCGGTTAGTGTCCACCAAAAGGCGGATGAGATCGGGACGCATGTAGTGGCCACCCTAGTACCATTAGTTATCAATATTCCTATGAGCGAAGAGGGTAGTAGACTTACGAAATCGGCAAGTGACTTGGTGAGATGGATTTCATCGAGGTCAATCTGTTCAGGTTAGTCTAAATCGCATAATCCAGAAATAGATACTCACATCAACGTAGAGAAGTCCCTGGAAGTCCTTGTCAGGGTGGGGAACCAGGTTCTGTCCATCAGGACCGAAGATACGACCATGTCCGTTGTAGATGTTGGGGTCCTCGAGCTCCTTGCCAGGAGGGGTGTTCAGCTTGATACCCTCGGCGGTGATGGTTTGCCAGGGAGCAAGAGTGAAAGTTCCGGTCTCAAGGGCGTAAGCCGGGGTGACAAGCTGAGGAGCCTATTAGCTATGAGTGGGACAAGAGAAACGTGCAATCTGAAATAAACTTACGTCGCAGTTCGCCTCAGCAATGTTGGTATACGGATCGGGGTACTTGAGGGTCTCCTTGCCCGGATACAAGGGCCAAGCAGCAACGTGAACCTGTTCACCAAGGGAGGCAGCGTATGACTTCATGAACGGATTCATGTTCTCCCAGCAGTTCAGGTGTCCGACGCGACCAATCTCCGTCTGCACGACAGACTCGGTGGTGTCGCCGGTTCCGTCGCCGAAGACAAGACGCTCCACGTGAGTGGCGCGGATCTTGCGACGGTGGTTGAGAATATCACCGGTGGGGGAGATCAGAATCTGAGTGGTGTATAGACTGGCCAGGTCGACTTCGGAGTAGCCAAGAGAGACGTAGATCTTGTTAGCGCGCGCGGCTTCGCGGATGCGGCGCATCTCCTCGGAGTCCGAGGGGAGACTGTTCTCGCGATACTTCTTCAGCAGAGGCAGGCTCTCCTGGTAGTTCACTTTCCACATCCAGTAGGGGTATCCGGGGATCCCTATTCGAGAATTAGACTTTGGTTCGTATCTCAGGCTTCGAGATGCACGTACACAGCTCCGGGAAGGCAATAAACTTGCAACCGTTCGCACCGGCCTCATTGATCCAGTGGATGGTTCGGCGGACCGATTCTTCAAGGTCGAACCAGCCGGGCTCGGCGTTGACGGCGGCAGCCTTGTACTTCTTGAGGACGGGGGCCATGATGAATGTATGGATGAGGGTTCGAGGTTAGAACAGTTGAGAGAAATTGGACTTGATGGTTATTGGAAGAGTTGATTTCTTGTGCTGGAGATGGAGTTGAGAAGACGTGCGATCCAGGGTCCCTTTATAGCCAGGCATTCATCGTTGCAAAGCCTGGCTGGGATGAGAAGGCAGAGACTTCAGTCCATCTCAGTCCACCCGGGCCTTTCGGATTCTGTCTCCGCAGCGGTTTCAATACATGAAGCTATCGTTGAGAAGAGATGGCATGATACAACCGGGATTTGGGCGGTTCGTGCGCTGAAGCGTGCGGAGTAGGTAGTATTATTGATAATGTGGAAGCGTGGGTCCCGAAACGGGCGTTAGTGAACAGCAAATCCCGAGCTTCAAATGACGATCTCGGCTGCTTATATAAGTGGGCCCTAGTCACTGACTCTGTAGCTGTCGGCCGGAATTAAATCCCCTCGCCAACTACATTCGCATCCCGACTCCAAAGCCCGACCTTCTTCTACTGCATGGTTTGGCGCTGCAAGGTATATGCACTGCTGTTTCCCCGCACAGGGTGTACGTATGCTCTCCTTGTTTACCAGGTATCCTGAGCATGAGTGTAGAAGCAGACAACTTTTGAGTTGCGGGGTTGTTAGGTTTAGGCATGAGTATGAATCCCTTATTATAGTGTAGTTTAGATTGCACAGGAACTATTTATGGTTTTGTTATCAGTGTCTTGGCTGTGTCATAATCAGTTGATTTGCTGTGAAGTTTGTGGCGATTATATCGTCCAACTATTGTATTTTGAGTCCCTAGCTCTTTGCCACGTCTTCTCCAGACAAGCATCTGTTCTACAGCCTAGATCTCTGGCTTTTGCCGAGATAGTATCAATGATATGCCATTATCTGCCACCGTAAATAGCCTATAGCCTTCGGCAATTGGCTTATTTGTACTATCTTAAAAGGATATGAATCGTCTGGAAGTATGTTGAATAATAGAGACAACAATATATAACATGAACATACAGTTGCACAGGTGTAGGACAAGCATGAGCATAGAATAGGGATTCATTATGCGGCAGCCCCTCCACTAATCCTACCCCGCATACTTCCAACTTGGTATGTTGCAAGCCTATATACAATGAGATGTACCATGCTACTGGATACTGCTCCGTAATTTAGCTATCCACCATGTATGTAGTTACTCCTGTAATATAATATAGAATAATCTAGACACTAAGATGTATTATGAATTTTTCCCTCACTATTGTTAAGTTTGTTTTGCAGTGTAGTAAAGCGACTAGTACATAAATATATATATACATCCAGCTGCCGTCTAGATGAATGCTTGGGCATGAAACTGAGCAACCCCCCTTTTTTTAGGAAGCAGAAGAACAAGAAGACAAAGGAATAGGAAGTTGAAGAAAGAGAAGATCTAAAGGATAAAAAAAAAAAAAAATATCGGGTCATTCTCAATGCGTAGAACAAGGGGGCCTGGAGCATTCTGGCTGGGACAAGTGTGCATCGGGTAACATAGGCTAACAGTAAACATCTATACCAAATACCCATTAGCCCCGGCTTATCTATGTGTCTACTGGACTTTTCAGGCAAGCGTTTATCTCGGGGTTACGTTCGAGAGGAGGTTATACAGGGTTATCGTGAATGAGGGACTGCATGGCCAGACTCCTAGAATAAACAAAACCTTTATGCATTAAGTAAACTTGATTGAGAGCCTATACATCCTGTCTTGAGGGGAAATAATTACGGTTTTCTTATATTCTTTGCGAATTTCTAAATTCAACGGAAGAGATGATATATGCGTCGGACATGGCTCTGGTCTTAATACTAATATGTCAGAATCAGGACACTGTTTCTGATTCCAAAAACCCATCTTATCGTAAGTGGATTATTAGAAACCTAGACAATCTTCATGGTTAAGTAGCACTTGTTTTCGTAGAGAAAAGAGTATCATTCGAATCGGCCGATAATACGACGCGCGCCCACTTTACTAAGCGAAACACGCTCACACTAAAGATCAACCGCGGCCTGGATTTGGTTCCACGATTCTCGGGCTCTGAAAGTCTGAAAGCAGGGGTCTCTGTTTCAAAGTCCTTGTTACGCATACGCCAATCAAAACGCCTCCATGGAAATCTAGCCACGAAAGCATTTATCAATCACCTAGGCCTTCACCACACCAGCCACAGGCATGTATCCACTTAATTCTGTCTCCAGCGGGAATGGCCTCACATGCTTCGGCCATGTAAATTGTGGAGCTTTACTTTCCTGATACCACGGATGTGACTCTGACAACGGATCGAACTGTTCTCCATCCGATAACTGCACATAGAATATTTTGTCCAGGGGAAACGAATCTTTAAACCGATCCAGAGAGTCGTTTAGATCCTCTTCTGCCGTGGGAAACCTTCCGGATTCCGCAAATGGACTCGCCCATAACTTGGTAATTTAGTGAAGATACGGCGCTTTTAACTTTCTAGCAATGGCGAGCCAGTGCTTCGCTCGAGTCTGGAGTATAGGTGACTGAGCTCTCTTGAAGTTTTCAAATGGAGCTAGCGAAAGGATCTCCACGTTGTGCATGTCACATATGTTCTTGATTCTTTCAGCTCCTTCCAGTATGGATATCTGCAGACTCTCTGAGTATACTTTTAAATCTGAAAACACAATCTTAATGCTATTGAACCCATATTCTGACGCAGCTTGGATCTTTTTGTCGAGTGTATGGAATGGGCGCAGGCCTGGTGATAGGGAGCCGATTGCTTGTTTGTTCAAGAGCAATATTTTTGATTATAAAAGACAATAGGAATAACTTTCTGACTATACGGCGCATCCACATGGTGTGGATGAGTCTTATGTATTCCCCGATTGTCGGAATCAGATTTCCGCTCTGGGAAGAGGTCGGAAACCAGAGCAATGGTTTGGTGATCTCACTTGAACTATTGATTTCACGGACGATTTACTGTAGCATAATTCCCTGGATACCAGGTCCATCAGACAAGGGTTGCAATCCGGGGAGCTAGACACTGGACTACCAGCACACTAGACTTGCTTGAGGATATGAAGCTAAGCCACCGATATTGAACGTAAGTGGTATTAAGCTCTATTTATATGCGACACCTACTTTTGAATCCTCATCAACCTTGATCTTCATCCATACCTTCCCGGGACCTCTTCCCACCCTTGTTTTGGCGGGACCTCGGCCCATTTCTTTTCTCGTCCATGTCCCTCATTTCGATAGCGGCTGACCTTTGCGCCTCGCCAACGCGCTCGGCAAAAAGCATAGCCTCGTCCTTGGCAATCTTGTGCTCTTCCAGCTTCTTTCCCAAAGCCTTTTCCGTCCTCATCCATGTCTCGATATCATATTGCGTGACGAACGATATGGCGATTCCGCTCCTGCCGGCACGTGCAGTTCGACCAACTCGATGAATGTACGACTGACTATCTAGGGGCAAATCGTAATTAACGACAAAATCGACCGAGGGGATATCAAGACCACGAGCTGCTACGTCTGTGGCGATCAGCAAGTTCCGCGCCTTGGCTTTGAATTTGGTGATGGACGCTATTCGTGCACTCTGGGAAAGCTGGCCGTGAATAGGGATACTCGAGTATCCTAGATTCCGCAACATAAGGGTCACTCTTTGAGTCTCGTGAATTGTCCGTGTGAATATCACTCCCGTTTGCCCGGCCCATTCGTTCAGAAGATAGACAAGGTAGATATCCTTGTATTTATGCGGCAGGAAGACATATCGCTGGATCAGAGTAGACACGGTTTGGTATTTGGTAGACACGGAAACACGGACCGGATTCGTGAGCGATGCGCGCTGCAGCGATTCAACTTTACTCGACATCGTCGCGGAGAAGAGGTATGTCTTGCGGTTTGGCTTTGGTAGAATCTTCAAGATCTTATCCAGAATGGGACCGAAATCCATATCCAGCAAACGATCAGCTTCGTCCAGCACCAAAAACTTCAACTGTCGTAGAGAGAACCCTTTCGTATTTTCGAGGTGGTCCAGAAGACGTCCTGGTGTAGCGACAATAACATGTGGTTTCTTTCCCAGAGACATTGACTGAGCCACCATGTCAACTCCTCCGATCAGCAGCGTACATCGCACCGATATCAACGAGCCTAATGCCTCGACCACCTGAGACGTTTGTTGGGCGAGTTCACGGGTAGGAGCCAGAATCAAGGAATGCAGTGTTTGAGGCGCTTCCATCAAAGCCTGCAGAATTGGGAGAACAAATGCCGCCGTTTTTCCACTGCCAGTTTCAGCCAGTCCAATCAAATCTCTGCCTTGTAGCGCGATCGGGATCGATTGTGCTTGGATCGGCGTGGGTTTGCTGTAACCGAGCGACGTACACGCATCGCATAGCTGCTCAATGACGCCTAGGTCTTTGAAGGTCTTTGGGGAATCTTCGGTAGAGGAGGTTTCTAGTTGCTGGTGTTGCTCTGGCTCGGGTGAAGGCGAGGAAGAGGAGGCGGCTTCGTCTGAGCTGTCGCGAGTCTTCTTGGATGAGGATTCACGATCCAATTTTCGTTGCTTCGAGACAGGCGCCATGTTGGAAGCAGGTCACCTGCGCTTAAACTGAAGCGACGATACAAATAAATATTGACTGATAATATTGACCACCGTCGACACCAGGGACTTGGAGAGAATCGGAAAATAAAAAAAAAAATTTGATAAGGAAAAAAGGTTTCTTGGCGCTCTCCGATAGGAATGGTCACGTGCTCCGATGTTATGATTAGTAATACCTCCGCCAATGCAACTGATATGTGAATTGACTAGCGCGGCATCTCAACTCTAGAACGGTGCCACCCGACCTGTAACCTGATCGGAAGCTATCAGATTGAAGATATGGAAAAGCGAACATTGGCATTTAAATCTAATAATTTCTCTTCATTGTCTTACAATTCAAGAACAACCAACTTAGCCAAGACATATTGCCGTTGTGTTCTGTTCTCTAGCTCCAACATCTTATGCGAAGAACACTTGATTTCCTGCAGGTAGGCCCGCTGAAATTTTCATTGAATTCAGCCTGCAGCAATTCAAACCGTCCAAGACCTTTAGCATCCCTTGCCCTCTATGGCAGAAGTTAGCATAGTGCTTGTAGGCTTAGGTACCCCTTTCTGATCACGAATGGCTTTCGCTTTGTTGGGCTTGGAATCGTTGAGCACGTGGTCGATTGCCTCGGGAGCACTCTCATCATCTATGTTATCTTTCCACTTCTCAGAAACCTTTTCCATTCTTGACCTGATGGATCCAGTATTAAGCACAGAATCTAGAGACTGCTATTTTGTATGACCGGCACCCGGGTGACTTTCGATGCATCGGGAGATTTGTCATATGAATGTAGTGACGTAGGTTGAGTAAATGTCAATGTTGTCTTGTTATGAACGCGCAGGATCCCGCTGCCTCTTGTGGTAAATATGGAACGACCACGATCGAGGGCGAATTCTTGTCATTCGTCCAGTGATGCTCAAGCATTTTCTGGGGAAGCGGTTAGGCGCCCGAACAGGTGCGACATGACAAGCACCAGAGTGCGTGTGATCTCTCCTGGCTTAGTATCAATGTTTTACAAAGCTCGTGGAAATACCCTCCGCTCAGTACTGTATGGAAGGCAAACTGGAGTTTTCGGTGCGGTAGAGGTGCAATATTTTTACTGCAAAATTCAGTGGATCTCCACCTTGATCCAAAAGATAGTCGCGGCGAAGATATTCAATTGGCAACCGTAAGTGATGCAGCACAGTTTGTTTTGACTCTCCGGTCCACTGTGATATATGCGAGGACACGATAAAATTGACGGAATGGCCTTCACAGCAAATGGGGCAAGCCCAGACACGAGAAGCAGAATAAACAGACACAGAGCCAAGCTGGTTGAGATGGGAAAATGACCATTAAGGTCTGGGAGCTTTCAGCTAAGCAGTCGGCAGACCTTAGGATAGGAGACACATTGGAAGACAATGTTGCCTAGAAAATCGAAGCCCCAACGGCCTGCTCGACCAGCTGCCTGACGAACGCTAAAGGCAGTAAGGAAGACCGAGTCGCCAGTGAATACAACCGTCTTGCGTGGCATATTAATACCAAGCGCCAGCGTCCCAGTAGCTATTACAGCACGATGATATCCCTTCCGGAAGAGAATTTCGCACACCTGACGGCACTTACCATTCATGCCCGAGATGAACTCCAATGCCGTGTTATTCCGTCGATGAACCATTGGGGTACAAGTCTTCTTTTCAATTCCCGGTTTAATTGACGTTGAAATCCCTTGAGCTAGGCGGCCAATAGTGTGAAAACTTATGATGAAGCGACATCGTAAAAGATTCTCCTTGTCCCCAAATCCACATCTGGAGATCCACCTACATCGGAATCCGATGATATAGAAGCGTCCTCTGTGGCCTAAAGATCCCTGTAAAATTGTTGCCATAACTATCACTGTTAACTTGGAACAGGTTAAAGACAGTATGTGAAAAAAGTACCTTTGTGTCTCGACACTCGAGCATGCTTATCAGTGCAATGTTATACCAACATGAGACAAACCAATGTATCATCCATCGAAGTAGAATGTTAGCTGACCAAACTGCTGTTGTCGGCATTTTCATCCGAAGGCTCATCTTTCTCTGATGACAATAAGAGCTCTTTCAAGCCTGTACTGCTTTCCTTTCCCACCAGGACTTGAATTTTCTGGAAATGCTCCATCATGACATGTCACAAAATATGCACCCACGGAGACGAAATACAGTTTAAATTCATGACACTCGTACGTATCAAAACACTTTAATGCATAGAAGGAACAACTGACGGGAGAGTCCCCAGGAAATGTTGACGAATCGCCTGATGTGAGACAAGATATTTCAAAGACGCATCACCAGAGACACCGTGAGTTATACACGCGTTGGCATAGCCTGAGAAGAAAACAATGTGGAAGTTGTATTTTCATCAATGGAGATGGACAAGGAATCTTTCCACTGCATAAGTCGCAAGGATAAGCTGAAACCCTAGAAAGAGGTCTATCTGATCATCAGTGAAACACTGGAGAAGAAGGGTCTCCTTCGATAGTGCAAAGCTCGTATCCTGCAGTCTCCAACGGGGTCTAGGGTGCGCGCATAGAGGCCGTTGAGCTTATTTTATTAGTGTGATTAGTTAAATGGTCTAGAATCCATTCTTGAGATAGTGGCTAGGCGAGTATATACCAACTTAGAAGCCGTTGGAAATCAATCGAGGTGACGTCCATGATCATGCCTTCACATTTGTTGCGACAGAAGGATGACGGTGATGGGCAGCCTTGGATTGGGAGCAAAAGGAAAAGGAAGATGAGGAAATGAAAGTTCTCTAAGGAATAATTTTTCTACCGCTGCCTGCTGTTTGCTCATGGGGTGGCGAAACTGTGAATAACTAGATGTGTATACAATCATGGTATCGGCAAGACAAGGGCATTATATACATGGTTTCCAATTCCCGATCTAAAATTGATACTTCTCACCATTTGCTACCTACTTTGGCTTAACAGGGTTATAAATCTTTGCGGAGTTATTCTCTTACTATAAGCTTCCTATGAGAAAGAATAAATAATAATGACCTGTCTTCAAATATACGGACTTGAGTGAAGTTTATAGAAATCTCGCAGTTAAGAAATCTACCAACCATAATGAAATTAAGGTATATGTTCAGATAAAGATATAGAGAATGTCCTCCTTGTTTAGAGTTGTCAATATATAAAGCTATTTGTACGACATGCTATTTATTCTCTAAAAGAATATACATAAAGCAATATAGGCTCCATAGTGCACATGCTGATACTAATACATACAACCATATGAAACGAAGGAAATGCGACTAATAGTCGTGGTTAAATGAAGGTCAAATGGGATTATGGAACAAAGGAGGAAAAGGAATGGCAATACAAGAAGAGTAAGCTTCATCGTAAACAAGACCATGCACCAATTGTAGTTCTATCTCCAGTTGTGCTGACCTTATGGTTCCAGCACGACATCCGTCCCGACGCACCGATTGCATACAAATAGATTTGTCGGGTCGATCTTTTGCTTGATCGATAGCAATCGATCGTATTTCTGTCCCCAAAAGACATTCTGCCAGTCAGGCTCATACCTACAACATTTTGTCAGTTGCAATAAGGGCAAAGATGGAAGTGGGCACTTACGGATTGGCTTCGTTGGTGTACGTCCCTCCGTCCGAACCGACAATCTCGGTTAAGCGATTGCTGTGCTGTACAGCCTGCTGTCGCTTCTTATGCTTTTCACTCTCCGTCGCATTATCCGCCCAGTTAGTGGATACGCTCAAAAGCCCGTGGCTATGTTTCCAGACGTCATGGATGGCAGTGTTGTCACGCTCGTCGTTGTTCACTTTGCCGACTGGAAGAGAGTTAAGGAATTAGCGTGATGGTGGATGTTAAAGACACTTGCACGTACCGAAATCGAATCCAGCCGCTGGGGCATTTTCAACAATGAAATCCACCAGCTGGTCAGTATTCTTTTTGATAACCTCCGCAGTTAACAGCCTCGATGTATCCTGGACGTTAGTGCCGATGTTGGGGTCCTTGAGGAAGTTCTTTATGTATCCGCCCCATGTCGATTGGTACGCTCCGACAGTTCCATTGACACCGTGATGCTGCGCTAGCTTATAAAATGAAGCGAATGTTTGGTTGAAGGATTCCACGGTGCTGTTTGGTTTGATGAAGATGGCGCCGAAACCCTCTGCCATGGTTGCGTATCCTGCCCAGCCCGCATCTGTGACAGCTGGTAGGCGCTGCAGTGCTTCAGCGACAATATGTTTGAAGCTAGGGGTGTCGGTTGCGTTTAGTTGGACGAGCCCGACTGTGAGGTTTCGTGGGACTGGGTGGGTTTTGTAGGTCACTGAGGTAACGACCTGATTTCAGGGCAATTAGCTCCATTCTTTTGCTCCCCGTGGCTACATGCTCAAGGAAAGTCTCAAGGAAAGACCTACACCCCAAGCGCTTCCACCGCCCCCGCGAACGGCCCAGAAGTAATCAGGGTCGGTGAACCTGTTAATCACTCGGTGTTCACCATCGGCGGAGACAATAGTCATTTCCAATAGATCTATATTCGTGTCAGACAGCTCAGTATGATTTCCAATAATGGAAGTTAAACTTACTATCAGCAGCAAGACCATAGGTATGTGCAAAAGGTGAATGGCCTCCTCCAAGTAAATATCCTCCAGCAGCACCAACAGTACGTGCTGAGCCTCCCACAATCAGGACTCCCTGTTTCTCAGCAGCATTGTAAACGTCTATATCTCTGTCAGCCGTATTTACTATCCCAGGAGTATCAAAGTTATTCACTTACCAAACCACTGTTCCCCAGGCTGCAACGTTGCAGCCGGTATGCCGTCGACATCAGCTGGTGCTCCGTGTGGCACAAAGGAGCGATGCCATTCGATGCCCTTCATCTTATGAGTCCAGATCCCGAATGCACCTTTACCGCTTGATCGACCGAGGCTATTATAGTTTGTTAGTTGTCAATTCCATAAATATATGCCTATGGGTAATTCTCACTGATCATGCCCCGTATTCTTGGTCACCAGTAACAAGTCCTTCTCACTGGCAAATTTCACAGATGCCTGGATATCTTTGACTGACTCTGCGCGAACCATGTAATAAGGCACTAATTAGTCACACATATCGTTAGTAATCCAAGGCATCTTTTATATATGACTCTCGCTGAACATATACCTATTCCCTGATCACATTTCGCGCCGACAGGCGTATCAATAAAGCATTGTCCGGTCTCACCCATCTCCCACACTGTAGCAGAATAGGCTCCTGTTTGGTTCGTGCGCCAGAAACTATCTAGCCAGCTGTGCTTTGCGTCGGCGCATTTGTCGGCATTGTATAGCTCCGTGTGACATACAGCAGCCGATGGGACAGAGCGAATTAATTTCCCGCCAACGGTGGCGTTGAACTTGTCCCAGGTTTGTACATCTGGCCAGCAGTCTTCACCGTAGGTACAGCGATGTCGGGGTAGGCCTTTTGCCTCGACAGCGGCTAATATGCCTAAGGCCACGGGGATGGTATGCTGAAAGGGCTGTATCATGCTTGTGGAAGTCAATGATCAGGTATGAATGAAGAATTGTAGTGTTGTAGTCAACTCAACCCTGCTAAATTGCCTCGCAGACATATTTATATTGAAGTTGTAACATCTGTAAAAGCAGACGAATACGACTAATTTCCAGATTCAGCGTTGTCCTCGTTTCTGCGTCGTCACAAACGATGTTCGTATAGTCGTATTATTCAAAGCTGATCAGCGGGTCAAGCGAATACGAGTGGCTTGGCAATGAGATGCGGCCGAAGGTTTATTTTTTTTAGCCCTATGTCATCAACTAACTATATACTATTTAGAGTATCCTGCTAGGTCGATGCCTGAAACGCTGGTAAACTTCTTGTCGTATCGAAAATTATGCTACTTAAAAATATAATAGCCCCGACACGAGTCACGCCTTGATTTCGTGAATATAAAGTAGCAGCCTAAAACTATTGTTTCAAATTCACTCTCACTTTAAACGTGTTGCAAGTTGCAAGGTATTAAAAATGAGCTAGAATATGATATAGAACTGTAAGGATTTAAGATGGTAGGAGAAAACGGACTACTAAAGTGCAGTCTAGGTTTAAGTTCGGCCACCTACTCCGTACATTCCGATCTCGCATAGATTCCGAACACCGCGTCCATCCCACTTTTGTAAAACAACCACCTACCACACCACCAAACACGCCTATGGACGATTGCGAGATTGCCATTTAAGCAGCTATTTAATATCTCAAAGAATTTCATCTTTATAAGCTGCTTTAAGGCTATATAACTTACCCGTCACCACCTTTATGGCTGAATGAGGTGCACTTCAAAAGGCTATTACGTAGCTTCTAAGCGTTTAACTCCAGTTCAAGGGAGATTTCTTGCTGACTAGATTATAAGCCCGGATAAATAGGGATTTCTCCTAGTATTACCTGTACGCGTGAAATTTCCCTCCAGTCCTCTGCATCAATAGCGACACTGCACCGTTGGGAAAAGACTGGCTCTCTAGCATTAAAAGACGGAACCCACGCGTTCAAAGCTGTATAGGCCGAAGGATACTATTAAGCTGCGTACGGGGAACATAACGAGAACAGATCTGTACCTTTTACAAGCTTTTTTAAAAAGTAACCTCCAAATACTGTATACAGCCGGAAAATATGTGGAATATGGAGAAGCATGAAATTAGCCTTAGGATCTGTACAGACTTTAAAGTAATAGTAGAGCGTGGAAAAATCCAGCCGGAAAATAAAAGTAGGTGTTAATTATTAAGACTATGAATCTACCTAGTATGTTCGGCTGTTGGTTATTTTTAAATATTAATCTTTTAAACAACCTTGTTTTAAATCAAACACTATACCAGACTAGCTTTATACAACCTCGAATAATGGCTGGACATCAAATTCTATTGCTCTTAGCTGGTTAAAGGTTATTATTTTTTATCTGAAACAGCTCCACCGGATGGTCAAACTAGATTATTATTATTAGATGGCCATGGAAGCAATGAGTATATTGAAATTTTATTGGAATACCGTAAAAATAATACTCAAGTCTTATTTCTTCCACTCTATACCGGACACGTTCTTCAACCGCTTGATGTTGGCACAGGTAGTGTTAAAGCTCTGTATCGGAAGGCGATACAATGACTGGCCATTTTAGATGACGCGGCCCAGATTAAGAAAGAGTGTTTGATCCAATGCTATCGAAAGACTCGCAGTATAATATTAACAAATCTTTACTGCAAAGTGGCTGGAAAGTAGCTGGCTTATATCCTTTTAATGCAGACAGGGGGCTTAATAACCGCTTTGTAAGATTTGATCGTCCCAGACCTTCAACTCCTTCCTCTACTCAGCCGGTTTCCGAGGCCGAATTACTTCATTCCACTCCTGGGAACGAACATCAAGTCCATCAAGTAATCTAACTGCATTAAAACATTCCAAAACTGCCCTGAGATACCCGGATTTTCCTACAGAAGGTGAGTAAACGTATAGGGCAGCTGAATACGACCCCTTTGCAGGAGCACCATGTTTCATGCCTACAATTTCAAATCAAAACCTTGGAGAAGCCAAAGATCAAGAATAGGATTGAAAAGGATCCAAATACTACGTTCAGAAATATAAAGCAGATTATGAAAGCTATACATGAGGCCAAGAAAGAAGCTGAGCGTATCGGGGCCAGGGAGCCCGAATTAATTGTTAAAAAGCTGCAGATGAAGCTTTGCAGGCAGTTTTAAATGCCTTGTAATTTGAGTAGCATGCTTATTAGATAGTGCTTGTGAGATTCATGCATTTTTCTTAATGTAATGATTCAGCATGGTGTTCGGAATCTACGGGTGATCGGAATATAAGGGCTGAACTTGTTACAGATAGCACAATATTGAGCCTGGGGATATATCCGTAAAGAAGAGGGAATCTCGGACTTATCAATGTTGGACGGATGCGTGTGACATTGCTTGATAATACTAGGATCTAATGAGATTCTACTGCATAAGTAGGGTTACACCTCTATAAATATCGCCTGCACGACTGTTAGATCGACGTTAAATCTTAACACTCGTCTAAAAAATAAATCTGCAAGAAGTATTTCTCGATTGGCATTCTATTGCTCTTCTATTTAGTCTCAGGATTAAGTAACCATTGCAAATATCTTAGATATGCTTTGTAAATATTTTCCTATGTGAGCTAGGAAGAAATTTATATAATTAGAAGCTATTTTGGTCATTGTCAACCTGAATATGGGGTATAGTAACACTTTTGAGACAAACCTGGCTATCCATGCAAAAATGCTATAGGAAATTATAAACCTCAGTTCTCCGTGCCCATGAAACTGTATTGTTCGAAGGACACCGCCCAACGCAATTATTTGATTCCCGTCAAGGGGGTAATATCCCCCTCATAATGTCTAGGTACGCTGGTGGCATCGGATAGTCTTTCTGCCCCCCACAAAAAACACCAGATTCCGAAATGTGGTCCTCTGGGAGACGAAATCCCAGGGATGACGGAATAGTGGTGATTAAGGTTGGTGAGTGGCCCATAATGTTCCCGCTGGCGTGCTTCGGGTGTACGGCAGTGATTTCATGCGTCCTTGAATAGATAATCTGTGTGGGAACTTGGAGTGAGACTGAACGAGTGATAAAGTGTGACGATGCCATGTTGAAGGAGAGCGATAAATCGATGGTATAGATCCGTGAGATTAAACAAGAATGAAATGTTGGTACGAAGTCTTTGCTACTCGGTAGGGTGATAGGAACCGTGATGGATGTAGTGTAGTATGTACCTTCACGGAGTGAGGAATCGGAGAAACATTCTGTCCTAGGAATAGGCCCTGTTGCTTGCGATGTGGTATAACAGTCATGAGAAGTGCTCTTCACCCATTTAATAGTTTTAAGAGAGAACGAAGAAAGTGGTATGGATTTGAGAGCCGTCGCTCGTCTGGTATGAGTGAATGTCATGGCACCATGCTTAGGTGGATAGTCTTTCCATGGCTCCGCGGTGTAGAGGGTAGAGGCTTCAAGTTTACTGCGTATCGTATCCAGCCTAGGAGGTGGTTCATCGGAATCTGGACGATATCTAACTTGTACCTCGACAGCTGTAGGAGCCGCGTTCGAAGCATTATATTGCGGCGGTGATAGTAAAATGGGACGAGGTTCAGCGGTTGACAGTACCAAGTCTCCTAGCCTGTGTCCTGTGAATCTCGTCTTGAGAGTCGCGCATTTCTCGTTCATGACAGACGATTCATTTAATGGTAGCTGTAATGAATCCAAGGCTGGAAGGATGCGGACTTTCCTCGTGGCTTCGCCCAGAACTCTTTGATCATTCACTCTCGATTTCCTTAAAATGAGCACTCGAATTCCATAGGAAATTTGGCATGTTTCCGGTGCCATGTCATCCAAGATTTGTCTATCATCCGCGGTGATAGGGTCCCCAAGGGTAGGTGGGGTTCGAAGGTGTGCCTCTTTCATGTGCACATGGTCGGTTTCATGACTGCACGATTGGGGTAGAAGACGTCCTGGTACAACGAAAACAAAATTGAATTTGTATTTTTGATCAGGACTTAAAGTTCGAGACGCTGGGTACTCATTTTCATCGATTGGTTGCCTTAGCTTCAAGAATTTATGGCGTGCGCCAGTTTGACCTGTGAAAACAGTTGCCCTTGGGATAGATGTTTTCGATGTGCCTTGTGAACAGGATTAGTTTTCTGTAAAGGCCAATACGATGCTTCAAGGTAAAGTGCCTGCCATACCTTCGAAAGCAATGCCAATTTGATCAAATTGACACTCACGTTTGGCTGTGAGTGTAACGGTGCCCTCAATTCGATCATCTGTTAGATATGTGGCTCCGTCCAGAGCTGAATTGACAAGATCGATAGAAATATCTAGACCATATCGACGGAATGACTCAACCATATCAGAGCCATTCGAGAGTATTGAGGGGGCAGTCATGTTTCTGTGCTCGGGTCGACAAGTGCGCGCCCAATATCAACTATAAAGGAACGACGGAACCGGCCAGATATTCAGAAGTGACCTTTGGATTAGAACACGCGGACACATTTATTCTTAGATAGAACCGGAATTCTCTACTTCAAACGCACAAATATATTCAGGGCCTCGGAAATAATTCGTGCGGTTAGTAAAGAGGGCGCCGGGAATGACTTTTCCCGAGCAACGGGAATAAGAGTGGGTCGACATAGCTTCAGAAGTACTAAGTCGAAATTTTCATTAACAAATTCCCGGATGTTAGTGACAAGCCGATATCGCAGAATCAATTCACGCTCATCCCCTGACCAGTATCTTGTTAATAACTACAAGTGCTCGCATTGTGTACTAAGTTCGTGGCGGAGTCTTCTATAAGTTGATGCGATTGTCTAAAGTTGGTTCCTGATTTGGCATTAGGCATGAGCATTTCCATAGCTTTAGCCAACCTGACATAAACCAAGCATTGTTCTGTTGTCTCAGCTTCCGATCGGCATAGAATGCTCGGAGTATAATTTGACTTTCCCGAGGAAAAAGGGACGGGTAAGCGGGCGGCTGTAGCCGCATCGTGTTTATTCATAATGCTTATCCACTTAGTAGAAATGCACTGGCTATAATAGCGTTATGCGACGGTGCCATTAGCATCCACTGTACCTATGAACGCCTTTAGGTGCCGAATGGCTCCAATATCGGTTTGTCGATGATTATGCGCTCGATTCCGCTGTGTTTGGCACGAATTACCTAGACTGATTGGCACAATGAATTAGTTCCAAAAGTATGTCCTATCTGCGGGGAGAGACAGTCGGACGAGAGGGAGAAGAATCTGTTCGAAGCCTACGGCAGTAGACAACACGGATTGCTTCTTTCTTTAGCGTTATCCTTTATGTCGTAGCTGAACTTGCCGTTTAGGATCAGCAACAAAATTCGGAATGCGGTATCTCGCGCCACGGATTTATTGCCCTTGATAGGTTGATAACGCTTGTACTCGAAATCAAAAGCATATACTCTCACACAGATCCAGTGCCTGACGAGCAGCATGCATCGGAACGGCGAGGAATTTTACGTGGCATGCCCCATACATAATGTCTGATCTCAAATAATGTAATCACCGAGTTTGTTGATCGTCATCCCATGCACTTGATACATCAGATGCTGTCAATGGTAATCCCTTGAGTACTGCACAATTCCCGAAATTGGCTTGGGCTCGCCAGCAGTTCCTCCGGATGACCTGCCTCAAGAATACGTCCCTGATCCAGCACTACCACCAAATCACTGTCCAGAATCGTTCTCAACCGATGCGTAACACTGATAATCGTCTTATTCGCAAACTCCTCCCGAATAACCCGTTGCATGACCTCATCGGTTGCCCAGTCGACATTACTGGTTGCCTCGTCCAGCACGAGAATAGTGCCGGGCCTCAGCATTGCCCTCGCAAGACAGAAGAGTTGCTGCTGGCCATGCGACAGAGCAAGAATATCAATATCTGTGTCAAGGCCGCCGCGCTTCTGAATCTGTTCCCACAGCCCGACTTTCTCGAGCGCTTTCATGATCTGGTCGTCTGCAACTGTTTCGCTCGGCGACGCGTTGAAACGGACTGTCCCCGGAAGCAATAATGGATCCTGTGGGATTGCGTTTAACCGTGAACGCACTCTCTGCCGGGATGTGCTATTGAGGTCAATCTCATCGACCATAATGCTGCCGCTCTGGAGTTCGATCATGCGGAACAAAGCACAAAGCAAGGAGGACTTTCCGCTGCCTGTTCGGCCACATATTCCGACCTTTTGTCCGGGCTGGATGACAAGGGAGACATGCTTGAGAACAGTGTGTTCCATGTCACTAGCATATGAAGCCGTGATATGTCGAAACTCCACCGCGCCGCGAGTTGGCCAATTTTCTGGCAGCAGTGTTCGTGACCGGGGACCCTCTTCCTCTGAGACGGTCGTTTCTACGAACTCCTTGACACGGGACACGGCTTGTAAAGACGTCTCCAAGTCTGTGTAGTAGAAGATAAACTGAGATAAACTCTGGCTGAAACCGAGGATGTTGAGCATCGCAACACCCAGGCGGCCCCCATTTGTGCTGCTTGGCAACTGAGTTGTCAGACTTATCAGCAGAATAGCCAGTGCTGCAACTATGAGATCAAGGACAAAATTCAGCCAGCGTTGGATGCAGTAGAGGAGGTAGACCGGACGCTGCGAGGCATCCAGCCGTTCTTGATTACGTCGTTCGAATTTCTCTTGCCAGCCGAGCGCGCGGATCGTCGGGAGACCTTCAAGGGTCTCGGAGATGCTTGAGAACAATGGAGATTTCAGTTCCAGGTCCAGTAAGCGAAGCTGTCTCGACGTCCGAAGATAGTATCGTTGTAAAGCCCAGGTAGTACCGAGGCAAAAGGGAATCGCAAAGGCCAGGTAGGTAGATCCCATGGCTATAAGGGCAATCTGTGCTAGCGCTTGGAAAGCCATCGGTGTTGCTTGCATCGTAGACACAGGCAGGCGACTGTTGATCAGCGACATGTCCTGACTGAATCGGTTTAGGGTAATCCCCGAGTCTACAGACGAGAAGAATGACATGGGTGCATGAAGAACGGAATCAAGGAGATGCCAGTGCAGCTTCGCCGCTGAGACTGGTACGATGGAGATCATCATGCACCAGATGGTCGAACTATAGTTCATGATGGCTCCGATGGCCAGAGCAAAGTAGACCCCTAAGAAGGACCCATCATCGGGATTCTTAGATTCCGTCCACCACTGGGCCCAGATCTGGGTGAAGCTGGTGCAGATTACATACGCCAGGCTTGTAAGGAGAAATATTAACCCACGATACCATCCGATGGACTTCAAGTAATACATCAAGACAGCTGAATCGGATATATGCTTCCTTTTTACAACCGGGGTAGGAGCAGCACGTGGCAATGACTGATTTGCTCCGCTTTGACTTTGGCTTGAATAGAATGTATCAGAAGCTGGTTCCAAGCTGCGATTATCTGCCATGGTCGTGTCTGAAGGGCAATCAGCTAACAGGCGTCGGACTGGTCCCTCTCGACCACTTAGCTCTCTGAATGAGCCATGTTGTTCAATACGACCTCTTAAATCCAATACAATGATATTGTCCGCAGATCGAAGATGGTGCACTGACTGAGTGACCAGGATAACCGTCGCTCCAAGTTGCTGGAAGAGTCCCGTTTTGGACAGTAGACGATCAAAAACCAATTTCTCAGTTCGCGCATCGAGAGCACTCAAGGTGTCATCCAAGAGAACTAATGGCGCTCGAGCGTAGACAGCCCGGGCCAGGGCCAGCCGCTGCTTCTGCCCACCGCTTAAGCTTGTTCCCCGACTCCCAACCGTAGTATCATCTCCGTCAGGTAGTTGTTCAATGTCTTCAGTCAACGCGCAGCACCAAATCACCCTCTTATACCAAGTTTTGTCGTACGGGGATTGGTTCAGGATGTTCTCTTTGACAGAGGCGTTAATGAGCCAAGGCGTTTGCTGGCAATAGGCAATGGGGGAATCATTTACCATCACTTTGCCACTGGAAATCGTAATCTCGCCGAGGAGGGCGTTGAGCAGTGTGGTCTTTCCACAGCCCACAGGGCCGATGACTACATTTAAGAGGCCTTTCCAGATTTCAAAGCTCTGCTTGTGGAGGATTGGATGTGAGTCCGCGGAGTAGGAAATATCTGCCTCTTGCACTGAAACTGCATGTTTATTGATAGCTGTGCTTCTCCAGGTCATCCCCAAGTTCCCCAATTCAAGCTGGTTTTCGCTTATAATTAGCTCCTTCGCGCTTTCTCGGCTACTTGCAAGCCCTGTACCCCTGCCATCGACACGATCATCAAGCCGAAGATAAGCCTCGATACGTGTGAAGGAACCGAGGGTCCCAGCAAATGAAGGAATGGAAGATAAGGCCTTTTGCAATGGAATGGCGAGCAACTGGGTCAGTGAAAGTGAGGCGAAGATCTGTGCTGCGACGGAGTCATGTCCATGGTGTGATTTAACACCGTATATATAAATGAGAAAAGCGAGCGGTGCAGAAAATTGCAAAGGTATAGTTGCTAGAGTCGTGAGATTAGTTCATATGCTTGTGCTCTCGGGAGGATAACCTACAGATTATGGCCATGTACGCAAAGAAACTCCGGTAGCGCTTGGACAAATCCAGCTCGTAGACTCTGGCTCTCTGGATCGTCCAAGCAATAGTCTCCTGCAGGCCCATCATTTTGACGCTTTTCATGTTTCTGAGGACTGATGATGTGAGGGTTACCCGCTTCTGGATCGCTGCGCCCCATTCCCGTTGGCGCCGTGGGATATACTTCGCGATTCGCGTATTTGCGGCCGTAGCCACTATTTTGAAGCTAGTCAACAAGCGAAGCCTGGAATATTAAATGGCATTTAGACATACGCAGAGCGAGTAATACTGGGGCAATACTGGCCCAACCTAATTGCCGTTCCAGCAGCACGAGGGCTAATATTGTTTCAATGCTGCTGGCCCAGATCTCATGACCACTTTCAACGGTCAGGCCAATACGATCCACATCCGAACTGGCCAGAGTTAATGCGGCCGAAGATTTGGCTTCGTTCAGATGTAGTCTCAAGGTTTTGCGGTAGATGATGCTCACAAGGGAGCCGCGTATCATGACGGTGGATCGGTATACTTTGAGATTGTAAAGACCAGTGCTCACCTAAAAGATATGGTCAGCACCATCCCTTTCCGTTCCTGTAGCAGTTATGTGCACTCACTGCAATTCCGATGTAGACAATGGCTGTCGCTCCGATCAGACCATAGCCGATATTCCTGTCACGGTCTGTATCAGGGAGCTGCACATAATTGACTACGCTGGCCAGCAAGAGTGGCTGGCAATACTTGAAGCCAATCAGTGCGATACGAGGGGGCACTGGGGAGAGCAGGGGCCATTTCAGTGTGACTGCAGTTGTCATAAGCAGGGCATACGGCCTGGTTTGCTTGGCTGTTTGGCATTAGTCCTGTTGCCGCTGTAAGACTCAGTTCGCCTGCTTACTTTTCAGCCAGACATTCTCTATGGCGGCGCCTAGTTTTGCGGCGCTCATATCTGGTTCAAGCGGATACAAGTCCTTCAAGCGCAGGGTACACTTGTAGCCAGCGAGAAACAGACGGTTCAACCACCAGAAAACAGTGCGATTGTATATGCTGCTAGTGGTTTCAGGTGACAACTTGAGGCCTTGTACTTGTAAGCTTGCTCGTTTCTCGCGTCCTTCCAGGACTGTGATTATCAATTTAATCGCCAACGCCCCAGTAAATGCAGCTGCGATCGGAGTATTGGAGTTGCGAAGCCATAATGATCGAGCTTGGACGGCATCAAACAGGACTGAAAAGAACAAATAGATGCTAATTAATGTGGACGGCCTGACGGATCGCTGGTGCTCGTAATGGGAGAGAAGAGCGAGCATGAGCGCAGCAACCAATGAGAAGACAGCAGCCGGGATGGAAGCAGAAGTTTGCAGGGATGTCCTCAACGACCACAGGGGAAGCAGGGTCAACTGAAAAACGATCAGGAGAGTGATAGTGCCCTGATGGCGCGAGAGCAAAGACTGTGTCAGCCCTGTTCCAAATGTAAGCGCTGGGGAATTCCGCATTACCAATTTGACGAGTTGGCTCCTCGATCTGCGGATAACTACTGGCGCTCGGCAGAGCTGCCACAGCCGAGGACCACTGGAAACCAAAAACAAGATTGATGGCATGGTTGAAAGCCAGATTTGTTCAAAATAGATAGTAAAGTCAAACCCCCCTTGACAAGGCGTTGGCAAGGTCGGTCCCCAGGAGTGGTCTGCTTGTAGACATGGCTCTGAAGGCATTGTCTTTGTGGGCGATGAGAAAATGACAACAGAGACCTGGGAGAGGCGGTTAATTCCTTCCTATACGGTCCGACCCAGAAGAGAGTAATGCAAAGATGAGAATTTTTGCTTGTAGACATCACGTTGGATTTTAGCGTAACTTGACTTTGGGGAATTGCGAGAAAGGAGGGATGACGATAAGAAAATGGGACTGGTGTTTGGATTCATAATATGTGGGGCTAAAGGGGCTGAGTGACTCCTCAGATAGCAAGACCCCTAAAAGATAGCACCTAATACCTATGTACGCAGTATTCAGTACCACGTATGCTCACACATGTTGGAAGCAACGAGAGACATCATTCCACTACAATGCCTGGCTCTTTGGCGATCTATACGATGACAGATATCGTATTTGAAAATTACTAACGCACTTGTTTACTTCTCAGCCAACAAGCACGCACCTGATCCGCAACAACTATGCTCTATATATTCTCAACCCCCCATTCCTCTTCCCTTGTCCAATTTATTTCTCATAGTATCGAAATTCCTATTGGATAGTGTTGGATGGAAACTGACACGGAACTACCGATTACCAACAAAGACCAGCAACCTGTACACCTCAAGGTCGATACTCCAATGGGCGACGTCGCGTAGAATGTCAATCCCTGGAGTGTCAGCGGCGCCGTTGTGGACGGGAAGCCGAAAGAGATCAACTGCGATCGCCTGGTTGATACATCTCGGTCATATGATTCCTTTTACCTTTACAAAGTATGTCTTCTTTGACTGCCCCCCGAGAGAAAAGGATGATGATAGTAGCATTTTGCTAATGACCATCCTTCGACTAGCGACACTATTGGCAAATCCCACTACGTTGCTGTCTAATCAGCAATAGCATTGGCAACGACGTTCACGTACATCTTCGGGCCAGACCAGAACGAAAACTCAAAGATACCCTCTCTCATTACGTGCGCGATCGATCAAGATCCTACTTCAGAGTGTGTCGTGATATAGCGCCTCGTCTGGGCTATCCCACGCCGGCCTCGAGCCATGCCAAATTCTTCCCCGCGCTCTAAGGCCCGGGATCTAAGATGAGCGCATCGGTCGACTCCAGCGCGATCTTTATGAATGACTTGCCGAAGCAGACGTAGGCTACTGTTCACGCTTGTCAAACTGTAGCTGAATCCGTCGGGCTAACGGAATCGCATCTTGTCCACAGTGAGAAATAGATCAATAAGCACGCATTCTCCAGCGGCCGCGATGCGGTAGAAGAGCAGCGCCGTGTCGGTGGCAAACAGAGATCGACGTAGCCTTCCAGTATCTGAGTTTCTTCGATAACGATGAAGAGCTGGAGCAGATTCGGACGGGTTATGCGAAGGGAGAGTTGCTGACGGGAGAATTGAAGTGCATCGCGCAGCTTCAAAAGTTTGTCATGACCTACCAGGAGCGCCGCGCTCGGATTACGGACGAAGTATTTGACGAGTTTACGAGAGTGCGTCCGTCTATTGGAACGGAGCAGTGTCGACTCCCCTAGTATTATTGAATTGGTGGACGATACATAGAACACTGTTCTGACAATTTCCGCTGCGTGCCTGGCTGGATATTTATACATGCTAGCACATCAACCTAGCATATCATGTTCGTTCTCTTACTTTGTATATACCTCGTATTGATGACTGACAACAATGACCAAATTGAAAGACTCTCTTCTGTTCTTGTCCACCTTACAGTTGTCCCATGTCTTGAGTGCAGGAAGGAAATAGCCGGCTTATTTGAACCCTGGAATATCTACAGTGAATGGTTCCCGGCTCTCAAGACTGTCAATGCGTCCGAGCAAATACTCGAGATGTCGAAAGGCAGCACTAGGCTGATACTGCGGCACTAGAGCCAACATGTTACCAGCTCAGACTTTCGCCCGTTGATAGAGATCATTCAAACTCACCCATATGCCCGCAAAGCTTGACCTCAACAAAAGTCAGTCCTCTCTCCGTACGAATTTTCCCCATAATTCCAGACCCAGCAGATAGTATTTCATCGGGAGGCACGTAGAAGTCGCCATCCGGCGGACACTGGAACCCCTGCACCCCGCCCCAGGTCATATTCTGGATCGCGAACAACGTTGCATTCGGCAAGACGGTATAATCCATTTCCCCCTGTCCGATGACCACGCGGGGGACCCTTTCAATGACACCAGGGAGCACAGTTTGTGAACTCCACAGTCCTGCTGCGGCAGTTTGATCGGTTCCGTTGACGAAGACGGAAGTGTCGCTGCATTCTGTCCAATTAGCCGTGGGAGGGGCATTGATTGCTTTTTTCACATCTGGGCGGTTGAAGTAAATGGATGCTCCTGCGGGGAGGTAGTCGAACGCGCTCGGGGCACCTAGCACGTCCCAGAGATTCGGACAGGTAGTTGCGAGATGGTACGGGTTCCAGCACTGGCAATGGCAGAGGTCAACCTGATTGATCTCGGGGCCTTCGCCGCATTTTTCTTACCGGATTCGTGATAAAGGCATTGTTGCCAATTTCCATGTAAAGGTCGCAATTGCTTTGGATCGGAGGCATTGTTCCGCGTGGAGGGAATACAAAGTGATCATGGATATAATCGATATAGCCGCAGGCCGCTGCTTTATCCCGTATGTGCGCGCTGAAGGTATCGTTGAATGCGAACAACCTCGACCACACTTCATAAGTGGGATAGGCAAAGAGTTCCCTCTCAACGGCTCGCGTGGCCAGCGTTGGATCGTAGAGCATAATTCCATCAAGGTTATACAGGTGTGGATTCTTGGCTTCAAGCATCGCATGTGCGATGTAGGGCACAAACATTCCTGACACATCCTTAGCGCCTTACGTATGTCATTCTATGAAATCATATCTTACCTGCGTAAGACTCCCCAGTCACATACACCTTGCGACCGTGCAAGTCAAATAACTCTATGAAGTTCTTGAAGAAGCCTAGGAACTGCTCGGCCACGTCCAACTGCGAGGTGACGTTTGCATCACCCATGGAGAATCCAGTACCGACAGGCTGATCCACCCAGAGCATATCTGTGAGGTAATGCCAGCTGTACGGGTTAGCAACAGGCTTGAACGTGCCATACTGCCAGGTGAATGGGCCGTTTTCCTGTAGCAGACCCTCGAGGGAGCTGCACCCTGGACCCCCATTGAGCCAGATGGTGATAGCGTCGGTAGCACTTGAGCTGGCAGCAGGGAAATACCAAAAGTAAAGCTGACGTCTTTCCTCTGGAAGATCGGAGACGGGCAGTAGACCAGCGTAGGATTCACCTACGTCAAAGTCCACGTCTGGAATTGCGGTGCCATTGACAGCATATGCTGAACTACGTCAGAGACAGTGATTCCCTCAGTGGTGATGAGCCAGGAATAATTGGTACCTTCTGTCTGTGGGTTCAGGTATTTGGGATTGTTTTTGACCTTTCGCGGCTTTCTTCGAGCACCTTTGGATAAGAGATGCTCTCTCCGTTGACGGAGAAGGGAGCCATGACTGAGTCCCGGTCCACTGGGCTGGTTGAATAGACCATTGGCAGTGGATATACTACAGACATGAAGCCAGATCTCCAAGAGTGTAAGAGATCCAAATTTCATGATTCCGTTTACTAAAGGGATGCGGAATTAGCTGTGAAATAACCCTGTACAATCAGTCCACAGTACCAAGGACATGCGCAATAATTCCTGAGATGGCAGTGAAATGCAATACTCCAGTCCGAGGCAAGATATTTTGGTTCACCGTCTACCGCTTATTCCCGGCCACCCCCCCCCTCATTTCAAAATCAAAACCATCTCCGGTAAGCAAATACCTCAAGTGTTTTTGAATAACGTCGCAGCCTGTTTAGCCTGTCATTTTCATGGCCGAGTCTTACTATCACAAGGTCAGTTACAGTACTCCATAGTCGTACAGGGCTTGTGTCAGCCAATAGGCCCACCAGTTCCAACTTCTCCAACAATTACATACAGATAATATTAATTATTTTCTTGGGTTATGAGCTTGTGAAGCTTATCTTTGCTTGGTTTATTAAAAAATAAGTAGTCGCGACTAGTGAAACTTTATTTAAGATCCTTCTAATGTAACATTAAGCAAGGATCATGACAACACGACCAAGAGATCTAAGCCGCAAGGTCTTATCTCACCAAAGTTGGTAGCACAGGCTAATGCAGCAGGCTTTGTTGGTCACGGAATAGAGGCAGTTGCTATTTGCAAAGTTCCAGGACGCAATCCTTCAGAGGTGGGGGCCGTGGCGTTGTGCAGACGATCAATATATCCATCATCAGTAGGGCACGAATCAAACCGGCTGCAAGTGAGAGTTCTATTGGTGAGAAAAATATGCATAGGGAGACATTATCCGTATAGTCTGAGTTGAGGCTCCGAGGGGGGAAAAGAGAAAGACTCACCAGGCGACGGCTGCCAAGCAGACGCGAGACAATCGCAGAAGGACATAGGGGCGCCCAGATAATTTACCCGAGACTGCCTGAATGTCTTATCTTCATATCCCTTCTTTGCCAGATTTCAACGCCCAGATGCAGCCCAAATCAGAGCAGTCAGAGCCCTTGGTGGGTGACTCGGATTCCGAGCTGGACTCTAGAAGATACATACCAAGAAACAGACAGAACCTTTGCAGCCGCCCCAAGATTCTTTATGCCCTCTGCGGCGCAGGGATCGCTTCCATCCTCTGGAGTATCAGTGTGATAGCGCTCTTGACAAGTCGTCTATGGGCAACAACAGCTGCAGCACCACCTACTCCTCAACACCCATCTGGTCGCGAATCCTCCATCCATATCCTTCACTGCGGTGATACTCCAGACGAGGCACGCGCAATGGGCTGCAAGTTCCAGATCCACACGTACGCCTGGGTACCCGCTTCCTGCTTTGACGAGGTACTTCAGGAGGAGTGGCTGAACATCCGCGACTGGGAATACTACACGGACAAATACGACCAGGGGGAACCGGTCAATATCAGTGTGGCTCTGGCGGGAGAGCGCAATCTCTATTCGACCTGGGGCCAGCATATTGAGCACTGTGCGTTTACCTGGCGGAAGTTTACGCGAGCGCAGGCGGGCTCAGGGGTGCTCATGACAAATCGAGACTTGTCGTATGAGCATGCGCATCACTGTTCGGACGCGTTGCGTACCAAGTTTGAGCATCCGTGGGATGAAGTGAATACCAAGGTCACTGTTGAGTTTCATATGTGCTAAGGCGGTCATTTTTGCTGGGAAGGCGTGGATATGATAAGGCAGCAGATCAATTGACCATTTATCATGAATCTTCTTGGTAGTCAAAGTATGGAGTAATAATAAAAGCATATTCTAGACTTAGATCCCAAGTACCGAGAAATAGATAAAACGTAAGCCTACAGTTTACACGTTTCTTTGAGGAGAGTTCTGACTGTACACCCATCATCAAGGCTTCTGTCCATGTCCACCGCCCTCATGATGCTCATGTTTGCCTCCTGTCTTTTCCTGTTCCATCTCCTTTGCTGTCCCATTGAAAACGACGTGTTCCTTGACCCACTTGACGATGGGCTCCCACTTCCGGCACTTGTGCAAGGTATTAAAGCTCGGGCTCTCACCATTAAACCCGTCAGGATCATTCCAAATGAGATATGGCGTCACATCCGCAGTGCACATCAAGTTCATCCGGAGAGTCTCGATGCAATGGTCCACATGCCACCGAACCATCTCGGGGCCTCCATGCCACGAGGCCTCGTTACTGTAGTCCCAGTCATCGCGATATGTATACTGCCGGATAAGATTCTAGATATAGGCATTAGCATGCACGAAGAGGACATAACGTGCGTGTACAATTGGCTCAACTTACTAAACAATGGATTTGATGGAACCCCTCTAGCAGCCCGACAGTTGGACTGTTGGGATCTCCCGGCGAGACGCGCCGCCAGTCCATATCAGTTGACTGATTCAGAGCTCCGAGCTTGTGTATATCAACGGGGAACGCCCCGTCTTGATCAGGGTCAGTCGTCTACCCGTGTTCAGGATCGGGTTAATCTTACACTTCCAGAGCTCCGCCCAGGCTTGTTCCAGCTCTGCCGTTGGCTTTCCGCGATACTTCGTGGGTGCGGTTGAGAACTCGTTCTCGAATGTCACCCATTCGTACTCGACGGCCGCCATGACCGGTGCTTTTCAGGGGGTTTTGTTGGTAACAGTTACTACAATGGGTAGATGCGGGTCACATACAGTATGCGGACATGTGTGTTGCGCATTCTATGTCCGTTGGTCCTCGAGCGTAGATGGTTACCGAACCAAGGAAGAAGGCGAGTGAGAGGAGAAATAAGGAAATGTTGAGGTATAGATATCTCATTTGGGAACCATCTCTTCTAGTTGGGTTATTCCCTAATGGCGTGGTATAGTCAAGGAAGGGTGCTGCTTGTTCCTCAAGGGGTGAGTCCTGAGATAGAGATTGGAATTCAACTTTTTCAGGAAGTATATTTGCCCTATTCAAGATGAACATAATCGCGATCTGAGAAACGTTAATCCCACAGAGATACAAGACAGGATATGGAATTCCAGGGCCCGGGAATCGAAGAGTACACCGAGGGAGACTTGAGAGGGCGGGAAGACATTAACCTCGTCCAGATGAGTGCGAGGGGAAGGACAACGGAAAGAAATGCGCCCTCACAGCAACCTCGCAGACCTACTATGAGGGGTATTTCTCTGAATGATGATCCCAACAGGAATTGAAAATTACTCACGAACTTGATTCGTGGAACACTACCAATATGATACCCCATTATGCATTCCTTCATGGGCGAGGCTAATCATCGCCGGAGAGCGACAGTCACAGCCGACTAACCTGTGAGCGTCTGTCTCTCCCACCAGAACTTACTGTAAACAGAAAATGGATGAAAGTTACGCATGCATGAGATTACCTGAATACGTAGCGCAGATCAGGCAATCACAAGGTTACATTGATCAATTACTCTACGAGCCTGGTAGATATTGCCTGCGCTCTCGGCGGTTGTGCCCCAGTACGCAATATTCTATCCTTCTTCACGACCGATACATAGCCAGTCGATCATATAAAGGGATTACTCCCCTTCCTTCCTTGGTTCGGTCTCACTCATCCTCGAATAAGTCTTTCACGTGTAGAGTCTGATCCTGCATAACCATTTTGCCTGCTTTTCAAATCTTCCACATCTACAAGTTATACCTCAATATGAAAGCGTCTACCACTCTGATGCTCCTCAGCTTGGCTGTTGTTGGCCTCGCTACGCCTCTGAAACGTGACGTCGACTGGACGGAGAAATATGTCAAGCCCGAAACCCGGGATGTCGAATGGACTGAGAAATACGTCAAACCTGAAGCTCGCGACGTCGACTGGACCGAGAAGTACGTCAAACCTGAAGCTCGCGATGTCGACTGGACCGAGAAGTACGTCAAACCTGAAGCTCGCGATGTCGACTGGACCGAGAAATATGTCAAGCCCGAAGCTCGTGATGTCGAATGGACTGAGAAATACGTCAAGCCTGAATGAGTGATATGACCGACAATAGCAATTGCAATCGAGATGCCAAGGGTCAAGGATGCTACCGCCACATTACTTATTCGAGCAAGAAGACCACTGTCTCCTGTCTGGATTGTCTACGCTAAATACAACGAGGGATCTCACTGAATGCAATATGAGTACTTTGTAATGATTATCTCTCTGTAGATTATACTGAGTAGACTAAAGTGATGACTAATTGAATCATCAACTTTCAACATTAGCAAAGTGTTTTCGTCTTATTATCAATGGGTTTGTGTTTACCTTTGTTCCGAGCCAGAAGCTGCCTTTGCCGCGGTATCCTAACTAAGGTAGCTAACACTAACATATTATTGTGGCTTTGTGGATCAAAGGAGCCTTGTCCGTGGCTATATCGCCGATATTGTAATATGATTGAAACTTTGTACACTTAGTACCGAGTTATCTAAAGCCTAGTCCAATTCACTTTGGCGGTCTTGTTTGACCAGAAGGCCGCGCAGTTCCGCACTCTATCAGGTCCAATTAAGCAAGGTGAAATGATGAGGCTGTAAGCAGCCTTTGCGGCGTAGCTTGTTCAGGCATCGCGCAGGTGATCAGTTATTTCTTGTTACACCATCTGCTCAAGCCGCCTCGATCCTGGACCCACGGAATTGTATGGCTATCTAGAGGGATTCTTTTCTCACCAAATGAAACTCCTTATTTACAACCGGTTTGATCCGTGTCCTCCTGATGATGGATATATTGATCGTCTGCACAACGCCACGGCCCCCACCTCTGAAGGATTGCGTCCTGGAACTTTGCAAATAGCAACTGCCTCTATTCCGTGACCAACAAAGCCTGCTGTACTAGCCTGTGCTACCAACTTTCGTGGGATAAGATCTTGCAGCTTAGATCTCTTAGCTGTCTGAGACTTACTCTGTAGCTATTATTATAATCCTTACTTAATATTATATTAGAAGGATCTAAATTATCATGTCGCTAGTCGCGACTACTTCTTTTTAGATAAATTAAGCAAAGATAAGTTTCACAAGCTCATAATCCAGGAAAATAATTAATATTATCTGTACGTAATTGTTGAAGTCTGCGATTGAGTCACTTCTACTTGGCAGCCGTCGCCTGGCGAGGCTCTCTCTTTTTCCGAGCCTCGACCCAGCGGATACGGATGATGTCTCCCTATCCAGACTAAGAATCTAAGGTTCTTGCTTCGGTTACACATGTTCCTCAAGCTATAGAGTAGCCGTCAAGGATTGATGATACCACATTTACCTGGTAGAACCACAATGCCTAGATTGCACTCAAGTGATAGTACTCAGTACGAATGTGGATGTATGAAATTTGCAATTTCTCAGTATAAGTTTGTATTTTGCATACAGGAACTCGGGCTGAGACTATCATCCAAAGACTAATTTTCGAGCCCACCAACAAGCACTGGTGTACAGAGTGTATTTGGCCATTAGTTTGGGACCACGTACTTTCGTAGTGCAAGCATTTCAGTCCATGGCAAAATACTTGGCATAACGAATAGGAGCTGCATCCAACTGGTGCTCCGGTCGACAGGAATCACTCCGTGGGGATGCTGGAAAGTGGAATAATGCGGCAATCTTGCGATTACCCGATTTACCTTAGTACACCCTGGAAGGAGCAAGCTAGTGGCAACTAGCAAGGCTCAGGATTTAGGTTTCTGACCGCTATTCAATGTGGCCGCAAGTGCTTAGCTGTCCAGTTCGAGATATGGCGCTGATCGACTCGTTCCTATAAACGAATGAATTGCTGTCCCTGATCCAATATTTGTTAGGAGCTCTAGTCCCGTGCTTGTATGTAGCTCGGGGTAATGAATATCCAATCTAGTGCTCTTGATAACTTACCCGGTTGGATTAAACACCAATCAGTCGCATAATACATACGCCATAGTGGATATTCACATCTCAGCCCCCGTGTTGTTGGAGCTTGATTATGACAATTGGCAAGAGGCCAGGGTATGATGTGTTGATTCCAACACACTGCGAATAACTTGAGATATACGGATGGTAAAAGGTTTGTAATTGCTACCCAGAGAAAGTTCTTTAGCCAAACAACTCCATCTATCAGCGAATTTTCCGGAAAAGATAGTCAAGATAATGATCGCAATAAAACATGGCTCCTGCGAAAGATGCAAACATGATTACTAAATGCGGATCCCTAGCCGTAGGCCTCGGAGGAACACCGACATCTGACACGGGGGGATGGACAAATTTGTTCAGGATGGGGACGGCCAAAATAACAAAGATTGGGTTAACATTGCTATTATATCGTTGGGAATTCCGTAGGTCTTCATGCCAGCCTCCTGGGAGACGAGGTTGGTTTGACTGGGGCAGATGCAATGGAAGGCGTAGGAGTCGCCGTCGCCCTGGACATTACTCAATCGATGGAACGACTCGCCATTATAGTTGTCTCGGATAATATGAGTGATTCTGTAACCGTTGTCAGTACCTCCCTGGCACAGGTCAAGAACTCAAATCAGTCGTGTGCCCTCTTCATGTCTAGAAATATAAAGATGCCGGAGGGAGTAATGATTACCCACTCCAACTTGAGCAGGGCGATTAAATACATATCGCATTGCAAAAACGGCCTAGATGATCAATCTCGTGCGTTCGATGTTGCATCCCATTCCTTCGATGATGCATGGGTCGATATCCTTCAAACTCTTCCAGCCGGTGGTTGCGTTTGCATCCGTTCAAAAGTTAGACGCAATGATCTAGGAGGCACCATTCAACGGCTGTAGGCTAATTTCACCTATCTGCCCCTATCCTCGCTGGGTTATCTAGACCCCTCTGACATTCCCCCCCTCAGAACGGTGTACATGGTGGGAGGAGCTGTCCCTGAGATTATGCGGGCAAAATGGATGGCGACATGCCATGTGGTGAAGGCTATGGTCCGGCTGAATGCACCGTCACAAGCACAATGACAGCCTCGCAAGGACTCATGCTTGAACTTCTTACAACATAGAGTAGGGTTCCCAGCACAGGCACAGCCACGAATAACAGTTGGGTAATGCTGTCCGTTGTCTAGGCATGGGAGAAAGAGCTAGACAACACGTTTAACTCACTGACGTTGGTCAGCGACGACCGGGAAACTCCTGAAGTGCAGGCACTTTTATGATTATTGAATTCATTCGGTAATAATGTTATTGTCGCATTCTCGCAATACACTTCCCGAGCCAGTTGTTACCTAAACTCCACCGTTCGAGAAGGACCAGGAGTGACTTGTTCAAGAAGAGGGTATCAGCGACTCTTGGTGCGAAAATAACAACGGTCCTCAGAATGCCAATATCATTACGGCGCCTTCTACCTCGCACTCTGCTTCAAAATGAAGAGGAACATGAGCCGGAGTTATGCACGATCCAACGCTGTTGAAAGTATCCAGAAATAAATGTTTCTCACGCGTCCTTCTTCCTCATGTCGAACTTTGCTCATCGTTTCTCAGTCGGCTTCGATACCCGATCAATCACAATCAATACTAAGGAGATCCTTCTCGATTTCATCACGGTTGCGGTTTGCGTCTTCCAGTAGCTGAGGCTGCCCAGTAAGTGGTTAATGCGCCAATGCCAGCAAACGGAGGCCAAGTCTCACCAGCTATTCCTTATTTCAGAAGTTTTGGTGCCGAAGCTCCCCCGTCAGAGCCACCGAGTTGATCAAGTCTCTATCCCATATTACAGTTGCGCATGCGTAGACAATGTGTTCGATTGCACCGTTGGTGAATGTCATGAAGTGTTGTTCCCACTCTACAACTTTTCTGAAAATCACAGACATCTTCTTAACAGTGGAATCAAAGGAAATTCAGCCCTCTGGCTCCACACAGCACCCTGGCCTTTCGACCGTCTATCACGATTCCAGTTAAATTTTGAGACAAGGACTTTGATGGCTATCTCAGTAGGCTCACCACGGCACGCCACTCCCCTTGCTCGGATTTGTAAACATGAGATAGTTTAGCCATACATGCTACGTCAAGGAAATCTGCGAACTTCGGATTCCCTTCTCTGAGTCCCCGTACCTTCCAAAGTGGTCTCCTCTTTCATTTCGTCAAACTGGGTGGGAGCCGCAAGGGCCAATGATGTTTCAGCAACTGTAGGGTTGGAGGGTTTGTTGGAGCCAACAGAATACGTACCTCGTGAAGGGATCCGAGCCTTCTTGACGACCATCTTGCCCTGGGTCAATGTTCCAGTTTTATCGGAGCAAATATCTGTGACCAACCCTAGAGCCTCCAGGGAGTTAAGCTTGCGAACTATCACGTTCTGCTGCAACATACGCTTAGTTCCCACGGCCATGGTAATTGTAAGGACGACCACTAATCAGGCAGGGATCATACTTAAACAGGTGCCAATTGCATAAAGGATCACTTCGTTGTTGTTACTGGAGTGACTGGCAGCCTTGACGATGATGGCAAACAGCAGTGCAATACCAAACAATAAAAGGGCTAAATTTGACCACATCTTTTGTAAAGGAGTTCCAACATTAACACCCAAAAACCGACCTACAGCATCCATCCCAGTCAAAGTCCAGGCTTGAATGTACCAATGCTCCTTGGTCTCACCATGTGGGCCACATTTGACTGGACGGTGCTTGTTGTTGGTAGCACGCAATGCGGCAGCAGTGGAACCGATCTCAGTATGCATGCCTGTGCCAAAAACCACACCACGAGCCTAATTGCGCGTGACAGTATTGGAGCTGTAGGCTATATTTAGACGATCTCCGGGACCTATCTTTCTTAAAAGTGGAATTGCATTCCTTGTGGACTTGAAGTGACTCTCCCGTGAGAAGGGCCTTATCTGTCTCAAAGTTAACTGCTTCGACCAGACTGGTCTAGTTAGCTTTAACCAACAGACCGGGATGACAACGCAAATCTATTCAAAAAAAAAAAAGAAAAAAAAAGAAAAGAAAAGAAAAGAAAAGAAAGGGATTCGACATATGAGTGGTGCTACAAGGTACTCCCGATGGCGCTTGTCATTCATTCATATACTACCGATAGACAGTGTTCAATATAGAGCATGTTTTTCTGTAGAAGTTTTCTTGACATTAATTTTGATAGCTACTTATGATTGTGCCACCCTTTGTCGAAACAACGGGAGGTGTCGGGAATATGTGAATTCAGATATTCAGATAATAACAATATGATATCCCCAAGGAAATGGTGGATCCTATTCAGACTGAGGCAAGGATATCATCGGTATATTTATAGGGACTGAATGGGTACCTCAATCATGTATTTTATGCGACTTCACCACTGCATATATGCAAAATGAATCATAATTTCCAACTACTATAATTTATCTATCACGATTATTATGCAAAGCATTCTATCCGAAAGGTGTATTGGCAGGCAACTACACAATAACAAAACTCCCTCTGATGCAAATAATGCAACCCGGTTCATAAGCCATGCAGCTTTTCCTGCGACTCAATCGCCTCCCTCAACACTCGACAAATGATTCCCAGTTGATCTTCCGTAATAATAAAAGGTGGCGCCAGCAGAACATGATCTCCCCGAACACCATCCACCGTGCCAGCACCAGGGTAAACGGCTACCCCTCGCTCAAAGGCGGCCTGTTGAACTCGTAGACCAAACTTCACCGAGGCATCAAACGTCTCTTTTGTCTTTCTGTCACGAACGAACTCCACAGCCCAGAAAAGGCCACGTCCACGGATATGGCCAACAGACGGACAATTCTGGAGTTCAGAACGGAGAAGATGTTCCAGGACCTGTCCCATAGCCGCGCACTGCGCGACTAGTCCCTGCTTCCGAATTATCTTCTGGACCGCTAGTGCTGCAGCGCATGAAATCGGATGAGCTTGATACGTGTGGCCATGGTTGTATGCATTGGTTCCTTGTCGGAGGGCATCGATTACCTTCTTGTGTACAAAAACACCTGATATCGCGGCATATCCGCCTCCCAGGCCTTTGGCAACAGTCACCATGTCAGGAACGACGTCCTTTTCTTGCTCAAAGGCGAAGAAGGAACCGGTTCGACCGACTCCACACATAATCTCATCTAGGATGAGAAGGATGCCGTACTTGTTGCATAACCTGCGCACTCCGGCGAAGTAGCCTTCCGGCGCGGTCACGCAGCCTGCTGTGGCACCCACGACAGTTTCGGCAATGAACGCAATCACATTCTCGGGGCCGACATTCAAAAATTCGTCCTCTAGCTCCTGAAGCAAACGAGTCGTAAATTGCTCTTCAGACTCCTCCGTTCCCTTGTATCGATACGCGTATGCGGGAGAGACATTGGATACATGCTGAAATAATGTATCCTGATAGGGAACCTTTCGGGCTACATTCCCGGAGATCGACATAGCCGCGAAAGTGTTACCATGATAACTTTGACGTCTTGAAATGAATTGTATCCGTTGGGACTCGCCCTTTTCGTAGAAATACTGCCGTGCCAATTTCAACGCAGATTCGACGGCTTCGCTGCCACTTCCGACGAAGAATGCCTTTTCTAGCCCGTAGGGACTACCCTCAAGGATAAAATTGGCCAGTTCCTCTGCGGCGGATGTAGTGTAGGACTGTGTGTGAACATAGCTGACCTTTTCGAGCTGGCTTATGATGGCTTGATGTACCTCTTGTCTTCCATGACCGACTGCGGCGACTGCGGCGCCCGCACAGGCGTCAATTATTGTTTTGCCGTTCTCTAGGTGTAGTTCCACTCCTTCGGCTCTCTCTACCATCACAGGATGCTCGATCAGCGACCGATGCAGGAGGTGGTTTTCTTGCTTTATCTGCATGGCGGACTCAGCGTTGCTGAGTGCTGGGGCGGAATCGTCGGTTCTGGAAGGAGACATAGTGCAATGCTGTGTGGCTGTTTTCTTGCTTCTTGCTTGTAAAATACACTGCGCAGCTGATCAATCCTTGGATTTTGTGATTCAGCGACTGGATAAATACAGCAATCCCTGTCGAAAATGGAGGCTAAATGCAATTCTAAAGAAAGATACTTTCTGAGTGGGCACTTACTAAATCGTAAACGAGATTTTCGGAACTATGCATATACAAGATTCTTGATCGGTTCTCAAGGCGTGCCATATCAAAGCCGAAACCCGACTGTCGGTTTCCGGATTATCGGGAAAGCCTCAACCTGAGTCACCGTACAAATCGCAGTTGACTGAAGGATCAATCCACCCACATTTTGTCCCGCACAGTAGGTAGTGGATCATATGTACCCTGCATGTGCCCGTCATGTTAAGCATTTGTTGTGGTTAATTGTGTTGAAATAGCTTAGGATCTTGCGGTAAGGTTCAGCTCCGATCCTCGGTTCTCGGGTTTTATTGCGTTTCTTAATTCTAAATACCCGTACAGTACCGCGAAGGCGGTTATAGGTCAGAGGTGACGGGTAATTCGCATAACGGAAAGTCGTATGAATAGGCTAAATAGCTTTTTTGTCAGAATATAAATGAACACTCCATACTGTTCGACAAAGTTCGGGAACTACCGCTGGGGGTACGCAAATATCTGCATATTATATCTAATGAATATATGTCATTTCAGTTAAGTCTATGATCCCCCGTATACGTGTCATTCAGCTGTCAATGCCAGGTCTACCTCTTCAAGTGATGGCCACCAGTGGCACCAAGCACCTTGATCGTGTGCAAAGCTGCTCGCCTCTACCAATAGTTGTCCAAGTGGCATGTCAATATCAATCTCGTTATTCCGAGAATCCATTGGGTGTGAGGGAGGGCTGCTTTTAGAAGGTCCCGACGTTTGCTCAGCGCCTTCAATCTCCTGGATATATTGACGCGATCTGTCGACAATACGAAACTCATGAATTGATTGATGGAGGACGTCAAAATCAGCTCTTGACTTCCCCTGATACCGTCGTCGGTCAGACACAGCTCGCTGATACAGCAGAGAACCATGCTCAATAGTTGTAAGCTGTATTATGTTAGCACGAGTCTATCCTCCTATATCACAAATAGATGTAAGTCATACCCAGGCATCACCAAGCTTCCATACTTTTCGAAATTCTTCAAGATAGGTGAGACAGTAATTCAAGAGCTGTTCGGCTCGTGAGCTTGAGCTGCGGTTGAGATTCATTTGTGGGAAAGAGTAAACATAGATATTCATGTAGGCCGCCGAGAAGGCACAGAACCCGATGAATGGCGTATACAAGTTGACACCACATTCTGAAGCTTCATGGAGTAAGCAAGCAATGTTTTCTGCAGCGCCAAACAGCTCCCCTGCACTTTGCTCCCACCAGCCGGCCGGTGCTTCTGCTTCAAGCATCGGGTGGTCAATTGGGCCTCGTGGTGCCGATTCTGACGTCGGTAGGAATGGGAAATATTCACGGTGAAGCATGAGAGTACTGCATATTCCGGTTAGCTAAACCAATGCCGGTCGCATCCAGTTGACCGCGGTACCTGAGGAAGTAAAGCAAATTTGAGTATATAAACGACTCTCCATATCCTAGGGTCATGTGGATTGCGACGCTGTTACTCGGATAGTGAAGCCTATGATGTTGGCTCGCTCTCCATTTTTCCAATTCAACTCTCGTCCGTGACCACGGGGATCCAGACACCCACGGGCAATTTTGCGGTGCACACATTCCAGGAGCACGACGTCCATCGTTGAAAATAAACGTCATCACCTGAGCCCATATATCGAAGCCAGAAACCAGTATCTCAAAACTTTGGGTGATGTCTAAAAGCCCTGTAGATTGTTTTTCTGATCGCATGAGGCTTTCCTCAATTCCAACGGGTTTCGAGGCTAGGTCTGCTCCAAACGCGAACTCGACGGTGCTTAGTGGTCGCATGATGCCTAACTTTTCCATTTCTGATATCGGAAGCATAGGCGGATTGTACGTTCCTGAGCTAACCATACGGTCCATGATAAAACATGCCCAGAAGGATCTATTTTCAATAGCGAATGACACGACATCATTTTCGGTAACTGGTGAGGTGTCAAGCGGATATGGAGCCACTCGCAAACTATGAATAGCTTGCATTATCCGTATCGCAATCCCTGCAGGAGTTTAGACTCGTTGTTCAGCCCATTGATTAAAGCTAACTTACCACAGTATACCCACGCTTTGTGGAAATTCCGAGTTCCCCATTCATGCAGGGTCATAATAAGGAGTGCCTGTACGACCTGGATTTTTGGAGGCTCAAGCATTAGTTGGGAAAGCATTTCCCTAGTATAGAAAGCATATTGATCAGTGGACAACAAATCGTCATCCCATGCAGGATTAACCAGCCGTCCTTGCAGCTTTGTTACTACTAAGATTGCGCCAAGCAAGGTCTTGATTTCTTTAGACTGTGTGGTCTGAAACTCTCGCGTAAAGGTTGGCACATGGAGTATTCCCAATTCAGGAAACTTGTTAGAAAAGATATTCAGTGATTTGAGAATCACGCTAATTGGAAGATTAGCAATGTGCTCGTCGATCTGGCACTTATCCCAGCTTCCAGAGACTCTACTATTTTCTAAGCTTGGTCTCGCATCTTGTTGTCCCGTTGGTGATCTCGCCCGCGATTGGCTTTCGGAAATTGATTGTTGGCTCCTATCGGTTTGGAGAGACGAATTTGGACCAGCTCGTCGCCTGGAATTTCTTGTCTTAACATGTTGCGGCCTAGTGAGCACACACCCTGAGATTTCCGATCTCAGACACTTCTGACATGGTGGGACTCCTGAATTGACGCATTTGATCTTTGATTTCCTGAGTGTGCAAGTTATTATTAACATGTACCAGTTCAAACCGCCATTGGACAGAGATTTACTGATGAAGAAGGTCCAACTAACCGACAAAAAGCACAGGACAAACTTGAGCGCATTTTCAGGATGTAGTCGTACTTCCCGCCCTTCGTGTACCTCGGGACTGATCGGAAATAGTCGGCTATGAGTTGACAGGAGTCCAAAAGTGATCCCAGAAGACGGATTATGCGTTGTAGCTTGCTGTCAGGTAATTAAATAAGATTTAACTAACTGTGCCGTTGACGTAAGGGCTGCAGCGATAAAATAGAATGATGTGAAAACAGGTATATAATCCGCTGAAAGTTTGCCTCGCGAAGAGATAGGACATTATAACCTGAGGCATCAACTTTGGCGACTGCTTAGTCATTACATAAGGTAACTTGACTAATTAGGTATATGTATAGCATAACTTATCCACTGTTTGGCAATGGATGCGGGCCATAGGATGTCTCAGTCGAAATAGTATCCAATAATTCCCAAGATGTCTATGTCTATTGATGGTGTCTGTATTCTACCTTGGTGCCAAACCCTTCCCAATTTATATACAACTCCGAATATTTTCTAAACCAGAATAATCTTAAAATTTAGGCTTCAAAATGCAACTCCGTTATCTGAATTTGTCATATGATGAGGGGAGGTAAGAATGTTCTCTATGCGTTGTTTCCACAGGAGAAACTGGCGCTGCTAGGGTTGTCGTGGAGCGCTTTCCCAGATACATACAGTCCGAGTCCGCACTATTTAATGTTAGATGTTTAAGATGCATAGATAGTCACTTTGGACTATGAGAGAGTGCGATGAGTGAACTTTCCACTTACTATGGTTGCAGCTATGCCAATAAGTACAATATTAAGAATTGTCAGCATCCCTCTTGTCACCGACGAGAGGTATTGGCCTCTATTAAGATACAGCCAGAAGATGGGACCCATCCCGACTATTATGGCTATAATTAGCATGTCCAACTACACTAGAAAGCTAGCAGATAATAAAAAGGAATCACTCACAACTAAGCCAACTTGATAGCAATGCCGCCTTTGCATGGGTATTAGCACGTTTTTCAATTATAAATGGAAATGAACATACCACTAAGCTAAGGAGGTTTTGGAAAACAGGAATGGCCGATGCAATCACCCAAGCAATTATCCATAGGACTGCGCCAATGACAATCCATGAACCAACAGCGACGAAATCCCGTTTATGCATTCGATCACTATTTCGGAATATGCGAACATATACATATTTCATAGCGACGTGGCCATTGACCACGCCTGCAATAATAATCTACTCCCCAGTATGTTAGAAAAAAGGACATGCTGACGAATTTGTGCAAGGGTATAGCTCACGGTTGGAAGCGCAATACCGTAGGCCACTTTGCGCACGACCGGACTAGCAGAACCAAGGGCCGGAGATGTGACATCGGAACCGGCATATCGATAGATAACAATTGCAGTAATGACATAGAGGGAGATTTCTACGGCCTGCAGTAATAAAAGAGATTTGGGGAACTCCTTGGGATCCTTCATTTCAGACATAAAGCCAAAGAAGGCCGCATGCGCCGCTATAAGACCTTTATCAGTCGTGCAAAAGATGCAAGATCGAGAGAGAAACGAACCATATGCGAACACAATATTGCACACAGCTAAAAATGCGTGATACAGGTCAGTCTGAATCGTTGCATCCACATGTTGGTTACCAGGTCGCTCAATTCCAACTCCAATCATCGCGATCATGACGGCGATAAAGATGCTGATAAATGCTAGCAGAAACAATTAGGATAATTGATCCGGTGCGGGACAATCAGACGGATAGTACTTACAGGCAACCGAAAGGTATGCCATATTTCCAGACGTACGAGGCAAGCAACACAAGAAGGAGATTACCAGACCAATGACACCGAACACGATTGTGCATGTCCCATGCTCGGTTATTGTATTCATGGCCACCGTAAATGTGAGTATATGGCTGGCCATGATGAAGATTAGGATGAGTAATTGGCCAGTGCCCAGCAGCTCACGCCCAAATACCCCGGCCATGACACCGCCTGCGTCGCCCATACTATGGACATGGGGATATCGCCATTTGAACTGTCCAATACTATACCCTGTGTAGGTGGCAATGGCGCCAAGCCCAATAATAAGTATAACAGCACTGGAATAGTTGTTAGGAGCTGACAAGATGCAGGAATGCCGGAGAATACATACGGAACTATCCCTATTGCGGCGAGAACAGCTGGTAAGGATAGAATTCCCAGAGAAACTGTTTCTGCAATCATGACTGGGCTGGAAATAAGCGTCGTGTCATCTATATTACGTCTCGGGTGTAGGGTAAAGCGTACGCATGCTTGTTTGCCTAGATTAATAGTAGCAAATTAGCCGATATTCCACTTTGTATTCCATATTGCTTCTATGCTTAAGTCGTCTTTAACGGAGTAATTGTAGCCTGAGGGTTTTTGACTTGCCACCAATTTAAGACTTTGTATTTGACTTCTGCAAATTCCTCATCACCAAAAGTATCGAACTCTTCCAGGTTTGATTTTTCATTTTTTCTTTCTAGATCCAGGTCTTCCAACGTGGATTCATGAACAATATCTGTATGTTGGTAATTGAGAGCATTGTCGTCTTGCGTCATCGTTTGTTGTGGTAGTTGTAGTGTCCCAGTCTATATCGAGTAATGAATATCTCCCTAGACTCGCTCAGAGAGGGCTCAGAAAAACAAGAATGAGTAAACAGGAGAGAAATAACAGGACAAACAAAGGAAGAACAAGGAATTAGAAATCATTTGGAAGGCACGGTACGATTCATCACGGCAATTGATTTCGTATCCAGCTCGGAATTTGAGGGGATCCGCGGAAAAGCGGAGATAGGAGCGGAAGGACGTGGAACTGGAAAATGATTTGAAAAGACCGCTGAGTATTCGCCACGTTCGAAGAAAAGACACATATCAACTACGTAAATAAATGTGCAAATATGGGGTATTGTGGACATTGTCTCCGCAAATACGCTTTATAGTTCGTTTTGCCCCGAGTGTAGCCGAAAATTTACTCTTAACAGGTTAAGCTGAGGGTCTATGTGGGCCTGCGCGGCGAAGAGCAGTTTCGGTGTTCATAATAGGAAATCTGGAGCCCGGGGAAATTCCTCCAAACTGCTCCAGATTTGGATATGAATTGGGGGGTTGAAAAGTGACTGTTTAGTAATAGATCTCTAAGGATTTTGTCGACTGAGCTAATACTTTCTGCACTTATACCTTAAGATCTATTCTTGGGGGTTCGGAGCTTAATCCCACTTTAGGTATTTAGATTTGTTGCCAAGCCAATGATGCAACTTGCTGCATATGCACCACAGCATTAGATAGTCTTGATTTTATATAAAAATTTGTGTAGTTATTTTATGACTAAACGAGCTCGGCTCAGACTGCACAAAAAAATATATCTTATTATAAGTGAATGGGAAAATGAGCACGAGATAAATAGAACTCTGCTAGACATAGAGGTATAAGTTAAACTTAGATAGTCTATATAGAGCCCATGGGCTAGATATATCTACAATACTAGTATTAATATTTAGAAATAAGTTCTAGTTATCTGTATTATTGGTCTCCGTTGAAAAGGAGAGACTTTCTCATATAGAAAGCAAGACGCTACAGCCAGCTTTGAAAGCGGTGTAATGTCAGATATACAGCTAGTCGCGAAGAGGAAATAGAGTACGATTGGTAAAAAGGTCTTAATTTGAATGAATTGAGCTGGTTGGGCTCTTCTTGATTATTCTCTTCTTGATTATTCTCTTCTTGGTTATTCTTGATTGATTATTTTGTTGTGTGCTCCACGGGGTTCACCCCGATCTACTCACATAATTCTGGTCCACCAACGGCCATATTATTTGACATGTAATTAATTAGCCCCTTCGGCAACTAGTGTTTCAATGGAATCCATAGAACTGCACGCCGTTGTTAGGATTGCATGGTATACTCATCAGCAACGACCTATGAGGCAAATTGTTAAAACGTCATCTAACTCTAAGTGTTTTTATCCTGCAAGCAGGGGTTTCATTATTTTATCTCTTTTTTCTCAAATTCACACTCAGTTGTCACAATCAGTACTCAAGGCCACCTCACGCGCATTATCCAAGTCATCAGTTAGGCTCTTCAACTTCCCTTCTATCCGCTGTACACAGTCTGGACCCAGAGGCAGCCTCAAGACCTTTCCCTTAAGCTCTCCAGCCACGCCCTCTCCCGTCACAGCTCCAAAGATTCTAGCCACTGCTTTCTCCGGATCCCCTCTCTGTTTCCCTTGTGCCGAGTCGAACATTTCGAGTGCTGCCGCTACAGGGCCACCCTGGTAGGCTTCCGACAGTGGGGTTTCAGTCTTCAGCCTTGCCGATAGGAAATTCGTCCGGAATGCCCCAGGTTCAACGATGAGTACAGAGATATTAAATTGCGATACCTCTCGGGCCAATGATTCCGACAACCCCTCTAGCGCGAACTTGCTAGCTGCGTACAACCCTACTGATTGGATCCCATCCTGTCCGGCTATACTAGTGACGTTCACAATCGTTCCGCTTTTGCGCAAACGCATGAACGGCAGAACAGAACGAATGAGTCTTAAAGGGCCAAAGAAGTTGGTTTCAAACTGGGCATAATTCTCCTCATCTCTGTATCCAGCCTGTCAGTTCTGAGATCAGGGATCGTTAACCGAAACCACGTACTTTGTATCCTCGATTGCCCCTAGTAGCGAGTATCCTGCGTTGTTTACCAAGATATCGATCCTGCCGTAGAAACTCTCAGCTAGTTTCACTGCATCAGGCACGGTATCTGCCTTTGTTACGTCGAGTTCAATAACCTTTCCACCTTTGGACTGGATTATTTGTACTGCATCGGATGATTTGGAGGTACTTCGTACTGTGGCGACTACGTGGTGACCGGCGGCTAGCGCATACAGGGACAGGCTATACCCGAAGCCCGATGAGCTACCGGTGATAAGCCAGACTAATGGAGCCATTTCTGTATACGGATGTGTATGTATGCGAAGAAGGAAGGTATAGCGGGAGAATATGTGTATATATTGACATTTCTATACTTACTGGCAATTCAAGTTATAAATACTCCCATCAAGCGGGATGGAGATAAGTTGCTCGGCCTTAGATGGACTTAACCTGTAAACTCCTTGTGAGAAGGATCGAGCCAAGAATGACGTGAGACCAATGGCGCTTAACTTGTTTCGGCGATCGTTGGTTTCAGCATGAGCAGCATCCAATGACTGACCATGAAATATTCCATGCAATGGGGAGGAATTATACTCTCCTCTACAGAGTATAGTGCAGGGCTAGCAGAATTCTCTTTGCTTAATTGGCTGACGGGCTTCGAGACCATCAGCATTCTACTGCTCGCTCAAGTGTCAAACATAACTTCCATCCTAGTGCAGAGATATGGCATAAACACATTTCAATATTAAGGTGCTGAAATAATTATTGAATCCTCATAAAGGTTCCGGATGATAAATTTATTCCTTAAAGATATATGAACCTCTTTAATCGGCTAAAGAATTCACGAGATTGTGGGGCGTATCTTTGCGATTCCATCATAAATGCAAGGGTAAGGGTGATTATTTTTAGGTTGATCGCTTACAAACTAGGGGATTGCGCTCATATATGTGCAATTTCATCACTATCCTAACCTTAACAGGAGCTGGCATTCCGTGATCTGCAAAATGTTCTCGAAAGCGGTGAAGCTACACTTGAGAGGAGCAACAATGTTCTCAAAAACTCCAAACCCGTGAGAGATGAGAAAGGCGTCAGCCATCGTTCCCCGTGTGAGCTTAGCATTAATCCCCAATCCGTGAAACACGGAGGGATGATTCGATCGGTTGAGAAGGAGTCTCCATTAGAGAAGACCCATGCGGAGGAAATGACTCGGAGTATTAAATTGGCGTATTTATAAGGTGGTATGCAAAAGAGATGGTTCTGGGAGTACAATAACGCTTTCATTTATGAGATATCAACGTGCTTTATACAAATCCAGTAAACGCATTTCAGAGGGCTATCGTACTGGATACTGGGGCATTTATTTAGGCAAAGGTAGAAGAATTGCCCCGGCTAGAACTGAGACTGAATGTGAATTACAATTTAATAAATATATAAAAAAATACTTCAACTATTGACAGAGTAAAGCCGATCCATATTGGGACATCACGTGAAGTAATAGTGACATGGCTATATATGCTATGCCTCCAGAAGAAGAGGGGTAATGACAATACACATCACAATGAATTCAGAGAATATTCGGGCCAATATAGAATTGCACCAATACTTCTGACAATTATCCAACTAAAATGTGGTAAATATTCTTACCTGCGACGTGATTGGCCGGATCGCGTCGATTTCCATTTCGGGAACAATCGTCACTATTAAGTCAGCGACGACCCCAAACGCCAGCACACAGATGTGCACTCGAATACAAACCTGCCATGTCTTCTAAAAACGAAATAGATCTCTACAAAGGCTCTCCTGCACCGGGTCTAGTCCCTACTAACCTTCTCAAAGATGCAGCAGCAGTCGCTCTATTGGACCCTAAGATCTCAGAACCAGGATGCGACTACGGTCCGGAGGAGGGATACTTGCCACTGCGGGAGAATATTGCCAAATGGCTGACAGAGGTCTACGAACCAGTGGAGCCGGTTGTTGCCAGTCGAATCTGCATCACCGGTGGCGCGAGCCAAAATCTCGCCTGTCTGCTGCAGGTGTTCGCCGATCCGGTACAAACAAAGGCGATATGGCTTCCCCAGCCGACTTATCATCTTGTGTTTCAGATATTTGAAGATGCGGGATTCTATGACCATTTGAGGGCCATACCGGAGGACATGGATGGGATGGATGTGGAGACACTCGAGAAGGAACTATCACGAGGAGAGAAGGACTCACCTACGGAAGGTGGACCACATGAGGTGTGATGAATTCAAGATGCTTTCTATCCCATGGTATACTGATAATTTAGTCAATTTCAAAACCACCTCGACCGTACAGAAAAATCTACCAACACATCATATACTGCGTTCCGACACATGCCAATCCAACCGGGACGACGATGACGCTTTCTCGTCGGGAGGAGCTCATTCGAGTAGCGCGTAGGCACAATGCCCTAATAGTCAGCGACGACGTCTACGACTTGTTGTCCGCCGGTGATTCATCATCTCAAAGGCTGCCACCACGTATTGTCGACCTGGACAGACGTCTTGACGGTTTTCAAGCCCCATTCGGAAATTCCGTGAGCAACGGATCGTTTAGCAAGCTGATATGCCCAGGGTGTCGTGTGGGATGGGCAGAGGCAGCAGGTGCTTTAGTATATGGATTGTCTCAATGGTATGGCATATATGTTTCCTTCCCAATTCTTTCTTTCTTTAGTGAGCCGGTCTAATGAGCAACAGCGGATCAAACATCTCTGGTGGTGCTCCGTGTCAATTAATGTCTACATTTATCAACCAACTGCTCGAAAACGGGACTCTAATAACCCATATTGAGGATACAGTCATTCCAGCATGTGCTCGACGATTCGTAGCCATTACAACCGCAATCAAAAAGCGCCTGTCGCCACTTGGAGTAACATTACAGCCAGACCCAGAGGGAACCTTGCTCACAGGCGGGTTTTTTGTCTGGCTTAGTCTGCCTTCGCCGTTGAATAGCACGGAGGTGTGTGAAGCTGCAAAGAAAGAGAATCTAATTCTGGGAGATGGGCCGGTTTTTGCAGTTCCTGGGAACCGGATACCAGAGTTTCTTCATCGAAGACTAAGGCTTTGTTTTATGTGGGTGGATGAATCGTATTTAGTTGAGGGTATTGCTCGCCTTGAAATTGTGATAAAAGGGCTACTAGACGGGTCGAAGAACGGTAGCTTAGTATCTTCATGTGTTGGCCAGATGTCATGAATGGATAATGCTTATTTCTAATAACAATCTGCGTTGATGTATCTATCAGATGGGGGGATATTCCAATACGGCCAATTTGGTGAAAAAGTTCTATATCAACCAAAGCTGGCTCCATTTCCTCGCGAGCTCCAGTTGGGCAAGATGAATTCTCTCTTCTTCCGGATCCTCAAAACGTTTCTGGGCAAATCCACTACTACTCTCCGTTATCCTAGCAAAGTACGGAGAATCGACCTCGCACTGGGTATATGTCTCAGGCAACTTGCCTTCGTAAAGAAACTCGCGTAAATACTTCGTAGCACATACCGACGTCACTACGGGCGAGCAGTGGCCGTACCCTTTTATCTCAACGATCTGTGAGCCATCGAATGCCAAGTTTGCCGAGCGGGCAGACATGAGAGGACACACCGGATCGTAAGTAGTCGTGAGAATCAGGAGTGGATGAGCCGTCTTGACCCCCTTGCGCGGTACGTATGGATGTGTTCTTGGCACAGTCCATTGCTGTCTCATATAGTACATTTTGTTCAGGCTGGCACCGAACAGACTCTGATTGACCAAGGGAACGATCCTATCAAGGAGCGATTGTCTGTCCTGGGGCCAGTGGTCCGGGCCCGTAACTCCATCGTTGAGGGTGACAAATTCGCTGGCCTCGTGCTGCCAGGAATTTTCATTCCTGTAGGCAAAGAAAGCGTCTGTGGCGTTTCCTTGCATGAGGTTGTACAAAATTTCTGCAAGAGACGTCCACAACACGGGCTTATTCAAGGCCGGGAAAACACCATTGTACCAGACTTTGTCATAATCCAGTACCCCGTAGAAAGTATTATTCACATAAACACTGATAGGCTGTTCCCGAAGCGTCCTCATATACGAAAGGACGGTGTCGCGCAACTCCTCAGTAGTTGTTGCCAGAGAAGCCAGAGAGCAGTTGTCGACACCCGCCTTAATACACTCGTCAAAGAAGCCATCAAGGACGGCATCTGTATCAACCAATGCCTCCGCTTCGTAGAGACCTTCGTACCATTCGAATTGATCCACCACACCATCAATGACGACCCGTTTAGAACGCTCAGGGAATAGTCCTGAGTATGTCTGGCCCAGTAAGGTACCGTAGCTGAATCCCCAATAGGCCATATCTTTCTGACCAAGCGCATTCAGAATGCTGTTCATGTCCGCTGCTGTCTGTGGAGTGTTGATATACTTTGCATACTCGCCCATCGTATCAGAACAAGCCCTGACAAAATTCTGAGTCCATGCGTAGAGTTCTGGACTATTGACTACAACATCGTGGAATCTCACACGGGACAGCTCCTGTCGCGTCTTCCCATCAGGGTAACAAGAAGCTAGTGGTGTGGAGCTATTGACACCGCGCGGATCAAACGAGAGCAGATGGAAGCCCTCACCAACTATTGTGTTCAGTTGCTCGCCTAGACGGTAGATGAGATCGAAGCCACCTCCTCCGGGACCGCCGGGATTCAGGATGAGGTTCTGAGTTGCGCTCCTACCGCGGAGACGGATGAGTGGGATGGTGAAGGTCTTATCTCCCGAGTTTTTGAGGTCGAAATGATCTATAGGGACATCGATACTGCTGCATTCGAGTGGCTTGCTATTCAGAGCTCCACATGGTTCCCATTTTATCAGCTCTCCATCGTATTCGAGGAACCTTGATTTGCTCTGGGGCGCGAAAAGGGCTGATGGGTGGGTAAAGATAAATACATAACAGAGTAATATCAATGAAATGATTATACAGTGTCTTGGGCTTAAACCACTTCTGTGCCTTTTCCAGGCAATATCTCTCTGCAAATGCTTCTCGTCCATAAAGTATTTTGCCAACGAGTGCTCTGCGGTGTACGAATGCAAATAATATAAAATCTACCGAAACAATCTGAGGGATCCTATTGAAATAGTAGAACAGACACGATCATACTGATTGCTACACCAGCCTCTGTTCCCCGCACATTGGAATTTGCTTATAAATGGCGTGCGTGTAGTTGGATGACGCTACCGAATGATCAGTCGACTATCGTGCTAGCGCATGTAAGTAAGCTCTTAGTTTGCTGCTTTCCCACTTCTGGTGGGAATTTTATTGCCCTAGCACTCGTCCGATGACGTGGTTTCCATTTCCACCTCCAAAATTCGTTGGTGGCTGGAGTTCAATTTGCGGAGATGTTGAAAGCGCCTAATGCTAGAGGTACAGTTCACTTTCCATAACTAAATGCTAGATGGGCTGTTGAAACAAAAACTTTTTAAAAACAGGTTCTAGTATATTTTATTCCATACAAATGGTTAAATTGAGAAAGGAATCTTGCCTGGTTTCCCACATAATGGAAGCAGAACTAGTTGCAATAAGTCGAATATCACGCCACCCAACAGGCGAATTATGTATTGCGTGCACTGGATATTGCTGTAGGGATGCTTATCAGCAGTAATGCAGTGTTCCTCGGGTTAGCCTTTGCCCTATTGAATATGATATCATACGCATGCTACCTTACGTTCTTTTCCTCTAGATTTTTACTCGCTGTGGTATTAGATATGAAGTAAACTAAAGTCTCAGGTGATGTCTCTGATAGACGTATCCCATGACACATTGACTGCTGAGAGAGTATTATAAGTATGTCGCTTTAACAATAATCAATATATGTACTATATATCTATCCATCGGAATATGAGATATCGTACTATATACAGACTCGGTGTAGAACTTTATTCGGAAATGGCTGTTACACAATGGATTGAGACATTTGTGATTAACTATTATGAATATTTACGTAAGGCCCAATCAACTCGCTGGGGTACTATCCTAAATAAGGAGACCGACTCGAAAGCAAGGTTGTGACGATACGTTAGAGCATCTATAAAGGAAGCTAATTGATCGTCTTTGCTCTTGCTTCCATGAATGTTCCACAACTTTACTGCCTGGTCACCAGCCTTGATGTTCCTACATAATGTGAATGCTCTCAAGCAACTTAGGAGCAAAATACTTCCTAGTCTTGTATTCTACATATCCACGGGTACAATTTACATTGTGTTCTCTGCTGATTGTTCTTAGCTACTAAGGTAAAGGGATCAGCGTCCTAGAGACAGTTTTCTGTCTAGGATGACGTCTGAACATCCCGACAGGGTCCAAAATCTGCTCATTGTCCTCAAGCAAAATGGCGGGCTCTTGAAATATGAGCGCGTCCACAATCTCGTACTTAGTGACTTACATTATCCCGTAGTAAAACGAAGAATACGGGAACTCATGTATCTTCTAAGGGGAGGGGGTTCTAAATAACAAATGAGAGTACCTCCTGTCATCAGTAGAAATCGGTGTATTGACCTTGTTTCCCACGCTGCCTCAGTATGAATTATTTCAAGCCAACCCTACTAGTTATAACATGTACTTAATGCAGCGCAATCAGATCGGGTGTTATTTGTAACAGAATAGCGGGGAGTACCATGCTGCAAGAATACTTGATAGTAGCATCAGAGCTTCCCAAAACGGTACGCTACAATTTACCAGCGCCTCGATAATAGGCACGCTTAAAATAATCTATACTTAACTTGCGCAATAGGTGTATATTGGGTTATGTCATCCATTTAAAGTTCAGCTAATCTTACTAAAGTGATTTATGGCATTGGATTCTGTACATTGATCGGCCAGGTACCCGGGCGGAAAGTGCTACCAGGGACGACCCCGATTGGAACACCCGTGGAATATAATTATGGCAGTTCTCTGGTATTGCTTAACCTACTTATAGAAGTCAAAAGGTTAGCCTTATCTGTATCGATAATTTTTTGCTTCCTTGATATCGCTACATACTTACCAAACGATTACGCGGCTTCGTCCCCGAATTATATATATTAAAGAGAAAATGTGGTGCAGAAATTAAAGCTAACTTAGTTGAGGCAATTATATATTAGCAATGTTTATACCAATTGTACAGTTTTGTACTCTAGCAGTTATCACTAGTACATTACAAATTCAGTATGTTAAATATGTTTTGGTTTATTCTTCTGCTTTGAGCAGGAATTTTGTATGAAATGTTAATTCCCTTTCCCCTAGAAACTGGCCTACTCGAATCTGAACCAGATCCTGCCACACACACTTAGTATCATACTTGGCTGGGATCTTCTGATTGTGATGTATGTAGTGGTGGCTCTATAATAATCTAGTAATACGATCGCCAGAGTACTATGTTTTTGCTGATTATTGTAGCAGACATCGGAGGCTGTTCCTCATCCCAGCACTACTCCTGAGCCAGAAACAACTACACCGTACGAGAGTACTACCCCTTACCAGTCTTACTAGCTCTTCTGCCGTGCCAACCTGCTTCCTCTGCTTTCTCTACTTCCTCTGCTTCTATCTCAAGCTATCAACCTCTATTACAATCAGCATAGCCAGCTTCACATCCACCTTAAATGAGGTTACTACTACTCTCATTTCCACCGGTACAAGTTCAACTCCGGAGGCTAGTACAACAACATCACCAAATTCTACCACCAGTGAGAGCTACTTGGAGTACCAGTTATGCTATCACCTCTACTACAAGCTCCGTTATCAGCTCTACATTTAGTTCCAGCTCTAGTTCAAGTTCTATCTCGAGCTTGGCATCCAGCTCAACATCCAGTCTCATCCCTAGCTCTACATTAAGTTCTGCCCCCAGTAAAACCTCCAGTTCTTCTTCTGGCTCTGCTTCTAGTCTTATCCCAGAACATCCTCCTTCCAGATCTACCACCAGTTCAACTATCCCCAGCACAACGACCCCGCCTCTCCCCCACCCCGCCCCCCACAACAAGCGCAACATCCACCGCCTTCCCTGATTGTCCGACCTGCGACCCACAGGCCGGTCGCAACCGATGCAACGTCGCCACGTCCCACAGTCGTCCTGGGGAATGATTTCCACTGCGCTTGTTCCGGTGGCTATAATCCAGTAACCTGGGCCACAGAATATCACATCGAACTCCCCGCCTTCGGGTACCTGTTTTTTGTCCCGCAGAACGCACCATGCACTACATCGTTTACCAATCAGCTTGGAAGTCCCCGGGGACTGTGTGTTGAGGTTACCTTGGCGTAGTTAACTTGTAAAGCTTGATTGGTATGAACAGATGCTTGGTCTATATGGGTCTGGCTTGTTGTTTCGTTGCTAGTTTTTGTTAATATTTAACGATACTCCGGACTACTTGTGATAACAAAAGTTAGTATTAATGTTTTTATATTTACTAACGCATAGCAATATGCTACTCAATATTGTGATGCCGCATCCATACTGAAGAGTAAGGGCACTAGTATAATTAAATTTTAATTCTACTCAATTATATTGGTGTCAATTGATGCAGGTATATAACTAGGTGTGCAAGTTATTACATAACCGCATCATGCCAAAAAAGGTCAACCTCAACCTCCTCCCCTCAAGTGGCATATCAATATAATATCCACGCTCATAAATGGAAATCCAGTATCCTTAAGCGCAAGTTCCGTTTGGGTTAGGATCACTGGGCGAGCCCTGGGTCATGCACAGCTTCGAGCAGCAGGGAGTCTGAGGATCGCATGGTAGTCCCTTAGGAGTGCAGGCAGTTGCCATGGCAGCCATGAAAGAGAGGACGACTACGGTAAGACGCATGTTGGTATTTTTGTGGAGGTGGTGGTCTAAGAAACGTGAGCCCATAATTCCAGTCCGATTTTAAGCCAGACAGTAACATACTATTGTTCTTTTTGTAGATTGGAAGACTGTAGTTGCTTGATGGAAAAATCGATTCTTGGGGGAGATGACAGCCTTTATATACAAATGTGTGGGTCTTTTAGAACACAAACAGTGATAGTAACGCTGTTACATCCAGATCTACGGAGTAGGGGCCAAAGCATGAATCCTTAATGCAGCCAGGGTATGCCCATGTTCTGGTGAGACAATGTGGGCCAATAGTCCATGATAGATGTACTGAATTGGAACTTGGTGGTTCCAAATCCTGGAGGCCTATTATACGTTGGCCGGTAATCCCTCGCCACAATCAAAAATGCAGCCAAGGAGTAGGAGAACCCCGGCGGTGTATAGAATTGTTGGGGGCTTGATTTATAGCCCAAGGTTAGTACTCAGTATATCTATATTATGTGTATTCTGTACATACATAGTATAGGAACCCTGAACTTTCTTTCCATTTATTCTCGAATATTTAATTTTCGTATAGTACCCACGACTATTCACCAGCTCAAATACAGTATTCGCAGAGAGAGACATGTTGAGACAAGCCCAGAAATGCTCAATCTCGATCCCCTGTTCGCCCAACAGAAAATTTCAAGCTTGCTAGATACTAATATAGTAAAAGTGGCTTCTTTGTTTCCAAAGAGGGGTAGTTGCGGGGACCTGAAGCAATTGGCGTGACTTAGTTGGTGTTCACTTTCGGAGGCACTGGTTGATCGACACATGGGCTAACTTTAGTCGGTTAAAGTCGATTTCTTGCCTGAGACTATTGGGATATACTCCGTACTCCGTATCTTGTTGGGCTCCCATTCGTTGCCTTCAGCTGTCATCCACATTGGTATGGTTCTTTGATAGCATATGCAAACCAACACTTCTTATCAACTCAGGTAGGCTAAGGACACAGTGTGATATCCCTGTTGGCTATTTGACGTTATTGATGTTGGCTTGCTAGTCTTCCATTCGGCCTTTTTTTTTTTTTTTTAACTTTTTGCCGTGAACGCCGATAACTGTTACTGTTTGATCTTGGTTTAAGGCTACATTTTCATGGCTTTTTGCCATCTCAACGTTCTTCAAACTATCACTTTGATCTATAAGTCCCCAGACTGGAGTAGCATAGACAACAGTGCGCTCCTGGAACCCCATAGTGGTGTAAGGAAATTGGGTTTAGGAGAAAAAAAAATCACCACTGATAAAAAGAACGGAGATTTGGTTCCAAAAACAAACAGGAAAAAGGAAAGAAAAACAAAAAGAAAAAAAGTCCAAGAAAAGGCCTAACAGGAAACTATAAATAAAGGAAAACAGAACGAATGGACGTGAACTCCCTGAGCATTCCTATTTTCTCTCTGACTCGCAGCAGACTTTGGACAACGGACCAGGACCTGTCTTTCTGAGCATACACATTGATATTGGCTATAACAACTGAATTGATCTAGATTTTGCTTTTTGCTTTTCAAATGGCTATATTTAAATTTTGCCTGTTCCAAACAAATCTTAACCCGGCAACTATTGACTCTTACTAGGTACAGTGCATTTCCCTAACTAATCACACATGAAAAGGGCCGTTGTGGTACAATAAAAGTAAGGCTGCCAATTATTAAAATTGTAGATTCTACAACGTAAGTCACGACACCCTGTGCGGTTTGATCCTTAGATATGGCAGTGAAGGGAGTAATAATATTGATTAGAAGGTCATCTGACCATCAATCAGAATCTATTGGCCGCTAGCCTTAAATCTTGGTATGTGGATTAAACACAATGCAATGCATACACCACCAGTGACGCTTCAGTCGAAGATTTGAATTATAAAAAACGTTTACTTTTATAATACTACTGCTGTACCTTTGAAACTGGGAATAATTCATCGTCATGCACTTCTCAAAAGCATTCTGCGCTGCATTTGGCCTATTTCTTTTAGCCGACCAGTCCAGTATTCCATCCTCATCTTTGCACAGATCCAGCGCACCTATTCCTCCAAGTCTCGATCCATTTTACAACCCTTCGGATTTGTCATGGCGGTTTACAATTCCAGGCACTATACTCAAATTTCGTAACATTACCTTCGGCCTCACATCTCCATCGCCAGCTATACAGGCATCATATCAACTCCTCTACCGCACCACTAATGCCCACGGCCATCCAAGCCATACCGTGACGACCATAATTATCCCCTCAGACGCAAACCTGACCAGGCTCTTATCATACCAAATCGCCTACAATTCACCTGATATCAACTGTTCTCCGTCTTACTGGCTCCAAGATGGCGCGTCCCACCGCTCCCACGGAATTTTAGGCGAACTGAGACATCTGATCATTGCATTCCTGGCACAAGGCATTCCCATGAATATACCAGACCACGAAGGGGTAAATGCCGCCTTTAGCGTGGGAACTCAGACCGGCTACAGTGTTCTGGACTCACTTCGTGCTGTGACAAAATCAGGCTCCATCACCGGAATTTCATCCGCAGCGTCAATCACAATGATAGGATACTCTGGTGGTGCTTTGGCAACTGAATGGGCCAGCGAGCTGCACTCTTCCTACGCTCCTGATATTCGTATTTCCGCCGCTGCCATGGGCGGCTTGCCAACGAATATCACCAAGACGTTCTTTGCAATCGATGGGACATATCATGCTGAGCTTATTACTGCTGCGTTCAATGGAATTGCAAACGCATTTAATCGCTTTGCAATATATATACGTCGTCATCTGAAACCAGAATATGCATCAACTTTCTATTCCCCCAGACAAGAGTGCACAAAGAAAATCTCGAGTCAACTTGAGTTCTCTTTTCGAGGCCGCCACCCGAATATCTCATCGTTTTTCGACAACGGAAATAGAATCGTATATGACCAGGCCGATTTGATAAATACGATCGGTGTTATGGGATTCCATGGCATTCCAAACTTCCCGCTATATGTTTGGAAGGGTACAAATGATGAGGTTTCGGTTCCGATTGAGGATACTGATGCCCTGGTGAAGAAGTACTGTGCTGCAGGGACTAATATTACTTATGTTCGTGTGCAGGATGGGGACCATAGAAAGGCATTGGTCGCTGGGTTGCCGGGGGCAAAGGGGTTCCTGAATGATACTTACAATGGAATCGTCCCTACCATGTGCACGAATACGACTATTCCCGCTAAGGTTGGAGACGATGCGAATGGCATGGAAGAATTGCTATGATGGCAATTCAAGTATGAGAGTTCTTGTATTAACAGAGAGCATATTCATAATATTTCCATAGTTCTCTATAAGAATTGGCCCATCCTGTAAGTGGAAAGATTCAACTCAGTCCTCTGGGATTCATCTGGACAACTCTTAGATACCAAGCCCCCAAACACTGTACTAATTTCCCACAACACGCTTGACCGTCTTCTTCACGCTCTCCAATTCAAGTCCCAACAAGTCATTGCTAAGGTTTAGATCCTTGACATAGTTCGACTGCAGCCCGGGGATACTCGCATAAGTTGTAGCCCGAACCAGCATAAACGCCCCTGAAAAGTCCCCTGCACCAAGTTTCTTCCGAGCCTCGCTAACCTGCTCATCAGTAGTCGTGCTTGTCACACTCCACTTAGCACCGGTTTCCTCCTCCAGAGCAGCGAGAATCTCATTCTGAGTGGTTTCCACCGACGCAATATTGATGTTCTGGTTTTGTGTCTCCTGCGGATACTGCAAAACTGACACCACAGCCTGCGCAAGCTGTTTCTCATTCGTCAGAGTAAAACTCTTACTTCCTCCGTCCCAGATAGTTGCTTTCCGATTAGGGATGTCGAATTGTAAGAATCCATTCCCAAGGCCCTGTGCGCATTCATCAGTCCGATTGCCTCCCAGGTAGAAGAAAAGTATACGTACCCAGTCAAATAAAAGGGACGGAAAAATTCCAGTCCAGGTAAGACCTTCTCCCTCCTTGGCCTTCAGATACTCCAGAAGTTCCTTCTTCACCTCAAAAAGGGGTAAGAGGCCCCGAACAGCCGCGTTCAGACTACTGGCGGAGAACTCGGACGGGATGAACCGCTTGACTCCAGCGCGCACAGCGGCATCGACATATTTTTTCTGATCGCTAAAGGCAGCCGAACCGACGGTGGAAATTACCGCGTCCTTGCCCTTAAAGGCGGCTTCAAGGTCGGTCTCTGAGAAGTTGGTTTTGCGCACGATCACGCCCGCAGGGAATGTCGCTTTACTCTCCGAGCGGGTAATGGCTGTAATTGTGAACTGGGAGGACTCAATCAATCCGTTCACAACAATCGTTCCGATGCTGCCGCCGGCCTGGGGAATGTTAGCTAGGTTATGGGTGGAATGAGCGGACGTACTCCGATAACTGCAACGCTCTTCAATGGGGAGGACATTTTATTATAGCTTAAGCTGAAGTTGAATGAAGTGTGAACTGTATTATTCAAGAGATGAGAATTCTCTTTCCTGTATTTTGGGATATTCTACGTGAGAGACTGGCATATTTATACCACTGCTGCCCCACATCGGCCCCATGAATAATAACCTGAACAATGAATTGCGCATTAGAAATACTGAGTCCTCCGCTCTCCGCTCTAGCCAATAAAGTTCAATCCACGGCTGACATTCTGTTGGTTTCGTACTCATCTTGTCTCATCCCACAGTGCCTCTCATCTTCGATTATCCTAAGTCAGTTTCGAAATCAACAAGCAGGATTAATAAGAAATGCCGCGGAGGATGATTGCGTCCGGACGATCGTGCCTTGAATGCCGTCGGAGGAAGATCAAATGCGACAGGTCACTCCCCTGCTCCTATTGTGTGAAAACGGGAATACAGTGCGCTTATCCACCGCGGAGAGCGGAGCGCACAAGATCCCGTGGTCGCAGTCCAGATGCTGATCTGCGAGGACGCGTTGAGCGAATCGAGGCTGCTTTGGGATCATTGGGGAGGGAGGCTACGCAGATTAGGGATCTCTTACATGCGAATCCGTTACTGTCATCGCGGTCGAATGATAATAGCGATGCGAGGGAGGGTGATGTTGGTCATGCTAATGGGAGTCGCGCCGAGAAACAGGTTGGGTTATATGATTTTCTCACGGATTTCAATTTATCCTGCTGATATCTATAGGATGCTGTCCTACAACATCTAGATATCAGTCGCATTCGTTCATCTCCAAGACCTGCTGTCTCAGCAGACAGCCGCCTGCGCTCCTACTTCACCTCAGACCTGGTGTCAGATCTGGAATCCCTACATCCACCTCCTGTGATGATCTCATTTATCTGGCAGAAATATTTGGACAATGTGGATCCCCTGATTAAGATCGTGCATGCACCCACCGTGCAAAGGCAGATTATGCACTTAGTTCGAGGCCGAGATAACAAAGATATACCGGCCACGTGTTTGCTCTTCGCAGTATATTACTCGACTGTGCTGACCATGTCGAGGGAGGAATGTTTTGCGGAATTCGAGGAAGATAAATTAGTTTTGCTAAAGAGGTACATCGTCCATTTCCTCCACGACACTGACTAACCAGAACAGGTACCGGACAGCCGTCGAATCTGCCCTGTTACAGGCAGACCTTCTACAATCATTGGACTTGTCGGTTTTACAAGCATTCCTTCTATATCTCGTATGTCAGCATTCCCTTTCAAGTACATAATCTAATGCAAGACAGATATGCGCCTGGAGAGACAAATGCGGCCCAAAAGTACGGACCCTCATAGGTCTCGCCATCGGCATCGCTGTAAAAACCGATCTCCACCGTGACGGCGACAACCTTTATCTCTCTCCGTTCGAAGCTGAAATGCGCAGACGCCTCTGGTGGCACATTTGCATCCTTGACATCCACACTGCAGAGGACGGCGCGTCAGTGCCATGCATTCAAGACTCATTATTCAATACACGACTCCCTACTAATGTCAACGACGTTAATCTGGATCCGCAAATGAGCGTCCCTCCTGTAGCGCAGACGGGAAAAACTGAGATGCTATTCAGCTTGGTCCGGTTCGAGGTAAGTTACTTTGCTCGCCAGATTGTGTTTCCCGATCAATTCTGTCAGGATAATGGGTACAAGGTGTTGTCGCCGTTGGAGAAATGTGAAGCGATTGATCGATTCCAACGGAGTATTGAAACTAGATACCTGGTGCATTGTGATAAACGCGTACCGTTAGATTTTATTATTACCACTTCGACACGTCTGGTTCTAGTCCGGTTCAAGTTAACAGTGACCAAGCCTCGCTCCGGGCAGAACCAGAACCAGAACCATCTAGCCATGCCAGGGAATTTCCGTGGGATATGCGTGGAATTATTGCAACAGAGCCACGATCTGAGACGGTGTGAAAAAGCCCGGCATTGGCTGTGGCTGTTTCAGAGTTATGTGGAGTGGGAAGCGCTGGCTTGTCTCCTTCTCGATCTCTGTTTGACTCCTTCCCGAACGGTAGCTGATTTAGTTTGGACGACTGTCAACAAGATATATCGATACTGGAAACAACGTGGTGGTGATACTGGGAGATGTCGTCGCTGGGAAAACATTGAGGGGCTGTACGCCCAGGCTGTGGCTATTCGAGACAGTGTACCTCCTTCCTCCCAGTTGTCAGAGGCAACCGGTCAAAGACACGAAATCCCCAACGTGGCAAGCCCCGAGCACCTCTCTCGTATCTGGGAATTAGCTAATGCAGCTGCTACGGCGGGGCTGAATGGGCCCTCGCAGCCAGTGTCCGCTGAGGACGCAGCAGAAATGCCAACGGCTGGCACTCTCTGTGAATGGAGTGCTGGGGTGTTTGGACAATATTTTGGGCTTATTGATTCTGGCAAAGATAAATCCACATAGAGTTGCACGCACCATACTATACTCTTCGATCTTGATTGCTTCAGTGTATTTGTGTGTATCAATTGCAAATGCTATTTATTAATAGCCTGTTGCATGTAATCTGTTTGGTAAATAAAACTGTACTTGTCGCTGCGATGTACTATAGAGTCACAACAACGTGATGCCACATGACTTCGCTTATCCTCTGCATCGAGTAACACGACACACTTGAATTTCCTCTTATTTCCTTCAACTTCCCATCTCTATCCATCCAGCCTCCTCCGGAGAATCAGTTCGCGAATTCTACTCCCCACCCTCAGCACTCTCTGGGGCCTTGTCGCCATATTGCATTGTGAGGTGGATTCGACGGTTTCCTTGCATTCGATTTTTCCTCAGTCTCTTGGAAGCTGGCCACTTCCAGGGCATTGTCCTCTACCTATCCGGGTTCTACCGACGTCATGAGCCCCTGGTTCGCGTTGTGCTGCTCTTCTCTGCCGCATCTCTAAGCAGTGTCTTCTCCGGGTTCCTCGTAGCCGCCATCCAGCAAATGGATGGTTTGGCGGCTTGCGTGGCTGGCAAAGGATCTTCATTCAGGAACGTCTATTCACAGTCTGCTTCGACTTCTTCTCCTTCTTTATCCTCCCCAGCGGGCCAGACTTCGTCCTCACTCTCCGCCACAAACACCCCCAACATTGCATCACACGTCTCCAGCTAGACACAAACAATACCTTTGCCTCCGAACCCGTCGCCTTGAAAAAGGTCCTCTCTATCCTACTTGACCTCCACCTGTGGATCACCTGTGTCGTGCTCTTCTACGGCGACGTCTGTCTCTTCGGTTTGGTATATATCTCCCTATCTATCGTCCAGTCCGTTGGCTACAGAAAATGAAGACGCAACTTATGACCGTCCCTTCATACGTGTATGCAATCCTCGTGACGATGATCGCAGAAGTTTCCGCAGACCGGTATAGATGGCGTGCGGCGGTCGTCTCCATGGGCTTTATATCTACAAGTGGTGATGGGATCCTGAGCGCTTGGCTTTATCCTCAGAGTTCGGCGCCGTACTATTTTCTCGGGATGCGGTTTAATCTGGCATTGGTGGCTCTTATGATGACATTTAATGTACTGCAGATTGTTTTATTAAGCGCATTGAATAGGAGGAAGAAAGTGGATCGTGCGAGGTTGTTGCATGGGTTGGAGCATTTGTGGGTTGAGCGGAGCGTTTGGCGGATAGGCATCTGGATTATAGATATACGTATTAGGATTGGGTACTGTCTCAATTGCTCAATTTCACACCAGCCATCAAATATGTCAGAAATTCCTCTGAGCATACAGACCCTGTCTTATGCCACACATTTGCCACTACATCGGTGTGCCAGGGTGTATACCAAATCCATACCAGCACGTGACATTCGGCTCTTTTCTTGCCGAAGCGGGTCAAAAGAAAACGAATACGGCTACGATTACATCTCTCCAAACATGGACAACGCAGGGCGGCAAAACAGGATCCGTTCTCGGCGATCACATAATAAATCTCGTTCTGGGTGTAGGAACTGTAAAAGGCGGCATGTCAAGGTGAGTTAGACAAGTTATCTCCAGAAATTATCCCTTTCCGTTGATTCTTTTTCCATTCTTTCCAACTTGCCGCATACATTTCTAGCAAGACACTCTACTACCACCATTTTCCGCACTTGTCTGTCTTCATTTTGCTTATTCCCAACCCTATAACGTACTGGATGGTAGTATTCCCGAGCAGCATGCTTACAAGTTCCAGTGCGACGAAAAGAAACCAACATGTACAAACTGCCTGTATCATTCAGTTGACTGCGACTTTGCTGTACCCTCAGCCCCTAATCTAAACTCTACATCAGCATCGTCAACCACCGGACCACAATCAGCTCGACAATACCGCTTTAAACAGTCTAAATATCGGCCCCCAGCAGATCCTTCAAGTAACGATGTGGTTTCAACCTCCCAGTCAAATTCAAGAGGAGTCCAATGTGACCTCCCTTCACCCCACCGCGCAAGTAATGGGATCTCATTCGCTGATCTAGAGCTTTTCCATCACTTTGTCACTTTCACTTGCTATACTCTCGGAGACAAGAATGATAAGAAGCAGGTGTGGCAGGTCCATGTCCCTCGATACGGCTTCTCGTTCCCCTCCCTTCATTTTCTCACCCTGGCGATTTCCGCCCTGCATCTCGCGTACAAGCACCCAGAGCTTCGAGAGGAGTATTTGATAAAAGCAGACAGCCATTTTACCTTTGGTATCCAGTCTGTAAATAATATCCTATCCAACCTCAACTCCGACAATTGTCAGATGATCTATCTCTCCGCTGCGCTCATCTGTCTCATTTATTTCGCCCGCGGGCCCCGACCAGGTGAATACCTCGTCTTCAGCGAAACAGGCAAATCCGAATGGCTTGTCCTGATGCGTGGAGTACGGTATATTGTGCGGTCCTCGCGGGAAATGATCTTTACGGGAATTTTGGCTGTCGATGATGATGAGGTCCACGATATCAGCCCATCATTGGAAGAGGAGTATCTCCAGCAACGGAATCACCTACAAGGTATTCGTCGATTTATTGACATGCAGGTTCCAAATTCGGAGAAGGAGCTATACACGTCTGCCATTGATTCCCTAATGGGCTCCTTTGAGGAGCTGAACAGATCCCGCACAGCCAATGGGGATGGTATCACCCTGCTGCCTGCGGTCATAGGGTGGATTTACCGGCTCTCTGAAACATTTGTCGGACGTCTGGAAGACAAAGGCTCATTTGCATTGATTATACTGGCACATTGGAGTGTGATGTTGAAATACATGACTCCGTCATGGTTGATGGTAGGCTGGGATAGGCATGTTATTTCAGGGATCCGGTCGTCTTTGGAAGAGGAGTACCACCAGTGGATTGAATGGCCTGTACAAATGATTGAGAGATCATAGTTATTGTTTTGGTTTGTATATAAGGTTTATATTATGTTACGGATAGAATGTTTATCAGGCCGATTGCTCTATATATACACCTAGTAAGTTTACAGTTCCCCCACAATAAAATGAAACAGTTGAAATTAAAAGAAACTCCCTATTCCTAGAACCCAGAAAATAAACAGCCAATAAAACACGGCCATCGAATAAGAGAGATTCAATGCCGTTGATACTACGTATACCTCGTCAACGGCACATCCATCGAATTTCTCTCTCCAACATCAGCTCCAGACATTTCATTTGCCTTATTCATAACCCTCAACCGCTTGACCAACACCCCAGGATGCCAGAAAATCAAACTCACAATAGAAACCATCATCATACTTGCATCAAACACATAAATATACACCTCACTCCTTCCCACCGCCGACTTCGGTGCCGCAAACTCAATCGTCCGCACAAGGTTCCGAAGCATCAACGCGAAGCAAGAGATATATATCGCCCACATATACCTCTCCCAATGTAGATCTGTATTCTGCTCCGCCACAGGCGTGGGATCCCTCTTCAACCGTCTGTGAAAAACGAAAGCGACCCACACGAACAAGGCAAACACAACCAGCGAAAATATCAGACCTACTAATACCACTTTTAGACCAATGTTCATAATATTATCGTTCCCTGTGATCTGGTCCCCGGCTCCAAAAATCTGAGTCAGGAAGCACAGAACATCATTCGCCACGAAGATGAATGTGAGTCGCCTGGATCGAATGCTAGAGTGGTGGTCTGCGTTGAAGGCGCGGATAATACGACCGAGAACCATGTAGATGGTTGCGGCAACGAGAGGAGGAGCACATAGAATCAGCATCTGTTGCAGTGCCCAAGATTTAATCTGCGTTCTGTTGTTGTGGGACCATGCTCGTCCGTAGTAGCCGTTGTTTCGCCTAGGCTAGTTAGGATGGCCTTATATGACGAAAGTGAGGGATGGAATTCTCACTTACATATTCCTCCTAAAATGAGCGCGATAAAGTATGCTGCGCGGTAGGGGATCATGAGTATTAGGTGGATTACCGTCGCAAAGCCGAAGATGCCCATAAAGGCGTATCCTGCTGTCTGGGATGGATTGTAGGGGTAGAATTCAACCCAGGGGTCTGAGCCATTTACTCCAGAATGGAAGACAATATCCATTGTTTGATAGATCGGTAAACGGAGATTGACTGTAAGAATTTTCAATGATATTAGATTATATGCATTCGAGATGGCTACATTTATATCACCGGCGTTGGCATACGAGTAAACTACTGTATTAGGGAATTCAAGAACGAGTACGAGCGGAGCGCTAAAATAGCTTCACTCGGCAGACAACCCTAAATTTAGCAGGCAAAATGTCTCTGTCTGGTTGCCTTTGGGCTCCAGTCTAGTGGTAAAACCATTCGACCATAAAGGATATAAAGACAACGAATCAAACGATCAGTTGCTTCTAGCACTCTATATAGGAATAAAGGGTTCAATCCATAACACAAAATTAATCAATTACGTACCTCTATTATTACCTGTTTCAATCAAATCGTTAGATCAGTTGCTTTTTCTCTGGATCAGGCTTGAACTACCCCTGAATAGCCATAATCTGCAAGATCTAAAGAATTTCTTTACTTCATCAATTGTCTAACTCATTGGCCAACTCTAAGCATCTATGCATAACTGTGTTAAAAGGAAGTTCGAAGGGGATACGAGCTAAGCTCGGAGCTGGATTTGAGTTACTTTGAACTACACACAGTTGAGTTGTGCGTCGCTTCAGTTATCCAGCAGCTGCATGCGAATCCCAAGCTCAACAAACTTTAACTTGAATGGCGGCGTTACCTTCACAAACTATCCCAATACCCTGACGGACAAGACAAATATAGTGGCCGATACGAGCTCTCTAGGCATAAGCCAGATGTAAACCACGTTGCTCTGGATTAGCTCCGTGGCCGAAAGGAACACCACCTCATAATCCTCTAAGTTGATCAAGATCATATCTCAAAGATGTCTAATTTTCGATTCAGCAACTCCTGAAAACATCATACCGTCGCTCTTTTCTTGATTTCCTTTTCTCTTCTGTATTGAAATTTCTTTCACTTCCAACACCACCGATATCTCCGAGCTTGTGAACGGGGATACTGGGTAATGGGGTGTCTGTCTACCACCCAGTGGCCCAAAATGAGGCTACACAGAGTGTACACAGTACACTAATAGTAGGAACTATAAAACGGAAAGGTAGTAGCCGAGAGCCTTTGGCCCCTCAGGAATTAGTGGCGGGACAAGGCATAATACAGTTAGGTTACACAGTGGTTTAATAATCCTATGAGCAATGAGCATATCTCGAACTCTCCTTAAATAAAAGATCATGGCCCTGCTGCTGTTGGACAGATCTTGACTCCTGTCCTGGACCACTACTATTAGAGTACATAGAAGGGCATATATATAGACATAAAATATCTATAATGTTACTGGAACTTCTCCTCTTCCTCTTCCTCCTATATTCGGTTTCCATATCTGGAAAAGTCTCGAATAATCACTTCATCGATCCTGATACTGCCTTCCTAGAATGGCCGCTTGGCTCGCAGCAGGTTATCTCATGGAAGACAACCTTGGAGGAATTCAACATCTGCTTCTGGCAGGAGGTTGTCGGGGAAAGTCGGACTAATGTTTAGGGGAATGTATATAGTGAGTTTAAGTTACTGCGAGCGATGTTGATACAAAACAGACCCCTAAGCAACGCTGGTAATTAGCAACAGAACCCCTAAGTAAGCACCAAGTCACAAACTTCACCCGGGTCACCCAACTTTATGGTTTTGACCTGAGCGTTTTCAATGCCTTTTTCCTCTGGATTAATCACGATAACGAAGAGGAGCGGATGGTTTCTGCGCAGTTTAAAATTACCGGATCAGAATCTACTTCTATCTCGACCTCAAACAACACCCTCAACTCATCGCCACAAACTCCTGTTTTCACCTCTACTCCTCCTCCTCCTCATCATCATCATCATCACCATAATCACCATCATCACTAGCAACCAGGAATATAGCGTTAGGAGTAGGAATAACATCGATATTCCAATTTTCACCACCCTAGCTATTCTTATCTGGCTCAGAACACTTCAGATTCAGTCTGCGAAGAACCTAAAGAATCCAGAGGGCACTGCATATTATCTCGGCTACATTCAAATATAGGGCAACACACCAGCAGAATCATCCATCTTCACTACCGCCACCACCTAGCGAGGTTCCGGGGTCGGATCCGACTGTCTACCATCGCGAATTACCTACTTGAAAGCGCAGTTACATAAGATCGGGATTTTGAAGAGGGTTGCAGTTTTAATTTTAATATTTCTGCTAGGCACCATCTCTGGAGCTCGGATTAAGAGGTAAGATGATGCCTCTTGATTAATTAATTGCTTTGTTCAGTCTGCAATGCTGAATGTTAGTGTATATATTGGCAGAATCATAGATAAAGTACCTAGAAGAGACAGAAGAGGCATAAGGCCAAGTATTCATATTGCTATCAATCATGCCGCTAGCTAGAACAAAAAGAAAACCATCTACTCAACAAAACAATAACGGCTATAGACAAGGAAAAGAGAGAGACTAGGCAGAGTATACCAGCTAACCACTTTTTTCCTTTCTTTGAGAACAGAGCAGAACAGAACGGCTGAAGATGCTGGCTATACAGGAACCACAAGAAACATGAAATGGAAGGGAAAAGGGTAGAGTACCAGAGGGGGAAAGAAAAAGGAAAAGGCTAGCACAGCTGAGCCTTGAGGGATTCAATCTCGGCGGTTAGGTTGTGCAGCGGCTACGCCTGGCCTGCGATGGTCTTGGTTTGCTCTGCGATAAGATCGATGGCGCCGATCTCGCGCTGCACGGTGTCGGATTCGATGAACCGGTGGTGGAAGAGAGAAGAGTAATAGGTTGGGCTGGGGTGGTGGCGCTGGGGGTGCTTGGGGCAGGCGAGCGGTCGGCGGTTGTGAGAGATGCCCAAAATCGACTGTTAGAATAGAAGGACTATGATATGGATATGGCGGGAGGCTGTGGATGACTTAACGCTGTGCATCTCGGTCCATACTCAACCTGGTTGCGGTATTGGAAGAAGAATGAGTTTGAAGATGGCACATGAACCTGCGACAATGAACAAAGAGCTGCAGCCTAGTCGATATAAATCGACCAAGACCGTGATGGCTTCACCTTCCTACGGGCTGCAAAAATCGCTGGGTTAGTTCCAATTGTTATAAGACTTGGAAATTTGGATAGCTCACTGAGGTTTAGACTGGGAATATTCGACAATTCCAGGTCATTAACAGTGCCATCCTCAATATTGTCTCACTCCTTAGGTCAGAGACTTTATTATCTAACACCATGCTATACCAGTGAAGTAGAACTCTTGACTCCATCCATCATGCTTATGTTACAGGGCCTCGTATCCAGGGGTGAAGATCCGTCTAGAGCGACAAATGGCATAACATATATTCACAATCTTATGTGGTCTGTAGGTTTATCAGGAAGAATACCCTGCATATGAGACCTACAGCTCTTAGCACAGGGAACAGTTAGACGTGTTGATCACATACTTAGGAACCTCGGGCAATAACCGTTCGAACTTGATACACATAGGCGGCTATTCTAATAATATCTGGCGATTTCACGCTGAGTATTCGTAGACGACCCTCATCGGCGCTTCATGAAGGACATTAAATCTCTAGCTGCTAGACAATATTATATGCCTAGTGGTCCCTAGATCAGATTGGGAAGACAGGTGACTGCTGTCGACGTGCGGAGTGCGATAGCGGATACTCATCCTCGTTGTGGTCGTCAAAGGGCCAGTGGCGAGATGTCATTTCACGCTCGTAATCGGAGTTCAGAGAGGCAAAGCCATCAGCCTTCAACTGGCGGTCTCGGGACAAAGCAGCGTCATATTTGTTGGGAGTCGTCCATCCATTGGCGCTGATACCTGTAGCATTGCGGGCATGTTTGAGGCGGACACCAACTTCTTCTTGCTTGCTCTGCAGGTGTACGATGGAATCAGCCTCAGCCGCAGGAAATGATATCGGACACCGATACGCCGAGTATTTGTGCCAGAGATTGGCAACGAGGACAAGTTCGGCCTGACAAGGCTCACCGACATGGCTAAAGATGCAGCATGGCAACTGAGCAAGGATCTGAGTATCATCAGTCATAGTGATCTGTACAATGCGGTTGAATCCACCTTCACCAATCTTCATAAGACTTTTGGCCTCTGTATGGTGTCTGTATATCGATTAGGCGGCGACCCTCTTCAGTTTATCGACGTTGAAGTTGCAGCGGCGTTCAGAGAGGCGGCGCTTTTCATTTTATCTGTAAGCATCAGCTAGCAAGATCACGAGTGCAGGAGACATCGATTAGCAGCCCACATCTATCACCCAGATGTGTACTCAAAGAGCCGACGATTATTATCCATCGCTGAAGTTTTGGGGGTTGTGGAAGTTGAGTAGGACATAGCCGAAATACTCACTGAAAGAGCCTGGGAGAACGCAGATCGGTACCATGGACATGCAGCCAAACCCTGGGACAGCATAGAGAAGATGGTCAAAGGAAGTATGTGTACGGGCGACTATTGATTCCACTCCGTAGATGTATGGCATATCATGGGTCGTAACAGGTTGCAGTGCCAAGATATGAGACACTTGCAGCAAGGCCAATGCACCTAAGTTGTTAAAAATGTATACTTGCATATGGTGAAAATAGCATAGCTTGGACACTTGGTCCATAGATCTGGCCCGAAGTTATTCTAGGGTAAAGACACCACTAAGCCAGAGGACAAATATAATTTATCATAGTGAACTTTTATCACTCTAACCAAGAACCAGTGTATATTATATTTCAGTCATTGCTCGTCTAATAAAAAAATAATATCGCTAAAACAATCTATCACAAATGTTCTCTATTTACCAAATACCTTGAAACGGTCCTCAAGAGGATTGAAAGACTTCTCGCCGGGCGCGCTAGCAGGAGCACCAAAGACCAACTGCGCATCAAGCTTCCACGAAGCAGGCAGGTTCCACTGCTTCTGGATGCCCTCATCGATCAAGGGGCTGTAGTGCTGGAGGTTGGCACCAAGGCCTTCGGACTGCAGGGCCGTCCAGACTGGAATATGTCAGTTTCAAGTATCGCGAAATTTCCTATTCGGACAGAGATAGATACACATACCGAGGTACTGCGACATAGCATTCGACTCGAGCGCAAACGGGTCAAATTTATCAGCGTAGATGGCAAATTTCTCCTTGATAGTCGCCAGCGAGTCGTAGTCCACGAAGAAAAGAACCTAATGTACATGTTAACAGTGCTTGGTTGAACAGCAGGAAGGATCGTGCGAGGTAGCGCTTACTGTTCCGTAAGCTGCACGGAAAGCATTCAGCTTGGGCTTGGTCTGGTTCTCAAATGTCTCCTTGGGAACCTTTCCGGCAGCAACAAGTCCCTCCATGGCGCTGATGGCAATGTCCCAGACCTTTTGGTGCTCCTCCTTCAGCAGGAGAACCACGCGGGAGGTCTGAGTGTTGAAGGAGCTGGGCACATGCAAGACGGCAGATTGAACGATATGTTCGATAGCCTCGTCGGAGATGGGGCTCTCGGCCTTCAGAGCGTAGTGCGTTCGACGAGCCTTGACGGCCTCCAGAATAGCCGTCGTGGCAGAGTTCTTGAATTCAACCTGAATAGAGCCCATTTTGGTTTTTGGATATGGATTTAGGGTGGAGTGACGTATTGATGTAGTAGTGATATAGGTATCTAGGATACGCGCCGTGCAGTTCTGATGAAAGAGTAGACTGGATCATGGGGAATAGCTTTTTTATATCTTGACACTTCAACTGTTCCCTAGTGCAGTATCTGTGTCACTGTATACGCGTTGCACAATTTTTCTTCATAATTCCGTGCCCATAGCCCCATAAAAAACCCTTGATCTATTATCAGCAGCCAATGAGCACATCAGGTTGGCAGTTACGCAACCCTTTGTCAGCAAAAATTAATAATGTTGCGCGGAATGTTCGCGCCGGGAGGAAATTTGGAAGCACGATTTGTGGGGATTAATAATAGTCTCTAAGGACTTAGAAATCGGGTCCAAAAATTAGGTTGAGAAAGCTTGGTTGGATTATCAATCCTACGGAAATAGAGAAAGACAGATATGACAGAAAATTAGAAAATACTTCGATCTACAGAGTATAGGATATAGATGCCAAGAGCCTGAAGCTTACATGCGTCAATGCATGCTGCAGGGATAGAATCAAAAAGAAAAAATAGAATAATCAAGAATAATAACTTAAAATGCTGGGAATGACTCAGCAAAACAAGATGTTGCCCTGATTGGCTGGAAGGATTCGTGTCGTAACGGGCCGCGTCCCAACACCTTCTATGACGCACGAGCATAGCATGTTCCCACACCATTGTTTCCTGTGCAAAGTCGATGATATAAGACTGTTGTGGGTAATTACTAGTCTAGAGTTGTCTACACCTCTGGTTTCTCACTCAGGGGGAACAACCTGCCGCATGGATCCGAGAACTGTGATGAAACCCGGTAGAATGCTATATTAGCGGCGGATCCATGAAACCATTCCCTAGCTAGGCTACTGTCTAGTAGACAGGAGAGCAGGTGGCCTTCAAACCCTATAACTTGCATTCCCTGGAACCTGAGGTACTTATTTACTCCTGCCGTTGCATTCTTTTGTGTTGCGCTGCTCTCCGATGGACTCTCATTTCTCTTCGATGATGAAAACATGATGACAACAGTATCCAATACGTTGCAGATATCAATCAATGATGCATGGTATCGTGCAAGACCTTCAGTCGTGGAATAATCGACATGAGGTTCTAGAAGCTATATAAAGGTGCCTTGTCTGAGGCACAGGAAGAAGCACTCAGTAACCAAGCAAATCAGTCGTTCCGTTAGATTTTACTTTCATTCAATTTAACCAACCAATTCCAACCCGTAATCAGAATGCGTTTCTCCCTCGCTGCTTTGGCCACTCTCCTAATGGCTGGCGTTGCCTTCGCTGCCCCCTCGCCTGCTGGCGATTCTAGCAGTCCAGCCAACCCTGTCGACAAACCGGCCGATGAGTCGCACAGTGATCCTGGTGGGCACGATCAGTACGATTCCCATCACGGCAAGCATGATGATCATGATCCCCATCATGGCAAGCATGATGATCACGACCATGATGTCTATATCGACAAGTTGAACTAGTATGTTTGCAGTCTAGAGTTCTGGCTTCTCTCTCTTTTTTTTTTTTTTTTTTTTGGTTGGACACAGCTAACCAGTACAGTGTCACCAACAACTACTACTGTATCGATGACCACCATCTGCTGGATCTGAGCTTGCTCTCCAGTGGTGATGAGTGTGCTAGGGGCGCTCTTCTCGACCTTGGACTTCTCTAGATTAGTACCTCCCGATAATCAAAACGTGGAAGGCATTTGGGTATTCTTGTATCCCAGGAAAGTGATTTTCGTAGTTATGCTAGGATGAGCTTATAGGATATAGTAAAAAAAATCATAGTAACGGTGGATGAGCTCTTCAAGTACTCTGTAGGAAATCATGGTGTATTCTATTCCATATTCTATTCCATAGAAATTCAAATGTAGCTCTACTGCATTTAGATATAATCAATACCGTCCACTATATGGCGTTTTCGGACTCATCGACCATCCTATTTGCTTCCAAGACGTGGATGGTATTGCTCCACTTCTCGAAATAAAAATCTCTTCCTCGTCTTGTCCTTCCTGATTGACGTTTCAACAATGATGTCACGAATGGGCAATTGCGACTGCCACTCTCTGCTAGGGACGGGCGTAAGCACCACCTCTGCCCATACGGAGTTGCTGTCCTGGGAACAGTCCATGCAGCCCGTTGTACGAAAAAATATATGGCCATTGTTGCAGGATCCGTGACATCTGTAGTCGGTTACGAGGCCTTTTCGTTTTGACTGCGGCATATGGCGAGACGTTTGCATGCGTTGTAACATGCTTGGAGGATAGTGCGCATAAACACAACCGAGGCGCAGATTATCGAGAAGTCTAGTTCCAGGACGGTCCAGAGTACTTTCAAGCATCCGCTTGCTTCTATCTGTTAGACCTGCTCTTGCTTTCTTTCTTCCTTCTTTCCTTTCCTTTTTTTTCTTTCTGGGTGATCTAGTGGGTGCTCACCGGTTCGATGTTCTATTTGAAAGCCTTCTATCTCGACGATGCGGAAGAGGCTGAACACACACTCTCTATCTCAATCAGAATGGACCAACTAGGACAGATGGGACAGGACACCAGGAGCTTACGGTACACCGACTGAGACAAAACCGTCAGCTGTATTTTCTGCTTCGGGGCTAATTCCCCCTCCAGATCACCAGGATTGGAATCACCAAAGGCACAACATCTTCCACCAGTGACAGAGTCCCCATGACAATACGCATGGCCTTCTCTCCCCTTATACAATTTCCATTTATAAGCTAGATCCAATAGTCCTACACCGGCCAACATTGGAATGTACATACGAGGAAGGAGGCCTTGCACCATGCGACAGTAAAACCGAGAAGCAATTCAGTTGCGAGACGTATTTGACGATCAAAGCCAAGCAACCCACATGAAATAAAGGTAATTGACACTTTGACAGAAACCTGCGACGCGGGCAAGAATATCTGGATAATCCACAGGACCTACCGTCGTCAGTTTTACCTTCATTCGGCTGTAGCAGAAGGGAAGCCCTACTGCCATGAACCAGTGGCCGGCATCAAACCTCCCCCGCGTGAGATAGCAGCCGTACCGATGAAGAAAACTGTTGCCGCAGCGGCGCCAACAATAGGCACCACAGTGAGAACGCGGGACCAATACTCCTCGCTGGTTATTGACTGCTACTCGTTATAGATCTAGGTACAGTCTATGATATAGTGGGGTGGGCAAGGTGTTGAGTGTAGTTTTGATTGTAGAGTCGCTGCGAGTAGTAGATGGAGTTCAAGCCATTGGCTTTTCTTCTAATCGTCTGCAATTTGGAGGACAAGTGACCATTGACGATTGTTTACATTGACCCAAAAAAAAATGGATTGTTTACAAAACCTGGTATGCGGCGTAAGTCTTGATGTCATAGGAAATAGACCTGAGTACTTGTAAATCAGGAAACACCTGGGCTGTGGGATTCACGAGGTGTTGATCTATTTCTTGCGTCAACACTGTATTTCGATTTGCTTGGTAGGCATCAAGACGGGAGTTTGTGCTTTGGTCCTGATCACTCTTGTTGATGAACAGATAGCTGCAACAGGATCTGTGTCAGACTCCTGTCAGCCAAGGCTGTCAATCTCGTCCATAATCCTCTTTGCCTCCTCGGAAGTATACCCTATTTGCCCCGGGACCTCACTAATTCGATTCAGACGCTGCTTCCAGAACGCCCATCGCTCCAAACACAGTTTGGACGGTCCCAAGTAGAGCGCCCCGGCAGATAGTATCCGATCTTCATTCTCGCCTCCTGATGCTTCTGCCATATCAAATAGGACTTTTCCGCTGTACTTGATCCACTCTGCGGCGGCATTAACGTAAGTCCCGAGCTCTGCCTCTGGCGGATTTTGTTCCAGAGCAGACCTTAGCGTCCAGATAGCAAAGTTGAACCATGAGATCGAGTCAAGTTTCAATAAACGAGCCGCAAATGAGTTCAGGTTCACGCACTTCTCGGCATCTTCTTGTACAGCGTAGGAGTTATCAGGTGTTGGGCCTGACTATGTTAGCATCGCCTGCATTTTAGAGGAGCCAGACCATATTACCCCTCCAGGACTCTCTCATGGTCGCTCCTAGTAGCGGGAGATCTTTCCAAACACAGATGTCCGACTATTTATTTGAGTATTCGTTGAGAGAACTAGCAACATTGGATACGTACACCCCATATCTGCACCGTTGTCGAGGGCAGCTGCGTGAGAGCGTCAATCACCTCAACCAGACGATCTTGCGAGCAATGGTCGTGCGGGATTTGTTCTGCAACGGTGATAAATACTACCCATGTTTCCCAGAGAAAGCTCTCCAGGTCGTTCCCGGGGAGCGATGGCTTCAAACGATCGATGCTCTCTGCGATGGCGGCTGGGGTGGTGGAGCTGGTTGGTTGCACAAAGTCACCTAGGATATTGAAGACATCGTTTGCGGTGTTCGATTTGCACTTGAGCTGAAGAGGAAGAGTCGCCATGATACTATGTAATATTCTGGGGGCGGTTATCGTGATGGTGGGCAGACCGATGACAGGACACGCTGCACGTCTTATAGTTGGCGTGGCGGGGTTCAAGAGGAACCAAGGCAGGAATCAATCAGCGTCGTTCAGATACGGGCTGATCATCCTGTGCGATTTGATTGGGAGGATGATCCGCGCAGATCTTGTTGTAGGGCCTCTTAGCTCCATCGTGAGGTCCATCGTGAGGGTCTCACATCATCACAGACACTGACATCATTCCCCACATCGTTGCCTCTCTTGTTTACCTTTGGAACCATCACATCTCACCGCCAACCATCAAGATCAACTGCATCGTCATGAATGCCCCTTCAGTTCTCTCTCTTCTCTCCGATCTCATCCAGATCCCCAGCACTAGCGAACACGAACAGGATGTCGCCCACTTCCTCGACGACCGCCTTACCCAGCTAGGTTACACCGTCGAAAGGCTCCCCATCGCCAATGGCTCAACCCGTGAAAATATCTACGCATACCTTGGCTCCAAGCGCAAAACACGCGTCTGTCTCTCCTCGCATATGGACACGGTGCCGCCTCATATCCCCCTTCGTATCGAGGGATCCACCGTGTATGGTCGCGGAGCATGCGATGATAAGGGCCCCATGGCTGCACAAATCTGCGCACTGGAGGAGCTGCGGGCTGACGGTTTAGTTGGAGAAGGAGATATCGGGTTGTTATTTGTTGTAGGAGAGGAGAAAGGGGGCCCAGGCATGATCGCTGCCAATGATCAAGGGCTCAGCTTTGAGGGAGTCATCTTCGGCGAGCCAACCGAAGGAAAACTGGTAGTGGGCCACAAGGGCCTTTTGGTATTTGAGCTGATCGGAGAGGGCAAAGCTTGGTGAGGGCCGTGTCTTTGTTCCGGCTGTTCGCATGCTAAAACACCGTCAATGGAACGGCAGTCACTCAGGATACCCGCATCACGGAGTGAGTGCCAACGCGGCTTTAGTCGCAGCTCTGAACGACTTCCTCGCCATCAAATTCCCCGAATCATCGCTTCTAGGTCCATCTACGTTCAACATTGGCAAAATAGAGGGCGGCGTGACCTATAATATTGTCCCAGCGACGAGTACCGCTCTCTGCGCTATTCGCGTAGCCACGGACATGGTGGGGATCAAGAAGATTGTTTCGGATACTGTCTCGCACCATGAGAATGTGAGATTCGAGCTTAAGTTTGAATATCCAGAGACTCTATTGGATCATGACGTCGAAGGTAAGCAACATGCACGTGGTCAATGATTTGACGCTCACGCTCTCTAGGCTTCAAAACCGCCCCTGTCTCCTATGGCACGGATGTCCCTCGATTCAAGGGAAATCATAAGAAATACTTGTATGGACCTGGGTCGATATTGGTAGCACATGGAGAAAAAGAGCAGATTGAAATCAGTGAGCTATTAGAAGGCATAGAGGCATATAAGAAATTGGCGATGCATTTACTTAAGAGTGACGCAATAGCGTAACAGGCCACTCTTATGAAGACAGAGAACGGCTATTTATTAACGCTGTGGTCCCAAGATCTGTTGAAATTTTCTCCTTGGCTCCAATAGGAATAAGAAACAAGCCTTCGATGAAAAGGGGTGAAACTTGGTACGTAACTGCCTCTAGAAGTACCTGCCATACGTGCCTGCCCTCGCCCATATTATATTGTTCTCTGTTTCCTGCTAGTTTTTTTTTCTACACTTACCAACACAGATTTTTAATAGCAAATCATATTTCACGAAAGCTATTACTAGAACACACTTGCAATAAATATATACATCGTCTTTACTATTGTTGTCCCCATCTCATCATTACTCAATAGCAGCGCAAATGCCGCCCGCTCGGAACGAAACGGAAATCAACTCTCTCAGAGGTAAAGGAATAAATCTCCGATAGATGTAGCATCACATTGAAGCTAACGTTGGTCACTATGACGAAGGCATGCAACGGAGGAATAACAGGCCACGATCCCAGTCATTCCATAGTTTCGACTCCTTCAATCATCCACGGACTTTTAAAGACGATAGTATCCTCTGGTCTCAAAAGCTGCCGAAAGAATCTTTATCGTTAGATGACCCACTTTATACAGGTGCGAAATCAGGGAAACAAATATCGTCTCCCGGTTACTGATCTATTTGAATATTTAGAATCTATTTTCGTCATACCAAAGGGGGCACAAACGTACCAGTATTGTGAGCAGAAACTATGTGCGTACGGTCTAAGCTGTCTTCATTCGTCTTTGGTTGACAAGAACTAACTTTTGTAGTGGACGTACAGCACGAAAGGCGCAGAAACAAGATCCGCAGAATGCTAAGAGAGATCACAGAAAAGGAGCTCGAATTTGCAAGAGCCTTTGGAGAGGAAGATGGATATGTTTACGATTTTTCGACTCTCTGTGGTCCCCAAGCTAAGGACGAGCCCGATCCTAAAAAGGATGGCCGTCATACTGCAACCACCAAGGACGAGGAGGGGAAGCCTGAGATTGAGAAAGGATTTACCAATGGCGTCAAGGACCCAAATTTTGAATATGACTCGGACGATCTCTATGCGCCCTGTCCTTTTATTATGGACAGAAAACGGAACGTCGACAACGCCAAAACTAGCACTACCGTCCCAGATTCCAGCATTAGTCCGTATAGTCCAGAGGCCAAGGGCGAAGCCGAACCTGAACCCAAAAATGATGACTGTCATGATTCAACTACCAACGGCAAAGAGGTGAAGCCTGAGGATGAGGAAGTATCTATTTACGACCTCATGCATCCAGATACACATGATTTGGGTGCCAACACCAAAACTGGCATGGCCTCGGGGTCTGGTATAGGTGAGAAGACCGGGACTGGACATACAGGTTTAAGTTCTTTTGAACAGAGACCACCCCCCACAACCCATATGGTACCTCCTTGGGTCTATGGTTCGCCTACGACACATGGGATGCATCTACATTTTAAACCTCATGTAGAGGCTGGTCTCAGGGGAGAAGACACGGATAAGCCGCATACAACCTCAGAACCGGCTTGGATCCCTCGAAGTCCCCTGGAGCCATGGACCACGTCAGATCCTGAAACAGGCACGACTCGTCCCTTGAACGTCCTTGGTACAACCCCACGCCGAGTTGGTTCCCAATTCTCTCAGCCGCCCTTAGTCAAAGGATACGCGCGCTTATCCAACAGTTGTTGTAGACATTGCGTAGGAAATGTAACGCTATACCGGCCTGAGGATTCACCGTATTGCAATATTGAGTGGCCCAGTGAGTGTTGCGCACATTGCAGAATGAGAAGTCTGTGGCAGTATAGTTTGGATGGGCTGTCCTACTAGATAGTTATTGATCACCCTTTTTTTTCAATTGGTGTTGGCATGTGGTCAGAGAATATTGGTGTCAGCGATGGAGGCATTTAACAAGAACTATACTCTCCTGTCGTGGATTTAGCATCACTACACCGCCAGGGGAATTGAAAAAACGGTACTCTTTTGATTCGGAGCTATGTTATTTCCTTGTGGCTCTGTAGACCTTGTCTTACTACATCCCGCGGTCCGGCGGGATCAAGTTCTGGGATGAGATATGAGATGCCTAGGCATGTGCTACACAAGCTCTAAATATTGCCACTGCAGAAGTCGTATCGAATATGACATGCATCATCCCTATCCTGGCACGCAGGTCATCTGGATATGCTTGATGGTTCTTCAGTAACGTCATGGGACGTAACAGGCCAAAATAGGCAGGACAGAATCCGGATTGCGCGAAGAACTTCCCCCAATGTATTCATTCGGGAGGTTCCCGCATTCCGGCAGTCACTTGATGATCAGGATGATCCTCGTACGATGTCGGTTTGGAATGCCCGATCTGCACGATCTGTAATTGTATAGATAGCCAGTGCCAAGATGAATTAACAACGGTTGATGAATGGTTGATGGTGATGGTGATGGTGACGACGACGATCAGGGAAGGATAAATCCCCACCTTACACCCTCGGTCCGCTTTGCCGTTCTGCGCATATGATTTGCACGACCCCGAGAGACAACCAGTTCTGATGGAGGTGATGTCCTTGATAGGGATGTCGGTAGGTCATTGGTATATGGTAATTTATATAAATCAGACAGGGATGCAGTCCTCCCCTGTCCGGTGCATTAAACAATGGAACTATAAACCATGGAGCAAATCGTTTCGAAAATAAAAGACCTTCCGCCCGTACGGACCATCCTCTCCATCATTTGGAATGATCCCATCGGACGTGTCGCAACGGTAGTGACTACTTATCTTGTGGTGGTTGCTACTTTGCGGTTCCAGCGTCTACGATCGGTTCAGCGTCAGTATCGCCAGTATGCCACACGAGATGGCATGGCCACGATGACAGTGCATGATGCCTGGGAAATTCAGAAACGAATGCAGCAGTTAGAGTATCCGACGTTGGCTGTGAAGGCACTTCAGTTTGCCTTATTTCGGGTACTTTGCCGCACACACACAGAGTAACAGGAACGAAGGGATGGAACTGACTGTCTAGTCTACAGACATACGGTATTCCCAGTATTTCATCCCTGTTGTTGAAAACATCCCAATTCTCCAACCTGTCGACCTCGTTCAAACGCTACGCCGATACTTCCATCCTTATCGCCCAATTCATTCTCTTCGAACCTTCCTCCGACCGCGCCGTCACGGCCCTCGCCCGCACCAAGTATCTGCATGTAGGATACCGAGCCAGCGGAGCCATCCTCGACGACGATCTGCTGTATACGCTGAGTCTGTTCGTGCTGCAGCCTATTCGGTTCATTGCCCAATTCGAATGGCGTGCGATGAGCGACCTCGAACGCTGCGCTATCGCTACATACTGGAAGTATCTGGGCGATGCGCTGGACATCAGCTACGATGCGTTGCCCTCCGGTAAGACCGGGTTCCGAGACGGATTGCATTTTCTGGAAGAGTTGGAGGAATGGAGTGTACGCTATGAAAAGAGGAATATGGTTCCTAATGCAGCCAATAAAGCCCTTGCGGATCGCACGATGGATGTGATGCTTTATACCTTACCCAGGGGGATGAAGCATATCGGGCTGAGGTTTGTGTCTTGCGTGATGGATGAGAGGTTGAGAGTTGCGATGATGTTTGTCTTTTCTTCTTTATTATATATATATTAATTTATTAACATGTCTAGGTATGATCGTCCTTCACGCATATACTGCTGGATCTTCAATTCAATCATGGGAATCCGCCGGCTTCTACTCCGATATTGCATGCTTCCACGGCCGTATTTTCTCCGGACAGTCATCACCACCGACCACCGCAATGATCAGGGACGATACCATGTACGTGTATGGTCTGGGGCCCCGTACTACGTACAACCGACCTTCCGGAACCGATGGGGTCCGTCCGCCTGGTTCAGTCGTCTCTTGGGATTGCCAGTTCCTGGCGACGAGGGTGAGAAGTATTCTCCGCATGGGTATGAACCGGCAGATCTGGGACCCAAGGCTTTTGAGGGGAAGGGCCATAAGACGGTGCAGGATATCAAGGGCGAGTTGGCTTGTTTGTCAAAATTGCCGTTTGCTTAGATGTTGATTCGTGTGTACAAGTTGTGGCGTCACCGCGATGTCGTTCCAGACTCTGCTCTATATTGGAACGGGGTGACATCTCTACTTTCACCTTCTTCCTACCCATGATTATAAATCATTATTTATATATTTATATTATATTATATTCTAACACGACAATACAGTATGGCACAATGTCGTCCCGTTCGTCCCTCAGTATCCTGTCGAGTCCGCCCGATGATATAGACACCTGGATCCTAGGTAGCAGTCTACCCTCGCTGACAGCTGCTGTGCATTTGATTCAAGAAGCTCAGGTGCCTCCTCAAGCAACATGCCCATGGACTGACGCCCATCGACGCCTGACACGTCAGTCTGGGACTGCGAGGCCGTATTGATCTGTTCATGCTGGTTGCGAAGACCGAGAAAGCGCTGGGAAGAACTCCCATCCGCGACTACTACCACGGAGCTTCTTTTGTAGCCGCTACTGGCTGATGCTGGCCACAGCATTCGGCTTTCAGCCATGGCATAGCGCCGTGGAATTCCGTCGTTGCGTCGGTTACACACGATCTTCACGGTCTGAACCATCCGCGTTCACTGGATCGAGGCCCGTTCAATCGTCACGAAGCCATCACCGTCCCCGTCGTCCAGTTCCTGCAGTCCCAAGAATCCGACTTTCAATTCCACACAACCGTCACCGACATCCTCCTATACCCTGATTCTCACCACGTCACAGCAATCCGTACCCACACCTCACAGACTGAATGCACTATCACGCTGCGCAAACAAGATATCGTCGTCGTCTCCCTGGGATCCGTCTTGTCCGGCGCCACCACAGGCTCCAACTTCGTCCCGCCATCACTCGACCTCATGGAAGTCAAAAATCTCGAGGAGAACTGACCCCTCTGGCTCGAACCCAGCACCAAGGACCCACGCTTCCGAAACGCGTACAACTTCTGTACCCGCGCCGACGAATTCTGTCTCGAGTCCTTCACTGTCACCCTACACAACCCACAATTCTTCTCCGTCTTCATCGCCCTCACGGTCAATTCCCCGAGTCTCGTCTTCGTCACCCTCCAGGACGCCAACTGGCTCCTCAGTCTGTATTCCGGAGCAACCACTCTTCCCGGGCCAACCCTCCCATATCCATGTTTTCCCAGAGGGGATACGCGCTACGGCGCGACAGAAGCGGAGAAACATCGACAAGACTATGTTGGAATGCTCTGGCGAAGAGAACATGACCGAATTACCCTGTCATTTGAAGTTCCCTTTGCAGGATATCATACCACATAGCACTACCGTGCCGTGCGTCGTGTCCCGTATGTCTACGTCATTGTTGGTGCGTGCCCTTCAGATCGACCACAGTTCATCCCTGACGGAATGCCCAACCTGGCGCGCATCGGTCAATTCGTTGAGATCCCGGATGAGGCCGTCGTTACGATGGACTATGGCGTTTGGGGTGTTCAATGGGCAGTCTCGCGACTTTTGGTGTTTGATCGGAAGTGGAGGAAGTCGAAGAGGAATTCGGTAGTGAATTTGTTGTATTTTATTTCTTTTACTGTATTTTTATATTTATGCTAATTCACATTTAGAGATTAGTAGTTGAGTATACAGGATATATAGCGACACAACCTGGATGATTGAAGGTGAAAACATTTTAATATTGGTACATAATCCAATAATCTCACTATTCTAAGTCATATTCTATTATTAAATTATTAAAGGCAAGTTAATGCAGTAATTATATTACATTGACACGGACACAAACCAAACCATAAAGAGTATTCAGGGCATCCACGTGTGACAGCGTATGTCACCAGTTTGCATTCTAGATAACCAAATGTAGATTAGCGGTACTTTTCAGCCTGGCGATAACACTGTGGTGTGAACTGCAGTCCGATTGTAGTAACCCTACATTTTTGTAAAACCTCGACCCGCATCTCATACTCTTTAATTGCTTTTCAAACCCTAATGCCAACATACGTTGAACTACATTATTGTCTGCTCTGATATGACACTGTTCCTAGATCCAGTATCATATTGTATATGAAAATATATAACTAGCTGTTTAATATTACTTGTACCAGGTATACAGCCGCTTCCTTGTTGCCCAGCCATCCCTAACCCATCATCACCATGGCCGTCACCACCGCCCCTCCCGCGGTCAGCAACAGACCCATGTTTCGCAGGCCGCGCATGATGCGCTTCTTCAGCAGATTGTCGACGTTCTTCTCAAATCCAGATGCGTCGTTGGTTCGAGGAAATGGCTCATCAGGGACGGGCTTCCCCAGGAACTGTCGTAGTCAGCAACAATGTCCAATCTACTCAGCCAGAAGAAAAGAAATTCCTACCTTGCAAAGAGGCTCCCATCCCTCTTCCACCGTCCACTCCAGCAGACGGTCCTTGGGTACCATGCCCCGGGCCATGCTGCAGTGATCACGATACACCCATTGGTGCTGGATTGCCTCACGAATGCTGCCGTCATACGTCGCCCGAAAAAGACCGGGGTACCCATGGACCATATAAAACTGCCACAGCCACCAGAGATCTGACTCAAACCAGCGCATGGTCCAGAGAAACCAGCTTTCCTGGATTGGTACGATGGTCTTAATCACGCTGCGCTGCCAGGCTGCCAAATCACGGCGGCTATTAAGAATAACCTTCGCATCGGGGTAGGCCACCACCAGCTCGGCGGAGAACAAACTCGCTGCGCTGTCGATAACAACGTCGCAGTGTCCGAGAAGGGCATCAAATTCGGTAGCAGAGATACTCCGACTACCATCTTTACTTGCAGGGCCATATTTCCGGGCTGCTAGCTTGTTCCAACCTTGGATATAGGTGCCCTCCTCGGCCACAAGGTCCCAGCCGTGGAATGTAGTATAGCCGAGTTTCTGTAACGCCATGCTTAGGCTCTCGGTAGCGGATCGCGGAAGTCCCACACAGATAACCTGCAGTGGTTTAGTGCGCACACGTGGCGGGGGGTGCGAGAAGCCGTAGAACAGTTCTTGGGCCATTGTAATCTTATACAATTGTCCATCATGGTCTTCTTTCGCATGTTCCAGCCGTGACAGGTCTTCTTTTATAGACCTGTAAAAGGATTCAGGGTTGAATCTCACGTCAGCCGTGGTGGAGCATCCTGTGTGTTTGGATTGGGACTAAACATACTAACTGGTGGCTTCGGCTGGAACCGTTAATTTAGCTCTGGCATGATTGTTTATTTCTCCACTGGAGAATACAAAGACAAAGAAAAGGAAGGGCTTGTACTTCATGTTTACTGCGCCACACGATTACTATCTTAGTCACAATCTCCTCCACGCACCACACCAGCCCAACAGGGCTCCTCTGCCTGCTCGAAGCTGAAACAGTTCTTGATGAGCCACTTGACGTTAACTTGTCCTTAGCGATGTAGTCCACCACAGTAGCGTGGCAGCCGGTTGTGTACATACGTCCTCGCGGAGGTCAAACTGTTTCAGTTCCACTCCAGTGGAGCTCCTTTCTAAGCAACTTCCGCAGGCATTTTGTCAATCTATTTACATTCTAATCCCTTTCATTAAATCTTACGAGATATAATCATCGTGTAGTTTAACTGTAGACTATCTACTTGAAAGCAAGGCCCTTAAAAAAAGATATCTGATCAACCTAAGAGCTGCGGTCATACATATACATACCCGATATTATTCTTACTCAAGCGCTTCATTTTGCGGCTTTTGCGGCCCTTCCGGGGTTTTGGAAGAGCTTTAATCAAGTTATCGGTGCCGATGAATGTGTAGGCAGTGTTGGTAATGATGGCTGTGGTGATAGTGTCTTCCTTTTTAATCTAGATAGTCTACCACGATTTGGCAGCTTCTCCTGGACAAGAACTCGCTCAAAATTAGATGGCTCCCGGTGTGATGGAGCCGAGGTTGAAGATGATATTGGTGTATGTGCAGATCTACCTCTTATGGAGGAAAGGAAATGCGGTTCGAGGACAACAGTTTGTGGATCTGGAGGAGGCATATCCGCACGTGGGTACAGGTACTATTGCTCCTAAAAATTGTTAATTTTCAAAGGCTCTTGACAGTCGGCACACTCCTTCGTAATATAAATAGAGGGATTCCTAAGGTAGCACTTCTTACACCTGAACAGTTGTCTGGAATTGAACTTCTCTTGGGTAAAAACATATCGTGGAACGAGAGGACCAGACCTTGCGCAGTGCGTATTGAAATTTCTAGTAAGTACATTGCCGAAAAGACTTACACAGAGTATAGGGATAGGCTTGCTTACCCTCTCTTGATCAAGTGCTTTCCGGCAAAGATCATGTTGATGTGTAGTTGTCCTTTCAAAGGACTGTCTAATTTGATTATCAGCATTTGTTTTTTTATTTATTTATTTATTTGATAGTTCAGTTAGAGTTAGATATTCACTAAGAGTTCAACTTACTAAACCGCCAGCATGGAATTGAGCAATGTGCGGTCTTTTTCCCGCCGCCAGTTGTGTATGATAATGTCCACGCAGATAGCATGTTCACCCACAGTTTTATAGTGGGATTGGATGACTTCACAATTGACGAATTTGTCGTGAATGTGATACCTTCATGTGCAGTCATCTTCCTGGAGTGTTTTGATTTTATATAGAAACAATGAATCAATTCTAAATTGTAGACGGATGAATTGTCAAGACTCTTATAAATGGCCTTGGTACATACAGAATATAGAATGGATTGAACTGCCAGGACCATTAATTTAGAGCATCAATCTACCTACTCTGCCATTCTCTCAGGATTCACAGGATTTTTTGCATCGATGCTCGTTGAAGCATATACCAATGTCACGGCCGATAATTGGTCAGATACTATCCTGTTGTTGGTTTGGTTGTTTGTACTCTGTTTGTAATTAATGTTTGTTGGATTTTGTCAATTCGACCTTCAGTTGTTCGCCATTCAGCTATTCACATTACAATTATCTAACATCTGAGTAGTAAAGAATTGATATACGATTACGACTATATCTACACCTATTAGAGCCATTAATAGGTACTAGAATGTACAATTATCTCATTGCTGAATAAAAAAGAAAAGAAATGCAGCGATATCAGCATACAATATAAAGCATCAACTGATATCAGATAGTCCGCACAGGATCACGCTATACTCCAGCATAGCACTTTTAACTCATATCCACCATCTCACGTTCTTCCTGGCCCTATTCAGTATCAACTAGTAGCCATCCGGCCTGGCCAGATAATATTCCCTCCCGAGCATTCGGGCATCATGCCCGGACTCCATGCTCATGTAAAGCTTCCACCCTAGGTGGCTAACCTTGGGTTGTCACGTCAGGAGCTGATAGGGAAGAGACGTAGTTCAACAGCCTTCATCACATATACTGCACAAGTGCTGTTATGTCCCTAGAAATACCAGAAATAGACAGTATAGACATCCGCTAACCGAGAAGTTCCACATCCAGGCCGATAGCGCGCATGAAAAGGTTGACATTTCCAAGTCGCTGGGTGCCCATATCCACAGGAAGGGTCTTGCTATACGTCACGGTCTCCATTACACGGTCCCTTTAAACGTTGGATTAGTCAGAATTCACAACAAAATAAAAAATAAAAAACAAAGTCAGAACGGTCCTTACTTTACGGCGATAACCAAGCGTTGCTGCTGGTCTGGACTAGCTCCGATACCAACAGCAGCCAAGAATTGCCACACATACATGTCATCACCGGCATTGATCGAACTGGGGAAAATGTCTCCAAAAATGGGCTCCAGGGTGTCGAAGAGCACATTAAACTTCTCAACCCATTGCTGCCAGTCACGCTCTGCTGCTTGCCCTGCTTCCTTCACGATCTCCGCTCGACTGAGCAGCATAGTCAGGATACCCAGCCCAATGCGAGTTTTGGCAACCAACTGGACATGTGTCTGTGCAATCACAAGCCCCAGAAGTCCAATAATGATGTTGAACGGTGCCTCATTAACATAACCCAGCAGGCTGGGCATGACTGCCTGGGAGAAGAGGTCGATGGCCTCTCGAACAGCCAGAGAAGGCTGCGTCTCGCCAGGCATGGGTTGCGCGCGCCGGACGACATCCAAAGTATCTAAGTGTACAACAATCATGGTAAGGATGGTAACCCTCTGCTCTTGATCGATATGGCGGAAGATGCGTGGGATGGCCTTCTTGCCCTTGGGATAGGACAGAAATGCGATGAACGGATGTGGGGTGTTCGCGTTAGAAACAATTGGTTCCATAACTTTGAGATCTTGCCACAGCTTTTGATTGAGTGAGCGGACTTTCTGCCGCCATTCCAAGTGCTGTTGAATAGCTTCCGGGTCATTCTCGTCTGGAGGGGGGGGCATTGTGCGCTCCATATCCTCCAGTTCCATCAGCGTACTGTAAACACCCTCGATGTTGGTCAGGATGGACTTCCGGTCACTGACACTCAAGTCGGTGTGGGGCTTCTTGGTCACCTTCGCTCCCTCAGAGCTATCCGGGCGCTTAATGTTAAGCATAGGTTTCGGTGTTTTGGCATTACTAAATGAGATCTTGCCCAAACTTCCTTCAATGATAAGCTGCTTATTTTTAGGCTTGGCCTTGGCGGCCTCAACTGCTCGTTGCACCTGCTGCTGCATCCTTTGCATGTGATTGTCCGCACTCTGGGCCTGCCTTCTGGATCCATGGCCACCCAGGCGATTCCCGGTCTGGAGAAGATAGGTCTGCGCAAAATGGCCCAGGGGCTGGTGGGGATGCTGTCGAGGTGCTCCTCGAATCTGGCTGTAGACTTGGTAGTAGAAATCCTCCGCCAAGACGGCTTCCGAATCAGAGTCGACAACGTTTCCAGCCGCGGCCACCAACTGCTGCAGCTGAATCCTAGTTATAAAGTTCTTGTCCTGCGGAGTCATTAGACCGTTGCCTTTGGAAAGGAGGAAAATCTTGTGGTTGCGCTTCGCGCGTTTAGCATCTTCCATCAAGTATGCGACCCGCTGCTCCTCTGTCAAATGCATCAGCTGCTGGGGATTTGTGATCAAAGGCAACGACTGGTTTGCCCCATGAGAACCCTGGGATAGCGGTGGCTGCTGCTGCTGCTGCTGCTGCTGCTGCTGCTGGGGCCGCTGGGGCCGCTGCGCCCGTGCAGACATTGCTTGACGTTGGGGAGGAGCCATATGCTGAGGCGGAATGTTGGCATTTGGCAGAAGATGCAGTGGGATATTAGGCGCATGTCCCGAGACAGGGTAGGGCTCAGGGGCCATCGGAGGATGGTGTAGCAGTTGCGTAGGCGGTACTCCTTTAGCGAATTGAGCCTGGAGGAATTCCGGGGGCAAGTGTTGGAACCCTTCTGGGAGGCCGGGGATCTGCTGAGGCTGAAGGGGATGAGGGGGCTCAGGCATGGATTGCGGCAAGGAGACAGGTATATGAGGTGGCATCGAAGGATGGCGCAACTGCGCTTCCACTTCTTCCAAACTCAACATCTTCTTGGCTGGCTGAGGCACAGGAGCTGCCGGTTCCGGCTTCTTCTGCACTCCCCAAACGCTGGACTTCGCTTGAAGGTCAGGAATATAGCCTGGGTCATCGTATTTCTCATATCCGGTACGCTTTGGTTTCTCGGCCGTAATGCCTGTCGCAGGATGCTGGGGTTTCTGTAGGCTGTAGCGAACCTGCTCCTCCCCGATGACGTCTGCAATCTGGGCTGTTTTTCCAAAGAAGTCAAAATCTTTGCCAACGGGGCCACTATCCGAAACACCACCGAACGTGTCTTCGTTGAAGGCATCCTGATCATCGTCAAGCTGATCGCCTAAACCGTCATACGTATCCTCAAAATCGATGCTATGGGAACCGGTGAGCCCAGTCAGTCAGTCATTTGGATTCAATATTTGTCCTTTGAATCATCAAATAGGACTGTGATCAATATCACAAAAATGGGAGAATAGACTGCTTACGCATCGTCGTCATCCTCATGCAGCCCTTCTGCTTTAGCCCGAGCGACTTCGGCAAACGGGTCAGGGGTATCGAAAATACCCCTCTTATCCCCGGGAGGAGCCCGATCCCTAGGAAGGGTGGTATCAAATCCGAAGAAGGACATCTTCGGAGGAAAGGGTAGATGGGATGAAGTTGGAAGGAGAGCGAGGTTTACCACCGCATAATTGTAGTGCGGGATGAAGTTGGACTGGCTGAGTCTGATATCACCCATTTAGGACTAGCGGCTCTCGGCCTAATCGGGGATAGTTCCTAGTCAAGTATACCTGAGGCATTATTCGGGACACCTGATTCCTGCTCGAGATTTACCGCATTGAGGTACGCCACACAGTACTCAGTTGCTGGTAATTAGTAGCCGTTCTATTTATTGCGATTGAGTACTACTATATTGGTCCTATTATGGTGGAGGCTGTAGTCTTAGATATATCAGCCCCTTTGAGCCTGCAATATTAATTATATAAGAACTGTGTAGGTAACCATATCATCGTGTCACTGCCTTAACGGCCCCCAAACCATTGGCAAATCCCAGGTCATGTTGCCAAATGACAAACTATATAGGACATAATCGAACTGAAATGTTTATACCATAGTCTTAGCAATTGCCTCCAACGAATCCTACCAAAAAAGACCCTTATACCCACATTGATGATGGATAGGCAAGTGAAACATACCTGGCCAATGAAGGCCCGTCGTATGTTGCCCAGCCGTCATTCTGGTCCGTTCACTGGTATGGTTATTATTAGGTATTTCTTTTCTCTCCTTGTTTCTGATATTCCTGATACTTCCTTCTCGGTCTTTTTTAACCTGTGCACACATTATTTCCATCAAATGTAATCGGAGACGTTACAACCGTTTTATGTGGAGTCTTTCGCCCCTAACTTGGTATTGACTGCTGGCTTTCTTTCCAGTCGCCATTTCTTGTTCATCGTCCTTACTGGATTGACCTCGTGGGCAGACTCCCGCCAGGTCCTAGAGAGCTTGTAGGGTGATTGAGTTCTACATTCCCATCTTATTACTTTTCTCCGGTCATTCGTTTCCTGGCCACATACTGTTCCACCCGATCGATTCCCATCAACCTACTCCATAGGCACCCGAATTATCATCTCGCTGAGCGATCTTCTATCTGCCCACCCTACCTAACACGGTTGGGACATCTTCTCAATTATGTCGTCGGGACCAAAATACATTCGCTACCTTTTGTTTGCTGCTGCTGTGAGCTCGCAGAAATCCTCGTTTGAAACAAGTGATGCTAACTTAGTACGCGCCATGTCATAGGGAGTGGCAATTTTCTTCTTTATCTCCAGGAGCGCGATTCCGATCCCCGAAAATATCAGCTCTAAATTGACTCCTTACAAAGACCACCACTCTAATCCAGCTGGTGTATCTGCCCCTAACGATGCTTCCATAAAACAACCTTACAACCAAACCTCCGGAAGCGCTGGCGCTCCTCCGGCTGGCCGGGTGAATGCGACATTTGTGACGTTAGCTCGCAATTCAGACACTTGGGACATTGCCAAATCCATCCGACAAGTCGAGGATCGCTTTAACCGTGACTACCACTACGACTGGGTGTTCTTGAACGACAAGCCTTTCGATGACACCTTCAAGAAGGTAACAACGGCGCTGGTGTCGGGAAATACATTTTATGGAGTCATTCCGACCGAGCATTGGTCGTATCCTAACTGGATCGATCAGAATAAAGCCAGTGAGGTACGGAAGGAGATGGGCGAGAAAAGAATTATTTACGGAGACTCTGAGAGCTATCGACACATGTGTCGCTACGAGTCGGGATTCTTCTTCCGCCACCCACTGATGTTGAATTACGAGTACTATTGGCGTGTGGAGCCAAGCATCGAACTTTACTGCGACATCGCATTCGACCCATTCCGCTTCATGAAGGAGAACAACAAGAAATATAGCTTTGTGATCAGCTTATATGAATATTACGACACTATCCCAACCCTGTGGGACAGCGTGAAGAAATTTATGAAGAATCACCCCGAACATATTGCCGAGGGAAATTCGATCGACTTTTTGAGCGACGATGGAGGAGAGACATACAACAAGTGCCATTTCGTAAGTTGGTCTCTTTTCCCAGGTAGCCATTACCTTTGCTAATTAGAGCCTGGTGGGCAGTGGTCAAACTTCGAAATTGGAAGCTTGGAGTGGCTGAGATCGAAGGAATACATCGATTATTTCGAATCACTTGACCGCGACGGTGGCTTTTTCTATGAACGTTGGGGAGATGCTCCAGTTCACTCAATTGCCGCTGGGTTGATGCTGAAGAAGGAGGAGATACATTTCTTCAATGAAATTGCCTACTATCACATTCCTTTCACACATTGCCCAACCGGCGAGCAGTTAAGACTGGATCTGAAGTGCAACTGCAAGCCAGAAGATAACTTTGACTGGAAGGGATATTCTTGTTAGTTGTACCCACCCGCCTTCATTGCGGCTTGTTAGATAGCATACTCACCCCATTGATGACAGGCACATCCCGGTATTTCCAAATCAACAACATGAAAAAGCCCAAAGGCTATGAAGACGAGCAGAGTTGACTAGCCGTCCTAGGAAAGATAATCCTGGTGGTTATCATCATTGGCAGCATTATACTTGCGGGTAGCCGTGGTATTCGGGCACGGCTATTCAACAGGGCACGTCATGCTCTCACAAAAGTTCAGGCTCTATGGAAGACACCTCTCATACGATAGGTGACAACACATAACGGAGGTTTCCAGCAATTCAGTTCCCGTCACATACTTTGTCGGATTTCCACTTGGCGTTCGAACTACATGTCACTGGGAGTTTTTCTTTCTTTCCTTTTTTCTCCTCTAGAAACTCTCAAATCCTGTCCTATTCTAGCGTGCATGTTATTTGGGCTACCAAAGTAAGCCAGCCCTTATTGAGTTATGCGTTTGTGGGAAAGGAATAAGCAACGAATACTTCATAAATGTACATAGGTGTCGACAACGATAACATTTGTTTGGACAAATCAAGGTAATCAATACAGAAAATGCAACATCCGCATGCTTATGCTAGAATCACGTGGCAATCTAGTCTTTCTTAGGCTTCTTAGTGCCGTACTTCGATCGGCTCGTCAGCCGGTTTGCAACACCACCCTATAGAGAGCATAGTTAGATATGATCAAAGACTAATTGACCGTAGTTCGACCGAGTACAGTAACATACCAGATCCATTGCACCACGAACGACATGGTACTTAACACCAGGACAATCCTGGGCTCTGCCACCACGGACAAGCACCACGCTGTGCTGCTGCACGTTATGACCTATAAAATCGACCAAAATTAGAATATCTTTCTCTTTTTCTTTCAGATCACACTTGATTATGAAGATATGCAACAAGACTACAAAGTCCACAAATTAACTCAAACCCACCTTGACCAGGAATATACGCCGTGACAACCTTCCCACTGCTCAAGCGAACTCTAGCTGTCTTTCTCTCACCGGAGTTAGGTTTCTTCGGCTTCGTAATACCCGTCTTCAGACACACGCCTTTCATCTGGGCCCGGTTGACCAGCGCCGGGGACCGGGAACGACGCACACGCTGCGCAACACGACATCCACGCCGCACTTGGTTATATGTTGCCTGGTGCAGAGGAGATGTCGAGAACTGGCGGAATGCAAGGCCGGCCACCGCTGTCGTGATAGCAGTGGGTGTGCGAAGGACGGGCTGGAACCGGGGAATCGAGCATGACGATTTGGGGGGTGAATGGGATTGCCGAGAGCGAGGGTCGTTGGACAATGGTCCGCAAAGTGCGGAGCGCGAGGGATGACACCAACGGCGGCATTTCTGTGGTTAATGGGGGGGAATAAGAGATGGTAATTGAATCCAATAGACTAGCCGTGCCTGGCCAGTATCCGGACAATTTGCGATAGGGGTCACGTGCTGTGACGACGGAAATGGGGTTTCTGCGGGGCCGGAGTAGCTGGACGCGCTATTCGGTCAGTTGCCTGGCCTAGTTATATCGGTCCATGTCAGAGCTTCCAACAATCTGCGAGTTGGTCTTGTTTTTCTTGCCATCCACGACAGTTCTAACCACTCTCTTTTCCTGACAAGTCTAGTGGATATTCTTGCTTTCCTTAAATTGACTCATTTACCCTCTTCTCAAATACTCAACACCGAAATCATGGTACGTAGCCCAGCTATACATTATGGATTCCATCTCCCCAACTCAGTTCTAGAACCCATTCGGACCCAACTAACGAAAGAAACAACAGTCTCTCCGCATCGCACCGCCATCTAACCATCCCTCCCAAACCTCCAACACCACCGCCCGTCAACAAATCCCTATCTGCCTCCCTCGTGCATCGAAAGGCGCCCCCTCTGCTCCCGGTCTCCCCGACACCCTCCGCGATAAGATCACTCTCTCTGCTCCGTCTGGACCACCGTCTTCTCACACCGGAGTCCCCCGTCCTCGGCGCATCCTCTCGAGGCCCGTCTCCACGCCTGGCGCCAAACTCAGGATGCAATGAAGATGGAAACGTTGCGACGGGCGTACGGCATCGCGGAGCCCGTGCGCCGCGGCATGGAACTCAAGCTCGTTCGGGATGGAACCTTCCGTCCTGCCGTGTTGGGCGGCACGAAGGGGGGAAATGTGCATGAAGATATTTTGACGTTGGGTGGTCGGGATGCTGAAATTGGTTGGGAGGATGTGTTTCACGGTAAGTGCAGTCTTTATATATTTTTTTTCTTGGAGAGAATGTGTGATACTAACTATCTTTCGTAGGAGATGAGTTCAGGGAACCGCCTGCTTTCCATGATGAGATGGAGAAGAGGTTGCGGATGCACCATTGATTTTACCCTTGTTTTACGTCTTGTGGCTTCTGTTACTCTTTCATTGTTCATACGGGTCATTAGGATTGATATAGGCGTGGTTGCAACATGACTCGGTCTTTTTTCAACATATGTGGTCTTTCTTGCTGCATTGCTGCATTTGGCAAGATACTAGATGCAATTGGACGATCTTATCGTTGCACGACAGACGTCGGCAAGTATTTTTTAGCTTGCATGTATTTGCATAGGGTAGGTATCTTTCAGATGTAATGGTCGGGTTAAAAAGTAAAAGAGCCAAGCGACCTTTGTATTCCAATATTTACAGCCATGTTGTTTGTGCATACACTATGTACTGTGCACAATCAATAAGTGTGTAGCGGTCGTACCACGTCAGTTGGTACTAAATCCAGCCGGGCCTGACGGCTAGAGCCAAGGTCTCTACCATAAGCCTCCGAGATTGGTCAATACATGGTCTGAAGACGGATACTATGGAACAAAACACACCCTAGAGCAAAGAGGGGAGGAAAAAAAAAAAAAAAAAAAAAAAAAAAAAAAAGAAACGAAAGAGCGAGAATAAAAGAGTATGCAGAACGAGATCTCACAGAGATATAGTAAAACAAGTGGAAAATAGGGTCATGTATCAATCAGATGGAGACCAAGCATAGATGCCAATAGACAAGTTCGGTGACAAGCAACAGCCGTAAAAGGGGCCAAAGTAATAAAAAGCAAAACAATGAAAAGTAAAATGAGAGTAGCCAGAACACACGGAGGAAGGGGGTATATAAATAAGCAGGGAGGCGGGATGAGAGAAGCATCAAGCTGCTCATACAACTGTGCAGGCCGATCAGATATCATCAGGATGGATCTCGGAATGAAACAGTCAAAAATGTCCCGGTGCTAAAAAGAGCAAACGCTAGGCAACTCCCGGAACGCCTTCCAGCTGGCTATCCAAATATTCTGCATCGAGGCTGCTGGGAAATGGTTGCCTGTACCGAAGCTACTCAAAGGAGAGAAAATAGGCAAACGGTAAATACGGGGAATGAATATGTCTGCCTGCATTCTTTCGGTCGAAACGGTGTATACCAGCCTTCAAACCGAGCCTCATTGCGGCCGCATCTAGAGGATAAATAGATGTCAATTGATACACCATGACGACAAGACTGCGCGGGTGGATATTGTTAAGCTCCAATCCTCCTAATACGCAGATGCAGGTATGCTTGTTTATTGTATGATACAACGGCATCCAGGGCTGCGTTGGTTGCCATCTGCATCTCGTGGATATTGACCCTTTGTCGCTTTGGTGTCTTCTTCTTCAATGAGTTCCTGGGGTTTGACGGTCATATGCACCACATTAGGGGCATCGTGGTTAAACTTGGAGTCTAGTCCACACATGTCAGCCCATATACAGCCTCTCTTTCTCAAGCAATCGGTATACCTACCGGACAAGGGTGCTTTATCATCAAGGAGCTTTCCAAACGAGATCAACCGAATAGAGCTGGGCGACGATGGCCGCGGTTCCCACTCTAAAACATCACTCGTCAGTCACAATCCTTGCGATGTTTACACTTTGAGAATAGATACCTGGTCGCCATTCCCTCCAAATCAATTCCTTAAGAGTGTATACACTCATTGCGAAAGGGTCATGGTTCGCCACGTTTATTGATTGTTTCCGGAGGTAATTCCCATCTATCCTAAACGGATGCCGCGACCCCGTTATCAAAAGCAAAGTTATGAGTAATGACGGGCCCAAAGATTCCGTCTCCTTCGTTGAAGCGTTAGGAGGCTGTGACGCTGGCTCTGGGGCATCCTCCGTAGCCTTAGCCTCACTTGGTTCCTCAGAAGGCACATGAGTTGCCAGTGGAGGGTCCAGCTCCTTTGTTTGAGTAGTAATGGCAGGCTCCGCATTTTCGCTGCCAACATTAGGTCTCGTATCTGTCGCACCCATTATCGTACTATTTGTATTGTCGTACAGGCTATTGTCGGGCTGAGCGGAAGGGTTCTGATCTCCGGTGTGTTCTGAGGAGGAGAAAAGTGGCAGCTGCGGGGAAGAGTCCTGAGCAATGGCGACAGCAGGTAATATTGATTCATCTTTGTTGGTTACAGGACCTGAACCATCCGTCTCCGAATGGTCGTTGGAAGCCATGTCCAACGTAACAAGTCTCAAGACAGGAGTCTCGTTCCACTGGTTGAACTGCAGTTGTTCAAGAGAGCTAAGGAGAGGAAGGATAATGGAGGCGGTCGATCGCAGCTTCAAATACTCCGATGTAAATAACGATAGTCGGATGGCTGGTGAGGGGAGAGAGGGGGAAGTGAGAGGGGAGTCGAATGTGAGAGAGATGAGAGAAGGGGAGTGTACTAGGGGAGATGTGAGACCAGCGATCCGCGGCTAAAGAAAGGAGACGCCCGTCTGGGATTCAAGCCAGAGTCTATTTTGGAGAGAGGGTAAAGGAGGCCATGCGACCAGCGAAACGGCGAACACCAAGAAGAGGGAGAACAGGGAATTAAAAAAGAGGATGAAAGAGGATGAAAGAAGCCGGTCTGTCAGTATACAAAGGACCCTCTGAGTCCAAGAGAAGAGCGAACGATACAGAAAGAGGAGAAGCTGGTCTCCGTGCGATTGTCTGGTTGGCCCAGTGGGACCGGAGGTGGGCCAGCTCAAGGAGAATAAAAATAGGTAGGAATACAGAGTACCTAGGGACTGTGATTGTCGTACAGTGCATCAATTCATCCACTGAATAGGTATCGTACTTTTCTCCCCCTCTTTCTCTGGTTGAACGGATAAGATCATCGTTAGCTCACTCGATGTGATGAACTGTCGATCCTGGTCGGATGCGGAGATGCTGCATCTGGTCATATCAAGTCATAGTCCTCGTGGATAGCCAATTCGGTCGGAAAGATCCGTTCATGATAAACAACAGAATTGAGTCATCAAGACTGGTGGTGTAGCTAACTGGTATGCTTAAGATATAAACACAGAGGTATGAATACAGGATGTAGATGCAAGTCTCGATCAAACGCACGCAGTACATGCCTTTATATGCCCCAGGGAGTCGAGTATATACCTCATCGCCGAGTAATTCTCTCTCTGCCTTTTTTTCTTTTCTATTTTTGCTCTTCCTCTCTCTCATTTACTTCTATTTTTATGTTTCTCCTTATCTTAGATATATTAGTAGATAATGCTTGTTTCGATCCCTATGAAAGTCAGGCAATGGCAGACCAGGTGATGTCATCAATGAACGTAGGGGGACAGAAACAACAATGCATTATTTCCCTAATATACTGCTTTTGTATTAAGTACTTCTATTATTATTTTCTTATTATAATAAGAAAATAAAGATAACGATAAAGATACATCCATAACTCATTTCGTTTTTTCCTCGTTCTTGGCTCCCAATAAAGGGAAATCGATGCATCACCTGATCTATGCCCCATTCATCACAACGAAGACGCAAAGACACGTCAAGACCAAATCAAATCATCACAGGACGCCATTTTAATCATCAGAGGGGTATTCCATTGTTCACTTGCCGCAAGAGGATATCCGGTCTCTACGCATATCCCTTCATTGTATATCCATCCCATGTGTGGAGACCATGCTTTCACCATTGTGACATCATCCTGAGCTGCAGAATCCTGGATACCAGTAACGAATCGTCAGAGACCGATGCGGGGAACTGGAGAAAATTACCAATAAATTGAAGATGGATCTCTTAATTGCCTTCAACCATTTCCATGATTTGGGGGGTGCTCTATCAACAACCACGGGAGCCTGGAAGGCTAAATCGGCGCGCAAGTCAAGTGACGAAGCAGGCAAGCTAGCTGGTGCTGTCATGCAACCAGGGCCTGTTAATTAACGCGGACTCCGATCTAGAATATTTATTCTGATGTAATTAATTTCGATAAGGACCTGGATTTTGATCATACGCCTCCGTATGCAAAACGGTCGCACGATATTTCTTGGCTAGAGTATTTAAACATTCTACAATGTCACCCAGCACTTCTTGGGATAGCATCATCATCCTCTGAAGATGTTACAGCATTCCATACGAGAAACGGTTCAAAGGCTCGTCAGCAGTCGTCGCAAACCTGTCGAGCCGGATTTCGATATCGTCAATACGGAACCAGCTATGTTCATTCCAACATACACCAACAAACCAGCAGTTCTCCGAGGGTGCTGTATACTAAAATTGAAGGAACCCCTGCCTGTGAAGAGGCTGATTGTGAATCTCCGGGGAGTCTCTCGACTGCAATGGTCTTTGGGTAAATGACATCCCAACGCGACGTAGTTAGAATACCGGCTGACAAGTACACACATGCAACAGGCCGTCGTGATATGAAAACATTGGCGGATTGTACACTGGTTTTGTTTGGTCCCAACTCCCCAACAGAAACAACTCAACTTTCTTCCAATGCCGCACACATTGGAAAGCCGGGCCCCGGTTGTGTGAAGAGCATTCCAAGCCAAAAGAAATGTCGCGTTTGGAATGCAATTCACAAGAAATTCTGCGCCAGACGCACCTACGGAAGCTGTGCGGATTATCAAATTCTTCCTCCCCCGGAACTTACCAATACAACTTTGAAATGATTCTGCCTTCCCATTTACCGGAATCTATTTGCCTTCGACGGAGCAATGTCCATTACAATGTTCAGGCCTGTGTTGAACAGCCGGGCTGCTTGAGCCGCAGTATCAAACGAAGCAAATCAGTTACTGCAGTTCATTGTCCAGCCGAAGACTTCGTGGAGGACTCTGAACCTGTGTATGTCTGTCGACGTTGGCGGAATTCGCTTCGCTGTGAAATAATCCTCTCCAGGAGAGGAGCGCCTCTAGGAGACCGACTCCCAGTTTCGGTATATTTCAGGGAGATAGCATTTTCAAGATGCGAGAGATTCAGGATCTTCCTCTCGGAGAATACACAGTATCTACAAAAGAGTGGCATATCTTCCTGCGGGGGCCCTTTCAAGAGGGTCCTTTTGTATGATGCTGGGCAGGATTTCGAGGATGGAGCGGATGCTCAAGGCTATCCGGATAATATGGTTAGAGGAAGAAGTCTTATGGAAGATGCTGGCTCCGCGAGTGCCAAATCAGAGGACGAGGGGACGAGGTTGGATGTCAACTTGTTGTTACCCCAGGCTGTCAGCCAGACGCACCCCAACACCGATGAAAAGCTAAACATGCATTTCGACACCAAGTACAAGAATGTACAAATTAGCCATTGGCTCGAGGTGAGGGGATATATATAGGCGGTTTTTTTGAGGTTCCGATTGACAATGTCTAGTTTGTATTCACCGTGTCCCGACCTGATGCGAGGTCAGTGCAGAAGATTGTTAGGGCTCCGTTGGCCCTCCGATCTAGCTACGCTTTACCAGCCAATGCGTCTCTGCCTGCGTACTCCCACACATGCGACGGGAAGCCAATCTGTGTTTCCGCTACAGAATCCATTGATGGGTGACGGTGCAGACTAGGCTTACATAAGGGCCAGTCGAAGCTCTGCCAACTAATGCCGGTGAGGTGAGCCGAGGCGCATGATCGACCTCCAGCTATAGAAGTCCACTAAGCTAGAATCTACGAAAAGGATCTGAAGCAAAGGCTGAGGGACGTTGTCGGATTCTGATGCACCTTTTGGGACGGGCTCCATACTTCATCCACCGTTTAAATGTGGGTAGCCCACCTAGTGGACCAACCATGGAATCTTCACAATATATCATTTGTTCCGGCAGATGATTAAGTTTCCCGTGCATCATGCAATCATCATCCTCTCATCATCCCCAGCACTCAGGTCAAATCTCTCTAATCACACAAGACTAGTTGTGATGTCAATAATTAACCGTGGGTTTTTGAAACATGGACGAACGGGTTTCCTATGGTAGCTTTCAAGGGAATCCACGGAGGAACCTGACCACAATCTTTACTCTACACAGCATGACGATCTAGGAGCTTTTTCCGGTGGGATCTCTCACAATGCTCCTAGAAACATTCTTCACTTCTCTTGATATTCTACATTGCTTTACTGCTACCCCCCGGCGTCTTCTCCAAGTGTTATCCCCATCTTTGCTGCGGCTTCTTGCCCTTTAAATACCCAAATTTGCATATCTTACCTCTCGTGCCTCTCACCATGGCGCCTCCGACGTATGCGGGAATGTCAGGTCGTCGACTGGCCCTTTCGGTCACTGCCACTTGCACCATGGGATTTTTACTTTTCGGATACGACCGTAGGTTGGCGGGAAATAGTCCTTGTTCCTGAATGATGCGCTCATTACATCCATAGAAGGAGTTATGTCAGGAATTATCTCAGATCCCGCCTTCAATGACATGTTCACGGCAACCAAGAATGACAACACAATGCAAGCTACCGTGACTGCTGTCTACGAAGTTGGTCAGCTAAACGGATGCAGCTGAGTGCTATCGAACAAACTAACACGCTTGGTATAGGTTGCTTGGTCGGGGCTATCTTCGCGCTTCTCTTTGGAGAACTCTTAGGTCGTCGGTGGATGATCATCATAGGCGCAACTATAATGATCCTAGGTGTGATCATTCAAGTGTCTGCGATGCCCAAGTCACTACCACTCTTCCAATTTATCTTTGGCCGCGTTATTACCGGCGTTGGTAATGGGATGAACACGTCGACTATTCCCACTTATCAAGCTGAATGTTCCAAGACCAGCAATCGCGGTCTGTTAATTTGTATCGAGGGAGGTGTTATTGCTATTGGTACTGCCATTGCATATTGGATCGACTATGGCACCCACTTCGGTCCACAGAATTTGGTCTGGAGGTTCCCAATTGCATTTCAGGTTGTTTTCGGGTTTATCATTATCGTGGGCATGATCTATCTACCTGAATCACCTCGCTATTTGATTGGACATGGGAAAGTAGAGGAAGGTAAAAGCGTCTTAGCAGCCTTAGCTAACACTGATATTGATCATCCGCACACCCAATTGGAGAAAGATCTGGTTTTGGATTCGCTGAGAGCGTGAGTTGCTTGTTCCTTAGAAGTACATTCATCTCACAGAACTAACCTTAGGATAGCTCTGGTTTTACCAGGTCTAGGTTTAGGGACCTGCTCACAGGCGGTCCCTCCCAGCATCTGCGCCGGATGCTTATAGGGTCGTCGTCTCAAGCGTTCCAGCAGATCTCTGGCTGTAATGCAGTCATTTACTACCTCCCGGTTCTGTTGGAGCAGTCAATCGGTCAATCGCATAACCTTGCACTTCTAATTGGTGGGTTTAACATGATCTGCTACGCCATCTTCGCAACATTTTCATGGTTCTTTATTGAGAAGATTGGCCGCCGCAAGCTGTTCCTTGGAGGCAGTTATGGCCAGTGCGCAGCCATGGTCATTGTATTTGCATGTTTGATTCCAGGAGACTCTGACACTGCTAAAGGGGCAGTCTTTGGCTTTTTTCTGTATATGTGCTTTTTCGGGGCGACCTGGCTCCCTCTACCCTGGCTGTACCCGGCGGAGATCTCTCCTCTAAAGACAAGATCCAAAGCCAATGCTATTTCCACCTGCAGCAACTGGCTCTTTAACTTTACCGTCGTCATGATTACCCCGGTTATGGTGGACCACATTGGGTGGGGAACTTACCTCTTCTTTGCCGCGTGGAACGCCATCTTCATCCCCATAATTTGGTTATTCTACCCGGAAACCGCTGGCCGCAGTCTTGAAGAGATTGACCTTATATTTGCGAAGGGGTACGTGGAGAATATAAGTTACGTCCGGGCAGCCAGGGAACTACCGAAGCTCTCTGACGAAGAAATCGAATCCAAGGCCGCCGAGTATGGGATTCTCAACGAGGAGACGTGTACTTGAGACATTTCCAGCTGCGTTGCCGGAACGCACCTCTGATCTGCTCACTTAGCTGTGAGACAAGTCGGACGGTTCGTGTCCTGTTTATAAATTTTCTCATATGTATGTATCTATTTCTAGTGTGCATACGTATATAGAGATCTACATATTTACCTCAGGAATCTATATTGAAATCCAATACATTAGCATGTTAACCACGTATGGAAATTTTGCTCTTTCTACTAGGTACTCTTTGATCCTCGTCACCACAGTTCATTCCCCGCCAGGAATGCAACACATAGGTATATACCTCCACATGCTTCCATTGACTGGAAGGGCTATCTAATTCAGTGAAAGTGAATGATTCACATTGAGTTAATCTTCCCAGTATTCATTACGAGCTCCAGGTTGCTCTTCGATCTAAGTATCAAACGTATAAAAGCTCGTGTGTTTGTATTTCAATATTACAGACCTATGGTTCGATAAGTGGCCATGATTTCGAATATGTAAACCGAGCTGTTCTTGTAGGTGTTGAAATGAGAACAAATCCAGTCTATCTGCTTATACTTCATCAATGGAAGTAAGTTATGTCCAATCCAAGTTTGTTTGGGCAGTAATCTCCGAGTGATTCTGGAATGGTATATAAGAACGCGATAGTAGACAACAGGCAGCTGCATCGTAAAGGCACATAATTCTAACAGAATCCGGCAATTCAACACCCTGTATCACGGTGTGCATCCATCTATCAGCCTGTCTCTATTATCGATCTGACGCATGAAGGTCCACTCCTCTCTGGGACTGGATCTGAATGCTAGCGTTCAGGAGAAATTAGATTCGAGGAAGGAAGTTGGCGACGATTACTACCGTATCACATTAGCTACCCAATCTCTCTCCACCGTTATCAAATATGATCAGCATCAGTGACTCAACCTACTGAAGGAGCTCTTTGGTTACGAAGTAGACACAGGTGCTCACTAAAGCGACCTTGACAAATCCTCTGGCCCCTAAACCGGGGCGCCTTGGATGGATACGCCCATAGTAAGAGAAACCGAGAGATGAAGGAGAACGCATCTTCAATGATTAGTGAATGATGAGGTGGTAGCCAATCCATTCTCCTGTAATCGTCGTGATATTTATCCTCCTCTGGTATCACCGAGGTTGAGCCCTTAAATCCGGCTCGGGGTCGGTCTTCGGTGTTTCTGGAGGTTTCGGTTTCTTTTCCCTGTCGATTCCTACATTCTCCTCTTCCGTATTATTATTCTCCGTCAGCTGTTTCTTGTTCTCTTCATATTTGACCTTCCCTGGACACATGAAGAGACACCGACCCGGCTGCATCAAGAACTTCGGCCTCATCAACCATGACCGACCACGAGCAACTTAAACGCCGCCAACTAACCAAGGCCTGCGAGACATGTCGAGACCGCAAAGTTCACTGTGATCGAGCTGTGCTCTGTGGTCCTTGTACATGAGCACGGGGCTCGCTGAGATGCTCGTATCAAGAAACGAGTACCACATCTCCAGCTTCTCGTGCAAAGATCGCATCAGTCCAGCCAACAGTCCCCGTTGCTGCGGTGAGCAATTTAACTCCGGTCTCTCACGACAACACCGAACTCGCGCCGTCGCATTGCAGTCAGCTGAGGCAAGGGTCACCGTCTCAGGATGACTCGCCGATTTGTCATATCCAGTGTTATCTGCAGCGTGTGGAAACACTCTTTAGTCGAGGGGCAAATCATGCAGCGTCGGGCCCAGATCCTGCTCGGATCAGTCGTTACGCGGCCTAATGCAGCGTGTCCACAGCGTCGAACAGCAGCTGTCCTCGTCCTCAGACAAGCCTAGATTAACAAACGGACTGTCAATCGGGGCAAAGCCTCCGCCTCCATATCTCGTCCAGCAAGATGAAATTGACTAGCCAGCCCATTATAGCTACACTGCGGACAAGGTACGATCTGCTATTTATCCATGCTCTCGCGCTCAAGCTGATAGACGCATAGCTTCGGATCGAACACGCGCTCCGTCCCAAGGAGCCAGACCCTTCATATCAAGCCCTAAAAGCCGATTTGGTGGCCCTAGTACTACTGCCGGGGTGTGCGGCATTCCGTGAAAACTCAACAAGCTGCCTAGCCGAATGACCCTATACCGAACCTGCATGAGACCATCCCAGCGAAGCCTATCTGTGATGAACTGGTGCACGGCTGCATGCGCACTTTTGAGCCAATCTACCGAATCGTGGACTTGCCTTCCTTCTGGAAAGAGTATCACCAATTCTGGGAACCGTCCTCAACGCCTCAATAGTGTTTCTCATGAAGCTGGTCTTGATCTTCGTCGTTGGTACCGTCTTCCAACCACAGCGAGGGAAGGCGAACCCCGATCATGATCTCCGTCTGGTCCAATCTTGGATTTATGTTGCCCAATGGCGGCTCACAGGGCCCTCAGAGAATGACGCTCTGAGCTTGGATAGCCTGCAGGTGTTCTGTCTGCTACTAATTGCGCGCCAAACCAGTTTTCCCTAGGTTAATTGTCCTGACTATGCACAGGAACCCTCCCTAAAAGGGCTATGGCGATGGGTCTTCATGGGTCCCGGTCCATTTCCCATCCCTCGGTCTGGAACTGATCACACAACTCGAAGAATTTCATCTACCATCTCACCATTACTAGGAACCACTACCAACCCACATAATCTCCCACTACCTGATAAATCTCTGGACGAACTCACCCGCTCATCCCGCTCCCCCATCCTTCGCACAATGCACCATATGCTCGCTCAGCTGCGCCAGATCATCGACCTCGGAACACCCAGTCTCAAATGATATAATGTCTTCGCTGCTATCCTGGGCAAGATCCAAGCCAGCTGTCTATGGGGCTTTTAGGGAGAGTCTAAGAGTGTCGTTGACTAAGCTGCAGGCTGCTGTGAGAGTCGCAAATCATGCATTCTTCTCTACCCCGAGGGATGAAATTCGTGAGTCTGAGTTTATCGTGGCGGAAGAGAGGGTTTGGCTGCGTTTTGATTTAGATTTGGTGAGTCGTTTCCGGTCTTTTATTCTTAAGCGTTTTGGTCTTTGGTTCCTTGTTCCCTGTTTCGTACTCCCCTACATGGAGTGCGTGTTTGTTCACTGAGCGAGCGCGGTAGGATCCTTGGGATACCGGATTTGTTGGATTTGGATATGGGGGATTCTGGCTTTGAGGGTTGAAATAGATGTATATACCTTCCTTGTTCGGTTGACGTTTGATGTTAATGGCTTATATACTAGTATACTATTTATTCTGTCAGACGGATGAGTCAAAATAATTTATAATTAAGTAGTTCTAACATGCTCTTCATTACCGTCATCCTATCGTTATGTACTCGCATACAGAATATCAAGCAGAATGAGATCTGCGACAGTGGTTAAACCCAACTAAACCAGTAGTCCGGTCCAAATCGCTCTGCATTGTCAGGATAGCCTTGTCGTTGAGTGTCAGAGGCTGCCAAGTCATGGATGGATATCCATGCTCCATCCATAAAAAGTAAAATAAAATTCTATGCCCAGCCAGTGTACTGTTCCACGGGTTCATTCTTCACTCCTGCAGAGCCATGCCTCACACCAAGTAGACGAACTTTGCCGATTTTGCCACCAAAATCATCCTCCACTTTACTCTCCCAATTTTCAAAGAGTTCGTTCAACTTGCGGACCACCTCGATGTCGTCCCGGATGAGGAGCGCAATCGCGTCATAGCCACCTGCGCCGGGAACCACCCCACCAACAACGCCGTCGATGTCCGAGACTGCGTCGAGCAGTTCGGTTTGCACTCTGGGTTCGATAGGGACGCCGGTTTTGCGAGTCATGCTGCGGATGTGATTGCGTGAGCGCTGGATAAGATTACGAACGTCACTGAAGTCATTGGATTTCTCTTGATTAGGATTCTGCGCCAATTGCTTGAGTTCTAGACAGAGTCTCTCGTTGTTGGACTGCAGAGCATTCCAAAGAAGCTCGGCCTCCTGTGGATTTTGTTTTCGCCATTCCAGCACCTTCTTTAGCATAGACGGCGTCTGGGAACCGCAATCTACATCGCACAGGACCATCTGCATGCCTCGAGGCAGCTGCATACCAAAATCGAGGCATTCCGTATCCCATGGATGTTGGGGGTTGACGTCCTCCACGACCGCAAAGAGGCGTTCTTCGAACTCGGGGCTCCCCGCCTCACCAACGGATTCCAAGATATGGGGGGAGAATCGCCGGTAAAGACAAGAGCCATAGATAGCGGCGGCAACATCAAATCCAGAACCAACCTTCCCCTGGGCCGCACAGTGGGCCGCCTGGGCCAGGTTATGGAGCTTGTCACGGGCAGTGCCCAGGTCGTCAGGTTGCATTGTTCGATGGATAACCAGAGCAGATACTAGAGACGTGACTAAAGCTGCGGAAGATCCCAGACCCGTCTTGTGTGCCTCATGAAGGGGGACACCAAAATTCGCAAATCTTCCGGCAGACTGTAGTCCTGACGCCTTGGAGAAAGCGGTCTCTGAGTAGTAATCGTTATCTGCGAGGATGGTGATTGACAGGGACCCAAAATCCTTGGAATCGGCGACATAGCTGATGTAAGTCAGCGCGTAGTTGAGCGAGGTCTCAACGAACGGATTGTGTGGTCTATTATCTTTTAGTGTCTAGTCTCAACGTGAGACAGCATGGAGCATTCGCTTACCCAGCATTCTTTTGTATCACCTTAATACCGCCACCATTTTTGCAACGCTGGATGCCATACTCCCACACTGCATCTATAAACTGTGGCGAGCAAACAACAATTGTGTTTTCATTATGTTTATCATCCGCAGTATTCCCATCATCGGCTACTTCAGTAGATGTGCCAGCTCCCAACTTTCCTAACCTTCGATGACCCTTTCTCAATTGTTGAACAACAATGTGGATTCTTGCGTCAAGTGCGAACACTGTGCCGGTGTATTTACGGTCCAGAACGAGATAGCCACCCGTGAGAAGGACTTTGCCCGGAGCCGAGAGGGCAGTGATTGGGGAAGGAGAAACCGACATGGAGACTGAAGGCGCCGATATAAACAGAAGGATGGATCTGCTTTATAGAAATTTCACTTATCACAGGCGGTAGTTGAGAAATCAGTCGTCGCTTGAGAACTTGAAGTAAACAATACGTCAGCAACGACGGCTCCAGAAACAGTGTTGTGGGGAAGAAATATGGCATGGGAAGGATAAGGACAAACCATGGAATAGTCTGAGGATTAGAAAAAAGCCCTCAAAGGCACGCAGTCATATAGAAAGACGAATTGGTCCTACTCTTCAGGTCTGGAAATTTTGAGAGGGAACCCCGCTGATTGCAACGATAGACGAAAGAAATCACCACGCTGCGTGTTCTCACCAGCGGGTCACGTGTGTCAAGAGAGTCCAACTCGCATTAAGACCGACTAGATCTAGCTATCATCTAAGATTTGCACAATATGCCCAGAGAAATCGTGACCAAAGGCTTGACAAAATTGATGTTTGCATGTTTGCATGTATGCTCATATATTCCATCAGGTGGCTGGAGCCTGTGTGGCTGAGCAAATGTGGCACCGGGCTTTGCTTTATTTGGAATGGCTCACTTGGTCAGGTGTCTTTCAATGGAATCTAATGAGACATTCAATACTACAAATAAGAGATCATCGTGAGTCCAGTGGTAAATGAGTTGAAACTATCATGTTTGATTCTCACTCCGGCTCACATCAGCTCCTCAATCCAAATATGAGCATGTAGGCAGAAAAGATACCAGTTTGATGACTTGGCCGTCTTTACCCCTAACCGGAACATCGAACATCCATACCGAGAACTACTTAGTTATGCAGACTACAGAGTACACGTCTCAGCAACTGTGATGACATCTCCCCGATACCATAAGCAACTTAATCCAATTACAGACAGCATTGTAAGTCTCATTTTTAGGGTTTTAACGCCATTTTGCTGCACACAAGCTTTCTATTAGAGTACACTGATACTAAGTGCAACTCGAACTTCTCATTTCTCCGGTTGATCCGACATCAATGACCTCCTGTTTCATTAAGTTTGGAATCCAGGGATTTGAAGCATTGGATTCGTAAGTTCATTCCATGCCACGCCGGCGATGGATCTGATAAGGGGGCTTACTCCGGAGTGCCGAGTCTATCGTAGTAAATACATGTGGAGTTGATTGATAAACTTTCAAGTTTGGGTACGTGTGATTCATACGAGAAGAAGGGATCAGCATAGTGTTGATGTCATTCTCTGTGGCTACACTATACAGAGAACTCGCAACCACGCTCTATGAGGAAATCACTCTATTTGACCGGATGGATCTGTAAGGTCCATTGTTCTGGATCCGGTATCAGTGAATCGTTCGGAGATTAGGCATGACATTAGAATATTCTGAGTTGTTTCATGGCGGATTCACCACCATTAAAGAGCATAATAGTTACTACTTGTCGTCGGGTCTCGGGGATCGGACATCCGACAGGCCTCGGGGGCAAGGAAGCCAAACTCCGGTGGAGGCAGTGTTGAAGAAAATGAGCCGGGACGGGGAGTGAGTCACGGTCGGAATCAACCCCAGGCCAGGAACATCCAGAATTGCCTGGTCCTGTTCTTCCCTACGGCCCCAGAGCCCGTCGTGCCGCCATTGGACTACAACCCCTGATGAAGTGTGACCACATGATCCATCTCGGGCCTTAGGCAACGACCGTATCTCGTAATGGACAAGTTTTCGTCTTTGGTTGGGTCCCTGCCAGGGAAAGTTTTTTTTTTTTTTGTGGCCACTAGAGGTTTTTTTTTTTTTTTTTTTTTTTTTGTTTGATTCTTTCTTTCTACACCATTCATTCAACCCCTTCGATATTCATCTTCTCACTTCCCTTTGTCTCCCTGTGCGTTCCTTTGACGATTCCAAGTCGTCAAATGAACCTGCATCAATTTCGTTATTTTGATTCCAAGGTATGATGACCAAAAATGCATGGGTTTTGTTGCCCATGAAATAAAGAAAATACGTCTGGCTAACGTGTTCTGTCTAGTATTACCTCTTCCCATTGAAGAGGTCTCCCGCCAGATAAATGGTTTTCAAACCGTTCACCCATCTCGCGCGTCAGAGTTTCACCAAAGCCTTCACCCATGGCTACGCTCAGTCGGTAGTCGCGGCCTCGCAGTCTTCATACACACCATCCGCCACATTAAATCAGTTTGCGACTCAGCCGGCTGCCAAATTCTCCCGCACCACCCAATTACAACATGTATTTCAACCGTCGAGTTCGTCCGGGGCTGGCGCCAAGGCCAGTCAAGGAGGCTCGGGCTCGGGGGACTTCGGGTTAGCGGCGTATTATGCGGCGTGGCAGCACGCTCAGCAGACGGGTGATGACAGTGATTGGAAGCAGATGCAGCTGAAGAGACGTATTGGTTGGAAGCCAACATCTGCCGAAGAAAATGCCAAATCCAAGGAGTACAGCGACCCGGGTTCCCAGAGTTCCCGCTCCGATCTTCCTCAGTCGCCCCGTATCACCAAAGCTACGGCCAATGCCGACGTCAGTGCGCAGGTGGAGGAGGCTGTAGCCCGAGAGATCCAAATCCAAGAAGAACAGGCGCAGGCAGAGGAGGCGTCCGAGGCAGAGAACACGGCAACCGAGGCTTTCCCCGAACTGCCTCCAGATGTTGCCGCTCTCTCGGATGCTACCGCAGAACAATCCCAGGTTGCTTCAGACCAGGTTGTTCAGCTGGCTTCAACGAAAAAATACGCCGAGATCCCGGGTGCCTTCGCTGCCTTGCTTCGAGATGGCCTCACCCCCACTGTTGAGGCCTACAATGCCTTGCTTGAGTCGGCTATCCAACTCCACGGGGAGACCTCCCAGGCAATCCAAAAAGCCCTCGATGTCTACTCGGATATGCTGCGTCGGAAGGTAATCCCTAACCAGGAGACGTACCGGACTTTGGTCGAGCTTTTCGTTGTCCGTGCGCAGGAAGCCATCAAATCCAGGAAGCTTCTGGAGCAAGATCGACTGCGATATGGTGGCATGGAAGAGGCCGGGAAGTTCATGCTGCACTCAAGTGAACTGGAGCGCGCTATCCTTGATGAAGATCACTCCCTCGATATCGCACTGAAACTCTTCGATACAGCTACTACACGACACACTGATCTGGTCTTCTCACTGGATACCTACCGCTATTTGATCATTGCATGCGCTGTAGAAGGCCGGGTTGAAAACATGGTTCGCGTCTATGCTCACATGGAGTCCCACGAAGTGACTCCGCATGCCTCCATTTTCCCGGCGATGATCGACGCTTTTGCTTCGACCGGAGACCTGAGGAGCGCTGTAGAGTGCTACAACGAATACAAGGCCCTTGCAGTATCCGACGATAACGGTACGTTTAGCATTGTCCAGCGGTTGGATGGTCAAGTCTATGCTGCATTGGTCAAAGCGTATCTCTCTTGTGGCAAGGAGCAAGAAGCTTTGCGGTTTCTGGAGCGGATTCGTTCCTCGTTTGACGAGGTTACTGAAAACCGTGAAACTCGGCAGGATGCAATTGAGATGGTGATTGTGCAGGACGCACTAGTGCGCCACTCTCTCAAATCTGGTGAGCATGATAGCGCCTTAGACCATGCCAAGACCCGCTTGCACGATAGTGCGCTGGATCATGCCATGGCCCAGATCTGCATCGCTGCGGCGGATGCCGGTAACCTCAAGGCCGCTTCCGAGGCGTTTGACTGTCTCCCCACTGAAACGGACATTCGACAAGGCCCCGCTGTGTCCATGCTGGCGCTACATGTTCGACAGGGCGATGTCTCTGCCGCCCGATCCCTGTGGCGCATGTTGAGTACCACGGGTCAGGCTACTTCGGACATGGTCCAGCCGACTGCCATGTACTCAGTCGCCCTACTGAAGAGTGGTCAGATCGAGGAAGGTCTCCTTGAAGCCCGCAATATGTTTACCCGAGTTCGCAATGCCTTCACCGATAATAATCTTCTACTCAATCCTATCCGTGAACAGATCAACGAGAGCATTCACCTTATCGGTCGTGTCCTTAGCCAAACTGCAGTTGTCCTCTCCCCTCAAGCTGCTATGACTCTCCTTTGGTCGATGACGGAGAATGGGGGTCTTGTCTTCCCAGTTGCTGAGCATGTTGTCTCCAGCTTTGGTCCTATTGGTATTTCCCAGCTCAATGCCCGTGACCTGATGCTGGCGCTTCAGGTCCAAGCTGGAATGCTGGTCAATGGCAATGCGACCGCTTTTGATGTTGCCCACCCCATCCGCTTCGCTCACATGCTTGACATTGCTTTGGCAACCGGGCTCCAAATGGATCCCTTCACCACCCGTGTGGTTGACCAAGCCGTTGGTAAGCTATTCAACAGCCGGCCTGACATGGTCAGAAGATGGCATGACCATCTTGGTTTGACATCCAGCCCTTCTTCCTTCTTGACCGATCGTCATTCTCCCGCCTCGGAAATGTCGACCCTAAGCCCCACGCCCAACGAAGATTCGTTCGACCCGTACGCCTATGCCACCGACTTCCGAGGGTCGGCAATAATTGCTGAGGAATTAGAGAACACCCGTGGTCGACCAGAGTCGCACCTGAACGAGTCTTTGAATCGGCTGCGAAACATGCGTCGTGCTGGCCGTCACCCTCGCTACATTACCTACGCCAAACTGATCACTGCCGCCGCCAAGATCAACCGCGTTGATCTGGTCCATGAGGTTCTTAGCATGGCACGACGCGATGTACCTCTTCTTCCCCAGTACCACGCTGTAAAGTATGGCTGGGTGTCAATTCTGGATGCTATGGTCGCCTCTTGTTTAACCCTGGGGGACCGCAGCCTTGCCACCAAGTATCACACTGAGCTTCTTGAGCTCGGCTCAGCTCCATCGGCGAACACCTTCGGTTTGTACATCACGACGCTCAAGGAGTCCACCAAGACATTTGACGAAGCAACCGAAGCCTTGAAGGTTTTCCATCGTGCGGTGGCTGAAGGCGTGGAACCTTCCTCGTTCCTTTACAATGCCCTCATTGGCAAGCTCGGTAAGGCCCGTCGTATAGACGACTGCCTCCTGTACTTTGCCGAAATGCGTGCCAACGGAGTTCGACCCACGAGCGTCACCTATGGAACGATCGTCAATGCCCTGTGCCGTGTCAGCGATGAGCGCTTCGCCGAAGAAATGTTCGAAGAGATGGAGTCGATGCCCAACTACAAGCCCCGCCCGGCTCCTTATAATTCGATGATTCAGTACTTCCTCAACACCAAGCGCGACCGGAGCAAGGTTCTAGCGTACTACGAACGTATGCTGACCCGGAATATCCAACCCACAACGCACACATACAAACTGCTTGTTGATGCCTATGCCTCTCTGGAGCCGGTGGACATGGACTCCGCCGATAAAGTGCTTGAAAGCATGAAGGCTAACGGGCAGCAACCGGAAGCTGTTCACTACGCGTCGCTCATCCACGCTAAGGGGTGTGTGATGCATGATATGGAGGCGGCCCAGGATATTTTCCGCTCCGTCGTGTCAGAGCGGAAAGTGCGTTTGCAGCCTTGTCTGTACCAGGCCCTCCTTGAAGCCATGGTTGCCAACCAGCAGGTTGCACTAACAGAAGAGATTGTGCACGATATGAAGCGGCGCGGTGTGGAGATGACCGCCTACATTGCCAACACACTCATCCACGGATGGGCTTCTGAGAGCAATGTGGCCAAAGCCAAGGCTATCTACGACAGCATTGGTGTTGAAAGACGGGAACCCAGCACGTACGAGGCAATGACCCGTGCGTTCTTGCTTGCCGACGATCGGGACGGAGCCTCCCACACAGTTCAGGAGATGCTATCCCGTGGATACCCTTGTGCTGTGGCCAGCAAGATTGCCGATCTTGTTGGTGGAGGACCGGCTGTCCCCCCCCCCTAAGGAGAGATACATTTCATTCGTCATCTGGGCGACGTTGCCTTCCATTCTCGATCCTTATTTGACTGGAACAAAAGAATAGTTCATTTTTAATCTCTCCCTCAGGGCTGGGTCCCTGTCTGTCGGCTGTTTCCAGCCCAGTGGTCTTGATATAGGCCTTTTGGGAGGCAACTTGATTCCCCCGTTGGTTTTTCTTTTTTTTTTTCTTTGGATCTATTTGTATGCATTCAGCGATTGTCGGCGTTCATGTCAAAAAAACGGGGGTTCCAGATGATGTATACCATGGGATTTGGGAGTTTTATTTCTTTTCTTTTTCACTATACATATTCCATGTTTATAGGTTCTTGTTGATTCTAGACCACTCTCAACTCATTTTGGGTGCTGTTCTACCTAGACAGCCACCAATTCCACGCCCCTGTGTTACTGTCCACAGCGGGCCTGGAAAAGAACAATCAAAGTATGATCAAGAGAAATCCGACGTACCCGTACAGAGTAGACTTTAGTGTTAAGTGTTGAATGTTGGACTAGACCAAGTCGTAGCCCGACGGAATGATTGATCCCGAGGGGTCGTGACCAGCCCCACCTCTATCCTGGGCTGTCAGCACCGTCGTCTCCTTTCGACCACCATTGGCCGTCAGTTATCCTCGGGGCTTGTTCTCTTGTCTATGCGCCCTTTCCATCTGTACAATCTATCTCGTCGAAGTGTCTGTCACAGTCCGTTTGCTCCGTATCTCCGCAATTTGCGACGCTGTTACAGCATGGATCTCAAAGACCCCACCAACAACCCTGAGGAAGTCGATGCGAGACGCCCCAAGAAGCTAATATGTGCGTACTCGTCGATTCCTGGAAATATGGTATTAGCCAGCTACTAACAGACTCCAGTTGCACCTGGTGACATAACATCCTCACCCTCCACGCCCGGCTCAAGAATGTCACCCCCGCAGACGGCCGACTCCGCTGCGCCTGCGACAGCTCCAACGGCGGCCATATCTCGTCTCATCGCTGAGAAACTCCGGTCCGATACTTCTACACCCAACTCGGTCATGGAAAACCAGATCGTCTCACATCCGGCTCGCGCGCATCAGTTCGTCATCAACCCACCCCTTACCGTCTCCCAAATGCATCCGAGCAATCCCTTGCATCAATTCAATTCATGGTTCCGTGATCCGCGGTTACCAGCATCATCGGCCCCAGAGACGTGTACCTTGGCGACGGCAGCTTTACCCTCGGGGCGTGTGAGTGCACGCATCGTGTACCTAAAGGAGCTAGACGAGCGGGGTTGGGTGGTATACAGCAACTGGGGTAGTCGAGAGGGCAAAGGAGGTCAGGTATTTGGCAGTGCAGAGATAGATGGGGATAGCGTTCTCGGTGCCATGCCCGTTCCTGGGGGGGGCGACGACAATCTTCAGGAGGAATTGAAGCAGGGCAATAAGTGGGCAGCTCTGACATTCTGCTGGTCGAAATTGGAGCGGCAGGTGCGCATCGAGGGCCTTGTTGAGCCTCTCAGTCGCGAGGAGAGCGAGTTGTACTGGCAGACTCGTGAGCGGGGCAGTCAGATTGGCGCTTGGGCTAGCTGGCAGAGTAAAGTGCTGTGGTCAATGGAGCCAGACTCCTTAAACGATCTCCGCCGGAAGAGCCTAGCTCAAGACGAGGTATCGGGTGTTTACCCCTCGATTCCCCACGATGTGGACGAGACGGACATAGATGATGGGAGAGCGCTACTAGAGCAACGCGTAAAAGAGATGGAGGCGCGATTTGCCAATGCAGAGCAAATCCCTCTGCCTCCATTCTGGGGGGGAGTGCGATTGGTGCCGGAGTCAGTAGAATTCTGGCAGGGACGGCGCAGCCGCCTGCACGATCGATTCCGATACGTGAGGGTGCATACGTCTGGAAATGAGTCGTATCAATGGCGGATCCAGCGACTGTCACCGTAGTGTTATAATAGGAACATAATAGAGGCCGTAGAGCATCATCATTAGTATGGGTGAATATGATAGAATGCCAAGAATGTCCAACGACCTTGGCTGATCGACACCGACCTCATTACTCCCTTTTCATTGTAATCCACAAGGCAATCTTTACATGCACATCATATATAGACATATTTTCTTGTCATGAGACAATAATGGCCCTACAACAACCACCGCAATCCGCACAATCTCGCTGGGTCTTCCTCGCCGTCACGAGCGGCGCATTCGCTGCTCTCAACGGCCTCTTCGCAAAGCTGTACCCTTCTCCCCCAACCCATAACCAACCAATGCATACTTAATACTAACCTGAAGTCTCCAGAACAACAGATGAACACACCTCCGCCTTTACGAAATCCCTCCTCCAATTCTTCAACGCCACTCACAACCACCCTATACTAGAATTATCCGTGAGAGTCGTGAGTCCATCGCCCTCCCTTTCTTAATTTATTCATTCCACAACATATTCTACACCGATGATGCTCCAGAATTTTCGGTATATCACTCGCAACAAAATTCTCATTCTCATTTCTCTATAATTTCCTTACTAACCGGTCCGAATCAAATCCAATACGGGTGGGGAGGTATAGGTCTGTCTCGGACTCAATGTACTCTGCAACATCATCATGTGGGCATTGTTCACGCGCGCGCTGACAGCGTCCCCATCGACGGTTAAAGTATCGATTACCAACACGGCGGCAAACTTCTTGGTCACAGCTGTGCTGGGAATGGTTGTGTTTCGTGAGAAGGTGGGTGGTCTGTGGTGGTTAGGAGCGGGGATGATGGGTGGTGGGTGTATTCTGGTAGGAATGAGGGATAATTGATCTTTATCGTCTATTTGTTGCTTATTTGTTATGTTTGGGTTGAGGTGGTTTTGGAATTATATAGTAGTTTGTTTATATACTTGGTAAGAGATGAGTAGGATAGTATACTGAACATAGAAGAATAGTTAGAAAATACACAAGCAGCAGAATAAAAGACTTCCATCTATGTTACAATTATAGTTACATAGTGTAGTTCATCTATCTGTCAAGGTGGTCTGCAACGATTGCACTCTATGTTTATTCCTGGATACCTGATCCAAGAAAAGTCTATATAATGTATATAATGGTCGGGGCGTTAAAGGTAAAAGAAAAAAGAAAGAAAAATGAGAGATCACTGCCTCTCTTCCAACTCAACAAAGCCATCGTCATCCTCCTCCGTTCTATCATGTCCGCTGCGGTGCCCATAATCCCTGGGCCGGTCATGTCGTTTCCAAATGGGTAGTTTGGAGCCCAATGATTGCATGAAATGCCACACTCGCTCTTCGAGAGTGTCGCCATGGCCATGCAAGTGTTCTCCGAGACGAAATACCGGCGGATTATTCGTCGCCGCGAGAGCCTGTTCCTCGGCCTCCACCTTGAATTGGTACTTCAGACAGTCTTTGACGGTTACCAACCCCGTCAGACGGCCACGATGCTCGACGAGGATAATACGAGGGCCCATCTTCTTGAAGATCTCCATGACGGTTTCCAGCGGAAGACGCGGATGCACGGTCAATGGCGTGTGGTCGACATACCGGCTGAAATCCACAAACCTGGTTCCTGAGCTTTGGTGAATCGCATCGAATGTATCGGGGACAAGATTGTGTCTTGAGGAGGATGCGCGGAGCGCGATGGAGTTCTCGGCGGCTTCTTTGGTGAACAAACACCGTGCATTGGGGGACACCATGCCTTCTGCTCGCGCGCGGTCAATAGCATACCGGAGTTCGGTTCGGCCAATATATCCGACTAGGATCTTTTTCGAGCGGTCTTCAACTATGGGGAAGCCTTGGAATTTGTTGTCGTTGAGAAGATGTTCTGCTTCGCGCACGGGAAAGTCCGATGCTGGGAGGGAGAGTGGGTCGCTGGTCATAGCGTGGGATACGGAGACGTTGAAGATATGGTCTTCTTTGTTGTCAAGGAAGGGGAATCCATTGAACCAGATCATCCGATCTGCGATTCCTCCGTTGCCGAAACGGTCACTGACAAATTTGGTGATACCGACCACGATCTAGAAGCACGGCATAAGCATAAAAGATACTGGTAGGGCACACACGTGAAGACTGACCATAGTGGGAAGAATGTACGTGAGAGCTCCGGTCAATTCAAACATAATGACCGTTACGGAAATAGTCAAATGCATAATACCACTGAGTGCCGCACCAGCGCCTAAAAATGCGTACGTGCCTGGTGTGATACACGGTACATCAGGGTCACACGAGGCAAAGAACGCAGAGTCCGGAAAGGACTCATGCAGCGCTTGCACCATAATCCCAACGAGGCGACCGAACGAGGCTCCAATGGCCATTGATGGCACGAAGATGCCGGCGGGCACTTTGCATCCGTAAGAAATAATAACAAGAAATATTCGGAGGAACGTGGCCACAGCCAGCGATCCAACAATATACCAGCGACGATCAGGTCTGTTATTCTTCATTAGCGAAGCTCCTCGGTATTGACACACAGCACTCACTCGCAGAGGCCATTGTAATCGTGGCCCCCTTCGCACTCGCGGAAGAGAATCTCCATCATCTCCGTCATGTTGATCTTCAAAAACATGTTCGGAAAACACAGAACCGCCGTAATGCAAGCCAGGACGACTGATTCCATAACTGCATGCTGGGACAGATACTTCTTCCGAAATGCCTGTACACGGAGGTTCCACTTGATGACAAGCGCTCCATACAGGCCCCCAAAAATGCCGATGAAGGCAAAGAATATCAATTCGAAGAAATGCCACGTGCGATCGTACTGCACTTGGAACATGACCAACTGTCCGGTCCGAAAAGGATTCATTGCCTAGAGGTTGTTACTATGCTATCCCCACTAATGAAACGACTATGTCAGGTTATGTTGCATACCGCCAGTACACCTGTCGCAACCAATGCGCAAAAATAGCTTCGCCAAAGAGTTTTGAGAGGGAAATAGGACGCCATTTCCTGCAGAAAAATTAGAGTTCAAAAATCAGATATTCGAACAGACAGGTGAATACCTCTAGGGAGAACAGCACGCCTCCAATTGGGCTGCCAAATGCAACGGCTACGCCCGCCGCGGCCGTTGCCGTCAAAACCTCCCGGGTCTTAGCAGCATTCCGCCTATATTTGCCAAAGAAACGCGAAATCACATTTCCTGCACAGACCGCGAAGTGGACACTTGGCCCCTCTTTACCCACGGAAAGGCCGGATGCAATAGCCAGTGGGAGCGCGATAGACTTGATCACTAACGTCCACGCGCCCAGGAAGCCTTTCATCACGAAGCCAGCAATAATACACTTTATTTCGGAGATGCCGGAGCCTGCAGCATACGGGGCGAACGACTTGACTAAACTTGCGGCGATGAAGGCAAACAGGACCTATGCGAGTCAATTATAAGGGTCAAGGCTAGACACGATGGATTGAAATACCGCGAAGAAAGTGTAGAGAAAATAATTTATAAGCCAAAAAGAGGTCCAATTTTTCCACTCGGAGCAGCCTGAGAAACAGAGAATCGAATGAGCCATGCTATCTTCTGTCCTAGAGCAAGGATAACCAAACCTACCTCCCTCAGCGCCCCAGCAACAAAAATTCTCATTGAGATAGAATGCAGTCGAACAGTGGCCCAGCTTGATATCGGACAGCCACTCGGTAATGATGTTTAAAAAGGCAGAAATCAAGCCTATCACGGCGCCCACAATTGTGATAACCAGCCAGGCTTGTCCAGCATCGTAGGATTCACGGACCTTACGTCTCCACCCAAAGGTGCCTTCGTGATCCCAGAATCCAGTCCCATCGCGTCGTTTCGCCCTGCGCCGCGCTTGCTCCTGAACCGAATCTTGTATCCAGTCAATGGTCGTGAAATCTTCGTAACGCTTGATCTCGTTAATCTCCTCAGTGATCGCGGCCGGATGGACACTGTCGGGGGATGCTTGCTGGTCGATAGGGGATGATAAGCCTGACAGCCTCCTCAGAGTCCGACGCTCAGACAGGACGGAGGGCGAGCGCGGGGAGGGTGAACGGGCTGGCATCGAATTCATATCATATCATTCTCGGCCACCGTGATAGAGGGGTCATCTCTAGTAGTTGAAATTGTAATCATAATATCGCTGGGCAATATTGCCTTGTTTGGCGGAATTGATTGCTGATTGCGCCTCTCCGCCCACGTGAGAGGGCGGACCGACCGTGTTCGAGAGGGAAAGACGAAGAATTTCTATAAGTACCAAAGAAAATGCAGTGAATGGTCTAGTGCTCTTGGTCAAAAACCTGATGCAGATATTCTTGAGACTCTAGGAACGAGCCACATTGGTGGTAATCCCTTTGTACCAGGCGATAGTTGTCGAATCACCAGTCCACTCCCATCTTCCGACGCGCGTGGGTTTCTGACACCACACGCGCCGCCCTTTCGTTTCCTACACGCAACACCACTGCTCAATCAAAGCGACTCTACCAGAGACCAAAACTGCCGCCTATCAATATTAGAGCGAGACATTTCCCTGGTTTCATCCTTCTCTACTATCTGAAGAATCTCTGCGACCGTTTCACAAACGAACTTCGCGATGCCTCCAAAAGACAAACCCTCACCTGAGTTCACCGGGTCAGATGAAATCACCGGCCAGAGTGCTCTCCCAAGTGTGTGAAGCATAATCTTAAAGAAAAATATATAAATAAAAAAAAGACTCCGTCCAGCTGACCTTTTTTTGTAGTTTCGCGAATAAAAAAGATTATCCAACTGGACGAGGATATTGCACAATGTTCCAGTAACGCCACATTTGTTATTGCAATGGCTACAGTGCGTCATTCCAATACCTCCCTGACCTTTTTGGACTTTTGTTAACAATACCTAGGAAATGTTTATCCAGTATCTCACTGAACAAGGCCAAAACGTTGTCAAATCAGAACGAAAACCGCGCAAAACCATCCAATACAAAGATCTAGGTTAGTTGTAATCTCCCTCGCCAAAGCATACCCACGAGATGCTTATAGGGGACAAACAATCATAGCTACGGCAGTATCACGAATTGATAACCTAGAGTTCCTCGCCGATGTCATCCCGAAGACGACCACATATAAGCAATTCAAAGAGAAGAGGGCGAAGGAGGCTACGAAGGAAGCCGAGTATGAGAAGGGACAACGCACAATAAACGGAGCCTTACCCACTGCGCCCAATGCCAATGGTGAGACAGAGGATCAGGAACATCAACAAGTCGTGGAGGAAAAGCCCTCAAAGAGTCCTCGACATCCCGTAGTCATGCATGCGTCGGGGGCCGTCAGCACGCTGGTAGTCGATCGAACTGTTGATGCACAAACCGAGAGTCAGGACCGGGATATAGAAATGGTTGACGGATGATCGCTATATATATATATATGTGTGTGTGTGTGTGTGTGTGTGCTTTTGTTTTTTTCTTTCTATCTTTGCAAAAGCTGGGGGATTGCATGTCTGGAGGAGTTCTGGGTGCTTTTAATTGACAGATTGGTATCAACTCGCATTTATCTGGGACGCAGGGAACGGGAAATGACGGGCCAAAATTGTCGACTGGTCGGGCTTCACGGTCGTGACATCGCGTGCACTGTTAGGTTTATTTTTTTCCATCTTTATATATCCCAGGTATTCATGTGTATAGTATAAATGAAAAGAATTACCCATTGAAGAAGATCATTAACGTAGTTCGTCCTGTCGTGGGAATCACAATCATTGTCAACTAAAAATGGCGGGCGGACCGAATGGGCCAATAAGGCGCCCCGTGATTCCGATCGCTTGTCGTAGCGAAAGCTCTGGTTCGACTTCCCGTATGCCGGGCCTCCGACTTCAACCTCCAACTCTGGGAAAATCCTCCCTTCTCGACCTCCCCCTCCTCCACACCAACCCTCCCCACGGTCGTCTCTCGTGCAATTGCCTGCAATTGCTCCTTCGCCATGTCTCTCTCCTCCGCTTCCGGATCTTTGCTGCGCACCTGCGCCCGCCAGCAGCTGACCACCTCTCGCGCTGCCATGGTGTCCTGCCAGCAACGGAGAGGTGTCGCTGATTCCAAGGCGACCTTCCAAAGCCCCTTCGCCTCTACGACCACGAAGATCCCCGATTTCAGCAAATACTCCTCCAAGAAGTCTGCGCGCTCGAACCAGGTCTTCTCCTATTTCATGGCTGGCTCTCTGGGTCTTGCCTCTGCCGTCGGTGCCAAGGCTACCGTTCAGGGTATGTGTCCTGTGGGAATTGATATTTGGGAAGCAATCCAATAGAAGTGCTGGAATTGGCTGGGATGGGTGCACAGTGGACCCCAATAGGTTGATGGGATGGTCCGTTGTGTCCGGGAACAAGTTCACTGATGTGCAATTTCTATCAACAGACTTCTTGGTCAACATGTCCGCCTCTGCCGACGTCCTCGCCCAGGCCAAGGTTGAAATTGGTCTTGCTGCTATCCCTGAGGGCAAGAACGTATGCCTCCGTCACGTTTTAAGAGATCCTTTAGGCTCTTTTTTTGTTTCTGTGACTGTGTGTGACTGACCCCAATATCAATAGGTCATTATCAAGTGGCGTGGTAAGCCCGTGTTTATCCGTCACCGCACTCAGGAGGAGATCCAAGAGGCCAATAACATCGACGTGAACTCCCTCCGTGATCCCCAGACTGATGAGGAGCGGGTTCAGAAGCCCGAATGGCTCGTCATGCTTGGTATGTGACGACTGCCCTTCTTAAGGATTGCGCTTTTATTTCGATTGAATCCTAACGCCGTTTTTCTCCATCACACAGGTGTCTGCACCCACCTTGGTTGTGTCCCCATCGGTGAATCTGGTGACTTTGGCGGCTGGTTCTGCCCCTGCCACGGTTCCCACTACGACATCTCCGGCCGTATAAGGAAGGGTCCTGCACCGCTGAACCTCGAAGTTCCTCAGTACAACTTCCCCACCGAGGAGACCCTCGTCATCGGTTAAACGAAAATCCAATCCATTTGACCCGAGATGGGTTGCACGACCAGTTTAGACGATGGATGGTAGAGCGAACGTGGAGGGGTAGAAGGTTTGTGTTTTTAGATGAAACCTCTCTGTTATCTTGTCAAGATTAAAAAGAGACCCTGTTTTAATATGGATCATTGAGAGATAAAAAAAAAAAAAAACTGAAGCTCTTGTTCTATTACTTCAACCAGTTTGCCTCTCACATAGAACCTGCACCACGCCTTGTCTACGGGTCCTTGGTTTTGCTTCTAGGTATAGAGTCTTCATGTTTTTTTTTTTTTGTCCCCGGCCTAACTTTTTTGCATTCCATATTAACAAGCGGCCCTTTCCTTCCCTATTTCTCTTGATGATGGATGGATTCAGCTATAAGGTACATGGATGTGATAAAAAACAAAGGCAGGGCACATGCAGATGTATACTTTTTGTATGTTGATTTTCGAGTACATGTATTTGCTATAATTCCGCATATTCATTGACCAAATTTTCCTCTGTTAAGTCCTCATTTGGCATTTACTATCAAGTAGAATATATGTAGTGTCGGAAACTCCGGCTACGTATTGTCTAGCTGTCGGGGTTGAGAACATCACTATCGATGTGGAACGTCATACTGTGCGATATTTCGGAATTGCTCTCGTCCAGCAATACGCCCGAGTTGACAATTGTATTCCATCAATCACTCTAGAGTGTTTGTATTTAATATTGTGATATTGTTTCTGATTGAGTTTTGGTACGTATTCCGTATTTACCCGATGTCACCAACTTTTGATGCGCCATTTGTATTTCTAGCGATTTATTTATATTTATTCATCTATGCCTCCCAATATTGTACAGTTGATCTGGATTATTAACATCACTCGATGATTACAATATAAACACACGCCAAATTGCCACACATGTTTGAGAAATATCACTTTATTGTTGCCGTATAAGCGCGATCACCAATCCCATGACAGCTGCACCGGCGGCCGCACTTTGAATAGCGATGGTAGAAAGATCCCGTTGTGTAATGACAAAGCTACGATCACTGAAGAGATCATAGAAATACTGTCCCCAAGTCTCAACGGACGGTAGAGAGGAGACTCCTGAGATTTGGGATTTGCAGGATTCAATAGTGCTGTTCATGGCAGTCATAGTCGTTCCATTTGTAGTAGCGTCAGTCATTGTGGCGGGCGTAGGATCGGTGGCTGGCTCTGTATTCTCTGCTGGGACAGCTGGGATGTTGCCGTGTGTGGATTCCTCGGCAGGGGTTTGAACAACAAACGGTGAAGCAACTGGTGACTCCCCCATCTCATGGGAGATAGGAGTGACTGGTAACTGTTGCGACACAGCCTCTTGGGAACTGAGGGTTTGGGCTTGCGTTATGGTCTTTTCCTTCTCAAGGGCTTCAATGACCTTTTCTTCAAAGCCTTTGACCAGCCTCTTGCGTCGCCAGGGCTCCACGGCTATCTGGAATATGAGGAAAAGAAGTACATTGACTCCCATTAATCCCCAAGTGCCCCAGGTACTCATCTGGCGGATCTTATCTGACCAAACCTGCTCTTCATGATATCGGGAAAGGATGCTTCTGCTCAGTTGTGCTGCGGCCTCTTCAGACTCACGTTCCGCCACAGACAAAGCCTCCTGTGTTTCGCTCTCCGCGACCTCGTTGGCGTGGTCATTCCGATAGAGATGGGTAAACCGTTCTAAATCCGCAGGCGACCAGGCATGTTTCCGCTGAAGCAATTCGTTGACTTCGCGCTGCGAAGTCGATCGTCGGTTGATAGCAGAGGAGTAGGCATCCTTAGCCTGACGAACTTGGAAACGGGCAGCTCGAAGCCGTTCCTCTGCAGACATTGGGCATTGGGAGTTAGAATATGTGTTCTTAGAATTAGATACCACGTAAATAAAACAGCATCCATACCTTGGCTGTGGATCTCCTTTTTCAAGGCCTCGATACCTGAGTAGCCAGTCAGATCATTCAATCGCTGTCCAGCCACAAATATGTTGGATTGCAGGTTATCCATCATTGCCGTAAACTGCTTCGAAAATTGTGACCGCCGATTTTCCAAGTATGACGGCAGACCACCAGATCTAGAACCATTTGGCTCAGCATCATTCTTTCCTCCTTGCTCAGGTTGATCACTTCTCGGTATGCCACCACCCTCCACAACGGAGGAAGACCCTTGACTCCCCGCATCTGCCTCAGCCTTCAGGATACCTTCGGGGACAGCTGAAGGCTCTCCATCTTTTGTCCGATTTGCAGGCTTGTCGTCTTTTTGTTTATCTGTCTCGTGTGATAATGAGAAAGCCGATTGCGATCTGAATTGGCATTGTAAGCAGACTGAGAAACCTCGCCGCCTGTCGACAGGAAGAGCTTTCGGGCTAAGCGCAGATAGGAGGGGTGTTCGGACAGAGGAAGAATTTCTTGTGAAATTAGCAGTGTATCTGAGAGACTGCCTGAACAGCAATGGCATGGACTGCATGGCCGGTTTAGAGGGCCACGAAAAGTCGGCCAGATGCTCGCTCGGTTGTTAAGTTGGAACAGGATGGATGAGTGCAGCCGGTCGGGAAGGCGGAGGCCGGTAGCAATGCGGAATCGCCGCGGGCTGTTCATGTTTCCGATAAGGACAAATGTGTCACCAGTACCACACACTCCCATGTAAAATCTAGGATATTCGGACACTCAGATTCGAGTGACCTGATAAAAATCATTTAGGTAGTCCTCGTCTCTTTCGGAATTCGAATGCAGGAGTCAAAAGAAAGGATTGTACGATGACAGTTCTGATCAACCTAACGTATCTTTACTCTTAGTTCGCTGACATGATAAAAATCAACAACATTAAACGATCCTAATACATCGATGGCAAGTACACGATAACTCCTAAATCCTAGAGCACCTTCAAAGACTATTCCGATATAATAATGGCACAGGGAAAAAAAAGTAGAGCAAGAGACATCTTGGAGAGAAGAGGCATTAGATTAAGCCTTGTCGATCAATACAGCCCAGTTCTCACACCGCCCAGTAGAAGCAATCAATCATCCGTCTGCACTTTATTGTCTCCTTTCACCGCTTCAGCGTATGTGGGAGGTGGTCGAGACTCGTCGTGGGTCTGGCTGCTGCTACCACCCAGGGGCTGTTCGTGTTGTGGCTTTGGGGCGGGCTGTCGACTCTCAGACCGCTGGTTAGCATCAGTGGCATCCTGCGAAGCTAGAGTGCCATAAGCTCTTGGTGATGGGTGCTGGACAGGTTGGTGAGTAACATAGTAGTATGTCACTCGGCCGTGCTCAACATCTCTGTCCTGACCAGGGCCTCTGGGGATTGGCTCATAGACTGCATCATCATAATCTGGCTCAGGGTACTTAAGAATAATATACCAGGCATGTAGCAGCCCTGGAACATAGCCAAGGCAGCAGAGAGCCAGATTAATGATCGAGTCGGCCGTGCAAACTCCTACTTTAATCCATACTACGCAGATATTAGCCCACCTTCTCAAATTTGATTGTGGATTTTACCAAAGGGTGGATCAAGACGAGGGAGGGGGAAATATACCTGAAACGGGGGGAAAGAAGACTGCGAGAATCGCAAGAAAGATATCTGAACCACACATGACGGCAGAAGTAGGGTAGTCACGGTGGTTTGACGTCCTACCTGCGCAAGCGATCAAGACCGGATGGGCGATACGGAGTTCACAGTGTATTACTGAGCTGGTGGATGCTGACAGCCTTGAGGTATTTGTATGCAACAGAAGAACGGATGCCTGCGGTCAGATGACGTCGCGGAGTCACCTGACTCGGTGGCAGTGTCCAACAGTACCACAGTATAGGCAACTGTCAATGTAAATAATCGATAGTCTAGGCGATTTAACCTTGAAGAAAGAGTGTGCGATATATATATGATTTAAAGAATTCTCTCGCATAGACTGCAGCAACTTCATATACCCGAACCCCACTTATTTAGGTGCCGTGCCGGACCATTATGTATATATGTCAGACCATTTGTTACTTACCGATCATTGGCGCGAGAACGAAACAACCAGCACAACTCATACATCGATTATTATAGCTTACAGAAGGCATTTATATATTTAAACTGTACGGAGGAGTCATATAAGAAGTATGTGCAGTTGTAGAGATATATGATATTGATCTCCTGAAGAGCAAAGGATATGTCCAAATTAGCTGTGGCTATATATCCTCATAATTCGTCGGATATAGGATCTGTCTCCCTCCGCATTAATCTTATACTTCCACTTCCAATCCAAGCATACATGTCAAGCCTCATTATGCCTACCTACAGTTGTAGTCCTATGTCCGGATTTTACCCATGATATATACCCAAGCATATATATAAATATTAGAAGGATTCAACGATACCCTTTTTTATGGGATGGGAGTGCCCAGATTTGGGGCGAGATCTGCCTTGCATGTGTGACAATATCCATCCTCCCTTGGTATGTACAGCATAACTAAAAGTTAATATACAGGGGTCTAAAGAAAGTTCACAATAATCTAAGAGTATCGGACTGATACTCCTGCTGTAGCCGTCCTTAAGCTTCTCGCATCGGACAATTTGCTCCTTGCATGAAATGGAGGTGTTTCAAGAATAGATAACAAGCTTCTCTCACTGTTGGCGGTCTAAACAGAACATGCCTCTAACTGGCCCTTCATTAAATACTTAAAATCCAAACGATTTGACGTGCCAAGTTTACTCTTGGCGTGAAGTTCTGGTCCCTGTGCGAGGCTAAAATAGGGATCGGCCCTTCCCAGCCGTGCTGTTTTGTGGGTGGACAGGATTTGAAACAAAGGGCTCCGAAGAGCTCCGCAAGGCGTGTTCTTGCTCAATTGTTCCGATCTGTTGTCAGTAACATGCATTGGGGGGCTGATGCCCGAGTGCCGCATATTTTTAGAAGATCCTCATAAAATGATTCTGCTAGGTGATTCATTCCAGAGGATTCAGTAGCTTCCTAGAAGTGTTCAAATGATAAGCTACATCCACGGCCCTTGCTTTGTCCCAAGGATCGATCTCGTTTGGTTCCATGTCTAGCTCCACTGATTGAGTGGGCTATCTAGACCAGTGTGCTCCGTAAACATCCAGATTGAAAGAGGAAAAAAATAAAAAATAATAAAAATCAATACCTGAAATGATGTACATAACATCTTGTCAAGCCTCACTGAGTGCCACGTCAGATGTTGGATCGATTGACTGTCGCTGTGGAAAATGATACAAATACTCCGTAGATAGATAGATTATCTTGGCTGTTCCTGCATTGAGCTTTCTCCGTTTGCTCTGGGAGACTTTCCCTCTTACATATTCTCCAGAGATTCGCATATTTTACAGATGAGTCGCAAAGAGCAGTCAGTCAATCGGCCGACTCAGCGATCAAACTTTTCCCTCTCTTCAATCCGGCTGCTCCAACCCTTCTCCATTCAAAGTGGGTGGGGACCCCGACGGTAGGGTTGGCTTTAAATTTGCACCACAGCATCAGGAAAACCTTGCAGAGGTAGTCTTTTTCTTCACATACGGAATACTGACTTGCCTGATACGGACTAGAGACCGACACATATTGAGGCTAAAGCGAGCTACCGACTAAAGCAAGTTAGTTCCTGAGTGGTGGAGCCTGTTTAATTGGAGAGCCAGCGGTACCTCTCGTGAAGCGCCCAACGCTCATTGCCCATCCGGCTGGGAGTCCCCCTTTCGACGATAGTATTGGACTTTTGAGTTTTGACCTATCGCCCTTGCGAACCTCGAAATTTGGCATTTGTTTTTATTCCCCTGCGGTTGCTGTTGTGGCGCTACTTTTATTACAGTCCCCCTAAACTGCGAAACCCTTGCCTCGGTGCCTACCGCGTGGTTGAGTTCCGTCGTTCGGGCCTTGAGGTAAGGAAGACCGACTGACCTGACTGCAAGTCCAATTTCCTCGATTTGGGAACCACAGTTCGTCCTTCCTTCGGGCTGCCTTGGATTGACGCCGCTTTTCACTTCGTCCTCTTTGTCTTCCTTCCTCCTCCCCGGCCTCCCAGTTGGACCTTCTCTTTCCAACCACCAGCACTCTTTAGCCAGTTCGCTCGTTTTAGCTTTATTTCTTCACCACCTCTTGAGGTAAGACACCGTCTTTCTCTGGCCTTTTTCGAATTAAGTTCCATTCCTCTCGTTCTGAAGCTGGACGCGTTCGCAATCGATGTGACCTGTGGTCAACTTCTTTCTTTTCTCCTTCAGTTTCCACCGCCTAGAAAGCCGCACAGGTGCAGCAATATGAGAGGGATTTCAGATTAATTCACCAAAGAAGCCTGCTTTAAGACGCACACTGCCTTGTTTCTATTACACTGCGATATCAATTTTTTCAAGAAGAGTTCTTCGGATTGAGGAGCACCATGGCCTCCTGTATCTCTCTCTCAGGATCAACCCAATGTCCTGCATTCAATCAATCTTCGATATCAACTAGCTCCAGCCTCCACGCTAATTTGTGAGATTTATTATCCCCTTCGAGAGGCTTGTAATATAGATTGGCTGTGCTAACCATATGATAGTCCATTTATGCAATCGGTTTCAAATGTGACTCAGTTTGACGAAGAATTAGAAAAATATATTAAAGGCTCCTACGTGAAAAAAAAGTAAGTTTGTTATACTCAGTGCTCGCTATATGGGTCTTAGCTAATGCGGATTCTTTAATCCCCAGATATATTGAGTATTTGGGATGTAAGGATGCCAACCTCACAGATACTGATGATTACTACGCCCGTTATACCACGAGCTCAATATGCAATGGGATTGTGCAAAGTTCAAAGAATGACTGCACTTTGTCCAGCGAGGAATCAAGGCCGCTGTGTGCCGACGATTGTGTTCGTTTATCCCTCATATTTAGTGGCCGGGATTCTACTAATGACTAGTGGGTAGGCGCTTATGGCTAGAAGTGAACAGCAAATTCTTGTTAACCCTGATCTTTGCCCGCAAAGAGACGGGAACTATATGGATCAAATTCGCTCTGATTTCACCGTCTGTTCCCTACCCGCCAACTCGCTTACGGTGACCTGCGTATCAGGAGCAGATAACGAGCCCGAAGAGTGTGGATTTCGTTCAAATTTGGTGGGATTGTGCGGGTATTGCGCAGGGAGTTCTCCTAATTCCACAGACTCCTGCTGTGTGAATGCGAATGCCGGCAGTCGTTGCAAGGATGTGACGCTCCCATCACCGACAGCAACTCTACCACCGATAATTACTTCCACATCCAGCTCAACCGCAGGTGATTCTGGTGGTGGTTTATCCGGTGGGCAAATAGCTGGTGTTGTTGTTGGTTCTATTGCTGGATTCGCTCTTTTGGCAGGACTAGCCGCACTGGGGCTTATATACTGCCGACGAAGGCGTCGAACCAGAAATGACGGCGCTTTGAATCAGCCAAATCCTCAGAGAAAGGGCTCACCGTCAATGCAGCAAAACGCATCTCAGCAGGGATTCGCCGTTCCGGGTGGGAGAGTCGCCAGGATGTCTGCTTTGCGAGAGGTATCTAGTTCTTCGCCGGCGAGGTCTCGTACTTCTGCCGCCTTTTTTGGTGGTGCTAAATATAGCGATTCTTCCGACTCTGAGGGTCTTGGGGCTAGCCCCGGAGCGATATCTAAGAAGATTCCTCCTACGGCTGGTAAGCGACATGGCTCCCTCTCCAGCAGCTCGGCTGTTGCCGGCGCAGGCAGCGATAATTCGCCTCATTCTGGTACCGGCGCCCAGCATTCATCTCCAGAAGGAATGGCTAGCGGGCAATCAGAGCAGCTCTCATCTTTCCAGGACTATTATTCCCAGGATGACATCCATCCGGGCGACCGAGTCGCTGCGCTTTGGGCGTACCAACCTCGTGCCAACGACGAATTTGCTCTGGACCGTGGAGACATGTTGAAGATAATTGGCATCTGGGATGATGGCTGGGCTACTGGCATTCGTATCCCAGAAAGTGCGGAGGATTATGATGCTAGGCGTCGAGAACAACGCGATAGTGGTGTGTCCAATGGCTCGCATCGCCCGGCCGCTTCTCCAGCACCAGTTGGAGAGATCAAGGCGTTTCCCTTGGTCTGCGTCTGTCTTCCCCAGCATTGGCGAAAGATCATTGATGGAGGACAAAATGAAGACGGCTCATGATCATCAGCAAATTCCCGTGTATTGCGTCGGGAAAGCAAGGTATTTTACGTGCCGGTTAACGCCTTTAACGATAGCGCCTTTCATTTTCGTTTCTGAAAGCCCCCGGACAATATTTTCTGAGTTATGAGGGTGCCTCAGAAATTCTCTAGCGGCCGTCGACGACGCTGTGCCATTCAATTGCCGCCTTATAGCCGCGTACTTAGTTAGGATTTTACGCACTCTAGTTACGATATACCTGCACCATCGCAACATACCTTCGTGACTTCTAGTCGGAATCCTTCGGAGACGACTCGATACGGTTTTTATTTAGTAAATTATACCCCTTCATTCTACTTTTATTTTTCTTATTTTTCTTTTTTTCCCCCATGGTGGCACATAGCTGGCCCTTTGATTCTGGAACGTGGCCTGTGAGGTTTGCGTATTTATTGTACCATTGTTTTATTCTTCTCAGTCATGCATCCTGCGGTTCTAGCGCTGAGACTATCACACGCAGCGAGGAATTTGGATTTTAGAGATGTTATTACCATCTGCCTAGATATTTGAGTACATATTAATGTACATACATATACAGTTACAAGTTACAGTCAAGACAGACAGGCATTGAACTATGTGGCTGAACTGTTCCACCCTTTCTTCATCTGCTATATACCATAGATGGTGGCGGAGGACGTTCTTGATGAGTTCCTAAAGAAATAAAAACAAGATAATGACACTAAAGGGACAGAGATAAGTATAAGTAGGGCCAGCATCTGTAGCGGACGGTGCCCTGACGTGATATTACTCGGTTAGCCGGGCTTAGTCCCATGGTTGGAGGGAACGGTAAATTTAGTTCGGTGAGGAACATCCTAACAGTAAACGTACACTTCTCTCATGAGCTCCCCACACCATCAGTAGAAATAAGGCTGTTGAATGGTTGGTGGACAGTCTCTCCTTACAACAGTAGAATTCATAGATACGATATGGGTAATACATATACGGGGTACCTAATGTAGCCCAAGATGCAAGCAAGCAAGAGGCTGCAGGATTCGATTCAGGGGGAAGGCAAAAAGCGGCTTGTGGTGCGATGAGACCACGTGACTATAACCCACCCCCACCACCGCCGCCTCAAGCACAACAACCAACTTAATGCCCCTCTATCTCCATCTCGGTTCCAATCCCCATTATTACGCTTCCCCTAACCTCCCCTCACCTTCCTCTGATTCCGTTGGCTCTTCGCAAGCGTCTGTGAGTACTCCCCTGGCTTAAATCATTCCAGTTTATTGTCCTTTATTTTCCCTGGTTTTTCTGTCTGTGACGGTCTTTCTCATTTGGTTTTTTGGGCATGGTAAACAAGAAGAGAAAACAAGATTACTGACATTGCCCCGCGCAGGTTACCAACTTCCGTCCCGCTTATCTTCTACACCCACATAAGCAAACATGTCGGTACGTATTTTCCTTCTGTCCTATGGCTCTATTATGAAGACGTACAGTTCTGATTTTCTTTGTTGCCTTGCAGCTCGCCTCTGGGTATGTCTCCGAACGGACCGCCACTTCCACATGTCCTCTTCCGGCTGCAGCTGCGGGGATTTCCAACAACGCAGGGATCGCAAAACCAATGCTGACAGTTTATGGCAAATAGTGTCTCTATCTCTGATGAATGCATAACAGCATACAATAACTTTCGCATGAGTGGCGACAACAAAGGTGACAAGATCAAATTCATCATCTTCAAGATCTCGGACAACAAGAAGGAGGTTGTCATCGATGAGGTCTCGCATGACCCGGATTATGAGGTCTTCCGTACCCGCCTCGACAACACTCGCGATGCCAACGACAACCCCATGCCTCGTTATGCTGTCTATGATGTCGAGTACGATCTCGGTGGTGGCGAAGGCAAGAGGTATGATGGACCATGGAGTTTCTTGGTTTGATATGGGTGCGATTGTCTCACACAGATACAACCTGCAGGAGCAAGATCATCTTCATTTCTTGGGTTCCCAGCAACACCCCCACTCTCGTATGTTTTCACGTTGCTCGTTCCCCTGGGCCAAACAAGCGGCGGCTGACAGTGATGAAATAGTGGTCTATGATTTATGCCAGCACCCGGGAACACCTGAAGAACGCCCTCAACATCCACACTTCTATCCATGCTGACGACAAGGGCGATATTGAATGGAAGACTGTTCTGGCTGAAGCCAGCGGTGGCAAGGCTGGCAAATAAATGACCGCGCCGGCTGGGTCCGGATTAGGTGGGTTTATGTGTTTGTGATGATGGCTATTGCACTGCACTACTCCGCCTCGGGTTCGCGGAGTGTCTCGGAATGGACCAACCCCAGGACATCCTCCTGCACACATTTAGTTCAATATGAGATCGTTATGAGATCGTTACGGCTTGTCTGCCTTCATAGTGACCGTATTATCGTTTCTGCGATCGTGGCACTTTCCGTGAACCAGCATTTATGATGGGGGTTTTCTTGTTTTTTGTCAGCGTTTGCCTGTACAGAATACTGCTACCTTGTATGGGGTGTGATTTCCAGCGTTCCAGTGTAGAGTAGAATACACGGCATCGCCTCCCATTCATCAAATCTCATCAAAGTTCTCTTCTCTTGTTTGGCCGGTGCGTAGGCCTCTACTGCGGGAGCTTTCGGGTCTGGCTTTCCCTAGGATAGTTGGGGTGGTCGGCTCTAATAATCGAATGTTTCTTTTTTTATTTTTATTTTCATTTTCGTTTTTGTATCTTCCCCAGAGTATGGATGAAAGAGGGACCTCGAGGATAATATAGGTAGCTGCCCGGTTATGGTCTCATGATTGACCTCGTGCTTTGAGTGTACGACATTAGACGTTTTGGTGATATGAACGGTCGGGATATGCCTGGGACGCGGGCCAATGAGGACGCAGACAAAGTGGACTAAGCTAGTCGTCCGGATACTCGACTTTCCACCTCAAACCACAGTCGAACATCGCCTTCGTCTCCCATTGCGAGTCTCGATCTTCCCCTCCACTCCCCTCTCAACGTAACCTATACTTAAATCCGAGGTATGGTGGATTTCTTTCCATCGAGCTGTATTTTTATATTCAATTGATTGAGTTTAGTCGCGCGCTCGTCCTCCCACACGATGTTCCTTCGCTCCGTCCCTCGTGCTGCTGCTCGCAGCTCGGCCATGCCCACCACCGCTATTCGTTCCTACCGCACCGTCCCGGGCCCAATGGCCTGTCTGAATGCTCGCCCTCAGCCTGAGAAGAAGTCTATCGCTCCTCAGCAGACCCGTGCCTCATCCGAGCATGCCATTGCCAATCCCACACTCGCCGGTATCGAGAAGCGTTGGGAGGCTATGCCTCCCCAGGAGCAGGCCGAACTGTGGATGCAACTGAGGGACCGCATGAAGGTTGATTGGCACCAGATGACTCTGCAGGAAAAGAAGGCTGGTATGATTTTCCCGTTCCACCCAATCTCCCGTCACTTTGGTCCATCAGAATTTTGTTGATAGGCTGTTTTTTAACCCTTCCCTCGTTTTATAGCCTACTGGATTGCTTTCGGTCCCCACGGCCCTCGCGCTCAGGCTCCTAAGGGAGAGGGCCTGAAGATTGCCGTCAAGGTCGCCCAGCTCACTCTTGCCTCTGTGGCTATCTTCTACGCCATCCACTTGTTTGCTAAGCCCCAGCCCAAGACTATGTCCAAGGAATGGCAGGAAGCCAGCAATGAATACGCCCTGGTACGTGATGACTGCTGTCCCATCAACATTCTGATGCTGCGGTTCCTATTGGATGCGAAGAAATGGCTGCTAATGTGTCACAACAGAGGGAGAAAATCAACCCTATCTACGGCATCAGCGCCGAGGGTTATGAGGGCAAGGGTTTCGTTCAGAGCCCCCCTGCGGAGAAGTCGTAAATTGGAGGACAATGATCTGGGAGAATTAGGTGTAGCAATTGGACCTGCTGAATCGGCCTACCAGTGTCCCACAACCCCGACGACGCCCGTGCGATGTCTCATCGTTGGGTATTCCCCTTCGTCCGTGTCTTATTTGTTTTGCCAATCTCAGCCCAAAAGACCTGTGTATCTCGTACTGTGCAATAATCAAATCTATCTCCTTTGTAGCTATAGAAGATTGTTGTCTGTTCGTCTCTGGTCGATTATAGAGGCTGTTCAATTCTCCAGTAGGGAGGGGGAAGTGTACAAATTACGGTCTTGTCTACTTGGTGGTTCTTGATTTCCACTATGCTTTGCCATTGGGGATGAGATGGTGGATATTTTGTTTATATATCCACTGTATTGTTACAAGGAAGGGATGACATTAACACTTGGTACAGTAAGTTTACGAGGGTCACAATGTCTATGGATTGATCTATGTAGTATGTATACCCATTATTTCTGTGCAAGTAAATTTACTACCATTATTATTACATTGCTAGTAGGATTATTCTCTTGTTTAGAAAGGATAAAATTAGCAAATGTAATGGGAATCGGCTATGGGGAATCACGGGAACACATCAGATTTTTCTCTGCAAGCGTTCCTCCGAAACAGGATAAAAGACCTCCGTGGACGGATGAAGTCGGCTCTGGCACAGAAAACAAAAAATAGTCTAGACTGAGCCGCATCGACCAGAAGGGAGCAGTTTAAAATCATCTTTGTCTTCTGGGAAAATAATACGTTTCATCGAGGGAATCTTCAATCAATGGCTCTGGGAATGGACATTCCTGCAGCCATTGGCCAGGTTGGTGAAGGTCGATGGGGTAAGTTGCATCGCTTTGCCCCTTCCAAGTATCCGTGCCAAGAAGCTCCTCATTTGTGTGCGAATATTCCCTAGCTCCAACTCCATCAGGGCAAGGCTGGAGAGCAACGCCATCCACTCGTATGGACGATAGAAAAGACACGGTAGACCACCGTAGAGAATTCGGTCGACGAGACCACTCCAGCACGTAGCAATTGCCCATGAACACCAGGGCAACGACGCCTAAGCGCTGATGATGTTCTGCGCGTTGCTCGGTACATCACGGGATCGTCGGCAAAACAGCCCCGGAAAGGCTAAGCCGGACACATTCGCCCGTGTCCACCTCAACCTCAACCTCTTCCCTTCCCTTCCCTCTTTCTTCCCTCTCCCCATCTTCTCGTCCCTTTGACCTTATCTATCCCCATCTCGCTCTTAAACACCATCATCATGTTCAAGAGGTGTGTTGGCCCCCCAATTTTCTCCTCATTGCATTTTGCCCTTAAATTTTTTCGCTTGCTAACAGCTATTTTCTCGCCTATAGCGGTCTCGCCCGGACCTTCGGGAGGGCTGCTTTTGCCCGCCCTACCCCCGTCGCACGTCGCGCTCTCCAGTCTAAGATCAATGGATTGCCTTCTCTGGCCCGGTTCGCCAGCACCGAGGCTGCTCAGGGCGGCAAGATTCACCAGGTCATTGGTGCCGTCGTTGACGGTATGTGCCGACTCCCTGCCAGAAAATTCCTTCTCGCGGGCTACACGAAAATCTTTTCATTGCCTCCATTCCATCCCAACAACCATCACAATCGATCCAATTCATGCTTCGAAACACGATTTCTGACTTTCGGCTATAGTGAAGTTTGAGGGCGATAAACTTCCCGCCATTCTCAACGCCATTGAGACTGAGAACAATGGCCAGAAACTCGTACTGGAGGTCTCGGTATGTACCGGCGAAACTTTGATGACATCAAGTCCCCTATAGCTAACCCAAACCTAGCAACACTTGGGAGAGAACGTCGTCCGTACTATTGCTATGGATGGTAAGCTACCGTTTTTTCGCTGGTAATGTCGCTGGCAGGCTTGGGTGTATATATATATATATATATAATATCCTCGTTTTTGCTTCACGGCATCTCGACATATACTATTGTAGCTGCTCTGACACAGTTTTAGGTACCGAGGGTCTGACTCGTGGCTCCCCTGCTCACGACACTGGTGCTCCCATCAAGATCCCCGTCGGCCCTGCTACCCTGGGCCGTATCCTCAACGTCACTGGTGACCCCATTGACGAGCGTGGCCCCGTCAAGGCCGTCAAGTACTCCCCTATCCACGCCGAGGCTCCTGAATTCGTTGAGCAGTCCACTACGGCTGAGATTCTCGTCACTGGTATCAAGGTCGTCGACCTGCTTGCCCCCTACGCCCGTGGTGGAAAGATTGGTCTGTTCGGTGGTGCCGGTGTCGGTAAGACCGTGTTCATTCAGGAGTTGATTGTAAGTTGGCCATGCTTCGAGATGAGTCTTTTTTCAGTACATGGCATGGTCTAATCTTTCCCCCAGAACAACATTGCCAAGGCTCACGGTGGTTACTCTGTGTTCACTGGTGTCGGTGAGCGTACCCGTGAGGGTAACGATCTGTACCACGAAATGCAGGAGACTGGTGTTATCAATCTCGAAGGTGAATCCAAGGTGTCCCTTGTGTTCGGTCAGATGAACGAGCCCCCCGGTGCCCGTGCCCGTGTCGCCTTGACTGGTCTGACCATTGCCGAGTACTTCCGTGACGAGGAGGGTCAGGATGTGCTGCTCTTCATTGACAACATCTTCCGTTTCACCCAGGCCGGTTCTGAGGTGTCTGCCCTTCTGGGTCGTATCCCCTCTGCCGTCGGCTACCAGCCCACTCTGGCCGTCGACATGGGTGGTATGCAGGAGCGTATCACCACCACCAACAAGGGTTCCATTACCTCCGTCCAGGCCGTCTACGTGCCCGCTGACGATTTGACTGACCCTGCCCCCGCCACCACCTTTGCTCACTTGGACGCCACCACTGTCTTGTCTCGTGGTATCTCCGAGTTGGGTATCTATCCTGCTGTCGACCCTCTTGACTCCAAGTCCCGTATGCTCGACCCTCGTATCGTCGGTGAGGATCACTACAACACCGCCACCCGTGTCCAGCAGATGCTCCAGGAGTACAAGTCCCTCCAGGATATCATTGCCATTTTGGGTATGGACGAACTTTCGGAAGCCGACAAGCTCACCGTCGAGCGTGCCCGTAAGATGCAGCGTTTCCTGAGCCAGCCTTTCACCGTCGCCCAGGTCTTCACTGGTATGGAGGGTCAGCTGGTCGACCTCAAGGACACCATCAGCAGCTTCAAGGCTATTATAAACGGTGAGGGTGACAACCTTCCTGAGGGTAAGTTATTCGAATTCCCCCAAGACTGTACCAGTGCAGGCAGCATTGATGCTGACTATTTTCTTAGCCGCTTTCTACATGGTTGGTAACTTCGAATCTGCCCGCGCCAAGGGTGAGAAGCTACTGGCCGAGCTTGAGAACAAGGCCTAAATGTAATATTGTTTTTGAGCGCCCTTTTCCTTTTTTTTTTGTTAGACATGGACTTCCTTTCCGAAATGTCCCATTTTCTATCGATACGTGTACAGTATTCGAATTAAGAAAAAGGGAGCTGAAAGAAGGGTTATCTTCTCTATTAGAAAAAGGCGAAGAGCACTATAAACTCGAACCTTTTAAAGCCTGGAGGATGGAAACCCTCTGGACTGTGTTACACTATGTGCTCATGTAAGTAAGTTAAAATGACCACAGCCAGCCTGATACCCTGGGGCTGGGACAATTGTATTCATTTCTTTTGTTGGAAATTCAGTCTATTGTCTATTTGTAAGTGTAAACTGTAATATTTGCATAGCTCCTTTCTACTGGATGGACTTTGCTCTTCAGCCAGGTATCTACGTAATTTACATTCTTCAAGTCCGGGTCCCTCATCTGGACAGCTCAGTAATATTTAGCATTTTCCATGTCTGTCAATTCTGTTTTCGTGAGATGAGATAAGGTTCCGGAATGGGTATGAAATAACCAATATATTGCAACGAGCTAATATATTCATACCTTTGGGCATTCCTAATCTTCAAGTGTGGACTATTGACTTGTCATGCTGAAGAAATGGAAGGACAATCAATGACTACAATGCACACATGATATTTATTGCAGTATATGTAATGGACGTTGCTAAATATAGTAAAATTGGTTTTCCATGACATCGATCGATTTTAGATATTTGAAAACAAATCTACAGATGATAGGGAATGAGAATTGAAGCAAACGGACAGATTGCTGAAGCACGGTGAAAGGAACATGGGCTGGACTGATTTACCGTTCGCTTGTCGGGGTGGATCTAGCTGAGATACCAGTGCTGCTCTAGACTCTAGAGGGTTTCTTCTAATGCTAGGACCTGTTCGATTGATGCTGTTAGAATATACTTTGAATGTGTAAAGAGGCTCGTTTTGAATGTATATTCTAAAGTAAAAGGGTAGTCCTTACCAAAGCTGATCTTGTTGGGATATAAACCTGGAGAAAGTTGCTCCGTTCGTTCCAGGGCATATCTGTGGTGAAGAAGCGAGTGTCTTTGTGGTTACGTCCTAGACCGCCGAATTCGGTATCATCAGTGTCTAGGACAATCCGATAGGTACCTGCAGCTTCGACACCGACTCGGTAGTCGGTAAAGCTCTGAGTAGGATGAAAATTGAAGACCCAAAGGAGCCCTGCGCGTTCGAAGACCAGGACCTTGTCGCCCTCGTGCTTCAGACTGATGTATGCTTGTGGGGAATGCAACCAGCCGTATTTTGCCTCGGATAGTTGCATGGAACGGTCGAATTCATTAAGGAATCTATATCGGAGGAGATGGTCCTCGGTTAGGTTCAGCTGTCGACGGGCATACCAGAAGGAATTGTTGTTCCCTGCACGGGGGAAATCGAGCCATTCCGGATGCCCGAACTCGTTGCCTTCGAAGTTGAGGTATCCTTCGCCTCCGAGGGCATGGGTGACGAGTCGGATCATTTTGTGTAGGGCCATTCCTCGTTCGATGATGGGAGTGAATTCGGTGAGGACGGACATATGTGTGTACATTTCCTTGTCACATAGCCACATCATGATAGATTTGTCACCTACCAGGCTATCTGGGCGTTAGTGGTTGTCTGGATGTGGTACTGGGAAACTTACGCCTGATCGTGGCTTTCCGCGTAAGCGATTGTCTTCTCGCCGTGGCGTCTATTTGTCAAGGTGAATGCGAGGTTTCCCATGTTCCATTCGTTGTCTGACTGCTCCTTTAGAAGTTTGATGTACATGTCTGGGATTGCCATGCCGAGACGGTAGTCGAAGCCAATCCCTCCAATAGCATGCGGTAGGCAGAGTGCGGGCATCCCGGAGACATCTTCTGCCACTGTTATACACTCAGGGTAGAGTTGATGGAGCATCTCGTTGGCGAGAGTCAAGTACATGACTCCTTCGTCATCTACTGATGATCCAAAGTACTCATGGTACCCACCAGAGAATCCTCTACACACCTGGTTAGCTTGTAACGACCAGGTGAACTAGACTGAATACGCACGTCCCAATACCATGATGGGCATAAAGCATGCTTGTGACACCATCAAATCGGAAGCCATCGAAGCCGTATTCTTCCATCCAGAAACGCAAGTTACTCAGGAGGAAGCGCAGAACCTCATGGTTGCCGTAGTTAAAGAGTCGGCTGTCCCAGAGCTCATGCTGTCCCTTTCCACCGCCATGGAAATATTGATGATCAGTTCCATCGAACATGTTCAGCCCATCAAGAACGTTCTTCGACGCGTGACTGTGCACGACATCAAGAAGCACTACCAGTCCCATACTGTGGGCCTTGTCAACGAGCTCTTTCAAATCTTCAGGAGTTCCGTAGCGACTGCTCGCAGCGAAGAAGTTGTTGACTTGATACCCAAAGCTAGCGTAGTAGGCATGCTCCATAATGGCCATCAGTTGGATTGCATTGTACCCTAAATATTTGATGCGAGGCAGCATGTTGGCAGTAAATTCTTTGTATGTTGCTACTTTGGTTTCTGGCGAAGAAATTCCCACATGTGCCTCGTAGATACGGAGGCTCTGGGGCCTTTTGGGACGTGAGTGTTGGAATTGGTACCGCTCTGCCTTTGGTGGATTCCAAAAAACTGCATCATAGGTGGGAGAGACGCTGAGATCTTGCACCACACGTTTGATCCATGCAGGAATTCTGTAGATTCGCTCTCCATTGGGCGTGACCATTGTGATCTGCAAATAACATGAGCCGCAAAGGAAGACAGTAAATGACATTTCTCAGAGGTAGAAAACCTACCTTAATTTTGCTGTTATGGGGAATCAGAGGGCTTCCATCTTTTGCTGGTAGTGTAATTTCCCAGACACCAAAGCTATTCTTTGTCATTTGATGTGTTGAGACATCCCAATTATCTGCCAGTCTCAGTAATCATTTAACCAAAGGTATTATCCACATGGGCAGAAATACTGAAGTCGCCCACCAGCTGTGCTTCCAGAGCATTGGGAGCCCACTCCCTGTAAGTGATATTGCCGTTGGCATCGACATTGAGACCGAATCTCTCATAACCCTGAGTGAATTGCTTTTAGCTATCGTCATCTTGTTCTTGTTTATTTGTTTCCGTTTATCCCTTCTCAATTGAATAGGGATGAAGTTTTAAGAGCACTAACTCTGCTATACTTTTCTAAACCCTCCTCAGTCTCGTCAATGGCCTTGACCCAACTTTCCACAAATCGGAACCGACGTTGTAGAGCCTCCCGGAAAGGCTCAAGCCAAGGATCTAGCTCTATGACACCTACGAAATTTTAGCTTCTGAGCTTGAGAAAATGTAAGGAGACAACAATTTTAAGATTTTGACTGACCGGTACCGTCACGCGGTACAGCCTGAGAGGCCATTTGGATAGAGATAACGCTAAATATAAGGTGTCGATTATCAATAGCAAGTGATGATGAGTAGAACAGCAAAGACAGCAAATAATACCCAAAAATCCTGTGAAAACCGCACAAGTAGTCGAGAGAAGTAGGTCGAGAGGAGCAAACTTGAATTCAAAGGCCATGCGGGGGAGAAGGTCGAGGCCAAAGCTCCCATGTGACATCACCCCTCAGAGAATCCATCAACAAATATCAACCCCTGGTACGACCATGATGCACATTTCACCCCCCAATCATTTGTGACCAAAATTATTTGTTCCTGATCTGCATTGATGCACTCTGCCCTCGTGTGTTGGTTGGGACTACATAGAGTGATGCGACCGTACAGGTACAGGATGAACGGCAATCCTCTGTGTTCACAAACTAAACTACTAGAAAGGAATAGAGCTTTAGACCCTCACAGTCGATTCAAATAAATTGCAAACCCAGGGTATTGGCACTACGCATGTCAGGCATAACTTCAATGTACGTTTATTCCATCAAGTCGGCGTGCTGTCGGCGTTGCCTTAGTCTCATGGACACTGGCGGAACGGCAAGATAAAGCTTATTCCGTACTCTATGATGCCCCAGATGTTAATGGAAATGCAGGATTTGCTGGTTGCATGTGCGCAGCCCTTGAAAAGCCCCTGAAACTCCCTAAAACATATCTGCTGATAGTCATCTGCTACTATTTCCGTACACAGAGAAAGTGGATAATACAGTCACTGATGGGAGTCACCCGACCAACAAAGTTCAGCCAGCTTGTTCGCCTACTTCGATCTTTAATAATCAATTCCTAGAGAGTACGAAGACGACCTACAGGATACAAGCAAAAAAAAAAAAAAAAAAAAAAAAAAAAAAAAAAAAAAAGAAAAAGAAAAAGAAAAAGAAAAAGAAAAAGAAAAAGAAGGCGTTGTCTGCCACGTGGGTGCCGATTAAAAATGTATTCTTGGGCGTCGCCAATATGTGCAATAAAATAGACCTCTCTATCCGGGCTCCAAAGAGCGAAACACAAGCTGATTAATGTACATCTGGTTCGTGCTATTCATAGCTCTCATATCCAATTTAAACGGCTCTCACAATGTGATCTGGGCTTTATACTGCAAATTGCAGTTCGAAGCTGGAAACACTGCTCAACCAAATTAGCACATTCTCTAAAAGATAAGCCCAGGTAATTGCGAAGTAGACTTACAATTTCACAGTATCTTGCCAAGGGTAGCGATGACTTTTCCAGCCGAAGTGCCCAGAGTGGGGAGACCAAGACCGGAGAGAAGATCGGCAATTTCAGGAGACAGTTTGATAAGGATGGCAGAGCCATCCTCGCCCACAACAGTCAGGAGTTGCTCAACAGGCTCGCCGAGATCCTTGAGGAGATCACCGACGCTGCTAGTGACCTTGATTACCTGTCCGATAGAGAAACCAACACCGGGTAGATCGATACTGGCAAGGAGGGAGGCGACCGAAGGGCTGAGCTGGATGAGAAGGCGCTTGGCATCAAGACCGGTGACCTCGAGAACATCCTTGACCACAGGAGCAGCGTCTTCGATAATCTTACCCTCAGGAGAACGCTTCAAGTTCTCACCGAGAGTGGCAACAACCGAGCCAACGGGAACACCAACGCCAGGGAGACCCAGGCCAGACAGGAGACCAGCAACCTCAGGGGACAGCTGGATCAAAAGAGCACCGAGGTCCTTGCTCACAACAGTCAATAGGCCATCCACAGCAGGGCCTAGGTCCTTGACTAGATCGCCGACGCTGCCGGCAGTCTTGATAATGGAGCCGATAGACGTACCAACACCAGGGAGACCCAAGCCGGACAGGAGATCAGTAACTTCAGGGCTCAACTCAACGAGGAGCTTCTTCGCGTTTGGCCCGGTGACAGTCAGAATCTTGTTGACACTGTGGCCGACGTCCTGGATAATCTTGCCGTCGGCGCTAACAGAAGTCGTGGAAGTGGCAGAGGGGCCAACAGAAACGGACCCAGAGATCTCACCAAGAACGGGGAGAGTAGGGGCAGCCACAGCCGAGGAGGCCAGAGTAGCGAAAATGGTGATGAAAGAGGCTTTCATTTTGATGGTATTCACTTAAATGGAAATGGAGTCGAAAAAGAGCGATAATTAACGAATGAAGTCAGGCAGAATAAAGAATGACCTGGTTGGAGTGAAGGAATGACTGAACGAGGAGACAATGCGCTGCTGGATGCTGGATGAAAGAGCACCTCATGTCAAGCAATTATATACCGCAATTCATCGGTGATCGTCCTTTTTCGCCATCATTCCAAGCATTTAGCAACTTGACATCATGTTCACTAGTCGGTGGGTCGATTCTATACGGAGTACGAAGCACCGAGATTAACTCTCACATGAGCCAAAGAGGCTTCCTCCAGACTATACGCTTGGTGATGGTCTCCGACTACTAGGTTGTGGATACGGAATATAGTACAAAACACAAATTACGGTGTTGTTCCTTTTGCGGTTCCATGATGAGTATCATTATGATGAAAAGACACATTTGCTTCTAGCATGACTGCTTCCAAGGGGCAAAAAAAAAAAAAAAAGAGTTTATCATGGCATGCACTATGCATGGATATGGATATGCTCCAGTGTTGAAAGATGCATTATCTGAGGTACTTTGTCCTCTGAATTGGCATGTGCGTTTAATCAACATTATATGGGCCAAGATAGTATAATCGGGTTCGAAGCCACTATTTGTCTTCGGGGATCCACTGATTTGCTTTCTGCATGGAACTTCTGGGATTTCTATACCGCTACTGCCATTGTGATTTGCATCTTAATTTTGCATCTTCGGAGCTCATGCCTTAACGGACAATTTGAAAGCCACCTGCATGACCAGAACAGTATGTGAACGAATTAGTAAAACGAGCGAAAAGCCACTACTGAAGGTTTAGCCTCTCACGATGCTTATACAGTCTGGCGATCTGTCTCGCAATGGACATATGAAATCCTGGCATTTTAATTATTATTGCTATTGTTCTATAGCGCTAAGATATGCTTCGCTACCAACTAGATGGCCGGATTTACTGCGGTTCCTGCAGATGGATTGATGACCAAATTTCCCAGGAGCAGATATAGATATTATATCTAGTGTCTGGACATACATTTGCAAGTCTACAGTGCTATCCGGAGAATAGCCTACTAGTCGCTTTGTTTTATTGCAGTCCCGAAAGACTACTGCACGAGATCTGGAAATGATATTTCGTAAATAGAGCTGTTTCTGTGCATCCATTCCACTTAGGTTTGCAGATTATGGAGCACTTACTCACCTTTCTGGGCGAACGAGAGCCAAGGATAGTTAGTGGCACCTGGCTTATCAATAGCAAATTTTGCCTCGTGTTCCTATTCAGGGACTCGCTCCGGTCCTTTGCTCGATCATCCACGATGTTAATTCCATCGGTATATGAGTTTCTCTAGCAATGGAATTGACCCCTATTTGCAAGACTTGCTGACAGTAGCAGAAAGTGGGCCCTGGATCCTTAGGATGTACCTGGTATGTATAACACTCACTAGTGCTTTAACTGTTTTGCTTTATGTAGTAGTCGCTATACGGTTATATGTGATTGGGGGTTAATTCACCGAATAGGGGCCTTTGAGCCACGCTGCCCGACGATGCGAGTGTAGATCATGATGGGCATTGTTCTGCCGTATAAAATATGGGAAAAGGGGCAAATATCCAGCTGTAAACGTGAGTGGAGATCTTTGATGAATAGTGAAGTCATCGACACTAGAAACAACTGAACAAGGAAGAAAGACAGAACTATCCAAATTGTCCGAGTGATCTGCAAGTTTAGGCGACTGGAGTGGAGACGCTGATCTCTCTGTCGCTCACCAATTATCACTCAGACAGGCTCTTTAATGGAACTGGTGGAGAATCTCTTGATGACGTTTCGTTATTTTCTTCTTGCGAGATAAGCTATGGGTGATATTCGTGCTCTGTCGGTTCCGTTGGCGACTTCATGGGCGGACTCCGAGGGACTGACAATTTGAGTAGTTCGTTAATCACTAGCATGGCCTGATTTCACAGAACTCAAGGTTTATATGAGCAAATGTCTGCTTGGTTGACTTGCCAGGTGACTGTCACTCCGTCGGTTTCCGTTTGGTCCTGCTGAATGGGTCGAATGGGCCGAATGGGCCACGAGCTTACTCTGACAATCTCCTTATGATTTACGGTGGACTCTCTCTTCAAACTAACAATAACAGTAAAAAGATGTCGTGACTAGCTATGTACTGGACAATGAATCCAAACTCGAAGTCCAGAGCCCACCTCCCCTGGCAGATCACATGCGCCGTCTCAAGATGCTGGACTGGGTGGCAGTTCCCCCGTGAACCAGTTACTTGGGCTGCCCCCAAGCTCGAAATCTAGGCTCCCTCCATCGGCAAAAATATCATCCCATGTGAGCCAGTTTTTTCTCCAGTCTTTCCCGTTTACCTGGAGTCGCTGCACCTGGATATTGCTGTCACCGTTTCCATCGCCGCCTTTCGCGGTGACATGCAGTTTCTTGCCACCACCCAATTCGATCGTCAGGGACTCGAACCATGGAGAGTGGATTAAAAAAGTCGTCTGCCCTGTGACAGGGTACAGGCCAATCATATTCCACAGAAGCCATGTCTGCATTGCCCCAGCATCGCTATTGCCGGGAAGTCCGTTCGCACCCGTAAGGTAATAAGTCTTTGCGATGTTGCGGGACTGGGAAACTGACAAGTCCTGTCGATTGACATAATTATATAGGTACGGAATGTTGAACATGCTATGAAATCATCAGCCTAACTCTATCCGAGATTGGTTGAAAGAAGACAGTGAAGAAACCCATGACAAATCATTGAGCAGGGAAATAAACTTACGGTTCGTTCGTAGAGTCAAAAATGGTTCCGCTGGAGCCGTCGACCCCTTTGGTGAACATGGTGTCGAGTCGCTTGACGACAGTCTGTGCGCCTCCCATCATGTCGATCACCTGCTTCATATCATGGACACTAGCCCAGGAATAAGCCCACGAGTTAGCCTCGTAGTATGGGTCCCCCCAGTAGCCTCCGTCTCTCAGGGGGTCGGTGTCAATGAAGCCGTTTTCATCACGAGGGACAACAAATCCGGAGAACCCCAAGGAAGTCGTGTTGGGATTCCAATGGTTTTGCCAGTTCCGCGAGCGATTGAGATATTTCTCAGCGTCGTCATTCTTTCCTAGCCCTGATGCTACCTGGTACAGACCGAAATCGTTGCAAGAATATTCTACGGCTCTGGTGACGGCGCGAGTGTATCTTGGCGTGATGAATCCGAGCTTGATCCAGTCTGGTAGCGCACCCCTTCCCTCTTTTGTTGAGGAATCTGGGGCCATAGGGTCGACCGGGTCGTTCGGCGGGGCCACTTCTGCATCTTTTACCATGGCACGGTATCCATCATCCCAATTTACGGCACCGCGAACACCTTTGACATAAGCATCGGCCAGGATATTATCGGCATTGGAGCCCCCCTGCGTGCGGCCATTGTAATTTGACGAGCGGGCATCGGGGAGGTAGCCATCGAAGCGCCAGATGTCAATAAGAGATCGAATCTGTTCTTCATATGCCTCGGGTTGCAAGACTTGCATAAGAGCTGTGGAGCAGCGGAAGAGGTCCTGGCACCAATGTTAGCTTCCTGCTAGTATTCTTTGTCGCCATTGAAGGCTAAAGGAACCACATACCCAATAGGTAAAAATATCCTGATAATATGGTTCTTCAGAAGACCATTTTGGGTTTTCGCCGGTCTGATTGGTAGGGATCAGATGCATAAAGTAGAGGGATGTGTACAGCAAAGTGAGGCTCGTCTGGTTGGTGCTTGTGGTGGTAACTTTTGACAGCACCTTTGATTCCCATTCTGACTGGGCATCTTGAACCACAGAGTGGAGATCTGTTCCTTCAGGAATCTCATCTTGGACGTGTCTGCAAGCCTTTTCTGTAGATATCCAAGAAATTCCAACGCGAGAGGTCACCGCCGACTCCTGAAAGGAAAAAACTCCTCCGACACGGTTTGAGCTCGAGGATGACGTTGCAAACCCGCCTGTTTGCTCTTCGCTGCCCCCTGCATCAGTTCCCACATATGTCTTGTTATTGATAGGCGCAGTATCGAAGTAGCCGCCTGGTTCACAACAGTTAGCTCAGATGCTATTTGCAGGTTCAACACGGGACTGAACAGCACGTGAGGCTCACAGAAATAAATGGACCAATCTGGAGAACGGTTCCAACCATTGTCATAAACACCGTGACCTTCATAATGGCTATCATGGAAGATGGTGATGTTTCCACCTTTGTAACCTTGACCAAGACCTTGACCTCGGAAAGAAGGCAGTACGTGAGAGATGTCCACCAAGACGCTCCCATGTGATCCCTCAGGGAAGGTATACTGATAGATGCCTGCATGAGCAGAAGCACTTAACTCGACAACAATTCCCTCAGAAGTCTGCGCCTTGTAATATCCCACTGATGCTTGATCGGTTCCAGACCGAGAGACAGTTTTATTTGATAGGGGGTTACTAAGGTTACCAACCAATGGCAACTGCGACACCGTACCATATTTCGGAGCACCCCCAGTGCCTTGCTCATGCATCATGCTGAATCCCGAGAATTCGCCATGCGGCAAGTAGCCAGAGTAGGCATCCTTACCAGGGTCATGCAGGTCGGGACCTAATTTCACCATGCCGAAAGGTCGAGCAACCCCAGGGAAATTATTTCCACCACCTGCACTTCCCAAACTTTTCAACCACATTAGAGAGGTGGAGGCAACATAGGCCAACGCTACGTTGTGGCACTCACAAAGGATTGACATGGGAAGTCAAAGTGGCCGCCCAGACGGCCGGCTTCACTAAAGTGAGCACCAACAGGGCGCTTCCCAAAGCCATGGTTAATACCAACCCTACAAGGAGTCTTGTTAGGATCGCCAGGTCGAGAATCATCAGGGAGAGGAAAAGGACGGACGCAATGAAGAGCAGTGTGCAGCCAGGAGGCTTTTCTAGTTGCCATCGAGTCCAGGATACCCATTTCTTCCTTAACAATGAATGTGAACTCCCACTTCTTGCGGGGGAAAACTGGACCATGGGACTTTGAATAACGAAAGGACGAGGATGGAGGGGCTCAACATCGCCAGGTAGGGGAGTACTAAACCACTGGGTGTAGGGGAATATCGCACATGGTGAGATCACAGGTGAATGAGAGAGGGCCCGTTAATCTATGGAACCGGTAGACTCAGACTAAGGATATAATGGATGGGAGACTAAAAAATATCAAGCAGGCAGGGTCTGGCTGCTACCTATACTCCATGCGTGGGTGGGTTCGGTTGAGGTTCAGCGAAAGAGGAAACGCCATGTTTCCTAGGACAGAAACGATGGTCGAGACTTTGTGGATGAGCAATCTTTGTCCTCGGTTCTATCTAGGATCTAGCCATTGCCTAAGTTTCCAATTACAGTTACAGATGCGGAGGAGAGCATTTCGGGGCGTTTCTAGCGGCCTCTTACTTGGCTGGAATGCTTATGGCGGCATACCATCTGAGGGAATAATGGACGAAAACGAACTTATCAGATAATAGGGCATTCTCTATTTTGGAGAGGAACTCCTGAATAACACCTAAGTAGAAGGAGTATGCCTGCCTAAGTGATCACTCCTTCCCATCTAGGCCGGGACTATATTTCACTACTAGTATCTCTGCGTCTTTTCACTGGAGCCAGTGGATGCACTGCAATCAATGCATCAGCAGCCAGTCATAAGCGCACATGTTCGTTTTCTCGCGAGTTAGCCTGGTTTAGGGCCCAAGATTAGGGCGCGGTTGCAGAGATGATCATGCACCATTTAGGAAGACGTGCGATGACCATCTGGGCGATTCCCTGATAATCGCCAATGATCCACCCACATGCTACGTCGATCAGCAGGGGGTACCCTGGTGTCCGCTGATTGGCTGAGACTCTTGTCACATAACCAATTGCTGACTAACCAAAATCAGCAGTCGGTCAGGTGAACCCACAGAAGGTTACAGGCCCTATATGAAAACACGGTAAGAGCGAGAGCAACCATCCCTTCATATGCATCGAACATCGAACATCGCCATTGGGGGCTGAATATGAGCTTCGTGGTGGAGGGGTAATATATCTCTGCCGCACCACGTGTGACATGGAGATATCTCGTGGATCGCTCCTTCCTTGTAGGGCAAGAATTGGAAGGTTGTATATTCCAGGTTCCTGTCAATCCCTGCCTTTTGTCTTGTTTCTCCTTTTGTCTCTGGATGGAACTTCAGCTCTAGAAACAATAGTGTCGTCGTGTGGACTCATCTGTGCTCTGGAGTCATGCGTCGCTTACATTGCCAATTACTGAGCAGACTCGGCAGTACAGGTATTATATAGCAAGTATTTGAGATGGTGGTGAATACGAGAGACCATATGTACATTAAAGATGTTTATATCTTGCCTAATCTGTCAACGGCTGGACAAATGACTAAGCATAAGACAACAACCTGTTCTCAACGTCTGGCTTTTGTGGTTTAAATTGAGACAAATAATACCTCCAAAGCTTCTCTTACTGATCAGCCAATCAAAAACAATATGGGGAAGTGGAAGAGCCTACTGTCGAAGAGCCATTCTATTGTCTTCTTTAATAAATTACCTGCCTCCCAATGAGTACGCTGCTAAGAACCACCTAAGTAAGTCCTTGTTAGCGGATATCACTCTGCACGATAATTGGAAAGATTTTCACCAATAGCGAGGGAAAGGAGGACCAGAACTCTGAAGGTAAGGAGTCATCCGATCCTAAACAGAGATGGCATTGTTCCAATCCTTTTGGCCTGAGCTTTCATAGGAGGACTGAATTGTTAGTATATATTTAAAACCACTGGGTGAAACTGTAACCTGCCTTTCGATGTAGAGGGTGACCAGATGTACATTTCGGATCAAATTCCCTCACTAGTATTTATTTTGTCACAATTCTGGAGGAATCAGCATTTCTCACTCAAGGGGCTACTTGGAATAGGTACACATCGGAATGTCATACCTAAGTGGCTTGACGAGTCAATGGTATGGGCGCATGTTACAATAGTAATACCGCATATCAGAATAGTCGGCTTCTATTTTATGAACGTAGCCTTCAACTATTAATAGTGTTGTTAAATAGTACGGACTATCTAGGCACAAAAAAATGGCAGGATGCAAGCCAGGAGTAGTGCTTATTCTTCCTCTTATAAAAGAATATTTTTTGCTATTACGAGACGAACCATTATCTCCAGCAGCCCTGTAAGTTATAACGGTAAACTATGTTTATCTTACGTGGTCGTCTATACCCTTCAAGAACATCCAGGCCGAACTGGACTCTGCTGAGACAAAGAAACCCATCGCAAGGCTGACACCCTAGGCTTCGCGCCCCCAACATGGTTGACCTATTTAAGACCCCCTACTGCTCCTCTTCCAACACCACCAACAACGTTGAACCGTCGCAAAAACGTCAATAATGACCAAGCCCATTACTGTCTGGTTGACTCGTACGTAAAGCAGCCTAACATGATGAAATAAAATACTAACATATTGCACAGCCTCCGGTCCAAACCCATGGAAGGTCTGACCCCACCCCAGGACCAAAAAAGAACAAGAGTGGCAGGATAAAGAAATCCGAAATCTACTATTACCTGAGGTGGCCAGCAGCTAACACACGTTCCTACCTAGGTGATTGTGGTGCTCCATGAGCTGGCCGTGCCGTATGAGATCAGGTCGTTTAAATTTGAGGATGTTAAGAAGCCACCCTTTATTAATATTAATCCCAATGGACGAGTTCCGGGTATTTGAGTCCTTCTCTATTGTCTTGGGTTGAGGAAATTAGACTAATTGATTGATCGAATGATTTTCCAGCTATTGAGGACCCTAATACTAATGTAACTCTTTGGGAGTCCGGTGCCATTCTTCAGTACCTGGAAGAAGTCTACGACACCGAGAAAAAGCTCACGTACCACACTCTACATGAGAGGCATTTACTTAACCAGTGGCTCCATTTCCAAATGAGTGGCCAAGGTCCGTACTATGGGCAATGTGGATGGTATGGCTTCCTTCTCTCGCCCAGTTTTCTTTGTTTATTTATTTTTTTTAAGACACTAATTATCATGAGTTCGCTATAGGTTCTCGGTCCTCCACCATGAGAAACTCCCTTCCGCGATCGAGCGCTATAAGAATGAAGTCCACCGTATCCTGGGGGTCCTTAACACCGCCTTGGAAAGCAAGGAGTGGCTTGTTGGGGATAAATGTACCTTTGTGGACCTGGCATTCCTACCGTGGAACACACAACTTCATATGGTACTTATGACTGCTCCGGGCGAGGACCCGCTGGCAGCCTATCCGAATGTGAAGGCATGGCATTCGCGCATTGAGGGCCGAGAGTCATGGAAGAAGGCTGCGGAGATCCGGAAGAAGCTAATGGATGAGCAGCAAATCATGGCAAACGGGATGCCTAAGGGAGTGAAGAATGTGAAAGAGTACGAGGAGCTTATAGCCAAGACTGCGGCAGAGGGGAAGAATAATTAGCAGGCGACTGCATCATGGCATGGTACTGTACGTGTACTTCCTGGCTTAGTTGAATAGTAAGATATGGAACTCGTAAGATATGCATTTTCGCGACCCTAGGTACCTCGAGTGTGAGCGAGAGTCAGCACAAAAATGGATTTTTTTGAGCTAATGCAGGGATTCGATTCCTACAACACCATCCGATTGGTTCGTATTTTTCAATACGCAAGCCTGGCTGTCATGTCCCACAAATCAAGCGGTGTAAAGATCAGCAGATACAGGAATAAGGTAATATAAGCCTGTTCGAGGCGTAGAGAATAGAATCTTTTAACACTTATAAGGTCCCTCAAAATGGGGCAAAAAGAACGTCTCCAATTCACTATTCACTTCAGTTTTGAGTTCCAGTATACTTTGGAATTTGCCCCTTGTTTCTCCCCGGAAATCGTTCCGCGAAACATATAGCAACCGCTGACTTCTTCGGCCATAGCATATGCCAACAGTCCCTCACAAACCATTCTCATCAAAGCCATTTGCATTCTCGAAGTCGTCGAGGCCAATATCCACTTCCTGCTCGCCCGACGCATAAAGGGAATGCCAGTGTCAATGCGCCTTCGAACAACCTATCAGGGAGAAATCAAGGGGTCTCTATTCAAGTATACTGGAACTCGTAAAAAGTAAACAGTTGATTAGCTACATATGAATCCTAAGGCGTTACGAAAGATAAAGCTTCTTGGATGGCGAATTACTCAAGTTTTTGCTCCTAGAATATGATTGATCGCCTACCATAGGGAAACTGAATGGCGGATCTTTTCCAAATGGCCCAAACTATTAACCATCTTGTGTCAAGGGCTAAACCCGTAGAACCTATATGATAGGCTATGTACAAAAAGGAATCGTTGAAGGGAGGTATCGCATCACGTCCACGTGGTCGTTCTTAGCCGCTTCAGTTACGCCAGTGGAGATGGATCCATCGGCAGGATTCCGTTCCGTCGCCTGCTGCCGCACCCGAACCAGATCCCCCTCTCGACAACTTTCTAGGAAGGGCTCCAATGCTGGATCTTTCGAGTAAGTGAGGGTAATATAGATTTTTCGGACGGTACGGGCACACGTTATATTGTCAACAGAATGCAAAACCTAAGAAACGGAGCGAGAGAAGACAAGTTTATACGGGGCGCAGACAGAGGAAAGATGTGTCAATAGATAATAACTGCCAAACAAAACGGTTCCTAATGGAAAACTGAAGTTATGCAAAATTTATGTGATATATAAGGCCTTCCACTGTCACTGGACTTGGACTATGAATTAATTTTTTAGCATCCTGTCAAACTAGAAGGCATTATCTTGCCTTTATTAAGTCATGGCTTCAGATACAAGCTTCTGAACGACCTTCCTGTGTATATTTGGTACAACTTGATTAGCCCAGCAGATGTCGAGAAAGATTGAATTCGGCTCCAACCCTTTGAAGTTCTATTTTTAAGAACAGAACTGGGCTTGAGATGGCGGTAACATACGATGTCTTCCTGTTCTAGTTGGACGTGATCTGAGTTCATTCTGTCGCTTTTACTTTATCCTCGTCACAACCGACCATTCCGGAGAGCTTAAATATAATAACAAGAAATTTTTCGATTCTCTTCAGAACGAGTGAAATATAATGAAGAAAATTATATGCTTCATTTCACGCCCGGAATCACAGTCAATATATACAACCTTATTAATGGACCCGATGGGGATTATGTTCCGTTAAAAAGGCTGTTTTCTCGTGACGATAGGCAGCAATCACAGTACCACTTCTACCAGGGTGATAGTATAAATGTACTCAGACAACTAAAATATTATCGGTATTAGCGGCCTAACGCAAAAATGCGGAAGATGAAGCAGTGTTGTGCTCTCAATCTTGCCCATGGAACAATTAAGCAATATATTATCGGTCCAAGGGGCAATAGGGCGCGTCTGGTGGCTGATAAGATGGATAAACCAAGAAACCAGGTAGCCTTATATCGCCTGAAGTGACATTCAGTATCCTGAGTCTAAGTTATTGGTAGTATACAAATACTTGCTGGAGGGAATCAAATAACTAGTTAAAAGTGTTTGACCAACTGCTCACTGTAAGTTCACCTTCATCTCCTTAATAATATATACATACTGCAAATTAAAGGCACTACAGCCATTATTGCAAATGACTAATGTAAAATAAGTTTCCCTTATTAGACTGCCTGCCGAAGTCAAGATCGGGGCGGCATATATCAAATCATAGTGGCTTGTATCGAGTAGAGTTTTTCATTAAACTTGCTTTTTTATTTAGCTAAAATAGTGCACTAATTGAGATAAAATAGTCTCCTGTATATTTTATCTGTTTCTCTATCTCCTTTTTACACCCCAAGAAGTGTTCCTTTGTATAATATAGCTTCTGTACTGCTGCCTCTTTAGCCTTAAGATTTTTTTATTTCTGTACTTAGCGTGTGTTTACTAGATTCATCGGGGCTCGGACAGTTACCAGAAACAAGCGGCTCACTGCTGGGAACCTGTGAATTACTGGGAACTGCTTTATTTTTAGTATTTTAAGCAATACGGACAGTAAAAAAGTAAATTGTGGTTGAGAAATCTGCAATTTTTACGCGTTCAGGTTGCCATAAACTGAACACAATTTTGAATACGCTATTGTCAAATAATATGGCCGTTGGTGGACCAGAATCATGTGACTGGATCGGGGTAAAACCCCCGTGGAGCACACAACAAAATAATCAATCAAGAATAACCAAGAAGAATAATCAAGAAGAGCCCAACCAGCTCAATTCATTCAAATAAGACCTTTTCACCAATCGTACTCTATTTCCTCTTCGGGATTAGCCGTATATCTGACAGCTATTAAATCAAATGTGAGGGGTGAAGCTTGTCTCAGAAAAGCAGTGGGGTACAGACGAGCTGCTCACCGCTTTTAAGGGGTCTTGTTAAAAGTAGCGGAGTAGTCTGTAGTTCTAGGCTCTGTCGATGCTGGAAGTGAATTGCATATTGTGACCCTTGAATCAGGCTTCGTCTCTCGGTCCCTTTCTCTCCTACAACCCTTCTTTCTCGCGCATTTAAAGAACGACCCCCTCCTTGATCTATTTACATAAAGACAATGTGCTATCTTAAATCTCAAAACTAAGCTCAACATGGAACACGATCAGAGCCAGGGATTGATCTTGCAGCTTCTTCTCGAGGACCTAGACCATCTCGAAAATAAGCAGAAGGGAAAACAAGCTGCAGGGAAACGGACTGATTTTGAAACCGCCCTCATGTACATGAGGGACGAAGTTATGGCCGCCCAGAATTCCATTGAAGATGGAATATTGGCTCTCAGCACGAGCACAGCGATCGCTACCGATCAGAATCTACTGGCATCTATTAGACATGATGAAAGAATTGCTGAGCAGGACCGTCGATACGCGCTTGCTCTGGACAATGAAAAGTCAAACCCTCAAGATGTCTCATCTATCTTAACGAAGAGCAAAGTGGCATCGACAGATGAGAATGAGGATGCCATTTCCGTTGTGATAGGAGATCTAATGGGTCGTATGACGCTCAACGATGGTTCGGTTAATGGAGAAGGTTCCTCACGTCATATAGCCTCATCTAAAATGGCAAATCTTGGAAAAGACTGCGATTCCTGCTTTGAAAAGTGTGATGTTCCGATGTTTGCGGTGCCCTGTGGCCATAAATTCTGCCGTGATTGCACGAGGCAGATGTTTCTCGGAGCAATCAAAGACGAGGAGCTGTATCCACCCCGCTGTTGTAGTAACATCGTGCCACCTGGGATTGCTCTACGAGTTCTAAGCTACGATGAGCTCCGGGCTTTTGGTGAAAGGGCAATTGAATGGACCACTAAGGATCGACTTTACTGCGCTGAACCAACATGTTCCAGGTTCATTCCTCCATTTGCCATTCAGGATGACCACGGAACTTGTCTGGAATGCCATCAGCAGACGCATTTACCATGTCGTTCCTTCGCACACCCCGGTGTTGACTGCCCAATGGATGGCGCACTTCATAGTGTCCTAGCAATGGCGGACGCTGAGAATTGGAGGCGATGCTTCAATTGTCGAACTATGGTAGAGCTCCAACACGGCTGCAACCATATCACCTGTCGGTAAGTAGCATCTTTACCTAACATATTTTCCCAAAATAATGAAATTAATGAAAGAACTAATCACTTTGAAGCTGCGGTCGCGAGTTTTGTTATGTATGTGGTGTGGCCTGGAAATCATGCACCTGCCCACTCTGGCACGAGAACAGACTCGTTGCCATGGCAAATCAAGCGGTAGATGAGGAGATTCCGCGAAATGCCAATATCGCAGATCGTCAAAACGCGTTTAACCGGATAGTCGAGAATCTTCGGCAACATGAGGACGTCGGGTGTGAGCATCACAGGAACTCTCAATGGGCTTGGCGCAATCAAGGGAGTTTGCAGTGCGAGATCTGCAACCACGAGTTGCCCGAGTACTTGTTTATGTGCAAGAATTGTCGAATGAGGGCCTGCAACAGTTGTCGAAGGCATAGATTGAGATAGTTTGCTAATCCTGCATTCTGTCTGCGATGTGCTGGCTAAATTCAATATCAGCGAATCTTAGACATCGTTTCCATTATCAGAGTTAACGTTATCCTGAAATCGCTGCCTATCCAGGCCAGGAATATCTGTGAGTGCTAAGGAGAAGGTCCATCCCCAGCTTGGAAGAGAACTATGCTACCGGACAATTGATTGCTTTTAAGGACGACGCGTTGTGGCTCTGATTCGATAGCTACTTATATGGCATTAGCTTAAACGGTCAGCAACTGATGTACGGTAGCAAGAATCCAGCTCGACCCATCAGCGCATCGACAGTGATGGAGGATGATCTCGTTTTCAAAGGACCGGGGGAACATAGTAAAGAAGTATCATGCAGCATACTAGATGCATGCCATATAATACCGGATTATTCTCAACCGTGTTTCCTTCTTTCAAGCCCTAAGATGTCAGTAGAGTAAATCGTTGGGCTACGGCTCTCCTTGTCTACGTATTGATTAGTAATGGATATATTTAGTATGCAGGAAAGAGGTCTATTGGGGTGTTGAGCAGAGAGTAATAACGTGGGTCTTCCTAAAGAACATTGTCGAGTCTTTGATCGAGGACAAACCCTAACGACCATACCAAAATAATGGAGACGCCGAAGGGACTAGCATGATAAAACAAACCAGGGACCCTGGCTTGTGGGGATACAAAAGTTGTTAATAATTTAATTAAGCAATCCGACCATCTCTTGGATAACCATCAGTCAATCACCATCACATCTGCTTCGTTGCTTATTGCCCGTGTACGGCTATTGAAATTCCTAGAACGGGGTCTAGTGCGTACGTTAGTGATGTTGTTTAGGGGCGGAAAATCCCGCTTCCCCCCTAATTGCCTCATTCCAGTTCGTACTACGTATCCACCGTCGTCTTCCTGTGCGCGGAGTTGCTCCGTCCAGTGCGGGGTGCGCGGAGAACAACTGGGGTAGAGCTGGGGATTCGCTCGTGCGATTGCCGTCCCCATACTTGGGCCTATCGCGAGACAGCTTGACCAAGCGAGATGGAGCTCACGATGGAGCTCATCTATATTGCTCTCTATAGCTAAATAGGCTGGAATGATGATTTCGGAGAATAAATAGAGGGTTCCCGGGTTTTCACTGTGTCTCTCTCGGAGAAAGTCCCTCTGTGACCAGGTCGGGCTCGACAAACTGTCGCCATCATGGGCTTCTTTAAAAACTATCGCGTTTACATGCTGACAACAGTGGCCTATTTGGGGTCTCTGCTTTTTGGTCCGTCTACCCGTACTTAATCTGTTTGCGTGTCACTATGCTCACCACGGTCGTGGTACATTCTAGGATATGACACCGGTGTAATGGGCAGTGTTCTTGCCATGGACAGTTTTAAAAGAGACTTTGGACTCCCCCTGGAGTCCGGTGGGTTCGTGTCATCGGCCAATGCCCAGGTGTCGTCAAACGTCGTGTCTCTGCTTACGGCCGGTTGCTTCTTCGGAGCCATCATTGCTTCATTTCTCAACGATCGACTGGGACGGCGGTATTCGCTGATGGTTTTTACTATGGTGTTCCTTGTCGGAGCTGCCCTGCAAGTCGGTGCGACGCATGAGATCGGGCTGATCTATGCTGGCCGTGTCATAGCTGGATTGGGCGTTGGAGGAATGTCTAGCATCACGCCGGTCTACGTCGGCGAAAACGCGCCTCCTGAGACACGTGGTCGTATTGCTGGCCTGTTCCAGGAATTCTTGGTCATTGGGAGTACCTTTGCCTACTGGCTTGACTACGGGGTTTCCCTGCGCATCCCTTCTAGTACAAGGCAATGGCGTACCCCGGTTGCGGTCCAGCTTATCCCCGGTGGCCTCATGCTCATCGGGTTATGCTTCCTCAAAGAATCTCCTCGGTGGCTAACGAGCAAGGGTCGTCATGAAGAGGCCCTTCAAGCATTAGCGTACATCAGGAATGAATCTGTCAACGACGAGGCTGTCCAGAAGGAAATAGCAGAGATCCAAGCATCGATCGCAGAGGAAATGGCGGCGACGGAGGGACTGACCTACAAAGAATTCCTCCAGAAGAGCAACCGCAACCGCTTCCTATTTGCTTTCGTTCTCATGCTCTGCCAACAGTTTTCTGGAACCAACAGCATCGGATATTACGCTCCTCAGATCTTCCAAACCATCGGTCTCAGCGCCACCAACTCCTCCCTGTTTGCGACGGGTATCTATGGAACGGTGAAGATCGCTGCAACAGGGATTTTTCTGCTAATTGGAATCGATCGATGGGGACGAAAGAAGAGTTTGATTGGTGGCTCCATCTGGATGGCCAGCATGATGTTTATCATCGGCGCCGTTTTAGCCACCAACCCGCCGGATCTCAATGCATTGGGCTCAGGGGTATCACAAGCTTCTATTGCCATGGTCGTTATGATTTACCTCTACGTCATCGGTTATTCTTTTAGCTGGGGTCCCACCCCGTGGGTGTATATGAGTGAAGTAGGTTTCCCCTTAATCCTCCTGATTATAGTAGCGTGATCTGAAGAGGTTAACCTCGGTGTCACCTAGATTTTCCCGACGCGCTTACGTGCATACGGTGTTGGTCTCGGAGCAACGACCCAATGGCTCTTCAATTTCGTGATCACGGAAGTGACACCGCACGCTATCCACAATATAGGCTGGCGGACATTTATCATGTTTGGAGTTTTCTGCGTGGCCATGGGTTTCTTTGTTTTCTTCTTTGCTAAGGAAACGAAAGGCCGGACTCTGGAGGAGATGGACATTGTCTTTGGTGCAGTGGATGAGGCTGAAAGGCGCGCTGCTGTGGAACATACTCTACACAAGGGGGTGACTACGCACATGGAACAGGCAGGTGAGGAGACTATTATTCCTGGTGAGCAAAGAAAGGCTTAGATGGGCTATCGTAATATATTACAGAATTGTGTATGATATCTACTAAAGAATTAGGATAGAACAGCCTAGATGAATTAGAGGATTTAGATAGGATCTGCAAAACAAACTAAGACCTCTTGGAGGCAAGACAAGCACTTTATATGGAAGCAATAGATCGAATTAAATATGGAGAGTATTCCCTTGTAGCCAGAACTTGGAGACGAGCAACGGACCTGGCAAGACAAAAGCTTCACAGGATCATTCAACCGAAGACGGAGTTGCGGGATATGGTGGGCACAGGTTCTTGTGCATCTTGACTGGGCTGGGGTGATTTTCATCCGACCATAGGAAATCGATAAGTATACCTGAGCTGCTACGGAGGCAGATATATGCTAATTATAGAGTGGGTAATAATACCGTTCAATATTTACCATCAGATCTTGTATGTACAGTACATACGTCGAAACACACAGGTCGCCTGAGACGTAAATACGACGGACTGAAGCGAGCAGTGTGGACAAAAGTGTTTTTTCCAAAAATTTCATATTGCCACTACCCGCACGTCTGCACTAATTTTGCTTAATAATATGCCCGAATCCCCCGCTAACGTAATCGGTAAGCGAGCGCCGCATGAAAGCGAGCGCTGCACCTCTCTATTCCATATAAAATGACACTTTTTGAGAGTCTAATATCTCAACAATAAAGCACCTAGAGGGCATAAAATTTAATATACAGTATAATATAATAACGTATATATATATATTAAGCAGAGAAATTTTAGGAATGAATATTTCTCCAGATAAGATAAATTACAACTGTATTTTTTATATTTTTAGTTTGTCCTAGTATTTAAAGCCAAGAAAGCTATTTAAAAACATGAAAATACCTTTTAGAATCCATATATATGTTATTGTCTTATAAAGATGTTCTATATCTACTGGTGGTTGAGATATTAAGGTTTCAAAGAGTGCCATTTTATATGGCGTACAGAAGTGCGGCGCTCGCTTTCATGCGGCGCTCGCTTACCGATTACGTTAGTTAGTTAATCTCGGCCCCCTCAGGTGTTTATGTAAACCATAAAATATTGTTTGTCAAGGGCTGAACCCGTGGTACCTATAGGATAGGCTACCTACAAATGGATCGTTGAAAGAGAAAGGAAAGGCTAAGGGAGACAGGTAAACAAATAAGAAAGGAAGGTTACTTGTTGTGGGCTTAGCACCAATAATAAGTTATCGTGGGCCCGTAGAGGGACAACGGGACAATTGGGACAATAGGGAAAACGGGGACAACGGGGACAACGGGGACAATAGGGACAACGGGGACAACAGGGACAACGGGAACAGTAGGCCCGAGAAGTCAAAAGGGTCCCCAGCCCTTTACACAAAGCTTCTCTGTCTCTCTTTCTCTTGATAGAGCCAAGTCAACTCTATTCAGTGCCTGCAACGACAATACTGAGTATAGGGGAAAAGGGACAAGAATAAAGGTGGATCGCATAGTAAATATAACCTCTACTAGCGCAGATAACTCGATTACAAATTAATTAGTATATTACTACTAACTCCGCGCAAGGCCACCGATTCCAATCCCAAAGGGAATACTTTGTTTTCTACATTAAGATAGCAAACAAGATAATCAATAGATAAGAAACAAGACAAAAAGCAAGACAAATAACTACTTAAAGCGAGCGTTTTTAAAGCGGGCTCTTCCAGCTGGGCCACCCATTTCATCACTATTTTGCTGATCCTGCTTTTCTTTCTTGATATGCTCCTCATTTGCCATCTTGAATATTTCTTTAACAAATGGAAACTCTGGTTCATCCAAGTGAATATCCGACTCGATCTCTTTTTTAATTTGAACGTCTTTTAAATGTTGCTTGATATCTCTAGTTCTTTTCTCGAGAGGCCTTGGATATCTTCTCTTGTTCCGATTATTCTTTGATCATTGGTTCTTTTCTAACCTCTTTATTGATCTTTTTGCGGTAAGATTTTGTTTTAGAGCAATAATTGGACTCAGTATCCAAAAGATCAGGATCCTGTGCCTCACACAGACATGTATAATCCACACCTGTATTTTTAAATCAAAAGGAAAATGCTTATTCAAGGTTGATAATAATGAACTAGTCTAAACATCTGATGGAATAATGGTAACCCTATTTTCTTATGATAATCCTTTGTAGCAAAAGTATCTGTTGTATCAATCTTTTTAATATTATCTGCAACGTCGGGAATACGTCGAAAGAGAATCTTGATAAAATCCTCTTGGGCTTCGATTGGAGTATCAGGCTGAAGATCGAGATTACCTACTAATAAATACAAATTTGTATATTGATTAGCATATTTTAATAAGTAGAGTATAAGTGCTTACTATAATACCTCCACTTACTACTCCATACTTCCAGGTTACCATCCTCTGGTTTCCCAGCCAAACGGCAACAACCCGAAGCCTGCATGGTTGAAGACGAGACTCAGTTATAGAAGACTTTGTTTGAAATTGTGATGCCCGTGTATTAGGCAACGCAGAGCTTGCATTTGGACGAGAAGTAGATATTATCTGAGAGCTGGCAATAGACTCCTGTCGAATCTGATTGCTCTCTCGACTCCATTCTGTAATAGAGTTACCTTTTATGAGATATGACACGTTTTGTTTCAATGGCCGGATAATTTCAGGTTCAGGTGGTGGAGGTTGTTAGAGCTGATCCTTGATCTATTTGTTTGCTTGGATGGGCAACACCGCAGTGATGACATGCGTAGTATTCTGCAGTCTATAGTATAGCCCAAGACATATTAACAAAATATGTACAATAGATATAATGATAGGTAGTAATATTCTATAATATATTTGTTACGAAAACACTATAATCCGCCCGACTTGGCGGTGCGGAAGTATCTGACGATCCATTCTACCCTCAATCCTTAGTTAGTTGAGCACCCAGATAGGAATGCAAGAGACTCAGTTGGTTGAGGTACTGTGATTCCTGGTGTTTTCCACCGAAGGACATCTTCTACTTCCCAGTTAGGCTAGTTGGCCTGTAGCTAATAGAATAGCTCCCTGCGCATCACTTCCCTGAATTCCACAACATATTCTATATTATATTTATATATGTGGGAAATCAGGTGAAAAATAGTTTTGACCACTTATCTACTTTCACAGAATAGTTATAGCCCTTAGTATAGACTAGTACAATAATTAGTACATTAAAAGCTAGCTAACTTATAGTAGTTTAGTTACATATTAACTAAGCAAATATAGGGCTTAATAATTAAACTTTCTTAATTAGGTTTAGTCTTCCGCACATCTTGCAGACGTAGTTCTCTTTTATATAACTATAAAACTATACGACTGTTTTATAGGTACACTGTAAAAGGTTCTGAAGAAGCATTATTTTTAAAATGTCTATTTCTTCACAAAAACCTGGACGTCCCTCTATTAATCTGAATCCTTATAAGGATGATATTATTATGAAAGTTAAAGAAAAAGTTCCAGTGACAAAACTTGCGCAATATCTTCTGCACACATATAATATTTCTGTTGAAACAAAAACAATCCGTCGACGTTTATTAGATTGGGGTGTTACCATTAAAAGATCAAATGCTGATCTGTCCAATCTGCGTGCTCGAATTGCAATATTATTTTATAATTGCTGCTTGTCAGATAAGGATGTATTGGAAGTCCTTCATAAGGAAGGTTATCAAATCACATCATCTCAGCTTATTCGAATCCGGCGAAAGATGGGTATCTACAGGAAGGTTGATTACCGAAATCAACAGGAGGCTGATCAAAGACTTGATGAAATAGTTCAAGAGGAACTGGATAAAGGTACGATTGAGGGGTATGATCGTGGTTATTTATATACATATTTTCGTAAGCAAATGCATCTTGTTTCTCGGTAAGTTAAACTGATTACTACATTAATTAGTATATTATACTTATTTTATATTAGAGATCGTTTATTTGCTTCCGCTTCCATACGACGACTTGATCCAACAGGAATTACATCACGCTGTCTTAATGATCTTCAACGACATCGTGGTGAATATATAGTGCCTGGACCTAATTATATCTGGTCTCTAGATGGATACTGCAAACTGCAAAACTGGGGGATTGAGATCTATGCAGCTATTGATGCATATTCTCGATATATTATCTGGATCTATGTTGGAGTGTCTAACCGTACTGCTATTAGTGTTCTTCAGCAGTATATTTATACTCTAGATACACAAAACGTTCTACCCCAGATTATCCGAGCGGATCGAGGGGTTGATACTCCATTAGTTGCAGCAGCACATCATCAATTTATTCAAAAATCTCGACCAGAAGCCTCATTTAGTGGATGCTTTCGCTATGGCACTAGTACTGCAGATGTACGTATTGAATCTTGGTGGGGTCAGCTTTCAAAGAGTGAACTATTTCGATGGCGGGTATGTATATATTTCTACATTATACTACTTAATATGCTAATCTATATAGGATTATTTTTTGGATTTATCTAATAATAATCTTTTTAATTCCACTTCTCTGTCTGATCAGATTGCACTTCTTGCAATTTATATGCCTATTATTCGAAAACAAGTACATGCATTTGTACGTATGTGGAATGTTCATACTATTCGACGTCAACCAAAAAAACCAAATTTTGTATCTGGTCAACCAGTTAAACTATACCACTGGCCAGATGATGGGGTGGAAGATTATGGTTTATCACCTCATCCAGCTTTACTCGAGCAAATTAAAGAAAGCACTGAGGACTATGGTAAGTATTGTTCTAAGGTTTAATAATAATAAAAATTCTAATAAAATTATAGATATTAACGAGTATCTACCTTCAGAAACACTGGCTTGGTGCAAAAGAAAGCTTAGTGAACTAGGATTTACTAAGGTTAATGCAGAGAATAGCTATGAAGATGGATCACGGATTCATGTGGAGGCATACAAGCAACTCCGAAAACAACTTAAGAATCATATACAGTCAGGAGATGCACCTAAATTAGAGTTATTAAAAAAACCTACGGCCGCCTGGAACTGGACAAGTGATTCATTGAAAACTGAATCAAAGAACGAAGATATGGATATAGTGATATATAACGAAGGGCCGGATCAGATGGCAGACGAGGATACCTTTTCTTTAATACAATAGTTACTTACAATGTACCAATCAATGTAGTAATCTTATTTAAATTAATTATTTAAAGGTAAAAACAAAACATAACAGAAGTATCTTTTTACTAATCTTACTATTCTCTCATGGCTCGAACAAAGATTAATGCTCGTACAGCTTCAGGGGGCAAGGCGCCCCAGCTTAATCTAGCACAAAGAGCAAGAACAGATTGAAAGGGCAAACGTATTCTAAACTTGTAAGGCCGTCGAGTACAAATTAAAACTGTACATACAAGACGGTGTCAAAAGAGTGGACGTGAGTTAACTACTATACTAATTACTCTTAACAATAGACTAACTAATCAAAGGACCGGCGCTTTTAGAGATTAGAAAATATCAAAAAGGCTATGAACTGTTAATGCACAAGCTTCCTTTGGCCAGACTTGTAAAAGAGATATGTGGACAAGTTGCTGGAAAGAATATTGGAGGCAGAGAATATCAATGGCAGCGATCTGCAATTGAAGCTCTTCAAGAGGCCTCTGAGGCAATACTAGTTGCTGAGTTTATTTCTGCAATATGCTAATTAATATACTAATCAATTGCTTTTTTAGTGGTCAATCTGGCGGCCATCCATGCAAAAGTGTGTTACAATGATGCAGAAGGATATGCACTTTGTTCAGCATTTAAGGCAGATAATGACCGGCAATGACATGCCAGAAAAATACACAAGCTTGGTATTTATTTGTTTCCTATTTAATTTCTTAGTTAATATTGTAATTCAAATCCTCATCAATATCGTAGTTAGTATCGACATTAATTACCTGCCTAAATGCAATATAACTTTGATGAAGTAAGCGTATTGCACGGATAAATGTATTTTTTGTGGCAGTTTGTAATTTTACCAAACACTTTTGTCCCCCACCGCTCGATTCAGTCCACTATAGTAAAACGGTTTAGTGCCACCGGTAATAAGCTTGCCTAACACTTTCTGCGGGGTCTGCCTTCAACTCTTTCTCATTCCCCGTTCTTCTTCTGAAGGACAATCTTTCATTCTGTTCTGACTGTCGTCTCCCTACAAGTAAACTCATGGACGACCTCGACCACAGGTGCGCATCCCTGCGCGCCCAGATCGTTGCCACAGAAACCCAGCTCGCCGGATTAAAACGCGAGCTGGAGAACGCAGAGCAGACCGCCACTAATATCAGACAGAGTGTCGAGAACTCCGGCATTTCAGCCGCCACGGACAAGAACAGAGAAAAGAGGAGGTGGCCCCTGCTAGACGAGGAATATCGGCGGTATGGGAGACAAATGATTGTGCCGCAATTGGGGTTGCAAGGTTCGTTGTCATAGCTCTTGGAATTTGATGTTGGGTTTTTTTTTTTTTTTTTTTTTTAAGATATTTTTATTTGCTAATGTATAATTACTCTTACTATAGGCCAACTGAAACTCCGAGCTGCTAAAATTCTCATTGTGGGTGCGGGAGGGCTAGGATGTCCGGCGGCGCTGTATCTTGCTGGTGCCGGCGTGGGCACGATTGGTTTGGTTGATGGGGACACGGTTGAGTCGTCGAATCTCCACCGGCAGGTTTTGCATCGGAGTAGGAACGTTGGGAAGTTTAAGGTGGATAGCGCGATTGAGTATCTGCAAGAGTGAGTGGTTTCCATTTCCCATGTGAGATGGCTTCTGTGTAAGTTATTCAAGAGAACTTCTCGGCTGATTAGATTGTTATGTTAGGTTAAACCCCCATCCTACATATATCCCTCATAGAGCGCATCTCACGCCTCAAGAGGCCCCGGAAATCTTCGAAAACTATGACCTAATTCTTGATTGCACTGATAACCCGGCGACGCGGTATCTGATTTCAGATACAGCCGTGCTCCTGGGTAAACCATTGGTTTCGGCTTCTGCGTTGCGCACTGAAGGTCAGCTTATGGTGTTAAATCACCCCCCTCGGCCGGTAGGTGACAAGACTGGAGGACCATGTTATCGATGCGTCTTCCACAGACCACCGCCAGCAAATAGTATTATGAGCTGTGCGGATGGCGGGATTCTCGGGCCCGTGGTCGGTACAATGGGTGTGCTTCAGGCATTGGAGGCGATCAAGGTGATAACCTCCCCGGTTGACGAGGCGAGTCAGCCATCATTGCTCATCTTCTCGGCCTATTCAACACCCCAATTCCGAACCATCAAGCTCCGATCCCGACGACCAAACTGTGCGGTGTGCTCTGCCGATGCAAGCGTGACAATGGACACGATAAGGTCAGGATCTACTGACTATGTGTTTTTCTGTGGAACCGTGCAACCGGAAGCTCTCCTCTCACCAGAGGAGCGCATCTCGCCATTAGAATATCAAGCGATGTATCCGCAAATGGCAGCAGAGACCGCACAAACGACGAAAAAAGAGCCTACAATCATTGACGTCCGTGAGAAGGTTCAGTACGATATTTGCAGCTTGGAGAAGAGCGTCAACGTTCCCATCTCGACTATCCTTTCGGGCACAGCCACAAGTCCTGATACTGGAGAATCAACTCTTCCACCATGGCTTCCCGCCGATATCGCCTCCAACTCGACCGACCCCATCTATGTGGTCTGTCGCCTCGGAAACGACTCGCAAGTTGCAGTTAAAAAGATGAAGGAGCTAGGCCTAGACCGCAGCGGGGAACGGGTGATCGTTGATATTCGAGGCGGGTTACGTGCATGGCGCGAACAGATCGATCCGGAGTGGCCTGAATATTAGATCTAAACATTTTAGATATGGAGGATGCTGGTCGATAGGCATGGTCCAATTACATGTACTCCGTATTATAATTGTGGACCAACTGTATATAAACATTAAAAACCATTGAGTTCATAGATATCATATCAGACATTTTTCACTGGCGAGTCATCCAACCAAGCCCAGTCAACCAACACCCGACCCAGGTCTAAATCCGCAAGTCGTTTAAACGCAGCTGGGGAGACATCGAGATCCGTCGCATCGCATCCGACACCTATACACCTTAGCATCGTTTCCATGGAACAATCTAAAAAAAGGAAACGAGGAAGAAAGAAGAAACATACAGCGATCAACAATTTTAACATCCACACTGTTACCCGCCAATTTCACCCTCACCTTCATCCCACACAAGGGATTCGCATTTGGATTTGACCCCGTCGAGGCGGCATCGAATAATTTATGCGAGACGGCGCAGATCAAATCCGAGGAAGTGCTGGTAATACCGCAGGATCCGAGCGCCGGATCATAATACGTTAAGTCGCCTTTATAAGGACCGCCGTAAGAAGTTGGCAGGGGGAGATTTGACGACCTAATGGTAGACAGAATTGCATTAATATCAATATTTCATATGCTCTCTGTACCAATTAATTCATAGACAGATGGCCAATGCAGTGGAATGCGCCAATGAAGTCAATGATAGGTGACTCCGTAGAGAGGGATGGAATCCGTGCTGGAACTTACCCCTTTCCCTTAGTTGTCAATCCCACAGCAAGACCGACTATCAGAGCAATTAGAGCGAGAGATCCAAAAACCGCGATGACGATAATGGTGCGTTTGCGCTGAGGTAATTGGAACCAATTCTCCTTCTGACCCTGCCACCATTTGCAGGGCGCTGTAGCTGGTGGGGACAGTAGTGGAGGCGGACTCACATTAGCGGAGTCAGGGGGAGGGTCTTTGTCTTTGATCACGGGGAGGGGCACGGGCTTGCGTTTGGGGATGTCGGTGTTCATTCTTTGGTGGGTTCGTGGTCAATGTCATGGCGATTAGGGAAAGGAGTTCGTTAGTTGGATAGGTAGAACAAGGCAAAAAGGAGAGAATTTGGACGGAAAGTAACTAGCAGTTCAGGATTATTGATATCCAGTTGTTTCATTGGCACGCTGGAATTAGTCAGGGGTATAAGTCCTACGATGTCGCCCAGGTAGGAATAGTCCCCGTGACGTAATTAAGCCCGAATCGTAGTTCGAACAACTATTTTAACTACTAATTAACATGTCGTTGTTTTAAGAGATTTTATTTGCAAACCCCGTCACCCTGTGCACTACTCCTAAGTTTGGGACCGCTGAATTACACATGATCAGAATATTCCTTAGTCCGCCTTCTGAAGCTGGATGACAGCGACAATTGCACATCGCAGACACGAATCTTTCCCATTGAACTGCTCACAGAGATAGAAAGTGATGTTAATCATGCCATCATCTAAGTCTTGCTCAGTTATGTTTTCAGATTCAGTGGGAATATAGTGAACTTGCCATCTTAAGTTATATTAAGTGACTGGTCGGTTAGTTCACTGAGGTGTCGCGACATCCACATTGCCTTCCCCAGACCCAGGTGGCTCAGTGTTGACATGAGCACCCTCACTATTATCCAACAGGTTCAAGAAATTAAGGGCGTTGGGCCTTGCTCAATAAGTAGGTTGTATCACAGGTTGTAGCTCAGTGAGCAGATTATACTCAGTGAGCATCACATGGCCGCCCTGAGTTGTTAACCTGTCCTTTATTTTGTGAGGGTAGTTTAATGATCATCTTGCATGCACGCATGTTACAATTGCCTAGTTTATAAATGACATTTTGCACTGCTACAAAGAATCGGATGAAGCTAAAACCATATAAAGAGCTGATGGACAGTGGTATAAAAGTGCTGGACACTATGCGATTACTATCTATGAAATTAGGTCGACAGTGGTCTTGCTGTATCCACCTGGAAACGCTGCATAAGAACAACAAACTACGCAATAAGCGTAGCGTTCCGAAAAGCCGTCCGATCCTTTTCCCGAAAAGCCCTATCAAGGTAATCCTACGTTTTATTCCACTCCACAAACCCCAGCCGCTCTACATTCTCCCCTGTAAGCAACCGTAGTAATGTCTGATGAACCGGGCTGCTTTCCTTGAATTGAGTGGGTCCGGGATATGGCTTCTTCCGACGGGTATATGTCTCATCTGTAATAAATGGTCTCATTGCTTCCCGTAGGATATACTTCTCATTGAAGGTGCTCTCTGTCAGATCAAATTTCACCTTCAGACTAGGAGGGAGATGATTAACAGTTACGCGATGGTCTAGGAATGGCAGCCTACTCTCTACATGGTACGCCATGTCCATGTTGTCGCCGATATACCGGAGACTGTAGGTAGGCAGGAACTATTTCAACCAGATATATTCAGATGTATGGAGTGGGTGCCATTTTGTGAGCATCATCTCACGCATTCGGCCATCGATATCTTCAGCTAGGAGGGTCTCGGGATCTACAGATGCGTAGCAGTCTGTCTAGGGAAGAAACGGCAGGTGGCCGATTTTCGCAGCTCCCTAATAGTATGTGTGTGATTCACCATACGCGCGGTGGTCACTGGGGCTTTTAAGTCGCCATCGCCGTGAATCATCGCGCCAGTGTTCTCACATATGGCACGCCAGTCCATCTCGCGGTCCCTGTCTGGAAGAAGTTATGCTTGCCAGGAGAAATCAGATTCCTGGATAACATCCGGGCGGAAACCGGCGTATCCACTGAAGTGCTCATCGGATCCTTCGCCTAGGCATAGGAGACTTAGTCAATATCTGTTAGGTCGATGCTGAAGCCAAAACTTGTCATCGTACAGTTGACTAACTAGAATGGACAAGTAGTGAGCAAAGCCAAGGGGCCGGAGTATACAGACCTGTGAGGACAACTTTTATTCCCAGGGAATGAACTTTTCGACTAAGGCCAATTTGCCAGTCCCGCTAACGTCCGGGAGGGGCGTTTCGCTATGCCATACTGCGTCCTCGAATCGGGATGCGAGAGCGACTTCATCCATGTGGACCGTGTGAAATTCCACCCCGAGCCACTTTACCGTGCGCCGTGCGATGTCCATTGAGCTTTCAGCGGATATTCCACGGATCTGAAAGAGCAATTCCACTTACCAGACTCATCTACGCCTCTGTCCTTGTCAAATTGCACCGTGAAGCATCGTAGCCGCGATAAGTCCCTACTGCTATCGTTCCGAGCTTGGCCCCTTCTTCTTTGATTAGATGAGCGACGATTCCCGCGACAGACGAAGAATTCAAGCCTCCACTTAGATAGACTCCAACTGGGACATCCGCTCGGAGTCTGAGCCTGACGGCCTCGGTCACGTATTCTCGAACTCCCTCTATCACCTCAGCTTCAGACCGTGTCTCCAACACCCGCTAGACCGATAATTGACGATCAGCAACTGCATTATCCTCACATTAATGCAGTGGAGTTATGTCTAGCAGACCTTATCCGGATAGTCACTGTCACAGTACATAGTTTGCTGCACGCTATTGTCGTAGTTCTCGCAGATCAAGTAATGCACCGGGAGAACCTAGACCTGCAATAATTACCATGGCTCATCAGACGAGGCATAAGTTACTCTCACCTTGTGCACTCCGTGGAAGAATGTCTTTGTCCCATACTGCTACGCATGCTCTCGAAGTGTTTTAACACACCACTGAGGCTTCCAGGCAAAGCTTAAGAAGGCTTTCATCTCCGTCGCTACTAGAAGCCGGTTTTTGAAAACTGTATAATAGAGCGATTTAACCCCGTACCTGTCTCGGGCGGCGAGAGGCAGTTTGCGCTTGGAGTCCCACGGGACCAGCGCAAATTCCCCTCTCAAATAAGACAAGAATGACGTCCATAGTGTTTGTACAATGCGATCACGATTTCGCAGTCACTGGTACCTTTGAAATCATATTCTTGCTCCAGCTCTGTGCGGTAGTATTCGTATCCGTAGAGTTCTCCATTCACGACGGCATAGATTGGGCCCATCCTTGTGGTCGGCAAATGGCTGGTTGCCATCAGGACTGAGGTCGATGATTGAGAGCCGGACCTGACCAAGGCCTCGAGTATTGGTAATTCAGTACAGTACTATGTATGAGGTGAGAGTGCAGGAAAAAATAAATAAAATAAAATAAAAATAAAAATAAAAATAAAAATAAAAATAAAAATAAAAAAGAAAAGGGCAGGATACATAGCATGTGCGGAACGAAGGCGGGCGTACCGACTCTGCAGTCAGGGCTGAACCACACTCCACGAGCATCAGGGCCCCGATGCTGGATGATATCCAGACTACGGTTCAGCTCCAAGTCAAGGCTCGCTAGTGTAGGGTAAGGATGTCCTCTGAGATTGACCACAGTTGATATTCCGCACATGATATTCTTGTTAGAGTAGATGTACGGGTTGTCAATTTTTGGGCTTGGAAATCTCCCCGGTACGAAGCCTTTTCAAGCAGCTAAATTATCACACACCGCGACTATTGCACCGGAGGGATTCAGGTAAGTATGAAGGAATAATCTCTGTCCTTTTCTTTCTTTGCGGAGACAGTATGTGTATTGGTGTATGCGTGTGTATACATACATATGCTACTCAACAATTTGCCTATAGATCTTGTTCACCGCTCCGACGATGTGACTCGGCTATGACGCAGGGTTTCCTAGACACCCAAGACATCGTAGGTCGCATTTTTCTGCGGCCCATGCGGGTGTGATCTTCACCACCATCGGAATGGACTACGTGTCATGCAACTGATGGATGTCTGATATCGTAAGAAGAGATGATCTGTCCACTGACGAGCTATGAGTATGTCGAACGCACATCTAAATGAGGAGCCGCTTTAAACCAGGTCCCCATAGGGTAATATTCATGGACCTGTTGGGCATGGATGCTTTTACTTGCTGCGTCTCTGCAGAAGTGGGTCAATCGCCCAGCAAACAATCTCACAATGTAGATGGCTTGCAGATGACGGGTGACACATTCCATGAGATAAGTCTCTGAGTTTCGCCTATATTCTTGGCTACAGGGAAGTGCAAGCTTGTGGGTACCGATGTTGAGATATTACCCGACTTGGGTTGCCGGAAATGGTTACCAGCTGGCGAGCTACTTTACGAGGTGGGAACGTAGTTATTTTTTTCTTTTTTTTTCCCTTTTCTTTTCTCTTTGTCTTTTTTGGACGTAGATTAGCGGGCATGTAGGAACGGCCTCTTTCTTAGGACAGACACGTCACATAAACGTCACATAAAGACAACCATCCCAGGTCTACAAGTGACACTCGCTTCTGAACAGCTAACCTGTGAATTTCACCCACTGCGGAGCTAATATTTGAAAAATACTCTTTCAAGGAAATCGATTCTTGAAACTGTGCTCAAGCATCTTTGATAGAAGGCTTAATTAAGCTAGATACTGCCACATGTTCGACGTTATCCTCCCTTCTGAGTCGGAAAGTTCATCCCCTCATTTTGAACAAGCCTTCTTGTCATGGTCGAAGGCCAATAATCTCCAAAATGAGGCGTCTCTTCGTTTGGATGGAGAACATCTGGACATTCCCGGTGTTGTTGCTGTGGCCAGGTAGGCTGACTCCGCACTCTGTCTTTCTTTTCATTTCCTGAATAGTTTTCTGAGCGACTGAGCGGTATGAAGGCAGGGCATCCGGGCAGAGGTGGACATAGACAAAGGAATCAAGGAGCGGGTGGACTCGGGGGTAGAATGGCTTCGCGATTACTTGGCTAAGGGTTATCAAGTTTATGGTTAGTGTGGGATTCATACCATCCTCGCCCGTATTCAAACTGACGTGCTATTTTTGACAGGTGTGACTACAGGCTTCGGGGGAAGCGCTGATTCTCGGACAGTAGATTTCCAAGGGCTTCAGGCGGCGCTTCTGCAATTGACGCAAACCGGAGTCCTCACCAGTGCAGACTTTCATCCCCACAGAGCCAACTATGACATTGGGCTGCATAGTATGCCTGTGACCTGGGTGAGGGCGACGATTCTCGTGCGATGCAATCATCTCCTGCGCGGACACTCGGGCGTTCGCTACGAAATCATCCAGAGTATGCTCAGAATGCTAGATCTCGGCATGACCCCCATCGTACCTCTCCGAGGCTCGATCTCTGCCTCTGGGGACTTAATGCCTCTAGCCTATATCGCGGGCATCCTAGAAGGTAATCCCGACATCAAGGTGCTTTGGGAAAAGCACCAGCCAGAACCCAAGGTGATCTCTGCCCAAGAAGCGCTCACCATTGCTGAGCTGGAGCCCATCAACCTAGGGCCCAAGGAAGGCCTCGGTTTGCTCAACGGTGCGGCAGTATCAGTCGCAGTTGCTAGTCTGGCCATCCACGAAGCCAATCAACTGGCTATTTTGGCGCAGATCATCACGGGCATGTCGTGTGAAGCGCTCCTGGGCAACCAAGAGAACTACCACCACTTTGTCGCCTCCATCCGACCTCATAGCGGACAGATAGAGGTCGCACGGAATATCCGCCGCTTCTTAAAGGCTCCTTGCTCATGAAAAGCTTCGAGAAGAAAGACCTCTATCGTACAGGTGTGTTCCAAGATCGCTACGCTCTTCGAGGTGCATCGCAGTGGTTAGGCCCAGGGTTGGAGGATCTGCTGCTGAGTATGCACCAGCTCGGTACCGAACTGAATTCGACCCAGGATAACCCGGTCATTGACACCCGGTGTGGAGAGGTGTACTCCGGCTGCAACTTCCAGGCAGCCTCCGTGACCACCGCAACAGAGAAGACGCGACATGCTCTCCAGATGATCGGAAGAATGCTCTTTAGCGTTTCATCCGAGTTAATTAACCCGGACCTGAATCAGGGACTCCCCGCAAATCTTGCCGCGGATGACCCGAGCCTCTCGTTTACTATGAAAGGCGTGGATATCAACATGGCTGCGTACATGTCGGAACTAGCTTACCTAGCGAACCCCGTTTCGTCACATACCCAGACTGCTGAGATGAACAACCAACCCATCAACTCCCTCGCATTAATCTCTGCCAGATATACCATGCAGGCGGTAGATATTGTTTCCTTGATGTGCGCCGCCCACCTCTACGTTGTCTGTCAGGCCCTGGACCTAAGGGTCCTTCACTTAACATTTCAAACGGCGGTTGACCGCATTATTGCGACCGTCACCAAGGAAACTTTGGAACGAATGACCCAGGAGCAATTGGATTTGTTGCGTCAGAAGCTGTCCAAGTCTGCTCGCGATTCGTGGGCCAGCTCTGCTCGGAAGGACCTACCGCTGCGTGTGCAACTCATGTCCCAGTCACTGGTTCCTCCACTATTGAAAACCATCCGTGGATATGGATTGATTTCGATCACCTCACAAGCGGATCCCCTGGAACTTATTGATAAGCTAACCGAGAGAATTTCCTCTGAGAGCATGACCGCTTTCAATCGTCTTCGTGCGGCCACGTCTGAGGAGATGAAGACAGAAGCGTTCCTCGGGGACGCAGCCAAAGTGCTCTATCGGTATATCAGAATGCAGCTCAAAGTCCCCTTCCACACCGGTCTAGCAGAGCATCCGACACTAAGGCAGGACCGGAAACTCTCTCATGAACGAAAGACAATTGGGTCGTGGATTTCGATCATTTATGCCGCTATTAGAGATGGCAGAATTATCACGCCAATGATGGAATATTTTCAGGGAGCTTAGCAGTATCGGAATACTCTCGGTAAACTTCAGTGCACTTTTGCAGTAAAAGAAATTGGCGCCAAAGAGGAAAGGTCGGCTCTGCGTGGCAACCTGGAATATTAGTTACTCTCTTTAGGTCGTAGACAAGAAACTCTTAAAATCATTGCTGCGAAGATAGTGATAATGAACAATATGTGATGGAAGCAGAATCGAAAGCAAAGAGGCATGCACAAGAGCAATTATAACTTCAATTCTCAAATATCTACGGCACCTTTCATGGATGTTGCGGTCAATCATTGAAGGGATAATTTCAACATCTTTGCTTGGTGTTTTAGATCCAATCTATACTAAATATCCCAAGTGGCATATGATTAATGTAGATATTTAGAGCATGTTTTGCGTGTTCTCTACCTCGGTGGATTAGCTTCATCACGGAAAACTGATGGCAAGCTGCTGGAATTGCTGGCATCATTTTACCGGTTCGGCAGAGGAACCCAATGCAGGTCCATATATTTGAGCTGCAGATGAGGAGGTGCCAGAAAATCAGGCCCACGTCACCGGCATTTAACCGTTACTGCTGTTGAACTCCTCACAACAATTCGCCACCAAACAAGCACATCCCATGTATCTCTGCCAGTTGACCGTGTTATACCTTTACTGGAAAGTGTCACGGGATCTTTTTAATACAGCAGTATATCCAATTTCCCCATAATATAATACCAGTCTTACTGTCTTATTGTGATAATAATAACCATCTCAAAAAGTTATTCGAGACATCCCTATTACCAATCCGGAGAATCCAAAAGAGAAAAAAATAAAGAAAAAATAAAGAACAAGAACAACAATAAAGCGTCCCAGCTCTTTCCAATTTAGCAATATACAACATGGACTGTCGTCTTGCAACAATGACACCGTGCTCACAGCTAAATTCCTCAACAGATCGCAAAGCTCTCTGGAAGAGTTTTTCAAAGTACACCCCCATATCCAATTCATCCGGTACCAATGGGTCGATTATTCTGGGATCCTGCGAGCGCGCGTATTGACAAAATGGTTTTGCTTTGAGCTCGCATCCAGAGACAGCCCTTTACGGTGTGGGCAAATTTCCTTTTATTGTCTTCCCGAAATTCTGTGGTTTCGTACGAGCCAGCTGCCGTTCATTTGCTATATCCAGATTGGGAGTCGTTGTCCACGATCAATATGGACGGCCAGAATGTGCTATATGCCGTTGTCATGTGTTCGATCGTGGAACAAGTCCTTGGCAATCCCACGCCCAATCTGGATCTTTGCCCAAGACGAGCTCTTGATACCGTAATGAAAAGAGCATCTGTGAATCCTAAGTTGGACGTTCTCGTTGGGTTTGAGAATTTACGATTCTCGAGCGATCTCAAAAGGGTGAAATTACCGCTTTCAGTTCGCATCCGGGCCATTACACAGTTGCTGGACTGCGGGAAATATCTTCCAAATATGTGGAAGGATCAGTGATGGAGCTTTTATCAGCCGGAGTACAGGTGCAAGGCTTCCACATCGAGGGACCGATGGGGCAATACGAAATAGTTCTCGCGCCGTTGCCTCCTAAGCAGGCTGTTGACCAGCTGGTGAGGGCACAGGATATCATCAAGACCACTATTAGCGCCATGGATACATTGCCACAATGCTTCCTAAGCCGTTGCCAAGCGCATCTGTTAACTGTCAGCATATCCATATTTCAATCAACCCTACACATTACGAAGATGCCTTTTTGGCCGGGATACTTCATCGACTGCGGTCAATCTGCGCCTGCACACTGCCATATCACCAGTCCTATCGCCGTGTGCAGAAAATTGAAGCTGGGGAGACTGTGAGCTGGGGGACTGAAAACCGAAATTTGCCCATTCGAAAAATCAAAGCCGGCCATTGGCAAATTCGATGCGCAGATGCGACAGCAAACATGTATCTAGCCGTGGCTTTGGTTCTTGCTGCTGGGTTCCTGGGTATAGAGAACCAGGAGACCCTGCGATGGAAGGATAAGTCAAGCAAGGACCTCTCTGATAGCATGAAATTCTCCCAGCCACCCCAAGAGGCGCTTCCCCGAAGTCTCGATCAAGCCCTAGACATCCTTGATGCCAACTCGTATGAGCTAGAACATATTATGGAAAGCAAGGTCATTACGCATTATTTGTCACTGAAGAGGCATGAGTCAGAGGTATTAGGAGAGTTGGACGATGATACACTTTTTTCGGTTCTATCCCAGTGGTTTTGATGAATACATTTGCAGCCTTGTGATGATGCCTTGGCGTACAGTCCTGAACTCAAAAAGAAAATTAAAATAAAATAAAAAATAAAGGCCTTACAACAACCTGATATAATTTTGCATATCGAAAATGCTTCGCTATGAAACTGTACTCCACAGGATCCAAAACTTCCGGCAATCAGCCGGCTCGGTTCGCCGTAGCTTTGAGCAGGCTCGTCTGGGGTTACAGCAGTACACGTGCACCAAGGGTAATATTAGCCATGCTACCTTAGATGGGAGCAAGTCCAGTATTGAACTCTTTGCCGTCTAAGTTCGTTATCACTGCTCGGTGGGTCTGTTGTAGATAAACTTGTGCGGTCTTGAGAACTAATTCATATACGACTATCACGAACCAAACAAGCGCCTGGCTCTATCATACAGCTAATGGTCCTATATTAATGTCTCTCAATCTGGTGGACCAACAACTACAATAGACACGAAACAGTAGGTAAGAAAAGCCAAAGATTTTCATTAGATACTCGACTCGAAAGCCCGCATCTACCATTACTTCATTTCTTCCTAGTTTCTATAGATTTATCTTATCTGTAGTAACAGAATGGCATGGCAGAAAAGACAGGTCTGAGGATGATCTTTACGTGAGATTTCTTTAGATTTATATTAGTTAGTATATAATCTTTTATACTTCAGCGCTAATTCATTCGGCCAGTGATACACACTCCGTAGCGGATTTCGACTTTCATGACCACCGTCGGGCTGTCTAGATGAGCTGACACCTATTATGGAGTCTGATGAGCGTGAATTCCAGCACATTACCTCGCGTTCAGTTCATCCTGTATCGCCAATTCTGCTTACCAAAATTCACCGACTAGTACCACTCCATTCTAATGCCCACGTTCAACTGAGCAACAAGGGCTTACACACTGGGCTTGAAAAGAGCTCTGCTTCATTCACTACGAAGGATGCTACTAGAACAAGTATTGACCCGCCCCGGTGCTCTTTTCTATTGGTAATACAAAGGTTGTGCTCTGAAGGCAATTGAATGAGCCATCGAAGAGAAAGCTGATATTATTTCCATGAGCTGGACGATTGATGACGCTTCATCGGAGGACAAACGTACCTGAATTTGGTTTTTCCTAAACCGCACGACGGTCGGTCGATACCCATCATGTACTGCACCTCACACGAACAGGGTAAGGAAATAATCAAGAAGCCTCTCTAACCTCACACAAGTGCACCATATGTTATCAGCCGAGTTGGTGCCGCTGAGTATGGAGGAAGCCTGTCACGGACTCCAGCGGATGTCGATATCTTCTGTCATGTCAAGGACTGGATCGAATTAAGTTGGATGACTCTCGTAGGATAACAGAGGGAAGCTCCGAAGCAACAGCTTTAGCTGCTGGTCTGGCCGCTTTAACTATGCTCTGCGAGGGAGTCAACCTACGGCCAGGAAGGCATCGACCTCAAGCGAAGCCCATTCCGTATGAACCACACCTTCCAGTCAATGATGCGCTACACCCTCCCTGGACCAAAGTACATCTCGCCACATATAATTGATGAAGTCGCGAGGACGATGAAAGAGTATTCCAATTCACCTTAGAAGAGTCCTTCACTCACTCAGTGATGCGGTGGTCTGTCTAGGTACTGTCGTGCTTCACTCGAAGCAGGGGGTGATCGGCTCAGTACCTTATCAACACAATTTATGGACTCCTTCAAGAAGGGCTAATCGACAACCGAGCCGATGTGGCTCTCTGCAAACACATTTCCTTCACCTCCCTTACATGACGGACTTCTCCTACCTCTGAAGAATGAAAAGCAATTGGTAATGCTACCTCCATTGATCCAGGATTCTCCGGTCAAGAGTATCGGACAAGTATATTTATCCCAGCCAATATGTTTATCCTAAGTGTAACTCCTTTTCAGTATTTGAAATCGACAAATTTTAGTTCCTCTGATCAGCTTCCTGTTTAATTGTGGATTTATAAAGACTCCCTTGAACTTGGATCAGCGGCGGTGATCTAAGTGGCAGCCAGTAAGGGTGTGGCATGAGCGAGCCAGCGTTGTGGCTATATAAACTCCTCCCAAAATCTCAATAGACAGAGACATACCAATTTCAGCCAAAACCCGGTTTTTCTTGTTAATGAAATCCGACGTTATGCAGCTCCTTAATGATAAGAAGCAGCGTTAAAAGGCATGGCGACCTTTCATAATCTAAATGACTGCAATCTTAGCGTTTGTGTGGAATTGGTTTTCGATAGGTCAGGATTCGTTAGCTAAATCGGAAATCAGCCCATCATAGACTCGTTTTGGACGTGAAGGGACCTACTAATAATAAACAAGCAAGCATACAAATTATTTGGGGAATCAACAAACTTACGTGATATTGTAGGTACTCGACTATTTCCCATGGCAGGTAATTAATTATGCGAAATGGCACCCCAAGCAGCATATCGGTATGTGAAGGGGATATGGTACGAAATCAGGCCCTTTTGAGAGTAATGTTCCATTGTCTAATATCCGTGTAGGGTTTCTCTCTCCTCATACACCTCAAAGCCTCCCTTATCTGAGATCACTTTAGAGAAGGCTTGGGTTCTAAGCTTATCATTCATGCTGCAATGGCACGAGCTCTATCAAAATTCATTTAATCCATGTCCAAGGCAAACGAAATGATACCCCGGGAAATTGGTAGCCAAGACAGCTCCTCCACTATTAAGTCACGGAGATCACCGAGAAGGCCCCGCCATCTGTATGAAGTACATACTTGCTTAGAGTGCTGAGATCTCCACATGTTGCAGGCACGCTTGCAGCTGATTCTCCAGTTACGCCACGGTTCACGGTGGGGTTCAACGGTTACACGTTGCCCAGGCCGACCACATCTGTTGCCTGAGAAACGCCATGCAAACTCTTTCTTTCCGTTATTTCATCCATTTTCTCTAATTATAGAGAATCGCGTCGACTCCGTACCTCTGGCTGACTAAATATTATCCATAGTAACTAAGCCCGGCTATTGAAGTTTCCCCTTTGCCGTTCTTGGCAACATCATAGCCGACCCACCCTTGCATGCCGATCATTGCTGCTCGCTTGCTTCCTTCAAAACTCGGTTGGCCATGCGCGTGGTTTCCCCTCATATGGAGAGTTTAAATTGCTATTCCCCCCGTATCGCAGCATCCCCGCATCAGATATACCGGGTATCTCCGCCGCTGCTGCTGTTTGGTGGCCTCGATGGTCGTTCCCTACTGATCACGTGGCCGCCCGAGAAAACCAGTTGAGGGGTTGGCGTGCATGCCAGACAGATTAACTGTGATATCTTTCTGAACGGATACTCTCCGAGAGCGTCAAAATGGCGTCACGGGTCAGTTCGAACCAATCGGCTGACTCACAGTGGCCTCCGCGAGATAGCCCTGATGAGAAGAAAGAACCGAAATCAACCCCTGGGGCGAAAATTAAGAAAGCCTGGGCCAAGTTGGAATTGGATATACCTACAGGGCTATTGATGATGAAGTAAGTTTCTCGAAACGAAGTGGCTTCATGCATAACCTAGACTGACCGGTTCATGCAGGGGTGCCATCCCACCAACCATCGCCATAGCTGCGTAAGTTGAACCTCCCCGTTCTTCAGCTTCCATAGCTACTTTTAACTGCAGCAGTATGCTGATGCCTGATAGCTCCCAAGCGGATTCGTTTGCATCTCACTTCAACACTGTGGCATACCTAGTGGCCATTATTTCCGTCCTGGGGTTTTCCATCATGCCGCGTGCCAAATTTGTCCAGATGATGATCCTTGACGTGGTGGCAGTTTGTATTGCGTCTGCTGTTGCTCTCCTAATGATGTATTCCTGCGTAAAAGCACGGCGTAATACGGAGACTTCTTCGTCTTCTAATTCAAACAAAGCGTCCAGTGCAATGGGAACCATAATAGACACACCGTACAACTCCTCCGCATCCGCTGTCAGTGGGGTCTGGCTGTTTTTCCAGATCTACTTGGTTCATTCATTTCGTGCAAGGTATCAGCAGTTCCAATTCCCCGTGATAATCTATTCGATGGTGGCCAACATAACGTTTGTGTATGCCCCGCGACTCCCTACCATGACTGCTGCCATCAGCATGGTCAGGAAGTTACTCGAAGCTAGCCTGACCGGGTTGGCGCTGTCCACGGGCACCTGTCTTTTCATTTACCCTGTTACAACGAGGACAGTAGTTTTCAAAGAAATGGCAGGCTATGTTGGTGGCTTGCGTGCAACCCTCAATGCGCACGGGGAATATTTCGGCACTTTGGAGCGGGATGATATGTTTGGGCGCGCAGAGACTTATGATTCACATGTCGAAAAGGTCACCAAGAAGGGTAAAGTCTATAGCCCGGAAGCTGCAGCCATTCGAGCAGCAGTTCAGAAACTCACCGATCTCCATGGTAAGCTCCATGGCGATTTGACATTCGCGAAGCGTGAGATAGCAATTGGAAATCTGGGACCCGACGATCTGCAGGCCATATTTAGGCATCTACGACAAATCATGATCCCTATCGTAGGGCTCAGTTTCGTCGTGGATATCTTCCAGCGCCTGTCAGACTACAACAAGTGGAATCAGCCGATAGATCCCACTGCAGCAGACATCAATGATCTGATGCGCCACCGAATTGTGCAGGAGTGGAATGACATCATGAGAGCCGTGCACGATCCATTCAACTCAATGATCCAGGCAATTGATGAGGGCCTTCAACACGCCTCATTTGTGCTCAAAATGTCCAAGCCGCCAAAGAAGACCGCCACAACTACAGCCGAGACAGCCCAGGATGTGGAGGCCTCCGCTGTGGATACCGGTCCTGGAGAAAAAGGTTTTGCAGCCCACTTGGAACAGAAGTTGCGCGAATTCAAAGTGGCGAAAAGGATCGCTCTAAGGACCTGGAGCGAAGAAAAAGGGATTAAATTGCCTCCCGACTTTTTCGAACGCCCTTCGGCGAATCTGAATGTTGACGATGTCCCTACAGACAGATTTGGGATTGGTCGCGACAGAAGTAGGCGGCAGCTGTATTTGTTTTTATACGTAGGTTTTCAATCCAAACAATGGACTGCGCTTCTAACAACTACATTAGATGGAACAGCTGCTTAACTCCACAGGCCATGTTGTCCTTGAATTTGTTCGCTTTGCGGACGAGAGACTTGAAAGTGGGAAACTGTCCAGAAAACATCTTATCATACCGGGTTGGAAACGCTGGCGAAAGTGGGCGACCAGCGTATTCAAAGATGACTCTCACGAGGACGACAACATAGGTGACATGCATACCCAGAACAACTTCCTTCAACTTGGAGAGGCATACAAGTACCGAAAGGATCCAGAGCATCTTCCACCGGATACAGCTTTTCAAAAGTTTGGGGATAAAATCAGAGTCATCCCTTCGCTTTTGCGGTCGTCAGAGTCCGCGTATGGTCTTCGAGTAGCCTGTGCCACCATGACCATTGCCGTCGTTGCCTTCATTCACGATACACAGGAGTTCTTCATCAAGCAACGCTTCGTTTGGGCCATGATCATGGTAAACCTCAGCATGTCTCCCACATCGGGGCAAAGTATTTTTGGCTTCGTCCTCCGTATTCTTGGCACTGTTCTAGCCATGATACTCAGTTTCCTGTGCTGGTTTATTCCTGGGAAGAAGACACCGGGTATTATCGTCATTTTTTTCATATTCATATCTATCATGTTCTACGTGCCGATTAAAATGTTTCGCTTTCGCATAATTGGGATCATCACCATCATCTCAACAGCCATGATTGTCGGATACGAGCTTCAGGTTCGCAAGGTTGGTGAGAGAGTTGCAACGTCAAATGGGCAGCCGTACTACCCCATCCATCTCCTTGCGCCATATCGACTGGCGACAGTAACGGGAGGTATCGCTGTCTCCTTTTTCTGGACCTTCTTTCCGTATCCCATTTCGGAACACTCCGTCCTTCGTCGAAGCCTGGGGGCTTCCTTATATCTTCTGGCTAATTATTACTCAATCATCCATGAGACGGTGTCTGCGCGAATGCGTGGTGATGAGGGTGACCTGGCCCTCAAAACTTCGAGCGGACGTCAGCTTCTAAAGGCTCGTAACAAAGTCTTTTCCAAGCAGGTGTTGATGCTGAATTGTCTTCGAACATATTCTGAGTTTTTGAAATGGGAAGTGCCTATCGGTGGCCGCTTTCCCAAGAAGCAGTATGACACAATTATATCATGTATTGAAAGGTACGGCCTTACATTATGCGTAGTATCTAGGCTTCGTGCTAACACCCCGACCAGCATTGTCAACTATCTGAGCCTTTTGGGATATGCTTCAGACACCCTTCTGCAACTAGGCGACGATCCTGATGAGAGTAACTCTGTTTGGCTTCATGATTTTCGAAGGCTGGTGTCTAGTGCGCGAATCACAACCCATGAAGTTACTTCGGTGCTGTGTCTTTTGTCCGCTAGCATCACAAATCAACAGCCTCTACCGCCCTATCTGAAAACCCCGAGACCATACAGCTTCTCGAGAAGACTAGAAGCGCTAGACAAGGATATTCTCAGTCTGCGTCACATTGCGGAGCCTGGATTTGCTACGTTTGCTGTTCTCCAGATCTCGACGAGATGTATTGTGGGCGACGTAGAGAGGCTTATGAGGTGGGTTCTACCCTTGGTCGGCCCCCATTGATACCATACTAACCAAACCCATAGGGACGTGAAAGCCTTAGTCGGAGAGCTTGACTTTTCCTTCCACGCCGTGAGCACTGCTCACAGCCGCAAATCATCTGCAAATGTGTCACGATTGTCGAGAGCGACAAGTAGGGACAAGTTTGAGTAGTGGATATCAGTTTAGATAGATGTACATACATAGATATTTTGACAATAATTCCGAGCGACTGGGAGGTTTGCACTGTAGTGTCACTCTGTAGACAGAGAGGATTGCCAACGACCCCGCTCGCGTCACGTTATTCTTCAAGTCGGTAGATCCTTCATTCGCTTTTCCTGTTCCCATCAGGCAAGTCGACTATCAAAATGCAGGAATATCATCTCGACACCTCCCTTCTTTCGCACGCCTCCACCAAGACGGTCGTCATCACTGGTGGTGCCAATGGCATCGGCGCTGCAACAGCCACACTGTTCAACGCCCATGGTGCAAATGTCGTGATATCAGACCTCGAAGAGTACCGCGGGCGAGCCGAATCACTCATTCAAACATTCGCGTATTCCAATCGTGCAGCCTTCCTTGCAGCCGATATCCTCGATTGGCAACAAATGACTGCTCTGTTTCACCAAGCAGCGCAACGCTTCGGACACATCGATATTGTGATTGCCAATGCAGGGACGATGGAGTCGAAGCCAGTCTTGGACATGAACGACGTAGACGAGGATGGAAACCTGCGAGAATCAACGGAGGGCTTCAAAGTAATTGATGTCAACCTAAAGGGAACACTAAACAGTAATTACCCGTTTTATCTTCCCTTTTCTTTCCCAGAGGAGCTGATTAATTGACGGACGGCAAGCTCTCCGACTCGCCATGTATCATATGAAATCCAATAAATCCCCAGGGTCTATCGTGCTACTGGCATCCACATCCGGCTATTTCGGGGGTACTGGAGTCACTGCCTACGTGGCTTCGAAGCACGGAATAGTGGGACTACTACGAGCTTCCCAAGACACCGCGCGTCAATATGGCATACGTTTGAATGGCATTGCTCCTTTCTTCACCCCGACGCAGATCACCGCAGGATTTGCACAGAAGTGGCAAGATGCTGGCCTGGAAGCCAATACTGTGCAGGGGGTGGCGGAGGCGATCGCGCATGTTTCGATGGACGGAGAGAAGAATGGATCTTGTATTCTTGTGAGTTGGTTTCAGAATAGCAGATCACTGAAGAAAGCTCAATTGGGGCTGATCAACTGTCAGGTCGCGGGAAAATATCTACGAGAGCTGGAGGGTACGAGAACTGAGCTTATCCCCGTGTGGCTGGGGCAGGACGTAGCGGAGTTCATGGGGCGAGCGATGCAGTTCATGAGGGAAATCGGAGGATACGTATTGCCGCGATGGCGGAGCTGAACAAGCATATTAATATTGCTGATCATCGATCAATATATGTCACCCTTGGAGGTAACCCGGTCTCCCGTATGTACGTCACTATACTATTTAATAGAGCACCGCCATCATGCAAGGGAAATATCGGGATCCACATCATACATACTGGACCAATAAATCCATCTCTACTTTCGTGCATATTTCTGACCTCCGCTCACATACCAACTAATCACCTAGGCGAATTAAGTACACGAAAATGAGAAAACAAAATCCGGACTGGAATGACAAACGCAACACCAAGCTTGATGGAATGACAACTCCTTCTGTTGATTTACAACTATAAAATTCAGATCCAGACGATCTCCTTACACCTTTCCACCTGCAGTGCTGTGTCTCCCGGGGCAGAACCCATCATTATGGATGATGCCCTTTTTTGGTACCTGTTAGCATCATCCCTTGCGCAGTGGAAACCCACCCGCACTGGTGGCCTGCCCCATATAGCCAGTCAGTACTTCAAGAAATGGCAATTATATTAGAGAACAGTATGTATGCAACTTCGGTTTCTGCTTTATAACGTTTGCCGAGCACACTGCTCAATCGGATTGCGCCGCTCCCAATCTATGACTCGCTGGTCGATTCTTATGGTATTAATGTTTCTCTCGAGGTTATCAAATGGGTAGAAGTATAGAGTTGGCCGAAATTGATACCGCTGGCAAAGCACCCAGTGTCAAGAATGCGCCTCGCACTAGCATCCACTGTTTGGGGAACGAATATAATAGCCTGCACGCCACACCCTTTGTCGGAACATGCATTCAACCAGATCTAGAAGCTGGTCTGGACAAGCCAGACTGGAAACCGGGAGTTTCAGAATGGCTCTTTATGACTTGTATCTGCATCCTGGTGATGATGGACTCTTTTAACGCAACGGTGGCTACACCTTTAATCCCAGTATGTACGTCTGAAAGCAGGGCACAACCATGGTCTAACAAGTATATCCGAAACAGGATCTAGCAGTCGGTCTCGAACAGCCTCTTGAAAGCACACTATGGATTAATACTTCCTATTTTCTTGCCAACGCAGCAAGTCAGACCATTTCGTCGATGTTAGCCGAGGTATTCGGCCATGGACCCATTCTCCTCTCCGCGGTGGTTCTCGCAACAATCGGAACAGGAGTATGCGGCGGCTCGCTTGATCTGGCTGGGTTAATCGCCGGTCGGTCTCTCCAAGGCACAGGTGGCGGAGGCATTTTGGCTGCGTCATTCCTGATTATTTCAGATCTGATACCAAAATATCACCAGACTCGATTCTCACGCTATATCTTTTGCGCGCAGGTAACCGGTACCATTCTGGGCGCTGTTCTAGGTGGATTATTTGGTGAATATGCGACTCCGATATGGTTGTATTACTCCAGTTTCGTGTTTTGCGCCTTGGGGATGCTCGTGGTGCCTTTTGCCGTTGACTTGCGAGGATGCGGACAGGGCAAAGTAGGATACGTCTGCAAATTACGGCGTTTGGATTGGATTGGAGCCCTCTTGAGCTTGCTGGGGGTAGGATGTCTCCTAATTGGAATCAGTTGGGGTGGCACGCGGTTTGCATGGGATGCAGCAGCCACATTGGCGCCCATATGCGTTGGTGCAAGTTTACTGCTCATTCTGGTTGTCTACGAGCGATTCTGGACGGTGTACCCATTCTTTAGATCTGACATGTTCAAGACACTCTCTACAACGATGTTGCATGGAAGTGGATTTATTCATGGTCTCTTGGTTGGTCTCACACTCAGATGCGACATGATGTAAATCAATATTCTAACAATCACAGCTATCAACCCATCTTCAATTTCTTCCAATGCACCTTGATTTCGTCAAATATCTCTCCTGTGCCCTGACAGGACTTGGTCTAGTGACCTTAATCGGTCCAACCCTACCTGCTCTTTACCTACTCGAAAGACTACGATTCCTCCATCAACCCAACCTAACCACCTGGATCCTCCGTCTCGGCTGGATCCTTGCCATTGTCTCCACAGGATGTCTTGAAATCCTGCATTCCAAAATCCACACCTCCGTATGGATCTTCCTATTCCTCGTCGCAGGATTATCCCACGCCTTCCTCATCCCATCCTACAACAGATGCATTCAAAACCAAGCCTGCGATTCCGAAAAAGACGACGATGAATCCAAGGGCCTCCTCAAGCGCAAACCCCCCCCGATCCTCTTATACTCCATCCTCCGGACATGGGGCATGTGTCTCGCTATCCCGGTTAGCGGCACGATCGTGCTGAATCAGCTGCCTTGGGATCCTGAACGTCGGTTTTTGGATTTAAATACGGTGGAATTAGCGGCGTTGATGCCCGGCGGAGATCACGATGGTTACGTCGAGGGGTTTCGGGTGTTGTGGCCAGTTTGGACAGGTGTTGCAGCATTAGGGGGGATATCGTCGTTGTTTGTGAAGTGAGAGGTTAGGCCTGCTGATTGAGTAGATTCTGCAGCTTGCAATTTATTAAGTTGATTATTTTGGTTGGGTCAGTTCGCACTAAGGAGAGGTATCTGCCTTGCTTGCCTTGTGTCACTTGACAAACTCCTTGTGTCTTGCTGTAGTTTGGGAGAGATCAAATCAGAGTGTGCTTCAAATTGCCATGTCGTCTAGGAACGAGATTATATCAAGACAAACCGTTCGGCCAATTACAACCCGGGCTCTAATAGAGCCAAAATAGTGAGTTATGTAGAGTCTCAAATCTTACGTTGCTGTCTCCAAGATTCTCCAAAATTCTGTCTACTACCCGCTTATTGAGCCGGGTAAAAATAATGTAGATTAAATAGTCCATGGTAAACAGATAAATCCAGGAGACAAGAATTTGGCATAAATACCTCATCGAAATTATATGAAAAGTGCTCTTGTACGGAGATTCTTCTCCCATCACATAGGACCAGGGTACTGATGGATCCTAGGCCAATTGCACTGTCTGATCTAGACCTGCATACTATATGCATACTTTTCAGAATAAGTAGCACATCATCCAGCAGTACTGCTAATTAGGCACTAGAAATATGAAATAGTAGGGTAAAGCCGGTCGGGTTGAACAGATTATTAATACAAGAAACAACCAATGCCCTGTCCACTCATGGTTGGAAATTTCATATCCTACCAGGTGAACAGCTCAATCTCTTACAAGTGGCCCTGCCCAGCGTCGGAGGAAACACTAAAGGCCGCAGAAGTATAAAACTCAGCGGAAGCAATATTCTTGCCCTGGAATTTAGACAGGAAACTCTCATCCGACTGCTTGAAGGTACCCGAGTTCCCAATGCCATTGATCTGACAGGCTCGATCGATGTAGGACAGCAAACGTTGTTGGTAGTGGTGTGGGGGAGGTGAACAGGGCACTGTTGATGGGGGTCCCCGCTCAGCAACGACACCGATGTCCTGGAAGACGTTGCCCTCGGCGAAAGTAGCCACCCCCGGGATTTCGAACGCATGACTGGAGTTATCATGCCAATAGTTGCTAACCTGAGATATGATAACTGTTAGTCCATGGGTGTCTCTAAGATGGAGAACAAAGATATATAAGGTACGGCATGCAGGAGAGTGTTGCCCTGGACCTTAGGGCTGCGACCGCTGGTGTGGTAGATGTGGTTGCGCTTCATGGAGACCATATCGGAGGAGCCACCCAGGTAGATGCCCCAGTAGCGGTAGCCGTCGCAGGTAGCGGACCAGTCTGACTCGCCGTTGATAAAGAAGTTGGAGATGGTGATACGGTTGTCGGCCTTGGTTCCTAGGACAATGTGTTGACGACCAATGCGAGCGGTCTGTTTAGTTAGCATGGTATGCTGTCAATGGGAGGATATTCGGTAGGACTACGGTAACGTGGTCGATTCAAATCATATCAGCATCGTTGACGGTAGTGGCATCACCACCCAAACGTACTGAGGGTTGATGTCGGTGATAGCGATGTTCCTGTCAGCCCATTAGGGTTTGCTTGAGTATTTGAATGAAGGAGTCATTGGTTAGGCCTTCTCAGCCGTGCCACACCTTCTTCCACAGGCGGTGCATCCAGCAGCGTCTGGAAAGACTCCTCACCAACCACGGTGAACATCCGATAGCTAGGGCATCGATCACGTATATTCCGCTCCTAACCCAGGACTCAAAATGAGACCGGACCGAGTCTATCTGTGCGTCGTCGAATTAGGCATCTTCGATAATGCGTGGTTGGTAGCAGGTTCACAATTCATCGAAGACAGCTTTGTCGGCCTTGTCTGGGTTGCTATCTTGCAGTCTCTAAATAGTCTCCGTAGAATTTGTACTTAACGCATGAGGTTACTAGGTCTATTATCCGCGGGAATACAGCGTGGATTGTGGAGTGTAAGTGGTACGGTAGATTGTGAAGTCCCAGGTTGGTTCTTGAAGTTTAAGAAATTCGTAGAGGCGGGTTAGATGTTTTGGTAGCTAAGGGTACAATCCGAGGGACATCTTTTGGATGAGATGGTAGAGAGTGTCTCCTAATTTCCAATAAATATTACCCATCCTTGATTTCTAACAAACAGCGGAGCAAGATATGCATTGGAGCAGACACTGTTATTGTCTGGCGGATGGCACGAGCTGCTCCTGTGGTGGCACCAAGGGCAGGGTGACTATTTGCAGGCAGCAGCTACCTACGTGGCCCATCCGCTGCACGGAGACAGATTCTCGTTGGCTGTAAGTCCCTTAAGGACACAACAGTAGTCGCATACTATATATCGAAGCCAATCAAGCCCCAGATTGTTAATCTACTACTGCTATAGATCTTATTCTAGAAATTTAAGGAATTCCAAGTTAGCTGTTAACAAGTAGAGTCAGTGTGGCCGAGTGGTTAAGGCGATAGACTAGAAATCTATTACATTCGTGTGCACAGGTTCGAGTCCTGTCGCTGACGATACATTTTTATTTTTTGACCCTCTTTCAGGTTTCTACAGTGCTTGGTGAAGTGATAGCTGATTGTTGGTTTTATGGTCTACAAGTTGCTGTTGTAATTAGATAGTCATGTGTTGATTTTCATTACACTTGTACTCTATAAAAAATCATGAAAAGAGTAATCACTAGTTACACTATAAACGTTTCCGGTCCGTTAGGCAGTCTGGTCAGAGAAATCTAGCGGACTGGACAGACAAATTTTTGATTCACAGTCATCTACTTATAACATTTATCAATCCTAGCACAGTTCATAATGCTGAATAGGAGTCCTATTACAATTGTTTCGTATATTCATCATATGGACTTTCACATATAACGCTTATGGGGCCAATGATACTTTCTCCATTCATGAGTTTTACCAAACAGGAATAGCGCAGCGGAAATGCCTTTTTGCCTGAAATGCCTTTCTGCCTGAGAAGGATTCACATGGCGGCAACTCGACGGAAATTCGGTTCCGTTACCCCTTTGGGACAGCACAGATTGACGGCGAGGCGTCATGATGCAATGATGCACCAAGAATGCAAGAGATATTCTTGATTGTTAGTGTGGATAACGTGTAGAAAGAGCAACATAAAAAAAAAAAAAAGGCCAATGCTTCGAGGGGATCCGTCAAGGCATTATTATATTTAATTCCAGCTGCAATCAAACGTTCGCCGTGTGTCCCCGACGCTTGCAATTAGCCTCCGTCTGATTGGCCCTTGGCCGCTGAATCAGCCTGCCGAACGGAAAACCCGAGGTTACCTCAGGCAGTCCAGCTCCCAGAGTGACAAAACACATCTCTCGCTTTAGCGTTCATTCTCCCCGTCCCCTTGGACTTCATCTCATTGCGGCTGGCTGGTTGCGCGTTTCCTTTACGTTGTCTCTGCTTCTCCCTCAACTCTCCCCTCTCTCACTCTCTACGGCGGCTCTCTGATCTGCCACGCTACTCCATTCTGCTCCATCCACCATTAACTCCTGCGCCGTTTTGATCCAAGTCGCTTTCCTCTCGCCCGCCACCATGGCTGCTCTTCGCTCTACCTCGCGCCTGCTCGCCTCCTCGAGGCCTCTGTTCCGTCCGGCCATGTTTGCTCGCTCCTATGCGACTGTCGAGGCCAAGTCTCCCAACGCGGATCCCAACATGTCCGAGAACCCCCGAGTCAAGAAGTTCCAAGTCTACCGGTGGAATCCCGACCAGCCCACCCAGAAGCCCCAGATGCAGACCTACGAGCTGGATTTGAACCGGACCGGTCCCATGATGCTCGACGCGCTCATCCGCATAAAGAACGAGATCGACCCCACTCTGACTTTCCGGAGGAGCTGCAGAGAAGGTATCTGCGGTAGCTGTGCGATGAACATCGACGGTGTCAACACCCTGGCTTGCTTGTGTATGTGATATCTCAATGTTTGGAGACAAGGGAGGGGGTTTGTTCTGACTATGTAACAGGTCGCATTCCCACCGACACAGCCAAGGAGTCTCGCATCTACCCATTGCCTCACACCTACGTTGTCAAGGACTTGGTTCCTGACTTGACATATTTCTACAAGCAGTACAAATCGATCAAGCCATACCTGCAGCGTGACACCAAGACCGAGGATGTATGTGTGCCCGGTTTTATACCACAGAGTATGACAAGCTTGTACTAATTCAGGGATAGGGTCTTGAAAACCGCCAAAGTCCCGAGGAGCGTAAGAAGCTGGACGGTCTCTACGAGTGTATCCTGTGCGCCTGCTGCTCAACCTCCTGCCCGTCGTACTGGTGGAACAGCGAGGAGTACCTGGGACCTGCCATCCTGCTCCAGTCGTACCGCTGGCTTGCTGATTCCCGTGACGAGAAAACCGCCGAGCGCAAGCATGCTCTGGACAACAGCATGAGCGTGTACCGATGCCACACCATTCTTAACTGCTCGCGGACCTGCCCCAAGGGATTGAACCCTGCGCTGGCGATTGCTGAGATCAAGAAGATGCTGGCCACTCACTAGAGTGAGATGGGTAAAAAGAAAGTGTCGTGTTTATATCTGTGATTTTGCATCTTTCTTTTCATTCTTATTTGTCTCTTCTTCTATGTCTCTGCTGCTATCTAGCTATTATTCCCTCGGATTGTGAGGTTCATGTCGGATGTTTCAATAGGTGTAAATTGTAAATATTTTTGATAGCCACCGCATGTATTTGTATTACAGAGTGACCAATTGCTGTTGAGAGTCGAATCATACGATCGGGAATTTGGTCATTTCAAGTTTCGAATCTTCGATATTAAGAGGTCTATTAGACTAGTCGTCATGTGAACTGGGCTTTTAGCACAGGGGTAGTGCGCCCGCTTTGCATGCGGGAGGTCAGGGGTTCGATTCCCTTAGAGTCCATTTTTTTTATACTTTTCTCTTCTTATGGAAGAGACTTTTTTATTCCCCGGCGTATATTCTGTACTACTGTAATATTATATTTATATAATGATCATTTATTATGCTAGCAATTTATGTTTACTTTGTACTTTGTATGTTATCACACTACTCACTGCATTGATAGCTGGTGGAAATATATATTGATACAATTCGGTTAGCTTTTCTATTACACATATTTAACAGCCTATATTATAGAATCAAGGGAATCCCAAAAAGTCACACTGAAGCCCATTCATTTTATAGACATTAACGAGATTGATAGCTAATATACTAATCAAGGATATCTCCCTGTCGACCTCAACATATCCATACATCCCTCAACTGCTTTCTGCATCTCGTTCGTCGCCTCCTCAATCAGTGCTGTCAAGGGCACTTTCCCTGCCTTCTCCCTCTGCACCTTCACATACTCATTATTCAACACTTTGTTGATATTCACCTTGGACACTCCACACTCAATGCACTTGGAGAAGATCTCCTCTGTGAACGGATCCGCCCCATGCAACACCAAGCGCACCTTATCCCCGACCGTGTCATGAATCTTCTTCAACCGATCATACTCGAGCTGAATCCCCCGCGGACCATATTCGCCATGCACGTTCCCAAATGCCGGAGCCAACCAATCGATCCCGGTATCGACAAACTCCTGACTGTCCTCAGGCGTAGTCAATAACCCCTCTAAATCAACAGTATCAGCCACCCCGTCCTCTCCTCCTTCGATCCGTCCCGGCTCTGCCTCCGTCGCGATGCCCCGTTCATGACAGTATGCGACCAAGTCCCGTGTCAGAGCCAGGTTCTCCGCCCTCTCGTAATGCGACATATCCACCATGATGCTGTCGAAGCCGCCGAGATCGGCCGCCCGACGGATGATTTCCGGGGTTTGTGCGTGGTCCATATGCACGGTGACTGGTACCGTGGCGTTACGCGCTGCTTCGGCCGCAGCGTGCACCAGAAGTCCATCCGCGTAGTGTATCGCCCATGGGAAAAGGAGGATCATGGCCGGTGAGCGCTTGGCTTCTGCCGCGCGTACAGTGGCCAGGATGCCTTCTACGTTGTAGCAGCACATGGCAGGGACTCCGTAGTGGTGCTCTGCGGCGTGGTTGAGGAGGGTGACGGCGCGATTGGTCATTTCTTCTGTCTTTCGTTTTCTTTTCTTCTTTTTTTCCCTTGGTTTTATAGCATAAAAGGGTTGGGATGAAGAGAAGTTGGAGAGAAGATTGTGGAATTATATAGTTCCCCTCAGTAAGTACTACATAATGGACCTGACATCGGGTGAATGTCCGAGCCGGAGTTGCTCCGATTGACGTCAGTCATCTACGCCAGCCAGTGTCCACTTTTCAACAAGTAGTTCCAATTAATTCATTTATTCTATTCTAATACCCATAACTCTTAATAACACTTGTCCTCCCCTCGGTCGCATATCCCGCCTTCTTAGCCATCAACAACACACTCAACGCCCCATTCCCCAAATGCAACGGCACATGCATATCGCGTGCCTTTTGCACCGCGCTTTCGAGCCTCTGAATCGCTTCATCCAGTGTCTGCTCACCCGCAGGTGCATTCTGTCCAATCCGTCCCTTAATCATGTCCAACCCCGCCGTGATAAACACCTTACTTGCGCCAGCAGCGTCGCTCACTAACCGGTAGAACTGATCCATGTCGACCTTGAGATATCGTGCCAGCGAGATGGCTTCTGCCGCTGCGACGAGATTGATGCCCAACATGAGGTCAAGTACCAGACGCAGGGATTGCGTTTGATCTTGATTGTGGTCTTCGTGGGCGGGGGCTACGTCAGCGATGGGGGAGGCGTAGTACTGACGCACCATGGCAGAGTCATCCTTGGGACCGTAGCCGTGTAGCAGGGCTGAGAGGTATATCTGTTCAGCAGTGGAGCAGAGGGGAGTCGGGAAGTTATGCTGGCGCGCTGAGGAGGTGATGATTCCCTGGGATGCAATTCATAAAATCAGCCACTTCCAACAGACGTAGTCAAACAAAACCGAAAAAAGTCTAAGTCCATCCCAGAGGGGGGGTGGGTGAAACATACAGCATCCTTAAGAATAATAGTCAACGCACTAGCACCTGGATTCCAATCCTCCTCAACCATCCTTGGGAACCGATTCTCATGCATCCATGTCCACGCGTCCGATGAAATGATTTTCTCCGCTGTATCTCTCGCCCCGAGACCCAGATGTGCCGCGAAGCCCATCACCTCGCTGGCCCCAAGGATATGTATCGCCGCTAATACCTGATGCACCATTTTCATGTTACTGCCGGCGCCCGCGCCACCGGGAACAAGGTACAGTTTGTCCTTTGCGGAGAGAGTCTGGAGTAGATCTCGCCCGCTCTGGAGTGCCTGGTCTGCACCACCGGCCATGATCGAGAGGGTTCCATCGGCGGCGCGTTTGGCGCCACCGGAGACAGGGCAATCGATGAAATGGATGTCGCTGCGGCCGCGCGCGTGTAGTTCCGATGCCACGGATTGGGCGTATGATGCTGCAACGGTGGAACAGAGAAGAAGGGTGGCGTTTTGGGGGAGGTCTGTGATTTGATTTTTTTAGAGTGATGATTTTCCTTTCAATTTTACCTGGTATATATATACAAAAGGGGGAAAACAAAGACATTTGGTTTACTTAAAGGGAGACATACACTGCACAATGCCTTCCTCGGCAAACAGAACGACTGCACTGCGCGCGATGCCACCATAACACGTAATATGGCTTGTCTTCTACTGACTCCCGTAGCGACAAGGCGGGGATGCCCCCGGCCGCGTGGAAGCGTTGTACAGAGGCTGGGAAGATGTCAAAGCCAGTGACGGAGTAGCCTTCGGAGACGAGGTGGGTGGCCATGCCGAAACCCATGGCACCTAGACCGACGAAGCCAACGGACGGCTTAGACATGCTAGTTTTGTTTATGGTAATTGACTTCTTTCTTCGTTTTCCGTCCGTTTGTCGTTGCTGAAGGGCGAATTGGAGCGGTTAATATAGGGCGATCGGATGGATCGCAGCGAAGGCCGAGGTGGGATGCCGTCGGAGGTGCGCCGATGGACGGGAAAAGAGAGACTCAGGATAGGAGGGATGTTGCTGTTGTCTGGACATAAGTAGGGCTTTTCTGTCTTTCGTTTTATTTCACCGTCCATGTGCTATATACCCATCTTTCTGGATCTTTATACATTCCTATCTTTCTTCTTTTTACTATCTTATCTGCCTCTAAAACAGTCGGCTGAGACTTATAAGGAATTGAGGACGACTATATAATGCCTATATATCGACATGACCAGACCATACTACAAACTGTTGAATAGGACTGGTCAGAACATTTAACGAAGTGCGCGATCGGATTTATACCGGAAAAGCTGGCCGCTACCTCCTCACTTCCACTATTTTGAGACATCAAAACGGCTTGTCTGAATAGGTACACAACTGCCTGATCAGGAAGGAGAAGCTCATTTCTACGAGTTTCCACGGAGGTCGAAGAGGGGTCAGGATTAAGGTATAAACGACATCAAACTCTTGTCATTGAAATAGTTGAAAAAAGGTCTATGAATATAGCCTCATATTTCTTCATATTCAGCACAAATAAATTGAGGAGCATATCAATAATTGCTGACTTTGCAATTCAGGACGCGGATGTTCTTATACCTGAAGCTGATCGAATTCCCATTTTTCTTCACAACATTCGAGAGATTATCCCTTTACGTGATGCCCGGTAAATTGATACCAGTTGAATAGCTTATGAATGTGGTAAGCATATACCTGCCAATACCCCCAACCAATTTCCTCCATGACTTTCGGCCGATGATGTGTCCGTTTTGCGCTTGAACTGCAGATTACACTTGTCAATAAGCATATCGACGGGCACTATATTAGCAACGTGAAAGACCAGATTCGGATCCCGTGTCTCCGTGGACTTCTGATACTAATTCGAAAGGAGGATAATACTGAGGTTACTAAAAACGGTACCATATTAATTACCAGGGATCTGGCCAACTAATTGACGATAACGATGGTACCTCTAAGGATGTGGATGTTACAGCCAACGAGGAGTTTTTGGTGGACGGACTGGTGATAAACAACGGTATGGAGACATTGTCTACAGGAATACTCTTTTAAACCCCACAAAGAACTGTTGCCTATCGACCATTGTGTGTTATGTAGTAACACATTCATTTACTTTAAGCAGGTCCCTTCAAATAATGTGAGCTTCACCAAAAAGTTCCTTCTGGTGGTTACATATGTATTGGAGCTGTTATAATGCCTCTTCGGCGTCTTTATTGCAGCGTTCAATTTGGCGCGCGTGCATGGCAATCAGATCCGTGGTGGTGCGTACAGTCTGTCATGGCAGTTTTGCCATGCTGGAACTTCCAGCTTTTCAATTTCAAACCCAACCTTATTATAAAAAGAGCAAAGTTGTAGGTATGGCTGAATCATGGAAAAATTGAGAGGATAAAGAAGAATCGCGAACATGGGTGAATTGTGAGGGTTTGCAGTTGCCATTGAGCCATGGATCCGAAATTTCGACCAGATTCAGAAGCAGTTGCCGTCAGAGGTAGTGGTAGGAGATGGTCAATGTCTATAGAATCTGATGGAATTTCAGGGTGAACGTTTTCTTTTGTGTTTGTTTATGCGATACCTTTGGCTATGTTTAACCAGCAACTATCGTGTCTGGGAGTGGAAAGAGAATGGAGTCTTATTGATACTCCTATGGCGCAGTCTCTAGTAAAACCATGGAACAATAGACACAATAGCATATTGATCTTGACGATTCTGGCCACGATAAGTAACATGGCCATGAAGCAGATTGCTTATAGAGGCAATAGCTATCATGCTTTTCACAACTGATTAGCCTATTTGATCTGATAGACGCCTCGAATCTGTAGAAAACGAAAGCCTGTAAATACAAACTCGCGCATGTTTAAATATCAAATGGCCTCTCAGAAAGCCTCATCGTCTGGTGTCTCGGGAGTAGGAGGAAAACGAGTAATTCTCTCGACTCAAAGTTATTATACCAGCACTATAGTGCATAATTTAAATGCAACCGCATCAATACAACTGTAAAAAATTGGCGGTTCACTCTTATCGCCCTAACATAGAAGGTTATACGTAGGTCAACCACTAAGCAACATGCATCGTACCTACAATGAACTCAACGCTGTCCGGTCCTTAAAATAAACCTCAGCCGCCCATGACGAACATCTGACCGAGCTGAATTCGGCCTCGCCCACTGCATACGACGCAGAATTAATGGTTCAGACTGCTGTAGTTCTGGATACGGACGCTGAAGCGACCCATCCATATCTGGCATCATTTTGTGGTCTAGCGATCAGAGGAGCAATAAACCATGTCGTGCACGACTGATGACAACCTCAAATTAGCTATGAATACCCGGTTGTCAAAGCTGAGTTACCAATGACTTATCAATCCGAGTAATCTTCGCCAAACATCACTGACGTGGTGGTGGCTGGATTTCGACTCCTCGATTCCCACTTGTTGTCTCACTGTTTTTCAGCGGGGGACCGCTTAGTTGGCGGATTCTCGTGAGATGGGTTGTGCCCATTTGTTTAGGGGTGTCTATACTCCGTAGATGTATATTCATTTTGAAGTTCTCGATAGATTGAGAGTATTGTATTTGGCTGTGCTTGGGTGCAATAGACTGGATCATTGATAGGGGACGGTTGGGAATGATGGACTACAGAGAAAAGAAGGAGCCGAAGAGAGAAACGAAAAAAAAGGAGGGGGGGGGGGGGGTGACGTCTTGGGGCAAACAATGCTGCCTGAAATCATTTGCTCATATTTTTAGTGAATGCGACGTGTGTCCTTACAGACCACAAAAATGCTTCCATTCGAATTATCCCGATTCATATGGAAGTCGATCAGCACTCATACAGCCAGTGAACTGAATTATACAGTAAAACCCCTATATAAGCAAAGAATTCGGACCGGCTAAAAGTTTGCTTATACCGGATTTTTGCTTATACCGAACAAGGTAATAAATATATATATTTATATAGCTTTATATAAATCTACTGCACCATACTGAATTAAAGAACGCATATATTAATTATTATAATCATTCTATAAGATATAACCTATATTCTGCATGTTTTTGGCAACCAGGGGGCCCCGCAGCTTAATAAGGTGGAGGTGGGTGGTCAGGCAAAGAATGACCGGATATCTGTCTGACGCTGAGCTTGAGCTCTTCTCTCCAGAAGGAGCCTTTCTTGGTGTGTAAGAAGCCGAATAAGGGCCTTATCTCCATCAACCTGCTGTTCCTGATAGAGTCGTAGTTTATATAAGCCCTCTAAAGCGTCTGTAGGTGTAATTATTGGTAGAGGCTGTAGATCTTCCTCCTCATCACTATCTGAAGCTGGAGGCGGTGCAATTTCAGACAGAACTGCGGAGTCAATATCTATATCATCAACCTGCTCCTCTGTGGGATTCAAAACTGATTAATATCCATAATGTCCTGGATACTATTTGAGAGTTTTAGGCGTTGAAGTCCTTGCTTTATATCGTCAATAAGATTAAGCTCATTGACATATTCAATTGAAAGGGCCTTTTGAAAACAGTTTCTGACTGTATCTCTAGACAAATCAAATTCCCAGGCAGAAATTGCCCATCGAATTGCTTGTAAGATTGTCATAGTAGATAGCGGGTCAAAACCACGGTCGTACTCAGCCATCATATATAAAACCCACTGTTTTTTCCAATATGCCTTCCATGTGCGTATAATCCCTTGATCAAGAGACCGTTGACGTTGAGCAGGATGGAAGCCATATAACCAGTGTATTCTTTAGCTGCGGGTTTACTTCTTATATGCAGCTTCATGTGCAGAAAAATTGTCCATTAAAAGAGCAACTTTTCGGCCTTGCATTCTTCTATCAAACCAGAGCAGCCATTCTTTAAAGATATCACCAGTCATCCATGCCTTCTTATTTGAGCGCCAAGTGCAGTTAAGGTTCTCAATATTAATACCAGCTGCAGTAAAGGCTCTGGGACGTTTAGCTGTCCCAATAAACCAGATAGGAAGGAGTTCTGAAGCGTCTGAATTACAACAGAAATGCGCAGTTATTCGAGCCTTTTCTTTCTTGCGGCCAGGAAGCAAACGTGTAGATAAACTCCGGTCCGGGATCATCCTCCAGTATAGACCTGACTCATCGCAGTTAAAGATATCCTGAGGCGCATATATACTAAGAGCGTGACGGATTATAACCATTTCAGTAGCTGCATCTTCAGATACACTTCCAGCTTCACCATGCTGACTCCTCCACTTAATATTTCTGCGTGATTGAAAGCGTCGAAGCCAGCCGTTGCTAAACTGCGGCATCTCCCTTTCTGGATAGACCTCCGGCCAGAAATCCCTTGCTTTTGCCGAATAATCTCCTGAGATATTGTTATTTGTCCCTCAGCCCTCCGTATCCAGTTGTAGAGTGCCTTTTCTAGCTCTGGCCAGGATTCTGTACGGCGTCGTTTATCTTCAGATTGATGCGCTTGAATGTCGTCAAGGAAGGCAAATCGAGAGGAGAGGATTCGGCTAATCGAGGAGCGGTCAATTGGCTGTTTATATGTCTCTTCAAACCACTTAGAAAGAGATGCCAGAGAAAGATAAGGCTTTAAATGATGTTGAGCGCGTAGGGCAGCCTTCTGGCTATTTGAAATAGCGCGACGCGTCCTCTTAGCCATCTTTAAAGCAAAGTGTGATATCTGAATAAGCAATTTTGTGACTTCGATATAGGCAAATTTATATAGGAAAGGGCGAAAAATTAAGCAAAGATCTTGTATCGGGGGGTTAAGCATATTAATATGGAAAATCAAATTAGACACCGTGTTCATTTGCTTATACCGGAGTTTTGCTTAAATCGGGTGCTGCTTATATAGGGGTTTTACTGTAGTTATAATTAGCCTTCCGTTACGGAGAACGGAGCAGCGCTAAAGCAGTTAGCTCTAGCGTCGAATACGAGTATCAAGAATATGAGCAGAGTGCGGCTGAAAACCTCAGACAGTTTTTTGACCCCATGCCCCTCTGTCTTTCACGCTTGATATACTCAGTTTAAACTCGACTGATCAACACTTCATACGGCTGGCATACGAGTGATCATCGAAGTCATCTCCTAATATGACAAGTCAAATCAACCTACTAGGCTAAAATTAAATTAACGGGAGATAAGAATAAGCAACAAAACATGCTCCATACAGTGTACAGAGTACTTACACGTTGATTCCTGCAGTGGAGCTGCGCCTCGAAATTTCGTTGATAGGCCAGCTATCTCTCCCCAACACTTTCAGCCCCATTCTCCACTTCTATCCACAGCCACAGGAAATCTCGTATCTGGCCCAGGATTCTGGGCTTTGACGGCAAGCGGTCGTGCTTATCAGTGGGACATGGCTTAGCTGTTGTCGTTTCTTACTGGCTATAAAGAGGAAACCAGTTTATAACAGTTTCCAGGAATGCCACTATGGACGGTATGGCGACGATCCAGAAACGGGCCCATGTGGTTTCACATGCTCAACTGGGGCTGTGATTAATAGCGCTTATGAAGATTATAAGTAGGCCTATCTACTTTTTGGTTCACTTTCTTTCAGTTTGGCCACCTCTCTGTCGAACAACTGCCGCAATTTAATTATAGCACGATTCACAATGTCGAATAACGAAAAAGTTCACTCTAGTATGTATCAACTACTTCAAAAATCCCATATGAATACACTGACAGTCTCTAGCCCCTGCCCCGGCCTACGAACAACATCAGGAATTCCACGAGCTCACGCCCACCCAACCTCCAACGGCCTACATGCAACCACCGATGCAACCACCGGCCCAAAATCAAGGCGTACAACCCGGTACGGCTCACCCAAGCGGATACAACACCTCGTCCCCTCTGCATGCGCTACAACGAGCTCCTGCTCCGGTAGACTGTCCCGTATGTGGCCAGCGGGAGATGACACGCGTGGAAGCAGAGTCGGGGAAGACAACCCAGTACGTATTTCTGGCATGAACTTAGAGAGAAATAAAGAGGAGACTAATGGGTACAGTGGCTGGGCGGCCTTGTTATGTTGCTGCTTCTGTTTGGGATGTATTCCGTATCTGATGACAGCGCTGAAGGACGTTGATCACTACTGCGGGAAGTGTGGAGCGAAGCTGGTGACATGGCATAATAGCGGAAGGACAGAGGTGCATCAAACTGTACGGCAATGATTGTATCTTACTGATTTGATGCGCGCCAGATACCATGTCGTTGATACCTTAATGTATGAATTAAAGATCGTATAGAGATCGTGGGCCACAGCTGGCCTGGGCTCATGATTCAAGATGGCTACTATAGCTTGTTCTCTCGTGAGAGTTGTGTGAACGGAAGAAGTCTCACTGGAGGGAGTAGATCTTGTTGAATTCCGGAATGCTGAAGAGGCTTATCGGGCTGCAGAATGGACGGAGAGCCAAGGGAAAAGGCGCGGTGTGGAAGCCCTGAGAAGTCAAGGAGTATCAATCTGAACTTTGATGTGGGTATAGAGCCCTACAAGAAGTATTGGTACGCAGACATGATTGCTGAGAAGAGGTGAATACGAGCTGATGGAGCAGGATGATACAACGGTCTTGGTTGACTGACTGAGTGGTATCTTTCTTGGAGCTGTTTACTCATAGGGCTGATTTATGGGCCCAGCCTCTTGAGCCTTTCATCTAGGCCTGCTCCACAAAAGTTTCTTCCAGTATTATATTTTTTTTGGACATATGCTTCAATGAGATGAAATTCCAGAAGGACATCAATCAATATCTGCTGGGCAGTCCATGTTCAAGCCGAACAAGATCAGCTCGACCATTTAGCCTAGAGCCGGAATTCGTGTGTTATTGCTCCAAGAGAGTAATGATTTATCCCCTATGAAAGCAGCGTTTATTAGGAGATATCCTGCTTGGTGATTGAGATCTTGGAATCCAGCGTTTGATTCCAGAGGAAAATGGAAGAGTTGATGAATTTATACAAGCGAAGCTAGAGGCTGCCTAAATAGGAAAGCATTGTGACTGGGGAGATAGTATGAGGAGGGCAGTGCACTACATGCTGCCGAAGATAATGCAGAAACTGGAAACAGAGCTATTTGATTAGGTCAACTTTGAGCGGTGCTAATAAGGGTCATTAGTCGAAATATCCTTATTTCGCGAATTTATTACTGGCTTTGCTGTTCTCCCTTACTGGGCCTCAACATACACGGGATATCAAAGCGTGCTTCGATAGCTCTTTCAATATTCTACAATTCATCAAACCCTATTTTTCCATAGCAACTACTGGGCAGATATAGTTCCTGCTTTCTTCTAATTTTAGGGTCAGACTGATATTATGATATATGTACATCAGACACTGGTTCTGGATGGTGTTGGCGGGGTTTCTTGAACGACCTGGTAGGACCCTGGATTGAGTAATTTGGACATTTCATATTTTTTTTTAAAAATATAAATCGTACTAAATCTACAAATTTACCTGGGCTGTGAATCACTGATGATCTAATACATTTGATATGGATGACGTCATGACCGAGCAGTTCCCGAAACGTCCTAAGCCGTATCCCAATCGAGCTTTCCGTCGCCTCAACTGCTTTCTGCCATGTATGTCCTTCCTATCAGTTAGGACTGCTTAATTTACGATTCCTATCCATGATAGGGCAATGCCCCTATCGAGACGAACATGTCATGATCCACTTCGACCATCGGATATGATCGAGTGGTGACGCCAACGGGACGGGCGGATCGCCAAACCTTGTATCTCCTGTCGTATGTAGAGTTGAGGACAGGAGAGAGGATTTGTGGGGCTGCATTATGTTCTACTCCGTAGGCTGTTCACTTGAAGATATTATAGCGTATCTCAAGGGCGACAGAAGTTCAGTATCGTAGAGGTGGAAACGAACTATCTGGAGTCGGCGTATTCAGTGCGAACAAATCTGCGTACTACAACTAGGAAGAGCGAGCAAACTTTCTTCCTAATCCTGTGGCCCGGTGGATCCATGATTCCTTCTCTCATTAACCCCAGAGTCCCGATGAGGTTGCATAAATTCGCTCTCCTGCACGTCATTGCGACTCGCACCGAGTCCTCTGTTCCGCTGTTCCCGACATGCAACTCCTCTTCTGTCTCGCTCTCCTCTCTACCTCCATTCTCCTTCTTCCCGGCCTTCGTGGTGGTCTTGTTGGATATTCTATTCGTGGGAGTTAGCGAGTGATCTCGGCTGGTGTCTTTCGTTTCTTCGTTTCTCTATTTCCTTCATTCCTAGGAGTGTACCATTCCACTGTAAGTATCCTGGTCTATGCATAAAAAAAGAAAGAGAGAAATACAGAATGAAAGTTAACGGAAGAAGAAAACTGACCAGTACAGCCACAATGGCTGCAATCGACGCTCTCCAACTCGAGGCACGCAGCCAGATCGTCAAGCGAAATTGGGCAAGCGAGAACCCCGGCGTTATTCTTGTCTTCTGCATCGTGTTTATCGTGGCCGTCGGCATCATCTGTCTACTCCTCTACCGGAAATGGTTGACACGGAAAGCAGCAAAAGAGGCCTTACAGGTGGAGTAAACATGCAGCGGAGACCTTGGAAGGCACAAGTGAGGCATATGGACTGAACAAGAGGCGTTATCTTGTTGATGGGCAGGGTTTATCAGTGCCCACTGATATACCCCTTTCAATGTGAAGATCGACGGACTGGAGATGGATTGTATGGGCGTTTTATATTCGCTTTGATTGTTTGTGTGGATAAGATTGCTAATTATAATCCCGGAGTTTTGGAGCCATGTGTTTGTGCGAAATGCATTATTTAGTATCGGATGCAGGTACACCCGTGGGATCCTTGCTGGGTATGATTTATTTGACTGAAGCTGATGGGATGCAGGAATTAGACCTGCGTCGTAGCTATATGTTTGGTGCAGATAGCTCTAGAGTTTATGATAGGGACAGTCTGATGATGGGACCAGCTGGTATACATGTACTTTCTATAAATATTGCGAATAACGAACTATATACAATTGAATCTTCTCAATGCCAGTGACGTCATCTGCCTTAATATCCTACGAAGCCAAGAAGCGAATACGAGGATCTCTGCCGGATCTACCCAGCTATAAAATCTTGCATTATACGTCAATAGAGACAGACTAGAATTTGACTTTCTCGGATCCATTACTCTGGTGACACTGTACATACTAACTCTGGTTCTTGTACAAGTCAACATGCCGTCTCTTCTCGGTTGGTCACTTGCACTCTCGACTGGCGTCGCATATGCCATTTATCACTCCCACAAGTCACTAGGAAACCGGGTTCAGCATGGAAACCAGAAGGGAACACTTCCCCGAGACCTTAGAAACACTATGACCTCGATTCCAGAGGCGGTCTTCTCCGATGAATACCGCGCATTTCACGACCGCGCCTCCAGCCGCGTACCTCGTCATCTTCTTCCAGCGCAGGATCTTTCCGAATTGTTCACCCTGCTGCAGCGTCGTAATATGATGGTATTTAACTATTTCCCGCAGGCGTATCTCCTGTGTCTTATGGCACCGCCTGAGAGGAAGAAGACATTCGCGGCATCGCACATCCAATCTCTCGACTTCAAGGAGGGAGACATCGTGAACGGGATGTACCAGGTGTGTGAACGAGAAAAAGACAAGGTTGTGTATGCGATGGAAGGCGGCGGGAAGTTCAGCGGGCGATTGTCTGTACGGTACTGGGAGGAAGGAGACGAGGTTGTCTATTGCACTGAGACCGCAATGTGGACAAAAGCAACCGGTGACAATGGCAGAACAGTGCAAATGCCCCTGGAACAGCCTGCATTCCGGTTCTTGCATGAGTTAGCGGCATGGTGGTTGTTGGACTCGGGGACTGGGTATTTGAAGGGACTGGCCAGGGGAACTTCCGCGGATGTTAAAGAGAAATAGCGGAAGGAGACACAAAGAGGGCTTTGTGATGATTGTCAGGATGGATCTATTGTCGGGAATTGGCGCAAAGAAGCGGAACAATGATACAAAGCATCGCATCTCTTCGTTAACTTCAATGAAAGGCATTGTGTTTACCGGCTTTATCCTCATATCCAAAGAGCTTGGATGCCTCCCGAAAAACTATATAAACCCCTTCCATATCCATCGTTGGAAGCTCCAATGGCGACCAACAAGGAACCGGATATTCCATATATCACCATCACCCTCCCCCGTTCTCGCACCCCTTCTCCTTCCCCTTCCCCAACCGCTTTAGGGTACGCCTCTCTGTCGCATTTGGACCCCATGTGCAAATACACATACCATCACTACCCAGGCTGTGGCCATATTGCCTCTTTCGGCATGGAAAGCTGCAACAAGATGATCGATTCTATCCGGGACGGCAACCCTGCCGGTCCTTGCAAGAAACCTCGCTACGATCATGATCTGGTGCCGATGGACCATCCCGACGAATGTCGTAAGTGCCAAACCGAACAAGCTAGTCCATCGGTTGGTATGTCTGGCTTCACCCGTCTCGAGGGCGTTGAAGCCTCGTCTCATGGCTTTTCTTCTGATAAGAACGAGCCCGAATCACTGAACCCTGTTGCCAACATCCGCGGCAATTTCAATAAGGTGCACGAACCTGTCAAGCGCACGCTGAATGGCAAGCACTCCTGGGAAATGGTCGACTCCCCTAAACCCCCTAAAGAGATTTTGGATGGTGAGTTCACTTTGCTTTCTCCTGATTGCCCCCCAGAGGAGCGGGCTGTCTCCAAGAAGCGTAATAGATTCGCTTCTGGGCTTGCATCCTTGACAAACCGCACCGGACCTCGATTCTTAAGCACAAAGTCGCTTTTTGGCTCTTCATCCTCATCGTACCGTCGTTCCTTTGGAATTCGTAGTCAGAAAAAAGCACCATCCACAAACTCTGAAACATCGCGTCAAGGTAAGGAGAACTCCTGGGAGCATGAGCTGGTGGATATGCCCGAATCACCTAACAACAAGACTTACTCTAGCCATACGGGGACTGTTCATCCTCAGGATAGAGCGCTGCCAAACTTGCTTGAAGTCGAAGGCGATAGTGAGTGGATTTCGATGAGCCCTCCCCAGTATGACGCGGGTGTCTTGAACCAGCCACTCTCTCCTAACCTGACCTTTTACCAGGATGATTCCGACGACGAAGACGAAAATGGCCCTATGGACGACGCATCTCTTCTGAATGATACCCTTAGTGGATCTGAATCGGTACCGGGGCTCGAACGTACCTTCGACCTTCTCACCGTTTCGGACAAACTCGCCCCCATCTTCCCCTCGTCAGAGTCCTCATTGGCTCTGCCGGGCAAACGGCAGAATATAATGGACGAGGAAATCGCTGGTTCTGCACAGGGGTGCCCGCGTTTTTATCATCTATATCGGGAGGACCTGTCTGGTGACCGGTTATTCGACAAGAGCCTGTATAGCAAGGACGATCACGAACTTGCAATCCATGAAGCCGAAACTATTCTGGCTAATTCTGAATTTATCGCTCCTTATTGGAAGGGTCCCGATAGGTCGAAATCTCAAAGCCTTGCCCCTCTATCCCCGACAACTGACCCTGGGTCCCAGAAGATGCCTGGTCCGTTTGAAGGTGGGCTTCGTGGATTGCATCAGCAATTCCCGAGCTTGTTTGGGAAGGCATTCCGTGCTAGTGATGAGTTTTGGTAGATTTACTAAACTTGATTGATGAAAATGGGAGAATGTTTTCGTGGTGGATTATTATTTTCTTCTGTGGACCAGAATGCCAGAATTGTTTATATTTTTATAATTTTTTATGATATTTTGTTTTGGATTTGAATAGAATGGAGCAAATTGAAACCAGATATAAAATTTCCAGTCTCCCGTAGATGTAACGATTATAGATGATTGAAGGGTATATATATGAATTTAGGTCAAGCTAACAATTTCTAAACAGGAGCGTTTTGTCTCAGCCTGCTCCTGACCTGGTTAGAAGTCCCTTGGCACTCCATGGTACGCATTCTTCTGGGACACTCTCTGCTACTATCACCAGCAAAGTTGCATCGAGAAGTAGCACACCTTTGTCTCTACTACAGCCGAGAGTACTATAGGATGTGAATCTGGGTCGCTGAATGTATTTAACGTTGACCTCTTGATTTTTTCAAAGCAGTGGGGATGTCGGAAACGCAGGGAATGGAAGTTAATATGGAGAGTGTCGTCGCTTTTGTACGAAGCCGGCAACATACTAGGTAGAGAGGTCGAAGCTACTGGAATCCAAACAGCTCTTGGAGCTCACTTCCTATGCTCGGAAATTCTAGCAAAGGCTGGCGCCCTTGCATCCGCTTCACAAAACTTATCACCACTGCAAGAGCAAAAACCTAGTACCGTTCTTGAAAAGCAGGGCCACCTCGCTTTGTTCTCGTAGACTCCTAGCCGAGGTTTTAAGCTAAGTACCTCTCCAGAACCTACTGGAGTGCGGTTTATTGTTGTGTACTTTGAGATATCATGCCACTATTATACACATTGTACGGGTGGTCTAGCATCCCATAGTCATTGTGTAATGTCCCATGGATCCCAGGTGCTTGAATACTGATCCAAAATCATTGGTAAGTACTGTATAGACCATTCTTCACTCCTATCAGCAGTATACTGCGCCTTGCGGGCCTCCCAGTAGGCAGGTAGCCACCCTGATTGCTCCCAGTCAACAATTGCCAGAATCTGATACGGCCGAGAGGGTGTTACAATAATATTGCTGCGGTGCAGATCGCCGTGAGTAAACTTAATAGTACAGTTATCAGGTAGCTCATGGCGAAATGGTTCAATCGGGACCGAATGTGGATCCACCATTGGCCTCCGGTAGAGAAATGTGAACCAGTTGTGAAAATCTTGAACTGTGGTGAATGGGCCGGCTTCTGACATGTATTCTATATGGAATGCTCTATCATAAAGAGGATCGCGTACAATGTTGCCTGTAAATACAAAAGAGTTAGAAGATACAGGCCTTGAAGATTGGGAGAATCGGTTTACCTATGAATATATTAGATGAATCCTGTTCTAGTTGACGCAAATTGTTATAAACTGTTCGAAGTTCACGACAGATTAAAACCCGGTCACTAGTTTCCATTACATCCCATAGTTGCTCCAGAGTTTGTCCTTCTGTATATTCCATGTAGATAAACTTCTCCTCTCCATCCGTGCGCCACCCATATACTTCAGGAACTGGGACATCGTCCCGAAGGAATTGACGGACTGCATACAGGCACTGAGCCTCTGGTATTCTTACAGCGCTTCCCCACTTAATGAATAGTCTCATATCATCGAATATCACGGGCGGTGGTCTCACATAAGGGGCGGTGGTTGAGTAGACTTTCCTATTATCTGGATTAACTCTTGCAAGGTGTTGGACTGTGGCTTGTGTGCGAACTTCTTCTGGTGAAAGTAGCTGACTCCATTTGCTGAAAAACGTTGAATCCTTGACGTCGAAATCGGGAGAATTGGGGATCATTGATGGCGTCAACCGGACGTGCCCACGCATCCTAGAGGCGCCTGGAGAACGTATAAGCTTCAATATAGTCTTTGTACATAATTTAGTGTGTCATGGAACATATGAGATATGGCAGTTAGAGTGTGAATAATTCATCATGTTTATGATCAGAGACGAGAGGAGTGCGAGATTAAATACTAAACTAACTTGATTTGATGGGTTGATTAACTACGTCATCCATGTGCTGGACGGCTTGTGCCTTGTGAAAAGGAATCTTTCCCGCCCTTATAGCTATGCCTAAGCTGTGCTGCAGCCCACAAAGTACGTCATCTCTCAGGTTGATCTTCTACAGTGGGATGGTACACTACGCTTGACCTGCCTTCAGATCGGGCCACCTGCCAGGGAAACGCAATATCATATACCAGCTGTCAGGGCCTAGGTCGAATCCTGCCTGAGTTCCCGTACGATAGAATTCTTTCTGCCTTCCTTCCTTCTCTACGTTTGATGTTTCGTTGGATCGCCACCTTAGATATAATTCATACATTTTAGCAATGTTTACAGGATCATCATACCCATGAATAATATTTTATTTTGTTGGGTAGGAGTCACGTCGCCCTCCGTAGCGTTTTTTTGTTAAGTCTCCGATGGTGGGTGACAATAAGTACAAAAGTATTGATGCAATCTATAGCCTATAAGCGCTAGAAAAGGGCCTCTAAAATGTGAAACACAACCGTTAAGAGTCTCGCCCTCACTTTACTTCTGGTCTACTGAGCCGGAAAGGAAGAAAGCAAACACCACTATTACCAAAGTTATTGACACCAGTCCCTTATGAACCATCCACTTCCTGCTCGCCCGCCGCCTAAAGGGTGTGCCGGTGCGAATGCGCCTTCAAACATCATATCAGGAAGAAAGCATGGCTCTATTCAATTATATTAGAGCTCGAGCCTAAGTAAACAGGCGATCAACTACATATTAACCCTGAGGTGTTTGGTGAAGATACTTGAATATGCTTCGTTTTAGCCTGCACCCAGTGCAACCCTATTCAGTCTTACCTTTTTTTATGGGTCGTACTCCAGTATACTTGGATTGAACCCAGGCCTCTTCCCGGATACTGATCCGAGAATAACCTTATCACCTCTGACCAAGGTCGTTGCTCGTCCCTTCTCAACTTCAGCAGAAGATCCGCCTCTTCAGTAGACCATCGCATGCCCTTCCTGGAGTGGTTTGTCTAGTTGGGCCGGTCGACATATCGGCGACTCCGTTAAAGCCCAACAGAGTGGGAAATGAAAGGAGGGTCAAAAGGGGCGCGCCTTACTGGAATTGGGAAATAACCAGATAACACGGCAGCCGTGGACGGAGCAGTGCAGTGACCGAGGCGACGGCGAGGTGAGACAAGAGAAGAGAAAGTGCGTCGTCCGTTGAGGGAGAGGTGCTGGGGTTATAGATGTGTTGGGGCGGCAGGCGAGGGAGTTAAAAGCGGCGAGGGCGGAGGGATATCTACACTATCCCAAAATAGGGATGTACCATACCGCATCAGGCAATCATACCCCAAGGCGGCAGGGGGGCGGTGCAATGGGAGCCGTTTTCTGCGGCCCGCTTGCCGTCTTGTAGAATACTGTTTTTATTACTTTCTAGAAAGCTTATATTCACCCAATTACTGTCAGGGCTGAACCCCTAGGACATAGGATAGGTTACCTACAAAAAGTGTTATGGAAACACTATAATCTGCCCGACTTGGCGGTGCGGAGTATCTGACGACCGATTCAACCCCTGAATCCTTTAGATAGTCGAACACCTCAATGAGATTATAGGGAACCGCTTAGTAGGCTCAGTTGGTTGAGATACTGCGATTCCTGGTGTTTCCACTGAATGACATCTACTTCCCAGTTAGGCTAGTTGGCCTGTAGCTGATAGAATAGCTCCCTGCGCATCACTTCCCTGAATTCCACAACAAAAAGGAATCGTTGAAGAAGGGAATAAAGGAAGAGGAAAATGAGCGGTAATCAAACAAAGTCACGTGATATGGATCGAGGGCCAGTAGGGACAATAGGGACAATAGGGACAACAGGGACAACAGGGATAATAGGGACATTGGTCCGAGAGGTCAAACGGGCCACAGCCCTTTACAACATCGCTAGTAATGCTTTTGGTATGCAGCCAGTAGAGAAGACAGCCACCTGTAAAGGTATTTATATTCCACCTGAAGACTAGAATGTGATAAGATGGAGCGAAGACAAAATAACAGCTCTATGCTATTAAATATAAAGGCTATCTCAAAATTAGCACAAATGTTCAAAAGCACCTTCCGGCTCTTCAGGTGAAGACTATTCAGGTCACTGAAAAGGGCCCTGGAGAGGCGCCTAAGTAAGCACAATTATACTAATGCTGTTGTATGTCCGTTCACTCAAATTTTTTTGACTATACGGTCTCGCATCCGTGCCGGTTTGTCTTCTGGCCTTCACCTGAACCCCCCTGAAGCTCCATAATCTTCACCTGCCAAAGCCTGCAGAGCAGAAAATACTAACGTGTCAACTTGCTTTGCACGTCAGTCGGAGCGGAGCAATATTTTCACCGGTTACTGTTATCGCTTGACAAATAAACAGCGATTCCTGGTCGCCACAGAGGCTCTGCCGATTGATTCGCGTTTACATGAAACTTAGCGTCAAAGTTGTTTTGAAGCTATGAACAAGATTCCTGTTCCTGAAGAGTGGTGCTTGTCGAGAAAGAGTAATAATTTTCTTTCATCTCCACGTGCGCTAGTTGTCATAAATATTATCTTCCTGTCCTTTACCTGGATCCGGCGAAGGCGTACCGTATCACCACCCAGCCAAGATTCTGGAGTCGACCAGATTCAAATGAACAGATTTAATTATGGGAGAACCTAAAGAACACGGAATTCGTGACCGAACACCATTTTACGCCACTACTAATTTTAATCTACTCCAACTGGGTGAAAATTATTGTGGGTTCTTGGAGTCCTAGCCCCTTGTTGTAATCCATCGTATTTAGAAAGGGCAAAGCTGTAAATAATTTAGCTGGACTCGGATGGGTTCGGGCCGTTGTGGGCCTTCGTTGGTGGACGTGGAACCCCGCTCTTATTTACCACACGGCGAGTTAGGAGAAAACTCATAGCCAGGGCGAGCAGTGGGGCGCTGAAACGCCGCGCGACTGGGTGATCGGTTGCTTTCGAGCAGGCTGAGTACTGTACCGCGGCCAATGCACTGTCCAATTTTGCGCTGGCGGGTTTGCAGTGGTGCCATGTTACGAGTACAGGTGAAGCTGATAGAATCCGGGAAGGCGCAGAGTAAAGCCAATCCTGCCTACAGGGATGTAGTCTACTAGGTGCTCAACAATTGTGTTATCCCCTCACCTAGCGCGAAGATGGGCCAATAATGTCTTGCTTATATATCGCAAGGCTAAGCGCTGATCCGCCTACCTGCTTCTCAGAGTGATTGTTGCCTAATCGACAAGCGATATAACAGTTCAATCATGAAGCCGGAACCATCATAAAAGCGATTGTCTTCAACCTATGAACACTACGACAACGTCATCCGGCTGGGTGGCGGAACCAGATGGCCGCGGAACATGGAGCATCCTCTCCACCTGTCTGCTCACCATCTTTTTGTGCTGTTGGACCTCTGTCTGTCCGAACATCCCAGCTAATTCGGATAACTACTGGGCCTGCGTGAGGGATAAATTCCACCTCGCGTGTCTCGGAATTCTGGGGCCGGAGTTCCTCCTAATGTTGGCGATGGGGCAGTGGTCATCTGCCAGAGAATCTGTCAAGGTGTGTTTCTTTTTCATAATCAAAATTTGTATTGGTCTAATTTGTTGGAGCAGGCATTTAAGAAGTTAAACGAGAAGAGAAGGAAGGGAGAGAGCGATTGGACAATGACACACGCATTCTATGCGGATATGGGAGGATTTCTCCTCAATGGTCCTGGGATTGATGTGCCGTTTCCCATTGATGCGAAGCAGTTGCTTTTTCTTGTTGAGCAGGGGTATTTGGAGTGTCCACAGATCGGTCGAAAGGACATTGGGGATAGGAATAAATCGGACGGAGTTGCGAGGTGTTTTGCCGTCTGTCAGGGCGTTTGGCTGCTACTCAACTGTATCCTGCGAGCAGCTCAGAGCCTTGCTGTGACAACGCTCGAGCTTACCACGGTATCATTTGTCATTGTCTTCTTCGCAACCTCTTTCTGCTGGTACCACAAACCATTGGATATAGGAACCACGATCACCCTCACTCTCACAACTGACATAAGCGCTATCCGAGAAAAGGTTTGTATGACAACGATCCACTGATCTATGTGGGAGAGAAAAGCTCACTGACATGAGATATTCCAGCACTGTCCTCCAGATCTTACAGAGTGGTACACCAACCCTCTTGAATTCCTCTACCCCAGTATCTACATTCTGCAGATGTTCTGGGTCTACTATAACCGAATACTACACCGAATCCACTGCCCCATCTTCTCTCGTCTTGTCACCACCAGACCATATAATCGTATCCCGAGCGATGAATTCCGCCAAGTGGACTTTCTAGCTGAGGCCCTTGCCGTCCCAGTCATTATCATATTCGGCTGCATGTTCATGTTAGCATGGCGCTTCCACTTCCCATCTTCCACCGAGCGGGTCCTCTGGCATATCGCGTCATGCTATACTTTGGTTTATTCCGTAATTGGCTCCGGAAGCATAAAATTCTGCTCCGAGGTTATACTTCCGCGATATGCTAAGAAAAGGAGGGGGGTTAGAGACGCAGAAGCTCAAGCACCGCCTCCACGCTCGCGGCAGACGCAACAGAACAGTCTGGTCTCGAGAATCGTGAACATTGATCCTTCGAAGGATCCCAGACTGGACATTCCATTGGAAGCACTTCTTCTTATCTCGTCCCTTTGCGCTGCGTACTGTCTTTGTAGAGCTTATATACTTGTTGAGGACTTTATTGGACTAAGGGACTTGCCCGACTCCGCATTTCAAACGGTGGAGTGGTCTGTTTACTTTCCTCATTGGTAAGGCAGAGGGTGACATATTTTTCATATATACCTTTACCGCAAACGTTGCTTGTCTGCTTATGATAAATGAGATAGTGTGTGAATACGAACTTCCTAGGAAGCAATAGATTGAAATGGCAATTCCCAGTCGATTTAGATTAGTTAGAATTGTAGTAGACCTCAGCTCGCTGTTCTCGTTGATAATATTTCTCCCAAATTTGCAGGGGGAAGCAGAGATCCCTCGTCCACGGGGGGATCTTATCCCGGCCTGGAGACTTGGCAAAATGGGCATCGAGAGGCGGAGGGGGAAATTTAAGCAGCTAAAAAAGATCCGAGTGTGTCTGACAAGCAGCCCAACGTTCACTACCCATTTTACTTATTCTTTTCAGAATCCTTAACGTTTCTTTCCCTTCCACCAGAGATAATGCGGGTTGTCCTCGTGATCCTATTACCATCCCTGGTTGCTGCTGTTGCCTTTATGGCGTGGAGAAGGCTACTTTTCTCCCAACCAAGCCCAACCAGATCAGTGGAGGGACGACCGCAACGACCACCAGCCATGGAGGTTGATTGCGTTCCCTCCGAGCCTAATCGAACAGCTTGTGTCACTTCTTCTTATAATGCAGGGGTCACAGTTTATGGGTGGCCTTCCAAGGGTGGTCTTTATGCCCTGTATGACTGCCTTGGGGTGGAGCTTGAATTTCTAGGCTTTGACAGATTTAATCCACCTAAGTTACGAGCAGGTTCACAAGCTAAGGAGGATGCACATTGTGACCGAAGTTAGTTTGGCCCCTCCCAACTACTTTTTTTTTTTTTAAAAAAATACCATGTTTCTAACTTTCTAACCTCGAATAGTGCGTCAGCTTGGGGCTACCTGGTGGAAAAGTGAAATTGGAACGGATCTGTTTAGGAGAGAGATAGAGGGCCCCAAGCTTACGGATGAATACCTCCGAGTCGGCTGGCCAGCCGGGGGTGGTGTGTGGGTTTTACACACAACGATCGAGGTAGCAGCCGAGAAAGGTGCTGGGTTAACACATAATGCATATAATATGGAAGAACGATGTAAAGTGATTAAGCAGATGGGAGGTGTCTTTTATGCGGATCCTAAAGATTGTCCTTATCTCGATTTGCCCTAATATTAAAGGCTATTATTTGACTTACTAGTACTCACGTCCGGTAGCTAGCTAATGCAAAGGATGTCTCTAGCCCTTACTATAATACTACAATGTATTTGCCGGCAACCCTTCGTCTGGGTGAGTATTATTCGGACTACAGGAGCCTTGTATAGCCTATCTGCTGATCTTCCTGTTCCTTTAACCTCTGCTCGCATAAAATTCCTTGTTACTTGAGTTATGTGGGGTAGTTACTGTTTATTGTAGTATCACGTAATATTAAGAAAGGCACAGCCAAGCCACCTATGTAGCCCTCGACATACTGTGTATTAGCACTAGGATAAAACGCTATAATACACTTAGACGACATATTAGTTTATGCTACGTCACAAAAAGAATGGCAAAGGATTGCTCGACGATTACCTAACGAGACCTCGCAAGAACCGTGACTTAATGTCCGAGAGATCCGAGGAAAGAAACCTATTGTGGTTTTACTTGCGGGTACGACCACTGTAGACAAACACAGATCAAGCCATATTGGAGTGGTACGTTTCGACAACATACACGCTGGTTGGTTAGTACTTAGCATAGTAGGTGACTAAATGCGAATCTCTAACTACCAATGGCAAGTCTGTTCAGTCAGGACCCTTTTTGGGGGGTCTTCTCCGCCTGTGGGTCTTGTCTAAAGAGTCCGCTGTTTGCCCAAGGCCCCGTTGGTCTGGGCGTCGGGGCGGACCGCGTCCTCCCGGGTCTAGTGTTAACTAAGATACATCATTTTTTCGGAGTATTTGAGCGAGAAGGATCTAAACTACACTATTCCTAAGGAGGAAGGAAGAATACAGGATTTTTATGTGTCAGAATATCCGAAGATTACCCCGGCTATCTACGGAGTAGGGTTGTGTCCATTTTAGCGCCGCGGAATTTCCCTGACTGTACTATCATACTAAGTTGATACCAAGTGGATCTACCACTGTGGTTCAAACGTTCACCGATTTGCTTATACGGAGTAGTCCAGGGTCTAATCCCTGTCTATCTGTCGCATAGAACACTGACTAGAGCCTAGGGGGAAAGTGCAGGTTTTACTATATTCTCTGTTCCAAAGTTCATGTTAAGGATCTCTATCGCAGGAGTGACATGGCCTCTTACTACACGCCGTTTCCCAAGAAGGCATACCTGTTATTGGCCCTCACGGGTCAACGCACGTCATTTCTCTCTTAATGGAAGTTGGACAGGGTTCTGCAAATATTATGGAGACGAGAGTGCTATCGGGGTTTGCTACTCGGATTTGATATGGCTTTGAGCATACTGCAACATGTAATACTGGTGGTAACTACCACCTCTAGCCTTTTCTTAGTTCAATATAATCTAATTACCGGGTAGAAGGAGCGGGCTATGCCACTATTTCGGTTTGGTCCGGTGCAAAACACTGCTATGGTGTCGGTTCCAGTTCCTTAATTTTAGCAATGCCTCTCTGCACAGTTGTCTTAGTTGAAGATCACTAATGCGGTATAATCTGGGACTTGTGGGTGTAGCTTCGAGATGAGATATAAGTTTGTCTTAAAAGTTTTCGCCTTAAATACATACAATCCTCCGTACCAAATCCAAGCGAATAATCTTCATCACGAAAGTGATCAAAGGGATTATTCTCTCCTTGTTATTATGATTTTCTCTCAGGTTCTGAGCCTGGCTCTTCTGGGGTCAGTCAATGCCGCTACTCTTGGGAAACGATTCTCCAGTGGAGGTTTCGCTACTGGTGAAAAGGACCCGAATGTAAGCAGCGGCTGTACCTGCTGGGCCAACTCGATTAAATTAACCGACACCTGTGCCGCGCTAGAGAGCTACTATGGCATCACAATTGCACAGCTGGTTTCCTGGGTAAGCAGGAAGAGCCCGATCATTTAAAATGGGCAAATCTTGTTGCGTCGATAACCCGAGGTTCGGATTGGCGCATATCCCAGCAATTTTCGGCAGTACCAGTCTCTCCTGGGTGCCATCAGTAGCTGACGTGTCATAAACTCCGAGTCTGCCTCCGCCATTGACCGGATTTCAAGGCTTTGCTGACTCAACAGCTTCACAACAATGCCAGAAGATCACCTGCAGACGCTTCGGCGATTGATGGAAAGATATCGCATCCGGTTTCAATCACCAGACGAGCCAGATGAGGCTTGGCCTGAACTCCATGTGGATACATTCAGAAACATTAAGAAACTAGGCGGTTATAAATTCGACAGTTATTCGGCTGGCGTGAGTATCTGGTCATCCAACGAGCCCTGGAAGCAGCAGATTAAAGCCCGCGCAGAATGGCTTAGTACAAGCGTCTATTTTCCCAGGAGCGCAATGAAGCAGGCTGGCGCTTTGAGCTGGAAAATAATATTCTAATGAGATTCTCAGCAAAAGTTGCTTGGTAAGTCTTGTGCCACTAGAATTTTCTATCTCCCAGCGAGGGTAGCCATGTAAAGGGACTTTGCATGATCGTCCGTAGAGCACCCCGCTAAATTTGGCAGTCCAAGATGCCGAGCTAGAGTATGGCAGTCTGAGATACAGGCCGCTCTGAGTAGCCATCGACTTGACCATGCAGAAGAACTTGAACAACGTAGAAAACAGAGGAGGCCATGCCAATGCCCTCCCAATGAACGTTTTAAAGACTTGTTAGTCTGTCCTTCTTAGGTCCTTCCCCGCTCAAAGAATTCTGACCGTCACAGCTACGAAGTTGGGACGAATCGCCTCTTTAATAACCAAGCACAGGAATTTGTTGTATACAATAAGTATCTCAGATCACAGCTCCCCAAGCAAGCCCCCCATCGCGTTATTGGCTTGCAAAAAGCCAGGAACCTGGATAGTTTGTTATCAAGCCCCGTCCGACCGAATCTTGCCAGGCATGAAGATAAAATAGTTTCAGATATTTTTAAAGTCACCCCTATTAAGAGTCAAGCAGATCCTCTTCTCTTTCCCTTCTTGCTTTTGAGGTAAAACCAGAAATAATTCCGAGCGGATTCGATGCTATCCAGGTGCAGTCGGCGTTCACGACCAACGCACCTTTAAAGCTGCAGGAAGAATTGCGGTTATATGTTGACTGGTCACCGGGAGTAGAGGGCTATAAGCCTTTGGTATGGTTTCTGGCATCTCGCGGAGATTCATGGAAAGTGTACGCGTCCCATCTTAACAAGGGAGCTAATAGGGAGCTGACAAGATATGTAAGGACAAGCCTGTCGGGGTCCTGGCTAAGATTCCCCTAAAATCCCGCCTTTGTTGTATTATAGCTATCAAAAAGCTAATTTGCTGGCAAGAATATAACGTTACTCTGGTCAGGGTCGTTAATGCATAAGGACGATGCTTTGCAAATATTGCTTATAGTTAACTATATAATGGACTAGGCAAGGGATATCTATCGCATAGCGATTCTAAAACAGCTACAATATTTGGTTACTGGTAAAGCAATAGATCAGATCAGCGTGGTTGACAGTGAGATCGTCTCTATGCGTAGGGATGTATCTAATTAGATCCCTACTCCACCCAGTATGGTGTTGGAAGATGATAGTAAAGAGTCTAGTGGCTTTATTACCAAAAAAATGCCTCCCCTACTATTATTAGATCACCAAACAATGCTTAATTTCCGGATCCTAAACTCCAAGCTTGGCTCCTTGCGCTCGGCTTCTCTGGTGGAATTTCGATTTGCTGTTCCTATCTAACGGAGAGGCTTATTCCAAGATTTTTGCAGGTGATTGGAGGAGGACAGGATAATCCACATAGTATTAAAAAGGCTGCGAGACATATTATTAATTTTATAATCCAGTTTGATGAGTTTCTGGTAATCAGGGGCCGACCTTGAGCTTCTCAAAATGCTTTGGACCAAATACTGCTCGCTCAGATACAGAAGATCAGGAGCAAGACTTCTATATTATTATGGAATGCAGCTGGTATTTCACACCCTCTTGGGAGATCACAAGACAACTTTGGTGCTTTGCCATCTCTAAAACCGCCTTCAGCATTTTGAAGAAGTACGCACACTTCTCTGTACGTCAGAAGGGGATTGAGAACCTAAGTCAAGCTGGAAGGCATTGTTCTTGACAAATTCTCCAGCAGTGTGTTGAGTATCTTCGCGCAGGATCTCCCTGGCAAGTACTTTTGGCTGCAATTTCCCGCACCCTAGTTACTATTTATCCCCTACCTGTTCGACGAAGAGTTCACGCCACCTGTTGAGGGACTTGACCTTGGTTATTCCCGCGATGACAGAGTAAAGCCATTTATCATGAAGTATCCAAAGCGAAATCTATGGAAACCGAAAAGATACATGGTAGTTTTAAGTGACGAAATACAAGCCGCTCTTTGTTAAGGGTACACTAAGGAGGAAGTGTTTGCCATGAGGCATGAAAAGCCACCCAAACACAGAGATATGTCTTGGAAGCGTAATCTAGAGCAGTGTACGCACATAATCAATGCATAATACTACTCATAATTATTGCGAACGATGTCGCCGGAATCCGAGACAAATATTTGTCCCTTTGCTCACGGATATTTGGACATGCGCAATCAACAATTATTATCTAACTACAGCATAATCTTAGTGGTCTCGCTGCTGGATGCAGGCGGGTTATATAAATTAGATATATGTGTTTTCGCGCTGAGACCTCTTAGTAATGTGAAAGACAATATGGTTCTCTTAGTTATGGTTAAGAATGCAGAGTACTTTAGTCTACCACACGATCAAGTGCGATGTCAGTGATATTTAATTAAAAAATAGCATAAAACACAATTTACCCCTGCCATACTATTAAACAAGACACTATAAAGAGGTCCTTCTCTTAAACTGGATTCGGGAGCTGCGCGATGAGCCACTATTACACAAGGAAGACTTTCCCGGCCATGAAGCTTGGCTAAAGGGGAGATATGTTGCCCATAGGTTTATGTACTATCTCAGCATCGGGCATTTAGAGCATGAAGCAGTCAAGATTGCCGGAGAGGGGGAGCAGAAAAGACAATGTAATTTGGATTTTTATATACTGGCTTTAAAAGTAAGAAAGGAAAATGGCAAGGAAATTCCTTTCTACTTTGATCCTCACAGGAAGGTGAGACTCCGTAGGGATGAACTCCGCGATTTATCACATGGGATAAGGGAAAGGACTTTTTGAAGCAAGAATACCCAAAGCAATCCCTGTCTATCTCGTCGTTGATACATACTGCAACTAAAGAGTCTAGGGTTGTCGTTGAGATTGGTTGAATGTCTACAGGACCACTTAATAGGGAGGCCATAGGATTGTCTGGCCAAGAAATTAAGCAATGAATGTCTTAAAAATAGTAGAAAGCAACTTTTATTCTGTACATATATAGAAGACATCAACTCCTGGAAGCATTTTTTGGCCTTTAAACTAAATCACCTAAACTAGACTCTATTTAAATACCAGAACGTGCTGAACATACCTAATGCTCTGACTGGGGATAAGATACAGAGTAAGGGGATAATAAAGAAGGGGTGAGGATTTTATAGGCACTATAAAGAAAAGGGCAGCTTTTTCGTTTAATATGCCGTACGTAGCAGCAAACCTAATCCCCACTACCCCAGCGGTTTACCCCTATAGCCAATGCATATAAACATACAAGCGTATTACTAGGAAGGCAGTATATCGCGCGGTTACGTATTACCCAAATCCACTACAATACAAACAGGAGGGGAAGTTCTGTACTATCTATGGATTCTGCATCCTATCTAGATATCAATATGATCACTATATAATGCTAGTATAGGAACGGAAATAGGCTTGGGAAAAAAATATTTAGCATGTAGTATGCAAGAGCTCATATCCAGCTTATAGAAGATATGTTTATAGAGTGAGAAATAACCACCAGTCACTTTTTGGGACCAAGGTTGGATGTCCTGCTCAAAGAGATCTATATCACACTTTGCTTTCTCCCTGGCCAGCTGCAGCATTTGCTCCGTTACATAACGACGAGCAGATAATGCCAATATAGTTGGCACTGGATCCATTCATTGGGCCGCTAGTAAAAGTTACCGGCCACAAGTATTCTGCCTTTCTGTTTTTTTATTTTAGTTAACAATTGCTGCTTCCAGTTTGGCTCTCCGCCATGTACCAAGATCAAGTCATGATATCCGATGCGTTGTAGGGTAGGTCTCCTTTTAAAGCCAAATTTAGTGTGTCGTAAAATCTAACGCTGAGTAACTAGAGTTATATTAGCAAGTCTCCTTGCTGCAATAAAAATACTGACGTATTTCTTATCCTGCCTGACCAACATTTGTAACCAGTAATAAGCACTCTCCCAGTCACCTTCTTCATCTACCTGCCAATCGAGGGTAATCCCCTGGGTCCGGACGCGCGCCTCACGATGTTCTTGTAGTAACTCCTTAATCTAGGGCGTCCCTACCATAAAAACATGACTGTAGTCTCTTACCTGCCCACCAATGCCGCATAGGCTGATTAATACTGGGCTAAACAGACCATCGATCCATACTGTGTATTCTCGTTCTTGCTCAAGGCGATCGAGTATTGTGCGTGAAGCTGGAGCGTGACCGTGGAAGAAGGGAGACAGAAACCGCCCTGCCGATGTCGTCTCCTCCCACCTAATAGTAAAAGGGTGAGACTGCGCCAAATAGAGTAGGCTAATAAATAAAGCGCTAAATTTAACGCGCTCCCCTGCTCTCACAGCCCAGGGCCGAGGAAGGATCAGGGTTAAACAAGCAATACTTTCTCTATAGTTTTTTAATAAAAGTGTTATACATCTCCTTTTAACAACTATATTACAAAAGAGCACACGGATAAATTAAGCACCAAGTGAGACAACAAAGATGGCAGCAGATCCTAGAAGATGTGCCTAAGCGCTGCTTTGTTTTATAGGACAAGTGTGTTGCCAAATCACGTAGAGTATAACCAAGGCCCATCCCTGGTGCATCCTCAGGAAGACCTTATATATATTCTTTTCTTCACCAACAACAAGACAATGAGGGAAAGGAATATACTCGCAGCATGTTATTATAGTCTGTCAGTCTTGCTAAGATAAATACTAGGAATAGGGATATTATACCATGATACCGTAGACTTGCATGGTATTAGATGTTAAAATTAATCTTGTTTGCGCAATAATCAAAACATATATAGTATCCTTAACAACTACAAAAAGGCCAACAGTTCAATAAAAGGCTCTGTATGTTTTAAAAGACATGCCAAGAAGGCAAGCGCCGAACTTATACCCCCCAGAGATAAACATGGGAATTGTTGGAAATCAGGATGCCCAAGGCACCTTCGTATATCCTAGTCCCGTAGCGATCTGATATATCACACGCAAGGGGCTAAAGGACACGTAGACATGAGGAAGCGTTTGTCTACGCTCTCTCTCCTAGATAGAAGAATATACTCACCATGCGATACTAGATCGCACCGATAGTTTCAATATACTATCCAGTCACCGCTATCCTAGCACCTCACGACATAGCTTCTTCCCCGAGATTCTCAACACTAGGTACATAAACGTGGCCACGCGATGTAATCCAGAAAATCTAGTATGCATGCCACTAAAGATGTTATAAAGTATAAAAATGCTAATTACACTGCCAACTACAGCCATGTAAATCTTCTCGATAGATTTAGTAACTATGTCAAATTAATTAATAACTTTCTTGTAACTTGCTATAAAATATATAGGATGACTGTATAACACTAACAGTTGCAGGGATTATATATAAGCCAGGCTCGTACTGCTATCCACCTGCTACGTTACCTTTACCGGGGGGCTATGCCACTAACAAGGTGCATCCCCTAAAAGGTTCGCAAAATAGTAGAGCCTATATTTCTGCGAGCCTATTATATTGGGCTAATGGATATGTCAAAGCATCGGCAAAATAGGGTTTTGCTATTCTTGCTTTTATTAACGCAGCTGCTACATGTGTGCCTTTTAAATATTAAGATTAACTTTACTCTAACATCTAGTAAAACTAAGCTTTCAAATAAAACAGATCCGGGTCTGTTTGTATTTTCTATGCAATCTCCTGTCCTTACATTGCAGGCAGTGCTTCTTAATTACAGTTGGACTAATACTTCCCAGAGTCTGTTTGTTTAATAATAATACTACCTTTCTAATTCCACGCCTTGATTTACAGTACATGTAGTTAATACTCCGTTAAACAACTCTGTGTACATATACTGGCCACATTTTTTCTTGTTAATGGTTAACTTATTTAAATTCCTGACCTCCAAATAATAAACAATCCCTCCACAATCGTCCCTACAGTGCCCGAGCACAAACTGATACCCCAGTCATGGACTGTCTCTGTTGGTAACCACGTCTGCTAAAGATGGAGACTGGAGTGTGCGAGGTAAATGAGATCACGTGATCGGGGAGAGTTCTACACAACCTAGCGAGTACCCAGTATACGGGCTCGAGCATTTTGCGGGCCCTGCCCGCTACACATATAGCCTATTGTATTGTACTGTAAGTCCTGCCGAGGCCGATACGAGTAATGCCCGCTGTGGGGGATCCTTGGACAAAGAGGATAAATCACGTTTATCAGAAGGATTACGCATTCATGCGTCGATTTTTCAACATATTCAGATCAGCGTAGCGACATGCACACATGGTGTCCCCAACCCAATTCAACAATTGGTTCTTCGGGGAATTGTCGGGAAAGTATCACATTGTAGCTAGTAATTACCGTACGTCATTTCTCCACAACAGGCTTGAACTTTTCCCCACAATCTATAACCCCGTAACTCCATAATCCTATAAACCTATAATTATATTTGAAAAAAGGCAATCTCCCATTCAGGGAAACGTACCTTAGGATATCTACCCGTCTGCCAAAGTTATTTAAAGTTGTTAATCCTCTCGTCGGATCAATCGTGCTTCGACTTGGAGGGGCAAAGAAAGAAAATTTATCACACCTAGTTAAACTATGAAGTGCACTACTTTAGCAGGCGCCTGTCTCTTTGGGGCGCTGGCGCCTATAGTGGGTGCTAGGTCTCAGGTTGGTCTGAACAAAAAAAATCCGAGTTATCCCTAATGCATTTGGTAGCCTACCATATTTCGCGCTATAGCGCGTTCTACGTCATGTCCGGAGGCTCCATCAACTCTTGCCTTGAGCGACCCTCCCTATGAGAACTACATGTACTCGGACTGCAATGTCGCGGCGCAAGTTGTTGTCACCAGCCCATTACCTAACAGCAACTTAACACAGATAGGACCCCGGTTGATTGTCGCCTGGCCGGCTGGCAACAGCGGTGTGTGCGCTTACTTTGCGCCTCAAAACGGCATCAATGGCTCGCTCGCGATTGAGGTGATTAACTCTACCGTAGGCGATCCTTTGGCGCCTGTGTACATCGCGCCCTCAAATGGATCCCAATATCCTAGCGTCGGTGTCACGGGCGTTCTGCGTATTAATGCCTCTGCGACGTTGACTGTGCCGATTCTCGGCAGTATCCGGACCATCAGAGACTTTGTTGAGGGACCGAGTCTCCTTCAACCTGACATTCAGGATGCAATTCAAGTCATAGGAAAGGATCGCAGTGTTTCACTACAGCGGCTGTGGTTGGATAATATTACCGTCTCGACGCTTCAGTTCAGTCCCGCTGCCAATAGCAAAAGCCGTGTTGCTGTGGTAAACAGAACTACGCACTTTGAGGCGGGCGAGTACATTTTCAGAGCTTATATTAACTATCCACAGCTCACTCAATTGAAACCAGATGAGGTACTGGACGCTGAAAATGCGGCACTCCACACTCAACAGTCCCAAAAAACCTCTGCGCTGTCATTCCTTTCATACTCAGAGAAATTGCTTGCGGGCGCATGGCGCTTTCTCACGTATTTTGGGAGAGATTCGATGATTTCCGCCTTGCTTTTAGAGCCAGTTTTAAGCAAAGGTAATAATAGCGCGATGGAGGCTGTTATTGGGGCTGTATTAGAGCGTATTAATCGCACGGACGGGAGTGCGTGTCATGAAGAGACAGTAGGGTGGGTTGTAATATGGAAGTGATAGATATGTGCTGATGTGTTTAGTGACTATGCCACATGGACGAACTTGCAGAAGAATATTACTAGCACCACCATGCTGTGTGATTATAAGATGGTAAGTCTACTCACCAATTTACCTACAGCCTTCTAATAAAAAAAGGTTGATACCGATTACTTCCTCCCTATTCTTATAAAGCGATACTTGGTAGACAACGAAGTGGGGCAGAGAAGGCATAAGGCTTTCTTAAGGTGCGTATCTCAAAATGTTACTTTACTATACGCCGGACGCATGCGCAATAACGCTAATAAGAGGCAGTACTCCGGCCGGTTCTATTAACTCGGTAAACCGGAACCTCACCTGGGGCCAACTATCCACCCTCAACGCCGAGCGGATCATACGTCTGGCTGGCCCGTTCGCACAGAAGCAGACCAAGGAGAATCTCATCCATTTGAATGACGGCGAGGTTGTAGGCCAGTGGAGAGATAGCACCTACGGTAATCTAGCCATTAGCATGACACAGAGTATTTTGCTAATAAATCGGGAAAGGAATTGGCGGTGGCCGAATCCCTTACGATATTAACACAGCTCTGGTCCCAGCCGCGCTGCGAGCCATCTCCATTCTCGCGCGTCATGGCATCTATCCCCATCGTAAGAACTGGGCTCACCTAGCGGGCCAATACGCCGATATCTGGGAGGAGAAAGCCCTGCCGTTCTTTAAGGCACTTTAACCTAATATCCCATCTACAATGAATCGACCTCAATGCTAATATCGAAATTGCAGATCACAATTTCCCGTTCCACCGCCCAAGCCCTTGTCCAAAACTACACGGAGGAGATCTCATTCCCTGGTCCCTCACACGTGTCCCAGATATCAAGTGACGTGACATTTTATGGCGTCGCTCTTGATGGCAATAACAACCAATCCCAAGTGCGCGTCCTTAACACAGACGACTGCTTCCGGCACTTCCTCCTTAATACAACAACCAATCAACCACAGTTAACATCCTTTATTAACCAAACTGCCACACATATACGCACCACGTTCCCTGCCGGGTTAATGACGGATGCAGGGCTGGTGGTTGCCAACCCAGCCTATGGCGGGGACCCAGTATATGCCAAGAACTTTACGACTGGTGCATACCACGGCACGGTGGTATGGTCCTGGCAGCTTGCTATGATGGCTAAGGGATTGGAATATCAATTGGATCGCTGTGCCAGAAACCCCAATTCCTCCAGGCCGGAATTCTGCACAGATGACTTGGTCTACAGCAATGTGAAAACTGCTTATAATGCGCTATGGGATAGTATCGAGCAGAATTCGCAGCAATTATCCTCTGAGGTCTGGTCATGGGTTTATAAAGACGGGAAGTTTGCAGTAACACCTTTGGGCGTGTTACCACCACCAGATGGGGCAGCACAAACTGGTACGTACACACTCAAATATACATATAGATTTATATACGCCTTTTCTTCTCCTTTTGCATTTACTTTAATTGGGTCTGCATTGTGTTTGTTTGTTTCCACTTTGCAAAGACTAATAGTTGGCAGAGTCGGATATTCGGCAGCTGTGGTCGTTGGCATTTTTGGCGGTTACGAGGAATGTTGCCTTACAGTAGTTAGTACATAACCCTATTCTGCAGGACCACAAGCCTTACGTATAAGTCCCCAGCGTGGCTACGGTGGGTTCTTTCTGTAATGAGATTATAATATGGCAATATATTAAAATTGGAAATGGATTTCCTTTCAGTGCCTATCCGTATGAACACCTCTGGGGGTTGATTTGAATATTTTATGTATGGCTTAGAGCGCAGTTTGGCGTTTTCTATACTGTACATCATTGTCATTCAGAGTTAGAAAAGAGAAAACTGCCTATAGACCATAAAAGCGCTAAGTTATAAGACTATAGGAGAGTCATTCAGCACATACATTCTGAATACATATTCCCTTTAACGTCAGCGCGAATAGAGAACTAATTCCTTACAACAATATCCTACTTAAGTCTACCAAATTACGTGATGATTATTTTTATTTTATTTCGGATTTTTGCTCATACCACCTTGTTTAAGTTGATGAATCTGGATGTGATCAATGGATTGGCTTCAGAAGACGGTCTCCTCCCGGGATAACACGCGTCCAAATATCAAAATTCACCGCGATCAGCGGTATCAGATACCCACTGCTTCTACACAAGATGGAATTTTATATTTTCGTGTCTTTCAAGGCTCGACTGACGCCTCTTTCTTTGAGGATTTTATTGAAGAACTTCTCCAACATTGTCGGCCATATCCTGAACCCAAGTCTGTAATTATTAAGGATAACGCATCGTGGGTGGCTCGAAGCACGGGACTGTGGTGGACTCCAAGTTGGATGGCGACAAACTTGTTTTGACTATCCCAGGTGATGTTGCCGACGCAGGTAATTACGCTTGGACATTCAAGATACGCTATTAGACTCAGCCACAGTTGTTCGGCAGGATGCAAGAGGAGGATCCTGGGGATACTCTGGAATTTGATTTGCAACGACCCCAGTGGGAAACGCTTATTCTTCCGGAACCAATAGTTTGAGAAATGACATATAGGAGTGGCGTTGATCCATCCCGGTTTCTGGCATTGATATCAGCTCCTTGATCAATAAGAAGCCTTGCCATGCTGTCACAGTCTTTCTCATAGCCTTTTCTAAAGTATGCAAGAGCGATGTTAATCCATCCTTATCACAGGCATTGACATCAGCTCCTTTATCAATAAGAAGTCTTCCCACAGCCTCATAGCACTTGAATCTTAAGGCACAGAGGAGTGGTGTTAATCCATCCCAATCACGGGCATTGACATCAGCTCCTTTGTCAATAAGAAACCGTACCATAGCCTCTTGGCCATTCTCTGAGGCCACTGACAGTGGTTTTCGGATCTCCAAATTTTCGATATCGTTGACAGCTACACCAGTCTGGAGAAGCAGCTTGACAAAGCCTATTCGGCCATCCCCGGCAGCCCAAACATAGCGGAGTATAACCTTTATAGTTTCTTAAGTCTTTCCTGTGGTTCAACCCCTCTGTAATATCGACTCCGTCACAGATGGTGGAAGGCGTGTTCAAAAGGGCAGCAGCGGCATCTTTGTTACCATTTGCCAAAGCGGCAAACAACGGATATCTATCCCTCTCTCCATAAATATAAATATTCGGATCCTTTTTAAGCCATGTGCGGATGAGTGTCGAGAATCCCTTTTCTGAAAGCACATAAAGGAGGCTTGCATTTGGGCTGCACTGACGAACCTTGAACTTTTCGTAAAGATTGTTGATTCTGGTCCAGTGAGAAACAGGAAAAAGAGATAGAAATTCATCTTGAGGAACTATTTCTGCCGCAGCATTTGCATGGTAGAGAATATGCTGACTGGCATATTCTAAAAATAGGTAATCCTGTGAAATTTCCTTCCGTTCGTGGGATTTGTTGTCTGACAGGCTCTCAACGGTTGCATGTACAGTTGTATGATTAATATATAGAGAACAACATTGTTTGAGTTTTTGATGGCTTAGGCTTTCCGAGTCAAATCCAAGGTCTGGCCGCAATTCATGCAACCCCTTGTCTTTCACGAGGAAGTCTCGGACGGATTCATGGATGAATTGTACTGTTGGCTGTCTAAATTTCGTGATCTCAGCAAGTCCTTTGGAGGAGCTAATAACACATCTGTTAAATCTGTTCAAGCTGTCTCTAGCATCTGGGATTCCGATATCGGCCAAACCCTTTAGTGACAAGCCAGATCAAAGAGCATGGTAGAACTCATTTGGCTGCAAAGGCCGCTCTGCGTAGAGGATCCAGAGTATGCAAAGCAAGAGGTCCTCTATATTTTCATTATCCCGTCTCAAAATATCTTTAAACAGTTCGCTCAAATCACTCGGTATTTCTGCAAGTCTCTTTTTCAGAGCTAGCCCACCCCGTCGATACTCTTTGTTGAGGATATCGACAACTAAGACAACCCACATAAAAGCTCCGGCAGCTTTCCCAAGAAGTTGGGGTCGCAGTTCTTCGACAAGTGCAAGATCTTTGATTTGAAGGCGGTTTGCAACATAGGCTTCCAAGTCATTGGCATGACCTGGCTGGTCCTCCAATGTAAGTCGGATCCCCGTCGAATAACGATGTAGGGATAATGCCGACTGGAGAAGCATATCCGGAGCAGTATGCCTCTGGCGGTTGATCGTTCTGCCAATTCTTCAAAGTATTGGACCATGTCCACAACTTGCTGTTCATCACATTCATCAAGAGCATCGACGAAGCAGGTAAACAAGCGTTGATCGAGCAAAAAAACTGCGTCGCAGAAGAGGTCTTTGAGAACATTCAGGGGAGGGCAACCATTCTGGCCCTGGAGATCAAAAGAGTCCAAAACTCTGTGGAGGTCAGGATACTCTTCCAGCAGCTGAAGTAGTAACGATCGATACATTCCGAAGATCGACTTTTTCTAAGTATTTATTCACCTCGGGCGTTGAAGAAAAAGGAAGTGGTGACAGCATGCATCTGGCGGTCTCTCCTCATGCTCGAGTATGCGAACTTCATAATTGTCGATTTGCCAGCTCCGGGCTTGCCACTGATCCACAAAACTCATGATGTTGCGTTATTTCTCCAGGATCAAGCCATGCTTGGTAGGACGGATGACTGATAAGCCATCTACATGTTTTGCTGTGGGCAGTTTTGATGGTCGATTTACGAGAATCGATTTGCTCAAACCTGAGGGAATCCAGCAAGCGCTGCCGGTGTTCATGTGAGCATTGATCTAACATTAGGCGTGAGCATCAGAAACTCGAATTGCTCCCAAAACTACTAAGCCAAATTACAAGAACTGGGCATGCGTGCAACTCTTAAATGCGCTTCGGCTACAGGAAGCTCCTCGAGCAATTCCCTCGCGTATACTGCGGCCGTTGCTGCGGCATACCTCTGCCATTCCTTAGACTTGTGGGAATCCGAGTAGTCACAGATTCCCCGAATTGGGAGACAAGGGAGAATATCCATTAGACCTGCAGTCTCCATCTCGAAACATATAACATCCAGTTCCTGAGCGACATTGTCACGGGTAATGCCGCATTTCATAACCTGGTTTCCAGAGGCGATCGCACCATAATGAATCACCGTGTCGTTTGATATCCGTCTGCGCTGTTGTACCAGTTTCGACTGGTCGCATTTATCACAGCTAGCCATTGGAGCCTTATGATTATATGTTGCTTCGAAGAGACGATCTAGTAAGCTCGGTCGACTGTACTCAGTGCGTTCTCCCAGCTTCTGCTGTAGGATGGATGGGACTCGACTGGGCTGCAGCTCATGTATCGAACGGAGGGTGGATACAGCTGTTCCAAGCAACTGGTGGGGGAATCGAGGGACTCCTCTTCGCTCAAGCATTCCGACTCCGACTGTTTTCCCAAGATCATACTGCGTCACCCTTGTTCCAACAACAATGTCGCCCAAACGCACATCCGCCTTGTTCGGCACACCACCACCAATCCCAACCATCTAGCCCGCGCGAATAGAGGCGAAGGTTCGCTTTATATTTGTTATAACATTTGCTGCACTATTTGTTCCATATTGGGCTTCTGGCAAACATGCAATAACAATATTGTGTTCCTTAATGTTTCCCAGTACGTAGGTGTTGTTGTCATCTGAATGCGTGGGCAGGGCTTCGTGAATGTCATCCAACATAGCACGAGCTGCTGCCATTTCGATGTGCAGCGCGAATATCCAGGCAATGGTGTACTGATCATGTCGGGTGGGCGAGCCGTCATAGTAAAAAATCTTTTGTCACTTTGGAGGGTGAGACGAATTGGTCTCATCATGCTCTTCGTGCCAAAAAATTTCCCTGTCCATCTTAATAAGACATCCATCAAACTCTACAGTTAAGGAGATCATTGGTAGTTATAGATGGTGGAAGGAAGTATCAGTGAATGGCAGTTATCGCCAAAAAGTAAGAGACGAAAAACCAAGGATTGGGCAGTCATACACATGCACTGCCACAGATCGATGTAACCATGGCCTCAGCCACCTAGAGACTAGTATTATTATCTCCTTCAGCTTTTAGATCATTAATAGTTGTGCCTTGTTTTCAGCCTTGTCAGATCTAGAAGACTTGAAGTGGAAGTAATCTGATGGGTACAAAGGTCAGATGGCAGATCTGCAACTCTTGAATGTTGGACCTGACGGAGGTTACTGGTTTTGTAGTCTGTTAAAAGGGAGGATAAATTTATATAAGATATTGTAACATTAGCTAGTTAGTCAACTAGTTAATTAACGTATTCCACGGCCGAGTGGTAAATGCAACCGAGCGGATAATTTTCGTCACAACAACAACTAATGAAGCTTTATAACCACCAACACCATTAAATTAGACTATTCAAAGCATAAAATAAATAGCTATTTACTAGGGCAACTTTGTATAGAATGTCCAATAGTCCCACGCCCACTACAGCGTGGTGGAGCTCGCTGGCGATGTACAGATATACATAACTAGCCTTAATAACCTTATTAAGCCGCATATCGAGCTGCTCAACACGATCCTCACCTTCCCGTACTGCTAAAAGAGTATTATTACCTACAGTAGCACGCCTCTTTTGCCTTTTTGTTTCCCGCTTATTCTGTTTTTGTACAGACTTTATTTGTCGCTGAAGGTATCTACTGCCCTCAGATGTTGAATATAAGACACAGGACTGCTAGATAGAGCTCTTCTTTTTTAAAGAATTTTTTGCAGTTTACTGACCTTGTGATCAAGCTGACGAGTATTTTGAGGCGTTTAAAAAGCAGAGGAAATTAAGCCTTTAACTAGTGGTGGTGTTGGCGTACGTATTTGGAAGGTTATATTTAGTGTATTCAAAACACTTTGTAAGCTTCTGCCTTGTCCCATAGACCCTCCGCTTGTCAGGAACAGGAAATCTCCCAACCCTTTACAACATATTAATCTACTGAGGTAGACTAATACAACTCACTGAATAGTTAATGTCTTTCGTGACTCGTCAGACCCAATCTACATCCAACGACGGACTCTTGGCATGGCCCGTGAACAATATCCGCAAACCAGGGCCACTACGGCCTCTTTTGAAACATCTCTCCTGATTAGTGTAAAATCTTCGACGCCATACCCAGTGGGTGTTCGTCCTTGGCTATCAAACGGCGATCCGGTTAAATAGACCGCCTCTCAAGATAGCATAGAGAACGGAGTATTCCAAATGGGGAATTCACGGAGAAACTCAGGACAGGATATTCCAATGCTAATTTTGGAGCTTGGTTTATTGAAGGACTGTATGCAGCAATTCCCTACTTAAAGTGGTGGTAGGACTGGATAGTGAGTGGTAAGCTTATCGAGATCAGAGTCAGGATAAATACTATGAAGACCGCACTCTGGCCGAGTTTGTTGGCCCTTTCGGTCTCAGCATATGCTCAGGTCAAGGGGACGCCGTATGGGTTTGCAGCGGGAACTACTGGAGGTGGTGACACGAAGGCTGCCCCTCCGTCGAGTCTTCAAGAGTAGGTCTTATTTTCTCGCCATGATTTCTCCAGCTAACGCGTGCAGACTCACTAAGTGGATCACTGACGACATTCCCCGGACCGTCCTGATCGATCGTACTTGGGACTTCACTGGGACTGAAGGTACCACCAATGGTAAATGCTGCAGCAAAGATACAACTACATGCAAGGGAGGCACGTCTAAGGGCCAGGGATGGATCGTCGATGAGTGCAACGACGGAACTTGGTATGATTGTACATATGACAATGCAGCGCGCACGCCGTTGAACGTGGGTTCCAACAAGAGTATTGTCGGCGTGGGCAACGATGGTGTACTGAAGGGCAAGGGATTGCGTATCTCAGGTGGAAATAAGAATGTGATTATCCAGAATGTCCATATCACGGTAAAATATCTTTTTCAGTTTCTGATAGACGCAGACTGACCACTGCAGAATTTGAACCCTCAGTATGTCTGGGGAGGAGATGCACTCACCCTTGACGACGCCGAGCAGGTGTGGATTGACCACAACAAGGTGAGCATTCCCATTTCTGATTCCCATATTCGTCGTAGCTAACAGAACAGTTCTCCCTGACGGGCCGTCAACACATTGTCAGCGGCTGGGGTAAAGCCGGTCACGTCACCATCTCCAACAACGAATTCGACGGACGCACCGAATGGTCAGCGGGATGCAATGGCAAACACTACTGGACTATGCTGTTCATCGGCAAGGAAGACTACTACACGTTCTCTGGAAACTGGGTGCACGACGTGTCAGGCCGCGCACCACATATGGGCACTGAAAAAGCTGGCTCGCGTATCTTCTTCCACGGCGTCAATAACTATTTCCATAATATTGGTGGACACTCGTTCGACACTGATACCAATACCTGGGTGTTGCTGGAGGGTAACTACTTTGACAGTGTGGATACTCCGTTGACTGAGTCCTCGTTGAAGAGCGGCTCGTTGATCTACAATGTGCCGACGGCGGACTCGGGGAGTGCCTGCTCAGGGTCTCTGGGATATATATGTGAATGGAACCAGTTGGTTAAGTCCGGTACCTGGACGAAGAAGGTCGATACGGCGGTTTTGACCGAGGCAGCGAAATTCAAGGGCTCGTTGGTGGGCCATAAGGAAGTTATTGATGTTCCAGCGAGCGTGAAGGTGAATGCAGGTGTTGGGAAGTTATACTGATGTACACTCACACGGCTCATATCATTCTAGGGTACTATAAGCTAGTACTAAGTAAATTCCATTTACTGCAATTCTCTTCACTGCAGCCATAATTACAGCAATATCCATCCCATGAGATTTATCACCTCGATACGTATAGAATAGTTAATGCAAGTGTATTAACTAAGTATTTTCTTTATAGAGATGTGAATAAGATTTACTGAAGTAAATCAACTTGTATGTGAATGATCGAAGCATATATAGGACCTCAATCCTCCTTCCTACCTGTTTCTATATCTTATTCATGATTTAATTCTAGACATATATGGTGGTCTCTTTGCAGTTCCCTTGGCATCGTTGTTATAATGTCAAACAGTTGACAATTCCCTCACCATAGGCGTGCCTTCAGTCACCTTTGTTCCATTGTGACATCTATAAGCTATAAGAACACGAACAAGCCTCAGTTATTCTTCCAATCCTCTTATGACATTGCTTAAAGCCTACCTGGATTAATAGTGGATTGTACAGAGCAATTTCATCCATTTTTACTTCCTCAATTTTACAACCTGTCAAAGCCACTAGATATGACTATTTGTGTCGAAACTCTCGTCGAGGCATACCGTCAAGTATGCTGTCCCTTGCCGTGATCACATGCATTTAACGACATTAGATTGCACTTTTGCCCTTATCACAACCAAATTAAGCATTATGCGTCTTTTTGACCGTTCTCGCGGCATCCATTGGGCACTTGACAAGCAGGGTGCGACAGTTGCAAAGTCGGTTAAGACCCAACCAACAACAGCAGAGTGTCTTTCTGCTGTAGGAGAGGGGAGTATTATCCGTGCAAGTCTTGCATGAATGATCTCTTGTCCGGCTACCGGGATCGGTTATTTCTTTTCCACTGGATGTACCAGGTGGAATACATAATATTAAGTAATTAACGAAACAAATGGCCATCAAATTCCACCTTACAACAAGGGTGCCAAGGTCCTAGTTAGCCAGGTAAATGTATGTATTTATTAAGACCATCTCTTTGCAAGTTATGTTTTCCTGACAGAAGATAGATGGTATCGAACAAACGATACGAGAGACAATATACCACTCAGTCCCCCCATATTTCTTTGCCATAAAACAAACCCACAATGGGCTCAATTTAGATATGAATATGAACGAGAGGGATAAGCCCAGTTGAATGTGGTCAAAGATCGAATTTGGAACTTCAGAAATTTTTTGCCCTTTGCAACGCTAGATACCAGTATGCATTGGGTTTGGTTGATCACATCTAAGAGCGTGCGCAAACTGTTTCTTGTATGGGGAACGCGTGGATTGCTCCCTTCGTCAAGATTTTTTCTGTGGGCATAATGACCAGCACTCATTTTGACTATGACCGTGTTTCTAATTTCACCACTGTTCTCAATCACGTTGCCAGCTTCTAGCTACTCAACGACAGGGTGATCCAAACATCTGGGCATTGAAAAGAAAAGGCTGTTATAAGTCTACGGGATATGCTTGAGCCGATATTTTAAGCCGGTGACGGACAATTTTGACACTATCTAGGGACTTTTGCCACGTCGGTCTTCAATAGAGCGATAGAAATCTGTGGATATCTTGTCTTTCTCGTCCAGCCCCTATTAAATAATTATAACACGGTGGTTGCTCTAACTGGCTGATATGCTGGGTCCTGTCGATAATAAATTCAGAAGGCCTTGATAAGGAAAATCCGGGAGAAGGATAATTACAGGGGCTGGGAGGATATTTCAAATAACATCAAACAGCCTGATGTAGCTCCAATTGTTCGCCTCTAGTTGCCAGACCTTGACGATGTGTACCATATTGTTACGCATTCAACCTCTTATCTCTGTTTATCACATCTTCTCCGTCTCTGCACGGGTCTTTCATCAAATGGCTGACAATGAAGATGTCTGAACCGGATTATCAAGACTCGATATTACAAAGGGACGAAATCCTCACGGTACTAAATGAAGTTACAATTGGTTATTTACAGGGTACGAGTACTTGTATACTTGCCTATAATCCTGTTGATCATATTATGGCAGTTTGCTAACAATATATTGGAAAGTAGCTGATACAGCAGCTTGAATTCGCCTCTATTGGCTACTTGCTAGCTATGGAGACCCATGCAGGAAAGATATAAGACTTTCAACGGCTAAAAGTGGTCATGCTCCATGAGAATGGCGTGCCTGAACGAACCGTGTGTCTGAATTGAAGGGGGCTTTCCAATCATGCAACACACTTCCGCACTTCAATGTTCCCCTCATATAGTGCGTGTAAGATTGTATGTGAATGGAAAGCGGGATATTAGACTGATGATTTTGTCAAGAATACATTTCGGCTAGCTAAGAAATATGTGTCATGGATCAGCCAACATTCGAGTGGGCAAGCCCCGGCATACTACCCCTGATACGTCGCGTTAAAGACGGCTGGGTCACCTGGTCAAAGATAGGTAACAAAAGTATGCTACTATTTCAATTCAGCGCACAGAGCTAATTTATTTCTAGCTTTGCGTTGCGAGCTGCTAGATTCCATTCCCCTTATATTTGCAACACGCTTTTGTCGCATCATGAGCCGGTTACAAACAGGAGCTGAAGCAGAAGTACTGTGAAGACGGAATGCGAATTCGTGCGTTATTATAAGAGCTAGCCCTGCGCACGTGGTACACATTAATCTGCATTACCACATTGCTAGTTTCAAGGCAAGCCTCGTCACAACTATTTCCCTATATGAGACACGATCCCACATTTCGCCCTTCAGAGTTGCCATGCCGCCTAAGAGACCTGAAACACCTGTAGGCCAGCCCACAGGATCAACACCACCCAGTAGACAACATCAAGGAAGACAAGCTGAGGAGGGGACAGTAAGTCACGATGTGATTGAACGAAGTCTAAAACCGGATTGTACTCGACGGTCCAGCATTGGACAAAAGAAAAACTTGCCAATGCCGATGCTGTCTGTATTCGAAGGGCGAAAGACGGGACGAACAAGGCAGAGACCATTGAGGAAGCTTGCGGATAGTGACCGAATATGCTCAACATGCAATATATACTGTCATCCCGAAATCAGTAATGCAGACTCTGTATCAAATACGCTGTGCTTGGCATCGGATATACATGATCTATGGACAGGTGGGAGGGTTGCATTTCGGCCACTGGAGGATAACAAGTGGTGGCCCCCATACCTAGAGGGAAATCCGTTTCCTTTCCTTCGGACGGAGGCGGACCGGCAATTCGAATTCGCCACCAAAAGAACAAGGAGAAAGACACAGAAACGAAAGGTAAAGTGATGCGAGCGAAGCGGTTGTTATCTGTCGGCTGGAGGGTGTCCGAGGCGAGTCGTCGCTTCTTAGCTGCTCGCCGACGGACTGCATATGTGTTTAAAACCACACAAGAGTAGCTATTCATGGCTAGATGCCTGCTGCAGGATGTGCAGCTCTTAGAGGAGATTATACAAGTGGCACCAACAACATTCTGCCCCCCTACACTGGAAGCCTGGTTCCGCCGTACGTACAAGAGCCTACCAATCTGCTCGCTAACCCTATCTTGTCTACCCGCAGACCGGAGCTGGCCAGTCAAATAGGAGTTCAGAATTCAGGCAATCCAGACAAAGGGGGTGAGATATATGAAGATGATATACTCAACCCAGACCAAGCTTGATTTTGGCTATGGCGCCCATAAAGCTCAGATCCAAGCATATATTTGTGCTACAGACAATAGTCTCCGGGCCATTGAGAGCAACAGAGATGGTTTAATAATACAGGTTATCAATGTCGAAACTATATGCTGCGCCCCTCATCGAAGAGCTAAAAACTGTTGGGGAGTTCGCTGCAAGTTTCCACCTGGCGTCTGCTATACAGATCAATACTGAAGCCAGTAAGTTTGCCTATGATGCAGCCTATTCAGTTGAAGCTACCAAAGCCGCTATCCACTCCATTGGGCAGTTACAGATTCTCTTGGGGCCGCCGTTTGGTTCGAAAACAGTGTCGATCGTCCAATGGGCCCTGAGCTGATTTGCTGACATTAAATGTCTTCAGTATCTTGCATCCCTTGCCAATGTGTTTGTTCGCGCAGGATAGAACTTCGTCATGTCTAGCAGCATTATCGGTCATACAGCAATATCTACCTATCTGACTGAATGTTGCGTCTCACCGGGTATGCGTCCGTTTAGCGAATGTTGCCCTATACCGCGCGTATTCGACGGTGCATGCGCCAACTGCAATGGTTGGATCTGGCTAGTCGATACACGTACAGGATGAGCACTGGCAATCGGTAGACACCTTCTATTGGCCTGGGTGCTGGAGGAAGATATCAGCGGGCTCTCGGTTCCTCGGCATCCAAATTAATTTGGATGATGAAGAGGGTAAGCCGGAGAATCCGATTATATTTGCCGAGAGAAGAAGAATGAACCAGTCTTCTTCTTGGGGTAAGTTTGGCGGGTAATAATTCAATCGTGAAAAGTATGGGTACATGGCAGCACCGCACTGACTAATTTGGCTCGCCTTCATATATGATGCTCCATAACAACCATTTAAAGGCTCTGTGATAAAATAAAGGCAAAATTTAGATAAAAGAAATAACAGTCTAAGCTAAAATCCCATAGCACGTAATTCCCATTGCTGAAACCGTTATTGCACAACGGCCGCCGAAGCGTTGCTCCACGTATACTCCCACGTATCCTGAACTATATCTACTTATCATCCGTCAGTCGAATCGGTTAAATTGGCCTGACAGTTTAGATCTAAAGCACGCAGGCCAGCCTACATATTATCCGTAAAGAATGACCAGGGATGGAGGAAGGTGACAAAAACTAGAGCTGAGTAGAAAGATGGACTTGACGTGCCACAATCCAAATTAGCTGAAGCGGGTGAAAGCAACTGACTGGCTGACTCCATGGTGGAAAAACAAACAGTATTCTACCGGACTGAAAAGGATGCTGCCAATTTTATCATAATCAGGTTGCTCGTAGCTTAATCATCCTGGCTTTCATCCGCTTACCAGCTTTGTATTGGCACTGCTATCACGCAGAGAGTCAAGTTTCAGTGGGGGAGGCTCTGCCGACTTCCTGGTAACTAAGTCCATCTTCTCAAATATCTCCCCAAAGGAAACAGGTCATCAGTTTGGCATACTATTTGGGAGGAGATATTGTCTTATAAAGGAGTCAGTCCATAGCAGAATCAGGGGGCCTATGGCACTCTTCGATGGCCACTTAGGGAGGCTCTTTTCGTTCTTGGATTGCACTATTAGACTTGCCGGAATGCGACAGGATGTCTGTATCTCCGTATTTCAATGGCTGTATTTTAGCTAGAATCACAGTGCCAAGTTTGAATACATACCTGGAAATTAAAAAAATAAACATTTATGGAGTCAAACTTGGGGTCTACGGGGCCCCTCATATCCTTCTATGCAATGGTATTGGCATACACAGTAGCAGTATATGGAGTGTTACTCTATTCGCCCCATTAGGGTTTATGCCTGGAACAGTCTTGGTGGGTCAACTGTGGACCGATTTTTGAAAGAGCTCGCCCAGTGTGGTGTGGGACCGTCGACCCGACACTTTGCGCATGACGATTGGAGGCAAAACCAATTGCACGGACTTCTCTCAGAATCAGGCTATTCACTGAGGGTTCTCTGCAAGTCTTGGCATGCACAGTATTCTCTTCCAGGCGATGAACGGTCGACAGGCGCTCCGAGAGCCCGGTTTCAACGCAAGAAAGAATGCCTTGCGTGACTGGAAACTGACACATGTATTCCTAATTACCAGGAGCATTACATACTAGATCTTGTTCGTGACATCTAGACGATTTATTGAATCCACTGGGGACAAGCATTAATTTCAGGATGGTTGATCGTCCCGCTGGTGACGTTGCCTGTTGGGCCTGTTGGGCCCGTATTGACGATCCTCGACAGATGTCTTTGCTGTAGGACAACTACCGTCCAGTGTAGGGAATGTGACAATGGGAGAGATGAGAGAGGCCTACCTAGGCTCACCATGAGACACATCATATAGGGTAGCCCATGGAGGTTGTGCCTGAGGAGAGATGGCGAGACAATCGCGCGGCAGATAGGTTACATACGGGCCGTAAGGGACGGTACGATACGAGCCCACCCCCACCAATCCAAAATACCAGACAGGATTCATTTGCCCCTTAAATAATACTCTTAAGTATCCCCCGTCGCTTCTCTTATTAACTCCCCATCCTCGATAGCTCTCCTCCTGCCACTCGTTGCCAATCTATCTCAATTGCTTCCGTCATTATGTCTGCTGGTTCAGTTCTCGTTGCCGGGTAAGCAAGCAAGCAAGCAACCATTCCTCCTTTTATCTCCAGACATATATTTGTATCTAACCTGACCCCGCAATCGGTAGTGGTACGGGCTACATTGGCTCTTTCACCACTCTTGCTCTGCTCGAGGCCGGCTACAAGGTCGTCGTTGCGGACAACCTGTACAATTCATCCGCGGAAGCATTGAAGCGCATTGAGTTGATCTGCGGCAAGAAGGCCGAGTTTGTCCAGCTCGATGTCACCGACGAGGCCGCGTTCGATAAGGTCTTCGAGGCCCACCCCGACATCGACAGTGTCATCCACTTCGCTGCCCTGAAGGTATGATTCTTTATGTGGACCCTCAGACTACGTTGCACAAGTACACTCATGCTTCTCGATTCGCTATTTCAGGCCGTCGGTGAGTCCGGTGAGAAGCCCTTGGACTACTACCACGTCAACGTCTACGGCACCATCTGTCTCCTGCGCTCCATGGTCCGTCACAATGTCAACAACATCGTCTTCTCCAGCTCGGCTACCGTCTACGGTGATGCTACTCGCTTCCCCGACATGATCCCCATCCCTGAGAATTGCCCCCTGGGTCCTACCAACCCCTACGGAAACACCAAATTCGCTGTTGAGAACGCCATCACCGACGTGATCAACGCCCAGCGCAACAATGCTCTCAAGGCCGGTAACGAAGCCGAGGCCAAGAAGTGGAACGGTGCCCTACTGCGCTACTTCAACCCTGCGGGCGCTCACCCCAGCGGTATCATGGGTGAGGACCCTCAGGGTGTGCCTTACAACCTGCTGCCCCTGCTCGCTCAGGTAGCCACCGGCAAGCGCGAGAAGCTGCTCGTGTTCGGAGACGGTAAGTTCTCTAATCCTCCCTGAGACGTTCCGCGCATACAAGTCGCTGACCAATTCAATCCCCCCTCCCGACAGACTACGCCTCTCACGACGGAACTGCCATCCGTGACTATATCCATATCCTTGACCTTGCCGACGGCCATCTGAAGGCCCTCAACTACCTGCGCGCCAACAACCCCGGTGTCCGCGCCTGGAACCTGGGTACCGGAAAGGGCAGCACCGTCTACGAGATGGTCCGTGCCTTCTCAGCCGCCGTCGGCCGCGATCTTCCCTACGAGGTTGCCCCCCGTCGTGCTGGTGACGTGCTCAACCTCACGGCCAACCCTACCCGAGCTAACGCCGAGCTCGGCTGGAAGGCCGAGCGCACTCTCGAGCAGGCCTGTGAGGATCTCTGGCGCTGGACGCAGAATAACCCTCAGGGTTATCGCCAACAGCCTCCTGCTGAGCTGCTGGATCAGCTGAAGAAATAAATGAATCTCGGGATAGCGGGAGAGAGAAGAAATGGGAAGTAGAATATCGAATGGATAGACACGAGAATTAGTAGATCGAATGAGACGAATTTCCTTTTTTCTATATAACCCATTCGATTTACAGCTAGTGTCGAGTATTCAGATGGTGCCTAATAGCGTCTACAATTCCTGTCTGGGTCTATTACTCCTATATTTGACTATGCTTTTTGCGATCAGCGTCTCACTGTTTATTTATTGCCTTTTCGACTCCGTCGAGACCCCGGTGTTTGCTCTTTAGGGCCCTTCCCCGTTGTCGACGACGCATTCTCAAGAATTTCTTGCTGTTCTTTCTCCTTCTGCTGCAGGACACGTCTCACTGCGCTTTCTTTTTCCTTGACCTCGATCTGCTTCTCGCTGAATTCCCACAGCTGCTTCCCAATCTCCTCGTCCCGCACCTCGTTGCGGGCAAAATCAACCTCTCGGCACTCCTTGATCATCCATCCTCCGGTTCCCCGGTTATATTGCGCCTCCATGGCCGCATATAGAATACCCTGGGCCCCCTGTTGCGGCGATTTGAGCACCAACCACCAGAATGGCCACGTGAGGAGGTACATCAGGAGTCCCCATAGCGAACCGCCGGTTAACCAGCGTCGCGTGCCCGGGGTGCGACTGAATCCCGGGTCCACGATGAGCACTCGCGTGCTCGGCGGTAGCCCGTCCGGGCGTTTGAACGCGTTCAGGTGCTGTTGGAAAGAGTGGGCGAAGACCATCAATGATAGTTTGCTCATGCCGAATAAACTGGTTCGTTTCTTATTCCCTGCCCCTCTTGTGGGTTTGCTGTTGTTCTTCTTGGGGTGTTTTGTGGGCTTGTTTGATCGTGACGATGCTCGGGAAGAATCGCTACCGCCGTTAGTTCCCGCCGCGATAGTATCAGTCTGTTTTAGATCAATCGTAGCACCGATGTAGCTAGAACATGTTGTGAAGATAATCCGGACGTCCCGATGAGCCGGCTGCGCTCGGAGCGCGGGACTGAGGATGCTCAGCAAATGGTAATTCGCGAGATAATTCACCTGCCACTCCTCATCCAGGCCATCGATGGTAGATTTCCTGAGGCTGGAGGATGGTGCCGCAGTGTTGGCGCATAGGATGACCATATCCAGTCGACGTGCGGGCACGTTATCGATCCATTTGGTTGCGAAGGTGCGCACAGAGTGTAGTGATGACAGGTCGACTTGTTCGGCGTAGATCATTTGGTTCCCCGTTGACTTCCGCAGATCCTCGATGTATTCGACGAGAAAGATATCCGACGGAGCGTGCTGCGTGAGAAGGATGACCTGGGCGCCGCGTGATGCAAGTTCATACACCACGCTGGCTCCAATCCCGGAGGTGCCGCCCTAAGGGGGGCCCCGTCAGCGATGCACTATTTATTTAATCCGGTGGCTGAAGGGGAGCAAAATAGAGTAATACCGTCACCATCACGACTTTCGAGTGCATCACTCGCTCGGAGCTGTTTCGAGCTCCGCCGAAGTAGTATTTCAGCGCAGCGACGAGGAGCACCCATGGCAGCGCCCTGAGAACCGTATAGGCATATGGGATGGATGAGACGCCCTCAGTGATCCCCTGAGCAATCAAAGGGATGGGCATTGTGGTGGATTAACGGTTAAAATAATAGAGAGTAGGGAAGGAGAGAGGACAGTAGGAGCGGAAGGTGAGAATGAATTATCTAAGTAGCGGCTATCTCCCGCTTATCCATCAATCAAACTTCGCCATCCTCTATACCAACTACTACGTCCCAACCATGACCCCCGACGACGACGAAGATTATTTCGTTTCTCCCGAAGACCAGCGCGTCTTCGGCGCTGGAATCAGTCGGAAACGCGTCCAATTTGTTCGCTCCTCCGACCACGAACTCAACACCACCACAGGCACCTCTTCCGCTCCTACTCCCTCAACACCGTCTGGTTCAACCATCGCCAATAAATACCTCTCGATCGTGCTACCCAAGAGCGACCAGGGACCAAACACCTTCGATATCCCACAGGATCGCGATCGTGAACGTGACCGTGAACGTGACCGCGCTGAAGCGGAGATCGAAGTCACGGCCGAGGTCCAATCCGCTCCATCCTCACCGTCTGGGTCTCGTCGCCCCCTGCGCTGTCAAGTCTGTCATCTCCCTCTGCGTGGAACAGGGACAGGGACCTTGAATGAATCATCTACGACGCAGGACCGTGACCGTCTCCATGAAGCTTCTCTCGCGCACCAAGTCTGCCTGACTCACTCCCATCCTCCGTCGCATCTGGACCGTACCCGTCACGGCCTGCGGTACCTCTCCGCCTATGGCTGGGATCCAGATAGTAGATTGGGTTTGGGTGCGCCAGGACGGGAAGGGATCCGAGAACCGCTGAAAGGAAGGCTAAAGGTCGATACGGTGGGTTTAGGTGCTGATATTGATCGTGAGTATGGAGACGGTAGAAAGCTGAAGCAGGTGGCTCGGCCGGCTAAGATCCAGAAATTGGATGCGAAACAGGTGCGTAAGGGGCACGCGGAGATGAGGAAGAGAGGGGATAGGTTGCGGGAGATGTTTTATCAGAATGATGATGTGCAGAGGTATCTTGCTGGAGAGGGTTAGGGATTGGATACGTGTATTTTGGGTTTTTGGACTTGTTTTATAGCGTGATACCCATATTGTCGAATTCTATCTATAGATTATTTGTAATGATTGTGGTTGCGATGATAGGTACATGATTGAGCTACATACAATTGATTAGAGGAGATCATACCACACAAATAAGCGCAAAAAGATACATTGAAACAGACTACCTGTTCCTTCATTAAGTCAAGGTGGCGCTATGAGCGCCAGGGGTGTTCAAGACATACAAACTCAGAGAAATTGGTATCACAGCGCTATAATACAACAACGAGCGGATCGCGAACGGCCATGACCGCAGGGCCCGTTAGGCATTACTACCGCAAAACGTAAAGGCATTTCAGCAGACATACTACCTGAAGAAATGGCGTTTTTTCTTCTCCTTCTCCTTTTGCGGTTTTGAGCTGGAGGCAGGAATAGTGCCGCTAGGCGCACCGTTTGCGGGTTTGGGAACCTTGGGTCCCAGTGACATGGCGCCCATAGCCGCCGAAGGAGGTGCCGGAGAGTTGAGATTTGACATCGGCGGAGGAGTCTTCTTGGGCACAGGCTGAGGTGGAGCTTCCTTCTCGAATAAATGGGCCGGAGCTGTAGGTTTGGGTCGCTCGGCGGGGATATCTAGTCGTCTTCGGTCAGCGCTAAGATCTCCAACTTGCCGCAGAAACAAGCTAGGGCTCAGCATATGTGACGTCGCTAGGAAAGTGTCTTTGTTAAATGCCTGGGAGATTTCATAGCAGGCACGAGACTCTCCGTACGTCGCACCGCCCGCCATGAAGACAATAATGCGTTGTTTAGGTTGCTCCGTCGCCGAGCGGGTTCGTGCCCAGGTCGGTTTGGCACTTCGGAGGGACGCTTGAGATAGGCTATCGTGCGCTCCCATTCCATCGGCGTCGGTTTGCGGACGGGTAAATGGGAAAACGGACGGATCCAGCGTTCCTCTAACAAGCTCTTCGAGCATCACTTTCACATTCAGTTCGTATCGAGACAGACTCATTTCACCCGCATCGGCTGGGGACGGGGGTTTCCGGTTGAACAGCGGCTGAACAGGCGGCTTATCATCCTTCAATGGCTTTTCTGCTCTGACGCCCAATAAGTCCAGGTTGTAGATAATCTCATTGTCTTGTGGTGGAAGCTGACCATGAGCCAGAAGCTTCCTAATATCCCCGGGAACCAGACCTCCTCTGTAGATGATGTAGAGCAGCAATAACCTCAGTCTATCCGAATACCCGACGGCCTCGTCATCCATCAATTGGACCAACTGCGAAGCCAGTCCTTTCGCTTTTTTGTAGTTCTCGTCCACGCCCGTTGCAAGGCATTGCTCAACGGAGCTCACTTCAAGCAGCTTATGCTCTTGAAAATATTTCATGCACTCCTGTGCCATATTCAGGTGGAGTGTATAGGCATCTCTGCCCTGCTGGAATTCGGTGAGGCCAGCGAGCATGTCCTTTATCGTGTCAACATTGGCCTTGTTTCTATTGAGATGTCAGCGATGATGCTATTACATAGAAACGTATACAGAAAAGTAAAAATAAAGGGAAACACTCACTCATCGGCAAATTGGGGGTTGGCCGCTCTAAATTTGGCAAAGTCCTCGCCCAGCTTTTCAAGCACATCTTTCATATGGAGATGTCGGTAGTCAACCCAGATGTTGTCCTGATCACTGATTTCCATGTCCTTCACCTCCTCGTTTGGACCGCCCTCATTGACGACGGTTTTGTAGGTCACCTTGTCCCCATCGTTGATTGGTAGCAAATCATGCACCATGGACTGATAGGTGAACTCATGGATGAGTGGGGCTATGAGATCTATAGACCGGTCCACCACGAGAAGGACCCCTCGAGGCCGGGGCGAAGGTGGAGGGAAATCTCGTTGAAAGTGGGCATATTGGTCTAATTCATTCTGGATGAATCGGGCCAAGTGCGAGCACAGGACACCGGCCTCGTGGGTGGGAGCTTTTGGTCGATAGTATCGAATCACTGGGTATTCTCCCAAGCTGACGCAAAGCGATACAACCTCAACGTTTGTCAGTAGCCAACCCCGCACTCATAACCGCCTGTATCTCACCTTCTGTGCCAACGCCTCCAGATGCGTGCGAATCAAGTGGTTGCATCCAGGGTGGAACAACACCGGAAAGCTCCACGGGTCTCGAAACGTAACAACGCGCGACTCTCTGGGGAAGTAGTCGGTATTTATCACTCGAAAACTGGCAATCTGCTCTTGGGCCATCTGCGATCGTTCAATTCTAGAGCGCTGTTGAGGATCCAGAACTAGACGACGTTAGAGCTGATTGCGGCCAAAGGAAGTGCACATGACCAACCTGCTGTCCAAACTAACCATGCTTTCCTATATCTCCTCCTTTCGAAGTCGGCCATCAGGCAGTCCACAATATGCGTATGAGGCGACAAGATATATAATGCATCCATGCCAGGATTGGGCGACCGCCTATGTTCGATCTGTTCGACATCTTGCGAAAGCGATCATTCAGGTGAAGTTCCCCCAGCGTCGGAAAAGGTGGACATACTGGTGACATTGTTGTTCAGAATATCATCCTCGCTCACGGAATTGCTAATCAACTTTCGGCTAGTCTCATCCACGACTAAAACTTTCCACTACCAACGCGCCATCGTCAGTTCCATACTCCACGGAGGGTAAGGGGAGAAGGAGGGAGCAATCTCACCTCTTCACCTGCAGCAAAACGGATTGTATTAAGGATAACTACATCGTTGCGGAGGCTGTTAGAATGCATACACTTCCACGGGGAAGCGTGAGGGGAATTTAATTATGCCAACTCACTATCACGCTGGACGTGGAGTATCGAGGTGCTCATCTTGGCTGACCGGCAGCCTTCAGCGGTGCATAGATTAGTCGGAAGACCCCAAAGAAATCACCCGAATGGCAGGTTGGGAGCGACAGGACCGGGAAAAACAAAAGAAAGATGGCGAAAGGTAGGCGATCAGGAGTAAACAGCTATCCGGGGTAGGGGAGGCTTGCCTTGTCCTGAGGGATGTCTTTTTGAAACGTTTCAATTGTCTGAAGACCCTCTCCAAAGTCCCCACCATGCTATCATCCCGATGGGTACGGAGGCGGTGTGGCGCATCGGAGCTGATGACTACGCATTGCTCTGTTGAAAATCAATGATTGTATTTTATTTCTAGTTGAGTTGTTGGAGTTTCTTCTGTCTGGGACTCTCTTTATCGGAATGGTTCCCTGATCTCTCACCTCGCTGCTTAGATTAATGGATAATAATAATTCTTTGGCTTGGTGATCCACCGCAACCTTTTCCTCCTTATATGGCAATTTTTTTGCCTCCTACTACAGTGTTCGCCTCTGTCTCTCTCCAACCACAATTTCCCGTATTTTCAGTGGAGGAATGAAGCTATGGATGAGCAGAGGCAGGTCTTGCCTGTTCTGTTCTCTCCAGCCGCTCTTCTGTCCAGCTCCACGGACGTTTACTACCACTCCAGCGCTTCAGCTCTCCAAGAAAGTATCGAAGAAGGCTCTGGAGGCTGAACAGACAAAGAAAGATAGCGTACGTTGCGATTTGACTGAGCGTTCCAATGATCTATCTAACTAAATGACATTTTATCTAGCCTCCTGCAAGGCCCTCCTTCCGTTCCTCCAAAAATACCACTTCGAAGCACTCTGGTGCCGATTTCATCGTTACCGTCGAGTCCGCGCTACATGGACTTCAGCGAAGGCTTTCTGCGCAGTCTGACCAGGCATTACAGGGATGGCAAAGGTTTGAGCGCTTGGTATTGAATGCATGCAAATTAGAGGACCGAGGGGGCAAACGTACTGCCAGCCCATTAGGGCTGGTGAAGGCTACCCTACAGAAGGCCTATGTCAGAAATGGCGTCTCAGGCTTAAGGACCGAGCTTGAATATCTTCTGTACGCCGATGAGCTCACTTCTAGGTTCTCAGCACCCAACCTAGAACAGCAAAAGAAAATAGCAGATATGCGTTTTCCGGTGGAATGGTACCCGCAGGCGCGCGCCATCCAACGGACAATCCATCTACATGTGGGGCCGACAAATTCAGGGAAGACATATCATGCGCTGAAAAAACTGCAAAATAGTAAAAGTGGCTTCTACGCCGGCCCGTTGAGGCTCCTCGCTCAAGAGGTATATCATCGGTTCCAAGCCAACGGGATTTCGTGCGGTCTCGTCACTGGTGATGATGTCAAAATGCCCGAGGATGAATCTCCAGCCATCGTGAGCAATACAGTAGAGATGGTCAATTTAGGCGAGCCTTATGAGGTTGGCGTCATTGATGAGATCCAGATGATCGCAGACCCCAACCGTGGATGGGCTTGGACTCGTGCTTTTCTTGGTGCGCGTGCTAAAGAGCTTCACCTCTGCGGCGAAACAAGGTCTGTGCCCTTGATTCGTAACATCGCTGCACTTACGGGAGACAAGCTTGAGATTCACCGCTATGAGCGACTAAATCCTTTGAAGGTCATGAAGCAGAGTCTCAAGGGCGATCTGAGGAATCTTCAGAAAGGGGATTGCATTGTAGCATTCTCTCGCGTCGGCATCCATGCCTTGAAGTCAGACATTGAAAAGGTCACTGGGCGTCGAGCAGCGATTGTGTATGGGAGTCTACCGGCGGAAATCCGGGCGCAGCAGGCTGGCCTTTTTAATGACCCTAACAATGACTACGATTTCTTGGTTGCTAGCGATGCAATCGGCATGGGTCTAAATCTGTAAGTCTGCCGTTCGTTCCCAGCTATATGCCGAGTTTAATCGTGTTTTGTAGGAGCTGCAAGCGCATCATTTTCGAGACTCTGGTAAAGAGGACCCCCGCCGGTCTTGTAAGGCTTACGGTACCCGAAATAAAGCAGATTGGAGGACGAGCTGGTCGGTATCGGTCAGCCGAACAGCAAGGCAAAAAAAAATCTGCTGAGAAAGAGGAACCCAATGTTGGATTGGTAACGTCTTTGGAGGAGGTAGACCTTCCTTACATCGAGCAGGCAATGTCGATTGAGCCCCCTCCTCTTGCCGCCGCCGGCCTCCTTCCTCCGGATTCGGTTTACCAGAAATTCGCTGCCTATTTCCCTCGAGATGTCCCTTTGGAGTATATCATCAAGCGCATGTTGGAAGTCGCGCAATCTAATCCTCTGTTTTTCATGTGCGATCCGAAAAACCAGCTAGAAAATGCCGAGATCATTGATTCGGTGAGCGGGTTGCGGATTCAAGACCAGCTGATCCTTATAGCGGCCCCGATGCACACCCAGGATGCAGCCTCACGGCGTGCTGGGTGTGCGTTTGCCCAATGCGTCGCTGAGCATTCAGCTGGTGGCTTATTAGATATCCCGGAACTGAATCTGGAGATCTTAGAAGAGCCGGTATCCGGAAAGAAGGAATATCTACACAAGCTGGAAATTGTCCACAAATCCGTGATCTTGTATGCATGGCTTAGTTTCCGGTTCGGTGGGGTCTTCACGGATCGCACCCTTGCAGCCCATGTGAAGGAGATGGTGGAAGAAAGGATGATCAGGGCTCTGACCGAATTTTCTGCCAACAAGAAGCTCCGGAAAGATGCGTCCCTGCGGCGTCAGATCGCTCTGCAGAAGCAAATCGAGGAGCACAAGCGGCTCTTGTCTGATGTGGATTTCAATGCCGTCAATGGAAGAGAGCAAATTCCAGTTGATCTCTCCGGTGATAATAACTCTTTGGAAAGACCTTTCTCCGAGGCCCAGACCCTGTAAGGTCTTTCGTTTTCTGCTCATTTTTAATTCCTTGGCATGGTGCCATAGTCTGTACTCCTTTACAAAAAAATAATTAAATAATTAAAAAGAAAGGAGTCTTTTTTGGAGTATATGGGAGGTTGGGTGGCATATGATCTGGTGGATGGTCTCTAAGAATCATTGTCACACAGTGAAGCAATGGGTGTTGTGAATATATGTATAATACTTGTTTCTATATAGACTTTAAACCAATGCTTAAGCTTCAGGAGTATACTATAAAATGCTCACAGTGCTCACTATATAACCTGTTTCCATAGATTTCATGCCTAGCAATACCAGATATATATAGTTGTGGAATAGAGTATCACCTGTGAAGACCTAGAGGCCTACATGGGTCGTTTGTATAACCTACGGAGATCAATTTGCTAAATGAATTCCATTTAAGTAGGAAATACAAAATAAAATGACATGACTCTTATGTTTGGCCTCGTTTTAATAGTGATTGTCTGGAGAAAAACATGCCGCTTATCTTATCGGTGGCGACTGCCAACGCGCCACAACGATTTTCCGCGGGGGTGAGCTTTCTCGGCTTGAAGGATTGCAGACGTCGCAAACAGCAGCTCCCTGGCCAGAGAAGTGCTTTGCACTCGCTTGTGCAGATGAATGAGACAACCAAACTATTTTGATTAGCTTTATAATTTCTGTCCTTTCTTGACCCGTGTTCTCTTTCTCTGCGCCGGCCATGGATGATCTCCAGTCTCTGGAGCTCTTTTCGCTCGTTTCGCGAATAACCGGCGAGATCCAAAACCATCTGGGCATCAATGATAAGACCCTCGCCGAGTTCGTGATTGACCAGCATCTAAAATGTGGCTCATTTGACGGATTCAAAAAGACGATGGAGGAAATGGGAGCGGAGTTCCCGCAGAGTTTGCTGGAAAGTATCGATCGTCTGGTGCTCACTATGCATCCCAAGTACAAGACAAAGAATGTCAAGACGGGTGGGAAACCGGCGGAGGGAAATGATGATATGGATACGCTTAATGCCCTTGAAAAGAAGGCACGCGTTTTTAAGGGATTGGCAGTTCCCGACAAGGAACAGCACTGGGACGAGGATGACTACGTTACAACGAAGAACGCAAATGAAAGCGACGCAAAGGCCGATGCTATGGACGATACATTTGCGATGCTTGAAGGATTGGCAGGAAAGGCTCGGGAAGAAAAGGGCCACACAGTGAGGAATGATCGGAATGGCCGGAATGGCAGAAAGCGGAGCAGAAGCCCCGGTTACGATGATTACGATCGCGGACGCAGGCGCAACGACAATTATCGCTCTGGATCGAGGTCCCATAGTCCTAGATACCGGAACAGACATGATGAGGTCGATGAGTTTGGCCGGTCAACCAAAAAGCACAGCGGCCGGGATGAAGAACATCGCAGCGAGCGGCGGAGGCGACGTGATCGGGATGACGACGACCATGACTTTCGCAAGCCACCTCCGGTCGAGTTAGATGACCAGCCAACACTGTATAAGGTTTACGATGGGCGTGTCACTGGGGTGAAAGATTTTGGTGCATTTGTGAACCTACTGGGTGTCAAAGGGAAGGTGGACGGCCTAGTACATGTCTCTGCGATGCAGGAAGGGGCGCGCGTGAACCACCCATCCGACTTGGTTTCTAGGAGTCAGCCTGTCAAAGTCAAAGTCATTAGCATACAGGGGTCTCGCATTGGATTATCAATGAAGGAAGTCGACCAAATGACCGGACGTGACCTCATCCCTCAACGCCGCCTTGCGTCTGGTGCCAATATGGAGCGTCTTAATGGAACTTCAACTCAGGATCGATATGGAAACTTAAGCTCTGAGGTGCCGATTATTGAAGAATCGAACGGCAAACCTATGCAAAATAGAAAGCGCATGACTTCTCCAGAAAGATGGGAAATAAAACAATTGATTGCTTCTGGTGCTGTCTCAGCAGCCGATTACCCCGACATCGATGAAGAATACCACGCCACACTGACAGGCGAAGGTAAATTCGAGGAGGAAGAAGATGTTGACATTGAAGTCAGAGACGAAGAGCCGCCCTTCTTGGCTGGTCAGACGAAGATGTCACTAGAACTTTCCCCTATCAGGGTTGTGAAGGCTCCTGATGGATCTCTTAATCGTGCAGCCATGGCAGGTACTAACCTAGCTAAAGACCGCAGAGAGCTACGACAGCAAGAAGCCCAGGATAAGGCCGCAGAGCGAGCTGCAGAAGTTGATCTCAACGCTCAATGGCAAGACCCAATGGTTGCACCTGAAGAACGAAAATTCGCAGCGGATCTTCGAACTGCCCAACAGTCCAAACCAGACGAGTCGATGCCGGAGTGGAAACGGGTTACAATGGGCAAGAATCAATCTTTCGGAAAACGAACTACCATGTCGATTAAGCAGCAACGTGAGAGTCTGCCAGTCTTCAAATTCCGCAAGCAGCTCCTTGATGCTGTTCGCGACAACCAATTATTGATTGTGGTTGGAGATACTGGCTCAGGCAAAACGACACAACTGACACAGTATTTGGCTGAAGGTGGATACGCAAATGATGGTATTATTGGCTGCACGCAACCTCGTCGTGTGGCAGCAATGTCAGTCGCCAAACGTGTGGCTGAGGAAGTCGGTTGTAGGCTTGGTGCAGAAGTTGGATATACTATCCGATTCGAAGACTGCACCAGTCCAGAAACGAAAATCAAATATATGACCGACGGAATGCTCCAAAGAGAAGTCCTCCTTGATCCAGATCTGAAGAAATATTCAGTGATCATGCTTGATGAGGCCCACGAGCGAACGATCGCCACAGACGTACTATTCGGTTTGCTGAAGAAGACCCTAAGGCGAAGACCCGATCTTAGACTTATTGTAACGTCCGCTACCCTGGACGCAGAAAAGTTCTCGGAATACTTTAACGGATGCCCAATTTTCTCGATTCCTGGCCGAACTTTCCCTGTTGAAATCATGTACTCTAAAGAGCCGGAATCCGACTATCTGGATGCGGCACTCATTACGGTCATGCAGATCCATTTGACCGAACCCCAGGGTGATATCCTGGTTTTTCTGACAGGACAAGAGGAAATTGATACTGCCTGTGAGATACTTTTCGAACGTATGAAGGCGTTGGGACCTACTGTCCCTGAGTTGGTCATCCTCCCGGTCTACTCTGCACTCCCTAGTGAGATGCAGAGCAGGATTTTCGAGCCTGCACCGTCCGGTGGTAGAAAGGTAGTTATCGCAACCAATATTGCGGAGACATCCATCACCATCGACCAAATCTACTATGTTATCGACCCTGGTTTCGTCAAGCAAAACGCGTATGACCCAAAACTCGGCATGGACTCGTTGGTGGTAACCCCTATATCTCAGGCGCAAGCCAAACAGAGAGCCGGCCGCGCAGGAAGAACTGGCCCAGGAAAATGCTTCCGCCTGTATACCGAAGCGGCTTATCAGTCTGAAATGTTACCAACTACAATTCCTGAAATCCAGCGGCAGAACCTTTCGCATACGATCCTTATGCTTAAGGCCATGGGAATTAATGATCTGCTACACTTTGACTTCATGGATCCGCCCCCGACAAATACTATGCTTACCGCATTAGAAGAGCTCTATGCTTTGTCAGCACTGGATGATGAAGGTCTCCTCACTCGTTTGGGTAGAAAGATGGCTGATTTCCCCATGGAGCCGGCCCTTGCCAAGGTTCTGATAGCATCAGTGGATCTGGGATGTTCGGAGGAAATGCTTAGCATCGTCGCCATGCTTTCTATCCAATCAGTATTCTACCGCCCTAAGGAGAAGCAGCAGCAAGCCGATCAGAAGAAAGCTAAATTTCACGATCCTCATGGTGACCACCTAACGCTGCTCAATGTATACAATGGGTGGAAGAACGCTAAATTCAACAACGCTTGGTGCTTTGAGAATTTCATACAGGCACGCCAAATTCGCCGGGCGCAGGATGTTCGTCAACAGCTCGTGGGTATCATGGACCGGTATCACCATCGGATTGTCTCCTGCGGGAGAAACACAACCAAAGTCCGCCAAGCTTTGTGCACTGGCTTTTTCAGAAATGCGGCGCGCAAGGACCCCCAGGAAGGATACAAAACGCTCGTTGAGGGCACGCCCGTCTATATGCACCCTAGCTCTGCGCTGTTTGGAAAACCGTCCGAACATGTCATCTACCACACTTTGGTCCTCACAACCAAGGAATACATGCATTGTACTACATCGATTGAACCCAAATGGCTCGTTGAGGCAGCCCCGACATTTTTCAAAGTGGCACCCACAGATCGCTTGTCAAAGAGGAAAAAGGCCGAGCGCATCCAACCTCTGCATAATCGCTTCGCAGGTGAAGATGATTGGCGTCTATCTGCACAGCGGCGTCAAGGTAGGGGCGGCGGTGGAGGAACCTGGGGCTGAGTTATTTACAATTTACTCTATCGCGGCTTTTATGCTCTCATTATTGCTTTGGTATATACTGTAGCTTTAGAAGAATACCCCTTTGGAAGTGCTTTGTCACCAATCTATTCCTTAACTAACTACTGTGGTTTATATTCCTGGCGTATAAGGCGTAACTATGTTCATGAACAATAGATATGATGCAGACGAAATTAATAAGTTATTCCATGAACCCTTGAATCATTATAAGTATAGAGGCAATTTTTGTAGGAATTTCTGTATATTTCAGACCATTCTCTGCTAATAAATATTACGGTACTTAAAAATTATTCTACGCATTGATAGGTGTCCTTATTCTAAGGTTAGCCTAAGGCGGGAAATTTCCTAATTCAGTTAGAGTGCCTCCCTTGTTAGAGCCATCCAACTGACCAATTAGATATCACAAAAATCTGATGGGACCACCGAACTTTAGATCATCAATTGCATCTTTCAACGACTCTTCTCTCTTGTCCCAGGAACAGCGTCATACATAATTGAAGATGTCTCACCCTGATAATCAGTTACCTAGAACAAAACGGAGGAGACTGGACTTTGGCCAGGAGTGTATTGCTTCTACCGACGTCACTATCACCTCCCATGCGCAACTGCGTGCTATGCTCACATTTCAGCAGAACGTCCAGGAAACCAAGCAAGGTAAGATTAATCACATGATAAATTCTTTATTCAAATAAATCTTACGGCATGAGATAGGTATAAAGAAGTTTAAGGAATTCCTGACTTCAATCCCACAGACTGAGAGCGAAGGCGAAAAGGCCAAAAAATTTCGAGTGCTCAAGGCCTATTGTGATTCGCAGATTGCCTACAATGGCGATGAACCATCTTGCTTCCCTGATCTAACCCAGGCCTGGAGCTTTGCAGATAGTAATAACAATGAGTCACTGTTGACTGTTATTCCATCGGTACTTGCTATCTTCCTCAAGACGATATCCACGAATTTGGATTTTCGAGACTTTGGACTTGCCTTCTGCAAATTCCTGTTGCAGAAAGAGCAACTAAGGTTTTTCAATCGTGGCTTGACAGCTATGAAGTCCAAAGAGCATCTAATCTCACCATGTCTACGCCTTCTTACCGAGGTAGTCAGCTTCGACGGGGGCGCTGTAGCCCGTCAACTCTACACCGCACGTCACATCACGTTTAAACGCCTCGAGGTTTTCTTGGTTCCTAATAAAGCCCAATTGGAAGCAGTTTCAGATGATGCCCACAAGTCGACTCTGCGTCGAAATGCTCAAAGATATATTCTGGCCAATTTGCGATTTCAACATGTCAACGCCAAAATCGACATTATCGAGCAGCACAAGGTCATTAAAGCGTTCCTGGAACACATCAGAAAGGATCCTCGAGATATCGTCACTGATGTAATCAAAGCTATTGAGCGAGATGTTGTCCAGGATTCTTCGCTTTCTCGAAGTGCAAAGACGAAGTTCTTCAACCGCTGGAACTTAGAAAGACTTGTGACATTGTACGGCTACGACAAAGAATCGGAGGACCCAAACCCCGCAGGAATCTCAATTGCGAACGAGATTCATAAGATCCTCATGAATATCTGCACCAACCCTGAGCTCGGGGTCCTGCTGCCAGAAACGGGCTGGTACCCTATTGGTAGCGATCCCGAGTCATTACCGACGGATAATGACACATCTATTGATCTGGGACTGGATTCTGCCGCCTATGTTGACAAGTATCGGGATTCTGTGCCTGTTCGCAATGGTGCTCTTTCTTATATAATCCAGACACTTCGTCCAGATACAGATAGCCTTCAGATTGAGCTACTTGTGGCGATTTTCAGGGTCGCACCGGAGCTCGTGGCAGATTATTTCACGAAGAAATCAATGTTCATCTCGGACCCGAAGCCTACTCCGTCCTGGATGGCAGAGTCCGCCCTTCTATTCTCGGCAGTTACTTTGCCTATCCCAAGCAACTGTGGTTGGAAGGATAAACTTCCTCCCATGCCACCGTCCATATCAGTGGTTATTGAGAGCATCCTACCGCGCCCGCTTACGCAAAAAGTGTTAGCTCGCTGCCTGAACTTAAATACAGAGATTGTGACTTTGTTTGCAGTTCGTTTACTCACAGTTTCTTTTAATAAACTGCGGAAAGTTCTGCGAATTTTCAGTTCCGATCACGGAATTAGCCAGTCGCTCTGGAACCAAGCGGCCGGAAAGCTTGTTGCAGAATTCTGTCGCCGATGCCCTAGCGTAAAGGATGTTATATTGCTTTACAAAAGAACGGCTAAAGAAGATTTACAACAGCAAGAGGCTATTGCGGAGCTCCTTTCTTGCTTTTACGAAGTTGTGCCGGACGCTGCGTTTGAGGAGGTGTTTGATGCCTCGCTCATATTGGTTGAAGTTTTGAAACGACTGGATAGCCCCAGTCTTGAAGCTGAGGACTCGGAGCTGCTGCTAAGCCAACTGCAGAGCATCTTAAAGATTGCACAGCAGTCGGCATCGATGCGTTGGTGGCAACAACCTGGTGAGTTATCGGACAACCTCTGGCCATTTGAAATATAGGTGTGCTAATGACGACTAGCATCCATGCAATTCTCTGCGTTCACATCTATAATGAAAGTACTTGTGGAGGCTTCATCCAGCCAGTCTTTGAATGACATTGATCGCCTGTTAAAGGCTGTAATTACGGAAAATTCTATCTTGCAGAGTGCTTCCATCTTCCCTGCACTCTTGTCCAGTTTCGAGACTTCCGATCCCGAAAAACTCAATCATGAGCTGGCCTTTTTTGACAACTGTGCCTGCCGTATAGCGAAAAGGCCCGTCCACTATCAAGACTTGTCTGGGCCGCTTTCCCACGATGCATCAAAACCTATGAGCTTCATTGTGGCGGCTATTACTGAGCAATGGCCATTTATTGTCAAATCTGGAGATGAAAATGTTCAAAGTACTGTGTGTACTTGGGCCTCCGGATTCTTGGGAAGACTGAAACATGCAGGGGAAGATTCGAAAGCGCTGAAATGTGCTCGTGACACTATGATAGGCGCCATTGAAAGCAAGCAGCTGAAGTCAATTTTGAAAAGGGCACTGAAAGATCATGACGCAGATCCATCGGATCACGACAAAAAGGGACGGGAGCTGGACCAGCAGGCATCTAATACATCCGGGAAAGAAAAATCACGTGTGGACCTGATGGAGATCTTTGGTGCCCTGCCTACTGAAAGTGACAATCGCAACGAACTGCACAGATGGGAAAAAGAGGAGCTAGAGGTATCAATCGAGCAAGGCAGAGTGGCGGATTTGATGATGTGCTTGTGCTCTGACCATGAAGAAATCAGGAAACAGGCGTTCAGCAATTTAGGCCGCTTTTTGTCTAAACTCAAGGTTAGTCTGAAATGTTTTAGTCTATCAAATACCGTAAAGTATTGACAATATCAGGAATCTAAATACGTTGACTGGAGAGCGGTGTATATTCTCACCGGCGAGCTGCTTGAAACAGTGAAAGGGCTGGGGCTTCAGTCACCCGTGCCATGGATTGTAGGGGAATGTGCCTCTGGCTGTCTCACTGTACTTACAAACCCCATGCATAAACTCTATGGGAAGGTCAATAAGTTCCTCCAGAAGGCGCCTTGTTGGGAGACGGAGAAGCTTCCGTCATATTGGATTGACAAGATCTTGTTGCACGAGCCCGAGATTGATGACGGTTATTTTGAAGAGACGAACTGGCTGTTAGATCTGTTAATCGGAGGTCTTCGCAGTGAACCGGTATGACTGCTCTCTGGCTACTTATGGGTTAGTCCTACTGATATGATATGTCGTCTAGGATATGGAGATCTACCGTCGTGCGAATGTGTTTGAACGCGCACTTGCATTTTACGAGTCACCGAGCACGGGCGCCTCACTCAAGAGAAAGATTTTGCATCTTCTGTATCGCTCCACGCAGGTCCAGGGTAGTACGACCTTGATTACTAGGGCAGGCATTATCAGCTGGATTCAGAGCCAGCTTCCGGTCGTGGGTGCCAAAGAGGCTTTGAGTTTCACAGCCATGACCCACTCCCTGCATGAGTCCTCGGACCAAGATCGGGTTGCCAAATGGAGTGGAGGAGCTGTGACAAAGGCGGTTGAAACAATTGCTGGGTAGGCCTGAACGATAAAGCGTGTACTTTCAATCTATCTATAGGTCTGCGATTCTGGTTTCTAGATAGAGGTGTCAGGATAGAACGGAAATTGGATTTCTTGATGGATGTTGTATATGCTGTCTGTGTCGTGTTTTGATGCTTTAATAGTAGTCCTCCAACGCGGGTATCACCAGCAGCACTGTAGATGACATCTAATGTATAGGGCTGCCTACTGGAAGTGGCTCCACTGTGAATGATTCCCGAGCATGACTCGATTAGGTGGGAAAAATCGAGTGAATGCTTTGTTTTACTGGTTTCAGTTTGACCTTTTGAACCACCTTCATGGTTATTTGCTGATACAACTTCCCTCCAAATTCCTAGGGGTGAGTGAATTCGGTACCAGATAAGTGGGAGACAGAATCTTTCCCCATTCGGCAGTCGAGTCACGATTTTCCCGTGCGTCAATAATCAATTCTTGTCCGCCTTTTCACCCACTATCGCCCCTATCATCATCTCCACCACTGCCTCCTGCCCTCTGAACCTTTTCCGTTGACTATATTCGCTTCCTCCTGCTAGAAGAGTTCCTCCTGATCCGTCAAGAGACAACCAGACAAAGGATTTTTCGATTGATCTGCTCCTTCCAGCTCCCCCGACCCCTCATCCCCGTGACCGATCGAATCTCCGACCTGAACATTAGCTGTTGCCACTGGCAAGCAGCCTCTTGCGCTCTTGATTACCACTCTGTATCCTGGACTACTTTTTACTCTAGACCTTTTCCTTCGAGTCTCTTATTTTTTGCCTCATCTTCTCTCGACCTTCTTTTCCTTTTTCTTTTTTTTGGGGGATCGTCACGGACCAATGAGAACGACGTAACTGCTTGCCGACAGCAATTCCGCACAAAGAGTCGCCATCCTCATGGCGCGACGTTACCAGATCGATGAGCTGCTATGGCTTCGCTCATCGCCTCTGGTCACCAAGCCTGCCAATTTGCCTCCGGTAGAAGAATGGATGGGGTAAGCATTCGCCGTGTACAGCTGTACTTTTGCGCTCTGAGACTGATTTGGCCTGTGCTCTGCTAGCCCAATCCCCGACCCAACAACGCAACGAAAAAATACAAACTCCAGAGAGCCTAATAGCCAAAACAAAACTACCCCGCGAAGATCGAGTATTTTTGAAGCTCGTCATATATCACGTGGTTCCAATTCAGGTAAATTCTGACCAACCTGTCTCCTATGGGCTGCGACCCACCGTATCATCAGGTCGGCAGCTCAAGGCTACGATCGCTAACAAGGGGAGTTGCCCATATAGAGGATATCGTTCTTGGACCACCAAAAACAGCGTTTGCATCTGCTTCTCGCATCTCTAATAAGAGCTCGATCGACTCGACCGAACGGCCGCCTAGGCAATTCGATTCGGACGAGCCGAAGACTGATCGGTTCAACCTCCGCGAGAAGTTCTTCAAAGAAAGAGATGCCGGAGACAGGGAATTTGATCGCCGCGATAGCAAAGTAGGTACATTCAACGGTCGACGTGGAGAGAGAGAAGATTGGAACAGTGGGCGTCCGCGTCGCACATTTGGCCACGAAGAACAAGACAGAAAGCCAAGACGGAATGGTGAATTCGATCGCTGGGATGGCGCCCGGGATTTTAATCGGGATCGCGATCAACGGGACCCCAATTTTGACCGGGGAGTGAAAGATGCTAAAGATGGTCGGTTCTTTCCACGTAGGGACGGCCAGCCAGGGAGAGCCCGGCATGAAGCAAGCTGGTTTCGTGATGAAAACGCACAGGATGGGCAAGATGCCGAGGAGGAAAAGACTCCTGTGCGGAATCGTGAATGGCGTCGGGACCGACATGGTGCGGATCGTGATTGGACCCGGGGCACCAAACTTGAACAGGAGCCAGAGTGGCTGGACTCGAATGACAAGGATGAATCCCGTCGAGTACATACCCAAGAAGATTTTGAACGCTGGAAGGAGAGGATGAAGGCGGGCACTTCTCAGGCTCCTGTGGAAGAGAAGAAAGAGGCTCCTGTCAAGCAAACCGCCAGCATCTCGGAGAAGGTGGAGGTTAGACCAACAGATGGTGAAATATTTAGCAGCAACGGCCCTCCCTTCCAGTCCGATTCGGCCATGGAACGCTTTTTTTGGGCTGCTGGGTGATGCCAAGCACACACCACTACCAAGTGCTCCGGCACCTGTTGAATCGACTCCTAAGAAAGAGGCCCCCGCGCCGCCGGGGAAGAGCGCGAAATCTTCTCGCTTTGCCGGACTATTCAGCCCTCCTCCCGGGAGCCCTGCGAAAGAGTCGGACTTTCAACTTGGGACCAAGTCCCCCCCGACCAGCACCACACCGTCAACAGCAACGCCAGCAGTTGATGCAGATCAGGAAGGGTTTCAGCGCATCTTACAAATGCTGGGAACTAGCAAGTCACGCAATGCGACACCTCATAACGATCCCGCCCAGGTGAACCATCCCTCTTTGGTGCAGACAGAACAAACACGGAGTGAAATTTCTTCTCCCTCGCGGGAACAACCCAAGCGTCCAGAGCAAATGGCTATACCGGATGCCTCTGTGCGAGGTGCTGGGCCGACTCTAAAGGAGAATGTATACGCCCCGGACCACCAGGCTCGGGATAGGGAGCACTTACTTCGTTTAATGCAGCAAGTTAGGGTCACTCCTATCACAAACCAGGGACAGGCTAGCCAAGGTCAACCACAAAGTGCCGGCCCTGCTCCTGGATTGATGAATATGCCCGAGGGCATACCTCATCCTCCTCCCGGCCTTCCATCTGCACAAAAACTCCCTGCTTTCATTGACGACCCGGCAATAGCCAACTTACAGCGCTCGGAAGCTGATCAACTTCGACGAAGACCTGCGAATGGGCCCCCCCAATGGGTTACTTCGAGGATTTGCCGTTTCAAGGTAACCAAGTTCCCATTACGCCAGGTGGTTCCCGGGCTCCTCAAGGCCCTGGTCTTCCTGCAATGGGCATGCAGAGACCACCAGGCTTCGAACATATGCCACCTCCCGGATGGAATGGTCCTCAGATACCTCCGCAGCAGGCGGGCGGTGGACCAGCAAACCCAATGGGCCCTCCCCCGGGCATTCCGACACCCACGCGGGGCATGAACCCAAATTTTATGGGTAACTTGACACCAATGCATGGAAATATGCCACCACTCGGCGAGCGACAGCCTTTCCCGCGCGGTGCAGGCGCTGCCGGACCGGGCGGTTTCCCACCTGGCATGATGCCTCCTCCAGGATACATGAACGGCCCTCCGCCTTCCGGCTTCCCACCGATGCCACATAATGGCGATGTCCTCATGGGTGTTGGTCACGCTGGACAGGGTCCTTTCGAAGGCAATCCTGGGCCACAGGGGCCCCCACCCTCCTCAAGACACTTGCTGGACATGTTTGGCCAAGTTGGCGGAGATGCCCGCGGCGGGATGGTTGGCCCTGGGCAGTTTAGATAAGATGGCAATTTGCAAGTGTCAAGTGTAGCTGGAGTGCTGGGCCTCTCGCCATCTGTGCCGACGAAGCCTCGTGGCGATAGCGTCTCGAAATCTTCTGCCGTATGCTGACAAGGAAGACCCTGAGAGGGTAGCGGGTTTTAGTGATATTGTGCCACCTTGTTGAAGATTGACACAATGGCAATAGTAGGTGGATCGAAATGATTCTAAGTCGAGTACGTGGTCTCCAGTCGTCAATGTTACCGATCTCGTATACCTAGATAGATGGCTGGATAGCTTTAATCGGATCTACTGCTTGATCATGGAACATGATGATCTTTTTCCTTTAGTAGGAATGCCAGTGCGAGATCTTAGTCGCCAGATAGGCTTCCCTGGTCGTAGCTTGCTGCTTTCCAAGTGTACAGTGAATGGCAAAGTCATGCGGTGTTGCCCTTGGTCTCTTTCGGCCTTTTCCTCTTTTACCCCATCAACCATGCTTTTATCTCCATAGGCCCAACCTCTCTACGTTCGACTTTTGTCTCTTTTTGTGGGTCGTTGTCTGAGAGGCAAGTTATCTGGTCCTCTTGTCAATCTTGCCCTGTGTCTTTGAAATCTAGCACTTATTCTTTCTTTTCTGTGTATGACCAAGCCATCCACACCACAATTGGTAGTGCAGTTTCCCTACACAGGTTTGTCCCATAGTACAACCAACCTCTATTCCTCAGGATTGGTTCCACCTAATTAACAGATATTGGTCATGAATAGGAGACTATTCGACTTCGCAGACTTAGACGATATACACCAATGCCAATACCTGTATCAACCCTTTACATCTACGATGCCATCCATAGATGCAGAATCGCCCGGAGAATAATCACTATATCTCCGAGAGAGAATAAAACACAGCTGACATGGTGATCTTAGATTTTCAAGATGATGGATCGGATCGACTTTGAGCTCTGTATCGACGTGGACCAATATGTGAGTATTGTCCCTGGCAGTATTTCCTCTCTGAGAAAATGAGATCAAAATTTCGTAACCTTACTAAAACAAATCTATCAATTTAGGCAGCGACCTCCCTTCAGCACAATATTAACCCGACTAAAGTAGACGACTACGACTACGAGGCATCATCGACAGTCCCTCGAATCCGAACTCGACACCACGACGAAGTCGACAGCGCAAATAATACCAGCGAAGACGACGATAGCCACCCACCAAGAAAGAGAACTAGGTTCCTAGGAGCAGACGACAGAAGAGAAGTATCTCTCGACGAAGCATACAATGAGACGGAGAACGCAAGTGAGTATCAGGATCTGATCCACGGACATAATCAAGCGATGGGATCTGGAACCAGTCACGAGAACCAGAGTTCACATTCGAGCCACGATATCGTAAATAGCTATCCCGATATCGATATGGCCATGGAAACTGACCAAAATAATGATGAACCAACTCAGCGTTTGGGTCTTACTTCTCTGCAACACGAGGGTCCTGGCCCTAGCCCCATCAGGAGCACCATTACCACTGGTGGCTTTTCCACGGGATCGTCGCACCCTTCAAATCGATTCACCATATATGAAGATCCAGATTATATGGATATCGATGGATCTAATCCCGAGACCAGCTGGTGTTCCTACTCTACCTGTGAAGACGATGACAAGGAGAATGTGGATGAGGAGCTCGATTCGACCTTTCCCGGTAGAATCGGCGCTGGAAATGACTCCGAACTTAATGAAACCTATAACCAGCAACAAACCAGACCCTCATGGGGGCAAGAACCGCGTCCTTCACCACCTCCCCCGCCAACTTCTCTACATCATGAAGAAACAGGGATGGGCGGTGAGTCTGACGATGGTGATGTGGTTTTTGAACGTCATCATAGAAGTGCTATCTCTCAAGATGCTGAAGCTCTAAGGGAGGTTTCCCACGTTGCTCTCGATTCTATCAATGAATCTGATAGCTCTATTCAGTATCTACCAAGAATCTCTTCTAGACTGGATATTCCGGACAGGACGATCCAGGGACGTCGTCCGGTTCGAAGAGTGAGGGCTTTTAATTTTGAGATGTAACCTGTGGCAATGTGTTGCATTATTATTTCTCTTTTCTTTATTCTTCTTCCCCACCTCCTTTCTTTCATTGGTATTGTCTGGTCAATGGACATGATGATGCGTTTCAGAGATACAGAGGTAAATATGCTCTTGATTATGGATATGGGGTGTTGTGTGACTGTTTTGATGGGATATGGCTTGTTTCTAGTTTACTTGATGAATGGTATCACGGCGCATATGTTTCTGTGGGGGTCGCTTTACTGTCTACAAAATATATGCGGCAAGCTTAGTCTAATGTATAACCTGGTAAAACTGTACACTCTGGAGATAATATTATACCAAGAAAACTTTAAATTCAAACCACATAGAAATCTAGAAATCACTGTAGATAAGCAGTAGCATCATGTGCTTTCACTGCATCTGCCATATACACCCCCATCCATACGTAAGATAGAACTGATCCTCGATAATGTTGTTGCATTAAAGAGATGCATGCCCTGGGCCTGATCGTATTGTAGCCTTTCTTGCCATCCTTTTTGATCTAGGGGGCATTTCATCACCAGGAAGCTGTTTTCCAATTTTTCTTACACTTGTCCCCTTCTTCAGCTTTCCAAGCACAGCATTTAGACTCAACTGAATAATCTTTTCTTGCTCCTTCGAGGAGACAAGATTTTGCCTTTCCCATTTAGACACTGGAGGCCTTTTGTCCCTCACGTCAGGCGACTGTTTTTCTTGGTCTTCGGCGGGATGTTACTCAGGCAATGAAATGCCCTGCATAGCCTAGGGTGTCCCTTCATCTTCGCTCCGTTCTTCGTCTTCAATTGCCTTCTGGTTTGCCAACAGCCTCTTCTGTGCATCCTCTTCTCTGCGTGCTGTTTCATTACTGAACGCGTTCAACCATCGCGAGGTTCTTAAGCCCCAAGAACCAATTATGAGTGGATTCAAATCTAAATAATCAGACGCACAAAATGATAAATTTTGTAAACTTACTTTGAAGAGGATTCTAACTCAGCTATGACTTCCTCGCTAGGCAACTCCGATGTTGATTCTTGATCCACAGTATCATTAGCATCAGCGTTGTCATTGGGCGTAAGGAGTATCTGTGGCGTGTCGAGTGGATTTTGAGGGCAAGTCTCGTCATCAAGAGATTACAAAATCTGCATTATTTCATGATCGGATATTGGATCACTGCCAGAGGCAGGCGGCGAGAATGGGACTGTTGATCACAGTACTGCTGGTGAAGCCTACTGGGCATTATTAAGGAGGGCCGATGGCCCGGTGAAACACTCAGTTGAGGCTGGGTTATCAACATTTAAAGTAATAGAAGTTCATCTGATGTCTTGGTAGTGTCCGGGGCTAAATGTTTATCGCCTGTGTTGTTCTAAAGAGCCAAAATACTCCGAGAATAGGCTCCCATTTTGCCAGATAGCTCTTTGCGGGCATCCACTGTTTCAAGCAGCTTCGCCTCGATATCAAGCGAGGCAGTCCCCTTCTCTGTATCCATGTTAGCTAAGATAAAACTTTATGGTGTAGTATGCTTTGTATTCGTTAAAGGGTGGCTGGTATAATGGAGGATCCTAGAGACAGATAGGGAGTAATGTAGGTGGGAAAACGTGAGAGTAGGGAAAGTAAAATTAAAATGTGAAGGGATAAATAGGAGAAATTTAGGGATTAAAGATGAGAATAGATGTTCAGAGAAACAGGGAGAATGGAAACGTCTTGAAGGTAAGAAGGAAATATGATTGACCAATATGATAAGGGAAGGATACCAGGAACGATAGATGAATTGCTTCTGGAGGAGAAGAGTAGGGAGAAATGTGTAGAGGAGAGGAGGAGGAAGAGTAGGAAGAGCAGAAGGAGGAAGTAGTACAGGAGAGAAGAAGTAGGAGAGAGAAGGGGGAGATGGCTAGCGAGGTGGGCGAGCGAGTTGGGCGAGAGAGGTGGGAGGTGATAGAAGTAGATGGGAGAGAAGACGGGAGAAGCAAAGAGAGAAATATGACAGAGAAGCAGAAGAGAGAAAGAGCTGAAGAGAAAGGAAGGAGAGACGTATAGTGTGTTCGATAAAAATAAGAGCAAATTAGGACAAGGTGTATGTGAGTTATATCTGATAGCGAAGGAAGATGTGAGGTGAGATGGCGAGTATAATATAAGAAGGCCACTAGTGAAATGGGCTGAAGTGCATTTGCAACAAAGCATACTCAGGTGTACGACGAACTTGATAATGGCCAAGGGAGTTACAGAACCTATAAGGGTCAACTCCATCCAAAAGACAGGAGCTGCATGATACCCTTTTCATCTAACGATAACGCTGCAACATAGGACAACACTAAATAATTGAAAAGACCTATAAATAGTGTCTTAAGCATTAGTTACGCTCCTAAATGAGAAACCATAACATTCAGTTTCATTTTCATTTCATGTCGAGACCCTGACACACTAGCCCTACACCTGTTTATTAGTCTAAACATATGAGATATCAACGGCCAACAGTGATCTATTTCAACATATTTCGTCATTCATTAACATTTTGCTCCGCATTAATTCTGCTTCAATAAATGCTTATCGTCGCCTTTCCTGGCCTGGAGCCGGAAACACGAGCTCATCAGCAGCGCAGTTGGGATGCAAAACGTATACGGTCCGCTGCAATTGTTCCCCTTGGGTGCTGTCCTCTGCTGTGTCGATCAACCCTTCTCCACGAATAGGCATGAGAATGTTATCCTAATAAAGGAGTGATTAGTGGGACAGCCGAGCAAATGAAAGGCTTCTAGTACTAACCTTGACCATCCGTTTCAAGACCTTGGCCGCCAGGTCACGTTCACGCTTCAAATCCTCCTCATTGTTGAGCTCTGACTCAACTTGCTCAAGGTACCAAACAATTAGATCCTCCTGCTCCACACCCTCGCCTGATGCAACTTCATCTTCGTTGACACGTTGCACGACAAGATTCAGAATCTTCATGTATTTATCAAATGAGATCTTGGTCTTGGTGCGTGACTCCCTTGTTGGCTCCTCGTCAAGCATATCGCGCATAGGGCTGTCACCTTCTCGGTCACGATCTCCCATCTCTTGGTCCTCCGTTTGCTGAGTGGGCTCTTCATCGTCAACTTCAACATCGTCCTTCTCGACTGTAACGATACTTTGCCGCAGAAGGTCATATGCTTCACGCACAAAATTAGGTACAACCTCTTCCACACAGTTCGCTTTGGCGACTGCCTCGGAGAGACGAATCAAAGATTCAAGCTGGCGAACTGTGATCCGGTAAGATGAGCGGCCCATGCCGCCCTGAGCATCATTGGTACGAAGGTCTTTATATTTTTCAACAAGCAATGCTTTAGCATCCTCGGTGAATACAGGCCTGAAGGTACGGGCAAAGCGGATATACCGCTGTAGTTGCTCTGTGCTCAGTTCTGGCTCGACAGCTTTGTCGCGGTTCATATGCACGTTGACAATATGATCAGCAAGATTGCGATCTACGGTCTCATTGGGCTCATCCCGGATAACAAAGAACAAATCAAACCTGCTCATAATGGGAGCACTGAAGTTGAGATTGGCACGGAGTGGGACCTTGGGGTTATAACGGCCACCAATTGGGTTTGCAGCAGCGAGGATTGATGCTCGGGCATTAAGAGTAGTGTGGATGCCAGCCTTAGCAATTGAAATTGTCTGCTGTTCCATGGCTTCGTGAATGGCCACTTGGTCACTGATATCCATCTTATCAAACTCATCGATAGCACAAATGCCACCACCATTCTAAATAACGCTAAGTTAATAACTGGAGAGAGAAATTTGCAGTTAGATTATCACGTACAGCGAGCATTAGAGCACCAGCTTCGATGGTGAATTCGCCGGTTTCAGCATCTTTTACAACCGAGGCTGTCAAACCGGCAGCAGATGACGCTTTACCGCTTGTATAGACCGCCCGAGGGTGCAGGGAACAAATGTACCTAACAAAGTGTAAGATAAAACAAGAAAAATTGAACCGTTTAGGGCGATCGACTTACTTTAGAAATTGGCTCTTACTGGTCGAGGGATCACCAACAATACATATGTTGATATCACCACGGAGCTGCATGTTCTCTTGTTCTGTGGATTTGCTGACTCCGCCAATAAGCTGTAAAAGCAACCCTTTTTTGATTTGTCTGTGGCCGTAGATCATAGGCGCAATTGAGTCCACCAGGCGAGAATAGATGTAGTCGGAATGAACAAGCTTTTTCAAGTCGTCAACCTCATGGGGAGTCAGGCTCTGCAGAAGCGCCTCCTGGGCATTGTCCTCGTCCGCGTCGGGCTCCTTGGCTTGGTTCAAAGAAGCCAGGATATTCTGCGATTGGCCATTTAAGTGCTGGTTTGGTCGTTGGCCAGGAGTAGACATGTCCGGTGTGACCATACAAGCGAGGAAAGCAAGTCTGTAGGTCAAATCCTTAGCACCGAGAGCTTTAAGACCCGTAACTCCTCCCCCTCCGATATCTGCACTGCGAACACTGTCATCGCGAACAGCCTCCGGGCGCACACCAGGAAGTCCCAGTTGGCTGACATCCGGAATCACAATCAAAGTACCAGTGAAAATACACCGTTCCCCAGCCCTTGCACGATCAACCATTTCACCACGAAGTATCACATCCATTGTTCGTGGCATGCTACCGGTTGGAATTTCATGGGACGACTCTTGCAATTTTACTTTTTGCCAATCAACGAATGTGCTTTTTCCTATATCAAGTCTCCACCCCGAGCGGTTGCCACAGACGTTGTTAGGGCACTTTGAAGGCTCGGTATATTTGAAGGTTTGCTCTACATCAGGACACACTGTCTTGCACTGTTCACAAACAAAAGTCCCCAAAGACAACTCTGGTCGAATTTCTGACGTCCGTGTGATAGTACCAGATACTGAAAGCAATTTTCCAATTTGCGAGGTCCGTAGTTGACGAAGTCGAGAAACTAGGGGTAGGTTGTAAAAAGCCAGCGAGAATAATTTATCGCTCTGTTGGTGGCGTGTTTTCCTGCGAAGCCCCTTTTCTACTTCAAGACTTTCAGACACAGCCGCACTCGATGCAGCAGCCATCATAGATGAGCTGGCATCTGAGGTGGCAGCGTCAAGCTGACGATGAGATGTGAAATACTCCGGCTCGTATTTTGCAATTAGATTATGCAAGGCCTGGGTCAGGAAAGGTTGGAAGCGGTAATATTGGTTGGCGATTGCATCTGCCAGGATTTGATTATCCAGCGATGTCAGGTGTGTGAAATCCACATAGAGTGTTGAAAGCTCAAATTTTGCCATGCCATGAATTTGGGCGAGATAATACTTGTCGCTAAGCTTCGGTTCCGAAGAGGGCGGAGGCGCACTCCATGATAGATCCTCGACATAAGTTTCGAGCAATTCTTCGAAAGCCTGGCGAACTTTTTCACCTGCAACATCGACTAAAGGGGGCGGCCCTGGAAGGTAGGGATTTCGGAGCCGGCTTGTGGTCGACGCACTTGTCTCGGCAACCTGATCATCTGGAAAACCATGCATATCACTCATTGGGCCATTGCTCTCTGAGGGCAGCTGCGGTCGTGAACTTGGGAGTTGATCAGAATGGAGGCGATGGTCGCGAGGCCCAGTAGTCGAGCCCAGCTCAGACTGGAGCACAGCGTCAAAAAGAGACGACATGGTGCAAGACGTACGGCCAAATTACGGCCCTGAGGGACTGTAAAAATTGTTCAAGTGGAAATCTTGTAGTATACGGTACGCGAGGTCAGTCGGTAGGTCAAGTGGAAGATTGCATTGCCTTGACCGTCGTGGGCTGGCTAGTTTAGCGATGCTTGTATTTCTTTTCGGTGGGACGCGTAGGAAACGCGAACGCGTCGGGGAAATATTCCAGCGTGCCGACGCGTTAAGTGTTTTTGGAGCATCCCAGGCGCACGGAGCCTCGCTCGCGTGCCGGGATGTTCCTTGATGGCACATTCACACTAGCCAATTCAGGATAAAGGTCCTCGAGCCCTCTCGCCAACAGCCAAGCGGATCCTTTCCCAGGAAAGCGGTTTCGATGCCGCGGCCAATAGGAAGCTGTCAAGATTCCTCATTTGGGATCATAGCTCCCTACAGCCAATGACATCAGCCTTCAGCCTGGGATAAACTTTCGGAGTCAAATCGACGGAGCCTGTTAGCTGTTTGTGGCCCCCACTACATGCTGCCTCTGTCCCGAATAGTCAGAGTCGGGGTTATTGTGCTGTATAGAGAAGTGGTTATTTGTACGGAATAGATAAGCATGCTGTCCCCGACCATGTTTCAGACCACCTGCTACCTACCCGGCCCGAAGTTGGCATTTTGTCTCCAAGCCACGGCCCTGCGATGACTGCCATCAGGGCCCTTCTGCTACTCTCACTTCCGATATGTGCCCTAATGAACTTCTCCAATTAGCCAGTCAATTACCAGAGTTCTCCCTCATTTAGCAATGTCTGCGGGCAGTCATCCTTCTGATGTGTCACATCCGGCAGCGGCGTCTGAGGCCTCTTCACGACCCTCCGAACCATACGAGAGTGGGTGCATTGATCTCTGTCTGTTTCCCCGCTTGACGCATGGCATACTGACAGATCATTTGTGATTTACTAGGACGGTGGGGTAACGTTCACCAAACTCCTGTAAAAGTGAGAAGACGAAGTCAACCATCCATATCCGAAACCCAATCTTCGAAAAGTCAGCCATTCTATTTTGTCGACTCGAATTCCTCCTCCCGAGAAAAGCGAGCGCATGTTATGCGCCACCATGTGCAGGAGAAACGGAGGCAACGCAAGCATTCACACCCTCGACGAGACAGTGATAAAATCATTGGTCGATCTCTCCATTATTATCCGTGGCAGCGGAAGACGGTAGAAATAGACGATAATGAATTTGATTGCAATCGGGTTCTTGGGCCTCAGCAAATTCCAAATAGTACTCTAGAGGAAAACAATTCCTTGGTAAGTGACCATGATCTTCCCCATAGTTTTATGTTGGAGTCTATGTCCTTGTATTACCATGGGGGTTGTATCAACAGAGGGGTTCCTAAGTTTCTGATTCAGACTGCTGACTGCCTTCCTTGGTTGGTTTCAGACTCCCGCCGACTTTCCAATCTTGAGAACGACTTCTTATTCCATCGCCGACTCACGCTCTGTCGCACCTATCAGCTTACTCGACTCCTCCAGAAACGACCTTTTTGCCAGTTTGTCTGAATTCTGTTCTCATGGGGATGTTGAGTTGGCAGATTATTGGATGAACAAGTTGACGTACTGGTCGGGTCAGAATAAATATATAAAGAACCAGATTTTCCATGCAGCGATGAGCCATCCACTACCTTTTCAGGCTGTTATTCTTGGATACTGCGCTCGTTGGAAGCTCCAGCTGTATGGCCAGAAGTGGAGCAAAGAAGCACAATTCCATATGGAGCAAGCTGTAGCAGGCATTGAGAAAGCATTGAAAGGCTCCACAGCGATCAATGGTGATAGTCTAGCAATGGCTTTGACCGGGATGGCGCTACAGGAGGAGAGATTTGGCAGTAAAGAAAATGCGGGGAGATACGTGGACCAAGCTGTCCAAATCCTCCGCTCCCGAGCTGGATCCAGCAATGTTGTTGAAGTTTTCTTGCACTATGTGCGATACCTTATGATCCCTCCTCATAATTCTACAACTAGTGGAGAAGGCCAGCAATGGCTGGCTACATTTCTTCGCGGGGCAGAAGAACTCATGCTGGAGCACAGGACGAAGGCTTATCTGTCGGCTGTTCCTCAGCGCTATGCTGCATTCCAGATGGACGGTCCTCTCTTTCCGCTACTTTCCAGCGGGCCGCGTCCATCACAAATCCCTGAAGATTCACGGATATATGTTGTCTTGGGGGTACCAACCCACGAACTCACTCGCACAGCAGCTTTAATCTATATTACGAAAACGCTGTGGGATTTCCAGGACTCCCCGAGCAAAACCGGACGCTTCCTTGATCATTTGTGCAATATAGTCAAAAACCACGAGCTCGATAAATATCCGGCATGCGAGACTTTTCTGTGGCTGTTACTGGAGGAAGGATGTGATTGGGATATAAAAGACTCTGAACGAGGATGGTTCACTGGCGAGCTGCTGAAAATGCACAAACAGCTCCGACCGGACCTTCAATTTCATTTCAACGAAATCCTGTTTAGCCTTCTGATGCTAGTCCCTCCTATCAGAGGCATCGATATATTCGAAGAGGAGCAGTATTCTTCAATGCTCAAGACCTCGGAGATTTTTTAAAATACCCCGGGTATTATACCGGTTTTATAAACCAACAGTGCAGCATATGTTTCTTCCTTCTCACCCCCCTTTTCGGAGTGTGAAATTCATGGAAATATGATGACAGAAAGCGGTTTGCAGGCAACTGTAGTACAACACTCTGCCCTGTGTCGAGAATATACTTGTATATAGTACTGACAATATGGACTCGAAAAAAATCGAAGAGCTTGTTGAACTTTGAATATATATATATATATATGTCCAGGTCTATCTTCATCTTTTACTGCTGTAGATTCTTCGAAGCTGTTGCTGGCCAAAATTGTGTTCCGATACCGAGACCCGTATACGGGTTACTGCTTACTGCAGCCCCTACCGAGCAAAACACTACGGACGCCAAGACCATTTGCCTTTCTCGTTCTAGTCAATTCCGCTCTGAGGTCGCGAGCACAGGGGCTCATCCTAACCAGGTTTCAGTTGAGCTGAAAGTGGGGCTTCGGCTGATAGCGGGTCACTAACTCCTTTTGGCAATCATATGACCATTTCAAACTCGTAGAGAGTGGATTGTTAAATGCTGCACTATTCAAATTTTTTTCTTCCCTAAACTTCCGATAAGTAGTTTTACATATTCTCCACCATGACAGAACTAAATCCCTGGTATTATACAGCAGAACAACATCAAGCCGTTATTGATCAAGAAAATTCACGAACACCGGATGAAACTTTGGTAATCCTAACGTGAGGACCAGCTAACGGATTGCTTAGTTATTGTCAATATTGTGGAGGTTTCAGGAGCCCAGAAATTGGACCAACCAGATCTGGGGGCCTTAGCGCCGTGTTGTGCACGGACCATCTCAGTCCTTTCTACATGATCTCAAAATTAGATGTCACATCTGCATCTACTTATATTTAATAGGCTGTATGACTCACGTACAGGTTACTCGATGACTTGACTCAGCTAGTGTTTCACCTGGTTCGTGAAAAAAGTACAATGTCTGGATCGTTCATGTCCTCTGCATTATGACTGCGTGTGCCTGGTGGCAATCCCAACGTCCAATTATAGCTGTATGTGATGGTTTGGTTGTCTCTGCGCTAGTAGAGATAAAACCACTTGACCATATAAAAAGGTACAAGACGACTGATATCTAGCGCCCTATATAGGAGCGAAGGCCATGCCTGAGCAACACATTGGGTTCAACCCTTGACAGAGCTACAGCACTCCAAGTACCGCTATTTCTGGAGGTTCTAAGGGAATTCTGATCATTTCCGAGCAGCCTTATGCCGTATCTCACGATGCTTAAGCCCAGTTCGCTCTCGATGTGATCCCAGGGCTGACAGTTGCGCACATTTACGGCAAACTCAAGGAGCATAGATATCGCAAATACGAATTCGATGCAAATGTGGTTGGGTGTAGATGTTGGACTTCGAGCCAGATAGATCTGCTACACCAACTCTGATTAGTTACAAATATGTCGCAGATATCTGCCGCGAAAGGCAGGATTCTTAAGCTTTGGCCAGATCAGACGCCACTTCCTCTTGACCAAGGCGCCTACTACTTGTAAAGGTAGCCGATGAAAGTGTATTTACACTTTTTATAAATTTTACTTTAACTTGTTTTAGCTTCCTTAGTATAGCTTGTTTTTTTGTTTATTGTTTCTTTTTATTGAGTTTCATGGCTCTTCTGTAAAGGGCTGGAGCCCATTTGACCTCTCGTGTTCAGGATTCGAGTTCTCTGCCGCCCCTCACCGCCTGTAGATAGTATAGCTCCGACCTCGCGTCGCTCTGTTTACGAGTTCTTCAAGCGATGTTTTCGTCAAAATGCAATCCAGTTGTTGACCCAGTCTCGTGCCGTGACATCTCGGGCCAATGTCCCTATTATCCCTATTATCCCTATTGTCCCTATTGTCCCTATTGCCCCTATTTCCCCTATTGACCCTACGACACCTTTTGGCACTGTTGGCACTTTGGCCCATTGGCCCTCGATCTGTGTCACGTGACTTCCCACCTTGTTTGTTTACCACTCATTTTCCTCTTCCTTTCTTCCCTTCTTCAACGATTCCTTCTTGTACATAACCTATCTTATAGGTTCTACGGGTTCAGCCCTTGACATCTTCGACCTGTTGTTCACAGCTAACTTATAGTTGTTGGCATTAACTATGCCGTATTGTATTTTCAATTGTTTCTATTGGATTGATCTATTAATTACTTGTCAAGGTGTCTTTCTCAACATTTATACATTTAGAGGTATTACTTTAAGGTAAAATTAACAGTGGGAGCTAGGATTGCATGGAAGTTGCCGGATGTAAAAAGCGATATAATCTTTGGTTTAATTGCGGTACTTCCTTTTTGCAGTCACAATTGTTGTTCGTTGAAACTGAGCCTTTTGTCAGGGCCTAGGTCGAACCCTGCCTGAGGCACCAAATTTGCTTTCATTCACTGTTGATCCCACAACGTAGAGATTTCCCACATTTCCTGTACAATAGAATTCTTTCTTCCTTCCTTCTCTACGTTTGATGTTTCGTTAGATCGCCATCTTAGATAGAATCCATCCATTTTACCAAGGTGTATAGGATCATCACAAGATGCTGAGGCAGAAAAGACTTCAGATAGTGTACTAGGAAGGCCTCTAGAGGACCATCTGTTTGAATTTCAAATATGGAATTCAACTTCATGTGGGGCGGTCCGGTTCTGGGGGGGGCCATCTTATGGGGTTTAGAATAAAAATAAAAGAGACAAAACGGCCTTTAATTTGGAGGACCTGAAGAAAATCACTGGATATCCGCTGTTGAACACTGTTGGCCAACTGGAAGAACTATAAAAAACAAATATTCGTTCTGTATTCTATGGTTGGCCTTCTGTTTTTACATCCTTCTAGTCCCCGTCAAACTATGCATCCCTTCGCCTAACAACCAGCAATTATATTTACTGTATATTAAAATAAAAAAATTGATATGAGAGAATTAATATGCTATGTAGCCAGATTGAATTCCCCCTATTAACTCGGATCCGCGTTCGACCTGTTAATATAGAGTTAGTCTTTGTTTGGATATCAATTGCTGTAGCCTCGAGGAACTAAAAGATCTAATTGTTCTTGCCTTTGAAGCTTACGGCTGAGCTTGAAGTTTCGTATAACATAGAGAGCTGATATAATTTTTTAGAAGGCTAGTATTATTAAATTTTGGGAAACCCTACTTTCCATGGCAGTCGGGAGAGTCCCAGGCATATATTGTACGTGACTTGTATTTGTTCTGGGATAAAATATTTAGTAAGTATAGTTATGATAGCTGCTCTTGCACAGATCCTAACTGGTTTATCTGAAGGTGAAATGGCTTGAGTTACGGCAGTAGTAAAAACTATAATCGAAACACGAATCTTTTGCACTTCTCATTGGACACCTGCAGATGAAGAATAAACAATGAAGATGCAAGTTAAGGGTGAAAAGTAGCTGGCTAATTTTTATAGCTCCGTGCTAGAATTTGGAATAATTAATCTGGCCAGTCAAATATAGACTGGCTGTGTAACTGTGAGTGGGTAAGGAATAAATTCTGCAAAGCTGCAGATTTGCTGTTGTAACTCGCTGCCTACGGGAAGAAGAACAGTCTCTACAGGAAAGTCGTGATGATACAACAAGACCTACCAAAACATGAGTATCATAGGTTATTAGGTCGGTAAAACAAAATATAACTTTAAAGGAGCGTAGGATTCAGCTGGGGACTAACAAAAAACCATTGACAACAATTGCACATCATAAACAGAAACGACTGAAGTTATGCATCAACTGAAAAATATCACCAAAACGTAAGCAGACTAACAATTGCTCTTCCAGCCCTCCTAAGGTACCACACCAGACCCCTTTGTGGACACCCTTGAGCGAGACTGAGGACTGAACTAGCTAGTGCATGGATTGCTGCCGATACCCTGATCAGTGGTCTCTCTTTATCCCTAATGCTAATGTTAGTATTAAGACCCTTGGTGAAAAAGAAAAAACAGATCACATACCAAGAAAGAATCACGAAACCCTCCACAGTACAAGCAAGACCCAAGACGTGCGAAAGTTTACCATACATTCCTCCGCGATGGTATGACCTTGCATAGGACTGGAGACATTGCAGCATCTCACAACTTGCCCGGCTCCCGTCGTCGCCGTCATCGAGTTTGTCGAGACCTCGGTAGGTACATTGGAGAACTTCGTTTGCTTCCCTCTGGCTAACTCTCATCGCTGAGGATGAAGCTGCAAGGAAGACAACGACAGGAAGAGAGACCTTCATTATGGTAGTTTAGCCTCGGCGAGTTTAATGAGGATCTGTTTCAATTCTGCATTCCACAAGATATTATCCAGCCAGAGGTCCTGGTGGATGACATCAAGAGAACGTATTTCGGCCGCCAAATCATGTAATAGTTATGGGGAGCCGATAATCTCATCAGTAGCCCGTGTTTTGTCTCCCTTTTCAACATCCTGTACAGCCCTATATTATCCCGTAATTTATTCACGCACATTGGTGCCTTAGGCAATCGCCTAATAAGAAGACAACATTCAGCTTATTGCACTTCTAGGCTTTGACTTTAAGCTGCTACAATCTCAAACCTGTTCCAGAATACAGGCGCTTATCTACTTCATCTGCAAGCTCCGATGGAAATCAGGTAACACCCACTTGACCATCCACTCTGACTGTAAGACCATGTCGGCTGTTGGTCGTTCTTCTGGTCGAAATACTAACATTCGACGCATCAAATCTAGAATGGCAGCTGTTTCCACCATGTCAAACTCGTTCGCCCTAAGTTTCCGTCGATACTTCTGTACCCCTTCCTCAAATGCCTTGTCAATCGGTGGCCACACATAGCGGCCCTCCTTTGGGCGACCATTATCATCGAAAAATTGACTCCGCTCTGCCCACCGCTCCCACCAGTTTAGGGGCATGGGCCCCAACGCATCGATGTGTTGGGATACCACCTCATCCGCAGTGGCGAATTCGCTGCTGAAAATGGCCTTCATGCCAAGAATCTCCCAGATCGTAGTGGCTAGGCTCCAAATGTCTGCTGAATATGAGAGAGGGGCCTGAGGTTCAAACCTGGCCTCCGGCGGTCGCTTTGCTAGTGGTGTGTGGCAATCTTCCCCCCGACGAACTTCCAAGTCTGGGGCAAATGCCTCGCCAAAGTCACTCAGAAGCACGTGCGCGTCGGACAGTAAGAATTCTTCTGCATCTTTTCCAAGATAAAGTGGCAACACTGCACTAGCTGGGGCATTCGGTGGAAGCGGTTTCCCATCACGTTGTGTAACAGGAACTGTCTCGGGCTCCCCATATTTTTCATATAGCTGCTCAACTGACAGGTGATCGAAACTTGATGGGAGTTTAACCAAGACATTCCGGAGATGGATATCTACAAAGACACTTGAATATTAGCTAAGTTTACCCAGACCATTGATTATTTTGATATCTTATAACAAACCTCCATGGGCATAACCTCTTGAATGCATATAAGCAATAGCTAGCGTAAGGCCTCCGGATAGTGCCCGCGCAACTTCAAGAGGAAACAAATGACTAAACGATACTTCTCTGAGATTACATCTCGCAGGTGTCATTGTGTAGCATAGATGTGTTCCGTTGGGGCCGTTCAACTTAAATTCATCCAAGGGTAGTGGAATTGAACTGTGCCCTGGATATGCGGGAGAAGCCGATGGTAGTGACGCAGAAAGGGCTCGGAGAATATTAGGCTCGTGCATAGCTGAGTCTGATACGCCGACTTTAACAGCAACATAGCGCTCTAAACAAGTGTCCCGAGCAAGCCAAACTGTCGAATAGCCTCCGAAACCTAGCTTGTCCACTATGCGATATCTCGAGTGAAGGATATCACCAATCATAATAGGATGATAGCCCCCGGGTTTGTATTTTTCAAGTGATTCCGCACCATCTATCCAGTTGTATTTAAAGGGATGGTTCCTTGTATCTTCTTCAACGGGGGACTCTTCAATGGGGAACATTGCTATCGATGAATACAATGTGGAGCTCGGCCGTGTGAACAGTCCAAACCCAAGCTTCCAAGATCGGCAGCTGGGTGGACAGCATGACAATGAAGTTAATAGTTTAAGTAACCTAGATGGTGAAAAAGAAGAGATACCTGGAGCAGCTACTTTGAAGCAGCGCGCCATGATAAGCAATGGCGGAGGTAGTATTTAATGCCATCTTGCCCTCCCAAAAAAGACGGCGGAATCGCCCAAACTGATTCGGGCAAGTGCCCCACCCGACCCACCGACCAACCGCCAACTTTAAATTCTATACTTAGATCCTAGCCGCCCAGAATTGCCGCCATATCACGATCAGAACTTTATGTAGCCAATGAGCTATATTAAGACGTGGCATTCAAGCTAAATTATGCGTCGGCCTAATTGCCGCTGTCTCTAGCCATACAGATACTTGACTGCTTGTGTAGCATCACGATGAATGGTCAGGTCCTCATCACAAACAGCGCCAAATGAAGAGAGTCTATTAGATCAGCATGCAGGATTATAGCTCCTTTCCTGATTCTAGATTATCAAAATTAAGCTAGACTAAATAAAATTGTGCTCAACGGTCAGGAGAAATCGGCGCGGGAGGGGGTGTAAGACAAATTTATCTAACCCCTTGCCTGGGTATAGATGTCGCTGACCGTCGCAGACGATATTTATTGGCGCATCAACCGCGAACTTGCATTACTGTAGTGCTGCGTGCTGATTGGATACGTTGCGTAAAGTGATTTTACTTTTTATCTTCTTTGCATCTATGGAAGGCCTGTGCGCCCTCCTAGCGGCGGGGCTTCCAGTATGAAATGACTGACATACGGTCATTCGAAGATCCAATAAAGATAGGACTCAGCGTGATCCCTGTAGTCAGATATAACCTGGTTATCAGCGTGGAGAACTCAACTGATATCTGATCCTGTAGGGAGTCAGGGGTGGCAGACGGTAGGCTATTTTACCGGTGAATAAATATCCTCATTCCCTCCACGAAAGCTTTTTGTGGATACATCTGATTCCCTGATACTAAAGCCTAATGGCTTTTCAGATAATAGTCCTACCTAACCAAATTTGACTGTCACGTTATTTCCTTTGCAATGTTCAGGGAGAACTCGATGGATGGAACAGCATCAGGCAGCATTTAGGATTATGCTACAAACTATAACATCGTAATATATGACTTGATAAGATTGTGCCTTTTCAATAGCAAGCTGACTCTGCTTTTGCAGCACAAAAATGCAAGAAACAAACACTGCGACAAGGAATTCCCCTGCCATCAAAATCAATGTTCCCTTTCCTAGCTATTATTTCTGTTCGGGTAGGTGCGAGTAAGCGATGGGCTATCCACATATTCTTCGAGTAGGTCCTCTGCCGGCCAAACAACCTTTCCAGATCTCCTTCCACCCCGAGGAGTTTTGTCCTGTTGCTCCGGAGTATGTGTTGCCTCCTTCAGGACAAAATTCTCTTTTCCACTGGTGTATCCATGTGTTGCCACATGAAATTCTCGCTCCACTTGGTTGTCGGTCTTGAAGGCGAAGGTGCCATGCCAGCCTTTGGGGTCTTTGGCATGCTTGCCCTCGATAGTAGTTGTGTCGCGCACGTCGGAACTAATTCACAATCCTCTTAGTAATTAGAAATGCATACATTGTGGGCTTGTGGGAACCACAGGAATGAGACTATGTGCTCAATCATATGCAGCAGCTTGACCAGGACTTACCAAATGAGAATTGCCTTAAGAGCCAGCATTTGATCTCGGGCAGTCGCATAGGCCAGAGCTACAAGTGCCTTTTTCCGGTCTGGACTGATAGTGTTGCCAGCATAGAAAAGTATTTGACAAAGTTTATTCCACCTCTAGCAGTAGCCATCGCTCTAAAGTAGAAGAATAAGTCTCGGAAAGCACACTTCTGCTTTAGCTAGAGCTTAAATGTTTTAGACTAGATTCAAACAATTGACGGAGGGGGTCATCTTAGTCTTATATATAGCCTGTACTTGTAAAGCAGTAGGGACGTGATACAGCCACACCACTGTCGCTCCTCCGTATAGGGCTCTATATGGCTTATACAACTACTTAGATAACTATTCTGATAGTTTTAATAAGAGCCTTATTATTCCAGAAGTCAGGTTGTTGGTCATATACCAGAGGAGGTTGATTAAACTAATAATTCTACCAATACTACAGATATTAATTCTACTAATACTATAGATGTTCTACCACCTCCACCTATCAATCGTTCTTTTGCCTCTGAAAAGGAAGGATTGGATTTCCTCCACAAATTTACCCAATATAAGATTACTGGAGGAGGCAACTTGCAGTGGTTTTTAAGAATAGAGATAATTAGAGATAGAGAGACAGAATCTATATGGCTAAGTTAGTTTTTTAATATAGAGAAGATCGCTAACCTTGTCAATTCAAAACCTTCAGATACCGTAAGCATGGCGATGCTGTGACAGCCAAAGCCTCAGTTTAGCACGACGGCAATATTAAAGTGCGCTGCCTATAATATAATATAAGTGGTGTTTACAGAAATCGAATTAATAAGTAAAAATATAAGCAGCAGAAATGCTGTCGCTTAGTTATTTTTTATGCAGTCCTTCGCCGTTCAGAATTATTAGCCTGGTATTTGGAAATTAGTATCCCAAATTATAATCATACATTATCACCGGCTCACACGCATCCAACATTGAGCTATTTAATGTTTGAAAAGCATACAGATACTATCAAGCATCAGCTTGCAGCAGGTACTTAGCCCGGGTAGTAGTAGTAGTAGAATTCATTGACCTGTCCTAGCTTATATATGAATGTCGCCATGCAGGATCGTGCTGACGCAGTCAGCGCTGAGAAAGGCCGCGCCTGGCGGCTGGCCACCACTGAGTTCGTGGGACCCAGAAAGAAATGGCGCTTAAACAAACAAAATCGAAAAGCTTGGAAGAGTATCCCTGCTTCCCCCGCATGCTTCTACCGGGCATCCCCTCACTCCATGACCACCGGCCTCCCCCAACGCCGTCTGCGTATCTCCGTACCGTTGACTGGTCTGCTCGACGGCCGCAGGCGACCTGGTCCTGTGTCCGCTGATATGAGTTCGCTTCAGGCAGCAGCCCAATGTCCTTGTTGGCTATCTTGCGCTGACCGAGTCATCCTGCGCTTGGTTTGTAACCCCTGTCGCTGCAGAATCTACTGCTTTAAACTGCCCGAGCAGGCCTGTTTTTATCATAAAATCCGCCACTGCCACGCTTGCCTTTGTCCCCTGTATCACCGATTTGTAGCCCTCCATCCAGACATCGGCACAGCCTTTCCTTCAGAGCTCCTGTCGTAGGTCCATACGTAGGTCGGTCAGAATTGAACACACCATAAACAAATGTTTAGGCGTTTGGTCATCAAGATCGCAACCGCAGCGCCGATTCGCGCACGTTGATACGGCTGAGATATCTGTTAAGTTCAATCCTCCCCGTACGCAACTGCATAAGCACTGAGCTGGTTGCCTTTCGGAGACTTCCCAGTACCGCAGGACGCCCTTCTCTGGCGCGTTAATCAGGCGCTTAGTCGGTCGTCCTGTCCTTGTCCGTTGCCATGCCTTGGCCCACTTGGCCTTTGACTCCGCCCTGATCCTCCGCTTATCCGCCGATTGAAGCATGACCAGTTGTTGTCCTCGTAAGGGTCCTCGTTGCGCTGCCTGCTTGACAAGCCGGTCGGTTGCCTCGTTCCCAGACACGCCCTGGTGAGCCGGGATCCACCGCAGTGTCACCCGGATGCCTTGCTCTTCGCACCAACGGAGCAGCTACAAGCATCCCCGTAGGATCTCCTGTCCAGAGACTAGCCGAGGTCGCCTGAGCGCTTTCAGGGCTTCCTGGCTGTCAGAAAATATCTGCACCCCGTTACGGATGTAACTCCTCCATCGCTGCATCCCGTGACACCGTTTCACTATTTCCAGCCCCATCTGGACACCCCGTAGCTCTGCTGCGTATACCGTGGTCGTAGTTTCTGGGCCAAGATGGTCAGTCGTTTGGGTCTGGCTCCACTGCTGCGGCGCTAACTTTGCCCCTATAGCCACTACCGTCGATAAAAACCGACAGCGGCTTGTTAGTTTGCTGCAGTATTTGGTCATGACTCTTTCTTGCCTCGGCGCAGTCCTCGATCACCACGTCCGGAGGTGCACGCCACGGTTCCATGATATACGCCTTCTTCGTTTCCCATCTCCCCTTCACCTTTGGTGGCGGCTTGAGACACCCGCCCCGCTTACCGGCGTGTGCCTCTATTGGCGTCCACCCACTAAACTTCTTCTCCTCCCCGTCATGGGCACCTTTATACTACGGTATTGCGTTTTCAGCCCAGGTAGTTATTAATACTACAAGATAAAAAAGATATTTATTCTTCCACGCGATGTTTACAACTTACAGCAAAGACTCTATTATAAGTTTTTTAATAAATAAACCCCAATTCAGACTCTTCTAAGTTCTAACCACTCTTCCTAAAGAGGGAGGGTGGCTTTTTAACTATATAACGGACTCGGACCACCAACTTACTGGATTATTCTGCATGCATAAAAGTTGCCTTGATCTCCTGCAAATGAATTCCTTTCTTTTAATTATGGATTATGGATTGCACTTACAAGACGAACAAGTATAAGATGCAGATGTTGGATATTGATGGTATTACCTCTACTGGAGCAACATTTTATATGGATTTGTTTTTATTTATACCAAGAAGCCGTGGTATAATTTTGCTTTACCTTGCCTATTAAAAGTTTACCGTCAACTAGGCTTACTGCTCCACGTACGATCCTTACTGACAAGGAGAAAGCATTAATCAATGCATGTGAGAATACATTTCCAACTACAGACACAATGATCTGTATATGGCATGTAAATAAAAATATTATACTAAGGCGCGGCCTTTTCTGTGCAAGGACTTGCTGGCTAGCCTAAGCACTGCACCGGATCCAAGGGATAAAGAGTCCATGGCTGCATTGTACATGTGAGTTTAAGGCCTTTCCACCCGGCTACAATGGCAATGACCTACAGACAATCAGCGGCCGTTACTTCTTTAGCCAGTGCAGAAAGGGGGTTAATTTCTCACATCTTGTACCTTAACAGTTATGTCTTTGCTTAATCCTGATACCGTCTCCTGCTTGAACACGAGATGCCACCACTTTCAGAATAACATAAGCAAGCTCTTGTATCTAATCCTGTGCAGTATTAACTATTTTTACTATATGAGATATTGCACTGCCAGCCAAAAAATCCATACAGGAACTAGACCATTTTATTAAAATCCGAAATTTATTGCCAGTACTGCACCGGTTCACGGCCGATGTGCTAACAATACCTGCCAGGGACCTACTAATTAGTTTCCAGCAGAGCCTACGGATTAGGAGGGTTACCTGTTCTAGTACGCGTGGGTCTTATCTAATTTTTCCAGGGTACTGTCGTTCTACCGCTTCTGTCGCAGCTGAGGTTTATTTAAGCTCTCTGGTGGAGGTAGCTGGCCCTTATTGTTGATAGAATTATTATTTAAATCTTTGTTGTTATCCCAGTCATCACTGTCAAGCTCTATGTCGCTGTTGAATCACTGCTAGATCCATTGTCTAAAAAGATCTCGCTGATGTTGGAGCTGGCGTCACTCTCGCTCTTGTTGTCAGGTCTGAACTGTCGGGAACAAGGCGCCGTAATCGAGAGGACATACTGGCAACTGGCGGCGAAATGGAGATCTGGAGTGAAAAATAAAGGGTGTGAGGATAACAGAGCTCTCGTGGATAAGGTCAGTTAGGAAGGACAAGAGGTATTGCGAGAGATGCTGGAAGGATAAAGGATGGGCAGGAAAGGACACGGTCGGTATAATAGGACTTAGAACTAGAAAGAACATAATAGTTGACGGGGGAGCCATTTTTGGCCCCCCTCCGCAGCGTGAGCGTCTAGGTAGGTGATGTTAAACATGAGCAACAAGTTGAACCAACGTTAGGAACCAAAAAGCGTGGTCCTGCAGGGAAGCCCGGCCATGGGAATTGGCTCGCGTGATGCCAAGACAGATGTTGGTTATCAAGACTCGTAAAACGGCGTCATGTATGGCCTTTTTTGGCCGCCTGCTAGGTGACTGTCACTTCGTTAAATGGAGCAGTAGTTAACGAGGGTAGTGGGCCACCTTGGAAGAAGGTCCTACTGCACTATAGTTATTGCAATTTAGTTAGCTATATCATTATCAAGTGGCCTACTAGGTTTAATAGCTAGTATTGAATTTCTAAATCCAATATTAAAGGCATTGGTTGTATCTTCGATTTTGTGAGCGTGGTTGAATTCATGGCGGTGGCAGCGAGGCTTGATGGCAGATTACGTTGGCACTTTCCGAGCTGCCTTTCTTAGGGAACTGGCAGGATACCATATCAAGTCTTTATTATGGCAAGCCTATAACACTCGGTATTAAATTTTCCAATTATTATTCTTCTTCTTCCATGTTATAGAGTATTTTTCAGCGCTTGAGACTATGCGTGCTCTACTTGCCACTTCTGGGCACAAGATTTCAAACTCGCAGGTAGCAAACAGCTATTTTGGCAATAGGGGGTTACTTAGGCAGGTTTCCTCCCTAAGTAAGAAGGTGGCAGTAGTGAGTGTATGAAGACAATTTGTATAGGAAAAGGTCTTGACATAAAACGAAGCAGGAGATACAGGGAGTGCATGTGGTATGTTGATAAATGCACGGCTTGATCGAACTATGACTTATGGTTGGCTTGGAGTCTAAAGGCGGCGGCGACTCACAGTGCGGAAAGGCCACAGTTTTCAAGTCAAAAGCCACGCACAACCGTGGCCATTCCGTCGTCACCCATAGCTACGTATTACTGCAAAACAACATCGAATGAGTGGCGTAGCTGAAGGGGCAATTTCTGTGGCTGAGTTGTGGCTGGAGACAGTTCACCATCGTATGATTGGATCAGCGCTCGAGATGACCATTACGTTCCCAGTCTGTGGAAATCCGCTAGTCCAGAATAGTCCCCGGTACATAGTAACCGAAGGCCAGAAAATTGCAGGGGAGCAAACGTAATATGGACTCTTGTGCTGTTTAAGATCCAGGGTTCTACGGAGTACGTAGTCGTACATCTGACGTTTTCAATTGCCCATGTATGGCTAGGAGTGTTTTTGATCTGGCTAGTCTACAAGTATTAGGTAGGAACTTTTATATGCCCAAATACGTCCTTCGTGACATCTACTCCCTACTCAGGTAGTATTCCCCTATTAACCACACAGAATACCCAGTATGCTGAGTTTTTGGGAAACTAAACCTCAATGGTCAGTATTTGCAAGACTATAATGTTAACAACCTCTAGCTGTTTCGCAACCGCGCCGCTGCTTCAGCTCAGTGCCAAAATTTCCTGGCACCTGATCTTAAGAGAGGCGCTTTACCCAATATGGTAATTCTGTCTCCACTTAAGTACCTCGTTACCAGAAAGGTACTAGCATACCAAGGTTGCAGGCCTGGATTTGCCACTGATCAAAGGTACCAATCATGTACCTATCCACCTTACGACGCTAGGCCGATCTATTGCAGCTAGTACAAAGTAAGGAGAAACAGCGACTCGACCTGCTCTGGCACGATTCTCATTCCACCGAATCACCCAATAAATATTGTCATTTTCCAGCCACTATTTCTATGCTCCCAGTGGTGTTATCTCTCTATTGTGCTACTTGCCAAGAAAGCTGATGGAACAGTTACCATGAATCATTGATTACGATGATGACGAAATTGATCCAGTGCTGAACTTATTAGCTAGGCTGTTAGTCAATAGATCGCCGACCCATAAAGTTAAAACAAAGTTGAAAGGGGACCAGGATTCTCGTAGGTCGGCCTCTTCGTCATCGCATTCCCGGGGACCCAAAGCTCCCAGCTTAGATCCATATTTGGCCCATCTCTGGACACGCTTTTGACTCGCTCTGATCCTCGGCTGGTGCCCATCGACATTTATTTCCACCCCGCTATCTACACTAGCCGATAGCCTTCCTTCACGATAGTCCTGTTGCAGCAAAGGCAGAGAGTTTTTTTTTTTTTTTTTTTTTTTTTAATCCCACGGGACCATTTTCTCCTATCCATTCATTTTTGAGAGCAAATACTCCGGCGTATGTACAGTTCACTCTTGGCGCCTAAGGTTTTTGGGTTTGGCGTGGACTGCAGGAAAAAAAGAAAAAAGAAAAAAGAAAGAAAAAAAGACAAATACCCACACACGAGCTGTCCCTCTCTCTCTTAAAGCTTTGTGTTTGGGTGCCTTGGGACATTTACTCGTTGCCAGTTTGCCTCTCTTATCAGCTCTGAGGTCTGTTCATTACTCGCGCTCATTTTAATAACACTTTATTCTTTTTGAATTAATCCCTTCCCTCTCGTTTCACAGTATTCGCTTTTTCTGTCGTGTTATTGCCCTTGGACAACATACAGCACCAGTACTACGCATTGCGGCCTGGATCTTCTGTCGCGGATTCCACGTGACGTTACTCATTCCCAACCGATTTCGTGGACGGCACAGTAAGGCGAACCTCTGAAGACATTGCAAGAAAACTGTAGGAATTGAGACACGAACAATATGACAATATATGATGCTGGCCTGACAGGCCTTCATCAAATAATCCGTCGCGATGTAAGCCTTCTACTTTACCTTGTTCCCTGTTGTGCTTGGCGTGCTTTAGAAGGGCTTGTCTTACGCTTGGTAGGGGGAAAATCCTCAAGCAACTTCTAACTCGGCCTCTGGACTAGTCGTCACCTTGGTTCCGGCCTTGGTGGCGGCTGTCATCATGGTCACGGTCTTCGTGCTTCTGCGGCGTAGCGAGCGCCGAATGTACATGCCACGAACGTACCTGGGTGTTTTGCGACCCGAGGAGCGAACCCCTCCATCCTCAGTTGGCCTATTCAATTGGATTAAGGAGATGTACAACTTGCCTGACGAATATGTGTTGCAACATCACTCCATGGATGCCTATCTCTTGCTTCGTTTCCTAAAGATGGTATCGATGATCTGCTTCGTGGGCGTGCTGATGACTTTCCCTATCCTATTTCCAATCAATGGCACTGGCGGCGCAGGGAACAAGCAATTGGACCTGCTAACTATGTCTAATATCGCCGAAGACAAATTCGCGCGCTACTTCGCTCATGCTTTCATTGCATGGCTCTTTGTTGGTAGGTGCCTTCCTCGAATTTCGTTGGAGAATTGCAGTACATCAGCTCCAATGATCTGACTAATCTACCCTAGGGTTTGTCTTTTTTACTGTCACCCGCGAAAGCATCTTTTATATCAATTTACGACAAGCATATGCGCTTTCGCCGGCGTACGCCAACCGAATCTCCTCGCGGACCGTACTGTTTACAGCAGTCACCGAAGAATATCTTAATGTCGACAAGATCCGCCGGATGTTCGGTACTGCAAAGGTGCAGAATGTCTGGCTCGCTACAGATACCAGCGACTTAGAAGAAAAAGTCGAGGAACGTGACAAAGCTGCCATGAAGCTGGAGGGTGCGGAAACGAAGCTCATCATGCTTGCGAATGGTGCTCGTCTTAAAGCTTTGAAGAAACATAACGTCGAAGACGGGCCCATTGTGCCTGAGAATATTGGAGAATATACGGACGACGAGTCCGGCTCTGTTGCCGCTCAATGGATAAAGCCTACTGACAGACCTACGCATAGACTCAAGATACTTATCGGGAAGAAAGTTGATACTATCAACTGGGCGAGATCGGAGATTGAGCGGCTCAATCCTGAAATTGAAGAGCTTCAGGCTAAACACCGCGCTGGCGATGCGAAACTAGTGTCTTCGGTTTTTGTTGAATTCTATCACCAGGCAGATGCTCAAGCTGCCTTCCAGTCTGGTACGCCTTTCCTCTTTCGTAGTATTCCCCTTTTTTAACTACAAATGATACCATTAAACTTCCGAATTGCAGTCATTCTAACAAGCGTTCTCAGTGGCCCACAACCTACCTTTGCATATGGCACCCCGGTATATTGGCCTGGAACCTACGCAGGTTATCTGGTCCAATCTGCGTATTATGTCGTGGGAGCGAGTTATCCGTTCCATTGCGGTCATTGCCTTCGTCACTGCTTTGATTGTCTTCTGGGCAATTCCCACAGCTGTTGTCGGCGCCATATCAAATATTAACTTCTTGACGAACAAGGTGCCTTTTCTTCGGTTCATCAACAATTGCCCAGACTGGCTTAAAGGTGCCATTACTTCCCTTCTTCCCGTTGTTTTGATGTCAGTACTCATGGCTTTGTTGCCGATTGTCCTTAGATGTAAGTTGTGTTATCCTAATCTTGTGAACTAATCTTGTGTTTGGAGGGTTTGCTCATGTTCATTCTTGATAGTTGCGGCAAAGCTTCGTGGCGCACCTAGCCTAGCTGCTGTCGAGCTTACCACACAAAACTTCTATTTCACATTTCAAGTAGTCCAAGTATTTCTTGTTGTCACCCTTACATCGTCCGCCAGTAGTGTCGTCACACAGATTATTCAACAACCTCAGAAGGCTGCCGAGTTACTAGCGAACAATCTTCCGCGTGCCTCCAACTTTTACATCACCTATATTCTCTTACAAGGGTTGTCGTTCAGTTCTGGTGCACTGCTTCAAATCTCTGGGTTGATTATGGGCAAGATCATGGGCAAATTCATGGACAATACTCCTCGCAAGATGTACACCCGCTGGTCCACACTTGCAGGACTGGGATGGGGGACTGTATATCCTGCTTTCACCTTGCTGGTGGTTATCGGTAAGCTATTCAACACCCACCTGTCTTTACTGGCACTGACGGCCATGATTTCGGGATACAGCTATCGCATACTCTTGTATCGCCCCATTGGTGTTGGCTTTTGCGACTATTGGTCTGTATCTGTTTTATTTCGCCTATCGCTACAACATGCTTTATGTGTCCAATGCAGATATTGATACGCAAGGAAAGGCATACATCCGTGCGCTTCAGCATATTACTGTCGGCTGCTATCTTCTAATAGTCTGCTTGATTGGATTGTTCGCTATTGGAACAGCCAGCGCAAGAATTGCACTGGGCCCTCTGATCCTTATGATCATTTTACTCGTTTTCATTGTCCTATATCATGTCTCACTCAACAGCGCGCTCGACCCTCTCATCAATTTCCTCCCAAAGAACTTGGAGGTAGAGGAGGAAGCTCTTCTTTCTCATGAAAAAGCTGTACTCAGCAAAGCCTCTGGCGAACATTCCGACGGAGTGGGTGCCAGCGCTTCCGGGCAGAATGAGCCTGAACATGGTACTGAAAATGTCGATTCTGAGAGAGGGTTCGCTGGCACGGCTCCCCAAGATATCAAGCCGAATTTCCTTGTCAAATTCTTTCGCCCTGGCAAGTATAGTGGGTATACGCAGCTGCGCCGTTGGGTACCAGATGCCCATAATCCAATCACCTACTCCCCTGAGGTCGAAAGCCAGGCATACTTCCATCCATCCATCAGTGCCCAGGCACCGCTGCTCTGGATTCCTCGCGATGAAATGGGAGTGAGCAAACAGGAGGTCAGGCACACAATGCGAGTAATTCCCATAACGGATGAAGATGCGTGGTTGGATGAGAAAAACCATATTCATTGGGACATGGACAAGGGTGTTCCCCCTATCTATGAGGATAAGATACACTATTAATATAGCGATTCCCCTTGTCATTTCCTCACTTCTTACATTCTCCTTGGCAATGTCAAAACCGGCCTGTGTGGGAAGAAATCGTTGGATTTCGAAGTGACGGAACTCTTTTTGTATGATACCCGGGTGATGGCGGTATAATGTCTCAACAATACGCGCTATATGGTCTAATAATATTACTTCGTATATAGTATATTGGCCCGCGCAACATTGGTCAGCTAGCTGGTGGCGACGCCTTAATATTTAGTTTGGATAAAATCTCATGTTTGTAAATTGGAGATCCTATTCAGGTGTCTTCCTTTTCGTGATTGCTGAAAATCAATTAGAAAGATTTAGTAAGGCTTAACTATATATACTATCACTCTCCGAACGATCAATTACTTGCTTAATCCAAGTTGTTGACAATGACGAACAGATATTAGGTAAGCATTTGATAAAGGCAGAAATAGTTAGTAGGCGGTGAAGGCATCATTAGTGTATCGTTATCCCGTCATTGGCAGTTTTATCATTTCTATTCTATTCCGCAAGTTCTCTTAGATATAAATTGTAGCAGTGCTATCCAAACCATGGAACCGAGTGGAAAAAGAAAGTTCGAGTCGGCCACCGATAGCGCTAACACACCCGATAAACGACATAGGGTAATTGGACCTTCTCTACCACCACCATCATTCACATCAGAAGCACCAGCGCAACAGAGTGACTCCGACGAGGACAGCAGTGACGATGATTTTGGACCAAGCTTGCCCCCTCCCGAAGGCACAGTACTTGAGTCAACAGCCCAGGTGTCCGTCCACAATGCAACTCCCGGCTCATCAGCGGAGACGGAACCCGCTGCTAACAATCAGTCCCGACGAGACGAGTGGATGCTGTTACCCCCAGATGACTCAAGTTGGGCATCAAGGGTAGATCCTACTAAGTTAAGGAATCGAAAGTTCCAGAGTGGGAGGCCCGGATCAAGTCGTCCTACCGGGGGAGTAGATGCTTCGTGGACTGAAACGCCCGAGCAAAAAATGAGGCGTCTGCAGGATGAAGTGATGGGTGTTTCTACTGCCCCTGCTGCGGCTGGTAAGCAGGATGATGGGACGTCCAGAAAGAACCAGGCTATGCAGGAGAGAATAGAAAAGTACAATGTTCGTTGGCTTGACCTTATCGTTGGTTTTGTTTTTCATATTTGTGCGGGTCAGATTCTTACCGAGTTTAGGAGGCGAGACGAAAAGAGACTGCTGCTGAAGAAGCATCGTGGAAGGATAAGAAGAAAGAGGAAGAAGAAGACGACCCTAGCAAGCGGGCTTTTGATAAGGAGAAGGATATGGCTCTCGGCTCGAGGATAACTGCCTCGCAACGTCGGGAGATAATCAATAAGGCTTCTGATTTTGGGTCTCGATTTAGTAAAGGGAAGTATCTTTAATGTTGGATCAAGCAGATGGTTTGGTCTCGTTTAGAGGGATTGTTTATATCAAAAGTATTCGATATGCGAGTGACTCATTCTACTTGGGCAGTGGTGAAATATCCTGTAATTATAATGGTTTGATTTATATTTTTCTCGATATCCTGGCACTTTGCGCTAAAGATTGGATGTTTTTTGATGCTGTGAAATTGTCAGTCACAACAGTATATACTGGAGGCTAATGAATCCATGAAAGTGAGTGAATACTACGGAATCCTGTTTTCCTTAACAGAGAAGAAGCGTCTTCTCAATAAAGTGATAAAAGGTAACAGAGCCGTAACCAGAAGTCCAGTATAGGTTTATAGGAAAGTATTTGGGCATTTCCTTTAGATTGCGCCTAAAATTAATTCGACTAGTTTCTGATAGGGAGAAAGTGGAAGTATGCGGAATGTGCCTCAGGCAGCAATCGATGGGTGGGAAGCTTGGCGGGTCTGGGACTGCGACATTTTGGATTTGCTTCTCCAATGCGGCATCGCCATGGCCCTCATCCATTATTAACATCCCCATGGTGAGACTTTGGTCTACTAACGCTGTTGCCATTCCCCTGTTTTCCTGCAAGTCTCAGGCAGATACTGAGTCAGCGAAACTAAGGTCTAGTTAACGATTCGCTAAACCCCAATTAGCTAGCTATACTTCGCTGCTCACTTTCGTCATTCAAATCCATGTGTTTTTTTTTTTTTTTTTTTTTGCAACTATTTCTGGTGGCTCTCTGTGAATTCGGCCGTTGAGCGAGTGTCCATGGAAAATCAAACAAGAAAAAGGGAATAATATACTAGAACACGCTCGTCTGTCTGAGAGATGGACTCCACCACGACAACCCACAGGCCCCCGGTCGGAAGTTATCCGTCTGCGCCATCCGGGGGAATCCAAAAAGTTCGCCAGCGGACTATTACTGCGTGCTTGACATGTCGCCGTCGGAAGGTCAAATGCGACCATGCACAACCCACCTGCTCCCCATGTCAGCGTGGCAATCGGACCTGTTCATATGTGAATCCCCAACCGTCCCCGCAAGCTCAGCCTCATGCAAGGAACAGCAGAATGCAACAACCAAATTCGCGACCTGGGCAAGATGAGATCCGCCACCGTTTGGAGAGACTGGAGAGGCTCCTGGAACGAACAATCTCCGGTCCCATGCAGTTGCCTGATGCGCAAGCTCCCCGCCAAAATGCGTCAAATGGAGCAGATCGAAATGGGGATCCAAGTGGCGCGATCCTGGACCGTACAAATGAGACCCTGTCGACTGATGGATATGATGGTGCCTTACTGTTGGAGGCAGAGGGCGGCCAGTCGCGCTGGGTTTCGTCTCTTCATTACGCTCTTCTAGCAGATGAGGTATGATCCTTTTGCTGGGTTGTCTTCTAGCCTTTTAATCCTGATAATATTAGATCCACGATGTGAAAATGCTACTCGGGGATCAGGCTCGGCGTGCCCCTACAGAAAGTCCATCATCGGAGCAGGCATCCACCCCATTCCCGTTTTCTAACAAAATCGTGGATAGTCTCGCACTCTGGCTACCTAAATCTGCGGAAGATTGCTTTGCCCTGTTAGAAGACTTCATTTCCAATGTTGATCCAATGACACGACTGGTTCATCAGCCATCGCTCAGACGGCGGTTTACGCTGTTTGTGAACCAAACTTATGGAACAAGGAGCCGGGATACGGGCGAAGTGCTTGACATGCCCGGGCCAGATCCTACAGTCCGCGCCTTTGAGCCTTTGGCGTTGGCAATTTTCTACTCTGCTGTCAACAGCTTATTACCAGGGTCTGTGTGCACTCGATTCGCTGTAGAAAAGGAAACACTCCTGGCTCAGTTTCAGACGGGAGTGGAACAGGGGTTAGGAAGAGAGGGATTCTTGACGACATCCAGCATCGAGGTTCTTCAGGCCTTTGTTTTGCTATTAGTATGTTTAGCACCAAAGCTCGTTTCTACACCACGAAATTGTCTTACTGATTTGTTAGAGTTGCCAATCCCGAGAGGATGACATGTCAAGGGCATGGACCCTTCTTGGTCTTGCCTTAAGAATGGCGCTTTCACAAGGTCTTCATAGAGAGCCTTCTTTGTTTCCTTCGAAGAACATGGACGTTGTTCAAATTGAGATTCGTCGCCGGCTCTGGCACCAAATATGCCACCTTGACTTTCGATCCGCAGAAGCCAGAGGACAAGAGCCTACCATATCAGACGACGACTATACAACGTTGCTGCCCAGGAACGTCAATGATGACGACCTCATCGAAGGAGCCCCTCCAATACCTGATACGCACTCTGCCCCCGGCTTTACTGACATGACGGTTCAACTGATTCGACTGAACGGGATTCACCTTTTTAGACGAATTATTCGAAGCACATACAAGCTGGAGCGACGGATCAAGACTTCAACGGTGCATGGGAATGCCGTTTTATATCCAATTGTAGAACTCCAGGCTTTGTTTATCGAGGTTCGTGCCATGGTAGATGAGATGACCACACATATCCAAACACAATACCTGCAATATTGTGATCCTAGGATTCCATTACAGCGTATGGCGATTGGTCTTGCTGCGATAATTGAATGGCGATGCTGGTCTCTATTCTGGCTCCGCACTCCAAAACAATATCGGGGAGCAGTGGTATCACCAGAGATCCGACAAAAGTGAGTTTATACCTGAGGTTTAATTGGTGAAAGTCATCCTTCTCTTTCTCGTATCACTATATAACTGACTTGGATATGTATAGGGTCTTGGAAAAATCCGTGAGTCTGATTGAAAGTATGAACGTGATATCGAGCGACAAGGATGCCCAGCGCTTCCAGTGGCATATCGGTTGCCATTCCAGTTTTTTGGCCATTATGCATATTGTATCAGAGCTAGGAACTCTTGAATTTCAGATATCAGATCATAAATCGCTCCGTTCTCGTGCTTTGGTTGCTCTGCAAAAGACAGTGATCTTGAAAGGGCGCGAAGGCAACCCAATTTGGGATGTCATAAAACGGAGTATTTCAAATTGCCTGGAGAAGAACGCTTCACAAGTCTTCCCTTTAACTCCATACCCAGGTTTTTTCCCTCCAAATGGAGTGATCCCCACGATGAGTACAACGACAGTCACGACTCCGCCTCAGACAATCGCGGACACGTCTTCGGTGATAAACAATTCAATAATCGAGACTTCATTACCTGATCTGGCTGAAGTAGGTGGCTTGGACATGCAGGACCCCTCTATGACATTTGATTGGGTGAGTGAGTTTGATGCTTCTTTGTGTGGCCTTCGCTAATAGTTCATTCCAGGGGTTCTGGAATTTTGATCCAACTGACCCCAATTGATATTAAAAGCGATGACCTGAACGAATGCCTAGGACGTGATGTTTTGGTGATTAAGGCCAACATTTGTACATCACTAGCGCTGGAATAAACGAAACACCACAGCCCGTACAAGTCAACTCTGGCATGCCGGCAGGTGAATTGAAAAGACACAATACTATTTCCCCATACGTCACGGAATATAATGATGAACCACGTCTCCAGATAGGCATTGTACACCCGAGGACTATAACACATGGTCATATACACCTTTTGGCGTTTTGTCTGACAATGAGAGGAAATATGTGCTAGATGATGTTGACAATGGATGGTGGGGGCTATCTATTATGTTAGTGTTTCCTTTTTCTTGCTTGAAAAACAGTTCAACTTATAACAAATCCTCCAGATCTTTATAATGTCCGCGCCAATTGGTTCCTGCCTAGCGTTGCAAAAAACTCTTGCAGTTGATTTGTATATCACTCTCATGATAATGCGGGACAGGCTATCTTTCGCCACTAGAAGTCTGTGGATAACGTTGGGGTAGGCAGTGGAGGCGTGAGCATACCTTATAGTGTGAAACGTGCGATTGAGAGCCTATATTCCCTTGTGGTACAACCGCTAGTCAGTACCTTTTGGGTCTTTTTTTTTTTTTTTTTTTTTTTTTGATAGCCGCTAAGACCGTTGAGCCATGGGGGCAGCTCCGGATAGGGAACCCAATAATTAGGCTTTGACATGCATCTTGTTTTGGACCGAGTTGCAGCTTCTTTGCTTCTGGGATAGCACTTCCGATTTGTGCTTATATAGGTGTATATACAACTAAGAGGAAAATAGAAATTGTGATGCCATATTTTCACAAGGTTGGGAATTCTAGTGACTCAGGTGAATCTAGTCTTGATACCTCCCTCTTCATGGCTTGAACACGCCACGGTATGGTGCAGCTGGCCGCAGCAACGGGAATTCAAATTTGAGTGTCTAATTTGCCCGGTGATTGCCTCTTTTCTCAGATGCGGAAGGGATATCTTATTCACCGAGGAAGAATGTATAAAGATATCTAATAAGCCCTTCACACCTGTATTTATTTTGTCCACTCTATCTTGCAATAGCATCTCTGCAGTATGAATTTCGAATCCTATTTCCGCAAAGTGGATACTAGCATGGCTGCGGCAAGAGAATGGCCATATAGTTGATGGAATGAAGAATTACCGTGGATATGAGCATCTGGTATTTGGAGAATATCACTTTCGGATAGCCTTTGATATAGGTAGGCATTTACGAAAATGTGTTAAGCGTTGATGGTCAATCATTCCCTGAATGGTGGTTTCGTTAGATGTCTCATGTTTCACGCCATCAAACTTTATCATCCTGTTTTGCCTTATTTCTGGTATTCTTTTTCTATAAATACTAAGCTACCTTGTACGATGTGGTTGGCTTCTACTTGATCTTGACGCTAACCTCTACACCACTTCACGGTTGAATATCATGGCCACCGCAGTGCCCTACCTAACCGGACTCACCGAATCTCCCCTGAGCAATTTAATCAACAACAGATAATTACATTCAGCCTGCGAATCATTGCAAGGTGAAATGATCTAGTGGCTCTCCAAGCTTTCGCTGTGCATCCGAGGGACTATCTAGTTGTTACGGCTATCAGAGTAGAGCAGAGAGACCAAAAGGTAGTAAGAATCGAAAAGCCTTGGAAAGAACGCATCAGATACGGGTGAAATTACTACAAGAGCAGTTTAGAAGAGACAATGCAGGCATCACACTTGGTATTACGGACCCGACAGCCGTTCTACCAAGCCCAGCACCTTCGTTCAATCATTGGAAACCAGCAGGTGCTCCACGAGAAAGTACTGCGTTTTAGAGCCTATAGTAACAAAGAATAGACCACAACACATCAGCCATTAAGAGCGTACTCCAAGAGGCCTTTCCCCCTTTGATCGAGATTATATTGTACAGTGTATCATACGTAGGAGGCAGCATTAGATATTCTGATGACAGGCGTCATCGTCTAATAATACATTCCGTTTCTCTTCAAAAACTCTTCTCCATAATGTAAGGCTGGCAGGCAATTCGACGCAGAGGAATTTTGCCTTTCAACATACCTTTGCGCGAAGTGATTGTGATCCAAGCTCCAAAGAGCGAGATGGTCTATTTCAATATGCTGCCCCTGGCTCTATCTAGGGCCCACTGCTGCAAGAATTAAAGGATCCACCCGGACCATTAGGTAACAAGTGTCTTCGAGACGAACACTGTTCATGGAGATGTTGCAGCTAGCATTATGACACTATCGTTCTATGTGCGTCGTGGCTTTTCTAGGGGCTGGCAATCAAGACCTAGATTATTTCCGTTAAAATATGTCACCGTGTATAATTAATTAGAAAACGTCTTACCCTCCGTTGGTGTGGTTACCCCATTTGCTTGCGGTGGATGCTTAGCTGACTCTGGCAAGGAATTGAAGCCGTAAAATGGCAGAAAAGCGGATTCCGCCTGAACCATCTTTCAACCCCGCGACAGCTCACCATCTGCATTTGTGGAGAGAATTTTAGTCATTTTGCATTGCATATATTGAAGGATAGATAGAGTCTATTGCAATGTCCCAATCTGCCAAACCCCAGGCAGATGCAAATGCCTTACACAAGCCATATGATCAATTCATCCTCTTTGGCGACTCCATCACTGAGATGTCGAGTGTTCAAAACACCGGGTTTGGTTTGCACGGTGCTTTACAAGATGGTCCGTTCTCCTCCTCTCTTCTTAATATCTACTCTATTCCCCCCTTTCTGCGCCTTTCCCATAGCATATACTGACCTCGATAGCCTACGGTCGACGCCTCGACATAATCAATCGTGGACTCAGGTGTGGACACTAAACAGCATGCTTTCCTGCATACCATCTAATATAGCTATCCAGCGGCTACAACACAGCCAATGCTGTTAAAGTATTCCCTATGTTCTTTCCCAAACCAGAGCAAGCCACTGTTCGATTCATGGTACTCTTCATACAATAACTATACCCCCATCTCAAACATAGAATACTAACCCAGAAGACCATATTCTTCGGTGCCAACGACGCATGTCTGCCAGGACACACCCAACACGTCCCCCTGGACCAATACAAAGAGAACTTAACACGCATCATTCAACACCCTGCCACAATCTCTCAAAACCCAAAGATACTAATCCTCACGCCCCCGCCGGTCAATGAGCACCAACTGCTGGTATTCGACAAGGAAAAAGGGAACTCTAATCCCTCTCGAACTGCCCGTAACACGAAGTCATATGCGGACGCGGCTCGAGGAGTCGCTGCTTTGACTGGCGTGGCTGTTGCAGATGTCTGGACGGCGTTTGTGAAGGTGGCTGGATGGAAGGAGGGTGATCCCTTGCCTGGGTCGAGGGATTTACCCGAACTGGATCGTTTCAAGAAATTGTTTATAGATGGTTGGTCTCCCTTTCCCTTATATCAAGTCTGAATGAAGAGGATTGACGGTGTTTAGGACTGCATTTGACAGCAGATGGATACCGCGTGGTATATGACGTGGTGATGGAGGCTATTCGGACGAATTGGCCCGATCAGGATCCAAAACGGCTTCCGATGGTTTTTCCTCATTGGACGGAGGCGCCGAAATGATGGATGTTGGCTTGATAGATATGTAGAGCTTACCTTTTCGAGCCGCTGTGTCTACTATCTTTATATGGTTGTCCTAATGACAACTAGATACTATGCTATAGTCATCTGGACTTGGTATTGTGAACCAGGTTAAACCCATAACTGCGTGTCACAAGTTACAATAAAAATAAATCACTCCCGAGAATACCTCATCGTCGGTCCATTCCACTTATATCGTCCACACACAAAGCGTCAAGAACCCCAACAACGGTTCTGCATAATTCATGTTCTTCGCTGTAACTGGCAGTTCAGACGGAAGGGCAAGAAGATATCAAATACGTCGCAAAAATAATCGCCACCAAGTTCACAGGGAGACCCCATCTCCTGAGCGAAAACGAGCCCTTTGAGACATCCCCCGGTGTGACGACGCGCTTAAAAGCGAGAAATCCCAGCGGTAGCAGATACGAGATGTCTAGTCCCATGGCACCCAGAGACAAGACGGCATTAACAGCAGCGGTGGAACCGATCTGGATAAACGAAAGGATGAAGAAGCACGACGCGACAAGAAACAAGCTCGTATCGGAGTCTTGTATCGCTGATTGATCTTTTCGAAGAAGTCGGAGAAAGCAGACCATTATCTCGAGCAAAGAACCAGGTGGAACGAGTGACGGAGGCGGGGCTGTTTAGCAACCCGATCCATCCCAGTAGCATCCCCATTGCCATAAGTACGTAGCGGGTTTCGACCCCATGGCTTGATAGACGATTTGGATGATTGGGTATCCAGTTGGACTGCGCAGTAGAGAACTGTGATTATACAGCTGAAGGCCATAATAGATTTAATCGCCGTACCCCAGATCATGGGGCGCGGGATGACGGTTTGAGCGTTCTTGACTTCCTCTGCCATGCGGATGACTCCGTCGACTCCTGTGGGTGGTTAGATGGATATAGAGAGAAAGAGAAGGTAGAAATGTCACTTAACGGTGCAATCACATCCAGAAGTCCAATGGAGAAAACTACCCCCGGGTTCTGCCAGCCCGTGAGACTACCGACAAAATTATCCCAGACAAACGCATTGGGATTTCGAGGAGCAAGTATAACCATCGTGGCGACGGACACTGGCATGAATACAATATGCATGATGCCCGCAGCCACTTCGATGACGGCAAGCATCCGACGAGCAAAGATGTTGATGACGATGGGAATCAGCACAACAGCCCACATCAGTAAGGTACGGTGCCATCTTGGGGATTTGTACTCGGAATGTGCGAGAACAACCATTCCTTCGATCTCGGTGCCGATGAAATACAGCGCAGCAATCAGACGAGTGCAGCCCACGAAAAGACCTACGGCGATGTATCAGCATGAGAGATCCAGCAAGTGAGAGTGTACTACAGTAACCTATCCTGTATGACAGTCAATATATCTCGTCAGTATGTATGTCACATAGATCGTGCTTTGGAAGTACTCGGGAGTCGAGGATAGCACGGAACTAGCACGTAACTCCAGTGGTGCTGTGCAACCGCGCTAGAATTTCTATCTCAGAAATCGGCAGTAGAAATAGAATTCAAGTATATATATATTAGGAAGAGTCCTACTCCAAGGCCAATTCAATCAAAGATCTGGCAATAGCCACGTTTCTCACTGCACTGACAATGATACCATAGACCAAGGCTGCGGACCTCCATTGGCGAGACCTGCCAGTAGGCTGCCACCAACAGCCTCCCACGACGTCAGGAGTGTGGCGGAGAAGGCAAAGGATGAGAAGAAATTCAAGTATGTCTACCGTAGTGTCAGAAGCCTGAATGAAGTGCATGGATGGTCATAATCCCTATCTCCAGTTGCTGTCATTCACGATACTCAACGTTGCCATTCGGAAGTCCATTGACAGGTAACCCCTCTTCGGTGTACATGGTCGATTATAGACAGAGTTTGGTATTATCAAATGAGAGTAGGGATATTTGTTAGACAGTAGCTACTTTGCCAAATAAATCAATGCCAGACATCCCTGATTGATCCATGTTGTTTTGTTATGCACCTATGGGCCGATATGGACTGCAAATATTAGCCAGCCTAGGACACAGTGGAGATATCCAAGCCCTAGTGCCTCTTAGTAGCAAATCTCTCGTCTGCGCCATTTTCATAACTGATCTGATTATTTCCAGTATGCAGATTCACCGAGGTCAAGTCCGAAATGAAAGACTAGTGGAATATCCTTATAATGAGTCCAGATCTCAGGATGGAAACAAGAACTAGCCATTAGGGGGTATTTTTTGTTTCCTGCTTAGCTTTCATTAATTTCTCCCCTCTCTGTTGGATTACTTGGTTAGGTACGATGATGATGATTTCTCAAGAAGCCCTTTGCCAGGTTTTCTCGGATGAAAATCATGGACCACTGATCACTCTCGTGTCGGTTGCCTTGGTAATCACCGATTATTTTCGTCGGAGCCAAGTTGGATCTGCGATCCACTTCAAGCAGCGACAGATGGCCGTCAATATGCCGATATGGCTGGCCCTGGTATGTGATAGCTTTGACAAAATGAGATCGAACGATTGACCGGTGCCTTCTTCAGATCCTGGCTATCATAAATTATCCTGATGTAAAAGGCCATCGAGCCTGGATAGGGACAGCATATAGACGTTCTCACCACCACTGCTATTCACAAAGCAAGGGAAGCTATCATGCAATTGCATTTCCATTTCCTCATGCTGATCTTTTTCTTAAAAGCAGTCATCTACGCTGCTCAACTCCTCCAAATTGTCGCTTGTCGTTGTCCAAATTATCTACCACGTTGCCCATCCGGAAATTGACTCCCAATGAGTTCCTCCGCCGGGCATGCACCATCACCAATGATTGGTCTTACAGCTGCTTGGACTGGACTTGCATTATTGGGAACCGCCTTTCAATATAAAATGCCAGAGCCATGACTGTACAGCCCGAAGAGGTGTGCTGGAGGGGCGTGCAATCGATTTTGCGCCATTGTAAGAAATAATACTGACTGGTATAATAGGGTGTAATCACGTATCCATTCCCGGTGCTTCATATCCTCGTCGAGATTGGTCTCATCATGCTTCCCTTTTTAATGATGCACGATGTCCAGATGAATGGAGAAAGAGATTCAATCCTCTGCTCCTTCACCAGGCTCTCGTACTACTTCCATTCACTCTGCTGATTATCTTCTATCGAAACTTCCTACCACTAGTGTTGGGACTCGGATTCGCACAGTTAGCTCTATACCCGTCATTCCTTCCATCAACCGACCCTACATGTATGTATATCTATCCCTCTCCTTGCGTAGATCCATCTAACAAGTCTAGGGGATATTGACGATCCCGCAGTTTGCTCCCAAATCACGATGTGTACCATCATCACGATTGCCTATACGCCAACCTTCTACCATTTCTTCTCTGGATTGCAGTCTGGCTTGATCACGACTAGACTTCCAGACGAGGTGGAACTCACCCATCCGAAAGGGGGTTCATACATGGATCATTACTCCCGGAGTGCTCGCAGGATGAGAAAAGGTAGACCCCAAGCAGGGGTTTTGAAAACTGTCGATATTACAGTGGAGGTGGAAGAGGGATATCGTTCCTATTCTCGGACGGTTTCAGCCTGTTGGACTGTAATTAGTTGTTATCTTTAAAAAAAAAAAAAAAATAAGAAAGAAAGAAAGAAAACAAAAAATGTTGATATTGATAATAATATCGTGCAGGGTCTGTCCACTGCTTGGGTTAAAGACACAGAGCTAATTCTAGACTTGCCTTCTAGCGTCGGCTGTTAAGGGGATATTCATCACCGAAGTTTGACTAAAGATTGAGATCTAAAAGCTATTCCAAGCTCAGTAAAAGGTCAGAATAAGGCAAACTATTTTAAATCATAGGAGATGAGCCCAATGCATTGAAACCTCCCTGGTCATACAACCAGTTACACACACTATACTCACTATTCCAATCTCAGGAAGTCATTAGCTACGCGAGCAGCCTCGTCCTTCTCTGGAGACGCCGGATGCCGAATCCGGAGTATTGTATGTATAAATGCGAGACGCGGACCCTCCCTCGTGTTGGCTGTGTTGGAAATCTCGTGCGGAGATCAAACAGTGGTCATTCTTGTCCTTTTCCATCAGTCTCAACCAGTGCAAGGCGAAGGGATATCGAGGACTCGGATAGAGTTCTGTACCTCCCTGTATTCCATTTTCCAGTTCATAATAGTAGGAATAAATGTATTTTTTCCACTGGTGATTAACAAATGTAGGATATAATGGGAAGCGGTCTAGAAGGATCCGGTGGGCGGTATCCCCTCATTTCTTGTCCGACAATCAACTCTCACCCACTGTGTCTGTCATCGCAAAACATTAGTTCTTATAAACTTGTCATCCCATTTGACAGTGCCAAATCTTTGTCCTTCTCCCCATTATAGTCTCGCCTATCCTTTTGCCAGGTTTCTCTATACATCCCACCGAAAACGAACCGACCGCTCGACGAGTTGAATCTCCACCCACACAGCAAGTCATCGACCATCGCTCTGGTGTTATTAAAATCGATCTTTATTCGATCTCTGCATTATTGACTCATCGAAACTTTACGTAGTCAAGCCTTGGTGACAACGAGGTAATTAGCTCTCGGCCGCACGCTATCCGATCATCTCTTGGACCGCCTTTTGTCCCATCTTCGCCCATTACTATCCCTTTCGCCGCTTCCTTCCGTCCCACCCGCTCTCATCGTCTAGATCGTTTATTTACCCTCAGGGTCACCTTTTTGGGCCATTTTTTATGTTTTTGGGAAAGACCGCCGATATCCATCTATAGTCACTTGGGTGGACGGCCGTACGGCCGTCTCGCAGAGCACGAGGGTGGAGGAGTTCCGAGGAACAAGAGTGGGCTACAACTGTACTGGACTGCCACAGATTGTGCCTCAAGGAGGAAATAATACGACAAAAAAATAAAGTAAAAAATCTCGGGTCCAGTAGAGGAAGCTGGTTTATGCACGTCGGAGAAAAGTCGATTGCGAAGGAAGGCCGTTCTGTCTCGTGACGTTGCTCCGTTTGGTCTCTCAGCAGGCTCTTGTCCTTCTTATCCGCTTGTTCGGATATGGATGCTCAGTATCCCTTTGCCTCACGCGACGATATCTGGCGCGTTTTTGAAGAGCTGAAGGAACTCCACGCGGCGCAGTTCGAACAGGCGGAACGGATTGCAAGGCTAGAACGACGGAGAGACGAGGATGCGAAGTTGAGAAGTGTCTGGGGTCCTTTATCGCCATTTCCTAATTCCGTCGGAGGTACAGTTCCTACAGGTATACTTTTTTGCCCTAGCTCTTCCTCCCTTCGTGCGTAGTATAATGCTGATTCTTGGTGTTTATCCAGAGCCTGTCTTCCATACTCCATCCGACGCTTTCAAGGGATTTGACCAGGGCCAGCACCACGGCGTGGTGACCACCATGGGACTCGATAGCGAAGACGAGCCAAGGCGAGGGACATCTAGAGCAAATAGCGTTCGATTTGATGAAAGTGCCATCCACGGATACTACGGACAAACTAGCCGCTCTAGCAGTGAGCTTCCGATGAGGACCGGAAGCGGCATGGGAAGCCATCCGCTGACTGAACGGTCTCTGTCGCATCGGTCCGATGGGAGACAGAGTTCCTCAGGTTATTCCCATCACTCCGCTAGGACGAATAGTTTGGGACTGGAGACGACTAGCAGAATGGTGAGCTCTTCTGTGTGTGGCTCCCCTTTGGTCCCTCCCCCCGGCCTGTTCCTCCTGGGACCTGTTCCATGTATCATTCGCTGCTGGTTGACAACAAACTTTTCTAATGACTCGCTCCTGTATGCCGCCGTTTGTTCTGGCTCTTATATATCGTCATTGGGAGCTCCGATGGTCCGGAAGTTTGGCCTCGAGGATTTAGTCTTGCAGGAAGATGACCTGCATTACATCAAATTGCCGATGTATCTGCCGGAAGCTAGTGTTCATCAAGCTTCTTCGCGGTCTAGTAGCCCAGTACCCCAACTTCCCACTCTTACCATACGGTTTCTCGTTCGTGACGTCGATCCCCGTGACCCTTCTGTTCAAATCGTCATTGGAAGCGATGTTCTCCGCTCTCACAATGCTGACGTGTTATTCTCACAAGACAAGATCATTATGGTGGATGATGAAAGAAACAAGGTATCGATTCCACTGGTTCGTCCGGAAGATGATTCGGTCTTCAGGTCTCTACGCACTGTGTCAGATACCTCTCGTTCTGGGGGTACGGAAGCTCCGTCTCAGACTCATGATCAGCCCGATACCAATGGCCACACAGCCGTCGGTGTTATCGGCCGACCGAGCAGTCTCTCGCAGCCCAGATCCGCGCCTGAATCCGTTGGGGATTCTATTGAGGAACCCGAGGAGAGTCGAAAGGCTCATTCTTTGGAGGTCTACGAACCGTCTCGGAACGCAGAGCATTCCCAGATCCCGAATAAACCAACCATGGCACCTGACTCCCAGACCGCAGGATCAGTGAAGACGGAACCTTCTGGAGTTTGGGGCTCGTGGAAACGTGAGATCAAGCTTGACCCTAATGCGTCGGCGGCGGGGAAAGCTCCGGCTCGTCCCATGAAGGTCTTGCGGCCTACCAAATTCTCCTCTCGCACTCCACCTGTAGCCGGTGCACCGAGAAGTTCCAGTACTGAGCCCGCGGCGTCCTCCCGGCCAGCTTCGTCTCGAGCGTCCCCCGATGAGTCGCGCACCGGTAAACAATGGGGGTCCAATCCGGTTGGAGGAGCCTCTGCATTTGGGTGGCTGAACTCATCCCAGTCGCCCACTCGGGCTGTGACGAATCCTAAATGAAACAGATTAGGATTGTGCCGTTGTAGTATCTGGCCATGCAGGCCACGCTACGAGAGCCATAACGAGGATTTAGCCATGTTTGACGATGCATCCAACCTTGGCGGGTGCTCTCCAATAGCCGTTGTTGGCGTAGTTGTCAAATAACAATTAGGAAGCTAGCAAAAGCCAGGAACCAAATTGAGAAATATTGAATGTCGATATGTCTACAGTGCAATTCATAACTCGTTCGTAAGAGTATATAATAACCAGCATAGCATAGAGCTATCAATCCAAAGAACAAATCAAATCTTCGACAACGCTTCCAAAGACCCCTTCGTCTCCCCCTTCATTTGCTTCACCAGCCCACTAACCATCTTAAACTGCGCATGCTCCGCATCACCCAAAATCTCAAACAAAATACTCTCACTCGTAGTCACAACCGCCCCGGCATCCCTCATCCTCGCCAGGGCGATCCCTCTCTCTTCCGCATTAACACTACTCACCCCATCAACAAGCACATACACCCTGTGTCCCCGCTCGAGCAGATCCAACGTCGTTTGCGTGACACAGATATGCGTTTCGATCCCGACAATAATAGCATCCAGGACAGTCTTATCCGTCGACTCAACAACCTTCGGCAAGAGGCCTTCGATCTCTGGTGTGATCATTGAAAACAACGTCTTGTCGACGTTGGCGCGCACATGCGCGCCTTGGAGATACGGTTGCAGCTCGCCGATCGTGTCGCCGAGTTTCGCGCGGTTTTGTGTCGTCACGTATGTGGGTATTTGGAGCGTAGAGCTAGCTTGGAGCATTTTGGAGGTGGTTGGGATTCTAGGATGGAGTTCTGCTTAGTATGTATGTGCTGGGATTTCTGTCTCTTGGATATATATTTTGTGGGTTTGAGGAAGGGCAAGGTACAGTTTTGAGAATTCATGGATCACTGGGCGGAATTTCTCTTGTAGGTCGCAGATGCTGGTATGAGATCAGTTGAGCACATTGGAGGGTATGGGTCTTATGGGTGGCAGTACAAGAGCGCTGGGTTGCCTGGTTTGTTTTGTCATTGTCAGGTTATCGATGTCTGTAGATTGGATCTAGGGGACTCACGAATACGGGCGGCACGGGAGATGGATGCCATTTTTATTTCAACGATGAGGATGAACTGTTACTAGGATATGTTGGTATGCACAATGATACACGTGTAGACAGGAAGAGGAAAGAAAGGAGAAAGTCGAACGGCGGAGGAAATCGGGTGGGGAATCGCGAGGGGAAGTGCGGGGACGATTACTGCCTGAGGCATTAACTTATTATTATCTACGTAGTACGTAGTCACTAACTAGTCATATCTCCATCCAGTATTCGGGTATCTCCTTTCTCTGCATCCAAATTCCCCTACAACTTAATCTCCTGCACCTTTGCTCGTCCCGAGATCCAGCTGTGGTCACCCTTCATAGCCGCTTGGCGGATGGCGTAGAGCTCATCCAGGAACGCAGGGACGAAGCTTCCAGGTCCTCGGACATAGTCCTTCGAACCGGCATTTTCGGCAGCAATCTCGTACATGAGAATGCCGGCCAGGACGGCTAGGAGCTTGTCGGATGGGTGGGCGGTTAGGAAGCATCCTGATACTGTGCCGACGGCGCAGCCAGTCTGTTATTTGTGTTGGCATTCTTTCGTCTGCTGTAAATAAAGAAGGAGGGGGGGTCGTACACCAGTGACTTGTCCAAGTAGCTCATGGCCATTCTCAATGGTAAACACTCGCTCCCCATCGCTAAGATAGTCAGTAGCGCCAGTGAGGAGCACGATGTTCCCTGAATGGATCAATTAGCATATTGGTTTCGTATGGAATTGAATATGAGATCATACGTTCTCTTCGGGCCAGGTCTCTCGCCAATTCGGCCTTCTCTTGACCATCGAGGCGGCTTGGCCCGCTGTCAATGCCACGCTGAGTCACTCCGCTACTTCCGTAGACCTGTCTGATCTCTCCTTCGTTTCCTTTGATGAGATCAAAGTATCCGCCTGCCATGAGCTGCTTGACCACCCGGCGTCGAATGTGTGTGGCAGCGGCGCCGACAGGATCATATACGACAGGGTTTCCGCGAGCGTTGTATGCATGAATTGCTCTGAGGTAGTTGGGAACGCTCTCGTTGGTCAGAGTTCCCATGTTGATGAGCAAAGCGCCGTGGAACTGGGCAAGATCAACTGCTTCGTCTCCGTATGGAGACATGATAGGCGATGCACCACTAAATACCAGTCAAAGGAGATAATCTCTAAAGACAATAGGAGATTGGCATACATTGACAGAGCCACGTTGGCGACGAAATTGGCTACAACAAAATTGATCATATTGTGCACCAACGGATTTCCCTGCACAACCTTGTGGACGATTCGCGGCACATCCTCAACCAGTGCAAGGACATCACGAATCGGAGGAGGTACTAGGCTACGCACAAATCGAGGCGGAGTAGCAATGTGCTGAACGAACGCCTCGGCAGCAGCCTTGGGATCGTCAGCGGCCATAATGGCGCTGACAATGGCGACGCCGTCCAGACCTTTGTTTTGAGATTTAGATTGATAGAGGACTCGCTGCACGTTAGAGAGGTTGATTCCACCAATGGATACGGTTCTGACCGAGCGACCGGAGGTCGAAAGGGCATCAAGGATGGCCCGAGTGCCCGCGGTCCCGAGAATAGATCTTGTGTTGGTTTTGCTGGTGGCAGTCAGTCACGTTCACAAGTATAGAACCGTAAAGTACAGTGGGTGATATGTCAAAGATGGCGACATACGTTGGAGTCGCAAACATAGCTCCTATTCCGAGATAATCGGCACCGGAATCCACTGCCTTCTGGGCCTCTTCTATCGAAGTAGCACTGATACCAACTATGGCATCTTTAGGGAGGATCCTTTTCGCCTCCTCAATACCTATAGAGCATTAGTCCCGGAAGCAGAATATCATTCAAGCAAACAGAGATGCACCCATATCATCCTGACCAAGATGGACTCCTTCCGCCCCTATGGCGAGAGCAACATCCACGCGGTCATTGATCAGCAAGGGAACCCCATATTTCCGGGTGATATGGTGCAGTTTTCTAGCAGTTTGTACTAGTTCCCCGGTGTCACTGGTTTTGTCCCTGTACTGGACCAGCGTCACACCTGCATGACTCGCATCAGCACAGGGGAAAATCCAGAGAATCAACCACAAGCTCTTACCTCCTTTCAAGGCCTCTTCCACCACGGTGCATAAGTCGCGACCCTTGAGAATGGCTGGGGTCGAGTCAGTGACCAGGTATAAGGAAAGGTCAAACTGCATTTTCTGTAACAATGAGGGGCACGTGGGGCCGACGAGAACCAGATGCAAATAAGCAACAATGGATTGCCTTTGGGCCCAACGAGATACAATAACCTATAGCAATATGTTGGCCAATTGGTTACAGGACCGCATGCTAGGGCTATAATTCCGCGGAAAGGCGCAGAAGTCACTCTGGACAAGAGAAAATGACGTTGAGGGGTGTGGGTACGTTAGTCATACTTGCGTCATTGGCCACAAAACAACTTCAATTTAACATTTCCATTTTTATATATCCACAGGCGAAATACAAATAAACCTTTAAAGTGCATATTTGACAGCAAGTAATATAGCAGATGTATGGGCCACAATGTTCGATACAGATGATGTTGTGCGGGAAATCCAACGCCCCAGGATTGGGCAAGGACCCAAACCTAGTATATTTCCTTAGCCTTGTAGGAGTCCAGTGACAAGTCGAATACAATGATGCGGAGTTTAGCTTCGCGAGAATACAATTATTATTACTGTTACTGGTCTGAGGATGCCCATGGCAGAGAAGTGATCCATGGATGCCTTGTACCTATGTATGTGCAGAAAGATGGATAGTTTAACCACATCATGTGTAAAACATTTCCAATTACTATCAGAAAAATATCTCCCAAGTTCCTATTGTACTGAGAGTTTAGAAGAGAACCTGATCTGGTCCGGGGACGATTCAAATGACACAGCTAACGCCCCATTATGTTCAATAATCCGGGCACCTGTCAGGGCATGCCAAATACACCGAAGAATCGACATTCGGTAACTAAGTGGAGGCTAATGCCGACTAGACCTGCCCATCCTCTTCATGCTACGGGTATCTGCATAGGCATAAAGTATGATTCCGCGAAGTGAAACATCGGTCATATACAGAGTCCGGAGAGAGAGACAGGCAAGTTGCTCCACCGGGGGGCATTGACATTTTTGAATGACCGAGCAACAACTCTGTGCCACACTGACGCTGAATCCTGCTCTCCAGAGAGGCAGGCCCTTCTGATGGACCGAGGAAAACACGACGGTTGAGCGGTATCTCGCGTCGGAGTTAAGGAGTTACGGCCAAATAACCGCAAAGACCGATGTTGGCGTGCTCTCGGAACTGAATGGTCCGGCCTTCCGGTGTGGCTTACTCAGCAGTGGGATTCAGGTCTTGGCATGCTTCGGCTGCGGACCCGTTTTTTTTTATTTTGTTTGGCAGCAATTTCTTCTCTCGCTCTTTCTTCTCCCTCTTTCCACTCACTCTTGTCACTCAACTCCCATCACACCTATCATCAAATCATCAGCCCTTGGTGCTGCTAATTCGTTGCAACCACTCGCCTGGCTGTTAAACACAGCTTTCGGTTTTACAGCTTACGTTTTGGTCGTCCTAACCACTCCCCCCACTCTGGTTAGTCTGATTCAGTGCTTTCATCACTTATCCATCAATTTCGAATTCATCGAGTTCTGACGAGGCGTGTTTCCCGCCATCTTCCAGAAGAACCATCCCCTGGTTTCTCTCTCTAACTGCCGGAGAAAGCCACAGAAACAGAGTCTGTCGAGAACTTGTCTATGTATTCGTCCTGCGTCAGATCCTTCGAACACCACCTGCCGCTCAAGCTGCAAACGTTTCGCATCGCGCCGAAACCTTGTAGTATACATTCAAAGTCTTGTGGCTGAAACCTTCGGGCTGCCGTATTCGCTGTGCTAATCGTTTCCTCGAGACGATCTCAACCGCCACCATTTCTCGACAAAGGAACTCCCTACGCATGTCTTGTCATTTCAAGGCATCTTTGCTCCTCAATCCCTCCAGTTTCAGACAACCCGTTCATTTGATCTTCTAAAGAGACATCCTTAAATCGTCATCATGGCTACTGTCAACATTCGTCGCGATGTCAGCGATCCCTTCTACCGCTATAAAATGGAGCGCCTGCAGTCCAAGATCGAGGGCAAGGGCAATGGAATCAAGACCGTCGTCGTCAACCTTAACTCGGTCGCCCAATCGCTCAGCCGCCCGCCCGCCTATGTGATCAAGTATTTTGGCTTCGAACTTGGTGCTCAGGCGAACGCCAAGCCCACCGATGACCGCTGGATCATCAACGGTGCCCATGATGCCGGTAAACTTCAAGACTACCTTGACGGGTTTATTTCCAAGTTCGTTCTTTGCAAGAAGTGCAAGAACCCCGAAACCGACGTCAGTATCAAGGATGACAAGATCGTTCTGGACTGCAAAGCCTGCGGACAGCGTTCCGACGTTGATCCCCGTCTGAAACTGAGCACCTTCATTCTCCGGAACAACACCTCGACCAAGGGAGGGAAAAAAGACAAGGCATCTAAGAAGGCCCGTCGTGAGCGGAACAAGGACAAGAATGATTCCACAACGAACGGAGATAATCATAGCCCAGGAGACAGCAATAACTCCGACAACGGTGACGCGGAGGATGGGGAGGAAGCTCTGGCCGCGAACAGCGATGATGAACTTACTCGCCGTATTCAATCGGATGCCCAGGGCATTGAAGCGGATATCGATGATGATCAATGGGCTGTGGATGTTTCCGAGGAGGCTGTCAAGGCTCGTGCTAAGGACCTGCCTTCAGATCTAAAGCGCTCCCTCGTCCTTGACGACGGAGACGACGAGGCCGGAGCTGATGGCCCGTCGGCCTATGACGAGCTTGGTAGCTGGATCCTTAGCAGTGCTGCTGAAAAAGGCGGTGCCGCTGAAGTGGACGATGTGGAGATCTACATGAAGGCTAAGGATTATGGCATCGAATCTAAGCACAAGACCCTAGCCGTGCTTGCCCAAACCATCTTTGATGAGAAGAAGATCACCAAGCAGATCGCGTCTCGTGCCGCTCTTCTCAAGAAGCTGATCACCTCGGAGCGCCATGAGAAGGCTTTCTTGGGCGGTACCGAACGCTTTGTCGGCAAGGATCATCCGGAATTGATCTCTCAAATTTCTCCCATCCTACTCGGCTACTATGAGAATGATATCGTGTCTGAGGAAACCCTTAAGGCATGGGGTTCCAAGGCCAGCAAGAAGTACGTCGATATTGCGACCAGTAAGAAGGTCCGCAAGGCCGCCGAGCCGTTCCTCAACTGGCTTGAAAATGCTGAAAGTGAGGATGAAAGTGATGATGAGTAGTTTGTGGATCAATGGCCTGTCGTTCGAATGCTCTGAGACACTTTTGCTTTTTACCTTTCCTTTAATAGTTTCTATGGTTTTGCAGTTCGCATACAACCCACTACTATTCGGTCGTTTCAGTCAGCTACCTCGCCTTACTATTACTTGGAAGAAAAAGGATTGAAAAAAAAAAAAAAAAAAAAAAAAAAAAAAAAAAAAAAAAAAAAAAGGACTCTAGTTACTGGGATAGTTATCGACCAATCACTACTTCTTTTTACTCCATCCATACAAAGTAGGTCTTGAAAGCGCTTACAACTTTCGTCTTTTAGATGTCGCTGTTTTAATGCAGGGACATTTGCTTAGTATGTAGTTCCGATTAAGATATCGAAATCTCCTCTCTCCTTCCTCCCTACGCGTTGGAAATCTGAGACTTTATGCGGTTTTTTTCTACGCTATCTCGATACAGTTCTTGAAGGACTATTTTCATTTCAATGTCCCTATGGCTGATTTAGCTTTTTGATCTAAGAGGCTATGGCATTTTCAGAGAACCAAGACAGCCCACATTTTTTACCTCCGGACAAGTGGGTTTAGGTTCTGACTATTGAAAGTATCGTCCTGCCTGAGTTTGTGGTCGCTAGGCCCAGAAAACAGTGACAACTGAGCATGTACAGTCATATTTTAAAGGCTGCCCACAGAGTCAGGATCGACATCCAAGCAAGTGAAGGGCACAGAGATGGATTCCATCTGATGCAGTACCCTGAGGACATTGGCGTAGTCAGTATATAGTGAAGCAGTCTTTGACCATGCCAATAATTGCATATCTTTCGTGGAACCATCACTTCGTTTCCACTTTCTTTCGTATCAGCAGTTGGTCCAGGACACTGACTGCTTAATTGCGTCAAAATGGTAGGTTCCATTTCTGTATACATAGACAGTGTAGAGGGGGGAAGAATTAATGAATATAAAAATCTCCCTTCTACAAGTGTACCGTGGTGCCAAAGGTCTTTTGAATCACATTTCTGGTACATGAACGTCCTAGCGCCAACATAGTAGCAATGACACATCTGTCAGCCGGGTCAAGCTCTTGCATGGCAACGAGCATCGAGGGCCGGTATAATGTCAGACCGGCACGAAAGACGTATTTCGCGACTTATCTGTGACCGAGATAAAAGAGCGACTACTAAGTCCAAGACATTGAATGCTTGAACGACTAACGGAGGATGATTAAGCCATGTTACTCAGCTGGGGTTCTGACATAATATCAAGTCATGCAACTAAAAATTCGAACAGATTGGGGAAATTTGCCTGACTGTTTTTGCGTAAAAGTTGATACCAAATTCAGCCTCCTGCAGGCCACAATATGGCCCAGATAGAATGGAGTATCAGGACTGTGTCAATCCATTATCAGACATACTATTTGCAGGCTCGTATTAAAGCGACACAATTGAAAAGGAACATCCTTGAAGATATCATCAGTGTACAGTGCTTAGACTTTGCATGCCAGGTCAACTAGGGATCTTAGTGACGTTGCAGCTACACACCTGTCAGATTTATTATTATTCGATAGGTCAGTCAATGCATAAATTGCTTTAGCCTCTATTTTTGTCCTTTTTTGTTCCCTAATAAGAAACCCCGAATGTAGCAATTGCATTGGGATGGGAATCAAATGTATTTACAAGGTCAACGTCAATATTTAACCACCCAACAGGCTGTAAGGATTAGACAAATCAACTTGAACACCAACCTTACCATATCTCCTTGATTGTCAAAAGGGTATCTCGTACAATGGACCATTCATTAAGCAAGAGGAGATGTCGCCAGAGGCATAATGTAAGCTGCACAATCAATGAACAAACAGGGGATAATCAAGATTTGTATATACAAAGTAATCAGCAACAAGACCAGAATGGCAATCTGTTATGCCCAGAGGAAAGCGGGATTCTGTCCCATTGGTGCTTGAAACCGTTTCCCGAATAGAATAGAATTGCAGCTATATAACCTGATTAATGCTCTCAGATATTTATATTGAAATATGATGGCTTTGGAAGCCTACATGAAAGCTGAATTTGAACCATTCCCAATCATGTCTACTGTTAGCATCCTGGAAGAGGTGGACGCATCTACGAACGTCTTCGAGAGCTTCATGAACGAATCTACCAGAGTAGAGGTTGCTTCTAAGAACTCTACCTAGTCAGAATAAATACTGTAGGTAAATAGTCTAGCTGTCTAGAAATAATGTAGATGTCCTATCTCATGCTATACACTTTAGAACACCAAATCCACAAATTTCAACCCACTCCCCGGCATGGACCATGCTTTCAAGGCTCCTTCATCCACCTCGGTCATCTTGGGGACTTGGGGTGTCCGAGTCTGGGCGGTGAGTCCAAGCACCTGTGTTCTCTGCTTTTGAAAGATAAACCAGGTCAGATCGGCATTCCACGTCTCCATTGTTCTGATGGCAGATTCGACAGAATCAATATCTATTTGAAGGGAAGACGGTGGCTTGGAATCCCTCCGGTTGTTTGTTTCTGTACTCTGTTGATGATAAAAGAAGTAGTGCTCTGGACCCGCAAATTGAGCAATCCACACCCCGAGGAACTCGCATATCTGGTCCCCCATGGATAATGGAAGGCGAACATGAGTGAGAAGTGTCATGAACAGGGTGAGTAGTGCCCTCCAAAGACTGTGGTGTGGTGTGAATGCTCGGGCACCCGAAGGAGCTCCAACTGTGGTTAGGGACAGTGACTGGGATAGACCCAGAGAAGATAGCAGATCAGGTTCTTTTGCCTTTTTCGTCTGTTGGGATCGTCGTTCTATTGCTTTTTCTGCATCTTGGCTTACTTTCTCCCATGCTCGATGGTAGATACGTTTCCATCGTGGAAACTCGCTCTCGACCCTGGAGGCCATGAAATCACCGGCATTCTTGCACATCTCCTCGATAGCTTTGCAGGCCATTGTAGTAACATATACCTCATCTTTGAAATCATGCTCTTCGAATCCTGATTTATATCCGTCGTCGACATTGTCGGAAGAGTTTCTGGTCATAAGAGTGTTCGAAGAAGATGAGCTTCCGAACGAAGACGGAAAAGTAATCCTCGCAGCTACAGATGGCCACATATCGTTGATCAGAGGTAAAAAGCTGTTTTCATGTGCAGCCAGAATAGGCGAAACCTGAATGAGGATAGAGAGGAGAGAGCGACGAAGGTATGGTGAAGGCGATGAAAGGTGAGAAGGAATCGATTTGACAATGTGTATTAAGATGTTATGTGATTTACCTAAGGGTTTCTCTTGATCTTCGGGCTCTTGAGGTGGTGGTAGCGGCTCATCAGATTCTCCGTCACCCACCGGATCGTGGAGAGAGACGATTTCACGATCTGGCTTATCAGACTCAGTAGTTTCCATCGTCCATGGCCGTTTCGGATGGGAAAGTGCTTCGTTTGCCTCATCAGATCGGTTTTCCGAGTATTTGGTACGTTTCGCCTTGTGGGCTGCAAGGTCTTCGGCCAGGGAAGCAACTTGAAGTCTCTTGTACCGTTCTTTGTGATGGTCAACAGAACTGCCTTCTTGGTCACCCCCAATTGCTAGAAACGATGGGCTCCTTGTGCCTTCTTCGACAATAGCAGCCAGTGTTTTGAACATCATTTCAACAAGTTTGGGGTACCCATGATAAAGATCTAAAATCCCAAATATTGAATCTACCAGGTCATCCAAGTAAGGAATCAACCGTGCGCCGCATAGTTTAACCATCATGAATAGAACTTGAGGCGGATATGGCGATACATCAAAAGTATTGAGCTTCAACGCCACCGAGTTGACCAAATAGTCAACATTTTCAATGACCATGCTGCTTGTACTATCATAATTGCAAGATGCTGTCAGGATATTCAAACAGGCCATAGCATGTGTCTGTAGATTGGCATTGTTGGATGCCAAAAGTTGGAGCACAGGATACAAAGCATCCATGAGTTCTGGACGGAATGCTTCTCGAAGTTGCTGTGCCTGAAGCGCTACCGCTTCTAAGGCTAGTGCTGAAACTCTCCAATCCCTTGATTCATTGGATAACGGTTCGTTTAATATTGGTAGTGCAATGTAATACAGTTCCTCGATCATGCTCGCCTTCGTAGAGAACGTAGACGAAGGCTCAACTTCGTCCAACGAGACTAAATCGTCAAAAACTGTCGAGAGCTGCGTGCTGCTTTTTAGGAAGGAAAGTGCCAGCCAGAAAGGTGCGATTACTGATAAGGCATCTCCCTGATGGATCTGGTTAATTATCAGTCGTGTAATGTCATTACCCGCTTCTGATTTGTTAAGTCTGACAATCATAGACTGTAGGTCACTCAGAGTCTGTTGCTGGCTTCTATGTTCCAAAAGTATAGGCGGGAAGCACGTGGATTTATTTTCACTATGGAGTACTTCCAAAGACTGTACATTTGACGACTCAACACTCAAAGGCTGAGGAACACCGGTTGATTGAGTCACTACAGTAGTGACGCTGTCACACAAGCCTGACGCAAGACTCGTAGTGAGAGTGTCAGATCTAGACTGCAGCTGAGACAGGATCTGGAAGACCGTTGCTATTTGTTTGAGAGCCCATTGTTTTGCTGTTTCATCATTACTTTGCATTGTCCTTGGAAAGGCAGTAATCCAATTATGAAGCGAGTTTTTCAAGGAGTCCAATACTGCAGGGTAAGCAGTAGCAGTATGTACTAAGGACAAATATGCATGGTTAGGACCATGATCCTCTTCGAAATCCGATAGAACGACGAGGGTATCGACAACTATAGGGATTGATTCCTGCAGCGTATTTTGGCATTCTTCCACTACCATTAAGCAGAGTTCCAACAATGACTCTTGTACCTCCCGCCGTTCATGTCGTCTTATTTGTATAATGTTTGCGAGTGCAAGTTTAATTTGAGTTGCTGTAGCCTTCAGCCAAGATTCATCAAGCACGAGTCGATCATCCCCCGCTTCGGAACGGTTAGCTATTTCCGGTAGCGTACTCGCAGCTTGATCATTAAGGGCTACTTTGAGCATGTGCGTAAGTGTCTGAAGGCAGGCACAGAGTAGCTTATAGGAATGTCGTGTTTGTGTTGTTGGCTTTAGTACTCTTGCTAAAACTGAGACCGTCCGCGGCATAATACTAGCCAGAACGACTCGGTCAGAAATTCGATTATAAAGCGCTTGAAGCGCATTTGCTGCAGAGACGCATATCTCATCGGACTTGTCATCGACAATGCCTTCCAGTAAGACATATACCGTTTGGTCTACTATTGTCGCTGTACCAATCTCATGGTAGATCGTGCGTTCGGCCATAGGCCCTTCCAGGACATTGAAAATAGCCAAAAGGCAATCAAGCCCTGCAACAGCCAATTCCGCCGGCCGGGATTGTGTAGTTTCGCCGGTACTGGTCTTATCTGGTGTACCACCCACAATCAGTGTCAGCAGAATTATGAGCTGTTTGCCCATCTGAGAAGAGAGTCGTTCCCGCCATCCATAAACAATTAGAATCCGCAAGCATTTGACAGCTAATTCCAGACAATTGGCAGTAATGCTCTGAGTCTCATTAAAAATATGTGACAGTGGGAAGAAGGCATATTCGGCGAGCTTCTCATCCAGTGCATTTTTCTTGGCGAGTTCGATTAGGACATTATGTACAGGGGTGAGGGCACGAAAGACATCCTGAGACGATGCTTGTCGACCGCGAAACTTCAGGCCGACAGAACTTAATTCGACACATGGCGTGCGGAGCTTCAGTCGTCATTAGCATGGGTTATCAAATTGAAATTAGTCTCATACCTGTTTGAAGGATTCCTGCCGTGAATTTTCCATGAGGTCTCAAAAAATGATTGCCAGGCGGAGGAGATAATTGGTGATCCTTATATTCGAACCATCTGACTTTCGAGCATGAGCATTACCAAATCCAAAGACCAGCATCGAGGAAGACTGAAGCCGTTAGTCGTCTATCGTCATTGTTCTCCGCCTCCGCCAACATTTTCTGCCGCAACTATAAAGCGGTGTAGATCAACATGTTTGTGCTGTTTGCAACTTCAGAACGTGGGAAGACAGTACACCAAAAGGTTGTAGAAACTAGGATCTATGTTCTAAAAGGACGATGCTTATCCTATACCTGGTAGTACTGCAATTAAATAGGTCAATTACTGAAGATTTTTGTTGGGGCATGTCTCACGTGACTTTAATTGGATTCGCGTCACGTCACGTCGCGTTCCGCATAGGCTACCGACTTGGGCACGTTATTGCTGCCTTCACTCGATATCAAGGGCTCGACAGGTTATAAACTTCATTAATTGACGCCGGATCTGGGCTGCCTGTACATATTATTTTATTCAACTGTGTGCTGCATGATCGCTTAGTTAAGGGAAAGGACATTTTGGAAAACGTCTATGCCCACTCTTCGCGCTCTGATTGCGCTTCAGTTACGTTATCGGAGACCTGTGCCCTCTGCCTCGACATCGCAGGACGTCCCCCGGGTTGTTTGTTGCGCCATCCCGAAAAATTCTATATCTATTCATTCATTCCTGCCTCTCCAGTCGAAAAAATTTGGAGGTATTCGTCCCTTCTCGAATATCACGCTCCCAACCAGTGGTTCGTATACAATTTTGAAGATGTCCGAATCTAAGGGTAGGAAGCAAGCTACACTGGGGTATGTTCGTGACTCCCAGATGACTCTCGGGTGCGTCTGTATTTGGTTGTGCCTCGAGTGTTTCTCGAGTGTGTATCAGCATATACATATTTCGCCGGTATCGGTTACTGATCCTTGCTTTCTGGGCATATAGAAGATTTTTTGGCTCCAATTCCGATGCCAAGGAGGCGCCCAAGAAACAAACAACCCTTGCATTTTCTGGAAACGAATTCAAGGCCTCAAAAACCACCGCAAAAGCCACGACTACGGACGACGCTCCGGATGTCAATAAGAACGGTACTAATGGAACTTATGCTGACAAGGTCGACACGGCGGACTTCAGTGGCGCTAGTACAGTAAAAGGCCAGACGAATTGGAATCACGAGCCGAACAACCTCAAGCGAGAAACCTCCGGGGACAATGAAGACAGTGATGGAAGTGACATACAGCCTATTCCTAAAAGACGGCGGAAGAGCCCTCTATTGCAGTCTCCGAAGGGAAAATCTCCGTCCCCCAAGAGTCCGAAAGCAAAAAAAGAGGCCGATGTAAAGAAAACCCCGTCCCCGCCCGCAGTGAAGACTGCGTCTGGGGAGCAAAATCTAGAAGAAGAATCCGAACAAGAGGCCTCATCTGCTAGCGAAGAAGATGAAAAGCCGGAGGCGATGAAGGAAACCATGGAAAAGGTCCAGGCCACATTAAAAGCTAGTGGAAATGAACCATATCCTGATTGGAAACCTGGTGATCCCGTTCCTTATGCGGCACTATGTACTACTTTTTCTCTTATTGAGATGACCTCCAAACGCTTGGTAATTCTTGCTCATTGTTCCTTGTTTCTCCGCCAAGTCCTACGCTTGACTCCGCAAGACCTCCTCCCGACGGTCCAGCTGATGATCAACAAACTCGCTGCGGATTATGCAGGCATCGAGCTCGGGATTGGCGAGTCCTTGATCATGAAGGCGATTGGCGAGAGCACAGGCCGCAGTTTAGCTGTTATCAAGGCCGACCAGCATGAAATTGGAGACCTAGGCTTGGTAGCCACGAAGAGTCGATCAAACCAGCCTACTATGTTCAAGCCGAAGCCTTTAACTGTCAGAGGGGTACATGAAGGCTTACTTGGGATTGCAAAAGTCCAGGGTCATGGTTCCCAGGACAAGAAGATATCTGGTATCAAAAAACTCCTTTCGGCGGCTGATGCAGGAACAGGCGGAAAGGGTGGCAAAGGTGTTGATATCACCAAGAACAAGGGTGGTCCCAGCGAAGCTAAATATATTGTCCGATTTTTGGAAGGAAAATTGAGGCTTGGTCTCGCTGAAAAGACAGTCCTTGTTGCACTCGCCCAGGCCGTTGTCATGCATGAAGCGGCTGTGAAGGGCGAGAAGACACCATCCGCGGAGAAGATGGCCGAGGGTGAAGCTATTTTGAAGACGGTATACAGCGAGTTACCTGCTTATGAGATAATTATCCCTGCTATGCTCGAGCAAGGATTGATGAATCTGGGCAAAGTCTGCAAGCTTCAGCCCAGTATCCCCATCAAACCCATGCTCGCTAAACCAACGAAATCCATTACCGAAGTTCTCGACAGATTCGAAGGAAAGGACTTTACGTGTGAATATAAGTATGATGGGGAGAGGGCACAGATCCATTACATTGCGCCCGACTCTATCCATCAATACCCTGCTGCAACAGCTACGCTACAAAAAGACAGCAAGGGGTTTTCGGCGATATTTTCCCGCAATTCGGAAGATCTGTCCAAAAAATATCCCGATGTGCTCGCTAAGCTTGATAGCTGGATTAAGGACGGGGTGACAAGCTTCGTTCTAGATTGTGAAACAGTCGCCTGGGACACGGAAAACAAAAAGGTTCTGCCTTTCCAGCAGCTCATGACGCGCAAGAGGAAGGATGTCAAAGCAGAAGATGTCAAAGTCAAAGTGTGTGTGTTTGCATTCGATCTTCTATTCCTGAATGGAGAGGTAATTCCCCCAGATAACCATGCTATTTATCGAGTGTCCACCCACTGACTATGCTGGCTACGACTCATAGAGTACTGTTAGGAGCACGTTCCGGCAACGGCGAGAACTTCTGCATCAGTCGTTTCAACCAATCGAGGGTGAATTTCAATTCGCTCAATATGGCAATAGCAACGCGGTAGATGATATCCAGAATCTACTTGACGAGAGCGTCAAAGCATCGTGTGAAGGGCTCATGGTGAAAATGCTGGATACGGAGGAAAGCGGTTATGAACCCAGCAAACGGAGTCGCAACTGGCTCAAGGTATGTCTTAGGGAGCATGGGCGGCATATCCCAACTGGCAACTAATTGCGATTGTAGGTTAAAAAGGACTACCTCGCTGGTGTCGGTGACTCGCTTGATCTTATCGTCCTTGGAGCGTACTATGGTCGTGGCAAGCGCACCTCTGTTTATGGCGCGTTCCTCTTAGCGGCATACAACTCAAGCAAGCAAACTTACGAAACGATTTGCAATATTGGCACAGGCTTTTCCGAAGCGATCCTCGAGGAATTTCACCAAAAGCTCTCTCCACTCATCATTGACCGACCCAAGCCCTTTTATTCACATTCGACCGTGCCGAAGGATCAGCCCGATATTTGGTTTGAGCCTCGACTCGTCTGGGAAGTTAAGACGGCCGACTTAACCCTCAGCCCGCGATACCAGGCAGCGGCTGATGAATTCGTCGGAGTGACGGGGGGTAGTAAAGGCGTTTCTCTTCGTTTCCCACGATTCATTAAATCCCGAGATGATAAGAAGCCTGAGCAGGCCACTACGACGCGAGCGGTAGCCGAGATGTATCGAAAGCAGGAAGCGGTCGTGAAAGAGAATACCGGGAAGGGAGGCGTCGACGACGATTTTGAGTATTAGCATTAGCCTCACCCACATCCATTGAAGTCGATTGAATTTAATGTACGGATTATAGCACATAGCACTGTTCCTGGAATGAATGAATTGTCTCTCATCTTGTTGGTCTGACAGGGAAGCCGACGGTCAGAGCGGAAGGACCTCCCCTAGGTCGACATTATACGATTACATCGCGTAAGCGCGGATACGATTGAGAACGCCCAACACAGCTTAGAGCCGGATTAGAACGGAGGGATTTAAATGAATCCAGACGGCAGAGAGAGATAGCGCTTATCAGCGGCCGGCGAAGCTCGAATTGGGCAGGCCGGCATTGCTCATTGCCAGGCGACATCTTGCGAGATGATGCCATCCACGACGCGGGATGCTGCCCGGTCTTGGCAATGCAACCCAAGACGTGGGGAAACCCGCGATGATTGGCGGAAAAGATGCAATGTAACATGATTATCATTGCTTGTCCTGCGGGTCACGTTATGCCCGATTAACCGATTCAGGAAGGTGGCCCTGTAGGTTGTCTTGGCGGCGTTCAGCGCTCCTTCAATAAACAAACAAATAAATAGAGCCCGTCGTCGCTCTCTCGGTTCTCTCGAGCTGTTGAAGCTTCTCCTGTTGTGCCATCCTGCCTACGACTCTCGAATTGTCCACCATGGGAGCTTTTCGCTGGCTCTCGATTGCGGCGCTCTCGTCCGCTGCCTTGGCCTTCACCCCAGAGTATGTACCATATTATCTTGTCCCTCGGCCCGCCCACGGTGGAGCTAGCTGACCTAATCGTCTCCCCAGGCAATTGATCAGTGCTCCACGAAGATCTGAAGCTGTCCCCAACCCTGCAGGCGTGAGTTACCCTCAGACCCATAGTACTCCTGAGAACCCTATTGGGGCTGATGGAGATAGAAACTTGCGGTGTTCTCGGCCTCGCAATACTCGTTCGACGCCCATAAAGGCCACAAGTCCTGGAACTTACTAGACATCAAGTCTGGCGACATCAAGCTCCTGACCAATGACAGTAATGTCTCAGAGATTGCCTGGTTGGGTACGGACGACAAGACCGTGCTCTATATCAATAGCACCAATGCAGACATCCCAGGGGGTGTAGAGCTGTGGGTGTCGGACATCTCCAATTTCGCCAATGGGTAAGCTACCGAGCTAGCTCTCTTTCCGTCCATTATATACCTCCACAATTGTTAATACGAACTGTCCGACAGCTACAAAGCAGCCTCGCTGCCTGCCTCCTTCTCTGGTCTCAAAGCGGTCATTACACACTCGGGTGACATAAACTTCGTTGCTTACGCCGAGTCGTATGCCAACGGCACTGCGTACAATGCGGAGTTGGCGGCTAAGCCTCTAAGCACTGCCCGCATTTACGACAGCATCTTTGTGCGCCATTGGGATTTCTATCTCAGTACGACATTCAATGCTGTCTTCTCTGGTACTCTGAAAAAGTCTGGCGAGAAGTACAGCTTCAAGGGAGGGCTCAATAACCTTGTTTCTCCCGTCAAGAATGCTGAGAGCCCGTACCCTCCTAACGGGGGTGCCTCGGACTATGACATTTCGCCCGACGGCAAATGGGTTGCCTACAAGAGCAAGGCACCTGACGTTCCTCGTGCCAACTACACGACATCGTATATCTATCTTGCGCCTCACGATGGATCTTCTAAGGCGATTGCCATCAATGGACCCCACAGCCCCGGAACACCTGCCGGTGTTGCGGGAGACTCCAGCAACCCAGTCTTCTCTCCAGGCAGCGACAAGATCGCTTACTTCCAGATGACTGATGAAGCCTATGAGTCGGATCGTCGCACCCTGTACGTGTACAGCATTGGCTCAAAGGATACTATTCGAGCCGTTGCGAAAGACTGGGACCGCTCCCCCGACAGCGCCAAGTGGATTGACAAAAGGAACATTGTCGTCGGTAGCGAGGACAAGGGACGATCCCGCCTGTTCCTCGTCCCCGCCGATGCCGGCGATGACTTCAAGCCGAAGAACTTCACGGACGGCGGCGCTGCGAGTTCCTATTATGTGTTGCCTGGTTCCACCCTGCTGGTGACCGGCAGTACCATCTGGACTAGCTGGAATGTCTATACCGCCAGCCCTGAGAAGGGTGTTATCAAGACCCTGGTTTCTGCTAATGAGATTGATCCTGAACTCAAAGGACTTGGCCCTGCCGATGTTGGTGAGATCTACTTCAAGGGCAACTGGACCGACGTATGTATATCCCCTTTCATGCTGGAACTGAGTCAGACTAACGCTGGCGATCAAACAGATCCAAGCTTTCGTTATCTACCCCGAGAACTTCGACAAGAGCAAGAAGTATCCCCTGCTTTACTACATCCACGGTGGCCCTCAAGGCTCGTGGGCTGATTCGTGGAGCACCCGGTGGAACCCCAAGGTGTGGGCAGACCAAGGCTACGTGGTTGTAGCACCAAACCCAACCGGTAGCACTGGTTGGGGTGATAAGCTCACCGATGAGATCCAGAACAATTGGGGTATGTGTACCACTTATGGCCCTGAAAACCCTTCACTCCCACTAACATTCTACGCAGGAGGAGCGCCTTACGACGACCTCGTCAAGGGCTGGCAATACGTCCACGACAATCTTGACTACGTCGACACCGAGAACGGCGTTGCCGCAGGTGCCAGCTACGGTGGTTTCATGATCAATTGGATCCAGGGAAGTGATCTTGGCCGCAAGTTCAAGGCCCTGGTCAGCCACGACGGCACTTTCGTAGCCGATGCCAAGGTTTCCACTGAGGAATTGTGGTTCATTGAACATGACGTATGTCATATTACTCTTCCCTTCTTTCCTTTCTTTCACTCAAGTTCCTTGTACTGTATACTGACTCTCTCCCCTATAGTTCAATGGTACTTTCTGGGCCAACCGGGATAACTACCGCCGCTGGGACCCATCTGCCCCGGAGCGCATCCTCAAATTCAGCACTCCCCAGCTTATTGTCCACAGCGACAAGGACTACCGTCTTCCCATCTCCGAAGGCTTGGCTCTGTTCAACATCCTCCAGGAACGAGGTGTTCCAAGCCGTCTTCTGAACTTTCCTGATGAGAATCACTGGTACGTATCCATGGATCTACTTCTGCATCTCTGATACATAGTCACTCTGTTTCATGTTATCCATACTAACAATATAATAGGGTCCTTAATCAGGAGAACAGCCTTGTCTGGCATCAACAGGTCCTGGGATGGATCAATCGCTATTCCGGCGTCGGAAAGACGAACTCTCATGCAGTCAGCTTGGATGATACCGTCATCCCCGTTGTTGACACTAACCCCTGATTGATGTCCATGATTTTAACGATTATCCTTTAATCTTCGTGGAGTTGTGCCTGTCAATATCCATGGTACTTCTGCTACTGTACAGTTAGATTCACCGGGTACATAATGACAATTTTTGATTATGACTATGTTCACTTTCCATCTCGTAGCCTGCCATATCTTCATTCAGTTTTATGGCAGATCTAACCGGCCTGGACCAATTCAAAGGAATGCTGTTGGACATACATTCATTCATATACACACACCACGATTGCTCATGCACCCAGTCTAGTGAACAGAAAAATAAAATAAAATAAAACCAAAAAAATACGCAAGAGTCGTACAACCCTTGGCCATAGTCCAGGAAGTCAAGATGTAGAGTATGAAAATTGAAATAAGGAATTCACACTCTTATCACAACTCTCCCGCACTAGCGCCAGTGCCTGTCCCTGGATAGTCATTATCGTGGCTGTCCATCGAATCGAGTTCTCGCATTCTCAAGCCAAAGTTCACCAGAATCACTACCGTGAGACCGACACCGAGGACGGTAGGACCCCATTTTTCATAATAGACGCGTTTGACATCCCGTCGTTTGCGGATCTTGTCCACCCGCCAGATGTATAGCATGAGGCTGTACACCAGGGCCAGAGCGGCCAAAATGGTAAAAGCCCATGACGAAGCTAATGTGATATAGTCGTTGCCAAAATTCAGCAGCGTCGCTGCAATGGTGGCTAGAAGGACGGAAAATTCCAGCCAGGAAAGGAAAGTCCGCTCGGCAGCGAAATACACCTTTGGTTCCACGCGAACGGGAACATGAATACCTGCAGTGAGTCAGGTACGTGGCAAATGTAGAAGAGAGTGGACGGACTACACGGGAAGGGAGGGACAAAAAACTCTTACGTTTACCCTTGGGCGCCGCAAAACGCCGGTGAATTCGTTGGTTTCCCATTACAGCGATGCCCCGTTGTTCAGGTGCAGGTAGATTCGTCGGCCTGGGTCGTGGGATGAGGGCCTTGAGACCGTTGAACACTGCATTTCCAGTCCGATGGGTGTAGTAATTGACCAATTGCCGGTAATAGAAAACCCCCCCCACTCGCCGAGCCTCTTCAAGCTCATCTGAATAGACAGACTCCTCGTCGGAATCATACAGTGGGTAATCCTCGTCTCCAGGGAGCGGCTGGGCGGCAACTCGTTCCTCGATATCCAGGGCATTCCCGTCATTATCATCGAATAAGCCATATTCGTCATCCGCTTCATTGCGGGGCCTCTGGTCGTCTTCTCCGCCATCGCCTTGTCCTCTGTGGTCCTCCTCTTCGTCCGAATCATCATCTTCCTGGGTTTCATTGGCGGATATCGACGTGCTCGGAAGAGGTCGCTGAATACCGAACTGACGCGTCGCGGGCTTCCTAATATCGACATCCATCTGTGGCATCCAGAACGGAAGAAGGTGGATGCGTCCCGGGAACAAGGTCGCAGTTCCATGGATGAATTTACTGTATTTTGGAACCGCTTCCACAAGGTGACTGGCCGTTAACTCCCTAATCCACTTCGGTGGCTCCTGTCCGGCTTGCATCTGGAGTTTAACCTCCAATACAGCGTAAGGAAATCGCTCCGCATCTTCCGCCGGGAGTTGAGAGAATGGGAAGTCAACCCCGATGTCCATGCGACGCCAATTGTCTCCCGCTCTCCGACGGCCATCAAGGTTATCCTCTCGAACCATGGTCAACTCTGTGTCGAGGGAAATACGGACTCGGGCATCACCTGGGAGCTGAAAGGCAGTCCGGTGATAGAAAGTTCTCGTGACGGGCATTAGCCTTCGGGTAATGATGCGGTACTGGATTTCTCGCGCCAATTGCTCCAAATCATTGATCTCGTCTTCGCTCTTCTTACCTTCCCGTCGCATTTTTTCGAAAATGGTCTCCACCGTCATACGGCCGGACAGATATGCATTGACGTTTTTCTCTTTTAGTGAAAAGCGCGCTTTGACGGATTTCTCTCCGGTCCAATCCTCCCGATGGGTCTTCCGCTCGACGAATATTTGGTCGCTTTCCATACCCCCATACCAACGCAATCGAATGGCTTCAGCTCCTTCGGTTTTCTTCAAGCGCCCTTGATAGAGTTCCCACGTGTCGGTATTGTCGTAGTAAATGGACGAGATAGCCGTATCCTTTTCCTCGAACTCTTTCCGGGGATTAAACACAAGAACGGGGAGGTGCTTTCTTGGTTAGATTGGGTGCTTCTGTGAGTGCCGGAGATTATATAGCATACCTTGAGAATTATAAGCTTCAGTTCTGTGATATTGTCAGGATGGACCCAATATTTCGTTGTCTGCCGAACGAAGTTTTGTTGACTGCCTCCCGCCGCCGAATCTCCCCTGACTGGGTTTCCTTTGGTCCGAACCAGATCGTAGAGCTTGGATAGCTTCACCACAAAAGCATCGTAGTTATCTTTGAAGAATGGTTTCGCGTTCAGCCGGGCAGCGAAGACTGGTTTGAGGTACCATCCGGTTTGTTTCTATCCCGCGAGTTAGACCATTGTATTATTATTTTTCTTTTTTTCCCGGGCCCTAATAACGGTACGTAATTCAAGGAAAGAACCTACATCGTGCTTCTTAATAATCTTCTGGAACCCCGTGTAGTTCAACTGGGTGAACTTGGCCAGATCATGAACATCCGCTATGATGTCACTCAAAACCTGCTCGAGCACAAGGAAATCTTCGTCGGAAGGAGGCGCAGCATTGGAACGGACAGATCCGCGACGAGATTCAGACGCACTGTCTAGACGGGTAATGACATCGCTGACATCCGTCTCACTGACCTGTATGCGTCGAACAATTTCTTCGCTCTTTATCTTTTGAAAGGTGAAGACCTTGTCCAGTTCACTCTCGAGCAGCGACACAAACTCTTTCTCGTTCTCCTCGGTCCATGGCTTTCGATCCGGTTTGTTATTTTCGGGAGATGGTTCAGTGACATATCCCGTCTTCAGGGCTTTCTTCAGGTCCTCGTAGGCGATGTAGTACCAGTAGTACTCCTTGATCATCGACGACCGGAGATGTTCCCCGAACCTGGAAGGGCGCAGATGATGAGCGGCCGCAAGCAACGCAGGAGTTGACAGGGTGTTGACTTACCTCATTGTGAGTGGAGGAATTGAACGGGCCTAGAGGCTAGAAAGTGATAGACAAAAGATATGATCGAGGATAGTGGGATAAGAGGGAAGAGAGGGGGTGTAACTGGAAGGGAGGATTAAACACAGGAATCGGGAAGATTTGAGGGAATAAGAGCGAGCATCCTGGGTCACAAGAGGGGGGAAAGGGACCAGGGGAATGAATCGATTGTTGCAGACGAGACTGAGGATTGCTGTAGGGATTGGGAAGTTGCGCGATAGCTTTAGTTTAGTAGGTAGCACAACCACTGTACCTAAGAGTGCTCAAGACCGGGATGGGGCATTAGCTCATCCTTGGTGGACGGTATTGCGATTACGCAACCCCACATTGTGGGTGTCACAGAATACGCAAGATTACCCGACATCCTATGAGCGCCGAGAATCTGGTCTTAGCAATCTCCTCGATTCGCCCCAATCTGCCCGCTATACCATCTCTGGTTGGTCAACTCTTGTTCCCTAGGATTGTCAACCACTCACTCGACCATGTGGTTAAGAAGTAAACTAAAGTACATTATCGTGCTGGGGACCGTATCTTACCTTTCCGTATGGTCACCGTCTCATCGAGCTGACACTGAATTGATACCTCACTTGCATCCAATCAATGACGTCGATCTTCATATATCCTCAGCTATGTATGACCAGGTTGTTGCAGGTGGTATAAGAGACTCCGCAGGCCTCCGTCCATGTAACCAAGCACTCACTTCTCTCCGTAGTAATAATGAACCTACACTGACCTTCTAACACTTATCCTGCATCTATTCAAGGTTTCTTCCTTGCCTTACTCTACATACGGAATATATAAATTACAATCTAACCCACCTATCACCCACATTTACAACCATGTCCAACTTCGAGCCAATTCACTACGTGCCAGCACATCATCGAGAACAGATCCTAAAAGCACCAGTCATCCGGATCTTCACCGTTCCTCATACCCAGTCCGAAGGGACAGCAAACCACTGGTGTTTCTATCTCCTAACCCCCTCCGGAACCTCCATCGCGGTGGACTGTCAACCCAGCCATAGAATCCCGAGTACTGTTCTTCACGGAGGCTCCAAGGGATTCCTAATCATCTCCGAACTATCCTATACATTGCCCCCCGATGCTCAGAAAGCGTTTCCTCTCGACGTGATCTCCGGACTAACTGTGGCCGGTGTCCTGCACAAACTCATCGACCATGGTCGTCATCAATACGAGTTCGATGTCCATGGAGTTGGGTGTAGATACTGGGTCACTAGCCAAATAGACCTGATGTGTCAGGTAGGATTACTCACGGATCTTAGGCAGTGTGCCAATGCTAAAATGGCGGTTACTTTGCTGTGGCCCGAACAGACGACCCTGCCGCTAGATAGAGGGGCCTATTATCAATAGATCAAGATAGGTGGCGATGATGGCTTGGCTTCGCTTGTTATAAAGAATCTTAGATTTAGGACTAGCTCTAGTATTGCTTATGGGAAATTTTTACGTTTAGAATAATAAGTAGCATTATGCTTGTATTTCCTCGTAAACCGCACTAAACGTACGAACTCAGCTACTCATGTACACAAGGCCAAACAGACACCAAACACCCTCCTCCATCGTAGAACCCTTGGTTATCAATCGACCGATTCATGCAATATATTATTCTAAATTGCATCAACCACATATTATATTGTCCATTGCATCATGATCTCATCAACCAGTGGCCCACTTACAGATTACAGAAGCGTACCCCCAACGCGGCGAAGACTCCTCCGGGCGCCCTCACCCAGCACGTTCACATGCCCTTCGGTCTCCAGAGAGCGAACTGCGTCGGTAAACTGTCCTCCATCCAAGGCGTTGTTCTGTTCGCTGAGCGCTCGGAACACCTCCGCCCACCGGGCTGTACCGCCGCTACCCAGCTCGTCGATCGCCGACAGAATTGCACGCTTGAGTGTTTCCCGATGACGTCTCTCGCTGGCACTGGTGCCCTCTGTCAATAGGCCCATGTCAATCAGCCCGGTCCGCGAGTCCGTCGCAGCCTGCTTGATAGCGGACCGGATCAGACGCACGGATTCTTCCACATCGCCCGCCGTAACTTCTTCCGACAGTCGCATACGTGCGTGGGCCTCCGACAACCGGATCATAGACTCCAACTGACGAGTTGTTGCCGTGATTCGCCGGTCAGAAGATCGAATGTCGTCTCCCAGTTTGCGCATGGCCACGTACGCATCAGAGAGTGCCTTCCCGGCAGCAGGGGTCAAAACCGGGTGGACCTTGGTTTTGGCATAAGTGATATAGGCCGTCAGGAATTCAATAGGCTGCGAATCGACACCAGTTAGTAAGCCGACTATCAACAACAATGAGCCTTGGTACTTACCAAAATTTCCTCACTGTTGGCGTTTTCAGGCCTGTCTTCAAGATACATATTGACAAGATGTTTCGCTAGCCGGCGGTCCTCTTGTTCATCCACGCGATCAAGGACGAGGTACACCAAGTCGAATCGCGACAGCAAAGTAGGAGGCAAATCAATATTTTGTGGAACTGGCAGATTGGGATTGTACTTGCTGCCGATGGGATTGGCGGACGCCAGAATACTGGTTCTAGCATTCAGCGTAGTGATGATACCAGCTTTCGCGATAGACACAGTTTGCTGCTCCATCACTTCATGCAGAACAGAGCGAGTTGATTCGTTCATCTTGTCAAATTCGTCAATGCAACAGACACCACCATCGGAGAGAACCAGAGCTCCCGACTCAAGGACCATTTGGCGCGTCTCGGGATCCCTGGTCACGTAGGCTGTGAGACCGACAGCGGAGGAGCCTTTGCCACTGGTGTAGACTCCTCGGGGGGCAATCTTGTGGACATATCGAAGCAGTTGAGATTTAGAGGTGGAAGGGTCACCACAGAGAAGAACATTGATATCACCTCGGTAGCGTGGATTGCCACCCTTCTCGAAGGACTTGTTGGTACCTCCAAACAATTGGAGCAGGATACCTTTCTTTACATCATCCATCTCGTATATACTAGGCGCCAAAGATCGGGCCAGGAGCTCATACACATCAGGCCGAGTAGCGGTCCGCCTGATTTTCTCTTCCTCTTCAGCTGTGATCTTACGGGTCTGTTCAGCATCCCCGACTGCTTGCTCTGACAATTCTTCCTCGACAGTCGACGCGTCAACGCCTAACTTTTTGTGGTCTATCTTTTGGACGTGCAATACATCGATGTAGGTTTTGAAGAGCGTTTTCTGTGTGCGTTGGCGAGGGTTCACTCGCACCGGGTTGCTTCGGAAGATACCCGTAACTTCAACGCGATCACCTGCCCTGCATACGTCCACTAATTCGTCGTAGACGCAGAGGGAGACGGAATGGGGGGTTTGGCCATCAGGGATGCTGTCAGGAGTCTCCTGGAGTTTGATCACCTGCTTATCGGCGAAAACGCAGCGGTTGTGAATAATCTCCATCGAATTCCTTTCTTTGCAGACTGGTCGTGGGCAGATCGTTGGCTCTGCAATCCTTCCACGGTCAATGTCAACCTGCACTCCATGGTTGCAGACTTGGCAGCGAAAAAAAGCTGGGTAACAGTGAGCAGTGTTAATTCAGCAATTGCAATTTGGATTACACTCACCTTCTTTCATATCGGGGATGATGGGAGTCGCTCGGATCACCAGGCCCTTGATGCTTACCAATTTGTCCATATCTGGCTATGTTTAGCGGAAGTCTAGAACGAATGGTCCCTCATCAACTACATACCTGCTGGGTCAAGCTCTCGCATGTTAACGGTGGAATCCAGTCCAAATGGTAGGACTTTGAAGGCCTTCGTCTCCACCTCGCCAACGAGGTCCGGGATCTCAGCCTGTGGCGTGCGACCGGTTTCACTCAAGGCATCAGAGCTAGGAACTGCCGGAGCGGAGCTCAGGTCCCTGGAATGGGTCTGGTTACGCTGGCTTCTGGCCCTCAGACGCTCGACTTCTTTAATGGCAAGTTCAACCATAACATCTTTGATGGTCTGGTCCATTAAAGGAATGATTTCCTGAGGGTAGGCCTGTAGTTGGTGCCACAGCTTCAAAGTTGATGGATACGACTTGAGGTTTTTCGCGTCCAAGTTTAGGCTAGTGACACCTAGTTGACGCATGGTGTTTAGCGTGCTGATATATTCCTTTTCCTCTGCGGCATCGCCCATCCGGCGTGTTTCATCTTCCGTGGCGCCCTCGGCCCACAGGCGGTATTTTGTGGCGAAATTGTAAAGGAAGTTTTTGAAAGCGGACATGGAATCCTGAATAGAGATGTTGGTACCCCAGATCACGCGTGATGAGCCGCCGCCGAGTGCCTCGGCCTCCGAAGTGTCTGGATGGACGTTGGAGAAAGTTGCATCCGATTGTGGCTCCCCATCAGCAGCGGGCATGCCGTTGGCATCAACAAACACCCTGCGCCGACGGCTCGGAGTCGATCCAAATCCACCCGAGTGAAGATCATTGCGACGTCGAGCACGCTGCCCGGCCGCAGAGGGCCGGGATGAGACAAATAAGCCACTACTGCTACTAGGAATATCAGATCGCGGTTGGCGGCTGTGAGCACGGGTGGGACTGGAACTGGACACATATCGAATTGGGGAAGAATCTGGTTTGGCATCAGAAATATGTCATTGAGATAGTACTTCGACCAACGTACCTCGCATAGTCTGACGATTGCCCCGTGGTGTCGTCTCTCCTTCGTCCATGGTTGAAGATGGCCTCACAGGCGAACTGGGTTCGTCCATCCTAACATCTGGTGTTTCGGCGCTGCTATCATTTCCTTTTGCAGGAGAAGACTGAAAGAACATGGGAGAAGACGATGGGACAGCAGCTTCGCCCCTTAGGCGTCTGGAAGCGCGAGGAGTTGTCTGTGACTGTTCATCAGCTGCTCTTGGAGTAGGGCTACTCGGTTGTAATTGCTGCTGAGAGCGAGTTGAGCGAGTCGAGCGAGTCGAACGGATGGGGGATGAAGTGGCCGCCGCCTCCTTGGTTGGACGACCTGTACGGCGAGTCGAAGAAGGGGAAGACATGATGAGCCAGCCCTAATGGGTAGCGGACCACAAATAAATGGACTTTCAGGGACCGACAAAGAGGGAGATTGATTGAATCGAGAAGTGAATGCGAGGATGGGGTGGGTGTGGTGTGGCGGTTGCAACAGTGAAGAACAGCTGTTTGGCGGCTCGTTAGAATTTCTTTCCTTTTCGTGGACGCCATGAGTGACGCGTAGGGACGTGACACACGCGTAAAGAGGTTTCCTGTTCGGGACGACGCGGGCCACCAGCCACAGAGTCATGTGACTATCCAAAGGAGTTTGTGGAACCTGTGGAACCTGCGCCACATGACGGCTAGTGGCGACCAATCATGGCGTGCTATGGCTTTAGGGCAGGCGTCTACAAACGGATTGGCTCCATCCTTGTCAACAAAGGAAAGCGCTCAGCGAAAATGAAAATGGAAAGGAAGATAAAAAAAGTGACCGCAACATGGCTATTTGGAGCTATTCCTTTATCGCTGGGGTTCTCGTAAAGGACAGATCCTCCAATCCCTCAATCAAACTCAGGGGAAGGTGAAACAGGCTGGTCCTGACCAAGGCCTTAAGGCAAGCGCCGTCCCCCTTCTTAGTCCCTCAATACCTCGTTTCAACAGACGCTTGATGTCATTGAGGAGCGATCTGCTCTCCCCAGTGCATTTCCCACAAATAGGAGTGCCTCTGCCCTGCTGACTTGGCGCTGCGCTGGATCCTGAATGGCGGATTGTGTCGCCTGTTCGGTGCCACTGCATGACGCCTTTATTTACAACGCTTTTTTTTCTATGTCCTCCCATTGAATCCCCATCCTAGCTTCTTTCTAAACATTCTCCTCTCATTCCAGTATTGTCTTGAATCTAGCTTCCTTCATTCGCTAGCTGTTTGTCACCGATGCTGCTCAAATGTTGGTTGCGAGTCCGGAGCCTTGAGTAATACTGACGTCGTTATGTACTGTGAACCCTCACCGGTTGCACTTCGCTTCGTCGTTCCTCCTCCAATCTGCACTGTCTGATAAAATCAGGCATTTTCTCCCTTCCTTGATACCGGTAGAAAGCAGAGGGAGTGTCGCTTTCGGTCGCAGCTATGCCTAACGACCTAGAGGAGGCGTTGAAACACGCAGGTGGGACGGGAAAACAGAGTGAGGGTATCTCGATCAATACCTTCCTGGCGTCTCTGGCCACTGCGATTATCATTTTTGCTGTTGAAGTCATCCTATTTTTGCTTCTCAAGGGGAAACTTACACGTATCTAGTGAGTGCAATCGACCTGTCAATGGAACCACGGCATCACTAACTTCAAGCTTAAAAAGTCAGCCAAGAACGTATCTGGTTCCTGATCGAGAACGTACTGCACCCTCCCCACCGGGCCTGTTTCGATGGATCGGGCCGGTGTTTCGCACTTCCAGCTCTGAGTTTATTCAAAAATGCGGCTTGGATGCCTATTTCTTCTTGCGCTATCTGCGCATGCTTCTGAAGATATTCGTGCCACTGGGGTGCATCCTGCTACCCGTCCTTCTACCGTTAAATAAAGTGAATGGGAAAAACCGGAGTTTCAAGAACGGGACCATAGGTGGAGATAGGTGGAATATCACAGGCCTCGACCAACTGGCTTGGGGAAATGTAGCCCCCGAGAATACAAATCGTTACTGGGGACACTTGATTACGGCCATAATCGTCATTGTTTATGTCTGCGCTGTATTTTTTGATGAGCTCCGAGGCTACATCCGCCTACGACAGGCGTATTTGACTTCTCCGCAACACCGACTTCGTGCATCTGCAACGACGGTGTTGGTGACTGCAATTCCAGAAAGCTGGCTTTCTGTGGAAGCTCTTGAGACGCTGTTTGACGTCTTCCCGGGTGGAATCCGCAATATTTGGATCAATCGCAATTTCGACGACCTCAACGAAAAGGTGAAAGAGCGGGATGATATCGCCTTAAAACTCGAGGTTGCCGAGACCGAGTTGATTATCAAATGCAAAAAGGCACAGCTAAAGAGGGAAAAGTCCGAAGCGAAGAAGGCAGGCAAGGAGGGAAAGGCTATAAACAAACAGGAGAGAGAGAAAGCCGATCGAAAAGCTTCTCAGTTGGCGATGGGTGCCGGTGTCAGTTCCGGCGACCCACACCAGGCTCATACCCTCGATCAAATTTTGCACCCTGAGAACCCAGCACAGCATGAAGATGAACCTGGAAAATGGAGACGACTCAATCCCCTCGATCCGGCCATGGAAGCTGCGGGCGCGTTCAGCCAGGGGGTGGGCAAGCTGGGCAAATCCGTTTTAAGCGGTTTTAAGAAAGTTGAGGACAGTGTAGATGGAACATTGACTCGATCGGGAGGTTATGTGCCGGAGGATAACACGCTCGCGGCGATTGAAAACAGTTCACTTGCGGCAGGTGGTAATGAACGTCGCGAGTCCCTCTCAAACGATCCCCGTGGAAATGCAGAAGATGAGAGTGGAGCACACCCTTCCCAAATGATCACACAAAGCGCAACTGGGGTTTCAGGCTCGGGATCGAAACCCAAAAGGCCGTTTTGGAAAAGCGGAGTGTCGAACAATTCCAGAATGAGCAGCAAAGCTGAGCCGGATGAATTTCCTCTAACGGGTCCGGAAAGTCCGGTGGATGCGGATGTGATGTCTGAGGCTTGTCCGAGCTCTTCTACCGCGGCGAGAGCGAAAGCCAAAGGAGGTAATCAAGAAGGTCGAAAAGAAGGGGATAAGGTAGAAGGGGAAGAGTACCCGATTGCTTACAACGAAGGATTCGACAACGAAGACTTCGGAGAGCCTATGTGGAAGAAGTACATCAAAGAAAAGGATCGGGATACCATGCGATTGCCCATTTTTGGCCTGCGCTGGATGCCCTCGCTTTGGCTTATGGGCAGGAAAGTTGACACCATTGATTATTGTCGCAAAGAGCTGGCTCGGCTGAATTTGGAAATCGAAGTTGATCAGCAACATGCGGAGAAATTTCCCCTTATGAACTCCGCGTTCATCCAGTTCAACCACCAGGTCGCTGCACATATGGCTTGTCAAGCGGTCAGTCACCACGTTCCAAAGCAAATGGCTCCACGCATTGTGGAGATCTCGCCAGACGACGTAATATGGGACAATATGTCTATCCGGTGGTGGGAGCGCTACCTCCGGACATTTGGAATCCTGACCGTTGTCTGTGCCATGGTGGTTGGCTGGGCATTTCCGGTGGCGTTTACAGGTTTGCTCTCTCAGTTGTCATATTTGGAGGATGCGTTCACTTGGCTATCTTGGATCTCGAAACTACCGGAATGGCTTATCTCGGCCGTCCAGGGTATCCTACCTGCATTGTTTTTGGCAATTCTCATGGCGCTATTGCCTCTAATCCTTCGGTTCCTCTGCCGGGCTCAAGGACTCCACACGGGCATGGCCGTGGAGCTTACCGTCCAACATTATTATTTTGCCTTCTTGTTCGTGCAGCTCTTCCTGGTTGTGGCAATTTCGTCAAGTTTTTCTACCATCATCAATAACGTCACGAACGTCACCAGCTGGCCTGAACTCCTGGCACAGCATATCCCCTTATCCAGCAACTACTTCTTCTCCTACATGATTCTACAAGCCATGTCGGTGAGCGCCGGAGCTCTTGTCCAGATTGTCAATCTAGTAAGCTGGTTCGTTCTTGCACCATTCTTGGATACCACTGCCAGGAGAAAATGGGCGCGGACCACGAACCTGAACCAGGTACAATGGGGCACATTTTTCCCGGTGTACACTACTTTGGCATCAATTGGTATGTCAACATTCCCCCGGCAAAGAAAGACTGAATTGAAAATACCCCTCGAATCCCAAAGCTAACGTCTAGCTCCGAGCAGGGTTGATATACTGCGTCATTTCGCCTCTCATTCTCCTGTTTAACGTGATCACGTTCGGTTTGTTTTGGTTCGTCTACCGATATAACACGCTCTATGTCACGAAATTCCGCTTCGATACTGGCGGCCTGCTCTTCCCTCAAGCCATCAATCAACTGTTCACAGGCATCTATGTGATGGAGGTTTCCTTGATTGGCCTGTTCTTCTTAGTGCGAGATGTGCAGGGCACTGTTGCTTGTAAAGGGCAGGCAATCTGTATGATTGTGGTCCTCATACTTACCGTTGGGTACCAATATTTGTTAAATGAAGCTTTCGGCCCCTTAATTCGTTATCTGCCCATAACTTTGGAGGACGACGCAGTCCGCCGAGATGAGGAATTTGAACGGGCCCAGAGAGCTCGACTAGGCTTACCCATTGACGAAGATGAGACGGACCCAGTCGCGCATGCTGATGGGATGTCCCACGATATCGAGCTGAAAAAAATCGGACTTCGCAGGGAGGGACAGAAATCGGCGCATGCAAATAAACGAGCTGGAATGGGACCCAAACGTCCGTCTTGGATTCATCGATCCGCAAAACGGCGGTCGAGCTATTATGGAACTCAGTCAGCAAGCGCTGTTCCTAGTGTGCAGCGTATGCGTGAGAAAATCGCCCACGATGCCGAAGCCCAGGGCCCGGCAACGGGGTCTACGGGGCAAGCAATATTTGCCGGGATTCATGACGAGCTGGAGGACCTCACGCCAGACGAGCGTGACCAGCTCGTTCAACGTGCTTTCCAACACGAGGCCCTGAGGGCGAAACGTCCTGTGGTATGGATCCCGCGGGATGATCTCGGGGTCAGCGATGATGAAGTCTATCGTACCCAGCGATTTAGCAAGCATGTATGGATTAGCAACGAGTATCAAGCTTTGGATGGCAAGTGCCGCCCGATCTTTAGCCGCAGTCCGCCGGATTTCTCGCAAGTTGATCTGATTCAGTTGTAGATACGGATGCATCGGAAAAATCAATGGTGTATATTAATTGACTGACAGGGAAATGATATTATGTGTCTTTTATAGCATGGTTCACCGGCGCGGGCTGGCGTTTTGGGATGAACTTTTCCTAGTCGATGACTGCCCGGGTACAACGTGGCAAGAATGGGTGATCTTTAGATGCGAAGCCACAGGAAATAAAGGAGACAGTTTACGACCAGTATTTATACAATCTGTAGTATTCGAACAAAACATATATCGCTGTCCAATCCAAATATAGCCACGCCCAATCCTAACCCATCCGACCAATAGTTACAATCCCAGACCCATCCTACTCCAAGTACCGATTCCCATCATATTAAACCCATGAATGGGATAGATCAATTAACAAGGAGCAGGCAAAGCCTTCCCATCACTTGGGGTATCAAACAGCTGCAACTCAGCGTTCCGACGCCTAACCAGACCTTGGGAAACCTTCCCACCGGCATGCACCCACTGGGGCAATTCCTCATGAGTAACGGCGATGATATCCTGGCCGTTATTTATACGCGAAACGAGTGAAGACGACCGCATGGCTCCAGCGCCGATATTGAAAGTCCAAGACACAAGAGCACCATACTGGTTGTCATTGAGGGTGACGGGGTCCGCGAAAGCGTTGGTCACTGTGTCTTGGAAGCCCTGTATATATCATTAGATTAGATTAGACAAAACTTACTAGCTAGGTAATCTTGGGTGATTCTGGAGCGAGGTTCATACCGTCAGATCATCCGCCAGTAACTGAGTGGCGGTTTCCTCGGTCAGAGGCTTCGGATAGGACACGTCGGAGCAGGACCAGTCGTTGCAGAGATGACCGTATCCAATGGTGGGATTGCCGTAGCCGTCATCGTAAGGGTTTGGGACCATCTTCTCGAAGCTCTTGAGGAGGTTGAGAGTTCCTTCGTTGACCTTGGGCCCGATGCAGGCGGCCGCGAGGGCGGGGATGAGAGCCACGAGAAGTTTGAAGGAAGCCATTTCGAGGGTGCTTTTTGTAGAGAAGATTGGATTTGTGTGTTGACGTTTGAAGATGAGTTAGGGAGAGGTTCCTTCGTCTTATGTGTATCTCTCTGAGGCTCCCTGGTTAGTTCAGTGGGGTCTGTTTCTAGCATAGAGTACTGTACAGATTCTATTCTGGGAATCATGAAGATCAACACTCATTGTTGGAGAATACGAGATATAAGGATCTTCGTGTCAGTTCAGCCCCATCTTCGCTCTTGACTAGCATAACGATCCTGGATATCAGCCAGAGGGTGGTTGGCATCGTATTCCACTGTTGTGTCGCGCTGATCGTCTCCAGTGATCCGTGTTCCTGCATCCTTGACGCTAGAATCGCCCCATTTCCCCTTGATCGTCGGCAGATACGAAGAACTGGCTGTCTCTGCCATTCAGAAGGGCTGAGGAACACGATGATCTGCATCATCTGCTATTCTTAGATCAACCATATATAACGTAGAACTGTGAACAGATGATGTTTCCGTTCACTAATTGAATGTGTCTTCTGTGAAGCACCGCAAAGTTGAAATTCACACCAGCTTTTGCACAATGCAGCTGTATCTGCGACCGTTTCTACTCTTCTCGTGCCTCGTGTCGGCGCAGACCGGCCAGTCTGTGTACAAGAAACGCCTCACTGGGGAAGATCTAGATACCAGTCAACGCTGGTCGGTGGCCGGCACGGATCTTGGGATTCCCTATGTGCTGGAGAACGGGGCCATAGGGTTCCTCTTTGGCGACACCTTCAGCACACAATGGCCCGATGATGGCCAGGGTTGGCGGTCTCCTATCATGCTGCGCTCAGCCATCAACCCCGGCGAAAAAGACGGGATAATCTTCGACAGTGCTGCCGGCGTTGCTGGGGATGGATTCGCGCCGGAAATCACCCACAATGGCCACCAAGGAGACGACGGGGCCGGCACTTGGGAGTACACCGTTATCCCGAACGATGGGATCGGGTTCAATGAAACAGGGGAGCAGATTGTCTCGTACATGAGCATCAAGGACTGGTCCAGTCCGTGGTCGACCAATTATGCTGGACTGGCGCATTCTAAGGACGGAAACACCTTTACTCGGTTGGACACCAAGTGGCTCAATGATGGCAACAACGCCGACCCGTTCCAGATGTGGACAATGCAGCGCGATGGTGACTGGGTCTACGTGTTCTCCGTGCGTGCTGGTCGCCAGTCGGGGCCCATGATGCTGCAACGAGTTCCCTGGGACAAGATGGCACAGAAAGACGCATATGAGGGTTGGGGCTGGGATGGCACGGACTGGCAATGGGGACGGCCTTGTTCGCCTATCTTAGAAGGGACGTTTGGAGAGCCTTCAGTACGCAAGCTGAAGGATGGCACCTGGGCCATGGTCTATCTCAACCTTAGTCGCCCGAGCCCTACTATTGTCTCTCGTACGGCGGCTGGACCGGACAAGCCATGGTCCGACGAGACAGTGCAGGTCACCTGGGAGCAGGAGGAATCTCTGTATGGGGGTTTCATCCATCCCTGGTCGACCTCCAAGGAAAATGAACTGTATCTGATGGTGTCCAAATGGTCCAGGGACCCCGTATCAAAGCATTCTACCGCATACCACGTTAGTCAATATGTCGGGACATTGTGAACGTGTTAATATTCCAGAGAATTACCTGGCTAGCAAGCTACTCCAGTAGGATTTTATAGAAGCAGGAGGGGTCTGCTGGTACGGCCTGCTTCAGAATGTGACAATTTATTCATTTTTTTGTTTTTTTGTCTTCCCATTCTAAATCTTCTTTCTAATCCATGAATTTGCACAAAGGCAGTCGGTATTTCTCAATCCTCCAATATGGCCGGCGCACGCCGTTCCATTCTTCCTCTAGCGTAGGCACCTCAATCTCCTCCCACTCAACGTCAAATCCCGCTTCGAACAGATCCATTTCCACCACTTTCTGGTAGACATCGTAGCTGATCTGTCGGTCCGCGCCCATGCCGTTGAAAAAGCCCCATTTCCCCTCCTGATCGAGCAACCCAATGACTTGCTCGCTGAAGAACTCCCGGAAATCGCTGTATGACTCGGCAAAGGTATCGTAGTAGATGGCATCGAACTGTTCGCCTTGTCCCACCAGGGTGGGGAGAATATCTTGCCATCGGCCCTCGTGGATCTGCACCCCCGGCTTCTCGTGCCAGCCTTTTCGTTTCATCTCTGCAACGACATCTGGATGTGCCTCGATGATGTGATGCGAAGCAGGAGACTGCTCCTGCAAGAACCCGTCCACGATACCCATACCGTGGCCGACGTTCAGCACACGCAGTCCAGGTGCTGGGAGGATCTTCGTTGCGGATTTCGCCATGATGTCTGATTCCCAAGCCATCATCACGCCATTCTGGTCTTGGTCCAGCAGTCGGTCCCCCTGGAAAGTCAAGTTGGAGTCCAGATAGCGAGAGCTTGTCACATCTGGCCCAGTCCCTTCTGCTACCGTCGAGGTATTCCGAGTCGCATCGACCAATTGAGGCACCGATTGTTCATCGGCTGGCGCCTGCTCCTCCTGTGGATTCTCTGCGCTCTGGTCATCATTGTCCTTCTCCTCACCCTCCTCATCCTCATCCATGTCCGAGAGCTGCTCATAACCGTCTAGCCGGTTGAGAAGGAGCTCTGCTCTGACTCCCGCATCCACAATCATCTCGTACAGCTCTTCTTTCCCAATGCGCTTCGCAATACACCCAGGTGTTTCATTATTCAGGTCCAGATCATTCCAGATGGCACCCTCTTGCAGAAGGAACCTGACGGTATTCACGCCAGAATCCGCGTCACTCTTCTCTTCGCTTGGCTGAACCCCATTCGAATGAACGCCATTCGGTTCCTCGTTCACGGGCTCTTCATCGTTAGATTCGCAAGCCGCGATGGCCGCATGGAGCGGAGAGTACCCCGTTTCCGAGTCCTTGACGTTGGCAGCATTAAGGGCAGCCTCGTTGGATCGGATCAAGCGGCGGAGCTTGGGAATGTCATGTTGCGAGGCGGCGAGGAGGATTTCTTGCACTTCGAGATCGACGTTGATTTCGGCGGTTGGGTCTGCCATGTCTGGTAGATGCATCATTAATTAGTTATTCATCCTTGGGAAGATTTTGAGTCGATACTAGGGCGGGGGACTAGAGAGCATGGAGGTCGACACCTACCGAGTGCGCTGAATTATGAAAGGAATGGCAAGAAAGTTGATCAATCTAGATTGTCCGTGACAGCCAGCGACACAATCCGGGGCTGATGTTGCTGGAAAGACGCAGGATGGATGAAGCGCCGAATATAAAAATTTCCGCCCGCCGCTTTCGTCACCGCACAGAGAAAACCGCTTTCCGGTGAGTTTCTACGTCGAGATGAACAGCACGACAACAGCAGTGGGAGAAGAGAAACAATTCGCCTGGTTATTTCGACAATCCTAAGACAACTGACTATTTGTACAAATACCCTATCTCACTCCTTCCTCCCTCGATCGCCCTTTCTAGGGCGCCATAGATAGCGCTGGTAAGAATGACACCACTGCGTTCCATTAAGAAATCAAAAGAGAAGATGCTACCGGTGTATCGACTCCTTTCCTCATACAAAGGGATTCTGGTATTTATTTCGTGTCGCTGGAGACCGCGTTGTTGACGTTCAAGCCCAAGCCCTGGGCATCCAGGTACAGCTTGTTCTTGCCACTATTCTCCTGCAGAATCTGGGCAATTTGACGTGCGTTCTCGATCTTTCGAAGCTCAACGTAACTCTTGCTCTTCTTGATCGCATCGCCAATAAGCTCGGCGGAACGGGCCTCACCCTGGGCCCGGACAATGAAAGCCTGCTTCTCTTGACGGGCCTTGTCGACCAGGAAAGCCGCTCGCTGGGCATCTTGCTGGGCGACTTGCTTGGCCTCGACAGCGGCGGTGAATTCGGGCGAGAAGGTCAGATGCTAGACAGGACGGAATGGCATTAGTAAGATCCGGGTGCTATCGAGTTCAAGTGCACGTAAAATCATACCGTAAGCGATACATCATCCAAAGCAATGTTGAACCGGGCCGCTCGACGAGCCAGGTTTTCTCGCACCAGACGTGCGACATTCTCTCGCTGGGTGATCAGCTGGCTGGCGTTGAACTGTGCCACCACGCTCTTCAGGACCTCATTAACAATCGACGGAAGCACTCGCTCGTCGAAGTCTTTTCCGAGAGTACGGTAAATTTGCGGAAGAGCATCCACGCGGGGTCGCGACAGAACACGACAGGTGATGTTCACCATCTGCAGGTCCTTGGTGCCAGTCAGGGAAGCGATGTTCCGCGGCTTCGCTCGCACGTCATAGACAATCGGCGTTTCGATCCAAGGGATGTTGATATGGGTTCCTTAAGGGACAAAAAGTGGTTAGATAGTTTCTTAATGATCGTTTACGTAAATTTTTCTTTCATTTGAAGAAAAAAGGGTCATACCTTCGTTGTAGATTTCCTTCTTCACACCACCGATTCTGGAGTATTTGATCGCACGATGGCCACCGTCCACTGTGAGCCGAGCCCTGTTAGTCGTTCTTCCATCACACCAGATCATCGACCATTATCAAAGACTATGCTTACCGTTGAAAAGCGCGTTCGACGCAGCGTATCCAAGAAGACCGATGGCGATGACGGCAGTGAAAAAGCCACCCGACCTTGGGTTCCCACCGGAAGGCATGCGGCCAAAACCGAATCCTCCACCACGGCCGCCGGCCCTCTGCAGGATAACCTGGAGCCTTTCCCACTGTTCCTTTGGTGACTGAGACATGATGGCGGTGGTGGAAGAGAGAATGCAGGGAGTGAGAGTCTCGAAGGTGAGAGTCGATCGCAGCGGCGGTTCTGCGGCTGCGCTCACCGCCTTTGAAATAGGTTCATTTGGGATTCATTTCGCTCATTCAACGCTTTGTTCTCCATAGCTTCGTTCATCCACGTCAACCATCGGGTCTGTACGGGACACTGCGAATTATTTGGTCTGGAGGTGATATCCAGAAATACAAGGAAAAGAAAGAGTGTAGCAAAGAGCACGATCTTTCTTCCTCCCCCCATTCCGCAACAACGACCCCTCTTCACCGACTAGAGAGAGCTTGATTGATTCGGTAAAAGACCTTCGGATACCTCAGGATTGCAGTCATGGCGCCGGATAGAACAGGGAAAAGTGTTTTTCTGGGGAATATCCCCTACAGTATGTTTCCCTCCTCATCACGACCCGCTTGTAGCACTACTAACCCATGCGATAGACCTCACCGAGGAACAGGTCAAAGACATCCTCAGCACTGCCGGCACGGTCACCAAATTCCGCCTGATGATGAACCCAGAGACTGGCAAACCAAAGGGGTATGGGTTTGCCGATTTTGCCGACGCCGATGCAGCGGCCTCGGCGGTGCGAAATTTGAACGACTACGAGATCATGGGACGCAAGATTCGGGTGGATTGGCCGCATAACAACGAGAAGGATTCGGTCCCCCCCGATTATTCGCAAACCGGGCAAGCTCCCGTGCAGCAGGATGGTCAGCTAGGAGGTCAGCAGTCATCAGTTCCTCTACCACCCCTGCCTCCTGGGGTGGATTTGCCTCCCCACCTGGACTGTCCGAATGCGATCTCTCAAACCCTATCCTCCCTTCCTCCAAACCAGTTACTCGATGTTCTCTCTCAGATGAAATCGTTGGCAGTCGCGGACCCCGCTCGGGCTGCCGAACTTTTGCGACAGGCTCCCCAGCTCGCATACGCGATCTTCCAGGCATTGCTTCTGATGAACCTGGTGGACTACAGCACTCTAGGATCGGTAGTGGAACAAGCGGCGCAACCTGCAGCTGCCATTCCTCCTCCCGCAACGCAGGCTTTCCAACAATTTTCAGCCGTCCCTGGTCAAGTTTCGACGCCTCCCATGGTCAATACGCCTTTTACTCCTCAGCCGGCATCTCAACCCACACCACAACCGCAGATTGCAGGCCAAGAAGAGCTCCTCCAGCAAGTGCTCACCATGCCTCAGTCAGCCATTGATGCCCTCCCCCCTATGGAACGGAGTCAGATCATGCTACTACGACAGCAGCTGATGCAAGGTGGGATGCGTTAGATGGAGGAATCTCTTGCAGATTATTGGGCGTTGTGATTTTGCATTGGATAATAAACCCTCTTCTTCTTCTTTCTTATTTCATTGCATTTTATCTTTATTGTTTTCCGTTTCTGTTTTGGGGACAGATGGAATGGCGCACATGGTTCTCTTGCGATTGACTCGGATGTACACTTAGACACGTGGAAGATATCCCCATGGTTGGTTTTTTTCTCATACGGAGCATACAAAATTGTCCACGTACTTGATCAATCACATTGCCTTCTCAGCCCATCTCTTGCAAGTTCATGTCACTAGAATCTGTATTTTCAGTACTGGAGGGCCCGCCTTGGTCGGATTGCGCGACCACCAGATTCTTCCAACCATCGCATCATTATGATGGCTACATTGTACAGGCACCTCATCAATTGCTACGGACTACGACCATCGATTATCTGGCATTTTCATAGGTCAACCAATCACCACGATCCGATCAGAGCTGAAGATGCGAATTGGAGGCAAGTGTGAATAACAGCGACACGAGCCAGTCACATTCGCGTACAGTACCTTGTTGCAGGATCTCCCTACCTAGTATTCTGTTTTCTCTCCCAAGTATGAGATGAAAGTCTATTCGAAGCATTGATATCCTTTCATAGGCGTTAATACTGGCTTTGGATGTAGTGCAGACTTAAGCACGGACCGAGCAACTTCTCTACAAGCCAGACTGCTGCAACTTACACAGGCCGGTGTCCTTGTTTTTTATTAGAGATGAAGCACTGCAAGTGCGAACCACCGATTTCTTGGACGAAAGAACGGCTAGGGCTTGTCAATGATTGCGTTCCATGCTGCATTGGCCAGTAGATTGGCCCTCAGAACAAGACCTTCTTCTCATTGATCAGCAAGTCACAACTGAGCTCAATTCCTCATGTGATAACCAACTCGTGGATAAAAATAAGACGGCATCTTCCATGGAGGCAATTTCCAAGCAGTTTCAATCACATCCGCCGCATGGACAAGGCACGAACGTTGGCTTACTGCTGTTCTCTCAGGCAACAAAGATGATTGACCCAGGTCTGAATAACGGACTCCCTACAAATCTTGTCGCCCACAGTCCCAGCCTCTCCTTCACCATGAAAAGGGTCCATATCAACATTGTCCCATACGTGGCGGAATTAGCCTATCTCGCGAACCTAGTGAGATCATACGTCCAACCAGCTGAAATGCATAATCAATCCATCAACTCTATGGCATTCATCTCCAGTCGCTACACCATGCAGGCCATGGAGATCGTATTTCTCATATGTGCGTGCGCCTATACGTTACTTGCCAGGCCGTGGATCTACGCGTCTGGCACCTGACATTTCTGAGAACCTCCGACCTCAAATACAGACGAGCACATCGGAAATATTCTCTCCATATCTCTCCGACCCGGAACTTTCAAAAGTAAGAGGCGCCATATCTGACAACAATCGCAGCGACCTGGCCTGCAACAACCTGACTTGACATCTCAGAATGAATCAACGCCGTCATCAAAGACGCACTACCCAGTCTGGAACACAATCTCAAATCGCTCCAGGGGCCCAATCTTTCCAGCCATCGAGAGATATGAATATCTTAACATCATGTATCTCAGTAGTACCGCATACAAAGATATTCCAGAGCCCTTTACTAAGCTTCAACACACCGGAGAGCTCCTCGGCACCGGCTCAAAAATCCTGTACCAGGCAGTCCAACATGAACTAGGAGCACTCCACGTAGGCTTCGTGGAACATCCCAACAGCAGACGACGAATATTTAAATTGATGTCCAAAGAAGACAATAGGGCCATTGGTTGCAATCATCTACGAAGCGATTCGCGACGTTCGACTATTGAGTCCCTAGCAGCGTTTGCCACTGACACTTCATCAGCTGAATATCCTGCAGTCAGAAAGGCCGTAGATGTAAATGGTTTTATGAATGGGCTAGATTATATGTGGAAGTATCTGATTTGCTTGGTGGGATTCTGATATGGAAAACAAGTCTGAGTTCCAGTGGGCGTGGACATTGGGTGTTAAGCAGATGGTATTCTTTATTCTTCTACTTGCAAATTGCACTTCTATGGGTACACTGTTTTTGTTGCTAAATAGGAGTTATTCCTTCTTTTGTACCAAAGTTACCAATAAAATTGTATAGACCTTGATATCCAACACTCTAATCTATAGCTTGTTAAATAACAAAAGACAAAGCCTCAGACTAGCTGATTCTAAAAGTCTTTGAAAGAAATTAACACTTAGTGGTCCAGTGAAAGCAAACCTCAAGTTCCAGTGTCCTGTAGTCCAGAATACTAGTGTCTTTTCCAGTGACTGAACTCTACACTTTTAGTACAAAGATGCACGATTATTTCCTACAGACCATTCATTCACTAGTTAGCTCTTGTTTACCTTTGTTATTTTATATTTCTCCCCCTTTTATTACTGAATTTTTTTATTTTCTTTTCTTTTCTGTTTCTTCCTATTCTGTTTATGTACTCTCTTCATGCTCGTCCATATTCCACGTGATCTCTACGTGCCCTACAGTCACTTTGTTTCATACTCCATAATATTGTGATTATTTACTCAATTTCTTTAATTATACCCATCCTGTCTTCCCAAAGAATAAAAAGGAAGATTCTTTTTGCATAATGCCCCCAAAGAGAAAAATGACCACTCCCGCAGTCTCCACCCGTCCACCAAAGAAAAGCAGACGAGGCCCCCGACCCATCCTGAGCCCAAACGGCCCTGAATCTTCCAGTGCTCTTCATAAGGCATTAGATAATCTCCATGATCCCGATGATATCCCAGAGCTGGTCAAGTCCCGACCATATTCGGGTCCAAAGACACTGCGGACGCAGCTTGCGCTAGGACTTCCACCGATGTACAAACTCAGTGACATCTATCACTCGATCACAAGCAGGGCATTAGAACTAGGTCTTGATGATGTTCTGTCTCATCTTGGATCACGACAACTACGCGTGGTGACGGTCTGCTCGGGGACAGAGAGTCCATTGCTGGCATTGGAAATGGTGCAGGAAAGTAAGTGGCGCTACTGGTCTCGTCTCTTATCTTCTCCTCTTGTTTCTTGCGCATGAGCAGCATTCGTCTTTGGCTTTCGTGCTGACAAGAAGTAGATCTCAGAAAACACTTCGGTAAGAACTTTGAGTTCCGTCACCTCTTCAGTGCGGAAATTGTTCCCTTTAAACAGGCCTATATCGAGAGAAACTTTCATCCTCGATTTATCTTCCGTGATGTAGGTGAGCTTAAGGATCGTGTGGCGTATGTATTTCCTCTTTTGTTTTATTCTTCCTTCTCTCTCTGCCTTCCCTCCCCGGATCACTTCATTTCCAATCTAACCGGCATACTAGCCAAACAGCCTATGGCTCCTTGGAAAAGATTCCCAAGAACGTTGACCTCTTGGTTGCTGGATTCTCCTGCGTTGACTTCTCCGGTCTGAACAACAGACGGAAGACCTTGGACGAAAAAGGTGAATCTGGGGGCACATTTTGGGGAATTATCCGGTACGCGAAAACCTATCGACCACGGATAGTCATTTTGGAGAACGTGAAAACTGCCCCCTGGGAAAAAATTGGTCAACATTGGAACGAAATCGACTATTTTGCTGTCCATATTGATGTAGATACGAAGGCATACTATTTGCCCCAGACCCGGGAAAGAGGGTATATGTTCTGCATTGATCAGAAACTCATCGAGGGACATGGTCTTTCGAAAGACGACTTGCTCGAATGGAAGAACTTGGTCGTCAACTTTAAGCGTCCTGCTAGCTCGCCGGCTGGGATGTTCTTGCTCAATGCGGATGACCCGCGATTGGAACAGATTGAAAAAGACATGGCTGTTCGTATCGCGGCGTCGTCTACAAGGGCGACTATTGATTGGTCAAGGTACCAGGTTCGTCATCAGAACTATCGTCTGAGCCATATGCTTGGACACAAACATCCAGTAACTAGGTATCAGGATAATGGTACCTGTCAGATGCTCGACTTTGCCTGGCACACATGGATCAAGTCCATGCCCGAGAGAGTTCTGGACACAATTGATGTTAACTTTCTGCGCAAACTTTTGGAAGGGTACGATATGAACTATAAAGAGTACGCTTCGCTAGGAAAAGAGAGATAATATAGTTCATGCTGACTGAAATATAGGAGATACATCGAACTTTCTCAAGGGCTAGATCGAGAGCTGGACAACCGTGCATATGGCATCGTTGGCTGCATCACACCCTGCGGCCTACCATACATCACCACGAGAGGCGGCCCGCTTTGTGGTATTGAGTCTCTCGCTTTGCAAGGGCTACCGTTGGACCGACTGCTTCTGACGCGGGAATCACAGCGTGAGCTGCAAGATCTCGCAGGTAACGCCATGAGCTCAACCGTTGTCGGCGTCGCGATCCTCTCCGCCTTGATAGTCGGATATAAAGTTTTCAAGAAGGAAGAAAGAGCATCTACAGTCAAATCCGACCGCCACAGGTTCCAAAGTGTTATTCCCCAGGATGACTACAACCTAGTTCCAAGCAACATACAAGTCGGCCAGTTCGTTGACCTAGACATCCGCGATTTTGGAGAGCAAGCCGCACGGAGCGCAAGGTACTGCATGTGTGAGAGACAGTCTGCAGTCCGACACAGTATTTTGAGATGCACTCTATGTGCTCATACAGCTTGCTCAGAGTGCAGTGGTAATCCCACTCATTTGTATGAGCGCTGGGTGGATTTAGTACGAAGCCCGCCTTTGGATTTTGTTAGTATTCTTCGGGGAATATTGCCGGCAAGGTTGGTAATGTCTGGCATATCCCGGAAAAGTTACGATGCTTTCAGAACGAATTCATCACTGCCATGTCCCCCTGCTGTCTGGGATCAGTTCTTGCAAGCTGTAACACGGACGATTGGAGACGAGCTGCGTTTCTTGGACATTAAAAGAAGTGAGGTTTGGACCGCTTCTTATGAAGGCAAGCATTCCGTCCTCAACCTTGTCATCGAGCCACCAGATAAAGTCAACTGGCTGTTCTTTGCCAAAGCATCTGATAGAGATCCTGCTGTATGTGCCAACCGTGAGATACTGTCAAAGCCAATTGCACGGATGACGCCTATACCCGGTTGCTTATTGCAAGGTATATGGCAGATATGCTCCCCTGTCAGCTCCAAGTGCACGCTGCAGTTTCATGGGACAGGAAACCGAGTCCAATCCTATGAAAGAAAATGTGGCCTAGAAAAGGCCAGCTGCAGGACATCCAAGTCTTTTTTAAAAATCGTCATTCAGGGCTCTGACAAAGACGTGAGCGAGCTTGACGTCGATATTCGGGGAACATACAGTCTTTTACCTGACTGTGATACAGCAAGTGCATATTTGCACAAAAGAGAGGCGGACAAACACGGCCCTGTCGTGTACCTGTTTTTGGATCCAAGCAAACTTGGAGAGCCGAGAAATGACTCTTTTGTATTCTCGTTGGAACATCGACGTAACCCTGGATACGCACCACGACTAACTATCGCCGAAGTATCCCACAAGTGGCGTTCTGGAACGGTTCAATCTGAGCCGAGATATGTCAATGTTTACTACCGTAAATGGATTGGGATACAAACAGCCACCTTGCGACCCTATGTTCCTAAGGATCCCATCACTTGCTATAATCTGGAGCCTGGGAGTACTGTATCGATCACCCATGCTGATTGTCATAATGCGAATATTACTCTGTTATCATTTGCAGCTCCAGCAGACACTTTTGGCTCAATCCAAAACAAGGGTCCATGGGAGGTCAGTGACCCTCTGGACTCGCAATCTTGGCTGCGAGACTATTCCTGGTTGTTGCAAAAAGCATGCAAAATTTCCGGATTTGAAGATTGGAATATAGTCGTCGAAGGGCAAGCACTTAAAGTAGTCGGCTGTTCGGCATGCACCACTTGCGTGCCACCCAAGCCACGGCTACTATGGGGCCGTGATGGAAGGGGATGGCTCAAAGCGTACGAAGATCCTCACGATGCAGCCTTGTATGAACGTCAGTATAAAGCACGGCCTCCCCCTTTCTTGATATTTCGTCGAATCGATGAACATGGCTTTGGAAGCTTGCGCATCACTCTCAATATTCAGAGCCTTCTGCACCAGGCATACAGTAAGCTCATTGGGCCGAGTACCACAGGTAATGTTTCTTTTCATTGGCGATTGATTCCAAATGCATACGATTCAAGGAACTTGGTGTTCCCTAAATTCGACCTGGACAGCAATAGATCCGACTCCCAGTCCAGCCAGCCCCCGAGTTTCTTGCTCAAGCTGCGACCTGAACAGCTTCGCTCCTTGTCATGGATGATAGTGCAAGAAAGTGACGACATCGAACCTTTTGTAGAGGAAGAGACAGAGGAGGCTTTGCTATCACAGCTGATGTGGCGTGCAGAAGCAAAAGTGAGCGTCCAAAAATGTGTTCGTGGAGGCGTCCTAGCAGATGACGTTGGATACGGGAAAACAGCTATCGTCCTCGGTTTGATTGACGCGCAGTTTGAAAGGGGAAATGCATCAGCGCCGGAGCCCACAAGAGGATTTATTCCTACAAAGAGCACGCTCATTGTGGTTCCTCATATCATGCTGCCGCAGTGGCAGTCCGAGATCACCAAATTCTTGGGAAGCAAATATAAAGTTCTGGTTTTTTCGACTGCCATGGCCTTCACCAAGAAAACAATTCGTGATATTCGGAACTCGGATATTATTTTGGTGTCGTGGAATATCTTCAATAATGCAGGTTACTATCAAAAGCTGCAGAGGTTGACTGGTATGCCACGGGTTCCAACGAAGCCGGGTCGCAACTTCGATGATTGGTTTTCGGAAGCCCAAGCATCGCTCAAAGAACAGGTGGAGATCCTAGTGAATCAAGGTCCCGATGCTTTCCTTGAATCATTGCGTGCCAAACGCCAGAAAGTCAAAGATGAGCAGGCAAATTATACTTATGTTCCGTCAAAACGGTTGAGAGGAAAGCGATATGCAGAAGCCAAGATGCACGAAGAGCCTAGCACAGAGACAGGGCTGCCATATGCCGATATATCCAGTGCTGATGAGAAGTCTGACTCAAGCGATTGGGAAGATCCGGACACTCTTCGGTCCAAGGTGTCCCGTCTCTTAAAGCTTCAGCCTATGAAGTCATTTGCTCAGGGATCTGTCGGTGTGAACTCAGAGGAAGAGGCGACTGAATATGAGGACTCTGTAAATTCCAATGCAAAGTGCAAAGGCACCAAAAGACAGCCTGGTCGGTTAATAGTTGGCAAGAGAAAGGCAAAGACTTGGGATGACCGAAAAGAATTCAACATAAGCAGGGATGAAAAGAACCAGGACTGGGAGATAGTCAAAACTCCTCTGCTGCATATGTTCTCCTTTGACCGTCTTGTCATTGACGAATTTACATATGCAAATACTGAGAGACTTGGGCCCCTTCTGGTGCTACAGGCTCGTTCCAAATGGGTGCTTTCTGGCACGCCTCCTTTAAACGATTTCGCTGATGTCAAATCCATAGCACCGTTTTTGGGCATCCATCTTGGTGTCGATGACGATGACCTGCATTCCCAAAATAAACGTCTCAAGGCTTTATGGAAACATAGGTCGGATGCAGAAGCATTCCAGGCCTTCCGAGCACCACGAAGTGAGGCATGGCACCGGCATCGTCATGAGCTTGCACAGATATTCCTGAGCCGTTTCGCACGCAGAAACATTGCTGACATCGACGAGATTCCGTTCACAGAGCACATCATTCTAGTGTCTCAATCCCCAGCAGAAAGAGCAATCTACCTCGAGCTCTATAAACAGTTGATGACCTATAATCGTCAGATGCGCCGTGGCAGAAGAAAGTTCAGTAGCGACCAGGTTGAGCGCCTAGATGAAATCATTGGCAGCAGCAGAACTCCCGAAGAGGCGCTGCTCAAGCGCTGTGCATCTCTTGCCCTTCATGGTCGGTGGGACAGTGGGAAACCCGAGGCGACAACTTGCAAGTCTCTCATTGAGACGCGACGGGCGCAAATTACTGCTCTTGTGGATGAATTTCTCATGAAGACTAAACTGGCTGCGTGGCTCTATGGTGAACGTGATATAAGGCATGATAATTTCCACAAGTTCGTCGAAAGCGTATTGAGACACGATTTTGGTGACGAAACTGTGACAACAAAAGCCTATGCGTTTCTTAAATATGCGGTCCTTAATCCCAAAGACGATGACTGGAAATTTTTCTTCGCCGACCCCGATCACACTCCTCTGAGAAAGGAGTCCGAAATAGAGGCAGTAACGGAGTCCATGGCCGAGGATCAGGAGGTCGATGACAGTGTCTCTTATTTCTCTGGCTTAGAGAAAGAAGCAGAGTCATCGGAAGCCAATGAAGACATAGGTCAGGACGATGGGTGTAGTGCCAAACGAGGGGATAGCATGAGACAGGGCATGCAGAAAACTCGCAAGAGCAAAACCGACAAGGATGGAATGCCGGCACTTCCAAATAAGCCAACCAGTATAGACGAATTAAAAGTACTATTGCAAAAAGCAACAACAGATATCCGCAATTATATCGTGGAGTGGGTTATGCGCACACGGGCTCTCAGGTTCTTGGAAGCAATGCATCTTGCACAGACTGGCTCAGATATAGAGTGCAGCAAGTGCCAGGGAAAGCTCCGCACAACACATGGCATCAATATACTCGGTTCGTGTGGCCATACACTCTGCATAAAATGTGTTCCGGGTGTCCTCAAAAAAGAGGAGTGCATAGTTGAAGGGTGTCGTGGCTCCGGCAAGAAATTCAACATCATCAATGGGTCCACACTTGGACGCTATGAAAACGATAGCAGTGCCAAATACGGCGGTAGCAAGATGGACAAGCTCATCCAAATCATCCAGAGCGTTCCCACAGATGAACGAGTCCTTCTATTCATCCAGTTCCCCGAACTGGTGGAAGTCGCGTGTATGGCGCTGGATCTGGCCAGAATTAAATACACGGCAATATCAACTACCGGCCGCAAGTCAGCGCATAAAATTGAGGAATATCAGAAGAATGGCCTGGGGGAAAGTAGGGTCCTGATTTTGAATCTGGGGAGTGAAATGGCTGCCGGATTGTAAGTATAGCCTGCACCGTCACTGCTTATGCTGGCCTGTTAAACTAATAATCCGTTAGGAATCTTCAATGCGCCAACCACGTTATTTTTCTCTCCCCCATGCTTGCAGAGACCCAATATGACTATGACTCCACTATGACCCAAGCTATTGGAAGATCTCGGCGGTACGGGCAGACGAAACACGTTCACATCTACCACCTCCTGGCAAAGATGACTATTGACGTGAATCTCTTCCAAGAACGCCGAGAATCGGTCTTGATCGAGCGCAATGGCGAGCCTATTCTAGTATCCCGAGATTTCGATTTTGACTCCGAATCGATCAGCTGTCAGGGTCCGTCGTTGATGATGGATAATGTTGTTTGAAATGTACTTTCTTGATTCCATTTCAATGAATTGTTTATCGGCTTCTGAAATATGAGAATGAGTAGCGCTGTTACACTATCTCGGACCAAACCATCTCACACCGCAAGATGCAAGTTCATGATAATTTCCTGATCTTGATGTTAGTAAACTCTGTAGAAGTGGAAAGTTTAGAAAGGGGCGGTTAATTGACTGAGCACATGACTTGCAGGGCAAAAATGAAAACCAAATCGAGTGCATTGGGTACTGATGAATAAACTATTCTATGGTAGATCGATTGTCTCCCATCACGTCCGATTTTCCCCCCTCCAAAGAGAAAACATGAGGAACACTGTACTGTACATAACCGACGCCTAGTGGCCCTGTTCCGTTACTACCAACCAGGAAATGAAACTAGAAATTGGAAGAATCTCCTTCGCTTGAATTATGATTCATCTTATATTTATTGCTGTTGCGCATCCAAGGCTCCATCCTTCCTCATCATCGTCTCTGGATCCCACACAGGCTCCCGCAAGGACGTGAGACCAGCACTATTCTCGCAGCTCTGTCTTCCACTCATGGGGCCTGGGGCAGGCACCTGTTTACCAGCATCAGTGGCAGTGGCAGATTCCTTAAGCGCGGTGAGAAGAGTCTTAATCGACTCGGGAGTGAGATCCTCGTAGTAGTCGTCATTGATCTGAACCATAGGGGCATTGACACAGGCACCCAGGCATTCGACCTCAATAAAGGTAAACAGTCCGTCTTCGGTTGTGTGTCCAGGAGTGATACCAAGGTGTTCCGTAATGGCTTTGACGATCTTATCACTTCCGCAGCCACCAAGCTGGCAGGGTGTCTAGAAACTACTGTCAGTAGGGGTCCGCTACGAGGTAAAGTCCGTTCAATGGCCAACAGGGGGGTGTAATTAAATAGAATACATACCGTTGTGCAGAGCTGAACAAAGTACTTGCCCACTGGCTCACGGTTGTACATAGTGTAAAAGGTAGCGACTTCGTAGACACGCATCGGAGGCATCTCGAGGAGGCGGGCGACCTCGTTCATAACGCTAATGCTGGTGTAGCCGTGCTGACGCTGGCCCAGATCCAAGAGAGGCATTACCGCAGCCTTCTTATACTGGGGAGGGTAGCGCTTGAGGATTTCATCGGCGAGTTTGAGGTTCTGCTCGGAGAACTTGAACGGGATGGATGGATTGTTGGTAGGCTTGTTGCGGTGCTGGTAGAGACGAGTAGTCAGCGCGAGGGATCCCAAACCACATTTATTCCCCTGCTATACAGTCCAAAACCAATTGTGATCCGCGTGATCCGCCACAGGACTTCGCTGTTGATATTCCTGAACATACCACGGCAAGGGAGTCGCTGCAACGTTGCGGACCAGCCGAGAACGGTCTGCATTGAGACTTTGGGACGCTCTGAAACAATTGACGGCCGACCCGCGGGACAGCGGGGAAGATTCTGGAAGCCATTGCTGGCGGCGGAGAGGGAATGAACTGGCTGAGGGAGGAAGTCGGCGATGATGAGACGAAGATGAACGATTCGGCTGCAATTGGAGTCGAAGAGGCGTTTTGCGGGTGCTGCGGTCAGCCAATCAGCGACAACAGATTACTCCCGCCTTGTGTGCCCGTGGCATTCCCAATCGGGAAGTCCTTCGCATACCTGCACTTGGCAGCATTCATCCAGTCTGATAGGATGTGCTTATAGAATACTACGGAGACAAAGTGCAATAGAACTACAACTGTCATGATATCTAGCTACCCCATCCGAAATCTGGGTATCACCGCTGAACAGAACCCCCTGGTTCATTCCCTAATCAAGAAGCAAGCACGAAAGCACCACCATAAGAAACGAATGGACTTCCTCCACAACTTCATTATCACCCTCAGTCAGAGATTTCACACATTCTCTATCTTATAGACCTCGTATCCAACCTCCTCATATGGATGAGCCGTGATCAGCGCGTCCACGGCGTGCAGCATGACGGACCGTCCCACGCATATCATCTCGACCTTCATCTCCTCCACATATTCCAGGGTTCCTACGGCACCAATGGTCGGATTGGCACCATCAGCAGGCATAAATTGTCCCTGACCAGGCGTCTGAAAACAGCACTTAGAATATTTTCCCCCGGGGAAGGTCCCAGCTCCAGTAGCGAATACCGCCTCCTTGACCGAGTCGAGGTGCGAGTGTGGCACGAAGAAAACAAGCTTATAGCGATCGTCGGCTGCATTTAAAGACATGACTCTCGCTTGAGAATAGATATAGGTCCTACCGGTATTTCTCAAGATACTCGAAGTGTGGGGAGGGAGGAAGCTGAAATGGAGGAGGGATCGTGATGCAGGCAAAATTCGACGCCCAAAATCCTGCGAGAGTTGCGTGATGGTACCGCAGCCTATAAGACGGACTAATGAGATAACAGGGTGCATTTGCTTATCGCGGAGGAGTCGAGAGTGTGGGACATAGTGTTATGAAGCTGGCTTGTCTGGGTCGTAGTTGCTTGGCAACTAAAATGTTAGTAATCTTGGTCAACTCAAGGTGAAAAGCAGCCTATACGTTCGACCTACTCACCATGCCTATTTCGAGAATTACTCGAATATATAGTGTCTTCGACACTGTCAATCTATAAGAGACAAATGTCATTTTCTATAGGTATCCTCTTTGTGATGAGTTGGTTGAAGCAAAAGATCTAGTTATATTACCATCTACATAAGCAAGAACTATATACAAAACCGGACATTAGACTTCATTAATCATTGGGCTTCATAGGACCATTAGATGCTTCTGCACGTGGGTATCGATATGCCGAAGTAATTCCAGCTTCCTCTCTCCATCGATCCAGCTCTCACTGACACTATTCTCGGCAATGACCCTCCAATCCTCAATCGACAACTGGAAAGCCTCCTGTACTGCGCAATAATTATCTAGTATATATCCTCCAAAGTAGGCTGGATCATCACTATTAATGGAAAACTTGACTCCTGCATCCAAAAACTTGCGAATGGGGACTTGAGCCACCGAATCCACGCAGCGTAGTTGGACATTCGAGAGAGGACAAACCGTCAACAAGATTCCCTCTTGAGCAACCCTCTCCATCAACACCGGGTCTTCCACAAGTCGGATCCCATGGTCAATTCGCTGCGCACCCAACTCCAACGCCGTACTGATGTAGGACGCATCGCCCTCTTCGCCAGCATGGGCAGTCAACCGGATCCCCCTAGCAGAGGCGGAGCTATACAGTTCACGGAACATGTCCTTGGGTGGCCCTATCTCGGTTGATGACCAACCCAAGCCGTGGACGATATCAGTATCGAAATGCTGGTGTACTAGTGCCTCTTCGTATACATTCGCAGCGGACTCGACAGGAAGGTGACGCACGAAACATAGAATGAGACGAGTAGTAAGACCCAGCTCTTTCTCCGCCCTCTTGCACCCTGCAACAAATCCGGAGACGATAGTCGCATAGGGAATCCCCCGGTCCCGGTGTACCTGTGGGTCAAAGAAGACCTCTGCGTGGTGCACGCCGTCAGCATGGGCTTTTTGGAAGTAGGCCCATGCTAGGTCTGCAAAGTCGGATTCTTGAAGAAGGACCGACATGCCGTAGAAGTAAAAACCGAGGAAATCGTCCAGAGATGTAAAGTGGCCGTAGCGTTGGGTGAGCGTCTCCACAGTCTCGTAGGCTGGATCCTTAGGGAGTTGAACACTGTTCCTCTCCGCAAGGTGGAAGATTAATTCCGGAGTAAGACATCCTTCCAAATGAACATGATGCTCGCATTTGGGAAGGCCGTGGAGGAAATCGTGAAGATCTGACTGGCACATTCTGTTCGGGGATAAAACGGCGGGGAAGTATCATAAACGAGTTAGGAAATAGAATTCAAATCAAGGAACGAAAGGCCCAGAGTCTTCTGGGGACATCGAGCAGAAAAGCACATTCGATCCAAGGTAGCTTCAGATGGAAAGCAGCGAGGTTAAAAACCAGACTATCGATTCTAACGATTCACGACCCACTTGACAATCCGATAAGCTGATGGATAAACGTCGGGGGGTTCCGACGGAAAACGGAGAAAGCAGGAGACTAGAAGGGCTCTGACCGATCAAATCATTTACATCACTCATTCCATTACTTGTCATACATAATAAGGATATTCTATATACGTGAGCACGACTAAACTGACTCATTATGATTACACCCGAAGTTCGGTTCCTGCGGCTTTCCGAAGTCGATTCATGACGGCAGCAGCCAGATCACCACTGTGATCAGAGATTCCTTCGACATAGATCACTTCCACGCCCATTTCATCCATGGCTCGCAGAGCCGAAAATAGTCGGTGCGCGATAGACTCGACGTCACCTCCCAGATGGCAGTCAAACGTCTCCTTAGTGGTAAGGCCTCCATTGACCTTGTCTTGCACGGGGACCGAGAATCCCACCAAGTCGTCGTGTAGTGAGGGAATAGGCTTCAGGGTCTTCTGCATCTCGTCGTCCGACAGCAACCTCAAGCCCTTCTTCCAGTGCCGAGTCCGCAGGATTCCAATCATATGAGCACCCACTGCGGTATCCTCCAGGTCCTTGCGTATACGCTTCGAAGCAGCCTGTTCGTCCGACTCGGCTTCAAAAAGCACCACACGCGCCTTGGGTGAGTAGTGACGGTACTTCATACCGGGCGCCCGGGGGACTTCCTTGACATCGAGCGTCCCATCATTATACCCAATCTGCACATTGTCCCACCCGGGACACGTCCGTAGTTCCTCGATTCCAATTCCTCCCGGTCTTAAAATGGTCGGAGGATGGGACAGCCCATCCACCACTGTACTCTCAACGCCCACCCCACAGGGACCACCGTCGAGTATCAGTTCAATTCGACCTTCAAGATCATTACACACATGTCCTGCAGTCGTCGGAGAGGGTTTGGTAGAAGCGTTAGCCGACGGAGCCGCAAGTGGTCGGTCTGCGACGTGGATCAACAGGCGAGCCAGCGGAGACGAGGGCATGCGGACGCCAAACGTAGTCAGGTTGGAGGTGACTTCCTTTGCGAGGATCGATCCCGAGGGGTTCGGCAAAAGAATCGTGAGAGGGCCTGGCCAGAAACGGTCAATCAAAGGATGGTAGATGGTAGGAATAGAGTGCCTCGCTGTCCTTGTTGCGCGTGTTGGACTAGTGTGCACCGGATTGAGGAGTCGCTCCAACATATCCAGCGAGTCGATGTGGACGATCAATGGGTTGTCCGAGGGCCGTTGCTTCGCCTTGTAAATCCCTCGCACCGCATCACTCCGTGTTGCATCTGCCCCCAATCCATATACTGTCTCCGTAGGGAAAGCAACCGGGATATCACTCGTCCGAAGTAATTCGGCCGCTTCTTTGATTGCGGAGGCTTCGGGAGATTTGCTGCTGCATTCGCTTTCCCACCACTCGGCAAGCGACCTGTCGCCTGGGCCTTCTTTATTGAGTCGACGAACCAACAGGATCCGAGTCGCTTCCCTGGGCGCCATAGTGTTGCTAGAATTTGTGAAGAACCTGATACAGCTGTGCGGACGGCCGCCAGCGACAAGGCGAGGGAAAAACAGAACCAGCTTGATTGGTATGATAATGGATGATTTCGATAACCGTAATCATCAAACAATCTCAAAAGGTGCAACTAGCTACCCCTATCTTCTCAGACAGAGAAGTGCACGAAAATCGTCAAGTCGCGGGGTGTTGAGCCAAGACTGAATGCGAGTAGAAGGCCAAGTTGGGGGAAAGGAGGACAGTTGGGCGTCTAGTATATTATTTGTTCAATGGAGCCTGATGATATTGCCGCCTTGTCCCACTTGTGAAGAAATGAACTCAAGACCCGAGGAATTGCTGCCCGGAAAATTGTGTCGATTATTTGTCGCGAAGAAACCGAAAATCTTCACGATGACGTCTGCGGTTATGACTAAGCGATATCCTTTTGCGACACCCTCATGAGAAGATCAGAGTAGATACATGGTATAGATAGTACTGAAATCCAATGCCCCAGAGTAGATTTATCTATTTCTTCTTTCCTCCTTTCCCTCCTCCTTTGCCACCACCTCCTTTCCCCTTCGCTTTTCCATCTCCTCCTCCACCACCTCCGCTTCCTGTTCCAGTCATAATCCGCACTTTGCCAACAGGGACGGTGTTAATAATTTCAGTGTCCTTCCATGTCTTGAGTAGTTCTCCTTCCCGGGCACGGAGCTTCTCTGCAATAGCTCTAGGGATCCCGGCATCTTCAGCGTGCTCTTTCTTAACCTTTCCAGTAGTAGTTTCCGAGATCCATCGGCCGAGGATTTCCTTCACTGCTTTCCCCTTCTTCACTGTTCCGGGCTGCAATTTGGTTTTGTATTTATAACGGCCGAGCGCTGCCCACGGAGCGCAGACTGCGATAGCTGCAAGGATCTCGTCATCAGGATGAGGCGTTCCAACCAGTGCGGGAATCCAGTCGAGATCCGCCGCTTCCGCAACAGCGGTTTCTTCGTCGTAGTCATCAGCAGCTCCCTCTTCAAAGACAGCTTGTCGTTTTCGTTCTGCTTGTGCCGCGCGTTCGTGCTGGGCCTGGCGACGCTTCTTCTGCATCTCAGCTTCGCGCTCGCGCTTCGCCTTGGCCTCAGCTTCGGCGGCTGCCTTGTCTGCCTTTGCTTTATTGGCACCGAGGAGGCGAAGGGCTAACTCACGCTCCTCTTCATCCTGTTCCGCATACTTCGCTGCGATCTTTTTTGCCTTTCCCTTCTTGCCTCGTGAAGGGGCCTGCGTCTGTTTCTTTCCCACCGATTTAGCAGTCGTGCCATTGGTTGCTGAGTTCGAGCCCCCTTTTGCGCCTTTTTGACCAAGCTCCGATAATTCATTCGACTTTCCTTGCCCTGCTTTAGGAAGCTGGCCTTTCTGTTGCGATTCTTCTCCACTTGATGCAGCTAGGTCTTCTGCTGGCGTCTCTGCTTCGGCTCCTTCCTCTTCTTCCTCCGGAGTGACATTTTCTTCATTCGTAGATTGGTGTTCATCCTCGTCCAACTCAGCGTCCTTAGCATCCTCTGACGTATTTTCTGCAGGGGGCGCCAGCACGCGACGCTGTAGCGGATTCTCAGCAGGAACAGAGTCGGGGTCTTCGGGTTCATCATTAGAGACAGATCCATGCTCTCCCTCTTCATCTTTGGGATTACTAGCCTGTTCTGTTTCATATGACAGCATTGAATCCTGTTTAGCCTCTTGATGATGTTGAACATCTCCGGTTTCTTCTACAGCCGGATTTGTAATAGTGGGGGTTTCGTCGAATTGGTGCGTCTTGTGGTTTCGAAGACTCTCCTTGCTTATTTGGAACATCACGGCAAAGCCCAGCACAAGCTGCGATGGTGCAAGAAAATTCTTCTCGCCCTTAACCAAGAATTCACCAGTAGGAAGCAGACCACCGGCTTCAGCAGTTTTAGATACTTGGCTTGCATTGGTCCACCACGCCGACATAATTGCCTTAGAGTCCCACGCACTTGATGTCGCAATGCAGAGATTGCCTGCTTGCGAAAGAGTGCTGGGTGGGATTGGGGAATTTGAGTCTTTGGATCTGTTCTTCACAATCATGGGTCTAGCACCCTCTAGGTCTGCATGCACGAAGATATCACCTTTCTTTAGATGGCGGCGATAGAGAATCTCGCTCTGCATAGCATCGCGCCCACTATACGAATCAGAGCACGCCCAAATGTTTGATACGTTGCATATATGGCACTTACCCTAGGACCAAATATCCTTCTGAAGAAATGAAAAACAGGAATTTTTCAAACCAAAATGGCTTTCTGGCGGGTCGAAGGACCTGTTTCTCTTGTTTGAGACTTCGCTTCAGATCTTCTGTTACTTTCTTTTCATGGCTCTTCAAAGCTTTCGACGAAGATTGGGTGGTTCTCTGCTCTTTGGCTGCAGCCATTTTCTTTTGCTCGTAGTACTGCGTTGCGTTTGCCCATGGTGAGAGGCCAAGGTCAATATCAATGGTCAATACCTCCGGCGCGGCGCGAGACTTCTCAGCTTCATCATCCGATCCCTCAGACTCATCGCTCGAGAATAGGTCGTCGCCTTCATCTACTTCATCCCCAGCTTCTCCAAGGAGTAGTGTAATCGTATTCTCATACAACTTCAAAGGCAACTTGATAATCTGCGCGACGGGATTGCCTCTCCCCTGTTCCATCTCGATCAAACGTGCGATTTCTACCCAGTCCATACCTTGTGCAATCAAGCCATTTACAGCATCCATTGCCTCTTGAACCCGGTAGATATTGTCCTCAATGGCCCCTGCCTTGCGGATATGCAGCTCCTGAGTCTGCTTAAGAGCACCGATCTTTTTCTCGTGTTCTTGTCTTACTGCATCAAGCTTTCTCCTGGCCGTCTCTTCTCGTTCCGTAAGACGCGACTCTAGCCTCTGCACTTCAATCGATGAGAAATACTCGTCAACTGTTGCATTCAGCGAGGGGAATTCTAGGATTGTGACGCCCGGTTTCTCCTCGAATTGTCGAGGCCTGAAAGGATGGAAGTCTTCGTACAGAACACTGGGTTTGCCGGAGGACGTCGTCTCATTATCAGTCCTCTCTTGGGTATTGGACCGAGTGTCTGTTTGTGCGACAATATAGCCAGGATGACTCCGTTCGGTGGATAGTCGTACAGTTTCGCCCTGAGCCTCCTTTAAAACCCCTTCAACCTGTCGCAATAAACCCTCCTCCTGCAAGACCTGATCTAGCGGCGTAGTAGGATCGACCTCCTTGACAGCAAAAGCGTGATCGAGTAAAAGCGGCGGATACTCTGGAAATCCCTGAGACAATGCTTTGCGCAAAACATCCGCATTCTTTTTCTTCGACTTCTTCGGCGTGCCGTCTTCCCGCGCAAATAGTGCCTTTGCCTTTTCCACCGTTTCTTTGATCCTGTCCAGCGTGATCTCCGGAACACCGTTGTAGTTTTGCTTATTCGTTAAGGCATATTGCAAGCCAACACGAGCTTCCTCCCCTTCCGCAGCGGAAACTTGGCGGAACACAGCCAGCATTTTGTGCTCACGATCGGTGACGATGATGTTTCCTCCCGCGAAGAACTCCAGAAACATGTGGTACATGCCATCGCTGAAAGAGATATCGATGACCCGGTCGGTACCGATCTGCTCAATCGAGGTAATCCGGCGCGACTTGAGGAATTTTCGTAGACGAGTCACGAATGGAGAGGGTGCGGTGGCCGTCGGTCGCGAATATTGGGTAACATGGCATCGGAACCCGGAGTCGACAATAAATTGTTTGCGATGGTCAGGTTTAGCCAGTTTAAAGAGGAAGATTCTCTATGGAGACAGACGGGTTCCTCATTAATACTACTTCAACCTTTTGGAGGGAAAATTTAGACTTACCGACGAAAGATCGTAGATATTCGAGACTCGCAGATTGACCAGCTCCGAGGCGAGTTCCTGGGAGATGACCTGGTGGTACTGTGAATTGCCTGTTCCAGTATACGAGGAAGGGGAAGGGAACGTACCTTGACGTCCAAGGACGAGAATCTTTGCTTCATCTTCTAGATTCTAGGGCGGAAACTGGCTAGAGTCGAGGTGAACCTGAAAGACGTTTGGTCTGATCCGGAAGATAGATTCTGTTTTGACTCTAGCGATGTACCGGGACCTGGCGTGACGTATGCGGGGCCGATTTTCCATAGCATTCTATTCCACTGCAACTAGCGCGCAGGCCGTCGAGAAGTGATCGTGGGATGACAATCGTACAAATAGATCGATCTATAGCTATGATTACTGTGAATTAGAATTGCTGCTGATCTAGGCTAAAACTGTTATTTTCAGTGGTTATGGGAATTAAGCTTCCACGCCCGTAGTTAACATTTGATTGGGTCTCATCCAACCCATCTGAAGCCCAGCGTTCTTGCAGCGAAACATTAAGGTGTATCTCTATAGAATCATTGGGTCCCTGTAAGAAAGCAAAAGGGGAAAAACATGTAAAAGACATCATGAAAGAATGAGCAACACACAAATCACGCCGGGACCAGCCAAGATACGGAAAAATAGGGGAGAAAAAGATATCACAAGGGAAAAAAAAATGTGCATCATGCCGATACAAGACAAAACACGCAATGCCTCCTTGCACTGTTCTACATCTGTCGCAATCCCTCTGCCAACCGCCGCTTTCCAATCTCCCAGGCGTTGAGGAGACCTTGTTCCGAGAGATCGATACTCTTGAGATTGGGCGCATCGGGCGCAGGAGGACGGCTCACGCGAGAGGCGATAAGGACAGGGTCTGTCTCCAGAATGATTCCGTCGTCAATAATCTCATCAACAGCCAAAGCGACCAGGTCGTAGTTCTCAACGATTGTGCGCTTGTCGGTGGCGCCCCTAAAAGCAAGTCAGTTACGTACTGCATTTGCCGAAAATCAATATAGGTCGTACTTGAATAAGATCCCCAGAGCATCCCTCAATGACAAAACAACGTTGTAAAGCAAGACTTCATTCTCGTCGGCACCTCCCACCACATAGACCATCACATCGCTCTCCATCTTGAACACCACAATTCGGTTGTCATACAGGATCACGTCGCTCGTCTGCTTATTCGTCTTCTCAAGGAGACCTTTCTCAAAGGCCTTCTGTTCTTTGACGGTCGGATAGGGGTTTGCGCCGGGGTAATCAGTCGAATTGGGAGCAGTGCCGGCTGGGGGATGAGGTGCTGAGTAGTACTTGGCGAAGATGCGAGAGCCATCGTCGGCCGACATAAGAATGACGGCGTTGACGGAAAAAAGAGATAAAGAGCCAGGCATAATGGGCAACTGCTCTATAGGAAATGACAGAGTTCGTTGTGAGCGGCTGGGGGAGAATTGCAGACCGGAGGACTATTTACTCTCTACGTTGAAAGTTCGGGTGATGATGAAAAGGACACGAATGTGCGTGGCGTTTGGGTCACCAACCCGTGGAGTTTTCACGCGAGTGTCTCTGTGTTTTCTGCTATCCCTGATTAGGAATAGTGTCATATATTACACAGCATACACTGTACTAGTTATACCAACTCAAGAATATCCGCATGGCATGTACATAAGAATCGGCGATAAAAGGACCAGTATTTCCTTCTTTGCTTCTCTTTTTTTTTGTTTTTAGGATACCAGTTGCTTATATAAAACACTTTGACCCTAGACTTAACTCATCAGTTTCTTTGTTTTCCCAGTATGCCTCCGAAACATTCGATGAAGCGCACAGGTGATTTCGATCGGAACAATTTTGTTTAACCGGATGCGCCAGTTAAGTGCATTTACTGATACCACAAGGAGACATCTAAATTAGATAAGACATGATTTTGCAAAAGTACTTGTTCATTATATTCCCTCCTAAATGCTTCGTCCGTTATTGTTAAATCACTATTATAGGTCTGCGATGCAGCTTAAGCCAATATATATTACATACCTAGAAAGCCTGAGGATTCCATTTAAATTTTTGCAACATCAACACACCTAACTTGTGTTGAGGTGAGCGACCTGACCCGATCGAGTGATGTCAATGCTTAATATTCAAACTCGTACTCCAGGAGCCGGGGTAGTGATCGGGACCCAAAAACGCCTTAGAACTACCTGCAATTCCAAGAGCAAGCCTCATAATTCCGCGATAAATCAACTTCTTAAAGCCTGTCAAATTGGCATTCTCCGACCTGCGTCCTTTTTCTGTTCTTCTCTGGACGTAGTCTCTTCATCCATAATCAGTATTATCATTGACTTGTCTCGCACCTTGTCTTCTCATCTTCTGTTCTTCTGTTTGGGCCTTTGCTTACTGCGCCCTATTTGCTCCCTCTTTCTATGATGTAAGCGATTATTGTATTTTGATGCGCTTTGTTCCCGAATGATAGAGATCAGGCCTTTCGTTAAATGATGATAATGATGATGATGAAGAAGAATAATTTATTTGCCTCATGTAGCTCGCTTCTAAATACACGCTGCTATGCGGGAGTGTTGTCAGGCTTGCCTGCAGAGGGAAATGGATGTCAGAGCCCATACAACTCTTTCTGAGAGCCCAAAGATCAATAAAACGACGTGATTTCAATGATATAATAGGAAAGATCTAATCTTTCTAAAATCTATGAATAAAATTATATATTTATATATGTGTGTGTGAAGTTGCGCAACGGGTTGGTATAGCAAGCTTAAGTAAATATATCATTATTCTGATACATTGTCTAGCAAGTATGCATTATACATACTATATAGGTATTAGTAGAAAACAACACTCTATGCTATTTATTAAACATATTAATATTGGCTTTATTGGGTCTGGGGTGAGTGCAGAATAAGTCTCCAAATTGGACGAATGAATATGGACCTCTCCTAGGTAGTTCTATTTGTAGCATTGTTGACCATCTCACCGTAGAGTATGAGATAGACAGGCCAATCATCAGTCATATTCTTCATGATACTAAAACGGCCAGAACTAATCCATAGACGTAAAGCCATCCTCATCCTGGCTTGATCCAAACTACCCTTTCTTCAGCTGCCTGTTGGTCTCCGCATGATTTATGCCCGACCCATCCATCTTCTCCCAAGCCGTCCAGGAGAGACCGCCAATTATTAACATTGTCGCTTTAAACCACATATCTTCGACATCATAGAAATCCTCGATTTCTTTCTTATAGAAAGAAATTGGGCAATCGTTTCCTTCTAGGTTGCTGCTAACTAACTCCTCCCAATGCTCTGCAAGTCTAATAAGTGATCCTTTCAATGCAATCACGTTGCCGCTCCACTCCCGGCAAGCTCTGTATACTGCATGTTGTCGAAGTGTCAGAAGAGCACGCCGAAGTGTGTCAAGCTGGGTATTTTTGTCCCCACTGTTGAAGGCCATGTACAAGGTCTGTTCATCTGTCTCCACGTCTTCAGGCAGAATGTGAGGTGACATCAAATTGTACCTCTTTAATAGACTGAGATAGACCGGAGGAGAAATTTCCCCTTTGACAATATTGTAATGGGAAACTCATTCCATAGTGATTCACCGTATTTCCTGATCCATTCCAGCTCCCGTTGACCCACGGAACGAACATAGCTTGGATGGTCTTTCACTATGCATGGCCAAAATACCACTTGTCAACTAGGAAGAATAAAATAAGAGACTAACAAGGTCCGCATACCAGGTCAAGTAGAGTGCGCTTACCTCTCCAGAAGGTGAAATGAGCAGAAGCCTATACAAAACCGACTTTCATCATCTTCATGCGGCATTCCATAATGGTCAGCTGTGATGTGGAGGCAAGCAGTTACTATAGTAGAGGCTGCTATAAGAGCCAAAAGGGCCGAGAAAACCTTTCGTTCGATATTGACGAAACTGGTCTCCAGACGGACTCTTTCCTTTGGAGTAAGTTCAAACCAACGACGATCCAGTTGCTGCCCAGAAGTTTTCTCAATCAATATGTATTCGGTTCCCACAACATTGTCACTATTTGAAGAATAAGTATAAACCCGTGGCTACAGGTATACCTTTCGAACGTAGAAATTCAAGCGTTGCAACTTCACTTTCAGTTCCCAATTTTTTCAGGACTGTGAGCGAATATAGAACCTTGACTATAACCTCATAGCCATCGTCCATGTGAAGAACAAACGCTCTGTTGAAACCACCCTCTGCAAGTTCCCCTGTGTTAACTACTCGTTTCCTACCAATGGTACTCACGGCGATTATTTCCAGCGCCTTGACGTTGAATTGGACATATCTCTCTCCAAGGCGACGCGTCTCACTGTATAAGTAGCAGCTTCCGGAAGTGTAAGAAAAGAGATCCTGCTTTGATGCAGAGTCATCGGATGCAGCGGACAGCTGCCTTGACAAGCTGAGTGATGGGATATAGAGGCCTCTTCCCGGGAGCCCCCCGGGGGCTTAGAACATGGGTTAATGATAGGCTAGATTTAGAGAATAGCGTATGGTGGTAAGTGATGGAAAGCTTTTTTGGACAACAGCTGCCAGCATAACAAACCCTTAGCAATAAAATGACCCTGTAGGTTAGGTGGCGCCTGGCCATATTGAGGTTGATAACAGGTAATTATAGTATGCAGCTATATGGAGCCATCTAAATCTTCTTGTCTGAAATAAGATTACATTCTTTGATACTATTTCCCAGATTACGATATTTCGTGTAAAAAAAGGAGCCCACCTTTAGTATCCAGGAGGGATAACAACGATCACATCGACCATGTAAGATGGTAGGCTTAATTACCACTCTAGGGTCGGGTTGATAGAAAAAGTAGTTGCACTTGGAAGATCATTTAGTATACACATTCAAGCCCAAATCCACGACAACCAGAAAGCAACTATTATAGTAATCTATACAGAATGTTATCACTCTATATGGAGTATGTAGGTCATATGTTCATCAACGAGAGGGGGCATCAAAAATGGCCAGTAGATCATCACAATCAGTCTTCAGCATATCTCAACGAAAACCCAAGAATCATCCGGACAGGGGTAACAAAATAAGTTGCCAGTGAAAGTGACCAGCCATTATACGTCATAAAAATCAGCACCATAACGGGTAAGCCAAAAAGGTCCAAGCCCAACTCTATCATGATGTCCAGCAAAAGCCACAGGGTATTCAAACAAGACGGCATCCTAGGTGACTACCATGAACCCCTCGGCAAGCCCACAGAGCTCCAGTAAATGGGACACCTAACAATCGGGAAGATGCATCGAAGAATGGAGAGAAATAAAAACAGTCAAAGAAAGAGAAGAGAGCATGGACACGAAAGAAAGTGATCAACCCTGAGTGGCTTCACTCGAAGTTGGTCGGTTGAACCAAGGAATCCAGCTTGCTCGGTTTGCTCTCTTCCGGGCAGCCTCTTCTTCTTCGGCGGCTGCTTTGGTTTCGCTGACCAGCCGCAGAGGACGAAGCTTGCTCTGGGTCATGACCGCTCCAGTATAGTTGGTCATTCCGGAACTAGAGCGAGGCGAGCTGGATGTCGCTCCCGTTGAAGCGGTATCGGCAATTGGGTCACTTGTGACACTATCCGAGCTGCTGAGTCGGCTGTGTTCAGGCTGGCTGGATAAGGATGGGGCGCGGCCACTGCCGGACATATAACTAGCCCCGGAGAAAGCACTCTGACGAGATCCAGGGCCCATCAGAGTGGGACTGATGGGACCGCCAGAGTTGCGTCCACGGTACATTTGGCCGACAACCGCTGCCGCTCCAATATCGGTCTGTTCAGATCTCGTCCTGCGATGACCAGCTCGCACCGAGCTGGCGCGACTTAATGGGATACTCGGGGCAGTACTCGGATTCTCGTGAGCGGTTGGCGGAGCAACAGATGCGCCCGCGGACGTAGGCGGCGGCATTAAGCTGGTAGGACGAGGTCGCTGGGGACGATTACCTGGCCCCGCGACAACAGACTTTGCCCTCTGCAGGAAGGTCTGCTGGGAGGATTCATCTTTCTCTGGAGGAGTTGGCGGAAGGTCCTTGTTACTGCCCACAGGCTGCGGTTTAGTCGCCGCCGGGGGATCATTTTCGTTTTTGTCCAAGATGGTTTCAAATCCTTCATGCTGCAGGACGCGACTGATGATGCGTTCGATGTAGAGAGTCAAGGCTTTATTCTGGTCTTTCAACGTCTTGATCTCCGCTTCGAGTTTGCGGTTGTCATCTGTTTCCGCCCTTGCGTCCACGGACTCTAGCTCATCAGCCAGCGAACCTAACCCACTGCTGGACTCTTTGCCTTCCGAGGCGTCGGGATTCACTTCGCGCATGAAGTCGCCTTTGGTGAAGTCACCGTTCAATGTTCTCTCACTGAGAAGTAGCTGGTAACTTTCATTGTCTTCCATCAAACGAGCGTTGGCCATACGAGCCTCAAGCAGTTCTTTCTCCAGCTCCCTTCGTCGGCCGCCACCTTTGTTTTCCATCTCCACCAGTTTGATCTGAGATTCCGCAAGCTCCAGCCGAAGCGACTCAATCAGTTTATCCTTCTGCAAAAGTAGCTTCGAGTTATTCCGAGATGGGCTTCGCTCGATCTGGGATGAAGGTGCAAATTGTCCATCCACCTCAGGGGAAGATCGATTGCGGAAACTGGCTAAGGACAAGTTAGCAGCGGCGACTAACTATAGGAGACAACAAAGAAATATACTTACAAGAGCGGGAAACGTTCTTGTCGCCATCGGCGTTGAATCTCATATCCTTCTGGGACAGAGACTCCTTCAAACGTTGGATGGTGGCCTGCATCTCCTCTTCCCGGCTCGCCTGTTGCTCCTTCTCCTGCAACATAGCGTTCCGCTCTAGCTCATGAGCCTGCTCCAGATCACGGATCTGCCGAACATGTTCACGAATTTCACTGTTCAATGCTTCAATTTTGCTATCCTTCTCATGGGCATGATCTTCCAACTTGCCCTGCTCACTGACGGTTTCATCCAGGCGCATCTGCAAAACCCCGAGTTGCTTGCGGTACTGTTCTGAGGCGGACTCGGCCTTCTGTAGCTGCTCCTTTAGATCTTCAATGAGGGCGGCATTCTGAGCCCGTGCTTCTTCTTCGGAGGGATCGGGGGAGACTTTGGGGACATTAGACATGCTGAGATTGGAGCGACCGGGCTTTCTGGCTGCAGCACGTGCTGAGACCGGAGTCGAGCCTCGTAGAGATGGGGAGCGAGACAAGCCATTCGCCGCACTGGGAGAGCGGGAATGGTTTCTCGACGGCGTCCCATTTACCGTGGCAGTATCTGCATTCGAAGATTTGTTCGAGTTGCCCGGGGTTCCAGGCTTGCGAGGAGTCGCAGACATGGTCACCGGCAACAATAAAGCAAGACGTGCGTAGCTTGCAAGAGACACAAAGCGATCTCGAAATAGGGGGAAGGATCTCTGAAGTCGGGGTGCGATAAAAGTGCGATGAAACGGCCGGGAAATTAACTGATAAATTTAAGGAACGTCCGACGCATATAGTACGAAGTCGTTAGTAGCGGTCAAACAGCGGACACTACTACCGTAGTGGGGGAAAGTTTAGAAGAGAATAGGTTAGTTAGCTAGCTGGCGGACGAAGACAAATAAGTAGACCAGATCAGACTAGCCACGCCACAAAGGATCTCGACCAGAGCAACCGGCAAGGACGACAAGAAAGCAGAATAAAAACAAATAGTAGGAAACGATGCAGTAACAAGTGAGGGATACAATTCCGACCACCATGAGGACGTTAACCTGGGGGTGGGCTTCTTATTAGGTATATTATTACCGTGCCATTCCCCACCTGAGGTGGAAAATCCGTATGGAAACGGCACTATTACGCCCGTTGCTCTGGGAATTTCCCAAGCCGAACTGCGCTAGCATTAAGGCAAACAACATGCGTCCAATGCACTCACTACTCTATTTCTAAACCAAATCATGCAGGTTGAACTCCCGAGTACGAACGGTCCTTCGTGTTTAAATCATGGGGGCTGAAGGCTCTTGTAAACTTTGAGAATCGGCCCCTCTATCGGAGAATATCCCGCCTCTGATTAAATGTACAGCTGCCACGGACACACTTTAAGGAGCTCAAGAAGCCACAGTATTTACTTGGAGGTTAGGATAAGTGATATATATAGCACTGCAGGATAGACCTCCTTTCATGCTTCCTTGCGGCATGCAGGATCTCGCCATCTGTCAGCCCGAGACATAGGTAAGAACAGAAATTAACTGGAAGGCTGTTCAATCACGGATTTGCCTCTTCGTAATGGATACCAGATAAACCTGAAACTGCACCACGTCTGCGATAGTCTAACGATACTTGAGATTATTTTTTTCGGGGAATCCTGGGTCCAATGCATCAACTTGAGGTGCTGCGCATAAGGGAAGGTTGGTACTGTACACTGCCCAAGGCTGGATCGATGTAAAACTTTGGTAAAAATACACCATCAAGGCCCGATGATGTGGCTGATGAGGTAACTGCTTAGGTAATATAAACATACCGGAAACAGATCAAGTGATGATTCAGCATATTCACGGATAAAAGGCGGACCGACACTAGCTCGGCCCACAAACGAATTTACAGCAAAAGATCACCGGAATTTTCTTAACCATCCTCATCACGGCCGGAGCGCGAATTTTACACTACATCCTCGCCTTTTTATCCCGAAGAACTTTAGGTTCAACCTAGCGCAGAGATGGCCCCTAAGAACAAGAAGACTGGTGATACCATCAACTCGCGCCTGGCGCTTGTGATGAAGTCCGGAAAGGGTGCGCTGATATATATCTTTTTTTGGTATATGGAAGGACACTAACATATTGCTTCTCCAGTCACCCTTGGCTATAAGTCTACTATCAAGACCCTTCGTGTGAGTATTTCTCTTGCAATAAACGACCTGCAAAAGGAATAAGCGAGCGATTTGCTGATCTTCATACTTGAAAAGTCCGGCAAGGCCAAGCTTGTCATCATTGCTGCCAACACCCCCCCTCTCCGCAAGAGTGAGCTCGAGTACTATGCCATGCTCGCCAAGGCTCCCGTTCACCACTTCTCTGGCAACAACGTAAGTGACTCCGAATGCGTATTCTTCTCCCCTCACTCGCGGCGACCTCCCAGGGAGGGGGGTTGCTCGGGGAGCCACCCTGAGAAGAAGCCGCATCTATAGGCTTTGGAGGGTCATGATAGCTAACTTCTGTCCGTAATCAGATTGAACTGGGAACCGCCTGCGGTAAGCTGTTCCGCTGCTCCACCATGACCGTCTTGGATGCTGGTGACTCGGACATTCTTAACACCCAGTAAGGGTGTAAGGGACGACAAAATTCTGCTATGTCCGCATGAAAAAATGCCCTGATGTATACATACAGTAGGGTATATGATATGTTAGATAATGCAAGAAAATTTCCGTCTCTTAGTATGGGTATCTGAATACACTTCTGGGTGAATATACTGTAGTAATATATGTAGTTGACATGGTAGAGTGATGCGATCGGGGTAACAGACGCAAGACATCCTCAGCCTTAGGCTATTCATATCTTGACCGAACGGGTTATAATTGCACCGTTTCCCTGCTATCAGAAACAAGATCACAGCATTACCTAGAAGAATTTATTACCAATACTAACCCGTACGGTAATGCTGATGATCTGACAAATCCACGACGCAGACGGCAGTTGGTGATTGGTGCAGAGGCTAGGGCTTAGGGCTTTTGCCACTCGTTAGCGGGCGTTGCTTGGAAATCAACGTCGAAAGTGCCCGCGCCCAAAGAATCCCTTCCCTTTTGACTCTCGACACCACCCTTTTTTCGACAACCCCATCGTTCGCAGGAAGTGCAGCCAGGTCATTTCCAGCTGTCAAAATGGCACGTCGCCCCGCGAGATGTTACCGCTACTGCAAGAACAAGGTGCGTGCGATCGTTGGATACGGCTTTTTTATTTTTCATCCCATACTTTCTGTTCTGTGGATTTGGATATCGGGATCTCGCTTGTGGGGAGCTCGACCACGTCTGAATAAAGCAGGCCACCAAAGAATAGCGAGGATCATGTGGTGATCAGTTGATCTGCTTGTGTTGGATGGATATTTTTTTTTTTTTTTACTGTATTTGATTGATGGGCTGACATTATGCCTCTTACAGCCTTACCCTAAGTCCCGGTTTAACCGTGGTGTTCCCGACCCCAAGATTCGTATCTTCGATCTGGGACGTAAGAAGGCCAATGTCGATGACTTCCCTCTGTGTGTGCACTTGGTCTCCAACGAGTACGAGCAGCTCTCCTCTGAGGCTCTCGAAGCCGCCCGTATTTGTGCCAACAAGTATGTCGATCCCCTCAGAACACGGATTGCGTCGCAGAAGCAGGAATCCGGCTTGAAATGAATTGAAAAGCTAACCGGAGTTTCTCGTTAGGTACCTCGTCAAGATCACCGGTAAGGAAGGTTTCCACCTTCGTGTCCGTGTGCACCCCTTCCACGTCATCCGTATCAACAAGATGTTGTCGTGCGCCGGAGCCGATCGTCTCCAGACCGGTATGCGTGGTGCCTTCGGTAAGCCCCAGGGTACCGTTGCTCGTGTGAACATTGGCCAGATCATCCTGTCCGTCCGCACCCGTGACGCCAACCGTGCTGCCGCCATCGAGGCTCTCCGCCGTTCCATGTACAAGTTCCCTGGTCGCCAAAAGATCATTGTCTCCAAGAACTGGGGCTTCACCCCCGTTCGCCGCGAGGAGTACGTCCAGCTCCGCCAGGAGGGCAAGCTCAAGCAGGATGGTGCCTACGTGCAGTTCCTGCGTGGCCACGGTCTCATTGAGCAGAACATGAAGCGATTCCCCGAAGCGTATGAGAACTTCTCTCAGGCGTAAATGGCATGATTAGCGTTAGGACGTGAAAACAAAAAAGACATTTCGAGATCTTTCATATCCCATCCTGTTTCCCACGACTGTTTTGTTTTTCGCTATGATGTGTCATTTAGTGTCCTCACGCAGGCGGAGTTGAATATCATGGATTTCCTCGTCTTCTGCGTGCCACTCCGTACTGTAAAAGTAGGATATAGGCCCGATATTCGATTCTAGATCTTATCTGCCAGGTTCAGTAATCTGCTCGAAGAATGTACCTGATAGAAAGGTCCCCATGTATTCTACTAATGTCTTAGTATTCAACTAAGATAAATATCTAATGGACACGTACAGGTCCATGTCTTTCATCACCATTGCTATTGTGTGACTCCACTTCGTGTTAGAAAATGACCGACAATGAGCATGGATGGACCTGAGCTTCTTAGTTTCTTACCAGTCATACACTGCTATGTCATATGCACTACAATGTTTAGTAGTTCGGTATATGGTAGCCTAACAGGTGGAGGCTCCGATTTACCTTGGTGATAGCTTTAATCCTTGTATTTCCTGGCACTTGCTACTGTAGACCCAATGAACTAGCAATGCTGAAAGGGAAGAACCGCTCATTCATTGTTGAAATTGCCATTCCTTTCAGATAAGCATCCCAGGCCAACACATTCGAGAATACCCAAGAGTATCCAAGGCCATCAGGAGACTGTCATCCAACTGTCCATCAGACAATACACCACTATTGAGCAGCCTGATGGGGTGGTCCCCGAGAATGCAATCACAATCATCGGAGTCCCAGGGAACGCATCTCCAAAGGAAATCTACGAACCGCTCTGGGAAGAACTCTACCGTCAATTAAGGAAACAGGGGGTTCCGCTGCGGGCTATTTGGGTCGCTTATTCTGCGAATCAGGGTGTAGGTGGTGTTTTGAATGAGGGGGTTCAGGGAGATCAGGGTATATGCACATACATATATGCATAGAGAGTGCTGTGTACTGCTGACTGACTGACTGGATGAATAAATAGTCAGTTAGAATGACCATTCGCGCGATCTTCTACACATGGTCAATCATTTTCGTGATCGGATTCCCCGTCCGATCATCGGCGTGGCGCATAGTATGGGGTGTGTACAACTGTGGGTTGATATTTCTGCGAAAGTGACTAGGCAGTTCTGTGTGCTATTCAGTTGGACTAGTATAAAATAGAGTCAACCTCTCCATAATTCATCCACGATTACTATCCACCCTAATCCTCTTCGAACCGGTGATCCTCTCTGCAGCATTCGACGGCCCCAACCCATCCATGATATCCAGTTGCCGTCGAGACATCTGGGACTCGCACGCCCAAGCGACCAACTCACTCAACAAGAGTATCCTCACCTGGGATGCACGAGTCCGAGATCGATAACTACGATATGGACTTCGCGATGTTCCCACGCGTCTGTACAATCCGTCGAAAGATCCCACGTTATCCTCAACAGCCGTGACGCTAACCACAACCAAGCACCAGGAAGCGTGGAACTATTCCACCCCGAAACTCGGACCAGAGGACCTCGATCGACTCCTCCTCGCGGACTGGGATGTGCAGCGCGAACAACCGTATCTCTTTTCGAGAACGGAGTGCTGGGCCGCAATTCGGAATCTACCGTTCCTACGACCGAGCGTGTTCTGGGTGTTTGGTGGACGGAGTTTTTTCTCGCCCGGTGAGGCGCAGGATACGAAGATAAGGGAGTCGGGGGTCGGGGTCGGAGGGAACGGTGGAGTAGATAAGGGTATGGTTGAGAAGGCTGTGTTGTCGGAGGGGGGGCATAATGTGGTGTGTGTTTGAGAGGGTGGACTGGTGTGCTAAGGTCGGCGGGGATTGGGTTCAGAGATGGTTTCGACGTTGGTTGGAGGATGAGCGGTTTTGGAGGGGATATAAGAGTCGACATTCCGATGCGGAGGGAATTAGGATGTCCGAGGAGGCGTTTCGAGTTGCTCAGATGCCTGTTGGGACGAACAGGACGGATTGCCCAAGGGGAAACTGTGATCTATCGGACCATTCCATTGATGAAAATTCAAGCACGATACGATCCACAGTGAAGAGAGGAGTCAAGGGCTATGAGGATGAAAATAGTCAAAGACATTTATTGTTTCAGAAATATCCTGTATATGTATGTATATCAAGACTATCAAAATCTGAACCGAGAAGAGTGTGACAATAATCACAACCGAATACAAGATAGAAGACGATCATGCTGTAGTAAGTAACACCAGAGACTCCTTGTCTGGCGAGGACAGGGTTTATAATTATATACGTTGATGGCCAGCATGCAAACAATATGTATATCCATTGCATAGGCATTAGACGTCCCCCCACGATCCCATTCCGGCCCCAACAGGCGCAATGGCACTTCCACTGTCCACGCTACCGCCGATGTCCCAGTAGTTCCGACTGGAACCAGTGAGAGTTCGGCGGCTCGAAATAGCTGATAGCTTTGCGCTTTGGCTGGCACAGCTGGAGCTAGGACGACGGAATTGTTGACGTAGGAGCGGCGATGACACTCCCACCGCGCCACTGTAGCTTGTGGAGTACTGGGATTGACGCCGGATCTGTGCCTGTGAGCGCGAGTGTGCCCGTGCAACGAGCGGATGGTGCTGCCGGATGATCGCCGCGCGAAGGGAAGCATCCTGCGACGGTCGACGCGGGACAGCGTGGTGCATATCGGCATTGCTGTTCCGACGGCTAAAGCGGCTCCGGAGATAGCGGAAGACCATCATCACATCGAGTTCGCGCTCCCAGTACTCCTTCTCTTGTTGAATGCGTGCCGACTCGGACAACGGGTCCGCACCAGAGTTGCTAGCGAGCCGGCTCGGGCCATCTTCCTCAATACCCCACTGGGCAGCATGCTCCCGACCGCTGGGTTCCCGAAGAGTGGGAGAGAACTGGGGCGATAGCACCGAATCACGGTCATTGGTGGAAACTGTTGAAGCTGGTAGGTCCGCCGATGCCGACTGAGGTTGTGCACTGCCCTCTTCCAGCAGGCGTCCGAGAGGCATCCCAGCGTATTGGCCGGGGATCTCTTGGGACAGGGTCAGGTAGGTTGTAAAAGCACCGGGGTGTTCACACAGCTGGTGGACTAGGACTCCCAGTTCGTGTGCAATGCGTTGGAGGAGCTTGGATTGCCACAGGCCGTGGTCATCAGGTACAGAGTCCAGCTCCCTTTTCAGCGTCTCGTCCATACTCGTGGCGGGATCTGTTCCGGCCGACGTCGGCTTCTCTTCATTCTCGATGGGCAGAGACTCTCCGAAGAGGACGGACAGTAACGAATCATCAATGCCGATCAAGTCCCGAATGACCTTCCGGGTGATACGGCGCCAGAGAGACTCGTCCTCGCGGTCGTCCAATTCTACCGACGGCGAAATACACTCCTTGGGCGTCTCCGGGACGCCTTCCTGCACACCTGGTGCTTCACTTTGGGGAACAGCCTGATCACTCATGTAGCTCACGCGGCTGTTACGGCGCCTACGCGTCTCTCTCTCGATTTCCTGCAAGAGGGCCCGGCTCTGGTCCATTCTCCACTTTTCAATCCGTTGCCATCGTTCGCGCTCAACGTCGATCTGTTCCTCATTTGCGATAGAGTCCAAATGCCGCTGGACACTCGAACGTCGTCTCGGTGTGAGTTCATGTCTCCGTGAAGGATTGTACTGTTCGTACTGCCATAGCTGTTCCTGCACCACCTGACTCGACGCTTGGAAACTCCCTAACCCGTCATGAGCCGGCAGATGGGCTGGAGCTCCTTGGTCAAGCCTGGCTGCAGACTCCTGATCTATGTTTAAAGACGGGGCTCGAAAAGCGTGTAGGCCATCGTCCAAGCTATCCAGCTCCGTTCCGTCCTCGTCTAAGGGCTCTTCAAGAGCGTCATTCTCCTCCTCCTCCTCCACATCATCATTGTCCTGATCCCACGCCGACCGGGTCGGCGTACCGAAGGAGCCAAAATCACTGAGACGAGAGACCCCCGCTGTCCGTTGGGTACGTTCAGTGGAGGTCGTGTGAGTGCGGGCGGTGGTGGAGGGCTGAGTCGGGGAGAAGAGCACCCATTCGGTGGATTCGTATCCAGGAGGTTGCGAGAGGCTGGATGCAGGGTCTAGCGCAGGAGGTAAAGTGGCGGAGTAGGAGCGTTGACGGCGCGGGGCCTGTGATGGTAAACGAAACGCCATGAGTTGGATGAGAGCGTTGGGTGGTGGTTGGAGCGAGAGATGAGATGGATGATTCGAAAGATAAGAGCGGACTCAGCGATCGCGGTGGATCCTCCCCCGCGTGGGCTGAAAACGGATGGGGAACGGACCCAACAAATGCGGTGAAAAGGGACGAGGCGGGTGAAGAGGGGGACAGCACTGGGACGAATCAAGATCTATTCGCAAGACCCAGAGAAAAGGAAATGGAAACGAAGCCAGGTACAAAGGAGAGATTGGATACGTGGTGGCGATGCGATGCGATGGGATCCAACCAGAGTGCGGCGGGCGGATGAGCTTAGAATGATGAAAATGACGTCCTCCGAAGAACGGAACAAGGCTACTGTAACGAGCTCAAAAAAGTCAAAACATCACGATGACTTTTTGCGACACCCACTGGCTTGGTTGGAACATAAAACCGGCTGAGCAGTACGGAGTAGGATCTGATGATGCGAATCGTCAGCCGACAGTCTGGAACGGCTGATCGACTGGACTTTGATTGATACGGATGGAGATAAAGGGGCCAATAAAATATACGGATACGTACATATATTATGACAAGAACACCCCAAGGGGATTCTCTCGTCAGCTTCTGTCCGTCTGACAGGCCCCTATCCTGCTAGATATATACTCCGAGTATTGAGTATTGAGTATTGAGTAACTTTACGGAGCATGTCGAGAAGAAAGAAGATCCCATCGGATAATGACCCGCCACGTGACCGCTCCTGTTGACGTGTCGGACTGCGTTTCCATCATAAGTTTATGACACGTCATTTGCCAGGAGTTTCAGAGATTCAGATCGATACGTCGGAGTCCGGATTCATATCAGGGAGATCATACGGTTATTCAGGGTCCACTCCCACCGGTCCATCCTGATGATAATCAGCATCAGATATCGTCCTATCCATTAGTCATAATACACTATCCAGAATCCACAGCGACTAAGATAAACCTACCTGTACACGAGCATTCTAAAGTGACCTCCTTTATAGCAACCTTGGGGCATTTTGAACCACCGAGACAGCGCTGTCACCAACGTATCCTTCCCTAACAAGCCCTTGGATGCAATCCTCCATCCAGTTCTGAAAATTCAGCGCCTAGATATTATTACATACAGTTAGACCTGCCCTGTCGATCACAATACCAAGTAAATGTAAATATAAATCCCACATACAGACGGATCAAAGGGATTAAGACTGCATCCCGGAGACTGGATCGCGGTCGCTATCATCTCCAAACGATCCCGAGCAGTTGTATCTATCATAGGCTGTCCATCGCCCGCCGTATCGATAATATGCTGGTCATCGACCGAAGACGACGTAGGATGCGGTATTTCCGCTGTTCTTCCACCAGGTCGCAATTGCCCTTGGATCCGAGGAAGAATCCAACGGCAGGACTTCCGGTCACATGGACCACTCTTCCCTTGTCCCCAGCATCGTCGTTGGGATAAAAATGGAGAAGTGTGCTGGTTTGGCACTGTTGGAGAATACAGCTAGATAGATCGTTCGCGGAATTGTCGAGAGTATTGGACACTGAGAGGGTCTCTTGGTGTGCGGGGAATCAATGCACAGCGCACAGTCTCGAGGAGAAGATGGGCTAGCGCCGAGATGACAGCTCGAGTCCTAGGACGCCAGTGGAAATGGCAGTTGGATAAAGCCTGTGATAGAAAAGCCTAGGAGGATGTCTTGATTACTAGGTCGCTTACTCGAAACCTGGGACTAGTAGCACCATACAGAACGTGTTGGGTATAAAGGTCTACTCTACTCTAAAAGATAAACGTACAAAATGGGTATGATAGAACAAATGTCACTGTCCGGTCAATGCTTCTCCAATCCAGTCCATCTGCACCGCGCTTACTCCTCTCGCGTAGCTGCGATTGGTAAACACGAACTCGTTGTATAAGATTGCCTCGACCTTCTTGCCAAAGAGTACGCTCGATGGGTGGATTGCCACGGTTTGATTGCCTGCTACCGTCCGAAAGCTGCCATCCGGGACCAACCGTGCGGTGTTGGTCGCAAACCCACGGAGGAAGCTCTTTAAGATGGCGACGGGCGACGGCTCGCGGATAATAGAATTATTACTGCCTCCCCGGGAATCGCTGGGTGCCGGGAGAAGTTTCGCCTGTCGGCATTGGGTGGTGAGTTGTTTTCGTACATCCTACAGAATCAATCGGTGGTTAGCAAGACAAATTCCCTATGATTCAAATAATGGCCTCACTCACCATTACAGACTGCATGGCCCGATGCGACACCATGTGTCTCTCGGCCCATGCCTTTCGGTCCGTGTTTTCGGCCGCGTACGCTCGCACCGTGGCAAGCATGGTGAGATGATCGCCTTCTCTTCGATAGAGATCGCGTCGGGCTTTTTCAGCCTCTTCTTTCTTTTCTTCGGATATCGTGTTCAGGAAGATGTTCTCCACACTGAGACAGGAGATGATATCGATCACGTCCAACAGAGTGTCGGCGCCATGCTCGGACGCCGCAAGAAGGACGCGACCCAATGTCGGCGTTAGAGGCAGCTTGGCGATGTGTGCCCCAACTGGGCTGATTTTGCCAGAGTCGTCCAAAGCGTCAATACTTAATAACTGCAGCAGCGCCTTTTCCAAAGCCTCTCGCGGGGGTCTCGTGAGGAATGGGAAGCCCATAACGTTGTCGACACCGCGAGCCTTCATGTTAAGCAGGGCTTGGCTCAGATCACATCGCAGGATCTCCGGCGTATTGACTTCATCGAGAGAAAGGTAGTCCTTTTCGGTGTAGAGTCGGTAACACTGCCCGGGGGCCTCTCGTCCGGCACGACCTTTACGCTGGATGGCCGCCGACTTGGAGATGGGCTTGACCAACAACGAATCCAACCCGAGACGAGTACGGAAATGCTTGATCTTGGCTTTCCCGCAGTCGACCACAAATCGCACCCCGGACACAGTAACGGATGTTTCAGCAATGTTGGTGGCCAGAATGATTTTACGAGTCCGAGGGGGCGCCGGCATGAACACTCGCTGCTGAGCCGCCTGAGGAAGAGCGGCAAAAAGAGGAAGAACCAGCACCTTGGGCAGGGCGGGATCCATACCAACAGCATACTCATTCACCAGGTGTTCCAGCGCCTCGACTGTCTCCTGTCCAGTCAGGAAAACCAGAATGTCACCCGGCATGGGTTCCTTGTAATGAATCTGGAAAATGACCTTGAGAGCCGCATCGACAAAGTCGTGCACCGGTTCTGAGGAGAAGATCGTCTTCACCGGGAACTGACGGCCTTTGATATGGCAGACAGCAATATCATCATTGGCTCGCTTTTCGGAGGTGCTATTCGATAGCGAAGCACCCTCCTGTGTCGTGCTGTCTTGATTTTCGCCATTCGAGCGTTGAGCCTCGTACCCCTCGTTGAAAAAACCAAGCAGGCTTTCCATATCGACTGTGGCACTCATCACCACAACCTTGAGCGGCACGCTACCTCTTCCCTCCCGTTTCCCGGTGACCATATTTCTAAGAAACCCTAGCAACAAATCAACATTAACGCCGCGTTCGTGTACTTCATCAACAACTATGGCGCTGTATTTCGTCAGCCATGGGTCGTGCAACATCTCCTGCAGCAGCATTCCCTCCGTAAGGAACTTAATTCGCATACTGGGAGACGTAGACGTATCGAACCGCACCGAATAGCCGACTTTGCTTGCAGGGGACGAAGATCCAAGGGGAGTTCCCATCTCTTCCGCTACACGTCTTGCCAGTGAGATAGCCGCAACACGCCTCGGCTGAGTGATGGCGATACATCCTCCGACGTCCACCTCTTTCAGCGAACCGTCGTCCTTGGAGACAGTCGTCTTTGTCGGCCGACACCATTGCTCATCGACCAGGAACTGTGGAATCTGCGTACTTTTCCCGCTACCAGTTTCACCAATCAAAAGCATCACATCATTCTTGCGCAGATATTGCCGGATCTCGTTCCCATGGGGAAAGATGGGGAGGTTCTTCCGCAGTTCATAAAGTGCCTTGGCCTTATTCTTCAACGAGTTGAAATTCTGCTTAGTGTCCTTGAGCGGCTTCTGCTTCGACTTCTGCTTCAAATTTTCATTTTTCAATTTCCCACCCTCCCCATCGATGCGAATCGAAGATTCTCCCTTCTCGTCGAAGGTTTGCGAAGATGGTGCATGGTCTTCGTCCGAGGCGGGCAGCGGTTGGCGTGGAACATGTGTCGATTCTTCAGGTTTGTGCTTTTCGCTCTTATGTTTCTTCTTTGGTTCCCTGTTATTTGCGGATTTCCTTTTCGTAGAACCAGACTCCTGGTTCGGGGGCCTTTTCTCTTTCTTAGCGACAGACGCTTCGTCCGAGCCATCGAAGACCGTATGCACCCTTTCCGGCATTCTAACTAATGCGAACACACTGAGGCAGAAAGGGCGAGTAGAATGAAAGCTGTATATACAATAAAAAAAAAAAAATAAAATCAACAACGCTCTTTTTACTGTGGCCTTTCTTTGTCCTGCAAGACGGGGTGATTGAAGAAAATCCCGAAAACTTTTGAGGTGGGCTTATCGATAAGGGTCTTGGCGTGGATGACACTATTGGCCATATTTCGATGCTGGAGAGTTGACAGGTTGAGGAAACTTGGCACGTGAGATTTGACTTTACAGGTCTATTCTGTATTTGTAGATATATTCCATGAAAGATCCCAGGTTTGTAATATCCTAAGTGCTCCGTTACGCCGTATTTCCGCCTGACATATAGCACTGCTTCCTCTACCTTCATCTTCAGAATCTATAGATAGTGGTCAGTAGTACTCAGATATTAGCTTATGCCCCAACCACGGACACGTCGGAAGACAAAGGCTCGGTCATTCCGGAGTCTGAACTCGGCCCAGTCGTCAGTGAGCTTGTTGTAGCTCCAGTGTCCTTTCCAGGCCAATTTCGTATTTTTTGACGGATTAGCCGGAGCATCAGTGGAATTGGATCGAGTCGTCGTAGATGACCGAAGGGATAAGTATAGAAGATAAATATATTTCGACCCTACACCTTCGGTTTCAATGATGATATCCCTGGGATCAAGTGTATCATCCGGGGACACTTTGCCAGAAGAAGATAAGAAACCCAAGGACGGGTCGGTCTGCCTGCCATCTTGCGGCTCTCCAGAATGAGGCGAAGGGTGAGCCATACGCCAGCGGCCCCATTGGGCTTGCTTCAATGCTCCCATAGCAACAGGGGGGATCGGATCCGGAGCACCGGATAATGAGGTGCCTCCGTCGGAGAGTTGCCGTTGATGCTGCTTCTGAGAGGTTGCCCGCGCTGCCATCACGTTCTCCTTGCAGATATGTGGAACCAAATCCACGGGTTCCACGGTGCTCAGCATGGAAATAACAGATCCATCCGGATAAAAGCGTAGGAACCGATAGTAGGTTACTATGTGAATCGGACTATTCCAGGATACGCTCTGGTACGACGAGGCTGCACCTGCACGGGTGTAATTGACTGTGCTAATGTATATTCCCGTAAAGCGAATTCGAGGAAACATCTGAAATACTTCTCCCCATGAAGACAGAGGCTCTGGGATTTGCACGGAGGCGGAGGTCGGGAAAGGCGTATAGCGTGGACCGAGAGTATATTCAGGCCTGCCGAAAACATCACAAGCAAACGAGTAGTGCATTGATTTGAACCCAAACTCCGGGCCCTGGCAGAGTCGCTTCCAAATGTGCTGTTCATGGGCAAAATGATACGCCAGGCGCTTACAGACTAGCGAAGTCCGAAAGAAGGTGGCGGGGTCCCGCAAGGCAACATGTTTAAGAATCTCTACCAACACTTCGGATGGGACCTTCGCAATTGGACATGGAGGCGGAGGTGTGTTCTCTATGATAGGTTCCGCCTGCGGAATGGGAAGATTGGCAAAAGAGGCAATGAGTTCTGGGGTCGGTAGAGCTTTAGGAGTGTCCTTGGGCTGCTGACTTGGAAGGACACCACTGTTTGAAGGGGCAGAAGCTTGGGCTGACTTCTTCCATGCCCAGGCAAAATGCTTGTTGCGATACGTTTTGTCAACTGTCGCATCTAACTGCATGAACGATAAAAAAAAGAGCGATTAGACTGACGTCCCCAGCATCTTAATGATAAGCAAATATCTTACCCGATAAGCTTTACGGTAGTGCTGTAGACTGTCTCCTAAGTTGCCCTCTGCCTCCTTCTCGACTGCCCGTTCGAAGTGCTCTAATGCCGATTTGGGCTCTTCCCGGGGCCCTCGTGAATGGAACGCATCTTCATCGGCTGTACCAAAGCTTAATTGACTGACCCCTTGAACAACAATCTCGCTCTGATCGAGTGCTCCGGTCCCTACTTCCTCTATCTCTTTCCGTTCAGATGTCTCCTGGAGAGTGGGAGGGAACTGGCTTGGTCGGGCTTGGATAGAGGAAGCTGATGGTTTCGGATGTGACGTTTGATGATGAGTCTGCTTTGACCTGCGCGCAACTTCCTCCCGCCATTGACGGCGAAATGACTCAAGTTCGGCGTTATCCTCCATATTGTGAGGGATTGCGGGCGTCGCGGATGGAGCCGGTTTTTGATTGATAAGCGGGTTCACGGGGAGGTCTCGACTGGAACTCCGCGAGAGGGAAGAATGAAAGAATACAGGATTGAAAAAAAAAGAAAAAGATAAAAGACAAACCCCTGAGAGAAAGAATACAAAAGTCGAGCCTTCATCTGTCCATATCGATACGACCCATCCGACTCATCTCGTATTATTGCATTTGTCGGGGAAGAGGAAGAGGAGAAGCGCCCGCCTTGGCTTTCTTATCTCTAGCTCAATCGGTCTAGCCCGAGCGCCACCGCCAACAACCGAGCCGAAGCGTTCTTTTTCACTCTGACGCATGGCTTGGCTTGACTCTGGATTTCCCCCACTACACCACCCTGTGCGCTCGAGGTAGATGTTACATATATCGATTTAAAACAAGAAACTATCGAGCGCCTACTCTTACACACTAGTCAACAGTTATTTCACCCCCCGCCGAATGAATGTCCGGTCTTAGGACTGGTCTTGCACCTGGAGACCGATATCGCTCAGACGACGATTCTGTCGCTGTTGGGTTCGGAAGGGACCCAGCAGAGCCATGGAATCGCTTTGAAAACACAACAATGGCGGCTACTTCTGGAACGGGAGCTGCCACTGCTCTGGCTGCCGGTGGAAAGACGGATGATGTCTCGTTCTCCCAGCGTATGGGTTCCGCCACCTCTGGCAGCGTCCTAACGGCTTTGTTGGGTAAGGCTCTCTCGTTCCTCTAGGCAGGCAGACCTTGTACTAATGCCGGTATGATATGCAGTGACACCGCTTGATGTTGTGCGAGTTCGTCTCCAGTCCCAGTCAACGAAAAACACGTCCTCGTTCTCCTCCCAAACAATTCTACCTCTGAAAAATATGCCTCCGAACCTAGGGGTGACTGCGTGCTGTCGAGAGGTATTCTGGGTTGGTCAGAATACTCAAATATGTATGGTTGGGCCGGGTACAGGGACCATAGGCGCTCCGTCACCCTCGGTGGTGGATTGTGCTGTGGAAGAAACCCAGCGCAAGACCTTCACCTCGACCTTGGACGGGCTGCGGAAAATAGCTCGGAATGAAGGAGTGTTGACGCTTTGGCGTGGGTTGAGCCCGACGTTGATGATGAATATCCCAGCAAATATCATCTACTTTGCTGGATACGACTGGCTGCGATCGGATGGCAGAAGCCCTATCAAACGATTTTTCCCGGATATCTACGTTCCATTTGTGGCGGGAGCATCTGCAAGAATTGCTGCAGCATCCGCTATCAGCCCGATTGAAATGTTCCGGACGCGTTTACAGGCTACTCCTGGCACCGGCGCGGGCCATTTCAAGGCTACTCTCGCAGGTTTATACCAAATGACTCAGACCAGTGGCTATAGCTCTCTTTGGCGAGGGTTGACGCTGACGATGTGGCGCGACGTGCCTTTCTCCGGATTGTATTGGTGGGGCTATGAAGAAGTCAAGAAATGTCTCTTAGAGGCACGCCAAATGTCGCATGAATATATCCTGCCCCATGATCCAGGCACACCTACATTCTTCGACAGTTTCCTTGCGGGCGCGACCTCAGGGTCTCTAGCAGCATTAGTTACCACTCCATTTGATGTGGGGAAAACGCGTCAACAAGTGTTCCGGCACATGGGTGATGATACTCCCCATCCTAAGGGAGGAACATTGTCGCGGAGTCCCTTGCATCCGGAGCAGTTTCCATTACCCAAGTTTCTCTTGCATATCTTCCGTGAGGAGGGCATGGCTGGACTCTTTCGTGGCTGGGTTGCGCGGTGTCTGAAAGTGGCACCCGCTTGTGCCATTATGATTTCGACGTACGAGGTAGGAAAGAAAATGGCACGAGGTGTGAACGAGAAACGCCACTCTACAGAGACAACCTCCGACCCTGTGTGAACTTCCGGATGGCTACCAGTACCTTTATACGTTAGTTTACGGTCCAGACCAACCGCCACAGCTTCACCGGCTCCTTGACTGTCTTTTGGATTCTTGTACAAACCCACCTCTGTCCAATTTCCTCATTCCGCCTTCTGTCATTCCCATTTGATATCCTTTTTTTGATCATGGATTTCTCTTTTCGCCTGCTTACTTTGCGCTTAATCTCCATGATACCGCCTTGCGTCCCAGACCATAGAGCCCTTTGTACTTTGAACATTCCTATGAGCATAGCCGCTGAAAGCGGTGATATTGTTCTTGCCCTAAAGCGCTGCATTTGCGCATTCTGTACATACGTGTATTTTTGCAATAGACGGACATCTCTCCTCTATACTATACTCTTTGTTTTGTGAATATACTCCGATTATATGGGATCGACTGGTGATTGTTACTGTAGAGGCTATGATAATAAGTCCCGCCATATAGACAGTCTATACTTGTGCATTAAGCCGTAGATTATGATATCGGTATGGCTCTTGTTGATCTAAATGCTGACGGTGTGATCATGTGCCGCGGCAATGTCTCTGATGATGCCTGAGCGCATCCCACAGTCTTCAGGACCTTCTTCCTCTTTCTCTGCCACGATTGGCGTTTCTCTCTCTGGACTGTGCCTAAATGTGGTTAATTTGGCCCTTGTGGTTGATCGGACAAGGCTGTCACGAACCTCCAAATGGAGTCAGCTGCTATGTCCTTCCTCGCATTCTTGGAGTCAGATGACGATGGCTAGCCGTCCTCTATTTAACCGCAGGAGAATATGCATTCGGTTTCGTTGTCCGATGGTGTAAAGTTCTGAAGATGTCAACTAGTGACGATGCGAGTGATGAGCGGCTTATTCACCGAGAAACAGACGTAGAGTAAGTAGACTTTTCTCTTTTACTTGTCATCTATCTGACATCTCCTAGTATTGTTGCTGTCCCTTGTATTGGAGGGGATCCACACCGAACATGGACTGACGAAATTACCCGAAGACCATGGCCTATTTCCGAGGTGGAAAAATATATCCCAAATGCGCGAGTGCTACTGTTAGACCACGGAGAGCTCAGTAATCAAGATGACCTGGATTCCTTGGCCCATAGGCTGTTGATCCAACTCCTCCGCAGAAGGCAGCTCACGGTATGTCATCGCAGCTCGTTTCTTGCAGAAGATTGCGAGGTGTAACTTTCATGGATCCAGAGCACTAGACGACCAATATTTTTCATCTGCCATGGCACTGGCGGTCTTATTGTTAAGGCAGCACTTGCCATTGCAGGGAATTCGACGTCGAATATCGATTCTATATTATCTAGTTGCTATGGGATAGCCTTTCTGGCGACACCTCATCAAGGCTCCACTTATCTCTCTGCATCAGAGTATGCTAAAAGTATCCATCGTCTGATGCAACTCAAGTATCATATTCCACACCAAGTACGAGAGATATTCAGACCCCGACATCCACGATTATTACAGTTATCTAGTCAATTCAGATCCATATCTGCGGATATGAAAATATGGACATTTCTAGAGACAGTTGATTCGACGTTCACTATTACTGATTCGGAGACCGGGACTATGGTCGAAATGCATGTACCAATCACCTCTATCCGATCCGCTCTTCTGGACTTCGAACATGAAAAAGAGATTCCTTTGGCTGCAGACCATGTTGGCACAGCGTGCTTTAAGGGACAAGAATCAACTACGAGAGTGAGCTTCATTAATGAACTTAAAACGTCCGTATCTATGGCTCTGCATTTGTCTAAGATAACAGGTATTCCATTGCATGTTGAGAAAGAAATCACGATCCAGGTAAATGGGTTCTTTGAAGACACAGCAAGAGGTGTCAGAGACGACTCGCCATTGAAACTGTGGGCAAGCAACCCGCATCTTTTCGAGTATCTAACACGCGGGCCTTCAGCTTGTCTTCAAGAAAGACTCAAGACAGGCAAAATTCCACCTGGTTCTTTCGATGATTCATCTGTCAGTAGCTTTGAAAGCCGACCATCCTCGGCTCGAGCTAAGTCGGTGTTTGATTTTCCCAGCGGGACCAAGTTGCAAGAAACTGGCGTTGTTCAAACGGAGTCCATTCCGTCAGGGCAATCGGTGAAAAAATGCTCCAGCTTCGTAGCCCAGTTCTCTCCTAGAATTCACATAACAGAGCCCACAGTGGAGGGCTATTTTACTGCAGACCACAAGAGTTTGACGTCCGATCTTCCGAGTCAGACACCACGGCATGATTGTGGCGATGGAGACAATGAAGTGGACGGTGATCTGGAACAACAAAATGATATCTCTGTCGCCAATTTCGTCGCCCCCAGCCAAAGTCGTAAAAATATACTGTTAGTCCAATGATTGATAACAATATTATAGAGCGAACTGACGGAAGATATTTGAAGGAATAACCTTTCGTTAAAATACAAAAATCTTCTTCCTCTTCCACTACCCATTAAGGACCGGGGCGAAAAAATGCCCCGACCAGTGCCTCGCTTTGACCGACCAGAGCCAGGCTGTGAGAAACTTCTTTGGATACATGCCCCTTATACGCACAGTGGATGGGTACCTCCCATTTTGTCCAAGGCTTGTGAAGATCGACAGAGACCAGAATTGTGAGTGCTTGATAGCGGCCATACCGCCGCGTCCCACGGTCCCACGGCTTTGCTGGCTGACACTGGGCGTTGGATTCCATTAGTCTCAGAAAATTCATAAACGAGGAAAACTGGTACTCAAACTTTATTAGGGCCCGCCATCTGGAGCCCCATGCGCGCTTTGTACGCCCTAACTGCATTCATTTCCGACGAAGTAGTGCTTCACTTGCTAGCCCGGCAGAGGATGTTTACGACCCTCAGCTAGCCTTGTATGTAAGTACATGATCTGCCACTCTAGGCACAGCGGATACTAATAGTAATCCCATTCTCATCAGATTCCTTACGTAAGTCCTAACCTAGCTGTATTGAATTCCTAAACTTATGTGCTGTGAGCCAGCTACACTGGGACACCTATTGGAACCTGCTTCAACGTCGGAAGGCCATCGAACAGCGGCTACGACAAGGAAGGTCCAAGCCAGTTCCTGATTCAATATCGAAAGCCAGCATCGAATCGAAATTGATCTGGGAATATCTGGGCAGTGAGCCCCCGATCCACATACGAAGAACGTTGGATCAGTTCGGATATCCAAACTTGCGGTCCACAGCAGCCCGAGATGATGATCAGATGCTTTGGAAACGGACAAAGAAGCCAATTGACCCCAGTGACAAACCTGGAGAACTGTCGCCATTACACAATGAAGACAGATCTCCCAAATCATTCATGGATGGAAAGGTCCTCATGGTGGACCAGCTTTGGCTTTGGATCGTGGACCGGGGGACTGTCGTTTCCTTTTTCCCTAAGCAGGAGGCTACGACCGCTGAGAGCAAGCTCTATGAACAAACAAATTTATATAACAGCATATACAACGAGCTGAACGGAGACCTTGCGAGGCGCTTTGAGACCGCCGGCGATCTCGCAGCGTTAATAGTGTTGCATGCAGTAACTGTTCTCCTCGACAGAACGCTGCATCATGATCTGCAGGTACTTCGAATATTCGAAGAATCGATCAGTATTCTAGTGAGAGGTGCTCTCAGAATATTCACAGAATTTATACTAACGCCACCAGACTGAATCAATGACGAAATCATTCAAACGATTTCGAAGCCGAGGTTTTATTACCAGGCCTGCAGATTGCAATAAGACGCCCGATGGAAAGACAATGACTACCGCAGAGCGTAATGAAAGAGACCATCGAGTTGCTAGCCAGAACCGTGAAGACCTGTCCACTTTACTGGAGCTAAGGGATATCGTAGACGAATTAGGCACTATATTGAAACTCCTGGAACAGCAAACGACAACTATCAAGACCATGTCCAGCTACTTCGAAGAGAGAGGTTACGGCAAATTTTTCATAGCTGCTGCACTGGATAGACTAGACGACTACCGCAACCAGGTCCTCGAGATGAAAGAAAATGCGCACTCGGCTCAGAAAGCTGTATGCATACCTCGTCTCATCTACTCTGCACCAAAGGATTTGACTGAAGGTTTGTTTACTAGGTGGAAAATCTCCTCGATCTCAAACAAAAACAAGCAAATGTTGACGAGGCCCGGATGGCTCGATGGCAAGCCGAAGTAACCCAGGACCAATCCCAATCCGTGATGGTATTCACGATTTTCACTGTAATGTCAATCAGCTCTGACTATCAAAGAGTGACTATGCAACTTCACTAACTGCGAGGAACAGATTCCTCCCACTGTCTTTTTTCACGTCCTTATTTGGCATCAATGTTCGAGAATGGAGCGGCGAATCGGAGAATCTGACCATGTCCCAGATGCTTACAATCGCAGGTAAGTGACACTTGGAATTGTTGACAACGGCCCAAAACTAATACATACCCTAAAGGCCCAATATCAGCAGCGGTTATTATCATTGCCTTGCTCATGGCATTCAGCGAGCGACTTCGAGAGTCGGCAACAAAGGCCCAACAAGTTGCCATTGGAATGACCAAAGATCTCGTTTTCGTTCCCATTGGGAAAATATTCCGGCGAGAGGGGAAGGGGTCCCCGTCAATGTCTATGGAGATCACGAATAAAAAGGACCGGTTTGGTCGGTATCTGGGACATCGGCACTATAAAGAGGATGAGGATATCTGGGACAGCATGAAGACCGCATGATATCGCCGCTGCCGTATGCCTTCAGCTCTGAGAATGAGAAATTGGATCCCGGTGGTTCGGAGAGAAAAAGGCGATCACATCGTGAAAGAGGACCTAAGTCTACTGTATGATAAGATGTCTATCGATCTAGCCATTTATCTTGTACTTTGTCATGAACTCCGCCGAATAGATAGGCTACGGAGATGGCTATACCAGCCTCACAGAACCAAGTGTCTACAGTTCATCAACGATTAACGTAAATTGAAATTCGAAACCACGACCCCCAAGTTGTCATGGAGTACATAGAGTACAATATATGATACACAGGACTCCCTGAGACTTTTTATGCCCAAAGTAGTGGAGTGGAGATGATGTATAGAGACGCATTCAAGAATCGAAACACGCAGGGAAGGAGATAATAGGGATAACGGGAGGAGTCGAAGTCTGGGGGTAATCAAAGACGTGCAACACATTAAAACAAAGGAAATATATTAAAAATCCGAGCAAAAAAAATGTACTGGAAATGCCCATACTATGCTAAGACACGCTCGAAGGGAAACCTCTGCAAACAAGGATGGTCAAGAGGCAGCGCAGCTTAGAACATACCGCCGCCCATGCCACCCATACCACCCATGCCACCCATGCCGCCAGCAGGACCAGCAGGAGCCTTCTCCTCAGGTGCTTCGACAACTGCGACCTCGGTGGTGCCGAGTAGGGAGGCAACACCGCTGGCATCAACCAGGGCGGTGCGGACGACCTTGAGGGGGTCGACGATACCGGCGGAGATCATGTCGACGTACTCACCCTTGGAGCTGTCAAAGCCGCGGTTGAAGTCCTTGGCGAACTCGTCGGAGAGCTTGCCAACAATGACACTACCCTCCAGACCGGCGTTCTCGACAATGGTGCGGGCAGGGCGAGTGATGGCACTCTTGATGATGCTGACACCGAGCTGCTGGTCGAAGTTGGCAGGCTTCACCTTCTCCAAGCCGTTGGCGGCAGCCTTGAGGAGAGCTGTACCACCACCGGGGAGGATACCCTCCTCAACGGCAGCACGGGTGGCGTTCAGAGCATCAACGACACGGTCCTTCTTCTCACCGACCTCGACCTCGGAGGAGCCACCGACCTTTATGACGGCAACACCGCCAGAGAGCTTGGCCAAACGCTCCTGGAGCTTCTCCTTCTCGTATTCGGAGGTGGTAGGATCCGCCATGACGCCGCGGATCTGCTCGCAGCGCTGGGAGATGGAGTCCTTGCTACCCTCACCGTTCAGGATGATGGTGTCTTCCTTGGTGATAGTGATGGAGCCAGTGGAGCCGAGCATGTCGGGAGTAAGCTTCTCGAGCTTGATTTCCAGCTCATCGGTGAAGACGGTACCGTTGGTAAGAACAGCCAAATCGCCAAGGATGCTCTTGCGGTTGTCACCGAAGCCGGGGGCCTTGACAGCGGCAACCTGGAGCTGGCCACGGAGCTTGTTCAGGATGCAGACGGCGAGAGCCTCACCCTCAATATCTTCGGCGATGATGACCAGGGGACGGCGCAGGGTGGTGGAGGCCTCAAGGGCAGGGATGATGTCCTGGACAGCCGAGATCTTCTTCTCGGAGAGGAGGATCAAAGGCTTCTCGAACTCGACCTTCTGGGCCTTGGTATCGGTGATGAAGTAAGGAGAGGTATATCCGCGGTCGAAGCGCATACCCTCGGTGATCTCAAGCTCATCCTCGAGGGTCTTACCCTCCTTCACGGTGATGACACCCTCCTTACCGACGCGCTCCATGGCATTGGAGATGAGTTTGCCGACGTGGGTGTCGCCGTTGGCGGAGATGGTGGCGACCTGAGCGATTTCCTCACCGGTGGTAATGTCACGCTTGTTCTGCTGCAGGAAGTCGACGGCAGCCTCGACAGCGGCCTGGATACCGCGACGCAGGTCCATGGGGTTGCAACCAGCGGCAACGTTCTTCACAGTCTCCGAGAAGATGGCACGGGCAAGGACGGTAGCAGTGGTGGTACCGTCACCAGCGACTTCGTTGGTCTTGGAAGCAACATCCTGGAGGAGGCGAGCACCGAGGTTTTCGAACTTGTCCTGCAGTTGGATGGCCTTGGCAACAGTCACACCATCTAATGGAGTCAGTCAGCGTCATGGATCGGTTGCCGAAATCCACCAGGACAGGAGAGGGAGTGACCTACCCTTGGTGATCTTGGGAGAGCCGTAAGGGGATTCAATCAGGACATTACGACCCTTGGGGCCCAGGGTCGAAGTCACAGCCTTGGCAAGAGTGTCCACACCCTTGAGGAGCTGGGCACGAGCCTCAACACCGAACTTGAGGTCCTGTAAGGAGAAGAGATGGTGAGCACACCATCGATGACTTGGAGTATTAGGAACCACGGAAGAGAGCCAATCGGCACTTCATCCAAGGGATTGCGGGTCGACGATGACAAATTACATACCTTGTGAGCAAATCGTTGCTGCTGGAGGTTGAAACCAGCAGGCTTGTAGAAAGGAGCGCGCTTAGAGGCGGCAGAAAGGACAGAAGTCCTGGAGGAGAGAGCTCTCTGCATCTTCAACAAGGGAGGAATAGGAGAGAAGCGACAGGAAAAGAGAGATCACAAGGACAATGATGAGTACGATAATGCAACAGCCCGACCAGAACTCCCAGAGTAAGAACGGGTGCAGAAGAAAGAGGACGGAGGACGGGGGAGAGAGGGAGAGAGAGATGGAGATGAAGTCAAAAGTCTCGAAAATTTTCCCGGCACTTCTGGATTCCCCAGATTGTCTTGGCGGCAGAAGCTCCTAGAAGATCACGTGGAGTGTTCCCGAGGGAATCCGCTCGGGTAGTCGGAAGTTCTCGCTACAAGCAAGAGTTCTCGTATCGAGATATTCTAGATATTTTATCAAGATATTCTATGCTGGTGAGTGTGGTTGAATGGAGTCTCGTTGCACTCTCGACTCGTGCTAATGCTCGCTCCAGTATATTCCCAAAGCACTTCACTCCGAATGTATCCCAACCACCGACCAGCGTCGGAGAACATGATAGAAGACCAAAGAAAGAAACTATGTTGAATGCTCCGTGAATAATGTATAGCTTCCAAATGGGTTTTGGCTCACTTTAGAAAGATGAATATCCAATTCAACTACACTCCTAAATCTGACCCGGGTGAATATCGTTGTAATCCCCAGGATTTCACACCTCTAAATTCACGCCTTCAACTGAATCTAGCATCCCCTAGTCCTCATGAAAACCAACCAAAGTTTCCCTCCAGATCCAGGTTGCCCTCATATACCTGCAGAAGTCCTTCGTGCAAGAAGCCATTGCTGTCGCCAGTCATCTCAGGGAGAAACCCTGCATGGTCCTCAAAGGAGTTGCCATCGGCAGCAACGGACTGATCAAGTTGTGAGCCGTCAGGAAGGTTATAGAATGGCTGAATGGCATCAGATCGCCAAGAGACATCTGGGGGTCGATTGGAGGCATGTCAACATCCGCGCCCGATGCAGACAGATAGCTGGAATCGGCATGAGTGGCAGTTTCAAGATCCCAGAGCCGGGCTCGGTTTTGACCAGAGTGGGAGGGTCTGAAAAGTTCACGGGAATGCCTACACGGGCTGTATTGTCATACACGCTGACCAATTCGGGCGCTGCTGGATCATCGCATTGTGGAGGAATCCGTCCGTAGCTCTCCTCCGCTGGACGCCGATACTTAAGCACGACAATCATACTCTGCCTAGCAGGGGGCGAGCTGGAGGCTGGAGAGGATGATTCCGTTTGCTCTCTATCATTAGGGGATTCGAGAAATTTGGCACCAGGGATCAAACATTCCCCGAACCTCACGGTGCTCTTCTCTTCCATGTCATCGTGGACCGTACCAGGCTCCTGTATGATGGAAAGGACCGAAAGCCGCTTGGACTATTTAGGCTTGTTCCGGGAACGCTTTTTCCACACAATCTGCATCGGAGGAGGGATCGTGGTATTCGAAGGTGAGCGGCACCTCGTCATCGTCTTCCCCCTCCGAGTCATTGGAGTGATTGGTGGCCTTACGCTTCGATCGAGAGGCAATCTGGTGTGATTTAGTCGAAGTTGTGAACGCCCCAACGCCCCCTCGCCGCAGAACAGGAGGGACAGCTCTGCCCACCGCTACTCAATGACTTCGAAGCTTTGCTAAGTGCTGAACGATGGCCCCTTCGGTCACATTGTGGCCCATAGTCCTAGCAACCTCAGCCCATGGTATCTTCACAGACTGCAAATTGTAGACGGACTGCACGGTTAACAGGAGGAGTTCATTCAGGTTATCTAACGTAGTAGGGGTAAGGAGGTGGACAGCACTCCCAAAGGAGAAACAAAAGAGTGATACTATGTATGGAGGATGCATACCGTCCCAACGGACCAAAGTGCGCTTCTTTGGCCTATTCAACTGCTTCTTCTGGGGAGTCATCTGACGTTCACTTTTCTCTATTTCTGTGATCCAGAATATGAGAATCAGCGACTGACAGAAAGAGGCAGCTTGTCAACTGGAGCCCGCTAGAAAGCTGGACCAAGATATACATTTTGTGTTGAGGTCAGCTCTTCTTGTTAGGAGTTGGTTGTATCAGAAGTGAAGGCAAGGTGAAATGACAGCAGGAGTCATGTGCTATTTGTAGACACAGACAGTAGAATGACTGGTAATAAAGATTGATATCCCCCAGCTTTTAAAGGTAAGCTATCCCTAGATCCGTCCTAAATAAGCAGTCTGTGTGGCTGTGTAGCTCTGCAGGAGCTCTTCTAACTAGTAAGGTAGAAATCCAAACAAAGCTATAGAAGAGATAGACCTACGAACTGAGAAGCATAAGTTTGATATGGGCTATCTCTGGTGTTATTAAGGAATACATAACCTTCTACACGGGCTTGCCAGAAACCACCCTCTATTACTATCTAGATAAAAAATAACCACCTATATCCAAATAAAGCAGGATACACCTCTAGTTCAGTAAAAGCTAGATGTTCTATATGCAGCACAGAAGTAGGTCTTGATTTGGTCACGAGGTGGTCACGTGTATCACATGACCCAACATCCCGAACCTCCGGAAAGTTGCTTTGCACCGCAGCATCGGTTGATTCTGTCCCTTCCGAACTGAACCTCTCCATCCTTCACATACTGTCACAATGGCATACTGGAAAGCTGCTGGTCTTACGTATGTTTGATCCTGTTCTCTGCAGACCGTATGGACTGACATTTTCCCAGCTACAATCGTTACCTGGCCGTCGCTGCTCGCGCCGTCCGCCGGTCCCTCCAGGACGGCCCTCGTGCCGCTGCTGAGCGCCGTGGACAAATGGATTTGCGCTTTGCCAAGTGGGAGGTTCGTGTGGCAGTTCCCTTCTATCCGGATCCTAGATCCAATGGACGATACAAGTGTGACTAACCGGTTGATTCTTCGGGAAACAGAACGGCAAGCAGGGCGAAGTCAAGGGTCTTGGTCAGGCCAACGAAGAGGCTATGGCTCAGACTGCCGGCTCGAAATAAGCGATTCTCCGGAATATCGACGCGATGATTTTGGGTTTATTTGGAGGAAAAACGATGATATGGGGAGTTTTACAGACATGGAAGGGGGGGGTGTGATGCCGGAAAGAACTGAATCTCTGTAGCATACTGGCCCGTCGATCAGGTATAAATAGAAAGAAAGGGCAGCCTTATTCTTCTGGCCTTATATGGCGCTTCAGTAGTCGTACCGTTGGCAGCGTAGCTCGTGTCGTTTTCTGACCGATTCTCCCCCAGCGACCCTTCTCGGGGGCTGCGAGTCTTTGCCGCAAGTTTTGCCCCATCCATCCTCTCCCCGCCTCTGCCCACCCGATCTTCTTTTCGCTCATCCCTGTGGACACCCCCACACTCACGGTCAAGTCTATCGATATATCAGTAGGGTCGGACCTAGCAGATCTGGCAGCTGGCTGCGGATTATCGTGATCCTTCCATGCTGCCTCCGCACAAGGTCCCCCATCATGCGAGTCACTTCTCATTCCGTTGTCCCGCGCGACATCACCGAAGAGTTTACAGCCGCGGCCTCAAGTAAGAAGCTTCATAATTGGTTATAATTTCTGCTGGTTGATGGAGGTAGTTTGCTGACTCGGATGCTTTGTTCGACAGAGTTAAACACCGGTCAACTCGTCAAAGATGAATACTTTACGCTATTCGAGGCAGTGGGTGCGCTGGAGGTGGGTGACACTTTACCCTCTCTTTTAGCCCGCGAGATAGAGGGCCGTATGGTTCAGCCACTGATATTGTCGGGCATTCACAGATTATGGACTCGAAAATGGACAGCGGATACCTGGGCCCCGGAGAAAACCATACGCAAGCTTTAGAGGACGACTACGATATTATGCGGGAGCTAGCTCCGGAGGAGGTGATAGGGATCATGGATGAATTGCTCTGCCACGAGGTCGGTGAAAAAGGCTCCCTACATCACTGATGTGGCTGGAAATACGCAGGAGCACTACTGACAAGACCGGACAATGGCAGATGGCATGGCACATGGGACATCCCCTCTCGCAGACCCTCTTCACATCCATCTACCTCGATAAACTATTATGGCCCGTGCCCAAGTCCCTGGAAGAGGCTAGTTTCGACCGTCACAACGCTGCCCGGGAGAAAGGTGAATCGGACATGGTCCATCTGGTGTTGCGCGCATACTGTCTTGCGCTCGTCAAATGCTGTGATTTTGTCCATTCGCGGGTGACAGCTGAGTACTACTACGAGGTGTGTCGCTGTAATATTGTATGGACAAGGCTGGCGCTAATTGTGTGCAGGAGGAGGACTTTGTGACCCAACTATACAACCGCAGTCTACTGTCACAGTTCGACGTACAATATTTCACCGACTTGCTGGATCGTGCACTCTCTTGGCTCGATGACCAGGAGGGGACCATCGATTGGAAGCTAAGAGAAGCGATCAAACTCCGGCTTACGTTTCGGCGTGACTTTCTTCTCGGGCTAAATCAGGATGTCGATGTGATGGAAACGCGGACCACCCACCACTTCACGTCTTGTTTATCCCAACTAGACCCAATAACGAAGACGATCACCTTAGGCACACTGGTACCTGAGGCCTTCAGCTGGAAAATCCAGCGTAAACTGGCTAGTACCGTGCCTCCTCGGCCGATGGTGAAGATCAGCTCTGACGATGCGCTGGCGCATCTGAAACGGTTGTGCCAGGACGCCATCGATCTACTGGAGCTATTAGACTACCGGGGGCCGTATAACTTCAAGGTATGAGCGTCAAGCACTTTTGCGATCATTTGGTCATGTTCGATGCCTGACCATCCCAGGTGGCTATCTGGACGTTGCTGTCTCGAAAACCTCAGCCTTCTGTGTACATCAGATCCCTTCTCCAGACGGTGATTGTGAACGTGGTGAACAACAACACCACCATCCTCGGAACGTCACCGGCGAAGCAATTTCTATACGATGAGCTTGGGGAGATCGTTCTCCCGACCAGCACCCTCCTACAAGCCAACACAGATGATACAGAAATGCCGACCGATCCTCGTTTCCAGATAGCCCAGCACATGGATGCCTTTGCGAAGCGTTTCGCGCCGGTATGACCTGACCGATTCTTCCCGCAACCCAGAGGCTAACTGAGACACAGGCCTTCATAGACACGTTTCGAAGTGCGTGTCTGAACCGCTGTCGCATTCGCCGAACGGTCTGCCACACCATCGTTGACTGGGACAACCTGCAGATGGAGGTAAGTGTCTACCCAACCCCGTTACGTGGCAAGCCCGCGTCTAACGACGCCCTCTTCCCCCGACAGGCTGAAGACCTCGATGAACAGCTTCGCACACTAAGCAGCGAGTCTCCCTTGGTGCTACAAAACGGCGACGCGGCCTATTCATACCCGCTCAGCAGCTGGGCCTACCATCAGAAACTGAGCCAATTCCGACTGGTCCTACAACTGGGCTTCGAACTGTCGATATATTCCCCGGAAGAGCTCCCCGGAATGTACTGGTACCTATCGCACATCTGCTCAACCCATCTCGGTCACATCGACCGCATCCGGACCTTCACCGTCGCCACGGCGAAACGCAACTTGACCGCGCTCGCGGGAAAGAACCACCAGGCGGTCGAACGGCACGGCGTCCTACAAAAATCGCTCCGACTTCTCGAGCGCATTACGACGCAGATCGTCGCCGTCGACGCCTTTGCCATCGCGCTGCATGCGCTGTACGTTCTCCTGGCGCGCCATGGGGTTCTCCCGACCGCCTCGTCGACCCAGGCATACTCGGACGACCGGCTCCGCTACGAACTGCGCATGAAGCCCTTCATTCCCATCACCCTGCCGGAACTCGTACCCTACGAGGAATACCGGCGCGAAGCCATGCTGGACGGCGACAGCGACGCGACTGTGGTGGAGCGCGCGACGAAAGCCATTTCGGAGGCGCGCAAAGCATGGGAAGCGACGCTGGCGAACGGCGCCTTCGTCATGGATGTCGACGACGACGACGACGCGGGGGATCAACGGCGGGCGATCGAAGATGATTGGAAACAGGAGGTGAAGAACACGATGCGCGCGTGCATCGGGGCCAGCATCGCCATCGAGACAGTGAAAAATGCGCTGGAGATGCACGGGCCAACCGGAGGCCCTGAAACCGCTAACGCCTCGAACCGGCTCTGTCTCCAGGTTGACATCCCCGAGACAGGGTCCAAGACACGTTGGCATGATTGGTGGGCGGTTCCCCAGGTGTCACCGATTGCATCGTCCTAGAGATGGCATTGGAGAGCATGAGGTGAAGGACGAAATCATTTGGGGACGAGAGGCGTATAATCCCGAGACCGACGCTGACGGGGAGACAGACCTGTATATGAGAAAAAAAAAATCATCTTACTAGAATTATGTAGAAAGTACATCCAAAAAAAGACGAAAAAGAGAAAGGAACCAACAATTCGACGTATAGGAAGTACATTGGTAGCAAGGAGAGTAGTATGATTGTAGATGTCTCGAGATGGACATCTGGATTTGATTGCTGTTCAGTTCAGTTCAACCTTGGGAACTGCGGATCGCACGAACCAAGAATGGGGGGTTAAATGGTGTCATTTTTGTCACTTCAGACAAAAAAAAAAAAAAAAAATCCCTAAGAAACAGAGAGTGAGAATGAGAATGAGAATGAGAAGAAAAGATCTGTTATACAAGATCAGGTCCGATCTGAACGTATGTCCAGTGGGCACCACACCATTTCGGAAATCACTGGCCGATTCATAACAGAGGTATTCATTCTTGTTGACTTTATTTTGTCTATTTATTACTGCATTTCCTAGTTAACTTTATTCTGACTACCGGCTGATTCATCCCTTCCAATCCGGGGCATGAACATGATTAATGAGGAGTTGACGGATTGATGGGTTCGTCCAGACAATTCCTACTTTTCTTCTGGATTTTTATTCGTTCGTGCGATCTCCATCTTCTTCCTTTCTTCCTCTTCCTTCAATCTCTTCATCCCATCCCATCCTACCTCTATGGACTGTCGGTCATCTTAAGGTACCTGTTTAACTGATCCAGAATTTTCTTCGCGTCTACTCTCCTCCCTGTCTACCACCTGCCACTGACTGTCCTCGTCTACCAACCGATTCCTCGACTTGACCTGTTGCTGCTCCTACATACTAGAAATAAATTATTGTCTCCCTTCTCGCTCCCTGATCGTCGCTGGACCCCATATTCGATGCCAATCACGCTTCTTTTCAGTTTCAAGCCACCAACAGCCTCCCTCTTCTCCCTTCGAGGACCAGCTTCCTTCTCTCCTCATCGCCGTTAGCGGGGCCGATCGAGAGCTCCACCACCACAAGACGACCCAATTCATTCCTGCGATGCCTCCCTATCCGATTCGCCGACGGCCTCGTGAGTGCAAAACTTGCCTTCCATGCCGAGCCAGCAAGGTTCGCTGTGATCGCAACATCCCCTGCAGTAACTGTGTCAAGCGCAACTTTAACTGCTCCTACGGTCGTCCACTCCCAACCCTGCCGAGACCGTCGTTCCCAGACTCCTACTCTTCCGACGCCTCCACACCTCAGTATCAACCCGCCGCCACGGCCAGCTACCTCTCCTCCACGCGCGATCTTCCTAGCATCACCGAGCCGGATAATCCGCTGTCGGACACGGTGCATGTGTCCCAGGTCGAGTGGGATGAGATCAACTCGAAAATGAAGGCCATGGAACAGATCCTGTCGAGCCTCGATTCGCTATTCCAATCTCATGCCGCTCGGAAAATCACCGAACCCCGACCGGACGCCGTCTCAACAACCGAGGACAAGCCCCCCCCAGCATCTCATGGCATCTATGGCGCATATGCTTTGGAAACGGGTCCAGTACATATTGGCTCCCGATCCGCCTTGGTGGACATTCTCAACAGGTCGCAAGGGTCCGAGGAGACGGCCAGGGCACTCCCCAAGGATGACCTTTTGGCCGAGTTGGCCATGGGGAATGAGTCCGCCGCGTACCCATTCGTGGACCTGTGGTCGTCCGACCCGTATACCTTTAATATTGCCGGAGTCTGCGGGATGCTACCGGACGACGACCAATGTCGCAGGTGAGCGGTCCCTACCCCCTGCTTCTGCCCCCGGCGCAGCGCCTCACGCGACTCTCCGCTGATCGGTGTAACAATCCGCAGATTCCTAAGTTTTTACCGGGATATTGGTGCGGTCCTGTATCCCGTCCTTCCGAATATCGCCAAGTTAGAAGAGGACATGAACCGGCTATTGGACGGTCGCGTAGCAGCAGGTGGTGTGTATCGACCCGATGCTAACGGCTTCATCAAACCGTTCGGTATGAGCCTGGCCTTTCTGAGCCTGCTATTTGCCGTTATAGCGTCGGGTTGTCAACTGTCCGACCTGCCGGGCAGCGAACGGCAGTTCGTGTCATGGGTCTATGGTTCGTTGGTTTGTTCCTGACCGCTCGATCTCTTCTCGATGCTGACGTGTGTTTTTCAGTATCCTGTTCGTACCAGTGCCTGCGCATGCTGAACTATGTGTCGCAGCCGACCATCGAAGTGATCCAGATTCTGTTGATTATCAGCAACGTGCTGTCCTATAATATGAATGCCGGTGCTTCGTACACCTTACTCGGTGGGTGCCATTGTCGAGGGAGTCCGGGGTATTCATGACTAATGGGGGAGTTGCGGTATAGGGATGACGGAGCGAATGTGCATGGTGCTTGGCCTCCATGTTGAGACGTCAGGGTTCCCGCCAGCCATCCAGGCAACCCGGAGAAGAGTATGGTAAGCAGGGTTTGGGTGTCCCCCTGGAGAATCAACCTGGTTATCTGACAATCAACTCCGGTTTGCCAGGTGGGCTATGGCCTTCCAAAATAGTCATTTCTCTCTAGCTTACGACCGGCCGTCGATTACCATGGTCAGTCAGCCAGAAATCCCGTATGATCCGAAGTCGATGCCCGGCCACCGATCGTACTTTGAAACCCTCTGCCGGATCATCTCCGTCGTGCTAGAGATGCTGCGCGAATTGATATTCACGCACCATTCGCATCTGCGATACGTTCAAATACGCGAGTACAAACATCGCATTGAGTGTATTCTCACGGAGGCCGCGCCCCATCTGCGGTACCGGGAACGATGTACCACGTTGGCCGAGAATATTGAGCGGACAGAGCTGCGATTACACACATCTTACTATATCTCAGTTATGTGCCGTGGAGCGCTGGATCCTGACTCCGTCCTTGACGGACAGCGGCGGGCGGCGGTCCGGGACGACTGCCTAGCCAATCTGATGAAGACGATCGAGGCGTTCGTCGAGCTGCATTTCCTTAACCCCCACTGCTCGCGCAACTGGATCAGTCTGCAGCGATCGATCGCGTCCGCTTTCTTGCTGGTCGCCCACAACAACGATAAGATCCATGCCCAAACTTGGAACCTGATCAAAAAACTAGAGCTGGCCCTGGAGGACCATGTGTTTGCCCATGGGGAGGCCGAACATAACAAGCAAACGGATTCGGCGAAGCATCTCGAGTCATCGCTCCGAGCGCTCCGCGAGGTCAGCGCTGCGTTCCATCTCAGGAGGAAAGGCGCGTCTGCGCCGGAGACGACGAACGTATCTCCGAGCACCTCCCCCGTCACTGTGATGAGGTCGCCTACCTCGGTGAATGTCCGTCCTGGCACCGAATCGCCCACTATGTCCCGTTATGAGGTAGGACCCGAGAATGGACACATTGGTAACATTCTCAACCGGGTTTCGGATGTGATGCTCTTCCCGAGCATGAACACGGGAAATGCATGATCCCATCAGGCGCGAAGCGCCGTAAGTAAATACCCCCATTCCGATGGCTGTCACTAGGCGTATCTCACATTCTTGGCTGGGGAATGCAAGTACCTACATCTGTAAACCACTCACGCCATGTCTTTCTGTGCTTGGAACCGGTAGGGGGGAGGGGAGCCTGTCCCTGAGTGATCCACGGGGCATTTCATCCTAACACTCAATGCATTGCGAATGCTTTAGGCGGGAGAAATGCGGATCTGGTAGTGCCACCAAGTTCCAGTGGTATTCATTCCTTTTTGAGAGGGAAAGGAGGCGCAGGAGGAATTTATTTGTAGCTTCAATTGGTTTGCACGTTCCCGAGCATTCGCCGTTTCGGCCGAATGGTGGGCAATCAGTCGCGCTTTGGGTTGCTTTGTACTCCTTGCATCGCAATCCGATCAACTACATACTGTAGTTCAATAGTTCCAATGCCCATTGGGCTTCGTGACTCATGCTGATGTCCTGTCCATCCCCATCCGGGTTGGTTCCTTTTCGACGCCACATTGCCCTCGTATCGAATGGCAGACGCCATCGTGTGACGCGTGATGGGTCTGAACGCTGGCTGGCGCTAGCTCCTGCTCTGACCACTCCTTTCCTAGGAAGACACAGATTGGGGCAAACTTGCTTCCAACGCACAGGGGTGTTTTGGCTGCAAAATGGTTGGATCGTGACTAATAACTACCTAATAATTACATTAGAAACCATAGTGACGAAAAAGCCAGACAGACGGACCATCGGTGGGTCCCATCTCGGATCCGAGATCCAAGTTGACTCCATCGCAAACCTTTCCAATCGTGCTACGAACTCTACAGAACGTACCGCGGAACTGGCACAGGCAAAGTGTGGGTAGCGGTGGAGATTCCCTCTCTGTCTCAAGACCCTGGGATCGCGATATTACGGCGTACTTTACAGTGGTGCCAATACTGGCCACACCTCGTGGCGCGAAAGAAGCGCCATGATCCGACAATCCTGACAGGGGTGAGGAACCGGATTCCTCCGTGGAAGGGATATGACCCGTCTGGAACTGGGTGGTATGATCAGTCAGGGGAAGTGGATACCGACGATGGGCCCAGGATCTCTTTTCTACACTCGGAGGTATTACATCTGCCAACGTCAGATTCTTGTCTTCATCGACCAGCTCTACGAATTAGATGGCTGGCTAACCGTCGGGGGATTAAAACCCTCCGATCTGAGTAAGACCAATTTGAAACAGAAGAAGCTTGTGCTAGGGTGATGAATACTATAAACTTGATTGACCAAGGACTGTTAGTGGAAGTTTATCCCAGCTTCCCTTAAGTACGGAGTAGAAAGGCCACCAATTCCCCCGCGAGGATGACTCTGGAATGGATGTGCAGATTGCGATCTCCTGAAGCTTTACATTTCCAGACTAGCAGGTATCCTCAATCCAGGAAGGATTTTTGCACACTGCATATCTGACACAGCCAGACTCCTTCAACCCATGCGATATCAATTCCGCCCCAATGCCACCTCATGGGCTATTGCATTCAGGCCTCCCATACTATAATCCATTAAATAATGAAACCAGCTGAGCAGGATGAATGGCAGAACCATGTCGATCTGACTGGAGAGATCGGCAACTTGCTTGTTCTCTCTCTTGCACGCCCGATCAAGTAAATGACCGATCAATCAGGTATAAATGGCACTTCACCATCTGATTCATTGTAAGGACATTCCGCAGGCTAGATATTGATACGGCTCGAGGAACATGGACAAAAAACTCATCCTCCTCACCTTTCTCTCGCTCGCGCGCGCCTGGCTACCTAATACGGACAAATCCATCACCTCCCCCGACGGCACCAACCTCTTCAAGGCATCCAACGGCAAGATCCGAGGCGTGAACCTCGGTTCTCAGTTCATCTTCGAGCCATGGATTGCTGAGAACTCTTGGTCCGAACTGGGCTGCAAGGACCAGCCCTCGGAGTTTGACTGCGTATCGTCGCTGGGCCAGGAAACTGCAGACGCGGCGTTCGCAAAACACTGGGGGTCATGGATCACCCGAGACGACATCTCGGAGATGGTCAGCTACGGGCTCAACACCATCCGGATTCCTGTGGGGTATTGGATGAAAGAGGACCTGGTCTACCGCGACAGCGAGCACTTTCCCCGCGGCGGATTCGACTACTTCGAAAAGCTCTGCGGATGGGCCAGTGACGCGGGGATGTACATCATTGTGGATCTGCACGGGGCGCCGGGGGCCCAGACGCCGAAGAACGCATTCACGGGGCAGTATGCGCCGGAACCAGGGTTCTACAACTCGGGGCAGTACGAACGGGCGCTACAGTTCCTGGAGTGGATGGCGCAGAAGGTGCACCAGAGCGACTCATTCCGCAATGTGGGCATGCTGGAGGTGGTGAATGAGCCAGTGCAGAATGAGGGCCAGACGGCTACGATGAGGTCGGAGTATTATCCGAAGGCATTTGATGTATGTATGTCTTCCACCTCCCCGTTGTATATGCTGACCGAATAGCGAATCCGATCTGCTGAAAAAAACCTCAATATCAACCAATCCAACTACCTACACATCCAGATGATGGACCGACTCTGGGGCGCAGGTGACCCGCACGAGTTCCTGACTGACGACTACTACGCGGCGTACGATGACCACCGGTACCTGAAGTGGGCGAACGTGGAGGTGTCGCAGGACAGCTATATCCGGACGTCGTGCAGCGACCAGCTGGACGCCAACAAGCCGACGATCGTGGGCGAGTGGAGTCTGAGCGTGCCGGACGACGTGGAGAACAGCGACGAGTGGTCAAAAGATGGACAGAAGGATTTCTATCGACGGTGGTTTGCAGCGCAGGTGACGGCGTACGAGCGACAACAGGGATGGGTGTTTTGGACGTGGAAGAGCGAGTTGGGGGATTACCGATGGGCCTATAAAGGTATCTTTCTCTCTCTATATGTTTTTGTTTTCTACTAACTGGGATAGATGCCATCGAGGCGGAAGTAATCCCGAAGGATTTGAAGGTGGAAAAAGTCTGCTCTTAGTTTTTCTCTACGGAGTACTATGTACCTGTATGCCTCCATGTACACTAGTCCAACCCAATTCAAGAGTCATGAAGTATGAATCACTCCTGAAACCCAATATCCCCCGCCTCTGTACCGATCTGAATCCCATACACCCAAGTATCAATAACGACCTCCTCACCACGATACGCCCCGAACTTCGGCTCCGCGCGACCGGGGAAAGTCGTCGCCTGCAGCCGAGTCTCCCCATTGTTGAATTTCTGCTTCTTCCCGTCATAGATCAACTCGACCCAGCCCTTCTCAGCGGTATTGATAGCCATCATGATCTGATGGCGTTCTTCGAGTTCGGGCTTGACGGACCACTGGGAGACGCGACCGGTTTTGGCATCAGCTTGGTATCGGAAGTTCAATTGGCCTTCTTTGACTTCGAGGGAGAGGGGGATGTTTGCGCCACCGTCGTGGCCGTTGTTGGCTTTATACTCCTTACTATAGGTGCTATTAGCTTTCGTCTGTCTTCGTCTGTATCTGTATCTCTTCCGTATCTCTTCCATCTGTGTAACTCTCTCTGTGTGTCTGTCTCGATCTATTATAAGGGCAAGAAAGAAAAGGAAAGGAATAGATACAATTGCCAAATCATCAAACTCTGCTGCAACTCCGCCAAGGCAAAATCATATTTAATGTAATAAGTCTGATCTGCCTTTGTCTTTCCATGGAGGGCATGGTACTCGGCGCGGATGTACCCCTTCTCACGATGGTAGTGCAACGCCGGCGTACCGTGGGAATCCTGTCCCAGTTTCACGTAGAGCTCGTCGGTATTACCCTTGGGTCGCTGGCCTCGTTTGGCCTCGAGGTTCAGCGTGCCGATTTTCGATGGGTTGTCGCCGCGAGAGGCGTTGAAGTCGAGGAGGAGTTCGGCGGACACGAGAGGCAGGACGGAAAGGAGGGAGAGGAGTTTCATTTTGCCTAGTTTTTTCTTTTTTTCTTCTTTATTATTATACTTATTATAAGAAGTTTTATTATAAATGTGGTGGTGTTGAGATGTATTTATTTATACCTCTAGAAACACGGCCTTTGATTATCTCCCGACGGCCCCCGTCGATCACTGTCGGAGGTTTTTGCTGGCCCTTGACCTAATAACTAAGGAAAGGACGCGTGGATATGATTTCCCCCTTTTCGAGTCCCACCTCTCATGTCGCACGTCAAGCACCCCTAGTGTGCCTCGTCAAGTCTTAGAGTGTCAGATTATATACTCAGGCTGGTTACGTGCGCCCCCATACTCAACGCTTCTATGTATGGTGAAACGGATCGTTCGCGTTGAATGGGAACTTGCGCGCCACCACTTCCCCCTGATAGTCCCAGAGCTGTTCCAGCTGCTGCGCCGGCGTCTTCACCGCACATTGCGCCGGCCTCGGCCCAAACATCTCCACCGTCGTCTCTGTGTTAGTCCCGTATTGAATGCGCACCGCCTGCCGTGTGCGCCGGCTGGGATTGTCCAGCAGGTAGTTGACCGGCGTGAACCGCAGCCCTGCGTGCGCCGTTGTCATCACCGTGTTGGGCAGGTCGCCCGTGTGCGGGACATGATGCATCCCCAGGTTCAGCCAGAGCACCAGGTCTGTCTGGTTCAGGCTCTCGCCATCGAAGAACCGCGAAAAGTCCACCGGCGGGTCGTGCACGTCCTGGTTGTTGTAGGCATGCGCCCCCCGTGGCTCCCAGTCGTGCTGCCGCGTGATCTGCACGTCGTACTCGGCCCAGCGCGCCGCATGCACCAGTGTGCTGGAGTTGCGCACCGTCAGATGCGTCGTGCCTGCCGGGAGGACGTGATATCCGCGGAACTCGCCGTATCGGTTGCGCTGGTCCTGGTTGATGACGTGCACCTGCGTACCCCCTTCCCAGAACAGGCGCCCCTCGTCCTCGCTGCCCACCAGTAACCGCCGTAGCTTCATCGTGTGCCGCGGCCGTTCGGACCAGACGTACGACTGCGTCACGGGCACCATCGAGGTCAACTCGACGCTGTTATCCGTGCCCAGGATGTCGAAGTCGGCCTTGAAGCTCATGACGTGGTCGTGCATCGACCCGGATAGTGCGTCGCGGATGCGGTATCCGTACTCCTCATTGTGTGCGTAGAAGGCCGCCTGGACGTAGCCCGACGCCTTCACTTCCACCCCCATAGTGCCGTCCAGGTAGAAGGTGTAGCTGAAGGTGTAGTCGTAGTTGCCCACCGTCGCCACCGACCGTAGCGTTAGATAGACGTTGCGCGTGCTGCTAACGGCGCTGCCGCTGTTATGGCGCCGCATGGCGCTGTCCGACTGGTACTCGAACAGGCACAAACTGTTGATATGCGTGCGCGTCTTGTCGTTGGCGTGGAACGTGGTGTTGAGGTACGTGGCGTAGGCCGGGCAGTCGTGGCCCTTGATCAGCTCGAATGAGTAAGGTCCGAACCCGTAGAAGGAGTCGAGGAAGGCCGTGCCGGACGACACAGGGTCATTGCCCGCGTAGTGCGCTAGCGCCTCCTGCAAGCCCAGTTCATACAGGATGCGCTGCCCGCGGAAGCGTACATCGAACAGGGAGAGCCCCGTGTCGCGCGAGAACCCCACGTAGAAGGAGAAGTCCATCCACGAGATGTACTGGCGCTTATGATCCACGCCGAAGCGGCTGCCCCCCGGCACCACCGCGGCGGGGGGCTCGCGGTCATCACGGGGTAGCGGGGGTCCCTGGGGGTGGGTGAGCGCCCAGTCGCCGTCGACGTTGGCGCCCAGCTTAACGAAGCCCGGTGTGAAGTAGGCGGCACGGAAGGCCTCGGTGGTCTCGTAGAAGATGTCGTTATACAGCCAACCCAGCACCCGCCACTGTGTCGGGTCGCGGCCGGTCACGTCACTCTTCAAATACAGCCCCAGCGGGAGCAGGGAACCGGCATCGTCCACGTCGTCGCTGGTGGGCCGGTTCCAGTACATATCCCAGCGCAGGACCCGGCCGTCTTTCTCTTGCCACATGGGGTCAACGCCCCAGAGAACCAGGGTATCATTGTCCAATCCCAACGCAGTGCCGTTCCAGAGATCCCACGTGATGTCGGCAATCGAGGCGCTGACATTGAACATCCATCGCTGGTGCAGCGCCGGGTCCGGGTTCAGATTACGCACCTTTCCCTGCGTCTTTCGCGTCATGGGGAACTCGAGCGGCGTCCAGCCCGTCGCAGGCTGGATAGGCAGCGGCCCGACCAGGATATCCTGGTAGTAGGCGTCCTCCGAGGCGCGGTTGTTGAGCATGACCCGCGCATACCGTGGAGGCATCTCGTCGTGCTCGTCGAGATACCGTACGACATCGCTCTTATTGGGATACATCAGCTCGACCCAGGATCTATCATACAAGGTCAGACTGTCAGCGCTCTTTACATTCATCTGGGGAGGATGAGTGCGACTCGTTGCTCACATCGTGTTATCCCACGAGTCCGCTTTCTCAAAGATGGTCAGGTTGAGCTCAGGCTGACGGAACAACCATTGCACCACTGCTGTATTCTCCTCGTGTGAGAGACCGTGCCAGACATTCTCCTTGGGGGCGACAATTGCATCTGCTGCTTGTTCGGGACAAAGCGGTGTGCTGATCGAGGCATTGTGTCCTCGCAAACTCCGCGGAGCCGGGGGCCTTAATGGGGGTCGCGCGACCACGGGGACACCGCCCAGCAGTAGGACAGGAAAGACGAAGGATAACTTCATGGTGTGGGGATTGAAAACTGAAGTCAGGTGAGGGCCGGAGCAGCGAGTACTATATATGCCAAATGAGAGTCTGCGAAAGGACAGCTAGAGAACAGTCTTCTCATCGCAGAAGGATTCCCCCTCTGAGACGTATCAAACCCAAGCGCCACCTGCCTATTTTTCAATAGTGCTGAATTCCGATCGATGGAATACTGTAGCTCCTTCCCTCTCTCAGAGTTAACAGAGGCCGTCGGGAAGGTGGGAAGCACATTCAGTCAGATCCAAACGCGTCAATTCCATTGCACCTTGGATGTGCCAGGGAGTAATTTGCCTCCCAACTAGAAGCATACCAGCCAAAGTTTACCTGGTATGCCTCCATTGGAGGGGGGTTGGATGCTCGGACAAAGCCGTCCTCAGTCCCCGGGTACTATTGGGCAGGAATCCGGTGTTTTGCTCCATACGAAGTAATCGGGATTGAACCAGTGATTCTATGTCTATTCCGGGTCGAACAGGTGGCGTGGGGTCAATGTAAATTGCACTGGTATGCACGAGGCTGTTCCTCCATTTTGCAAAATGTACTGTCTATGGTACTCCTGCATTCTTCCTGGATCGGGAAACTCTCTTGAAGAGGCCTGGATCCTATTGATTGTTCTCCCACTGCACCTCAAGGTCAACAGCTAACAGATATAGATAGTCATGGAGCAGCTCGATCATTGTCAGAGATGTCAAAAAGATGGAGGCATCATCTCGATGGAAAGGCCCATTCGATCGCGTGCATCGAGCTAACAGGGAGTGGCTGCATTTCTCAGCGGGAGATCATCCGCTGAGATAGCTCAACGAGGAGTAGTGTATATGTGTATTTAAAGCCCCATCTAACGCGACCCCCTAACAGAGCACGTAACATCCCAAATAGGCCTAGATACCTGACGCCAAGTCCACCCCACATGGTCAAGACTTGGAAACTCCCAACGAGGATGGCCGTAGATGAAGAGGTCGCCAATCAACTCAATATTGCCTGAGAATGATATTGAGCCCTCCCCATGGTTGACAGTCGAGTGGATGGGATGAACTCAATCCCCTTCTTATGAGAGAGAGAGAGAGAGAGAGAGAGCGTGATGAAGGTGTGACAAATAAATAGGGCGTATTGGTGGAACGTCCCACTTCCCCGCGTCCCGCACCATGGTATAGTATCGTATGGTACCGTACTTGGCAGGTACCGTACCAGCTGCGTATGAGCTAACTGTACCTATCATAGCGCGTCGGACTCTGCAACTCGACATTTTTCTATTGATAGCTCACCGCCCACAGTGCCCAAGCAAACGGTGAAGCGGTCAGCTGATGGATGCCTGCCCTGTCAGGCCAAAAAGATCGCGATTTTCGCTAGCTTTCAATCCTGCGTCCTCATCCCCAGCGATGCCATCTCTCGCGAATATGGCCTCGTCGTCGGATGATCTTGCCGCTCGTTTCGAGCATTTCTTCGAGCAGGATGCTGAGAGAGCCAAGCTGATCAAAGTAAGCACCCCTATCAGGTGTCCACATTCTTCTTGAGAGTGAGAGATTGATTGATTGACAATGGCATCCATCCCTTTGTCATCTGTGTAGCTCCTACTCGAGAAAACGCACGAATATAAGACCCTCTTGGAGAATGTTAATATTGAGTTGGAGCACGAACGAGAATCTCGCACCCGCTACCAGTTAGAGCTCCGTTCACTGCGCGACCGGAATAAATCCTTGGACCAGGCACTTGTAAGGAGACCGAATCAGGCCATTCATCGGGCTGGGAGCTGACAGATTGACGGATGGACAGAATCAAGAGCCCTATGTGACCGTGCTGGTGGACGGTGATGGCGCTATTTTCCGGGACGAGCTGCTGCAAGACCCCCAGAAAGGCGCCCCGGAGGCAGCCGTACGACTGCGCCAGGCGGTGCGCGCCTATCTGAAGGACACTCCCCTAGGCACCGAGCACATCCCCATTATCGTACGCATCTTTGTTAATCTTAATGGTCTGGCGAGGTCGCTGTATGCGGCCGGCGTCGTCGACACCGAGAGCCACATGCGCACCTTCGCCGAACTCTTTACTAATAGCCGCGCTGAGTTTGATTTTGTGAACGTCGGTCATGGCAAGGAGAATGCCGATTCTAAGATGAGAAGTAAGCTCTGCCATGCGTCCCCGACCTGTTGTTCTGACGACAGTAGAGATGCTCAGCCACTACTACCATAATATTCAGTGCAAGAAAATCTTCTTCGCTGGCTGCCACGACAACGGCTATCTCCACGAGCTGCGCCAGCACGAGGGGGATGCCGATGCTAAAGAACGCATTGTTCTGCTGGAGACCACTCCGGCCCAGCCGTCCTTTACCTCGCTAAACTTCGCCATGACCCGCTTTGATTCCGTCTTCCGCACGGAGCCCTTGACCAGCGACCCCAGGCAGCGTGCGGCGGCGGCCCCTCTATCTCTCTCCCCGACGAAGCCCGCCGTTGAGGTCCATCCCTGTATTAGACCAGCCTCCACCCCGTCGCCCGCGCCCGCGGAGAGCATCGCGAGTTCGGGCAACGGCGGCATCTCCATTAAGTACCCGACGGCGGCGGCGGCGACGAGCTACGCGACGGCGGGGGGCACCAATGGCCACCAGAATATATCTATTACGTCGACTAAGCCTAGAGCGCCCCGCGTCATCGACTATAATATCCATGGCCAACGGCTAGATCCGCCCAACAGGCACCCGGGCCAGTCCCCGGACCAGGTCACCTACAAGGAGAAGTTCGAGAAGATTAAACCCAAGGCGTTCTGCAACGCGTTGTACCTCACGGGGCGGTGCGAGCGACAGCATATATGTCCGATGGAACACGGGGTGAAGCTCACCCCGGGCGAGGTGGCCATCCATCGATACAAGGCGCGCACCACCCTGTGTCCCAATGGGCCGGAGTGCGAGATCTACAGCTGCTACCTGAGTCACCACTGTCCCTTTGGGCAGTTCTGCCAGCGGGGAGCGGACTGCAAGTTTGGCGGGACCATGTTTGGTGACCTCCATTTCTCGAAGAGTGACATGGAAGTCGAGTGAGTACTCCTGGTTATCTATCGTTGGAATCGTTCTGCTTACCGTGATAGTATCCGATGGATCGAAGGTAGCGACTTCCCGGTTCGGCCTAATCCTTGAATCTACTACTAAGATCATTTTATTAAATCTTTAAACGATCGTTGGGATCGACGGGAGGGGGGTTTGGTGGCACAACATCGGGGCTACCCCCGAGGGGTATATGTTAAGATTGTCCATAGTCTTTTTTTCTTTTTTGGTTTTTCACGTACGATAGGATCTATTTTGGATGTGAAATAGAGATTAACCGAACGTCCCGATCTTCTTCTCGATAGTAGACTCTCTTGTCTCCGTGCGATTGCCTAGAATCTGTCCATCCTATCCCGGATGCCTTCTGTCAATACATATGGACCAGGATTCCTGGCAGATTAATGATTTAGTGGGAGGGGTAACCAGTCAGGACTGGGATTATGCATGATGACACGCTATGACGGCCAATGAACACATTTCCTCCTGCGTGAGGGGACTGGAGCTGTTTTCCGATAAACGTATATGTGTCCGCCGTTATTCTCGAATCCTCCAGATTGACAGCTTCATCTTCCATCCCCCCATCAATATGCCTCAGGAACAGCATCTCGATGTCCTAGTGGTCGGTACCGGGTTCTCCGGCATCTACACCCTGCACTCGATGCTCCAACAGGGGTTGACCACGAAAGCCATTGACTCGGCGCCTGATGTTGGTGGCACCTGGTACTGGAACTCCTACCCGGGTGCCATGAGCGACACCTGGAACCACATGTATCGATACACGTTTGACGACGAGCTCCTCCGCACCTACCCCTTATCTCAATGGTTCGCCACCCAGCCCGAGATACTCGAGTACCTGCGACATGTAGTGGAGCGGCATCGTCTGCGCCCGCACATGCAATTCCAGACGGAGATGACGAGCGCCACGTGGGATGATCATGCGGGCGTGTGGCGCGTGCAATGCCAGACGGGGGACGTCTTCGTGGTGCGATATCTGGTCACCGCGCTGGGGCTCCTGCACAGGGCTTACTTGCCGGATATCCCCGGGGCCTCAAGCTTCCAGGGCGAGATCGTGCACAGTGCCGCCTGGCGCCCCGAACTGACGGTGGAGAACAAGCGTGTCGGCGTAATCGGGGTCGGGTCCACGGGCGTGCAGATCGTGACGGCCGTTGCCAGTCAGGTCCAGTCGCTGCACGTCTTTATCCGACGGCCGCAGTACAGCGTGCCCAGCGGCAATCGACCCATGACGCCTGAAGAGCGCCAGGACATCGTGAACCGATACCCCCAGATTATGCGGGAGGCGCGCACCTCGTTCATCGCCATGGGATTCCCCGAGCCGTCGCGCACCCTGATGTCGCTGGCGCCGGACGACCGCGAGAAGCTGCTAGAGGACCTGTGGCAGGGAGGCAACGGGATGCGGTTCATGTTTGGCGGGTTCGCCGATGCCATCACCGACGCCGCGGCTTGTGAAGTTATCAGCGAGTTTCTGCGCAAGAAGATCGCCAGTATCGTGCGCGACCCGCAGAAACGCGCGGTACTGACGCCGCGAGAACTGTTTGCGCGCCGACCCCTCTGCGACAGCGGCTACTACGAGCAGTACAACCGGGAGAATGTGTTCGCGGTGGACGCGCAGACACATCCTATTGTCGAGATCACACCGCGCGGCATCCGCACGGCTGACGACACCGAGTATGAGCTGGACGTGATCATCTTCGCGACGGGGTTCGACGCGATGGATGGCAGCTACAATCGAATTGAGATCCGCGGACGGGACGGGCAGCTCCTACGCGACAAATGGCAGCAGGGCCCCATCAGCTACCTGGGGATCGGGATATCGGGATTCCCGAACCTGTTTATGCTGAATGGACCCAACGGGGGATTTGTGAACGTCCCGCCACTCACAGAGACCAACGTGGAGTTTGTGAGGGACCTTGTGCGGCACGCGGAGACCGTCTCGCGACGTCGGGGACGCCGGTGCGATATCGAGCCTACGGGAGAGAGCGAAGATGCCTGGACGCAGCTCGCTCGGTCGTCGGTAGACGCCACGCTCTTCCCCCGCGTGCCGCAGTGGCTGACGGGCCGCAACGTGCCGGGCAAGTCGAAGGTTGTACCGTTTTATTTCGGGGGGTTGGCGAGGCTTCGTGCCAAATTAGCGGAGGTACAGACTAGAGGATACGAGGGGTTCAAGGGACTGGAAGAGGATTTGACACGGTTATGATTCTACGACTGGGGTAGAGGGTTACCAGTATGATGAGCCCATGGATAGAATACCTGCCAGAACCTGAAGCTTTCTTCTTGGTGCTTGGGTATTCATATCAGATGGGAATTTCATATGTATTCGTTGGTTTGTTAACTTTCTGGCAGAAGTGACAGTGGTAAGGGGTATTCAAGTCACCTCCACTGCAATAAATATAGAGCATGTATAGGGAATGAATGATGCCTCTAGTGATACTAAGCCTCACGAATATAAACTTGGCGCACCATCCAGGTGAACGTTATTCCTGATAATGGGAAAACCCCATATTGTTATGACATTTGGTTTAAGCACGCTGCAAACAAGAGAACCGCATCGTAGGACCACTGGAGTTGTTTTTGATATGGTGCCACATGAGATTATTCCAGAACTAAGAATATAGATGGCCCACTATAAATAAGGACCGTCACATACAATGGGCCCTTGGAAATGGCACTAAGGCTTGTACCACTTACTCTTGCGCCGGACCAGACTTAGAGGACAGTTCTGCGATGTATATAGACAAAAGTTACACAACCTCACTTCATCAAATTGGGTCTCAGAAAAATATTTAAGAAATCCAAAGTTTCTGTGATACCAGAATATTTGATTGAGCATGGACCAGTGGAGAGAATTCACCTTATCAGATGCCCTCACAATCCCCCCACCCGAGATTTTCTTTCTACTGTAAGTGCTAGATATACCACGGTTATTGACGCAGCCGCATTCTTCTACCAGTGGAGACTTCATCCTCCTACATGCCCAGACAGATGTAATTATATAAAGAGTTGCAGATCCTCTCCTGTGAAATTATATAAAACCTAGAGTTATATATTATACTACGTAACTAATAGAGCTCTGTATTTCAGACACCATTCTAGCAATTACTGTATCAGCCTGTGATTATAGGTTATAATTAATATGAATACATCCATGGATATGCAGCCTTCTTCTCAATTCTACTTATTAAATATTTATATAAGTTAGGTATATCATATATATGTATAGAGCTAAGCAGTGTGCTGAATGGAGTAAAACAGTAATAGATATGGATTGTGTGAGGGACCAGCTATGGAAAGAGGCATGAAAATGAAAAGGTGTGTAAGGCACCTGGATATATACATATCATACGTATACCAGATCCTCTCGCTTAATCTCAAGTCTCGTCCTCGCGAATCTCGTCGACATCCCGATTAAGACCACCAAGATGCTTTACACATAGCCTGTAGGCTGTTGCTCGATTCTACAGAGATAAAAGTTCGACATGACAATACATAGGATCGGGTGCCTCAGTGGAGGTAACAATATATGAAGTCCTGTATACATGATGCAAAGAAATACTTGCTAACTGCCTGGAAAGCTTCTGCACTGCCCAGTGGTACAGTACATTAAGTAGAAACGATGTTCAAGCAGTTTGCCTATCAACATCGTCATTTGCCCGGCCAATTCTCAGACCGTACGATTGCCATAGAGATCGCCACTTCACTGCATGCACTATCAAGAATCGCAAAAGCATTGTTAAGGAATTCACGGGTACATTTGCTTCTTACCCATCCCTTATCCAGCTCCAATGTTCCTACCTCGACACTACGGAAACGAAAAACCCCCGTTATTTTCTCAACCGACACGATCCATATATTTGAGATGGACAACAGGCGCAACCTCCTCCAAGTAGCTGATGCGAGAAGCCCACGTAATGATAGGCGACGAGTTTTTCTACGTGCGGGGATTGGTGAACAATGAGGAGTTCAGCGTAGCTAAGCAGATTATTGCTAGAGCCAAGGAGGAATTCATACGAAAGCATGCACGCACCAACGAAGAGCTAGAGTTAGAGCATGCTTGGCTGTTTCAATAATTGCTTCTCAATGGATACATGAATTCTTAGGCATCGGGAAAGTATGAAACTACAGCAGGTAGAATACTAAATTTACAGAATCCCGAGTTAGGGAGGAAGTACTTCCGCGTAAGAAAGTGTTTGGATTCTATAACACGTTGAGCAGGTTTCCCCGGCGAAACTTAGCCATTCTTCTCAACCATGTCGACCGTGGCGTCTAGAATTCCATAACGAGGTGTTGTTCTGGACTTTTCCCCCTTTACTAGAACCGTTTTAAAAAAAATTAAATTAAATTAAAAGCGGAAATCTCAGTCGTTCGAAGCAATTTCCCCCACAAGGGCCAAGAAGCCTGGGCTGGAAGGCTGGGCATTTCCGCCGATGTCGCAAATCGGTGGCAAGTAGGAGAAGTACGATGGCCAGTTAATTGAATATTGTCGTTTCTATCTAGTTTATAGCTTTGTAGCTTTGCAGTCCTGTACATATATCTGATCGGATGAGTGTGATAGCGGATCAATGGATGATTATTCATCTTCTCTCTTCCCATTCTCCTCTCTCCCTCCTCTCTCCCAACATCAGTCTCCCATCATCCATCTCTCATCATCCATCTCTCATCTCCCATCTCTCATCTCCCATCTCTTAACGTAATCAAAACTCCTCCAGGTTCCACTGTCTTGGCCTCGCAGTCTCCGACCCTCTCCGACTCCCAGACTCAAGCTCTCGTATTTTCCAAACAAGCGTCCTCGCCCGGACTATGCCAAGGTGCGCCACTAGGTTTCCGAGGAGTAGTAGGGAAGCCGATTTCCGGTTTTGTGCCTGGCCTTCCATCCGTCCGGCTCGGGGGCAAAGAGGGCCCGGCTTCTCATTGGGGAGGATGTGGCCGGCGTGTCTGGGGTAAATCCTGGAGAATGTCAGGCGTTGGCTGACAGTTTTGCTTGGCCGTGCTCGGTCTGGTTCCGTGTTTCCACCGAACCAGACTTGAAATGGAGGATATTGCGGGGTAGACGGACGAATTCCGCAGTATGCGTGCTTATACTGTATGATCCTATCTCATTCGCCTAGCCAGTCTGATATTTCTCCATAATCTGACCAGGAATTACTACAGATCAACTTCAGCTGACCTGATCTGAGTCCCTCCGTCCACCGTCTGAGACTCTGAGTATGTACTGCGTCCACGGTTTTGACTGTGGGCAGGATCACTGGGACAGTTAGCGTTCCTGGGCAGATCCTCTCCCGAACAGTATACGATGTTCACCACACTCGAGGCTGGCCATGACATGCTTAGGCTCTTGGCAACATCTTGGCTCCGCCAGATATGACGCTTGTCGCGGGGAATGTCGGCTCGCACCCGCTGGAGGACGTGGAGCGCCGCAATATCAGAGCGTCACGCGGGGTCTGCCATGGCTCCCCCGTGGAGAAATTCACGAAGTGGTGGTGGTCGAGGGTGAACCGGGTATATAAAGGATGGCGGGGGAGGGGTGGGATTACCTCCCTTCCCTTATCTTCCACACGTCCTCTTTCTTTTTCTAGTAGAATTGTACATCAGATGGCTTCCAACGAACCCGCTGATCCCATCCCCAAAGGCTCTTGGGCCACCGCCAAACAGGCGTGGGGGGACCTGTTCATCTGGAAGCAGCGTGTGGAAGTCACCAATGAGTACGGGGAGACCCGAACCGAATGGCAGGCTCCCGCTCCCATCGAGAACCCAATCAGTCTGTGCATGCAGTTGAGCGCGCGCGACTGGCTGTTCTTCCTAGTGGGATTGGCAGCCTGGACGGCCGATGCCTTCGACTTCCACGCGCTGTCTATCCAGACTGTCAAGCTGTCCAAGTACTATGGCCGTTCCAAAACGGACATCACGACTGCCATCACCCTGACTCTCCTGCTGCGTAGTGTGGGTGCCGCCTTCTTCGGTCTGGCCGGTGACAAGTTCGGCCGCAAGTGGCCTATGGTCTTGAACATGATCGTTCTGGGGCTGCTGCAGATTGCCACCATCTACAGTCACACGTTCCAGCAATTCCTGGCTGTGCGCAGCTTGTTTGGTCTGTTCATGGGAGGTGTGTACGGTAATGCTATTGCCATGGCCTTGGAGCATTGTCCGTAAGTACACTCACATATAAGTATATCTCAATACTGACACACGACAGGGTCAATGCCCGTGGTCTCATGTCGGGAATCCTCCAGCAAGGTTATTCGATGGGATATGTTTTCGCCGCCTGTGCCAATCTGGGTGTGGGCGGCAGCACGGATAGTTGGAAGACCGTGTTCTGGATCGCAGGTGTGTCATCGATTTGCCCATGTATTGGACCCGTGCATAGCTAACGCCCTGCAGCGGGAATCTCCATCGGTGTCGGGGTTATTCGAATTTTCTTTCCCGAATCTAAGCAGTTCATCGAGGCCAAGAAGGCCGGACATAAGTCGAAGGACGCCAAGGCATTCTGGCAGGAGACGAAGCAGATGTTGCACCAGGAGTGGAAGATGTGCGTCTACTGCGTGATTCTGATGACGTGGGTTAGTAGACGAAGCAAGCAAAATGCAAGCACAAGTAATCGTTCTAATGGCTCTAGTTCAACTACTACTCGCACACCTCTCAAGATTCCTACACGACCTTCATGTTGACGCAGAAAGGCATGGTGAACTCGCAGGCGTCGCGCGCCTCTATTCTCATGAAGACAGGCGCCTGCGTCGGCGGCACGATTATCGGATACCTGTCGCAGTTCTTTGGACGGCGGCGCGCTATTATCGTGTCGGCCTTGGTGTCCGCGATTCTCATCCCGGCGTGGATCCTGCCCACGTCAGAGCGGTCGCTCAGCGCGACGGGGTTCTTCATGCAGTTCTTCGTGCAGGGGGCCTGGGGAGTGATCCCGATCCATCTGAACGAGCTCTCACCGCCGGCCTTCCGGTCCTCGTTTCCTGGTATGCCCCTTGATTCTCTTGATCGGTGTGGTTGGAATTGAACTGACAAGACAGGTATCACGTATCAACTTGGAAATATGATCTCGTCGCCGTCGGCGCAGATCATCAACGCCATTGCGGAGAAGACGTTCGTGAAGGGACACTCTGGGGAACCGGCGCCGGCGTACGGGCCTACGATGGGAGTGGCAACGGCGATTATTGCGACGGGGATCGCGGTGACAACGGCATTTGGCCCGGAGAAGCGTGGCCGACGGTTCGAGACGGCAGTGGCTGGGGTGGACACGGCAGTGTCGAAGGATGTAGAGGCAGGGTATGAGATGGAGAAGAGGGTTGAGGAGAGGGTTGAGCGTGCTGGTTAATAGCATAGACTCTATACTAGCATTCTGATATCCAATTTGAGTATTTTATCCCTTCAACTCGAGATTCACAGTCGGCTCAATTTGCGGGCGATTGAATCTATTCTATAAGCCACTCCTTGAGCTGGATCAGGTATCCGATAGATACAGTCGTAGTATCAAACCAAGACATACATTCTACAATTCCAGGCTTCGCCTCTCTTGAGAGAGATCGATGTTGGATGCCTTAAAGTTTTGAGGGCGACGTGTCTTGACAATAGCCAGTGTACAAATCTCTATGCCGTAAGATGAGACCTGCACTAACCCCGGACAGCAGAAACCATGCAGGATGCCAACTCTGTCTGAGCTGTCGATCTATTCTTGGATATGTCCGGCCCTGTTATGTCTTAAGGTCCTAGCAGATCAGCGTCAGTGGTGTGGTTTCTCAGTTAGTCCATGTGGCCGCCTTATTGTGTATGTAGAGTTGGATCTATCTTACATGTCTCATCCTTTCTTGTATACTGGCATAGATATAAGTAACCTGAAAAGATATAAAGGGTGTTCTTTCTTTCACCATCTCATCCATTCTCTATCATCAGTATACAATCACACTCACAATCTACTTTCAATCTACAAAAGATCAAGACAAAATGAAGGCCATCCTCTCCCTCTCCCTCTTCCTAACTGGCTCCCTGGCTGCGAGCGTCCAAATCAGCGACCTCTGGGCCAATACCTCCAAACGCAGCAACGGCGCCAGCATGCATTTCACCCTGACCGATCCCAACTATCCAGCAGATACTCCAACCGAATGCAACCTGATCTGGTCTCCTTCCTGTCTTCCCCTCCATACAATCCATAATATCTATACTAATGATATATAGGGGCTATGGATCCAACCCCAAAGAAAACGCGCGCTGCAACAACGGACAGTATTATATCCGCTTTCCGCAGGGGATCCAAGATATCGGACACTTTACCCTGGAACTGGAACGCGTGGATGGCCCTATTGCTGAGAAAGGCCAGGTCCTGTTGAGTGACAATGCGAATGGAGATGCGCCGGGGACGAAGTGGATCTGTCAGCAGGAGCCTCAGCCTGGGGTGACGGAGCGGTGTGCTTATGAGGGAGTTTTGGAGGTTCAGGTCTAATCTCTGTATTAATCTATTCTCTGGGTTAGTCTGTGGTTTGTTTTGGTTGGGTTGGGTTGAGTTGTGAAGATAGGATAATAGAGAGGAGATACTAGGAGAGAACGTGATCTGTGAGCCCTAAGAATCTATTTTCTCTAATATTCTGTCAATCGCCATGTCAGTTATCAAGATAGACAAGAATAATTTCAAGATCAAGTTTCAAGGCGGGTGATGTCATGAGCGATTATTTCCATCCATTGGTTCCATGGATCAATCCCCCCTTTGATCCTTTTAACCACGCATCACGTATAACTATCATGACTGTGGACAAACTCATCAATCAATTTCACGCTCCACCACATCCATGGATACCTCTCCCCTCCGGCTGCTACATCACTACATCTACATCGTGGTCTGCCTTCTGCTGGCCTCCGTCATCTTCTACCTGCCCGGAAGTGTCTCCTACACCGACTCCCTCCTGCTCGCCTCCGGCGCCGCCACCCAGACCGGCCTGAATCCCATCGATCTCCACCGTCTCCATGTCGTGCAGCAGGGTGTCCTCTGGGTCGTGCCCATGGTCACCAATGTTGTCTTCATGCATTCCCTGCTTGTCCTGATCCGTCTCTACTGGTTTCGCAGACGCTTCCGTCACGCCATCCGCGACGCCAAAGCCCTGTGTCGCACCCAGCGTCAACGATTGAACCAGCATCTGCGCGATCTCGTCAGTCAAGGCGCTGTCCAAATCAGTCGACCGACCATTCCCGTCGCGCGCGAGAGTGAGGAACAGCCGTTGCTGGAGAATGACGCAGAGTCGTCGCGCAAATACCAGGCCACCACCCCTCACATCACCTTTGACGACGAGCACGACCCCGACTCCAAACCACGTCATCGGTCCTTCTCGAGCGCCGTTTCCCGTCGTCGGTCGCAGTCCGAATCCGGCGACGTGCTGCACGACGCCAACGGCTCCCTGCCACCCTTGATGTGGCAGGCCTCTATCGCCAGTTACTCTGACTGGGACGAGGCGCAGAAGGAGGAACTGGGCGGCATCGAGTATCGCGCGCTGAAGACCCTGCTGATCATCCTGGTTGGCTACTTCCTCGCCTTCCATCTGCTGGGGATCGTGCTGTTTGTCGCCTGGACGATGCTGAGTCGACGGGATGACCCTGTCTTCTCGCATCTCCACGTCGCCCCGGCATGGTGGGCTGTCTTCACCGCGGGTTCGGCCTTCAATGACCTGGGCTATACCCTGACGCCGGATTCTTTGATCTCCTTCCGCACCGCCGCTTTCCCCCAGCTGGTCATGACCTTTCTTATCGTCGTCGGCAATACTGGGTTCCCCTGCATGTTGCGTCTGATTATCTGGCTGCTCTCCAAGATGTCCTCCTACGGCTCTCAGTTGGACGAGGAACTGCAGTATCTCCTGAACCACCCGCGACGCTGCTTCACACTGCTCTTTCCGAGTGCCGAGACCTGGCGACTGGCGGCGGTGCTCTTATTGCTCAACGCGATCGATCTGATCATTTTCTACAGTCTCCAGGAGGTATGTTCTTCTTCTCCTTCTCCTCCTCCTCCTCCTCCTCCTCCTTCTTCTTGCCTGGTCTGACGATTGTAGATCCCGAGTGCCCCTGGCATCCGATTCGTTAACGCCCTCTTCCAGATCGCATCGACGCGCACGGCGGGATTCAGTATCACGGCCCTGGGACAGCTGCACCCGGCGGTGCAGGTCTCCTTCATGGTCATGATGTACATCTCGGCGTTCCCCATCGCCATCGCCATCCGTAAGACCAATGTGTACGAGGAGAAAAGCCTTGGCATCTACCACGCGGACGAAGACACCACCACCGAGGGGGGGGAGGAAGAGAATACTGCGAAACCGCACGCCAACCGCGGGCTGACGGCGCACATTCAGCGCCAACTGGGGTTCGACCTGTGGTACGTGATGCTGGGGTTTTTCCTAGTAGCGGTGGCGGAGGGGTCGCGATTGCAGCAGCACCGCGATGATCTGGCATTCTCGCTATTCCCGATCCTGTTCGAGATTGTGTCCGCCTACGGGACGGTGGGGTTATCGTTGGGATATCCCCGGACAGAGACCAGTCTATGTGGGGAGTTTAGCATAATATCCAAATTAGTGGTGGTGGCGATGCAGGTGCGTGGGCGGCATCGAGGTCTACCGCATGCGCTAGACCATGCCATTCTACTACCGGTGGAAGAGCAGGGGCAGGGAGAATGGCCGTGGAAACGGTGGTTGAAGCGACGGGGGTCGAATCTGAGTAGTTTTTTTCACGATTCTGTATAGTCTATAGTGTATAGTCAGCGTTAATCTAGAACATCGTATTAACTATCAAATCAATGGAAACAAATCTCCACAGATTAACCGACCCAGAGAATGACAGGGAGTCAATGACTTCACGGAGGATACGATGTTTCCGAGCCCGACCAAGAACCATGACTGAGCAGTGGTCCACTGCCAATATCCACCTCCAGCCCTACGGGGACGATCTGACCGAGGCCGGACGAGAATCTCCGATCCACGGATCTGTCGGAGTCGGGGTTAACAGTCCGTTATTCATCAGAGTGATTAGTTGTGCTTACTGGTTACTCCGTATATCCGTTTATGAATAATCAACGAGGATTAGTTAATCATCTGGTCGTGACGTCAACACATGATGGACAGAATCCGATTGTTGGACAATCAACTTTATTCTGCCTCGGATATGGATATGGATCAGTATCAGTTTTTGTCTGGGCAGAATCCGTCTGAGCTCTGAGGGCTAGACTAGATTCACCGAGCGTCTAGAAACGAAGATGAATCATGACTCTGTACATTTCAGCACAGCCAGGAGCAGTCAAAGAATCTGGTAGCCTTTATTTAACGTGTAGCCCCGACTACGTGTCAATGCACGATCTAGGCATCCAGATGATCCAGGGAGAAGAAAGAGTCAGAGAGCAAGTACGAGACAGAGCCTTGGTCCGCCTGGCCAGTGGGACTTCGCAATCGAACCAGCGGGAATACGAATTTCCCTTTTGGGATAAGCCGGTAGAGTCTAAGTTCAGTTATTTTGATGCTGACTTTTTATCCTAGTATCCTTGTGCTGTAATACTTCTGGAGGAATACTGCTGTGTATATAGAATAGCTTAGGAATACACGATAGGCTTCCAATCGGATCACTAATTACGGAGTAAGGCAGAATGTCTCTGTCAGCAGATGAATAATCTCCTTAATATGACCAATATCCTCATCCGGGGAACCGCACAGAGCATAAATAGGGTAATTCTCGGAACTCGTCAGAAGCCGGAAGATGAACAAAATTTGTCAGCGGAGCCTCGCTGACTCACAGCAACACTCATTCATTGGTTCCTTCGCCAGGCGGTCAGGAGTCTAGGTATCGGATTGGGCAGATTTTTCAGACGATCCTTGGCTGGAGGGGCTGTTTTTGACTTTTTTTTTTTTTTTTCGTAGTTATGGATTCGCGATGCCGTAAGTCCGACTGCCGATCGGAACCGGGAGCCACTACAAAGCATAAAAAAAATTTTAAAAAAAAAAATAGAGTCGAGAGCTAAGCACAGGGAATTAAAAGAAAGGTTCAGCCTGCGTCGTGAGGTGGATATATCAAGACTTCGTCACTCATCTCTGATCACTTTGTTTAATCCCCTTTATTTCCATCTTGTCCAAACCGACACTTGCATCTTGCCGAAGCCTACCACCACATACCATAGGATATAATTATTCTACCTATACATTTCACCAGGCACCCACACATCCACTCAGACTTCCGCAAATCCACCAACAACAGTGGATCTATCTGCCTGACTTTTCTTCACAATATATGCCTGATTGAATTCAGGAGAATATTCGAGACTACGGAGAATAATTACTACTTATTCCCTCGAAAGTACAAGCAGGGCTTGGCTAGTGTGACTCACCGCCTGACTAGTCACCGCCGGAAAAAGAAGGCTGCTGCCTGAGTCACATCCGGGTTTCATAAGCACATCAATCGCGGCCTAGGCGGCTACTATTGCGCCATGTCTTCATCTTCTTCTTCCTCTTTTTCTTCCCCCATCTCTGCCTCTGCTTCCCTTCCTCAGACTTTCTCCTCCCCCAGCTCCTACTTCACCTCTCTGGCCCGTCGCCGTCAACAGAAGAAAATGAGCATCACCCAAACATACTACCTCGCCCACACCGCCCGCAAGAAGCTGACCCGCGAGGCTCAGCGGGCGGACCATGACCTACGTCTGCTAGTCGGCCACGCCAACCTTCTGGATTCCCTCATGCTGGACCTCACTGCCGCCGAACAAGAACAAGAGCGATGGTTCAACCAAACCGTCAGCGGCGTCGCCAAGTCCACTGCGGAATCGGAGCGTCGCATCCAATGGGCCGACACCGTTGTCGAGGAGCCCGAGGAAGACTGGAATGGGGAGGACATCTCGGATGTCGACTCCGACGTCAGCGACGATTCAGACTTGGAAGAAGATGAAGGTTATGATTCAAATCTCTATACGCCCGTCCGCCGACGGGCACCGTCACCCGTCGCGGTGATCCGCGAGAGAGAAGTAGAGGACTATGATTCCGACTCGGATTCGGACTTTGAATACGACGATGCCGAGGATCTAGAGGAATTGACCCTGACTCGATCCCCGTCTCGACAATCGCCGCCTGAATTGTCCATGGACTCGGATGAGGAGTCCGAGGATGACTCTATGCCTCCATCACCCTTGCAACCGACCCTGGAATCCTTCAATGAGAAGGAGGCTCAGCCTACGGAGATCCCGCTGTCCGATGCCGAATTGGATCGCAGTTATTACATCTCTAATCAACCACAGAATCTGATCGAAGCTTATTGATCGGTACTGTTGTATGATATGATGTATCATTATCTCTTGGGTTGGGCATAGCGGGCGGCGTTTGAAATGATTCTTTGGAAGGGTCATGAATTGCATATACGGTGTTTCAGTGCCTAATTGGCATTTTATTTATTATTGAATTCTCTTCTCTTTGGCATTTGATTATATGGATGATTGATTCCTGTTGGCATGAGATACGATGATGATTATACATAGTTAGATTAAGAATACACTCTTCACTAATACTTATAATATTCTCTTATAAAGAATCTAGTAAAAGTCCTCCCATCACAGATAGATAGTTGGGCACAACATAGCAGATTCCAAGAAAATAGAAGATAGCCTAGGCCTCAAAAAAGCCAAGCCAAGCACACCGCCACTCTCCCCTTAACGTGATGAATCACATGGGTACCCAACCCAACCACGCACAAAGAAATTCGCAATTTACTGCGCCGCTATTAATTTCATCGACTCTATACCTAGGATGCTACTAGGCGCTAAAACCAAGAAATTAGGTTTTTCACCAAACCTAGGTCTCGTACCTGGTCTGAATCCTGTCCATCTGATCTGTCGATCCATCACCTCACATGATTTGATTGATTTGCATCAGCCGGGAATTGCGGCTCCCGCATGCCGAGTTAATCTTATCGCCGCGCGCGGATTATCGGAGACTGTCACTTCCGAGGTCTATCTATCCTTCTTAGATGTACTTATGCTTTGTCCTTGTGATTTGGTCTACATCCGTCCGGATTATAGATCGGATCTTGGGTCATGGATCACATGGGATGGGGAGTGTGGAAAAATGAATGAATCTGTATGCACTAAGCAGGTTCAGCAATCGGATGCACACCTACTATGTACAGAGTGTGAGGATAATTAGATCCAAATTGAATGGGTCTGGATTAACAACTTTGTCCCGTGGACTGAGCATACGGAATACCTTACTCTATAGTGTCTACGCTAACTAAATACTAGTTAAGAGAGTCATTAGAAATAAGCTATATTTAATTTACTGTACCGCATAAAAACGAATGCTAAATATTATTCCAAAGAAACTGACGCTTTATGCTTAATCAAGTGTCTACAGAAGCAAAAAGGACTCGAATTCAGGAAAATATACTCAGAAGCTCTATAACAACGCCTGAGTTGCTTCTGACCACTGCTATGATTTATGTCCGTCCTTGGGCGGCGCAGCTTCCCGTGGTTCGACGCTGATAGGAGCCACAAGCAGCCAGCGATATAAGAGTTTGGTCGGGGCAACCTCGTTAGACTCGAAACTGAATTTTTCGCTGCAGGAAACCACCAGGGTTGTATTGCTCTGGATATGGGCCTGCAGGATCCGACCGTGTTGATATGCCATGAACGAGACTGCCAGGATCTTCGACTGGTAGTACGCCAAATTGAATGAATCCTGACAGAAGAAAAGTCAGACATACAGGTCGAGGCCGATTTTTTCAAACAGCTCCCCATCAAGACGGACCTGCATGGCCATCAGAATGTACACCGGTTCGTAGCGCACCAGGTTGTCATCGGGGCAGATATCTTCATCGTCCTGATGCATTATCGTGGTTAAGTGAGGGGCGCGGTTGTCCTCAAAGTAGTTGATCCTTCTCACCCGATGACGATAGTTCTAGAATCCCAACATGTTCCCGTAGGAGACTGCGTAGTAGGGTAGATCCGTTAGCAAAGCAAGCCCACGGATCAGCGGGCAGTACTCACTCTGCGATCTACCAGCCGGTAACGTGGCGGAGCGTATATCCCGATGGGATATTGAGCCAAATGACACTGTTGATATGGTTCTCCAACACGAGGCCCAACATGGGGGTTGATTGACTTTCGAACCATTCAGATCGGCCTCCCGCTCTCTAGTTGCCTAACCTTTGATTTGGAGCATCCTGGACAGGCTTTCTCGATCTCTTTTAGGTACTTTGATCCACCGGGTACTGGCTGAGACACGATCCATGAGGGGTTCAAAATACTGGGTTCTAGCAGCGTCGGCGCCTTCGTTCAAGTACGGGGGGTGAACTTCGATGCCATTCTTCCGGCAGTCAGATGATGAGAGAAGTTTTGGTTGTCTTCCAACAACCTTTCAGCTTCGCAGAGACAGAATAGCTGTATGTCATTGTGAGCTATCAGATATGAATAATACTGGTTGGCCATAAAAAGCATTATAGGCTCTAAGTGAGCTCTAACTTTGTATTATGTTGTATAGTGTATATTTCTGACATGAGCTAAAAAAATAATAAGAGCCTGGGTTGGAAAGGGGAAGTTTTCACAGAGGACAACAGGGGGCAGGAATGAAACCTGAGTGAATCATTTTTCTGATATAGGATTCATCCACGGTTGTTTGAGCATACCTTCATGTCGGAAGTGTTGCTCTAAGATTCACGTGCATAGGGCTGTTTATTTCCTCTTTGGGACATGACAACAACGTGACCTCCAAATCAGGCAAACCCTGCCTTAGGCTGCAACCCCTCTCTCCATCTTCGCCTCGTCTTGACTTGTCTCGCTGCTTTCGGATTTGAACTTCACCACGCTTGCTTCCTCCTTAACCTTGATCTTAGATATCTCCTTCCTGGTGTCCTTTAGCTTCACCACTCCCGCCTCAGGGCTTCCCTCAGCCTGTTCTTGTTCCTATTCCGGTTCCAAACCATGAGCTGCCACCTCCCGATCATACCACTGGCAGAACTTCACGGGCTTCACAGTGGCTGAGTAGTTCTTTCTCTCTGCGTCTCCCTGTCCACCCCAAATCTGCACAATATGTCCTCCCGCCAAAATTCGCTCGATAGTGACGAGCAACCCCTCGAGTCGTCCCAACCCTCGCGGGTCTCTGCAGACAACCCTCGCAGGAAATCCATCCAGTTCAACGTCGGCGGCGCTGATCCCCAGCCTCCTGCGCCCCTCGTGTCGAGCATCGCGGGACGGAAGCGTTCGCCGATTGGTGTGTCTGAGAAAGAGCTGTGGAATAATGGTCGAGGACACTCTCCTCCTCCGCCCCAGTGTGTACTCCCTCCGTATGGATTAGAAGATACTGCTAACACAGCATGGGGGAGCTTCTAGGACCTACGAACGCGGGGTTTCCTTCGATACGTTCGATAACCGCGACGCTGCCGACTTTTCCCTGACCTTGAATTATAAGCATAAAGGCTATCAATCCACCCGGCGGAGCCGGACCTTTCTCTGTGGCACCGACCAGAATGATTATTCGGATTTTGCGCTGGAATGGCTGATCGATGAGTTGGTGGATGATGGTGATGAGATCGTCTGTCTTCGCGCCGTCGAAAAGGATTCGAGAATCGCAAGCGATTCCGGAATCGAAGAGAGGAAGTACCGACTGGAGGCGGAGAGATTGTTCGAGCAGGTCATCCAGAAGAATGCCCAGGATGAGAAGGCAATCAGCCTGGTGCTGGAGCTGGCCGTCGGGAAGATCCAAGTCATCATCCAACGCATGGTATCTCTCCCCCTTTCCCACTATTTCTACTTTAATGCAATCGCTAACTGATCAGATTCGGATCTACGAACCCGCCCTCCTCGTGGTTGGCACTCGTGGCCGTAGCCTCGGCGGCGTTCAAGGATTACTCCCCGGCTCCGTCTCCAAATACTGTCTACAGCAGTCTCCTATCCCTGTCATTGTGGTGCGGCCATCTCCTAAGCGCGAAAAGAAGAAGAAGAAGCGTCTTGCGGATCCCAACCGCCGCAGCTACAATCAGATTCTGGAAATGAGTGAGAGACGGGGAAGCCACATCTTCGATGGCGGTTCCAGTGCAGAAAGCAACGTCTCACGACTCCCTGGGGAAGAGGCAGCGGTCGCAGCGGCTTTGGGTCTCCCCGAGGCCTACGCCACCTCGCGGACCTCGCTTTCGACATCCGAGAGAAGCAGCGGTAGCCACGATGATGGGGATTCGCCGTCTCCGAATGCAGATTTCATCGACGCTGCCCAAAGTTCAGCGACGCAGAGCCCAGAAACTACTGAGAGTGACAGCGGATCCGACGACGATCCTGTTTTGGATCCCCAGGGCGAGTCTCCAGGAGAGCCCTCGGCATCGACCGGCGAAGCAGCTACTACCACCGACGACACAAAGAATCCAAGATACAGTATCCCAGTGATCGTCACGGAAGATATCTCGAATCCAAAGGCTGACTGATCTCTATTACTTTGCTAAATTTGACAAGATAGCGGGTCAGAGTATAAGATATTGCCACCATCTCCTCATCCTATTCGATTTCATGACCAACTCCACTCACAAAAAAAAGAGAGAGAGAGAGGAATTATAATTCCACCGACGGAAAGGTTAAATCCGTCCAAATCCACGAAGACAAACACAGAATAAGCAAGAGCATATCAAAGGAACCATAATACATAACCAGAACAGAATCACTCCCTCATATCTATCAGCGACAGTCTAGGAGGGTGTAAATTTAGATCATGGGAATGTCACCAGAACTATGTATGTATGACATACATACCTAGTACCTGATTCTTAGGTAGTTTCAATAAATAGTAATACTAGATCCTGATACTTTATCCTTGTAAACTGTGGAATAACAAATACAATAGCACTAATTATAGTACCTAGCTTACTCTCTTGACGAATAACTAAACCAAGATGAATGACATTAACCTTGAGGAATATCCCAATCTAATATACTAAATACCATCCCCTATTGATAGAACCTACAAAGTCTAGTATGATAAAACAATCCAGATAAATGGAATCATAAAGAAACTTTTTCTAACGAATTTTTGTCTAAAATATCACAGGGCAACAAGATAAACATGGCAAGGAGAAAGAAAAGGAGAAAAGCTCTCGCCAGCACACACCAAACCAGTGTAGATGCAATGCATACAGAACAGGAATTAAAAAAGAGAGAAAGAAAGAGCAAACACACATGACGGCTACAAACAAAAGTCGTGGTTAGCCTGTAAGGTCTGCCCTGATTGAAAACGTGGACATACCAACGTTTGTACCGGAAGGGAAAGAACCGTGAAAGCTCTCCGGGTATTGAAATGCATGATGAAATGAATAAAAAAAAGAAAGAAAACATGAGCATGAAACAGCAAAAAGAGGATGAAAGATGATAATGAACACTCCTGCCGGCAAGCCAACCTATCTCGCTAGATTCTTCAAAGGCTCTTTTTTCCTCTGGTTTTTCCTTCCCCCTTTTTAGACAAGCACACATTCATTGTACATTAAAAATCGGAAGTCCTCTTCCCCAGAGAATGGACTGATGACCAGGAAAAGATTGAAAAAAAAATAATGAAGAAAGAAGGAAGAGTGGGCATCCGATTTTGTCATAATCATGGACGAGAAGTTTAGGGAGGAATGTTCAAATGACATGCAAGCCACTATGGGACAGAACACGTCGCGAAAAGTAAAGAAATAGTCTTTCCAGAAGAAACGAAATAGTTTTCATTATCATTGCCAAAAAAAGAATAAAGAATCTATTGTGCCTCTTCACCGCCATCTTTCGACGGGGTCTTGGATGGTCGGCGCTCAGTCGCAGGTTGCGACTTGGTTAGCATGGGTGAAGTTGGGTTCGAAGGAGGAGAGGTTGCCATGTTGTCCCGATCTTCCAAGCTAGCCAAAGCACTAAAAAAGAGAACAGTTAGCATCGCAGTTTGTACGCTTCGTCCTACTCAGGACCACCTACCTGAATGCGTTGATCGATGACGCGGCCTCTTTATCTTCCCTCTTGCCGGCCGGGGGTGTTCCAGTTCGGCTGCTGGCTGCACTGTCGTCGCTGCCACGAACCAAGTTGCCTCCGGGGCCAAGGTTCTTCCGACCACTGCTGCTTCGGGAGCCTAGCATACTCGAAGGTCCAAAGGACATGGGCTGGTTGGTGTTTCGAGTCGTCCGCAGACGGCGCAGATCGTCACTTCCAACCTTGCTGGATGCATAGTCCGGTGGAGGTGCCTGATTACCATAACCGCCAGAGAAATTGCGAGAATCGCCCCGGCCCATGGTGGGGCGTCCACCCCGAGAAGCTTGTTGGCGGAGACGTTCCATTTCGGCCTCTTGTTGGGCACGGGCAGCCTGACAGGAGTTAGAAGGTTTGGATCTTCACAAAAAAGGAAAGGGCCTCTTCACTCACCTCCTCTCTGATCTGTTGGATGGTTTTAGGTCCCTTATCAGCGTCCTTCGACATCCAGCGAGCAGAACGCAAATCGATAATGTCCTATCGGAGAAAACAAGGTTAGACAATGAGGGTCAAAACTTGTACACTTTTTCAGAAGAGAACTTACCAGCAGCATGAACCTCAGACGGCTGGGCAATCCAGGAGTCTGCATCATGAGGCTGATGCGGTGGAAGTAAGCGTCCATCATTGCATGTCCCTTCTCAGACATATCAAGGCTAGCACCGATAGTGCGCAGGAGACTAGTCAAGCTCTCAACCTCGGCCTCATCAGGCAAGCCCTCGTAATCCACCAGCTTCTTCACACACTCATGCATGATACGTTCCGTCAACATGCCCAGCTTGTACAGTTCTCCAATGAACTTCACCAGACCCAGACCGCGACGCTTAGCGGCGGCTGCAATATAGTATTCATCCGACATCATCGCCGCCTCTTCCGTCTGGCCTTCGGGCTTAGGAGGCAGGTTAACCTTCCACCCACGTTCGAACTCTTCCTGGCAGCGGTTGAGGAGATACTTGCGGAACAGGCTGCCACCAGCGACCACATTGCCGTTCTTATCTCGAATGTTCTCATCCTTGATATCCAAACTCATACTCTCAAGCATACGCTTGCAGAACTTGGCATAGATCGAAGCCCAGTGGGCCTCGTCGGTAGCCTTCTCGAAAGTCAGCTGGATTACCTGCCGCAATGTACGGCCATCGGTCTCGTCCTTTGACTGGGACACGATTTCCAGAATCTGGCCCGAGATTTTCTCGAAGTTTTCTGGAGTCATCTTGTTCAGAGCAGCCTTCACCTTCCGCTGCACCACATCAGGAGCCATGTAAGTGGAGCCAGCAGGAGTAGGGCCAGCAGCTGTCGCAGATTGGCCGACGCTGCGAGGCTTCCAGCCGGTGGAAGAAATCTGAAGAGCCGGGACGTCCTTTCCAGCGGTGAGGGGCATCGACTTGGCCATTTCTTCCTCCTTCTTCGCTTGATGCTTCTCGCGTTTGCTGCCCGTCCGCGTGCCGGAACGGTTGCTGGATCCGATACGTGGCGATGAGGGCATTCCCATCGCGTTGGCGGAATTGGTACGGCTAATGGGAGCACCCATGCCGCCCATGCCAGGGCGACCCAACTGGCCGAATGGCGACGAGGAGGTGCGGGCGGCATTCGCCAAGGCAAACCGTTGCTCCGAGGTCGAGCCGGGAGGCAAACTGTGACGCACAGCAGTCTGGCCAAAGTAGCCCATGTTGAAGCCCTGAGAGATGCCAGAGCGCGAGGAGTTACGGCCACCCGCCATCGGGGTGCGAGCCGACTGAGGGCGCGACGAGTCGCTGTCTCCCACTGTCTCACGGACCCGAGAATCCCAGTCGACGGAGGGTTTCTCCTTGAATACGTTCTGGAATTGCAGCAAGAACTCCTTGTTGTAGTGGAACTTGCGGTCCGCGGGAGCGCTGGCGTTCAAGGCTGGGTTGGGCGACACAATCGAGGCCGGGTAAGAAATCTTGCTGAGATCCTCGACGAAGCGAGCGGAGTGCAACGCCTTCATGGCAGCACTAGGCTGAGGCGGCTCCACGGCCTTGTTGGTCTCCAACTTGAGCGCAGCTGGCTTCTCGCGCTTTGCGGAACTGGCGGGCTTCGCGGGCGGCCCCATGGACGCATCGGATGCAGGAGTAGCAGTGCCGCTGTCCGCAGGGGTGCTTGTTTCAGTGGCCGCAAACCCACCCTTCTTCAGGGAGGCAAAGAGCTCTTTGCTGCTTTCATCTTGCTCGCCGGCATCCTGCTTCTTCATCCGGGCCTCTTCCAGGGCCTCGGCCTCCCGTTCGGCGGCCTTCATGTTGGCCTCGTACGCTTCACGTTCCTCCTTTTCTTTGCGCTCCCTCTCCTCCTTCTCCGCCTGCTTCTTGGCATAGTAAGCGGCTTCTGCAGCAGCCTCCTTGGCTTCAATTTCCGCCATCTCCCGTTCAATCGCATCATAGTCAATGTCGTCCTCGTCGTCATCCGCGGGGGTAGGCTGGGAATCCTTCGAATCCGCGGCGGGTTCGGCACCTTCAGTCTTGTCCTTTAGGCTGAGATCTTCCAGACCCTTGCGCGCAGCTTCTTCATCAGCCTCCTTCTTCTGAGCTGCTTCTTCCTCCTCCTTTTGCTTGCGTGCAGCCTCCTCTTCCTCGGCTTTCTTGCGAGCAGCGGCTTCTTCTTCCTCCTTCTTCTGCTTGGCCGCAGATGCTTCCTCCTCGGCCTTTTCGATCTTCTGGCGCACCGCATCCATCAGTTCCTTCTTCTTCTCCTCGTCCGTCTTGACAGATTTGGAGTCGGACCGGGCGTGATCGGCACCACTGCCCGTGCGCGGGGGCGGAGTGGAGGTTGGCGTCGCCATCTTGACAGGGGAAGGGGTCACGCGCGCCGGGGACGCGGGCGTCTTTTCGAAGGTCTTCACCACGCCACTGCCCGGGTCCTTGATGACAATGGGGCTCTTCTTGGCGGGGATGACGAAGTTCGGCTTGCCGGCTGGAGCAGGGCTGTTCGAGGAACGGCTGGCCGTGTGAGTATGGGTCGGTGCTTGTGGACCGGCGGCTGGCTGGCCCTGGCCCAGACTGGAACCCGGACGGTCATTCGAAACCTGGGAGGGGGATCGGGACAGCGATGTTGCCTGCGGCTGGGGCTGCACGGGGTACTGCGGCTGCATGTAGCTGGGCTGGGCATTGTACGGCATTCCGGGGCGCGTCTGTGGCGACGGGGGGGTCATGTACTGCTGCATGGGATAGCCCTGATTGTAGTACCCATAGCTCGCGTCGTAGGGATACTGGTGGGATTTCATCAGCGTTAGATATTGCTCAAATTGACCGCTCTCAGGAGCCAGATTGGGAGGAGGAAGACGTAGGGGAGAAGGGGGTGGGGGGAGACGGGGGGAAGCTGAAACGCGATATCCTTGCTTTCGCTTGGGAAAAGGGCCACGACGAGGGGGTCTGTGGGAAGAATGGGTCCTCACTGGTTGCGGGGCCATGTGCGGCCCATAGGAGCCATAGGGCTGGGGAGGCATCTGCGGAGGTGCCATGGGAACCTGGTTCATCTGAGGTGTCGCGGGATGCGCGTTGGCCAGCGCTGGGCTACGGTTAGCTTGAGGCGAGTTGGGGAAAGGCGCCAGCGGTCGTCCTTGGTTAGGGCCGTGGAACTGCGGGCCCATACTGGGACCGCCTCGAGGCTGATTAGGCGTGCGGAAGTTGGGACCTGGAGAGTAATGCATTTGGCCCTGATATCCTCCGGACTGCGAGTAGCCGCGACCACGACCGCCCTGATGAGGATAACCACCACGACCTCCCGGACCACTAGCCATATGGTTGCTCATGTCACTGTGTGTTGACTGCGACGATTCCCGTCGCAGATGAGTCGACTGGGGACCGGGACCAAGGGGAGTTTGAGGGTTCAGACGTATCTGTTGCTAGTGGAAGAAACGTTATTATTAATTCCAGGAATTTTTAAGGTATGCCAAGACAAGGGTATCGTCCACGTGAATCGATTTTATTTTATTTTATTTTTTTTTTTTTCTTCCGGCACCAACACCCACAAAAATGCAAAAAGAAGAAAAGAAAATGCAGACAATAGGAATTCGAAACATGACAGGAAATACGAGAGGGTTGGATTAGAAAAAAGATTAGAAAAGAAATGAAACTTACGTTATCACCGGTTTCGCCAAAGCTGCCAAAGTTGGGAACGTTACCCTGAGACTGGTAAGACGACGGCGGTGGCCGGCCACCGCTCGAGGCGGGCTGGGGGATAGGCGAAGGAGACGTCTGAGGCGAGGTGACACGGGGATTCATAGTCGGGGTGGCAGTCAACCCGGATTGGGGCTGGTTCGCCAAAGCTGGAGGATTCCCCATATTGGGGGAGGTCTGCTGGTTGGCGGCAAAGCCGAACTGCAGGCTATTGGGACGACTATTGGGGCCCCCGTTGGGGATATAACCGGAGGTACCAGCGGAGGTGATGGTCACAGAGGGCTTGCGGGAGTGGTCGCCTTGCGAGGGAGCCGATGCCGGGGCGCCATTGACGATCGTAACGCTGGGGGACTGGGATTGCTGCATGGGTTTGCCGCTCACAGGAGATACTGAGGTCGACTTCCCATGGTGTGGTGAACCTCCCACGGTGACGGGAGCGGCGGTCGAGTCCGTCGCGGACTTTTTGGTGGCACTGGCGTAGGACCTGGTGGAAGCAGGCGGCGGAGCCGATTTCCCACTGAGCGATGGGGCAGACGAGTGCGAAGAGGCGGCCTGGGTCGAGGTGCTCTGTCCTTGAGGTTGAAGGCCTGACCTGGGGGGGATCGAGGTCATTAGACAGGTCGATTTCGGATGATGAAGGGGGAAAAATGAAGTCGCTCGGTCGGAGAGGAGATGTGGAAAGAAGACGACCTAAGAAAGGGGAGGGAGGGGAAAGAAAAGGTCACTGCGACGATGAATGAGAGAGAAGATGAGAGAGAGAGACTGCGACGTCGTCAAAAGCGTGTTACAGTCGAAGAACACGCTCTAGATCCCACATCCAAAGGATTTTTGATTGATCCCACGGGATAATCAAGAGAATCCTGACTAAAGGGAGAAAGAAAAAGACCACCGACAAAGGGGGACTTGATCAAAAAAAAAAGATCACGTCGTGACGAACGACGATGGGTCTGGGGTAAAAAAAGAAAAGGAAAAGGGGAGAGAAAAGACAGGAAAAAAGAGGGACCAAAAAAAAAAGAGACGTAGCAGGCGATTTTTTTTGGCTTCCCGATTAATTTTTTCCTTTCTTCCTTCTTCGGGTGTGGTGGTGTCGCTTTTTTTTTTTTTTTTTTTTTCCTTACCCTTCGTTAAAAAAAAATAAAAATAATAATCAGTGTGGCTGAAGGCAACCCAACCCAACCCCAACTAACTAGACAGACACTCTGTACAACCTACAGATGGTATTACAGTAGTACGGAGTACTCCCATCCTATATGTACAAATAATCTACCATCCCCAATCCCTATTCCCTCGTCAATGCCTGGTTTGCATCATAAAATGGCAATCGCAATCCTCTCTCCATACAGAGGGAACCTTTCAATCCCCGGAAGATTCATTGATAGTTTCAATACCAACACAATACCATACCATACAGAATACATACGGCAAAACAGTCTACTTGCCCAATCGGGAACAGACTCGGAAGGAGGCAGGCCAACCAGAGGCCGAGAAAAGCCGTCTTCTGATTGTTCTGCTGCCATTTACGTTCCATCTTTCATCTCATGCCATGCCTTTCACTCGTTCAGAGACTCTGATTCATTTTGCTTCTCTTCTCTTTCTTCCTATCGGGAGAGAGTACGTCTGCTTGTCTGACTCACAGCCTCGTTGCTGCGAGGTGGCAAACGTCGTCTCAGTCCCTATGATCTCATGATGCTGACAGCTGACTAATCAGACTTGAACTCCTTCCTACCTGGTAGTTATATAGATATACTCCAGAGGCTCTATGTAGTATATACAACTGGAAATAGGCTAAAGCACGCTCGGAATACTAATAAACTATAGGTTCATGTACGGAGTATGTACGGAGTAGACACAAAACCATCACATGTAGTCCTTGCCTGGTTCTGTCCCGAAGTCCACGTTGACAGGGCCCTGGATCGGCTTGGTCGGCTGTTTGACCGAGGCTTTGGCCCTAATAAACTCTTTATCTAAAGAACCCCAGTTAGTACGTAGTATCGGAGGACATGCAGCCTAACAAGGGTATTCTCTTCTAGTCGATTTCCGACACGGAAGAGTGTTGCTTGCAGAACTCAAATTCCCGTCGATCTCAATTGACATGACAGTCTGCAGAATTATAGAAACAAAGAAGTTTCGGTCTAAAGAACGGACTGCTATTACTACATACATCGCCTGCCGACTCGGTACACCGACCTGTCTAAGCCCTGAGTACAGAGTACCAGACCAGGGATGCGATCCATTTATATCCCTGCCAATCGATCAATCACATCCCTTGTCATCGTTCATCTTCCGTCATCCAGACATCGAAGCAAGGAATCGCACAGGCACTGGTCCCCACCAACCAGGATATCTACCTAGACAGTACACCAACGCCTCCTACATACAGACATGGCCATTCTATTGCACAATCACTCTTACAGAGGACCTTGCAGAGAAAACACAATTCGTTGCGACTGTAAAACCGACATTTTGACCTAGTTCGATTTATGAGAACCACGGGATCGAGCAATCCCATCCACCACTTGGGCTGCAGCCTCCACGCCCGAAGAGCCGCCTTGCCCTTGCTCCCCATGGCCAAACCAGCCCGATGCCCAGTTACCGCTGGGGGTCCGACCGGGCCTTGCGGGAGAGCGATCCCGGATGTCCTCATGTTCAATATGGTCGAACGAGTTGTCACTACGGTTCTTTCTCAGGGACGAACCATACGCCAGGCCATCGTCCTCATTGCCCAGGTTCTGCTCCTCATTTGCCAATGCGCTGCGCAGCACATCCAACATGTCGCGCTGGTTTGAGATGAACTTCGCCTTCTCGCTACGGGACATGGAAGCCAACTCGCGGGGCAAGAGGGAGCCACGGGCGGAGAGCTCCTCCGCTCGCTTCTCGGGGCTCTGACCAGCCGAAGCCACCGACGCCACTGCAGAGCTGATAGCAGAGAACCAGTCGTTGTTGGGGGCCGGAGCAGAAGCCCCGGCTACGGCTGGGATGTTGAACCGGGAGAGTAACGACTGAGCGTAAGACGCGGGACCCGAAGGCGCAGGGGGAGGGGTTGCCGGCCGCTGGGGTGGCAGACCCAGGACTTTCTCCCGGACGAGTTCAATGGCCTTGTAGAAGTACTGAAGTCCCATAGCTTTAGCACGTTCATGCGATCTGCCAATAAAGTCCTCGATGTCCCGTTCATGCTGGTACAGCAGCGGATCCACGTAATCTTGGTACAGCATACGCGCCCCCTGTGTCTGGGGAAGGACAAGGTATGTCAAGAAAAAGAGACGGAACCAGCTATAGAAAGGAAGCCTGTAATGCAGGTACGATTAGAGGGGAACAATTCTTTCATATGCGAGGAATTGGGGTCATTGAAAGAGCATACCATCCGAGAATGAACACCGTCCAGGATTCCGCCATCAGGATGGTGGACAGAACCACCCAGTACATCAGCCATGGTGCCAGCTGGGAGGGATCGGCCGAGCGCAGAGCCTTATAGGAGGCAAAAATAGGGAAAAGAACCGTGATGGCCGAGCTACCAGGCAGAAATTAGAGAACAGGTCTATTTATGACGTCCTCGGAAGAACCGGGGATAAGCAGAGCAGTGTACTTACGAAAACAAATCCGCAATGATGCCAAACATGGTGAATAGTTTGCAAGAGATCCCCTGAAGGACAGAGTGGAAAAGGAGTCCTCAACGTGGTGAAGGACGCACGACGAAAGTATGACGTGGATGCCGATATGACAAGAAGGGATCTTTTGCTTAATGTTTCAGGATTGCGGGGCAAGAATCCGCTCAGAAAAAGCCTCACGAGACCAACTCAGCCGAGCTAGCTGGATAGGAGATGCGGCCAGCCGCAGAGCGAAGCGATCAGATCGGATTCGGGGGCAGAAGGAGGAAAAAGTTGGAAGCGAATGTGTACGGAGGAGAAGAGCGAGCGTGGCTGCCTTGAGAGCCACTTTTCGCAGCCCTACTTGGTATGGCCGCTTTAAACCCGAGGTACGGCAGTACAGTGCTCCAGAGTACTGCGGCGTAGTACCAAGGTTGTACCCTGTACCAGCTTTGTAGCTCTCCACTGAAGAACCGGGATGACGCAATGTGACTGGCCCATTCGGTTCACCTTACATAAGGCGGTACCTGGGATACGTCCAGATACATTCCAGCACTTTAGATGTCAGTATCTTTATGTCCCATAACAATCGATTAGCTTCGTCTTCCTTTACCTTTGCTAAGGAAAGAAGGATAGCCCCAAGGAAATGCACGGAACAAATGCAGAGATCCGGAGCGTTGGATTGAGGATAAATCGCACAAACATTGTTTAGGAATAATGGCTTGATACTGCCTTCTCTCTCGTCCTGACTTAAAGGTGTCATGGTATCAAACGACTCTGCTCGGTCCCCGTCTAAGCGTCTCATCTACTGAGCTCCTTGGAAAATCGTTTATACGATCCTTGTATGTCTCCAGCCTCGGCTGAGTATGATCTATCTGTCGCGCGTCAGAAGAGGAGGCCGCCATGGATGCTGGTCTGTGATCCTCCACCTAATCAATCTCGATGACCTCTCTAGTCATTGAGAGGAAGGGCAAGGATATGACCAAGGCAGATGATATCCTTGGTCCCTACTCAAAGCGGCGATGCTCGTCTGATAAAATAAGAGAGCCTATCATCTTATTTGTACTAGTGCGGCTAGTTAGTTAGTTTACGGTAATGACCATTACATAACGACTGCCTAGCCGCTTTTAATGCAATGACATCATCAGTAGCAATCAAAGTTAACAATGAACTTTTTCTATTTCATTATCTAGAACGGCTCAATGGCTGTAGCATGACCGGTCAATTACTTCATAGTATATTCACCAGCATTGGAAGCTCCAGGAATTTCAGCCAGCGGTAGAAGCCCATCCAAAACTTCAATAGTTTGAGATCAAGTAATTCTTTGTCTCCTCATCATTCATTCCCTGAAAGTGTTGGACTTCACCGCGTTTGACCCCTATGTATGTCGAAATGATCGCAGGGCCGACTAGCTGGCAGATCGACTTGTCAGCTTCTAGGGCATCGAGACTTTCCAACAGCGACTTGGGTAATAGTGTCTTGATTCCAAGAGCCTCCTTTTCTGCAGGCAAGAGCAAGGAGGAAGACACAGGACAATCCCCTCCCGTCAGTGGGAATTTTCGTCTCATGCCGTCTATCCCAGCGGCAAACATGCCACAGAGTGCTAGGTATGGGTTCGCTAGTCCATCCAGCAACTTCACTTCAAATCGATTAGTTGTTATCCGCCGCAGGGGCATCTCCTTATTCTCCCAGCCCCATGCTGCATATTCCCCGCCGCTCCAGATACCACTGTTGACTCGATGGTAGCTCGCATCGTGCGCCAGATTGAACGCGAGCACCGCGGGGAAGTGCTGCATGATCCCGGCAAAAAAGGGTTCTGCACGGTGCAAGTCCTCGCCTTCCATCGGGTTGATGGAGATGTGTGTGTGCATACCGCTGCCCGCACTGTTTGGGAACAGACGCGGGTACATGGTAGCCCGCACGTCGTATTTCTCTGCCACGTCGGAGATGATCGCACGAGCTTTGACGAGCGTATCGGCAGCTTTGACGGGGGAATCTCGGGGAAGGACAAATTCCCACTGGTCGGGGGCGGACTCGGCGTGGAACTTCTCTATAGCGATCCCGGCTTCTAGCAACGCTCGGGCAATGTCTTCCACCAGGTCGAGGGACTTCTTGTCGTCGGTGGTCATGCTGAACACGGAATGGTTTGTATTCGGGGGCTCGTAGCCCACCACTTTACTATTTTGTCGCACCCGTCGCAAAAAGACGACCTCCATCTCGAAGCCAACGAGAGGATAATGTCCTGTCTCTTGCTCCAAGAGATCGGTCAGACGACCCAGTTGCGATCGCGCACATTCAGGGAGCGGACTCCCGTCATGGTTGAGACTGGATGTCATTACCACTGCGCGGTGGGAATTCGAGCCACCCTGGCAGTACACCGTTGAGATGTCCGGCTTAAGATAGCAGACCCCGCTCGGTTTAGCACCATCTACTAGATGGTCCCCCGGCAATAGGTGGAAGATGGTCGTGGTAATCGGTAAGCATTGGCCGCTCCGAATCAGCTGAGTGAAGCGCGCGACTGGCATGACCTGGACGACGGCTGACGCGCTGTAGGTGATGTACTGGAGCCAGACGAACTCAACGCCATGATTTTGGCAGAGAAACTCCTCCCAGCGAGAAACTTCAGTTTCCAGCATGATCACCGGTGCGCCGTATGGCAACTAAATGCGTAAATAAAGTGGGGGAGAGTACGGTAAGACCGGAGCGGTGGAATGCACCTGGAGAGGCCCGTATTTATTATGGGAGCTGATATTTCTTTTTTTGCCTCTTCACACCCCCTGTAACCCCTGCTCGCCCGTGGTGAGTAATAGTGGCTCATGCGCGCCGCCACAACAACAGTTGGCTTGGTTTGCTACATTATCTCGCAGGAGGATTGGACCATTCTTGAATTCGGCACTGCTAGGTAAAGGTGCTTTGTTATTCCCGGATTCACTGCAAGGGATGGGTAGGAAGCCAAGTTGAGTGCTTATAATGCTGATCATTGTTTAGCCGCGTTCCTGCTATTGAATTTATGTCTTGAAAATTTAAGCCAACGTGGCCAGTCAGACTAGTCACAAATAGTAGGATAGTAGCTTGGACGCTCGACAAATAAGTACGTGCGTCTATACTTTTGTACGGAGGAAGTCGGGACAATGGGAAATGAGTCTTTTCACTGCACTAATTAGACCCCTGTCAATAAAATTTCTCTGGACTAAAAGGCCAGGATATTTTCTCGATATTCACACCAGTTATGCATGTCAGAATACGGGATTAGGATCCCATATATATATAATTTTCAGAGATAAAATAATGTACGAATCTACATAAAAACACTATACCAGTTCCAGTAATTTGCCATCGCCCATGCTCTTCACAGACAGTAGTAGGGACCATCGTCCAGTTGTCCAAACAGAAAGAACCCAGACCATGTCCAAGATCGACTCTATCAATGTCTTCAACAATGAGATTATGCCAAATGAATAATAATCCGATACTCGCACTCCCAGTCATACAGTATCAATGAGTATCAATGAGCATCAATGAGGTGTCACGTGCGTGTCGTTCTAGTTCCTGCCCAACATATGACATAATGCCATTGACTGACCTGACTGGCAATCGATTATTCGATCCCAAGTGAATACCCAATTCTCCGTTTATCGTCTGCCATCACCAGTTCTTTCTATTGATTTTCTGTATATATTGTACGACAGTTCCGCTTAATAGGAACTAGACTGTCTATATATCTTAAGTGCAGCTTATCCGTGCGATCGACCATATACTCCTACTCCGCATTTCTCAGGCTACCATAAGTCTATCTACTTTCTGTACAGCCTCCCACAATGTGCATCGCGTTAATATCCACATCGCATCCATCCTACCCTCTAATCGTCATTGATAACAGAGATGTATACTTCATTCTGAAACCCTTCCCCCCTCTCCCAAAAGTAAGTCAATCCTCTACTAACGCATGCGGCAAATCGACAGGAATACCTCCGACGTCCGACGTCCGCCGCAAACTGGTGGCCAGAACCGAGCGCCAACGTCCTAGGGGGGCGGGATCTAGCACGGTCTATACATGGCACCTGGATGGGAGTGACGCGGGAGGGCAAGATCGCTGTGCTGACGAACTACCGCGAGAAGACGTCGGACGAAGCGACGGGGATACAGAGCCGTGGGGCGATCGTGAACAGCTGGTTAGTGGCGGCGGAGTCACGGGAAGCCACACGGGACTTTGTGCAGCGGATGGTGGGCAGCGCGACGGCGCGGAAAGTGGGCGGGTTTAGTCTGGTGTGTGGGTATGTGAAGGAGCCATTGGCGATTGTGTCGAACCGGGCGGACAACATGGAGCAGATTCGATGGGTGGCAAGCCGGAAGGGCGAGACGCTGGGACTAAGTAACACCAGCGTGGATGATCGATCGTGGCCCAAGATTCTAGAGGGGGAGAAGTTGGTGGAAGAAGCGATTGCGGCGCATGTCAGTGGCGAGGGAGAGGATGAGGATGAGTTGATCCGGAAGCTACTGGCGCTGTTGAGTCGGAATACGTTGCCTACACTGTCGGAGGATGCCACGGCAGAGGACTATTTGCCGTACTTTCGACAGAGTATCTTCATTCCGCTCCTGGGGCGGAAAGAGGGCTCCGGGAAGGCGTCGCAGGAGGAGAAGGCTGGATCAGTGTGTGGCGAGGGCTTGCCGGACCAGAGTTATCTGCATGGGCCGTATGGGACGCAGAAACAAACGGTATTCCTGGTGCGAGACGACGGAACGGTGAGGTATTTTGAACGGACGTTGTATGATAATGATGTGAAGGCGATTCCAATTGGTGAGGGTGATCGGTCGTTCGAGTTTCAGCTTCAATAGCAGTCTCTACTACTCAGGATGATATATGTTTCGGATGATACAGACTTGCAGGAACACAGTATCTCGTTCAGGTATTTAGATGCTCTCTAATACACTGTTCATTTGGAAACAATACAGGTCCATCCCACGGTGTAAGGACCCAGTTACGCTGCCTAGTATATTTACAACAGAAGATATAAGCAGGTAAAGGCTAAATTAAACTCTTTCTTCTTTCTTTACATTCTTAACCAGCTATTCTTGCCGAATAGCTAACGTTCAATACACCGATAGAACATTTCATCTTGACACCTTTGTACAGATGTCTTCTGATATCAGAAAAGAGCAAGGCAGCATGGATAAGAAATGAATAAATGAATAAATGACTAAAAAAAAAGAATAGCCGCACGGAATAGAAGAACACCAAAAAAAAAAAAAAAAAAAAAAAAAACCTTCAAAATATATTTTTACAGACAAAAGCGCTCAAAACAACTGTAGGTATCCATGTGATATCTAGTAAACCACAACAGCCAGATGGTAAACTAGCGCAGCAAACAACAGACCACAAACAGTAGTCATACACCGCCGTAAAATGCAACAAGTGGCGAGGGTCGAGGGTTTAAAAAACAGCCCAGGGAAGTAAATGCCACTATAAGGCCTGTTTTATGATAACTGCAGCAAATAAAGAGATTCCTGTCATGATTCCAGCTGGCCTGGAGAATCTGGAGGGCGGCCCTATGTTGAGGTGACAGGCTGCAACCATTAGCCAAACGGTTTTATACTCTGCTTTGTCTGCAACTTAGCAGCATAGACGTGAGGTTGGTGCTTCTTGGTATAGATTTCGTGGGGATGCTTATTTCGATGAAATCGACCAGAGAAACTATGGCGTTGTTTTTTTCTCTGAGCGAGTATGCCAATCCAGCCGCATTTCGACAGCGAGGTCTTAGCAAAGCTATTTTTGAATCGTGTGCATGCATTGAGACGAACGGAGGAATGCGGACGGAGGCGTGTTCTATATTGGATTGGGTCTGCAAGACTGGACATAGCATACTGTGGATGCAACAGGAGAAAGAAATTCCATTGGGCCGACTATCATTAAATGCACCTGTCCTCCTCACGCCTCAAACATTGGGGCCATCCCGAGTACACCGAACCAATGAACCACCACATGTTCTAATCCTACGCAGCCGCAGCCGCAGACGCCTCATGGAGCCTCACCGTGACGGGGTCAGCCGGCGCAGAGGTCAATGTCAGACCAAACCGGATCTCCTGTTCCGGATGGGCGTCGCTAATGCGATCAAACCGTTGCAACAACCGCACCAGCACGTACCCGGTCTCCGTCAGTGCAAACTGCTGTCCAATGCAGATCCGGGGCCCCCCGTTGAATGGCAGGTACTCCCAGCCCACTCGGCGGTTTTCCCAGCGCTCCGGGTCGAAGACCTCCGCGTCCGGTCCCCAGAGGTCGGTGCGTCGCTGCATCGTGAACACGCTGTACATCACCGGTTGGCCCTTGCGCACATATACCGGTGCCTGGCCGTCCGGGCCGCCGCCACGAGGCAGCGTCGTGTCGCGCACCGCTACCCGCCGATTGCCCGGTACAATTGGGTACAGACGGAGCACCTCGTTGAGAAAGTAGTGGAGGTAGCGACAGGATTTGAGCGAGGCGAAGGTGATGTCGCGGGGGGATTCGTAAGGGCCGAACGAGTCGAGGATGGTGGTGCGAAGTTTCTTGAAGATGGCTGGATGGCGCGCGAGGAGCAGAACAGACCAGCTGAGCAGCGAGGCGGTCGTGTCCCGACCGGCCAGGAGAATATTGAGTAGTTGCGAGCGCAACTCGATGGGATCCTGCGTGGTGTTCGCCAGTCCGTTCAGGAACACATATGGCTGCTGCTGCTGATCTATGGAAGACTTCTCGTCCGTCTTGCGCTGCTCGAGAGCGCCGGCCACGAATCGATCCACGTATGCGTGCACCTGGGACTCGATGAACCGAGACTCCTTGTTATTGACCACCCAGTATAACTTCTCGAAGCGACTACGCTGAGCCGCGTACCACTGTCCGCGATCGAAGTAGTAGGGGAATTTATCCTCATCGACATGGTCGCTGTTCAAGGCCGCTACCTGGCTGTCGACGCTCTCGCCAAAGAGGAACTGCGTGGCGGAGTCGATGGTCAACCGGAAGAAGATCGACTGGATGTCAATGGGGGCCGACCAGCCGCTGGAACGGTCAACGGGCATGGCCCGCATGGCATGTTGGACGTGACGTTCTTCCAGATCCAGGTCGCTGATCTGGTCGCGGGTGAACTGAGGACGGAGGAGATTTCGCGATCGGGACCAGGCTTCACCATCGGAAGTGAACTATAAAGTTACCAACGATCAGTCTCATTCATGCTAGAGTCCCATCCCATCCATTGAGGGAACCTACAATGCCCGTTCCCAGCAGCGAATGCAACGTATTTTTTCGGGGCGCTCCCAATTCAAAATCCTTGAACTGGGTGGTCAGCAACGCCTGTATGTTCTTCGGATCGCAGGTGAAGATGCTGTTACGACCCATCTGCACCAGTCGGAAGGTCTCAACGGTACGCTTCTCCCGCACAGACATCTTCTCCACGCGACGGCAGAGCAGAGGCGGAATCATCTTCTCCTTATCGGCCTGAAGAATTTCCTTCAACGTACTGATGCCCAGCAGATCACTGGGATATTTGGGGATGGACCCGCAGCGCAGTTTGCGGGCATTCTGGGCATGTCGCAGCACTGTGAATATACTCCAAAGCAGATTCAGGCCTATTAGGATGGCCGCGGAGATCAGAAAGAGACCCATTCTGAATAGGAGTCGATCCGACCACAGTCTGACAATATCCTTCACCGGTTACGATATACACCGAATCTTCTCAACGGTCCAGGTAGTGGACAGAGAGCAACATTAATATACGTCTCGAAAAGGTGGAGAAGATGGTCGAGCCTGTGTGATCGGCCTAGGCAGCGAGAAAGTAACGACGATAAAGGGTGGTCACCAGGCCTTCGAGGTCAGCTCCAAAGAAAGGGAAACGCGGGGGTACCCTGTGAGACTGGTATCGCAGCTAAGACGGAGTTTGTTGTGTGAAGAATCCGTCCGTTCATGGGGATTCGTTGTCACACTCGAGAGACACTCTGTTTGCTGGAAATGTCGATCGCATCTTGGCGATGGAACGGTGTTGTTGACTTTATGCATGGCATGTCGGAATAACGAAGCGAGGTGGTCAGGTATAGAGGACTAATCATTGTAACCATATTTCCACGTCAATACCCGCTATATCCACCATCGAATACTACTCTTGACAACGGAAAAGTACTGTTAGCTACTTGTGTGGGCTTCAGAATGGCACAGGCTGAGGTCAGAAGAGGGGTAGAAGCTGGATTATTATATATTTAATATCTGTGATACTGGTCGAGTATCTCGTGCTGAGACACAACATCTGTCTTTTATTATTTACCATGACAAAATTCCAACAATTCCCATATGCGTCTAGAAAGCTAATCAATCATAAAATCTCTGATGCCATTTCCAATCAAGAAATCTCGAGCAAGGGCTTCCATCCTCCAAGAAAATATCTCTATGAAATTCCATGGCAAGGATTCTGGCCGTGGCAGAAATTACTAAGCATAAACACAATATATGCACACGCTCTCTGGGAATATATAAATAATAACAATGAACCACCAGGGTTACATAATGTTTACTTTGTCACACAAGTATGCGCAAAGTGCTTATTTTTGGGGCAACCTGTTTAGCATTGGTCTCTTTATTACAATGGCCACTATTATTATCTGTCCAAGGCGCAAAAGATTCAGGGAACACAGACAATACTTATTGACGATGATTTATCCAACTGGAACACCCAGGGCTGGCAGCCCTGTGTAGAGACAAATCATTGCCCATTCTTAGCCTATTATATTGGCAAAACAGATCTTAGTTCTAACCAGATCCACCAGATTGCTCAGTGTGTGGTTAGTCAGATGAGCTACCATGATTTTCCTAAGAGTAACTGCCATTACTTTGCTACCCAGCTTACAACCTGTATTATCTGCTGGCAAAGAAATACCACTGTCTTTCTAGGTGGCTTATCTCAAATCCACTATCGGTGCGGGGTAGCTCACAAACAAGATATTCCCAATGGGTATCAATTTGGGTTCCAGCTAGCAGGACCAGATCAAAGAGTTCCACCTTTTTCGAGCGGAACTGGTATGGAACGAATGTGACTGAGAATTCAAATGCGAAGCACTACGGAGTTGTGGGCCAAGGCAGTTTCCAGATACTATACTATTTTTGAAGTAGGTCGGCTTAGACGATGGCTCATAGCTCCATTTACCGGTGAACGATGGATAGGGAAATTTGCAAGGGCGGTCCTAGAAATGGATAATACTTGTTTGTCCTCTAGGACTTTGGTGCTGTCTGTATAATTCCAGCAGGTACAATCAATCAATCAATCTGTTTTCCTGTTTTTTATTTTCTCTTTTCTAACAGATATTAAAATGCGCGTAGTGCCCGTGATACCAGAAGATATTGCACTTATCCATCTTATCGATAACTGCTATATTCTGGAGTCCAAATGGCCATTGAAAGGTAAGATAATATTAAGGCTATCGCCTTGTGTCACTCATCCCAATTGCTGTCTTGCCTGTATACTGACAGTGCCGACTTAGGGGGCATTATTCAATTTAACAAGCTTTTTGTAAAGAATCATGCACAACTACTAATATACAACAACTAGCCGGGATATTTAGATTATCATCAAAGGCCCATGTACATAATTTCTTCTGCCTAGAGTAAGATTTACAATTAAAAGTTTATACTCACAGTTGGTAATGGTGCACTGGGAGTTACCGTGCATTATTTACATTGGGCGTTTTGGCTCCTCCATTGCTACATCCAGTACTAAAGTGCTCTCTATATATTCACATAGTTTAACTCCTAATTTCTACTGCCAGCCAGCAACTCTTAATACCCTGACAAAAACAGCAGGTTGGTAAACATATATTTACTGTTACTTTTATTTTCTATCACAACCAGTAACATAATCAAAGGGCTAGAGCAAATACAGTTAATAGTTCTAAGTGATTATGTACAATAGCACTATTATTGTCGGCCAGCATGGAATCTAGAAAGAGTGGCTAATAATAGAGTTTTTTCAGTTGATATTAACAACATTATGCTAAATTATTCTAGCTATCACCCATTAACATCACTGCAGATGTGCACTGGGCTGAAATCTATTTTGTTCAAGCAATAGACAAGAAAGAGATCTTTTATACTGTCAGCCATATTTACCTCTAGCTATTCAAAAGCCCTCCTTAGTGCTGATTATTCAGCCGATATTCGCAGCTGTGAACTCGTGATATGTTCACAGAGCTCCAATATGATGTCTACTAACCTATTCGGGAAATAGGTTTTGGTACGGTGATAAGTATATATCATCACACGAGCAGACTGGGTATCTCTATATTGCAAGAAAGGGCTTTAAATACCATGGTATTTAAAATTATCTTGTATTCTAGGGTAGGAAAAATATTAAAAATTCTAAATCAAATTTACAGGCATATTACAGTATATATAATAAGTAGGACTCATCATTAGTAGTAAAACTATAGTATAGGTTAAGATATTAAGGTTCTAAAAAGTGCCATTTGCCCCGAGCCGCTTACGTCCGACTCGCTTGTGAGTTATGTTAAACTGGTAAGCGAGCGTCGCACCTCCGCGTTTCAACACATCTCTCTTTGACAAAGCTATTCAAATCATCACTATACTACAAACTAAAGTCAAAAGCCTTATGGGATTAAGAAGGAAGGGATCATCTAGCTGTCTCTGCTATATAAAAAATAACAAATCACAGATGTAGTTTATCACAAGCAGCATGGGAATTTCAAGCACCTAAGAAACACTACAAAGTGTCACAGTGTTGTATATCGCCTTTCCTTAGGTTAACGTAACTGGCCTCAATGTCTTGATTGTGACGACCGGCGCGGGGTCGATTTGCATTGACGGTTTGCATTGACAGTTTGCGATGTCAGTTTGCGTTGCTCGTTGTTTGTTCTATTTACTATTTTTAGTTGTGGGGAGCGATGGAGCGTGGAAGTATGTGGGGATATCTACTCTACCGCCTACCTCGTCCTCTTCCTTTCCTATCCATGCTTAGTATTCTCGTTGCAGGCACTGAATATTAGAGTTGATTTGGTTGGCTTCATTTCCTTTTCTGTTTCGTAGGTCATTACACTGATCATATATCCTGTGACCGCCATATTACACCGCCATATTACCGCGCCCGGTCTTAGACCTCTTCCTACTGGAAGAGGATTAAGGTAAACAATGGACTAGAGATCCCCGTATACTGCCACGCTCCACCGCTCCCCCACAGCCAAACATAGTAAATAGAACAAACAACGCAAACCGCCCCCGCAGCCCCTCTCACGAGAGCTGCTTCAATTAATCCCATATTGATGGTGTTGTGGTAGTCTAAAATATGTCATTGTAGAAGGAAGGTCGTATGGTAGGCGGAAACGCACGCCAGTTAATCAAGTACAATATACCGGGGGTGGTGTGGTGAGCCCTGGCAGAACCCCTAAGCTTACCCCATGGCCTGGGCCCTCGATGACCCTACAACTAATGTTTGGTATTTTAGTTGTATAGCTACTTAGGTTGATGAATGATATCTAGATTGAGCGCTTCACATTCGCATTCGCGTGATTATTATTAACTCGTCTGCTAATTTCCAACAGATCTTCCATGCTCTTCCACAATGGGTCTACACTTTGCGCTTCACTAACCCTCGGAAGAAATCAAAACTGTTGCTGTCGCTCTGCAGTTGCCAGATCCGGCCCGTCGGCCGATCGTCCCATCCCAATTCTTCTGCCAGTAATAATCCGTAGTCGCGCGTAATTCCCTTGATGCGCGCCCGTGCGCCGCCTTCCTCCAGCGTCACAACCTGGTGCATATGCAGCCAGTCGTTGTAGTACATCTCTTCGAATCCCCGGTCGAATCCCGTGTACAGGAACCGGGTGTACAGCTCCTCCAGCGTCGTGAGGATACGTGCTAGCAGTTTCTCCAGACCGATGGGCGCCGCCTTGGGCCCCACGAAGCGCGCAGCCAGAGCATTCAATGACGTCGTCGGGGAGGCGTTGGTTGCATTGAGGCCGATGCCTACCACCGATACATATTCGTTCGAGGATAACTGCGAATTGACCAAGATGCCGCAGATTTTGGTGTATTGTTGCTTCTCCGGCTGCTGAGGGTCCAACGCATCTGTTGCAGTAGGTTAGTTGGACAACGATATAATCGACACCCAGATCCATAGGTCTCTCCACTTACAAACATCATTGGGCCATTTCAACTTGACCGGAATCGAATCAAACCCTTCATCGTAGCTCTTAATCCCTTGCACCACCGCCATAGCTGCCAGGTATTGGATGAACACTACGGGCGCTGACTGCATCTTCTCCATCGGATGTCGGAGCACCGTCGAGAAGATGAGTGCGCCAGCCGGAGAGACCCAGATGTTGGAGCCACGCCCTCGACCCGCCACCTGCGTCGTTGCGCTCAACGTAAACCCCTGGGGGAGTTTACGTAGGAGCTTCGGGTTCCTAGGACAGTCAGAGTGACCGACGAGCTCCTCGTAGATGACTTACTTTTCCAAGACCGTGTTCGTGCTGGTGACAACTTCTCCGTACATGAGAGTCGACCCGAACTCCGATGCTCCCTCCTTCGACAGGGACTGATATCGACGGAGGTTGGAGTAGTAGGCGTTGTGGTTGAAATATGGAGTCGTTTTCGTTGACGGGACTTCGTCATGAACCACAATACGCTTCGTGATCGCGTTATAGTCAACGATCCCCTCCGGCCTCTCCGGCAGGGACTCGCCCAGCGCATTAAAACTCCACGTCCCAGGCTTCTCGATGCGAAACGTATCGTTTTCATCTTTCACATACTCCTCCTCTCCTTCCGTTGTAATAATTTCCTGCAGAGACGAAACGATCTGAGCCGTGTCCGCCGGGTTCAACGCGGAGAGATGCATCGAAGACAGAGACGGCACAGTCGTAGTACTCTGCGCGACCTGTAATCCCAATTTGCCCAGACAGGCCTTTAGAAAGTCCGTGCGTGCGCGGTCGTCTTCCGCCAATGCGTCCACAATACGAGCGTATTCCGGTCCCCCGGCACTCTTGTCAAGGTTGACGGCCGCAAATCTAGCCCCAGCCCCCGTCAGCATCTTCGTTGACAGACATTACAGAAGAACACATACTCAGGATGTGGTCCCGTCAGGATCGCCGCCCCTTCGCCCACTTTACAGTAGACCACAGCCGCCGCACCTAACCCAGCATCGACATTCAATTCCTCCGTATATTCTGCCAGCACTTCCACTCCTTTCTCCGCATAGAGCAGTGCATCCACAAAGACACCTCCTCCATTGTAGTATGACCGAAACTTCGCAGGCACAATCCCAGCCGTTAAGGCCTCCTTCGAGACCTTCAATTCGGGCGCCCGCGCACCGCTCTCGCTATGGTAGACAAACCCCGGGAATGCACCGCCGCGACAGACTCCTGGAAAGAAGGCCAACTCGCGGTCTCCGATCACCTGCATGGTTTTATCACCAACTTCAAACTCGCAGCGTTTGCTGCCATAGTATGCGCCTGCACAGAAGCCCAGATAGGCGCCTCCACGACGTACGAACTGTTCGATTCGGCGATTGCCAACGCCGTTGAGAGAACGACAGTAGCCCAGGTCTGCGCCGCCGGGGATCACGAGTAAGGCGCAGGTGAGAGTCCAGGGCTCTTTTATGAGCATGTCAGCTGTCACGGGGATCACCGCGTAGTGAGGGGCCAACAAGCGTCGGAGGCTGTATAGGCACTGGCGCACGGATTCGACGGTGGTTCCATTTCCTAATTGTAGAGAGCGAAGACAATCAGACCATGATCAAATAGAGGTGATTGATAGACCAACCGGAGTACACCAGCACGTTGACCTTCTTGCCGTTCAGGTTGGGTTTGGCAGTAGCCATGGCGGGGAATGAATTAATTAACGATCTGGGGATTGGAATGTTGTCAGATCCCGAGGCCACTAATTAATCTCCCAGACACACAACCCGATCCCAGCAAGACAATGTCGCAAAAAGAACAGCGCCAGAATCCTCCGGTGGTGGACGACGACGATGACGACGAGCCCGATGAGTGGTGAGTGTGATGAGGATTGTTGGGACGGACGATGGACGGAGCTGATCGGGTTTGCTCGCAGGGACAAGCGGATCTTCAGTACGGGCTGCGCAGGTGGGAAATTCGCATCCCACGATGCTCTCCCACATCGAACTGACCGTCGCTAGTCGAGCAGGATAAAATGAACGACTGCTACTTTGCTAAAAAAGACTGGCGCAGTTGCAAGGACGAGGTGAGTCATGTCACTGCGGCCGCCGTGACTTCTTCTACCTGCACCTCCAACAGGGCAACAACCCAGTATTGGATTCACAATTCCCTTGTCTCTCTAACCCTCTGAAAGAGATGTGCTAATCATTCTCAATCTCTATCGCATAGATGGAGGCATTTCGTGAATGCTGGAAACGCCAGGGCAACGACCAGCGCACCCAAACCAAGGACGCGTAGTGTGCAACTCTTAGCGGTCGATGGCAGCTCTTCTTCCTGTACAATAGCACAACATGTATATTATGTGATCTCATTCTCTGATCTAATCTAATCAATTGACTCCTGATCCTCGCTCTGCCCCCTGCAAATACTGTGTCACGTGATGTACAAGCTCACTTCTTCCGTCCATCACCATTATCTCCATGCTCCCCTCAACGCACCACCCTTCTACAACCACGTTATTCCTTAGTAATCATGTCGCTGCCGTGTCTCTCGCGCTCATTCCGGAAAGCAGAGTCCATGCTCTGTCGAGGAACGCATTCTCCGCTATCTCATCCTCCCAACACACCTCTATCCCGTCGGACGTTCGTCCGACCTACTTCCTCGAGACAACAGCAGCAGCCAACACCAGCCAACACAATTACACCCACAACACCCAAACCCACCTCCCCGCCACCCGCTTCATCATCATCATCTTCTGCTGATCATGCTTCGCGAATCCTCGCCCCAACACCCAGCCACCAAACCACCGCCAACATCTCCAAGACCGGCCTTTCGGACAAACCGCTGGAGCTGGAAGTCTCCGCGGACGAGAAAGTCGACTGGACGCGGTCATTTCACGGGCTCAGCGCTGCGCCTTTTCCCAAGGAAGCAGCAGATATCCTCCTTGCCCCGACAGACCCGGAGGAAGTCGAGATCAAACCCGATGGGATCCTCTACCTGCCCGAGATCAAGTACCGACGGATCTTGAACCGCGCGTTCGGGCCCGGTGGGTGGGGTCTAGTCCCCCGGAGTGAGAGTATCGTGACGCCGAAGACGGTGACACGCGAGTATGCCTTGGTTTGCAATGGACGGTATGGCTATGGTTTTCTTTTCCTTGGTGGATTTTGTATACTGTTGGGGAGGTTAATGCTAATGGTATATAGTCTGGTGTCCGTTGCGCGTGGCGAACAGGATTATTTCTCGCCTGATGGCATCCCCACCGCTACCGAGGGCTGTCGCTCCAATGCACTTGTTCGATGCTGTAAGGATCTGGGAATCGCCAGCGAACTTTGGGATCCGCGCTGGATTCGCAAGTACAAGGCCCAGTACACGCGGGAGGCGTTTGTTGAACATGTCGTCAACAAGAAGAAGACTAAGATCTGGGTGCGTAAGGGTGATCCGGTGTCGTATCCGTGGAAGGAGACCAACACGCGATGATACTACCGCGGTGGTTGGAATCTAGATAGGTAGGTATTCGCGGGTTGTATTTATACCAGCTACTATCCTCCTGTTGGATTCAGTAGAGGTCTCGTTACGTTTGTAATATAGTTAATCATCATGCATGTACATCTCAATTCAAACCCAAAGAATCAAGTCATCGGGGCATGGTTGTATTCTGATAATAATCATACTACATCCCAATCGCCATTACCAAGACAAGACAAGATTGTCCGCACCCGTTAAATAAGATAGTGCAAACATCGTACACACGTTGCATTCATCGCACTACATTCCATATATTGCATTGATATCAAGACGGCGGTATCTCTTTCCTCCTTTTTAATTTATTTATTCTTTTTCATCTTCCTCGTGGCTTATTGCCCGCCATGCGTGGGTCGTCGAGAGACGAAAGCCCCCGGCATTTGCTCATCAGAGTACCTCCCACTGGGTGAAGGGTCACGCAGGTGAGGAGAAGGGTACTCCTGGCCACTCTCTATACCCGAAGGCTCCAGCACCGACGGCAGCTCAAAGGGCTGATTCGGGTCATATGCTCCATCCTGTGAGCCATAGAAATGACCGGGATAGTTGCCATATTCCTCGCGCGGTTGCACGGGTTCAGCGAGAATAGGGACACCCCCCGTGGCCGAAGGGACAGACATTCGACTCCCTTCCTTGCGGCGGCCCGTCGATGGCGTCCGTCCGAGGGAGCCATAGCTGTTGACGTTCAAGTGATCTCGTCCCGGAGAAGCGGCGGGGGTTTGGTAATTGTCGACATCATGCCCATCGCGAGATCCTTCGGGGCCCGGAGAGTGACTCTGCGCATGTTCCGCATAGTATCCGTCACCATAGGAGCTGGTGGAGGCCCCCGCGCCCCGATTACGGTGCTGCAGTGATCCTGACGATGACTGACCGAGGTCAAATCCTGTGGATCTGGATTCCGCAATTGCCAACCCCTGAGCAGCACCGGCAGTACTCACGCGTCTCATACCATCGTCGCCACCCTTATCAGTGGCGCCATCTTTCGGCTTGTTATCTTCATTGGATTTCCCATCATCGTTGTTTTCGTCGTCCCCTGCCTCCTCCGCACCGGGGGCGAGGAGTGGGATCCTGCGGACGGCGGCCACCAAGGCACACATGAATTTTGAGCGGCGAGCAGCACGAACGGTCTCGTTCGCCCAGTTGGACTTATGGCTAATGTTGACGCTCAGTTCCAGTTTGTCCATATCACCGACGCCAACAACGTCAACATTGATATCGGGTTTAAAGTCGCGGCAGTTTTCCTTGTCACGCACAAATCGCTCCATTTCTTGCTTGAGATGCTGGATGTTCGCAAACGTTGTTTCAAACTTGACGGGGATGGTCAGCGTCTCGTGCATGGCATTAGCCCGCGTAAAATTGTCGATCCACTGGGTGTTGAGAACGATATTGGGGACCTGAGTGATGCGATGATCGGCCACGTTGCGGAACACGCTGAAAAGGAGCGAGATCCGTTCGACGATATAAGGCTTGGACTCAATATCCACGCGGTCACCAACATCAAACGGGTGTTTCACAAAGAGGAAAATGCAAGAACCGAGGACTTCTTGGGCGGTGGTGGCAAAGACGAAACTTAGGGACAAGAGGGAGGTAGCACCGGCTGCAATAACGGTACCAAAACCGCTCGTCACAAAGGAGATGAAGACCAACAAACCAATGACAAACGCGACAGTCAGCAGAAGATTATCCAGCACATGAATTGCCTGGTCGACATCATGCATACTATGATTCAATGACTTGCGCATGCGCCTGACCTCGGCAACAGATAGGATCATCTCCTCAAGACTGATATCTCCATTCCCGTCACGATCGAGAAACTGGAAGCATTCTTCCGCCTCCGCCTCCTTGCCCACCCCCAGCACCTCAGCGACATCGTCATGGTAGAGTGCCTCCCGGCCTTCGATAACAAAAGACATCCAAATTCGACGGGCCAGAGCTTCAGACGACTTTGTCCGCTCCAACGCCAAGACCACGACAGAACGAGCAGAGTTGGGGTTGAACACTTCTTTGCCGGTGATTTCCTGAGCTACATCACCGACAACAGCTGTCACCTTGCCACCAATTCGGCCAAAACCATGTCCAACCTCTCGGATGAGCCGCAAGGGAGCCGAGCCAGACCGTGGCATGTTACCTGCCTTGCTCGTGATCAAGTCGGAGACGGCAGCATCCTCTTCGGCAAATTCCTTACAGTACATTGGAAACATACTGCGCGATGCCTCGTAGAGCAGACCAAGGAGATAGATGTTCCTCTTAGACTCCTTGATTTTGGCATCGAACTGCTTCCGATGGTAACTGATTGAAATGAGCTGGACAAGAGTTTTTTCGGCGAGGAAAATCAAGCTGCAGATGAGTAACGCGAACAGGATATTTTTGATGGTCTTTTCCCATGATTTTACCCCTGTGTCATTCTGCCTCTGTTTCGTCGGATTCAACGTCATAATCTGGGAGCAAGAATATTAGCGGCTGTGCTACCCCAGCAGAGCTTTGGAACGAGAGGAGACCTACAGGGAGGAACGTCACAAGAGATATCACCGACCAAATCACGGTTGCGATAGGGATCTGCAGCCGACGAAGGATCAAGGAATATTTGCGGGTTCCCGAGCTGACAATGCCGCACAAGAATTGGAAGACATAAGGGAGAAAATGGGCCGCCAGCTTGGCCACCCACAAACCCAACCAGACCACTTCGATCCAGGTGAAGAACCAATGAACAGGGACGTCGGCAATGGTCGCGTCCGGCGCGACTGAAGCTCCCACAATGATAGGGATGGCAATCAACAAGGCGAGTGGCGTAACGTAGATCAGGTAGCGAGTGATAATGGAGAAATTGAGGACCTTCTGGTAGAAGTAGCCCATCTTGGTGAGCGTACCATCTTCGGGTTCTTCAAACGAGCCACCCATAGTCCCAACTCTCCTGCGACGCCCCGGACCTGCAACCAAGCCAGTCTTTTCACTGGCGTTTGGGTTTGGACTTCCATCGGGGGGTTGATACGCATTGGGTGACGCCGGAGTGTTAATACTAGGGTTCCGAGCACCGGTTTGCCCTCGACTGGGAACCGTACTCAAGGGGATATCAATGGTCACGTCATTGGGATTGGCCATTCCTTCGTGAGTAGAATCCGGGATCTGCTGGAAACGATGAAGAGAGAGTCGCTTCTCAGCGATACCAGGACGGCCGGACATTTGCCTAGACCGAGAATCGGTGGGTGTATGAGGTTAATATAAAAGCGAACGCCGATCGATAGGGTTAGGGAAACTAGACAACAGAAGCTGTCCTGCAGCCCCACGACAAGAAATGACGGAAATGTGGTAGCGAGCGAAAAGACTCGAGACCTTTAAAAGAAAGACATGGATTGCTTCACGATTGGGCAACTTGGAGAGGATTATAGAGCCATGGATCTTATTCAGGACAGGTACCAGTGGGGGGATCGTGTGGGTCGAACCGAGTAAAACGCGTGGAAGGAAACAAAAGTGGGAGAACTCAGAAGGCAGACAGTAAGGAGCGTAGTCAACGACTGACTGACAGATTGATCGCAGGACGAGGGGAAAGGAAAGGAAAGGGTCCAAAAAGCCACCCAGAACGAAAAAATGATGGTTGAAAGAATGAATGAATGAGAAAGCAAAAAGAACCGAGGACACCTGAGGCTGCGAGGCACCAACACAGGGGCAAAATGTTTCACCAGTTTTTCGGCTTCGCCTTCATTCCCATTCCTGTCGTTCCCGGGGCGCTGCGAGAATCTAACGACCCATTCCTACGGGCATTCCAGTGGGAATTGCATCTGATTATTCAGTTTCACACCCATTCTTAACGGCACTTGACACCTCTCCCCCCAACTCTGCCCTACCAGCCTTATTATCGACGATGAGCGCTGATCAGTCGGGATCTGTTTTGCCATCAGAGCCATCACTTTGCCAAGAATGAACGATGTGCCCCCACACGTTGAGTTTTTCATGGACTTGGTCTAGTTCGGGGTCCTTTTCTCTTGTGGCTGAGTTTCATGGAAAGTGCTTGGATCATCGTCGACAACTTACGCAATGCAGAAGCAGGAAGACCTGATCTGGGTAACTTTCCGAGCAGATCATTGATGATTGGTCCAATGGCGTCGACTAGGAATCATGGATTGCCACGAGGGAAGTCGGAGATATTCCACGTCAGGTATTGTGCCGTGTGGCCAAAAGAGCGAAAGATTATAAGTCATGTGACTGGATCGTGGAGTAAGTCCGTCGACGTACCCAATATTGACAGTTTGACATGATCCTTATCTTATACTTTCGTTTACATAGTCGTCTAAAGGCGGTTCCCCCTTTTAATTTGTACTCTGGTCCTGACTCGGATGCTAACTGCCAATGCTGTACCCCTTCCCACCTCCAATGGCAAAATCTCGGAGCTCCAAATATCATCCCCACCTGACCAACTTTGGCGACTTGACAGCTCAAGGGGGCACCAGTCGCCGATCCCTCCGAAAAACGGGGCATCGCCCGAACTGCCTGTGTATCAGAATCCCGTCAACAATGAGATCAGCTGGAGCTAGCGATCGGACTCTATTGAGTTGATGGCGACCGGCTAGGTGTCGGGTATACTTGACTCTCTTGGGGGGGTTGACCATATTCTGGTCAAGAAATTGAGCTTCATATCTTCCTGTGTCGACCGCAACTGAATGGTCTCACTGAGTTCCAGCAAACTCGACGTTTCCGTTATTCCTTTGTCTTCCTAGCAGAACGAGCATCGCCGCGACCAGAACCATACAACTCCCTCATTTGGGCAACATCAAGGCCGGCTACGCACTCTCCAACGTTACGACCCTTCCAGGCCGACATGTGTTCTTGTCAACTCCATGCGCATGACTGTCTCGCTCTACCATGACCAGTTCAACAGCGCCCATCTAACCGATGCGATGAATCTGCTGGCTATCGAACCTCTGGGCCATGGTGCAACCAGCTCCCCGTCCGATCATTTTACCTACTGGGATTCAGCCATCATGGTATTATAGGTGATGGACCACCTTGGTATTCAGTGAGCATTTGCTTTGGAAACGAGTCAGGGTGGCTGGATCGTGACTCGGATGGCTTTGTTGGCTCCAGACAGAGTAGGGTGCTAGAATACATACTAGAATACAGTGCCCACTGAAACTGTCCGTAGTGATTGCTGACCAATTCTTGTCTGCTCGCCGTGGCTGCAGATTCTCGGCCTCATGCCCCTCGGTACCTCGATGGACTGCGAGTCCACAGACTCACGATCAAAGGGGTGTTGGGATCCGTCGCCCATTCTCACGCCCTTCTACGAAAACTGGACGAGCGCGTCAGCGCCCCGGATTTCGTCATAGATGATGTATGGTGTGTTATGGTGGGAGGGATTGGCTTCGGGGCCGCGGCGACGACTGAATCTAGTGGGTACTGGACAAGGATCTTGAAGGACGTATACAAGGGCGACGAGGGTCGGAGGAAGGCGCGTATGGCGGTGCTCTGTTGGAGCGAGATGGACTACTACTGCGACTAAGGGAACATCACATGTCCGGTCTACTGGTTACAGGTGAGTCTACGTGTTTTGTGCCCTCTGGGGCAGGATAGTGTTAATATACAATCCTTTTAGGGAACGGAGGACATGCCGTTTGGAACCACCGTTCCAAAGGAACAGATTCAACTGTTTACCTCATCCAAGGAGGCCAAACTCACCATGATTGAGGGCCAACCCGTTGGGAGGTCCGACAGCCGTCAGCCCAGCTCAGTATAGATAAATAATAGCCAGCATTATTATCACCGCGAATGAAATGGATACGACTTTATTTGGCCCTACGGCACTTAGCCAGTCCTAGCCCACCGACTAGTCATGCCCAACTGTCTCGAGGCAAGATATTCAGAAACGCCACTTGGGGGAATCCTGACAAAAGTATTTGGTGGATCCTGTGGATCATTTGGCAGACATGGGGAGTGGAGTCTCACGTCAAGGACGCCTCTCTCCAGGCAATCAGAAGCCAGAAGAAGAGTATATCAGACGGTAAGTGATTCGATTCTCGAAGACAGACTTGCAGACTCATAAAGCAAGAGGCCATGCAATGCCGCTCGACAAGACCAGGCACCATTACCAAGCCGGCAAAGGAGAAAACGAAATGATCGTCATTGGCTTAAGATCCCCCCGGGTTTTCCATATTTGCCTTCCTCCATCCCATGGCTTTTTGCTCTTCATCTTCTTCCTCCCGTATCGAAGCTGATCACCAATGGAAGATGATTCACGCAATTTCCAGCCTTGAGTGACGGCCACCACTATCTCCCTCACGGTGCTGGCGTTTATGGCCGTCCTTCGCGTGGTGGCACGCTATGAACGGAAGCGAAAGCTGTTGTGGGATGATTGGATGATTATCTGGTCGATGGTGAGTTCATACATACATGCCCAAGTCTCTTACTGCTTGATGTCGGGATTTGATAGCTGAAATCCCGATCAGGGTTGGAACATTGTCGTCGTCGGTTTCATCTTTGCCATGGTCCAGGAAGGCATGGGCCTCCACACCGCCCCTGCAGCCAACCTCGTGATGATCGCCAAATTTCTCCTCGTCGCCAACATCCTGTACATGTTCAACCTGGTTTGGACCAAGCTCGGCATACTCCTGATGTGCTACCGGATCTTCCGGTTTCCCCTTTTCTAACGATGGGCGTACATTATCGGTGGCTTTGTTATCCGTCGGGTCATCTGAATCACCTTATTTATCTTTATCCGTGTGCCCGCCCAGAAACTCTGGTATCCAGATATCCCGGGCCGATGTATCGACCAGGTCACCACTTGGATTGCCAACGCTGCGTCGACTATCCTCACTGATCTGGCAATCTTGGTGCTTCCAATCCCGCAGGTATGGAAGCTGCAGCTGCGGCGGTCGGAGAAAATGGCCCCTCACTTTTGCTTTTTGGTTGGGGTTCTTGTATGTCCCTCCGCTTCGTTATTCGTGCAATGCAAGTTCCATTAACACTGCTCCAGTGTTATTTTTGCGTCTGCCTACCAATTCACGGTTCTCTTCTCCTACAACCCTGCCAACTCAGCATACACTCTCGCTCCCACGGTGGGATGGACCGCCATCGAAGCGTCCACAGGTATTATATCCGCGTTTCTCCCGACACTACGGCCCGCACTGCAGCTGGCAACCCGGATCCTACGAATCAGGGGCACTCTGCCGGCTCTCATCCGAAGTCGATCCATACCGTTTTCTCAAGGCAGCCAGCTTGACTCCAATTACGGCGTACCACTCGGGGACAACTCCCCTGTCAACATGGGAGGGCACTGTGGCGTACGTGGAAAGCGACACTCGTTCTACTATTTACCTAATCATTCAGAACCAGGACAAGACGGGGGCATACCGAGCCAGTTAGATGCGTCACTGAGACCGGATTATGACTATGTCCATATGGTGACGAATGTGTTGAGTCCAGGGTCTAGGAAAGAGAGCGCAGAGGATGATAGTCTGGGTGAGGACAAAATACCTTTGCATGGGATTCGAGTGCAAGTGGAACTTAGCCAGGTGAATGGGTCGTGGACTGGACAAATTGAAATTGTTGTTTCCCACAATAGTGAAGAGGTAAACCAGTCTCATTTACTGCACCGCACCTGCTCATGTGGATTTGATATCATCCTACCTAGTCTCGGTATATATTCAACCGTCCTATGGAGATTGTTTTTAGCTAGAGTCGTTTTTTTTTTAAAAAAAAATATATATATTTCAAATGAATAAATAAATATTAATAAGTAAGTAACTAGAATAAAGTATGCGGTTTAAATATAGGCTACTCCGTGCTAATCAGTAGACATTACCAATCTAAAAAAAGAGTAATAAACGTGCCCAACATTTTGGACATTTGTCTCACTCTACAAAATATATATCCTTCGTCAATGGGATTATAGTATAGTAATAAGCAACAAACACAAAATCGACCTCGAAATAAACATAGCAGTATTATACTCGTTGTAATGTTTGTTCAAATAAAATGAAACGGAAAGAAAAAAAATCAAAAAATCAAAAATGTTCATAAAAAAATTGCATCATCCGTGAATCGAACACGGGCCTCATCGATGGCAACGATGAATTCTACCACTAGACCAATGATGCTATTCATATGTAACTTCGATATTTAATGTAATATGAAGGGAAAAATTAAACAAGTGACGATGAGCATAGATCGTAAGGATGTGCTGTCTCTATTGCTGATCCAGAAACTGCTAGAATCGAAGGTGCATACAGTGTACCACTGTACAGAGTACAGTCTAGGTCACGGTGGACAGTATGGTACATATCAGTCATATAATTGCCACGCGTCGTACTGCATAGCCAGATCCTGCGATCTAGACTCGCATCTATCCACCAATGGGGTCCTATCATCGGTTGGAAGCACAGAGTGATTGCAGAGGACAGGCACATGCAGGATTTGCTCAGATTCAACCAAGCAAACAAACATGCACGAGCGTACTGCACTGTATCACGACGAGTCAGTCAGAGTCACATCAGGCACAGGAATCCAATTTCATGCGTTTCAACTCTTCAACCACCCGCTCTCGGCCCCATCCCTCTTTCAAACCTCGTCTTATAATCTCCTGCTCACTCTCCGGCGCCATGCCGCTGGGTGCTGGAGGCCGACGGTCCAGATTTGTCGGGAATGGATACCCATCCGCAACTGCGAGGACGAACGCCTCCATCGCAGCGTCCAACACGTTACCCGACGCATGGTACCGCTCGACCATACCCTCCCAGCACAGGTCTACAATCGGAACCGTGTCGATAGTCTCCATCGTCTTGCCCAGCCCGCTGCTGATTTGCAGCAGGTTTGCCCTACGATGGAACCCCCCATCGCTCACTACTGCGTCCATCTCATTTTCTCCCGCTGCGTGGAAAACGGCTGGGTTAAAAAAAAGCCCGTCACCCAATGCCAGCGGTAGTGCGGTGTAGTTCTCTTTAAAATAGGCCCGGAACTCCTCCCGTCGCCAGGCGAGATACCCCGCTTCGTATGTTTGGCTGAAGGGGAGGAACCGTGTCGGCCCACTTCGCTCGGGCATGTCGCTGTGTGCCACGGCCCCCTGAAGCGTGAGGTACTGACTCGTAAGTTGGATGCTGCGCGGGAAGGCGGCGCAGCGGTCCACCTCCTGGAACCCAAGGTGGTAGTCGCGGTGGCTTTCCTGGGCCGCACCGCCAGGTTTGACGACGTTGACTTGTGCTGTCACGCGGTAGACAGGGCCCAGCCAGCTCTCGCAGACCAGGCGCAGCCACGGGTTGGAGTAGTAGTCGATGAAGGAAGAGGGGTCCTCTTTGGCGTGCTTGCTGAATGAGTTCCAGATGCGGTCGTTTTTGCCGCTCGTAGCAAAGTGGTCGCCTTTGACAACTCTAGAGGATTGACGTTCATGCTCAATAATCCTCTGGAATGCGTTATTGGTGGATGACAGTGTCTTTTCGTATCGACAGGGATGGTACATGCCTTTTAGCACGAAGACCCCTGGTCCCGAGTTGAGGGCGTGATGCCATTCGTCCTGCAGACGGTCGGCCAAGTCGGGATCTAGGGGATCCAGTGTCGAAGCATTGTAGATAGGAATTTCTTTTTCCACAGATGATGCCAAAGAATATGTCACTTTATCTGTAGTCTGGGAGCAGATCTTCTTAAATTCCTCCAGCTGGATAGACTGTGGATGGAATAGCCGCCTATGCACGGCTCTGGACGACCCATTTGATAGGGCCATAGTGTTTGATCTGACGAGCAGCTCAGAATACCGTGGATTCACCGGATCAAGTACCCGTGGAGGTTTGAGGTCTATATATATGCTAGCGACGGAAGAAAATCCCGAGGACAAGGTGAATGAACCTCGAAGACAGGAAGGACAGACTATGGAACGTGGGGTACGAGTTAGGGTATCAGTTGGGACTGGAGGCACAACCACGAGGAAAAAATATCCCGAAGCCATCCAGACTGTGTTGGCCACGTGCAGTCGGAAACCTATATCCGGAGACGCCAACGTTGAATCATTCAAAGATGGGGAACATATCTCCCGTATGCTTCGTCATAATCATCAGGTTATTAATACACATATACAGGTAATTGTGCCAGGAGGGCCTGGGAGCCATCGTATCCCGGCCCAAAGTGTGATCCAAATCGGTACATACAAGAAATGTAGAGTGACTGGGCCATCCGGACAGCATAAAAATGGAGTGTGCCCCCAGAACAGAAATAGTAGAGGATCACGGAGGCGGAATGAAGACGATGGTGAACAAAATCAGAGAAAACAAATGGAGAGATTGCTAAGGATAGTATATGACACAATATCCGCATCTCTGCAAATCAAAATTGTATTTAAAAGAAAACCCCGGTCAGTGCAGAATTCTATTAAGATCCCGAACTTTCTCCCCCACATAAAAAAAAAAATAAAAACAAGAAGGTAAAATGTATTCGCTTGCCAACTTGTTGGTCATTCATGCATTCATCATAACAACCCCAACATCGGGGTTCAGGGTTTGATCCACGGCAGCTACGTCGTCATTTTTATTCGACTCGCTCAAGATGAGCTGATTCTCAGATAGCGTCTCCACGAGCGAACTCGGTCGTCCAGCAACGGTGAATAAGACTTTTAGCAACACACTTTGACTCTCACTCCCGTCCGGCATCCGAGCTGCTTGATGTCGAGTATGGGTCAGGAGAGTTCGAACGAGAGACCGAATATGCTGATCTGTGGATGCATCCTGAATAACGTCTAAACCGTCGATCACGCACACAACGAGGGGTGGGGCGTAGTGCAAGAGTATATCGATTAGCGAGAGAACCTCCTTCCAGGACGTCATAGTGCCATCCAAAGGGCTAAACCGCTCCGCGCTTAGGTTGCAAGCTGTATGGCCTACCAATACGGGTGGCAGATAGTCGATTAATTGTCGGATCAAACTATAGGTCAACGCTATGAGGCCTTGTTCGAAGAGCGTCATTCCCTCTCTTGCTTTCGGTGGAAGGGAACAGAAGTGGGAGATTACTGGCAGTTTGGCTTGCCGAGAAAAACAGGCGTAACAGGCGGATACGAGAGCAACTGGACTTAGGAAACCTGTAGATGGCGAACCGCCAACGGCGAGAGCTTGGGAATGAGCGCTGGTTGCCCAGTGGTGCAAAGAGGCTGTTAGGCTGTCTTCAGCAATCACGGTCATATCGGGCTCAAAATCAGCCACTTGATCATCGCAGTTGAAGAAGTCTTGAAGATGTTTGGAAGCGAACTGCAGTTCAACCCGGGTATACTTATGTTTGAACCCCTGGGACCACTTGAACCTGGATGTGTCTTGCGCGAATGGTAGTGTTAGTTCCAACGGCTCCTCTAGCCCAAGGTAACCTTCCTGCATACCTAAATCCTGCGCAGCAGTTGTAGTCAAGCAGGCGATGCCACTGCTTTGCTGGCTAACCGGGCGCATCCGCTGGCTTACGGAATTCAGCATTTGTGAAAGAAGTATCTCTCTTTCTTTATTCATCTTGAGACGCTCTGACGCATTATGTTGGATTTCCCAGATCAGTTGACGAGTCATGGCATTTTGTGCAGCAAGTCGACGGTCCAATTTTTGCAAGCCGATTTGGCTCAATCTGGCCTCCTCCCACAATAATAGGTCGCTATTCTGCATGAGATTTCGTCGGTTTTCATAATCGGTATCATCCAAATCCATCTCGTCAGGGAATCCACGAACAATATCATTTGCACTGCGTCGAATACTCCAAACAAGCCCACGGAAATCCGAGTATATGTCTTGATTAAGACTCTTCAGCTGTCGACACTTAGAGCTTCTCACATACCAGTCCATCAGCTCCCCCAACAGGAAAAAGATTAGCGAATAGAACCGGGCAACTGAATGGATTGAGTCTTTTGAAAGAAGCGAGTTGTTCCCTCCTTCTTGAAAGCAAATCGACTGATTCATCTGGACAAGTATTTTGATGAGACCCTCCGCGAGTCTTGGATAGTTTGCAGAAGCCTAGCTGGCAAGGTTAGCCATGCCAGCAATCATTCCTAGGAACAAGATGACCACCTTCAGGATGGACTGCAAAACGCCATAGAAGAGAGATACGTAGAACTCATTCTTCGGAAGAGCCACTAAAAGCATGGAATGTGGATCCAATGTGGATAAGAACTTGTCACAAAGGGCCATCGAGCGCATAAATAATCGTTGCTTGGAGCTGGACATCCATACAGTCTGTACATTCTGCACCACTCGGAAGACATCTTCGGCAATTTGTGCGCGTTCCTGGAATTCAACGTGATCTTCGGAAGGGAGGCTGTCTTGAAACCGTTTCCAGGACTGGGCTAGTTCGTTGTATTCGACGTCGAGAATGGCAACTACGGCGTTTCTGTGGGAACATTAGCCATCACAGCGCCCAGAAAAGCAGATGGGTTTGGTCCGCAATTAATCAAGCAGAGGGTAAACTAGATATCTGGAGGGATGTAGATCATCCGTAGGCATATGAAGTGAACAGTACGACAAGGGACGAATCAACATGAAGGGTGAAAAGAGAATAGATCGAAGAAAGGAATGCAAGCACGAAATCCAAAAAAAAAAAAGAAAAAAAAAAATGAACTGGTACTCACGAGGAGAGAGGCCTCTTGTCATATCGCTTTCTCCAAACACTGCTCGTGAATTGATCGTCCTCGGATGGTGGAGGGGCCGATGGGACGGCAAGGGACTGAGGAGACATTGTGGCGCAGAGTCAAAGCGGCAACTCTTACTTGTTGGCAGTGGTAGTAAAAGTATGTAAAGGGTGGAAATGCAGGGCGAGGACATCGAAGCGCTCATATCAGGGGGCTCGGTCGGGAAATCGAAGGCAGATGTTGAAATGGTAAGAAGAGTGCCAGTAGACAGACGGGTTGGCCCAGCGAGGGGGTAATTGATGAATGAATGAACGAGCGGAGAATGAATACGAATGAATGGGATTGATGTTGAATGTGTTGAAGGATCTGCTTGTCGGCCACGAAAAAGTTCCTCGTTCTGATTCTTGGTCGTGTTATTGGATTATTTATCTTTATCAGGCCCTCGTCGAGTGTCGTTGCATGGTGGATTTCGTTGAACCGGGTGGCCCCGCTAAGGTAGAAACATCATGGTTTCTAATTTGGCATCCTGAGGTTGGTAGAAAGGAGTAAAAGAAGCAGAGGGGATGAAGAGAAAAAGCATCACCAGTAAAGGATAGGTAGAAAAAGATAGGTAGAAAGCAGGTAGGTAAAGAGTCGCAACAAGCAATCTTTTTTTTTAATTTTTAGTCGAGACTCTTCCCTCGTTCGTAGGTGCCTCCAACAAAAAAAAAAAAAAAAAAAAGAGAATCTTTCCCCCTCAAATTAATATTCTTGGTTTTTTTTTTGGGAAATTTTATTTTTTTAATTTTTTTGTGGAGCGTGGATGTCTCGCCTTCATTTTTTTTCTTTTTCAATCGATTAAGGGATTCTCTAATTCCATTTGGGTTCCTGTCGGTGTGCCTTGTCCTCCTATTATTGACTTCTGGGATTTGCTTTATTTACGAATCCATATCTGGAGGAGGCGTCCCTGCTTTTGTTCTTGCGGCCACGGACTTCTGAACCACGCAGTGGCTCGTCCTTTTAGGTAGTAGACTCTTCAGTCGATGGGAGCCTCGGCCCTGTAATGGTAAGAAACACCTACACCCTCAATAGGGAACCTAGCACCTCCTTGGGCCATCGGGCCAATTAGCGATCCATTGGCGGTGGATCCCTTGGCCGAGGCCTCGAATCAAAGCGGGGATGCTCCGCAGGATAAGTATTCCAGACCCTCGTAGCCTATTGGGAGGGGGGTGTAGGGCTGCTATTTTGGTTCGACCTGGAATGGCGTTACTTTTCATTGCTTTTTACTGTGTTATCTGGGTTCATGTTTCATTACCCGGAGCTAGGATTCAATTCCATGGTCCGTACTTTACAGCAACCAGATTTCCTGGGTTTTGGATAACGTTGGTTTCGCTGGGTTTAGTGGGTTATTATAGTTTCCATTCCTTCTTCATACCTGCTTGCGTAGATAATAAGAGAAAGAGGGAGGAAACAAAAAAAATATTAAAAAAAATATTTTCCACCCTCCCTAAAGAGCTCAGGAATGACTGGTTGTCATACTTGTTTTCTTTCCAGGGGACTTTGGCATCTGACATAGTCACCAGCCAAGGTCCCCGTTTGGAGGTAAGCCGGATGATCTAGTACCTATAATGTCTATCAAATAAACAAAGCCAGCATTACCAGATTTTGTCTCTGATCATTTGCACAGGCTTCTCTCTGTTCGTGTGCATGGACAGATACACAATTATTATTGCTATGATGTTTTTTCTTTTTATTTTGGCCCATTATTCCTGGTTTGTCTCAGGATAGCCATATATATCTTGACAGGCCAAGGGCTTCATGGAGCTTCAACATCACATCATCATATGCGGAGTGCCAAAAGACAACTCGCATAGGTACTTGATAGTGAGCAGATTATGCATCCAGTACTCCCTTTCTTACCTGTTACTTAGTATGGTTTGATATGAAGCTCCAACTACTCACCATCGGCTCTAGAAGGTTCAGTTTCAATACTAATATCGCGAAATAATACGGTGGCATGGATTCCAGAGGATTGGCGGCAACACGTTCCATCGAGTACCCATTTATTTTATTTTATTTTTTTTTTACAGAAAGTCGACTTGCTCCATGCAGACTTAAACACACGGACCAAGTGTTGCTGTCACGGCAGAGTCGAGGCCTGGCCGACCGCCAATCATCGTCATCTGATGGAGTCCATCCATCTGATCTTGACGTATCCATGGCTAGACCACTGGAGATGTTTGGTACCGGCAGCTGGCGCAGCATCAATTTTGCAGTTTTTCCATGCTATTTATAAACCTAGTTCTAAATTGAAAATGTCAAAGTACGGACGGGAGTATGTTCAAGGTTTTTCCGGTTAATCCTAGTGGTGAGTTTTCTTCACTCTAACTGCCTTGTTTAGCCTTGGAAATAAGCATACCATGAAACTGAAACTATAATCAAGGTTCCATATCACAAGGTTCAATCCACAGGATAGGTATGTGGTACAGGATATCTTAGCGACGCTGTACAGCAGGGCAAACCCTTCCAGTCATCTAGGCACAACTTCGAGCTTCCCCTGGAACATTTCAGATAGATTATGTGTGCAGATGACCTGCGTTCATATGTATACGTCTAGCCCATACATGGGAACTAACCGCTTTCTATAGTCTGTTAGAGTGGCATTCCTAAATAGATTGGAGACAAAGCTCAAATACGGTAGTGAAATCTAGCGTTCACACACAGATTTGGAATTTGGAGTTTATATGGACGATGCACGCTCTAATTAGTTCATGATTGGAATCAGCCCAATAGGGTTGACCCCAGTACACAGTGGGTAGCATACCTTTTAAATAAAGCATCTGCGATAGCTATCAAAGCCCTACAAGGAGGCTAGCCATTCGATGCCCAAGTGGGTGGGTGCTCCTTACTCCTTGCATTCCTTTTTCTTTCAGCTCCTATCACTAGGCTGCCAAACGACCTCGCCAAGCTTTGGCTTTCCGGGGTTGTATGGGATGCGGTTGGACAGGATGCAGGCGGTGCAGGAATGGGTCACACATGTTTGGGGGTACTAGTGGACTCTAAATCTCCAAGGAAATGTCCCTCTAACATAGTTCGCAAAAGCTATGCGTTTTACGTCCGAGCAAAGTCGCCTGTCCACCCACTCTCCTCTCCCCCAAATAACGTCGGGTAAAACCCTGCTTGTTCAGAGAAAGGGATTCGGGATAGGAAAGAGAAGGGCCGTGTAGGTGCATATCTTACGTGGAGGGAGAGGAATGTCACTTCAGAGGTTATGTTTTCTTCTGTTCATTATTTGACTCATTTCCCCTTCCAAGGAGGCGGGATCTCCCTGTTAACTGACACAGGCAGGAGTCAATTCAAACCTCCACAGATTTCATAATCCTCAACAGATTATTCTATACTAGACCGTTTGCACGCAACGGCAAACGAATCCCGTGTATGACATATTTAGCCCGAACCCGACCATGTCTATCTAGTCTAAACTCTACACCGGGAGTATCGTTCACTTTCCAAAAATAAAATAGACCCGGGATGGTTGGAACGGTGGCAGAGTCTAAAATGATGGCTTGAATCGCGTTATGCGAACGGGTCGAATAAGCCGATATGGGTGGGTGCTCCGATTCCGGAGCCTCCACATGGAAGAGCGCGGAGAATCGTCAGCTGCCTTATGGCCGAAGACGTTTCTCCGGGGAAAATGGAAGATTCGGAATTGAATCTCCTCACATACTCTCATCATCTCTCTCTCTCTCTCTCTCTCTGTGTGTGTGTGTGTGAGAAAGAGAGAGTTGCATGCCAATCAATAAAAACAGCTCCGATTCGAGGCAGAGACGACGGGCATATATTGCTGTCGAAGGGTACCCATGGTACTGAGATGCAAACAGAGTTCAGTGCATGACGCAATGGGATAATAGGAGTGATCAGGTGCCTTGACGCACCTTTGATCGCACGAAAGGATGGGAGACCTGAGTGATGGCTATTAATGAATGGATGAATTTAACAGACTAAATGGCAACGAGGAAGATCGCCTCACAACTAATGCCAGCTGGACCTACGGGTTGACCCCGCACGGCGGCCATATTTGTTGTTCTATATAGTGTACTCCGTATCCATGAATGATTTCAGGTAGGTTGGATCTTGGAGCAGGTACTCCTTAAGGAGACTGGATAAAGAATTACAGTGGTTGCTTTCATCCTATTAATTGGCGCGGTAGAGATGAAGTGGATGAAGACTTGATACCAGTGAACATATGCTGATCAATCCAATGTTCGAGACTGTAGATCGGTTTCGGCCGCTTGTCGTTGTCCTATTTCTGTTGGGGATCGCACCGCCCCCGACCGTCCTAATTAATTTCATGTATGTAATGATCATCACCATGGTCATGTTCCAATGTTATTGTAATTCATAAATAAGCCATACTAATCATTATTATTATCAGCATCATCATTATCATTATCATCATCATCATTATCACATTAACAACCATTCATCTCTCCACTTCGCTTGACTATCTCTTCTTGTCCGCTTTCTCTTCTTTCTTCCCATTCCGGACTCCGTATCGCCTGTTCTTGCGGACTCCCTTAAACTCTCTCCCTCATCTTTCTTTCCCTTCTGAGGATTTTTGTCGTCGTCATCCCATCTACCATCGCCACCGCCGCCACTGCTGCATCAATCGGCTTTTACACCCACAACGTCAACACCAAGGCTATCAACAATCAGGACTGTGTGCTATAATCCTACAACGTGGAACTCTGGAAACCTCGTCCTCTCCACTGCCTCGGCGGTTGGGTGAGCGTATCGTCTACTAATCATCTCTGAGACTTAACCCACTCATAATTGCAGCGCCAGCCGTGGACTTGATCCTTGGTTTCTGCCAACCCACCACACGATCCTTCCAATCAATTCCCGTTGGCGATCGCATCAAAATTGTAGCCGCTTCGGATCGACCTGCACCGTGATATCAGGAGTTAATGCACTGTCGTTTTCCCTTATTCCCTTATTCTCGTCTCCATAATTTTATTTCATTTTTTCTCCTGTTCCTACCCTGGGCTGTCCTTTCCTCCCCGGTGAAGATCCGTTACTAATGATCTTCCGCACTCTCCCACATCTTCCGCCAACTCCGTAAGCCTCGTCATCGTGGGGGATTCAGCTTGGCTTTGTCTTCCATGGGGCCCGGGCAAGAACCGCCATCTCCTTTTTCCTTTCCCTTTCCCTTTCTTTCCTTTCCTTTCCTATTTTGCTTGTTCGCGCTCTCCTCCATCGTCCACGCGGCAAACCCGACCGGCTGGACTGTGGTGCCATCCAACAACTCCGAGGACCTGTCCTGGACCGGTCAAGTGCGATTCTACTTGCAGAGTGCCTCGGTCCATCTACCTGATAATAAAACCCTCGCTCCTTTGACTGGGGCTTTGGTCAATCTAGATAGAACTGAACTATCGGTTAGTCCTACCTGGTCTGGCCCGGGCTCTGTGTGCACAAACCTAGCTAACCATCGATGCAGGAATTCAGTGTCAGCGGAGATCTGGTGGATGTCGACGCTGCAAACTCCCGTCAATTAAATAGCAGTGAAATCGCCTTCATCACTTGCGACAAGTCCGCCTATCCCGGGAACTTGGATGCCAGTTCGACCTTTGAGAACGTCATCTCTTCCAAGCAACGGCCGTCGGCGATCATCCTGTATAGTACTGAAGTACAGCACTGCAATATCGCCACCAATGAGGCGGGTTTTAGCCAGTATAACAACATATTTACATTGTTGAATGCAGACTCCTCCAGTCAACTCAAGACTGGACTCCGCTCGACCAAAGGGAACGAAACATCGGAGTCTAACGGAAGTGTAGAGATTGTAGCGTCGAAAATGTCATCTACCATGACTGGGACTCCCCCGATGTCTGGTTCGGGAGGTGCGACAGACAATCCGAATACGGGTATGTATTCTCTCTCTCTCTGTCTTTTGACAACTTGTCTAATGACTCTGGTAGCTATGATTATTTTATATAGCATTACGGGTATCATTACCGCCCTTTTCTTAGCCATCATCATTACCGGAGCAGTGCGGGCCCACCGACACCCGGAGCGCTATGGGCCACGATATACGGCCGGACGACCACGGCAGAGTCGAGCCCGAGGGATAGCAAGGGCAATGTTGGAGACGATCCCGATCGTGAAGTTTGGTGATGCCCACGACTCCATGGCACATGCCGTCAAGGGAGACGTGGAAATGTCTCTCGACCGCGAGGATGGTACGAGACAGCCCCCGCAGGATCGGGAAACCACGACAACTGGGGAAGATACTACGAACGATACTCAAGCCCAAACCAATAATCCTAACTCTCCACCCGAATCCACCGCCGAGAAACGAACTGGCACCGATCCCGAAACCTCCACAGAGCACCCGAACTACATGTGCCCCATTTGCACAGATGACTTCGTGAAAGGGCAGGATCTGCGAGTCCTCCCCTGCAACCATCAGTTCCACCCGGATTGTATCGACCCCTGGCTGGTGAATGTGTCGGGCACTTGTCCTCTATGGTATGTTTGATTCCCCGCTGTCGTTGAGACGTCCATTAACCACGAATTTCTTCCAGTCGGATTGACCTACATCCCCCTCAAGCCGAGGGTGAGCAGGAGCCGGGAGAGGGCGAGGATCAGACGGATCCTCACCAGGAGGGAATGCACGAGCCGACGGCTGAGGGGTCGCATCAACGCTCACACCGCCGGTTGACTAACTATCTGCACGGGTCGTTGAATGCGCGTCGCATGCGCGATGCCAGTGTTGAGGAGCGGCTGGCTGCCCTCCGCAGTGTACGAGAAGAAGCGAACCAGAGTGAGGAGCACGTGGACGCCGACGAGCGACAACGACGGCGCAGTCGTCTGACGACGCGACTAAAGGATCGATTCCGAATCCGGACACGGCCGCACGGGGAGGATGGTGGGGCATCTTAAGGACACCGGCATCGCGTTGGCTTGGGGCTGCTCTATGGCGCTGATTATATATTAGTATATCTGCTTGGCTTTCTGTTTGCCGCGATGAATTGATGAATTGACGGGATACACGGCGTTTCGGATGTACAGGCAGGCAAAAGACTGGTTGAATTGGCTGGATCAATTTGTATATCTCCTATCAGCTACTAGGATACTTTTCTATTTCGTATATAGCAGGATCCTGATACATACAATATACTGGCTACCAATCCAAATCTTCCATCCTCTATGGTTTTTTTTTTTTTTTTTTTTTTTTGGGACCTGTAAGGCTATTTGAAATGTCGGAAATCCCCAATGAAGTGGATTCCGGGATCCGGCGAGCTTCGTGTGAGTTACCCGAAGCCCAGACACCCCGTGGGGAAGCCCTCCACAACTCCCTACATTACACAGTATATCATGGAGGGATAATTAGTGTACATAACTCCATTGAGATCTCGACGGGAACATTGGTCCAATCTATTTGTTTACGATTTTTTTGTTCTTTCTTTTCTCCCCTGGAACGTGAGAGAAAATACCGCATTCGGAAGAACTCCGGGTGGATTCACCAGATTACCTAATACTATACGGCGGCGGCTGGAGACGGATGAATCAGCATCAGCTGATTGGGGTGAATCTGTGGATTTACTTATGGAGTAATTAGATCAATGGATGTCAACGAAGTAATAAACGAGTACGTAAGTGCTGGAAGAGGAATGGAAATGTTCTCGAATCTCCAATTCCTGGGACGATGAGTAATCCAAGAACTGTAAATAGTCTCCGCAGGATAGTTAGACGACCAAACAGGATCCACGTTCAGAATGTGTGTATGTAGAAAGATACTGGAGGATGAATACAGTACACATTGTTGATCTATAGTAGCCATGTTGCTGTAAATCTAGAAGAACTAGCGATGCGCTCAGATGGATGAATGGAGACATGTGAATGTCGTCATCTGATCGAACCTTCGGCTTGGTTACTTCCTCGGCTTGTCGAGAATGCAGAATCGATCCTATTTAAATATCAGAAGTACGGTTCCAAGAATTCTATTCTTGTCTCCCCTGAATCCCCTCAGCTCTTGTCTCCCCTCACCAGCAATCAATTAGGTAACTTTTCCCCTCTTTGCGCGGCAATTTGCCTCCAATTCTGCGGGATTATTTTCTTGACACCCGGTGAACGCAAGCAGCAATTCCTAGATTCCCCTCCGGTGGTGTGACTCTCTTCTGCGTTTAAAAATCCCCCTCGTTCCATTATTTCGTCATGTCGCCCTCCTCCTCTTCCATCGCCCGCAATCGTCTCGCATCCCTCTCCTCGCACATCATGGGTTCCACCAACACCTCCGTATTTTCCCCCTCGACCGTCTCTGCTGCCCCCGAGGATCCTCTCTTTGGGTTAGCACAGGCCTATCGCCAGGATCCTTCTGATAAGAAGGTCGATCTCGTCATCGGCGCCTATCGCGACAACAACGCCAAACCCTGGATTCTACCCGTCGTTCGCAAGGTGGGTGGTCGTCATCATCATGTTTTTTTTGTAACGTATCTGATGTGAACAGGCCAACGAAGCCCTTAGTCAGGAGGGATACGATTATGAATACCTCCCTATCAAGGGTCTTGCCAGTTTCACCTCCGCCGCGCAGAAAGTGATCTTAGGAGTCGATAGCCCGGCAATCCGTGAGAAACGAGTATTACACCTCATCCATCCTGCATCCTTTCTTCCCGGTCAGAGACTAACTGATCCTTCCAATAGGCATGCACTCTGCAAACCATCTCCGGCACTGGCGCCGTACATTTGGGCGCTCTCTTCCTCTCTAAGTTCCACCCCGCAAATCCTAAACCCCAGGTCTACCTCTCCTCGCCCACCTGGGCCAACCACCACCAGATCTTCACCAACGTCGGCCTCACCCTCGCCAACTACCCCTATTTCGACCCCAAGACTCGCGGCCTCGATTTCACTGGCATGCTCCACGCTCTACGCTCCGCTCCCTCCGGCTCCATCATCCTGCTCCACGCATGTGCACACAACCCCACGGGCGTCGACCTCACCCGCGACCAATGGAAAGAAGTAGCGGCCGTCATGCGCCAACGCAACCTGTTCCCGTTCTTCGACACCGCCTATCAGGGCTTCGCCTCGGGCGATCTCAACCGCGATGCATGGGCGGTGCGCTACTTCATCGAGCAGGGCTTCGAGCTATGTGTCGCCCAGTCATTCGCCAAGAACTTCGGCCTCTATGGCCAGCGCACCGGCGCCTTCCATTTCGTATCTGCCCCGGGTGCGGAGGCCCAGACCGCCAATGCCAACATCGCCAGCCAGCTGGCCATCCTCCAGCGGTCGGAGATCTCTAATCCTCCTGCCTACGGCGCCGTCATTGCCAGTCGGGTCCTGAATGACCCCGTCCTATTTGCTCAGTGGGAGGAGGATCTCCGTACGATGAGTGGTCGTATTGCGGAGATGCGCACGGGTCTGCGACAGCGTCTCGAGAGCAAGGGAACCCCCGGGACTTGGGAACATATCACGAATCAGATCGGAATGTTCAGTTTCACAGGGTTGTCCGAGCCGCAGGTTAAGTTGTTGCGTGATAAGTGGCATGTCTACATGGTGAGTCTATTCCTTTCTTTCATCGCCTTTCTTATTAGGTCTGGACTAATGCCTGGTAGACTAAGAATGGCCGTATCTCCATGGCGGGTCTGAATACGCATAATCTGGATTACTTTGCAGAGGCGGTGGATAGCGTAGTGCGAGAAACATCATAGTGTTCTGTTTCTTTCAAAATATTTTCATTTATTTCTTTTCTTTCATGTCTATCCAAATAGCGAGTTACCATGTGATCATAAGTGAACAATAGATGTGTGTATACGGAGTGATATTGATGCAGCGATATCTAGTAAGATTAAGATAACTGTATTCCTGAGAATAGCATCCAATCAATCCGTAAACAAGTTAAAAACACCCAACAAACTTAGAACACCTGTATATCCATACTACAAAGAGAGGATAGCCGTATCCTAAGAATCATTCTAATTCAATTGAAGGGCTCTTGTATATTTATACACGTGGTATGTGTCATACCATCTCTCTTATTACCCGAGTAGAATAAGATAGGATAGGTGCAATTCACAGCATCAATCTCAGATCGAGATTAAAATACCAGATCCCAAATCACCAACCACGTACACAGTCCAACCGTCCCCCAGAACAACGCCTGCGCGATACTCCGTTGCTCTGTCGCGCGTTTCAACTCCTTATTCCCCTGTCCGATATTGGTGTGCGTGTTCGATGCATCCGTCGCCAATTGACCAATGTATTCCTCCTGGGTGGAGAGATGTGATACCAGCGTTTGCTGGAGCGAGGAGATCTCTAATAGAGATTTTTCAGCATTTCTGCAGCGCCTTAATTAGTATCGTCATGAAAAAACAAGGAATGGTAAATAAAACATACTGGACTTTACTCAATGTATCTTCATAATACTTAACCATTGAATCATTCTCCTCGGCAAATAACTGCAACTGCTCCGGAGAAAGCTCCGCCTCAATCGCTTTGACTTCGTCTTCATTCACCGTCGACCGCGGTTTCTCATAGATATAGCTACCACCGCTATCCCCATCGCCGAGCGGATTTCCACCCCCAACGGAAGAAAGACCTTTGGATCTACCCGTGGACCCAACACCACCCCCACCAGCAGCAGCTTTATACAGCACACTCTTCTCTTTCTCGCGTACCCGCTCAATTCGTCTCTCGACCATCCCGCGCTGCAACGCAACCGCATCTTCCAGCCCCCGTCGCAGAAACCAGAGCACATTCTCCCGCACCGTCTTGGAGGTCTTCTCGACTTCTTCGTCGCGGACCTGCTCCTCGCTTTTCCCTGAATTATCCCCAGATGTAGCGGATGAGGAGGAGGGAGAAGAAAGGGCACCACCGCCCGCCCATTTCCAGAGAAGTCGTCCGGCAGCTCCGCCATGGCCGTATCGTTTTCGAAGAAGACCGGACTGGGTGTCCTGGCGGAGGGCCTCGGCGGATGAAAGCGTGGAGATGGAGCTGCTGAGGTCGTGGAGGAGGAGCGAGGTGGAGGCGTCAATGTTGTCGCGGTCGGATTCAGAGAGGGGTTTGGATTTCTGGTCGGCGGACGCAGCGGCGGCGCTGCGGGACGGCGTGGCGGTAGTGGGACGAGAGGGGGCGATGGAGAGGTAAGAAGGTCGGATCGAATAGAGATATCTGAGAAGAGAGGAGATGTGCGAGTTCTAGATGTGGTTTAGCATGTGAGTGGTGTTTGGTAGTGGTGGTGAGCGCTCACGATGCGGTGTGCTTCTTTGAGGAACTCGTCGGCCTTTTCGGCCGCGAGGTAGCGTGTGGGAGGAATTGGGACACTCCCCTTCTCCTGGCAGAGACGGGAAAACTCCACGGTTAGATCTGTCATGATGTCGTGGATGATGTTGGGGAGGAGGAAGAGGAGGGATGGCTGTGGGGGGGAATTGGAGATGCTGTCAACAATGCCGGTCCCGTGACCTGTAAGCCCTATCTAATCTGATCTACAAATCGAGTTCTCTGAAGTATGGAGGATTATCAGACAGAAATCAATCGATATTTATATACATATATAACGTTACTCGTTGAAAGGGTATAACATGCAGCAAACACCATGCCAACAATGCAATTCCACACAGACGCCATCCCTCCAAAAATTAAATCATAGTGACTTCTTCGACCCAGATCTAGACATTGTCAGTGGTTACTCGCAGTTCTGCGAGCATCAAGAAATCTGTCACATACCTCCATTTTCCCCATCTCACTGCCCTCTCGCCTGGCTGTCTCCTTGGCAGAAATGACTAGCAGATCTAAATCTTCCTGGTCCACCATCGTGATCATATCTCCTTCGTCCTGCATTCTGATTTTCAAGAGGCAGTGGAATCCAAACTTTTCCCGGATTCTCCCTTCAAACTCACCAAAATCGACGGTTGGCCCGATCATTATATACCGGGTATCTTCACGCGCGTGCACTTTGACTCTGAACTTGCGCACTTCCGGCCGGCGGGAGTTGGCGCGCCTCGAGCTCCGAGCGGAAGATTGTGTCGGTCGTTGAGCGCCGCCAACTAGCTCAAAATCGCCATCTGCAGCGCCGTCCTCCTCACAGGCTTCGCTGACAAACTCCTCTTCCTCGTCGATATACCTCTCCTGCTGCCGTGGAACTCCGCGCCGTCCCCCATTGGCGATGATGGGCGGTCGAGCAAGCATGCTATGACCATCATCCCCGTTCCCTAGGGGAATTCCTGTCGGACAGCCAGTCTCACTTGTCCCCCTCCGGTGACCGATTTGTCGGCCACGCGTCGGTTCCGCCGCCATTTGGAACCCTCGGGGGTACGCCTGGGAAGACGGGCCGCGCGGTTCGGACGCCGTTCGGGTCGTTCCGATCCGAGGCATTTCGGAGGCAGCCATTTCTGCACCACTGCGACTAGTGATGTTGGCTCCCGGTCGATCAAGATCCAGTCGTGGCGGCCGAGCGGTACGGAAAGACCCTGATCGACCGTTCAGCCCTAGACTACTGGCAGGACTACTGGCGCTGGCTTTGTCCGGGTCCGGCGGCGGCGTTGGAGGGAACAGATTACGGTTCAGCGGTGGTTCCGAGTGCTGACGAGTCCGACTCGCCACAGTCTTCTGCGCTGGCTGGGCTGCAATGTGGGGAGATATCTCGCCCGGTCGATGGTCCAGCACTGATTGGGCTCGTTTGTGATCGGCGCCTTGTCCGGTAGGTGTACTACTTCGGTCCGAAGCAGCGATAAGCCTTGCTTTTCCCAGGTAGTCTTTGGTCTTCAGATTCTTGACCTTGGCCTCGTTCGGTCGGTACACGACCCCCACAGGGATCGAGAACACTGTGTAGCCCTGCAGGGATACATTAGCAGACTTCCATTCGTCGGGCCGGATAGCGAGGCCATACCTCGGCTCGTTCTCGGATCGCATCGTTGATAACCCTGTGATCTGGCGTGACTTTCTCCTTTGCGGCATACTCGAGATCCTGCATGCCGGGAGTCATCTGCCGCAGGTAAATGTAGCACAGACCACGGTTGAAGAGGACCTCGCACGAGAAGAGCCGGAATTTGAGACCCAACTGCTCATAATCAATGGAGGTGTTACCCCGGAGGTAGAGCAGGGTGTCATTGAAATTCGCTAACGCTTCTTCAAAGTCACCTAGCAGAAAGTTCGACACTCCCTCCTGAAAGTATGCAATGGCGAGGTACTGGTCCAGACTGACGGCGCGCTGGTAACACTCAACCTACATCCGTCAGCACCTCAGGTGGTACAAATCCAAAACAATACGCATACCGCCTTTTCATGCTCACCCAGGGTGGCATAAATCACGCCGCAGTTGAAACAAATCTTGGACGTATCGGCAATGGAATTAAAGACATGGAGGGCGTCTTCAAACTCCTGATTGTCATAGTGTTCGAGGGCCAGTACCCATGTCTCGATCTCCTACATCCCGTCAGGGACCGTCGTCTCCTATCAATGGGAATATTTCTAGCCATACCTGCTTCAGGGACATTCTCCCTGGGGATGTGTACTTCCGCTCCGCCTGTGTAGGAGGCTTGGGGAGGGTATTTCGTGCCTGTTAATCCCCCACAATCTGGTCTATGACAACCGGATGCAGGGACGCCCAAAGAGGTACAGCCACCGCTCCGCTGGACGAGGAGATGCCCGACAGGCCTCACGGAGGGATGTCAGCCGGAGTCGATAAATATATATGGGCTGCGGCAGCCAAGAAATGGACCGATTAGTTATTTTTTTCCCCCTCGACCCCGTCTAGAGCAGGGGTGGTTATAATTAACGAGGCCAAGAATCCCAGCAGCTGTAGGGGGAGGAGGGGTCGATTGAGCGGAAGGGAAGGGAGGTGATATCTGCCGGGAAGACCGAGTGCGTGCCACTTGTGGTGACGATGGACCAAGCGCAACGCAACCCTATGGATTATGGACGTTGAGTGGAGAGATCGCTTGGATATATAATTAGATCACTGGGGTCAATTCTCCAAGAATGGACGCTAGTGGTTATGACAAGCAGATACCGAGAATGGCGTGGTCCGATCCACATCCACATGCCACCGCAGGTCACTGAGAGGACCGATTGAATCTTGTTTAGTCGTCAGAGGATTGGATATTGGGATTGGATAGGAACTCAGGATCTAGGAGTAGAGAAAGAGAGAGAGACCGAGAGAGAGATAGAAGGAGAGAATCTTTGGTTGTACTTCGGCTGAACGGTTGAGAAGTATATAGTGGGGCAAAAGGAGGAGATGGAATAGGTTTGCGACGAACCAGAAGAACAGGGAAAAAAAAAAAAAAAAAAAAAAAAAAAAAAAAAAAAAAAAAATTAAAGGCAAAAACCAGGAAGACCAAAAAAAAAAAAAACGGTGGCAAGGATAGGATAGGAGGAGGGATAGCAGTTAGTGTATAGCAGTTAGTGTATAGCAGTTAGTGTGCAGAGAGACGATGCAGCAGCAAGGAACCGACAGGCACAAGAGAAGGAAAAGATGTCTTCTTACCTCACAGAGTAAGTAATATTTAGTGCAGAGTGACAAAAATAAACCGAAGAGGGGAACCCTGGGTGTGATTGGCGCCTGCAGGGGGCTGTCACATAGAGGAATTCATCTCTTAATTCTCTCAGCTCTCCGATTCTCTCATTATCTTGAGCCTTTGAGGACATGCAGTATGAACATCAGATGGATGTAGACACTTTATATACATCCATTCATCCATTCATTTATTCATCCATCCATCAGTACCTATACATACAAGTACTCTGTACCTCCTACAGCATAGAGACGCCCCGCCACGGCGCTTGCAGATGTCGACTCGGCATTGATCTCCTGGAATCCCCCTCCAGTATCCAATGATCGTCGGATTGCGAGTATTTTTATCTCACTCGCCTGCATACGTCGAATGGTCAGGTGAAAGCCATGCATCTTGCAGGTAATACCGATCAGCGGAACAAGTATGTAGTACCAAAGTAATAGGTACCTATCTATCCCCTATCCCCTATTCTATCCCTATCCAATTAGACCATCCCCTGAGCCACCTGCTCCTGTCGCTCTTGCCAGACATTCTTCCCCGAGCAGGAGCACACCGTCTTATCGTTATCCCATACGCCCGCACTGCGAGCAATTACCCCAACCAGCGTGTCGGCCTCGTCCTTGCGGAACGGACCCTCCTTCGACTTCGATACCACCATACTGCGCCCAATCATCTCCCAAATCGCCACCGGCCGATCTAGAAACACGTTCCCGCGTCCCTTCTCGTCGACATCCACTTGCCCAAACACTCCACGAGGCTCCTTGGCTTTCTCGTTCCCTAGAACAGTCGATGTCAGCGCCTCCCAAATGCCCCCCGTCGATGCCGCCCCCTGCGAGATATCCCCTGCCTGTCGTATCGTCGCCCAGTATTGTCCCGGCGCCAGCCCGTTGATGGTCAGATCCACCAGGGTCAAGTTCGAGGAGACTTGTACCATGCGCGCCAACCCCCGAATCTTATTGGAGACCGTCGTCGAATGGGTTTCGAGGATGCAGACCGCCGAGCCTGTGGAGAGGTTCGTCATTCGTATTAGCCCCGTCGTAGAAGCCCGCCCAAGACTTATTCCCACGTACTGTTGGAGGCTCCACTGCCCCGTAGAATCGCATCTCGACCTGTAGCTTGAATAGCGGTAACGATAGAACTAGGCGGAGCAGTGCCCTCGATGAATACGAGCTGATCTTTCAGGTTGGCTTCGACTTTGTTGATTCCTAGGATTGGTCAACGGTCTGGTTCTCGAATACCGATGGAAATGGCCCATCCATACCTTCGATTTTCTTCAGAGCAGAGGAGACATCTTTCACGCAGCCATCGCAGGTCATGGGGACCGCGAACGTCGTCTGGGGGTTCAGTCAGCATGTCTCGTTCTTGACAGCCGCATAGATAGAGAGGTGGCGGACCGACCTGGAAGGGCTCGATCATGATGAAATACGCGAATTCATGCACGAGAGAACCAAGATAGAGGAAACAGTCGATTCAGCACTGTTATACGCCACAGAAATTAAATCCTGAAGGAAGTGTGGAAGTAGACTGTTGGAGACTTGCAGAAACCAAGGCGGGGATGCTTTGAAATCACCGATAGCGTCATCCAATCACTGCCGCATCCGTCTTTCTCAACCATCTTCCTGCCAACCTTTCTGAATCAATCAAAGCCTACCAGATATCCAGTCTATTGAATAGATGAATTAATTCGACGACCCCATTCCCCCTCAGACCATGTCCTCGAAATCTCGATGGGCCGAAGACGACCCTGAGACGGAAGCTCTCATCGCCCAACGCAAACGGGAAAAGTTAGAGAAACGACGCGCCAAAGCCGAAAAACAACGTCAGCTCGAGCAACAACAAGAGCAACAGCAACAAAATCCACCATCCCAAGCTCCCGTCCCCCCAGAAGCAAATGGCGACACGGACGCTCCTCCCAAGAAACGCCGACGGCTATCCAATGGGCCGCAAGAGCAACAGACACAGCAGCAATTAGAATCTTCCGAGCCCGCAAATGCCAAACCACAAGAGGGCAAGTCGAAGCTCCTTCGCTTCCCTAGACAGGGATGGGGTCCCTGTCGCCATGTGGATAATTTCGAACGTCTCAATCACATCGAGGAGGGCTCGTATGGCTGGGTTAGCAGAGCGAAGGAGATCACGAACGGTGAAATCGTGGCCCTGAAAAAACTCAAGATGGAGAACTCGCCGGACGGGTTCCCTGTGACGGGACTACGAGAGATTCAAACGTTAATGGAGGCGCGTCATACGAATGTCGTTTACTTGCGTGAGATTGTCGTGGGCAATAAATTGGATGAGTACGCGAATAGTCCCATCCCCTCCCATCGTTCCCTCCTTTCAGACCACAGAAAGGAAGAAATGAAATGACTAAATTGTGAATAGCGTCTTCCTCGTCATGGACTTCCTCGAACACGATCTCAAAACCCTCCTCGATGACATGCGCGAACCATTCCTCCCGTCGGAAATCAAAACCCTCATGCTTCAGGTCCTCTCCGGACTGAACTTCCTCCACTCGCAATGGATCATGCACCGTGATCTCAAGACCTCCAATCTCCTCATGAACAATCGCGGCGAGCTTAAGATCGCCGACTTTGGCATGGCTCGGTACTATGGCGATCCGCCGCCCAAATTGACCCAGCTGGTCGTGACATTGTGGTACCGGTCGCCCGAGTTGCTCCTGGGGGCTGAGAAGTACGGCACCGAGATTGATCTGTGGAGTATCGGGTGTATATTCGGGGAGCTTTTGACCAAGGAGCCGTTGCTGCAAGGGAAGAATGAAGTTGACCAGGTGTCTAAGGTATACCATGTCCCTCTCTGAATGTGTCTTTTTTTCTTGATTCGTATGTGACAGTGCTGATACAAGGCATCCCACCCCTAGATTTTCGCCCTCACTGGTCCTCCCACACCGCAAACATGGCCTGGCTTTCGATCCCTTCCAAATGCAAAATCCCTCCGTCTTCCACCGTTTTCGTCTGATTCATCGAGCGGTTTGCCATTGTTGCCTCGCTCCAAATTCCCCTTCTTGACGAATGCCGGGCTCCATCTTCTCTCCTCTCTCCTGGCGTTGAATCCCGCCTCACGTCCCACCGCCCAGGAATGTCTCTCCCACCAATACTTCCGGGAAGACCCTCGCCCCAAGCCAAAGGAGATGTTCCCTACCTTTCCCTCCAAGGCCGGAATGGAGAAGCGGAGGCGCCGAGAAACCCCAGAGGCGCCGAAACGCGGCCAGGATGCCCCAAAGCTGGACTTTGCCAGTGTATTTGGTGGTCAATCTGGTGGTGACGCCGGGGAGACTGGGGCGGGCTTCACGTTACGTTTGGGCTAGGCTCTACCGGGGTTATACTGCTCTCTGAGATCGCACATCGTCATGTATACTATCTACTCCATCCTTTGGTGCTAGCACAGAGGTTTCTATAATGTCCAATTGCTACAGTACTTGCTAACGGCTGGTTATTCAAGGAATGGTCTCCGGAAAAACAGTGTCCTCCGCACAGATTGCCTATTAAATACAGACTTTGCAGGACCGGGTGTAGAATCATACGGGAGGCCCTTAACGATGTATAGTCTGATGTCATGCTCCAATGGCCATACCGCGACATATCTTTTCGTATACACCAAGAGCCAAAAGAACGATCGAATACTGTTTGGTTCGGTAGATGAACGGCCCTTCCACGGAGAAGGCCTTCAGGAGAGGTAGTATCTCATAAACAAGGGGTACGTAACCTGATAGTCGTCAGCCGAGTCGCTAGTATCCCGGTCTCGTGGGCAAGGCCGTAGTCGTAGGTGCACGGGTTCTACCGGCTCGAAGGTTTCGGGGATATCTTGCGTTTGAGCCGATGAATTGCGATCAAGGCCATATCCACTGCCCATACTGCTATCACCAACGAGCCGTCGCTCAGCCTTTGTAGGGTTGTCACCTCGATCCGGGTAGAAGCCGTCTGTTTTTCCATCGACAAGAAAATATTCGTCCCCCAGGGATGCCAAGGACGTTAGTTCCGCATTATCAACAGGCGTCCATAGGATATTCGACTCCGACGTGATGTCAGTAGTCGTACAATCTTCGCTGGGACGGTTTGACCATGCTGCTTGATCGCGAAAGAAATCAGGCGGGTCCACTAAGTTGGTGCCACCAAGTCTAGCTGGCAGATGACGATTCCAACGCCCGGTTTGAACTTGGAGCCTGATACTCTAGTGAAATTAGTATTGCCTGGGTATGTGTGACGGACTAACGCACATCGGATTGTCTTCCCAGGTTGATATGGGACGACTCTCTTTCGACATTTGACACGTCGGCCGGGGTTCCAGATTCTGTTGATGCATGCCCAGGGGATGCGGTTGGCCTATTGATATCGTGCTCATCCACTTGCTCATCCCGGCAAGGAGTCTGGCCACTCTGAGAGTTGAGGTGATCCAAGGCCCCTAGAGAGTCCATCATAAGGTCGATGTCTTTAACCTCGGAGGCGTCAGATTCGCGGGAATGTCTGACCGCCGTTCCTTCCTCGACCGGGGCGTGGGATTCGGGGTTCTCGTGTCCAGAAGGGTAATCACTTGAAGGTGAAGAATCTGCAACAAGTAGTTGATCTCCGGTTTCTTCAACTTCAGCGCTCTTTGATTCATCGACGGGGCTAGATACACAGCCAGAGCTCGTGCTTGCGGCGGCTGTGGTCGGTGGAATGCCTGACTCCGAGGAGCTACTGGATGTCAAGCTCGATTTCGGCTCAATATTGTCTGATGTTTGTAATTTGCTGGTGATAGAATTGCATCCCGACCTGTTTTCATGCTTACTGGATGGAGATGATTCCGGTTCTATAGAGTTCTCATCGGATAGCACTGGCGGAAGGGTATTTGGCACTGTCTCTGTGAGAACCGACGTTGGCAAATTAGACGACCCTTCAGTCCTTTCCTGGAGGGGAGAAGCCTCAGCCGATGTAGAGGAGAGTAGAGACTTGGGTACCGGCCTATCCGGGTCACAAGTCAAGACAGGATATCTGCAGTGTGTTCGATAGAGATGGGACCCGAATTCTAAGTCCTCTTCTGTGCTGGCCTCTGATATTGTTGACGGAAACCTATTCTCTTGTTGGTTTGACCTGTTCTCAGACCAAGGACAGGCCATCGAGATGTCGCCATTGTAACGAGAGTCGGCCACAGAACGCCTCTGCATCCCGGATCTGAGAGCCAGAAGTCCGGACCGTGCTTTGCGTAAAGATCTCTTGGACAAGCTTTGCATCCAGTTCATGGAGCCTGGGAGCTTAGATGTCTCCGAAGGGTAATAATTATCCTCAAGCCACGAGGAGGTATGAGCCGTTGGGTTGTGTCGAGGGTCTCGCGGATTAAACACGGGATAATGAATACTTTCCTCACACGTCGGTGTAGAGTTGGAGGGCACAGTGCCCCTATGACGAACATGTCAACAATATAATCAAGCAAGGCAAACTACCTAACTACAGGAGTCTTACCGAGCCCTTCTTGCCGACGAGACGCCCGCAGAGAGAGGCAGCGTCTGATAGCGTCTGTCCACCCCAACCCCATGATTGTGTGAGGTCATCTTGTCCAAACAGTCGATCTACAGGCGAAAGATGCGTAAGGGAGGCGCAATTTGATAGGAAACAGTGAAGCCAATATCTGACTGAGACTCGGGAAGAGGCTCAGTAGAGATAGATGAGGAAGACCGAGACGCAAAAACAGACAGCCAGCAACGTGCAGGTAAAATCGGAAGAACGTTGGACTGGATGGGATTGCAATGTCGGACAGAGGAAAGAGGCCACTGGAACAGCTGGGCCAGGCTGGTTCCCAGCTTCCAGTCCATCTTTCCCCTCAGCATCGTTCCTGCCCCAAGAAGCGTATCCGGAGAAGAAGCACCCATAATTTACTACTCTAGATATAACGACACACACGCGAATAGGAATAAGTCGATCTCAGGGATCCACTGCGACATGCACTGGGCGGGCATGGCGAGCGCGATGCGCGGTCCATTTGGTGTTGTGCAGCGTCCGACAGTGGAAGCAAGGAAATGAAATTCTATGGATCCATCCAAGCCGAACTCCGACTTCTTCTTTCGCTCAGTTCCCCTTCCTTGTACAGCCGCTCCCAAGGTGCGATTTTTCTCTTCTGATTCCGATCCAGAGCTTTTGGCGTATTTTAGAGGACTTTCCCTTACTGTCTCATCGCTTTCCACCTTTTGCGTTAGCTGTGTCCCGACTCTGCCCTTCCGTCATCATGGCCACCGGCCAGGAAGCTGTCTCTTTCAACCAAATTATCAACGCTGGTAAGAGCTCCGCGCAGCTCAACCACTCTCTGCACGGAAGGTCACTGACTTGGGCGCTGTTTCGCAGATCGCCAGAAGAAAAGAAACGAGGAACTTGCCAACAGGATCCTTGGGAAAAACCGACTGAGCTCAGCCGGCACCAACCCCAAGGCACAGAATGCGACGGCGGGGAGTTTGGCGAGTCGGATTGGTGTGGCCAAGGTAATTCCAGCGACAAAAGATTTTCTGCCCAGGGTTTCATCGCAAGAATGGCTAATATCCGGGATTTTTCGTCGATGAACCTTTAGCGCTCCACCTCTACTGCTTCTGTCAAGTCTAGAAAAGCCAAACGTGTCTCGTCGGCGCCTGTACGAGGAGGTCTATCAAGCCAAAAACGTCGCCCCGATGAGGAACGTCTGATTTCGGCCCTCAATCCTGCCAGCAGACAAGCAACAATTCGGGATGGGCCTAGTGGGATGAGCATACGGGGAACATCGGGGCCTTTTGTGGTCATTGGGAGCAACTTCGCCGCCGGGACCACCGCTGCAGATATACAGTCGACAATTGAGCCTATGTCAGGGAAGATATTGAGGTGTTGGGTGACCTCGCAACATCCTACCGTGACCGCAGAGATTACATTCGCCGAAAAATGGGCGGCCGAGAACGCCATTGCTAATTTTCATAACCAGAGGGTGAGCTTTATTCCCCTAGGAGATTGTAATGCCGGGACTGGAGCTAACGTCTACAAAGGCTGATGGTTTAATTCTTTCGTTGCGAATGAAACCAGCCGGCCCAAGCCTTCAAAATGCTCAATCTTCCTCCTTTAGCAAGCAACGAGAACAAGCAGACCGGCAGCGCCATGTACAACGTGGAGCCGACCCCACAATCCAAGATGGAAGCTATGGTTTTGGTGAACAGAGCGGTGATGCTCGGGGAAATGCTCGCAATAACCGTCGGAACTTTAGGGGTCGAAACCAGGGAAGAGGCGGCCGGAATATGAACCAAGATACCAACGAACATAGCCTTTACAGCGATCAAATGATCCATTGACGCCGCTCAGAAATTAAGGGTCGGGGAAATTGGAACCGATAAGCGCTGCCCATCGCCTTGAGATGACAGGCTTCCTGCTATCGATGGACAAAAAAAAGGAGCTGTGCGAGCCGTCAGTTTCGATGTCCTCCCAGAGTCTGTTCGCAGGGGAGAATAGTGACATCGAGGTTTCTTCTAGTCTGTGGTTTGGAGGCTACAGTTGTTTAGATAATTGCGTGTACTTTTGTCTACCATCATGACATGTATGAATATCAGCAAGCATTCATTTGGCCGTTGAAAATACTCATGAAACGCATATACGATCACCAGTAGAGAAAGAGCTTCATATGAATCACGTGATGCGGGAACTTTTGCGGAGATGGAGAGATTCAATCGCCATTCTTCCGTGACACTTCGTAGACGCTGTTCTCGATCAAATCCTTCACCTTTGGTCGGATCTAGGTTCGCCACTCGCCAACATGAATCATGGAAGCAGGCGTGCCTTGACCCAGATCGTCCAGAGATACCCCAACCGAACGCTGATTCTTGGATCGCGACGATGGACCTCGACATTTGACACACGAGAGTGGTCCACACCATTAGCTCGAACTCTAGCCAATGCGATCAAAGTAATTGAGCTACATCCTCAGTTTGGCTAGAAAAGCCGTTCGCTAACGGAGAACCTTCGAAAAAGGTAACAGGACCGATCCCAATTGCATCATTTATGCGCCAAGTCCTTACTTCCCCAGAAGGTGGCTATTATACGACCCGACCCGAAGGTGAAGGGGAGGTGTTTGGGAAAAAAGGAGACTTTGTCACGTCGCCGGAAATATCCCAGGTTTTCGGGGAACTGGTTGGCGTATGGACGATAGCAGAATGGATCGCGCAAGGCCGAAAACGCAGTGGAGTGCAGTTAATGGAGGTAGGACCGGGAAAGGGGACATTAATGGATGATATATTGCGTGTGAGTCTCGCGTCTGGCCTAGCGCCATGTCTAGTCTTTGTGGCATCTGTTAACGTCTGGACGGACAGACATTCCGGAATTTCAAAACCTTTACGTCGAGCATTGAAGGCATTTATCTGGTGGAAGCTAGTCCTACGCTTCGGGAGGTGCAGAAACGGCTTCTCTGTGGCGATGCACCCATGGAGGAAACTGACGTCGGCCACAGGAGTACTAGCAAGTACTTTGATGTTCCCGTGGTTTGGGTGGAGGATATACGGTTACTGCCTCATGGTGAGCTCCCGGAGGGCATGGGATGCTGTTAACTGCGACTTTGCTGAGCTATGTACAACAGAGGAGGACAAGATGCCCTTCATTTTCGCCCATGAATTCTTTGACGCACTCCCAATGCATGCCTTTGAGTCGATTCCTCCTGCGCCGGAAGATGCACCTCGGGAGAGGGAGATCATGACACCTACCGGACCTGTTAAATTGAACGAGCCCCTCAAACCCAGCAACACGCCCCAATGGCGTGAACTGATGGTCACACTGAACCCAAAAGCCGTGGAGGAAAACCGGCCAGGAGAGCCGGAGTTTACGCTCACATTGGCGAAAGCTTCGACGCCATCGTCCCTGGTGATTACAGAGATATCAGAGAGGTACCGCGCGCTGAAGGCCCAGTCTGGCTCCACCATTGAAATCAGCCCGGAAAGCCGCATCTATGCATCCGACTTTGCCCGCCGGATCGGAGGATCGTCGCAGCCTCCTCGAACAGCCTCTCGAAAGGGCACCGCTGCACCTGTGAAGCGTGTTCCGTCAGGCGCGGCCTTGATCATGGACTATGGACCTATGTCGACAATCCCGATCAACTCCCTTCGCGGCATCCAGAATCACAAAAAGGTGCCCCCGCTTTCTTCTCCTGGGCAGGTTGATGTCAGCGCCGACGTTGATTTCACGTCGTTAGCGGAAGCAGCTATTGAAGCCAGTGACGGTGTGGAAGTTCACGGGCCTGTGGAGCAGGGGGACTTTCTACAGAGTATGGGTATCACGGAGCGGGTGCAGCAATTACTCAAGGGAATCCAAGACGACGAAAAGCGGAAGACGGTGGAAAGCAGCTGGAAGAGACTCGTCGAGAAAGGCGGCGGTGGGATGGGAAAAATCTACAAGGTCATGACGATTATTCCCGAGAACGGCGGGAGACGTCGACCCGTTGGATTTGGCGGAGGACTCTAAATAGACATGTCGATGTAGTATACGTGTATATATAACAACATTAACAATAGGAATAAGAATAAAAAGCCGTTCTAACTTTCTATCTTATCTGATACATTATTCCTCCCAAGTTAAAACCTTCTATCCTGTCCTGTGGGTATCACAGCCAAAAAAAAAAACAAAAGAAGAGCGACCATCTCTCTCAATACTCCTGCCAGATATCCTCCACATATGCCTCGGTCAGCCTTGTGTCCTTCCCATACTTCTCCTGCCATTGAACAAACCCGCCCTCGAGAATATAGACCTCCTGTTTCTTACTCTCCTCCCCGTCTAGCACGCTCTCTCGCTCACGGACATACCGCAGTGCAGCAGATGGGCCACGTTGCTGACTGAGCGCGCAATGGAAGACGACCTTCTCTTTGTCTTTCAATGTGCGGATGAGCTCGGGCATACGGTGGTCGAGAGAGGAACTTGGGACCCAGGTGGAGGAGGTGATGTGTCCACCGACATGATCTTGCGCTACGTTAGAACAGAACATACTCCCTCTTATCTCGAGACCTGAGTCATCGTACCTGAGTCCCGCACGTCTATAATGGCCAGTTTACCGGGGGAGCTGGCCGAGAGGAGAAGTGCCGAAAGAGCATCCCGGCTGATGCGGGGAAGAGTAGCGATGGTGATGGAGGACATGGCTGTGGGATTCGAGGGCGGTTGAACACTGGAAGAAATATGCTGCGATTTACTCGAGGAATATCCCTGTAAGACGTATATACCTGTCGCTGCGATCAAGAATCATAAATTCCCTGTAGCTAATCGAGAGGATAACAGAAAGCCAGCCATAGCTGCAGCTGGTCACGTGGACACAGATTTCCCCAGCAGAAAGATCATCAGAGAACAATCGGCATTTCCTTCCCCCAGACCAGACGAGCGTTTTCTGCCCTCCCACAGATTCAGTGTCAGGGAGAACTGGCCCTGCATATCTGCAGCTGACAATTGATCTTCTGTCCGGTTTACGGGGGCAAAAATAAAAATAAAACCTCAGTCGACCATGGAGATGCGCTCCCTAGCCCGTTGCCTGCGGACAAGGCCGACATGTCTCCTCTCCACGACACAGCCCTCGTCCATTCTATGTGGTCAATTCCTCACGGGACAGATCTCCCTCCGATTCTCCTCCACAGACAACAACTCTCCATCCAAACCCCCCCGGAGAACTAAATTCCCTCCTCGCGGCACCGCCGCCTCCGTCGCCTCTCCCCAACAACACGTCTCCCAGACCTCCGGATCATCCGACTTCGACCAGATCCTCGACAAACTCAACATCAACAACAGCAGTGGAGGTAGCAGCAATCAGGACTCATCCACCCCCAAACAGCAGCAATCCGGCCCGGTCCCCGATAGTCTCTCCCTGTCTCGCGCGGTAGGCATGTCCGCGGAAACGGACAGCTACCGATTAACGTTGAGCCGGCCGGAATTGAAACTGGGTCCTACGCTGGGTCGTCAGGTACTCGTGGAACCGGAAAAGGGGATAGATTTGGCGTCGTCGTTGCGCATACTGAACTCGACGTGTTCGACGAACCGCGTGAAGCAGCAGTCTATTCAGCAGAAGTTCCACGTGAGACGTGGTCAGGTGCGGAAGAATCTGAGGATGCAGCGCTGGAGAAAGTTGTTTAAGTATTCGTTTAAGCAGACTGTGAGTCGGATCCAGAGGATGAGAGCTCAGGGGTGGTGAGGGTTTTTTTTTTTGCGTGGGTCTAGCTAGGTAAGTACAGAGTCGGTGTCATGGTTGGTTTCTATTGGAGGGAACTTAAAGATGGAAACCTGTTGTCGAAGGATGGAGATGTCGCTTGTATCATTATTGTATCTTCTGTTGATGCTTGTACTGGGAGTTATCATCATCCTTTTTTTAGAAAAATTTCAATTCCAGCTTCTGTTTGACCATCCTTACGTTCGCCATGATAAGGATATTAAAAAGGGCTAAGAAAGATATTCGTGCTTTATACATGCCTTACCATTTCATATACAATATATTCTACCACTCTATTCAGTCTCTCTTGCCCACTGTAAATCCTCCATATCCTCCTCCATTTCCTGTCATGGACGAGCTGCTAGCGGAATTGTACCCCCCATACCCATTCATCTTCCCTCCATTTCCATACGTGATCCCAATAGATCCTGACCCCCGCGACGGCACTCCCAGAATCCCGTCTCCTTTCCACCCGCCTCGGCGACGAGCCCCGTTCCGCTCCCAGAAGATCGCCAACAAGGCGCCCACAGACGCAGCCATCACGAAGAAAAACAATTTCGAGAAAATGCCCATTGGGCCAGACTCACTAGCAGACGAAGCCGACGATGACGATCGCGACGGCCATCCAATTCCCCCGCCGCCTTCAATCCAGTTTACATGGAATGTGAATGTAAGCGGCTGTCCCCGAATGACCTTGGTACCGTGGCCAGCCGTCCAAGGCTCACGAGCGGCCTCCACTACAGCGGCAGCAGCCGCCTCAATCTCATCGCTGTTCAAAGGTTTCTTTTCGCCTTTGAGAAGCGCAACGTCGAACTCGGGCACTGAGTATGCAGTTCCCGCAACGACGTAGCCGGGACTTTGTGGAGTCTTCTTCTTGGGATTATTGAACTTGCCCGTCGACGCGATATTGTGCATGACCACGTTCATATCCGTCCAAATGTGCAGATGGCTGCGCTGCAGCGTTCCCTGAAGTGCAAAAGTGATGGGTGTGTAGGAGGGCCCGTCCTCGGCCAGGGCAGCAAGTTCAGTGCCGACGACCTCACCATCGGAGTCGGTGTACGAGGCTGCGGATGGTGAGAGGGGCCCCGTGGGAATGCGACAGGTCATGGGCACATCGGAGTGCACGTAGTATTCGAGGAGATGGTAAAGCTCATCGGAGAGGGAATTGATGGTGCAATTGACGGTCTCAGGAACGCCGTAGCGTAGCGCAAGAGGGAGGAAAGTCTCGTTGCACGTAGGAAAGGGGATATATTGTAGTTTACCGAGTTTGTCGGTGATCTGGGGTACGAATCAGCTTAATATTATATTCGATTGGTAGACTGATCGCAGGAGGAATTCAGATCATAGCATGGAAGAGATAGTAAGTCGCTTAATGGTCTAGCTAGGGAGGGGTGGATATTACATGTTCGCCGGAGTCACTGGAGCAAAGTAGTTAGCATCAACACACCAGGGTATCTTATTATTCCAAAGAGGCTTATAATTCAATCCCAAACTCACATAGTCCGATTCAAACAGGTCACTGGCATGGGTTGGCCATAACCATAGCCCGCCGCCTTACTCCCTGTCTGCTCATTCCCTGATGCAGATACCTGAAGCACGAAACAAGCAATTGATCCAAAAAAGCCTGCCCGCAGGAAAGACATGGTGACAATTGGCACGCCGCCAGCCAGGCGGATTGGCTCACTCTCCGGCGTTGGATAGCAGTTGCAGTGGTCCTCTCCAACTAAAGATCCTCTTAACGGAGAATCGAGCAGGAAGGAATAGCCACCACGTGACTGGCCAGGTGTCAACTTTGTAAGACGTCCCGATCCAGGACAGTTGAGGCCAACTCCTGAAAGTGGGCCCGCCACTATGTATTGGAATGGAATATTAAACTATACGCTCAATGTCTCCAACTCTCTATCCTATCTTAATAATCAGCACACCTTGTTTTACGTCCTTATTGTGATATCTTGCTTATCTAGGAATATGCGACTAGATCCTGTGCTAACTCTATGATGTGCGCAAGCGTATTAAACATATTTGGATTTAATTCCCATGATAATTAACAGAAAAGTGATCACTCATGTCCTCATCAAATAGCTAGCTCCGTTTTGTTATGTTCAACCCTTTCAATAAATACACCTATTCCAGATTGGCTTTTTGCTTGAAGGCATAGAGCAGGCCGCTAGTCGAACTGTCGTGGTCGGCTCCAGCACCAGAAGTCTCCAGCTCCTTCTGGATCTTCTTAGCAAGGACCTTGCCCAGTTCCACACCCCACTGGTCGAAGGAGTTGATGTTCCAGATGGCACCCTCGGTGAAGGTGACGTGCTCATAGTAGGCAATCAGTGCTCCGAGGGTCGAAGGCGTGATCTTCTGAGCCAAGATGGAGGTTGTGGGGCGGTTTCCAAGGAAGGTCTTGTGTGGCACCAATTTGTCGGCGGCTCCCTCAGTTTTGACTTGTTCCGGAGTCTTGCCGACCATCAGGGCCTCGGACTGAGCAAGGAAGTTCGATGCAAGCATGCGCTGGTGTTTGCCACCCTCGACGGGGTTGTGCGACTCAGCGGCCATAAGGAAATCCGACGGAATGAGTTTGGTTCCTTGGTGGAGCAGCTGGAAGAAGCTGTGCTGGGCATTGGTGGCGGGTTCGCCGAAGAGGATAGGCCCGGTTGTATACTTGACGTATTCACCAGAGCGGGTGATGGCCTTTCCATTGCTCTCCATGGAGAGTTGCTGCAAGTAAGCGGGGAACCGGTGCAAATACTGGTCGAAAGGAGCCACCAGGTGAGTCTGGGCACCAAAGAAATCGCTGTACCACACGCTCAGCAGACCGCCGATGGCGGGAATGTTCTGCTCCAAAGGAGTCTCACGGAAGTGCTTGTCCATAGCATGTGCACCAGCGAGGAACTGGTGGAAGTTCTCGAAGCCAATATAGAGAGCAACGGACAAACCAATGGCACTCCAGACAGAGTAGCGACCACCAACCCAAGATTCGAAACCGAACATGTTCTTCTTGTCAATGCCGAACTTCGTGACTTCCTCCTCGTTGGTGGAAAGGGCAACGAAGTGCTTAGCAATGTGAGCTTCATCCTTAGCAGTTTCGAGGAACCATTTCTTTGCGGTGTTCGCGTTGGTGGTGGTTTCTGCTGTGGTGAATGTCTTGGAAGCAATCAAAAAGAGAGTGGTCTCTGGGTCCGAGTCCTTCAGAGCCTCTGCGATGTGGGTACCGTCGATGTTGGAGACGAAATGCAGCTTCATATCCTTGGCGCCATAGGGTTTCAAGGCCTCGGTGACCATAACTGGGCCGCTAATGAAACCTGTTAGCATGTTCCAAGAAACGTCAGGGTATACCCAGAACACGAAGCCTGAGATGGGTCAACGTACAGATCAGATCCACCGATACCGATGTTAATGACTGTGTTGATCTTCTTGCCTGTGTAACCCTTCCACTCGCCGCTCCGCACCTGCTCGGAAAATTCCTTCATGTGGTCCAAGACGGAATTGACTTCCTCGATGACGCTCTTGCCATCGACCTGCATGGGCTGGTTGGTGACATTGCGAAGAGCAGCGTGATAGACAGCACGGTTCTCAGTGAAGTTGATGGGCTCTCCCTGGAACATAGCATCACGCAGCTGCTCTACATTTGCCTCCTTGGCAAGCTTAACCAGGAGAGACAAGGTCTCCTCGGTGAGAAAGTTTTTAGAGAAATCAAAGAGGATTTCTGAGTTATCGACGGTGTTGGCAAAGGTGCGAGAGAACTTCTCGAAGCGCTTCGGGTCCTTCTCGAAGGCCTCCTTTAGGACAATGTTCCGTCCAACGGAGTTGTGATGCTCCTGGAGGTCCTTCCAGGCGGAGAGTTCGGTAGCCTGCGAGAAACCAGGCATTGTGGGCGAGTTATGCTAAGTGAGGAAGCTCCTTTTTTATTTACCTTTCCCGGTTTCAAAAAAAAAGCTCTATATAGAGGGGTAGTCGGCGTTAGTGCGGGGTAGAACTTTTCAGAGGGATTACAGAAAGGTAAGAGACGGCAACGAGAGTCGGGATGAGGACTTACGGAGATTTAAGCCAGACCAAGCAGACGCAAATTGACGGGAAAGCTGAGATAGGAAGAGGAAAAACAGAAAGCGGGACTCGCGGCCAGATGATGATGGCGACGCAAGCCAGCCTGAAAGCCTGAAAGGTATGGCGTCAAGCCACGGCGTGTTGGGGTCCGTGGAGGGGCATTTGGTACGGTACGGTACGGTCACCGAGCAACGCCATGGCCAGTGGGGCGCCTCACTGGAACTGCAGAATTTACTTGGAGAATTGGGTGAAATTGCTTATGGTGACCAATCAGTCATAATCATTACCTATCTTACAAAACGAAGACCAAAGTCTAGATAGAAACAGTGGTCATTTGACAGAGTACTCCGTTCCTGTGCACAGACATTTGTCATCCAGAGTCCATTCTAGAACGGAGCAGTATAGTATGGTATACGGGCCATTGTTTTATCTAATATTAATGGGTTCACCGGGAGTGCATAGAGACGGCGTAAACTGCGACTGTTCGGGATTAGTTACCTCGAGTTTCTTCGGAAATCGGTGACCGGTAAGATCCATTGCATCTACTTAGAATGAACGTACGCCGTTAATCGGTTAAAGAAATGCCTTTGGGATGATAACTACATCGACTCACTGGAAACCCCGATGCTGGTCACTTGAACTGTCTTCATCCCATACTTTTACCAGCGGCTTATATCATAATCGACGTAACCGCACCTTTCACGTTCCGCATGTGTTGTTTCCAACTCGACCGCGTAACAGCATTCGGCCCCCAGTCTTGCACGTACGGAGAGCTCTCGGTCGGAGCAGTTGGTATCTGAATAGGATAGGGAAGCACCTGAAGCTACACTGAGCTTACAGGTCAACGAGTGCCGATACAAATAAGCTTGGAATTGCTTTATACTGGAACAGGTCCTTGGTTCCCTGGCAACGGGAGGAGCGATGTTGGTGATATTTGTCGTAGAGTACCCATTTTGATCTGGGCTCCCAGAAACTATAAGGGTCGCCTCTGCCACAAGTGTCTATATAACTATCCAAGAAATGCAAAGGAGTGGATTTCGATCGAAGAGAAGTCAACGTTTGATACGACAGTTAGTACCGGCGTAGAACCTCCATATATAGCGAGCAATAGATATTCTCATGGTTCATTCGGCAATGCTACACAAGTATTTATATGCCAGACAACTTCAAGTAAAACCCTCAAAGTCCCAAGTATGAAGATAGTAGGGAAAGACAAGTGGAGATTTCCCAGATGCGCCAAGAAGTGGCGCACGGACCAACTGGTCTTCTCAAGCATCAAATCCGCTGTCCAGCGCAATCTCCTCCAACCAACGCAGACTCTTCTCTCCACCCACTTGCGAGGGTCGATTAGCTCGGTGGTGTTCCCGTTCTGTTTAATTATTTGATCTTCATTCGACCGCAATATTTTGTTTTTACCATACGAGCAGTTGAGACTTTTTGGGGACTGATCAATTTTCTCCGTCTTGGTTTATTGAGGCCATCGGAGCTGGGAATCTGTCGCAATGTACAACCCTTACCAAGGTATGTTCTGTCTAAGACAAATCTTGGCTTTAATATTCTTTTACATTTATTTGAATGACTCGAAACTGATGTGTGAAGCCCCCGGTATGTATGGCAGGCCTCCTGACTATGGTGCCTATCCAGGAGCACCTCCAGGCATAGGTAAGTTACACGGTTTCTCTGCATTCCTCCCACCCTTTCATGATTCTTACTGGATTCAAAGCTCCTCCTGGTATGACGGCCCCCGGAACCACTCCGCCTCCAGGGATGCAACAGGCGAATGCTCAGCAACCAGGAAGGCCCGGAGGCTTCCCACAAAACTTCCAACCCCCTCCGAATATGCCCAATATCAACTTTTCGGCTCCCGTTATTCGCCTTGGAACGTCCGGTCCACCCAAGTCTGCTACCCCAGAGACCAGCAAGGAGCGCGAGGCACCAGGGAGGCGTGCCGGTCTAGGCTCGTCGAATCTAGATTCTCAGCGCCAGAATGTACGAGATGCCATGATGCAGCTACAGCCCCCGACGAAGGAGGAAATTGTGAGGACCATCTTTGTGGGAGGAATCACCGAGGGCGTTGGCGGCGATGAGGGGGTGGAAAGAATCCTTCGATCGGCTGGCAACCTTAGGCGCTGGATCCGTGCTACGGATGCGGATGAAAAACCGTGCAAGTTCGGTTTCGCAGAGTACGAGGACCCTGAAAGTCTAGGTACTGCCGTGGAAGTACTAAGGGACATCGAAGTGCCTTTGAAAAGACAGACGCCGTCCGAGGGTAATGGCAAAGAGAAGCGCGAAGTGGAGAAGAGTACATTATTGGTAGGTGTTCCTGGCATGCAACCTGGTGAACAGATCTGACTCGAAGGATTACTAGGTTGTTGTCGATGAGAGCTCATTGAGTTACTTGGAGCAATATGAATCCAGCAGAGGCGATCAAGACCCCGCGGAGAGTCAGTCACGGCTTGATGCAGCGCGTGCTGCTCTTCAAGGGGTTGTTACCGAGTTGTTCTATCCTACATCTCCCACACAAAAAGAAGAGGCTTCGGCAGTTGACCGTGAGGGAGACACCGCGATGAAAGACAGCGAGGATCAGGGCGAGCGTGGTTCGGCCGAAGTGGTTACCATCCCCATCACGATTGAAGACGAGTTGTCCGATATTCCCCCGGACATGAGGGAAACTGTGGCGAAAGAAATAGCAGCATTCCGTGAGCGCAGCAACCGGAGAGACATTGAACGTCTCAAGAGGGAAGAGGAGATCGAATCTATGGAACGCGCTCGGAATGCAGGCTCCCGCATCAGCCGGCTGGCCTCTCCTCCGCCTACAGCGCCCAGTGGACCCGCGGCTGGTGCAAACGGTGTCCCTCTTGGCCCGCGGGATCGTAGTATGCCAAATGCTCCTTCAGGGCCCAAGGGTTTTGGGGTTCAGATCCCTAAGGATTACCAAAAAGGGGTATCGTTCGTCAATGGCGGCTCCGTCAATGGCGCTTCTACGGCCTACATTGACCGCGAAGGCGAGGAGTCAGACGCGAGCGATGAAGAGCTAGAGCGCAGACGACAGGAGAAGAAAGAGGCAGAGCAAGAAAAACAATTCCTTGACCAGGAGCGACGCTGGCTCAACCGTGAACGGAGTAGGACTGCAGCCTTGGAGCGGGAGAAGAAACGGGACAAGGAAGAGGAGTCGAAACTACAGGAAGCGCGCGAGGAGGCAGACAAGCGACTCAGAGAATGGAACGACGATGTTGAGGCTAGCCGCAAAGTCGATGAGTACTATGCAGACCGGGGAGCATGGCTACGCAGCCGTGCCGCTTTCCGTACCCGTGAGATTAGTATGGATGATGCGGATCGTTCTGCCGAGGAGCGGGAGCGAGCTCGTTCTATGCAGCAGCGAGAAAAAGCACGCGGCATGGCCGACGACTTCCTTGCCCGCCAAGCCGAAGAGCTGGAAACTCGCCCGCAAGCCCCGAGAGAGCCCCAGCGTTTCAAGCTCTCCCTTGGTGCTGCCGCCCAGAAGGCTCAAGCCGCTACCTCTCGTCGAACCGTTGCCGAAGTCGAGGGGTTACTGGAAGACGAGGAAGAGCCACAGGCGACGGCAAGACGTCCTCTCATCCCGATCAAGTTCGACAGCGCCGCCGAGGCTGCGGGACTTACCGAAGAAGAGCGGACCCAAGCAGCTCGACAGCTGGCGGCGGAGATCCCGGCCGACAAAGAAGGCTTATGGAACTGGGAGGTCAAGTGGGAATTCGTGGACGAGAGTGTGGTCACCGAACAGCTCAAGCCCTTCGTGGAGAAGAAGATAGTGGAATATCTGGGAGTTCAAGAACAGATGTTGGTGGATGTGGTGGAAGAACATGTTCGGAAGCAAGGCAGTCCTCAGGAGCTGGTGGAACAGCTCGAGGAGGTAAGTTCTTGAGATCCCTTCGGCCGTCGTATGTGGACTGTTGTACTAATCTACTTTACTCCGTGTAGGCACTCGACGAAGAGGCCGAAGTGTTGGTTCGGAAGCTATGGCGGATGATCATTTTCTTCTCCGAAAGCGAGAAACGAGGACTTTCTGGGTGAACGGTGCATGGGGGATGGATGAAATAGGTATGCTCTGTAGGGAAATACATTTATTTTACCGTCTGGCGAATGGAATATCATTGCATGCGAAGAATAGGACGATCGGTACGATATCCGCTCCGGCGAGGAGCACAATGCTGATTATACTCTTTGTTTGTCTCTCCGTTCCTGTCCATCCTCTAGACAACTATCTCGGTCTCTACCTAGGTAAGCAGTATATACTATGGGGGTCTCGCTGAGAACACGGAGATCTGCCGGGCTGGTGTCTGCATTACGGTATCAGCACAGCCTTCTGGCTATTACTTGGGGCTGATGTCGTACAGCGCGTCCGGGCAATACCAGAGTCCCGGAGGTACACCGACTCCCTAATGGGGGGTTCTGATTGGTGGAGAAACAACATTCTTTGTAAGATCAATTACTCCACCAATCAGACTGCATATCGATACTGGCGGAACAATTGCGCAGAGACGACTTATCCGCGGGCAGTCTGGATGAGTGAGGGGAATCTCGTCCGTATATCTGTTGCCTTCTCCCGGGCTGAATCTGAACGGTGTTTCTGGTGCATTGTAGAAATCTGACATCTATAGCTGCCGTTTCCACGTTTTGAGATATAAAACAACCATTTCAGTCTATACTAACAGGGACTCGAGACTAGTTGATACTTCCCTGCAGTTGGCATTGTTGACAGCTATTATATTTCTTCCCGACTGGCGACATTGGTTGGAATTCGTGGATACATTTTCTTTCATACGTAAAGATACCATCCCAAGCACCATGGTGAAGATCACGAGCTTTACCACGCGGGACGTGAGGTTTCCGGTAAGTTCGGAATCGAAAAGGGAGCTTTCCTATCACTCGCTAACCCGGATGAATAGACCTCCCTGGATAAGACGGGTTCGGATGCCATGAACGCAGCAGGCGACTATTCTGCAGCTTATTGCCTTATCTATACGGACTCGCCCCATGTTGGACATGGCATGGTATGTGTACAACAGAACTCCAACTCCTGCCTTTCTATAGTACAAAAACTAACTACTACCATGGATAGACTTTCACCATTGGCCGTGGAAACGAGATCGTCTGCTCCGCTATTTCTCTGCTGGCTCCGCTCGTAGTCGGGAAAGACCTGGACAAACTCACCGCTGACTGGGGCAAGACATGGCGCTACCTTGTATCAGATAGCCAGCTTCGATGGATCGGACCAGAGAAGGGCGTGATTCATCTGGCGTTGGGGGCCGTCGTCAACGCTCTTTGGGACCTGTGGGCGAAGACACTCGGGAAACCCGTCTGGCGCGTTGTGGCTGAGATGACCCCCGAGGAGTTCGTCCGTTGCGTTGACTTCCGATACATCACTGATGCTATAACACCGGAAGAAGCCATCGCACTGCTGAAGGAGGTGGAGGCTGGCAAACGGGACCGTATCAAGGAGGCGGAGCAGAATCTCGCTGTGCCTGCCTACACTACCAGTGCGGGCTGGCTTGGTTACGGAGAGGACAAAATGAAGGCTCTTCTGAGGGAGAGCGTCGCTCAAGGATACAAGTATTTCAAACTGAAGGTCGGAGGGAACCTCGAGGATGACCGGAAGCGATTGAGCATTGCTCGTGAGGCGATTGGCTATGACAAGGGGAATACTCTGATGGTGGATGCCAACCAGGTCGGTGCCTCTCTCATTTTCTTATTTATATCCAAGCTACTAACAAGGATTACATACAGATCTGGTCCGTCCCCGAGGCCATCGATTGGATGCAACAACTTGCCGAATTCAGGCCCTGGTTCATCGAAGAGCCCACCTCACCCGATGACATCCTCGGCCACGCCGCCATCCGCAAAGCCCTCGAGAACACGCCCCACGGCACAATTGGCGTCGCCACCGGCGAAATGTGTCAAAACCGGGTGATATTCAAACAGCTCCTGCAGGCGGGGGCGCTGACAGTTCTGCAGGCCGACGCCTGCCGAGTCGGCGGTGTCAACGAGGTATTGGCGATTTTATTGCTTGCTCGCAAATTTGGTGTCCCCATCGTGCCTCATTCGGGTGGTGTGGGATTGCCCGAGTACACTCAACATCTCAGTACAATTGACTATGTCGCTGTGACTGGCAAGAAGAGCGTGCTTGAGTATGTGGACCATCTGCATGAACATTTTCTGTACCCATCTAGTGTCAAGGATGGATACTACGTAACTCCTTTGGAACCGGGATATAGCGTGGAGATGAAGCCGGAAAGTATGGATGAGTTCGCTTTCCCTGGGGAGGAGGGGAAGAGTTGGTGGAGGTCAGAGGATGCCAAGTCGATTCTGGAAGGGCCTCGTATAATATGAGATGGTTTGCGCCGTAACTGTATATATTTGATGTGATATGAAGATATATTTTATTGGTAATATGTTCGTGTTAGAAATAAATCGATAAGATTGAGCTATCATGTCTATTGTGCCCTTACGGTGCACGTGGAGCAATTGTATATCGTCATATCATTCGGTACAGAATATGAACAGTACCTGAAATGGCCATTAAGATACATAAGATATTTCTGTCTTATATCCCTTCTAAACTCGCTGTTACTCACATAAACTATTAAAGATCTATCTACCTGATAAGAGCTACGACACGTGCAAAAATATCAAATCACCCAGTCGTTGGTAAGATCATAGAGGAAATAGCAGGTTGCTAAGGTATCGACCAGGTATCAACAAATAACTACTTCCTGCATTTGGTCAATATATCGACCGCGTATATTAATCAAAAGCTGACGAAGTGTCTTCGCAAGTGCTGTACATGTTATTTATTTGAAGTTGACCAGCAATCTCTGACAGTGGGCCCTAGATATGTACTTCCTCTAATTTTGGTAGTTCTTTTTTACCTATCTTCACTACACCGGAGCAATAGTCGGTCAGATCCTCGTTGCAATATGTGTGGCCCGCTGGCGAATTAAGTAAAGTCACGGCGGACAAGGACTATATCCATGCAACAAAACATAGGACTTAAATGCCTCTGGGAACTCTGATTATTTAGATTACATATTATCCTCTATCTAGAAGCCCGGTAGAGGACTTGTGTTTAGGACAATTAAGGAATCTTGCAAGAAACTTTTGATGGTCGAGAGACAGGTGTTATAAAATGCGCGTTCAACCCACCACGCACTAGCTAACTGCTATATACATACACTATGATACAATGGATTGTCTAAGTAGTCCACCAAGACATCCCTCGGGCCTTGAGAATTGTGTGTTCGAACACGAGCTTCAAGGTTGTCCTGGTCTGCCTATTCAGAGTCATGGCTCGTGCTCAGAGACTTCACACTGGCTAAGAAGGTTGAGCCTGAATTCCCTGATTATGCAAAGGCCTGGGTCATTTCAGGGTGAAACTGGGAATTCCATACTAGCTGGGAATAATATGCCATTATACAGCACACCACTACCGATTCATAGTAAGGATGTACATTAGCGCCATTGGATACCGAAGAGCTTCAAAGCTTTGCCCACTCCAGGTTTCTCAGGCGCTTGCTCGAGAACAATTCGCGGGTGACCTATAAATCCGTTAGTCCTGAATATGGTACAAAGCTCGCTCTCAGACGTGGTATCTAACCTTTCACATCCAATGCAAGGAGCTGATATTGCCATTCGTGTTGGTCCAGAGGTTTCATCATGTGCACAAACACAATACCAGAGTTTCGCGGTCCCTCAACCTGTTCCGTGTCAATGGCTGTACCAAATACTATGTGGCTAAAAGATAAACACATACATGAAAGTTCATCTTCAGATGTTCTCGGCCTAGACGATCTTTTTCAATGGAACTCCTGCACAAAAGGTCAGCTCATCTCCCAGCGACACCGGGCCCGGGACAGGAAACATACGCAATAGGGCGATTCCGCGCCCATCGGTTCCATGTGTTCTCTCCGTAAGCCTTTATCTCCCTACGATCCCCAAGTAGATCTGTACACCGAGTATCATTCTTGATGCGGTCGACCGCCTTCTCATACTGCCAAGTCCGACTATTCGGAGAGAAGACCTCAGTATAAAGAAGATAAAAGACTCCTCCCTAACAATCTATCAGTAAGTTCCGGTTTACTTCCATCACGTATCCACTCACCGTCAATACTGCTCCAGCCAAGACAACCAAGAAGTTGAAGGATTGTTGTGTCGCCCGTGCGACCTTTTCCTTTCCACTCAGCTCTCCCCACTGATATCGCCCGTCGTCAGACAAGACAGTGACGCTTCTTCTTCGCGGAGCAGAGCTGGACCCAGACCCTCGACCGAGATCGCTCTTGGTCGCATAGCAGCGTGCTAACTCCGCCGTGCGGGGAAGACGACGCAAGACCAGGGCGGACGACGGCCGCGGAAAGGAAGGACGAGGTCGAAGGTACGGATTCATGGCGACAGCTGACCGTCACCCGGGTTCCCGTTGAATCACACTGAGTCGTACAGCCGTCAGGAGCATGGAAAGGATGCGATGGCGATGGCTGTTGAGTCTCCTAAATTTGCAGAGGCGAAAGAGTCCGACGATTGGGATGTGGGGAAAATCTGGTCACGTGAGATGTCCCCTATTTCAAGGCCAAAATGAAAGTTTCCATAGTGGTGTATTTGCGATACGACACTCGACTCGTTTCTGCAGAAAGGCTTGTTTCGCTTGTTTCGCCTCTGCAAGATACATTGTGAATACCTGTAGCCCGTATTGTGTACTGCAACACCGTCACTTGGGCCAGCCACTGTTCCTCAGAAAGTGCAAAATACGGCCCCGTTCTGCAAATGCCCAATCCGGTCCGTGTCCCAGACGATTCCGACCACGTTCGCTCTCCCGATTGCATTCTGGATCCTCTTCCTCACTCCCTGGACCCGTCGATATCCTTTTCTACCGGGTGTGTTTGTCCTTCTCCATTGATTAGGGTCCTCATTCTTCGATTACCGTCATCATGAGTGCCACTAAGGCGCAATCTCAAAAGATCTTTGAGAAACTCAAACTCAAGCCCGCAAACAAGGTGGGCAGAACCCCTCCCCGCCGGCTCATTCTGCGGAGATGCTGACTCTTCGTCCGGCAGATATGTTTTGATTGCGGTTCAAAAAATCCCACTTGGTCGTCGGTGCCTTTCGGTATCTACCTGTGTCTAGACTGCTCGTCCAACCACCGCAACCTGGGTGTCCACATTTCTTTTGTTCGCTCCACAAATCTCGACCGTATGGAACCCCTGTATTGTCTGAACGGTTACCCGCAACGCTGCTAATTCGCAAACACATAGAATGGCAATGGGAACAACTTCGTGTTATGAAGGTTGGTGGTAATGAGTCCGCTACCAAATATTTCCAATCGCACGGTGGGTCGGCCGCCCTTGCCGGCAAGGACGTCAAGGCCAAATATACATGTAATGCCGCCGTGAAATATAAGGAGGAACTGAAGAGGCGCGCCGCACTGGATGCTCAACAGTCAGTTTTTTTTTTTTTTTTTGTATGTTTCTTGTGTCAGTGCATCTCGTGAAGCTGACTGTCTTCCTTGCATTTAGGTACCCCGACGAGGTGGAAATCACGGACGTCCCTACTGGCGTTTCTTCGAATGGCTCCAGCACCCCCGCTGGTGAAGCTGATGATGATTTCTTTTCCTCGTGGGATAAGCCATCGATCAAACGTCCTAGCAACCCTCCCTCTCGCACTGGTACTCCTCCGGTTGTTAGTCGCAGCGGCACCCCGTTCCTGAATACCACTGCCAACGGAAACGGCTCGCGCTCGAAGTCCCCTCTCTCGGCTTCCGAAAAGGATAGTGCGACGCCTGCCCCGGCTGCTATCAGGGCCAGCACTACGGTCCGCAAAACTTCGTCGGCGGGTGCTGCGAAGAAGGGCAGCGTTCTGGGCGCCAAAAAGGCGCCCAAACTCGGTGCCAAGAAAGTAGGTGCTGCTGAGATTATCGATTTCGATGAAGCCGAGAGGAAGGCCAAGGAAGAAGCAGAGCGCATAGAGAAGCTTGGGTACGATCCGGAGGCGGAGCAGGCCGAGGCGGAGGCCAAGAACAAGACAGCAAATACAAGTGCTACGGCTATTGCCTCCCCGACGCCGATCAGTCCGAACAAGGGTGGTTTCGGGGCCACCAGAAGCTCCCAGGAGCGCAATTCTAGCGATGTGGAACGACTGGGTATGGGCATTGCAAGGCTAGGGTTTGGCCAGACGGTCGGCTCAAAACCTGCCGCTCCCAAGAAACCGGGCTTTGGATCCGTTGCTCCTGTTAGGTCAGCTGCCGATGGTAAGTCTTCTTCTTTTAATACCTCCCTGTGGATGGTGTGTGCTGACCAAATCGTCCTAAAGACGAGGAACTCAAGCAAACCAAAGATCGATTCGGAACCCAGAAGGGCATTTCATCTGACGAGTTCTTCGGCCGGGAGAGATTCGACCCCAGTGCGCAGGCTGAGGCCAAGGAGCGCCTGCGAAATTTCGATGGCGCTTCTGCGATCTCGAGCAATGCGTACTTTGGCCGCCCCGAAGATGACCTTCCCGCTGCGGATGATACATACGGAGACCTGGAGGGTGCAGCAAAGGACTTTGTCCGTCGCTTTGGGATCACGGCAGGTGATGACCTTGAAAATCTCACGCAGCTCGTTGGAGAAGGGGCTGTCAAATTGCAAGGTTGGTGTAGTGCATCTTCTGATTATCTCCGAATCCATCTAACTCGAAAACAGGCGCTATACGCAGCTATCTGAACAGCTAAAGTAGTGCGACGCATTAAGCCTTAGTTTAATCGTGCAAGACTGATAGTGCTGAGTTGAAAACTAGGTTGATTTCCTTATCCTTGGTCAATCGGCTTTATTTCCTGCTTCGAATCATATATGGCGTTGTTCATGCTTCGTATTCCCCCCAATCAGCCTACGTTCTGAATCCAATACACCCGACGATGGAATCTCGGCATTATATAGAAGAAAAAAACAAAAAAAAAAAAAAAAAGAAAGAAAGAAAGACAGAAAGAAGAAAAGAAACGAAAAGAAGAAAAGAGATTTCTGGACAGCTACTAAGTATTTATTGAGTCTGAGGTCCAAGGATGCTGTGTTGTCTGGAATTGCCTCGAAGACAGGGTTCCAAGTCGGATGTACTTTCTTTCCTTTCCCGTTGTTAGTACTCAGTTTTCTTCAGTTAATTGAAAATGTTTAAATTGGCATTTGTCTGTCACGTTTCCTGTATATCCCCTTCACAATCAGTAGACTAGGACGTGTTAGGTGTTTCTCTTGTCAAATAAAATTCTCTACAGAGCATCATTTATAGAAGTTCTTTATCTTTATACTTGAACGAAGTAGTTCTCAAAAAATGTATATGTACATACCTTTTAGATAGTCTAACCAACGACCCATTTGTTGAAGATTTTGGCAGACATTTTGGTTCTATGTTATTTGCGATATTGTTGAAAATATACAAAGCGTCTCACTCGTTTAATCAACTCATTACCCCCGGCTTATATGCAACCCAAAAGCATCACCCTCGGTAAATCGCATCCGCCACCTTCGTTACCTGGGCCATCTCCTTGACATCATGAACGCGAACTATATCAGCGCCACCGGCAACACTAGCAGTGACAGCGGCAGCAGTACCCCAGCCACGGTCACTGGCTTTGTCGACACCCGTAAGCCGCCCGATAAACCGCTTCCGACTTGGTCCCATCAGCCACGGAAAGCAATCCAGACCATGGATTCCGGTCCGGAGTCTATGCAGATCCCGCAGGATAGCCAGGTCCTGGGACTGGCCCTTGGCGAAACCCAGCCCGGGGTCGAGGATGATCCGCCAGCGCCGAATACCAGCTGCTTCGGCGGCCGCGATGCGGCCCAGGAGTTCGGTGCTGATATCTTGGACGACGCCGTTAGGGTAGTCGGTTAACTTGGTCATGGTCGAGGGGGTTCCTCGCATGTGCATGAGGATGATAGTTTTCCCGAGGCGCGCCATGGTCGGGAGCATTTCGGGGTCAAGAAGACCGGCGGATACGTCGTTGATGATGTCTGCGCCGGCGGCGCAGGCTTCTTCGGCGACTCGCGCACGGTAGGTATCGATGCTGATGGCGACGTTGGCGGCTTCGGGAATCGATGTGCGAATGTGTCGGATTGCTGGGATGACTCGGGCGAGTTCTTCGGCTTCGTCGACTGGGGTGGAGCCCGGACGGGTGCTCTCGCCGCCAATGTCGATGATTGTTGCACCTGAGGCGATGAAATTACGAACTGTGTTGGTCAGGGCTGAGAAGTCAGTGGAAGAGTGTTTGCCTCCGTCGGAGAAGGAATCGGGCGTCAGGTTGAGGATCGCCATGATGTGGGTGGGACGATGAGGGTCTGTTGAATGAATTGCCGGGACGTGTCTCGAGATGTGCGTGGTCGCAACTGGAGTCTGGTCCGGCGGAGGGAGGGAGTTGAGGTGGGATAAAAAATGCGTGTTGTGCCCCGGAAAGGGAGGGCGTTCATGCGGGATGAGTCTGGTGGCGGTCCAGGTTAAATTGAAAGCTCACAGGGCGAGAAAATACCAATGGTCATGCGTACTGGCTCAAGGGACGTAGGACAAACTCCCTTTCTAGCATCATCCGGTGTGGAATATCCAGGCGTTCATGGGTGAAGATCCGCTGATCGTAGAGAAGGATGTCCAAGTCAATGGATCGAGGCCCTTTATCAACCAATTTCTTCCTGCCCAGGCCAATTTCGATGGATTGAGTGACGTCGAGGAGCTCTAATGGCTCTAAAGTGGTTTCCACCTGGCGTTTTGTTAGTCCAAGCACACGGCCTGTGGCTTCAAATCAACTACGGGGACAGACCTCGCAAACGCCATTCATGAACGTGTCTTGATCGAGAACGTACATGGGAGCTGTCTCGAACAAGGAGCTGGTCCTTTTCACCGTGATACCAGCCCTGTCAAGTTCCAGACAAGCCTTCTCGATCATTTCAACCCGATCTCCCATATTACTGCCCAGGGCTATGAACACCCGATGGGTGGATTTGGACTGATTCATCCTGGCATTGGATAGAACTATCTGAGCTTGTGAGAAACCTCGAATGGGACCTGCCCCCTTCAGAGATCCATTACTGGATTTAGCATCCTTGAGGTCGAAAGTGGACCGTCTATCAAGTGATCGGGCAAGTGGAGTCTCTAGTGGCACAGATTAGCTTTGTCAATCGATGATAAATCGGAGATGCTAGAAACAAAGTATCGAAACATAACAGAAATTCAGACGATACTTTGGCAGCCGTAAGACATCGGAAGCTAGAACTAACGTACTAGACAGAGACATATAAAAGCTTCTATGGAGAGGTTAGATGCGATTCAATGGCTCAGGAATAATTGATGCGTGCATTCAGAGAAAACCTGCCTCTTGACTGTGCTTGGGAGTAGCCCACTGCCTCTTCTGCAAGCAAGGAGGTGCATGAGCCCTGCACTAGAAGGCCGCCATAGATGCAAGCCTGTTCCCATGTTTCCTGAAGCAGCAATGATGGAGGACTACGTCATGTGAAAAAAGTTGGCACACGAGACCGCAGAGTCAGCTGACTGACACAGTGGCGGCGGGGTGTTAGTCATCGGTCGTCTGGGGAAAGAAGTCAAATGTCGATGGACCGAGGCTCTCGGTTCGCCCATCGCCCCTTATAAAGAACAGCGTATACGACCTTCCTTCTCCACACTTTCTTGTGGCATCCTCTTCTCCATCCTCTAGATTTTTGACTGCCTGTGCCTTTGTCCTGAATTCCCTGTCTCTCTACAATTTTATACCCATCCTCTCTCATTCCCAGTCCCAACCATGGCTTCTCCTCGTAAGTAGCCCCAAAATCCTCCGCATATTCTCCGTACGTGAATGGAAATGCTGGGAACAGGTTTTCTAACCACAGCAATCGGACAGAAAAAATCCGTACCACCCTCACTGATCTGCTCAAGATCGAACACCCAGTCCTGCTGGCAGGTATGAACGTGGCCGCCGGTCCTAAGTTGGCCGCTGCGGTCACCAATGCTGGTGGTTTGGGTGTCATCGGTGGTATGGGGTACAGCCCCGAAATGCTCCGTGAACAGATTGCAGAACTCAAGAGCTTTTTGAATGACAAGAACGCCCCATTCGGTGTTGACCTTCTGCTTCCCCAGGTCGGAGGAAACGCACGCAAGACCAAGTGAGATCCTTCGGGGGATACCTACCTGGAGATGCTAACTCTTCTTACTAGCTACGACTACACCAAGGGCAAGCTGAATGAGCTTGTTGACATTATCATCGAAAGCGGTACCCGACTCTTCGTGTCTGCTGTCGGTGTTGCTCCCAAGGAGGTCGTCGACCGACTCCACGGCGCCGGGGTTCTGTACATGAACATGATTGGCCACCCCAAGCATGTTCAGAAAGCCCTTGATGCCGGCGCAGACATCATCTGCGCACAGGGTGGTGAGGGTGGCGGACATACCGGTAATGTCCCCACTACCGTTCTCATCCCCACGGTTGCCAAGCTCTGCCAGGGCAGGAAGAGCCCTTTGACCGGCAAGCCCGTGCAAGTTGTTGCTGCAGGAGGTCTTTTCAACGGAAACTCGGTTGCTGCCGCTCTCATGCTTGGAGCTTCCGGCGTGTGGATTGGTACTCGCTTCATTCTGGCGGATGAGGCCGGTGCTCCTGAGGCTCACCAGGAGGCTGTTCGCACTGCTGGATTCGAAGATAACATTCGCACCATCATCTTCACTGTAAGCTCTTTGAACCTTCATTCCATCTGAGGTTGCGCTTAACACTTTCTAGGGTCGTCCGCTCCGTGTCCGCAACAACGCGTACATCAAGAACTGGGAGGAGAACCGCCGAGACGAGATCAAGCAGCTGACCTCCAAGGGAATCATCCCTGTTGAGCACGATATGGAAAACCTGCCTGACGATGTTGACGACGACACTTTGGACAATGCCCGTCCATTCCTGATGGGCAAGGTAGCTGCCGTGGTGTCAGAGAAGAAGTCTGCCAAGGCCATTGTTGACGAACTTGTGACAGATGCCGCTGCTCTACTGCAGGATGGCCACAAGATGCTTGCTAAGCTGTAAAAGATTTGATTCCTGGTGTTACCTACATTTGGGATCGGTAGACTTGTGTATATAACTCGCTGATTCTATGACCATATATGTGATATGTTGTACATTTTTTTAATTTATTTATTGCCAAATACATGGGAACATCTTCGTAGACTCGTGGCAACTCAATTTTCACATGCATTTCTAGTCGCAAGAGTTGCCGAGCTAGTCAAATCTTGGCGTGAGACCACTAAATCAGCGTCTGCCAAAGTATACGAAGTACGTCTTGTCACTAAGAAATTAAAATGTTCAAGGTAGTCATGGTTAAGTAGAGCACTAAAACTTATTTTGATCCAGTTTTCATGAAGTTCTATCAAAATTATCAGGACCTGCGTCTTGTATCGGCGAAATTCTACGGTATCCAAGGGTACGGCTCAAATTACCATGTTTCTCTAGCGAAGTTCAGCCACCCTGTCTATATCGGCAAGGAGGATTTATAGGCGCGGGATATTGTCCTCTAGTATTTTTGTTAGACTACCCAGTAAAAAAATAAATAAATAAAAAGATAATACCACACCATGTCAAAGAATATAAAAATAGGCATTATTAATATAATAAACAGTAAATTCTATACCAAACAGTTTTGAGCGATACATATACTTTTGATCTTTTTTGTTAGACGGGTATCAGCTTAGTGTCACACACAAGGTCACGGCTTCATCGTAGTTCTGGGGGATATCTCTCAGATATGATGCGATCCCATTAAAACAATAAAAGGAAAAAAAAATCAGATCGCGCCATACTAACCACTATACATACTCTTGATCCGAAGGCAACATAACGTATAATTCTCTCTGCAGAGTACTGAATACTACCCAAGCAGATATTGAATAGGATCATTTCCTTCCCTGATAGTCCCACATGTATAACTTGTACAACGCTACATGCATTAGCCCGAAGCTTTTTTATATCCTAGCTAATAAGACTGCTCTATGAAGGGCGGTACTCCCGGTCACTTTCTTGTCGGGACTAGGTATAAGTTCCCGGAATCGTGGGGAAATCTAGACTCTGGGGAAGAAGGGAAGAATAACTCTGCTGCCTGGGATTGAAGTGTTGGTAGGGTATCTACCTACCCCCGCGTATAAATTGATAAGATAATGGTATCACTTATACACGGTTGATAATGGGTTGTGCAACGGATATGAATTCCAAAGGGTTTTCGAGTTATCGTAGACTGGTAAATCTTTCATTACGCTACTTACTGCAGGTTCCCGTATTGTGTTTATGTGAGATACACTGGATTTAATCAGACTCGCAGCTTATATCTTGCCTGCGTAAAAGATCCGACATTGGCATTATATGAGTCCATCGGTGTTGGCCGAGACCCGAAAGATCAAGAGCAGGCAGGTAATCAGAGATAGTGATAACATTGATAGCCGATAGTGATGTGTTTTGACATTTTATCATGGAGTGTCCTGCCTATCAACAGCCAAGGCCTTATCAAATTCTCATGGGTCTGTTAGGAGTCTCAACCAATCGTAGCAGAATATAAGCAGTCTGTCTGGTGCTTAGCCTGTCAGGTCGGAATAAACAAACCAATCATACTATACAAATGCAATCCACATGCCTATGATTGGTTGATAGGGGAAGCTCATATCCATTAGGGTTATCTGGGGCGGACGCATTGGGAATCCCGAACAGAAAATAAGGGCTGATCTATAGACACATATTAGTAGAGGGCTGCTCCTTTCCCGACAATGTAGGGTCTGTATAGCAACCTACTATCCTATGTTGAAGAAAAAGGAACCTATGTGAGATCCGCTATTTTCTTTTCCCTTTCCTTCAAACAATCTGTGGTCCTTGAACTCTCCCCTCCTTTCACTCTTGAGCCTTCACTGTGCGGGTTCAGCGCCGACCCGCGCAAGCCGTCGAAACACACAGTCGAGCGGGACACGGTCTCGGCACGATGTTTGGAAGCATTGATCAGGACCTCGAAAAGGCACCGCAGCTTGGCAATATTCCCATCGACGATAGTAGCGATTGTGCTATTCCCGGGGAGAGCTTTGCCTACGGCAGTTCGCTCTGTGCAAAGATCCAACGACTGGCAGGAAAGCTCAACATTGAGCAAAGAGGCATTGAGCGGGTGCCAGAAAATGAACAAACAGATACGTCTTATTTCAATATTAGCAGCATGGTGTGTCTTTAGCCTGGCGTTGCTGACCTTCTTCCCCGACTGACGCATCGCAGTGGCTGGCAGCCAACATGGTGGTCAGTTCTTTCGCCATCGGAGTGCTAGGGAAATCCATTTTTGGCCTCGGATTTGTCGACGCCATCCTGGTCGATCTTTTCTTCAATCTTCTGGGCATCATGACTGTGTGTTTCTTCTCCTGCTTCGGACCTGTCTTCGGTCTCCGGCAAATGGTGCTCTCGAGATTTTGGTTTGGTTGGTGGGCAACCAAATTCAGTAAGTATTAACAGTCTTCGTATAATATACTTGAAACCATTACTTATTACCCTTCTTCTAGTTGCTGTCCTCAACATTTTGGCCTGTGTGGGCTGGTCTGCCGCTAACGCCATCGTGGGCGCCCAGCTTTTACACGCCGTGAACAGTAACGTGCCAGGGTTTGCAGGGATTCTGATCATTGCCTGCTGCACACTCTTTATTACCTTTGCTGGATACAAAGTGGTCCATATGTATGAGTACTGGAGCTGGATTCCCACCTTCATTGTCTTCATGATTGTACTCGGCACCTTTGCCCACTCAGGAGATTTTCGAAATCTTCCGATGGGCGTTGGAACTTCTGAACTTGGCGGTTGCTTGTCCTTTGGCTCCACCGTGTATGGTTTCGCTACCGGATGGACCAGCTATGCTGCTGATTACACTGTATACCAGCCCGCCAATCGCAGCCGCCGCAAGATCTTTCTGTCCGCCTGGCTCGGACTCATAATTCCCTTGCTATTCACCCAGATGCTGGGCATTGCAATCATGACCGCAACCTCGATCGATAACGGTAACAACCGGTACCAAATTGGGTATTCAACGGCTGGAAACGGTGGCCTGCTGGGTGCTGTCCTGGCGCCACTTGGGGGATTTGGCAAGTTTTGCCTAGTCATTCTTGCTCTTTCCATCATTGCAAATAACTGTCCCAACATCTATTCCGTCGCCCTTACCCTTCAAGTACTGAGCCGCTATACCCAGAGAGTTCCTCGATTTATCTGGGTGTTCCTGGGCTCGTGCGCCTCTGTGGCTATCGGAATTCCGGGATACTCCCATTTCGAGACTGTTCTGACCAACTTCATGAACTTCATTGCCTATTGGCTGGCTATATACTCCGGTATCTCACTTACCGACCATTTTGCCTTCAAACGTGGGTTTTCGGGATATCGTCCTGAACTATACGACAAGCCCAGCAAGCTCCCCATCGGAATCGCCGCGGCTCTCGCGTTTGGCTTTGGTGTTGCTGGTATGGTCACTGGAATGAGTCAAACGTGGTGGGTGGGTCCTATCGCGCTGAATGCAGGTTCTGCTCCTAGTGGTGGTGATGTTGGCTTTGAGTTGGCCTTTGGTTTCGCAGCGGTGTCATACCTTGTCCTACGGCCAGTTGAGATGAGGATATTTGGTCGGTAGTTTGTTTATTATCGGGTCTCATGCCTGTTGAGTTTGGTGTTCAAGAATCGGAGTTCTTGGCGACAGGAACTCTATATAGATGTTGTAGTCACCGATTCTAATGACCAATTTACTCGATTAGTCAGTATTATAAAGTAAAAATTGTAATAACTTTTAGTTCAATGACTGGAAATTGGTAAATATGGACATGTTCAAAGGTGACATAATTTTCCAAGTTAGCAAGAGTTCTATGGCAACAAAATTTCCGTTGAAAACAAGGATTTGAAGAAGAAAATAGAAAGGAATGAATTAAAGAATAAAGTGACGAAATGGAAGTGGATTGCATCACAAAGAACGAGAAGACCCAGCATGTCCATCAAAATTGTTTCCCGAAAGAAGAATCGTCGACCTCAACCACCATACTACGTGGGTGTAGGCGAACTAGAATTGTTCCTTTCCTATCTGCGTATCTACGCTTCCTTCCATTTCAAGTCGAAAAAGGGCCGGATATCACGACAAGAGTGTCACCTATTTTTATGGATGAAGACAGATAAGCGAACTTCTTTTTGTGCATTTTGTTACGGGTTTGGACATCCATGACGATGAAGTACTCCAGGCCTTGTTTGAAACTATCCCTCCTGGAAAATAACAACTATACTATTCCCATCTGTACCGCTCCGAGGAACAGCCCATTTTGATCGTGAGGCTTGCCTGGTGATTTGCTCTTTAAGTCCGAAGAATTTATGAGCACTGTTAAAAAAATTCTTAAAATCGAAGCCAGTAAATACTTCGCCTATCTTCTCTACCATTGGAGGGCACTCCCTCGTGACATAATCCCGGCGATGTTGAAATAAGCCCGAATTGTATCCGATCTCCAAATGCCAATACTTTCCGCATCTATCAGAATCGGTTATCATCAATATTCTACTTTTCTTTGTTTATACTGACCTTTTCTTGGGTCAAGTAAGCACAACCTCGAACAGAGAGTACATAGGACCTGCTGACCATATGCTAGGCCAACAACTAAGTGCTGGAATAGGAGTTTCCAAATGTATACAAGTATGATGTGTGTCAGGATTTCTACCTGTGTAATATCAAGCCCTCCTGGAAACTTGTTTTATGACCCATAGATTGTAGCTTGAAATGGAAACGACTTCCTAGCCGCTTCAAAGAATTCGGTAATGGAAACATCAGGGAAGTCTTCGGCCCAATTTGACACGCATTCACAGATTTTGATAAATTCCTCTAATATGCTTGTATCGGAAAGTTGGTAGTCTGGGAAAGTCTTGTAACCCGGCTGACAGTCACGAAGCTCAGCCTCCAACTTTGTAAATCGTTGTTCTTCCCTTTTCAGGGCTCTTTCTTTCTCTTTGAATAGATTGATTCTCAATAGTTTTTATATTCACAAACACAGCGCGACCCATATCTTCAAGAATTGCTTTAGACTGTGCTTCTGCTGGCTGTTTTCAGTTCTAATACTATAAGGCATGCTGGGGTGGTCAGCCTGGGCTGGGTGACAGCCTCTGGACTCAGTGACGGTGGTCAGTGATTTAAAATCAGTACGAGCAAAATCACCTACCTCTGGGTCCTCCATCTTTATGCCTGGTTGATCCATTTCATGTCTGTCTCGATAGTGGTCAGTGGAAGCCTGGTGGAAGAATATTATCGGACAGATGTGGAAGTATTGTCCTTAAGTTTTATTTCTGTGCCTACTCACACCGGGGCCGACAAAAGAAGAATTGTCAAGAGCAAGTAGCTGTGTGAGGTGAAATCAATATATTAAAAACTAAAGACAATGGAAAAGAGATCAGACAATTGTGTATTGAAGAATAACCTGAGAAGAGAGGATATCAAGCTCCCTCCTACTTGGTATGGTTGTGTATGTTTCATTCATTCACCGTCACCTTCGCCTCTCTTCTCTCTGGCTGGCCCCGGCTATATGGCAACATCTGCCCAGCATTCCTATACATGTTCTTCCTTCTTTCTCCCCAGAAACACCTTTAAAAGGTCAACTCCAGGATCCATTATTATACTTTCTTCTGCATCCTATTATATTTCAGCGCAATATTGGTACAAATAAAATCTCTCCACTAAAGAGAGCAGCTTCCGTGACTCGACTTCCCTCTGCGAAGCAACTAATAATAAATGCTGACAACAACTATCTTTCCAAACATTGGATACTAAACAACCAATTACACGAGTATCCAGCGAAATGACTAGTCTAGCTACGTCTGAAATAGCTATTATTGCTGTGAACTTTGGCACAATCTTTTCAGGTGTTTCCTGGGCATTAACCAGTGAAGTAAGTAATCAACTTAGTCCATCATATATCTATTCGAGTATACTAAATGTTTTCTAGCCTTACAAACATTATGTCATAAACCGTTGGCCATGGAATAGGGCTGATTCTAAAAATGGTATGACAAGCGGCACAGTATCAAGTGAAGCCGACTATGAATATGAAGACTCTGTGCCGAAGGTTCTATGGGGCTTCCAGAGTTACGATAGTATGCCACGCGTCCAATGGATAAAGCTTAGGCTTGCTCCCGAGCCAAGAGGGAACGTCGGTTCTCGCTTCTCGTTAACGTGTAGTGACTGCTGTGATAACCTTATTCCATACCATTCGTCTCCCGAACAGCTCGTGACCGATTACCTCTTCATCTTCGTGAGCATATTCTAAACACTTTAGGACCCCAGATAATAGGTTCCCTTGATAATGAGGATATATTGTTTGCCCTTACGGTTCCAGCGATTTGGTCGGAAAAGTCTAAGCAGGCCACACTCCGTTGCACCCAAGAGGCAGGATTCGGCGATATGTCAGATATTCGTATTGTATCGGAGCCTGAAATTGCAACTTTGCATGCATTACGTGCATCTAATCCACATGGGCTGGAAGAGGACGACACAGTGGCCTTACTAGATGCCGGAGTGTGTATTTTCGACTTGATTATGTTTTCAGTCCTTGAGCTTAAACATACTCTGCGTCTCAAAGAGGTTTCACATAGAGATGGCAGTCTCTGTGGCAGTACATTCCTCAACAGACGCTTTGAAAATTTTCTAGAAGAGTGACTGTCGCTTGTCACAGGATGGGGCCACGACATGCTTGAGGAGGCAATGCATCTATTTGAAGCCGCTGCGAAACGAATATTCGATGGGGATATAAATGACAGCTTTTTGTTTCTCGTTGATAGGAGTCCACAGAGCTCGGGTCTGAGTAACCGGCAAAGAAATGATCGAACTATTCTTTCCTGCTTTTGGGGAGGTTCTAAAGCTTGTGAACAACCAGGTCCAGGCCTCAAAATAACAGGCTAAATCCATTTTATTAGCAGGTTGTTTTGGACAAAGTCCCTACCTTTGCAAATACATCAATGATTCGCTTGGTCAAGAAATCGAAGTATTAATACCTCCCGATGGCTGGACAGCAGTTGTTAGAAGTTCTTTAAGGAAACTCTAGGCGATTTTTCTCCAGCCCTCAAAGCATCTGTTGGGTCACGAATAGCCCGAAAGTACTATGGGATGGCAAGCTTAATAAAATAAGAAGAATTCATTCCATACAGTCGAAAGAAGAAGTTCATCAATTAAGCCTAGCTTAGGAGTTTGACAGTTCTAGGTACTGGGATTATTTCGATGGGTATTACGCCGTTGAAGTTAGTTATGGATTGGTTCGTTAATAAGTTGTCTAACTATCAATTCGCACTTCAAGTCATTTGCAGCTAACAATATAAAGAGATATTCTATCAGAGAGACAGAACCTATCATAACAAACCGGGTTACTCATCAATTGGTCAGCGAAGGCCAAGTTGATTCTATCCATGTCAGGATATATGCGCTGGACACAGATATTGGCCCATTATATTTCAATCGTCGTAAGTGCTACTGCATAACTTAATAGCAATTCTGGAATTGGCTTATTAAATGCCCATTTCTTTATATATGAAAGCGCATGCAGTGTTGGACCCCAGACTTGATACAGAAAAGTAAGTTCCCAACCCGTCGTGGTGAGGATTGGGAACTCTACTATGAAATCAACTCTCAGATTCATGCAGTTTACTACTCTGTACATTGTGAATATACATTTTTGTATAAAGGCAAGAGTCATGGGAATGTGAAAGTTGATTACATCTGAGCGGTTCATATTTTTCTTTTTTTTTCTTTTTTCTTTTTTTTTTTTTGAATGCCTGGTTTTACCATGCTGGTCATTCATAGAAGTCCAATCATCTTTGCGACCGCAATCCAAAATATTGCCATTTTGGATGGAGAGGGCAACTAGGATGGGAATTGAACCATGAGATGCTGGCAAAAATTTAAGGGCACCACTTTTTTCTTTCAGCAAATTGGAATTTTATTAGCTGAGGCATGAGTTAAAAAGGAAATGTCAAAAACAAAGCTTTTATTTGATTCTGAAGAATGCATATTATTTCACAGTGGTAAGTTTCTCTTAAACTGTACACCTAATCTTTTTATAGATATTTCTCTCTAATTATGGAGGGCCCAATACAACAGTATGTAGAAAGGATAGTTGACATGGTTAAGAACGATGACACTGTAAACATGGACTGTAGTTAGGCACATTAGATTCACGTGACTAGATACCCACGCACCAGCCACAATGAATGCGCCACCGATCATTTGCCGCGCCGAAACAAATCCACAACCAGATTCGCCTTTCGTTGAAATCTGAGAAAATCAGCAACAATCCGTGATCACCACATAAACACAATGTCCAGACTAGGAAAGTAGGTCAAAAGCAGCCCCAAAACTTGTCGCTTTATCATTTCCATATTTGCTAACAAATTTTTCATTTCTAGCCGCGCCGACTGGGCCGACGACGAGGAGTTCGATGACCCCTCCGTGCTCCCCCCGCAACAAATTACGACGAACAAAGATGGAACGAAGACCGTGATCTCGTACCGCTTCAACGACGACAACAAGAAAGTAAAGGTAACCCGCCGCATCAAGACCACCGTTGTCCGTGAACATGTCAATCCCCGGGTCGCTGAGCGGAGGGCCTGGGCTAAATTTGGTCTGGAGAAGGGCCACGCTGCTGGACCTTCGTTCGACACCACCTCCGTCGGCGAGAACATCTCTTTCCGACCCAGCGTGAACTGGAAGGCCCAGGCTGCCGAGGAGGAGAAGAACGGAGGCGAGAAGGGCAGCATGAAAGATCAGCTCAAGGACAAGAAGGTCAAATGCCGTATTTGCAGCGGAGAGCATTTCACGGCCCGCTGTCCGTTCAAGGACACTATGGCTCCTGTTGACGAGTCTGCCGGTGTCGAAGGTGGTGCCGACGATGCCCCGGCTGCCGGTGCTGTTGGTAGCGGATCTGGCAGTTATGTGCCTCCTCATTTACGAAAGGGTGCTGCTGGTGGTGGCGAGAGAATGGCTGGCAAGTACGAGAAGGATGATCTGGCGACATTGAGAGTTACAAACGTGAGTTTTCCTTTGTCTTCCCCTTGTCTAATCCTGTACTGACTTCGGCATCAGGTGAGCGAGCTGGCCGAAGAATCAGAAGTCCGGGACCTGTTCGAGCGCTTCGGTCGTGTTACCAGAGTGTTTTTGGCTCGGGACAGAGAAACCCAGCGAGCCAAGGGGTTCGCATTCATCAGCTTTGCGGATCGGAGCGACGCTGCTCGTGCCTGCGAAAAGATGGATGGCTGTATGTTCTCCTATAGATTCCATGATTTTTTTGAAATCGGAATGAGCAATGCTAACACATTCATTTTCGATAGTTGGTTATCGCCATCTTATTCTTCGCGTGGAGTTCGCGAAGAGGACTACTTAGATTCGATTTCATTTCTTCTTTTTCTCAGTTTCTTGCCTCACGACACTTTGGATCTCTTTCACCCGGCGGGCTTCCTTCATGACTGGGGATCTTTTCTTTGTATTGTATGATCTGGTCATTAATGATGATAACTAAAAGACCTCCAACGTGTCATTTACTTTGCTTTGGTCGATTTTATACAAAGAAAAGCAACGGTTTAGAAGGTTTCAACGTACAATTTTGCTTTCTTCAAACTCACTAGTGAGATCAGTATCCATCGAAGAGACGGTGGTGTCTTCCGACTTGAGGAGGGGTGTGAGAGAAGATAGGATGACGAATTCGGAATGCTGAGATGCAAGGGACTTTTCCATTGCCCCCGAAGTCTCTACTACCTATCCGTCTACGTAGATGAGGAGAGTACCCGGAAACCTACGGCACTGATCATTCAGTCTTGGAGGTTGGATCGTTGGAGCTTAGACGGAGAATCCATTCACCATCTGATACGTGCTGTTGAATTCCGGATGTCCCATCGGTCAAGAAGTTTTGGACATTACGAAACAATTGATCCATCACATTCTCACACATTCCTAGATTCAGCCTAACTAGGAATGGGTGACCTTAGAACGCGGCTCCCTCTCGTATTGGAGACCTTTATAAAGTGGTTTTTATGTCTAAATCAGGGAATTGAACTCTTTCTCCGCGAATAAAGATATATTTAACTAACAACGTATCTATTTTAAAACTCTGTCGCCCCCCATTTTTTAAAGCCTAGTTCTCCCCTACATCACGATCTCGTCACAGTCTACTCCATCTCTGGAGGATGATTCGTTCCAGGTGGATGATCTACGGCAACCCTGATGTAAAAAGAAAAGAAAAAATGGACTTCACATGCGCCAATGGATGGAATCGCCTACTCTTCAGTGCGCAGATCAAATTACTTCATGATGTTTCTGGCATACTCCCACTTACTCACAATCACGCTCATATCCACAGAGACACGTGCTTATATTCATACTTACAGTTACGCACCTACCCAAACAATGGAGTGGATTACTGCGTCTAGGCCGCGGTTTGTGCCCAGTCCCATAGTGATGAAATGGTTGCATGAAACAGTGTCATAGTGCCATCTAAGAGTAACACTCGGTCTAACAATGTGCAAACATTAATAAGATCGACCTCGGTAGCTTTCTCATCCAGTGGTTGAGACTACGGATTGGAACCCCGGAGCCCTAGAACCGGAAAGGAACACGGTAGGAGGGGTGGGTGAGATAATAAAATAAATAAAAATTTTTTAAAAAAATATATAAATATAAATATAAATAAAATATAATAATAAAAATAAATAATGAGATAGACAACAATGAAGCCCCGTTACATTGCAGAAGGAGCTAGTAAATAGGGTTGTGGACAACGTTCACGGGGTCTCTGTGTCTCACAAGTGAGTGCAATTGGAATTCACCAGACTAGACTTTGCTCCGGGCTTGTCGGCCGAGCTAAAGGAGAAGATGACCGATGTTTCCCCCCTCCTTGTGTGACAACAGGTGTCATCCACGAGTGTTTTGGTTTGGCTCCGGAAGTCTATATGTCTGGGTCCGATGTTATGGTTTCGGTTTTCATCCCGTATCGAGGTAGATTCTCCATAATGAAAAGCAACTGCCGCCTTAGCTTTTCGATGGGGAGTTCCACCTAGGTGTCTAAACCCTATGTGAGTCAGCGTTGGAATGCTAGTAGGGGTCCTTGCCATCTCTTAGGAACTACCGCAATCTGGACCGTGGATTGCCTGAAAATAGTTTGACCGGGGCAGGGTTCTGATCGCCAGTTCCCAAGGGTAGTTGAATCTGTATGCTTTTGGACATCAATACTATACCGTTGAAGCATTGTATTTTACAAGGCAGAACCTCTGCTAGACTTGCAATCCGTCCGTCCGCACGGGACCAATACTTGATTGGTATTACCCAGACAGTACTGGTAGGAAGGTAGATACCTGAACTAAGCGTTCTAAGCAGCCTTTCCAGTTTGAGTTGGACAATGCATACATAAACAATACCTTGAATAAAAGCTGCTGATCGTGATCAGCATCTCACACCTAAGGTTGATGGTCCACCACGTACCTGAGTTGCACAGCTGGGACTGATGAGGAAATCTACAAGAGGTACCTAACTATGGCCAATCGAATCACATCATGAATGAATGATGGTTGTATCTACAGGATACTGACACGAGATGTCTTGTTAGAGCCGATGCCCAAGCAAACCATAATCATATGGTTATTGGGGAAGGCGACAAGTACGGTCACTTGAGATAATTAAAATCCAAGATCAAATCATCATGCTAAAAAGAAAAAGATAAATTAGAGAGGGGCACTTTGTAACAGGTAAGACACACCATTGATGTCATACCATTCGTTGATCGTCCACGTATCTTGACCGTAAGGGATATCGCAATGACCGATTCCCTGGTCGTCGACACAGAGTCTTGGTCTGGAGGCGGATTATATTATCTAATGTGCTAGAACCCAACTAGCTGCTCTAGTAGTAGGAATTGTATGAAGCCCTAGACTGGACACCTATTATTCAATGAGCAAAAGGCGGTTGTCATCCCCTCCTCGAGGCCTACTGCCAGGTACCAGCCTCAACAGGGGCCACTGCCACTCCCATCGTGACAGATAATCTCGAGATCTAGGATAGGAAGACCATCCGGAATGACATAGAACGTGGAGATAATAAGGTCCCCGGAAATAAGAACCGAATGTTCTGGACTCCTGCTAAACCCGATCCTGGTCGTTCAACATCTCTCTGGCCCAAACGTGATCGACGGCCAGCCGCAGGTCGGATCACTCTGCAACTAGGTAGTATCTCCAGCGCCCGGGAGAACAAGCTGGAGCAATGTAATTTAACTGGTGGTGGTACAGGAAGTCCTGCCGGGGAAAAATCACCGACCGCTACTACTGGCGAAGATCGGCGAGAGACTGGTAGACGCCGTTTGATCCATGGAGCGCGAAAAGAAGAAATCGGGATTATTCCAGCTCAGCTAGGATTTAGGCATGGGCGAAGTCGAGGCGAAACCCACAGATTTCGATTATGGAACGAGAAACAGCTGTACGGCGTGAGTCGTTAACAATAATTCCTTCAATGAGGTGCCCCGCTGGAGCTATCCTGTCTATCTCTACCCGTAAAGCAAGGTAAAAAGGATTGGAAAAGAAAAGAAATAGAAACAAAAGGAATAAAACCAAAAGAAATGGAGATAATAATAGAAATAATAGTAGAAATAATAATCATAATAAGGGGTAATAGTAACCCTTTGCACTGTGCCGGCTGTGTAGCTCTCTCTCCCATACATGCTGGTTAGTCTCTTACCCTGCAAGTAGGTACGAGGGGCTTGTTCGTTGACAGGATACTAGGGAAGTTTGTTGGGTTATTCTGAAACATGCTACTGACAGGAAACTTTATTTTTTATTTTTTTTATTTTTCCTTTGGTATATACAACGGGAAGAATTGACAATCATAAAAACGCTAAGAAAGGAGAAGCGCGCTACTGAAAATTATAACATCCTGGACAGATGAGCCATTTAAGTAGCAGTCTCTCGACCGAAAAAGAAAGAGCAGTGAGAAAGCCAAACTTTGCCAGGGATGTAGGCTGGTTTCATTGTCAGGGTCGCCAGATAGTGCCTACCCGGTAGTTGGCTAGCTGAAGCACTAACAACTAGTTCTAATTATAATCATCATGGTGGTTATCCACTCAATGTAGGTACGTCAAAGACTTAGAGCGTCCAGGGTTCATGGAGCTACGCCTGCTGTGGTATGGATTTGGCCGCTATTCCACTTTTGGTTACGCCATTGACACGTGCCATATGCTCTGGATTACTCTTCTTTAGGTCTAGCGTATTTCTCTCACAGATGGAGGTCACGTCTTGCTTTCTAAACAATTAAACATACAATTTTCATCTCAAGATGCCCTTATCATCATCATTATTATTATTATCTTCTTCTTCTGCTTTTGTTGTATATGTAAAGATCAAGTAGCTAAACCACTATCCTAAGATCTTATTGATTATGCTTATTGGTTTTCCTTGGTTGGAAATGCAACCTCCCCTCTCTTACCCTCCCCTGTCCAGGGTTACGTGGGATTCGCGCCACATCCCGCGGATACTTCCTGCACAACATGGCACCCCTCCAATACTTTGTGTTCCATACGGAGTGTTCTGTACTGGTTGTCCAGTCCAGTACCCTGTCCTAGATGGACCTAACCTCTAGTTGTCTACCAATGATATAACCGAAACTCCTTTTTTCAGCACTGTGCATGTCGCATTTCAACCAACTAGCTTCCTGCAAGCCTGGATGATCATTTAGCCACAACATGATCCACCCCAAGAAGAAAAAAAAAAAAGAGAAGAAAAGAAAAGAAAAGAAACAACAAAAAACAAAAAGGAAAGGAAGGGGAAAAACCGGCTGCTTGCTCCACTCACTGGGAGGCCTAGCAGATAGATAGCCATCTAAGATTCAGTGGGCTTCTTTGTGCTGTCTCATTCCCAAACCTGTGGGCCCCAAACTCGATTCTGGAAATTATGTTGTGTACAGAGTGCGCACTTCTCCACACACTCTTTTTGCTCTCGCCGGCCCACTTCTGGCTGCTTCTGTGTGGAGAGGACTATTATTTCCGGGGGGTCTCAAAGTTACCGACCATAGCAAAGTCCGTGTGCCGACATTGTACAGGCTGCATAACTAAATTGGTGCTCTCTCTATGGTGTATTCGTCTCTTTGGTGTCGGTGAGCGAACAACCACTGCAAAGGCAGCTGTTGGATCAAAGCCGTCGATCGCCTGATCATGCAAGCGCCAGTGCTCGTGCCTCGAGCACCCAAAATTTCTTTGGGGCGGCCCCGGAGAGGCGTCACGCCTGGAACATGGATTCTTCTTATGGGTCCACAACCCCTGCCTAACACTCTGTATAGACCGTTCTTCCGTCGCCGTCAAAGCTATTGGCCATCTGCGGCTGCCCAAGCTCAGTAGTGTCGACACTCCGTCATGCGACTGGATCTGCACGGGATTACCGGGGGCGGTGATCGCCGCTACTAATATTTTCTAGCGCTATCTTAATTTGTTTTGCTGCACTTTGCCGTGGACCCGGTGTTCACGCTAAGACAGCTGACTATACTGGCAATATTCTGTATAGAACGGTTCAGCTTGTCTAGCGCCTAGTTGGATCATGCCAACATGGGAGTTTCTTTCCCCTCGGGCCTATTCAGAGTTTGTGCTGCTCTGACTCTTTCTGGCCTTGGATCAGATGGATGTAACGTCAGTTCTGGCCAATGCCGTGTTTCTCCAACGTTTTTGACAGGGTCCAATATGCTTCTTCGCGCTAATTCGGATAATGCAACAATATTCTCCATAAAGACTCATGCTTCTTTTCCTCCAGGGTGGAAAACAAAACCATTCCATGGAATATGGAGTCAACGTTGGTGGATCTTTAAAAACATAATGAGAATAAATTAAAAATAACAAAGACCCTGAATCTACCCTGCAACCCCTAAACACTGCGTTCGCCCGCAGTCTTTTTTTTTTTTTTTTAACTATCTAAATGTAGCAGGTTTTCTTTGTCCCTGACAGAGGCCAAATTCCACAATCTCGTGGCAAGAGCGGCTATAGCATCCAAGCTTAAATTGGTAACTGGAAACCATCAAGGCTTTTGCGCAACGAATTTCTGCAGACAATTCCGCCGCACGCCTACGAGGGTTATTCATCGGGCGTAAAGGGGCCAGGCTAGAAACGGGGAAGTGGGCATTGCGTTGGTGTGGGTAAAAGAGGGAAAAAACAAAACAGAGAAAAAAAAAAAAAAAAAATTAAAGACAACAAGACATGAGCAAAGTTTTTCCAGTAAACATCTGGGAACAAATATCAGTCGAGCAAATCCCTCGATCGGGTCCCAGGACTTTCATCGCCACCGTCATCGTCCAAGCTGCCATCCGACAACGGACTATGTACCAGCAAGATTCGATCCCAAAAACACCTTAACAGCCAGTTTTGCCTAGGACAGCCCCTGTGAGAAGAAACTGCATCTAGGTAGTCGAACATTGGCAGAAGCTATTCATACATATAGAGTTGCAGCGGAATTTCGAAGTTTGCAGCAATAAATGCAAGATACTCGCTGTCGATGACAGTATCGACTATCGACTTTTGACAAATACGCAACGCAACTGACATCAGTAAGTCTAACTGTGTTATTTCAATCTATCTTCCGGTTTGTACCTTATCGTCAGACACTTCACATCGCCTTTTATGGTTATCTCCTTTTCTTTTCAATCACTTTATTGTCACATATTTCGAGCTTTTTCCCATTGTCCTTTTGCTCTATTGGGTGTCTTGGCTCTTGTTAGGCTGTTTGTTTCATTTATTAATTATTTAGCTGTTGAAGCGTGCAGCTTATTTATTTCTTCTACGGGCCTAAGTTTTTATGTATCTTGTTCAGCAAGCCCTTCACCTAGCCAGTGCTCCTGTCTATGTTTTTGACAATGTCTTCAAGTAACGCGAAGAACAGCAATTCACTGGTGGAACGTGCCATGTTTTCTTTTTTCTTATTTTCCTTTCCTGTTTGGCCTTTTTTTGAACAACTCTTCTAAAACCCCACCGCTTCTACTTCAATCTCCTGAAGATTCCCTCTTTTTCTAGTGATTTGAACCGTCGAATTAAGCTGAGGTTGGTCAAAACCGCCTGGTTTTCTTTGCTCGGTGTTTCCCCCGAGACGGTTGTGTTCTTTCACATTCAATTTATCTACTCCTATCGGACTTTTGGCCTCGAGCTTTTGGCAGGAAAGCTGACAATGTTTTAGAACCACGCGGCTTGCTGTCCAGAGCCTCCACGAACTTTCCCGAGTAAACGCGACAATCTTTTGTTCCTCGCCATTTTGCTTTTTTGCTTTTTTGTTTCCCCCAGTTTTCGAGCCGCAGGGTTTGAACTCCAATCAGAAGGGATTTAGACGTCTGCTATTTCGTTGGATCTTGCTCGCCCAAGACACCCCTGCCCTCACCCGTCAAAGCCTAGTTCCTCTAGGCGTTACTTAGGACTCGCGCTGTTTGGGCTGATCCTAAGCATCTCTAGGCAGGGAATCAGCCTAAAGACATAAATACTTGAGAAACGAGAAACGCGGATTTCCAAATGAATCATTGTAAGTTTAACTATTTTGATTTTCAAACTTCCCTCTTGTCTTTGCTTCGATGTGTTGCGGCTTCCAAATTGTCCCGCGAACAAGGACCAGTGCTTAGTCTGGCATGCGATCTACATCGGAGGTGACGCTTATTTTCCATTTCGTTGGTATCTCCAGCTGCTGTTTCCGTTACACATTCTAAAACCCTCCATTTGCTGTATCGCCATGACATCAAAGAGTGCTGTATCCTTGGCTGACGAGGATGGGGGACCCTATTCTATTTTGGACTGGCGGACATCCGACACTTGTTGTACCTTTTTTTTTTTATTATTATTATTATTACTACTATTTTTTTATTATATATTTTTTATTGTGCCCACAACATCCGTTCGCTTTGCTGGATATGTGGATTGAGTGCCTGCTCACTCTAATCTTTTTCTTTTTCGCTAGCAACTCTTTTACAGAATTCGTTCCAAATGGATGGGCCCATTACCACCGACAGTGATTATAACGGTTCCCAGCGGTCATTTCCAGGCCCTCTCGGCTTCTCTATGGATGATGAAGACAATAGTCGCAGGGGAAGCGCCGTTGGACATCCTTTAGCGCAACCGGTTTCAATACCTGCTACCAACGGCTTGAGGTACAACACCCAACCGCCTGCGATGCAGGATGTACCGTAAGTTGTCTTTTAATTCAGACTGCCCTTTGTGCTCCACTTCGCCCGCTTGCAGCCACTAGACACAGCATCCCTTCTTGCATGCAAATGTCTTGAACTGTGTGGTTCGTTGTTATTCCTATTTATGTTGTTTCCTTTTTTACAAAAAAAAAAAAAAAAAAAAAAAGGAAATCCTGTATTGAATTTCCTTATACCCATGCCGCATCTATGCACCTGTCTATTGCTCCTTGCTCATGTCAGTTGAGCTTTCACTATGTCCTTGCGATCACTAACCGTAATGGTTTGTTGGAGCCGATGTATACATGCATTTTACTCGACTGTGTGGAGGTCATACCGTCTTTTTCTCCTTCGTTTTCTTGCTTTTTATTTTATTTTATTCTATTCTATTTTTTATTTTTTTATTTTGGCCCTCTTCGAATTTAATAGCGTATAAACCTTGCTGACCCATAGCTGTCCTTCCAGCTTTGCGACTTCTCCTACAATCCTTATGAGTCCTTCTGATTCATGTTCCGGTTAGTGCCCCGTATTTTGTTATATAGCACAAAGCTTAATCCTGAAAACATAGATACCTTTTCTCCCACATCGGGCTCTATTTATTCCCATTCACCGGGTTTACCTTATGATAGAGTGCCTGACTTCAGGTCTCATCGAGTTCCCCCACTGTAAGCCAATTCTTCCCCCTGTTCTATATTGCTTGTTATACACGAATTGACAGGAATGCCCTGTATAGACAGCCACCAACTGGGATATCTCCAGGCGTGCAGTCGCAAAGTACGGCGGTTTCGAGTAGTGCCGGAATCATGGGAAGAAACGATGGCTATCCCGGGACGTATACCCTCCATAGGAGCACGTTTCCATCGTTGTCAGGCGTGAGCGACATGCCACGAATTTCGCCGTACACGACCACACCAAGAGCCCTTGAAAACACAGTGGATCGTCCTCAAAGTCTGCTACTGGGGCAGCATACGAACATGATGTTTGATTCAGTGCAGCGTTTGTCCCAGCCGATGGATGCGCCTCCATTCCATGAAACCCACATTATACGGCCAATTGTTGCCGGTAGTCAAACCATCAAACCTGAAATTCAAGCTAAGATACATAAGGGGTTCTTCCAGGTTGATGATAAATGGACCTGCTATCGACGCAACTACTTTTCAGTTTCATGCTCATTTTCATTGCATCCATGGACTCACGTTCCTCTTTACCTCAGATTTGCAGATCATTCTACTGAGCGTATTTTATCGTTCTCCATGTCGATATCAGCGATTGTGAATGCGCAGTGTAGCGAGGTCCGAGAATTGGTCCAGCACACTCCCAAGCGGGATAAGCAGTCCGAACGGAAGCCAGGGAAAGTCATCTTACAACCTACTCAACCGCCTCCATTGGTTCTCGGCCACGGTTCCACAGGGAGCAGCAGTCAACATGGATTTGCGTTGACCTCCCCTCCAACTGGAGTACCAGTGGACTACAATGCTACGTACAGCAGCGGTCCTCAGCCTTCCCAAACCCCGACTCAGCATACATTCGAACGCATCCAGTTCCAAAAGGCCACTGCAAACAACGGGAAACGTCGTGCCCAGCAACAGTACTACAATTTAGCGGTTGACCTATACGCGGAAGTTGCAACCCCCACCAGTGGCGACGACACCCAGTGGATCAAAATTGCCAGGAAATTATCCCATCCAATGGTGGTTCGCGGCCGCTCCCCGGGCCATTACAAAGACGGCCGCCGAGATAGTTCTGCTAGCATGGGCCCTGATGGTGGACGTGGTGGCTCGGGTGACGGTACAGGAGGGGCTGTCCTACCGCCGGGAATTGGCACAACCTCGCGGTCTCACTTGACCCTTATGCCGTACGACACTCCTCAACGGAGCGGCCCACATTATGGGCGGTCTGATTACCACCAAATGACAGCGCCAAACCGATCTTCACTGAGCGAGAGCCCGCATATATCGTCTTCGTCTTCGTCTGCCTTTGACATCTTGAATGACTCAATGGATCCGATGGATTCCATTAAAAGCTCCTCGAGCATGGATTCATACCAAGACGGGTTTGGGATCATGGACGGCCGGAAGCCTGAGAGCCAGTACCGTTTCAATTTGCCTCCTTTCGGGTACGACTCTATACCTAAGAATAGCGAGGATTCCGGCAACAGCTATCCCGAGGCTTTTGATTCGATGGTATCGATGATGCCCCATGAACAACAGAACGATACTTCCAATTACCTGAAGCATCCAGTTAAAGTAGCAGCTCATGGGTACCATGCTTCTGGTGACTATGATCCCGCCTGCACCACTCGGGTCAGTGACAGTGGTAGTGCCTACGGCCGATATCCTCCTCCTTCTCACAGTCTGTGCGCTTAACCCCTGCCTCTTTCTTTTATTTTCTTTTCCTTTTTCTTTCTAGCCTCGCCCCCTCTCCGCCCTTTTCTTTTCTTTCTTTGGTTTTTCCCCTATGTTCTTAGCTTGTTCTTTTTCACTGTCTATGCATTGTCAGCCGATCTCAGTTCGTCTTTTCTGCTTCCCTTGGTGTAATGTACTGAAGTGGAGCGGTGGTCAAGATTAAAATTGGGGGCCAGCCTGTCTTCTGTCTTCGTTTTATCTTCTTCGGAACTCGAAGGCCAGATTTTATCATACCTACGAACATAGACAGACCACTCAAGTGAATCTTTGGACACGTTTCCCTAGACCGAAATTGCATGATAATGAACTAATCTTAGGGTTGTCCTGGCCATTGGGTCTGTCCTGTTTACCGTTTTGTCTGAAATTTTGCAATATGGGCACTCTCTTTCTCGCTTTCTTCCCCCCCCCCTTCTTTTCCTCTGTCGCCTTGCTTCCTTCATTTCGTTTCTTCTCCCGCCGGCCTGGGACCTCTGGAGGGATGCAAGGAAGATATTTCGAGCAACAGAAAGGATTACTGGTAGAGGACTGGCCAGGAGGGGTTTCTTTTTCAAGAACAAACAAAGGTCGCCGAAGCTCAGGATAAGCTGCGATGCAGATAGATACCGCCGTACCCTTCTAACGCAAAAACCAATCAATCACCATACAGGAAAGTCGAGGCGCATTAGGGAGCCAAAAATGGGATATGTCAGATTAAAGAATCACGTAGGTAGTCCAGAAAGATGACTTTCTTCTCATTGGTTCTTCCTGATGGATTTTCTCCGACGTGTTGCTTCCATGCCCAGGGACTTTGCCGCTGTCAGTGTTGCAGCAACGGAACGGGGCTTGCAACTTCCACTTCCTTCCCCCCTTGGTAGCGTCACCCCTAGCATCTACCTAGTTAACTCAGTGAATAATGGTTGCGTATAGTTGATTAAATTAGAAGTGCATGTCTACGTGTCGCTCTCCGAAAACACACAGCCCGCCAGTCCAGGAAGATGTAAAGGAGTCAAATGACGCCGAAAAAGAGGAGGTAGTTAGACCGAAATAAGGAAACTGTTTAGTATCTTTACTTTTATGTATTTTTATTTTTTATATTTTTTAATTCTTTCTACTGCGTAGTCAAGTCAGTCCCTTTTCCCTGTCCAAATCAAAGGGAAAAGAAAGAAGAAACAGCCCGATCTTAGTCCAAATGACAAGATCGACGCAGTCATTTGTCACGGGCAAAATTGGCGGTCGGCCAGCAGCAGCAACAACAACAGCAACAGTAGCCCCCCTCTTTAGGCGAAACGCCTTTTTGCTCACCTCCTTTTTATTTTCTTGTTGTCTTTGTCAGTTGTCAGCTAAATGCGGCTGCCTGCTGATTTCGCCTCGGTATACATACATCTTGTCGAAGATTCCCTTCCTTCATGACTAACTACTAAGGAGCCGAGACTCGGGTGAATACTGCCACTGCCTCTCTCTCTCTCACCGCGCCAGGATCAAGTGCAGATGGAAAGATTGTGCGGTTGCAATAGACGACGTCAAAAGGAAGATGGAACTAAAGGGGCGATCATCGTCGAATGAAACACCATTTGATGATCGACCAAGCATACATTAGGCCCGCTTATATCATCGGCAGCTCCAGTGACCCTGCCATGCTGACTAAGGTGGTTCCACCAGGTTAACTAACTAGTTCATTCTTCGGCACGTTCCGGTCTTTCATTTTATGACTTTGATAACATAACGACTCATTGCAGACGCATGTCTCGTCGCAGTCCAAACCCTCTTCCTCTTACTTTTCTTTCTCGACTAAGAGGTCAGGTAGTGAAGAGAAAAATAAAAAAAACAATAAAAATAGCAATAAAAATAAAAATATCGTCTTACCCAACGGAATTCAGCACGCACTGAAAAAAAGAGATACGCCCCAATAAGACGTGCAGATTGAGATCATACACCATTCACCCTCCTTTTTTGTCAAGCAGGGACCCATCTGATTATCCCTAGCGCGGCCAGATACACGTATTTGGTCGTGCGATTCCAAGCTGTCCGGTCCTGGCAGTCTCCATGCTCCTTTAGAATGAGCCCCCTATGCATGTCGTACAAGGGGGTCGTCAACCAGATAATCCACGGAAGGAGGAGGGAAAACCTTACAGACCACAGAGGAGGTGCGCGGTTGACTGATGGGAATGGATGCTGTGGGAGAGAAGGCCAACAGGAACACCGCGTCGCTGTTGGAAAAAGTATACCCGGGTTTATCGTGCAACCGTTGCACCCAATCTGCGCCCATTCCACCACTTCTTCGGCTTCCACATGCAAAGAGAGATACATATGAGACCCTCAGCGGCTCCACTAAGACTAGTCAACGGCCAGGATTCAAGGAATGACGATAGACTGTCTCCACATGAAATCATTCATCCCCTCGCCCTACCCCCTCCCCCTGCTGGGGACCGAGTATGTATGAAGGCCCTACTGATTCGCTTTAGCATGTAGGCAGCGTCAAGCTGAAAGGGATGCATGTTCCTTCTGTAAGTGAAATGATCTGGCCTGGAGAGAAACTCAAAGCCATGGGCAAGGTGATGGCAAAAAAAAGTTCTTTCTAAAAAAAATACGATAGAACAATAATCCTGGACCCAGCGAGCGGTCCGATCGCAATGCTTTTGTGGCCAGATTGACTTCAGACCAACGTCTTCGTCATTAATCTTACTTCAGAGCTGTCAATGGTACACTGCCCGCTCCGAGAAGCCAGAGCTAACTAAGATCTCTGCACCCTTGTTGGGTCTCTACTTACAAGGCGTTCCTTCAGCCCAGGCCAGCATCCAACTCTGTCGTTTCTCCTGATGCCATTACCCTCCCGCTTTCTTTGTTCCCATCCTAACATTTCATGCATTACGTTTCTGTTTCACGAAACGGTCTCCGGATGTTGTGTTGCGCCAAAACAAACTTCTGACTATCCTCGACACGCGACAAGAATAGAATAGAAAAGAGATGCACAAGAAAGACAAGACTGAGTCTCCGTATCTATCCTCGTTCCCTTGTTCGCCAAAGGTCATCGTATACGCGTGCATGGTTTACCCCCTAGTCCATCCTGGTCTTCGTGATTCCCAGCTCCACTCTGAATTTTTTTTTTTTTTTTTTTTGTCCTCCTTCCAGCAGTCTGTGATGGTAAGAGCTGACTGGAGCACACAAGGTCACACAATGAGGTGACTCCAGCCGCCTAGTCCGAGCGCACTTCTCAAATGAGAGAAAAGACCGAGAGAGTTTGAATAAGTGAAGGGAAGAGAAGGGAAGAGAAGCGGAGAAAGGAAAACCCCCAGTCCTGTGCGGCCCAGTCCCAGAAGATTCGATTTTCAATTCCTATCCTTATCTACCCTGGAAACCTTGAACGCCAACTTGCGTTCCATATCCTCCTGCTCCTCCTTCGTAGGCACCATCCCCATTGCGCTCTCCACCTGTGGCGAGAGCCAGAGTCCAATAGACGCCCAGGCCATCATCCCGACTCCAAACAGAGCCCTTGTCTTGGGCGTTAGGGAACGATAGGAGCTGCATCGCATACGGTGAGTTGGCATCCGGACGGGAATGGGGGAGATAAAATCCTACTTACCTCCAGAATGACATTCTTATTTTGGGTTTCGGTGTGTTCGTATCATAGCTGATCGCAAGGTTCCTTCATTTGGGAAGTTGGCCGTCCGTTCGACCTTTTGCCCTCAGTACTATACTATACCCGTATAGGTTTAGTTCAGTTGAATATGATGCCTTAGGCACGACACATCTGAATTCATCATATCCGTAGTAGTTACCTAGCTATCTACAATAAACCCGATTCATTCTTATCATCTATCCACTGCTTCATTTCCATTGTAGAATTTAGAGCCAGGTGGTTTGATCCACTCCGAATTCAATATCACCTACAACCGTAGTATATAGTAAAATATAGATAGAGAGAAATATCCTGGTCCGATTCTTCTCGATGTATAACACGATCGATCTTAAAGAATGGACAGGCTATTTCGAATTCCATATATTCACATAAACTTCATTCCTCTGAGACTAAGCTTCTATGAGATGAAGATTGATACTGCTAGACTAAGAGCATATAAGACTAGTACAAATGAGACATTCGTCATTCATCCTACTAGGATACGATATACGATGTATGTACTTTGCTCATCTTATAAATTGTCTCTTGAGTACAAGTCCCGTTTCTGATTCAATGCACTTATATTGATCATAGTTAATGGCATCCCCAATTCATTACATGTTCAAATAGGCTGCATCCGCCAAACAAAGAGACCGTCGTTCTGCACAAAGAGAATTAAATTCTATACTACCGGCGCCAAATAATAGAACAGGGTGAAGAAAATCAAAAGGAAATAACTAAATAATTAGATCAACAAGATATCCTCCCACTTGATTTCTCAAACACATAATAAAACACTGTCAACGAAAATATGAACAGTCTTAGAAGAAATGATGGTTGACTGAAAGGTTCCCAACCCGTTTATTTATTTCTTGCCGTATGCGCGATCAACTTCCGCTTGGAAGTGGTTAAGGATCTTTTTGCGCTGAAGCTTCTGGGCGGCGGTAGTGAAGCCCTGTAATATAACTTAGATTAGCGTAGGGAGGTCACGAGCTGAGCATTGCACTTACGTTTTGAGGGGTCCATTCTTCGTCGGAGAGCACGACGCCGTTGAGAATCTCAATGCCGCGGAGTCCAGCAGCGCGACCGGCGTCCTGGAGCTGCTTAAGAACAATAAAGTTCAGTTTCTCGTTATGAACGAGCGACTCGACAGTGTCTCCTTCGATGCCGTTATTATTGGCGAGCTTCTTCAACGCCGCTTCAACAGGAACAATAATGGCAATCGGCTTGTCCTGGTCCTCGGCAGCGTAGACGCAGATGTTGCCAACTACTGGGGAGGATCGATAGACCGACTCGAGCTTCTCCAGCGCAATATATTCGCCGTGGAGTGTCTTGACCAGATTCTTCTTACGGTCGATGATCTTGAGGTGGCCGTATTTGTCGAACTCGCCAATGTCACCCGTAATAAACCATCCATCCTTGGTAAAGGCGCTCGCGGTTTCTTCCTCGTTCTTCCAGTACGAGGAGGTCACACTGCCTCCACGGATGAAGATTTCTCCTTGTGGTGGGTTGTTCTTCGTCAGATAGCCAGCATCAGGGAAGTCGACCAGTTTTACTTCAATGCAACCAGGCAGCTCGCCCAAAGCATCTGGGTTCCAGGCCATTGGGTCGTTCAAAGCACCCATGGCCGAGGTCTCAGTCAATCCGTAACCGCTGATCATCGGAGCAATGGCCATGGACAGGAATTTCTGGGTATCTTTCGAGATAGGACCGCCTCCATTCATGATAATGCGCAACCTTCCGCCCGTCGCCTCCTTCAACTTACGGAAGACGATGCTATCGAGGAGCGCAGCACCGGCGCCGGATCCAGGGAAACCAGTCGCCATCAAGAAGTTCTTGGCGGACATGGCTCCCCAGAACATGCCTCGTACGAGGAAGTTGTTCTTGTTCAGGTTATTGAGTACACCCTTCTTCACCGTCTCCCAGACGGCTGGGACTCCGACAAGAATTGTTGGCTTAAATTCACGAATATCGCCCTTGCAATTGCGCATCGAGGTGTCTGACAGAGTGCGTGGGTTTCCGTAACCCATGGTACCACCCCAGAACAGGCAGAGATTCTCAAACACATATTCAAGGATATGCGCTTGTGGGAGGTAGGTCAAAAGGCTATCAGACGGGCTAATATACTTTCCAACAATCTCATTGATACCAGCAGCTGTTCGAATAGATTAGCTCCGGCGTACAGGAAAGGACGGGCAGCCAGGACAGCGACTCACTTGCAGCGATCACGTTCTTGTGCGTCAATGGGACACCCTTGGGCGGCCCCGTCGATCCGGATGTGTACATGATGCAGCAAATGTCTTCGGGATTTGGCGGGATCGGGTCCACAGGGTTCTCCTTGCCCAAGTTCTGCAGCTCTTCGAAACTCATGATGTTGAGGTAGGTGTATTCCCTTTTCAGCTGGTCCAGGTCCTCTTGCTTAGGCTCCTGGGCATCGCTGTAGATCACATGTTTGATCGACTTCGCATCCTTAAGGACGTTGACCAACGAAGAAATCAGAACGGGGTCGCAGAACATAGCGATACTGTCGGTTTGAACCAGGGAATGTTTCAATCCTTCCTCGCCCAAAGTATCATATGCGGTGACGATGGGCAGAGACTGAGAGGAAGCTCCTATTCAAACAAAAGTATACTCATCAGTCAAGACGAACACTCCAAAAGTATTTTTTTCATCATCCCTCCGAGGCAAATACGAACCGTGTGACATGAGAATCCAATTCGCGCTTTGGTTAGGAACAAGTCAGTATTACTGTCCAGCGAAACCAAATCACCCCCCCACACACATACCTTGTTGACCCGTAGAGGTGAACCTTGTCGTTCTTTTCAAGCCCCAGTTTCCGCAGACCAGCACCTAGTTGCAGCGCCGTTTGTTCGTACTCGACAAAGCTGAGGTACGAGTACCCGCTCTTCTCAAAGTACGACCACTGCTTATCGACCTCCTTCTCGACGCCGTCAATGATCTTCTTGACCTTCTTGTTCTCCACATGAATTTTTATCAGGCGACGACTACCAACAGCCTTTGCGTTGCCGAACACACGTGCAGAGCGTCGAAAGTTATCGTAGACGGTTGCGACATCGTCGGACGGTTTCAGAATGAGGTTATCCTTGGCTGCGGGCAGTCTACGAGGGATTGTCTCTCCGGGGACCGACTCGTAGCCTGAAGCTTCCACGGAAAATGGAGGCTTCCTGGACATGCGCGGCTGGAGGCGGGCATCACTCTTCGACATCGTGGAAACGATCTAGGGATCTGTTTGGAATAAAGGTATTGGGCTGGAGTAACTCCGGCTGTCCGTCAGTAAACACTGTCCGGGGAAGAGAAATCGCCCCCGGCTACCGAGGAAAGTAGTTCAAAAGTAAACTAAGGGAGAACCAAAGGTTCGATGCGGAGTGACAGAACTCAAACCAGCCGAGGAAGAATTTGAATCGACTTACAAGGGGGGAGAAACTAAGAATTCGAGGAGCTGGAATAAGTTCCCCAGTACTGAACCTGAATTTCAGACACAAAGAGAGAAAGATAGACAGACAAAGGGAGTGCGGAGAAACGCCTCGAGAGCAAAATGATGGAGGTGATGAAGTTGGTAGTGATGAAGTAAGAGAGTTTTTGTGACCGAAGCGGGTTCAGAGCCAAGCTGCCAACGATGGGGCACGTCCTTGGGTCTGGAGTTAGTTATTAGCTACCCACGTAAGGGAATGAAAGGGAGATTCCTGGGGATTCCTTGCAGGGAGGAGAAGTATAATACGGGGATGGATGGCTACAGGATCACAGGATGTCATCCTCCGTCCGAATCCACATACTCAAGTCTTATAGAAGATGTACTCTGTATGGATAATGGATCTTCAAGAATGCTCTGCTGCACTGCCGCGTCTGCAGCAGCTTTCGAGCGATGCATTCGGGACGGAAGCTAATCTCGCGCCCGCTTTTGTTGGGATTTCCGCCCAACACTTCACTTGACGATCCTCGCGGGGAATGAGAATCATCTCTCGCCGAAGATTCGATAATCCATGTAGTGAATTGATTTCCCTGCTGGATGATGTCATGTAGCAATCCTTCGGTTCGTTTCATAACATACTGAATCTGAATACTCAGTAATCCAACTCGGAGTAATCCTGTCGCTGGCGATCATCATCTTCCAACTGCCGATCGTGTAGATAGAAAGGTACCTTCATACATATACATTCCTAGATATGGAAGAACTGTCGGATCTGATCACATCACTCGGTCCAGCAGTAGAAGATGCAGAAGAGGGTATGTTTGACTTCTGTCTTGTTCGTTCAGAATGGTGGAGGTTGAGGGGAAATAGATTAGGCAAAAAAAAAAAAAAAAAAAACCCTCATCTCACCACATCACGAGAGCAATCACAACAACCCAATTCAACTTCACCAATTAATTATTCCTAGAATCCTTCCTCCTATTCTCTCAGGATATTCCCTCCGCCAACCTAGGCTTTGTCGATTCCCGAGCAACCTCCGTCGAGATCACCATCCGTGGACAAGACTATACCATCTACCAGTCTCCGAGTCTTCTCTCCTCCTCTCGTGCTGGAGGCACAACCGGTGCAGGTCAGTACCTACTAACTTGACTTGACTGTCTTTGATCACACGACGATAGCTAATCCGACCCGACCCTCGCATGCACTTCCAGTCCTTTGGAAAATCACTCCTCTCTTCGCAGAATGGATCTCCTCCCAATCATCTAGTCCTCTCTGGAAACATTCCCTCCTCTCATCGTCGTCCACCGTCGTCGAACTCGGCTGCGGCATATCAGGTCTTATTGCTCTTGCCTTAGCTCCGACTGTGCAATATTATATCGCCACAGACCAGGAATACGTCCAACGTCTCTTTCGGGAGAACATCGACTCCAATGTCTCATCGACGCCTCGAAACCAGCCTTCGTCGTCCCAGTCAAAGGGTCGAAAACGGGGCGGTCTCCCAGATCAAAAGTCGAAGCGTAAAGAAAAACTCCCAAATAAACCCCGTCACAATATCACCTTTACCTCTCTAGACTGGGAATTGGACATCCCTTCATCATTGAAACACAGTCTCCATACCGAAACTCCTGTTCCCCGTGAAGTCAAGAACAGCAGCAACAAGAAGAACGACAACGACAACAACGAAGACGAAGATAAAGGCTTCGACCTCCTCCTCTCCTGCGATTGTATATACAACGAAGCCCTAGTTGCTCCGTTTGTGCGCACCTGCGCCGACATCTGTCGTCTGAGGCCCGTGTTTAACTCCACGAGAAATGCAACCCAGTCGGCCCGGTCGCCGACGATCTGTCTGATTGCTCAACAGCAACGGTCCCCTGATGTTTTCGAGGCTTGGTTACAGGAAACGATGAGGTTTTTCCACGTCTGGCGTGTCTCGGATGAAATGTTAGGGGATCAGTTGAAGCTGGGGACGGGGTATTTGGTGCATTTGTTGCTGTTGAGGGAGGGTGCTTGAGATATATCTATGCTTATGTTTTTGGGTGTGGTTAGGATGGAACCTGACAGTATTATATTATTATATACTCTTTAGAAATTCAGACATGCATTGCCTTTTTTTTTTTCCTTCCTTGCAGGTTGTCTTCCTATATATGCCATATATACGGTACATAACTAGCCTTGGAAATGGGGGTAAACGTGTAGAATAAAACTCCAGAGTAGCAGATAAGTTGGGATTTTACGAGAGCAAGGACTAATAGAATCGATTCTACTAGGATCCCCGTCGACTCAAGGATGGGCAAGCCCTGATATTTCAATTGTATATTTGATTGAGGCCCTCATAAACCTGCAAGTCCCGTTGAAAGGGCAACTAGCAAACGGAGCATTGCGTGGCATAGAGAGTGTGTACACGGTAAATACGTGGTGCAGCTAATAAGAAGTTCTAGCGACATACTACCATTGAAGATGCAGATGGACAAATTCAGCGCTTGGGCATATACTGGAAACCATACGAAAAAAAAAAAAAAATTAATGGAGTAGACTGGCATGTCAGCCTACTGTATTGAATAAAGTGAAATGTAAATGGCATTACATTATTATGGGAACGTACATAAAGGCCTCCCATAACAGCACAATAAATGATAGGGTATTGATGCAAAGCTGCAAACAGAGACAAAAAGCTAAAGCATGCTCATACTATGCGAGGTGTTGATGCAAGTTCTGTGTACTCGATAACAGGGGACAGCGATAGACAGTCAGTATTGCAAAAGGCATGGCCAATCTATTCGGCTTCAGCGGCTTTTTTCGTCCCACTGCGATCATTCTTAGTATCTTGGGGTCGAGAAATCTCCGCCTCGTCCGCGGCGGCACGTCTTTGCTCTGAAGAGGCCCGTCGTACAGGCTCAGCCGGGTGAGGGGGCATGGAATTTAACCGATCCCGAGGTTCATCTTCCGGGTCACGATCAATGATGGAGGAAATCGACTGCTTCGTGGAGCCGTTGGGCTTCGCGGCCTTGTTATGCTTTTCTTCTGTCGACAAAGGTGCCATTGGTACAGGCAATGCCCTCTCTGCAGTCTCCGTCTTCACAGGGCACTGTTTTTCTTGGCCATCCTGTTCATCCGAACCAGAGAAATATTCCTCTTCTTGTTGATAGCCTTCGGGGTCTGTGGGCGCGGATTCCAGACGACTTTCTTCGGTGGATTCGCGATTCACAGTAGCCATTGGAGGCAGAGGCGCGTTCGGGTCATACACAACTCCGCATACCTCCAAGGCCCTGGACTGACTCCCTAAACTCCGGTCTTTGTGTTTCTTTGTCAGATGACACATGAACCCATGGAGAGTCACAAAGTCTGCCTTCCCGCAGCCGGTAACCGGGCATGTAAGATACACCAAGCTACCATCCGACGGCCGCTTCCATAGTGCACGCCCCGACGGGTCATGTGCTGCTGGCCGTCCATGGCGTTCACCCCAAGCTTCCACATTTTTGATCGTATATTTCTGTTTCCGACGGATTGACGTGGCCCCCGTGGGGTCATGATGAATATGCTGAGGCGGTGGATGGTGCGACGGAGCTTGCACTGGCGGTGGAGGGATTGGACGGGGTTCCGGGGGACTTTGCTGTTTGAAGAACGCAAGGGTGGTGGCTGCATTGGTCTCTGAGAGACGACGCGGCGGTGTTGGCCGCAGAGGCGGGGAATCCATGCCTGCATTATATCCGAGTCCCATGGACTCTCGTTTAATGCGTTTCCGCTGCCTGCGCAATTCCTAGCGAAAAGAAAGCAATCCCTGTCAGACGTCTATCAAACTGAATCACAGTGTTTATATCATACCTCTTCTTCAACTTCAGCATTTTCAGTCATCCTACGAAAATCCTCGTCCTCTCGCTTTCGGATAGCAAGAAGCTGACTACGGGCTGCCATACGGGCTGCTTCTTCATGTTCCAATTGCCGCAAACGGGCCTCGATATGGTCTATATTTTGTACATGCGGTGCTGGTGTCGGAGGGCCCGGTTCTTGCAGAGGCGGCGGTTGGAAAGCACGAAAGTGGTGGTGATTTTGCATCATATGCTCATGATGTGCAGCTTGTGCTGGGTTCATAGCGATTGGATGAAAACGAGGGAGGCTCATATTGATATGATGGCCATGTGGTACACCATTAATTCCATTTTCGTGAACTGGAGCCACAGGAGGTGCGGCAACCGTCATGATGAACCTGAATATATGCGGCCAAAGGATTAGTGATAAATTTAGTCTGAAATCTTCAGAGTATGCATATGCAGGCGGTTGCTGATGATAAAGCACAACGAATAGGAAGGAGGGAACAGTATTAACTAGGATGTGAAGCAAAATTAAGCCTGTAGGGGCTGAACAGGTAAAGGAAATTAAACTAGACAGGAGACAGAAATAGAATGCAGGGTGAGAGAAAGGAGATATAAGAAGGATGAGGGGGATTGAAGGAGCAAGGGAAAGATAAGCAGGGAAAAAAATAAGAGAAGCATGAACAAATGATCGAAGCAAGTGGAATAAGAGGACTTACAGTTGCAATACTAAGAATCCCAGTGAAGCCGAGTAAAAAGTAGTGCAAAGTACTCCGTACAAGCAAGAAAGAGAAAGAAGAAAAACAAACCGCTAGCGTAATGCACCCTGCCCGTTTTTACCCTCAAGAAAATGGGAAATTTCCCGCCGGCCTCCAAAGGCTGGATGGTCAACCACTAGAGATGAAGGAGAGAAAGCAAGTGGTAACGGCCAAGCAAGGGATTTAATGGATTGGACGACAATCATGGATAATAGATTGACTATAATAGAATTAAGAAAAGTCAAAAGAAAGAAAAGGAAAAAGGAAAAAAAAGCAGCCCAGGCTAAGGAAAATGAGGAAGAGACACGAAATAATTGGAGCAGCTCCAGGTCACGAACGTACTAGCTACGGAGCTAGTGCCTTATGGTCATTTGGAAACAAACAGCTCCATGGATAAAGTCTTGGACTGGAACGGCGCTAGTGAGCTCCAGGACTTTAGTAGAATAATTGACAATACTAATAGCTTTGTGGTACGGAACTGCAAGTCAACATGAATAATCCAATCCGTCTGTCTGGGTGGTAAGGAGTATATTGTAGAAATTAAGGATAGGATAAAAACAAGGAAGAAAAGTGCCTTTTTTTTTTTTTCACCCTTTTCCTGGATTTTATGACTTCCATTGATTACAGTTACAGTTATTACCGTCGGATGCTTCCCCTCAATCATAAATCCAATGTGCTGTATTAGCCTAGACGTCCCCCGAATAGAATTGGACTACTGTCACACTAGTGACAAACACATTTGATTCATCGGTCTAATTTGTTTTATCTATCATCCCTGGAAATAAAGATGTCACAGTATATGACAGACAGAACGAGGGGAAGAAAAGGCAAATATTCGACCCCATGGAGTAAGACATGTGTCCGTATGTTACTGTATGCCAAAATCCAGAGTTGCAATCTCTGTTCATATTTTTAATGATTTAATAGCTCACCGTTGAAGAACTCTGTACGTATACTATGTAGGAGGTACGCTACCCCTTCCACAGGCAAGGGCGAGAGAGGCCTTTTTTTCCTTTTCATTTCATATTTTCCATATTCTGTCTGAACCTGTAACTTATTTTTAGTGACTAGGGACCAATAAAATGCAGAGGATCTACTACTTGTATGTACTGTAATTAAATAAGAACAAATCTGGAAGATCACAGTAGACCAGGTATGACAGTACTGCAGAAAGTGTACTTAAAGCCTTAGGTTCTTACACTGCAGGAATAGAAACTGCTCATACTGCTTCTCTCGAGTCAGTCTTGACATGTTGGTTCTACAATACCGACCAAAGGTTGAGGAAAACGAGGTGACCGAATAAAGGGGAAAAATGTGGCTCTCCTGTGGGAAAAGGTTCCCTCCTAAAAATCACAACAGCGTACTGTAGAAAACGGAAAGAATCAAATAAAACCCCCTAAGGAATGGAAGGCAATAGGTACCAAAAGTGGGGAAGACCAGGAATCGACTGGATAATTCCTAAGACAGGGACATTAAAAGCAGGCTATCCACGAATGGCAGTAGACGACGTTTTGCAGCAGGCCCAAGTGCTAACTAAAGTGACTGGCTCTCAAAGTAGGCTAGATGTGAGGAGTGGCCTTTTGGTTCTAAGATCCTTTTGATGGGGCATCAGTCAGAGATCCATCCGTAATCCTATTTCGTAAGAATCAATACCGATTGATCTGATTACTCCCTTGGTTTATTTGTATTTTTTTTTTTTTTTTCCATCTGTATCTCTGTGACTGGCTGCTTTTTAAAAGCAGTAATAATTTACTGACCAGATTATAGTATGTGTAAATAGCAACAACCTTGTTCTTTCTCTTAGATGATACTACTAGTCTCCCTCCCACTTCAAGCCATGCCTTGATTGTATTTGTGTGCATCGTTGATTAGTTCTTGCTCCTGCAATGCTCCTGCAAGTCTCCCGGTGGAGACCACTTTGCCAATAAGGGAAAAATAATTCCTTATTTGTACCTCTGGGTATCATCGATTTCTGGGGATTCATTGTTTGAATTAGTCCATTATGTAGCATCGAATACACTATCCGCGCCATGGGGCGAATAAATAAAGTAAAAAGCCAACAATCCTTGTCATAACACAGTTCTAAGCTGCCTATTCTGTACGACTATAGTTTATTTGTACGGAGTAACCAAGGATGATTAATATTATAAATCAATACCCCATACATACCATTCCTTACTGCTCTGGCCAATACTCTTTCGGCCATTGAACTATATTAGAATCAACTGGATCGATAAGTCCAAAAGCACTGTCAATCCTGCATATCAGGCTCCACTACGGAGTACTTCCTGTGTATCACACTTGTCGCTTTTGGGTGCGTCTCAACACACCCCCCTTTTCACATTTCAACAAGTTAAAAAAATCCTCTCCACACACTTCCACTCATGTAGAGTCTTGGGATAAGCAAAATTAATTCTAGTTACGGAGTACTCGAATATATGTAAATAGACACTTTTCTATTCCCTGTCAGAAGACTCTGTACTATACATCTATCGTGGGGTACAGCATTACGTTCACTTATGCAAGGAAGTCCACTACAATTGGGACACCAACAGAGCAGCAATTTGTTGAAACTCAGGAGCTCAGATCCAAGAATAAATAGTAAAATAAACTCCACAAATCAATACATAAAACAGAAAGAAAAAATACGAATCCTCTCTTGACAACTCCGTAACTTCCGAGTACTAATTTTGCTTCCCACCCTCCACAATCCACCTTGGTACCCAAATCTGGTGAGGTCTCGCCGCACTTGGTCTTAACTGGTTATTATAAGTTCTCATACAGAGTAGTTCGTAGTATTAATTACTCCGTAGTCTTTATCTTGTTATTGACTATACTATTCCTTTAAATTCTCAGGATAAGTACAAACCCGCCGCCAAGAGACACGAGAAATAAATATTCCCCGATCCAAAAGCCCCAGACCATGAACAGGATTGTGTCAACAGGGTTTGGATTTGATTCGTTACCGGCCTTGATTAATTAAATTAAACCATCCTGTGATCATCAGCAAACTAATATTGAACAGCTGGCAGAGAAACACGAATGTGTCCTAGAGTATGGGACCATGGTTCTAAAGGTGCCTCACTAGTGTGAACCTAACCTAACTTGTTACCAGCTAGAGTGAGGCGTTGCAACTTGACTACAAGTATTGTAATATCAGACTAACTAAGATATCTAGATACCTAACGAAAGTCCACGCCACTCAGGGCCTTCCCCAATAATCGTAATATAGGGGTCATTAAGAATTAGCATGCCATGTACTATTATTACTAAATATTATCTACCTATAATCCCCGTACTATACTGCGTACTGGTCAGACTGTAGGGAGTGCCTGTCGACCCACTACTGATTCGACGCGATTCCAGAAACAGACATGATGGGGGAAGCTAAACCATCTCTGGAGCAGCCGGTCTACATTGGTTTCAGAGTATTCAGTCATACTGCCTGCCAAGATCATGCAAAACAATTTTTAAATCGAGAGGAGAATTTCTTGCTCTATTGTCACATGCTCTCAAGTCCATCACAACTTGAGCTATTTTGTGGACCCCAGCCGTCATATCATTAAGTTACAATTGTAGACAATCCCAACTGGGTTGCCCCCAAAAACAAAAAGAAAAATCACAACAAATGCTCAACCGACCAGAGAGGTATGAAGGCAAAAGGCAACCGGGGAGTCGATAACGAAAAGGTCAGAACCAGAACAAAGAAAAATAAACAAAACCCCATACACCGAGTGAAGCTATCAAGTATGTATACATATCATATGCGTGTTAAAACATTCACGAAGAGAGAAGTCTCTAGGAATCGAAAAGGAAGATAAGGCGAAAAGAAATACAGGGCTCACCCAGATATTTCGGCGAAAACGGATTTTTAGTGATAATACATTTAGGGCTTGTTCTCACCCTGCTGGCCGGACTCGCCGCCCTGAGACTGCTGCTGCTGCTGCTCAGACTGGGCCTTGTGCATCTTATCGAAGAGGGTCAAGCTGGCAGTTTGGAGCTCATCGGTCTTCTGCTTGAGCTCCTCAGCAGTGGCAGTGCCCTCACCGGACTGGTTCTTAACGACGAATTCACGGAGAGTACCAATCTTCTCGCGGATCTGTTCAGCCTCGGCTTTGTCCAGACGATCTTCGAATTCCTTGAGGGCTTTCTCGGTGTCGTTCAAGACGCTGTCAGCGCGGTTGGCAGCCTCGATGGCAGCCTTGCGCTCCTTATCCTCAGCACCGTACTTCTCAGCATCGTCAACCATGGACTGGATCTCCGCGTCGGACAGACCGGAGCCAGAGGCAATGGTGATAGACTGGTCCTTGTTGGTGGACTTGTCCTTGGCGTGGACGTGGACAATGGAGTCAGCGTCAATGTCGAAGGTGACCTCGACCTGAGGGACACCACGGTGGGCAGGGGGGATGCCAACAAGCTGGAAGTTTCCAAGAAGCTTGTTATCCTTCACAAGCTCACGCTCACCCTGGTACACCTTAATCTCCACAGCAGTCTGGAAGTCCGCAGCAGTAGAGAATGTCTGAGACTTCTTGGTGGGGATGGTGGTGTTGCGGTTGATCAGACGAGTGAAGACACCACCCAGGGTTTCGATACCAAGGGACAGTGGAGTAACATCAAGCAGCAGAACGTCCGTAACCTCACCAGCTAGGACAGCACCCTGGATAGCAGCACCGATGGCAACAGCCTCATCAGGGTTGACAGACTTGGCAGGCTCGCGGCCGAAAATGGACTTGACAGACTCAGTGACCTTAGGCATACGAGTCATACCACCAACAAGGATGACGTCCTGGATTTCACTGGCCTGGAGGTTGGCATCCTTTAGGGCCTTGCGGACGGGATCGACAGTACGACTGATGAGAGGGTCAACAAGAGACTCCAGGTTGGCACGGGTCATCTTGTGGTTGATATGCTTAGCACCACTGGCATCAGCAGTGATGAAAGGCAGGTTGATCTCGGTCTGGAGGGAAGACGAAAGCTCAATCTTGGCCTTCTCAGCAGCCTCACGGATACGCTGGATAGCCATACGGTCACCCGAGAGGTCCAGTCCGGATTCCTTCTTGAACTGCTGGACAATATGACGGACAAGGCTGATGTCGAAGTCCTCACCACCAAGGTGGGTATCACCGTTGGTAGACTTCACCTCGAACACACCCTTCTGGATCTCGAGAACGGAGATATCGAAGGTACCACCACCAAGGTCGTAGACAGCGACGACACGGTCAGCCTCCTTCTCCAGACCATAGGCAAGGGCAGCAGCGGTGGGTTCGTTAACGACACGGAGGACGTTCAAGCCAGCGATCTGGCCGGCGTCCTTGGTAGCTTGACGCTGAGAGTCGTTGAAGTAAGCAGGGACGGTGACTACAGCGTTCTTGACAGGCTTGCTGAGGTAGTTCTCGGCGGTCTCCTTCATCTTATTGAGGACAAATCCACCAATCTGAGAGGGAGAGTACTTCTGGCCACGAGCCTCAACCCAAGCATCACCGTTGGTGTGCTGGACGATCTTGTAAGGAACCTCCTTGATATCACGTTGGACCTCAGGGTCGGTGAACTTGCGACCAATAAGACGCTTGGTGGCAAAGAGAGTGTTCTCGGGGTTGACAACAGCCTGACGCTTAGCAGCGATACCAACCAGCCGCTCACCATCCTGAGCGAAGCCAACGACGGAAGGTGTCGTACGGGCACCTTTTATATGAGTTAGTTGCATTCCCATACATTCACGGTCCGAGCTACTGCTCCGCGTTCCGGTCACAGAAGCAAGGGAAAAAAATTTTTCACGTACCTTCAGTGTTCTCGATGATCTTGGGAGTCTTGCCCTCCATGACAGCAACAGCGGAGTTGGTGGTACCTATAGTCTTGCATCAGATCTACCCAAAATTGCATGTTCTCTAATGCGATGAAACCTACCCAAGTCAATACCGATAACCTGGCCCTTCACCTTCTCCTCTCCTCCCTCTGTAGAGTTCCATCTACGGAAAGATGTGGTAGGGACTCTGAAGGTAGAGGGGCGAGCGAAAGAAGCAGTGCGAGGAAGCTAACAAAAGAGAGTTGTTAGTTGATTTTGAACCCCAGCGCAGGCCGACCGATCTTAGGTACAGGGGAAAGAAAACCTACCGCGCGAGAAATGCGGGAAGACAACATTGTGAATTGATTAAAGGAAAATAAATAATACAGAAACTAAAAAGCGGTATGAGAATCTCCGGTCGATTCAATCGAAGGAGGAGAGAAGGATTTTGAGGATAGGATAGGATGGGTTAGAGGAGATAGGAGAGGTATGGAGAGATGAAGTTTTTGCGGAGGAAAAAGACGTAGAAAGAAGGGGCCGATGAGTAGCAGGAAAAATTGCACGGAGAACTTCGGCCCGCTCGTCGAAATTGGTAGAATCGCGGCAACGTGACCACCCACTCAATGATAGCCGACCTGCCTTTAGACCGCTTGCTAACCGAGCCAATCGATTCCTCTATTGGGCTACAAGCACTTTTTGCCCAGGTCCACTATGCGTAGATTGTGTTCCTTAGCATTCAAACTGTTAGTCGTGGACTCATAATATTATCGCTGAGGGTGGAGGCGGCTCCATCTTTCGCCATTGTATTTTGTATAGTGTATACTGCCTGGTGGGACTCAAGTTGAAGTGGTGTATGGAGCACTACAGTAGTGGAGGTGTATGTGCTAGTGGACTATAATCTGTATCCTAGTTTTCCACGAGGAGTTTTATAACGAGTATCTAATACTATGCTCTAAGCCAATCAATAGATATAGCCGCAAGTGAAGTATTCAGCTAGCTACTATTATTATTATAATTAACTTAGCAGTTAAGGTAAATAGGCGGTAGTGTCTTCTTCGAGTAGCACTAGAAACTGGGACACTTGGTCCTAAGTCTAACGGGTGTATTAACTTCTGATGATTCATTTAGAAACAATAGCAAGAATTGTAATAAATTAAGGACTCTGGGACTCTTTCTGGCTATGTAGTTTTATTCGTTTTAAAAACAAGACACAGTGTCCCAGAGTTAACAAAGTGTTAATACACATTGTGTGGGCCATTAGAGTAGTTGTTGATAAATATACTCCAGCGTATATATATTTTTTCTTCGGAGATTAATAAAAACAATTATTCAGTCATGCAAGGCAAGAATGGGCCTATTTCCTGTTCCATATATCAATGAGCTCATTGCATATTCCTTAAGCCATGACAAACTGCATCCTTGTATTACTTGTCTGGTTGTACACCATGCAGGATGATCTGAATCCTTGATTCGGATAGCGGTATCTATGCAGCTTTCTTATTCCAGATAGCTCCAGGTTGCTGCCCTCTTTTGTTTCTATTTCTTCCTGATTTCCTAACATAGGGTCCTTTATACGGCGTACTACTTCCGTATATGATTCCCAAGGTTGGAAATTTACTACTAAAGAAGAGGGCTCCACACTGCGACTAGAGACGTAGACTTTGTCGGGAACAAGTATTCTGGGCACGATAATCTACAATATCTACCAATTGGAAATATTCACTTTTCTCAGCTAAAAACTGTTAAAGAACAGAAATAATTATAGTCGTGCAGTAATTATACTGCTAGGATCCCCTAAAAGGGTCTTTGGATAGAGGTGAAGGTTTGCAGTTATGAGTCACCAAGTCCACCCTTCAGTCTAAGTTTTGGATAGTGATAGTGGTAAATAACGAATTCACACTGTTATCAACATCAGAGCTTCCAGAACGATGGTATGAAATTGTTATCCGAGGAGCTTGGGTTTGTTCCCGCTGCGGTAAAACCATCGTCGTGAACGGCCTTCTCACGCCTGCACCCCAGACTTCGACTTTGTGTGGGCCTGGAAGGCGAAAAACCTTCACAGGATCGAGGAGCTTGCTAGTGAATCGGGCCCCTCAAGATAAGAACCTGCAGCGTTATAAAGGGGACCTGTTCGATCTCATTAAACCGAGAACACTGAACCCGAAGAGGCTGATGTACTGGAAGAGCTACGAAGAAATCCCTACTCGATTCGGGACAAATGCCTCCCCCCCATCAGGTTGGCGAGTATACTGGAATGGAAGCTCTCCCCACTTTTAGGAACTCCTCAAAACAAGTAATCAAAGAAGCCCAGGTCTCCTGTTTGACCAACGATAACGCGAGTGACTCAATAATCCCAATGTAAATTTCCAGCACTTGTTTAATCTGGACATTACTGACTAACATTATCACAGATCCGCATGAGGATAAAGTTTTCTCGGTCATCACTACTAGCAAAAACTCCAAGCAGGGTACTAGTCTTGAGAGTAATATTGAACGTGAGCTAGGACAAACTAGGGATGGTTAACTAAAGCATCTAAAGCAGTTAACTATTTGGTTGTAACTGTTAAACAAAAATACAGAATCATACTTGCTCTGGAAGCTTTTTTTAACCCCAAAAGTATTATTAAAGGAGATTAAATAGCATCAATTTTTCAACTGTGGCCGAATTCATCATTGATGACGCTTGTTTGATGGTTAGTCACGGTGATGTGCAATGTGAGGAGGCCAGTGTTCTTTTCATTATCACCCAGAGCTACTCCATAGTTTCGAGGGGATCTAGGCTCGCAGGAGAAAAAGGGACATAATATAGAGGAAAAAGAACCATACATATTAAATAACAGTGAAATCACATGCTGTAGATCCTAAAGCATAAATAGTCTAAGGTATCCATGTTGATGCCAAGACTTCCCCATTCATAGATCGCGTGCGTAGAGAAAGAATGTTGAGGTAAAGACTGGATGGATCTGGAAGGACTCCGCCGCATTCGCCGCTAAACGTTCCCCAGATTGAAGGTGTCATGTCTTACGTCATCCACCCAAACCACCATAACCACCCCGAAAGTTGCGAACTACAAGGTTGTGGTTAGTAACTCGCAACAGCTGCAAGTCGGTTTCTTGTTTCGCCCGAGGATTTGTATTCTGGCCAGTGCCCATCGCAAGCCTAGTTTCAACACTGGCAAGCTTCAGTGCCGTGTTTCACCTTACAATTTGAGTACCTGATCATCGCCACATTTCTTCTGCTACCCACGATCAACGCTCCTCAGTCACAGTTCTTTCTTCCACCATCACTTTTACAACGGTGGTGCCTAGCTACAGTCGTGTGCTCGACAATGCCACGTTGAGACTGATACTAATAGCACCATGACTACGGATTCTGCGCTCTCGTCAGTTTTGACTCAGCCTGCAGATGATTCTCTGTTTCTACCGCTCGCTGACATTGTCGTGCTTAATTAGGTACCATCCAACTGAGTCCCTGATCCTTCCGACAAAACGTCGTTTTTTCCCATTCAAAATACCTAATTTGTTCGTAACATGATTCTACTTTTTCAGGCTTTGCTTGTTGAACATAAGCTAACGGTCAAGAAGCCACCAACAGCTTCGCAACTATATCAGCACCGCCGACCCCGATAGGATTTATGTCGTTGTCGATAGAGTAATATACGCGATTCATATTTCGTCCCAAAAGCGAGAGACAGTAGCTGTTATCCCATTTGAACCGAAATGCCTGACAGCTGGTTATGGTTGGATAGGCGTTGGGGGTTCGGACAATGGTGAATGTGCGTTTGTCAAGATTGCCGATCGGAATGGGCGGGTTCATGATGTGACGCCAGCTTCCCAGTCGTCAGATGTGGATAGTGCTCTACCAGTTAACCTGGAAGCGCCCGCGAGGACTTCCTTTTCTTGGCTGTCAGGTGAGGAGCCTGACATTTCCTGGGATGATGGCAGAAGGGAGTTGCCGGATGTGCAGTTGCATAAGTTTGGAGGCAGCATTGTCAACTCAGTTACCATTCATCGTCTCCCTGGAGATGGGAAAGGATTAGCGGATGAAGATATTATAATCCTCAGGTATGAATGCGACTTTGCGCTGAGTTTAAGAGAGCTTGCTGATATTTCGTGCAGTAATAACGACAAGACCGTGACCGTTTATTCTTTGACCCGTTCAAAGGTCCTTAAAGTCATTCATCACGCGGCATGTATGAACTATGCAATAATGTCACCGGACTCTACCATCCTTGCTGCAGTTGGTGATGAGACCCGTGCATATTTTTATGATGTTACTCGTGACTTCAATGCCACTACTCTGATCGAAAGCGGCGATAAGCTTACTGGTTGGAACTGGGAGCTCATCCGATGTATAGAGATGGATATCGGCACGCGATTTGATGATGGATGCTGTTTTTGCATCGCATTCTCTCAATTTAGTCGACTATGTGCCATCGGATCTCAGTCTGGAGTCATTACTATATTTGACGTTAAAACCATTCGCGACATTTTCTGTGAACCAAACGGCAAAAATTCGGTAATTTGTCATTTTAATTCTTCAAGGCTTTCTTGCAACGGGGGTGCTGTGCGCTGCATGACTTTTGCACCGGAGCCTTGGGACCTCCTGGTATGGCTTGAAGAGCGAGGGCGGGCGGGTATTGCAGATGTACGCCAGGCCTTTGTTCGCAGGCAGATTCTCCAGTTGGATATGGACGAACCCGGCATACAAGAGGTTCGCACAGAACCGTTATTAGACGATTCTGCGGTTCTGGGCTTTGACCTCAATAGTCGATTCAGTCTTGAATCACGCCAGGAAGTTGACGCAGCACAAAGAGCAATCCTTGATTCGATTGAGGGTCCGTCAACTGATCCACGTGCGGGTACTTCTGACAACTCGCCATTGCGCGATAGCTTGATACACAACCTTACGGAAAGGGAAAGGCTAATTGTGGAGTTTTTGAACACAGCGCGTTGGACGTCGAGGTTAGAAGAAGGCCTGGCAGAGCGGCGAGTCAGATCCAATGCAAACCCACCACCTGTACCTCGTTCACGGTTTCAAAGTTCCACAGATGCTCCTAATCGAACCTCTCGTCCTACGTCACCTCTTCGCCACAATGAGCTGTCTCGGGATCTTCCGCGAGAGGCACAACCCGCTACTGAATCTTCGAATCGCAGACAAAATGCGGGACGACAGAGTTCGGTTGTATTATCACAGGGTAATTCTGAAGCAGGAAATCGAACACCAGAGTCCGGCAGCTCAAACATGGATCCACAGCCAAGCATAGCCCTCACTTGGACTGCATCGCCTGCTGAGATGCAGTCTACCATATCGGACAATCGCCAGCGCTCAAGAGACTCGAGTGCGGCGGGTGACCCTAGTAGCTCCAGTAGCGAAACCAATGCGGTGGATCAGCCTCAAGGAGGGTTCGGTCGTCCGTCAGCAAACTTTGACTATCCAACTACGACCACGGGGTCCGCTACCCGACAACGGACTCATCAGCGATCGCACTCTAGGAACCGAGGACCTGAGAGACAGGAGAGCACATCAGAAATCCGACACGAGCCGTTCCGCCTTTCCAACACGGAGTTGAGGACCAATGTAGCAGCAGAGCGTCTTCGCCGACAACGGCAAATGATCAATGACGCGCGCAACCGGAACAGCCAAGGCGAACGATTTCGGCAGCAACTACCAGGCTATGACCAGCCTCGTTCTTCCCGGTGGATGCATAGTATCTTGGACGAACTTCCCGATCGAAGTTTGGGTGTTGGGTACCGGGACCAAGATACAGGTAGTACAGCCGGAGTTGGTTGGGGCGCAGACGGCCGGACGTTGTAAGTACCTCTGATACTGTTTCGTTGAGCTGGACGTGGCGTAACTGATTTGCTTAGGTACATTGCGACAGTGGATGGAATTTTTGAATACCAGCTCAACGTAAGAGATCGAAAGACATTCCCTATAGTTAGCTACCGATAAGGTTGCCTCCTATTCGCTTAGTTTTCTTCTTTTCCTTTTTGAACTTGCAGAATCACCTTTATATTATTTTGTCTCTTTTCTTACGCTTTCAGTTTATGTTTATAGTTATTTCATTTCAGTTGTTCCCCTTTCTGTGAGAGGGTTTATGCATTTTGAGGACTAGGAAGGTTTCGAATTTATCACAAGCACAGTTGACTGGCGTTGAGGCTATTGCTATTTTTACTTTTATTTTTATTTTTATTTGACCCCTTCCTCTTTTTGTCATTTTTATCCAAATCTCTTTTTTTGATGTTTTAACAGTCGACGCTTCCTTTACTCTTTTTATTCTTCCTTACCCCCCCTCCTTTTTTTTTTTTTTTTTTTTTTTGGGAGTATTCTGTCAGCATCGTTGACCACCAGCTTGGATGGTTTCATTGCATTTGTCTCAGGCGTCAATATGCATGGTTATTTTACATTAGTTACATATAGTAGTTAAGGTATGTAATGTGGAATAAAAGTTGATAATCTATTGAGAATGCATTTATGATAGAAATAAAAGCATTAAAAAAAAAAAAAAAAAAAAAAGAGGGCAGGCAAAGGAATACAGTTCAAAGTAGGCAGTCACTTGCATCGCTGTCTCCACACGCCGTCAGCGAGCAAAGTTGTGTGTGCGGTAACCGCCGCTAAACACCTCCAAACACTGCTCACATTTTGAACCTCACCAACAGCCTGTGAATATATATTGGGATCCTTCAACCAGCATCTTTCTAACTATTCACACGTTTAGCAACCTTAGGCAATATACTGGCTTTGAAGAATTTTGTGCGAGTCTTGATGTTCCAGCAACCCAGTATCAGCGTATTGCGTACGTCCTGGACTCTTAGCAGACATACCATACACCGTTTTGCCTAGATTGTGTTCATTCTCTTGAAATGGCAGAGGGCCTTGCCTCTACTCTGGCCGAATTAAGCCTGAACACACAGCGACTTAATGGACCAGCCTTTGATGCGCGGATTGTCGAAGAAGAAAGAGGTTCATATAAGAACCGTGACCCGCGACAGAGCTCTCGCCAAGATGCCACCGATCTCAAGACAGAGCTAGAACGAGATTTCCTTTCCCCATCATCCAAGTTTAGCCCCGAGTGGCTTAACCATCTACAAAGGTTTGTTTGTTTAATTGGTTTCATAGTTTTGTGTTTCTTTTTGTTCGTCCTTCGACATACTACGCTGGATTTTAGACGGCTGATTGCTCCCATCACAGGAGATGGGATGTCGCGACGGACTATACCGATCTTTTTGAGGTCGCAGGCACCCAAACGCGGACAGTTGTCCGTTTCGACCGAGAGGGATTGGAGGGACGGGTTATGGGTTACCATGAGATTACTGTTCCTGCCACCAGTGCTAATGCGAAAAATTCGACGTCACTTCTTCGGAGACCTGCCGGACGGGCGGATTTTGTTCGAGGAGCAGCCGGTTTTTTCCCATTCGCACCAGGAGGCTTGGATGGCGTTGAAGCGATTGCCGAGATGGAAGCTGAGACGCAGACAGCAGGTCAATCGAGGACCGGCGGTAAGCAGACTGGCCTTGATCGGATCATTAATTTTGGGTCCGAGGGTGGCCTATTAGAAATACCTCCTGGGTTCACCAGGGGGCACAAATTTGAGCAGGCCAAGTCCAAGGAATCTATAGAAGGCGATCAAGAGGTTGAAGACACTCTTCAACAAGAGGAAAATGGCCTCCATATTGACCAGGACGAAGCAGCTTCAGACGTTGAAGGAGGTGTGAAAGTGGAGGATGCTGGAGAGCTAAGCGGTGAAGAAGAAGATATTGATGCTCTTCTCCCAGTTGAGTTTCCGGCTCTGGAACCACATGTACCACTTTTTTCGGGTGGTCAGAAGAAGGGTGGCAAAGAATGGGCCCATGTCGTCGATGTCAACAAAGATATTCCAAGTTTCAATGAACTTGTCCCGGATATGGCCAGAGAGTGGCCATTTGAATTGGACACTTTCCAAAAAGAGGCTGTCTATCATCTCGAGGGAGGCGATTCTGTATTCGTCGCAGCGCATACGTCAGCTGGAAAAACAGTTGTCGCCGAGTATGCTATTGCGCTGGCTGCCAAGCATATGACGAAAGCTATCTACACATCCCCCATCAAGGCTCTGAGTAACCAGAAATTCAGAGATTTCCGAAACACCTTTGACGACGTTGGTATCCTTACTGGCGATGTTCAGATCAACCCGGAGGCAAGTTGCCTTATCATGACCACGGAAATCCTACGGAGTATGCTCTATCGCGGAGCAGATCTGATCAGAGATGTTGAGTTTGTGATTTTCGATGAAGTGCATTACGTTAACGATCTTGAAAGAGGTGTTGTTTGGGAAGAAGTCATCATTATGCTCCCAGAGCATGTCACTTTAATATTACTGTCTGCAACCGTTCCTAACACGTATGAATTCGCATCATGGGTTGGCCGAACCAAGAAGAAGGATATCTATGTTATTTCTACGCCCAAAAGACCTGTCCCTCTCGAGCATTATCTCTGGGCTGGTAAAGGAAAGTATAAGATTGTCGATTCCAATAAAAGGTTCCTCGAAAGCGGTTGGAAAGAAGCAGATAATGTTATTTCTGGAAGGGATAAAATTAAAGCTCAGAAGGCAGCAGAAGCACAGGCTCAATCCCAAGCACAGAGAGGAGGGCCTCAGGGAAGAGGCCGTGGGCAGGCCCCGAGTAGGGGTGCCCCTCGCGGTAATGCGCAGCGTGGAGGTGGTGCTCAGAGAGGTAGAGGACAGCCAGCTACCAGAGGCACTGGAAATATTGCTCGTACAGGACGTGGTGGAGGAAGGACTACAGCTGCACAGGACAAGACGATTTGGGTGCATCTCGTCCAACATTTACGCAAGGAAAACCTGCTTCCGGGCTGTATATTCGTCTTCTCTAAGAAAAGATGCGAAGAAAATGCAGACTCACTCACAAATCAAGACTTCTGCACTGCCTCGGAGAAGAGTTTGGTGCACATGTTTATTGAGAAATCACTTACCCGACTGAAGCCCGAAGATCGAGGACTTCCACAAGTGCTTCGGCTTCGCGAGTTACTAAGCAGAGGTATCGCGGTTCACCATGGTGGTCTTCTGCCAATTATGAAAGAGATCGTTGAGATCTTGTTTGCGAAATCATTGGTAAAGGTTCTCTTCGCAACGGAGACATTTGCCATGGGACTCAACCTGCCTACTCGAACAGTAGTCTTCTCGGGCTTCCGTAAACACGATGGCAAAAGTTTTAGAGATCTGTTGCCCGGAGAGTACACTCAAATGGCTGGGCGCGCTGGACGACGCGGTCTTGATACGGTTGGCTATGTGATCATCGTTAATGCTGGCAGAGACGAAGCTCCCCCTGCTGGTGCTTTGCGGAGGATGATCCTTGGTGATCCTACCAAGCTGCGATCTCAATTTAGACTCACATACAACATGATCTTGAATCTTTTGCGTGTGGAGGCTCTAAAGATTGAAGAGATGATCAAACGGAGCTTCAGTGAGAACGCCACTCAAGCTTTGCTTCCAGAGCATGAGAAACAGGTCCAGCTCTCCGAGGCTAGTCTAGAGAAAATTAAACGAGAACCTTGCGATATTTGCGACATCGACCTCGCTGCTTGCCACGAAGCAGCCGTCGAATATGAAAGGCTAACCAGTGAACTTCATGTTGGACTGATCTCCTCGCCTGTGGGTAAGCGACTTTTTGTGCCAAAGCGATTAATTGTATACCGAAAGGTAGGCAAACTATCCTTATTCTTACTCCTGTTCTCCATGCTCCAGAGAATCCCCCCTTACTAATGATATCACAGGATGGATACCGGACTGCTGGTGTCGTAGTTAAGGAGGGAGTGGGCGGCGGATCTACACCAAATATACAGGTCCTTGAAATTGGCAAATTGGGTAGCAAGCGTCATCCAAGCGATATTCTACCATTCCTCCCAACATTCCATCAATTGCTGCAACGGCTTCCGAGTCATGCGGCAGACATGACTCTGAAAGTGCAAAAGATACCGTTATCGGATCTCGAGTGTGTTACCAACACGGTAGTGAAGCTTGGCGGCCCAATATGGTATCTCAACATCAAGAAAGGTGGGTGGCGATGCTGTCATTTGGAAACAACCAAATTGCTAATTCACACGACACAGAGGCGGCGAAGTTTGCGGATAAAGAGCTATCAAAATTGTGTGCCTCGTGGTCGAGCCCAATTTGGGACGAGATGGATTGGGCTCGGATTAAGGAGTTACAAGTGAGAGACGTCTTGGATAAAAGACGAGCCCAAGCATCCGTCGTTCAGTCTTGCCGGTGTCTGCAATGTCCGCAGTTCTTGAAGCATGTGAGTAGCCGTGCTTTGCTCCATCATTCAGTAGCTCAATGGCTTACGTTCCACAGTTCGAAATGCAACATGACGAGTGGCAAGTAAAGGAAAACATCTCGCAGTTGAAACAGCTTATGTCCGACCAAAACCTTCAACTTCTGCCCGACTACGAGCAACGCATTCAGGTGTTGAGGGAATTGGGTTTCGTGGATGAGCAGTCTCGCGTACAGTTGAAAGGAAAGGTGGCATGCGAGGTTCGTATAGACGAGGATCAACCACGGGCGACCAAAACCAAAACTAATCTTATCTTGATAGATTCATTCAGCTGACGAGCTTGTGCTCACGGAACTCATCCTTGAAAATGTGCTGGCCGAATATGAACCAGAGGAGATCGTCGCACTCTTGTCCGCATTTGTCTTCCAAGAAAAGACAGAAAATGTGCCTACGTTGACGCCCCGTCTAGAAAAGGGCAAAGAGGCCATTGTTCGGATTTCGGACAAGGTGAATGATTTCCAGATCCAATACCAGGTTATCCAGTCTAGCGAAGACAGCAATGACTTTGCCAGTCAGCCACGGTTTGGTTTGGCGGAGGTGGTTTACGAATGGGCTCGAGGGATGTCGTTCAACCGCATCACTGATCTAACGGATGTGATGGAAGGCACAATTGTGCGGACCATTACTCGATTGGACGAGACATGTCGAGAAGTGAAGAATGCAGCGAAATTGGTGGGGGATCCCACACTATATACCAAGATGCAGCAGGCCCAGGAGTTGATCAAGCGAGATGTAATCTTCGCGGCCTCTCTGTACATGTAGTGGGAAGGGGGGAATGGAGAAAAGAGCATGATGATTGGGGGAAAGGAACCAGCCTTGTTTTATTTTACTTTGTTTTCTTTACTTTTGACTCCTTGGGGGAAATGATGCTGTGTAGAGAAATTCCTGCCTGAATTTTGTTCAGGCCATGCAAACAAAGAATTCATCACAAACAGCGGGCTAAAAGGGTTAAACTCCCCTCCTTTTAAGAGGGTTTCAAAAACAAGAAGCCCCCCAAAAAAAAAAAACCTCCGAACCGAAATCTTCTCATCTCCCCGATCTAAAAACCTTCGAGCCTTGGTTCAAGCCATCGAACTGGCCTTCTGGGGCAAAATATTCAGGAGGAAAATTCTCTTACCGCGCGTGGCTGCGAGCGCTCTGATTAGCTGCCACAGGCGCGGGGCGGCCACGCTTGAAAATCCACGAGAAAACCAAACCAAACCCAACAAACCCCATGTGCACTTTTACAATCTGCACACTCCTATCAGAATCCCCGCTACTCTATCGCCCTTGTTCCCCTCCCTCCCCTACCATACACCTACATCTACCGTCTCGGCATTGCGTAACGGGGTTTATCTATTCGGAACTGGAATTTGGTCACTGGGGGCTGTTGCTGGTGCGAGATGGATGTCTCAGCTCTTCGGGACCGTATACAGTCGACGCTTGATGTGAATGCGGATAATCGACGACAGGCGGAATTGGATCTAAAATATGTACGTGTCGGAGTGGATTAAGTGCCTTCGAGTCCGGTTCATGGTGCTCACTTTCATCTTCGCGATGTTTTGTAGGCTGAGACTCAACCGGGCTTCATAAATGCGCTGTTGGACATTCTCCAGGGGGAACAGAACAATGCTGTCCAACTTTCGGGTATGTGTGATATTGCGTTCTCACCACTCTTCTGTCTTTTGTACCGGGGTCGGTTTGGTGTTGCTGAGCTAATCTTGGATGGTATTTTGTAGCCGGCGTCTACCTGAAGAACCGAATTAATCGTGGCTGGTCCCCCGTTGAAGAAAGCCCGCTGCGAACCCCTATCCCAGAGGATGAGAAACCCGGGTTTCGAGAGAGGTTAATTCCGGCGTTGGCATCGACACCGCCCAATGTTCGCGCACAGCTTGTTCCTCTTCTCCAGAAAATCCTTCAGCATGATTTCCCGGAACAGTGGCCAGGATTTTTGGATATCACCCTCCAACTCTTGGGAACCAATAATGCAAACTCGGTCTACGCAGGCCTGCAATGTCTGTTAGCCATTTGCCGCGTGTACCGGTTTAAGGCGGGAGAAAAGAGAGAGGAATTCGATAAGATCGTCGAGCATTCGTTCCCTCAACTTCTGAACATCGGATTGAAGTTGGTCGATGAAGAGAGCTTGGAAGCAGCGGAGATGCTTCGGATTGTCGTGAAGTCATACAAGCATGCTATCTATGTAAGTGGATTAGACTGTTGAAAAGGCGTCGATATTGTGATAAACCGATGGGAAACTGACTGGAAGCCGGTTTTAGTTCGAGCTTTCGCCATTCTTGCAAACACAGCAAGCCACTGTTGATTGGTGCACACTGTTCTTGAGGATTATTGCCAAGGAACCTCCTGCCAGCGCCATGCTAGAGTCTAAGGAGGAGAGAGAACTGAACCACTGGTGGAAGTGTAAGAAGTGGTCTTACGCTAATTTGAACCGCCTCTTTATCAGGTGGGTACATTGTCTTAGACGCAGCCGTTGTTATTTCATCTGATTTGTACCTACAGATATGGAAACCCAACAACAATGACAAAGTCCAGCACCCCTGACTACACACAATACGGAAAAGCCTTTACCACGACGTTTGCCCCGGAGATTCTCAAGGGTTATCTACAAGAGATTGACAAGTGGGTTTCCAAGGGCCAGTGGCTTAGCAACCCATCACTCGCCTACACTCTGGTTTTCCTGGAGGAATGCGTTAAGCCAAAGGCGATGTGGGATCATCTCAAGCCGCACATGGACAATCTGGTCGCCCATTTCATCTTTCCCATTCTATGCCAATCTGATGAGGACATTGAATTGTTCCAGACTGACCCATCCGAGTACCTTCACCGGAAACTGAACTACTACGAGGAGGTTTCGGCGCCTGATGTCGCAGCTACGAATTTCTTGGTTGCTCTCACGAAGAATCGTAAGAAGCAGACCTTCTCGATTCTCACGTTTGTCAATGGTGTCGTCAGCAAGTATGAAGCTGCTCCAGATGACCAGAAGCAGCCAAGGGAGAAGGAAGGTGCTTTGCGGATGATTGGCTCTCTTGCTTCTGTCATTCTGGGGAAGAAGAGCCCCATCGCTGATCAGGTTGAATACTTCTTTGTCCGGCACGTTTTCCCTGAGTTCCGAAGCCCCCATGGTTTCCTTCGGGCTCGTGCGTGCGATACCCTGGAGAAATTCGAGCAGCTTGACTTCCAGGATCCGAACAACCTCATGATCATCTACCGGAACATCCTTGAATCGATGACAGACTCTGAACTCCCTGTCCGGGTTGAAGCGGCCCTTGCATTGCAGCCTCTAATCCGCCATGACATCATCAGGACCTCCATGCAGCAGAACATTCCGCAAATCATGCAACAGTTGCTTAAGCTGGCCAATGAGGTGGACGTGGATGCATTGGCTAATGTCATGGAAGATTTTGTGGAGGTCTTCTCCGCTGAACTCACACCATTTGCTGTGGCGCTCAGCGAGCAGCTACGTGACACTTATATGCGAATTGTTGGTGAGCTCCTGGAAAGGAATGCTGCCAAGGGCGATGAGGATACATATGGTGATTTCCTAGATGACAAGAGCATCACGGCTTTGGGGGTTCTGCAAACTATCGGAACCCTTATCCTCACCCTTGAGAGCACTCCGGACGTGCTCCTGCACCTCGAGACGATTCTCATGCCTGTGATTAGCATCACTCTTGAGAACAAGCTGTATGACCTCTACAACGAGGTCTTTGAGATCATCGACAGCTGCACATTTGCTTCCAAGTCTATCTCCCCTACGATGTGGCAAGCGTTTGAACTCATCCACAAGACCTTCAAAGCAGGCGCAGAGCTATATTTGGAAGACATGTTGCCCGCACTTGACAACTATGTGGCCTATGGTTCTGAGATGATGGTCCAAAACCCGGCCTACTTGGAAGCTGTTGTTGGCATGGTCCAAGACATCTTCCGCGATGAGAAGGTCGGTGGAGTGGATCGGATATGCGGTTGCAAGCTAGCAGAGACCGTGATGCTCAACCTACGCGGTTGTATCGACCAGTATATTCCGATTTTCATTGAGCTAGCGATGCGGGTCATTGACGGCGGTGACACAAAGACAAAGTCATACCGAATTCACCTGATGGAGATGGTGATTAATGCTATATACTACAACCCGGTCCTGGGTCTTCAGGTTCTGGAGTCCAATGGCTGGACGAACAAGTTCTTCAGCACCTGGTTCTCGAATATTGACAACTTCAGACGTGTGCATGATAAGAAATTGTCGATTGCTGCCATTAGCTCACTATTGACGCTGAAGGCTGGGGATGTCCCCGCGAGCGTGCAACAAGGTTGGCCCCGATTGCTCCAAGGCGCTGTCCGGCTCTTCCAGACATTACCTGCCGCTATTAAGAGTACGCTTGCTATATATACCTACCTGAGTAATGGTCTTGTGTACTAACGTTTCTAAAGATCGCGAGGATGCAACGAAAGAATCTGATTTCACTTTTGATGACGAGGGTGATGAGGTTGATGAAGGTAATGACTGGGATGGTGAGGTTGAGTGGACGGACCAGGATGAAGCCGAGTGTGGTCCTGAGGGCGATATCCCCGACGAGAGTGCTGCATATCTCGATTTCCTGAACAAGGAGGTGAGCGACCTATCACCCAACCAGGCACCAGTGTTTATGCTGACAGCTCCTTAGGCCCAGAAATTTGGTTCGTTCGCCGACGACGATGACGACGATGACTTAGATGAAGAGAGTTTGCTTGAGACCCCCTTGGATAAAATTGAGCCCTATGGCTTGTTCAAGCAAGTCTTCTTGAGTATGCCTTACCCGATGTGACATTGTGGAGCGTGCCCGTCAGCTAACATTATTCTGTAGACCTTCAGCAGGAACAACCGCAACTGTATGACAACTTGACGGAGATCCTGAATTCGGAGGAAAAGCAGGTGATTGAGGCTGTTTTCCACGAGGCGGATGCGAAGGCTTTGGCTAGTGCCGAAGCTGCCGTCTCCCAGGCGAATGGTAATCAATAGGTCTAAGGGGGTTGAAACAAGCCGAGGGAGAGCGGAGGAAGCAAGAAAGTCATCCAAAGAGAAAAGAAAAAGAAAAAAGGGCCAGCAAGTCAACGAGATGAGCCAGTTGGCTTCTGCTGGAAACACAGTTTACGATATAAAATAAGCTAGCTATTCCAGTTTGGATGTCTATCTTGGACGCTGGCTGGAAACGTATTTTCATTTTTCCCCTGCCATGTTAATTTTCCCTTCTATGTTCCACGTTACCTTAGATCGTTTTATTTTTTGACACATGTTGGTGATTGTTGGTGGGCCCTGATATTTTCCTAAAAGTCCTATTCTTATTTCTCTCTCATTTTTCTTTCTGTATTGCACCAACCTACAAGACTTTGATTCCCCAATTATTCTGTGAATTGGCTTTATTCCTATCCCCTTTTGTCTTTATCACCTTCTGTTTTTGTCTATGATCACAAGATGACCCTATATCCCATGTGCAACATTAAAAATAAAGAGGAGGAATCGCATTCTGTATGTATATCAATCACGTGGCCACAGGATGCAATGACGCCATCGCCACCAACAAGGCGTCTTCACTAGAATCGCATACATGTAATAGAGACTCTTTCTAGGAATTTGACTCTTTGACAGAGTCTAGTCTACTCGATTGGAAGTATCTAGAGGCAATCCGGTTTCAACAGTGGAACCAAAACGTCATGATGATGATGGATCCAATTGATGGCAACCCTATTTAAGAGCCACTCTTCCTAGTGAATGATACTTAGTCAGTCCATCTGACGACTTTAATCTTCAACAAACATTAAGTTCTACTCATCCATCCCATCCACCTTTATTTAGTATATATAGAACTTTATATATACTACCTGACAACTCAAGCACATATACAAAGAGCTATATAAACCAAAAGAAAAAAAGGGGAAAAAAATGACCTCTCCCCTCTCAGGTCGTGAATCAACCGCCCCAGAGCGTCAGACAGCCGCTCAGCTGGCTCCTCTGGCATCAGGGAGATACGATCCCCGACACCAAAGCACGTTGCGACAGGCTGCTCCTCAGGAGCCAGAGGACCAACTTCGCCGGTTGGAGAGTAATCCGAAGCATATCTTGGAGGATATCGAGGCGTGGAAGTTTCGGAAGGGGCCGGGGAATTAAATAGATTGATTTAAGTTGGATCATACGATGATGATATGATGAGGATGACGATGAGGTACGGCATGGTTGTGTTTCAGGTAATGATGGAAATGTAAATTGATGGACTATTGTTTTCAAGATGTACTTTGTCATGGTTGCATCTCATTTCAATGGTCATTTATCAGGTTAATCATTTAGCGTACTAGGGACTAAACTACTTCATAGCAAAAGGTCTGGACAACTTTTTTTAACAAAGACAATACAACGGAATGTCCCAAATAATACATCCATGTAGACAATCGTCATTATGCGAACAGAAAAATCATGCACCCAGATCAGTCGCCCAGCTGGAAATTTATCGAATATTAAGACTTCATTCATTTCTCGGGTGCAGCATGTGCAGCCCCCGAATCCACATTGGTAGCTGGCACTGTAGCAGGGGCAGGCGAAGACGCAGACACAGGAGCAACGTTTGTGGTCTCGGCGGTACTAGTGGCTGAGACCTCACTCGATTCACCCTGTGCGGGCTTCCCGCTCTTCAAGTCGGCTAGACGTCGGGCCTCCGCGTGGATGTCGCGAACCTGTTTGTCAGTCTTGACGTAGAATTCATGCAACTTCCTTCCGGACGGGGTCTCCAGGGCCTTCGTGAAGTACGAGTTGAGACCACGCCAGCCGGTCACCGCCTTGTCACTGAGTTTATAGCTCTCGTCGAATCCGCGGGCTCGGTCAGTGGCATGGTACTTCTGGTCGAAGTTGCTCAGGGCCGTCGTGAATTTCGTGGAGAATCCGTGCTTCTGGTCGAGGGCAATGGCCTTCTGGATGGCACCATCGCTGACAACATAGCCGTGCGCCAGGTACTCCGCGACGATGCGAGATTTGGGCTTATCTTCTTGATCGAGATGACCACCGTTCTCGTCTTTGGCTTCGGCGGCGGTGGAGGTGTTCGGGCCAGCGATATCCTCAAGCGATTGGGCAGCCTGGACGTGTACCGGTGAAGATCGTAGCCTGGTCTGGTCCAGAAGCAAGGCGGTCTTAGCCGCGCTGAAACTGAATGTTAGCTTCGCGCTGGTTTAGGACGAGAACAGGTGCGGGGTAGATTGGACGTACGCTTCTTTCTCAAACGTCACAGTGGCAGACTTGGGGGCCGCTGGCTCGTTGGAAATGGGTGTCACTGAAATAGAGGTGATCTTGCCACTGGGATTTGGTCAGTCGTTTACAGATGTTAAAAAGAAAGCGTGTGTACGATACCAGAAGCTGAAGAACTCCTCGACCTCCTTGTCGGAGGTTTCGGACGAGATGCCCGAGACGTGAACAGTGGAGCGCTGAGACATGATGATGAATCGACCAGGCTGTAGGATGATATAGACAATAATCGGTCGAAAGATGTAGATTTGGGAAAGTGAGAGTGGAGGGGATGCTGAGGCAGACAAGGCATTGTGCTGTATTTATTGTCGACGAGCCACATCGATGACGTGGGAGGGGCGACGCACAGCCACAGTGGGGCGGTTTGCATGTGATTGTGTGTTCCTGAGGATTCCATCAGGCAGGACTATTAATTATCATGGAGAGTTGGTTACACAGCATAAGGGCATTCTGGCATATAGGAAAGAATACAAAGAGAGACGACATGCGCTCCGAACTCCCGCTGGTAGCTAGTACTGGTGTTGACCACGAAAGATCCTGCTTTCTAGATAACATGACGAACCCAATAAAAATGTAGGAAAAAGGGAAGCAAAAGACCATCGTTTTATTTTCCATTATCATCCTCCGTAAGAGAAGCTTTCCTCAAACTGTCTGTAAGAGCGTTCATTGCGGACGGTGCCGTCGGAACCTCTTCTCGATATTTTTTCAGTGTGGACTCAAGCTCTCGTACACGGCGTCGAAAAGCTTCATTCTCTCGTCGAATAAGCTCCAGCTCTGCCCGCTGATGTGCGATTTCGTCGGGACGGGACGTACTCGAAAAGGTTCGAGATTGTTGTTGGGAGAGAGAACTACGGTGGGCATTGGATGGGGCGCCAGGGGGATGTGATAATTGATCGATCGACTGGTAGGGGATCTGCTGGGACGATGGTGGTAACGATAGAGCTCCATCCGACGGTCGAGGCGATGTCAGTGATGGCTCCCGGCTTCGACCCGATCGCATGGAGTCGCCGGGACGTGGAGACGTAACACTGACATCCCGCGATGGTGCAATGCCCGTAACGCTTCCGGTCCGGGATCCTTGAACTGCTGGAACGTATGAGGAGCTGAGGCTGGAGGAGGAGCGATGTCTTCGGGATGCTGTGGGATGTGCTGTGTTAATAAGATAAGGGGAGTACAGAGTGTCCATCGGGTCGTTGAAGCTGGTCGAGGCCGATGACGCAGTTGATGCGACAGACGCTGTTTGTTGACGAAGAAGTGATAGTTCTCTCGAAAGACGGTTTACCTAGAGTTGAAGTCGAGCGTCAGTGCCTGAAGTCTTTGTTTTTGTCTTTCACAGCGAGAGCTGTCTAGCTTACCATTGCCTCTTGTTCTTTCTCTAGCATGGAATGGAGGTCGGACGGAGTGAGTGGTTTGGGATGGCGCAATGGACCTAGATTATTATCAGATCGATTTCCAACAGCATTATTTGCAATTAAATTCACGTACCTGACGCCGCTCGAACGCTTTCCGGGTCACTCATACTGAAGGGAATCGATGGAGGGCCCATGACTTGCGATGGGCGACGAGACGAGGCGGACGAGGATGTAGTGGTCGGATGGGTTCCAGTGGCTGTACGCGGTCTCGGCCTCGGCGAGGAGGTGGGCACCGGACTCGATTCGGTCGCCATAATGGAAGTGTTAAATGTTGGTGATGACGATGAAGAGAGGGGGAAAGAATATTGCTGCAGAGGGTGAACGATGAGTGAAAGAGAGAAGTTCATGGGGACGCCCCTTGATTGGAGGAATCTAGGGCAATGAAAACAGACCAAACAATCCTGCAGGCGAAGTAGCATCAGGACCTGTCACGATTAAAAGGCTATTTGCAGATCATCAAGGCTGTGTTGAGGCATCTAGATGATTGTATCCCCATGCATCAATGACTTCCTCAAGCGCATCCCGCGCAAGGGAGGGCTGTTCCATCCTGTAACTGGGAATCAAGTAAGGGTCGAGGTCGAGGGACGATATGAGCGCAAGGACGATGGCTAGCTCTTAAATAGTCGCTATTGGTCATCCATCTGACATTATTTAAACCTTCAGTGGCATTCATTTTGCCCATCACCCCGTGCTTTCTCCGTTGCATGCAGATAAATATGATCCAACGTTCTCTCTGCAGCAGCTTGCTGCTGTCTGTCGGGGCTTTAACGGCAGAAAATTGACTTTATCGTACATTCATCACAGGACCATGGCAAGTTCCCCTGCTGAACATCACTCAAACTGGTGATGTGGATGAGGGATTCATCTTCCTTGGTCTTCAAAGCAGACAACATACCCAATTGGGTCCTACCATGTGCAAAAACAATGGCGATCTAGTATACCAGGGAGACTATCTGGACACAGCCGATTTCTAAATGCAGAAGATATTTGGCCAGGATATGATTACTTTCTGGTCAGGGGAATTGAGTGACCTGGGCTATTGCTTTGGCACGGTTCACATCCTGGATAATGCTTACAAGAGATGTACACCATTACGCTGAAGGACAACTACATCGCACCGGATGCTCAAGCCAGACAGTCCTATATCGATGTTCATGAGCATCGAGTCACGCCTTGGAATACTATTCTGGCCCCGGTGGCCAACATCACCCAGAAGGACTTGACGAGCATTGGCGGCAAGCCGGATCAGTATATGGTCGATTGTTTGTTCTATGAGATCGACGTTGCGACCAATGACATTCTCTTCTCGTGGAGTGCTCTTGACCGCGTCCCCATTGCACTTTCAACGGCAGGTATTGAAGGTTATGGGACCCATCAAAAGCCATTTGATCCCTACCGTCTCAATACAATCACTCCAGCCAAGCAAGGCTATGTGATATCTCTGCAGCACTGTTCTTCTACTTTCTATCACAATAAAGATTGTTCAATCCGATGGCAGCTTTCCGTATGTTCAATGCTTACACCAATGTCATCTGCACACATCTAATAGAACCTTCATTAGAGTATCGATGGTGGCGACTTTCAACTCAACTACGTCGGCTTTTCCAGGCAAAGCCACGTGCGTATTTACAACGAGACGGACGACAGCTTTTTCCTCAGCCTTTTCGGCAGTGTAAAGCGCCGCGGAAAAACTGACATGTCATCTGCGCTGATCCTAAACGTTGACCTCGTTAATTACCAGGCCACGCCGTTGCGCAAAGTATCCGATCCAAACGATCCGGTATACTCTCCCAACCCGGGAAGTCTCCAGGTGCTGGGTCCGAAGACTTCGCAGCCTCATTTGTTTGTCGGTTATGAAGACGTTCCCAAGTTGAAAGAATACGACGGAGAAGGCAATGCTGTTCTCACTGCACAATTTGGTGAGTTTGAACTACAATCCTATCATGGTTATAAGTTCCAATGGAGAGCTACTCCCTCTTGGAAACCTGCTGTTGTTGTCCATCGTGCATCGGACAAAACTGTCGAGGTGTATATGAGTTGGAATGGTGCCACCGAGTATGCACTGGGCGATTTACTCTGCTTCACCGTTGAACAAGACCACTCACCTTGCCTCCTATAAACGGGCAAACTTTGAGACGAAAGTGAGTCTTCAAGATACCAATATCCCATATATCCAAGTCGCCGCTCTACAGGGCGATATAGTCCTTGGACTGTCCGAGATTGTCCCAGTTTGGTTGGCTGCTTGAGAGGTATCTTCTGATTGAAAACATACCAGGATCCTCGGTGTATAACCTAAGATTGGTGAGATAATGATACGCGTTATTTAATGTTATAGTCGGCTGTAATATGAAAAATTTAAACCATTATAGATATGATCAAGAAACTCATATTTTGTGTAAAAGCACCAATGGATGAAACCATGGTCACGTGATATACATACAAAACAAACAAACAAACCAGCTAGATCCGGGTTGGGGTACATTCCAAGTAGCGCCATCGACGGTCTACACACATCTCTCATTCATGATCTAGTACCAGCGCGCTGAGCCCAGGTGATTTTGTAGCTTAATAATGCTGATTTGACCTCAGCGTCATCGTATCCCCTACAATGGCCCAGCATGAATTAACCCTGCTGTCCCTGCAAATCTCCCCGACTTTGCCAAACCGTTGGCTCCTTATATTAAAAGCCCCCAGGAGGCTCTGCGTATACGACAGGCTCTGACTGCCTACCTTCGTGCACATATCGTCTTTGCAGATGACAATGCTGACCACCCGGGCCTTCACGCTCAATCCCATCTCTCGCTATGTGAACCGCACGATGCCGTTGTCGACGTGAAGCGTATTTCGCCGGGATTGACGGGCCTGAGGAGGGAGTATTTACAAGCATTAAAGGCCAATGTTGAAGCAAGAAGGGAATATCAAGCGCTTACGGAAAGAGTGGCTTCTTGCAAGAATCCTCCGGTCGAGACAGCCAATTCGGACCCCAGGTTGGACCTTCAGGCATATCTTCGACTTCTTCGTGAGCGTCGCCAATATGCAAAACTACAGGTCTTCCAGCACCATTTGCAGCAGCTCAAATCTCGGGACATACCTTCTCCTGAGGATTTCGACCCGAATACGAGTCGAAGGCAACATCTAGGGTTGCCGGAAGAATTTGAGGAAGAGAAACAAAATGGCCATCTAGCGGAGGAAGGGATCGAGGAGCTGGTACACAAATTGGAAAGAGCTGTAATCCGTGCGAAGGCTCAGGTGGATAAAGAGAAGAAATTACTAGAAGGGTTGAAGGCGAAACAACCCCCACCGGAGGATATTTCCCCAGCTGTGAGGGTTGCGGCTCTACAGCGGACACGAAATGAGTTGGTGAAATGGGTGGAAGAGAAGTTGGTGAGTGTCGGGAGCAACGAAGACGGCCCCATGCAGGAACCCCCTGCAGATGAGATCGAGGAATCTGCCCGCCTGCTTGAAGAGCAAAAAGCACAGATTATGGAGCGATACGGTGCTTACGTAGAGGCGCGCAAACGTCTCTTAGATGCGGCTTCTAGGGCTTGCCAGCCTATTGCAAATGGATCTAAGAAGCTCCCGGAACGTGCCCCGGAGACAGTCCAAGTGCCTGCAGAAGAGGCGCCGTCCCTGGAACCGGTAGATGTCCTGGGATATACAACTGACATCCTTCTTCCGCTCTCGAAAGCCCAGCGTGCGCTGGCTATGCAGAAGTTCTACTTGTCCGGGTTGCTTTCCAAGGAAAAGACCACGGCCCTTCGCATGCTAAATCGCCTACGCGATGAGAGCCACCTTCTTCCGGAGTATCCCATTCTCGCCCGACAACCACGGTTTAAACATGCTGTTGCGGCCATCAACTATCGGCATTCTACAAATCCAACCGAACCGGCTAAACCGGACGAACTCGTTGCTTTGGCTGAGGCTTGGGCATTTGCTTCCGATGCGGCAGGGACGAACGAACGGGAGTACGTGGAGCAAAAGGTGGCGGAGGGGAGCGAAACAGTACAAGACGCGCAGCAGCTGCTTCGGGAGCTGTATTGTATCGTGAACCAGGATCTGGATGAGACCCGCCGAGGCAGCTACGATGCAGAGAATGAGGAGAGCGACATCTGGGCGAATGAGGCGCAATCCACTCGGTTGCGAGGACGCACGAATTGGAACGATAGGCGGCAACCCAAGGGGCCGTGGTCGAGACTGAGTGGAAAGGTGGGAGTGGTAGCAACTGATAAGGTTAATTAATTAATCAGTGATTTGATCTATCGGGCCGATGGAGATACATCGTCCGCCATAAATAAAGTTATACACACTTGCCGAAGGATGTCGTATCTGAATATTGTAGGCTCATCTACGGCATGACATGGAGTTTCGGAAGCCGCCGTACCCGTCACTAAAGGCAATTAGCGTGGTAGCGAGGTACAAACGCTCATTGATCTGCTAGGCTAGCCAGAAAAATTTTCCTGCCAAGATTTGTAGCTATTAACTAGACCTTTTGCATGGGATGAATAACAGGAGAAGTATTCAATTGATTACAGAAGACTATTAAAAGAGCCTATCAATAAATTACAACTATAATGAATCACTATGTTGAGTATCTCTAATCTTCCATCACGAGGCACCTTGGGAGTATCTACAGAGTACTTTGTAGGTACGCGTTCACAGGAAATACCACTTATTAGTGATTTGTATTATCATTACTTACGGTGAATCCACCCACCCTTTGGTTCATTGGTCTTTATGGTTCCCCTAAGGTGACTGTATGTCCACCATCTGGCGATGATTGGTGGGATATGCAGGCGGTGTGTCTCTGTGTACGCCAAACTCCCAGAGCTGACCTATCAGATCGAACAACTATGGAGGGCCGAGCACAAGAGACAAAAAAAAAAAAATAAAAAAAAAAGGTCCTCCGCAGACCGGAGCTCTTATCGGCCTGAAGGTTGGGGCATTTTTTTGGCGCGCTTTGGGGTTCCTGGGCGAGTCTTGACTATCCTGAGTTCCTGGTTCCATACTCCATACATTGACTCATCGCTACTGCTGTCCTGTTTCCTCCCGGTCTATTTCTTCGGCTTCCCTTGGTCTTCTTTTCCTATTCATCTCTTCTTCCCTTCTGGTCACTTCCTCCCCCCCTTCTTTCCCCGACTGGTACGCCAGGCCATCTATCCTTTCATTCCACTCGAGTAGCCGACCTAACTTATTGGGTGTGTGACATAAAGTGGGACAGTAGGGATCCATCATCACCATCACCATCAATTTAGTCACGGATAGGCCGGGCCTTCTCCCTTGGATATTAGTGGGAAATACAGTCATCTATTGGGTCAATTGACTCTCCTCTATCCCCCCGTTCCTAAAATCCTCCCCTGGCGGCGCAGTACGCAATGGTTCTCGCCGCTCGTTGCGGACAGGCGACGTCCGCCCTCTTGCGTCAGCGCTGTGCGGCTGAATCTCGTCGGGCCGCTCTTCCAGCTCTGCGCTCGTTCTCCTCCCAGACGACCGCCCGTTCGACGGCATCAGCTCTGCGATTGCAGCAGAAGAACCTGTCGCCATGGCGATCGCAGCAATTGCGCTCGTTTTCTAACGCCCTCCGCCAATTGGCCTCGGAATCCGCTCCCGCCGCGGAGAGTTATATCAACAGTGGGATTTTTAAGCCCGGCGGCAGTCTCGTGGATGTGAAGAAGGTCTTGGTCATTGGTAGTGGTGGTCTGAGTATTGGACAGGCCGGAGAATTTGATTATTCCGGTAAGTGGAATGAACTGTTACTCATATTCTCCCACAGACCTAGAATGTCTCTTCTTTTCCACGTTTCCAAGTATTAGGCCGACGGATTTTACTCGTGTCTGAGCGTTTTTGTCGAGACGAAGAATGGAGAGGGATGGACATGAAGAGATAAAAGGTCGCGAAGTCTAGCATCGGACACTAGTCAAGGCCTTTTTTTTTTTTTTTTTTTTTTTTTGTTTACAGACCCTAATGTCCTATTTTCAATCACAGGCTCTCAGGCTTTGAAGGCTCTCAAGGAGGCTGGCGTTCAATCGGTCTTGATTAACCCGAACATTGCAACCATTCAGACGGACCACAAGCTTGCAGACGAAGTGTACTACCTCCCAGTCACGCCGGAATATGTGACCTATGTCATTGAGCGGGAAAGGCCCGACGGTATCTTTCTTTCATTCGGTGGACAGACTGCCTTGAACTTGGGTGTGCAGATGAACCGCATGGGTACTTTTGACCAGTATGGTGTCAAGGTTCTCGGCACCAGCATCAAGACCTTGGAGACTAGCGAAGACCGCGATCTGTTCTCCAAGGCCTTGAATGAGATTAACATCCCGATTGCTGAATCCATTGCTGTTAGCACCGTTGATGAGGCTTTGCAGGCTGCCGAGACAGTGGGTTACCCCATTATCGTCCGTTCCGCATATGCGCTTGGTGGGTTGGGCTCCGGATTCGCCAATAACCCCGAGGAACTGAAGAACCTGGTATCTCGGTCCTTGACTCTTTCTCCCCAAGTTCTGGTTGAGAAGTCCCTCAAGGGCTGGAAGGAGGTCGAGTATGAGGTGGTTCGGGATGCTAACAACAACTGTATCACTGTGTGCAACATGGAGAATTTTGATCCCCTTGGTATTCACACGGGCGACAGTATCGTTGTTGCTCCTAGTCAGACCTTATCCGACGAGGAGTACCACATGCTCCGCACGGCTGCAATTAAGATTGTCCGTCATCTGGGTGTCGTCGGTGAATGTAATGTGCAGTATGCCTTGCAGCCCGATGGTCTCGACTACCGTGTTATTGAAGTTAACGCCCGTCTCTCTCGTTCTTCGGCTCTAGCCTCTAAGGCTACTGGATACCCTCTTGCCTACACTGCTGCAAAGATTGGTCTTGGCCATTCCCTCCCCGAGCTTCCCAACGCTGTGACCAAGACCACTACTGCAAACTTCGAGCCAAGCTTAGACTACATTGTCACCAAGATCCCCCGGTGGGATCTGAGCAAGTTCCAGCATGTTAACAGGGATATCGGAAGCTCCATGAAATCGGTTGGTGAAGTCATGGCCATTGGCCGTACCTTTGAAGAGTCGTTCCAGAAGGCTATCCGCCAGGTCGATCCCCGATTCCTGGGTTTCCAAGGTGATACGTTCGAGAACCTGGATGAGGTTTTGAAGAACCCTACCGACCGCCGTTGGTTGGCTGTCGGTCAGGCCATGCTCCACGAGAACTACTCCGTGGATAAGGTTCATGAACTGACCAAGATTGACAAGTGGTTCCTCTACAAGCTCCAGAACATCGTGGAGTGCCATCATGAACTCAAGGATATCGGCAGCCTCTTCGGTGTTCAGGAAGAAACTATGTTGAAGGCGAAGAAACTCGGCTTCTCCGACAAACAGATTGCTCTCCTTGTTGGCTCGACCGAGGACGATGTGCGCGCCCGCAGGAAGAGCTTCGGAATCATGCCTTGGGTGAAGAAGATCGACACGCTTGCCGCTGAGTTCCCTGCCGACACCAACTACTTGTACACCACCTACAATGCTACCTCCCACGATGTCACTTTTGACGACCATGGCACGATCATTCTGGGAAGCGGTGTGTACCGTATTGGAAGTTCGGTTGAGTTTGATTGGTGTGCCGTCAATGCCACCCTTTCCCTGCGCAACATGGGCAAGAAGACCGTCATGATCAACTACAACCCCGAGACTTACTCCACCGACTTCGACACTGCTGACAAGCTGTACTTCGAAGAGCTCAGCTACGAGCGTGTCATGGACATTTATGAGCTTGAGAGTGCTAGCGGTGTCGTTGTTTCTGTCGGTGGCCAGCTGCCCCAGAACATCGCACTTCGTCTGCAGGAGACTGGCGGTGCCCATGTGCTCGGTACGGACCCCAAGGATATCGACAAAGCTGAGGACCGTCACAAATTCTCTCAGATTTTGGACAGCATTGGAGTTGACCAGCCTGCCTGGAAGGAGCTTACCTCCGTCGCTGAAGCGGAGCGTTTCGCCGAATCCGTTGGATATCCTGTCTTGGTTCGTCCCAGCTACGTCCTGTCTGGTGCAGCCATGAGTGTGATTTATAACCGTGATGAGCTCAAGGAGAAGCTCCTCAATGCTAGCGCTGTGTCTCCTGACCACCCTGTCGTCATCACCAAGTTCATCGAAGGAGCTCAGGAGATTGACATTGACGCCGTTGCTTCGAACGGTAAGCTTCTGCTGCATGCCGTTAGTGAGCATGTTGAGCCTGCGGGAGTGCACTCTGGAGATGCTACCCTGGTTCTTCCCCCGGCTTCTCTCGAACAGCCGATTATGGACCGCGTAAAGGTCATTGCCGAGAAGGTCGCAAAGGCCTGGAACATCACCGGTCCTTTCAACATGCAGATCATCAAGGCCGACCAGGAAGGTGCTGAGCCTGAGCTGAAGGTTATTGAGTGCAATCTTCGTGCTTCGCGCTCCTTCCCATTTGTTAGCAAGGTTCTGGGTACCAACTTTATCGATGTTGCCACCAAGGCTGTTGTTGGACGCGACGTTCCTGAGCCTGTGGATCTCATGAGCGCCAAGCGTGATTATCTCGCGACCAAGGTGCCTCAGTTCAGCTGGACCCGTCTGGCCGGTGCCGACCCATTCCTCGGGGTAGAAATGGCCAGCACTGGTGAAATTGCTTGCTTCGGTAAGGACCTTGTTGAGGCCTACTGGGCTTCCCTGCAGTCTACCATGAACTTCCGTGTGCCGGAGCCCGGTGAGGGTATTCTGCTTGGTGGCGATATCAACAACACTGCTTTGGCTAAAATTGTCGACTACCTCCACCCTCTGGGCTTCAAGTTCTTCGCTGCCAACCCTGAGGTCAAGGCCCACCTCGAGGCCACTTCCAAGGACAATGTCCCTGTGAAGGTGATCGAATTCCCCAAGAATGACAAACGGGCTCTCCGTGAAGTGTTCCAGAAGTATGACATTCGAGGCGCGTTCAACCTTGCCAAGACCCGGGGCAAGACTCTGCTCGATGAGGACTACGTCATGCGACGAAATGCTGTCGACTTCGGTGTGCCCCTTTTCATGGAAACTAAGGTACGGCCTTATTTGTATCATACGAAGTTTCGTGTATTAACTGATCATGCAGACCGCCCTTCTCTTCGCTCAGGCCATGAGCGAGAAGTTGCCCCGTGCTGAGGGCATCCCCTCTGAAGTCCGCAGCTGGTCTGACTTCGCCGGTGGCAAACTGCTGTAAACATAAACCCACCAAAAAGGAAAAAGTGTTACCGGTTTTTTCGTTATAGATATAATTGTCCGGGGTTGCATTGGTTCTTATTTCTTTTCAGGCATACAAAAGTCGCCTTATTTGGTGTAGCGGATAGGCACTTAGGTTGATAGACTTGTTACTTAGCCCTGGCATCCAGGTTGCCAGTTTCGCCTGCCAAAGGTGACTTGTGAGCCATGCCCAGTGGCTTTGGTAATATTTTTTCCCCTTCTCTTGGATTTGTGTTTATGATTGCCCTACCATGGTTTCTTCAGTTCTAGTAGGTAGGCTATGTGCTTGAACGAGAAAAGAATCTTGAGTTGGCTTCTCGTTACAACCTGATTGATGCCATGGTTTGTTATTTCGTGTACAGTATTAATTATTGGATTGGGTTCGAATCTCTTCTCTTTGGCTTTGCCTGTCAGTAGAAGTAGAACTCGCGTTGTAACTACTGCTGTGTGGAGGGTGACTAAGCAACAACCACCTTCGTCCATGATTTTACTCCCATCAGCTGTTTACATGATGTACCCACCAAATATCTGGCCCTGCAGGTTCTAGCATCGAATACTATCTTGGCGACTATCTAGCTCAGACAGAGAAATCCTGTAATTGGACATCGTCCAATTTAGACACTGCTACAGCACCATCCGCTCGTACGCAGTATCCTAAGGACGATTTACCGACTCTATATCCGAGACACCACTGCATGTTTAACACAAATTACCATGTCGTTTGAAACGAATCCCCCTTCTGACTCTATCAAAGCCACCCCTAGAAAAAGCTCCGATGGACTGGGGACTGGTCTCTTCGCCACTACCAGTATTAAGACCGGAGAAGATGTCATAAGCATCCAGAGACCTTTTGTGGCTGTTTTAGATACACCGCGACTAGCGGATACATGCTCTGGGTGCTTTGGAAGAAGACATTTGGAGAACAATGTGAGTTTGAAGGCGTGTGCTGGATGTCAGGTGGTCTGGTATTGTGATAAGGTTGGTCAACTCCGGTTCTTTCTATCTGCCTTGTCTGAAGCATTATTGTCTCTGATATTACTCTGGTTATCCTTCCTTTTTTAAAAAAAATGCTGTTTCTGTAGCTCTATTACTCTATCTACTACCTGATTGTGCCACTAACTCGTACCTAGATTTGTCAAGCTAAAGATTGGAAATCGGCTCATTCACTGGAATGCTCAATCTATAAAAAGCTAATGCCGAGGATTTTGCCAAACAATGCGCGAGCCATGCTTCGCATGGTTCTGCGCATTGGGCATCGAAGGTATACCAACGAAGAGAGAGATCTCTTTCTCCTACTAGAGACGCACATCAAGGACATCCGTGATAAAAATAAGTCCCAGTGGAATCGCATCGCTCTGACATCCAAGGCAGTGAAAGCGTACTCTGGCACCGACTTGGAGTTAGATGCAATATTGGAGTTTGGTGCCAGGGTAAGTGCTCCCCTAACATAGCCAAAAGTTCTGCAAGTTCAGCACAGCACCTGCTAACACTATCCAAGCTCGACGTGAATTCATTCAATCTAGTAACCCCTTTACACGACCGTATCGGTCTCTATCTAGATCCTGGCGCGGCTTTCATCAACCACAGCTGTGATTACAATTCCGTCGTTGGGTTCGACGGCGACGAACTCTTCGTCAAAGCCATTCGAACAATACAGAAAGATGAACAGATATTCATCTCGTATATAGATTCAACTAACCCCTGTGACATCCGCCAGGCCGAATTACGCGAGAGATACTTTTTCGACTGCCGGTGTCCAAAATGCGAACCGGGAGAAGACCCCGCAGATCTCCTCCCTGATCCGTCTACTATTGAAACAGCGGAAAGAAACCCCATAGACATCACCGTTACTGAGAACAGTGACCCATCCAAAACTGTAAGCCAGGTCGAATCAGCGATGCAAACCCTACGTCAGACTTACTCCTGGCCTCTCACCCGACAACCTCTCATTACTCTCCGAGACGAGTTAATTACCGCCTTACTATCTACTGGGAAATTCAACTCGGCTTTCATCCAAGCTGCTATTCGTCACACCCGCGTCGATCCCATCGTGTATCCTCTCGACGCCCATCCCCTACGCAACATTCACGCCTGGACGCTAGCAAAACAAGCGATCCATTTATCCCAAGAAATGGATCCGGATCCGGTCGGCACAATCTCACTCTATAAATATGATATGAATTTCAGTCTCATCATTTGGTCCATTCTCAATGATCTCGTCAACAGGGAATCCCAGAGTTGCACCGTTCCTAGTTTCAAGAAGATAGTACGTTCGGCGTATGATGAAGTGAATCAGGAGTTTCTGGTCAATGGGCTGGATCCTAATCATATGCGTGAAGAAATCAAAAAGGAGTGGGAGAAAATGGATCGTTTGGTGTCTTTGGCACTTGACAAGAATTGACTTGGTTGCATTTAAAGTTTTCTCTTTAGTGATTTTGTACTTCAGATATGATAGATTGGCAGTAGTGGGTAAGATGGCATGGGTATGATTTATTAAAGTCTGGAGCCAATATATAGAGGGTGTTTAGTTTTCGCATGTTGGAGAATATTAATGAGTCGGTGTAAATGAAGTAAATAGGCCAAGGGGTCTACGAGTTTACGATTTGTGAGTAGCCACTGAGAAATCCACGATCTGAACGTAAGACGTAGAAAGGTAAAACGTCGTTAAATTAGACATCCATCCCTAAACTATAACAGGGAATAGATAAGTCTTTTTTGCCCTTGGCCCGGTCAGACCTAGGACAGGAGATCTCTTCATCATCGGAGTTCTAGGATCCTATTGGTTCGTTCACATGCCGACAAGACCTTTATATTGAGATGCAAACAGCTGACCCGCACTTGACATACAAGTTGATGAACCCAAATAGACGCATATGGCATCCATCGAAATTTGTTTTGTTCTCCCAGCACATCCAGACGCCTGATCCTCCACGCAACACTCCAAAAAGCTTTTCTTCTTTATTTGAGGGGAATGAAACGGGAAGAGTGGGTGGCACCAATACCAGGACGACCGTGCTTGACGGGCTTGCTGTAGGAATTATTAGATACAGCTCTAGATTTAGGTATCTTATTCACAAGAGATATAGAGTAGGAAACGTACTAAGAGATGGAGAATTCTCCAAGGTAGTGGCCAACCATCTCGGGCTTGACTTCGATCTGGTTGAACTCCTTTCCGGAGTAGATACCGATGACGCTTCCGATCATCTCGGGGACAACGATCATGTCACGGAGGTGAGTCTTGACGAGATCAGGCTTCTCGTTGGGCTTGGCCTCCTGCTTGGCCTTGCGGAGCTTCTTGATGAGTCCCATAGGCTTACGCTTCAGGCCACGGTTGAACCTGCGGCGGGCGCGGGCGTGTACGACATCACGGAGCTGTTCGGAGGAGAGATCGAGGAGCCTGAAAAGCGTTGTTCGTCAGAATCTGTCCATCCATACACATGCATATATCTCCATCCATTACGCCTCCAACTCTCATCCGACATTGCGATTGGTCTCGATTCGATTATGTTGTTAGGTCTGAGTCGGAGGCGCTGGAGAAGCTGAAAGGAGAGATAAAATCACGTACTGGTCGAGGTCAATACCGCGGTAGGTAAACTTGCGGAACTGTCTCTTCTTCTTAATCTCTGTTGGGCGAGATTTCTTGTCAGCGCTCTGGTCTTATCCATTTCTTCGAGATTCCATCCAAGTATCGTGGCGTCCTATCCCCTCTCCATTCCTTTCATCTCCAAAAACCAGAATAACATCCATGGCATTGCAGGCGTCGCTCAAAAACAACCCGTAGCACACGTTTCTTTTCTTATATATATATTTTTTCCACCGTTGGGTCCAGGGCAAGGTAAAGTAATATTCAGTGACAACGTACCGGCAGCCTCCTCAGCGTTCTATTGCACATGATGTATTAGCTTCACTCTTCAATAAAGCGGGTAAATACCCCAATTTCCAAAAAGTTATCACTCACGTAGTGTTCGTCAGCCATTTTTGCGGGTGTTCCTCTCAAGGTCGCCTTTCGATCGGGACTCGAAAAGCGAAGGGACGATAGTTTGTCGGTGTCGTGTCGCTGAATGAACGTTCGTCGGGCCAACTTGTGCTTGAGCGCTGGGTTGGGAGTGGGCTGTCTAAGCGACCCGGCTAGGTCAAAAACCCTACACCACTAGTCCGTTCTCGGTGGGAGTGTTTAGGGCTTTCGCATCCTAGCCCTATAAATCAGGTTCGAAGAATACATGATCTACTACCTTTTACCGCCATGATTATTGGCTGGATTCAAAATAGATATTGTGTACTGGGTATGGAGTTGATATCCATGATGCATTTTGGTTATTAATTTAGGTTGTCTCTTTTCTATGTGCGGCTTCAGAAAGTATCATAACGCTTCGGTCTTCGACGTACTCAGTCACTTCACTAAAATTCAACTTACGTACTACAAGTAGAAACCAATATTCATGGAGGTCAGATACTCTGTATTGGCTAAAAGCTCCTTTCAGCTCACATATGCATAGCTCGTAACTGCATCAGAAAAGCCTGAAATATGCAGGCTTGACCGTACTCTTGGGAATTTTCCTCCCCAGTACTGAAAAAAACTGCCAGATCACTGTTCCCCCACGACTTATCGTAAATTTTTTTTTTTTCCTAGGCTCTAGATGGTGAGAGTGTTTAGTCGAAGAGACCGAATCCCATGTCCTCATCGGACTCCTCCTTCTCTTCCTCTTTCTCCTCAGCCGCGGGAGCATCAGCACCGCCAGCGGCAGCAGGGGCAGCACCACCAGCGGCAGCGGCACCACCTGAGGGAACGGAGGCCAGCTTGGAGCTACCCTCGGCGATCAGCTGTTGGGGAATACTGTTAGCTTCCAGTCCACAACTCATCGCATGATATCCAGATAAATATATCACTAACCTCCTGGAGGTCCTTGCCCTCAAGCTCAGCAACGAGCTTGGTGAGACGTTCCTCATCGGCGTCGATGCCAACGGAGGAGAGGACAGCCTTGATATCAGCGGCGGAGGGGGCCTCGTTGCCAGCAAGGGCGAGGAGAAGGTAAGCTGCGAGGTGCTTCATTTTGAGTCTGTTGACAGGCCCTGTTAGAATTGGTTCGACTGCGTTAAGACCGTTCCCGACGACACGCTGGTTGAAAAACACATACGGCTTTTTTTTTTTTAAGTGTATTTGAACACGAGAGTCAATCGATTTAACCGCGGAGTTGAGCGGAGACTGAAACGTCGAGTTCCTGGCGATTAGCGATGTGGACGGAGGAAGCAAGATTCAAGAATCAGATCACTAAATTCGTGAGAAAAAGTGTGTTGCGGCTGGTGGGTGTGGCTAGAGAGAGCGCTGTCTAAGCGAGAGCTTGTGGCGCGCCGACCAATGCCCTAATTGGGTAAGTTTGCACTCTGACTATTTCGTCGGCTCACGTGACTCGTTGCTTCTAGAAGACAGGATGGCGACTCGCTCTGTCCTTTTTCCCTCCCAACCCTTTCATCTAGACAACGTTGCTGTGGCAGCGCCTCTGGACACCGTGTCAATCAAGCCAACGCACTTTTTCAATCCTATCCTGGTGAAATCGGGCGTGAAGACAGCTTATCTGGCCCCTTGAGCGCTGGCTTGAAAAGACGCAACGAAGTCATGAAGTTACCCCGTCGTACTAACCACCGACGGTGAATTTGTTCTCATCAATACCCCGCCTCTTCGGTTGTGATCTGCTGTCAGTTCATCCTTCTTGGCAATCAGAATGAGTGTAAGAGATGGATCCCCCACTTGTTAAGAAGCTGTCTAACCCGTGAGCAGTTTCTTGACTCAGTGCTCTCGTCAATCGAGACGGGAAAGCCCACTCGCATACCACCATCGTCCTCATCCCTGTCAGCCCCTGTTTCATCGTCGACTGCCAAATCCGAGGCCCGCAAACCGTGTACAGCACCCCGAGATGTTCCCTCTGAGCGCAAAAATCTCCCTGTGGGCACAAAACGAAAAGCTGAGGAACAGCTACCCCGCCAAAGGCTTGAAGCTCAAGGATCTCGCAAGTCATTAACCACGCGACCAGCTGCTCCACGCTCGGCTCCCAAGCCTCTTTGTAGCACAGCTTCTCCCTCCAAATCCACGATAAACAACAGGACGTCTGTGGTCCAGAAAGGGCCCCAGGTGTCTTCTAAGCCTCCCCCTAAAGGATCATATGCCGATCTCATGATGAAGGCGAAAGCACTGCAAGAAAAGGCTCCAACACAAGTGGGCATGTTCAAGCATCAGGCTGTCTCTAAGGAGAAACTCAGCAAAGTGGAACGTAAGAAGCGAGCGATGGAAGCGCAGGCAAAGGAGAAAGAAGCGCAAGCGGCCAAAAAGCGCGGGGCTACTTCCAATACGGTGCCGGGTAAGCTCGCCCAGAAACGGGAACCCGAAGAGCTTGCATACAGGGGCACTGCAAAACCGCTGTTGGCCCCAGCACAACCTGAATACCGAGGAACGGCAGGTTTACCAAGTCGGGTTGACCCAACTGATCGGAAGGCGCAGTCACGAGCTGGCAAGCGTTCCAGGATGGATGAATATCTGGGAACCGACGAAGAAGACGAAGGAGAATATGCAGACGAATACGATGACTACTACTCTGACGAATCCTCGGACATGGAAGGGGGATTCGATGATGTGGCTGAAGAAGAAGCAAAAGCATTGGCGGCTGCAAAGAGAGAGGACGAAGAAGAAATGCGCGCGGAGCTTGCAGCCAAGCAAGAAAAGCTGGAGCGCCGTAAGAAACTCGCTACATTAGCAGCCAGGCGACGCTGAGTCTACAGAACGTTCATAACCTTCCGAGCACCATATCGATTTTACTTTTTCCTTGCCGGTAGTTTGACCTGGGTTTCTAGCATATTTTGACTTGGACACGGAGCATCAGCGAGGTATACCCCGAGGGTGCATTTACATACAACCTTCTTTCCTTGTCGTTTTTATCCTTTTAATTTGTCGGTACTATGTTTCAACGTTACTATGTGCATCAGCGAGCGTCATGGTGTCGATAGATGGGTCCAATCTTTGATCTTTTTTTTTTATCTTTACGGATTACAGTGCACTATTATGGGATTTAACTCATGCCTTTGCCTTAGCTCGGCCTACATCACCATTTGGATGCTGAACCCGCGCGTAGGGATAGTTGGAAGTAAGCGCAACTTACAATCCAACTATGATGTTGTGGCGTACATCCCACCACTAAGTTAACTACAGTCTATCGTCTTAAGGGGCGCTTGATTTCGTCTGTATTCCATTAAGTTCCCATCCGATAGCACCATCAGGTCAGATAAGACTATTGCAGTAGGCAAGGCAAAAATAATGGCCAGGCTATCAAAGGCTGAACCTTGAAGAAATCCAGTCTCGTGCACCTTGTCAATGCCCTGTATGATACGGAACCAAGTCACATACAACCCTGCACTAGTGCCATCGTATGTTCAATTTGCTAGACCATCCAACAATGAACAGGATAATGGAGGATGAGGTGTAAATTTAAGTCAATATAGAATCAGGTCAGCCCCACCTGGCGGGCGGTGACATCACCGGCGACACTCCTTCCAATCTCCGCAGTGGAATCAATCAACTTCTTTTCTTACAATTATCTCTGATTTCCTTGCATTGACATTTATCCTTGTTGTTTAAGCGATATTTTTTTCGACCGTCAGGCTGCATAACAGTGCATATTTCAAAATGGAGTCCCAAGTAACGACTTCTCCAAAGGTTTTGTTTAGTAAGGTACGGCAGATGGTGCCGCCGCTGTTGGAGAAGTTCCATAAAGGTATGACTAAATGGATTTTTCGCCTTTCGCCTTGTTTTTCTTCTTTCTTTTGCTGACTTTTGGTACAGGCCAACATGGACGGGTTGCTGTCATTGGCGGCTGTGCCGAGTATGACCCTCTTCCGTTGCTTCCCGCATAAGATGGGCTGAGATCAGTCCAGCTACACAGGAGCTCCGTACTTCTCTTCTATAGCGTCGGCAAAGTTAGGTATACAGGAATCCCTGGCTATATGTTTACTCGGGTTTCACTAATCAGTTTGGTGGTTGATAGGATGTGACATGGTATTCTATCCCACGTGTGCCGCCCAATTTAGTTAAGACTTAAATCTGATTGCAAACAGAGCCATGTCATTTGTGACCGATCTGCAGCTACAGTAAGATATTTTCAATTATTCCAGGTGAAGTATTATTACCTTTTGGTTAATATCTCAATGTAGGTCATTAAAACATACTCTCCAAACCTGATGGTTCATCCCCTACTGCCAAGTAGCGAAACAGTGGGGAACCCGAGCTCCGTCGATGCTCCAGCTTTGGCCAGTCCCATCATCTCCATGCTTTCACGTCTTCACGTGCTAGTAATAGGCCCGGGATTGGGTCGGGACGGCGTGACGCTCAAGGTGGTCACCGAGGTGATGAAAGAAGCTCGGTCCAGGTCAATCCCTTTTGTCCTAGATGCAGACGGTCTGCTGCTCGTGACGGAAGACCCGGATCTTGTGAAAGGATACAAGGAGTGTATCCTGACTCCTAATGTGAACGAGTTCAGCCGTCTGGCCAAAGCCCTGGGGATCGATGTGCCCAGTCAGACGCAGATCTCATCGGAGTCAGGTGGCGATGACAAGACCAAACGGGAAGCAGAAGCTTGTGAACAATTGTCAAAGGCCTTGGGTGGCGTGACAATCATTCAGAAAGGCCCTCACGATGTAATCTCCAATGGAGTCGCCAATATCATCAACACTATTACCGGGGGATTAAAGCGAAGTGGAGGCCAAGGAGATACACTTACAGGATCGCTGGGCACGCTTCTCGCTTGGAGAGCGGCTTATCATAATGAATTGTGGGATTCGGGTGAGAAGGACAACTCAAACGAGGCGCAGAGTCAACAGGAAGTTCTTGGGGAGCTTGAATCAGAGGGCAAGCGCATGTCTCCCGCAACAACTCTACTTCTCGCTGCGTGGGCAGGGAGTAGCATAACCCGCGAATCGTCTCGACGTGCCTTCAAAGCTAAGGGGAGGAGTATGCAGGCTAGTGATCTGACAGATGAGGTCCATGAGAGTTTCCTAGCGTTAATCGGTGAGCCAGAAGGGTCAAAAGTGCATCTGTAATATCCGAATGGCTATGGTGGCTGGTTGGTTTTGGATCAATCACGAACTTGACATCGTACGACAAATGGAGTACCTACCTACCTACAAACATAATGAACGCGCTTCTGGGTCTTGTGTGTTGTCTACCTCCCCAGTCACCTTCTACCATTGCTTATATTTTTTTCTCCTCCCAACCTTGCCTAAATATAGTATATCCCAAGGGTGATTCTGTTCCACAACCAACCCAGATGACATCTCCCATATCAACAAATACCGACCGGTACTATTGCTCAGCTAAAAACCTTATGAAAAAGCCCAAAAGTTGGACCGGGTTCGCAGATTCGCTTGCCACTCACTTCCATTTGCCAAGTTCCAGAAACCATCCGAGAATGATTCGCAGATCGTAAACAATGGCAATCGAGTCATCCAATCCATATGTCCACTAGTTCGACATATTATCCCTCCCTTCCGTTTATAACCACCAATTATATACATGAGAAAGGTTCGAAGAGAGACGCGGGGAACAGCGCCACAATGACACAGACGCTAAATTGGTCCATCCCACACCCCCAGATCCACGTGTTTGACTCAAGGGAGAGTATTAAGTTCGTTCCTCCACGTTACCGATGTCATATCTGAGACATTCAGTCCAGATTCTGTTCTCAACATCGGTACTGGAGCTCGTATTCCAGACCGCCCACTGCCTGTCTGTGGCTTTGGAGAGAACCTCGACGAAGCACTAGAGACTGTGTCTCAGACGTTGTAGCTCTGTTGTTCGCTTCTCCATGACGTGGATATACGATGGTTGGATGCCTGTCTGACTACTGTGGCTTACTTGCCCGATGAGAGATACAGTCATTGGCTTTTTTCTCCTACATGGTTTTCCCTCCAGGATACAGATCAGAAATAGAAGCTGAGCTAGGAGACAGGATCATATAGGTAGACCGGGGAAAAAACGAAGCTATATAAAGAGGGCACTGGACACCACGATAATCAATAAAATCCCATCCAGTTCACCATTCTCTCTATCTTTCTCTTACTACCATTGGTTAATCCATTCTATTCATTGGTCCTTTAAGCCAAAGAAAAAAAAAAGCTAACCACTCAAAATGAAATCCATCTCCATTGTCGCCTCCCTCCTTGCCAGCTCCTCCCTCGTCCTATCCAATACTATCCCTGCTCCAACATGCGGGACTTGCAATCCTCTCTCCGGCCAGAACAACTGCGACATCACCACCTCATGCATCAACACAGGAACTCGTTTCCACTGCGCCTGCCGTGCAGGCTACAAGGCCTCCGAGGATAACAACGATATCACCAAGCAGTACCGTCTCAATGTGCCCAATTACCGGTTCTTGGTTTTTACCACGGAGTCCACCCGGTGTGACACCCTCTGTGATAATCCGTATGGTGCTAGCCCTGACCTCTGTGCTGAGGTCCCCATCCGCAATCACTGTCCTGTTTAAGGGCGGTGGGTGAACTCGGGGCCGATTTTATATAACGCACATCTATCTATATATGCTTCTATCTACCTGTATCTATCTCTATTTATCAAGCTTGATTAATGTGTTGAGAGGATGTCATCGTGGTACCTGATCTTGATGGACTCTACAGGGGATAATTGCGAAGCTCGTCTTGGTTTAATGTCACTCCTTCATAGCGTGCAGCCTCAATGAGAATCATATCTTAAAGCCCCATACTCCAAAACAACTCTTAGATTCGCACAATGAAAAAGAATTGACTAGAGAAGATTTTGACCAATCACCTCAATGAAGAGAATATACACCAGAAACACCTAGCCCGGTTTCTACCCATTGCAAATCTCACATATGCTCCCTACATGTGCCAATAAAACGAATCCAGACTCTCATGGATTTAGAAAGAAAGGAAAATGGTGAACTTGGAGCCAGTAAATCGGGTAGAAATAAATATTAGACTATCGTCAGATACCACGATTCGAAATCCACCCATCACATAGCCATTTCTCCGTCAATATCAAGGAATACCAGACGTGTGCCATCACCAGCAATTTGCCAGACCTGGACAAAGGAACATGGTTAATATCTGTCAACATTAAAGACGCTACTTTGGAAAAACTTACGTGCATGCTCTCGTATTCACCAATAGCCATGGTCAGCTGATCCTCAGTGAAGCCCTTCGCCAGCACTCTTTCCCTGATCCTCCTCATACTAAGTGCGCCCTCGACTCCGTCTCCAACAGCTGCGGCACCACTCTCCCGCATGTGCCGGATCAGATTATAGATCTTGCTAGTAGGGCTCTGATCTGTGCCTCCATGGCCATCGTTGGACAGGGACGACTTGCTGACCTCAACTAGGCGCAGGGCCTCATCGACATCTTCGGTGACCACGACATTACTGAATCGAAGACGCGCAAGCGCTTGTGATAGACGAACAATTCCGAGCAAAGTACGGGGTGTGACGTGAGAGAATTGCTTCTTGTTGGCCTCGTCGATCTTCTGATCCTTTCTCATTCTCACATACGCACCGACCATGTAATCCGAAATCGACGACGGCACAACTGGTCGGTAGGTGCGTGCCTTGGCAATGTACTGGCGGACCTCATTGGGCGTGAACATGATTCCGGCATCCTCGGACTCAGGGTGTTTGTTGTGCATATGGACATAGGTGACATGATGCGCCAATTCTTCGTCACCTTCGGGCGAAGGCGTGTCGAGGATTAGGAACATGATATCGAAACGCGAAAGCAGCGCAGCAGGAAGGTTGATGTTCTCCACTGGGGAAATTCGCGGATTGTACCGTCCATAAAGTGGGTTGGCCGCTGCCAGGATAGACGTCCGAGCATTGAGCGTGGTGGTAATTCCTGCCTTGGATATGGAGATAGTCTGCTGCTCCATCACTTCGTGGATGGCAGTCCTGTCGGCATCATCCATCTTGTCGAATTCATCAATGCAGCAGATGCCGTTGTCTGCCAGGACCAGGGCTCCTCCTTCCAACACCATTTCATCTGTCACAGGGTCTCTCATCACGGCCGCCGTGAGACCTACTCCACTACTTCCTCGACCAGTCGTGTACACCCCACGAGGAGCAACCTTGGCGATATACTTCATAAGCTGGGATTTCGCAACACCAGGGTCACCCATCAAGCAAATATTGAGATCTCCACGAATGTGCATGCCATCACCCATCTCCTTCGTCACACCTCCAATGAGGAGTAAAAGCAACGCCTTTTTGATATCAAGGTGGCCATATATCTCAGGAGCGATGGACCGTGCAAGGTACTCGTACATGTTCCCAGACTTTTGGTACTGTTCGATCTTGCGAAGTGTTCGGCTGTCCATGGCTATATCATTGTACGACTTTTTGTGCTGTGTGATGTGCTGAGCCTCCATGTAAGTATCAGTCAGTAAGCCAGCACGAATAGCCTTGAAACCCGTATAAGGAGTAGGGAGGAAGATTCCAGCAATATCAACAACGTCTCCAGGGTTCACTTGTCGTGTAAGACTTCCATGGCAGTGAATGGTCATTGTTCGCGGAATATGGCCAACAGGGACCTGCTCCGCCATCTCTTGGATCTTCACTTCTTGGAAAGGAACGAACTTAGAAGCACGAGTGGAAAGGAACAACTGTCCCTTAGAGTTGTTTTTCTTGCACTCGTCTGATAGACACTCTGTCATAGGCATAAATTGCTTAGTAGTAATCGGCTGAAATACCTCGGATCCGCAGCGGTCACAAGTGTAGGCATTGATTTGGACTGCTGGCTTGACGTCCGAGACACGTGTAGTGATACCACGAACGGTGATCAAGCCACCAAGATACTCTGCACGTATATTTCGAACAGCAAAGGCTTTAGACTCGCGTTCTCTACTCGAACCCGAAGGAGTAATGGGCTTGAAATTCAAGGTGTATCGGCGTGTCAATTCTGGAGGAAATATGGAAGGAGCTGTCACAGCATCTTGATCAGCTTCCATAGCCATGTTCATAGCCTCGTTTCGTTTTTCGCGTTGCGACATGATGACATCAAGGACGTCGTCTTTGAATCTACAATGTGTTAGCAATAACCCTGTCAAAACTCTAGTATTGGCATACGTGATCTCCCTGGTCTCTCTAGGCATAACATCATCCGCAGCCTGGGAGAAAACATCGACGTAGCGCTTGGTATTATTCACTATGGACTCGACGAGTTTCAAATCTGTGTCCTCCGGAAGTGATTTTTCGAACTGTGACCATCGCGTTAGGCGTGGGCGCAAGCATCAACAAGACTAAGTACTTACAGCAGCCAGATCATCTAGCTCAATCAGGATGTTCGACCGCTCTCGGTCCGCCACGTCCTGCAAAATTTGCATGTACTTTAGTTTTGGTTCCCGGCTTCTGCGGCGGGCCCCCTCTCTCCCTTCTTCGTCCCCCACATCGTCCATAAAGTCATACTCATCACTTGTGCGGTCTCCATCAATGTGCAAGTCTTCAATAGCTTCAGCAGCAGAGGAGGCTGAGGCCGACTCGAAGCTTTTGAAGTGCTTCAGGAAGTCTTTAAAAGCATCTAATTGCGCCGCATAGTCGACAGGGGCATGGTACTGAAGCAAAGCCATTGTGTGGCAATGGAACAAGCCGGAGCAATTGACTGTTAAGAGGCAGTAATGAAGATGCGAATAACTATCGTACTAAGTTCGCATGGATCGGGTGCAGAAGGAAGCGGAGCTTTGCTCTGTTGGTGGATTTCTCGGAGAGAGAAGTTCGTCGGTGGATCTACGCTGAGCCGTCAGTGGCCTTAGGCGCAAAACACGTCGCGACGCGAAAGAGACGCGTCACCCCTTCCTCGCACTGTGCTAGTCCCAACGCGGCGTAGCACTGCAGCACGTGAACCGGAGCGGATTAAGTCTCGGTCCGAAGAGCGTCAGGCGGGCCGGCTCGGCGAACGGCGTCTGGCGGGCATTTGATTTGCAAAGGAAGTCTGGGGTGATAGTGAGTTGTTGTCTCGTCTCTCTCCTCTTCTCTGGAGCTCCTTAATCTACCCCTCCGTCGCTTGTGGATATCAGGACACTGTTTGTCTGTAGCGCCTGAGGATGGCGCCCCGAAAACCCTCCACGACGGCGGAAGTCACTCTGGTTCCGTTAAAGAACTGTCTGGTGAACTTGCCGCCATCTTTGACCGCACTGCTGGTCAATGCTAATACTGTACGTCGTTTCTCCCTCCCCCTCGAACCGTATGCTCCCTATCATGACTTACCTTATTTAGACCGCGCAAAATGTAATTGTTGAGTTACAATACCGATCCACAACTGGCAAGACCAATGGCAATTCTGCGCAACGCTCCTGCTATCTGGGATGGTCCGGAATGGCGAGCAAGCGAAAGCTTGCGCCGATTGTTGGAAGGGATGGTATTAGTGGCGGTTCTTCTAGAGAACAAGATCTCTCTACGGTCGAGCTCGATACTACATTCGGTAGACTTCTAGGCTTGTCTGATGGGCAGAAGGTGCGCTCGAACATTGATCATGACGGCGGATTTCACAGGTGCTAATATGCTCAGGCCTGGATATTCATTCACTTGGATCCTCCAGAGGCCCATACAATTAATATTGAGCCGCTAACCCCCGAAGATTGGGAAAGTATGGGCTCCAAATCCCCGGCAGTTTTTGTCGTCTGTACGGACACTCATTGATTACAGTCATCGAACTTCACGCAACGTTTCTGGAGCTGAATCTTTTATCGCAAATCCGAGCTCTGCCCAACCCCACTTATAGTACAACAGAAGCTGAACATATGCACCCTCTTACGTTACATCTTTCTCCAACCTCGACCGCCAATATCGTCGTTACATCGCTCACTCCTGTCCCACCCAGCACTTCGTCTTTCACAAAGATCGCTCCAGACGCCGAGGTTATCGTTGCTCCAAAGGTGCGGGCCAAGTCAACACGAGGATCTCGTGGTGACAGCCGAAGCGTCAACGGGAGCAGCCGAAGAAGTGCCGGGGGACGAAGCAGCGGAAGCACGGTACGACCGAAGAGTCGATCAGACTCCACCAGCAGAGGGTCTCTCTATTTCAGGGGTGTTGACCGTCAATTGTCTGGGCAATATTTTGACGAAGAGTTCGAGGGTGACAATAACGAGGGCTTCCGTGTTTGGATTGATCCGGACATGCTTGCTAGCAACGAGCTACGCGGGGCCAGCTGGGTGTGCGTCACCGTCATTCAACCTGCTGGACTGAAGCCGCCACCCGATCCTCAACAACAACTGAATCAGGCCGAGCAAAAATCAAATGACGCCGGCACGCCTGCTTCCAAACTGGTGGCTAAATTGACACCGTGGATCGATGCCCCGGATAACCAACACATCGCCTTGTCATCTCTTCTCTGCTCTTCTTTGGGCGCCGAGAACATGGTTGGTGGCATTGTTCGGATCGAGGCAGCACCTCCACCGTTGCAGCGATCTGCGGTGAAGTCTCTCAAAGTATACCCCTTCGTGTCTGATGCGTCGAAGAAGAAAGATGGACTCAAGTTTGGTGCCGACAGTACGGCCGCGAAAGATGCATTGGCCGAACGTATTAAGGTGATATATGGCAGCACTGGGACAGACAAAGGGGTATTGTCGGGTCCCTTAACAGATGGAATGATCCTGCCTAAAGCTGATAGCCAGGCGGTGTCTACATTTGACGGCGCGATTATTCGATTCGATCCTCCACTGAAAAACGCATCTGAAACGTCCAAACCTCCTCTTGGGTGGCTTTTGGGATCGGAAGCTAAGCTATCCCTCACAATACAGTCTGAGATACCGAGACCTATTGATCAAGGTTCGTCTGCTTTACCAACAGACGAACCAATCCCCTCCATCGCCCCAGCAATGGTGGGTATCGATCGAATTATTTCGCAGTCCCTTGAAAATCTGACAAAGTCATCTTCTATTTTAATAACTGGTGGTCTCGGGTCGGGAAAGACAGCTCTGAGCCATCTTTTGGCGCACCGAGTCCGGAAGGAGAACCTCTGCAACGTGAAATACTTTTCTTGCCGGAAGCTTGTCACGGACGAGACTCGAATCTCCAATATTAAAGAAACTTTGAATCGCCTATTCATGTCTGCTTCCTGGAGTGCTCGTCTTGGCGGACAGTCGGTCGTGGTCCTAGATGATCTTGATAAACTATGTCCGGTAGAGACGGAACTACAGGTAGGAGGCGACAATGGCCGCAGCCGCCAAAATAGTGAGGTGATCTGCTCAATGGTCCGCGAATATTGCTCCATGAACTCTCCAGTGGTACTGCTAGCAACAGCACAGTCGAAGGAATCACTAAACAACGTCATAATTGGAGGCCATGTTGTCCGTGAGATTATTCACCTGGGAGCTCCAGACAAGGAAGGGCGACGAAAAGTGCTGGAGCAATTGACAAGCCAAGACAGAGAAGCTAGTGTTTCGATGAACGGACATGCGCGGAGTGAGAGCGCGTCTACTCAGGACTCCTGGTTGGATCCGTCAAACCCCGGCAGTCGCCCCAGCTCCGCTGGGGCAGATGGCTTCGTGCTCACGCGGGATGTCGACTTTCTTGAATTGGCTGGCAAAACAGATGGGTATATGCCTGGAGACCTGGTCCTGTTGGTCGCTCGTGCTCGAAACGAGGCTCTGATACGTTCTGTCCAAGACCCCTTGGCAGCCTCGAGAGTGATCACGCTTGGGTTCCAAGACTTTGAAAATGCCATCAAGGGCTTTACCCCCGCGTCGCTTCGTAATGTTACTCTCACGTCATCCACAACTACATTTTCTACCATTGGCGGTTTGCACGCCACTCGAAAAATGCTACTGGAAACGCTGCAGTACCCCACTAAGTACGCCCCAATCTTTGCGCAGTGTCCCCTCCGTCTGCGCTCAGGATTGCTGCTCTATGGCTTCCCTGGCTGTGGAAAGACCCTCCTGGCCAGTGCAGTTGCGGGTGAGTGTGGCCTGAACTTCATCAGTGTGAAGGGACCGGAAATCTTGAATAAGTACATTGGCGCGAGTGAGAAGAGCGTGCGTGATCTGTTCGAAAGAGCCCAGGCCGCCAGACCCTGTGTCCTATTTTTCGACGAGTTTGACAGTATAGCACCCAAGCGTGGCCATGATTCTACCGGTGTTACCGACCGTGTGGTCAATCAACTCCTTACGCAAATGGATGGTGCAGAAGGATTGTCGGGTGTTTACGTCCTCGCCGCCACGTCTCGGCCCGATCTTATTGATCCTGCGTTGCTGCGTCCGGGACGATTGGACAAGTCTTTAATCTGCGATATGCCGAACGAGTCGGACCGGATCGATATCATCCGGGCAGTAAGTAAGAAGCTGATGATGGATGAGGAGGTCACGGCTCGCTTGGACGAGGTGGCCGCCAGAACTGAAGGCTTTTCCGGGGCTGACCTCCAGGCGGTGGTCTACAACGCTCATCTGGAAGCCGTCCATGATGCCCTCGGCGACCACTCGACGGACAAACCAGCGGCGAAAAGCAACAACACCAAGCAGTCGTCGACCGGCACCAGCACCAAGTCCTTCATCCAGTTCCTGTACTCCACATCTGAACAGAATAGCTCGGTCTCCATGCCGTCACATGCCGCTGTCGCATCAAAACTCGACGCGATCAAGAGCGCCCGACGGCGCCAGCGGCAGATAGGACAAGCGACGACAAACACCGCTGCGCCCGCCACCAACGACGTTAGCCAGAATGAACCCCGCGAAGAGATCGTTGTCCGCTGGGAACATATGGAACGATCACTAGCCAGCACCCGCAGTTCCCTCAGTGAGGCCGAGCGGAGACGACTGCAGGCAATATACCGCGAGTTCGTGGTGGGCAGAAACGGAGAGATGCCCAGTGGTGAAGCCGGGCGAGAGATTGGGGGACGAACTAGTTTGATGTGATGTGACATGTACATTTATTACATTCTAGAAGTGTATAGAAGAACTATCTTGTGTATGTAAGAGTTGATGCGTACTCTCATGGCCTTATTTACTAGAGGAAAAAAGGTCCCCACCGAGATTCGAACCCTCGCCTTCCAAAATCTCAATTGCAGTGCAAAGCATCCCAAATACCGTACCTCGAAATCAAACGGGGGAGTGATAAAAAAAAACTGGTAGCTTCTCTTTGATTGAGCGTGTCATCCTTAGTGCAGGGGCCATGCTAATCTTCTCTGTATCGTTTCAAATTGACCAAATGCCCGAAGGCAACAAATTCTTGCTTGCTTTGAATGATATACGAGACTATGATGGTACATAATTGGTCGGCTAAGCGAGGCGGTGTGGGAACACCTAATATACGTTATTTACCACAAAAAGGGGTGGAGAGGTTAAGGTTGAGATGGTACTGCGTAGAAATCTACTCCATATTTCTCCGGGACAAGGTACCTGTGAATGATCGGATGGATTGACGTAGCTCGTTTGGCGACAAACTGGGTAATTGCTGTGAATGATGGTCATGGCTGATGGCGTGGAGGACCGTGTTCAGGCATCTACTCAGAGTAGACAGGTGTGTGACTGATTGAATGAATGGACGGATTGAAGAACCATAGGTTGGTTCCGGAGCGGTTCCGGCCAGATGCGGGGCCCTCGAATCTTGATATCGACTGTCGGCCTGGACATCAAGTCGATGACAATGCCGAGGGCCGAATCGCCAGTGTCCAACCGATTACTCAGTCGATAAACTAAGATATCTCCGAAGGTTAATTACCTGATCGATATCTCCCTTTTCCTTTCTCATAACCTTCTTTTTCTCCTTCTTTTCTTCCATCGCATCTTTGTCGACTCTCTCTTCCCCGTCGCTTTGGACCTTTTTGAACCTCCTGTTTTACTGCAATCTCCCCTCTGCCTTCGTCTCCAATTTTCCCCGCACGGTCGCCATGCCCGTCTCCTCATCCTATCCGCCCTTAGACATCCCCAATGTCGACCTCTGGACCTTTCTGTTTGAACGGAAAGATAGGCCATTTCCCGATGACAAAAGTCGGTTTCCAGTTACCTGTCTACCCTTGTGCCCCAACTGACCGTCCATTAGTCATCTACCAGGATGCTGACACCCAAAGATACTACACGTATCAGAGCCTGAAAGAGGCGGCGCTGTCCTTTGGACAAGGGCTGAAAGCTATCTGGGATTGGCGCAAAGGAGACGTGTTGGCCTTGTTCACGCCTAATAGCATTGACACCCCCGTGGTGATGTGGGGTACTCATTGGGCCGGGGGCGTCGTGTCCCCAGCGAATCCAGCTTACACCGTTGATGAGCTTGCCTACCAGCTGAAGAACTGTGGCGCAAAAGCGCTGGCCACCCAGGTCCCTCAGCTGTCCGTAGCAACAGAAGCTGCCAAGCTGGCTGGGATTCCCGAGGACCGGATCTTCCTCGTCGGGGACGAACGAGACTCTCAGTTCCGGTTTAAGCACTTCACATCTATCCGGAATATCTCTGGCGCGACAAGGTACCGCAAAACAAAGATCAATCCGGACAAAGATCTGTCCTTCCTCGTCTATTCCTCTGGCACCACTGGTGTTCCCAAAGGTGTGATGCTCTCCCACACAAACATCGTCGCCAACACCCTGCAACTTGCCTCTGGAGAGGCCAACAACATGACATGGAATGGAGGTTCTGACGGAAAGGGTGACCGGATTCTGGCATTCCTCCCATTCTTCCACATCTACGGTGAGTTGGGCATCCCTTTCTGTCTCTCTGTCTCTCTCTGTCTCTCTCTGTGAGCCGAAATACTGACTGGTTCACAGGCTTGACCTGCCTTGTTCACCAAACCCTGTACCAGGGATATCAACTCTACGTTATGCAACGATTCGATATCGAGAAGTGGTGTGCACATGTGCAGAACTACCGTATCACCTACAGCTACGTCGTACCTCCAGTTGTCCTTCTACTGGGCAAGCACCCGATCGTGGACAAATACAATCTATCGACTCTGCGTATGATGAATTCAGGCGCTGCTCCACTCACTCAGGAGCTCGTGGAGACTGTGTATGCGCGTATCAAGGTCCCGATCAAGCAGGGATACGGTCTCAGTGAGACTAGTCCCACCACGCACGCCCAGCCGTGGGAAGAGTGGCGTACCAGTATCGGGTCAGTGGGCAAAATGCTCCCTAATATCGAAGCTAAGTACATGACCATGCCCGAAGATGAGTCGCAGCCGCGTGAGGTACCAGTCGGCGAGGTGGGCGAGCTGTACCTGCGAGGCCCCAACGTCTTCCTGGGCTACCACGACAACCCTACCGCAACGGCTGAGTGCCTCTCCGCCGATGGTTGGTTCCGCACCGGAGACGTGGGCTACCAGGACAAGAACAACAACTTCTACATCACGGATCGTGTTAAGGAGCTCATTAAGTACAAGGGATTCCAGGTGCCCCCGGCGGAGCTGGAAGGTCTCCTGGTGGACAACGAGGCGGTGGACGATGTTGCAGTCATTGGCCTGGAGAGTGAGGCCCATGGCACCGAAGTTCCGCTGGCCTTTGTTGTGCGAAGCGCAAAAAGCAAGGCATCGGGAACCAGTGCCGAGCAGGAGGCCACCAACATCGTCAAGTGGTTAGACGGTAAGGTGGCACACCACAAGCGTCTACGAGGAGGAGTGCGGTTCGTGGATACGATCCCCAAGAGTGTAAGCGGAAAGATCCTGCGACGAGTGCTGAAGAAGCAGGCCAAGGAGGAAGCCGCTGCTCCCAAGGCCAAGCTGTAGAGACCAGTCTGTGTATTAGACCGAAGAACGTGTTAATAGTTATAGAAAACAATATGTATCTTCAATGGCATTTTCCCCGTTCGTCTTTAAACTATAATCCCGCGTCATCGACAGGGTTTAAAGAAAACATATGACTACTACCAGACTATGGAAAACAGACTACGGAAAGAACCGTTTCACCATGGCATCGACATCTTCACCGTCAACGGCATCCACCTTCTCCCTCACCACCTGACCCACCGCCTCGTCAATAGGCACCTCTCCATTCACCAGATCATACCATCCATCAGTATCAGCGCGAGCCAGCAACCGATCCGCCACAATCGCCACATCCTCGCGGGTAACCTTGCTGCGCCCGGTGGTCTTCCCCAGCTGCACTTTTCCCGTCGCCGGGTCATCCGACAAGGTACCGGGACGCAGGTTGATCGCCTGCAAGGGGTGCGCCGCTCCCTGCTGGACCAGTTTTTTGCGCTGGGTCGCCAGCGCAGTCATATATTCATCGGCTTCAAGTTTGGCCTTCGCATAGGCCGGGAGAACATTATAGAAGACGTTCTGCAACGTCTCCCACTCTGCATCAGACATCCAGGACGGATGGACGCGACGACTCCCGATCCATGAGACGAGTAGGAACTTGGTTACGCGCGGAGATGCAAATGACGCCGTCAGGAAATGTTTTGCTGCTTTTTCGTCAATCGCGAATGTTCGTTCGGGTCCGCCTTTACCTCCGGCACCTTTTTTTGTTCGTCTCCCGCGGAGATGAGATGATTAGCCTAAGAAATAAGACCAGAAATAGAGGTATATATATATATATATATATAGATACATAGGTACGTAGGTATGTGGGTAGTGGGTTTGAAACAGTAACCCAGGTATAGATGGATATTCGCATACCAGCCGACCACACTACATAATCTGGGGAAACGATATCTAGGATCTTCTTTGCGTCCGCATCGCTCTTGACGTCATCCAGGCTGGAGACAAGGACGTCCAACTTGCCTTTGGTGTCCTTACCTAAGGCAAGGATCTCGGACTCGTGGTCTGGGTTGCGGATTACGCTGGTGACATTCCAGGCGCGGTTGAGAAGAAGCGGGGTCAAGCGTATGGCTATTTTGCCATGACCACCGAGGAGGAGGACTTGCATGTTGCAAGGGATAAATTGTAAAAACTTATTTATTTAGTTTTTCTCTTTATTTTATCAGATTTTTATCTAAACTGCGCAGGTAAGGTAGTTGGAAGGGAGAGGAAAGGAGGGGAACAGGAGAAGAGGAGAACCTGGTCAATTAATAATGACGGCATCACCGTTGGTTGCAAGGGAGCATCCCATCCTCTGTTTCCGATTGTCCCAGTACCCCTGTTCCTGTTCCTGTTCCCATATAAATCATCCCGGTTACCCAGTGAACCTTCTAGGGATCCTTGATGATAGACTCTGTATCCCTTCAGACCGGGATGGAGTTCGTCGAAACCCAATGCGATCCATCCAGGACATGATCCCTGTCTGTTCATCAAGGGAACCTGCTTGAAGAACTGAACCATGGACGAAGTCTACTCAGAGCACGGTCTTGTCTAATTCATGTCTATTCATATACTTTGAACAAATAGACAGGATGAAACACCGGGCCATCGCCTTGTGGGCGGAGAACAAATCACCACGCGGGAGAGCTTGGTCAATGAAGGGCCAGTTGATCTAATCTTAAGCACAGATCCATGTCATTGGTCTGTCTGAAATTAGTCGAAGGGCTAAATTGTGGGAAAAAAAGAAGATCTTACGTTATTAAACCGCATGAGGGATCGGGAATATCTGGTGTGTATTTCCTTAGCGACAAGCCACACAGCCCGGAGATGAGATTAATTAAGATTGTAGAATCCACGGGTCAAAAGACCGATCTGGGTCCTCAACGCGGGAAAGACGACCTTTGTCGTTATAAATCTCTATCTCCTTGACTCGATTTTAACCTTGTTTTTGCTCAGATTAATAATGATAATAATCGTCCCTTTTGTCCTTCGTCTGACCTTATTCGGCATGTATCTACGGTACTGTCCCGACCGTTACGGTACAAACATGGTAATACCACCGTATCATACCATACCAGGCACCAATACACCTTCCAAGTTTAGTCTGGTAAGGGGCATCCACTCTGGCCTTCCTGGGGCTGGCTCTTCTGCCTCATTATTGACTATCAGTTGGCTGCGAATTCTTGCGAGACTTGAGGCGATTGTTTCTGGCTCCCGTCAATCTTTCATACGGAGTGTTTCCACCACCTATTCTCAGAAAAGATACTACCGACAGACTCCCTCTCGAGTTTACAGAAGGTATGGATGTGGGAGACGCTAATCAAACCTTACCCTCTCAACCATTTCAACGGCTGTCATGGCCCCATACCATGCCATATGTGTCACTCAGAAACGATTTCCCGGCTAAAGGAACCTTCTCTTATCCTTTTCCTTTTACTACATAGTACCCAATCCACCGGAATCCACTATTGTGTTCCCTAATCCTGAATTCTCGGTGGTTGATCGGTGCCTGGTCCACAGGCTCTTATTCCGTACTCCGTACTCCGCCCTAGGTTTATCCCACGGGGCACACACCAAAATTCTGGTTGTCTCCCAATTTTGTGCCCGCTGGGATGGATGGATCGATACCGATCCCGTGGACTCTGACTGACAGTACGTGATCAGTCCGTTCAATGTTGGCAGGTCAATGATCGTATTTTTTTTTTTCGTTTCACCCGAGGGCTGCCTCTGTGTGCCCATTTGCAATCACCGAATTTAGAAGCAGGTATAGTTCCATATGATATTTCGACATGTGGCTGATTTGGTAACAGCATCACCGACCAGGGAGCTGCACGCTGCTGTGGAATATCTGTGTCGGGATTTCACGGCATTTATCGCCTGTAAGTCAATGTGATTGTCTCCGCTCCTCGAAATTTCCGGAACACGTCTAGCGTCTTGGTGTTGGGAGTGAAATTTCCTCCAGTAGCTAGGTCACATCGCAATATCAATCTACGGACTATTAAATTGGGCAGTGGATGCCATCGATTTCGACACTATTCTTCGTGATGCTCTCACGTCCCATGGCTTGCTGCAACCTTTCCCCTCTACTCCGTTCAGGGTTAAATGAATCAGTCCTCTCAATAGAGGCTGAAGCAGCTCCAGGTCAGATCGGCCCACATCCCGTGATACGCGATGGGCTAGTGTAGGTAGATATAATTATACGGTGTGCTCAGAATCCGCACGATTACATCTGTTTGGCGGGGTGTAGTTCGTAGTGAAGGATAGAGGATAGCCATCAATTTCCCGTCGAATAGGATTCAGAGCTCAACAACGTTGCATCTCAGTGTAGGAAAAAAAAAAGAAGCTTACATCATACATACGGCAGATAGTTAATTAGTTGGTTCCATGGCGCAGCAAAGGATATGTCCGTATTTACTGTATAGACGAATCCACTCTGCTGTCAGCTCTCGTACCTTGATACTGGTATATGTATGGTAATGGAGCAGGCCCTTGCAGCGCGATCCGATTCGTGGTTTCTTCGAGTGAGCCTGTAAGGGGCATAGTGGGTCAGGTCCATAGTACTGTACGGTAACCGAGGGGAATCCATGGTTTCTGTGACAGTTTGTTATGATTCTTCCCATACTTTTCGCTGTTGACGGGAAAGAGATCATTATGTTGTTTGGATAAGTTGTAGACCTGAAATATTCTATAGAATATTGGAATCTTATTTCCTGCCAGGTATTAGAGCAACCTCAAAACCCCGAATAGATGATTAATGTCGCCATCCCAATCCAAATCTCGTGTCGATCCGCTTTTCCCCCAACTCGCTGACCCAATAAATTCACCCTCCAGAGTGGCTCTGGAGTGGCTCTGGAGTGGCTCTGGACTGTTTGTCTGGATTCTTTGCTCTCAGGTACCAGTGAAAGTAGCAGACTAAGCCTGGAAAGGGCCCGTTCCATTCAAATTAAATTGTTTAAAAAAAAAAAAAAAAAAAGGAAAACAGAGACACGACGATCGGATCCAGATCCCTTCTTTCGCTCTCTCTCTGTCCATCCGAACCAACAAACATATCGTCGTATTCAGTCTGATTCTTATTACTGTCCTTCATTTCCTTCTCTTCTCATCCTCTTATCATTCATTCGTTTTCTTCCTTCTATCTCATTTCGTTCCAATTCAATCACTGAAGTACGGAGCACAAACTATTCCCACCTGTCATTGTTTCGGCTGTCCGCTCACTATCCCACTGCATCAGTGCAGCTACATTACATTCCACATTCCCCCCCTCCGTCTCATGCAGAATTCCCCCCAACACGACCAATTCGACCGGTATTATCTCCAATCATTGAACCCTGCCCCCTCCCACTATTTCGACCAATTCTCAGCCCACCCTGCACCTCGCTTCCACTATTGGCATCTGGCCCGTGACCTACGCTCGCAGCTTGGCTTCGCCGCGGAAGTTGGTCTCGACTGAGAGCCCTTCCACATGTCTAGGGGATGGTTCCGTGATTGAAAAGCCTGTTACCTTCACATTGGTGTCTGTCCTCTCCAGGATTCTTACTTAGATGGTCCGGGGGGGCTAGCATTTTATTGTCGCCTGTGCTTCAGCGTTCGACTCAATTCGTCCGCTGCAACAACCTCGTTCCCTGTGAGTCGCTTACTTTTCGTCTCGACTCATGCAGTGTTCCCTCCTGGAACTATCCATGATTCTAACCCTTCAAGTTGGCTCGATTCTGGCTATTTATTCTATATTCGATATCCACCCATTGACCGTCGGCGTTACACCCATTCTCCCTCTCTCTTTCGTGTGCGCCGACTGAGCCTTCCGACCTGCGTTCGACATTCTCATCCCTGTCCACGAAATCCTCATGATGAATCGATTCCGGAAGACGAAGAAGGAGAAGGTCAAGGAGGATGTGGAAGTCCCCGAGAGTACGCCGACTTCGTTTGCGTCCATATTGTCCAAGAAGGGCAGGAAGGAGGAGCCCGAAGTGAAGCCGCAGCTGGATCTGTCCGCCGCGCTGCCCTCAAATGATGACTTCCGCACGAGTCTTATAATGCCCAAATTATCGGCGCGTTTCAGTATGCTGAGAGAGCAGGATGACCCTGCGTCGCTCATCGGTAAAGCAAGTGACGATAGCGTCCTATTTCCCAGGCGTGCCTCCCGGTTGAATATCTTTGGACACAACCCGAATCTGCTGTCCGATATCGACGAAGTCTCCATTGACGGGAGCCGGCCCTCTATGGCTCTCGGACGCGCAGACTCCCTCGCTTCTGGTGGGGACGGCTACGGCACAGACGACGATCGATCGCAACATGGCAGTATCATGAGTAGAGCCCGTCGTGCTGAAGGCAATAGTCTGTTTGGTGGACGGCAGAAGATTTACAAGATCCCTATAAAGGCAGCGTCTTCAGAACCTAGCCCAGAACCAGGACGCACCCCCATGGGGGGCCGCACGTTCTATGAACATGACCTGAGTATGCCTGCCTTCCAACGGCAGAGATCCAGGGAGAAAGAGGAGCAAGTGTCCGACGAAGCTGCGCAGGATGCTTTAGCTCAGGAATCCGAGGATGGCTTGTCTAGTATTTCCACCAAACGTACTACCTATTCCTCGACAACGTCGGGTCCCACTTCCAATGGCCGCACGTCAACAGCGGCTACTTCATTCGATGAGCCCTCGTTTGCTGGCGCATGGCCCCAGATGTCCTCAGGCTGTGGTGGCGAAGAGAGGGCTCCTTTTTCCAAGCCCCCGTACTCGGGCATGGCTTCTGAGCGGAACTCAGTGAAGTCGCGTCGTCTTTACGGTCAAGGGCTAGCGCAATCAGTCCAGAATCAGCAGAATTCCACCATGCACCGACTGGAAAGCTTGACTCGTCAGCGAGCTGTCACTCCAGAGTTACCCCCTCTAAGTAGGTCTTACTCTAGAAGTGCGACCAACCTGCGCGATAGACTACAGAAGCTCGCCATTGCGGAACCGATAGGTGCAGGTGCCCCCTCCCAGCCTACCAGTCCGCTCTCTTTGAGCGCATCGCCCACGCGTCAAATGCCGGAAGTCGATATCAGAGAAGTGAGACCTCCAGCGGCATCCGGCTACGGGTCTCCTCCACTGAGCCCCCCTGCTAGTGACAAAGAGGGGGCAGTCACTTTGACGGCCGCATTGCAGCCGGAAGATCATGGGAAAGCTACAGCTCTGGGCATCTTCAGTAAACCTAAGACTCCATTTGACGAAAACCAATTCACTCGACGTCAGCTCCAGATGCATCAGGGGAGAAACACGCCACCTTTGAGACGACCTTCGCCACCTCCGGGACGGGGCACTCAACAGGAATTGTCCGGGCGATCAAGAGTCCCTTCGATGGCGAGCCATCGGTCGAGGGCTGGCTCTCTTTCCTCACATTACAGCGAAGCTCAGCGTTCAGCAAATCGTCGATCGGCAGCAAGTGCCAATGCTTCACCACATCAGCTGGAAAACGGAACCTTTTTGGCCAACTCTAGCCCTAGCGATTCCGATAATGAGGGTGACCCTGGTGTGCACGATGCGACAGATTATAGTGGTTTGGTGCACCCTGCGCTGCGATCCGACCCGCCAACAATGCCCTCTACTCCGACAGGAGAGAAACCGAGCCCGCTTCCGGAAGTAAGATACACGGATCTGGGCGACTTGAAGCCTATAGCCGAGAACGACAGTGTAGAGGGGCCGTCTGATAGAGGAAATGGGGCTCCTGAGAATCCAGACTCTCCAACTTTGGGCCCGTCAGGGCTAGGCCTAAGTGGTCTTATCCGTACGCATCTACGACGCGACAGTGACAAGTCCTCTATCTTTCGTCCACCTTCTCTTGCACCTCCAAGGGCCCCAGATGGCGAAAATTCCCAGGAGGCTCCCATCAAAGATTTTGACCTGGTAGCTCCGGCGCAGAATTCCCGCCCTCCGAGGTTTCCCCTCGAACCCAGAAGTAGTCTAAATGGCTCGTGGGAGAACGAGGTGATGCACGGACATCGACGTGGAGCAAGTACCGAGACACAGAGGGAACGTGAAGAGTTTGCCAACGAGCTGGCAGAGCGACGAAGGAAAGTACAGGAGAAACTGAAGGGTTTTGCGGAGAGTGAAAGCAGATCTGCCAGTCCGGTCTCTGGTCGCCAAACTCCAGATTATTCTCAAGGACGATCTGGCAATGCGTTTGCTCTCTTGAAAAATAAGACCGGCAAGCACAACTTGTTCTCCAGGCAGGACGCACGAACCCCCAAGGGGTTCGGTCCTGGAAATGCTTCCACGCCGGCGTTAGTCTCTGACGAACCGTGGCGCGAGGAGGAAAGGCCGACGTTTAACTTCGGGCAACATTCCAATTCGAGCTCTCCACACATCGCCCCAGAAAAGTCCATGCGATCTCGCAGGATCGCCTTGGAACGCAGCAACCAAGAAGATGCTCGTGAATCAAGCCGTAGCCGTGCGGCATCTCCCCATTCAAGCTTCCAATCCCAACGGGACCGTTCGAGTTCAGACGCCTCTGTCCGCTCCAAGAGTCGTACCCGGCGAGAACGGGATGACTTGGGAACCGTGGAAGAGGTTGCTCCCGGTCCTCGTGAACGATCTGTGTGCAGTGATTATGAACAGCGTGGCATGGCTTCAATTCCGACTTCCGTTCTATCGTCAGCCCGTCCGTCCGTGGAGATAAATGATCCTTCCATATACGATCGTTCCTCGTCAGCAATGTCTGGAAGATATCGCAGTGGAAGTCGGTCTGGAACTCCAAGCTTTCACGACAGACCTCTGCTCCCTACAGCTTCTATGCCTCCGCCACTGATCGGGGCCTCTCCACGTCCTTCGCCCATTGCGCCTTATTCTGCTAATGCCACCCCACCTCTCTACGATATTTCTCCCGATCCGTCTATCACACCAGCGTCCACGTTCCCTGCCACCATCCCTCAGCGGGCCCCTGGTCATAGTCACTTAACCAAACGGGTGGTCAACAAAACCCAAATCTCAGAGCCCACCTTAGTCTCCTGCACGTCCAACGTTCCAACTGTCGGGTTACCTGCCGGAGCAAGTCTGAGCAACGGCATGGAGACACCGCCAATTCCGCCCATGAACCCGCGGCGGCGCCGTCAGACCACCACCCAAACCATCCTGGGTGCATTCAAGGTAGATAAACATGAATCGCATTACCCACCACCGACACCAGGTATCCCGTCAGAAGAATATAGCACATTTTCCGACGAAGGCGAGAGACGTCCCAAATCCCGACACAGGCTGCGCAAAATCTCCAGCGAGGGAGGGGGTCTGAACGCAAGAACGCGACAACAGCAGGCTTTGAACGAGACACCTCCAGCTGTCCCGGTTTATCCACCAACTCCAGTCCCCATGGAAGGTGGCATGTTTTAAGCACCAGTCATGAAAGGGGTAAACTTTCATTCTTTTTGATCTTCACAATTTCTTTCCTTCTTTTTTTTTTTTTTTTTTCCCATTTCATTCTCCTTCCAAGGATGTATTATTCTCTTGTGATATTGGTGGCTGCAAAAGAAAAGAAAAATCCCTAGATACATTTTGACCATTCTTTTCTGTATTTCATCTCTTTTGTATAACACATTCAGCGCCTCATGATATACCAACTGTGTTTTGTTGAGCGGACAGGACCGAATCGTCTTTCTTTTGGTCTCATTGATTTCTTTTTTTCTTTCCTTTTCTCTCCCTATCTTCTTCAGGCAAAGTTTCCTTGCTAGATAGAAGGACTTATTGATCTATACACATCTGACTATCATAAATGTAGATGGGCAATAAAAAAAATAAAAGTACAAGAAAATGGAATTGAATTAAATTTCTATCTATTGTATTGTAAGCCACCACAGATGTCCTAGTTTAAAGGTAGTCAATCTTTGCAATAATAAAATCAAGAGGAAGTAAATGATACTCCATCCCTTCCTATTATTACTCCTAGCCTACAAAATATATAAAAGAAATAGAAAGGAATATTCATGATTCACTGCCTAGGTACTACCATAGATAACAAGGTGGTACCTACTATCTACAACTAAATTAGGAGGTAGTACTACTGCACCTTCTACAGTGCACCTTGAATATGATTGGTCAAGCCTCGTGTTCAGTTGCGTGAGTCACGTGTATTATATCCAATTCCGACAGTGACTGTCTGTCACGTGGGGCTGGGAGCCCTTAATTCTAAGGAAAACAAGAATAAAACAACTATTTTTCAAAATATCAGTCTTGATAATAGTGATTTGTTTCTTCTATCTATGAAGACTTAGAAAGACAGAAGATCCGGTAGTAGTTATAAACTGAGAAGTTTATATTGCAATGCACTTGTATGTCTATAGATTAGTTAATCGCCAGCAGTAATAACATCCAGGCATAAATAAGTCTGGTATACTGCTGCTGGAATGCAAATTAAAAGACCAAAGGAAGGAAGAAAGTGAAAAAAGGACCAGTTTTCTTTCACTTGTGTTTTTCGCCTTTCCCCTCCAACTTTCTGTTTCCCTCTTAAAACCTACTTCTGTCCCAACTGCTTCCTTGCTACAATAGAGCCTTCACTCGCGTCTCTTGATCCGGTTTACCCTCACTTTTTTATCCTCTTCTCTTTAACTTTTCAAAAGTTCATGGTCACCAAGATCAATCTAATTAAGAAACAACATAGCATGGGCAGAGGAAGAAGCAAATCATTCTGTACTGCTGAATTGCCTTGCTCTGTCAACTCTTTCGATTCGTATTTTGAAATTTTGCGTGTCTCTCCCTTCCCTGAAAAAATGGCACACCTGCGTAGGGCTAGTTCGTCGACATCCCTCGTTCTGACGGCGATGCCACCACAACTTGACGGCACATCTGAGCAGCGAAAGGCCAAGAAGAACAAGAAGGCGAAACAGAAAAAGAAAGCGAAAAACGTGGCTCAGGCACAAAATCGCAACCAGACTGACGACGCCAAAGACGCCTATCCCGCTACTGATATCCCGGACAATACGAACGTCTCAACGTCCAGCGATAAGGCCGTGGCTGCTCCTCTCATTGTCCACGGGGAGTCGCTGAGAGATCGCGGGTGCAATGGCCTGACAAATGGCCAGCAGTATCTCCATGGATCCATCGGTGACACCGGTGGCAAGCAGGACGTCTCATCGGAAACTACTACTATCCGCGCGATGAGCATCCAAGGCGAGGGGGGCGGTGTCGAAGAAGAGCAGCCTACTATTGTAGACGATGAGCCCAGTCTATTTGCCTGTCACATACATAGGCGCGTTGCCTGTCAATTTGATCCCCGATGCTGTGTACATAGGGATCCCGACGGCTGTGCCTGCCCCCCAAGATGGTCATGTTGTTGTGTGCATCACCTGGGAGATTGCTGTAAATGCATCTCCGTTCCTTACTCAACAAATCAGGACGACGATGGCCATGAGGAAGAAATTCCAAACAACCCTAGCGACAAGCCCGATATTGAAGACCAGAGTCCGGACTGCGACGACGAAGAAGTTTCAAACATCGAGCACAAGGAGGTAGGAGGTGATTCGGGAGATAATAATAGAGACCAGTCGAATAGACACATCAACGATCCTGAGGTGGAGAGCAAGGAACTGGAAAGCGACAACGGGGAAGTGCTGAATACTTTTGACCAGCCCCCAACGGATGAGAATGAGAAAGCTAACGAAGGTGAGACATATTCCATCGATCGAAATTTTCTTTTTTCCACTATGATTCACAAACATATCCTGCAGCTCCTTCAGAAATGCCGAATCTGTTGCTGTCGCAAAACAACATTGCCCTAGCGAGTGAGACACGTGAAGTGCCACTTCCTGTCCACTTACTTGGCCGACTTGAGCGTAGCGAATATTGTGACTCTTGCGTCATTCTGAGGTCGACTAGAGACAACTTCTTGCCGATCGAGTTTCCTGTACACAAGCTTGTGGTCACTCGGAGTCCGCTTGTCGCCACCATCTTCAACTCTCACGGCCATTTGGATAGGAACGAGATCATTGCTGTTGCCGGCGATAACTTCGGTATGATAAAGGGATTTGAACTTGCACTTCGATTCCTCTACGGCCTGCCCCTCCTTACCATGGGGCGGCTTAGAGCTGTAACACTTTCGTCGTTTGGGTATGCTGAAGACACCAAAGAAGTACTACATTTCCCCATCCCCGCAGCCATGGTTGATCTCGCTTTATGCTATGCTACTTCTGGCCTATTCTTTCAGCTGCACACCGTCGTTGAAACCGGGTTCAGGTTGGCTGCTGATCTGGTTGGCTGGGACACAGTCGAAGTCATCTTATTCTTTAGCCTTCACGTAACCAAATTCGCCGTCAAATTGGATACCAGCTTCATTCCTTGCAATGGTGGCGAGGCGTTTGAAAGAGATCAGAGGACGTATGTCGATAGTCAGAGCGTAACTCAGGAGCTTCAGGAGGTGTGGGCACCACGGCTGATTCATGCAGTATTGGGGTTCATTTGCAACTATGTGAATGCCAATGAATTTAGCTTATTTGTTCAAGCACAGAGCACAAGTTTGCCAGATCGTATCCCAGAGCACTTGCGATCCCTCCCTGGATCGATTCTGACCAACCCCCGGTTGGCCAGGCTGAAGTTTGGATCATTTGCATCTATCAACGAACACAAGCCAGCCAGAGAGGTTGTAATTGCGTCAGCTATCTTGATGAACCTCCCGTTCAAGCAGCTAAAAGAAGCCTTTGAGATAATGGCGGCACGACGCGTCCTATCAAGCCCTCTTGCTCACTCTATTGTCACCGCACGTGAGATACGCCGACTGCAAGCTCTCCGCGTTCTCGCCACGCACAGCAACGACACTATGAACGAAAGTTCGGCTGAGGTCCAGGAACTAGGATATCGCGAGTACCTTACTTCTAACGGGGCTTCCTGGGATATGCAGGCTCCACCAACAAAACCCACAGAGATCAAATTGAAGCGGGAGTGGATGGGGCTCGCTGTAGTTCAAATCACCGTTGCTCAGCACCATATTACCTCCTAAGACATAGATGGAGACAACAAGCCACCCACTATTCTCCTGTGTTTGTTTACTGTGAGTAGAGGTCTTTAAACAGATGTTTTGTGGTGGACAAAAGAGGGTGGGGAATACAAAGGGTATGGTGTGGGGAGTGGAAGAAGTGAGAGAAAGTGAATTGGAGAAGAATACGGGGGATTCGGCAGAACTTGAGGGCGGTGGACAGCGTGGCGGTGAGATTGTTTGTCTGATTTTGTAACTATCTGTTTTCATAGTGCACTGTTGCCAGAATCATTAGTGGATATCATATTGCTTGTTCACTCCCATCATATAGAAATAAAACTCATTTACAAGCCATCAATTGCCCTTTGTCCCTTACCCTCTCTTATAATCCCAGTTCCAAATTGTACAACTGTCTCTATATCATGACCACAAGTGTCCTTCTATGACATCAATCGTATCTTATAAACAATAGGGACAAGCGCCTAAGACTTGTCTGGGAATCCAAAATCAATTCCGAAGGGAGGATAGACAAAACGCTGGAATGCTTTCTTCGCAGCAAGTTCATCCGTATATTTGGCAATAATAGCCATGTCGGAATCGTCCAGCTCCACCAGGTTGCGGTTGTCCTCGATACGAGAAGGCGTGACAGATTTGGCCAAAACAGAGGAGCCGCGAGCAACTACAAAAGAAGATTGTTGTGAGAACATGTCCAGTCAAGCAAATATAAACCCCGACGAGGTGCCAGAATGAGAGAAACTTACTGTGCCAGCTCAAAAGGATGGTTGCAGGAGTGACACCCTTCTTCTTTGCCACTTCCACAATAGGCTCAGCTGAGAACAGGGGACTGCCTGTGCTTCCCAGAGGACTGTAAGCAGTGACATGGATCCCCTTTTCCTTGCAGAAATCAACTATCTCCTGCTGGGGCAGAGATGGATGATTTTCGATCTGATTGACTGCGGGCACCACCGAGGCATGACGTAGGAGTTCTTCAAGATAACGCTTGCTGTAGTTGGAGACACCAATGGCTTTCACCTTGCCAGTTGCGAGAAGTTTCTCCATGCTCTTCCAGGAGTCAATGTGAGAGTGTGAGTGAATAATGTCCCGGGAGCCGTCGGGGTGCTTGGGAAAGAGAGGGTGGTTTCCTTAGGGCTTGTTAGATTTAGAATCGTCAGCGCAAGGGATAGGACTTACCATTCGGGTTCATGAGAATAGGCCAGTGGATGAGATACAGATCCAGGTAGTCCAAGCCCAGATTCTTCAAGCTCAGATCTACCGCCTCCTCCACTCGTGTGTGATAAGTGCACCATAGCTTGGTGGTCACGAAGAGGTCCTCTCGCTTGACCTTTCCGGATGCCAGGGCCTCTTTGATACCTTTGCCGACTTCCTCCTCGTTCTGGTAGCAGAACGCTGTGTCGATGTGCCTGTATCCCACAGAAATCGCATGGCTCACGGCTCTTTCGACTTCACCGGGGCCTGATTGCCAGGTTCCTGCGGCCAGATTAGTATGGGCGGGGCAAGAATAGTTCAGGAATTATACATACCGAGTCCCAAGGCGGGGATTTCCGCACCGGTGTTAAGCTTGAAACGGGTGTCAGCGATGGCCATTATGGATTAATAGTTCAGCAAGAATAAAGAAAATACAGAAGAATAGACGAGAAGAGGAGTGAGGAGGACCAGGACTAAAAGAGGAGGGGTGCATCGTCTCTAAGTATCTTTCTTCACCCCGCAGTCTCTCGGCGCAATCGCCGGAGGAACTCCGCCCGACGTTTCCATCAATCACAGGCCATTGGACTATTTCGACATGACTTTATTCTGCAGGAGGTATCTATATCGACAGACTACATTGATCATCAATCTTCTTCTCGTGCTAACTCTTACGCTAGAGCCCATCGTCTTGCCTCGTCCTTCAGATGGCCCAGGTTGCTGGATTAGAGGACGAAGCCATCAGACTCCAAGCATTGTCTACACTGCTACTGCGTCTACTTCCCCATTTCTCATACTCGATGATCTAGAGCCGGTGGCTCGATTAGAAATCCGACGGTTAACCGGGTTTCAGTGACGTTGAGATGGGTCTGATGGGGCATTTGCCATGGTTTTTCATCCCCAGAGTTGGTTCGCTGGAGAGTCAAGAGAATCTAGCGTGGCCTAGAAGAAAAAACAGAAGTGAGCCGCAGACTAGACAAAAAAACAAGGTGTTAAAAAAAAAAAAATTCAACAAACCACCAGGTTGAGAATCCTCATTCAACTGTGGTTGATTCGACGGTCGGAAACCAGAATCCTTAATCGACGCCTTTTCCGCAGTTTGCCACGGCCAACCTCCGCGGATTGACCTCACATCCCCACAAACCGGCCCCTGGTCTGAGGTCTCTAATTAGCAGTTGGACTTAGATCTGTACCATGGATCCTCTAAACGCTCCGCAGCGGGTGGAGATGATCTCCCAGGCAGTTAGATTCAAGGTTTGATACGCTCGGAACCCTGAATCCGATTGATGGGCAAGCAATGACCTTATGCTGGTGTCACCGCCGCCATGAGGAGGAAGATCATCGGCTGTCGGTTTTCTGGGGTACTGCAACGACATCAGGAGATCAGGAGATCTTTGACTCGGTGGCCGGATTTCGGAAATTTTTCTATATCTCCTACCGGGCTTCATTCTTCTATATTACGCATCCATCTCCCACGACTTCTTTTCCGACCATTCTCTGATATAAACTTGTGATACCTCTAACAAAGGCCACATATATTATTAAAAAAAACTCGGAAAACACATCCATAAAATTCACAATGGCACCAGTTGCTGTGTCTCCCGAAGCCCCCGTCTTCAACTCCAAACGTGACGGACAGGCTCTCGAGGAGCTGTCAGACGCCATTGACACTGTCAATGTGCTTAAGGGGACCATGAAGCAAGAGAAAGGTTTATACGATGAAACCGAATTCGACAAGGACAAAGACAAGACTCAGTTCCGTCAATATGAAGAAGCTTGCGACCGGGTCAAGAACTTCTATAAGGAACAGCACACCAAGCAAACGGTGGCGTACAACCTCAAGGCCCGAAACGAGTTCCACTCCAAGACGCGCGCAGAGATGACCGTCTGGGAAGCCATCGAGAAACTCAACACTCTCATCGACGAGTCCGACCCGGACACCAGCCTCTCCCAGATCGAACATCTCCTGCAATCCGCCGAAGCTATCCGCCGCGATGGCAAGCCCCGCTGGATGCAACTGACCGGTCTCATCCACGACCTGGGCAAGTTGCTCTACTTCTTCGGTGCCCAGGGCCAATGGGACGTAGTGGGGGATACCTTCCCCGTGGGCTTGGGGTTCGATGACCGGATCATCTACGGCACCGACTCGTTCAAGGATAACGAAGATTTTAACCATCCCATCTACAGCTCCAAATTCGGCATCTACAGTCCCGGCTGCGGCCTGGACAACGTGATGCTCTCCTGGGGCCACGATGAGTACCTTTACCACGTTGTGAAGGACCAGTCCACCCTCCCGGACGAGGCCCTGGCCATGATCCGTTACCACTCGTTCTACCCCTGGCACAACGCCGGCGCGTACCACGAACTCATGAACGACCATGACAAGGAGATGCTGAAAGCCGTGAAGGCTTTCAACCCGTATGATTTGTACAGTAAGAGTGACGACGTGCCAACCGTCGAGGAATTAAAAGTGAGCTTATTCATTTCTCCTCCGTTCTACCAAATAACCACAGAAACTAACTCGTTATACTACAGCCATACTACCTCGAACTAATTGATGAATTCTTCCCTAACAAGGTTATCAAGTGGTAGATAGATTTTGTACTCGATGCATAGAGATTGTACGGTTTTGCATTTACTCTGATCTGATGTATTTTTTTTTCTTTTTTTGTTTTTAGTTAACATGATGATAGCGATGATTTACGAACCGAGAAAACCCAACCAGGGAATCAAATACCATGGACTGCAGTTCACAATTGGTTATTCTTTCTATTCTATGTTATAAATCCAACTATGGTCTAGGTCTCTTACCTACTTCGTAAATTGCTTTTTATTCATCATATAGATTTGCACCGATGAACACAGCCATAGACCCTGCTTAGGATATAATGTAAGGTACCTACCGATAATAATACGGACGTATTATTCATTCTCAAGTTTGAAGTAGATCAAGGCTACGTGCACAGAAGGTTGTGATCGGGAACGTGTTCCCGAATCGGTGGACCGAACGGGGTATTCCGTAAACGGAACAAACATTGACCATGGAAGATGGGGTCTTTCAGTGAGAAGTGAATGTGCAATATTCGATGGTCAGAGGAATATATAGGCTGGATCTACCAGAAATCTATCATTGAGTGTATTGTAGATTCTAAAGGAACTATCGTAAACGTATGCTTCATGCTGACAGATATAACCAAGAGAATTAAAAGAAAACAAAGAAAAAAACAGTCGTAAGCACGTATCTATAGTCGGGATTTGTCCACACGCTCCCCCGACTCGTCAAAGAAGATCTTCTCCCCAGAAATGAGCGACTCTTGCAACGCCGCGCCAATGCGCACGGCTTGCACGGCTCCCTCCAGCTTCAAGGGGACGGGGGTGTTCTCCAGGCAAGCGGCGGTGAATTCATTGGCCTCGGTGACGAACGCATACTCGAACCGGTCGTAGTAGTGCTGGGGCACCTCACGACGGATACCGGCACTGTCGTAGATATTGACGAGGTTCAGGGCCGGCTGCGTGTTCACCGCCAGCTTACCTTGAGTCCCGATGATCTCAGTGGTGTCTTCCTGGCCCGCAGCCATCATGCGGGAAGCGTAGAAGTAGGCAATCTTGCCGCTGTAGAACTCCACCAACCCGACAGCATTATCGCGATCGTTGTGCTTTCGCAGATCGGGCTCCACGGCCGTAATACCCACGGCCGACACCGACTTGACCTTGCTGTCTTGTCCGAAGAACCAGAGGGCGAGGTCAATATCGTGGATCGAGCAGTCCACGAAGATCCCTCCGGAGAATTGGGCATAGGCGACGAAGAAGCCGCTCGGGTCGAGTTTGTCACATGTCTGACTGCGCATGACCGACGGAGTACCAATCATGCCGGCGGTCGTTTTGTTGAACGCATCCCGGTAAGAGGCATCGAAGCGACGGGAGAAGCCGCACATCACCTTAAGATGTGGCTTCTTGGCGGCAGCGTCGAGGACGGTTTGGGACTGTCCAACGTTTTGGTTAGCAGCCTGAGTAGATAAAAAAATGGACACCACATACAATCTCGACACTGGTCGACAGCGGCTTCTCACACAGGACGTTCTTGTCGGCCTCAATGGCCTTGATGGCTTGTTCGGCATGGACAGCAGTGGCGGAGGCAACAACAACGGCTTCCAAACCCTCATGCTTGAGCATGTCGTCGTAGTTCTTGTACAATTTAACCCCGTAAGGAACAAGGTGAATCTTGGCCCATTCCAGCTCCTCATCGTCGGGCGAGCTGGCCGCAACGAGGTCTGCAAGGGGAGTCCGCTGGAGAAAGTTCAAGGCATGACGTTTGCCCATGCGCCCGAGACCGGCACAGCCGATTTTCAACTTGGCGGCAGACATGTTGATGGGATGAGGAGAAGAGACGAGAGAGGACGAGATGTGGAAGGGAGTTAGGAACAGACCGGTGGGGAAGAAGCGATTGAGTTGAAGAATTCAGGAAGAACACTCAATTCAGTCGAGGACCGTCGGGAATTTATTTGGTCGGAGGACCCTCGAATGCAAAGTCGGTCAAGCTTCCGTACTTGGCGTCACATCCGGGGGGACGAACAGAACAAAGCACTCAAGGGAATCCTCGCCTAGCTCAGGATCTGTATCAGTGCGTCTCGCCGATCCATGTCCCGGATTCTTGATTCATCCGTACCTCCATTGCCATTCGGGCTCTTACTAAACGGTGTTCGCTGGAGCTTCGGCATCTCATGTGGAGACTTGGTTCTACCCCGGAATCCACCAGCTCCAGTTCCAGCAGTCGGAAAATGCTTTCCTGTGCAGACGAGACTCGTCCGCGTCCGGATATCAAGGTCTCGGCGGGCATCCGACTAATGATCTTGGACAATCCTGAGGGGAACACGCAGTAACATTTGTGCGATTTCCGACACTAGACAGATGCTGTGAGAAATGAGGAAAAGATAAAGGCACAAAGAAAAAGTTCCCCACACGGCAATTCGCTGCGCTTGCCGTTTTGGTCGAAACAGCAGGTGATTCCGGAGTGCCTTGCTGCCTGGCCAAATTGGGCAATTCTCCCCGGTTATCTAATCCATCCCCAGAATCACGTGCAGAGGTACATCTGATTTAGTCAAAAGTAAATGAAGCTTCCTATATGACTATCTATTATGGCTTCACTAGAAGCCCGGGATTTTAATTAGTCGAATGATTTTGTCTTGACAGTAAACATTCATATCAATCATCCACAGAACTACCTACTCAATAACAGTACTACATGAAACGGCTATGTAATCATGTACGATAGGAATGGAACAAGCTAACCCCGAAGCATCACATCCATCAAGACTCGCTCTCCGCCTTCTTCTGTGCCGCCTCCTTTCGCTGCTTCCTTTTCGCGGCCGTGTCCATCGGGTCCACAAAGCCCTCTCCCCTCATCCAGGCCAACGCCTTCCTCACCCCCTTCCCTTGAACAGCGGAGGGCCGGGCCTCCAAGATAGAGCCCATGAGAGCCCAGGTAAGCACCAGCACAAACAGATCTCCGCCATTCCAGCCTTTCCAGAGCCCTCGCTTGACTCCCGTCTTCCATGCCGAGTCCACTGCGGCTCGGAAGAAGTACAGAAACACAGTACGGCTGTTTCCGAGAAACGCGAACGGCACACCAGCCAGTGCACCGCTTAGGAAGAACCGCTTGGTGGGAAGGATGGAGCGTGGCAGGAGGGAGTTCCAGAGGCAGACGCTCCCCCACGCCGAACCAACCGAGGCCGAAATGATGGCCGTCAAGGTAATGATCCTCTTCGAAATGCCGTTGATCGAAGATATTGGGTGGGTAAGCAGGTCCTTAGATCTCAGGATTGACAACGCCAAAGACACCGTGGTGATGAACCTGGCCAGAGGGGGTACTGAGAGGAGCAGTTGGTGCAAGAACGTTGTGCCGCAACTGGGGCAGCTGGGATGTAGCAAAGCGCACGACAAACTCGAAGTAGACGGATGCGCGGGCCCAGTAATCGGAGAGATGGATTTGACAGCGGACGGTAAGGTGAAGGGGTCCGTCGGATGGAGAATAGGCGAAACGAAGGTTCTGGTTGATAGATAAAGTGTTAGACAAATAGCCCGTCGATACGACGTAGTGACCACGAGAGCCTGGTACAGGGAGCTTACGGCCATCGCAGATTAGAAATAGTGGCGAGCGAGTCCACTATAGCTTCTTTCTCGGGCCAAGGGAATTCAGCAGGCAAGGTTTCCGGCCGAGCATGAACGTAGGCTGGAGAGAGCTTCATAATAACATTTCCAAACCACTGTTGCCAGTCAGCACATGGTACCCAAAGGCCCAATGGAAGGGCAGTTCAAGGTCGAGAGGTTTAACCGACCTTGGGAGTAGTCTCGCGATCAAAGATAAACGCATGGAAAAGCTGTGCGCACGATATCGGCATCAGCAGCCAGCTTCCAAACCACGAGGGCCGGTCTTCCAGCCAGCCTTTCTCGTCGATCACGTTGAAAAGAAACTCCAAGCTCCGAGTAGTTGTATAAATAGCCGCCGTTCGTCGCAGCTGAGTTTGAGGGCAGATCCCTAGCGCAAATCCAGCCAAACTGGCCCCAACAGCGGGTGCATATCCCGAGGTCAGCGCCTTGGAAACACGCGGGTTCCTTGTGCGAAATGGCTCGGCCTCATCGGTGCGCAGGTTTGCGCGCAATCGGACAAAGAAGCGATAAAGGAAGCGATACAAAAGGAGAACTAGAGAGAGCGAGAGCGAGAGACGGAAGTTAGAGGAGCGGAAGAAAGAGATGCGAGCACCCTTTTCGGAACTATCAACAGAAACGGAGAAACTGTCAGCTCATGAAACCACCCTAATCAGTAACCAGTTAGTGTTATATCTCACCTCGAAGGCTCGCCCCGAAGTCTGCGAGCAACCAGGTCAACAAACTTCAGCAATGCCCCGGAGGTCAAAAACACGCGCACGGACGTACGTAGGGCCGCCTCGTTGTATCTGTTTTTTGATCGAACGATGGCCTCATATCTCGAAGGTGAAGGTAGCTTGGATTGCACTGAGAGAGGGGCGCGTTCGACAGCAAGTTGGTAGAGGGCCTTGTATTCCTTGGCACTGAGCGAAATGCGGAGAGCATTGCGAACAAACGGGTTGGCGTGGGAAGGGTCGGCAGTGGAGCTGGATGCCATGATGCCTGGGAGAAACCTTCAAATTAAAGATCCCAGATTTGTGGTCCAGGCAAGGACTCACATCATGCGAGGTTGGGAGGAGAGGAACAAAGAGGAAACGGGCAAGGGATCGAAGAGCTGGTGCCGTTGCCCGTGACCTCGGCTATTTACGCATCTTGATCTCATGTCACGGTATGGCAGATCTCCTCGTCTAATCTTATCTGACTCATATAGATAAGAATCATTGTATACAGCTAACATCCATCAATCTCTCTATAATAGATCGTTCAATGCTGTACACGTCACATAGGATCGATGCAGTGCTCAGGAACAACAAACCAGTAATACAGCAACGGGAATCAATAGATAAAAAAAATGAAGAAGGATAATTCTACAGCATTAAAACAAGGGGAAAGGTCAAACAGGACGTAAAGAATCAAGAATGAAACAGCGAAGAGAAAGGATCCCATTCCATGCAAAAACCCACGATTTGCGCCACCATAAGACTCCGGGAAGTCAAAGCCACCGAACAAAATACTGATCACCAGAAACTGCACCATCCAATCCAGTGCTGACATATGTTCTCAACGCTGGTTGCTTGAGCAAGGAGCTTATCAACCTGGTCGCTAATATTGAGTTCCTCATTGGGCTTGAAGTCCCGTCCAGTGAGTTTCTCCTTGACACGCGCAAGAACCTGTAACGCCCGTGCGTTCTGCGCTTCTCGAGCTTCATTGGGGATACCTTCCTGGGCGTCAAGAATGCCACCTTCAAGAATGGAAGGCCGACGGTGGCGGGAGAAATTGCTAGGCTGGACGCCTTGATCAACGTTGATGTTGGAAATGATTGACTGTCGGCGTTCTGAGGAGAATGGCATTCGATCAGGAGACTCACGGACTCCCAGGCGCCAATTAATCAAAGGATCATGAATGAACTGTAAAGGGATACATTAGTCTTGTAACCAAAGAGACCACGAAGATTTCTCAATTTACTTACTGCCTCCAAAACAGCCATCAATGAATCCTTGTTCTCTCTCAAGACCCGCATAACAGCCTCGCAGGTAATCCGGTAGCTTCCTTCAATATTGCTAACCTCCATGGCGAAAGTCAGCATACGGGTCAGCCGGAACGGCACTCTCTCCGGATATTTCTCCCGATGCATTGCAACCTCAAAACAGTCACCGAAATCGATGTGGACTACTCTCCCCGTAACTCGGTCCAGGAGGAGATTGGAAGGATGGCGATCACCCAGACCTAGGATATAGCCCACCATGGACATAACACCAAGGGACCGAGTATAGTTCGTCCGCCGCTCAAGCCAGGATTCCGAGCTCTTACTCTTGAGCCAAAGGACCCGGTACAAGTCTTTCCCGGTGGTGTTGTCCATAGCGTACCCGAACACCTCCACCTTTTGCATTAGAGTGAGATTGTCGTAATCTGGGGCCATCTGAAGCATGATGCGATGTTCGATATTCAACAATATGCGACGACTCTCTCGGTATTCCTTAATTAATGCGTGTAAGGTGTCACTGTTCGATACCCAGCCCAAGAGGCCAGAGCTCTGCGATAGTGGAATGGCCGGGAATCGCTGCACAGATAAATGGCGCTTGAAACTCTCGCCATCGTTGTCAAGAAGCGTGTTTACAAGGCCAAATAGCTGCATAACCCGTTCATCCTGTCTTATGTCTTCATGACCCTTGAGCGCATACATGTAAGAGTTTCCATCACTGCCTTTCAGTGTCATCCTGCGTGGTCGTTTCTTGGTTTGTAGGACGTGCAGTATAGGATCGAAACTGACAATTCGGATAATTGGCCGGCCACTCTGGTATGTGCCAGGGACAGCGAGATCCAAATCCACGCAATCTTTTAGTCTCGGTGAAACATACTTCAGGTCAAGTGTCGATAATTGCGGAAGTTGGCGACTGATTTTCCTGAAAACAGTGTAGTAGAGATCCCAGGCCTGATTAAGATCGCCAATCTCTTCGGTCTCACGGTATTGCAGGCAATAATGCTTCGCCTCGGCAAGATCACGCCCGAATGCCTGGGCGAAAGATACCTCGCGTAGTGTTTCAGCCCCCTTGTCCAACATCTCATGCAAAGGCGCAAGAGTTTGGAACATTCCATCAACATTATGATCCCCAAAGTAAAGCCGGGAGGCTTCTTCAAGACCTTCATGCCAAAGCTCGTGCCAAAGGACTGCAACACGGATTAATTCATGGCTCACAAGATCAGCTTGTTCGACTAATTTCGCACTATGTTGCCGCATGCTGTCCATGATGCTGCCAGCTGACTGCGACCGTCTAGCAATGGTGGACTTCATTGCCACAGTTAAAGGATATACTAGAGCCTGAGGATGAGCTTTGCCAACTTCGGCGAGCAGCCGATGGACAGCACTCCGAACTCGTACGTTCGGTTGATTAATCCGTGCTATGAGTTGAGGAGTAACCGCGAGCCATGTATCTATATTCACGGCTGTGAACCCTTCCGTAACTACAGTGCTGACATCCTGGTCGCCACCATAGGTAAACCAGAGAGTGAGCAACCTCAAAGTGTCCTGTAGAGAAGATGTCGACGACAATGAAATAGACCGTATGAAGCCGCGGATAGCAGGTATCACATGCTCTGTAACAATGTGCCCAGGTACCATGGCCGACGGCGCACCATCCCTGCTCGCTTGGCTAGCAATTGTCGTGACAACTTCAAAATTGGCCAGTGCCCACGAGTGCCAAGCCTTGTACGAATCCCGATTGTACTTGGTTGCCGCAGAATATGCATTGAGAACGTCGCGAACATTATCTGCATTCCAGTCGCCTCGCTGCAAAGCGGTCTGCCATTCCCCTAATCTAAGGTAGCTCTTGGCAAGGAGCTTCCTGAATTTTGCAACGTCTCCTATACGCTCACGGAGGCCCATGACATCTGTGTGGTTTGCATCAGGGATACCGTTCACACCATTGATTCCATTATGTTCACTTTGTGAAATCATGATTGCATTAAACCGCGTAAAGTCGTCAGTGAGATTGGCAGTAAACTCTTTCAACATTTGCAGAGCCTCGCGTTGTCGTCCAGTAGCCCAGCTAAACTTCAACCGAGCATAAGTGACCTCTGGAGGAGCGATAGCCCGGGTGCCATTGTTGTCAGAGACAACAGTTTCCAACGAAGAAAGCGACCGCTCCGCAAGACCCATCCGGTTTGATTTGCGGCATAGATTGGCGAATTTGATCCACATGTCGAGATTTTCTCGAGGTGAAGTAACAAGGGCTCTAACCTTGAGCATACGTTGCCAAACCTCGACGTTTTGCTGACAGCCAAGAAGTCGCTTGTTCCAGGTTTGGCGCATAGACTCCTGTTTTTCGGGATCGCCGATGTTTTGTTTGTAGGTAATGATTTCCTCTAGTTCCGCAAGCATCTGAACACGGACAACCACATTGTACGCTCGATTGTACGATTCTCCAAGTAGAGCTGAAAGCTCAGTATCCAGTCCGTTTCGCGCTTTTTCGATGTACATTGTGGCATCGTCAAATTGATTTCTGTGGATGGAGAGAATGGCTCCGAAGAACGATCTGTCTGGGGATTGTTCTTTCATGACCCCTAGGTAGGAATCCATTAATTCCCACTGACCCCGCCCCCAGGCTGCTGCTGCCGCTAGGGGAGCGATTGCTCTTCGATGTTCCAATGATGCTTGATTCCACTTCTCCTGAGCAAGATCGGACAGAACTTTCCACTCGCCAAGAGCATGTAGACACCGCATTTTACCCATAGTAACGCCAAAAGAATCGGGATCAATCTTTTCACGCCGTTTGTACGCAGCAAGAGCTTCCTCCCAGCGTTGGAGTTTCTCGAACCAGGTTTCTTTAAGCTCCACATCCCGATAAGCTTGAGCTTTTCGGAGAATCCCAATAGCGGCATCGGATTGCTGAAGCTGGTTGTTAATTGTGATCAGGGCCTCAACAGCCCCTGAATTTTGATCCTGTTCAAACTCTAATTCTTTATAATGAAGAGCTTTAGCAAATGCATGACACTTTGCGGCGTACTTGCCAAGGGTACGAATGTCAATCGGAAGGGCCTTGTCATCATGTTCCATAAATTCAGCAAGGTTAAGAAGGACTTGTAGGATCTCGGGAGGGATATTTGGTGAAGTGAGGGCCTTCTCAATTGACCGTACGAGTTCTTCTTGGTATTGATCGTATAGTTCAGTCCAGCAGGACACAAAGGCAGCATTAAAAAGGTCTCTTGACAGAGGTGGATAGAGCCCTGCCAGACTAGCGCAAGCACGCAGCGCTGGGGAAGGCGATTCCTTCAACAACTCCACACTAAACCGTCGTATCCACTCTTGCCAATCCTCACGTGTTGATTTTTGGGATGCATCCCAAGCGCTCTTCAAATGCTGCTGGTTAACAACCATCTTCTTTTGACCAATCTCAGCATAATTCGTATCGTCTGTCAAAGCCGCATAACTCTCATCTGGGTTGAGATCCTGCGGAAGTGGGTCCCCTTTCTGCAGCTTCGTTACTAGGATCTGGTAATTGACATGGTTGATCTGATGTTGCTTCAAAACCTTGTTCAGGAGGTTGATATAGTGGTTGAAATCTTGGCCTAACTGGAAAATAAGGGTACAGATGCAATCCATTGCGGCTTGTCGTAACAGGCGATCATTGCCTGCAACAACTCGGGACAAGGAATGGACCATCAAAGACGCAAAATCAGAGACATTAACCTGCCGCGACAGTTTCGCAAGGCTGTCGATTGCAGACTTCCGAATACTTTGCGGGTTTTGAGTCCTGTCAAAGAGACGCACAATAGATGGGACAATTAAATGCATGTATTCTTCGCCACTGGTGCCAAATATTAAAAAGGTATGGAGTATCCTCTCCGAAGGCTGTCGACGGGGCGTGCTATCGTTATCAAGCGTATCCAACATAGGAGGAATGAGGCCTGCAAGGTATTTCTTGAATTCACCTTCCAGAGACTTGGCAATGGCTTCCACGAGCGACAGGATAGTGGCCTGAACTTGATATGATGAATCCCAGAAATCACGAATTAGTTCGATTATCTCGGGCAAGAAGGCCCGTATGTGCTGTCTCACGATATTTACCATAATTGCCATTTGGTTGAAATACGACTCAAGACGACTAGGCGGCGAACCTCTGATTACTGTTATAAAGCCTGGAATTATTTGTCCCAGGAAGGGCACGCATTTCAAGCCCAGAGTCTTGAATATAATGACAATTGCTTCGATGACGGCCGAATGATGCTGGGCAAGGGAATTTTCTCGCAAAATGTTCTGCATCAAAGTGTTGATGACGACGGTTGGATAGTACTCTTCATTGGAAGGTGTGAGCCCCTGCATAATCAAAGCAACGTCCGAGACATTTTGGACTTCATTGATGTGGTGAACATCGGGAGCGCTCTCGCTTATCTGCTGGTATTTGTAAGGGTCTAGAGCACCAACTATTCCCAGCACCTTAATGGTCTCTTTGCGAAGAGACCCAGTCTGCTCCGTCTTGATAATATTGATAAGCACGGCAAGAAGATGGGGGTATTCAAGGTATGGATCAATGACATATCCACAGTTGCTGGCCAACTGGCCCAGAGTACGCAAAGCAGCCTCCCGTTTCGCGTGGGAGGAAAGATCCTGTAACGAGTCCAAGATGATAGGCATAAGCTGTGGCAAGTAGACTCTCATTTCATTTCCACCAACATTCGCAAGTTCACCAACAGCTTTCAGTGTAGTTGAAGCTACACCAGGGTTAGCGTCAGTCGCTTTCGGAAGCAACGTCGCCACCATAGGATCAACATAAGACCTAATAAGCTTCGTCGCATTGGAGACAAATAGACTGATAAGCTGAGCACTTTCTTCTTTCTGACGAGCCGTGCTTGCAAAGCCAAGACCAGTTAAAAGATTGACAAGTAATTTACGCAGGGGAGGGAAGACATAAGCTGGGTTGACGCTGGACAGGCGGCCAATAATGCAGATAGCGGCTTCTCGGACTGAAAATACCTCATCGTTGACTGCCAAAAATAAACAGCGAATATTCTCCGGCCTTGCAAGGTGACGGTCGAATTTGCGGTCCAACGACCACAACACTGTACGCCGTATTTCGGGGTCAGGGTCGCCAACACCAACTGTTAGTAGCTTGTCAATGACCTCACTAACGACTTGTATCGAATGGCTACTTGTCTGGTTGATAATCGGGTCGTGAACAAACAACTGGCAACATGTAAGTGCCGAGGCCTTCCTAATTTCTGGGTTGTCATTCTCAACATAGTTTATCGCGACGTCACGGACAAACTCGTTGAGGATATGTCCAGAGAAATCGAAGCTTCCCAGAGTGTGGAGTGCCAATGCAATTTCCGCATCAGAGTACAACTCTTGCGGGGCAAAGTCCTTTGCAAAGGATGGCATTGGAGGTAGCCTGGTTTCCGGACAGCCCAAAGGCCGAAACGGCGCTCCGTATAGAATTAAACTCAACATATCCAAAAGTTTCTCCTGGATCGTGGGTTTTATCGGTGGAATGTAATGTGCCATGTCAACAAGTGCCTGCGTCAATGACTCACTCAAACCGCAAGCAAATATCGGATCAAGCAAGGTCTCCATATACTTATTAAGCGCTTGCCCTACCGCCAGTGACAGCATGCTGATGCACTCAAACATTGGGGCTTCCTTGACAACAGCTCGATTTCGTCTGTTAGATGTCAGCGGACGCAGTACAAGTAGAAGAGGATTGGCTGGTTTCATCTCACGCTTTCAGGGCCAGTCCCTCCCGTATGTAAACGATGATCCCATCAAGATATTGAGCAATGGCGCCTCCAACAGCGTTGGCAATCTTTCCAATCGCTATGAAGGCTGAATCTCGTTCTTTCTCCCTTTTCAGCTGTGCTTGTAGGTAAATCATAAATCGGTGAAGGTAGATCTCTGTGAAGTCTACAGGAGCGTAGGAGGCGAGAATAGGAATCGTCAAGACGACCTGGGTACGAATTTTGGGGTCACGGTGGTCCTTCAGGCGAAGAACAATCTCACAGGCATTCCTGTAGTGCTCATTCATGAACATGGCACCTTTCAGGAGAAGCTCTTTTAGAACAAGAAGCGATCCATGTATCCAGTCGACATTATTGGATTTCAGGCCCAGAAGTGCCTCCTCGTATATCCTTGCAAACCACAGTTGCCGCACTTGCATATCTCTAGCAGCAATTATCTCGAAGCACTCACTGACTGCCTGGGCGGCAGTCTCCCGGATGGTCACTTTAGGGTCCCTGAGAGCAACCCAGATAAGCTCGAAAATCTGAGGAACAAAGCCATACAGAAGTGTCGGCGAGCCTTTGGCAAGTTCGCGAATAACCAGTACCGCGGCAAGACGTCTATTTTCCTGTCTTTCGGACTGAAGGCCTTCCAGAGCGGACTGTATCTCACTTTCGACCAGCTCCGCGGTGAGAGCTCCGCCCGGCTTAGCCAGACGGCCGAGTGCCTTGGCTGCACATACCAACACTGTATAGTCATTGCTTCGAAGGGCACTACGCAGATAACTAGCGAATCGAGTTGTCTTCTGAGCTGCATCGACACCTTCGAAATCTATCAAGAGATTAAGAGCCAGCAAACCACCTATCTTTTCGTGTGCGTCGCCGCCTGTAACAACGAGGTGCGCGATGCGTTGACTGATGCCATTGTAAAACTCAACGAACTTTTCCGGTGACAAATCTATAGAAGGGAATGCGTTAGAATTGCCTTGAATGCGGGTCATCACTGAAAGGTTACCTCTTGAAACTGCGAGGACATGATCGTAGAGCTCATAAGCAGCTCTTGCCCGCGTCTCCTCATTCTTGGACTTCAACTCGACAAAGAGTCTTTGGGTAACATCCGTGTAAGGACCTGATTGCGCCATTTTTGCGTAGCACACCCCAGGGTGGACATTTGAAGTCAGCCTCTAGGGCATGTACGATGACATGGAGGGAGCATAAGAGAGAGAGCAGTTGATGAGCGACAAAGATGATGCGGGAATCGTGCTGTGTAAGTCGTTCGGAGCGCACGACGGGGTTAGTGCACGGGCCAGGTCGGTTCACGCCTGGGGCATCCTCTCTTGGCGGACTGCATCATGTCATTGCTTGCATGGCTTGCGTCCTCTATTTACTACACCGACAGGTTGGTGGATTTTACTTCTGCAGCCGGCAGCTGGCTGGTTAGTATATCCTACCAATAGTCAAGTGGCATGTACAATTATTATCAATTGGCCTGGCTACTAGAAAAAAACAATGCAGCTATTTCGGTTACCTACCCAGTATGGAAGTTCTTGACTATGGAAAACAATCAGTCATTCTTGCTCCTGACATATAAGGGATCTAATTCCGTAGCGTCCTATTCCTCTCATACTAAGGAAGTCATGAGATCCATATGGCCATGATGTGAATCTCAGCCTTGCCAAGTACACACACAAAAGTCTCTCATGCATGTCTTAATTGCTGGATTGGGACATTCCATGCAGACAAGGCTGGTGTAAATTGTAGTCATCTAAATATTATGTACAAATACCTTTGATTGGGTGATATTTCTAGCCCACTATTCAAAAGAACCATCTTGAGGTTTTAATTAAATGACATTATTCAAATGGTAGGTATTGTCACGGTGTAGCAACGAATCATGAAGTCAAACAAGGCTTTGTGACCGGAAAACTGTCCATACTATCGCCTTTTGTCCTTACTTTTTGTCCCTGGTTCATTATATCTTGCCCGTCATGTGCAAGACCAGCTTCATGGGATTGCACTTGTATCACAACGTACGTCATCGACATATCCCCACCAATGCCGCCGGCAATCATAGCCGTGTCCAGCCCAATAACTAGCGATACATACCTTGGTGACTCAGAAAGGATCGAATTCCGGACTTAATCATAATCCTCTAATGCCACCCAATAGCTCCGCTGGGAATTGTCACTAAAACTGCTAATTTGTTTGTAATCATTTTGGCGGTGTCCTATCAAGTTCCATTGATAGCCGTTGATGGTGGACCAGGTCGGGACGGAGGGGTATTGACACTCTATACATTAGTAATGATCTAGTAGATGTAATAAGACACGCGCAGTGCATCTCCAAGGTAGTACAATTGCTCTGCACCATATTCACATCATTACCTTGGATTAAATACGATTTTCTGTGAATTCAACACTTGTGGTAACCATGGTCAAGGTTCTTCTAACCGGTATGGAGCAGCCCCTCAGGACATCACCAGAAAGAAGGTCTGACTTTTTTTCCTCAAGGGGGTAGCGGCTTCATTGCTGCTCATATCATCGATTTTCTTCTGAAACGCGGGTAGTTTTCACGGTGTCAAATGTTTACTGGCATCCTTGAAGCAAGCTGACGAGGAAATACAACAGATTCGACACGGTAGTGACAGTGAGGTCGGAAGTAAAGGGCCAAAAGATCCTTGATGCTCACCCCACTGTACCGAAAGAAAAGCTGTCTTATGTCATCGTAAAAGATGTTGCAGCAGAGGGTGCATTTGACGAGGTACACTCCCACTCGCGCTCCCTATACGGATTGCAGCTACTAAGATTAATTTCAACCTAGGCCGTCAAATCAAACCCACCCTTTGAATACGTCCTCCATACAGCATCTCCTTTCCATCATAATGTTTCGGATCCCGTTAAAGACTTCCTAGATCCCGCTATCAAAGGTACAACAGGAATTCTGAAGGCCATTAAGGCCTATGCACCAACAGTGAAAAGAGTCGTAATTACATCTTCATTTGCGTCTATTGTCAACGTGAAAGCCCATGCGAAAGTATACAATGAAGATAGTTGGAACCAAGTAACCTGGGAGGAGGCCCTGGACCCTGCCCAAACGTACAGAGCAAGCAAGGTGTGTTATTCGATCCAATATCATTTTATCCGTCCATGCTAATACCTTGGGGTTTTCTGCCGAAGACATTTGCGGAAAGAGCTGCTTGGGACTTTGTCAAGAAGGAAAAACCAAACTTTGACATTGCAACCATAAACCCGCCCTTGGTCTTGGGGCCTGTCGTCCATTACTTGAACTCCCTGGATGCCATCAACACCTCTAACATGCGGATTAGCGACATGATCCGGGGCAATTTCAAGGACCAGCTACCTCCAACAGTGACTTTCTTGTGGGTCGATGTTCAGGATGTCGCACTGGCTCATGTGAGAGCTATTGAGGTCCCAGAAGCAGGGGGTCAAAGGTTCTTTGTGACCGCCGGCTTTTTTTCAAACAAAGCCATTGCAGACATAATCAGAGAATCCCATCCTGAATTAGAAGACAAAATACCACCAAAGGATGCTCCTAATGACACGCCGGCGGACATTTACGGCTATAATAACAAGAAGTCCATTGAGGTTTTGGGTATTAAGTACCGGTCATTGAAGCAGTCTGTTGACGAGACTGTCAAATCGTTGTTGGCGGTGGGTGCATAGGATACAGCACGGAATTTCATATAGGTAATACATATATATGGAATTTACATGATAGAAGATTCCCTCGCTCCGAACAAATAGACAAGAAATACTAGAAGAAGAATAGAAGCAGGAAACATCTAAGGTCCATCTATAAGAACTTCACTTCGTGTCGCTGTGGGTCCCCGTATCTCCGGGCTTGGCATCCACTTAGTTCGATCTCTTCGCGCAACTTTTCTCTAGAGGAAGATTCACATTTCCGACGCCGCAGTTGCCTTTTGGACGCCATGGCTACCACCAGGCTATCGCCAACAGCAAATTTGCTACGGCGGTCTCGTCTATTTGCCCTTCCGCAGGCATTGACGCCACCTCAAGAACCTCCAACCTCGAGGCCTACCCACGAGTCCGACACGGCGACTCTGCCTCATCCTATCCGAGCGTCCATTGTCACTCCGGCTTCATCTTTGGCAAGAGGAGACTGGGGTCTGAAGCGACCGCTTCCTGCGAAATCGACGTCCAATAAGTCTTCCCGACCGGTGGTCCGAGTGAATGCTCTCGATACATTCGAGCATGTTACCGACTTCGAATCCGCCGCGGATCATACGGTAACCTTGGAAAAATTTCAGGAACTTCACATGCCTATGTCACTCCCCTCAAAAGTCAATTACGCAACTAGCATTGTTCCCCGACATCAGAGCCCCTTCGAATCCCATGTCGACAACACAGATACGAGCAAGGGCCTGCAAGAGCCCGGAGCCAAACAGTTCAGGCATTCTGGTCCTTGGCTTGCGGGACAGACTGAAGCACAGTTTGATGCCTACGTGAAGAAAGTGCGTAACAACAAACCGGAGCTACTGCAGAAGCTTCGTCAGCGCTTTGTTGAGAAGCGGAACGCCGAGCGAAAGAAGCAAGCTCAGGACAACGGGGAGGATTTAGCGTCACTTCAGCCAGTGCAGGTCAGCGAAGAGGAGTTCCAGGAGTATCTAAAATCCCTGCGTGCGGACCCATTCTCCCTCGGCCCTGTGGTTTTCGAGTTATTGGATCTCCCATCTCCCCCCGCTGTGCCGAGTGACCGAATCGGCCACAAGTACTACCAGTCTCCTGGCACCAAGTTATCCTCGGCCGAATACGCTGTGTCCGGGCCCCCCAAGACGCACCCTTCTGCCGGACTGTCGTATACACGCTCGCATGCTTTGGTCTACAATCACCCTATCCATGGGCCTCAGGCTTACCAGCGTCCCGTTGAGGCGCGTATCTTGCGGCCGAAGGGTAAATTCAAGAACAGGACTGCCAAGGCCATTGCGGGTGTTGGAGGTATTGCCGTGGAAGACCTGAACGCCATGACCTTTGTTGAGCAGGGTTCGCCCCCTGGTCTGGCTAATTTCGACGCCTCTATCCCTGGCGGTGCTAAATACTGGGTCACCCCTATCCGCGCTTCGGTTGACTCGGAGGGTCGGATCGGATTGGCATCTTACCGTGCCAGTGCCACTGCCAAAGCTCCCTATCGCATTGAAGACTATAAGAAGCCCGGCTCAACGAGCATTTCCGACGTCGCCCGTGGCGGCCAACGTGCTGTCCCAAGGCTGGATAGGGCTCGTCCTCGAGCACCCCGAACACGGGATTCATCGCACGGATCCACTGAAGATATTGCAAGGAATCTCATGAAAACCCTCAGCTCTTCGTGAGGGGTTTGTCGCCGGCGTAGTTTCCTCTTGTTTCTTTTTCGTTAGTTTTTGCATCATTTTTTTTTTCGGCAGAGTATGTGGTGTATGATTAGATTACTGTACAAATGTTAAGCTCCACCTGTTTTCTTGGATGTTGTGACGTACAATGGGTTTAACTTCTACTGTGTTAACCGGAGTGGAATGTTGGATCAAGATCCCTCGTGGATGGTAATACGCTCTTCGGAGAAATATTACCGGCAGCGTGCGTATCACGTTCTGATCGACATACCAGGGATACTAGTCAAATGCTACTCTTAGATCACAGCTACATAACATACCTAATTACAGTCTGATATCCTTATAAAGCTTTAATTTCAATGGTCATGAAACCCGGGTATCATCCTATAACGCCCAAACTAATGCACTAACAATATCAATTCCGAGCCTTTTTTGTTTTTTTGGTTGTTTGTTCGTTTCCTTTCCCGTTTAATCTCTTTTATGCTCCAAAGTAGTCAGTTATCCTTCGGCATATACCCCTCGATAGAGCCTCCTATGTCATCTCCGGGGCGCATTTGGGGAGCCATAACCTTTTCGACTGTCGCAGTGTCTCTTTCACGAATTCGTACATCCACTCTGCCAGCCTGTAAAGACGAAACAGAGTCACCGCGTTCCATAGCCAATTCATAAGAACGACTTCTATCGTGGACTGAGAGTCTTGACACCTGGTCCGCCATTTCATCTGTCCCGTGCACCTTGTCCATGTGCAGGTTATCAAACTGACCGACCACTTCATTAACGGACGGAGAACTTCTCATTTTTCCCTTACCCCGTCGTTCCATCGCCCTGCCTTCTTCGAGCAGAACGAGATTCTTGCCCCGTGTATTCTCAGCCCTTCTCTCCCAGACCGGTTCCGCCGCCAACTGGACCCTTATATACATAGCCCTTTCAGCGCATTCATCCGAACACCACATTTCCAACTTCTCTCGTGGGACAATGTTCATCTCGCGTCCATGACCGCCCGGCCCACTTCCCCTGGCACCCCATTTTATTCGGTAAGTCCCTTTGGAATCGTCCTTTCGGTGCTCGCGAGGACACAGACTATACCCACACAAGCCTTCGATGTTTCGCTCCAAGATCAGGTTATCATAATCGGACGGTTGAAAGAGAATCAGCGCTGTTTTGAATTTGTGGGCGTCTTCGGCCGACGGAGATGCAGGGTCTGCGGCTGGGGATGGAGGAAACGTAGCGAGCTCAAGTATGCGGTCCAAAATGAGAGCCTCAGTGTCTTTCTGCGCTTGGATTCGATGTGCATGATGCAGGGCAATAGCTAGATGGCGAGGATCAGTGCCTGATTTCCCCTGTGCCTGGACCTTGGGCTGGTGCGACAATTGGGGTTTGGGTGGCGGTTTTGGAGCAGCAGCGGCATGAGCAGAAGGGAGAGAGGTTTTCAGTATCGGCCGGTCTGAGGACGACATGGTTGAAAGAAACGAGATGGATGCAATATCTGATGATTATTCAGGGTGGCAGACTTTTGGAGCTGGATGGAATTCCGGAACAAGATACGACCAGACCAAGTTCTGGTTCTTCTTCCCTTAGAGTCGACCGAAGTGGCTGGTCCGAATAGTTAGAGCCCCCAGATCGAATGAATCGATTGGTTGATTCGCACAGATGCACACTCGTAGACTGAACGAAGGGTACACAGCTAGAGACGATGACAGACAAGAAAAAGGCAGAGAGGACAAGACGAATCGAGATTTCTGTATGTCTTTGTTTGGGCGTGCTTCCTTCAATCTTATTAGCCGCCGATCGGGGGTGGAGAATATGTCCCGCCAAAAGGTGACGACCTCACGATTCCTCCTCTCTTCTCTTTCCCTCTCCCCTTCCCTCCCAGCTGATGTTTTTCCCCATCCTTGGCATTAATCGTATTTCTTTCTTTCCTTTGCCAGACGTAGCATTGGTGCTTCTGAATTCGGTAAGTGCAAGGACTTCATACTGGCCTCCACAGTCCAGCTTCCATCGGTTCCCTCTGACGTACCCAACAACCAAACATCCACCAGGCTGACATATAAACCATCATTCTCACTGTCTAGCATCCCACCAACGCCAACAGCCACATTTTCCCTGTGAGGCACCCTTTGTGCGTGTTTCTGTGCATCAGAACTACGTAACTTGGTGCTTCACGGCGTACGACCTACATTCTGAATTGATTAATTGATTGATATTGACTCCACTCCCGTTGCGATTAGTCGCTGTCTTACTATCCCCCACATCTCCGTGACAGGGCTCCCGGCTTGCCAGATGTCCAGCCCGCCGTTCACGGTCAGAGCGGTCTTCGAGTACTCGTCGAGCCACGATGACGACCTAAACTTTTCGATCGGCCAGGTAATCACCGTTACCGAGGAGGAAGATGCCGAGTGGTACTTCGGTGAATACACAGATGAGTCCGGGTCTAAGATAGAGGGCATCTTTCCCAAGAATTTCGTGGAAAGGTATGATCCTCCAGCTCCTCCACGACCAGCACGTCCAAGCAGGCCAAAAAAAGATGCCGAGCCCAAGGCTGAGCCGGAGCCTGAGCCGGGGCCTGAGCCGAGTCCCGCTGCTATTGAGACTCCTGCAGCGGAACCTCAGTCTCTTCTGGAGCCAGAAGCAGAGCATGTTCCTCCTGCAGCGAGCTTGGTAAATGCATCCGAGCCCCTCAGGTCACCGCCGGCACCTGTGGAAACTCCGGTTAGTGAGGTTCCGTCCCCACCTCAGTTGATGCGGGCGTCAGCTCCGCAACCTCCTCCTCCGACGGCGGCCAGTGAGCTACCCGCGCCTAAGCTTTCTTCAAAACCCCCGCCTCCTGCCATTGTAGAGAAGCCCACAGGGTCCTCCTTCAGGGACCGCATTGCCGCGTTTAACAAGCCCGCGGCGCCCCCGGTTGCACCGTTCAAGCCTGGGGGGTGGAGCTCCCAAAACACTACCTCATTCATCAAGAAGCCGTTTGTTGCACCACCGCCCAGCAAGAATGCCTATGTTCCTCCACCCAAGGAAGCACCCCCGAAGATATATAGAAGGGAGGAGGATCCAGAGGTTCAAGAGCGTATCGCACGGGAAACCCCCGTCTCTGAGAGTCGGCCTGGCCCTAGTGAAAATACTGAAGAAGCAACAGAAGACCAGCCTAAGCCAACAAGCCTGAAAGAGCGTATTGCTCTTCTGCAAAAGCAGCAAATGGAGCAAGCTGCGCGACATGCAGAGGCAGCCCAGAAGAAGGACAAGTCCAAGCGGCCTCCGAAGGGTCGCACCGAATTCCACGAAGAGGCAACAGCCCCAGAGGACCAAGGCGTGGAAATGGCAGAGCCAATTGAGGCTGCACGGGACACCAGCGCTGACACTGTAAAACCCGCTGCTCCCTCGATGCCCCAACCTAACCCCCCCTCCTGCCCCAGCACAAGAGCTGGCAAGCGATACCAATGATGCCGATGACTCCGCTACTGCCGACACTGAGGATGCGGAAGAAACCTCCACAAGCAAAGAGGACTACGATGATCGTGCCCGTGCTGAGTCTCAACGGGCCACCCAACCTCATGATGAGCCAAAATCACCGGAAAGTGTCAAACATGAAGACGCGCGGGAAAATGAGGAAGAGGAGGAAGAAGAAGACGACGAGGAAGAAATAGACCCGGAGGTAAAGCGCAAAATGGAACTTCGCGAGAGAATGGCGAAGATGAGCGGTGGAATGGGTATGATGGGCTTCTTTGGTCCTCCTGGAGGTATGCCTGTTCCCGGCGCAGCCCGCAAGCCAAAGCCGCAAGTGGAACCTGAGAGAAAGAAGACTGGGGACTCTGAAGGCGCTGCGCCTGCTCCGGCACCGCCAGTCCCTATTATGGCCTTGCCTGGGATAAATACCGGCAAACCAGCAGCCGTTGAGAAGGACGAAAATGAAGCTCCGGCCACCCCTTTAACGGAGCAGCATCCTACACATGAAGTTCCTGATGTCGAAGACATAAAGCCGCTTCGACGCACCTCAACTGATAGACCACCTCAAGGTATGGAAGACCATCCCTCTCATCTCTCTCTCTCCTTTGGCCCAACGGATGTTTCAAGAACTAGAAGTTAACATCCATCATGCAGAACGTCCAGCGCCTCCACCTCCACCGATGGAAACACGACCCGTTCCACCTCCCGTTCCATCTCACGTCCCTCAGGATCGCCCTGTGTCCCCTCCCCCTGTGCCAGGCCGTAAGTGCATAAAAAATTGACTTAGGCACATCCTATCTTCCAGCCCTGCTGACTCTGTTTGGCTATAGCTCGCCCCCTCCCTCCCTCAGCTAAGAGCGCTACATTGGCCGATCCCGGTGAAGAACCTGACGATGAACTATCCGTACATGCAAGAAATCTATCTTTAAATGCAGTAGCTGCGGATCAATCTGCCGCTTCCCCGCCAGTACAGGCCCCACCAGTCCCTGGTCATCTTGATACCCGTCGTTCATCAACCTATGATGCTACATCTCCGAAATCACCAACTCATCTTTCGGAAAAGAGACTCAGTCGTCCTCCTCCCCCACCAGTTCCGACAAGTCCACCTATGCCACCGCAAAGTAGGCCGGCCCCTCCCCCTCCTCCTGGCCAAATACGACGCGCCTCGACTTCAGAAAGTCGAACGAGCAACGTTTCACAACCTCGCCAAGCCGGAGATGAAATTGAGGGTGAAGTTACGGAATATGAAGGTGATTATGACACGGACATTGCATCCGGGGCGAAGTTCAAAGATGCGCTAAAGGCTCATGGTCGGGACTCGAGCCTTGATGAGGGTACCGTAACCGATCAACATCAACCTCAGTCTCCAAGCAGCCCCCAGGAAACTCGTCCTCCGCCGCCTCCCCCTCCATCTGCCCCTCGGGCAGTTCCCCCGCCGCCTCCCGCTCAGCCACCGAAAAGTGCTGGCAGGGCCTCCATGGAGACGCCTAGAGCCCCGCCGCCCCCACCACCGCATATGGATTCCCTGCAAGGAGAGGACGATGACGAATATGACCCTTACCGTTATACCGCTCCACAGCATGGGCTACCTCAACCCAGGGCCCCCCCTGTGCCAACAGGACGCCCAGAATTGCCGCCTAGTATTCAACCAGAGCATACTGGGGATGACTCGGATGACTTGTATGATGCGTCTCCGGTGCAAGCACCACCGGAAGTACCACCTCCTGCGCCATCTGGAAAACGTATCTCCATGGCGCCTCCGCCTCCCAGTCACCTACCTGCTGCGCAACCACCCCCTTCACGGAGTAGCCGTGCATCCTTGGATATTCCCAGAGGTCAGCCGAATATCCGGAGGTCGATGGACGTTGCTCGTCCTTCCATAGACCAAGGTTTCATTGCCATGGATGTTGATCTGGCGGAGAGTTCACTATGGTGGAGCCAGCCGTCTACTCCTCCACCCATGTTTCAGAACCGCAAGGACCTGTTTTTTGAGGTTGAGGAGTCCAGCTCGTCGAAACGAGGAGGCAAAACTACAGTCACGAAAGACGTGTATATCTTATTCGTAGATTACTCTCAGACTGTCATCACAGTGAATTACGATGCCCGCAATCCCAGTGATGTATCTCTGGAGCAGCGTCATGAGCCTCCTCCCCTTCAGCCTCGTCAAGACCAACTCGAGAATGCCCACCATCAGATTGGCACTCAGATCGCCAATGCCGTAAGTGCTGTCCAAAACACGACGGTTGCGGATGGAACCCCTTTCGGTCTGGTCCAACATTTGCTCAACCCTATCAAGGAGGCACTGCTCCCCGTTGGTACACGTGCTTACGGTGCCTTGGTTTATTCCAACCTGGCCAACGCGTCCGTGCAACAAAATGACGAGATCCGCGCAGGTGACATCGTGAGCTTCCGTAATGCACGGTTCCAGGGTCATCGCGGCACGATGCATCAGAAATACAGTTCCGAAGTGGGCAAGCCCGATCACGTCGGCATTGTTGTTGACTGGGACGGAACTAAGAAAAAGATCCGAGCATGGGAGCAGGGCAGAGAGAGCAAGAAGGTCAAGGTGGAAAGTTTCAAGCTCAACGACCTTCGCAGTGGCGAGTGTAAGGTCTGGCGAATAATGCCCCGGAGCTGGGTTGGGTGGGAAAATTAGGGATGGAACAGATTAATGCATAATGAACAAGTGTTGGTCTCCTCACATAGTCCGTGATGGCCAGCCGGCGGCGAACGTTTAGTTCGACTGATATGGTTTATTTTTTCTCTCTCAAGTCCATCACTCTTTTTTTTTTAAACCCCCTCGAAAATGCTCACCGGGTCTCGACGTTACGACAATGCAGACGGGCTGAACAGAAGATTAGTAAATGATTTGACTCTGGTATATTTTAATTTCGCATGGTACATGAACTGCAACGGGGCTCACGAGACGCGCTACGTGGGCAAGGCCTTGTCTTCTCTTTTGCTTTGTTATCTGTTCGCGAATAATTTTACATTTCTCGCTGTATGTATCTATTGATGCTTTATTCTTGTTTTATTTTATTTTATTTTTTGCGTCGGCCGTGTAGCGGTATTGTCCTTCGTTTAGATTGTCTTATTTGGCCATACTCAGACCTTCAATGAACCTCCTCCCTTCATGAGCCAGTTTTTTCCATCCCCATACTGTAACCTGTAGTATTCATGGAACAGACTTTGATGCCTCAGGCAACTATAGGCAACAATGTCGGCCCGGTGGCGACTTCCTTTTCGGGCCTTTCTTAATACAGTACCATATCAGGCCAGCGCAACGCCCACCACGCTCTGCTACCCAAATCATCACCAGTCCCCCTCTTAGACTGCAGCTTGCCTGCATCATATTGAATTCAAAATGGGTGGTGATTTGAACTTGAAGAAGTAAGTTTTATCTTGCCCTCTCGATATCACCACCCGTCGGCATACTGACCTCGCACTCGGCATTTAGGTCATGGCATCCGTCCCTGCTCCGCAACCAAGAGCGCGTTTGGGCCGAAGAAAAGCGTGCCCTGGAAGAGCGCAAGCGCATCGATCAGCTCCGTCGGGAACGAGATGAAGAGCGCCAAATCCAGGAACTCCAGCGTCTACATGAAGATTCCGGGAAGGCGCGCCAGCAGAATCGGGTCGACTGGATGTACCAGGCGCCGTCGAGTGCAACGGGCCATTACTCCGAGGAAATGGAAGGGTATCTGCTGGGAAAGCGCCGCATCGATGATATTTTACTGAAGAATGACGAGAGCAAGAAGTTGGAAAAGGGTGCGGAGCTCGGAACCGGCCATGTGCCCCCTGCTCCTACAGTGAACAATGCTCGTGATACAATGACGAAGGTTCTAGCAGATCCGCTACTGGAGATCAGGAAGAGAGAGCAGGCGGCTTATGAGAATATGGTCAAGGAATCAGCGAGACGCGGAGCGATCGACTCGCGAGGGGGCGATCGGGACCGCAGCCATAAGCGCAGGAGATATAACAACGAAGACTCCCGTCGGCACCATCGACATAGGTCACACCGTGATAGGTCCAGATCTTCAGAATGGTCACACCGGAGACACAGGGATGATCGCGACGATCGAGATCGCAGGCACCGGGATCGCAAAAGTGAGAGGGATCGTAAAGAGGACAGGGATGAGAGAGATCATCACTTCGGCAAGCATCACGAGGAGAGGTACGACCGGCGATCGCCTCGTGGTTCCTTCCGCGATCAATCCCCCTCCCCCCAACCCGACTATTGTCATTCCGATCGCCGTCGGGTGGAGGGCAGGGATGCTGGATCTCCCAAAAATTATCAGAACGAAGACCAAAGGGACAAACCACATCGCTACGATGATAGGAAGAATCATAGAAGGCCCAGACACTCGTATCCCCGAAACCGAGTTCCCAACCGCTCTGGGCCCGGAGATTCAGACACGAAAGCAAAGGACTTAGAAGAAGATCGTATGCGAAGACTCGCTGAGATGCAGGACAATGCAAGCGAAATGGAACAGAATCGTCGCCAACGCATTGCCGAAGTCACGGTCGAGGAAGAGAGAAAGCGCGAGAAAGATGAGAAGCAGCGCTCGGAACGAGGTCGTTTCGTGTCAGCGATGCATCGGCAACTCCAGGAAGATACCTTGGACGAGCGAATTCGGCGCAGTCGCGGTGGGTTGTCTCGGGAAGAGGATTGATCTTTTTGATCTACCCGGCTACGGTGCTTTTTTCTTTTTTTTTTTAACTTGTAAGCCTTGCGGTTTCCGTATGATATCCTTCCTTTTCCCCCTTAATTTTCTTTAACAAGTTATCATGTCACAACACACGTTGCACTATGAGATATTTGGTCAGCATATTCCCTCCGTCCATGATGACTACGTTACGTGAATGGAATGAGGATTCAATAGCTAGAAATTAAGAAACGAATAAAACTGATGGTTTCAGTATAAGTAGGTATCACAAATTCCTGCGAAGCGAGGATATCGCTCGAATATAAACCAACAAGGCTCAGAGGAGAAAAAAATTAAAATAAATAAACAATAAAAAAGAAAGAAAGTCTATACAACGCCAAATCATCACAATAATAATAACTCCCCTGTCGCTGCTACACCGGCCAACTGAGGCTGATACACCTGCTGCTGGTTCTGATTGACTACGTACTGCATCTGGGACGCTCCACCACCGCCAACACCACCATCCCCACGACCTCCCAGGTCTAGAGCCGCCATTTGTTGACTGCCGACATTATTGAAGTATACGTCGGCTGCACTCACGGCCGCATTCATGTCACCGGGGGCCTGTACCGATCCATTCACCGGCGAGGTTGGCGAGCTAGAAGAAACGATTGTGGCACCGCCGGTGGTGAAGCTGGTAGTGGTGGCAGGCGTGGCGGGGAATTGCCAGGAACCATTGCCATGATCTTCGGCAGGTCTCTGCAACGCAGGGCTATACTGTAATCGACGAGTGCGCGCCGAGCGGAACACTTGCTGCACCGGTTTCAGGTACACTGTGGCCAGGGTGCCGACGTTCAGACAGAGCTCTTCCAGGGTACGCGAGTCGAGTTTCTCGCTTTCTGCGCTGATCGGTGGCTTCTGGCCCATTACGATCTGTCGCGCGGTGGCGGGATCGGTCGACAGTAGACGCCAGTACATGTATCCTCTGTCTCGGAGGTCCGGGTCGTCGGTCTCCTCGGTGCACCATTTCAGGACTTGTGGGACGAGTTGTTGGCCCTTTGTGGGACGTTGGATGAAGAACTTCACTGTGGCGGTCAGGAGGGCCAGTTGAACCTCGACGGTTTCGTCATGGAATGTGGCGAGGTAGTCTTGGAGAAGGCCGTCCGAATTTTCGATCCGGTCAGCGTATTGTCCGATGATCCATATGATGGCAGCTTTGGCCTCAGGCTCGTCGAGGTCGTCGATGTTTTGGATGACCTGGCCGATGATACTTTCGTACTGGTTGGGGTACTTGCGGAAGATATTCCGAATGACAACTGTGGCTTCCTGTACGATATAAGGGATTTTGGCGTTTACCAGATCGAGAAGCGTATCGATACATTGCCGGGCGGCAGACTCGATCTTGATCGCCAGCTTTCCAATCGCGCGTACAGCCTTGCGTACGAAATGGACATCAATCTCCGTGGCATATCTGGATTCCCGTCAGTTCAATCCGAGTTGGCTTGGAGAGGGAAAGGCATAATAGGGTACCTACTCTCGCAATTCCGCCAGGACAACCGATATGTTCTCCTTCGTGGTCAGCATGAATATGAGCTCAAGTTTGGTCACCTTCACATATATGGGATCATTGTAGTTACAGAAAAACACCCGGATATCGTTGCGTAGAACTTCGGGTCTCTTCTGGAGTATGAGTATGGCATTTCGAAGCGCCAAGTATTGAACTTCGGGCGGCTTCGACAGGAGGGTGACCAGCGGTGGTGATAGCTTTTTCGACAGGGATGTGATATGCCTTTCACCGGCAATGTAGTTCATGAGGTAGAGGATGACACGGATGGAAGTGAGGACAACAGCCGAGTTGGAGTGTGAAAGGCGCGGGGCTATTCGTTCTGCTAGCAAGAGTGCCTCTGCAGAATCTTGTGGAACATATGACATTAGAGCCTCGAGAATGTACGTTTGTCCCCATCTGCATGGCAGTTAGAAATCTGTCACATCGACTATAACTCATAGAGACGTACTCGGAACAATCTGGCAAGATGGAAACCAGTTTCGACGCACTCGTGTAGTCGATCGTTAGAGAGATGGTTTCACTGCGACCCCAAATGTCCACTAAGGAGGCAAGAACACTAGAGACAACCGTCGGATTCTCATCTTTAAGCATTTGATTCAACCGATCGATCAGGTCGGAGCTCTCGACCATCTTCTTATCGTGCTCGTAGAGCTTGGCGACACACAACGCAGCAGTTTTGCGAACGTAGGGGTCCATATCTCCCATCAACCGTTTGACAGGTTGAATAGTTGCCTCGACAAACTCGCGCACATGAATGTAGGAGATGGTCCGAAGCGCCAGTGCGCGTACGAGGGGGTTTGAGTCTTCCATGTCCTATGACACATGAGTTAGGCCATGTCCACCTGGTATAGGGCGGAGAATATTGCCATACATCGACTAAGACCGGCAGCGCCTTCAATGCAATTTCCGGTTTCATTCTTGAATAATTAACCAAGAAGAGGAAGCACCTATTGCCAACTAGCATCAGTGGGCGGCCCCTCAATACGAGCACGCGACGTATCTCGTCGACCTACATCTTTTTTATCTCCAAGCTCGGCAGATTCATGCATCCTATCACATCTGGAAACAAGCCGACCATATCGTTGTTACTCATAGTCATATTCGCGACGATTTTCTTCAGGGCAATCTTCTTGGCCGAATAGTTCTTGTCCTTCTTGCCGCCGCTGTTGAGTTCTTGTCGTAACTCTGCGACCTTGCCCTGTCGAGATCGAGAGAGTGGTAAGCCATAGGAGTTCGTATAAGGAGTTATGCTGAGAAACATGGGAGAGGAAGATGAGGTGGGTGTAGCTAGGTAAATCCTTCAAAAATCGATCGATCGTCTGGATGATTGAGGGTGAAACGTGGCCAACAGGAATCGAATGAGATAAAGCCAGCAGGGTATCACAAGATGCAAGGATGTGAAGGCAGGAAAGGCGGATCACCCGAGGGCCACATAAATCCATAACCAAGGACGTTCCTACAAACATGAGGGGAAAGAGAGAGGAGAAAAAGAGGGGAGGAGGAGGGACGATCGGACTGGAGGAACGTACCCTAGCGAAGAGCTTCGCATCTCCCCCGCTGGAACTCATGATGGGCGCTCCGACAACCGAAAACGATGGATTCGCTGCTCTAGAGGATTAACGTCTTCCCAAATGCAGGTTGGCTTTTCTTGGAGTGTGCGATCACATGGAAGGGTGTCTCGCGGAGGGACGAATAAGAAAAGCAGCTGGAATAGCTTCGAAGGACGATTTTCTTAGCTACGACGCTCCATGCAGGCCCTGGTCCACTGGGATGGTCAACGGGCGCAATTGCAAATGCAAGGGATGCCGCGGACAAACCTGGTCTCGGTACGGGTGAGGGATTGTTCTCTAGGCCTGGACAGAATTGCACACAACGAGCGAAAGTGAGGGTAAAAAGGGAGTCGATGTAACTTGGACGAGACTCAGGAGTGGATCAGGATTACCGCCGCCTCCGCGCGCTTGTGGAGAATTCCGCAGCATCACGTACTCCGTTACTTCTGTCTCTCTCTCTTTCTTATGTTCAACCATACTAACACTTTCTACTCTATCATCATGGACACTAAACCTCTCAAACCCGTTCCACCGCCGAAATGGGTCGTGGACTTGAATTCCCCCATGCCACTTCCTTCCAAATCCAAAACCAGTATTCCCGACCCTCCAGGCTTTGCCAGTCGCAAAGAAGGCAGAAACGTACGTGGTTATCGCTTCTTTCCAGCTGCGTCCATCTCTACATCTATTGTATATGACATATCTTCTAACCCGGCCATGAAATAGCGAACTCAGCAGCAGGCAGCACCGACGTCTTCCGCACCCAAACCCGTTGAAACCGACACACTTAAGCTGAAAAAGGCATGGGAGATCGCTCTTGCGCCCTCAAAACAGATCCCGATGAACGCAATCATGATGTATATGTCCGGAAACAGTCTCCAGATCTTCAGTATCATGATGGTGTTTATGCTCTTCAAGACACCCATCCAAGGAATTATAAACACCAACATGGCATTTGCCAAGTTTGACACGGAAGGAACAAGAGGAAAGCTTCTTGCAGTCAAGGCGGTGTATGTCTTGATGCAACTGGTATTGTTGGGACTGGGGGTGTGGAAGGTGAATGCGATGGGTCTTCTACCGTACGTGCTCCGGATTCCATTCATACCTCTCTGCGTTTGAGGTGTCGCTCTGCGAATTGCTAATATGTTTGTAATACAATAGAACGACGAGGTCGGACTGGCTAGCTTGGGAGTCGGAGCGACAACCGCTGGAACGAACTTATTTTGCGTTTGAATCATGAGGAACGCTGCTTGGGAATGACAGGGGGGCATATAAAAAGAAATAGTGAGAACAGTTGATCTAATAGTGATACTTATTCAGGTTCTATTCTTCACTAGATTTAAGAATGTGAGCATGTATGAAATATGCAAGGTAGCTTTTATCTCGCAAATCTACTGGAGCTATTGGATACAATTTCGGTGAATAAAAATACCATGTGCAGAAGTGGCCCCTATCGAGGAATATCCTTCTGTCTGAGTCCGACAGAATATAGTGGTCGATAATATCATCTCGCAGGTGCCTTTATTTCACGCCTGTAATTGACTGGATGTCCATGGGCATACGCCCATGATCATGGGTCCTAGAAGGGCTATAGAACACTTTCTTGTGGAATATGAAAACCCACCGACGTGATTTTGATTATTTCCGAGCCTTCACGGCCTCGCGACAAGCAGTAAAGAATATCTGACAGAACTCCCGCACATCTGCATATGTGTTATATAGAGGTGCCGGCGCAACCCTAATAACATCTGGCTTTCTCTCATCGATAACGACTCCATTTTTCTCGAAAACCTCCAATACATGGTCCAGAAGACCGGGCTGTAGTCTCAGACTGAGCTGTGCACCGCGCTGGGCAGAGTCCGACGGGGTGATAATGGTAAAGGGCTTCTCCTCCGGCGGTGTGTTAAGAGGATATGTCAGGAGCAGATACTCAAGGTAACCCGTGAGACTCAGAGACTTTTGGCGGATTTTCGCCATTGACGTTCTGTTGAAAATCTCAAGAGATGCCACTACTGCATTCATGTCCAACACAGATGGATTCGACACTTGATATCCTGCCGCACCGGGCTGGGGTAGAAAGTCTGCCAAAGTCAGACTGATCCTCGCTCACAAGATCCCAGTTCAATGGCTGCTTGTATAAGACGATAGAGCTTACTGTTGTTCATGAGGAACCGGGTTTTCTTGTCGCCTCCCCACCAGCCGGAGAACCGGGGCTGAAACGGTTCACCACCAGGGCTAGCTTTGTCCATGTCTACTCTTCCATGTCTCTCATGGACAAACATTGCCGCCATTCCTCCGGGTCCACTGTTGAGGTATTTATAAGTACACCAGGCTGCAAAGTCCACGTTCCAATCGTGTAGTTGCAAATCAACGTTTCCTGCTGCGTGGGCACAATCCCAACCTACAGTGATACCTTTAGATTGAGCATGGGCAGTAATCCTTTTTATATCGAAATACTGGCCAGTGTAGAATTGGATAGCCGAAAGGAGCAGGACAGCCGTGCTGGATGCGTTCGCATCAATCACCTGGAGTATGTGCTCCGTGGTCAGGGTAGGTCGGGCAGTGTCTTTTGGCTCGATGAGAACCAATGCGTCCTTGGGGTCCAGATTATGATGCTTTATTTGGGATTCAACTGCATACTACATACCAAGCATTAGTACGTGACTCTCATTCCTTCAATGAGAAAGGTGGACCTGAGAAGCCTACATGATCACTTGGGAAGGCTTTGCCTTCGATAATGACCTTATACCTGTCCCGAGTGGGCCTGTAAAAGCTTGCCATTAACAGGTGCAGATTGGCTGTCAGGGTACCCATGACCGCGACCTCGCTCTGGAGTGCACCAACGATTGGAGCCATAAGTTTTGCCCCGGCCTCATCCACATCAACAAACGGGGGAAGCAACTGATCATCATGAGGTGTAAAATGCCCCGTTACGCCTTTGATTGCCCAGGTTCGCAGGTAATGCTCGATATATTTCCGTATGCTGCGAGGCTGCACCCCGAGCGAGTTACCACACAGATAGATACATCGTGGATCGGAAGAGTCATCGGATTCTAGGCACTACTTTGTCAGCGAATGTACTACAGTAGGAGGCCATAAGAGATCTCACTCACTGTCATTAACAGCCAACGATAGTCTCTTCAGATCCGGTTTGGAGGGGATGATAAACTCATCTCTGAATTGACGCAGAGGATCCCGTGCATCGAGGGCTTCTGCATATTCCTTGGTGAAGGCCCTAATATCGTCCTGGTAGGGAAGTGGAGGTCTCTTCATGCCATCTTGAGGTATTAATTGAAAAGCCATGTTGCCGACTGGACCGTTCAAGTGCACACTGATGTAATCCCCAGGAAGTAGTTCAACTCAATGAGTTGCGCTATTGAGGTCCCACCGTGCCGAGAATAGAATAGAATGATGGCTTGGATCTGGGCAGGAACAAGCGGACGGAATTGCAGTGTAGTATACCACATGGAAATTGGACTTTCTCTAGTACGTTGGCTTTTTACGTATGTTAGCAGAAGTCCGGCAATGATATACCGGGACTGCAGCGTTATTATGCATATGCAAAAGCTACTCACCGTAATTTACGTGGTAGTCACTAGATATCTAATGAAACCCACTTACCATCGGAGAATATATATCTCAGTCCGACCGCTACACGTGATTACCAGGCACCGCAGGGTAGGAAACCCGTAGTATTGAGTATATGTATAACTCAGCCAGCAGGTTGAGCAGCAATAACACTTTAAAAACCAAAATTATACCATGGATATTGCAAATCGAACAAAACCAAACCCACGTAGTTCTTCCCCGCCATTGATTCTGCCGCTGCTTTCCGACACCTATCAACCAATGGCGTCATGCGCAAACACTCTGACTAACAATTGACATATAAAGTTAACTAATCCAAACCATAATTGCTAGAAAGAGCCCAGACTTCCCGATCTTTCCTCAGACAATCGTTCCTGAAAGAAAGAAGTGGCCTGGTGGAAATATGTCTTGCCCGATACTATCCTCTACTGCCCGACGGTTATCGCGACCTCGTCGGACGGTGATCTCTGCCTTCTCGTCCTCAAGACCGGTTACGAGCTTGTCCTCATCCTTTTGCGACTCGCTGTTATTTCCTGCGCGGCTCCAATCGAAAACGACTCAGACTCCTAGGGACACACTCGCATCCAGTTCTGCATCACTTTTCTGCGCTCCCTCCCAACGTCGTGTCTTTTCATCTTCGCCTATCCGACGGGCCACCAAAACTACCCTGAACCCAAGAACCGGCGAAGACGGAAATACGCTGATGGTCAATATATCTCCTCGTGCTGCAGAGGTAGGTCAATATTCTTTTTTCGATCCCTTATACCAAGTTCTGCGAGGAGCGATGGCTGTAGTTTACTGGCTTGCTGGCGGGAGTTTCGGGCAATGACATCGGTTGACCTCGGAAGAGCGGCAACTCGAAGGGTTGCGCCTATAAAGGTCCCGACGAGAAAGAAACAAATACATACGACCACAGGGTGTGGAAAACAGGGCTTCCCGTCCGCTCAGCCGTACTTAAGCCACACGCCGGCCGGTTAGTAGTTGGGTGGGTGACCACCAGCGAATCCCGGCTGTTGTATGTCTTTTTTCCCTTTTTTTTTTTTTTTTTTTTGATTTTTGATGTTATAGTTATTATTGTCTATTTTTCTGTCTAAAACTATTTGGAACAGCGTCTCCGAGAAATTACCGACCCGTCATCCTCTCCGTCGCCGACCAAGGAAGAGAATCCCTACCATCACCTCCGAATCACGGTGACCAGCGGAGGCTGCCATGGGTTTCAATATATGATGTCGCTTGAGGCTGCTTCGAAGATTGACCCGGAAGACGATACAGTATTTGAGGCTGAGTACTCGCATGAAGAGGTCGCAGCTTCGGGAGCTGGCGAGGCCAAGGTGGTCATGGATGAACCTTCGTTGGAGCTTTTGTCTGGAAGCACGGTGGACTATACGATGGAACTGATCGGGAGCCAGTTCAAGATTATTGATAACCCGCGAGCAACCAGTAACTGTGGCTGTGGGACCAGCTTCGATGTCAGTGATTAGATTGACGATGGGCTTGGTCTTGACGCATCGTCTCCCTGTCATTATGCCCCAACCTGTGTATCATAGTTGCATGTTAGTACAGATAGAATAATGCCTACATAGTTATACCCCGCTTTTCAACGATTGACTCCATCGACAGAGTTTTAGTGATAAATGTCATCATCTATTTCATCATGCGAAACTCTACCACGGTGTCCTCTCTCTCCTTTAGATCCCTTTGTGCTGATCAACACAGTCAGACATGCCGAGTAACACAACAACTAAACCAGGAAGTACAAGCAATGAATACGCCTCCAACAAGCCTCGAGATTTGTTTTGAAACCAAGCCGAACCCGTGACCCGAGCAGGCCTAAGTTTGGGTAACCTGGAGAGGAAAAAAATAATAAAAAAAGGAGATAAGAAAAGAAAAATAACATGAACAGGGAAACAACATATGAACGTAAAGAAAGGCAAAATGAGAAGACACCATGATTTTGCGGGGCAGTTAGAGAGTTTTCGTGTACGTAGATAATCAACACAGATTCTCTTTTCAACAATACTAGTTATCGTGGCCCTTCCACGTATCGTCTTTCAATCTGCACATCCAGTCCTCCTTTCAACGGCTTGATACCTCTGTGTCCGACGGCTCCCGCTCGGGAAACCAAGATGGTCTGTGTATAGTCATGACGTATCTCATTTTCGATCCCTTGCGCACAATTTTCAAGAATATGCAGCTGGGACAGTTTAGTAGACACGGGCAAGGTTTCTCAGATACCAATCCACCAGGCGTCGTCCGGCTTTGGTCTCGCTGACGTGAATCAGGTCGTTCTCGAGAGCATAATCCAGGTCGTTGGCATTGACCGGCTCGCCCTCCAAAAGGCCACCCTCAACCCAGCGCACCTGTCGGCTACGTTGCTTGTTCACCAACAGCCAAGAGCGGAGCTTCTCGGGCTCGACCTCCAGGAACCCAGCAAGCTTCTTCAGATCCATAGTCGTGTAGAGCTTCAGGTATGAGCGGATGGTAGGGTTGTACAGAGTGTTCTTGACCTCGTCCATGAAGATAGCCGTGTGGTGATCGACCGGATCCACGTTGACAGACGGGTTGTCGAAGTCAGGAGGAGTGGGGTTGATGAACTTGGGGCAGGCGGAGCGGAAGAGCTCCTCGAAGAGAGGAAGGGCATCGGGACCGCCGTGCTGAAGACGGTTGAGCTGCTCGCCGTACTTTTCACGCAGAGCGGAGTGGATGGTGTCATCGAGACGGGTGGGGTGGAGGGCGACACAGATGGCGATCAGGGCGTACATCTGGTCGTTCTTCTTGGCGATGGCATCGTAGCTGTTGCCACCCTTCTGGAAGTTCTTGGTCCGGGAAACATACACCAGGATGTGGCTAAACATGCGGATGGCGTCGCCGTACCGGCGCATCATCATGTACGAGAAACCCACATAGTAATAGGTGGTAAAGTGAGCGGCCATGACACGGGCGAACATAGCCTTCTTGTTCATCTCAATATCGTCGAGGGTCTTGAGGGCCAGACTGAAGTCACCCAGCAGGCAGTGGACACGCAACAGCCCAATGATCGAAAAGTACCCCAACATCTTGTAGAGTGGGCGAGAGCCATATTCTCCAGCAAAAGCCACGGGGTCCTCGCCACGCTTGATGGCAGCCAATTGCTCGTTGATCTGCGATCGTTGGATGAGAGAATAAAGGACATTGAGCACAGAGTAGCAACCCCACGTATTCGGGTTCTCGCGGAGAAGCTGTGCCTCTTCCTCGTTGGAGCCGCTGCGCGCGACCCGGTTACGGTAGCGGCAGAACGACTCGAACTGGTAGATAAACTCGTCGATCACATCCCAGGCCCAGTAGTACTATATAACAGAGAAAGAGGACCGATTAGTACCGTGTGACAAAAAGCAAAAAAAAGCGAAACTCGTCGCCCACATCACCGATGACATTTTGGGTACCCCCCCCCCAAGGTTTGGAAAGTTGCATTCCCGTAGAGAAGTAGACAAAAGGAAGGGAAACATACAGAAGGAACCTCCAATTCCACAGGTCCATCCGAGTTCAAGATGTAATGGAAAAGACTGCAGTAGTTGTCGTAGCTTGCGAACTTAGTCTCCAGCGTAGCCTGGTATTCAAGCGGGGTGGCAGCAGCAGCGAGCTGAGCCTGGAGATCTTGCGTCTGAGAGCCAGCTCCAAGTGATGTTGTCCTGTCCAGATCACTCATGCCATCATCGAAGTTGACTTGCTCGCGGTAGTCATTGACGAGCGCTTCCTCCTCCACATCGGACTCGTCGCCCAAGTTGGGATGCGCGTTGGCGCGCTCTTCGTAGGACATGTTGAGAAGAAAAAAGGTCCGCGGAGACGGTGCAAAGTATCAAGCAAGCGGTCGATGGGGTTAGTGAGAGGGGGGCAGAGCGCGTCGTCTGGAGTAGCTACTCGGCGTCGGCGTGTGGGATTTCAATAGTTTCGGCGTCGAATTTTGAGGGTTTTCGCTTGGACGGTTTGTGCTTATCTTATCAGCGCATAAGAGCGACGGATGAGTCAGCTATACAGATATGCTGATGTAATCGGATGTTTTCTTGAGGAACGAAGCACGCAAGTATCATTCATTCTCTATCAACAATTCTGAGTAATTTCGAGCTGTCTGCTACCTGAGCACTCGGGTAATTGAACATATAGCCTACATATGGGTTGGAATCTCTAGACATCTAGTTGTATTCCTGATGCTTTGGTTCCTTGGCCATAATACTCAAATCCACATGTCCATAGTAGACCTTTATCCACCTGACCTTGAACCTGACCTTGAACCTGACCTACTTAGGATGCTGCATAAATGAGAAAATTTCGACTCCCTGTAGTTTATTGAAGGATGTAGAATATGGAGCGTAGGGAGGCTTCTAGAGTGGGCTCAGAGTAGAATCGCCTCACAATGGAACTCAGAAGCGGATACAAGAATAGGATGTTACAGTCTAAGAATTGTTATTTATTATTTATTTCTGTCATCTTTCATTATTTTAAGTACAAGAAGTAGGCCCCAGGCTATACTCTTGCAGCGACCCAGCAGCTATCTAAGTATCCATAAGCGAAACTGCTGGTGGGTATGTACTAGGAGCAGGTAAAAAACCAGGGGCACAGTAAAAGTTACAAGAATGTAAATTGGGCTTAACCAGAGACTCAGGACCTGCAATTTCCTTGCCTACACGCGACAGAAGACTCCATGGCATACCATCAAATTTGCTGTCGAAGATGTATGCTGATCTTCCCTAGGGAAGAATTGAGGTGCTGGTATTGACCGGAAAACGTATCCACGGGCACTGGTTGGCCGACAGCTCCTTTTAGGTGCCCCCAAAGTTAGAAGGCGCTCTACGGAGTTAGTATCCATGGAAAGACCTCGTTGTTAACCTATACTCCCTCTTCTTTTGCCACCCTGCCTATCTCTTGTCTTGACATGTTCTCCCTGGAATCTCGATCAACCCAGAGTTCACTGGCATAGAAAACCGATCCTGGACTTCGCTCCAGTCTAATTGCCGACAATCTCTTTCATTTTCTGCATACAGGTCACAGAGAGAACGTAGGGATTTCTGCTGTTCTGGCAGACATGACAGGTGACCAACCATGCTGGCTCAGATTCTAACCAATCGTGTTTTCAATTCATAATGATGTTTTGATAACCGGTCTTCTAGTATCGCTGACAGTTTATCGATGACGCCGACCCCCGGTACTCCTTCGAGCGACACATCCTTCTCGCCGTTTACTTCACGCGGAACCGAACGTCCCTTGCTATAGCCACAGATGAATTGGTTCAATCTATTAGACGCGTTAGCATACACTTGACAGCGGAGTTTTGTTGAGTAGGAATCGGGGTATATTTACCGCGGTAACTCAGGTCACAGCCATTGAGAGGATTCTAATTCTCTATGATCGAGCACCGCACTGGCCTCTAATGGCAATAGAATTTTCAATTCCCTAGCCGTCTCTTCAATATTACGCACCATATCTCGGGCCTGGGGGAGCCTTTTGCTAAAGGCGATCAGAAACCGCAATGAATCTATAAACGACTCTTGGAACTCTTCGTGCTCTAAGGCAACTAGCATGGCAAGGGCACTGTCATTGGTGGGCTCGAGCATCTGCCGTGGTATATGTCGAAGCCCATAGGAGGCATGCTGAACACGAAGGCATCGAGTGATTTGGTTAGCTGATTGAAGCTGGGTTGACCGAACTTGCCCAATCTCGGATGAATGCGACGACCTTCCGTATTTTTCGTGTCTCAAAAAGAATCTGGACAATACGATTATTGTGTGGTGGTATTTTATGCTACAGCCGCTGTTAATATCCTTCTTTCCTCGGCAATTAGTACCCAGGTTCATTCTTACTGCAAGAACAGAACCTGTGGGATCTGCTCCTCGTCCACCTGCAAGAAATCTGGTAGTCTTTCCAGCCACGACCCTAGGCGGATATACAACTTGTTCGCCGCTGTCCACATGTCGTCAATCCCTAAGTCCAGTGACTTATCAAACAACAAATCTTGGATCTCCACAATTATTTCAATTAGCTCTGTCATTTGCACCATAACGGAACGGAGTAAAGCGGGCTTCTTGGCATATTCTGTTTTGTTTGAGCTGGGATATGGTGCCCACTCAACGTCGACATCAAATTTTTCCCTCATAAATAGTCTAAATCGCGGGCGTTCAAGGTTTGCAACCTTACTCAATTCCAAGGACATCTGCCTGCAACGACTTGATTAGAGGGGTTCATGAGCGTATGACACAAATTGCGTACGAGTTCAGAGCAAAGATCCCCCAAGCCGTTGTAATCCCGGCATATTGAACATTAATATGTGTCTTCTTCCACTCTTGATGGCCAGTCCTTGGGACTTGGAACATCCCAAAATCTTGTGAAAGCTGCACAGCTTGCCTCAGCATTAACCAGCTTGCGTGATCCTTTGCTTGGAACTTTAAGCTGTATACCGTCAGCCCGGGTGATGTTATGTGTTAAGTGTACATACACACAGCTCATAACAGTCACAGCTTGAATATTGGTCAACGACACCTGCCCATCTTCGGCTTTCCACAGCCTCTCAGCCTCGCTATAGAAATGTTTGCCTTTTGAGGTTACGTCATCTGGGGTTGCGAAGACTTCGGGGAAGTCAGAGTAGGCCTTTTCTGTCAGATATTTTTATGATCAGAGTGGGAAACTGGAGACACCATACACTTGCCATAGCGAGGAGACTGTTGACGAGCAGAGGAGTGCAAAATTCTGAGCTTGTGTCGCATTTGTTCATATGTTCAAGGAACATATTTTGATCAATAATTTGTGACAGAGGGTGGTCCCATGTGAAGTATAAAGAGACCAAATGTGAAACAAGATGATTGTCAACAGTGATTCTTGTCCAGGGTTTGGCCGGGACTTGGAACAGTGGCATATCACAAAGCTTCTCCAATGCTATCCGGGAGTGGGCATCTGCTGACAGTCGTTCTTGTTGCACGATGGCATCCTCTGCACTGCTTATGCCTTTAAGACTTTCTGATCTCACGTCACTTCTATCTATGGCTGGTGCGTCTATAACGGAGGCGACGTCATTTAAGGAGGGACTGTTCCTTATGGTATGTAAAATGTGATGGAGCTTTTCTTCTGTGGATGATCTGATCGACTCCAGCAGAGATTTCAGCAAACTTCGGTAGTACTCCAACTCTCCAAGTGTTCGTTTGGCGGCGACTTTACGTCTCAGGTCGAGGGTTTCATCGAATATACATTCCGCTTCGGTGTTCTGACATGCCTTGCAAGGTGACGGACGCCCAGTACACTGTTATGCCAAAGAGAAATAGTTAGTGGCTGAATACGACAAAGGCAAAGACGAAAAAAGTCTCCGAACTTTAGGGTTCATCTTGGCCTATCTGAATACTGGATCTCTCTCCCCCCCCCTTCTCTCTCTCTCTTGAACTCCCTGCTTCTTCTCATCGGGTACCACGAAAATGCATTACCTTTCTCTTTGCTTGCTTACAAGGTAGGCATGCAGTGGAGTTTTTTCTGGGTTTCGTTATGGGTGCTGGATGCGTAACGGGGCCTCGTGGGCACGGAGCGAGCGTTGGAAGAGTCCTGTCCTGATCTTCCGAGGTCATCTTGAAAGGGCCACGTCTATTTTTTGAAAGATATGACTTCCTACTATTCCATGTGACTTGTCTGGACCCTCACGTCGCATATGTGTGTGTTTTGATGAGATGCGGGAAGAAACCATCGGATAGTCTGGCGTTACTGTCTCGAGTTGACATTCGAAGGCGCTGCTTGCAAAAACCACACCGATAACACTGGAAGCTAGAGCATCTGTTCCCCTTGGACTCGCGTTTTGCAAAGGCCTAGTGTCTTGCGAGATGGCAGTAATGTGCGAAGGTATAGACAGCAGCCATCTGACCTTTCTTTCTGTGAGTATGTCACGTGACAAGCTTCAGTGGTTGGTGGTTGATGTGAAGCGTCTCTGGCGGAAGCCAACAAGCAAAATTACCTAGACATGAAGTTGCTAAGCGGATGCTGCAACAGTGACAGTGAGGGAGCCACCAAGAAGTTATTGAATTTATAGGAAGGGGAGAAGGAAAGAAGAAAACATTCGGAAAAGGGGGGGGAAGAACCGTCCGATAGCGATCGATTGGATGATTCAAGGGCAGTAAATTGATCGGTAAAATTAGGTAAGGATCGGGTTGAAACCTCTACTAACGTATATATGGAGGCAATTTGAGTGGTGAATTCAGGCGAGAAAGACGAACATCAGAACCGATTCTTTGAAGCCAGAGCGGGATTATTAACGAACGGGGTTAAACAAGACGCGATGCAATTCAGCTGTTCACTCAAGTCAATTCACGGATCAATCCCAGGGCATATAGGATACAGCCTTCCAATGCGCACCTGTTCCGGAACTAACGGCGAGGCTGCACCCACTTTCTGCTCCATTTGCTAGGAGCTTAAGATGGTACCTGTCATGCACCGAACAAGCTCGAAAAACGAGCTAATTTTCGAAAATTCAGGACCCTTGCGTTTTCACCATTGGCATTACAAAATGCTGAGACAACCCTTGGGAGGCATCGAGCCGTCTGCCATCGGTGGGCGTCCTATAAGCATCCGGGACTAACATTGATTTGGACCGACCAGAAAGCAGCAGAAACCGGCCCAGTGCCACTTTAGACTACTTGGCAGGTATGCTGGGTGGATACAAATGTGAAATACATGTGGGTGTCAATTTTTCATGACGAGGCCGATGGCAATTCTTCGGTGCATATGTGCTACTCAGCTCAGCAAACAATGATTCCGGGGGGTTGGATGGTCCCTAATCGCTAGCGACCTAACCCGGCCAAGGAAGAAGTGGTTCGATCGTAGAGAGACAATGACCCATGGGGCCTCAACGAGCTATGAGAAATACAATAGGCGGAAGAGACTACCGACCGGTAATCCACTCGGAATGTATAAGTTTTGAGGTCTATTCGGCTCTACTCTGTATCTACCCCAATATGGCGGTTGAATCTCATTATCGCCACGGGCGGTGGTTGATTAGGCCTGGAGATACAGAGAGGCCTTGGACATATGGTAGTACAAGTATAGAGGAGGTTACGTCGTGATTCCTGACAGGTGAGTGGCAAAAGGGATGATAAGCCCATGACGAGCACACCTTAGCACTGGAACATCGCAGTCCACCGTCCCATTCTCTAGTCCTATCTGGGCCTGAGAATTTATCTCGGGCTGTAGATCATGATGGTTTCGTTGGACGATGACTGTTTACTGAAAGTCACATGATACGACGGTCCTCTGGTAGGCACTGACTGGATCACATTTTATCATGTGCCTGGAGGTGACTTCCATCCAATTAGACCCTTTTCGGATTTCAGAGCTCTGCGACGAGAAGATCGACGTCATACAGTACCTCTAGGTGGGCGCTGCACTAGCTAATGCATCTGGAACCTTCTGTGTACTCCGTACGACGATGGGTTTCTTTCTCTGGCCACTTGCATCTTCCTATCCAGTGCCACTGGAGCCCTGTTTAATCTAACCGAAATCTAGCATGCGAGTGTAGCTGCCCTATATAAACCCTATGTGAATTGAATATCTTGACTGCCGATGACGATCTGGGGTTACTTAGAATGGGAACATTAATTCTGAGTCGTTCCAGCTTCTTTAGACTCTGCAATCCAGGGAAGATCTACCAGCCAGTTCTTGCAAGATTTATTAGCACGGGTCAGACTATCAGACCTAGATAAGGAAGCCTGAGAATGGCTGATATCATCTTATATAAGCTTATTTCATGCGTTGGAGTGGATTATGACGAACGTTACGGGTACTTAGCAATATAATCCTTGTTTCCAATACATCTATGCCTCGAGGAGCAAATCTTGGCTCTACTTAATACAATACGGGGTAGTTATCAATGTGGGAATTAATTGGTGTCTGCTTTGGATCTAGCATTTTCATACTTTTTCGGTTTCCCCCCTTCCCCCTCTTATTGTCTGTCTACAAGCAACTGGATATACTTGAAGAGTCAAGATTGGATATACGGCGATGTCTTGGACTAACTTGACCAGACAAAGACAAAAGGGGGGTCATTTGTATTTCTTTCAATATCCATGATTCCAATTTTTTATGGGGTTGCTTAGAATTCCCCGAACATTAATTCTGAGTCGTTCCAGCTTCTTTAGACTCTGCAATCCAGGGAATATCTACCGGCAACACTCCCTGTCTGAAAATACTGGATGATTGAGAGGAGTGGACATGAACGTGACATATTGAAAGAATGAGTATGACACCAGGGCATATTCTGCGCCTGGCATTGTCCAGAAATGATGCCTTTGAATGCAAACCGTCTGTAGAGGCGATTTCCGACATCGGGAACATAGCCGCATCTACCCGGCCGTCGTGCAGATTGATGGACGTAACGGTTAAAGTCGGTGTCGGACTGATAGGAGGGGCAGAAGGCGGTGGGGGATAGGACGAGATTGATCTGCGAGGGTCAAAGAGGCGATACCAAAGCGGCAGAAAAAGACCATAGACGCTGTCATGCAAAGGGCGTGCTTTGTCCACCTATTACATATCTCCATTCGCTCGAATTTTGCAAAGCAATTGGATTCAGTCATCAATTGTTCGTGAGATATTGGCATCTGGCGGTTCGGATATCGATGGCAACATCCAAGCAATTATTTGGATCCGTGAAAAAAGTTTTCTTGTCCCCGCTAGTGCTCCATATTGGCGTCGCTCCGTAGTCGGTAGTAGTAATAGTAATATACGGGCAGCTGCAATCCTGAAATACGAATTTATCAATAGTCCCAATCGCCCATTTCAAAATTCTTAATGCGCTGGACTTGTGACCCAGTTCCGCTCCTTCCTAGCGCATCGCCATAGTGACTCATCCCTTTTGTCTCGGCTATAAACTCTTATATTTTCTCTGAAACACTCGAACTTTGCATCAGTTCAACTCATCATACCTATAACCGACTCCAACATGGGTTCCGTCGCGCCTACTCTGGGAGAGCTTGATGCCTCTGCGGTCAAGATCACCCGCTCGACAAATCTTCGCCCTGTTCCCGCGCCTGGCTCGCCAGAGGAATTGAGCCATTCCTACTGCACTGATCATATGGTCACTGCCCGATGGACTGTCGCTGGTGGTTGGGAGGCTCCCGAGATTAAGCCATATGGGGACTTGAGCATTCCTCCGACGGCCTCTTGCTTGCACTATGCCACCGAGTGTTTCGAGGGCATGAAGGTGTACCGGGGATATGATGGCAAACTGCGTCTGTTCCGGCCGGACCTCAACGGAGAGAGACTAGTCAATAGCTCTCTCAGAGCGACTCTACCCGGTTTCAAATTCGAAGTGCTCAAGCATCTGATCGCCAAATTATTACAGATCGATGGACCCCGTATGTATTCCCCCACCTCTCTTTCGGTCCAGCATTCAGTTAGTTGGCTGACGCGCAATGTCGGTAGGTTGGCTCCCTAAGAATAGACCCGGAGAGTTTTTGTACCTTCGTCCTACCGTGATTGGCAGCGGCCCGCATCTGGGTATTCAGACTCCCAAGGAAGCTCTTCTCTTCATCGTTGCGGTGCCATGGCCCGATCCTTCCAAGAAGATTCCTGAGGATGGCTCTAAGCCCGGACTGAAACTTCTTGCTTCGCAACCTGACACAGTCCGTGCCTGGCCCGGTGGTTTTGGTTACGCAAAACTGGGAGCCAACTATGGCCCTTCGTTGGCTACTCACGGCAAAGCCCAAAGTCTTGGGTTCGATCAGGTTCTGTGGCTGTTCGGCGAGGACCGTCAGGTGACCGAGGCGGGTGCCAGCAATTTCTTCATTGTCTGGGAAAACAAGGGAACGGGAAAACTGGAACTTGTGACGGCTCCGTTGGAGAACCAGCTCATCCTCCCTGGTATCACCCGCCGCAGTGTTCTTGAACTGGCTCGCACGCAGTTGGTCAAGTCCTCTGGATCTCTTGCCCCGGTCGAGGTTATCGAGAAGACGTTCACCATCGGCGATATTGAAAAGGCCTGGAAAGAAGGACGTATTGTGGAGGCATTCGTCTGTGGCACCGCTGTAAGCATTCTCCCCAAACCATTTTCTTCGTCGTTATGGTGACACTGACGGTGCTGACCCAAACCTTTTTACTAGTATTTCGTTTCTCCCGTCAAGATCATCGGAAATGGTGATGTTCGCATGGATATGGTGGGAACTGGTGCCCACCGTGCGGGATATGCCGCGCTGATTAAGTCCTGGCTTGAGGATATCATGTACGGCAAGGATGGCAAGGAGAATCACGAATGGAGCTATGTCATCGAGGGCGAGGTTGAGAAATAAACATGGTTAATGAAAAGGCAGCTCTCCGTGTAAAACAAGGGCAGTATCTGACGTGATTTATCCACATTGTATATAGATAGGCATTTTATTTTAGCAGTCAGTAGAATTATAGAACTTCCTGACTATTTATTTCTTTGGTTCCGCCGTTTTTGGTGCACGAAAGAGAGTTTCTGCAAGGAAGTATGGAGGAAGTGAAGGTGAAGGGAGGGGAGAAGAGTTACCTTGACAAATTGCATGGCTGGCTGCATGAACTATTGAGCAGGCTGTCCTCATCTATCCTACGAGCCCAATAAAATCCAGGATCAAATAAGCCTCGGCTACTCGACAGAAACCTGAAATATATTACTTCTGGGCATGTAATGTTTAATATTTACCTATCTCCTCTCCCTCTTCACCCAGTTCTACCACAACTGGCGCATACTCTCCCATTTCGTCGTCCTCGTCGCCCTCGTTCGTGTCCATCTCGACCTGCTCTCCATCCTCCAACTGAAGCATGCCACGCTGGACAATCACCCCGCGGTTGAGCTCCCAGTCATATTCGTCTTTAACCCATTTCTCGAGCTTCTCGAATTCGTCCTTCACTTGTGAATGGTTTTCGCCGACCACCTCAAATAATGATTTCCTGAACCTAACCAATAGTTTCCGTAGGAAATCTCCCCCTTCTTCTCCATCGAGGTCGAACAGCCCGCCCTCCACATCATCGCATCGCTGAAGCTGCAGCAAAAGCAACCTGAGGACATCTCTCATAAATAATTCTCGCTCCTTGATTGCAATCCGACACGTTAAGATTAATTCCAGCAACCTTTTCCATTGTTGCAGACAGGAATAGTTCATCAGGGTTAGGATCATGAGGAACGTAAATTGCAGCTCCCCCAGCACCTGTGTCTCTCCAATGCGCTCAGTAGCCTCCCTCAAACTATCCTGGCTTGTACTAGCCTGATGTACCAATTCCCCTAGTGCCCATGATCGATCTTGAGCGGCTTCGGTCCTTTCGCGTCCAATAGCCCCTTCCCTCCATGTTATTTTAAGGTTAATAGGAAGAAAGGAGAACTCGGAATCTTGTTCTGCAATAGCCCTTCCGAGACCATCGGTCGCTTCTGTGGAGTCATTAATGCCTGGAATATCATCGTCATCTCTCTTTGCTGTACTAGCAGAGGTGACCATCCATCGAAGCCGGTCATCGACATCCAAATCGGGGTCCCCGATGATTCGCGTTAGAAGCGCAGGGGTAAGTCTGTCCGTCAGATCCTGCCAGTCTTTTCTGCTATTTTCTTCGTTTTCTTCATCGTCCTCGTCTTGTACCGGTACCGGGTTCTCTGGCGTACGCTTTGATAGCGAAGATGGGGGTACGCGACTGCGGTATTGGAACAATCCACCTCGTTGCCAAATAGCGGACAAGTTTGCTTTATATCGCATTGCATCCTGTATATCCGAGTCGCTATTACCAAAAAATGGTATAAGTGTCTCCGTATTAGAATCCCATTTCCAAACGATGATCTCGGATCCGGTATTTCCGCGCGTCGTGCTGACCATAGCTTTTTCATCGCCGAGCCTGCCAGCAGCATTGATGTCGCCGACGAAGAACCATGCACCACATCTCAGAGACAAACTCTCGGTTGTCCCTGTGTACAGAAAATGCCATCCGGCAGGTAGATCTCGAATACCATGGAAATTCGGTGTGGAGGTGAAAGTAATGAGGTCGATGCCAACGAGTGTCTTCGGTGGAAGATGGGGCAAAAGAATGGTATGAGAAGGCGAAATAGAGGCCATCATACTCGTGGATGAAGAATTATTGATTATGGTCCTTGTTCATACCAGGTATGCGTAGCCCGAGAGAACTTTTAATCCTTTGAAATTCAGGCCAATTCATTTGCATTTGCTATATGTCGGGGTCATGTGTATCGAAATGGGAATTTCGGACTGACGTCAACTCAGGACGAGGTTCACCAAGACTGCTAGTGACATGAATTAAAATGGGACTGAGAAAATAAATAAATTAATTTTCTATGAGGGCTATATGCCGTGCTTAAATATATAAGGAATCACTGCTCTAAAGAACATTGGAAGTGTCGCGGATCACATTATTGTGGCGGGGAAACTTGTGACTTCTGTCGTTGAGCTTATCGTTCCCGATCAAAAAAAAAAAAAAAAAAAAAAAATCAATGCACCCTTAAACTACTGCTCCTATTTTGGTCTTTTAACAAATTTTTGCTTCCTTTATGCTTACCACTACCAATTTACAAGGTTGTCACTATGAATACCTATAGAATATCTAAATTATAGGTTTCTACGTTGAAGACATTGCACCGTTCCAGTTTGAGTTACATTGACCTGCGTAGCTGCCACAGTTGCCACAAACTACAGAATCCCAAACCAGAGAACCGTTTTAGATATGAAAAAATTGAAGACCAGGCGATAAATGCCGTTCTCCACGTTTATTCCATCCACTTTCGCAGGGCGAGAACCCTGCCGGTAGCTTCCATTCCAACATGGCAAAACGCTCGCAAAGTTTGGAATGAAAGACATACCCGCACATATCTACAGACGGCGACCACGGCGACCACCCTTGCGACGCGTAGAGTCGGAAGGGGTGGGGGTGACGTCCTCGATTCTGCCAATTCTCATGCCAGAACGGGCCAGAGCACGGAGGGCGGACTGAGCACCGGGGCCGGGGGTCTTGGTGCCGTTACCTGCAAACAAGCCTGATTAGCCATCTGATCGGATAACATTTCCATGGAAGATATTCATTTTTACATACCACCAGTGGCACGGATCTTGATGTGCAGAGCGTTGATGCCGAGCTCCTTGCAGCGGGCAGCAACGTCCTGAGCGGCCAACATGGCAGCATAGGGAGAAGACTCGTCACGGTCAGCCTTGACCTTCATACCACCGGTGACACGGCAGATGGTTTCGCGACCACTGTACTCCAATCATTAGCAAACTGACTTTGATTGCAACTCGTAGATCCGATATTCAAACATCGATTTCAATTGGAAATCTGCATGGATTGAACCATCGTAATCACCACCAATAAAAAGGTATATTTAAACGAACCTGAGATCGGTAACGTGGACGAAGGTATCGTTGAAAGAGGCAAAGATACGGGCAACGCCGAAAACGAGCTTGCCTACAAACCATCCATATTAGACATGCGCATATAGCGAGATTTGGGCTGTTTCTTACCATCTCCGGCCAGAGGGCCGAGAGTGACGTTCTCTTTAGCAGGGGCGGCGGTCTTGTTCTTGGGAGCCATTTTGTGATGTGCTGTCGTGGAATGGAATATGGGAAGGAGAAAGAAGAGCCTGGCACGCCGTTTGGAGGATAGAAAATGGTGGGTGTGTGCCCTACCGGCAGTTTGGCGGTCTCTGATTGGCTCTGCATTGATTTTCGGGCGGGCCCAAGCGAGTTGGAGCCTGAGGCAGTCGGCGAGTCAGTCGGCCCGAGAAGCGGTGAGCTGGACTTTTCAACGGCTATTTAAATTTTCTCTTTGTTTTCCCCAAGTTCCTCCCCCCGGTTTACTCTCAAGGAAACGAGGGATTATCATCTTCAGTGTCCGTGGTTGGGTCCTGTCGTGTATCCTGCTGGACTATCACTTTATTCTGGTTGTAATCTAGTGCATAGCCATCTTTCCCTAACTGTCGCAAGATTTTAGGTCAACATGGGCATCACCAAGGAAACCGCCATGATTGGCATCATAGGCATGGGTGACATGGGCAAGATGTATGCCCAATTACTAAGCCAAGCAGGGTGGAGGTAATATCTCACTCTTTCTCTTGCATCGTTGCCAATTTGTTTTGGAATGCTGTCTTTATCACTCATAGGTAAGATTCATCCCTTCTGTTGTTTACCTATTTTATCATTTGGAGGATGACTTGAGTGCATTTGGCTCGAGCATGGTCTGGGAATAGCTTTCATATCATTCTGGTGTGGTTGTGACCCCTGGGCTGTCAATGATGTAAAAAACTCGCTACCTTACTTTTCTTTGTCTGAAAACCAAATAAACTATTCGCATGAATCACTTTAAATGCTTGCTGTCTTGTGATCACCGGCTAACTTCGCAAGTTTCAGGGCTTCCATTATATTTTTTGATTGTCTACCTGACAGGTTTGGTTTGGCCTTCTACTAACTACAGTTGTCTTTAAAGGATTAATGCTTGTGACAAGCCCGATAGCTTTGAGAACTTGAAAAAGAATTCGATTCTCAAGTACGTTGTTTGTGCTCACAGCTCGTGCTGTTTTTAAAACTCATCGTATATATAGCAAGGTGTTACTATCTATCCGAATGGACACCTGGTATCAAGGATTAGCGATTTCATTATTTACAGTGTAGAGGCCGGTGTTATTGATAAGGTAGTGGCAGAATATGGCCCATGTATGTTGTTGTCAAAACCAAAGGCTACCGCCGCTTTCCTCCAAACGGTGGCTGACTCATGGAAAAAAAAACGAAAAGCTACCAAGGTCGGTGCTATTGTTGGCGGCCAAACGTCCTGCAAGGCTCCCGAGTTGTCCGCGTTCGATAGGCATCTTCCCTCGGATGTAGAAATTGTATCTTGCCATTCACTCCATGGCCCTAAAGTCAACCCCAAAGGACAACCACTGGTATGCTGTGTGTTGAGCAGTGGTGGTTGGCATAGGAATAACATATTGTTTTGTTCCAGGTCTTGATACAGCATCGGGCATCGGACGAGAGTCTCCGATTCGTGGAAGAGGTACTTTCGTGCTTTAACTCCAAGTACGTCTATCTTACCGGCGAAATGCATGATCGCATCACAGCAGATACCCAGGCAGTTACGCACGCGGCGTTCCTTAGCATGGGAACTGCATGGCACGCAAACAAACAGTTCCCCTGGGAGATCTCCCGCTGGGTGGGAGGAATCGAGAACGTCAAAATCAACATCACCTTGCGCATATACTCGAACAAATGGCATGTTTATGCGGGTCTAGCGATCCTCAACCCGGCCGCGAAGGAACAGATCCGCCAGTATGCCGAATCTGTGACCGAGCTGTACAAGCTGATGATTGAGGGACGCCGGGAGGAACTCAAACGCCGTGTCCGATCAGCAGGCGATGCTGTTTTCCAGGCAGGCACCGAAGGTCAGGATCTGTTACTGAAAGATGAGGTTTTGGACCAGTTCTCTCTATCGAATCGGCCGCGTGAGGAGACTCCACCGAACAACCACCTGAGTCTGTTAGCCATTGTTGACTGCTGGTCTAAATTGGGAATCGTCCCATACGACCATATTATCTGTTCCACGCCTGTGGGTGAACCTAGCTGAAACCTATGCGACTGCTGCCAGCACTTTGCTTACCGGTGTGCTTCTTACAATCTAGCTCTTCCGTTTGTGGCTCGGTGTCACAGAGTACCTTTTCCGCAATCCGGACCTTCTCGAAGAGGCATGTGATACCGCGATTGACGACAGCACATTCCGATCCGATGATCTAGAATTCACCTTTGCAGCCCGGGTAAGCAATTAATTAATCTATCAAGCAGCTCTAAATATATACATGCACAGCTGGCGCACAGAAAACTAACAAAATATATGTAACTCCTAGGCTTGGTCTGACTGTGTTTCATTTGGCAATTTCGAGTCTTATCGTGACCGGTTTGAGAGGATCCAGTCTTACTTTGCTCCTCGGTTCCCCGAAGCCGTCAAGGTCGGCAACGAGATGATGAAGACGATCCTTGAAAAGACTACTGCCCCTACTACAGGACAGTCCTAAGATGGAAATCAGAGTCATTATGACTAGATGATTACTTGTTGGATGCATTTTCTTAAAAAAAAAACGAAGGTCACTCCTAGATCGGGAAGGCGTTCAATGACTCAGCGGTGGACTTATGGGTTATCTTTTTATTATGTTTCCAGTCTTTATCTTCTTTCGGATTTATGGTCACTGTTTTTGGGTTCACTAGGATGGAATAATAGATTTGCATTGTCACTCCTATGGTTAGTACATAGTTCCGTAACACTGTTGGTTGCCTATGCCTACGGTAAGGGGAACCAAGCAAATAGGCCAATGCCCAGCCTTAGAGTATAGGAAATCTAAAATTTAAGTCAACCAGGATAATATCCACATATTCGTGGACATGTTCGATGTACTTTGGAAGTGTAGATGGAATATGGCACATCTCCGTACGGCATGGTACCGAACGGCAAGGGCCGGGCCGGCACTAAAAATAGAACTAAAAATTTGGAGAAAGACAGCTAGAGAAGAGGAGAGGGCTCTCGTGCCGAGTTAACTTGGAGTCTGCGAAAATCATGACAGCCCTGTATGCTTGTGCCATGCTTCTGTCTGTCTTTGGGCATGGGTCTCGGGATTGATGGCAGCAATTGCCTTCCAAGCTAGGACCGAATCTCTCCCAGTCAGCTTCACTCAGCGCAGAAATAATAGGTACACAGTACGGAGGACATAGATGAATGGGCTGACACGTTTAACCTGCATATACACCGTACAGCATACATAGTTGACTTGCAGTTGTAATGTTGACCATTAAATTTATTTCCCATTGGCATTAAGCAACCGACCGAAATTCGGGCTCTTCACGAGGGAATCCAGTCAAAGCCATCTATAATAGTCGGCGGGATTTTGCCATGTTTGCATTTCCTGGTATATTGGCTGAACCTCCCAATCTCCAGTGTAAGCATCTCAATATCTTATTCACAATGGATGATGCGGTTCGCCCCAGCAAGGCGGCCTTTGACCAAATCCGCTGCGAGAGTTATAAAATATGGTTCTCCTATCTTAATAATATTGTCAATACTACACCGTTTTATGGAATGCTCTAACGTACGCGGTCACCTACTCCTGACATCACCTGACGCCTGACTTTCATCTGTACACTGACTTTTAGTTAGATTATGAAAGACTCTAACACCACTAATATGAACTCAATCGAAGCAGCTCTTGAAGAGTTAAAATCCTCGAAGCCAGAAGATAAGGTTAATTATGCAAAGTTAAAAGAAACCAAGGGGTTAGCCCTTTAACGTTCAACGCCCTAGGCTCCACCGCGGCGTATAGGAGTCTCACGACGTCCAGTATTAAAATCAACGAATTCTCAATAACCAGCAGTTAAAAACACTGATTAAATAGATCAATAACCTTACCAAACGTGGCCTGCCACCATCTCAATCAATGTTGCGCAGTTATGCAAAGACAATTACTAGAAATATGCCTGGAAAATGCTGGCCGAAACCGTTTCTTAGAGAAATATTAAGGTATCCTTATTTTTTGCTATGCAGGCGGGATTAATTCTCCACCCAAGTCTGCTGGCGTTATACAGTTTGTCCTGTTATATCGCAGGCCTATTAATGGGCTGCCATATGAGCAGAAAAGACATAGCTTTATCCAATACTTGATCTTACTTTGAACACTTTTGATAATTTGGTTCTATAATGCAGTGTCTTCATATGTTCCTTGTGCTTCATCCAGGATAACCACATTGCCGACGGCAAAAAAATGCTGTACCTTTTCTACGCTTGGGTACTTGCGTCTAAGAATCCGAGCGAAATTCACCCAAGGATCCTCGCCATTGAGGCCATCAAGATTTTGTTTCCACACCGGAAGCGAAAATACTGTCCTTCCATTCTGGCGATAACAGTCCCTTAACAAAAGTGAGCGCACCGACTTTCCACTTGCTGGTGTGCCGCGTATGTGAACAATATTTTCTAAGTCCAGAATTTCTGCAAGTCGTATCACTGTCTCATCTCGAGTGCATATGTTTGCGCGCAGGGTTGAGTTCTGGTAAATCCGATGCTAGTACTAGTGTTAGTTAACTATGACTATAATATAGTAGTTTAAGATGGGGGATCTTACCTCGGGTAACAGTAGATTGCTGTTGTACTTGTGGTGGTATAACAACAATATCAATATCTGGATCATTAGACTGAGAGAAGTCAGATAAAATCCGTCGGCGCGGATGTAGATGTACAGTCGCGCCCGAAATTGCCTTCCATATCTTGTATAGAGAGAGTTGTTTTCAAACCCTAACGTCCAAGACACACTAGCCTTAATCTGGTTAGTATCGTATTTAATGGCCTGTTTCGTGGTCCGGTATCATACGAAAAACGAGCATGTACCTGAGTAATGTATTGTTACGTATTGTTACGATTCTAAAAATATACGACGCCAACCATGACGTCGCCCCCAACTAAGACCGGGAACATACCAACTAGTGTTGGTGTAATGACAATACCGGCGAGCTCATTACGAAATCTTGAAATTTCAACTTTTTTATCGATTTCAATTACATTTCAAGGGGCTTATTTTGATTAGTCATTATATGCGGTGAGAGTATTGCAGCCAATAAGAGCCTATCCAGCCCAGATTCTGCCCAATTCTTTATCTTATCTAAAATGCCTAGTGTCACTGGTAGCAACCATTACCAATATATATATATTGACGGGGAGGATTTTAAACTAGTAATATTATCAACATCAGCATGGCTGAAGATTCTCCTGACAAGATCCATTACACCGAGATCGAGCTTCAGAAGTGCTTTGAAGTAGTAAGGGGCAGCACAAAGGTGACTGTACACCCACGTCCACACGTACGCTTTATTAATTTTGGCTAGGTCCCGCAAGTAAAATGCCTTGGGTGCTTCAAAGTTCGAGCGAAAAACACTACACGCCAGTGCGAGCACGTGAAGAAATGTAGCAGCGCGCAGGCTCTTATGGACCCCGAGAATACTCCTGGAAAGAGACAGAAACCATTAAGCTTCCCTACCTCTAAACCAAGTAGAAGTATTGATCGCTTACTAGCTCAGGTGTGTTTTACAGGAGGCAGGCCCTTTAGCCTTTTCGAGCAACAAGAGATGCAAGATCTTATTCATGCTCTAAATCCCGTATACCAAATCCCATCCCGCCATCGAATCGCTGATGACTTACTGGAGGAATCATATATCGAGATACAAGGGAAAGTTCGGAAGGAGCTACAGAGAAGTCAGTTTCTAAATATCTCTGTAGATGAGACAACAAATATACGTTCTCAACGGGTTATTGCTATGACTATTACAACACCCACAAAATCATGGTTTCTTCATCTACATGACATGGAAGATAAGACGCTTGATGCTGCTACAATTAGTGAATGGATTTTGGAAAGGCTCCATAATATTCTCTTGGAGCTTGATAAAGTTGTTGACTGGAAGAGGATTAATTCCATTTCAACGGATACCTGCTGTGTTATGAAGGCAGTATGGCAAATTTTGTCAGAGAAACCAGAGCTTAAGCATGCCTTTATGATTCCCTGTGACTCTCATGGTCTACAGCTGATTATGAAGGATATTCTTGATCCTAATGCTTCTAAGATCCCTAAAGTAAAAGGGGTTTTAAATCAGCTCTTGAAGTTGTGGTGTTCTTTCACCAATCTCCTCTTGAATATGCAAGGCTGCAAGCAAAGCAGATTGAGAAATGGGGCCATCGAAAGGCTTTAATTGCAGCAGTTATTACCCGATGGGGTACTCAATATGGCATGCTTACTTCTCTTTATGATTGCCAGGAAGCAGTTTGTGAGTGGGCTCTTATTACTCCTGCTGCTTCTACCATAAAAGGGAAAGAGGTGATTAGAACAACTAAATCTCATGCCTTTTGGTGGGAGCTAAAGGAGTTAATAAAAATCCTTAAGCCTCTGCATATTGCTCAGAAGGAATCTGAGGCCCAAAATTCATCAATCATGGAGGTAACGCAGCGGTGGTTAACCCTCCATGAGACTCTGCGGACGCTTGCTGCTCAGACATCCTTTAAAGATGATTTTTATTCTTATCTAGATGGCACTGGTTGGCAGACTCGAATGCTACGTCAACTAGAGCCACTTCACTGGGTAGCGTATCATCTTGATCCAGCAAGAGTTCCTGGCAAACTTGATGAGAGCGCACGACGCCATATTGAAGGTGCTTTACGACCACTTCAAAGCGAAGATGGAAGATCTACTGCATGGCATGAATTTCTGGCATTCCGGCAAAGAACAGGTGCTTTTATAATTCCTCTTGTTGGGAAGCAAGAACACCAGCTCTCTTTTGGCTTGAGGCAGTAAGTTAAAGCTATATGCTATTAAGCAAGATACTTACCTATATTAATTTAGGCAGAATTTGCTCCTACTCTTGCTCCTTTTGCTCGCCGTCTGTGTAATACTGTTGCTAATTCTGCTGCAGCTGAGAGAGCATTTTCACAGATGAATCTGCAGCATACAAAGATCCGGAATCGGCTTGAATCTCACCGAGTTGAGAAGCTACTTTATATACAGATTAACAAACGACAATTTCGTGCAGACTCGCCACCTACCGTTACCCAAGAGATGCTTCTTGAGGAGGAAGATCAGGAGATAGAAAGAATACTGCAGCGTAAGCAGGTGCAGGACTATCTATTAGAGGTGCTTGATACTTCAGACTCTGAGGAGGATATTCCACCGGACCCTGTGCCGAACCCAGTACCAAATCCAGCACCAGAACCAGCGTCGAATCCAGCACTTATTGCAGTATTAAGTTCTGCATTAAATTCAGCTTCAACTGCAACAAACCCGGCACTTGTTTCTGCATTAAATTCAAGACTGAATTCCGTGTTAAATTCAGCCTCAAGTCCCCCAGCTTTCGAATTCGCATACTGAGACAAAATCTGTACCAAATCCCCTTTTAACATGTCCCAGGCCTTCAGCTTCTATCAGAACGGGCGAAATCCATGGTATTGAAATAAGTAGTGGTACTGGTAGCGGAGTAAAGCGTCAGTCTGAATGGTCTCATGGGGTGGCGGACCATTATCAACAACCTACTCAACAGCAGAGGATCGGAGCTTCTGGTAACAAAGCACATGACCTTTAATATTGCCTATTTTGGATTAGCTTAATTTCAATTTCAATTTCACAGATTTTGATTTCATTTCAGGAGGCCAGATTTCATGAAATTTCAATTTTTGAAATTACATTTTGCCTTCCCTAATACCAACCCAAACTGCAAAATGGCACAAAACATCGCTCCCTGGCGGCGTGAAATCTATATGATATGTAGTGGGAAAAGGCTAACCACATCACAAGTAGCCCAGGCAGTGAAGTGTAGTGAGCATTCTGTCGCTAATATATACCAGCCCAAGTATCCAAATTTCATCAGGGCCAACGCTACCAGATACTAGCAGCATATGCTCAAGATGGTATCTTATTGTCCCGTATTTTCAAAGGGTCGACTGATGCTGCGTTCTTTGAATCGTTTGTTGAGCAGCTTCTCAAGCATTATGGCAGGTGGGCAGACACAAAATCGGTGCTTGTTATGGATAATGCATCTTTTCATCATTCGGACCGAGTTAAGCAACTGTGTTCCAATGCGGGAGTGAAATTATTGCCTTTAGAGTCAAAAAGATACTGTACTCCCTTTGTTTACGCACAAATTGTTTCTCGAACCCTAGAGTGAACGCCCTAATTCATCTTTAGTTTAGTCGCGGATGTACCCATCGTAACAATAGTATAGTGTGACCAGGAATGTTGTATTTTACGTGAAACAACTAAACACACGACCTCACATCTAAGACATCTCTCAGCTAAGAAAACCTAAAGTAGAAAAGAGATAGAGACCTGTTACGACTCATATTGCAGCAAACTGCGTTACGCAGATAGGCCACCAGATAGGCCAGCGAGATACCATCAACCCAAAGGTGGAAAGAAGCCATCTTAAAATCACGTACATTATCTAATGCCCCAACATTATTCCAAGCACATCGCGATAATTTTCTCCTGCTCCTAAGCATAAGGTAAGGTTTTTGTGCCCTAACATGAGGACGGAAGAACTATATACGCATTCTACCTTATATATCGTATTTAAGCTGGCTGTCAGGGCCGGCTGCTGCTTTTGCCTCTAGAGCTTGAAATTTTCATTATATAGTACCATATAACCGAAAAGCTACGTCACCAAGCATCCCACTCACGAAGAACAATTTCGGTCCCATCAACAAATTTCTCGGGGTGATTCACTTTATCTCTGAGTTCATACATCAGAGCGTTACCCACTTCACGACTCAAATCCACTAATTCTCCCATCTCTGTACCAATCGGAAATATTTTCCCATTGCTGATATTACCAGGGAACTCTGCTGCAATCACTGGGTAAAACTTGTGGTACTCAGCAGCGTGTACCACAAAAAGATCCACATCGAAATCGTTGATATTAAATGCCGTTCTGCCCTTATGTGCTCCTCTCATACCATGATTTAGACTGCCCACGTACTGAAGATGTTTTCCCTTATAGGAATATCGAAGTAATAATTTGTCGATGGTTTCCTTGAGGCTTTGAAACCGGTCATTCCAGAGTTGTTCGCCTTTTTCCGCAATGCCGTTGCTAACTTCATACTGTTTCATCCCATTTCGATTGGCCCAGCATTTGATTGTAAGAATCATCTCGTCCAAATGCCATATAAGCCGTTGAACTCTTTCCCGTGTCGATGCCTTTTGCTCATCTGTAAGACCAAATGGTTCATTCTCGCGACGCGGGAATGCATCTTTGAAAATTGCTGTATATTGCTTGGTAATGTCGGTCTGGAAATCATCGATTTTCAACATCATTTCCTTTTGGAAAAGAAGCCGGAGCTTGACATCCTCGGATTGTTGCAAGTAGATCTTCATGAATTCGATTGAGTTCCAACCTTCTTTGAAGCTACTCTCCAATGGTAGTAGCTGCCATGGTGGTGCAACGGGTGAAGTCGTGCGGAACTTGGCATTGTAATTCGTATGGTTGAATTTGTCATGACGCCGCTTCTCGACTTCAGGATTTCCTCTTTAGTGTGGGATGACTGAAAAGTGGAGATGAGGTGTACCTATGTGACTTGGCAACTGAACGTTCAAACCAGGCCGGCAATAAGTCCGCCAGAGGGATCGTTTATTCATATTTACACAAAAAAAATAATTTGGCAGATGCGTAGCTCTAGGTATCAACCCGAACGAGTGAAATAAATAAAAGTTCATTGGGCTCATCGTCGGACGCTTACCAATAATATTTAATATTTAGGACGAGGCTTATATACGCTTAGGGAAAACTTCGCTTAGTTGGTTGTTTTATCGTTTTATTTATTTATTTGTTGAGAATCTCGGGGAAGAAGCTATGTCGTGAGGTGCTAGGATAGCGGTGACTAGACAGTATATTGAAACTATCGTGCGATCTAGTATCGCATGGTGAGTATTCTTCTATCTAGGAGAGAGAGCATAGACAAATGCTTCCTTATGTCAACGTGTCCCTTAGCCCCTTAGCCCCTTGCGTGTGTGATATGTCAGATGGCTGCGGGACTAGGATACCAAAGGGGCCTTAGGCATCCTGGTTTTCAACATTATTTATTATTTTTTTTAATTTTTGCTTTTCCTTGGTAGTGTGGGTGCGAGTTGCTTGAACGCATTAGCCAACGGTTTCTCCTACCATGCGGCAGCATCTGTTCTAATTAAATATTGGAGCATCGCCAAGTCCGAGCACAGAAGCTATCTTACACATGCTATCTGATGTGGCGGTATGCAGCTCTACCGAAAGATATGTTGATCTTGGTTTGAATGTATGTACTAGATTATAGTCACATCTCCACTCGATCACTAGGTTTTCATTGGACAAGGCTTTGCATATAATGCAGATCATTATTGTGGAGAGCTGAGATTGTGGAATAATGGGGTCTAACCGGATCTACTCATAGTCGATAGCTTTCAGCACACACGGGTCCGCTAGTGTGTTCGATTGAGCATCGATCCGCATAGGCTCAATGTGCCATTGTTGCTCCCATATAATATGTGTTGTTCGGTAGAGAGCTTTTAGTTTTGTTTTCCTTCATAATCATAACCCTACTGCCCGCCGTAGTGTGACGGCTTGGCACCCTTCGGGGGTCTGCTATATAAGGCGATGGGCATATCAAGTACGCTGTACTTGATATTCTGGTCTTTTTGTGGCTCAGTGGTTAAGCCCAAGCGGTTGAGATCCTAGAAGCCCACCTAGGATCAAGGCCGTGACATGTAGTGGGAATCAAGAGATCCCTTGCCTATAATATGTATTTATGGTCCCGGTAATTGCACGACCGATCAGCTTTTAGGTATGGATAAAGGACGTTACCAACCACCTTAATCAGTGGGAACGCTTTCGAACCAGTTAATAATAGAATAAGAGAGGGCAGATTCTATATACATCTCTTCCTTTCAAATCTCAGCAAGAAATAACCTATGATAACTGCCATTCCGCAACCACGGGCCAATCGCCGGAGGCTGTGAGACTTCATGATGAGAACTGAAAAAGCTGTCCGCCATTTCCCGAGAATAAAATGACGCCGGGAAGCCTACAATTAGTGATGTAGCACGTTAGCCTTTGTTAGGGCCCTACACCCCAACATACCTCCAGCTCGGAAGTGTGTCACGTGGGCAGACGGTGTCCCCCACAGAAGTTGATCCACGGCGGAGCCGTGGATCCAATTTCCTCTCCACGCTTCGCATTCTAGTCAATGGGAACACCATTATTGGATGAGCGGCCCAACAGCCTTTAACCTACTGATGCCAATTAGGGCCTCCAGCAACACGTGTTAAACATAGAGATAAGCAGGGGTGAACTAGGATCAGTACCGTAGAATTCTATCTATCCTACTCTAGATAGACTCAGAAATGCCCTGACCCTCAGCTGTAACCAGCTGCGAGATGCACAAGAAAGGTGACTTGTTAACAGTGATTGCCGAATCTGCAAGTTGTCAAGTTGTTTGACAAGTTTGCACCGCATCTTCTGGATAGGGGTGGGGCCTGAAATTGAAATCGACTGAAATTTCAGACCCTTGAAATGAAATTTGAAATGGCCATTGAAATTTGAAATCACTAGAAAAATATATGGGATAGTGTAATTGTGGGCGGATCCTAATTTTTGCAGAGATTATGAAGGCTTTTTTGGCCTATCTAGCCTCGCCACTTCTTTTTAAAGGGTGTCAATATATATATTTATGGATGTTGCTAGGAGTTCCGGTACAGTTTCTCGGGAATGGCAGAATGGGGATTCTAAGGTCCTGATTGGCTTAAAACTCTGATGACTAATCACAGCTGGACCCAATGAGATGAAATTGAAATCAAAAAAAAAGTTGAAATTTCAATATTTCGTAATGGGTTTGCCGATTTCGTTATTACACCAGCTCTACTTCTAGAACATTGTATCTTCCATACTAGTATTATACAAAGCTTGATACTGTTACTGGTTAGGTACAGAACGGTTTATTTACTGAAGCGCTAGCACAGCCGCTATCCGTATTTGGGTTAGCTTCTCATGTGATTAGGGTTTGGAAACAAATTGGATGTACATGATGTGGAAGGCAATTTCGGGCGTGACTGTACAAGATTATCTGTCATAAAATTATTTTTGATTGCGCTGATAGGGCCGTAGAGATCAAGTTTCCAGTAAGCGAGCTTGCACTCCCTGTCCAATTCCCAAATCTTTTTTCTGACATCGTCGACTGTGTCAGCATCGAGCGTACAATCTATAGAAAATATTCTATTAATATTATCAGAGAAAGCACACCACAACCTGCGCCGAGATGGTTGAGCCATTGTAGGAGAGGTTGGGTTTCGGCCAAAAACCCAGGAGAAATGATTTCCTGCCATCATGCGTTATAAGGAACACTGGTCATGCCGTCACAAATAAGGAAGGTTCAGGTTGCCGCTCTGTTGTTGCGATAGAAGGGATAGGATGTACCTTCTTCTCAGCTCACGCAGATTGCCGCTCGGGTTGAACTCTTGTCTTATGGTCCGAGGTCGCCATGCGCTGCATATCCTAGTGTTCTTTGCCTCTTAACAAATATGGTCCCCCGCAAGCGATGTCAGGTGCGATGGACAATTTCCCAGCAGGCTCGATGTCAAATTCGGCCTTTCCATTTTCTTCTCCATTTTGAGAAAAACTCCTCCGACGTCGTGAGAGGGATTGTACGAACCTTGACGTTCACCGGGACATGGTTGCCCAGGAAAGAGGGAGGATGATAGTACAGGCTTATTTTCAACTATGATTGACATACTGTCGTAGGCTACGCCTGTTTGTTGCTCAGCTACGCTTTCGCTGCACTCTGCACACATTATTGATCCGCTTATTAAGGTCTCATGATCACCTATAATTGGAAACACTCTTTTCATCTTCTCGTCTCCTTTTACTTTCTCCTCTCCAGCGATTCCTTTTTGTGTATATCTAGTCATTAGATAGCAAGGCGTTCGATCGCTACACCGGAGGTGGAATTGCGAGTCTACGCTTTTCTCACCGAATTGTTGTCCACACGTACCGTACCGGGTACGTTTGTAAGGTAGAGGCGGCATCGATATATTGTCGACACTTCGTTATTATAGTTAAAAAGGATTCGAAGCGCTCCTACATTCAGAGGTTCCTCGTTCATGAGTGCTAAACCGTCTCGCCCTGTCTCTCCACAAAAACTTTATTTTTATAAGATATGCCTTTATCACAGGAATAATAAACAAAGAAGCAAGGGTCTTGCTCATACCGACTTCAAAATACCCAAACCTACTTCTGTAAACTAATCGATTACCTTCGTACCTCCGTCTTTATATCTGGGTTTCATCTAAATAATTCTCTTCTCAAAGCCAATCACGGGAATTATCCGACTCAGAGTCGGTGTCTGCATTTGAAAATAAGGATATCTGTTTCTCACTATTATTATCAGCACTGTCCAGATGAGCAATTACATCCTCTATGCCTTAGTGTCCCCTCTGGCTTAAACGCGTATTTACGGCTTTTTAATCTAGCCGACAACTCAGCGACTTCCGAACTTGTGATGCCATGCCAACAGCATTCCTCACACTCCTTGGATGGGATCGACCCTGCTGAAGCAGGCGAGCACACGCCTTGATTAGAAGCACAACAGAATAAAAGCAGCATCAATTAGACTTTATAATTAATAGTAATAATGATGATCAAGACGGCTGCGCAATGGACATAAACGTGATTGGAAACAGAAGCCATGTGGTGATCGCCACGGTTACGAAGGGGAGACGGAAGAAACGTAAGAAAACAAAATGTTAACTAAGCTCTAAATCAGATTTCAGCACTCTCGACTGTAATGTGTACCAGCTGGGAAGATTACTCAGAATCGACGAGAAGAGCGCCTGTCATATATCAGAGCCGGTTTGGAAGACGGCGAATGACGGGAATTACTAACGGGATTGGACATGGTGTGTGGTTGGATGGGTCCTTAACATCGTACTTGAAATAATTCTTTCGAACATTGGATTCGGCCCAGGATCCCCTAGATCTCCAGTGAATCCGCGGAACGCCCATGGGACTTTTAAACACGACCTTGAGTCTTTCTGCTCATAGGCGTGAAGAAGGATGGATGTACAAAGTCTGGATCGATGGGCCGTTATCTGTTAGTTCCGTGGGAACGGCTGGTGTAGAGTTGAAGCCTGGCGCAGGATGACCGCAAACGCTGCATTATGATGACCACAAAAGGGGCAGTTATTTGCACCATAGGAGTGTTTAAATGCATAAAAATTTAGAAAATCTTTTAACTTGCTATTATGTTACTGTATTTATACTATATTTTTTGAACTATAGAACATCTATATTGGAACCGCTATAAAACTTTTTTGAGCTATACTATATAAAGAGTAGCTTGTTCCCTGCTGCACTTCCTACCTATTAAATCGGGATCTACGGAGTATCTTAAGGGGTACTAATTGTGCCTAATCTACTTATATTTATGCTAGAGTTATTCTTTAGTCCGACAATTGAAGATTCCTCTAAACATATTGCTTCTGAACTTAGTGTCTACATCTGTGAATATTCATCAACATGGCACCCTGTGCAGGTCTAACAGAAGGCAAATGGTTGACGTATTAATGGTCGCTATAAAGTCACCGCAGGATCAGTAAGCCCTCTGAGCACATACGACCGAAGCCTAGCATTGCCAAGAAGTGTAGATTGCTTCTCCACTTATATCTATGAGTTGCAGCAGTTCAATGGTTGAGAGGCATTATTAGGCTATAGGAGCTAGCTATTCAGCTGACAATGACCGGCCTGCAGTGACTAGACCAGCAACTTTGCCAAAAGTTGTAAGCCAGCTTGGGAATTGGATTATTCCTTGGAAGTTGTCCAGACCACACTAATATCCAATTGTAGGTACTCTGTACTCCCTCGGATACATCAACATTCTATATGAATGCGGAGTGATTAGATTTGACATTTCAACTGCAAGAGATCCGTGAAAAGGAAGAACCAGTGGACTCTTGATTCCTGCTAACTACTCATCTACTCATCTCAGCTTATGGTGAGTACCAGATGAGTTACAGTATCCGGCCAGGTAGGGGTTTGTAGTGATGATTCCAGTATCCCTCAGACATGCGAGGATACCTAATTGCACTCTATAGGGTAAGCACCGGTAGCATTTAGGTAACTGTGATGATTGAGTTGCGTGTTTTGTGATCAATCTCCCATTGCGGTGCCTGCGTTAAAAAAAGGGTAAGCGGTCAGAGGACATACGGCAGCAACACTGAACGGATCATCAGTGGGTTGGATAAGCCTACCATCAACGCATCCCTCCGTTGGCTTGCTGCGTGAAGATTGTCACCGGCGTTGTTCTTGATAGTTGATATTTCGCAACCCACCTACCCCTCTTTGCCCGATCCCCGGAAAGGTTGAGCTCCGTGTCCGCAGCCAACTCCTCGTTCACTCCATTTCGAACGTGCCCACGACCTTAGCCATATCCCTGAGTGCGCTACCCTCATTTCCAAGTCAATTAGGACCACCGCACTTACATTCGACGTTATTTCCCACCCACTCGATGTTTTCCTCCATTGCTTGTTTTCTTCGCTACAGGTGATAGGCACTCCTCTATTGCAGCTAAATGGAGATCTATGGCGTCCGGATATAACTCAGGGTTCTCGGCGACGTCGAACCTGTATCGCGTCGGGAGCGATGGACGTTCATTTTCCAGCCAGGATGATGGCTCCGGGGATGGCAGCTGGCCGGGGGTGGCTCCAAGGTCAGTGAGAAATGCTCGCTCGGAGTCTGGAGGTAGCGCCACCACTGGTCATCGAGGAGGGTCATTGGCCCATTCTTCGGGGTCCGGGGCTCCAGGTAGCTTCAGCGCCGAGCTCAAAAGCATGAACTCACGTAGCACTACTCCCCGACCTGATGGCACATTTAGGCGAAGGGGGAGCAGTAACGTTGATCACGATGATATGTCCGGAACGGAGGAGCGTCAGGCCGCGATACGGAATAAGATTGCGAAAGAAATGAAGATCAAAACGGGGACGGAGAATATGCTCGAAGCACTACTGGCCAAGAACCCAAAGCATACAAAGGACCAACGGCTCAAGGTGGAGTCGGAGTTGAGCTCGTCTAATCGCAAGTTAGCCGAGCTACATCACGAACTTGAAGAGGAGCTACTACGTGCGCAGGCGCCATCCACTCCTCCTCGAAGTCGCTTGTCGACTTTGTTTCAGGGCAGTGCTATGCGATCGCCCTCTCGGAACAACATAGATGCAGATGATGACCAGTTGGAAAATGGGGAAGCAGAAATGGAATCACCGACATATGTGCTCGCGGAAACATTACAAGCATTGGAAATTGAGGGCATGTCACCGGATTACTACGTCGAACGTGCCAATAGCCTGGTGGAACTGTTCAGACGACACCCCACCTTAAAGTATGATCTAGCATGGCCAGTGTTTGGGTTGCGCGTCCAGATCATGCTTTTGAGTGATAGCAAAGAGGTCGTGGCGGCAGGCTACCGTTTAACGCGTTATGCAATAGCAGATCGTAAATCTCTCCAGATAATTCGCTCGCTGCACACCGATGAGCTGGTCATCTTATCTTTGGTCAAGGAAAGCAAATCAAGCATTGAGCGGGAGCAAGCCCTGAAATTCATTAGAGGTTTCTTGGATGTGAAGGATGGCGTTCATGAGATCTCACGTGCGGTGATGCGGACAATTGTGTGCGTTGCCGAGCACTCTGAGGATCGACTGCGAAATATATCAATCATGACCCTCGCTGAGATCTTGGTCAAAGATCCGGAGCTAGTAGCACAGGCCGGTGGCTTTGCTATATTGCACGATGCCCTAGCAGAAGGAACATTCGGGGCGTCAGAGAGTCTGATAGCCAGTTTTCTACACGTACTTGATACCCCACACAGCAGGAAGCATCTACAAGGCGGATGCGAGCTTGAGGCTGTCCTTGCTCCGTTTACCGATTCCCTGTCTGACACTGTCCGTAGTGGGCGTTTAAAGTCCTCAGCGAAAGCTATTTCCGCCATGCTGAAAACCTGGCCCGGGCTGGTGGTCCTGGCAAGGAATGAGGCAAAACCTCTCCAGTCCCTTTTAGAGTCATTGCATTACCCAGATCCTCAAGCGAGGGATCTCATAATGGAGCTTTTATTTGACGCGCTGAGGATAAAGCCGCCATCCTGGTCATCGTCCTTTCTCGCCGGCCGCAGGCTTACAACCTATGGAAGAGTTGCAAACCTCAGGTCAAATACTGACACGAAACAAACCCGCGGGTACTATGATGACCGCGATAACAAATTCGATCTAACGGCACATTTCTCGACGTTAATCCTTGCGACTCTGGTGGATGCTGGGTTGTCACAGGTTCGTTCGTTCTTACTTGCTTTATCTAGCCAACAGCATGCTCACATACAAATGCAGGCTCTCTCTGGGCTTATTGAGGAGGAGACTGATCCTTCTCTCAGGCGTAAGGCAACGTTACTTCTAACGGAGGTTCTAAAACTAGCCCACCATTCCTTACCTCGGAATATAAGTGCAAAGCTTCAGGTCCTTCCACATTTGTTGCCGGCCGCTATCAAGTTTGATGTTGAAAATCATGATGTCTCCACATCTACTATCTACCAGATAGAGAGCATTAACAGGACTTTGGCTCGCTCCATAGGGAACGTTCCGAATGGGGCAGGGCGATACAACGTGGACGTTGACATATCTGCCTCTCTCTTGACGGGCGACCAAGGCAAAGACAAACTGAGCCCTGCGATGGATGAGACACGGTTTCGCAATGCGATTTTGGAAACAAACGTTTTGAATACAGTGAATTACCTTAAGTGGAAATGGGATTTGATCCACCGTATCGTCGAAGGCCCCCTGACGAACCCTAAGAGGCTGGATGAGGCTATCAAAGGGTCAAAGTTTATGAAACGGCTCATGGGCTTCTACCGGCCTTTTAAGTACCGGTTTTCTATGCTCCCGAACACCAAGCCCAATCAACGATACGTTCGAACTGGTTGTGCATTGATGCGCACCCTGGTTCAAGTCCCGGAGGGGACGAAGTATTTGGCCGAGAATAAATTTCTGAGACAAGTGGCTGAATGCCTTGCTCAAGTGGACCGCATGAGTGGACTGACCTCGGCATCGCCTCTATTCTCACGAGAGCAGATGGCTGGTTTCATGAGTGGGGGCTACTTTGCCATGCTGGGGACATTGAGTGGCGATTCGAACGGCCTTGTTATGATGGAGCGATGGCACATGCTTAACATGTTCTACCATATTGTTGAACTTCGGGATCGGGATGACCTGATACAAACCCTTCTAGGGAATATGGATTACACTAAGGACAGTCACCTTCGGGTTATTTTGTCCAAGGCACTCACCACCGGTTCCAAGGACATTCGAATATTTGCCACAAAGCTTCTTCGGAAGTATGCGGTTGGGAATATTTCGCTCTCACCACAGGCTGCTATAAGCAACGCAGATTGGGTCGTCAAGCTTCTTGTGACTCAGCTATATGATCCCGATGTTTCTGTATGTCAGGTTGCGGTGAAGATTCTCGAAGAGGCATGCAACCGTCGCGACTATCTCGAATTCGTTGTCAAATGCCGGCCGGCTTTAGACCATCTGGGAGAAATTGGTGCACCCCTCCTTCTGCGGTTTTTGTCAACTTCAGTAGGCTACCACTACTTAGATGGCCTCGACTATATCACTCAAGAAATGGATGACTGGTTCCTCGGCCGTAACGACACATATGTTGGATTCGTAGAAGCTGCCCTAACCAGGGCCTACGTTGACCAGCCGCGAAGGGGTAGCCTTGTGCCTGATGATTTTGTGGATCTGCAGGACCTAGGACTGGTGCCGCCACATTTCTATAGGGAACTTGCCCGGACTTCAGAAGGCTGTAGGCTTCTTGCACAATCAGGCCACTTCAATGAATTTGCCTGGACAATTCGGGACTTTCGACTAGATGAAGAAGACACCGAGGTCCTCCTCAAAGTCAAGGGATGCTTGTGGGCTGTGGGTAACGTTGGCTCGATGGAACTGGGCGCGCCGTTTCTCGAGCCAGACATTGTCGAACACATTGTAAAAATAGCCGAAAGTGCAGAGGTTTTGACCATGAGGGGAACGGCCTTCTTTGTCCTTGGCCTGATCTCGCGTAGTCGACATGGCCTGAGAGTGCTTGGGGAGTTGGGTTGGGAGTCCGCGGTTGACCAGAAAGGAAATTCTCTGGGACTGAGTCTTCCGACTGACTTTAACAAGCTCTTCCTGGTATGTCCCGGTCCGTCTGGACTACGCTGCAGGGTACTAACGATCGTTCTTCAGGTCGAATTTCCCTCCCACTCGCGGAACCCCGCATCGAAGCGGACGTCTCAAGAGAGATTTAAGGAAGCTACGTTGGATTCAGATCCAGTCAACCAAAAGATTCTGAAGCTGATCGTTGACATGGGCAATACTGTTTTGTCTAAGCGAGCGGCGGCGGATCTCCATAGGTAGGCGAGCTAGTTCACTTGTGTTGTGATATTGGGATAGATATTAAGCTTACTTGGAACCCCTACAGCATCAAATCCAAACAACCTGAACGATTTCACCAGCTAAATCTCTTCCGTAAAACCCTTAGCATCCTCGAAAGTCATCACTTCCGATTGAATGCTCGACGCTTTGCCCTGGACTTATTCGACAAGAGTGTCATGCGGCGGGTTGTATTAGAAGACGAGTCTGACACGGACTCGGAGGCAACCTCATCTCAGGAATCGAGCTGATTGTATTGTTCTTTTCGTTTTTTTCTTTGAGCGCTATACCCTGTAACCCTATGGAACAATCTGTGATCTTTGTTCGTTGGGATTTGGATGTATTCTTGTCCTTTTTCGTGCTCTCACGCAAAAAAACATATTTGCCTTCTTCGGCACTTTGGTATGGCGTTGGGACAGCTTTGGTTACGAGCAATGAGAGGATGTGATATCAATGAGTTATGTACTGTTCTATTCTATGTCCTTTAGCCTGTTGCACTATGGAGCCAACCAGGATCTGCACAAAGGTGATGAGAGAAGTGCAGACCTCTCGGAGCTTGTGGGTCCAATTATTCTCTCACTTTTTCCTTTCCCCCTAAACAGTGAAGGGTCCTACTCCCCTGAGATATACTGTATATAAATGCATACCATGATAGTATATGACAATGTATGAGCCTGTTATGATCCTTTGCTTTCATGGCAGACAGTGACTGGTGTTAAGTTAAATATGCCAGCTCCGGACCTCGGATAGCTTCCTCCGTCTTAGCACCACCACTCATCGCCGTCACCACGGTAATCAATTCGATTGCCTCCCCTTCATATCCCACACATATGATGTGATCTATCACGTCTGCTCCACAATATTCCGACCAACTCTAGAATATCCATAATCTCGCAATCCTTTCACATTAGCATTCCCTTCAGCCAACTAGTAGTGTTTCGCTCACGTTCTCGTCCTCCATGGATACGACATCTCCACACTATCCACAGACCGACGACTCCCATCTCCATGCTCTGAATACTGTTCCTACACCCCGATCCAATAGAGTCCTGTCGTCTCCGCCGCATGATGTTGTCCGTCTGATACAATGTTTCCATTGTTCACAACCGCTGCGTGCACCACTACGGCTTCCATGCGGGAACGCCGTGTGTCGGGCTTGTTTGCCGCCGATTCACAGGCGAACTGGAATCACTTACCCAGCTAATGAGGACCGAAAGCAAGGCTTTACCTGCCTCTGGGAAGGGATCGATGAGAACTGCGCCGGAGAACATTGTGTGGCAGATTGCGGGGGTGATATTTTGTTAGCCCGTCTGGTGGACGTGTTCGAGGAGGTTCTTGGAGCCAGCTCCACTACGGTGCAGGGTGGGTTCCGAGTTATATGGCACAGCATTGAAAGGGACACGGGGAAATGGATCGAGAAAAGCAGTACATGTCAAGGACGTGGGTTACTCGAAGGCATCTACGATTTGGCCAAACGGGGTCTCTTCGATTACGACGCGTCTGAAGTCAAATATGAATTGGATGGCCATGTCAAACAGGACGATGGAGTTTTAAGCAAACTGATGGACGCTATGCAGAGTGAGCTGGATTGCCATGTCTGCTACTCGCCGATCGTGGATCCGCTGACAACATCTTGCGGCCACACGTTCTGTCGTGGGTGTGTCATAATGATCATGAACCACTCCGATCTGTGTCCCGTATGCCGGCGCAAACTGAATGTGGATTCAACGGTGCACGTGGAACCAAGTAATCAACGAATAGCTGGACTTCTGGAGACCTTATTCCCGGAGCAGACTGCTTCGCGTCGAGAGGCTGTAGCGCAGGAAGGGGCCGATACGGATAATGATGAGACAAAACTCCCACTATTTGTGAGCTCGCTTTCCCTTCCGACGGTCCCAACATTCTTGCATATTTTTGAACCCCGATATCGCCTCATGATGCGAAGGGTTATGCGGAGCAGAAACCACCAATTCGGCATGATCATACCCAACCGCGGTGGTCGGTCTCAGGGGGTGTTGGGGAGATCCCGGTTCATGCAGTATGGCACCGTTGTGGTTGTTGAACGCTATGAGCCGCTTCCCGATGGACGAAGCCTTGTGATTGTCACTGGACAGTCTCGCTTCAAGGTGCTCGGCTCGGAATTCGTAGATGGGTATCATATCGGTCGAATACAGCGCGTCAACGACATGTCTATCACAGAAGAGGAGAGGCAAGAGTCCATGGAGACGTCGGCCCTTTCAGGGTTCAATGAAACAAATTCATCGGACAAAGAAAAAGCTCTAGACGCCATGTCCACACAGGAGCTCTTTGACGTGGGTCAGAATTTTGTACGGCAGCAGCACAGTCAGGGAGCGGCATGGCTCCAGCCGCGTGTTTTGCTGGCCTACGGGGGCATACCCGACGATGCTGCCCGGTTTCCATGGTGGTTCGCTAGCGTCCTGCCAATTTGGGAGGAGGAAAAATATGAGCTCTTGCCGACAACCAGCGTAAGGGAAAGGCTTAAGATAACCGCGCAGTGGGTCAGAAAGCTGGAATCCCGTGAATGGTATATACTCTATACAATATCAACTCTTGCAGTGGATATCATCAACATGCTAACAATCTTTTTTTTTTTTTTTAACAAGGTTGACTCGTTCCCGCCCACCAATATCTTCTGTCTTATGACTAGCCGTGCCTCTCTTGGTCTTTGCGGTCCTCGTGCTCATAATTAGTCAATCCGCATCGTTCATACCCGTTTCAACCCGGAGCATCTTCACGTCCTTTACGCCTTTCTTCATGTCTATCTCGGTCTCTTTCGGTCCCACCCACCCACTATCTTTTGATGGCCAACAGCAGCGCATGCGTGGCCATGAGCCCAAAACGTATATCTCGCAGTCCGTCGTGGTAGGAGCTTTTCTAGCCATCCTCATGGTACAAGTAGCTACCAACGCTGGTCAAGTCTTGCGAACAAGATGGCGGGAAAGGCAGAGCCAGCAAAGAGTCGAAAGAGAGCAAGAATCACCTCAACCCACTAGCGAGTCTCCAGACGAGGCGGGTCTAAATGAAGAACCTGCCCGAGATGCGGGGTGAACGATCGCACGCTTCGAACGTTGACTATATGGGGCGATCAACACTTGATCAGCAATGCAAGACGGTAAATGATTAATACCGCCAATCAATCAACCTTCAACTCTCCAGAAGCGGACGCAGGAAGACCACCCCGTGTGCATGGCCTGCTTCCTTGCTGGTGGCGGGCCCATTTCGAATCCAAGGGGTTTGCTTACACAAAGCGATCAATAAGCACTTGCGGCGTGGGATTCGCAATGGAGTACGGTCGTTCCGTGGCCTAGTTGGGGGATCCTTTAGGAATTCCGCGCTGGAAGGTGTTGTGGCTAGAATGGCCATACATTAACCTGTATGTCATCTCGCCAGTGGTGTGGGGAGCAGTTTATGTACATATCGTCGGGTATTTTTTGGCCTGATCAACCTATTGGAGGCCCAGAACCCTTGAACGCCGGTTCATGTACGGCGGATATTTAGCTACATGACGAGAATCAAGTCGTGGGTTCTGGATGAATCAATCGTAGTGCAAAATCAATTGTCCATCATGCTGGAATTAATAATAGAAAGCAAGAGAGCCAGAGATGAGGGAACGCCTTACGTCTGCCCATGGAGCATCTGGGGCATTGATATGTCTAATCCTAGTAGAATGTGCTGTGACTTGTCCAACGCCACCAGGCGGTTATGCGGCGATTCGTTGGGGCACCGTTGGACGCGCCTGCATGTCGAAACCAGCGGGTCCATGATGATCAGAGGAGTTGGATTGTGACATCTTCTATGGCGATGGAGGATAATTGTGTACCATCCATCGATCCATCGATCCATCCCTTCATTAAGTAGCGAGGAAAAGGTAAGTCACTCAAGTTCCTGTGGATGTGAATCTGCCTCCCATTCATTCCCATGTCTCAAACCACTGCACTGCAGCCAACTCTTTCAGTTTGGGAAGGCACGAGACTGTTTCCTTTTCTTTTTTGTTCCTCTTTTGACTCTCCTTCATCTCCCTCTCGCTCTCTTCTTTATCTTTTGCCTCACTATCTCTGTCTATTTTGACTGGCTGACTGGCCCCCCTTTCAGTCTATATAAGGGTTTGTTTCCCCTAGTTGCGTTTCTCTTGACTTGCTGGTTTTCACATATGGTCATCAGTGTACTAAGCGATCTCTGAGATAAACAGTCCCCACAATGTCGTCATTTATCACAGTTGAAAAGCGACACTTTGAATATCTGCTACAACAGTGAGTGCTCCATATCATGGCACGATCAATGGTTCGTGATGTTCTTGATGTTCTTGAGGGATTGTGGTTCGACTCGGTTACCCTCTTTATTTATTTTGTGTTGATTTCTATACTCTGTATACAACAACTAGAACCTAAGACCCCCCACTAATGCTTTCGACAGAGTGGAAGCTGTAAGTGGAAGGTTGATCGAAGGTCGACAGATGATGGACTTCTAATATCGTCCTCCTGCGCTCGGAGCCCACAGTGCCCGTCTCAGGAAAACAACGTTGCAAGCACAGATTCAGTGACAATCTCGAATTCCGAATACAAACGTTTGGTTAGTAGTGTCGCCCACTGACGGACCGACACGATAGCTATCAGTGCTGACCAACCTCGGTGGACCAACAGCTCCAAGAATCCGGTCGTTTAAGTGCGTTGCCGACCATCTTTCCATCTTCAAACCCGGCTTTCTGCTGTGTAGCTGATCTCTGCCCTGATTGTTATAGAGAAATTGAAAGACTCCCTCCTGAAGGGAGGATTGTCCGCGGAAAACTTAGATGTTAGTGCATTGTGAGATAATGATCACGAAAAGCGATGCAAGGCTGACCTTGCCTCAGGTCCTGATTTACGGCTCAACGCTGCATGATACACAGCCAAAAGGGGGCATAGGTCTCCATGGTTACCTCGAAGCAGCTCCGTCCAGCAAAGGACATTATCCTGTGCACTCGATCGACCATAAACCATTTATTAATTCCGACGACGATGACGATGCCCTTTTAGACTCGCAGGACGGCGATGATAATGATAAAGACGACTACGAAGTATCCTCACGAACCACAGGTTCCTTGTCGGACACAGCGGATCGACGTACCATTTTGATCCGTAACCTGGCTGATCGGGTCACCCATAAAGATATCGTTGAAGCCATGAGAGGCGGTGCTCTGTTACATGTCTACCTTCGGGGTCGGGAGCATACTGCCAACGTTTCATTTGTTGAAGAGGCTGATGCTCAAAGATTTTTCCAACATGCGAAATCCTACGGCCTTTATGTAGCCGGGAGACGAGTGAGTTGATACTTCAGTCGTCGTGCTATACCACGTCTAATTCATCCCAATTATCTCAGGTGGAAATCCTGTGGAACGACCGTCAATTCTACCTGCCTCCATTTGTTAGGGCTAAAATCAATAATGGGGCTTCAAGAAACCTGGTCATCTACAATGTGAATCCCAATATCACAGAGTGGCTCATCCGCAAGGATCTCGAGCATATACATAATTTAATTGTGGTTTCGGTTAAGTTCAAGAATAGAAACGCCTACATATCTACGAATTCTGTCCATAATGCACTGTTTGCCCGCTCCTGCATGATGTCCCGCCTCACCTACAAAGGAATGAAGATTGCATTCTACCACGATGAATGCAGCAGCCCTCTTCCCAAAGCTCCCAGTGGGCCAAAGAAGGAAGCTCAGGGGCTGCTCAAAAAACCTCCAGCTCCCAACCGATTCCAGTTACTTTCCCTTGCCGACGAAGATGGGAGTGATAGTGAGCAAAATCATGACGGGTTGGACAGTCATCACATGAACGAAGGCGTTCCCTGCGCAGACAGTAGGGTATCAGCTTAGGCGTGAGGTTGTGGAGGGAAGTATGATATGAGCGATCAATCAATCTTACTCTTACATTCTTTCTTCGATTTCCAAGCGGTGAATGTTACCACCTCAATTTGCTGAACTTTCCATCGTGGTTCAATCTTCCCCCTCCCACCTTCTCTGCTTCTCAATCAGTTCCATCATTCCATAATCTTTAGGATGTGGCATTTGTACATCAGTTGGGGTTGATTACGTATCACTAGCCTAGCGATCGACCCCAGATAGTCCTTCATAATCCAACCGGAAAGAGTATAATTATCTACGCAACAGGGGGTTGCACATAGCGTACAGAGAGTACCCCGCCCTGATGCAATTCTACGGACCCGACTACTAGAACTAGGGTGATTCCAGATAGTCTGGGGGAGAGAGGGTGGCTTTGCCTGTACTTTTTTTTTTTTTTCCTGCAGTACTGGAAGGCATTTTAAATGTCGTAACATTGAGTATTGCATTACAGCTGAACCGATACCATTAAACAAGGATCCCCAAGGCAGAACGCAGGATGACAATCGGACGACTCTTTCCTGTAAGAACACATCGAAAAACAGGAAAAGAAATTGGGTGATATTCGAGATACCTGGCCTATACTAAATCCAGCCAAGACCGGGCCAGTAAGCATTGCACCATAAACACATTCCACATAGGACAACCAGAATCGAACCAATATCTGATTGACCCATGGGCCCGTCGCTCCAGAATTCTCCTCCCCAGTACACCATGAAACCGACCGATACCATTCCTGCGTCTTTGCTTGCCACTCTCCTCTCCCGTTTTTTTTTTGTCCCTTTTTTTGTTTGACAAGGTGATGGGGTCCATCTTTTAACGGTAGGATTTCTGGTACCTGGCGCGAGCACCACGACCACCGAACTTCTTGGGCTCCGTGCGGCGGTTGTCGGCAACAAGCAATGTGCGGTCATACTGGGCGAAAGCCTGCTTCAGCTGGTTCTTGGAGTGCTCATCGACATACTTCTGGTAGTAGGCGACGATGGACTTGGCGATGGCCTGACGGATGGCGTAAACCTGGGAGGTGTGACCACCACCGGTTACACGGACACGGATGTCAACACCGGCGAACTTGTCGGCACCGACGATGAGGAGAGGCTCGTAGACCTATTGCTATTAGATCGGTATTCTCCTTAATTCCAGGTCTGGCGGGCGTACCTTGAAGCGGAGGACCTCAGGCTGGACCAGAGAGAGGGGCTGGCCGTTGACCTTGATAAGACCCTTGCCTTGCTGTAATGAAGTCTCAGTATCTGTATGTGTTCGAATGGATCGTGGATGTGATTTCGAATATCGGGTTTGTCCTCCTCTTCTGATATTTTATTCCTTTGATTCTCGTTCCTTTTTCGACTTCTCTCGCTCTTTATATTCCATACTTCCAACCCAACCGTTGCGACCGTGGAAAACAGAGACGTGGAATGACAGAAAATCAAACTGGTTCAATTCATACCTTGCAGTGGGCGACAGCAGTAGCTAGAGAAGATACATGTTAGCCATTAATTCATTTCAACCCAATATCTCAATAAAATCCATGACCAAATTGCAGAACTCACCCGTCTTCTTCTTGCCGAAGCATTGCACACTCGGGACGGAAGCCATGGTGACTGAATGGCCCTGATCGGTGTCGGAGAGAGGGGGAGTGTGGTGGAAGTTGTCGTCGTCTCGCAGAGCTATTATTTTTTCGGACTGCGATCGAGGATGGGACACACTGCGTGCGGGTGACTTCGCTTAGCGCTGGCGCTAGTGCCTAGGGCTCAGAGGGTGGTCACGTGGACCCAAAGTTCTGCTGGAGACTTCGGAGACAGCGTACTAGTACAGTACACAGGATAGAGGATTTATATCATTGTCTTATCTCTTTCCCCTGTTTCATTTTATTCTATACCATGTCGCAAACTATCGGCAAGGTAAGATCCCATGACATATATCCATGAGAAAAATTCCAACCGAATTCCTAGACTCGTCTTGCCTACTCGCGCGCATGGCACCACGTCGACGTAGGCACCGACTCGCGCAGTCTCGGTCGCGTGGCCTCCTCCATTGCCCTATTCCTCATGGGCAAGCATAAACCCATTTACGACCCGTCCACCGATTGCGGCGACTACGTTGTGGCCGTAGGATGCCACGACCTGCGCACCACCGGCAAGAAACGCTTCCAGAAGAAGTACTACACACACACCACCCGTCCCGGCAGTCTGCGCAGTATGACCATGGACAAGATGTTTGAGAAATGGGGTGGTGGCGAGGTCCTTCGTCGTGCTGTCCGGGGCATGTTACCGAAGAATCGTCTGCGGGAGAAGAGATTGGCGAGATTGAAGAGTAGGTCTTCTTTTCTTTTACTGTCTTGCGTTCTATATACATATATGCATATGAGGAGGAGGATGCTGACCGTTTAGCATTTGAGGGCGTTGCTCATCCCTACAAAGAGAATATTATCAAGTTCGGAAACCAGTCCGTTATTGGAGATTTCCCGGATGTGCAGCTGGCATTCAAAGGGGAGGCTAAGTCCTCGGCTTGAGCATGGACTGAAGGTTAATTTCTGTATTGTATACATCTTGCCTTTTCTTTCCTTTATTTTTTCTGTCTTATTGTCTGCTAGCGCATGGGTGGGAGTTTGTGACATCTTCTATTTGTCCCTGCCGATTACATACATATTATATCGCCTCTATTTATTGGTGTCTCTGTACTACAACCAGTGGGAAAGTTTCATAAAGAATAAATCTGAGTATGGATGCCTTAAATTATGTACAACAGGCTTTAAGAAAACTCCGAAAAAAAAAAAAACCTTTACAATTTAGATTTCCGTGACGACCGTCCCACAGTGCATTTGATCAAGCCGTTAGGATCAGTCTGGGGAGCAAACACCTCCGCGTCCTTGCCGATATTCTGGAGTCCTTTGTGCCAGTCCAGATCTGTGGATGGATCGTTAGTACAGACTTCGACAGAGCCGCCAAGGGACACCTACTGATCTCAAAGTAATGCTTGTTGGGCAGGGAGTACTCGACCGTCTCCACCAAGGGTTGATAGGCCAGAATCCGCTCGGCCATCTTGTACATGGTATTCTGGACACTAGCACTGTTGTCCTCGGCGAAGGTCTTGAGGGTAACGTCGCGGGCATGCACCCAGGTGGCATCGAACTTGGGGATGTGGTCGCGCACCTCGTCCAAGCCGCCGAAAGTCTTCCACTTCCAGCTGGCATCGACGTCGGTGCTCAGGATACGGTCCCAGGTCTCCTTGAGCGTGGTGTATTCGTCACGCAGGAATCCCCAGAATTGCGAGTTGGTGCTCTTGAGCACGGTGAGCTTGGACAGCGATGAGGTAATGTCAATTCCCCGACCCTCGACCACGTCCACCTGCACGTTGCGCTTCTCCTCGCTGTCGCGCACGAACGAGTGCGGGTGTGGTTTGCCGTCGATGTTCAGCCGCGTCCAACGATGGGTGATGATGTGAGCGTGGGCGGCGTGGATGTGAGGGTACTTCTGTATGAAGTGGGTGCCCAGGATGGAACCGAATAGCTCGGGAGGGGTGACGGGGTGCTGCTTGGCTAGGATGTAGATGGTGTTTTTGATGGAGTCAGTTGCAACAATGACGCTGTTGTCGGCTTTGGTGTAGCTGCTCGCGTTACTCTCTTTCTCTATCCCATCCCTTGTCGCAAGAAGTACTTACGAGGTCTCAATATCTCCCTCCAACAGAACGCAGACGGTCATTTCGACCACCGTCTGAATTCCGGTCTTCTCATCCTTGTGTACTTTGTAGACCCGGACATTGTCCTTGCCATAACGAGCTGCGGTGATTTCAGACATGGTGATCAGTAGATAGATAACCAAGAGACAACCAAGAGATCAACATAGAGTATAGTAAACAAAAAAATAGTATATTTAAGCCAGACAAGAAGACCGAGGGCGCCTTTTAAATCATTTAAATCTTTGAATCCCTTTGAATCCCTAAATCCCGGCGTAGGAAGTGCGCGAGATGGGCTGATGGAGGGAGTGTCGGCCACCTCCGAAGCCCGTCGGCCGATGCCTTATCTTATCGTCTCTATACAAGCTTCTTTTAATTCCTCTTTCTATTACTTCTGATCTGGTCGGGGATCTAATAGAATCAAAAATACAAGAATACATGAATATACAGTATGGTTGACAAGAATCAACTGTATAATATCAATGCAGCAGGGATTGGTGGTCCGTTTTCCTTTCGGCACGACATGATCCGGTCCAATTCTCACTTTTCTCCAAATGACTCCAATTGAACTTCTTGACCTTTACCTTTACCTTCACCTGCCACCACACTGCTCCTATGTGGTCGCTCATTCCTGGGGAACAGAAACGCCCTCCATGGCTTCTACGACTGCGATCCTCCACGGGTTTTATAGTGACAACGGTCTGGACTTCATTTTTCACTGTAAGTGACCAAAAAAAGAAAATTTTTTGAAGAGAAAAATCTCACCCCATTCATTCCATCGATCTATTGCTGACAGGTAGACAAGGATTTCTTTCTCTACGCCATGGTAAGCCACAAGTTGTCACCGACAACCTACGTCCGCTGAATCCAATTAGATCGTCCCCATCATGCCGTCTGCGCTGGTCGACCGTGCACATGTCCCACACGAAGAACGTATGTCTTAGTGGTTGGAGTTCTGGAGAATTATTCTGGGTCATTTATCTGATACACAGTCTAGGGGAATACTGGGTGAGCGTACTACTCATATGTGAAGCGGCCGTCGCCTTCATATGCTGTCCCATCTTTGGGTATATAGTCGATATCACACCTACCCGCCAGCTCCCCTACCTGTTGGGCCTGATCCTTCTAGGCGCGTCAATGGTCATTCTCTCCGTTGCGCAATCTGTGGGCCTCTTCGTCGTCGCCAGACTGATCCAGGGTGGTGCGACGGCCATGGTCTCAGTGGCGGGTTTGTCGCTCCTTACCGACTCGGTCTCGTTTGATAATCTCGGCCAGACCATCGGCTACTTAGGGTCGGCGATCACACTGGGGTTTGTGTTGGGTCCGTTGTTGGGAGGTCTGGTTTACCGTACGGCGGGATATCAGTCGGTTTTTGCAATGGCCTTTGTCATCGTGGCGGTCGATGTAATCCTGAGAATCACCGTGATCGAGAAGAAGGTCGCGCGTCAATGGTTGAACGACGAACCGGAGTCGGCAAATGGGTCAACATCCCATCATACTCAGGCACATCTTACTTCCAGGTACCAGACCTTCACCGTCCCACCGACAACAACAACGACGACAGCCCTTTCAGAGACGCCAAAACCGGCGCTTCTGCTCATCGCGCGACAACCACGGGTGATAATCTCGTCATGGGCGCTTCTCGTCCAAGGCATTTTGTTCTCGGCGTTTGACTCGGTAGGCACTGCAGCAACCGGAATGCATGGATCCTGACGTTCTGACAATCCCATCCAGACCATCCCCATCTTCGTCGAGTCACGATTCAACTGGGGACCCTTAGGCGCTGGCATGACCTTTCTCCCGTCCGCCATGACCGCTTTCTTCGAACCCTACTTCGGTAAGACCGTGTCCACATTCCGTTTACGGAGTATTTCCTCGAGGTTTGGCTAACGCAAGGGGGGGATCTATTACAGGAACTCTATCGGATCGGTACGGTGCGCGTCTCATCACATTCATAGGGTTCATCCTACTCGCACCACCGCTGATCTGTCTTCGATTCGTGGAGCAGAACACCACGACACACATAGTGCTCCTGCTATCATTGATCGGTATCGTCGGTCTGCTGCTGAATCTGTGCATCCCGGCCTTGTTCGTGGAAACGCAGCAGGTTCTCGAGAGTATGGAGCGCGCACGACCGGGGATCTTCGGCGAGCGAGGCGCTGTGGCCCAGGCGTTCGGTATCCAGACCATGGCACAGTTCCTAGGTATGACGCTGGGTCCACTGTGCGGAGGATTCCTGGAGTATCAGTTCGGATGGAAAACTGCATCATTGTCGTTGGGTTTGCTATCCGGGGCAACGGCGTTTCCTATGCTGTGGCTCAGTAATGGGCCTTGGGAGAAGGAGGAGTATACTGGGGAGGGTGAAAGAGAGAGACTGGTGTCATGATCATATAGAGGGTATAGAGGGTTGTACATGTATATACACATACATACATAGGTACATAGTTAGCTATCTGTAGATACTGTATGCCAATTTGACATGTGACTAAATAATGTCCGCGGGCCCCGAGACCATCGCGAACTTCTACTTGTTTCTTCACCCAACAGACATACATAATCTCACATTGACAATGGCATGCAATAATCTAATTATCAGAGTCTTCAGTCCTCGCCGAATAGGACGGTTCTCAGTTAGTAGTACTCCACGACTCCAATGACTCACTACACTACATAGTTACACGAAAACTAACAACATCCAGGTGAAATACCCATGGGGATACCAATACCTCCACACCACCTCCCATCATTCTCAAATGCAGCAACAACGACAACAGACACACTCATACTCCTTCCCCAGCGAATCCAGCCCCCACGAAGCCACGATCCTGGGCTTCCCATCCCGAACATCCACCACCTCGCGACTCCACTCTAACATATGTCGCGAGATCATCGACCTCGCAGCGACCGTCTCTTCCTTTGAGCCGGTTCGACTGTACACGCGTCCGGAGGACATCGATTCCGCCACTGAGCTGCTCCGGCAGCGAACGCAGTCGGATATCAAGAAGAACAACGCAACGGTTCATGAAGCGATTCGCATCATCCCCTGCGTGACGAACCACTGCTGGGTGCGTGATACGGGACCGGTCTACGTGCATCGCGCGGACAATGGCGGGGGACGGTTCGCTATTGACTTCTCGTTCTGCGAATGGGGTGAGAAAATCTTGGAGGGGGAGGATGACCGGCCGATTGTAGATTATGCCGCCTGGAAGGAGGAGAATACCCGGTTTGCGCGCCAAGTGTTGGAGTTGGAGAATGAAGAGGCGGGCCCGTCGCATGTCACGAGGGTGGTGTCCAAGGTGCGGTTGGAAGGCGGAGGAATTGAGCTCGATGGTCAAGGTACGTTTATCGGTGCCGAGAGCAGTATTGTCTGCGAGATGAGGAACCCGGGTCTCGGCAAGGAAGAAATCGAGAGGGAACTGCGTCGGTTGTTAGACGTGGACAAGTTCGTGTGGTTCCCCGGACGGAAGGCCCTCGATGTGACGGATTGTCATGTGGACGCGGCGGTTCGGTTCGTGAGGCCCGGGGTGGTGGTGGTTTCCAGACCGTCAGACAGTAAGGGGAACAGCGAATGGATGCGGGTGTATGAGGAGATCCGCGAGGTCTTGGACCGTGAGACGGACGCGCAGGGAAGGAAGTTCGAGGTTCATGTCATTGATGAGCCGGACCCGAAATGTTTGGGCTGCACGCCCAACGAGGAGGATCCAGCGGCCTCGTATGTCAATTTCTACTTTGTAAACGGCGGACTTATTGTGCCTGCGTTTGGGGATCCCGTCACGGATGCGAAAGCCGTCGAGACGCTGCAGAGAATTGTCCCTGATCGAACGATTAAATCAGTACAAGTGAACGGCCTGCCGCGCATGGGAGGTGTGTTGCACTGCGTCACACAGCAGGTTCCCCGATACTAGATACACCTCGTAGCTAGCTTGGAGTGAGAAGGATGAATGATACAAATCTCCCCTCAGTAAAGATCTCACTACACATGTTCCCTGTCTGTATTCACCGAATCATGCCATGTACAAGTCAATGAAAGAAAAGAGAGTTAGCCATGGGAGAGGAGAATGAATCCTAAAAGGTCCAAGCATCTTTTTTCTTTTTTTTTTTTTTTTTTTTTTTTGTTTTGTCTGGTGGATTCAATCAATTCCAATGATGTCAACCACGCCTTCCATGCTGGAACCCAACGCGAGTCCAAAGAATTTTTAATCCTGCAGTAGTAAATTCCAGGGCACTTCCAGAGACTTCATCAAAATGAAATAAATAAGTAGGGAAAAAATTTACAAGCTCAGTTGGTCGATGCTCCCAACTCTTCCACTGCCACCCAGACGACCGCCACCCTTGGTCACCATGCCTAGTCGATAGAAGCGCTCATCGCCGCCCAGCGCTTTCCCACCAATATACCACTTCTCTGGCCCCAAGGCATCTCGAAATCCCCCCGATCCACTGGAGCTATCACTGCCGCGACGTTGGCGGTCGTTGCCACTGGCGATGGGGATGGGATTGGAAGAGGCCGGCGTCGGGGGGGAGGAGGGTGCTGCAGAGGTTGTGGATGACGACGAGGGGACAGAGGATTCCGCCGCGGCGGAGGCTTGGTTTAACGGTGGTCGAGGATGCGAGTGAGGTCGGGAGCGAGACGATGAAGGGGTGTGATGATGGTGGTGGTGGTGATGGTGATGGTGATAATGATGTGTCGCCGTAGCCGACGGCTCGGGAGAAGAAGCTCCCGAACTACCTGCCTTGGTGGCTATCGCTCGAGCACTCTGAGAGAGCTGAGTGGGCGAAAGAGATGATGAAGCGCCCGTTGTCGACTGCGAGCCTGCGCTGGATGCTTTGTAGGTCGACTGGGCGCGAAACGCCGCCAGAAAGTTGGCCAGGAATGGGCGGTTCGTGGACATGATGTGTCGATGAGAACAGTCTTCTACAGGTAGGTCTTGTGCGCGCGCACGCACACACACACACAAACACGACGCCCGTCAGGTTGGATCCAAATCCACTGGTGGAGATCAACGAAGCAGAATAGAGAAGCGTTGGCAAGATTGATATGGATCAGAGGAAGGGGGGATTCGTCTAGTCCAGGACAAGCACTGGAGTTGTGGTTTGTGAAAGGAACCAGCCTTGCGGGGAGGAGGACGATCGATTCCAGTCGATTGACAATGCTCAAGATATAGACGGGCCACTATGCGAGAGATGGACAGAGTGAGGCAAGATGAAATGGAGGAGAGGCGAAGTATAAGGAAGATCGAACTTCTCCGAAGTGTCCCGTTGCTGCGGAGGCTGGGCGGCCAATCACAGGAGACTGATATCGGAACCAAAACTCGGCAGTGACGTCGTGGGCGGAGAACAATAAAAGACGCCGTAGAATGTCGGAGAAGACGCGGGGTATTAGGTATCAAGATATCTAGGTAGAGCAGGTAGAGAAGTATGAATGAATTAACAGATCCTACGAGGAGATCCGAGATCTCAGCATCGCAAGTCGCCCGCTATTACCCGCAGATCACATGGATCCGGGCCAAAGGAAGCGCCGTCCTCTCAAATCGTACAGTAAGATCCTCATATATTATTGCTCGTGGATCTAAACACAGAGATGCTCTATATTCTAGTTTTTTGATCCCTTGCTTCCCCCTGGACAGTCCCAATCCTGGCCGGTTGGCGAGATCAGGGGACTGCCCGAACCGTCCGTAGGTAAAACAGAATGGAAATGCAAACTGACACACATAGATAGACAATCAGACGTCCGACGTATGGAACATCATGAGGCTGACCAGGGGCAATGCTTCAAGACCGATGGACCGAAAATCTCCGGGCACACCCTCCCAGGCAGAAGAGAGCGCCCCATCATTTTTCATTCTCTTTTTCTGGTCCATCTCCCACAGCAACCCAGCCGCAAATCGTATGGAAATAAAAACACGTTTCTGGTACCTTTCCACAATCAACACACAAGAGAAGAGAAGATGAAAAAGAAAGATGAAAACACAGAGAGAGAAACAAAACCAGACAGCAACACCACCTCCTGAACCCGACGCGAAATTCATATGTCCGAATGGAACATATAGGAACTACTTACACGGGGAAATGACATGTAGATTGAAGGTGGACGTGAAGTTGATGCAAACAAAATCCGAACACGGTTTCCGCGCCATTTTGGATTCGACAAAAGAGAAAACACACACACACACACACAAAAAAAAACAAGGCAAATAAAAGCATGCAGACCGCGTAGACAGAAGCCTTCCCGGATATTCTTTTGGGCACTGGCAGACAGCAAAAAAAATGAGAAGAACAGACACGAAAAAGCACATGCCCAAGTCTATGGTTGGACGCCGATAAACCACACACCATCCATCCCATCAGCCCACTCATAATGGATGGAAGCAAATCAAAACAAGTCCTGAACCACCGCAATATTGCAACTCGCCGTAGTAAATACAAAGATGCTGACACAGTTTTTTGGAGATGAAAATAAACAGCCGATCAAGGAACTCGCAATGGAAAAACACCCCTTTTCGTAAAATCGATGATTGGATGCTGCGATAGAATAACGCCGAGAGCTGGTCAATGAGAAAAGAGAGAACTTTCTCCTCTTCGTCCTTTTTTTTTTTTTTCCCGGAGTATTCCGTCCTGCATTTTCTAGACATCGGAAAATCCTTCGTCAATCCCTTGGGGAAAGAATAGTCACAAGAACGTCATTCTCCATATACCCTGTATAAAGAGAGGAGAGTTAAGTCGTTTCCATTTCAAAAAATAGCTCCGGTTCATTTTTACGCATATAATGTCGTCGAGTTTTGAGACAGTCGGCTAGCACACAACCATTTAAATTTGCCATTATTGCCGCGCCGGCTGAACAGTACCTATATCTTCATTGTAAGTTGCGAGGCATTCAGAATAGGGAAGGTAATTAATGCGAACACTATCTCTCACTTACCGTCGCCACCCATAGTAGAAGCCAAGTAAAGACCATTCATTCCGCCCTCCTGGGGACCAGCGGTCGTGGTGGGGTAGTATTTCCGCTCGGCGTCGACGTGAGCGTGGATCGGCTCCTGGCCAGATGCCATGGACTGGGGGAACACGGGGTTTATGTAATGATCGGAAGCTCCGGGCTGAAACATCGAAGTCCAGTCAATTTCGCCAGTGTGATGGGGATTGGGCCCAGGCATAACTGGGCGCTTGGGGTCTTGGACGACCGGGGGTTTTACCTGCTCAAGGGAAGGACGGTCAACATTCAGATGCTGGCCAGATGCATCAGTACCAGGCTGCACAAGGTACGGGTTCTGCTTGGGAGCTGCCAGCCAGGGACCTCTCTGAGGCGGCTGTCCAGGAGGAAACGCGTCGTCCGGCTGACCGCGGTTCATTCCGTTGACAGACGACATCGAGAAGCCCAGAGGCTGCTGATCCGTGAATCCGGGTCTGCCAGGGGCCAACCCATTACCGTTCACGGCTCCCTCGCCGTAAGCCGTACCCGGAATGCCATTGGGAGGCGGGACAGTACTACTGACTTCATCCTGAATCGGCTTAACAGGATTGGCCGCAGCTTGGGACCTCTTCAAATGTGCCTGGGGATGGGACAAGTGAGTCGCCCCCGTCGGATTGCCACGGCGTAACGAGCACTTCTGGAAATGGCGCTTCAAAATATCACTTCGGGAGAAAGTGTCTTTGCAAAGAACACACATGTATGGGCGGTCACCGGTATCTGCGGATTTAAGAAACTATTTGTGAGCAAAAATGCCTGAGGCCGCAACAGAACGCGTGCGCGGTATCAACGCAGGGATAGACTCACGTCTCAGCAAGTGGCGCTTCAAGTGTTTGGCGTGAAGATATGTCTTATTGCAATGCGGGCACGGGAATTTTCCATCGGCATCCTTAGCGGGAATCGTGGTGTTCTTCGCGCCACCATTGACACCATTCGTGACCGGAGTGGCGCGTCCAGGAACACTCGGGAGGATGCCACGACGACCCTGTGATCCAACCACCTGAGTGCGAGGGGGCTCCTTTGCATACGGAGCCGCACCGTTTGCGCCTGCGACCGGATCTGCATTCATCCAAGGGGAAGCTTTGCCATCTGGGTAGCTAAACGCGCCTGAAGGAAGGCCAGAGTAGTCAGACCGACGGTCCCGCGGGGGGGCTGGAGCAATTGGCTGCGGGTACGTCTGAGCACTGGAAGCAGGAGGCAACACGCTGTGAGGTGGAGGGTAGCCTTGCGGCGGCTGAGGTTGAGCCTGCGGATTGGGGTGGGAGAGAAATGACGATGGTGGCAGACTGCCCACGGTAGCGTGAGGCATTATGGGAGCAGTGGAAGACGCGTAAACATCGTGAGTAGACGTGGGAAACCTCGACAGATCCCTGTATGGCGGCTGGCCCATGTAGGAATGAGGGGCAGGCGACTGATTGTGATGAGGCTGCAGCGGAGGGAGGGTATGCGGCTGGGACACGGGGTATTGCATGGTGTACTGAGGCATTGGCATACTCGAGATAGGTGTCGAGGAAAGAGGCGTGGAGCCCTGGGGTAGACTGGTGGATGGGGGTCTTGATGGATGAGATCTAGGATCCATGGTGAAGCGGAGAGGGGTGACAAGATGCGAGAAAGGGAAGATAGGGCTGAACTGGAGGCAAGATTCACGGTATCCCGATCATTGATTGCAAACCGAGAAATCCTTTCACTGGTTGTCTTCTGACGAAAGGCAGCGCTCAGTGTAACAAGCGTGCCAATGCCCACTGCGAACGAATATGAATCACTTTCTTCGAAACCCTTCTGTTTTGTTTTCCGTCTTTGCTTTTCCTTTTCTCCTCCTCGATCTTTTTTGTTTTTCTTTATTTTACCGAGAAGAAATTGATCCTCTCAACCGGACGCGGAGATAGGACGGAGCGGGAAGAAGTAGTCAGAATGCTAGATTCCGCAGGGTAATGAATTCTTCCTCAGCTAGCCGACCCTGAAAGATCCTTGCGGTCGATGATGGAGGCGTGAAGGATCAAATCCGACTCCACTGCAGACGAGAGGTGAGGATGAGGTTGAGATGCTTAATCGTGAATTCCCCACGGTCACCCACCAGGAAAATCGAGTTGTGTGGGAACTTCTTTTTATCCGCACGTTGTAAAAACAGTAAATGGTTCTGATCCACCAAGGAGGCGGCGTGTAGGTGGGTCTAACAGCAACCACCAGGGCTAGAGGGAAAAATTGATAGCCAATTTGCTTCGCGTCAACAATGTACAGGATTGACCAGGAGTTTCAGATGGACGAAAGGGAATAATAAAATACGACCACTGCCAGGGATAACGCGTGTAGGTACGAAGGCCAGAGTAGTGAAGGAAGAAGGGAAGGGAAAAAGAAAAGAATGAAATAAAATGTTAAGGGAAAAAAGAAAAAATGGAAAATTTTGGAAGAAAAAAAAAAAAAAAAAATTAATTCCAAAAAGACAGCACCCAGGGTAGCCGTCCTGATAGTCACGGGGAATGGAGGGAGGAGGGGGGGCGAACGAACGGCGGCGCAAAGTTAGTTAAGAGGACAGAAGAAAATGTCAAATTTCGGAAGAAACACTCTCCTCCCTTTCGTTTTTTTATTATTTTTTTAACTCCAGCCCCTATCATAAGGGTTAAAAGTGCAAGGGCAAAAAGAAAATAAAATAAGTTAATAAGAATAATAAAGAAAAAAAAAAAAAAAAAATTCAGACTTGCGTGAGGGACGGGCGGTGACGATCGTAACTCGAGGAGGCGAAAGTCGACTCCAAAAAAAAATTAAAAAAAAAATTAAGTAGTATTGTTGTTAGTTTATTATTATTTCAGTCAGCAACACCAACGTTTGGGACGGTTGCTGGTGCCGTTAATTTGATTCGTGCCTCACCCGGTTTCCGAGAATAAGACAAGAGCCGAGCAATCGAAACTTTTTTCGTATTTTATCTTTTGGGTTAAATCTTCGCGCTATAGGAACTTACCGTTAGCAGCAAACTTTGCGTTCTACGGTTGACTAGCTACTCTTCTCTGGCTCGTCAGAGATTCAAAGACGATGGTCCAATAATTCTTCTCCAACTGAAGAAAACGGCACGGCCGGTTCAACAGCCAAAGCCAATTCCGAACACTGACCGGAAAGCAGGGAAGACCATGAGAAGTACGATAGAATTTACTTGGTAGCAGCGGCAAGCAGGGGAAAGGATGGAAATCGCCGTTCCGGGATATACTGTTGGCTGTTTCTATTTTTTTTTTTTTTTATTGTAAATTTTTTTTTTTTTTTTATGAAGAAGTCGGGGGGGAATGACGAGGGGGTTGGCAAAGCAAATCGGACGTGTGCCGAACACAGACTTCGGCGAGTACCTCTATGGTACCCTTGCCGCATACAGCTACGTAAAAGATACTTGACAAAGACATCTTGTTACCAGCTGACAGGAACAACGCAAGCGGATAAGTGAGCTCTGTTCTAGCCCAGCAGGCTATTTTAGGATTGAATAATACGATCCTAGGAAATATACGTGATTAGATACAGGATTAAATGTTTGGATATTATCTGCACGGTCGTTGACTCCTTGATTTCATCATGAAAGGAGTCGAGTACTTGTTCGATATTGATGAGTGGATATAACGACAGTTGTGAGGTATAATAATAATAAAGGAGGGGTGATAAGCTGATGGAGGGGCGGGTGGCCCTAAACTGCGCATCACTGCATACAGTCCGTCCACCGGAGAGGAGCGCTAACAGGCTCGAGGGTGTAGAATTGATTCGCCGAAGCTGTTTTCAGGCCTGGCCAATGTACCTAACGTCTTCCATCCACGCCCTTGACATAGTACCTACAGTCTACGCGGTAAGTACTGACGTGGCATGGTACCTACTTCCCGAGTTTCTCTTCCGAACACATTATGATTGATTCCTTTTCACCCTTATCTGTTTCCAACTGAAACCCCCAAATGTATTGGGTGCGTCAGGGGGACGGAGTTCAGGGGGAGAGGGGGAGTTATGTTTAGAATTCCAGGATAATTCTTCTCAGTCTCCTTCTACATTCATCAAAGCTCGAAACTGTAGGGCGGATAGACAGACACATGCATCATCATTCTCCGCATTTGACAGTCCCGCTGGCCCAATATTGGCTCGTCGGATCTCAGTCCTCATGGCACATCCACAATCCCACATGAGCAGGGACAGAACCTTATCAAGGTTATCTTTGTTCGAGTGGAGTGACGACGGACCTGTTCCTTGAGGATTCAAACATTGGTAACTTGCCCACTTGCTCCGCCCTGGTGGGATTCCCGTCTACGTATACTCCATCGCTAATGCAGATAGATATAGAGTACTTAGACAACTGCCTCCTAGGTTCGGAGGCCTAGGTGTAATTTGTAATTTGTAGGCAACCCTCTTATGCGACTCGAACGCCTATCATCCATTACTCGTCACCTTCACACCACTTGCTTAGTATATGAGGCTGCATATGATATACCTGCGGTGTTACGGTAGACCCAACGGCTTATATGCATCAGGATGCTATTTTATATTGGCTCTGTCGCGCAGATTACTGTCTGTAGTTAGGTGATATATCTAGAGCTATCGAGGTAACGACCTATCTAATCCAGTGATGTCAAACATTGCGTAAGAGCGGTCGGATACGCAAGGATATTCTGCGTAGGCACCAGGACAGGATGACATGCCATCTATACCACCAAACCGGACATTCTAGGCAATCCATGGGAGCTTGGACCTTCAACATTGCAAGAAAGATGCTGACAGTTAGCGACAACTTAACTACCCAGGAACAATGCTTCTGCATGATAGACCGTCTAGACCTTATTCCAGTACTTTTGCTTCCCCGTGCGTGGCAACAACCAGTTTATATGACAATATGCCAGGGCCACGCACCTTTGTTTCATTCCACTATATTTTATTCCCTGACGACAGGAAAAAAAAAAAAAAAAACGAAAGAAAAGACATCTCCAAATTGTTTTCCGTGGTACCAGTCGCGTTACCTTGCCCTTGCCACCTCCAAATAATAAAACAAAGGGCATGATGAATCACATTAATTAATTAAATTTTATCAACACCACCGTTACCAATGTTGATACAGATGTTGGTTCCAAATTGCAACATACTCGGTACTGAGTACTCTGTACACAAGTACCTAAGGTACCACCTCAGGAATGGATGGGTCCTCCGTTTAGGATTCAAAAAGAGTTGGCGGCTATTCTCCACAAGGAGGTTTTCGCTGGGAGCTTCTCCCGCTTCGATTGTGGACCTCAACCAGCTTCTTTAGGTGAGTTGGTAGGTGGGATTGATTGCATGTTGATTTTATTTCCGACTCCTCTTCTATCTGATCAGGGCTACGCCAGACAAAATACAAATAATCCAGTACCTAACTAGGTATGTATATTCGCCACCGACACATTGCAAATTGTCCATTCTTGGGCGATGTAGCCCCCGGTACTACCGGATGAAGCATTCCGAAATCAAGGAATAAAGGCCTTCAGACTGGAAGGATTCCAGAGAGGGAAACAATTTTCTCAGTCGCGGAGAACTTCGGGAGCTTCTATGGCCACCTAACAGAGGTATGTGGTCATACGTACATTGGTACAGAAGCAAGCTGAGACTTGCGCAGGTAGGCATCTAGTGTGGGATCGTGATTTTATTAATCATCAGGGAGAAAGTGCTAAATGAGAAATATAAACGACACATTTCTTTTTCTGATGTCGCCTTGGATGTTCTGGTTGAGTAATAGATTTGTTTTTATTTTATTTATTTTATTTTTTTTAATAAAAAAAAAAATTAATTTATTATTACATACGGACCACGGGAGAGTATTTTTTCTAGCATCGTGTAGTATTGCCGCTGGCTCGCCCGAGTTGCCACTTTGTGCTATTTCCAAGGAACATGAGCCCTAGGCACGTAGACTTGGCCTCCTGGTACTGCACCTCGCCCAATGTGGCGGTCCGGTCATGAAAATAGGGCCCACTAAGGATCCGATGGCCTGCTCATGGAAACTTCCACAGCGAGACCATCTGCCTGTCCTGGCGGTGTGGAGTGATCATACTATGCAGATTGCAGAAGGATAACTTAGCTGCAACAAGGCGATGGCGCTGCAATGCACCCATGTTAACGCCGAGGCCAGTCTCGCGAATCACAAACCGCCCAGTCCTCCAAGAGTGCTACCTTTTCCTCCTATGTAGGATTATCTACCCAGTACGAGCGAGAATTGTCCGAGTTTGATCGTCAGAAAGCCCCATCGTGATAAAGCTTGGCATTCGCTTGCTGTGTTACAACTTTTAAACTTACAGCAGGATTTATAATCATGCTCATGGACATATGGCGGTGCAGACAGAGTATTTGTTACTTATTATGTCTTGCGCATATCCAGGGCAGCTTTTCCGAGATGGCCAAAACAATGGCTGTTCGCATGGCATGCATATCTCTTCGTACTTGTACGTCTCATGTACGGAACCTGATAGAGTACAGAGTACATCACAGGATCCCGTGGACTCCATATTCCGTGGGTTTGTGAGTATACGAAAGGACTTTATACAGGGATTGACCAAGCCTGGTAACTAAGGCATGGTATGGTGATAATCTGCGCGTTCAGATAAAAAGGGTTAAACCCTGTAGATAATTCCGCGACAGCACCAATGAAAACGTAAGGCTACGTGGCAAGGATCAATAGTACTGACTCTGGACCAAACCGTCCAAAATCTAGTGGCTGGTCAAACCAACTGAATAACAATCATTATAGCGCCGTTCTCAAAAGGAGTACATAGCCAGTACGGAGTACGGAGAACAGTGTACAGAATACAGATACTCGTTTCTACAAAACTGAGCTGCGTGCAGACAACCAAGGTTTTTTTTTTTTTTTTTCCTACCGAATCCGGGAAGGCGACCATGGATACCTCCAGACAAAGAAAATTCCCTCGGCACTTTTAAACTGGGAGGGTGGTTTTTCCGGAGCTGGCCGGAGTAAATCCGAAACCAGGTTGGGATGAGACCCAGTTATTCTGTCGACGGCTGTCCAGTCAGAGACCGGGCGCTACAGTACTGGAACGCCACTCACTTCATGCCAAGACATCTTGACTTTTGCTAGGGGATGGTCTGAGGTAGTTTCTAATTCTTTGTTGCCCAGTCATGGAGCTGGACAGCATGAGCTGATATAATCAGTTTATCTGCCAATTGAGTTCGCCGTCGTTTAGTCTAGTTTCGGGCAATTAGTCTGACTAGAAGGTGATACAGACTACTCTGTACTGAGTACATACATAGGGTTATATTCCTTCGCAGAGAACAGCGATGTTGGCTCACCTGACCGCAAAATGCAAATTCCATGTCTACCTGGTCTGTTCATCCGAATACGACCCTGTATTCGAGGTCGCCGCCTTTTTTTTATAGGCAAATCCATGGTCTGGGATGAATAGTACAGACATTACTGAATACTATGGTGTCTGTTCAGAGTCTACGGACTACTAACTACCTATCCATGCTCATGGGTATAAGCGGCAGCGTTGACAAGGGTCGCTCAGGCCGCGCGTCATGAGAGATAGTCTGATTGGTGATGGAAGTGATTAATGAGGAGCAATATTAATGAAAAAAGAGCAAATGAAACTGTAGAATAGATGTTGTGGCTGATTGAGGCGTGATCAAAGCTGCAGGGGTCTGTTCCTACCTTTTACCCTACGAAAATGTACTCTGTAATGGTGTATGCTCAGTCGTCTACGGAATACAGAATCCGACGTCGACAAGTTCTAATAATATCATCAGCATCAAACATGCGAGTACGCAATACGGAGTTTTACCCGGCACTCCCAACTGCCTTCAGAGGCAATTAGGGGGAGCGCTGAATTTCCCGAAGGAGTATGGTCTCTCTAGACCAAGTAACGAGCTCTACTCCAATGTATCACTATTTACTCTGGTCTCTTGGTCTTTAGGTAAACTATAAAGGGCTTTATGGCTAGTGAGCTATTCGAAACCGCTGCACAAGCCATGAGGGGATTAAAGGATTGGATTAGGAGAACTCGGCGACTGCCTAACCGGCTGGTCAGAGAAGACAATCACATGCATATTAATGGCAGTAGCTTCGTGCAAAAAAGGCGAAGAATCAAATCCTTCTCTCTTGGCGTGTGTTGACTGGTCATGTTCCATCCACGGGGTCTCGTCATGATGATCAATGCTTATATGATTATGAAGCTATCCAGCAGGGATAACACACTCTATCTTTACAGAGTATCGCCGATTATATCCTGCAGGGTTATCAGGTAGACACAGCACTAGCTAGACTTTTAGTGTGCAGATCACTGAATTGACCAGTTCAACAGTACGGACGGGGTACTTTGAGAAAAATAGCACCGAGTCGTGATAAATCAGGAATACAGTATTCCATACATTCGTACGGCATAAGTATATACTTAGGAGTAACTTAGGTCCAGTCTATCAGGACCTTGCGAGTATACTAAGGAAGTTACCCCTGCCAATCTCGCGATCAGCAAAACATAGTAAAACATCGCCTCCTACGTGGAGTCATCCCGAGAGAACTGTTTTGTATCAGAGTACCTTTGTCGTGACGTGAAATCTTCTCACTGTAGTATATGTTCCAATGTGCTCCTACTTACTCTGTAATAGCCTCGTACTGTATGTTAGGCAGACGTCTAAATCCATAACTCAGAATAAATGCGATGCCGTACCTGCAGGATCGCCAGTACCCGATTGATTCTCAGATCTCGGCTCGGATCAAGCATGTCCGGTTCCATTGGTGTTATGTATGTGTTCTGGTGGAGAATGTGATATCGGTGGATCAACAACAAGGGACAGCCCTGTTGTCTCTTATTTTGTCTAGATTGACACTATATAATTTCTTGGTACGTACGGAGTACATAGAGTACATGTATCTGCTTTGACGGAGTGCTTAATTCGATTTATATTTAGTACAAATTATATATTTATAAAGTATGAGATCGGAGGATTATTTAACACATATATAAACAAGGCTCTTCCCATGCATAGGAACCAAGCACTGGCACCGCTCGATTTAAATCTCCATCGTACAAAACATATCTGGACGAAACGAGGTGCATGTGACATGCAGGGGGATACACCGTAAAAGCGAAACGTCTATTATCTATCCACCCTTTCATCCATCAATCCACCATCAGTACTCCGTACAGAGTAGAGAGATACGATATAGGACATACAGAGTACATACATATATACATACATACTACAGCTGCATCATGCACCCATATATGTACCTACTATCCAACCGAGTGCTCCGCTCTCCTTACCGTGAGATACAAGTCGGTCCAGACATGTACCTAGGTAGGTACATCTATGTACGGAGTAGGCACCAATGCAAGGATGCTTGCATATGAGGCAGTGCTTCTGATAGGTCCGAATCGCAATGGTCTTATTTGCCTCATGCAGGATGGACGAATCTCCGTACATAGGTCGGGATCCTGACCAGATTTATCCACGTCGGTGGCTTCTTGTTAGGGATGGGTTTGTGATACCTCACGAGCCAGGATGTCTCCTGCAACTACGGGGTTGGGAGTGATGGGTATCTGGATTTCTGCTCCGTACTGGTGGTATGTATGTATCTACAGTGCCCTGTTTGGAGTATGGGATTGTTGGGTTGACCTTGTAGGAATGAATACTTGCTTTGGCTTAGGCTTTTTGCGATAAGTAGGAGAGTGATTGAATAGATATAGTATTTATTGGTCTTTAATATAGAATACCATATCGAGCGGAAGAACGGAAGTGAATGTGAATATTGCACTTCTAAGGATATCCAACCAGGAGGAGAGTCGAAAACAGAACCAGATACCTACGGCTTACTCCGCATTAACAGAGTACTATGTACTATGTACTATGTACTATGTACTGTGTACCTTCAACTTGGGTGTAACTGTATCCGCCGGTTCACCTCCACTGCTGTCTGGATCTTCAATCTCCACCCCCACATGGACAATGGCGGACCCATCCTCCACAGGATGGATGGCATGCTCCACATTCACCTTCGGCCCAGTGAACCATTTATGGGCATCTACCACCCACCAGATGATCACCGCCAGCATCGGGGCGCCGTACACGAGGCACGTCCAGTTCATCAGATCCGGCGTCAGGTTCCCTCCCGTGACACTGGGTAGACACAGAATCGGCACCATCAGCAGCACAAATGATACTCCCAGCCCACCGATGACGGGCCCAAAGGGCCCCAGATGCCATGGGCCCCGACGGAAGCGGTCTCCGACAAAGAAGACGCGAATCGCGATGGGGATAGAGAAGGCTACGAACTGGGCAATGGCTCCGATGGAGAACAGCGCGCCAATCGCCACGTCTCCTGCCAGGATCAGGAGACACATCAGGATCCCAATAGCGGCGTTCACTACCACCGCATTCACGGGCGTCTTGGTGCGAGGGTCGACTTTCTTCCAGTATTTGGACCAGGGGAAGCAGTCGTCGCGAGCGTAGGCGTACGTCACCCGCGATGCAGCGACCATGCAGCCTTGACCCATGGAGAATCCGCATATTATGGTCAGCGCGAGGATAGCCATGGCCGTCTTCTGTGGCAGGACCTGCAGCAGATAGGACGCCCAGGGTTGGCCAAGGTCCGAATCAATCACAGCCTCGATGTCCAGCACTGTGTAAGCGACGACCAACTGCAAGAACCAGCCCATCAGTCCACCTACGCCCGATGTTATGACGATTGCGCGCGGCGAAGCAATGTTGGCGTTGGAGCATTCCTCGCTTAGGTGGAACGGGGAGTCATATCCAGACATGGTCCAAATAACGCCGACGAAGGTCATGAGCACGGCCACCCCATCCGGGAAGTCCGTCATATTGGTGATGGTGCCCCAGACTTCCCTGGACGGTTGGAACTTTGGCTCATTCTTGGTCCCCGCCGGAATGGCGATGATAACGGCGATGAGTGCGAGCATGTTGAACGTTGACCCATACGAATTAAACTGAGCAACCCATTTAGTCGGCATACTGCTGATTGCCGCGTGGAGAATCATGACAAGGGCGGTCAGAACGAACGTCTGCCAACTGGTCGGAACATAGCTCGGGTTCGTTATGGAACCAGAAGCGAGGATCATGGCAGCCAGGGAATAGTCCACAGATGGCGCGGCGGTTATCTGACCGATCCAGTTGGACCAGCCAGTGATCCATGCCGCGAAGGGGCCATACTTTGGAGGCGCAAGCACTGCTGCTGCGTAGTAGAGGCCGCCGCTTAGAAGAAAAGGTCAGGAACAATTTCGTCCAGCGAATACCTTCTCGTACACAGTTAGGGTTCGTGAATACGTACCTGGTGGGCATGGCCGAGCATAGTTCTGCCATGGACAGAGCGACACACTGGATAAAAATCATGGCGATGATCCAGCCCCAAACCATACCAGCTGTTCCCGCATAACCCATTCCTACCTTGAGATTAGCACTGCCAGATGCACCGCTGGGATAGGGTCTCGCGCTTAGCTACCATAGTATAGCGTACTGGCGAACGACGGCAACAAACCAAGCACGGCAAAGCTGACGCAGAATGTCGTCCATAGGGAGAATTCACGCTTGAATTCTTGCTTGTATCCCAATGCGGTGATTATCCGCTCATCTGCGTCCATGGCATGGTCCGTATAAGGGACATCGCCATCTTGCAGGACCGAAGTGACAGGGGCATGGTCGAGACTGGCGTAGGCCGACGCTTTGGGGGGAAGTCTGCCTGGTACATGGGTTCCATCCATAACGACTTGGGTCTCGAATGTATATCAGATTCCACAAAGTGCCAGATTACTTGCAAGGGAATGGAAGGGTTCGAGGACAATACTCCCGCGGGGTTGTCAACTGATTCTGACGATATCGTGTCACCGACAGTATGGAGACGTAGCACGAGAGATCTCAGCCTTGTAGAACACTCCAGGTTGCATACCACCCGATATATAGACATGACACGCATGTCTCAGTCGCACGGGCGCTGAGAGAACTCCCATCTCCTCCAACGATGGCAGATAGTAAAACATGGATGAGTGTCCTTCCTTCCTTGTAGGAACCGTCCATTGGTGGGGGGTCCTGGCGTTGGTACACACGCTTGGCACAGAGTCACGCTGCACCCAATGATCACGCAGTCGATGCGATCCTCGGAGATACAGTCGCTCAGATTGGGTCAGAGTCCAATCAGCACTCATCCATCTCAAGACTCCTGGGAAAGCTTGGCGGAGCTGGTTTATACTCAAGGAGGAAACTCGACGCGCGTGAGACTCATTAAGGAAGCGTTCACAGAGAGAGGAGATACACAGATAACGGGGGAGAATGAGCAGAAAAGACTGGATGGCGGTGGGTGGCTGATAAGCGTGCGAGATAAGTCGACGATCCCGCGAGATGAATCAATCATCATCCACGGTCCTCCGCTAGTCTGAAACCAAAAGACCATCGGTTCCAGTAAGGCGGCTAGTTAATTACTCCTGGGGACAAAGAAACTGGATTTAAAGAAACAAGCAAGCAGGTGTCTATGTGCTAGCAGATCTCATCGTTATTCTACACAATATACCCCCATACTCCTTGCCCCAGCATCCAGTGAATAAACAACGCACCCGGAATATAGAAAGCGTCTTGTCTTGTCTATGGGATCTGGAGGAGAAGATGCACCTCGGAGGGGCTGAAAAAAAGAAAAGAAAAACGTTTAGAAGGGCTATACCAGTGTTAGTACGGAAGCAAAAAGATAGGTCACTCGGCACAATAACAGGATACAACATACGTTGTCCTCAGGGGCAATTGTCCGGTCAAAGTACTTGTCAAAGAAAGGGAACTGCTGCAGGATGTCTTTGCGCACACGGGGCACCTCGCCCAAGAAGAAGACCAGGAAGACACCAGCGCTGACGCCGAAAGTACCGGCAATCTTAGCGCTGTAGAACCCGAGTCATTAGCATGATTTTCAATTTCAGTGGACTCAACCCGGACCAGACTCACTATTTCGTGGCAGTGTTGACGGTCAAGCCTTGGAAGTGAAGGGGACTCTGATATCTAATATTGAGGCACACTGTTAGTAGAGGTCTTTGCAAATCCGATCATGCTCTGGGATCATCAAGGCTTCCCCTCAAAGACCACTCCGACATAACATAAACTGAGTCAATCACAGAAGGCAAGCTGCAGTGCCATCGGAAGAATAGACAGCGGGACATTTCGCTGGAATGGAGTCTCGGGGAATCTCACTTGGGCGCAAACGGAGAGCGGTAGGCACCGGCGGACTGAGCCGCAGCGCGACGGAGAGTCTGGGAGAAAACCTGTGAAAAGAAGAAATCTCGAATTAGCCATGTATATCTTCATTTGAAAGTATTCTCCAGGTAGGATGTGCAATGGCATGACCGCATAAGTCATGAGAATCTGGCTCCTCTGACAAGCGGAACGAGGGGCCCATCCATACAAACAACAGGAGGACTAGACCGAGAGAATACGTACCATCTTTTCTAGGTCTCGAGAATCACGCACGGAGACAACAATTGCCCAGCAAAGGGAGAATGGATGCAACAACGGGGATTCAAGGCGAGTCGACGAAAACCGGGAGACTCCACGACGTTCGGTACCATCACTCGGCCAATCAGCGCCTACAAATTGACTACCACGTGACATTTCCCACCCGTCGAATCAGACGCCGCTGATTTCCGCTCAGAGATCTATACTCACATCTACAGAGTGCAGATGAATCAACCAAGCGTCGGATCTACTGGTCTGGTACGCCCAACGGGCCTGGTTTAAATATTGAACAGTACATCACACCTATTGTCGACAGGGAGGCATTTTCATATGCATCCATCAATCAGGGATTCTTTACAACGGTAAATCTGAGCACGTGACAAAAAAAAAAAGGTATAATAAACTAATAAAATAGACCATCATGTTAAATATCGACTACACTCCGAACCTTGTAACCAAACAGATAGAAAGCCCAGAGAAGTTCAGCCTAATCAGGCAGAATTGGGGGTTAGTAATATAACGCGGCGGAGGAAAAAGGATAAGAAAAGAAGTGACAAAAAAAAAAAAAAAAAACAGAATGAAAAACTATCTATACAGTGATTCACACAACTCCGTTCAATCCACCTTCCCTGTCGCGCCACCGTTCAGAATGCCCTCCTTTCCGTCGAGGTGAAAGAATCCGTTGCCGTTACTAACCCCGAGAATAGCGCCACGACCTCCCCATCGGGCATTTCTGCGGCGGGCAAAGATGGTAGCTGCGGCAACCGAAATGATCAGGATAATGACGAAGAAGATGGGGTGGCTAACAATAAAGGATCGAGTGAAGTAAAAGATAAATTCAAAGGTGCCAACTGTGGACTTCGGGGACAGTTTGGGGGGGTTGGCCACCACAAGAGGAATGGTTTCCAGGATCGAGGTACGTGAAGCCATAATGGAAGCTCCGCTAGAAGAAGAGTCCCAGTAGCGTCGGTTCTGTCTACGTTAGTTCCATAGACTAATGCCACTTGATGCGCCAGATACTTACATCTTGATCGTTGATAATGACTCGTTCTCCATTGGCCACGTCAATACCGTAGGTGTTTCGGAGCCAACGCTCCCAGAAGTCACCGTCGACCCAAGCAAAGCCAACTTGCTTCTTGTCGTCTTCACGGATGGTGATACGCATGTTCTTGGCCGATCGTAATGCACGTTGGTCGTTCCGGTCGTCGGCTTCCTCGATTCGGAGCTGCTTGGCGTCTCGTAACTCTTGCCTCTCCAACTTGAATAGCTGCGTCTGCTTTTCCATCCATTCGAGAGCTGCATTCTTTAACTCCCTCTTGGACTGCAGGAATTCATCCGAGCGCGCTCGGCTCAAGATACCAAGAACCACGTACTTGCCATCCATGATCTCTCGCGCATTGGAGGCGGTCATCTCCGGGACGATAGGCAGCCACACTGTGCGCATCCAGGCTAGGATTTGACGGAAGTCACGCATATCCTTGGGAGCAATTGGGGTATAGTAATTCGCTCGCCCATCACGTGATACGAGAAGACGAGGCCAGGTTGAAATCTTGAATCGTTCAGCGAGAGCTGCACTGTTGGTCTTGACAATCCGTGCGTGGCCAACTAAGCTCAAGGTCAGGCGCTCCAGCGCTTCAAAATCCTCCGAAGTTGTGGCGTGATCATAAAAGTACAAGAATATCACCTCCTCTTTTGCCTCTAGTTCCTTGAAGGTGTCCGCATCCACATCCTGAACGCCAAGTCCTATACTAACAGACTTTTTGGCGTAAGTAACTAGATCCCCCAAGCCACGTAGGCCAGTATACTCGACTCTCTCGCCACCGCGGAAGAAATACATTGTTGGGAAAGCAGTCACATGTGCGTCGCTGCAGAGTCTTTTCTCGACCTCACAGTCAACTTCTCCAACATTAAGGACATGTTGCATTTCCTTGGCCATCTGCTTCCAGGTAGGAGCCAGCGCTTGGCAATGAGGGCACCAGGGTACATAAAATTTGATAAACCACGGGTCCTTGGTGGTAGTCACAAGTTTCTGAAAGCTTTCAGCCGTGAGGGGAACCGAAATTCCCTGAGGATTGGCTGGGGCGGGCTTGCGGTCCGACTTGGGAGCCGCACTCTTTTCAGTGGCTGCGTCTTTGTTGGACAGCTGTGCGGCTTGTTCGTTGTGCTTTTCACCAGCCTTAGCACCCGCTTCACGATCTTTGTCCTTGGCAGCGGGTGTTTCTGGTTTGGCACCCGTATCCACTCCTTTCGCACCTGGATCAGGCAGGTTCAGGCCGCTCGGGGGGCGAGATCCGGGCTTGATGGCTTCGAGCTTTCCTTCGATGAACTCACTGAGGCCCGCCATCGACTTAACCCCTTCATAGTGTTCTACCAATTCACCATTGTGATAGAGGGAGAATGTGGGGTAAAACATGATGTTTAATTCCTCGCACAAGTCCCCATACACCAAACAATTCAGGGATGCGAAGTGAAAGTCATAGAAGCCTTGGAATGAGTTCAATGACTTGGTATCGGAAGATTTCGAAGAAGAGGAAGATAGTGGATCCGAGGTCTGGTGGTAGTTAGAAGAGCAGGCATTCCAAGACGTGTTCTGACGGTGACGGGGATACTCACATAATACAGTTCGTAGAGGGTTTGCCATGCCGGAGCAATTTTCTGGCAATGCGGGCATGCAGGAGAGAAGTTCTTAATAAACCTAGGACCCATTAGAACAATCGAGGGCATCAAGAGGTGAATGTGGTGGGGTTTTCCAACCAGTAGCCATCCTTGATTGTCTCCTTGAAAGTATCAGGCGTCAACTCTGTCATCTGAGGCACTTCAATACCGTTAAATGTAGTCGTTTTCACTTTATCTCCGGCATCTTTATCGGAGGGAGAGGCGAGAGTGGTGATGGAGAAAAGCGAGAGGAAAGACCAAGCCAGCAAGGATGGCCTCATACTGGCTGTAAGCCAAGGTCTGACAGACCCGGATGCGTAATTTGAGAGGGAGGATAAACGAAGGTATACTAGAAAGGACAAGAAAAATCACAGAGAACAGCACATCCAGAAAAACGAGCGTTTAAATGCAGCGCCAATGGAAGGATAGAAGCTGTATCAGCCACTGCCGGTCGAGGCAATCCACAGGAATAGTCGATGGTTGTGTCGTGTTCTAAGTTCAGAGAATCCGCGGGACTTCCGCCGAATCCCAGATGAAGGATACAGAGGAATGCGGGCGAGAATGAAGCCCCCTAACGCGCCCGATGGTTTGATTGAACTTCCACCGTAACTAACTTGTGGCTGCGAGGCAACTCGGTACCCCTGGAGTCTCTGTTTCTCCGGCTGCCGACGGCACCTCATCATTCCTTCACTCCCGAGACTTATTGACAGCAATTGGGTTCGTACTTTACATTGTATACCCCCATTTTTTCTATAGAGGAGCACAATGAGATCTACCCTTCGGTTACTGGCCAACATCAAGTCACCCCGGTACTTGGAGCCTTTTGCTCCTACCGGGTTGACCGGCCTTCTCACTCACCCTAGCCCACGCCCGACCTTGATCTATCTCTACACGTCTACCCTGCAAAAACTGAAGGCGTTCCCCGAGACCTCTGCCTATCGCCAGTCTACTGAGGCATTGACCCGTCATCGCCTGCAAATTGTTGAGTCGACGAAACCCCCCGGATTCGATGCCTGGTTGGAGCGTGTGAAGAAGACGGTGGCCGCCGAACCTGAACGATTCGCCTCTCTTCGTCGCTCTGATGGTTCGTACGCAGCGGCCATGCGGGATGATGGAAGCGACAATCCCCGCGGGGAAGAATGGGACGGTGAATCTATTGAAGCGACCACCGAAGGTCCTGCTCGTACGGCGGCGGAGGAGGCGCGCTGGGAAAAGGCCGTTGCTGAGTCTACTGTAGAACACAAGGACTCGGACTTCTTCCCTCAAGAAATGAAGTGGGAGAACGAACCTGCTTTAGAAGCACAGCAGTATGTCAAATGTGGCTTTTGTCAAATAGTGCGGGAGGAATGCTGATAGTCTCGTCCAGGATCTCCGATATTGAGAACAAGATTGGTGCTGGCCTTATTGAAGAAGTCATTCAAGTCGCGGAGGGTGAGCTGAAGCTGGTGGATGAGTTGTATAAGTCCAAGGCGTGCGTATTCGAGCCTCCCCCAACCGTTGACAAATTACCGAGTTACGCTAATCTTTGATCAGTTGGGAGGAACTGGAAGAGAAACCCAGCCCCGGTCAGTGGGTCTACTTCGAGCGTAACACGCCTGGCTCCGCTTGAGATCTTGCCTTTCAGTGATTATTTACTACCTGCATTTATTAGCCGACGTGTGTCAAACTAAAGAAGACACTGTTTTGTGATATTTAGATCTGTTATGCCAAAATCTCTTTCTCCCTGATGATACAATACCTTATACTCCCTTGGTCTGCGTGAGAATTTAGGAGAGTGGTATAGATGATGCTTATATGTACAGTACATATGTGATCTGCTGTGCATTCGTAGATAGACTCTGGACAGCCTGCTACATGCGGGAGACAAATAAAAGCAAGAACAGGGCCATCTGATGAGCGATCTGTCGCATTGGCCTGTGTAAACCACTGTTCTGTACTCCATAGAGCACTGTTCTGTAGACCAGGCGCCCGGGGTATCCCAGAATCGCAGGCGGTGAAGTGGGGCGTCGCTAGCCAATTCGGGAGAGCTGGCGGAACTCCTTGTGGACACATCGCTGCCAGTCCCTGAGCATCGACACTGACCTTGCAGGCCATTCTGGTCGGGGACTTTCGCTTTTTTCCGCACTACCGATACAGAATTCCGAAGTCTTTCTCGCAACTTTGGGCGGGGTTGTCTGAACGGCTCGTGGCCTGGTTCCCCCCTCCTTCTCATAGGCCGTCTCCCGAAGCCGCACATCGTTGCTACTCTCCCAACATACCATGAAACTTGACATTAAGGTACGCGGGCCTGTCATGGAGAGGACAATCTCTCTTAGCAGGGCAATTTGCCCAGTTTGGATTTTAATCGTGTATTCGTGACATTGTTGCTGATACTGGGTGCAATCAAACAGAGACAACTCTTTGCCCGCTCCGAGCGGGTAAAGGGCATTGACTTCCATCCCACGGAGCCATGGGTGAGTAGTACCTCAGTCATTTCCCTCTCATCTGTTACTAACCGGAGATTAGATCCTGACAACTCTATATAGCGGTATGTAGAGTGATGAAAAGCGGACGGTTTGCCTATTGAATGCGCTAATCGGGATACACAGGTCACGTATACATCTGGTCTTACGAGTCTCAGGTGAGTCTGCTAAGCACATTGTCGAATTAGAATGCAGTGCTGACCAATTTTTGATAATAGTCTATTATCAAGACATTCGAACTCACTGATGTCCCGGTACGAGCTGGTCGCTTTATTGCCCGGAAAAACTGGATCGTCTGTGGTTCAGATGACTTCCAACTCCGTATCTACAACTACAACACCTCAGAGAAGATCGCTTCCTTCGAGGCGCATCCTGACTACATTCGTTCGATTGCCGTCCATCCCACCCAACCTTTCGTTCTGACGGCATCCGATGACATGACTATCAAGTTGTGGGACTGGGAGAAAAACTGGAAATGCGTTCAGGTGTACGAGGGTCACAACCATTATGTGATGGGACTGTCTATCAACCCCAAGGATACAAACACATTCGCATCTGCTTGTTTGGATCGCACCGTTAAGATCTGGAGCCTTGGCTCCCCGCATGCCAATTCGACTCTCGAAGCCCACGAGACCAAGGGTGTGAACCATGTCGACTACTACCCACAAGCTGACAAACCATATCTCCTCACGACTTCGGATGATCGCACTGTCAAGGTCTGGGACTATACGACTAAAGCGCTTATTGCGACCTTAGAAGGTCACACAAGTAACGTGTCTTTCGCTTGCTATCATCCGGAATTGCCCGTGATCATATCGGGATCCGAGGACGGAACCATCAAGATCTGGCACGCAAATACATACAGATTGGAACAGTCGCTAAGCTATGGCTTAGAGAGGGCCTGGTGTATTGCCTACCAGCGTGGCAGACAGGGCATTGCCATGGGTTTCGATGATGGCGCGGTGGTTGTGAAAATGGGTAGAGAAGAGCCTGCTGTATCTATGGATGGATCGGGAAAGATCATCTGGGCAAGACATAATGAGGTTGTCTCAACTGTTATCAAAGGCGGCGATGCTAGTATTAAGGATGGGGCACCACTTTCTCTCCCGACCAAGGAGCTGGGCTCGTGTGAGGTTTACCCACAAACCCTATCGCATTCCCCTAACGGCCGATTCGTGTCGGTTTGTGGTGACGGCGAATACATCATCTATACTGCTCTTGCCTGGCGAAACAAGGCTTTTGGACAAGCCCTTGATTTCGCATGGGGCTCAAAGGACAACAGCAACGACTATGCTATCCGCGAGTCACCAACAAGTGTCAAGATATTTAAGAATTTCAAAGAGATTAGCGGCGGCCTCGATGTAGGGTTCCAGGCCGAAGGTCTTACTGACGGTGTTCTTCTCGGTGTGAAGGGGCAAGGGGGTATCGGCATGTTCGACTGGGAGACTGGAAGCCTGGTCCGACGTATTGAAGTCGAGCCGAAAGCTGTATGTATTCCCTTCTTGTGGTTGCCATCGATATCGCCCGCTTATGCATTCTGCAGGTCTACTGGTCTGAATCCGGTGAACTGGTCACTCTCGCTTGCGAGGACTCTTTCTACGTTCTCCGGTTCTCAAGAGAGAATTACATCAATGGCCTAAATACGGGCGAAGCCGATGAAGACGGTGTCGAGTCGGCTTTTGAAGTCGTGACCGACGTCAACGAGACCGTCAGGACAGGCCAATGGGTCGGAGATTGCTTCATCTACACGAACTCCACAAACCGTTTGAATTATCTTGTTGGTGACCAGACCTACACAATCTCCCACTTTGACCAGGGGATGTATGTCCTCGGCTACTTGCCACGCGATGGTAGGGTGTATCTTGCCGACAAGGATGTTAACGTTGTGTCCTTTGGTCTCTCTCTCAGCATGGTTGAGTATCAGACCGTGGTGTTGCGTGGTGACATGGATTTGGCGGCTGAGCTGCTTCAGGATGTCCCTCAGGACCAAATGAACAAGGTGGCCCGCTTCCTAGAAGGCCAAGGGTACAAGGAAATGGCCCTCGAGGTTGCCACAGATCAAGAGCATCGCTTCGAGCTTGCTCTTTCTCTCAATAATCTCGACATTGCTCTTGAGATCGCCCGAGATGCCAACGTGGAGCACAAGTGGAAGATTGTTGGTGACACTGCTATGTCGGCATGGAATCTTGCCTTGGCTCAGGAATGCTTCACTAATGCTAAGGATTTCGGTTCTCTTCTCCTTTTGCACACTGCCAGCGGCAGCAAAGATGGCCTCCGTAAGCTGGCTGAGCAGGCCTCGGATGCTGGTTTGCACAATGTTGCTTTCTCCACTCTGTGGTCCCTCGGGGATATCGATGGATGCATCGAACTCCTTGTACAGACTAGCCGGATTGCAGAAGCTGTCCTCTTTTCCCAGACGTACAAGCCGTCGCGAGCACCGGAACTCGTCATGAAGTGGAAAGAGTCGCTTGAGCAGTCCGGAAAGACCAAGATCGCACGCCTTATCGGTGTTCCTCCTGGTGCCCCCGACGCCACCGCAGACGACGAGCTTTTCCCAGAATGGGACGAGTATATCCGTCTAGAGAAAGAGGGCATCGCTCCTCAGCCCCCTTCATCGGAATCCTTGATCGATGTTGACGAACACGAAGGTGAACGAGCTCAGACCGCCGCCAATGGGGCCCCGGAGGTGGCAGTCGCCGAGGTGGAAGCCGAAGCATAAGTGAGCCAAGTGTCGCCGTGTTGAGACAAATGTTTAAAGTATAGGCCAGGCCAAATTGAGATTGGAGATTTAGAGGGCGGAAGGAGAAGTGATGAATCAAAAAGAGAAAACGAATTATCAAAGAGTCCTGACAGACTGATATCTATGTTCCTGAGACGCAAGCGTTTAAATCAACAGCCTTGGGCAGAGATATCTTTTTTTATTAACATAACTTCTATTCTAGAATTGTTTATCTGCCATACTTGCTTCCCCCCCTTTTTTTAACTATTTATTCTATGCCTTGTCCGCAATGACTTCAGTGTTATGTTTGGTTTTGGATTTGTTTACCACCATGCTTCTTCTACTCGTCCGTTATTTCCTTTTGTTATCTTGTCTAGATTTTCCCGAGGTTTAGACAGATCCATTACGATGATAGCCGAATAAGAGTATATACATTTTCATCTATCCTACTTATTGCTGATGGTGCACTGTAGTCGCAGTGGCATGCGTCACCTATTTAAATGGATAATAGTCAGTGGGTCAAGCTTTCCCTAATGTCCCGGTAACGCTAGGTTTGTACACACACACACACACACACACACACACACACACAAAGAGTATAGATAATTCAACTGTTGTCTATGAGCCAGTCATGTCAATCAACATCCATGCCTTGAAAGAAAAAAATGATTGTTGGAACTGTCCCAATGAGAACCCCGCCCGGAAAAAGAGTCAAAGTGAGATGAAAGTGAAGACAATGAAGAAAGGTGAAAGGAAAGGGGGTTCTAAAACGAGTCCGCCGATGTATGGGGTAGCCTTGTTGAGAAATCAACCTAAATCAATGCTTCTCAGGCGAAGTCAATGCTCGCCTGAACAGGATAGGATCGGACCTGCAGATCAGATAGAACCAAAAAATGCAAACAGAGAAAGACAGACCCAGTTTCCAGGTATCGCAGATTTTAACATATTGAGGTGATAGAGCACATGAATCCACTGCCATGGGCGCCTTTCTTATTCGCCTCTGGAGAGTTGGACGAGACAGCCAGAAACAGGGAACGCAATGACTTGACTGTCAAAAATCACGTGGAAAAAATGGATGCAAACGGACTGATTTGGACCTGCCTTGATGATTGTACCTGAAATGCAGAAGACAAAAAGGTAAAAAGAAGACTTAAAGCGCTCAGTTGAGATCACTGCCACAAAGGATTCCAACACAGATACCGTATACTCCTTGTGCTAAGAAAGGAGAGAGAGGAAAAAAGACGAAAACAAAACTCGGGCTACGCAGCAGGCTATGCAAGAGCAAGTGCTAAACACGAAGAGAAATCGTTTCAAGCAATCTCTGTAATTTGAACCACCCGATCTTTGGTAAGGGAGGTTTTCAACTCGCTGCGGCAGGCTGTTTACTCGGGGATGCTCCCAAAAGACGGGTCCTTGACACTACCGCCGGCATCTCCAAGACCAGCAACTGGTCGGTTGTAAGACCAGCCTTCAAACTGTTGCTGCATCGTCTGGGACAAGACGGGCCCATCCACGTAAGAGTCTTGAGGGGCCTCCTGCGTAAATTCGCGGTCGAAGTTGCCCGTATCAAGAGCATCCAGCTACAAGGACAGCTAGTTAGGACCAAAGGGGCAGACGGAAGGGAGGGACATGATAACATACCACATTGGGTCGGAAGCTTGGCTCATACTTCCTCTGCAGCAGCTTGCGCCAATCAATGTTAGCAAAGAAGTGATGCGATTTGATCTCCGCAGCACCGTTGGCACCCAGTCGACGTTGCGGGTCTCGGTCGAGCAGTCTCGTCAGAAGATCCCGGGCGGCTGGGGGAACGACATCGCTACTGGGGAAAGTCAAGGGTTCCTGCAAAATCTTTCGGTACATGTCATTTGTGTTTTCGTCATAGAATGGCGGAAGACCCGTCAGCATCTCGTAGAGGAGGACACCAAGCGTCCACCAGTCAACGGTTTTCGTGTATCCATTGCCAAGTAGCAACTCAGGGGCAAGATACTCAGGAGTTCCACAGAAAGCTATTAGGCACGTTAGTAGGGGTAAAACGGGACCGATGGTCAGAGGCTGCCTTACTGTTCGTTCTGTCTTCGTCCTTCATATCCAACTTGCACAGGCCAAAGTCACAAAGAGCGATGTGTCCGGTGTAATCCAGAAGAATGTTTTCAGGTTTCAGATCACGGTAGATAACCTTGAAACCATGCAAACATTCGAGTGCACAAAGAAGTTCGGCGGTGTAGAAACGAGCTCGGTTGATATCGAAACGCTGCTCCCGCTGAAGGTGGTGGAACAACTCACCACCGTTCACAAAAGCGAGAACCAAGTACAGTTTCTCGGGGGACTGGAAGGAGAACTTCAAAGGGACGATGAAAGGGTTGTTGATCTGAGCAAGCACTGACCTCTCGGCAAGAGTGTGCGTGACTTCTGATCGTGAAATGATATGCGCCTTGCGGATTGTTTTGAGGGCGTAGATTCGACCCGTATCCATTTTCATGACCTGCATGACTTTGCCGAAGCTACCTTTGCCCACGACCTTCAGCAATTTGAAGTCTTCCAACTTCAGGCTGCGCTGCTTGTTTTCGACAAATGAAACGCCAATCTTGATGGAGCCGGTCCCAAACTGAAGGTCTAGCCATTCAGCACCAAGCTGGCCCAAGTGACGCCCATGCTCCGCGTGAGCCGCGGCCGCTTTTTGATTGTCCTTCTTGCTGAGTTTGGGGTCCTCCACGTAAGGCTGGGCTTCCTCGAAGCGAGGATGAACCTTTACTGCACCGAGGAAGATATCCTCGCTTCGACCGGCACCAGGCCGAGCTGCGGGGTTTCGAAGATACAATTGTACATTCAATTCTGTCTTCCGTGACACGTCGAACTTGAATGCCGTGTTGTCTCCTGCCCATAGGGGGTTCTCCGGCGATCCTGAAACCGCGTCGACAAAAACCTGGTTCTTCTCGAAGTCCAGCAAGGCGTATGGAAGATATTTGGTCGAATACCGGCCGTGGATCGTGGGGGCAGCATTGATGCCTCCACTGGTCGACTGAGGGCGACCACTATGTACAAATGAAGCCCCCTGCGAATGGGTGGAGTGGGAGGAAGAGGAACTGGGGCGTACAGCGTAGGCATTGTTATTTTGGAAGTGGGAGTTGAAAATCTGCTGGTAGTGTGGTGATAGAGCGAAGCCTTGACCTTCATGCAAGGTGACTATCAAGATACCGGGCTTCACAGGGGCCACCGGGGGAGAAACGAGCGATTCCGAAGCACCTGGCGTCACACGTTAGAGGGGCCGGTCTCGTAATATTTGGGACTCAAAAAGAGCCATCTGCGGGAGCGAAGTAACGCACTGATTCCATTGGAGCTTGTCGTCGACACACTCGGAGTTTGGGATGTCACTGGGGTCTCCTCGCCCGAGTCACCCTTGATGGTGGACGTAGAGGACGATCGCGCGAAGGTTTGCGTTAAAGGAGCAAGGTGAGTTTCCTTCAATTCTACAGGATAAGAGGAGACATGTCAATAGTCGACATGACGAATGGACTCAAGCCCAGGCTATTATATATAGTAAAGGGAGGGAAGACCAACTGAACATACTTTTGGTGAGTTTCCACGACATGATGGCGGCGGATTTGGGGTCGCTAGGGGGGAGAAAAGGAAATGGATGAAGTATCAATGTGCTAAACCGAACAGGCTAATAAAAAAGCAGGAAATAGAAAGAAAAGAAGAGAGGGAATATAGCCAGAGTAACAAGGATTTTCTTTAAACCGCAGAGGGCTTGATAGGAGTAACCGGTGCCGGACAGAGATGCAGGACCGTCACAGCCACAGCGGTCTACAACCCACAGTGAAGGGAAATCCGAGGGAGAACTGAGAATAGATCGCTGAAGACACGACAGACAGACAGACAAACAGAGAACTGGAAGCAACCAGGGTCGGTACAAAATCCAACCAACGACCCGGGTTGTTTGGACAAAGAGAAAGAGAGAGAGAGAGAGAGACCGAAAGATAAGCTGATGGAAGAACGAAAGGAAAGGCGAACAAACAGAGGCTGAAGAGGGGAAAAGAAGGCGGCCAGAGAGGGGCGTTTCTGCCGCGCTGATTGGGTCAGGAACATTGCTGCCTGGGTGCCTCAGCGTTGCGGCAGTACATTCAGACCTGAGGCATATTCCCCTGGTGGCGGTGCATAGTTTGATTACATAATATGAGCTAAAATAGGAATCCACCAGCCTCAAAATGGCTGAGCCACCGCCCGCTCCCCGGCCATCCACGGTCGGGATTTGGCGATTACGCGACCGACCGAAGTTGAGTGACCTGCGACTGGACTTCACGGAAAACAATCCCAGCATATTATCGCTAACCTTCCCGACGCTTAGACGCGTTCTCTTCGATCTGTGGTGGAGTAATTGATCAGTCACTCTATTGGCGTACCTGCTGCGGAGACATCCCTGCGCCTTCTCAACCTCCTCTCCTCAACTTACCTCGTCCTTTGTCCTCGTGCTTCTCGTCAGATCAGTGCCAAGAGCTCTCTGTATTTCCTGGAGGGCTTGTGTGTGGTGGAGACGGATCCGGCTATTCTGGAGGATGAGAGCGCTCCGCGATCGATGGGTGTAATTCGAAAGAAGACCGCCTCGCGCGGTACGGAGGCTGGGACGAAATACCACTGTGATATTTGCTCTGTGGATGTAACCTCAACGGTAAGCGTCTGACAATGGATGAGTGGATCATCCGGCGATGGCGCATCTACTTCTTCTCCGTCTTGAACAGGTCTGACTGTAGCCCCCATCAGGTCCGCGTTTCCTGCGCCCATCCCGCTTGTCATGAATACGACCTCTGCGTTCCCTGTTTTGCTGCTGGAGAGAAATCCAAGAACCACGACCCGACTACGCATCCATACCAAGTGATTGAGCAGAATTCGGTTCCCATTTTCCAGGGGGACTGGGGGGCGGATGAGGAGCTTTTGCTACTGGAGGGAGCCGATATCTACGGCTTAGGATCGTGGGCTGATATCGCGGACCACATTGGTGGCTATCGGACGAAGGAGGAAGTCCGGGATCATTACATTAGCACCTATGTGGACAGTCCGAATTTCCCGCTACCAGAGCGCGCTGATCCCGATGATACACGACTTTCCGACTCGGTCTCCAAGGAAGAATTCCAATCACGAAAGAAGCGACGCATCGAGGAGCGCAAGGAAGCGGCCAAGGTGGCTCCCCCGACCACGCCGAAGCAGAAACCAACTGCCAGTGTACCTGCATGCCATGAGGTACAGGGTTACATGCCTGGGCGGTTGGAATTCGAGACGGAGTTCATGAATGATGCTGAAGAGGCGGTGCAACACATGGCATTTGAGCCAGGCGCTGGGGGGACTACGAACGGCGAAACGGATGCCGAGATGGAACTGAAGATGACGGTGGTCGACATTTACAATTCCCGACTTACGGCTCGGACGGAACGGAAGAAGGTCCTGTTCGAGCACGCTCTCCTCGAGTACCGGAAGAACACGGCGTTGGAGAAGAAGCGCACCAAAGAAGAGAGAGATCTTATAAACAAGGGCAAACCGTTTGCTCGGATGATGAACCATGATGACTTTGAGGAGTTCAATAAAGGCCTAGAATATGAGCACAACCTACGGCTAGCGATTTCACAGCTGCAGGAATGGCGACAGATGGGAATCGGAGACCTCAAGGGCGGAGAAAAATACGAGCAAGAGAAGCAGCAACGTGCGCAGAAACTCGTGCCACAAGGATCTTTCGATCGGTTCGCCAGCACACGCCCGAAGCAGTCGCAACTTCCGGAGCAGCCATCTGCCGCCAATCAATTGACAACACCGGAACTCCCGCTGCGGTTACAGAAGGCATCTGGCACTCCGAAGCCCCCGGAGCCCGTCAATCCGCCGCTGAACGATTTTGATCGGGCATTCGCCAGCAATGGGGACGGGCTCAGCACTCCTCAGTCGACCAAGACCAAGTTCGTGGTACAGCCGCTGAACGGGGTGATACCGTGGAAGTTGGAGAACGATGGCGCGGCAGACCTGCACTTGTTGACCAAGGAGGAGATTGAAGTGTGCAACGTGCTTCATATCCAGCCGAAACCGTATCTCGTGATCAAGGAGACACTGTTGAAAGAAGCAATGAAGCAGGGGGGGAGCTTGAAGAAGAAAGACGCACGAACCATCTGCAAAGTAGGTGTCACGGAGGATTTCGGTCTCACAATCTAGCTAACAGATGGTGCAGATCGACAGTAACAAAACCAGCCGGATCTACGACTTTATGGTGCACAGTGGCTGGATCAACAAGGCGTAGTTAGCCCTCACTGGAGGGTCTCTTATATTCATGTATGAGCATTATTGATTGACGGAAGGAGTTGTAGGCGTTGCGAGAGACCTGGGAGGCTATGTAGTTAGAGCATAGGCTAGCTGTATCAAGCGCGATTGATTGAATACTGTTTTTGCACCTGTCTGTATCCGTATATTCAAGTTTTATGCTTTGTAGGTATGTACAGTTCATCTGCTCCGAGTACTCCATACTTGATACCCCCACATAATCAATATTCTCCACATTCGGCCCTCGGCTCAACCCCGACCTACATTTACTTTATCAACACTGCCAATTCATCAACATACAGCCGCCAGCATATCCAACCAACCTGTACATAACGAGACAAAAGGACAAGTCGAGCAAAGAATGAAAATGCCATTTCAAACCCCACCCCCAACGCCTCAATACTGTCGTCTTAGCTTCCCCACACCTCACGTCCTCCTCGTTATGCTGACCAGACCGCGCGATCTCAACTGCATCAATTCCACCGGCCATGAAGAGCTGCACTCGATCTGGGGATGGATGGATGATGAACCCGGTATTCGTGTGGGTGTATTAACCGGGGAAGGTCGGGCATTTTGCGCAGGGGCTGATTTGAAAGGTTCTCTTTCTCTCTCTATCCCTCTATTATATATTCTATCAATCCATCTACCACCTTTCAATTCACAACACATCCAGATAAAACTAACCATCCTAGAATGGAACACCCAAACCCAATCCACCACCCCATCCAAACGACCCATTCTGCCCCCCAGTGGATTCGGCGGCTTATCACGCCGTGGGGGCAAAAAGCCGATTATCTGCGCCGTGAACGGGCTCTGTCTCGGGGGTGGATGCGAGATGGCAGTGAACGCCGACATGGTGATAGCGAGCCGGAAGGCGTTTTTTGGATTCCCCGAGGTGCAGCGTGGGGTTGTTGCGATCGCGGGGGCGTTACCACGGGTGGTGCGTACCGTGGGACGACAGCGAGCGATGGAGATGGTGTTGACGGGACGGCGGGTGTCGGTGGAGGAGGCAGAGAAATGGGGGTTAGTGAATGAAGTGGTCGAGAAGGAGGAGCAGCTGCTGGCGAGGGCTATTGAGGTCGCGGGATTAATTGCGGCGAATAGTCCGGATGCGGTGATTGTGAGTCGTGAAGGGGTGAAGTTGGGATGGGAGGGAGTGGGTGCCGAGGAAGGAAGTCGGTTACTGGTCGAGGGCTGGTCGAAGAGGCTGAATGAGGGCGTGAATATCAAGGAGGGATTGCTCGCTTTCGTCGAGAAGAGAAACCCCGCATGGGTGGATAGTAAGTTGTGAGAAAGGGAGGTATACAGATGGGTCTACGAAAGAATACCACTACGCTGGACGTATCAGATGCCATAATCATTAATTCATTAGACTCGGCTGCCCTGCATCCAAGTCGACATTTTAAGGTACACGCTGTTCCGAGATCCCAATGCTCCGTCCGCGCCATACGTTCACCGTTTCCCATGCGGTTTACACGCCGTCCTGCGACTAACGCTGTTCAACGTCGTTTTATAAACGTCTCGTGGACATTTCGCATCCGTGATCACCTCGGACCCCTCACCGTAGACTGGCGAATGTCCCTTGCTAAGATTAGATAGAAATGAAAAGAAAAAGTGACGACGTGCTGCGAATGCTCGACTATTTGCTTCCTTGTTGAACGGTTCTCACTCGCTCCAGCACAGATGCATACAAGGGGTGATCCTTTTCCAGCCCGGTCAGCTGAGTGGTGGCTTCTTCGGCCGAGCTGTCCTTGAGCACATGAGCAAGTTCAACACTCTCCTCGTCACCGGAGACATTCTGGAATCGGAGGGCCATCTCAGCAGCACCAATCAAATGATCAAACTTCATACCGCGTTCTGCGAGCTGCGATGCAGGGCCAATGAACCGTTCCTTGCGAGACAGCTTGCGCACTGGGGCACGACCCACTCGCTCCACCTGGTCCTCAAGGTAGTGGTTGGAAAATCGATTGATGATGGTGTTCACGTATTCCTTCTGCTCCTGCTCCGATATGGGATGCTTGGCGACGATGAGCGATGCGGTCTCGTCGAGGACTTTGTGAACGATATCCCGGATTTCCGGATCCCGAAGGGCCTCAGCGATGGTCTTCTTCCCACGTTTATAGCCATAGTAGGCGGTCGTGGCATGGCCGGTGTTCACAGTGAAAAGCTTCCGCTCAATGTAAGGCTCCAGGTGATCCACCCAGTGGATGGCCGGAATGTCTGGGTGACCAACGTCCTTGAAGGGAGTCTGGTCGACGGCCCATTCGTAGAACTTCTCGATGCGGACGTTCAGGCCGTGGTTGGGGGGCTGGTTGGGAACAATACGGTCAATGGCGGAGTTGGCAAACAGGGCCCGTGAGGAGAGGGTGCTAAGACGGTCAGGGTTGGTGTTTTGCTTAATGAACCCGTGCAGTGTATCTGTCGCGCCGATGGCATTCTCACAGGCGATGACGGCCAGAGGTTTCGATTCGGTGCGAGCATCAATGCCCTTGGCAATGACAGGAGCGATGAACTTGAGGATGTTAGGGCCGACAGCGCACGTCACCACGTCCGCCGAGGCAATCTCGCGCACAACGTCGCCCTCATGGGTCTTGGAGTTGATGGCACGATAGTTGGTGATAGTCTTGGTGTTTTCTCCTTCCTCACTGATCTCGGTCACAGTGTAGGACGGAGCATCATTCAGAGCAGAGATAACACTGTCGACAACATCAACAAAGACAACTTCGTAGCCAGCCGCATGGAGAAACTCAGCGACGAAGCCACGGCCGATGTTACCACCGCCGAACTGGACTGCTTTCTTTCCCATGGCGGTTAACCCCATGAACACAAATGGAAGATGCAGAGGAGATTCAGGACAATAGAGGATGTTTGGATATTGTATGATCGAAGATGAAGACAGTTGGAAGCACAAGGGGTATCCTTGGGAAGGATCAAAAAAGATGTGGAAGTGGATGGTGAAAGAGAAGGAACAAGAATGAAGAAGGTGTGGGGGAAAGAGGGGGGTTTATATGAAGCCCAAGACAGGGGGGAAAGGGAAGGCACCGACAGTGGATGGAAAGACGCAGAAACGATGATGAAGAGGAAGTGGGGGAGGGGTTTCAGGGCCAGACTGGACTGGATAGGATAGATGGATGGAATGGGATAGACAGTACCAGTTAGGCTACAGGTGGACAGTGACCACAGATATCGTGGGAATGGCACGATGCGATTGGGCATGAACGGTCAGTGAATGCGGCGGCCAAGGCAAAAAGCGGGCATCTGTCGTCCGGACGAGATGAATGAAATCACCAGATTGACATCGTCCATTCAATTCAGCCACCATGCAATCCGGGTAATTCCGCGCCTCAAGGGGCCGATGCCCTTGACAATTCTGTCCTACTGACTCTGACAAGAAATGCGTCGGATCCCGCGTAAGATCCTACAAGACAATGCATCTATTGTGTCCATAGACTAACAAAGCTCTTCCAACTACGAGATATTGTATGGCCCGATTCAATTCTCAAGGACTGTCATTATGATAACATGTTCGTCTCCACCAGGTAGATCAACTACTGAGTACTGACCCACCCTCGAATCCGTCGTAGTCACGATCTTTGTTTGCGACCGTGAGCAATGCAGTCTCATTATTTGATGAGCAATGCCCATCGACTCCACCCGTGACGTCGCCGACCGACGGATGACCCAATTTTTTTTCTGCGCCATGTCTTTGCCCACGAGCGCTGCCAGGGTCTCGACTACGGAGTCAGAAGAACGAAGCCCGTTGGAAGTGGTAGGTACTGGCTAGAAATCGATCGAATAAACGCCCTCGACAATGAATGGTCGTAGAATTGCACGTCGGTGGGTCAATGATTGTGGTTTTTTTCTATACTTTTACCCCCTGATGCCCTTCCCGTCCTTCTGTGTCTTTCTATCCTTTTCTCTTCCTTTCCATTCGGGCCCCCTTGGTTTCATCCCGAGTTATCATTCCCTTGACCTCACCGAACGGTCATCCCCGATTACAAGCTCTGATTTAAGGAATCCCCGTCCTGTTTCGACTCGGCTTCGACACAGCAACACATCGGCCAAACTCGTCACACTGCCCACCATCAACAGCCCGGCGGCAGCCCACGTCATGGCCAAAAATTGGCTTCCATACTTGGCCGTTACACCTGCTTCTTCCCCATGGTAATTGATCAAGTTCACAAACTGGAATGCGATGACCGTCGTGATAATGGATGCAATGCTGATCATGACGAAGCTGAGCTGTGTAGGACGGGAGTTGCATGTCAGTATCCGGGTTCCGTCACAGTGTTCCTGGGGTGTAAAGAATGGTAGTTCAACCACTTACCAACAACAAAACAAGCTCTATTACCGACAGCTGCCTCCCTCTCCCCCGAAGGATAACTGACCACAGCCTCTCCAGGATCACTAACCCCGCGAATCCCAGTCCTATGCAGTAAAACACTCCCAAACTTTGGCTGGTGACGCTGAAGGCATGAAAGTCCTCAGTGATGGCACGGGGCCATCCCAAGTCAGATGGCGAAGTGTTCCCCGTCTCCTCCGACAGTACTTTTGATGGATTAAACGAGAAGAGCATGGAGCGTTTGGAGCAGTTCTTAACATGGTTCTTCTCCTCTTCCCTGACCCCCTCACAGTGGGACATCACATGCATGGAGTAAAAGTCATTCGCACCCTTGTGCTTTCCGACTGTTGGTGTATACAGCTAGCACCCGCATTAGCATTACAATAGATCTGTTCACAGGGTTGACTAACTGTAAAGATATCCACTGCGCCAAGCAGATTTGTCTGGGTCCCAGCGAAGAGACATAATATGCTTAGGATAAAGGCCACAAACGCAGTAACCATGGGGAGCAAGTTGACCCAACTCATCTTGCAGCTGTTGCGAGGGTCCTCACTCCAAACACAACATCGGTCGTAAGTTTGACAAGCATGATAGCCTGAAGAAACGTGCCTATACATAAATCTCTTCTCTGCGTCCGTGCCATTCCTTCGGATGGCCGGAATCAATATTCAAGTGGCAGAAATTGTAAAAATACCACGCACTCCTAGGAGCACGTGGGCCACTTTAAGTGCAATGCTTGTTGCAGTTAACGAAACATGCAATTGGTTAATAAACCATGGGATACAATGGTAGGAATGCTTGTATCTTTGATTTCTTGGAAAGAATGCTGTTTCTTGCCCCACTGGTTTGAGGAATGTTCATCCCAGCCTTGACCTAGCATGCTTGCTTGTATTTCCGGCTTAGGAATGGGAGGCTGATGGTCTCGCATAATAGACGATATGCACTTTATAATGTGCTATATAGAATCAAATTCTCTGTGCAATCGTGCTTTATAAATAGCTCAAAGTTTGGATGATTGAGTTTAAGAAGCTGTGATTAACAGTAGCTTGTAGAGTTAAATATTAACTCCCCTCGGTTCACTAAACTGTAAAAATGTACATTCAGTTTTACTTCGACTCTTGACTGTGCATTGATATTAATCTGTTAAAGCCTAGTACTAGTATGAGTGTTATATATTATCAGTTAGCATTAATTATCTGTTTGTATAGATAAGCTTCATATCTAATTAGACAGTTGGGAGGATCGAAGCGGCGTGTCGCTATTTCGCTTTCCTATATATCGATAAATTTATTGATGAATCGTAATATCTGGCTGGACATATTCTGACATATTTCATTATGAGCATAGTTTTGACAATGTCCTATCACCAGAAAGATACTCACCTGTATCTACAGAGGTGAAATTTGCCATGTACTACCTCGTTCTCTTGGACTTCGCTATTTTTACACATGCTCTACATTGTTAAACCTGAGAGAAATATGGCAGATACCAGTATTCAGTCGATCTTATATGACATTTGGAGCTTTTCATACCACTTGCAACTAGGATAGTATGGGTATATGTTGATCAGGACATGACTATGTTATTTTCAGATAACTGTCGACGAAGCCAATGTCCCAATATACAATAGATAGTAAAGTAATATCTATTATTTCTAAAGTAGCACAGCCTTCAGCTTACCCAAATCGTGCTGCGCTACATTAAATTTTCCCATGAATTATTTAAGTGGCCATCTGCGAAGACCTATTTCTGATCAAGCCTGTTAATTGATAGTTATCGTAGTGAAGTAATGGACTAGGATGCCTGCGCTGGAATCAGGCAACCTCGCTATCTCTTTTTATTAAAGGCAACCGAATTTCATCCAGAAAAACTACTTGGATTAAGTTACTACTATATTTAGCTTAGTGTAATATGCATAGCCTAAACACAACAACTCTATTGTGGTCACATTTAGGTACCCAGCAGTACACATCACCTACCGTCAAAGGCAGCCAGATTCTGCTTCATGTTGCATTTTCTCGTCTAATCGAACACTTCTGCCTTTGGTGTGCTTTTCAGATGATTTTCATTAGCTTGGCTGACACAAACTTCTGCTGAAAGCATAATATATTCTGAAAAATATGGTAACAGTGGGCACTGAAAATAAAAAAGAGATGGAATTAGAACAGTCTTCGCCAATCTCACCTAATCATCAGGACTTGAAAAGTACTTACAAAGGCCTTAGACAAGCAAAAGCTTCAGAAGGCAATAGCAGACATTCCTTTATATTTTAATAACCCAGAGCAACTTGAAAAGAAAATACTGGAAGTCGAACTCACTTATTGTATGTGTTAAACTCTCTAACACCTGGCTGTATACAGACCAATCCGCTCGACATAGCTCATCGGGTATTGGTTGATCTGATGGTGAGAGGGTTGCTCAGTAGGAGTCTGAATGGTTAGTGTCTGCAAGCTCTTCGTATAGTTTTTGGGAAAGATGAACAAACAGTTACTGGAAGTGGTCTCAGCTGGAGGGACATAAAGCGGGGGTGCCAGTTCATGCACAGGAGACAGCTGACAAGGTTACACAGAACACCATCATACTCCAGTATGCCAGGCAACTTTATTATTGAGTTTGCCCATCTCTTCTTGAGAGACAACAAATCCAAGAGTCCTCGTAGAGAAGTAAGGGGGGCCTTGGATGTGTCGGCAGTAACTTCTCCATTTCTTGTTGAAGGCAAACACATTTCATCTAAAAATAAAAATACAAAGTAATTAATTATCAACCGCATCGGCCACAGGTGGTGACTGTCATGCGGCCAACAAAATCTCCAGTTCGTCCCATGCAGGGAACATGCATGTTCGTCTCACCAATCCGGTAATTGGGATCTCCTATAGACTGCTCGAGTTGACTCGGTAAACACATTAGGAGTTAACCGAGTTGTGAGCCACGGCCTGTAATTAATAACTCTCCAGTCAAACTGACCAATGCCTGGCGCCTGCTGAATCGTCCGCTTGTGTTGTCCTCTGCCTTTGGTTTTCACACCCCGGCTAGTAAATGGGTCCAGCCACAAGCAATATCAAGCCTCGCTAAGCAATATCCAAGAAAGTAAGGGTGTTGAGGAGTTAAAGTTAGTTTAGATAAGAACCAGGGTTTTGGGCTTCGAGACTGTACTTACGATCAGTTGATCTACCCGAGTAAGAACTACGGAGTTAATATGATACCCAATGCGCTTGCCCGGTGAAACCATGCCATAAATCGAGCATACTGGGGAAATGGCAGCTCAGACGATGGTATTGAAATCGGTCGGGTTGAGAATATAATTAAGCCGTTCGACTAATTGGAACATACGTATTTCATTCGGACTACCTAGAAGGGGCCATCACTCCGGGCTCTGCACTCAAGGCTCTATATCGTTTGACACCAGGTTTGACTTGCAGCACTGAATGCGTGGGATAAGAATTAGGACGTTGTCTACTTCATTTTAATATATCAATATGATGATTGGATGGCGCTGACTACATACACCCCCCTTGCCTTAGACGGAGTACTCTGGAGTCCATGTGGCAGCCAAGTGGGTACACTATGAAGTATGGTGAACTTGGAACACCAACAAACAGGAACTTCATTATTAACCTAAGTATAGAGTAGAGCCAATCCTAATCTAAATATACTTTGCTCTTGATAGGTAAACTAACTATCGCTAGGACGTAGTAGTAATGTAGTTGGGAATACCTGGCGGGCAATATCCGATCCTCCACGCTTACGATTATAGGAAATCCCCGGCATCACCCCGACAAACGTGACGCCAGAACATAAATTAACTGGTTGCTGCTTGATCCCCACACTGAACTGCCATATCACCGGCCGCATTCCAGCCTTCCAGTGTTAAACAAGTAGGTTTTGAACCACAAGTTTCGGCCCGTCAGCGATGTTAATTGTTCTAGTATGACTGGCAGTCGTGGAAAGGTGAGCCCTTGTGCTGGATGTCGTACCAGGTTGCACGACAATGAGACTACCGCGTAGGTACTCTGTAGTCGAGGCCTACTATATCCAGGATGGGCAAGACTGTATGCGCCAAAGTTATTGGTAGTATGTACGTGCGTCCAACCATGGGAAAGACCGGACTTGATACTACCTTACAACATACCGCTACTAGTAGCCCAGACGTTTGGCCGGGCCGGTCACCGTGGATTGTCATCTCACACGACAGTATTTTTCGGAGATCCATAAATATCCCCGGAGAAAATAGATAAGCTGTTGTACAGCATGTATGCCCGAGGATGAATTGGTGAACACAACAGACTTTCTCGACGCACACTCGTTTCTCCTAGGCTGAGCGGGTGAGCTCGTGCAGCAAAGGTGACGTTGATTGGCTACTGGATCAGCGGCGGTCTAGATCAAGAAGGCGGTGCTGGCCATCGTGCTGTGATTCTGCCGCCACGTGTGTCAATCATTGGCCGGCAGCGGAAGTTTGCCCCCCCGCCTGGCTGAGACTCGCTCTTTCCACTGTCCCGCTTTCCGCACTTGTAATGACCGGTTCCGCCGCCTGCACTAGGAAAACAGTGGGGGATGGCAAAAAAAGGACAAAAAGGATAAAAGAAAAAAAAAAAAAAAAAGGCAAAAAAAGAAAAAAAATTGACAATTCCGGTATGAACCACCCTTCTCCATCCAGATGGAACCCACGACTGGCAAATGAGAGTCGCCATTATGCCATCACTAACACAGTCCGGTCATTGTGGCTCCTGCTACCTGGCTGGGCAATGGAGTTACTCGTCCGCCAACTACCACTGACAGATTCCTCTGGTCGTGGAACCCGGCTCTCCGCTCGATCTAACCACACCTGCCTCGACTTATCAAAAGACAGAATTTCGCCATGTGCCTGGGCCGGGCAGACCTGCTGGCTCAACTTCTTTCTCTGCCCAGAGATTTTCTCCGACCTTGCTCATCTTTCATATAAGTTGACACCCAACCTTGTCCGACTTGGCTGACATCGTGTGTGACGCCCTCGCAATCAATCCTCGACTACGGTCATCCTGAGGGATACCAAGAGCGTACCAGCCGCCTCTAAACCTTTCAACACGGAAGCCAAGATCAGCCATCTGATTATCGGCTGTCCAGAGTTTCTGCGGTTGACCACAAGATGACCGACTTTGGCCCTCGTGCTCCTCATGGGCCAGATATGTCAGGGACCCATGATCCTCTCGAGATCATGGATATGGATGTTCATGAGAAGGGGGCTTTCGACGCTCTCATTCGTCCGGATGACAGTTACACCCCGGACGGAACCTACTGGGCGGACCTGTCTATCATCAAGCGGATCAAGTTCGTTGGCTCTTACGATGCTGGCGAAGCCAAGCGTGAGCTGCGCTCGATCTGGGAGATGACCAAGCAGGATCCCCTGTCCCCCATTTCACACTATTTTCGGAACATGGTGCTTCCTGGTGCAGGCCTGGGTCTGGAAGGGTAGGTGGTCAAGTGTCCTAGACCCCATTTTGGAGAACCGGAGAAGCTAATGAATCATGTTCGCCCAGTTACGTTCTCTTTTCTATCGGAAATCTGAAGCCCCTTTTCCAAGCTGCCTTCAAGTCGTGTTGGCACGATAAGGAGATATGCAATCCCCGTTGGCTGGATGCCATCGAGTATCTCGAGATCGTCGGTATTATAGTGGGACAAATCTTGGTCGGAATTCTGGGTGATTGGTACTATACCCCTCAAGCTGGCCGAGAGGCTTGGCCCTCCCCACTGAATATTGTTGTCTAATGCGGCAATTAGGATTGGCCGACGATGGGGTCTTATTCAAGATGCTACTATCATGTTCATCGGTTTGCTGATGCTCACTGCGGCTTGGGGCGTTACCCAGAATGGCTGGGTGATTTGCTACGCTTGGTCATTGTTCTTCTACGGCATTGGTGTTGGTAAGTGGCACCCAATGTGTGGGCAGGATTGTGTGCTTTATGAATTATATCTAACAGCGCCTTTTCAGGAGGAGAATATCCCATGACCGCCACTAGTGGCATGGAAAATGCCGTTGGTTCCGGAAAAGTGTCGACTAAAGAAGATCGTCTACACCGTGGCAGAAAAGTCACTAGCGCCTTCCTAATGCAGGGCTGGGGCCAGTTCTTCAACCAGGTCCTGCTCATTATTTTACTGTTGTGCTTCCATCATGGCAGTGGCAACCCTCCATACTCGACCGTATCCGCACAATGGACATACCGTGTCTCATTCGCCGTCCCCGCTGTTGGCACGTTGTGGCTGGTCTACTACCGTGCCTACCACATGAAGGCTGCCAGCAAGCAGTTGGCAGCCGCTAAGAAGAAGGCCTCTGTTACTGGTTACGACATGGATTCCCTTCGGTTGACATTTAAGCATTTTGGCTTCCGTATCTTGGCCACTGCTGGTGGCTGGTTTGCCAATGATGTCTTCTTCTATGGCAACAAGCTTTTCCAGTCCGAGTTTATCAAGGTCATCAGCCCAGCTTCCAACTCCATTATGCCAACCTGGCTTTGGAATCTGGTCAACGTTGGCGTGTCGCTTGTTGGCTACTACCTTGCTTCGTTCCTAATTGACAACAAGCTCTACGGCCGCAAGTGGATGCAAATAATTGGATTCCTTATGGACTTCATCCTTTTCATCGTCCCTGCTTTTAACTTCGAGTACTACAAGGCGCCGGAGCACATCCATGCCTTCCAGGCCATGTACTTCCTGAGCTCCTTTTTCAACCAGTTTGGTCCTAACTCGGTGACCTTCTTGGTTGCCGCCGAGGTCTTCCCGACTCCTATTCGTGCCACCGCTCACGGTCTTTCCGCGGCCGCGGGTAAATTGGGCGCACTTCTGGCATCTGTTCTCTACAATTACATCGATACCCAAACCAAGTTCTACGTTGTACCCTGGTTCGGCCTTGCTGGTGTGATCCTGACCTTCGTCTTCCTCCCCGACACTACTGGGCTGGATTTGAAGGAACAAGAACGACGCTGGGCGTACATTCGCGAGGGCCGTGAGCACGAATATCATGGCCCTGCTGTCCACCCCAAACACCTTTCTCTCTGGGAACGGATTACCGGCAAGGGCAAGTTCTACAACGCTGAGCTGGATTATAGGCGAAAAGTTGAGGAGTACCGTGCCGAGTGGGAAGCTGCGATGTCGCGCAAGATTGCCGAGAAGGATAATGGCGAGGAACTTGAGTTGGACACTGACGAAGATCTTTTGGAAGGCCATGTCCACTCCTACTTCCATCGCACTAGCCCGATGTTCCGCCCGATGGAGCAGAACGCTAAGTCGGATAATTTCGCCCTTCCTCCCGCAGCGCAGGATGGGGATTCGTCCGAGTCTTTCAACGAGAAGTCAGAAAAATAAGTCTGACAATTTTGATACCCTTTTCCACTAAATAGTTTTCCGTCTTTCTATTTCTGTGGGACGCTTTTGGATGTTGTCTTGCGCCCCTCTTTCATGTGCATTTTTATCTCAGTCTTCTTCTTGAGGAATGTCTTGTATACAGGATGTGAATACCCAACGCCGTGCATATAGAATAAGATTAATGTTGCATTACACCAGATTGACTACATTCGATCGTCCCCGGTAGCAGTAGAACATGATGACGTCATGAACAGATATGGTAGACCGCTTTCCATCAAAACACCGGCCGATCATGATCATACACAGTAGGCGGTGACACAATAGGCGGTCAGTGCGAGCGTTAATGTAGACTACAAGTATTCCAACAATCGAAGAGCAATACAGGACAGTGGCTAGATTGATAACCAATATAGAATGCCACTGCTTGCATTCGGCTCAAACGGATCCGGCCAATTAGGCATTGGGCACATTGAAGATGTCTCTGTCCCAACAAGATGTTTGTTTGACGAGCAAGAACAGAAATCTTCATCTTTAGGTGATGGCGATAAATCACCAAATGATGTTCTACGTATTACCGCAGGAGGGAACCACACACTTATATTGTTCGCTGATAGAACCGTGTACGCCACAGGGTGTAACGAGGATGGGAGATGCGGCCAAAACACGTCCCACAGATCACTGCTCAGATTTCGGCGGGTGATTATCGATGACACCTCGACTGGGCATTCGTATGATACTTTCAAGGACGTCTCAGCAACGTGGGAGGGCACGTTTCTAGTCCCATTCCGCGGTGCAGATGAAGCCGACGCTGTGTTTGTGCTTGGATCAGGAGCGAAGGGGGAACTGGGACTCGGTCCGGGATGCGTACAGACCACTGTGCCGAAGAGGATTCCGGATTTCCCCCCACCAGGGGCGAAGATTGTGTCGATTTCGAGCGGCATGGGACATACCATTGCTGTTCTCTCAAGTGGGGAGGTGTATGGGTGGGGTGGGGCAAGGAAAGGTCAACTTGGAGACTCTGCCGCGGAACATAAAATTGTATGGACGCCGTTGAAGATAAACAATGTGCCTTTCTACGCAACGGGGGCTACTTGTGGTCGTGAATTTACGGTTGTGACTGGAAATCAAGCCATAGGAGAAATTGCTGTTCTTGGGGCATTTGGGGACAGGTGGAATATTCTGTCTGGTATTCCTCCTGCAGGAGATTTCTTGATGGGGTATCGTGGTGTATTTGCTAGTTGGCATGGCATCTATGTACATCAGAGAGATTCTTCTGTTGTCTCTTGGGGTCGAAATGATCGCGGTCAGCTTCCCCCTGCCGATCTACCGAAATCTAGGAGAATCGCTGTTGGAAGTGAACACGCGCTTGCTCTTCTGGGCGATCGGAGTGTTGTGGCTTTTGGCTGGGGAGAACATGGCAATTGCGGTCCTAGTACCGACACACAAGGAAATGTTAAAGGGGAATACAGACAGATCCCATTGCCAGGTGAAGGGGATGCCGCAGTAGTTGAGATCGGCGCAGGTTGTGCGACCAGTTGGATCATTACCAGCAGGTGATGTACATCAATTAAGGGGTATAAGTCATACCATCAGATGCTTTGCCCAGTGCCAATGGCCTTTTCAGCGGCGACAGTTTTCTACAGGGTAGCCTGTGGTTAGAGTGTGGAACTGTCTAGCTCAGTCAAAAAGACCAAGACCGTGAAGCTATGGAACGTCAGCTTGCCCATCAAAACAGATGGGATCATCCTACCTGTGAGATACGTTGTGTTGGAGGGATCCCCATCTCTTCTTCTTGATCCATTGCTGGTTGATCATCTTGATAATTCATACTGGGCTCAGTCTCCCGCAAACGCAGACCAAGGCTGGCGTTATCCTGAAGCTTCCATTAGCGAAATTTCACGGGCGATACGTCTTCATGGAATACAAACCTGGTCGGCCATTGCATCCCAACCGAGAATATCTTCAGTCTCCTCGCTTTCGTCTGGAACATCCCATTGTCTATCGTCGTCCGCTGGAACAAACAAACTATCAAGATTGATCGACGCGGGGGGCTGCTGGCTCTCGGTTTGCGCTTGCTGCGTATTGCGGGCAGAAGAACCGGTAAGAGGGCGTATAGATCGAGTACGAGGAGGAGGAGGCGGAGGCATTTGTGTCGAACCCGCGGCGGTTCCATTACTAGTGTTAGATTGTACAGGAGCAGGTGTTTGCCTCGCAGACAACTCAGCCACACCAGAAGAGTTAGGAACGTCACCCACATCTGGGTCGCCCCTTGTCATCAAAGTAAACTCAGCCCTCACACCCCTGAAGTCATATGCGAGTTGCAGTGGCCGACAAGGGCGAGTGTATCGGGCAGTGATCATTACACCTGATGTATCCGCGTGTGCTATAACTGCCTTGAAATCCTTTAGACTAATAACAATATGGAGGCTGTCTTCGGCAAGGAAATGCTCGAAGTCTTTCTTGTCAAAAGCAACTGAAGTGTGAACTGGCTGCTTTAGAATTTCTACGAGCAGTCAGTTAGCATCGTCATGTGTGGATTATTGTAGACTCTTGGAACATCATACCTTTCCCTTCTGTGATTTTTGTTGTGAAGCTTGTGAAGATGACTTTGCCGGATTCAGAATAGATGTCTAGAAGCTCTGCAGATGGGCTAAAGTGGTCGGTAATCTCCTTCAAAAATCTTGCTTCTATATTCCACTGATTGATCGTTTTGGTTCGATCAAAAATGGCGTGTTGAGCAGTGGTTGGTTCATAAGTAAGCTTGTAGGATTTTAAGACTCCTATCGTAGAGGATCAGGTCTCGAAAGCAAAGAAGAACAAGGGAGTTGCATGGAACAAACACTTACCAAGCCCGCATATCATTTTAATTATTAGTCTGCATTCCGCGGTTTCAACATCTTCATATAGATCAACCTCGCAACGCTCGACTGCGGTGTCCTTGTTTCGTCCATGCGCCCTACCCTTGAATACAGAGAGCAAAGCCTACGCTTCAATATTAGCCGGGAGAGAAGGACGGTGATAACCGAGTCTGAGTTTCGCCTTACTTTGAGATATACTTGGCAGCAAAATTTATTTGAGCCTGTTGTCCTGGATGTATTGGCGTCCCTGAATATGCCAAAAGAGTAATCTTGAAAAAAACTTTCTGCTGATAGAGCAAATGCAGCGTAGGTTGTCTTTGCGGTATTGAGAACGCTCACGCGGAGCTTGACTAACTGTCAGTCATGTATGCGTTCCTGTTATACAAGATTTACCCACAAGTTCGTATTCAGCCTCAATGACGACGGTTTCATCAAACTTGGCTAAGCATATCAATGCTTCATGAAACTGGATTAATGCCTCGGGGGCGAGTGCAAATGACAAGCTCGTCATGGCTCTTCTGCAATCAAACAAAATACCTTACTCCCTCTTCGGAGGCTAGGTCAACTATGCCATGAGCAACAAGTGGGACTTGAGTAGGAAAGCAGTCTGTCTACGGAGACTTGGGGCCGTTCCTTGTTCACGTCCCCGACGCGGCTTACATAACACACTTGGAGGTTAATTAAGGCGCTGCCTTCTCCAGCACCCTCTAAACATCACAGGACAGTATCACATCGATACTCGCGAATGTCAAGGGGCTCATAGTAAATGTGATATATTGAGTTTACGACTAGTGAACTCTCCCAGGGAGAATGATGTTCGCCCTAGCTGGTGATGTTCTCTATATGATTCTGGATATCCTCGGTGATGAGAAGGACTACAACAGCTTGTATCAATGTGCCATTTCATCGAGGTGCTTCACTGAGCATGCATTGACATCTCTGTACAAGTGAGGAGGACTTCTTAATTTACTGGTATTGTGCCTTGTCTGCTGATATTAAATGCTAGGCTCTACCATACCTCGCCTGTAAGAAGCGGAGGAACAGAAGACGAGCAACTCAGGAGTCGAAGAACGGCGATTACACTGGCCAATATCAGAAGTCAGCAGGACACTATCATTCGAAAATGGGCCCTTATGTGGCACTCGATAATACTCTCTACTTTTCACCAAACTTATCTCCCGTATTATAGTTACATCCGCTACTTGGATCTCGATGACATGTACGATCTCCTCAGAGATCCAGGATTTACCGGCAAGATCAGAGAGTAAGCCTAGTATACTCTGTAGTTTTAATGATGCCGTCGTCTCTTTCTAACTGGGTGCAGTGATTTCTTTGCTCCAGAGGTACTAGATTTCTTGTCCCATGACTATGCGTCCAAAGGGAATAAACGGCTTCGCTCAACCAGGATATCCCCTGACAATGAATGGTTAATGACCAGGCTTGGTGGAGGTAGGTGCAACTTCCATTCTAGGACATATAAAGCTGCATCTGTTTAAAAGCAACACATAGGCTGATACGTCGCAGCAATCGTGGAGAAAGCAACGTCTATTCGGGGAATGTCCTGTAACAGTAGGTTTGGTCCTAATTACGCATACAAAACAATCCATTTCCATCCAAATCTTTCTGACTGAAAAATCCAGTTCCATCTTCAGTGCTAGCTGATTGGCTCGAACGATTACCTTTGTTACAAACCCTATCTGTCTGGTCAGGGAGCTCTCTGGTGGATCATGCTGGTGATAAAATCCGGCGTCATTGTTCCAACTTCAAACAGCTCACAATATATGGATGGTATGTTACCTTAACCTTCTACAAGACATGATTTCTCACCGTGACCAGGCCAAATATACCGCCCAGAACTGCGGAGACAGATTGTGAGACATTCCTGAACGAACTAAGCCCCAATACTCTAGAGTATTTTGAAGTTTTCAGCTACTCTCACCTGGGCCCTCGTTCAATAGAAGCTCTAGGGTCACACTTGAATTCCTTGAGGGAATTGAAGCTAACAAGTCTCTCCATTGAGGCAATTGCTAAACTGCCTTCATTGACTGCGCCGCCGGTGCTGGAGGTCTTAGTATTGACAGATTCAATTCCAGCACCACGAACCGAAGAGTTCTATTCCACCGTCACCCGTGTTGCTGACTGGATACGCAGTTGTAAGGCTTTGCGGCGGCTTTCTCTTAGAAGATTCGTTGATGACTCGAATCTGTTATCGCAGGTCCTAACTCATGAAGGCCCTCATCTATCCAGTCTCTCACTGGAGGCACACACGATGGCTGGGAGTGGTGCTTTCTACGAAGCTCTTGCCAGTCAACAGACATTGCGGAATTTGTACCTCCGTGGAGAGGCAAGCGAATTTCCTGTAGATAATGAAGCGCTTGTCCAAGGGATCATCCGACTGAATAACCTTCACGAACTTGAACTCAAAGACATCTCCGACTGTTTTACGATCAATCATATTACCGTTCTAACCCCATTTCTCCCTCATCTGGAGAGGCTCTGGATCAGTGGTGACTTCTTTAATGACGATATCTGGAACGCTTTCCTGTGTCTACCAAATCTTCAGAGCCTTGTCATCCACGCACTTAGCGAATTCACATCCCGAGGCATTCTCGACTTCATTTCTCGTTTGGGACCTGGCAATCGGGGATTTAGCCTGTCTATTTTGAATGCGACTACGGACGCAAATATCACGGAAGAGGCACAGAATTTGATTCGTGAGAATTTGAGGAATAGCTTGGATGGATCGTTTGATTTTGGTCTTGCACAAGGTTAGTCCCATGCCTTAAACACCTTAGGGCGTAAAAAGCTGATGGCCTGTGTTCAGAGGAGTATAGTGATATGGACTCGGCTGAAATGTCGGAGTAATTTGCACTGAATGGAGCTCGACTAGTAAGACTGCAATAGTAATGGTAATTATTTAGGGTGAATAATTCTTAATCAGGGTCTTCATCCAAGGCAAGGAAGCCTCTTCTTGGCTCTTAATGTGCTCAGAAAACATAGTAGTTGAATTAATCTGAATGGCAGAAGACATATCAAGTTAATAGGTTTGCAGTACCTAAATTTTGCAAGCAGAGCTCTTTCACAACAGTAGAAGAACATATATCTAGTAGATCCTTATTTTTCTATTCAATAATATAATGTGGCAGTATATCAGCAACTTTGAATACAGTGCCGTCCAAGGTTCCTTCAATGTAAAGACCTATTAAAAAGAGTTAGTTAATGATAGAGAGCAAGTATCACGCATTAACCAAATCTTTGAGTATTCACAATAGCAACCAAGGTAAATGCTGAGTTTTCTTTCCAGTATCAAGCTTTGACTCCTGGGTTGGACATTCTTTCCTTATTGTTCATGGCGATTCCTTCCCCATCTATCTGGTCTTCACTGCTAGGTATGCTCGGCCTTCCTTTAAAATCCCCTTCTACCCCCGAGTGATTGTAATCCTTTTTAAATTTCTCTTCATCTTTCTATCATCATCGTCGTCGTCAACCTCTATCAAACAACCAACCTCAGTGAAGCAAATCTCTAAACCTATTTTTATTATCTGTTGGCATGGCAAATACCATTCAGCCAAAAAAAGCTCCATTGGCTCTTTGTGAGCTCTATCTTGGTATTATATGTATATACCTTCATTGATAACTTAAAAATCCAGCCGAAGTATTCTGCCACACTCTTCTCAGTTTCACGAGTTAAATTAAACGCTTCGCTAGAGGGTGGATATAATTGTAAGCTAATCCTTCTACGCGCCAAACAAAGGCAAAACTCAAACTGCAAAAGAAAATATGAAGCAAGCGTCGTCTTCAGCCACCCTTGAATCTCCGCTCAGTGGCGGGCACCTCTTTGGAAACAAACAAGATGGGCGAGAGGTTGTTTAAGGACCATAAAGACATCATGCTCGGAGTTGATGAGCAAGCCACAAGACTTGAAGCCATCGAAGCCGAGCAGCGTGCACCATGGCGGCCGTTTAAGTCCTGGATCATCGCAGCAAAATCCACCGCGCAGGAGAGCGCTCAACCAAGGGACCTAAGAGGCCAACACACCACAGGACCCAGCAGCATAGGGAACAACTCCAGATGACTGGGATGCCGGAATCCTCCTCCAAAGAGAAGCAGGCACAAAAGGAAGCGACGATGATTCTCCAATTTTATGACCAGAAAATTTTAAGTGCTCTCCAGGAAATTCTTCTGTCTAGAAGAGAAAGGGGTCTCAATCTCTGATTAACACAGAGTAGATTAAGTTTATTGCGTAACTCGTTGCTGACATGCGTGGAAGGATGTCCCAATCAAGCTTTTTTAATCCTTTCGTTTTATGTTGAAACTTCCATATAACTTCTTATTATATTAGCTTCACTAGGAGCTTGGGCATTTAGATGGTCGAATGGTTTGTCTAAAAATATTATAACGAAGAACGGTGTGCACTTACCGATTTAACCCAAGACAAAATGAATTTTCGAGACATTCGCGCCAGCATCGTCGACGCTGCACAAGAAAGCGAGAGCGCCGTTGTTATCCTGTCGACTACGCCGCCAGGAGGTCGTTAAGGACTTGGATTTGTTCAGGGTAGACAGCACCAGTGCGTCACCCTGAGCCTGGCCAGGGATGGGTTGGTCGTAGTTGGTCACGAGGACATGCACAAATCCGTAAAGCCAGGGAGGCGCGGCTTTTAGGCCTGGTTAAACTTCGTAGCTGCCCGTGCTATACTACAATGCCACCCAAATTACGATCCGGAAAGGTATATCAGCCTCCTCCTCCTCCTCCTCCACCACCACGCATGGTCACGGGGAGAACGTCTGGAGGATGTTCGGAATGCTATGAATATTATCAAGTCTTGTGGTGCTGACGATGGTGAAAGTATCTCTACCTGGCAGAATCTCCATGATATGCTTCAGTACTTAAGTGGAGGATGGTGGACTACCATCACCAGCCCTGGTCATGAACAATCAAACTTATCTCCATGAAAACCTCCCAAGCAACCTTCTGAACAAGAAGGCTTCCACGGCCTACCTCGAATTTCTCGCTTTATATTAATTTTCAAGCATGAGATCGTGGAAAATACTGTCTATGCGCCGGTAAATATCTCGAGAGTACTCCGTACATCTGGACGGACCACCTCCAGGACCGTCACTTAATCAATATCAGTGGAAGCCGTGACCTGGTCACGAAACACCTTCAGATCTCCAATCAATAATACGAGGTGTTAATATAAAAATCCGCTTGAAAATACCAAATTAGTGCTCAGATCAAACCCATGGTGCTTTTTCTAAAGTCGACACGTCGATACTGTTGCAGTTTCTACTTTCCTATTCGGGCAGAATGATAATTTATTTAGAGGAGGGTCCTACCTTGTCTATCTGACCTTTCACCTAGCATACTCAACACCATTAGTTAATGGATTCCATCGTCCTCCTCGATCCTTAGTAGTTGTCAAATAATATGGCTATACATGGTCAGGATCATGTGACTAAGGAAGGGTCAATAAACCCTCACGAGCGAAAGAACATGAGACCAAGAACAATCATCATAGTCATCAATATAATCAAGAAGAGCCCGACCAGCTCAGAATCATCCATTTAAGACCTTTCCAAGAACCATATCTTCTTTCCTATTTAGTACTAGCCGAATATCGGACAGTAGTTTGGTCAATACCATATCCTCAGACGCTAGTCCACAAGTGGTAATTTCCCAGTTCAGTCTCTCATGTTGTATAAAGCTTTATAATCTTACTGTAAAGAATATCGCAACATCTAAATCAGGTAGGAAAGAGCTCCTTGTAAATTTCTTAACGATATTACCTCAGAACGCACTTTGTAAGTAACTAGGTAGGGATTGCTGACATAGTGGCCGTAAAACCACCTAATAGGAATTGGCTGGAGCGCGTTCCCTTCGCGTTCCGCTACGCGTCATGTCCTCCGCGCGCCGCCCAACAACGCCATCCTCTTCCATCCAACGCTCCCCGTAGCTTCGACGAGCCTCAATTGACGCAATTACCAAGAAGCTATTAATGGACACCGGTTATTCGTGATAGTTCAGGGTGCGCCATGGCTTCTTCCCGCGCTAAGTTGGCAGAGCTGCGGGCTCTCCGTGCCGCAGGAAAGAAACGCATTTCGACGTACGAGATCGAGGAACAGGGTGACATTTACGAGGAAGTCGATGATGATGGATATAAGAAGATTATCCGTGATCGACTTGACGAAGATGACTTCGTTGTTGATGATAACGGTGAAGGATACGCAGATGATGGTCGAGAAGTCTGGAATGACCAAGGAGGCTACTATGATAGTGACAGCGACGACGATGAATTACCGGTAAATAGCAAGTCTGCGAAACGGAAGCGAGAGGAGGAGAAACAGCGAAAAGAGAAAATCAATAATGGAATTTCGAAATATTTCAATAAGGGCAGCACTGCGTCGGCTCCCAAACCCAGAGTGAGTGAGGTTCTTGAAGCGAGTGGCATCAAGGCGTCTGAGTCTAACTCTTCATCTAGCCTGTCGCCTCGGCAGAAGATGATGCTTTCATGGCCGACCTTCTTGGGGAAGTTGATACCAATGTAGTATCGAATCATGTTCCAACACCGAATGTGATCAAATCGGAGACGCGGCGCAAAGTGCGCATCCTCTCTCCTCCGCTAGCCCAGCGAACGCGCACAGAAAATAAAGCCCAGAAAGATAAGAATAACGATCCAATGTCTCCAGGCGACCGAAAAGAGGATCTCGACTTGGATAACGATGATGACCCCCTTCCAATCACAGATGATGATGTACCAATGAGCGATCCGATGCCCTCGTCTCCCACGAGTAAAGCCGTGGAAAGGAAAACCACTGCCGTTGTGAAAACTGAGGATCCTGAGGAGGAGGATAATGACTTGATGGAAATCGCCGAGGCGACTGGACAGAACGATGCCAAGACAGCAAATGTTAACATGGCCGGAAGCCGGCCCCCTCCCAAGATTAAGCAAGAAACCTACCCAGGCCCGGCAAGCTCCTCGCCTATGAAAACAGCGCCGGATGTTGTAAATGCCTCGTGGAATGACGTGCGGAGCAAGTTGAATGTTATCAGTAGCCCGGCGTCGGAAATGCGAACATTCGGTAAGCTGCGTGCACAGGATGTTGTCGAGGAGGACGGTAGCCTGCGCATGTTCTGGCTGGACTTTACAGAGGTTAATGGTAGTCTATGCTTATTCGGAAAGGTCAGAAATAAGCAGAATGGCTCCTATGCCAGCGCGTTTGTCAAAATCGACAATATCCTGCGAAAGCTGTACTTCCTTCCCCGGGAACACAGGCACAAACATGGCCGAGAAACGGATGAGGAGGTGGATATGGAGGATGTCTATAGCGAAGTTGATGAAATGATGTCACGACTTCGAGTTGGGATGCATAAGATCAAGCCGTGTACACGTAAGTATGCATTCGAGTTGCCTGGTGTTCCCAAGGAAGCGGATTACCTCAAGTTACTGTATCCTTACGATAAGCCTGCGCTGCCCATGGATACTAAAGGGGAGACGTTTTCCCATGCATTTGGGATCAACACCTCATTATTTGAGCAGTTTGTGCTTTGGAAGAACATCATGGGCCCTTGTTGGCTGAAGATTGAAGAGGCCGATTTTTCCGCCGTTAACAATGCATCGTGGTGCAAGTTTGAGTGTCAGGCCTCTAAACCTGCACTAATCTCCCCTGTCCCCGATTCTGAGAATCTAGACTCGCCACCTCTGACATTGATGAGTCTATCTTTCAGGACACAGCTAAATGTGAAGGAGAACAAGCAAGAGATCATAGTTGCGAGTGCTCGGGTTTATGAAAACGTCTCCCTCACAGATACGACGCCTCCAGAGAGACTTCCCTGCAAGACGTTCACAGTAATGCGGCCTGTGGGCTCTTCTTACCCTATGCACTTCGAAGCAGAGACGCGAAGGCAACGAGGCACTTTCATGTTGGAGAAGAGCGAACAGTTCTTGCTCAGCAAGTTCCTCGCATTATTCGAAAAGATGGATCCTGATGTCTTAATGGGTCATCAACTACAGGAAGTAGATCTGAGCGTTTTACTCAATAGGCTGAAAGAAAAGAAAACACCTGGTTGGCATCGCTTGGGACGACTGAAGCGAGGCGATTGGCCTAAAAATTTTAATAAAGGAGGGGGGTTCTTCGCTGAGAGACATTTGATTGCTGGAAGACTAATGTGCGATGTTGCTAACGACATGGGCAAGGTAAGCTTCTTAAGTCTTCAAAGACAATTTATATACTAACCGGTACCAGTCCCTCATGATGAAATGTCAATCATGGAGTTTGACGGAGATGTGTGAACTATATCTCGGACAGGGAAACACTCGACAGGACCTAGACTGCGAAGCCGCGTTGAAGACGTGGGCCAACTCGAAGGAGGGCCTTATGAATTTCGTGAACCATTGTGATGCAGATACTTATTTCATCGCCGCCTTGGTACTGCGACTACAGATGTTACCCCTGACAAAGGTCCTTACAAATATCGCGGGTAACTCCTGGGCAAGAACACTTAGCGGAACGCGTGCCGAGCGCAATGAGTACATTTTGCTACACGAGTTCCACCGGAATAAGTACATTTGTCCTGACAAATACTCGTCTAAGTTGCAAAAGGTGGAAGAGAAGATTCAGGACGGTGATGAGGACGATGCCACAGACAAGAAAAAGAAAGACAAGTACAAAGGTGGTCTTGTCTTTGAGCCCGAGAAAGGCCTGTACGACAGATTCGTGCTGGTTATGGATTTCAATAGTCTGTATCCGAGCATCATCCAGGAATACAATATCTGTTTCACAACGGTGGATAGGGCCGCAACGGTGAGTCGCTCTTGTCAAGTCGCCCAGTTGTCTACTAATCTGTCCTTTGCAGGCAGAGAACGAGAACGAGGAGAAAGTGCCCGAGGTCCCCTCTCCTGACCAAGAGCAGGGTATATTGCCTCGACTCATTTCGACTCTCGTTGGTCGTCGACGGGAAGTGAAAAAGCTCATGAAGGACAAACGTGCAACACCAGAGCAGCTTGCACTGTGGGACACCAAGCAGCTCGCCTTTAAGCTAACGGCCAACTCCATGTATGGATGCCTGGGATACACACAAAGTCGCTTTTACGCTCGTCCGCTGGCGATGCTCACCACATTCAAGGGCCGTGAAATTCTTCGAAGCACTAAGGAATTGGCCGAATCAAAACAGCTGAGAGTCATATACGGTGATACCGACTCGGTCATGATCAACACCAATATGGACACTATTAGTGACGCGTTGAAAGTCGGGGAAGAGTTCAAGAAATCGGTAAACGAAAGATACCGTCTTCTAGAGATTGACGTTGACAATATCTTCCGCCGCCTCCTACTACATGCCAAGAAGAAGTATGCTGCTGTGAACATGACAGAAGTGGATGGAAAATATGTGGACAAGCTGGAAGTCAAAGGTTTAGATATGAAGCGACGTGAATACTGTGCCCTGTCAAAAGAAGCTTCTCAAATACTCTTGAACGAAATCCTTTCGGGCGAAGATCAAGAAGTAGTACTCAATCGTGTTCATGACTACCTGCGCGAGTTAGCAAACAAGATGCGGGAATATACCATACCCGTTCAGAAATATGTGATTTACACGGTATGCAACATCCACAGGGCAGTTATTATACAGTCTACTGACATATGCGTCACAGAAACTTTCCAAACGACCTGAAGAGTATCCTAATAAAGAGTCGATGCCACCGGCACAAGTTGCTCTCCGCGAACTTTCCCGCGGCAAGTCGGTCCGGCCCAACGATGTAATCTCGTACATTGTGACAAATGGGGACTCGGAAACGTCCTCTCTTCCTCCAGCGAAGCGCTCATACACGCTTCAGGATGTTCTGAAAGGGGATTCGGGGCTCAAACCCGATATTGAGTTCTATCTTCTCAAGCAAATTTTCCCCCCTATCGAGCGTCTCTGTGCTCCGATTCCGGGCACTGATGCAGTTCGACTGGCTGAGTGTCTGGGTCTGGATGTTCGCAAATATCAAATCAATAGCTCGAGTGGAAACAGCCAACAGAATGCGGATATTTTCCCGCTTGAGTCGCAGATTCCAGATTCTGTTCGGTTTCAGAATGCTGCGCGACTGACGCTTTCCTGTCGGTTTTGCAAAGAGAATTCTGTCTTCGAAGGACTGGCTGCGTCCTCACACATGTGCAATGCCCATGGCCTTCTCTGTCCTAACCCTTCGTGTCAGAAACAATTCTCGATCTTGACGATCATTGCACAGCTGGAAAGCCAAATCCGGGTCCAAACATCGAAATATTACGAGGGATGGCTCGTCTGTGATGATTCCGCGTGTGGCAACCGAACCCGACAGATGAGTGTTTATGGTCGTCGGTGTCTTGGCCCTCGGGGCCATGCTGAGGGATGCCTTGGTCGAATGTCTTACGAGTATTCTGAGAAGCAGATCTACAACCAGCTGCTCTACTTCGCCGGCCTTTGGGATGTGGATAAAGCCCGGCGTTCGACTGAGAAAGAAGCCAACGGAGAGAAGAAGGAGAGCGTAGCGGCCCTGGTGGAATTCAACCGTGCGAGGTTCGGAACTATCAAAGGGGTGGTCGATGGGTATCTGAAGAAATGCGGTCGCCAGTGGGTAGAGATGGATAGCCTGTTTCGCTTTATGCTCGCCTAGTCTTTGGAGGAGAAAGTTTTGAACTGTATATATGCTAGCATCGACTGGATAGTTGTTACTGTGGATGACGGGTTTCAGTTAGACGACTGGGATGAAAGAATCTTATAGGCACGAATAACATAGCATTTGCTTCTGCGTATTCTGGAATAGCTAGGGTTGACCGAATTATCCTCCAAAATTTACATTTATATGGTAACTGGGACTTCGTCTCCACGAGGCAACCCAGCCGGCAAGGGCCCACACCCCACCAACCTGGTCCAGCATTTCCACACATGCATCCACTCACCACCTATTCACGGTCCAAGGAGTTCTTCTGGTAGAGATCAGGCCACCTCCTTGTGCATCATTCAGCCCTTGAGTTGCTCCTTCGTTTCCCACCATGTCAGCCAAGCGGGTTCTAGTCATCGCCGGTTCTGACAGCTCTGGTGGCGCGTATGTTCATATCTCCGTCCCCTCAACATTAGTCCCTACCCCCGGATACCGCAAGCTAATGCACATTCCAGCGGTCTAGAAGCAGATCAGAGGGTCCTGGCCGTACATGGTTGTTATGCTCTTACTGCTACTACCGGTCTAACCGCACAAAACACTCTGGGGTTGCAAGACATCTTCGTCATCCCAGCGGAATTTGTCAAGAAGCAAATCAATGCCGGCTTGGAAGATGTGGGGGCAGATGTTGTCAAATTTGGTATGTCTCACCTCTTGCTGGTGAATGATTCCTAGACTGACTGATGCGAAGGAATGCTGTCATCCGCGGAGACTATTGACGTTGTTGCTGAGGCACTAGCAACACATCTCGTTCCTTCCATTGTGCTGGATCCGGTAGCTCTTCCACCCCTGTCTTTTGTGTTCAATTGAATAGTGGGCTCTTACATGTAAAATTGCAGGTGATGGTATCTACTAGCGGCTCACAGTTGTTACCGGAAGCAGCTGTGCAAGGTCTTCGAACCAAATTATTGCCCCTCACGACCATCCTGACGCCTAATATCCCCGAAGCGAGGCTGCTGCTAAAGGACTCTGGAGAAAATGCATTAGAACCAAAGAACCTTGCTGGGCTCGTCCAACTAGCAAAGCAGGTTTGTGCCTTAGGCCCCAAGGCTGTTCTCCTCAAAGGAGGACATTTACCGTTAACAAAAGAACATGAGACTACTCATGATTTGCGAGAGGCGTCGAAAGTCATTGATGTCCTTTATGATGGCGAAAACGTCACATTGTTTGAAACGGATTTCCTGGTGTCGAGGAACACCCATGGCACGGGCTGCTCACTTGCCTCTGCTATTGCAGCCAACCTCGCCCTCGGAAAGGATCTGAAAAGTGCAGTCCATGCGGCGGTTCGATTCGTCGAGGCAGGTATCAAGACAAGCTTTGATCTTGGAAAGGGAAGCGGACCGATTAACCACTTCCACTCCGTGTATACGATGCCTTTCGCCCCGTGGGTTACTCATTGGTTCCCGGCACCCGACTTGTCACTGATAGACACATACACAGGGGACGGTTTTTAGAATACGTCCTGGATCGCCCGGATGTTCGACCGGTATGGAAAAGGTTTACGGAGCATGAGTTTGTTTTGGGCCTGGGCGCTGGAACGCTTCCCGTGGAACGATTCAAAGAATACCTGGTGCAGGACTATCTGTACTTGGTACAATACAACCCTTGCTTCCGATTCTGTCCCACATCTGCCCAGTGCTCGCTAACGTGATGTATACAGGTCCATTTTGCCCGGAGTAACGCACTGGCTGCCTACAAAGCGAAGGACATGGAATCCATTGCAGCGGTGAGTGACAAGCTAAGCCATGTCCCATAAGACGCCGGGGAACGTGGCTGATCCGGACTCACACCGTTACAGTCTTCACAAATCGTCCTACACATCCAGCGTGAAACGGCGTTGCACCTGGAATATTGTGCCTCCTTCGGATTATCCAAGGAGCAGATGGAAAAATACCCAGAAACTATCGGTAGGTGGTGTTGGTCGTGACGGGTATTGTTCACCCTCGCTAATACCAGTTACTTTGGGGGGAACCTAGCATGCACGGCATATAGTCGATACATCCTTGATGTGGGTCAATCTGAGGATTGGCTGGCCCTACAAGTGGCCCTCGCCCCTTGTCTGATTGGATACGGAGCCATTGCCCAGCGACTGTACTGTGAGAAAGAGACGCTCCGGGAGGGAAACCGATACTGGAAGTGGATTGAGAACTACGTCGCAGATGACTATACAGAGGCCGTTCGTCTAGGATCAGGTAAGAGAAGCATGCAAGCCGCTAAGCTTGACGTAATCGACCAAATAGAGAGAGATAACTGACGCGCAGGTAGAACTTCTGGAGACACATATGAGCCAGGTTTCCCCGAAACGGGTGGAGGAGTTGATTTCCATTTTTGTCCAGGCCACCGAGTTAGAGATCAGCTTCTGGGACATGGGGATGGGAGATAGACAATGAGGATAGACAATGAATATATAGAGAGAGAAATGGTTGAATGAACGGATAAACTTACTAGAACGGAAATACCGGAGTAGCTATCCGGATCGGGTATTTGGCCGAGGCGGTGAAAAACCCTGGTGGCGGCAAATCGCAACGATTGGCCAGCCGGCTAGCGCTAGCCCGAACAGGCAAGTGTCGCCTCTTCGCCTTCTTTTTTCTTCTCGTTTTCGCCTTCCCGCCGGTGGATTTTTTTCCCTTTCTCTTTCCCATCCGCTCCCCTTTAATCATCTCATCTCCTGTCCTTTCTTTCTTTTTCTATCTGGACATTCTTGTCTCTTCACTTCTTTTCCCTTATACTCTCCCTTTGGAGATTGTATTATCTCCGCGTACAGTTCTCCTGTCCGACTCTTTTTGATTCCTGGTTTTCCATTTTTTTTGCCTCCCAAAGTAACAAGAAAGGAAAAAAAAATGTCTCACAGTGGCGGCTATCAGCGTGATTCCTACCGGTAAGCCTTTCATTTTCTTTTAGGAGATGCTTGAGAACAATTCAGCGTCGCATTCATTGCGCTCTCTCAAGCCAGATGGATGGATGCTATTGGTCTCGCAACGTGACTTGTTTCTGTTGCCTGGCTTCTATCTCAACTCGAGAGTAGATGCCGCAAAATACGTCGACGCTTATCCCTCAATCCAAAATTCTATGACAGCGACTAACGGAGTTTTCTCATCTAGCTCTAGAAACGGCGGTGGCGGATACTCCAACGGCCACTCCAACGGCTATGGAGGTGGCCAGGGTGGTTACAGTGGTGGCGGCTACGGAGGTGGCTATGGAGGGGGCTATGGAGGTGGCTATGGAGGTGGACGAGGTGGTGGTGGTGGTGGTGCAGACCGAGACCGTATGTCGAATCTTGGCTCCGGTCTGAAGAAGCAAGAATGGGGTAAGTTGACTCGCTGGACGAATTTAATAAGTCGTGATCTAATGCTCATCATTCAGACCTGGACTCCCTCCCCAAGTTCGAAAAGTCTTTCTACAAGGAGCATCCCGATGTCACCAATCGCTCTCAACGCGAAGTGGATGATTTCCGCAAGAAACATGAGATGGCCGTGCAAGGAAGAAATGTTCCCCGTCCTGTCGAGACGTTCGACGAGGCTGGCTTCCCCCAGTATGTCCTGGGTGAGGTCAAATCACAGGGCTTTGAGAACCCTACCGCCATTCAGTCCCAGGGATGGCCTATGGCACTCTCCGGTCGCGACGTCGTCGGTATTGCCGAAACCGGTTCTGGAAAGACTCTGACCTACTGCCTCCCGGCCATCGTGCACATCAACGCCCAGCCTCTTCTTGCCCCCGGCGATGGTCCCATTGTCCTTGTTCTCGCCCCCACCCGTGAACTGGCGGTCCAGATCCAGGCCGAAATCACGAAGTTTGGAAAGTCTTCCCGCATTCGCAACACCTGTGTGTATGGTGGTGTCCCCAAGGGCCCCCAGATCCGTGACTTGAGCCGTGGTGTCGAAGTCTGCATCGCGACCCCTGGTCGATTGATTGACATGCTGGAGGCTGGCCGGACCAACCTGCGCCGTGTCACCTATCTGGTCCTTGACGAGGCCGACCGTATGCTGGACATGGGTTTTGAGCCTCAGATCCGCAAGATCATCTCTCAGATCCGCCCTGACCGTCAGACCTGCATGTGGTCTGCCACGTGGCCGAAGGAAGTCCGCCAGCTTGCCTCGGACTTCCTCAACGACTACATCCAGGTCAACATTGGCTCCATGGACCTGTCGGCCAACCACCGCATCACCCAAATTGTCGAGGTCGTGTCGGATATGGAGAAGCGTGACCGCATGATCAAGCACCTTGAGAAGATCATGGAGAACCACAGCAACAAATGTCTCATTTTCACCGGCACCAAGCGAATTGCTGACGATATTACCCGTTTCCTCCGCCAGGACGGATGGCCCGCCCTTTGTAAGTTCCTGCCACTATCTTGCTATCTCTCACTCTTGGATCTCCCTTTGCTGACTCATGTGCAGCCATCCACGGCGACAAGCAACAACAGGAAAGAGATTGGGTCTTGAACGAGTTCAAGATGGGCAAGAGCCCAATCATGGTGGCCACCGATGTGGCTTCCCGTGGTATTGGTATGATGAAATTGCGATTTAACCCCTCCCCTCCCCCTCCCTGTTCTTCCTTAGAAGCACCCTCAGCCGTATTGAGGTTGTGTGATAATGGCTCGGTGCTCGACTCTCTTGAACCCCATGTTGGTATGCATGACTCGTCCAGGCTTTGTCGGGTCTTTTGAAAGGATTCCTCATGCCAAGAGGACCTTGGACTCACAGTGCAGTGTAGCAGACGTATTATATCCTCTGTTCTGATTCTCCATCTCTAACCCTGAACCTCGTTGGTAGAGAGGTGGAGTTTCTTTCTGTTTCGACGGTTTTTGTTTTCGAAACTGCATTCCAAGGTTACTCTAGGACCGCGATTTCTGCCAGCCCATGGACTCACCTTCACGGATCTTGATATGAAAGTCCGAGAGAGAGAGAGATGCATCACGTCTCACACGACTGAGAAAGGGCTCCTCGGCCACGTTGCTATTTTGACTAATGCTCCGTTTGCTAACATAATTTATTTGAAGATGTTCGCGACATTACTCATGTGCTGAACTATGACTACCCCAATAACTCGGAGGACTACGTTCACCGTATTGGTCGAACTGGTCGTGCCGGTGCCAAGGGTACCGCCATCACCTTCTTCACCACTGACAGTAAGTTTCCTTTCCCGTATGGCTTTTGCTCCCACAATAGGCCGCTGACATCGGTTTTCTCTGCAGATGCAAAGCAGGCTCGTGACTTAGTCACCATCCTCAGTGAGGCAAAGCAGCAAATTGATCCTCGTCTCGCCGAGATGGTTCGCTACGGCGGCGGTGGCCATGGTCATGGTGGTTACGGCCGCTGGGGTGGCCGTGGTCGCGGTCGTGGCGGTGGCGGCTTCACTGCCTCCAATGCGGCGCCTCTTGGAAACAACCGCCGCTGGTAAAAATGATCATGATGCCCAGTCTCATCTATTGAGCTTGTAATTGTCACTTCGGTAGACCTCGCTTTCCCCCTTTTTTAATTTCCTTCGTCTTATGATCAGCTTCCACCTTCGTAACTCGGTACGGGCGGCGTTCATCGAAAGTCACTGATAGACAGTTTTATGTGTTTTTGTTCATTTCAGGCTTCAGTTTGCGACAGACTCGCAGGAATACGTGTTAATTTTTTATTTCCATCTTACCGTCTTTGTATTCTAAAAGTTTTGTGTCTGCCGACTTTGCTCGGGGCGGATGCCTCTCTTTAGATATTGTGTAGCTGCATGTTTACATGCCAATACTTGGGAGAAATGTACCTATTTTTGTTACATGTGATTTGTGCTGTAGACTCTTGAATAGTAGTAGTATGCATTAGGCTCGGCTTCCTGTGCCTGCCATTAGTACGATGCAGGAGTGTAGCCCGGCGGATACGAGAATCTAATTTCTCATGCAGGAGTAAGTTGATTGTGCCAGAAAATTAATACCGAGATTAAGCCTTGGTTAGAGCCAATCGATTTGGTTGTAATCCAGGCTGCCTATCATGCAATGCAACCCATGCGTTTGCTTGGAAATCCAAGTGGTTGGTCCCTCCGGCGTCAAACAACCCATACTATTAAAAAAAAAAAATTTTTAAGTTCTCTAGTTTGATTGATTCTTCTCCTTCTCCTCCCAGATATTGTCTCCTCAATATGGATTTAATTAAATAATTCTATTGATCAACCCATAAGAAAATGGATCTGTATAATAGAGTATGCGAGTCTATTACCATCCTGGTATATATAATCCACGATAGGGTATTAAGGATCATACGTAGGTAGTTGGCTTTTACTGTATTTTGGTATGATATGATACGATATGATGGGTATAATGTGTGGAAGTTTAGACCTTGCCGGGATTAGGGTAGGTTAATAGACTTACATGATGGAAGTACCTAACTCGTATTGCTGCAATCTGGTGTTATGCCATTGTGTGTATTCTTGCAAGGATACTGGTTTTTTGGGTTTTGGATATAATTAGATGGTGTCTAGTCTATACTATGTAAATGATCTGGATCTTGGGTTTTCAAAGTTATATATATAGATAGGTGGATAGATATATTTTTGTATATTCTTGATCTTGTATTCTTTATGGGTTCCTGTTTTAATTTTTAATATTTCCAAATTAAAACTAAGCATAGGGTTATTGTTCGCACGATGTTAGCATCTCGTTGGAATGAGGTTTAGTTGGTTGTGGAGTCCATCCATGAATATGTATGCTTATATTCCTGATAGTAGATAGCTCATCCAGCTCCTCCAGCTCACATTTCTAGTTTCCTTCCCCTGGGTGTGGCTAGTCAAGTGACCTGAATTGAACGGGACATATGCTTTGATACCCATGGGTCCAATAATTCCGCAGTATATATAAAAATAAAGGAAATAGACCTGGAGCTGACACTGTCGTGGCTATCCAAATAGCAACTAGCCAATCTGATATAGGTACAATACGTGCTTAAGAACAGATGCTCATATCGCCTGACTCGTGGTTGACGAGAGACACCTGAAGTCATGGTGTAGAATGATTATGTGAACCTAGAATCCATCAGCAAAACTTTTGCTTACCATTCTAAGATGTCCGCGAGTGTAAATGAAAAATTCCGGTTGCCTTCTACATCTCATGGATCCGCGAACCGTGGAACAATCTCCTCATGTATCATGCTTCAATCAATTTGAGCTGGTTCCTGGAGAAGCTATAGTTTGATGCTCATAAGTGCCTTGTACATATGTATAAAAGTCGGGTAAATTGGAGCAGTTCGTCCTAACATCCCTGGATAAGAGAACACATCAAATCGAAAGACCAACAAGTATGCGGTGGAACCCAGTCAAACCATTGCTTGTCAGATGGTCGGGGGGGAAGTGCTGCGATTACTGGTATATAGGCCGAGGTGGCCAACAAGAGCTGCTGGAGGATAAATATGGTCCTGATACTGTGTTCCAATGATACATAACAATATGCACACATCGAGTACACATGTCTAAGGCTTCCCCGTCATGAAATCAATCTCGTCTACGCGGAGAAACTCCAGGGAAGGGTTTTGCAGCTGACGGAATATAATTCTCCGTCTGTCACCTCGGCATCGCTTATTGATCATTAATGATTGCCACGTTTGAAATACAATGACTGTGATACCTTGTCAGTTACCCAGAAAACCAGAGCAGGTTCCCTGGTGCGATGTGTATTTATCTCAACATCATGCCAAGATGGTGATTCGGTGTGCTAGTTGCGTCTTCTCTCCCTCTCGGAGATAAGCGGAGCATTGGCCGCGACATGTGGAGATATGGCTTCCCACAATGGCTCTCTCCGGCAGATATCGTGATCGCTTAATACGGAGATGCGAGGTCGGCCAAGGATGAGACATCCGCACATCCATATTTAACGAACCAAGAAATTGCCGATCTAGGAGCGACAGGCGACCATGTATCCGGGGATGGAGGCTCAATTGCGGGGGACTCATGTAGTAGTGTACTGTGTATAGCCGAGCTCAAGTGCGCTGGCAGGTTACTATGGATGTGGAGAACGCCAATGACTTCCAACCAGTGTAAACCGTAGAAAGGAATCTAGTGATATTTAAAAAAGGGGAAGGGATTAGAGGTGGAAGGACGTGACATGAACAGAGAAACGAGGGTGTAGTTTTTGTTGACAAATCCAATTGATTCTCGGTTGAGAAGATGGAGTCGCTACCATGGTATAAACGTTTCTTTCCACCCTATTTGGTTCCTCTTTTCTTTTCTTTTTCTTTTTAAAAAAAAATTCCCCTGAAACCCCTGACCCGAAGACAACCCCCATAGCTGCAAAATCATATATATCGCGCGCCGGATAATCCATCTGACTATCCGTGGTTCGTAAAGCGTATCTTACTGTAAGATATCTTGTGTAACAAAGCCTCCGAAAGCCCGTGGTTCGAGTTGTGGGTCTATCGGAACGGACTAAGATTCTGTCACTTCTATTGTATTTCTACGAGGCAAGGTGATGGTATACTTATTCACAAGAGCATAAGTATGTATAAAGGCGACATCTAAAAACTAAACAACAGAGAGATAAGAGGTACATAGTCGCAAACTCCATCATTATGCGAGCTCCTAGACATTTCGATGAGTGATCTAACCATGGCTATAGGTGTTCAATTACAGAGTCTGAATCGATATATGGATGCATCCATACTGTAATATACCGACTCCACTCAATATTACAAGCGCCAAAGTATATGCAGTTTTAGGCGGATTCTACTATTCCATAACAAGCTAAGGCAATTTCAAAGCGCCGGCCATGGCTCGGATAAGGGGAACAGAAAAGACTAACCACTATAAGTAGTAGTTCAATGCGCGGAATCGGGATTCCCGCTGATAAAATCACGAGGCAACAGGATTGGAGAACTAGGACTCTCCACCAGCACTAACGTAATAAGAAATGGCGCGAACCCCCACGGGCTACGCTATTGTAGGTACGCTTGGGGGCTAAAACAAAACTGCTGACACCTGGGGTGTCGTTAGCCTGATTTCCTTAATTTTAAAGACCCGTGGAATACGCATGGAATATGTGCCATCTCAGTGGCATCAGTGTGCATGATGTTGTGAGGAGGATAAATATGCAGTGCCATCTAAAAACCTATAAGTAACATACAGAGTACCCCATACCTACAGTAGATGGTTCTCCGAGTTTCGAAGTTGGTGTAACTGGGAAAAGATATCCACCACCTGCCTTATTCGGTTTTCCGTGGCGGAGACCCGAACTATTGCCATGTTGCACCCCTGAGGTATTCGACGTTAGTAGATAAGTACAGAGGACTTTGACAAGTGATAGCGAAATTTCTTTCGCTGACCAACTCCTGACATATATCAATTACCTAATAACGGGACACATTTTCCTGCGATGTCGTGATGTTTGTTCGTTATTTGGGGGCAAATGATATGATGTTCTGAGGCCAATGTCTGGCTCATCACAATGGGGTAGCAGATAGTTATGCTGATCTGCTACTTGCTACCTGCCAGAACGGTACGGAGCACTACCAAGGACCTGCTATGGGGCACCTTAGTCGGGTGAGACAATCTCGCGATTCCCACTGTGGGATGTCTTAAAAGGCAAAACTTAATCCACCATCAGCCTCTCGGTACGAGAATGGAAGACAGAAGACTCCTGCCTAGCTTATTAGATTTGACTCTTTTCAACCTAGTGGCCCCCGCCGCAAAAAGCTCTAGTCTATGGAATATCTAGTACTGTTTATCTCCCGTGCTTGGTGGATTGAGAAGGTTGGCAATGGACAAGCTTGACTTGCGCCATGGAGTACCACTTTACTATACTACATGTCTATCATACCTACAGTTTTGTTTACGTCCTACCTGCTGACTACCTAGGTAGAGCATTTGCTGACGCTCCGATTGGCTGCGCTCCTTGTTTATGCTCCAGCTTATTATCCTTAACTGCTTAGCGTCTGATTTCATTTTGACTTTTGAGTTTGGGAGACGACTTTTATACCGCCTTTTCCTAAAAACAGTGATAACAAATCAAAATAAGCATCGCTCCATGCTTAATCCGCAAAAGCAGAAATGAGAAAGCAGGTCGTAGAGCTGCTCCGAACTACTAGCAGTGGCGGGTAAACCTAAGCCAGATAGGTACTGCTTCTCCGTACCCTTATGAACATAATTATATATGCGAGATAGGGATCGAAGATCATGCATCGCATACAATACCAAGCACGGAGTACCTTGCGCTCGGTAAAACCCGGGAAACCATATAGACAATCAGATGTAAAGTACTTTCGTCGTTCGGCGGGGACACTTATTAAATCCGATAGCAACAGGGCATTAAATGACCCATGATAATGGCTTGTATTGCATATGTTGTGAGAGATTAAATATCCTTTTACACTACAGAGTACATCCAATGACATTAGGTGCCGCCCCGCAGTTACTGATCAATGCCAAGTGTAAAGGGA